GGTATGCTAGAGGATGAACGTTCTTTACGTGTTTTGAAAGGTTTCCTGTGGACCTCGCTTCCTTGAATTCGCGTTTGCAATGAACACAAGAGGCAATCTTTAGTCCATCCACCTCTGTAACATCGAAGTGGCGGCGAAGGGCTGATCGATCCATCCATCCAGTTACTTTAAGTTGTCTAGTAGGTGTAATAGGAATGGAGGAGCCATCTGCCGCATCTACTGGGTTTGAGACACGTGGCTCTGGGGTGAGAGTCTCACCTTCCAAATCTGAGGTTTCGTCGGAAAGCTCTTCAATCTGATAAGACTCTTGGACCGCTATCATTGTGTGTCAGCTGAGTAGTTCGAACCGGGGAGCGGTTGGTCTGGATCATGTATGTTAAATATTTGAATTTTTGACGCCAGAAATTTTCTTTACGCGTTTCGGTTCTTGAAAGGGTATCCAGTGTTAAAGGACGCGGGTTGCTGGCGGGTCGCCTATTTTTTCACGCGAGTAATAGGCGAATGAACGTGACGGCGCACGCGAATACTATGTGGGTTTCCTGGATAAGGGTTACCCAGCCTAAGATGGTACCCGAAATACAGCTCTGACCCATCATAACCCATCACAACTCACGAAGGTGTTTTTTATCGTCATCTTTATTTTTCCAATATAGAAGTTGACCTTTCTCTTTCAAACATTAAGCAGTAGAACAAAACATGCCTCAAAGAATTTTGGAGTTGCTTGTTCTTAGAAGCCAAGCACACTCAGCGTTCACTGAAGGTCTAATGGCCACGCGTGATTGACCTGCATAAGCTTTTTGCTGATTTTCGATCCTGTCCAGTCCTCCATTTTTTTACGCGTTTTTTTTTACCAATCGTGGTGCTTTTTACAACCTATAAATTCTGCCCTAACAACTCGAGGGCCAATTTAGATCGTTTGCACTTTTACACAACCAAGAAAGAGCAACTCAACCTTCCATGGAATCGCAGCCTTCAATTCAACCAATAATTACACAGCCTATGCCTATAGAGATCACTGGTCGCGTTAGCCGCTCAGCTCCTCCTGAGGCAGGAAATTCGTTCACTGATGTTGCAACACGTCATGAAACTTTGGGAGAGTCACCAAAATCACTTAAACCAAGTGGCTGGATGTTGAAGTCATCTCTTCGGCCCTTTTTTGAGTTTCCGACAATCAACGGTAAGAAGTTTGCACAGTGTCTCTATTGTGGAAAGCGGTATCCTGAAGGTGAGTCAACGGGAAATTTGTCTAAACACATCCGGCATGCGCATCCGGCAGCTTTCAAAAACAAGAATAACGATAAAGTTAAAAAGTCGAGAACTTTAGACGTTTTTGTGCGGAGATCAACCGCTTTGAGGGTGTCTAGTATAATAAGAGACGAATACAAGAAAAATCCCGAGGCTTTCCAAACGGTCCTGCTTGTTACAGAGGGCTTCCTTCCATTTAGCTATGTGCAGCTTAATACTTGGAACATTATCAACAGCTCAAGACAGTCAAAATTCATTCAATCAAGAACTACCCTTGTGAAAAAGCTTGAATTATTTTCTGGTTACATGGATGAGTGCTTAGCACTGAATCTAAAAGACACCCATCTCGTGAACGTTTTGTTAGATATCTGGACCGCGCCCAACGGTGAATCATTTTTGGGCATTATGGTTTCATTTGTTCCAAATATTTTCAATGAAACTACGTTGAGATTAGCCACAGCGCCTTCAATATTTTTCAACCGGAACAATAAAGCTCAAAATACGCACTTGCTTGACTTTGTAAGCCTCGGCACAAAGAGTCATACTGGGCAATACATCTATACTCTAGTGTCATCCCTTCTAGAGAAGCATAAATTATTAGACAAAGTGGCTACCATAACAATGGATAATGCCACCAATAATGGTGCTTTTTATTCTTTTTTGGTTCACGATAATTTGAAGTTGTACAAACCATTGGCTCACCGTCTTTTCAAGCGGGTGCGCTACATTAGGTGTACCAGCCATGTTTTGAACCTGCAAGTTCAAAAGTTGTTTCACCATCTTTATTCTGAGGTCAAATTTGCGGATGCTTACACCAATATCGTGAAGCTGGCGAAAATTATGAGATATTCCACCCGCATAGCAACTGGTCTGAAAATTGCGAAAGTTCCCGTGATTCCACTTGAATGTCCAACCAGATGGATGCTAAAGTGGCGTCAAATTGAGAGATTTTTGGCAAACCGTAACTTATATGAAGCATGGTGCCAGAAAACGAAAGAGATGGGTGGAGAGAAACTCTCCTCTAAAATGGAAAAGTACCTTATTTTGGATGCGAGGACGGCCCAATTATTGAAGTACTTCGTCGAGGCCTGTGAACTGTTCAACAATCTAACTCTAAAATTGCAGGAAGATGATTACAATTGCCTGTCAAATGCCGTTCCCTTCTATTACCTTCTAGATCATTACTACACGGCCGCTTCACAAGCTGTGGAAGGTGTTACATTTTCTAGCTCCTCTTCAGCTACCAATTTCTCTTGCCTTAATGGCTCTTCAGCGCTGCACCCTGAGGATAGAGAACTTGTTCTGCAGGCCATGATGGTGGCACAGAAGTCACATTTGAACTACTTTGCTGAGGTCAAGAAAGACCCCATTTACTATTTGTCTGTTATGCTCGATCCTAGACATAAAACGGAAAAACTTTACCGCACAATGTCTACGCCAGAGGCTAATGAACGTATTCAGCTATGTGAAGCTTTCATCAGAAATTATTTCAAAGAATATGAATCCATCGGCCCTTCAGAAGAGGTTAACACGTGTATCGAACCCAGTTGTCACACGGATCAAAATATCTTTGATTTTGACCGACACCTACTGGGATTAGTTGATACCAATGCTGAAGATGAACAGGTGGTTGACGGCAACGCTGTAGACACAGCTGAATGGATTAATTACTTGGGAGAGCCCATTTTAGCTTCCAACTCGAGAGAAGCGGCCATTTCTTGGTGGTTCGACAGACGTCTAAGATTTCCACGGCTCTTCAAGCTTGCAATGTCTTGTTTCTACACCAAAATTTCTACTTGCGATGTTGAGAGGTGCTTTTCTTTGGCTGGAAGGGTTATGCGGAAGGATCGTACGCGGTTAACTAGGAAGAATGTGAGAACCTCGATGGTTTTAAGAGATAGGTTCCTGAAATTTGACTTCTATCAGTGCGACACAAGCTCGTTAACTCCTAAAGAGTTCGAAGAAGTGGAAAACGAGTCCGAACTGTGTGTTTCAGACTTTGACGGATCTGATTGTTATCTCGACAGTGAAGAAGACGATTTACACTTAGCCTCCACCAGTAATGAGGAGACTTGCGTTTCAACAGACTCAGCGGAAGATCTGACTAATAGCTCACTAAGTAGGAGAAAGGAGGGGAACTAAAGTTACGTGCTTTGCCAAGAGAAGGCGCTAAATCCTTTTCAAAATATAGCTAGCCTTGTGCAGGTTATGTCACTTTCAACGTAAACTCATCGCAACTCATACGTAATTAATGATAGTACTTACTAGGACTCATCGCCTTTGACGGTGGGTGGGTTTTTTGAATCCTCGGTGGGTAAAGCGATTACCCGGTAGGGATAAAATGTTACCGGGTATACTCAGTGATCATGTCTGAATAATGGGCGTTAATGGTTTTAGCATTATTCAAGATGATGATTTTTAGAAGTTAGCATTGGAAACAGGACCACTATTATTCGGCACATACTGTTGGAATTATGGCACTGCTTTCGTCCGTGAATATCGTTTACTTAAGAGTAGCGTTTCTGTGCTTTTTATCATATGCGTGTCTCAAGGATGTGAGCATGATTCTTGACAATGCATCTTTTTTGGTGTTAACACATGCGATGCAACTTCCAGCATTGAACCTAGCAGCCACAAGTGCTCAGTTGGGACTTTTCGCCGTGATCTTTGGACTTATGGCTTTGCATGATTTGATACCGTTACTTGAAACGAACAGGATGTATTTTCAGTCGATTGTGCCTACAAGACTGCTGTTCTTCTTCGTGATTGCTGGAATGTCGTACTTCCTCGAGACAAATTTTTATTTTCACAACAACGCTGTCTTCATTTACGCCTTTGTTGAGGTCTGGATGAACTTTTTGATCTTCAGCGCTATTAGAGAAGAGAAAAATGAAGATTTTAAGCAGGGACATAGAGTGACAGGTGCAACGGAGGATGCTGCATACGATGAAGATCGTTTATCGGCGGAGGAACTTGAAGATACAGTTGAAATTGATGGTTTTGAAGGCGAGTAATGCAATAAATTTCGGCGCTTTTAGGGCCATCTCAATTTACATACTCGGTGACAATGAAATGCAGAAACTCTTCCAATTCCTTAAAATCGGAGAACCTGGTGTTAAAGTGGATATTCTCGGACGAATCAACGTATTTCACCGTTGTTATCGCGTTGCAGTAGTTTGGACTTTGCAGTGTCAGTAGAAGCCGACCGTTTTTGGCTAGATCGACGACAATTTCTGTTTCAGGAACGCTCAAAATCTCATCGAATGCGTAAATTTCCATGTTTAGTTTAGAAATATGATCATCGAAAATTTTTGATGCGGACAAGTCTTCCGCGGTCTTCGCCTTTGGTGATATTCTTAGGTCTTTTTCTAGCACCGAATCTAACACGCTATCCTTGATAATCTTCTTTAAGAGACACAAATAGCTATTATGTCGTATTTTGCCCAAGATAGGTCTTATGATCAAAGGCTCAGACAATTTGGAAGCATTGGAGCTCCTCGTATTTTTGGTAGCCGCCGCGCCGCTTTGTTGTACGCTCAGAATGTTACCCTTCAGCTGTTTTTTGTACATTACCACAAGCAGAAGTCGCATCATCACAAGAAAAAGTCTTGCTCTTTTGTCATTTGTCTTGGGGGCATCCTGCTGATGATTAAGTAAAATGTCATCATTCAATTGAACATATTCTACCTCCATCTTCTCTGTTGGGAACTCAATCACTACCTTATTCTCATTTTCAATGCTCACGCCGTAGGAGAATAGTTGTTCGCTCTCTTTCAGGATTCGATTCATCAGTTCCTGCTCGAAAATGAAGAACTTTAGCCTTTTGATTTGTATCCTCATATCGTCTTCTTCATCTTCGTCTTTTTCAGGTAAAAGCAGACTATCAAGGTCAGATTCTCCCGTCAGAATGTAGTCATCTTCTTCTTGCAACTTGGTGAAAATACGAACACGTAGGAACTTTTCACGGTTTTTCTGATTAATGTGTACTGCTTTTGCATTCTCTTCAATTGGTACAAGCTCTAACTTTCTTAGGAGCGCATTATGTTTCAATACCGCGATGCCTCGGTCCAATTTGTACGAGGATCCTGAGTCGCGATATCCGTATTTAAAGCCCAAGGATCTTTCACCTGTATCTTTATCCCTCGTTTTGAAAACGACGTCTTTATTGGATATGAAATGAGAGATCTCTGACCAGTGTTTGCGCTCTTTTTCTAGTGTTTTAGTTGACTCCAAGTAAACCTCTTTCAATAAAGACCGAGCCTCCTCAAGACTTCTAAGTTTCCAGCCCTTATTGATGACTTGTTTCTGTAGCGTTTCTTCCCTAGAGGGTCTATTGAGGAGTACCTTCTCACCGCTTAAAGTGCCAGCCGGAACGTTTTTCTTTAAATACGGCGACATCGACGCTGACGCTGCTGAAGGTCGGACCGATGATAACATCAGCGAAACAAATTCCAAGGCTAAAGATGATTCATTCAATGCTAAATCCAACGATTGGATCGTGTTGCGTTTGCATTGTTGAAATTTTTCTAATGACATCGTATGCTCATCGTTTGCCTCAAAGGTCGCTTCCGGGGTTGAACGCTTCAAAGGTAAACCGTTTTGGTCCAAAGATTCTTCCGATTCTTTATTTATATCGTTATCATTGTCCGAAACATGGGTTTCTATGCCATTTCTTTCTTGTTCTTGCTCAATTTCGTTTAGTAACAGCTGCTCTGAAAGATCTGCAAACTTAAAGCCCTGGCCACGGCTTCTCACGATAAGAGGAATAAGTTGATCTAGGGGCGTTTTCTCATATGTTTCAAATGGATTGTTCACTAAAGATGAGTGTGGTTTCAGATGATCTGTTGCTGGTTGCTGTTCATTCTGCTCTTTATTGTCTGAGGTTGTGTCCAAATCTGCCGGCGTCCTTTTCGAGAATAGTCCAAAGAGATTGGGGTCTAAAAGCAATGGTACTCCTTCGGCTTCAGAGACCGGTTTGACATCCATGGTGGCTTTTATAAAGTATGCAAAGAGACACCAAAGTGTTCTATCTAAGCTGATCGTACTATTCTTATATTGATGATAAAATAAATAATTTCGGATCCAAGAAAATCATGAGATTCTAAAAGTCAAAAGGATTATAACGATAACAGAGGCTATACACACGGTTAGGCTATAATCTTGGAAATACCAGTAACTTCATACAATGCACAAATTAATAGAAGTCTCCCAAGTCATCTTCATCCAAGTCCGAAAAATCAATAATTTCTTCCATTTGATCACCGTCAACAGCAGCCTTGTTTCTGTCTTTTTTATCACCCCCCTCTGGATATCTCATAGCTTTAACGCAGTCATCGTGCAATTGGTTAACGAATTTGATTCTCTCATCAAAAGATGCCTGGGGTTCTTTTGTAGCGTATATATTGAGCAGTTCACTAGACTCAATGTAACCATCCTTATGATTTATGGTTGCCTCGATTACACCATCCCTGATAGCCCTGGAGACCATATATTCAACGGTCTGCTCAGAGTCGAGCCGCAGCTTGAGACATATATCTTTCAGAGATATTTTCTTATAAGTCAAGGATATAATCCTAATTCCTGTCTTAATAACATTTGATCTCAAACGCACGCATAATTGGTAGTTATCATCTTTGATAAGGTCAGCTTTGTAACTTGAAATGGCAGAAGTGAACTTGTTCAAGTCACCCAGCTTAACGGCCTTGGAGAGATGATAATACGGTAAAAGGGATCTTTGCATGCCCTCTTGATTGAAAAACGACAAAGCTGGAATATCCCCCATCAAAAGTTGGATCACGCAATGCAACTTGTTTGCTTGCTGAAGAAAGCCAAGACTCTTTCTTGTGGTTGGAGCTTTCCTGATTGCAGCGACAACATAATCATTCGCGACTGTGTACTCTAACTGTATAGCGCTGATCTTGGAAAGGTAGAAATAGTAGCGAGCTTCGATTGGACTTGACACATTACTGCTTGCTGGGAACTCAACTTTGCTTACAAAATCTGCTGCGAGTTCGATGGCCCCATCGTTGAGGTAATTTCTTAAGATAAGAGTTATGAGCATAGCCCTCGTTTCGTTGTCATGCCTCAAAGTGGCGGTCTTCAAGTACTTGATCATTTCGGATCTCAAGTCGCTGCTACCCGAGGTATTCAATATTTCCTCACCCCTTGAAATGTAGAACCATAGTTTGGACTGAATCAGATCTAATGTGCGTTTGTTGTACATTTTCAAAACCTTTGGAATCACAACATTGCGGTTGAAAGTGCTGAGCTCCTCGAACTGCTGCGAGTCTAGCAAGTACAGTTGCGTTAAAAGGTGGACAAAACTGTTTAATTCAGCTGACACGTCCAACCGATTGTTGCTTGCGACCTGATAAAAAGTGGCGGGATATTGGTCCCTCAGATTCTTGGCTTGTTCCACAGTGCTCTTTTGATTTTGGTTGATATACTTCAACAGCGGGACTTTGTAGGGCGAGTCGTCTGGATATAGCAAATTTACAATAATGGAAAACGAGTTTTTATCCAATTTGACCCTTAATTGGCTAAGATCTCTCAAAGACCTCCAAACATATCTAGGGTCCAAACTAGTTGACGTTTTGGAAATCTCTTCCAGGAGTTCGAAGGTTTCATCAACTGAAGTTTGCTTACCTACAACACCATCGGCTTCAGGAACGTGGTCCACGTCCATTGAATCACCACTCATTGGACTTCTTCTGTACTTGGCTTAATCGTCTTACCGGTGGCAAATGATATATAACACTGTAATGAATTGAACCTTCTTTCTTGAATATGTCGTGAAATGTGATACCAATTTGTGAGCGCTTCGAGCTATATAGACTTACACCTATAGTACCCTCTTACCGTATTTCGGGTAAAGCAAACGGCTTTAGTTGCCCTTCTTGACGCTCAGGTAGTCCATCGCATCGAGTCTCTCCGGTAATGTGGGATGGGAGTAATGGTAGCTGGAATATAGCGGGTCCACGTTCATTGTAGACAAGTTTTTAACCTGCAAATTGATCAACGCGCGACAGAGGTCCTTAGAGTATCCTAAGCCCTTGGCATAAGCATCGGCTTGGTACTCATGTAGTCTTGAAACCAGCATCATTGAGAAATTGAGCACACAGTCTAGTGGCTGTAGAAGATCATTGAAGAGCATGAATCCCACGAGAATGGGTAATTCTTGGGTAAAGACTAGACGAGGATCTTGCGACAACAAATGGCCTGAATGGAACCCAAATGAAGCATATAGGGATTTGTTTTGATATGCGGCGGTGAACAGCGTGAAAAGGAAGAAAATGTGAACCTCGCTGAGGGCAAGCATGCGTAGAAGGTGGTTCTTTTGCCAGTGGCCAATTTCGTGCGCCAAAACTGCAGTGATTTCGTCAATCGAGGCGTCTTTCACAAGCGTATCATAAAGCACAATACGCTTGCTGGTAAATGGGAGTCCGGTGAAGTATGCGTTGGAATGAGAAGAGCGTTTGGAGCCGTCGATGACAAAAATCTTGTCGAGCGGGAAGTTCACTCTGGTGGCAAGAGCTTCAATGGAAGTCTTGAGTTCTCCGTCCTCCAAAGGAGTGAATTTATTGAACAAAGGCATGATGAAAACAGGCACAAGTGTCAACGCTAATATCTGAACAACTAGCACGAAGGAGCAGATGTACCAAAGGAAGTTGCTGGGGAAATACTCAAAAATCTTCAAGAACGCATACATTAAGGGCATACCTATAACGGCGCTGAGAGTCGTGCTCTTGACCAGGTCGCTAAACCAGAGTTTGATTGTCAACTTATTGAACCCGAATTTCTCCTCCAGCACAAAGTGCTGGTAATAAGAGAGGGGAAGACCTAACAGAGTTGAAATGTTGCTCAAAACACAAACGAAATACAAACTTTGACCAATGATTGACGTAGGCGCCAACTTAGTTGGCATTCTCTTGGCCAAGAGCAATCCCCAATGCCACATTCTGGGAAGGACATCAAACTTCATAATGCACAGGTTTTGAACCAGCGAAAACACGTCTGAAAATATGGCAAATTTGGCCTTCGCGCGTGAATAGTCCTCAGCTTTCGCTACAGTCTCTTCATCGATTTCTCCTTCAAGAACTTTAGGAAGTCCTTTTTTGCTCAGGGCCCTGTATTGACGGAAAGTCAAATATGTTTCGAAGGAAAATTGTCCAATGGTAAATGCCAGAACAATTGACTTCCAAGGAATTCCAGGTTTGTCAAAGAAGCCTTGAAGGTTGTCGATCCAAGCCATTATAAGAAATATTGACTCTAGATAGTTAGCTGATTCTGTGCTTTGGTGTTGGCGAAGAAGCGAGATGGCTTTTTTGAATTAAATATGTCAAAATCCAACGCATTATTTAGTAAGGTTCGACGAACAAATCACAACAAGGAGCAGCCCCGACAAGCAATTGTAGTCATAATTGCATTGGAGTTGCCTACTAACATTTAATTCGTAGGTGATGTGGGAAGTCATGCCTGCTTGTAAACCGTAGCTACAAATTTGTCACATAATAAAAGTTGAGATATCGTCTATAGATGATATGTCCTTACCGACTCGCATTGGATGAATCCTCTGTATAATTGTTTCAATTCAATGACGTTTGCTGCGAGCGTCACCGTTCAGCATCTTTTGAGCGATTTTGATCATTTTCATTAGCCAAAAAACGTTTAGAGCATCCAAACTGAAGTTCAGAATCAAGACCGTGACCGGTATCCACCACGGTAACCTATCTCTAGCAACCCAAAGCTTCTTGCAAAGGATTATGATGGCTGTGAACCCCCACAAGATGCGCACGACAAAAAACGTCAAAATGAGCATTACACCGTTTAGCGCATTAAACCACATCGGAACAACGCTTTTTCCTGACAGTTTCGTGAGTTGGCTCACATAAAAGTTGACGTTAACAAACGGAGTGCTCAATTCGAAGATCAGAAACTTGCCTATCCAAGGCTGACAAAAGGGTCGCAGCGACAGCACGAAAACGTAGAGGGACGCCAGCGCATGGCCCAGGAATCCAACTCCAAACAAATTGAAGTGCTTAAGACAAACGTACAGATCCCACAGAAAATACCCGATTGTCACTGCGGACACCATGGATGTGTAAGGGTCTGAGTAGGTCACGAGATCGAGCGAAAGGGGAGAGAACAGGATGGGATACGTCAAGCTCAAACTCACGATACACTGAGCCATCGAAACTGTGTGAATGTCGAAATTGAGCCGCGTATTTTTGTCCTTAATCTGCGTATAATTTCGTCCAAATACCATCTTATTTATCCAAGGCGCTAAGCGCCGTGAAATAACCACTTCATAGATAATGAATGAGGCTATGATTTCATGCAGGTGTCGTAGATACAAGTTATCGCTCTCTTTGAAAGGAGTTAACCAAAGAAAAGGGTCGCTCATGCTTGACTCCCCAGTTGCTACCGACATTGGATCTATTATGACAGTCAATAAGCTTGTTCTACTCGTCTTATAGGGCTAGTTCAGCTGACTATTCCATCCCCACGATATCTTATTTAAACGAGATAGACGTCCAACATGATTCGCGTTGCCTATCGACACCGGTGACTGGGGCGTCAGGTGAACCCAGTTGGCTTATGTTGGCTATTTACCACGCGTGTTGGCTTACTGGCGATGAGGGGGTGTGATGCAATTCAGGCCGCTTGCGTCTTCTGCGTGGAATATGTTGGACTTAAAAACCTGCTGAAATTCGTTGCATGACGTGAGGGCTTTACTCCAGGACCAACCATGCCTCTAAGAAAATTGTGACCTTGTTTAGCGGCTTGAGAAGAAGAACCAGTCACAAGTATTCGGGGAGTTTCTCAATGATAATCAAATCGGCTTGAAATGCGTCTACCTGTTTCAGAAATATTCTAAAATCGCAGATACTTCGAAAGGTTGGAGAGCTGTTACGGCGAAAAACTTGTAAAATTCTTGGTAGTAATTTAAAGACATACGATTGAGTGGAATGCTCCTTACAGACAGCAAACTCTCTGTCACACTCCGATTTAGAAGCTCTGGCGCTGGGAAGTTGCTGGCCCGTTTTCACATGCTACCAATTAAGATGAAAAATCAAGAAAAAATTGTCAATTTTGAATAATCATCATCGTAAACCTCCAGTGCATCTTAGCCTCAGGTGACTGTTTGCACGATTTGATATGAGCTCTCCTAAAATTGTCTGTCTTGGCAATCCTCTTTTGGACATTCAAGCCACCGTCAAGCCTGAATACTTGGCTCAGTATGAACTGAAAGCGAACGACGCCATCTTGGTCGACGCTCAATCTCAAGATCCAAAATTGAAGATTTACGACGAATTGGTCGAACTCGGCAACGCCAAGTTCGTTGCTGGTGGTGCTGCCCAGAATACTGCTAGAGGCGCTGCCTACGTGCTCGGGAAGGGCCAAGTGGCCTATTTCGGTAGCGTCGGTGACGACAAGTTCTCTGCTAAGCTGCTCGCGGAGAACGAAAGCGCTGGTGTCACCACTTTGTACCAAGTGCAACCCGAGATTGGAACCGGTAAGTGTGCCGCTCTAATTACGGGGCACAACAGATCTTTGGTGACAGATTTGGGTGCTGCCAACCATTTCACTCCAGACCACTTGGACAAGCACTGGGACGTTGTTGAAAAAGCCGATTTATTCTACGTAGGTGGTTTCCACTTGACGGTCTCTCCTGAGGCGATCGTGAAGCTCGGCAAGTATGCACAGGAAAACAAGAAACCTTTTGTTATGAATTTGAGCGCTCCATTCATTCCTCAGTTTTTCAAGTCTGCCGTTGAACAGACCCTGCCTTATACCACTTTCGTCATCGCCAACGAGAGCGAAGCGGAGGCCTACGCTGAGTCCTTTGGCCTTCCATGCGCCAAGGATGACCTAGTAGCGATCGCACGCCACATTGTGAACGGTTCCAATGAGAGAACTGTCATATTTACGCACGGCTTGGAACCCACTGTTGTTGTGTCGGCTAAGGGCGAGTTCACTCGTGCTGTGAGACCACTGGCCGAGAACAAGATTGTCGACACAAACGGCGCCGGTGATGCCTTTGCAGCTGGGTTTATTGCTGGTTTAGCTCAGGGTCGTCCATTGGAAAAGTGCGTCGACATGGGTCAATGGTTGGCCGCTCTCTCTATTCAAGAACTGGGACCTTCTTACCCATCCGAAAAACTTGAATATCAAGCCTAAATTTTATAAAATCGATATAAAGCTCCTGTGACTACGTTAACAAAGCATAAGTTGAGTCGATTGACACGGAGTTTCAAGTTTTTAATTGTCATTATAGTAGACTTTTTTTTCACCAATTATAGAAATCACCTTACTATTCTTGAAAACTTAGTTTTCGTTGAAGAAGGGGTTATGGTAGCCAGCAACTCGTTAAGTTTTCTCGATTGGCTGGCACACCCATCTGTCCTTCTTGATGGACAGAAGTTTGGCGTGGGGATAGTCTTTTTAAGCCTGTTGCACTTGTGTATTTGCTTTATTTTATTAGGTGTTTGTGCTTCGGACTACCTCTGCCCTAATGTATCCAGTTTGACAAGAGGCAAGTCTGGTACACCAACCAAAGGTGTTTTAACTGCGGTTATTCTCGCATGGTGCAACTCTTCTCCAGATTTGTTCTCTAATTTCATGAGCTGGACCTCATCGAATGCTGCTGCCCTTTCCGTTGGTGAAGTATTAGGAGCGTGCGGATTTATATTATGCGTTGTTCAAGGTGCTATTTTTATCAGTATGTCTACCGCGTCGCTTGACATTTCGGAGGGCCAAAAACAGAATGTTTTGCGCGATTTGAGCTTCGTTGTATTGTCGGTTTTGCTGATACTTTACATGTCGTTACGGAATGAAGTCACACTATTGAACTGTATCTTCATGCTTGCCCTTTATGTCGTTTACATGGCGTCGAAGATCAAATACGGGTATCGAGAATCTCGCGCGCTCGATGACGACGACGAGCAGGAACTGACACGTTCAATTGTAAGCCAGGATCTTCAACAGGAAGCAGATTATCTATTAAAGGCCGAAACTGGTGCCAAGGGGAGTATGCTTACGGTCCTCGATTACAACCATCTTATGTCCATGATGGAAAATTCACCGCTCGACAACGACGATATATCGCTGAAAACCATTAATCCTCCACAAACACGCGACGCAGCGGATCCTCCACGGCCAGCAACAGATCCAATCTTCACTTCAGAATTTACAGACGTATTGCAACAACGTGAACAGCAATCATTCTCGTCTCCTGCCAGTTTTAAGCCTTTTTCGGATAGTCCAGACTTAGTTGATTCTGTACCAGTTGTGGAAAGACATAAGCCAATAGACTTCCACGATCTAGCCCAGAAGAGACTTCAGAGACTTAAATCTGGCATCACGTACATGTTCTTTCCTCAGCTGGCGGACTTCCGTGAAAAAAATTGGATTGGCCAGATTCTGGCGCTGGCCCTCGCACCCTTTACCATCCTTTTTCGGTTAACATGTCCCCCCTGCGCCGACCTTTTCACAATTGAGGACCAAAAACCCTCATCGAGACTTTCACACAACATTTTGTTGTGCATCCAGGGCGTTACGATACCTGCGGCCTTCATGATTTTACTTCTTTCACTGGCTCAATTGCGCATGAATTGGTTTTTCTTCATTCCGCTGGTTTTAGTCTCAGCTGCCGTGGTGGGAGCTGTTATACATCTCTCGCAGCTTGTCAGAAGAGCACAGACGTTTTCCTTGAATTCAGAGCTGTCCGCGCACCATAGCGACGAAAAAAGAATAAAAACGTATACTAAGATCCTCTCGACCGCTTACATGTTTTTGAGTATCGTGAATTCTATTTTGTGGATGTCCGTTCTCGCACAGGCCCTCATTGAGATTATAGTAGTGTATCAAAAACACACAGGCGTGTCTGAGGGCGTTCTCGGGCTTACAATATTCTCGTGGGGCAATTCTCTCAGCGATTTAATGGCAAATGTCGCCATGTGTAGGCTTCACCGCTATGTAAAAGGTGTTGATGCCCCAGAAAGAACTATGTGGTCATCAAGGTTTTTCTTCATAGCTATTTCTGCCTGTCTAGGTGGTGTTCTTCTCAATTCCTTGATAGGAATTGGACTTAGTGGGTTGGTGGCCATGCTGTCGGGTGCGTCGCATGTGAAAAAAGGTAAATGGTGGTTCGACAAGTCCGTCAGTCTCGGTGCTGCGTCCGTCGACGCCAAATTTTGCATTTCGGCAGCAGCTGTTCTGATTCAAACAATGTTCCTGATTATTATGTTCTGTACATCTTCAAAGCTCTTTGAACTTTGTATGAGCAAACTCAAGGTTTTTGGTTTGGGCATGTGCTCTTGGTGGGGGGTAACGACGTTGATCAACATCTTCATAGAGACATTTGGCTCTTAAGATGGCACCAAAGCCGAATAAAGTTAATGATTTCACGGTTTAATGGAAACTCCTCAAAATTTTGTTGATGATTTTTAGGATTTTCAACTTAAATTAACCACTTTCCTTCTTTATCAACACTTGTTGAAAAAGGAATCCAAAAGGACTCGGTTACAGAATTTGATAGCATAGACCGCTGTAGGGTTAAATCATATTTCCATTAACTTCGAGCCGAGCAACAATAAAGACTGGACTCGACCACTTTTTAAACTACCCCGCCAGTGTCTATTGCCTTATCCTATGGTAACTCGCGGGAGCATACTTCTAGCTTTTGGTTTAACGAAGTTTATTCAAGCCTATGAAGATCCACAGCATCGATCCATTGTGGTGGTACAGGATAACTCTGTGATTGTTTCAAATGGGTTTGTGGGCATTTCAACGGGAATTCCAGATTTAGCCGCCCAAGACCCTTTTGATACATCGTTTAAGACGTCTTATGGTAAACCGTATGAAGAGACGACGAAAAGTCAGGTGCCCGGGATCAGCGACTTGGTGTATGAGCGGTTGGTCTACTTCAGCAAGATATGTGCTCTGACGTACTGCATTGAGAGGAACGAACTTGTTTGCTACAAAAGCTTTGCGGAGGGTGGATGTCCGCCCAGACTCAAATTTTGTTCCAACGAAGAGGACAATTTTGGGATCTGGCGCACAAGAGTTGAGCTGGTCCTTCTAGCTGAAAAGGGGGAGCTCGGCACGGGTTACATTGCCGTGGATCACGAAAGAAGGGTTGTTATGCTAGCTTTTCGAGGCTCGTCTACGCGACAGGATTGGCTCAGCGATTTGCTAATTTATCCGGCCGAGTATCTACCTTCGTCCATCGAATTTTACAATGAATGGGTTTCTACGGGGAAAATAAAACCCTGTGACAATTGCATGGTTCACAGAGGATTCCACATCTTTCTGAAGACGCTCAGCGCGCAATTTTTCGATCATGTAGAATCGGTGTCTTTGAGCTTCCCAGATTACAAGTTAGTGATTACGGGGCATTCACTTGGCGCAGCGCTGGCCACCCTTGCCGGTATAGAGCTGAAGTTGCGCGGGTACGACCCGCTCGTCTTGACATACGCCTCACCTCACATTTTCAATTACGATCTCAGCGTCTGGGTCGACGAACTCTTTGGCACCCATGACATACACCAAAATTCCATGAAGTCTGGTTTGGTTGAATTCACGAGAGGCTATTTTAGGGTTATTCACATGCAAGACTACATCACTATGGTTCCACCGTTTTATGAGCCTGCGGGTCTTGAGATTTTTGTGAAGAAATTACATCTTCCGCACAATAAAGAAGACGTTATTTATCGCGGTCCAAAATTGCATCGTGAAACTGAAACTGATTTTCAAAGCGTCAGAGAAGACGTGGCCCTTACGGGTCACGGCCAAGGTCATTCGATCTTGGGACCAATTGAGCAATGGTTGCACATGTACGAGCATCGTGCATATTTCATCTTAATAAATACCTGTGACGATTTCTAGAGGAATCTGCTGTTTTGTTGAAGTTTTCATTCATCGTCTACTAATACGCTAGCACCGGCTGGGATGTGTACATAATGGCGCGTCTATTCGCATGATAATGTTGTCTTGTTGATCTGTAACGAAATCCTAGCGGGCACTCTTTGGGAGACGATAAAAACTAGAAGGCTAGGATGACAACTACGGAGCGAAGGGCAAAGCACGCAGTTTACTTCATAGTACAATACACGGAAGGGTCAATTCGGTAGTCGTGCTTTTAAAAGAATGTGTTGTAATCTTTCGAAGTATGAAATATATTCATATCAAAACATTTAAATAACTTTTCAGAATTGGAATGCGACACCCAACCCATGCTCTTGAAATAACAGGACCTGATGGAGAGATTTCTTTCTTTCAAAACAACCAATTGATCATAGATTAATTTTCTTAGTCTCTATTATCGCTATTCGAGGATATATGAGCTTGCTAATAAAAAAAGTGGATCCAGTCCACACTAAAGCATCACTACCCAGTTCACGTGGTTATAGCACTCCCGAATCCTTTAAACTGTTTTCTAGAATTGTTTCTTTGATTGCGGCAAACACCAACTTTATATTTGAAGTATCGGTAGCTTGCGTCACATGGGGGTATATGTTGAGATGTGCTCGGTTCAGTTGCACAAATCTCCACAGGATATATTTGGCCGCCTTATTAATGTCTTTTCCACCGGTGAAATCGGGAAAGTATTTTTCCAGAGGTACGTGCTGAACTTTTTCGGCGAAAACGTCAATTTTGTTCAAGAATAGCACTATGGAGGCACGCGCAAACCATCTGCTATTCACCACGGAGTCAAACAGGATCAGGGACTCCTCAAGCCTGTTTTGAGATTTGTCCTCCAAAAGCGTTTGATCATACTCCGATAGCGAGACGCAAAAAATTATCAAGGTAACGTTGTCGAAGCAATGAATCCATTTTTTACGCTCGCTCCGTTGACCGCCAACGTCGTATATGTGTAACTTCAAATTCGCATCCATCTCGACGAGAGTGTCAAATATACCGGACGTTTTCTTACGACAGAGCAAAACGTCGCGAACCGACGGCTCGTAGTTGGGCTCCGATATGCGCTCTAGGCTCTCCATAAAATAGCGCGCACTGTCCATCAGATAGAATTCGGACCGGTGCTCTCCAGTAATGAGTTCTTGGGTGGATTTCAACCCCCATATTTTGGCGAGTACGCGTGCCACGTCCGTGGGAAATTTCTGCAGCTGCGCGCCCGGCGTGCTGAACGACGTTACCATCTCCAACTCTTCTTCTGTGAGGCCGCTGTGCGGCTCAAGTGTGACACCTAACTGTCTTCTTGCATTTACCAAATCTCGGCCCGTCTCCAGAAGGTTATCAAAAATGAACGGTTTGAGTTCCAGTAATTCCTCTTTAGTGAACCCATTTTGATGCAGAATTTTGAGTTGCTGCAGGATTGTCGACTTTCCGCTTTCTCCTGACCCTAACAGCAAAACTTTCAACGTCTTATTGGAGTCTACACTGCTTCCCACTTTATTGAGCGACCCAGACGACGGCCCGATAGAGGAACCGCTCGCGCCCGAAACCAGCGACTGTGGGCCCTTGTTCGTCGCCCCTCCAGCATTAGACACTTGTCCTTTGCCGCCTCCTTTCCGTTTTTCATCTAGCCCATTACTTGAGTCTGTACCACCATTGTCGCTCCCGTTGGTCCCTGTCGTCCCGCTGTCATTACCTTGTGTATTTCTCTGCCCTCTTTTCACCGGCACTCGGCTACCTTCCAACGCCGCTGAACTTTCGTCTGATTTAGAAGTACACACACCCATCCGTGTACCTTCCGTGATTCCCGCAAACCTCCACGAATCACCGACCTAGGGTCCCTCTCAATTTGCTTGCCACCTTAGTCCTTTTATATTCAATAAATCTTATATGCTCAACAGGCCTTTCGCCCCTAAAAAAATTTTTAGCGTTGTGAAAATTATTATCATCTACTACGGATAAGTACTTGAATATGTATCACAATCTACGGTAGAGGACGGAACGTGATTACCATTTTAACATCGCTATGTACGCGAATCGAATATTGACAAGCTAATTCTCCTGAAGGAAATTAAGTCACCGTTTTAACAGCTGAATAGATTTTGAGTGAAGTATAGTAGAAAAAGGGTGGCCTTTGCCGAGAAATTGGTTAAATTATGTAGTTGCTGGATATTTTGTCTATTCACACCGTTTTCTTTTGGTCTCTTTTGGCCCGCTGGAAGCCAAAACTTGGGACAATTCATGATCGTCATCATGGTTAGACATTAGTCTTTTTTCCGCTGCCGAAGCAGTAGATGTGGAAAGTGGAGGCAATTCTGGTAGTATCTCGGGCTGTAGACTTCTCGTGTACATTTGCTGGTTTTCCCAAGTTTGGGTTTGTTCGCTGTTGCATTGTCTAGCAGCGACGGAAGCGACATCGCTAAGGTATTGGCCATAGACGTCGCTCTCATCCATGATATCCGATGGAGGTGTGAGTGTGTGACGCAGCAGAACGAAACTTGTTCGCTTTTCAGTCCTCCGTCGCGGGAAGCAGACACTACAGGATGGAAGGTTGCGAATGGAAGGTTGCGACGAAGTTATGCAGGAGAGTAGAAGACTACCAAAATTTTTTGAAATGCAGATCCAACACGCTTGTGTTCCTTATCCTTGATTTATCCAAACTCTACTGTATGATACTTATTATTTGTTTGTCACTACTATACACTGTTAACAGCGGCATTAATTGACCTAGTGAGGTCTCTCCCCAATCCACTCGTGCCAGGTGCGAACCTCCGTAGGAACAGCAACATCTTCGGACTCTAGCACACGTAGTTTCTCGCCGACCTTTGCGCTGAGCGCCTTGGCAAACAGCAAAGACGTTTGAGGCTCGTTGAAAAGCGGCAAAGCGAAATCAATGGCGTTTCTTCTCATAATGTAATCAACATCTTCCAGAGATTCAGCTCTCTTAGCTGCCAGGTTTACCACTGCTTTGATGTCGTGCAGTTGGAACAATTCACGCAGCTTTCTTTTGTCGTTCTTTGGGAACTCGATGATTTCAATTGCGGTTCCTTCTGGCACGTATTTGGCCAAATATTGCTTGGTTTCCTCGCTTGTGGTGAAGGCTTTGTAACCTAAAGGTACGACCAATTGAGCAACATGACCCAAATTATCGTTAGATAAGTCACCGCCAAATAGAAATCCGCTTGGCGGTAAAGGAACGTGGAAGTTCATGGTGCTTTGAATAGCAGTCCAATAACTTTCAAGCGCATCCCGCCCAAAAGATGCCACTTCACCAGTTGAAGACATTTCGACACCCAAGAAAGGGTCAGCACCTGCGAGTCTTGTGAACGAGAACTGTGGAACCTTGGTGGCGACGTAGCTGTATTCTTTGGCCATGAGGTTGACGGGAGTTGGTACGTCCTCCTTCAGGAAGGATTTAACGGCAACATCGATGAAATTGGTTCCCAAAACCTTTGAAACAAATGGAAAAGATCTGGAAGCTCTGATGTTACATTCAATAACCTTCAGGCTGGTTCCCTCGTGTCTGTCATCCTTAATGATTTGCATGTTGAATGGACCGGTGATCTTCCAAGCAGCTGCAACCTTCTCAGCGATTACTAAAAGTCTGGTTTTGATGTCTTCTGATAAGCTTTGAGGTGGCAAAATCAAGGTGGCATCTCCGGAGTGAACACCAGCATTCTCAACATGCTCTGAGATGGCATGAACGAGAACTTTACCGTCGCATGCAACTGCGTCGACATCAATCTCTTGAGCACCCTCAATAAATTTCGAGATGACAACTGGGTGATCTGGACTAATGTCAGAAGCAGTAGTCAACTTGTCCTCCAGCTCGTGTTCAGAGGTGACGACGCTCATGGCCGCACCAGAAAGAACGTAAGAAGGACGGATCAACACTGGGTAAGTTACTTTTCTCGCAAAGGCCTTAGCCTCTTCCAAAGAGGCCAATTCACTCCATTCAGGCTGGTCAACTCCAATTTGATCTAGAATCGAAGAGAATTTGTGTCTGTTTTCCGCTCTGTCAATGTCGACAGGACTGGTACCTAGGATGTGGGCACCGTCATTCAACAGCTTCAAGGCAATGTTCTGAGGTAGCTGACCACCTACAGAAATGACGCAGCCCTCGGAATGTTCTAGCTCGTAAATATCCATGACCCTCTCGAAGGACAATTCTTCAAAGTAGAGTCTGTCAACTTCATCGAAATCGGTCGAAACGGTTTCTGGGTTGTAGTTGATCATGATTGTCTTCTTGCCCTTTTCTCTCAAGGCCCTAGCCGTGTTGACGGCACACCAATCGAATTCGACAGAGGATCCGATACGGTAGACACCGGAACCCAAGACTAACATACCGTGATCATTAAATTCAATGTCGCTCTTGACAGCGTTGTATGTGGTGTAAAGATAATTGGTGTTGGCAGGGAACTCGGCGGCTAAAGTATCGATCTTCTTAACAAAAGGAACGACGCCGAAGGATTTTCTGTGCTTTCTAACCTGTGACTCTTCGACTTTCGCCCCTCCGTTCTTCTCTAGACAAAGAGCAATCTGTTTGTCGGAAAAACCCAACTTCTTGGCTCTGATTACAAGATCCTTCTCTAATTGGTCTAGAGAGTTGACTTCCTCTAGTTCTTTGTACATGTCAACGATGTTCATACATTTTTGTAAGAACCACGAGTCAACTCTAGATAGTTCGTGAACCTTTTCCACAGAATAACCTTCGACCAAAAGTGCTTGCCCAATAGCGAGCCATCTCCTGTCGGTAGGTTGAGCTAGGACCTCGTCCAATTGATCACCAAACTCGTCAGATCCTTGAAATCCGACGAATGACGGATCAATTTGTCTGATGGCTTTTTGGAAAGCCTCTTCAAAGTTTCTACCAATGGCCATAACTTCACCAACAGACTTCATAGCAGACCCGATGGAACGGTTTACGTGCTGAAACTTGGCTAAATCCCAACGAGGAATCTTCGCAACAATGTAGTCTAAAGAGGGTTCGAAGTTGGCGACAGTGGTCTTGGTAACCGGGTTTGGAAGCTCTGGCAAAGTATAGCCAAGAGCAATCTTAGCGGCGGTGTAGGCAAGAGGATAACCAGTAGCCTTGGAGGCCAAAGCAGAGGAACGGGACAAACGTGCGTTAACTTCGATGACTCTGTAATCCAAACCATCGGGTTGCAAAGCATATTGCACATTACACTCACCTACGACGCCCAAATGTCTGATAATCTTGATCGCGGCGGATCTCAACATGTGAAATTCTTCGTCGGACAAAGTTTGAGATGGCGCGAAAACGATAGAATCACCGGTGTGGACACCAAGTGGGTCAAAATTCTCCATGTTACACACCGTGATACAGTTGTCGACACGGTCACGAACAACTTCATATTCGACTTCTTTCCAGCCCTTGAGCGATTTTTCGACCAAAATTTGAGGTGCTAGCGAGAGAGATTGCGCGGACAGCTCCTTGAGCTCCTGTTCGTTGTTAGCGAACCCAGAGCCCAAACCCCCAAGCGCATAAGCAGATCTAACGATAATTGGGTATCCAACCTTGACTGCAGCAGTGAGAGCTTCGTCGATCGTCTCGCAGGCGAACGACTCGGCAATCGGTATATTGATCTCACGTAAAGCCTGGGCAAACAGGTCTCTGTCCTCAGAGGTCTCTAGGGTCTTGATAGGCGTACCCAACACCTTGACGTCGTACTTGGCGAGCACGCCCATCTTGTCGAGAGCTACACCGCAGTTAAGCCCGGTTTGACCACCGAACGTCAACAGAATGGCATCTGGACGCTCGCGCTCGATGATGTACGTGATGTACTCCGGTGTGACTGGCAAATAGTAGATTTCGTCTGCCAGCGAGTGCGAAGTCTGGTTGGTTGCGATGTTGGGGTTGATCAAGATGGTTCTCTTATTGGCTTCTTTCAAGGCCTTGATGGCCTGCGAACCGGAATAATCGAATTCACCGGCCTGTCCAATTGAAAGACCACCAGAACCGATCACCAAGACCGATTCCACGCCCTGGACAAGCTCTGGCTTGTACGCGGGCGTGTTGAAAGCCGAAATTGTAGGCTGCGTAGATGCGTATATCGAAGCGACGCCACTCATTTTTCCACACTTACTGCCACTCACTACTTTTCCTGCAGAGCTTCTTCAGTCTTGACGATGTTTTTTAGTCAAGACCTTGCGGATTTCCAGCTATGTCTTTCTTCTATATATCTGCGATGAGCTTTCTCGTCACCATGACTCAAGTGAAAAATTTTGACCTTCGCTGGCAGTTCCTCCCAGTAGCCATCACAGCCTAAGAAAAAATTTTCACTATTATTGTCATAATACAGTCATTAGTAGCAACGTACCAGTGATGTAACTACATTTGTTAACTTTCTTATTCGAAAAAGACTGGGCTTCAAATTTGTCAAGTGAGTTTGTATAGTTGAAGAAGTTCGGACATGTTTTGATGGTAGTTAAACTGTAGAAATGGTCATTTTGGACAAAGCTCTCTGACAAGTGCACTTAGCGGTTATAGATTAGATGGGAGCCAAAAGTAGTAATGAGTCGTTTGACGACGAAACGTGGTTGGTTAAGGCGTGGACGTAAACGGCAGCTTTCGGCGAAAAAGCGTTTCGTACGGAAACTACATTTCAAAACAGGCACGGGATGCATAAAACGCGGCGGTTTCTTTTTGTTTGCTTTTTGACTCAGGCTCCCGATGGTAGGAAAAGAAGACAAAAGAAAAGGTAGGATGGCATTAGCCGCCGACAAGGAGTCAGTTTTTTCAGCGGCTATTGCGTGATGACGACTGGCTCCCGTGACAAGGCTAGTAAAGTAAAGATCGAATTAGCAGTATACAAAATATATGAGCATAGTAAAGACATCAAAAAAAGAGAGTTAAATATTAAACGGCCCTTTCTTATGGGCGCGCTGCTGTCAAAATTTATTATTTTAGAGTGCAAGCAACTCTCTGGTCACGAGCGCTTCACCAGGTGTCGGGTCCGAAGGCTTGCCCCGATTCGAGGACCACTTGAATTGCCGTGTCTTGCGTGTCCATAGTGTTGTTGATGACGTTATTTCCCCACCAAGAAGGAGGATTGGCGTTGGTTAGCGACAAAGTCAAAAAGATAATCAAGGAGGCCCAAGCAAGGGAAATATCCAAACCAGCGGACAAGGAGTAGTTGTATTTTGCCCACCAGTTAAACCATCTCTTCTTGATGAAGTAGCCAAACGTGATACCAACAATACAGTAAGCACCATAGTTGTAAGGCGTCGCAGGTGGAATCAATCCAGTGCCACTAAAAAAGACAGGCCAATTCAAGTATCTGATAAAGGAAGATGGCCATTTCTTCAAAACAGCCCAGTTGAAAATAGGCAAACCAGCGCCCAAAATGAACCAGTACATTAGTTTGTTGTACAACTGTCCTGCAGAAAATGTTCTCTGTGGGCCAATGACACCCCAGATAATAGAGGCGTTGAAGAAAACGCGACCGCCGGGACATGTAAAATGAGATTTTTGATGTGGTGTGCAAATGTCCTCGATACTGCCCTGCGCCCATTTCAAGACACATATTTGAACCAAACTACCCCAAACTGTTGCAATTAATTGCGCCCAGAACATTACACGAGGGGCAACTTTCATATAATGGCCCAATTTCATGTCTTGGGCAAAAGTCACGGCTTGATTGTTAGTGATGTAGCCAAACGTTTTGAAAAACATCATCGCAATAGGCTTTCCTGGAAGCATGTATCCAATAATGAACTCAGTGATGACGTTAAGTCCAACAGAAATGTTTGTCAAAGCATAGACAATACCGACAGGTAGCATAAAGAAGGCTGCGATCAATAGGGCGATGATCAAAGCCCAAATTGGCAGTTCCGTATTCCAAGCTCTCACTGTCGCAATAGACAAGCCGAAGAAAATTAGAAACGTTGCGAGATACCACCACACGGGCGTCTGCTTATATTTTTTCATCAGTCTACTGTGAACATCTTGTTCCATGTTGTTGATGTTTCTAACAGAATTGTAAATCTCCTTCCCGTGGAAAACGAAAGTGTGCACCACCGTAGCTGTAGTAGATGCAAATGACATACCGTAGGAAATTGCAAAAGTCGCGGATAAATATAAGGGGGAGTAATTTTTGTATGCGTCGAAGTTGAATGTCAGGTCATCGTTGACAATCCGCTTAACATCGTAAGTCATTTGATATCTGTCGTAACTGGAAGAGTCAGAGATAGGTAGGTATTTTCCATACCAGACGTTGGAGTATTGGATTGCAGGTACGATAACCCAAAAGATAGACACCATTGAGAAAAGAATTGTGAAGATTACACCGGAGGGTGGAATTAAAGGAGATCCAATGTAACCTGCAATTTGGTTCCAGTCAAAGGTGAGAGGAATCAAACCCAAACCAGTTGACGCTCCAAATACCTGGTTCACTATGACATTGTTGGGCTTGATCCAGGTTACCCACGAGAAGTAAGAAAGTGCTTGGAAAATCCAACCTGGGAACCAGTAATAAACAAAACCACCGATAAATACAACCAAGAAAAACTTCAAACGAGAAATTCTCCAACCATTCGCAACATGATTTTCGTTAACATGCATATTGGTCAAAAAAGTAGCTGACACAAGGTTTGAGGGCCAGATCATTGATGGCGTTTCGACAAAGATCCTCTTGCACACACCAGCCATAGCAAATCCAATACACTGAGTGCTCCAAATGGCCAGCAAATTGAAACCCCAGCCGAAATTGACACCATAAAAGTTGTTCATAGAAAGGATAATGTCCGTCGCGTATGCATTACCGCCACCGAAAGAGACGTTACCCATGATGGTGATCAAAGCGTGTTCCTTAACGTTGAAAGGGCTTGGGTTCCAGGAAGGGCCTCCGAAACGACCAAACATTGGCTTATTGGGAAAGATGTAATCCCAACCTCGTCCCAAGGGCCAGGCAAGAATTGCGGTAACAAAAGTCGACAAGGTGATGTGGGACTGTGCATGGAGAAAAGCATATTCAAAGCGCAACCGATCGTTGTCATAATCATACCGATCACCCACATACGGACTGTGTTTTGCGGTAGAGTGGGATCGTCCGTTGATGGCACCGAGGCACGCACCTCAGGGTACGGAGAATCATCCTCGACAGTGATACCGGCATATTCGTCGTTCAGCGCCACTTTCGAGAGCTTTTCTTCAAGCGGGTCATAGTTCTCGGAGCGGAGAGGCTCGAGGAACGATTTTGGGTGGCTTAGGTCAAGATCTGAAGAACCAGCCTCAGTGGTCACAACGTTGGCGCCCTTCTTGTTGCCTATTTCAATATCATCGTGGCTCCCGTTGGGGTGCAAAAGCACTTTGTCGGTGACAGGCTTGTCCGCCGAGAATACCTTTTTCAAGTACTCCATCCGCTTAATGATATTTTCTCGGGCCTCTTTCAAATCCTAATAACTATGAACAGAAGCCTGACTGATTATTGTTATGAACTCAGCATTGTGACATTCTCGGCATTTAGGCGCCTTTAAATACTGAACTGTCATTCCTACTATTCAAATCTGTTCAAATGCTATTCTCAATATGCCTGCCCATCGTACGGCTTCTCTCAAGGTGCATTTGCAATTGATATCAGATAAATTGCGTGTACTGCATATACTGCGTCAGTCGCGTGCCAGAGCGTCAAGAGGATCCCATTACGCCACCTCGTTTGTCTCATGCGGACTTTCCTTTCTCAAGCCCAGGATATCGGTATCGGTTCAAGAGCGCCACCATTAAACTTCGAAAAATTCCACTTCAGCGGTTGGCTCTCCACAATAACATAGTCAGTTTAGTCGTTGCCGCCGCGCAGGTGAACGGCACATGGCAGTATCAGAGAGACAGGCTGAGATGACTCCGCAGCGCCTAGTGATCGCACGGCTGCAAATTACAAGCGGCCCGATCTCCGAAGGGCATCCACGCTCGAAAAAATAAAGTCCGAGGAATTATCACAGACAAGATAGAGGTTCTGATAGGCCCGTCTACCCAGACAGAACCGTAGTCGAATCGAAAAGGGTAGTATAGGCACTGGAAGAAGCCCTGCAGAGAGCACGGCTTATACAGCGCTTTCAGCGGACGGCTAGCTTGTCCCTGTCAAGTGTACCAAACCGGCCGAAGCTAGTGATAGCGAAGTCACCGGAAGCATGGCGAAAGTCCGATGACACACATATCTGTCTGACGTAGTCAAACAGATATGTGCTGTGCCTAGACACGTTGGTCTTAGAACGCAAAGCGCCGTTGGTTCCTGAGGAAGTCTTGCTCTGGTATTGCCCTGGTATCGGGTCGTCGTTTGGCGTCATTTCCTGCTGCGTTTGGAGCCTTGATTTCTGAATGTGCCACGCCACGTCTTCGAAAGGCTCGTATCTAAGTTGGGAAAAGTATGGCAAGACACTCGGGAAAATTTGATCTGGGTGACTTTGGAGATAACCACACAGCAGATTCCTGATTTTTCCTCGAGGAGGTGATTTGATGATCTGAGCGTTACTAGGCTAGTAATCATTTCGTAGAAACTATAATTGCAAGAATGGCTTAAAGGAGCTTTGGCTTCTGGTCCGATCGAGGTGTACAGATTCGAAACTGGTAGAGAAGTGCGATTAGGTTTGTCTCCAATTGGAGGTGGTTTACGGGCACCTGGATGTTGCAAAGGTAAACTCTTGGTAGGAACAGTGCTGTATCAGGCTTGCTGTATATATAGGTGACAGTCTTCGTGAATAGTGATCACACCTCTCCACGAACCTGGCATCTCGCTTGCCAGCCGGTCAGATACACTTAGATGCACTTGAGAGCGATAAGATAAGATTACGGCTGGACTTTTTGTGATATCCTGGCATGATAGCTACAATGATGATGGAGGGAAGGCAATCAATTAATCTGCCGCATCACCTTTCTGTCAATCGTTTAATTAAGTTGGGCGTGGGCGCCAAGATCTTAAAGATTGCTGCCCCGAATCCGTGAGGCTCCTATCAGCGGGATATCTTAAATGCAAGAAAAAGAGACTAGGTTTGTTTATGCGGGGTCTTGATCGACGCAATCTATACTCTGTTCTAATCTTGTAAATGCCAGAGTGCCCAGGGAAAGTCGAAAGCTCAGTCAGTAGCGATGAGCACATTACACGAGTAGGTGTAATGGCTAATCGTAAACCTCTCCAAGAAAGCATAGAAATAATCGGTTCATTCTTGCAATATCGCAATGACCTTACACTTTCATCACCAAAACGGTTAAATGACATTTTTGAATTTGCTGAAGAGTGCTTTACTAATAATGGGAAAATAAAATAGTAGCAGCTAAAGTAAGAGCCAAAAATTAAAGAATCAAGACGATTTTGTTCCCATATGCGTCATTGAAACGGTTCAATTGACCGTCGATGACTTGCGCTAGCCAGCTGATTATATTTGAGAAGGAAGGAGCAGACCGTGTGTTCGTTCGTTTATAATGACATTGTCCGCACTTCTTTTTATGTAGCTTGAGGGACGTTTTCCCACTTGATGAGTTAACCCTTGGACATTGCTAACATCCATATACGCCCGCTGACAAGTACCATGTCTGATCCACAGCGTCTTATACAACAAGTATGTTGAACATAGCTTTGTCTACAGGAGTTTCCGCGTCCAAAATCGCATACTAACCCCCGCTAGGCGCAAAAAAAGGCGCAACCGTCTTCAGGATTCATGAAGCTCTTCGGAGCGTCCGACTCATACCGTTACGAGGAAGCCGCTGACCTCTATGTTGAGGCAGCAAACCTGTATCGACTGCGCAAAGAGCTGGACACGGCAGGCGCGACGTTTTTGGATGCAGCGGAGTGCCAACAGAAAGCTGGTAATGACGACGAGGCAGGTAACACGTTTGTCGAAGCATTCAAAGCGTTCAAATCGGGCTCTTCGCCTTTTAAGGCAGCACAAGCCTTGAGCAAAGCCATAGAGATCTTCACGAGGCGCGGCCAGTTCCGTCGGGGTGCCAACTTCAAATTTGAGCTTGCTGAAATCTTGGAATCCGATCTGCAGGATTACCCCGGAGCCATGGAGGCCTATGAGACAGCAGCTGACTGGTACGCGCAGGACCAAGCACTGGCACTCGCCAACAAGTCGTATCTGAAATGCGCGGATTTGAAGGCGCTCGACGCCAAATACATCGACGCCTGCGACATCTACCGCAAAGTCATACAGAACTCGTTGGGCAACAGACTGAGCCAGTGGTCGATCAAAGAGTACTATCTCAAGCTCGTCTTGTGCTACATGGCTGCCGATGACCAGGTCGCGGCGCAGAAAAGTCTTAATGAGGCGGTCAGTGAAGATTCCAATTTTGCGAGCTCAAGAGAGCACGAGTTGTTGACCGCACTGATTGAATGCTACTCTGCAGGCGATGTTGAGCATTTTAGCGCCAAGGTATATGAGTTCGACCGCTACTCAAAGCTGGACAAATGGAAAACTACGGTCCTTCTAAAAATAAAAGACTCCATGGCTTCTGCTGACGACGATCTCCTCTAGGTAATGTCATGAACTTATGTCATGCGCTCAAGAATTAGCCAGATGATTTTTGACGGGATAAACTAAGAGAAACAGAAGCTGAGCCATTAAATTGATCATCGTCTATCCTACACGACTATTAACGAAATCTAGCGCGCATATAGGCGGCTCTTATATGTAGTCATCGCCCACGTTTTGTTTTTTTTAATTTAGCAAGTACTGAGGTATTCTGAAAATCAAGGATTTGATGCGACGAAGTACCGAAACATACATTGGTATATTAACCCTAGATCAATGTCTACCACCGTAAAGCTACGATGAAGATCCTTGGTTTAGGAGTAAATTTTGGGTAATTCGTGGGTGATGGCTTCACGGCTAATGCTTCGACTCAACTGAATCAGCCAAGAAATGCAAGTGCGCACCCTAATATTCGGGCTTTCAGCAGCGAGCTAGTGATAAAGTACGGAAACCTTTTACAGAAGATAAAAGCCATGCTTTTTGTCTACGTGTCTTCTGCTAGTTGCCTGCGTGTTGTGGACGCGTCAACCGCCAGGATGCGAGGATGTGAATCTCCTGTCTGCAATGCCAAAATACAACGCATTAATGTAGAACCGTGCGCTTCGGGGCTGCGATCTCAAGAATCACGAGACGGTTCTGGGCCTTGTAAGGCCAAGCTATGCGTTGTCTAGTTTTTGCTCACCTAAGGAGACGAACACGCGAAAAAGCCTGCCTCGAATACAGATGCCAATCACTTCAAGAGGTTTCGAGGTGCGTTTCGAGAACACTTACGCCTGATACTGATCTTAGCTGCGCAGAATGAGCAAATTTGGAATTTGTCCCGCTTTAAGTCATCACTGTGCCGCATTTTGCCTTTGAAGTTGTTTGGATTTGGGTGCACTTTGAGTCTTACGCGCGGTACTGGGAACGAATCTAGCGATATTGACGAATCTCGTCTCTTTCCACGAATCTTACGTCTGAGGGACGTGACGAATTGTTACTGGGAATAGAGCCAATTGGCCACTGATTGAGCTATCTTGTGTCTCAACTGCTCTATTATTTAATGATCATCTACTCCAATTACCGCGCTAGTCGCAATTCTGTCTCAGAGCTGCCCATTTTTGTTGGTTTATTTCGAAATAATTCGAATCCACGATCATTAGATTCTGGGTTTGTCTCCAGGGCTGCTTTTGGGTGTAATTGGCTGTTACTTTCGACGATTTTTTTTGCTTACGCCTTTTCTCAGCGGCTACGAGAGCGACCGCAAGGTGTGGACCCCGCCAGACGCGACCTCTGAAAAGTGCGCAGCCCCTGCGTCGGGAAAAAAGTCGTTCTCGATCTCCACAACATTCCTGTGTGTCGTTCCCGCTGCAGGTGTACACACGAATCTTCAAATGCCGAAAACGTAACCGAGACGATGGGCAGCTCAAATCTACAGGCAATCCTCGCGGCCAGGGTTCTCAGGGTGGGGAACAAAGCCCAGAAAGGCCCGAGAAATACACCTGATTTTCCTTAAAATGTGAATTATCGGGCCTCGCAGGGTGTAAATTCAGGGTTTCTAGTCAATCTTCTTCGATGGGCCGAAGTTATTTAAATCAAAACAAATGAATTGAGTTATTAGACGGTACTCCTTTGTGTCTCTTCTAAGCAGGCTTTCCAGCAGTGACTATTTAGGATCAGCGTTGAAATGAAGCTTTCTGCTGCCATTGTTACGCTTTTACTCACCTCGGTATGCACGGCCACCTTGACGCTTTACACGCACGCAGAGTTAGTCGGTTTGTCCTGCAAATACTCTCTGGCAAAGACCGCCAAGTTTTGCAAAGATGATGCTCTGAAGAGTTACGACTGCTACTGTCGAGACATCAATGCTTTGGGCTCTTTCATGTACTGTGGGTTCTCTCAGTTGCACTCTAGGAAGGAGTACAAACAACTGGGAGCATTTTACCAGGTCCGTTGTCCGAATATTACGATCGAAATGATGAAGGACGCGTATAAAAACGTCACCAGCTACCTCGTTGATACATCCAAGGTGCAAGGCTACAACGCTTCCAAAGTGATAAACTATCCGGTCGTCTACAAGAAACCTTCTTTCACGGTGGCATATGATAACTATTTTGCAAGATACTCAAATTACAGATACGGTGTTTACATGGGAGCAGGCTTCATGGGGTACTGGGGTATTGTCTTGTTGTGCGGTACAGTCGTTAACATCTTGCGCAAAACCTCGCCCAATGCGCTTCTTTCTATCAACAAAGGCGCTTCTAACTCTAAGTTCATCAGATGGTACAGGAAGAACATTTCGATCCCAGCGCTATGTCGTAGCTCCCACACCAACCGTGTTTTCCTCTCTGGCTTGCTGCCGACGAGAATCGAATCCGTGATTGTTTTGGTGTTTTTCGTGCTCGCTCTGTTGTGCCATTCCTTAGGATACATGTCCGTCCAGCCCAATTTCACGTACTCTTCCAGGTCCGAAGAGCTTACACGTTACGTTGGCGACAGAAGTGCCGCGCTTTGCCTCTACCTGATGGTTTTGACGTTCTTGTTCGGGGGACGCAACCAGATCTTCTTGTTTTTGACTGGGTGGAAGTTGTCCACTTTCCTGACTTACCACAAATGGCTTGCCCGCATGCTGATGATGTCAGTTTTAGTGCACACGATAACCATGGTGACTACGTCAATTATCAGAGGTATTTATGACAGAAGAAGCGGGCAGGAATACTGGAAGTGGGGAATTCTAGCTGTGGTGGTTGGTTCCACGATGCTCATCCAAGGTTTCAGTTGGTTACGTGAGAGGAACTACGAGCTTTTCCTGTATGTTCACATCGGTCTAGCCGTTTTGTTTTTGGTGGGAGCATGGCGCCACATCGAAGTTTTCGGTTACGAATATTTTGCCTACGCGTCTGCTGCTCTGTGGTGCTTCAGTACCTTCATTAGATTGGTCAGACTAGCAGGTTTTGGCATCAAAACAGCTCAGGTTGTCGTTGTTTCAGATGAGACTTTGCAAATTACTGTGCAAGCTAATTCTTGGTGGCCATTTTTCCCGGGATCTTTCGGATACGTGCATTTCATAACCAAATCCGCGTTCTGGCAATCCCACCCCTTCACAATTGTGAAAACGGAGGACGGTAAACTCAGGTTCTATGTGAAGATTAAGAATGGTGTGACCAAGCGCTTGCACAAGAAATTAATGAATGCTCCTAATAAGACAGGTGAGATTAAGATAGCAGTAGAAGGTCCATACGGCGATAGAATACCGATCGAAACCTATGACCAAGTATTGCTCTATACCGGAGGAAACGGTATTCCAGGACCATATGCTTACGCCAAGACACTTTGCGAGGCGAAGAAAAAGGCTAAGACAAAATTTGTGAAGCTTTATTGGGTTATCAGAAACTGGTCATCCTTGGACTGGTTTTTGACTGAGTTAAAAGCTTTGCAGAAGCATGACAAGATCCAAGCGATCGTCTACGTGACTCGCTACCACGAGGGCAAAGTTGGCGAAAAGTTTACTATCAGCGATTCAAGTAGTTCTAACCATTCTGAGGATGACAAGGACTCCAAGGCAGAAGTGAAAGAGCAAGTCATTTCAATTGAATGGCTCAGCCGTATACAGAACGAATTGCCCCACGTTGAGTTTCGCGAAGGTCGTCCTCCAATGCCAGAAATTATTGCCAACGACGTTGAGGAAGCCAAGGGCCAAAATATCGCCATCATGTCGTGCGCTCATAACCACATGTGTGACGAGATCAGAGCAATCGTTGCTAACCAAGTGGGTGACTACAAGAACGGAAGGATAGATTTGTTTGAAGAACTACAGACGTGGTAGATGTGAAACTGATTGATTTATTAAATTTGCAAAAATGGGAATTTATTAACGATACTTCATGTAAGCGTGAGCCTCCATGGCATACGACGTCGAGCGCCCAACTTTCAAAAAGTGTTCAAATTTTCCTGAAATCTTACAGAGTTTTAGAGATTTTACGCGAATCGGAAAAACAGAAAGAGTTTTATGATAGAGTATAAATTAATGAATAGAGCATTGGCTAAACCTATGAATTTTTATTGATACAAGTTCTGAAACATCGTATATAGTATTGTCTTCCATTGTCAGTTTTACCTTGTTTGTCGCCATTTTCACCCCTACGGTGACAGTTTTTCCAAGAGCGTATAAATTGATGTCTGTAAGTCTCATCCCTTAAGAGACGAATACCTCATACCAGGTAAAGGAACTCAACAGTTTTGTTCTTCGGTTTGGAACTTTGGAAGCCATCCATTTGATACGTGACATATATATAAGCCCAAACCCAGGGCCCGTGACAGACATTTTAGAGCCAAGAGGTGGAAGCTGTGTTAAGTCCGTCACCGGAAAGGAAAGCGATCCCATCCAAAAAAAGTTAGCCTGGCTAAATACCACAGAGAAACTCTGCTGAGTTCGGCCTTTGTTTACCGTCAGGTTTTTCAATACATCTCTAACTACAATGGGACTCCGGTACTCGTCTTATATCGATCATCCGAAGAGCAAGCATGCGAAATTTGTCACGTACGGATGCTGTCACTGTCGCACACATCTTTCGTCTTCGGCGCAAATCATGTCAAAAGATTACCGTGGAACGACGGGGGACGCGTACTTGATGAATAAAGTGGTAAACGTTTTTGAGGGGAATAAAGAGACGAGACACATGCTGACAGGACGTTATATTGTGTGTGATATACTATGCCACATGTGTCGAAACCTTGTTGGATGGAAATATTTGGAAAGCGATCGCAAGGATCAACGATATAAGGAAGGGAAATATATTTTGGAGCTGCAAACCATTTGCAAAGTACACTGACAACCAAGGTGATTTAAGACATAGCTGTCGATTGGTTCACGGTTCCAGACACCTCAGTTGCAGTGTCTTTTTTTTTTGAGCTAGATCGCGTAGCTCTCAAAAGTGCTTTCTGTATTGAATGAGCTGGAACCGCGGCATTACTGACCTTCTCCGGTCTTTTGTTGAAGTTAATCTTCGAAGAGCCGAGTGAAGCAAACAACTTGCTCCTGAACAAAGTCTCTTTGACTAAAAAAATAAAAGCAAGAGAATAAAAGAATTATCATTAGGTGGAAGATCTTTGATCGGGACAACAGGCGCAAACAGGAGTTAGTAATTTTTATTTTATTTACGTTCACGTAGGTTTAAATTAAATAGATTTATAGCACAATATTAAAGGGAAAACAGAAACTAGGTTAATTATTCCCGAATCTTCAGATTTGGGATAAAATCAAGACAAAAGGTTGGCCTTTTTAACCCCATATGAAGGTGTTAGTTTTCCGCCGTGGGCTCGATTTGTCTTGATGGTTTTGCTCATTAAAAATTGATATGTGGTGATGTCGTGATCTCTTTTTCATAAGCTTAGGGGCCTTTACGTGAACAATTCAAAACGGAACCGTATCTCCAGTTCAGCGGCTTGAGGCCATTGACTATTGAAATCAATCCTTAGTCTCTCGATGGAGTACATAAGGGTAGCCAAAGTATGTCGAAATGATATTAGGAACTCTGTTTTTTGTTGTTACGTGGACATATAACTAACTAACCTTGCGACAGGTTGACGATGTTGTTCTCCATAGGAAAGGCTTTATGGTAAAAGGAGTGCTGCATTTGACGACGCATCATCTCATTTTCAGCTCCCCTCTTCTTTCCCGAGAATTTTGGGTATCGTATCCGACAATAGGGTCTGTCTTTTTAAACAACGGAAGTGCGATGATATCCAAATCGAAATATCATTCGGCTACTACAGATGAGCCCCTGTACAGGGATCGGGATATATGGGCCTTTTGTACTATAAAATTTGTGGGCAAAGATTTCAGCATTTTCTCATTGGACTTTGAAGACGGTTCTAAAGCGCAAGACGTGTTTGATTCTGTTTTAAAGTTAACAGTTCTTTCCGACATGAGCCAGCTATATGCATTCATATATACTCCCAATGCAGCCGAGGCCAAAGTTGACTACTGGAACTTGTACAATCCGCTAGAAGAATTTCGTCGACAAGGATTGACACTCGAAGAAACGTGTAAATGGAGACTATCGAAGATCAACGACGATTTCAATTTCTGCAAAACTTATCCAAACCTTTTGGTAGTACCGCAAAATGTGTCCGATACACTCTTAACACATGCCGCTAAGTACAGATCTCAGAATCGCATTCCAGTACTATCGTATTATCATAAAAAATCAGGATGTTCGATTACGAGATGCGCTCAGCCGCTTCCTGGAATTATTCAACAAAGGTCTGTTCAAGATGAAACACTGGTGCGAGAGATTTTTGGTTGTTCAAGAATACCTGAAGTTGCGGAATACAGGGCCATCAAAAATTTGATCATCGACGCGCGACCATCCACCAATGCAATGGCACAAAAAGCCCTGGGAGGTGGTTCAGAAAACATGGATAACTATAACTTTGGTAATACTGCATCAAGGGTGTTTCTCGGTATTGATAACATCCACGTCATGAGAGATAGCCTCAACTATCTTGTTGACAATTTTCTAGTGGACAGCGATCTCAACCTTTCTATTGATAAATCGGTTCTAAATCAGGGCAAGGCTAGTTCGTGGCTAAAATACGTCAGGTTATTACTCTCCTCGACGGACAAACTGGCCAAATCCCTGTTGTTCAACCAATCAAATATAATGATACATTGTTCTGATGGGTGGGATAGGACTAGTCAGGTCTGTTCTTTAGTCCAAATATGCATCGATCCGTATTTCAGAACTCTGGAAGGATTCATGGTTCTCATAGAGAAAGACTGGCTTTCATTCGGACATAGATTTGCGGAGAGATCAGGGCATCTTAGCTTTGAAAGTGCTTTCCATAATAATTTGAGAAAAAGTATAAGTGGCACTGCCAATAACGTGATGACTCAAAGTTTAGACCTTAATGCAAGCTTTTTCGGATCATTTTCGAACGCAGAAGGGAAATGGGACAATAATTTGGAGGAATTGGGGGAAGTTGCGCATTCCAGCCCACCACTACCTCCATCAGACTTGATAAATCGAGTCTCGAAACATTTGAAACACAAAAGCACAGTGAAGCTAACTTCGCCTGTGTTTCAACAGTTCCTGGACTGTGTTTACCAACTTTTAATTCAATTCCCCAATCGGTTCGAATTTAACGAGAGGTTTTTGAGAAGACTACTATACCATCTTTATTCTTGCCAGTATGGAACCTTTCTGTACAATTCTGAGCAGGAACGTACAATAAACGAAGTTAAAACTAAAACAAGAAGTGCATGGGACTATTTCAAATCGCGAGACCGTGAGTTTATTAACGTTGAATACGATCCGAAAGGATTTGGTGACGAGGACTGGATTTTGCCCGATTTAAGCCGTATTCAGTGGTGGTGGCAGCTTTTCGGGAAACGAGACGAAGAAATGAATGGGCCAATTACTGCTAATTCAGAAGTATCGGAAGAGAATGATGATGCCAGAAAACTACGATTTCCCAAGTTCACGCTTGACTTATTCGGGAAGAAGTGATGTGCAATACTAGCATGCATTGAGAGGACCCGCCGATTCTTTGTAAGGTCATTTCGCAAAGAAACTGCAGTTTTACCGAACATTGGTCAAAGTTTTACAATTTCGCCTTGCCATCTGACCCCGCACCATTTTGAAATCAGAATGCTCATACTCCTAGCTGCTTCAATAGACTCGCCGCTGCATCCCACATTAAGCGCACCCTTCAAGTGCCCCCACAATTGCGCATTAACGTCTTGAGGAACAAGACATGCAATTATAAGTAGACTCGTCTCTCTCGCATTTAAAATTTCATCAAACGCTATGATCGGACCGTAGACGTGGCAAAGAGCAAAATACCATAAATCTGGATAAGAGCTATTCAAATTATTCATCACTTTACCGGAAACCTTGCTGTAGACGTGATTCCAATGCTCCAAGCCTTCTTCTTTATAGAATTCTAGAGACTGTTTGCGAGACTTCCTTACAGGGCCTAGAGCGTTTTTTGGGTCGTTTGGATCAAGCTCGGTTACCTGAGGCTTGAGATCATTGGGGGTGGCTTCCTTCAATGCTGCCAAGGAGTTGATGGCTTTTGGAAGTCCACAAAGGACGCTACTCTTTAGCAATGCCTCTCTGAACTGCTCTGAAACCATTTTTTGAAAAGGCGTCACCGAGGGATACAAATGAGCTAAGAGCTGGGGCATAGATGCCTGATCCGTTTCAGCGATTGCAATTGCTTGCCTGGCCACTTCCATGACTTGCTCCTCCTGTCTACTTTCGGACAGCAGCGCAAAGTGGTACAGTTTTGGGATTTCTTTTGGCTGATTGCACACGCTAAAGGCAGCAGCAGCGCACAGGTACCAGCTAGTTTTAAGCTGTTGCTGGAATGGTGCCAGCTGTACCAAACGTTGCGCTGTGAGTAGAGAGCTAGCCATGTCACAGGATATACGGGATATAAGGCCTTTAGATTTAAGTTTTCAACGGTGCTTCCCTCTCTTCCTATGGTCGCTGAAAAGTGAAAAGCCTGCCTCGTTGACTCAATGAATACGAATGTCAGCTAATTCAACGCGTAAAAGCGAAAGCACCGTCAAACGTGGACCATGGGGATGGAATTAAGGAGATCGTGAATCGAGGCGTTGCTCAAGTTTTTTTCAGTTTCTGTCAAGGTCATCGAAGATTATCGGCATTGGAACGCTAAAGGAAAGCTCACTACAATATTGAAGGGATTTACAAAACCTCACTAAAAATCAAAGTGAAATTGCCATTTAGAGCTTTGGCAAAACTGAGAAGCAGTGCATGCGGAGGCCGATCATCGTTTTAAGTTGCGGTACGATTAACGTCAATGAGGGCATATATAATAATCGACGAACAGGATATCTAAAGCTCAGGTCGTGACAAATTTCTAAGACCACGAACAGACAAAAGAATGTCAAAAATTCCCTGTCTTCACCCACTTGATAAAGCCCGATTTAATCTCCTCCAATTCAAGCCATTCAAAACCTCATTTCGGATCTTCCCGCTTTATTAAAGGTAGCCTAGTTAACATCATTTGTTACGCAATTCGGCGGCTAATCGCCAGTTCTCTGAAAACATCGTTTCTTCAGCATAATAATTAACCTTGGAAAAAGGGTGGGACCTTCCTAATTTTCGCTATTTAAGGAATTGTTTGTTACTGGTGAAGAGCACCGTTTACAACTTTCAATCAACTACTTTCCTAAGGCTTCCAGTAGGGTGGCAATTTCTACGGGTAGCGACGTCTCCCTATTTTTTTTGGGAGTAGACTATAAAAGGCGGGTGTTTTTTCTCGAAGAGGGGATATCGACTCAGTGATACAATCCGTGACTCCCAAGACGTTTACAGGTACAAGACACGCTAGATATGTCCTCAGTAATTTGTAAGCATCTGCTGCTCCCCATAAAGAGAGTCGCATTAGTTGCTACGGCTCAAATTCCGGTCGTTACGCGAGTAGCGAGGTTGTTGAGCTACGGAAGTCAGAGTTCGCCTTCTTAGCAAGATCTCGGAAAGCTCATGCAGTACATGCTGTGGGGTAGAGAAACGGTCCATACTGAATGGCACGCTTGATCGCGTTAGGTTTTCTAGCTCTCCTAGCTTTGCTAGCTTTCAAGCTGGATTCGTGTTCTGGCGGCTAAACCTGACATGATGTGATGCAACCACGTGATGCCTGGCTATTTATCTCGATCGAGCTTTTACTTACCCCACTCGCTCATTCTAACTGCATAGAAGAAAATGACGTACTGCGTAGTGGATTACGAAAGATACATGTTGTTACCCGAATAAGACGCTAAATCGGACCAATCAAATGCTTTCAAAACTGATGTGGATGCCAATGACGTCTGGCGAGGCTGACCGAGCTCGTCTCCATGATGTGTGGGGTGAGCCAATTCCGTGTGGCTATCGACGTATCGACAACCTTTGTCCAAATTAGCGCGTGCAACAGCCGTCGGGACGACGACGAATTTTCAAGCGGGATGACCAAGAGGTAATAACGACCTTCGGATTAAGAGTGGATTGAATTATGTTGATTTGGTTCGGTGATGCGCGCTTGAATTCGACATTTTTTCACTAATCGTATCCGACAGCGAGTGGTGCCTGCAACTATTCTGGCGGTATTCACCTTTTTTTCTGGCCCTGCTGCCTGACAGAAACGGCGCAAGCCGAAGCCGTCAATAAAGAGGGGTAAGAAGGGTATTCCGTCCGTCGCGATTACAAGTTTTTTTGGAGCCGATACGGGCATCCAAACTTCTGTCAACAGCAGGGAGGAGGTATTTTACTATGGGCACCGAGCGCGCATTTAGAATTTTCATACAAATATAATCGTGGGATATTTCGGATTCGCACTTGACGGAAATTGACTACTCAAGTTTTCGGTAGAACTAGAACACACACACACACACCAAATGATTTCTTTCATAAGCCGTAACAGCAGAACCTCAGGCAGTGCTGCGCGCGGTGCGACACGCAGACTGGTTCGATTCGCCACGACTCCCGCGGTCAAGACAAATACAAGTGCACCTGTCGCTACCGCGGCAGCCGGAGGCTCTTCTTCCTTCAAAACCGCGAAAGTTATCGAGAACAAGCTTGACAACAAGCCCAATGTCGTGGTGCTTGGCTCTGGATGGGGTGCCATTTCACTACTTCAAAACATTGACTCCAAAAAATACAACGTCACAATTGTTTCGCCCAGAAACTACTTTTTGTTCACGCCGCTGTTACCTTCAACTCCTGTTGGAACCGTGGACGAAAAATCCATTATCGAGCCGGTGGTCAATTTTGCATTGAAAAAGAAGGGCAACATATCTTACTACGAGGCCAAAGCCACATCCATTAACCCCGACAGAAACACAGTGACAATTGAGTCAGTCTCAACGGTTTCGCATCTGTCGCAGCCAAACCAGAACTCTGGCTTGTCTCAAAATGACCAGGCAGAGATTAAGTACGACTATCTGGTCAGTGCCGTGGGTGCCGAACCCAACACTTTCGGAATCCCCGGTGTTGAGACGTACGGTAACTTCTTGAAGGAGATCCCTCATTCTCTTGAAATTAGGAAGAGATTTTTGTCCAACATCGAGAAGGCCAATCTTTTGCCCAAAGGTGACCCTGAAAGAAAACGTCTTTTGACGATAGTCGTTGTTGGAGGTGGTCCAACCGGTGTCGAAACCGCAGGTGAATTGCAGGACTACATCGACCAAGACCTGAAAAGATTTATGCCTTCCGTTGCCGAGGAAGTGAAGATTCATCTAGTTGAGGCTCTGCCCGTGGTGTTGAACATGTTCGAAAGAAAGTTAACCTCTTATGCGCAAGACGTATTACAAAAGACAAGCATCAAGATCCATCTCAGAACTGCAGTGGGTAAGGTTGAAGAAGACCACTTAATCGCCAAGACTAAAGCCGAGGACGGAACCGTCACAGAAGAGACAATTCCTTACGGAACTCTGATCTGGGCTACCGGTAACAAGGCCGTTCCCATGATCACCGACCTGTTCAAGAAAATTCCTGAGCAAAACGAATCCAGAAGAGGGCTGGCCGTGAACAGCAACCTTTTGGTTAAGGGCACTAATAACATTTTCGCCATTGGTGATAACGCTTTCTCCGGTTTGCCTCCTACCGCACAGGTTGCACATCAACAAGCCGAGTACCTTGCCAAAGTCTTTGACAAGATGGCCAAAACTACAGACTTCCATTCTAAACTCCACAATCGCCAGGACAAAGTCGACTTGCTGTTCGAGGAAAACGGTTTCAAACCTTTCAACTACATCCATTATGGTGCCTTGGCTTACTTGGGAGCTGAAAAGGCCATTGCCAACATCACATACGGTAAGCGTTCCTTCTACACGGGTGGTGGCTTGATTACCTTTTACATCTGGAGAGTGCTGTATCTATCAATGATCCTATCAGCAAGGTCCAGATTAAAGGTTGTCAGTGACTGGATCAAGCTTGCTATTTTCAGAAGAGACTGCTTCAAAGAGCTGTAAACAAGAACAGATTCTGATTACGCCTAGAAAACACATTCGACGAAATATCTTATATTCATTCCAGTGAAAACGCTATATATATTTATCACCTCATCGTGTATTTAAAAGATCATTAAACATTACAATAGATGATATTGTTATTGTGGTTTTGTTATATTCGAGTAATTCCTCATCCATTTGCTATTGGAAATATGCTTTGACCTTTTTAATGTTCCCTAATATCAAATCTTGTGGATCGTCTGCTCTGTTTAAAACAATGAAGCACATCATATTTGAAGACAGCTCGCACACGTATATGGTATTGTCCAGCACCAGAGTCTTGAAAGAGCTTTTAAGTTTCATGCTACTTTGTTTGAAATTCTTCATAATATTAGAGATCTTCTCGAATCTTTTTGGGTCCAAGATTTCTCCCGTGGCTGTATTACTCGAGCAAATGACAAGAAAAGTAGTTTTCTCGAATAGTATGATTTCTCTGGCATCCATGACGCCCTTAAGCTTTTTCAGATTGTGCTGGTAAGTCGACATGTTAGGAATCAACGAACATATTATCTGAGACCAAGCTTTGTATAAACTTTCATCCCAAATAGAAGTTGGAAATCCCACCAGTTCTGGGAACCCATATGCAGCAGATGTTTCCTGCAGTTTCGCCATCATAATGTGCAACAACTCTTGTCTTTTATCCAGCTGTACCAGATCCATTTTGTGCAGCAAGACGAATATTTTAGCATCCGGAGAGTATCTCTTCAGTTGCTTAAGGGCCCTGGTGAATATTTCAATATCCTTTATTATCTCTTGCGACTCAACATCGAAGACATGGATGAGCACTTGCACCATCTGAAAAATATGATCTTTTTGCTGCGTAAAATAGTTTTCCATGAATACATCTTGACCACCACAGTCCCAAAGGTTTAGTGTCATATTTCCTAGAAACCTCAGATGTGAGTGCTCCACATCGATTGTAGCTCCTAATCTTCTGGTATCGAATGCCGAATAATTACTAAAAATGATGGATCTCATAGAAGATTTACCAGAACCTGAACGGCCCATCAAAAGGAGCTTTTTACGGTTATTGGACGACATTATAGACCTTGCCCGGCTTCAACTGTACTGTTCTTACAGGTAGTATTAATCGCCCGGTAACATGCAGTATCTTTTAACATTGATCTTTTATCACGACGGGCTCCTACAGCGTAACAATGCTAAAGCTGTTTAAAAGAGCGGTACATCATTGTATCACTGGTATTGGGAATCCAGAGCCACCCTATCAGCTGACAAGACACAATGCAGGGCTTTTGATGGTAGACCTTTTGAAGCGCGAAATGGGGGGTAGCGCTGCCGAGTTTGTTCCCTGCATTGCGAATGCCAAAGTGAAAAGATACCAGACCAATGAAGTCTTACTTCTTCGTGCTGATGGTGACTATATCAATCTAAGTGGCAAGACCGTAGTACCGCTGTGGCGGAAGTTGGGATCCAAATTCCGTCATTTGGTAGTCCACGATGAGCTCAGTTTACCTGTTGGAAAAGTTCAGTTGAGGAAACCGGGGACGAGCCTGAGAGGTCACAATGGGCTAAGGGATATTTCGAAATACTACGGTGACGATTTTTACAGGCTCGCAGTGGGAATTGGAAGACCACACGATCGAGATTGCAGGGTTGTTGCCGATTACGTGCTTTCAAAATTCGATTCGGATTCTCTGGACACAATTGCCGACGAAAGTCTTGAAAAATCGTTGGAACACATACGAAACTGGATGAAAACTAGGTAGTACTCCAATTCGGGAGTAACTGATATTAATTTCTCATAATTGTTCACACTTCATATATGTGTAATTGCTAACAATTAACTATTCAAACTTAGCAAACATTCAGGGAAGAATGCGAAGTTAGATGAAACCAACGAGTGTGTCAGTTAGTAAAACTACCTTGTTGTGTAGAATTACTGATGTAAAGTATAGAGACTATGACAGGTGACGTTGGCTTTCCCGCTGTTTGTGTGAAGCGTGATCCCTAGGTATCCTATATGTTGTCATTATACCCTCAACTTCTCAACTTCACGGTTCTATAGTGTAGTGGTTATCACTTTCGGTTTTGATCCGAACAACCCCGGTTCGAATCCGGGTAGGACCTTTTTTACATTTTTTGACTCCGAGCGAGAGAAGGTACAGGAGAAGGTCTGTAGGACGATAATGACGTTAAACGTATCCAGGGTGGCATTTAGGTGGTGTTTTCTCTGTGCTTGTTTTCTGAGAACGGTTGTGCTTGCCCTTTCACGTGCGCAGCTTTAACATGGTACCATATAAGATTAAAAAATGCATCGTTTACAGGATGAAATTAATTTAGCCTATTCCCTCTCCGTCATTAAAGTTCCCACAAGAGAGACCAATTGACGTCCTTTTGTAGTGCCTCGTCAGATTAGCAGATCAGTTGTTGAGAATGGGCAAAGTTTCGGAGCTTGTTTCGCACCCGTTGGAGCTGAAGGCAGCTCTGAAGTTAAAGTTTATACGGAAGTCTTTGTTTCCTCTGGACGATACCAGAGCAACGCCTGAGCTCAAGAGATGTTACGAGCTACTAGAAAAAACGTCAAGATCATTCGCTGCGGTTACGTTACAGTTGCATCCTGAACTTCGGAACGTTGTCATGCTTTTTTATCTTATCCTGAGAGCGCTGGACACTGTTGAAGACGACATGACCATCGATCCAAAAGTGAAAGTGCCCTTGCTTCGCGAGTTTGATCGGAAATTGGATTTGGAATCATGGTCCTTTGACGGTAACGCTATAACTGAGAAAGACCGGTGTGTTCTCGTTGAGTTCCCAGTTATTCTGAAGGAATTGCATAAGGTCAAACCCGCCTACCAGAAAGTTATCAAGGAAATAACTCATAAAATGGGCAATGGTATGGCCGATTACATTTTGGACGAAAATTTCAATCTCAATGGTGTTTTGACCGTCAAGGACTACGATCTTTACTGTCACTACGTCGCCGGTTTAGTCGGTGACGGCCTGACGCAGCTCATCACGTTGGCTGGTTTTGGAACCCCCGATCTTTACGACGAATCGGCCCATCTATTCGAAAGTATGGGTCTGTTCTTGCAGAAGACCAATATTATCAGAGATTACGCCGAAGACCTTGAAGACGGCCGTTCGTTTTGGCCAAGAGAAATATGGTCTAAGTACGCTGATAAGCTTGTGGACCTTTCAAAGCCTGCTAATGAGAAGGCAGGCATAGAGTGTATCAGCGACCTTGTTCTGAACGCTTTGGGTCATGTCACCGATGTTTTGACCTATCTCAGTTCCATTCACGAACAATCCACTTTTCAGTTCTGTGCGATTCCTCAGGTGATGGCCATTGCCACTTTGGCGCTCGTTTTCGGGAATGAAAAGGTTTTGCACGAGAACGTCAAGATCAGAAAGGGTACTACCTGCTACCTGATCTTGAAATCCAGAACTCTGCGCGGATGCGTTGAAATCTTTACCTACTACCTCCGTGACATCAAGAAACGCTTGCGCGTCGACGATCCAAACTATCTCAAGCTCAATATTAAGATAGGTGGGATTGAACAATTTATCGAGGGAATGTACCAAGAACAATTGCCAGCGGGTGTCAAGCCTTTGCAGACTGTGATATACAAAAAAGTGACAGAAAGAACCAACTTTGATGAAAAAGTTATTCCGATTCAGCAAGAGGAAGACTTTAAGTTTAACATCATTCTCTCGATGCTCTTTACAATTGCAGCGTCTGTATACTACTATTCCAAGTGATTTCCTTCACCACGACACAAACTTTATGTAGACATGGCACCCAATGGGGTCGGCTTTAAGCGACCCATGGACTTTAAAATTCTTTTGTGTTAGTTCAACTGTACAGATTTCACGTTTCATAGTCTACGGGCCCCTAAGAAAATGCCTACCGGCTATGGTGTTATATTTCGAAAGATCTCTAATGTCTGCAAGCTTACGGAAATTCTGACGTAGTTGTTTGTTGATTTAGCAGATACCAGGTTTTAGAAGAGTCAGATGAGAAACTTACATAAAAATCTCGATATCCAATTCAATTCAATAAATTGGCAGGACGTGCCCAAAAAGTCATCGTTTTGAAGATCAACAAAATGTGACAAGAAATGATTTCTTTGAATACCTCACTGCCTTCTCTTATCAGGTGGCATAAAATATGACAAAATTTGATAAGGGAGGACAGATATATACGATTGATCGATATACTTTTAGTGAGACGATCAAGAGTTCACTAAGTTTGATTGTTCGCACGAACTGGTAAACATGTTGACTGAAAGCCAAGTTCAACAATTTCACGATCGAGGCTACCTTCTTATTCCAGGGTTTTTGAGTTCTGGGAAGGCCACTGAGCTATTGGAACGGTCTAAGAAGCTAATTTCACAATTTGATCCTGAAGCGCATCCTCTTACCCAGTTCACTACAAGTGATCAAGACCATGTCGGTGGAAACTATTTCTTGGACTCCGCGGATAAGATTTCGTTTTTCTTCGAGCCAGAAGCGGTGCAAAACGTAGATGGGAAGATGGAAGTGGTTGTACCTAAAGAAGAAGCGATAAACAAATTTGGTCATGGATTGCATCTGCAGGATCCGCTTTTCGAAGAGGTTACCGTCAAGAATAGAAACGTGAAAACGATCGCTTCGGATTTGGGCTTTAAAAGACCGCGCGCCCTTCAATCTATGGTCATTTGCAAACAGCCTCGTATTGGCGGAGCTGTTCCGTCACATCAAGACAGCGTTTTCTTGTACACCGACCCTTTGAGTGCTGTTGGATTTTGGATTGCATTAGGTGATGCAACGCTCGACAATGGGTGTCTAAGCTTTTCTCCGGGATCGCATCTGACGCACTCTGTCCCCAAGCGGTTTATTCGCTTGAAAGATCAACAAGGAAGGGATACGGGAGAGACTGGATTTGAGTATTTTGAAGGCGGTAAAGAAATGGAAGAAAAATGGCCCAAAGATGAGACCTTGCCCTGGGACGTGGTTGAATGTAAAGCGGGTGACTTGGTTCTAATTCATGGCTCGGTTTTACATAAAAGTGAAGCCAACAAATCCGGTAAATCGCGCTTTGCGTACGCTTTCCACTTGATAGAAGGTAAGGCCAATTACGATAAACGGAATTGGCTACAAACCGAAGTATTTTCTGAAGTTTAAGTGAATATCGTATCTAATTGTGAAGTTTTTGGGAATTTACAGCGCGAGGCATGTATGTATGCTGTATTATATAGCAAGCTTAAAAGTTGCTAATAATGGAATGTTTCAAATGCGAGGCTCCCTTTTGTTTTGGCCTTGTTAATCTATACGTAACACTACATTTCCTCAGTTGCTTTCGAGATGTTCCTTCTCATTGCCGTCATAATCTTTGCGTACATTTGTGGGTCTGAATCCTTAATTATTTGACTTTTGGCCATAGCGTCAAGTGAGTGCTTGAGAAAGATTAAATTGCGAAATTCGTTCTCTTCTTGATTTGTGGCATGCGATAATGATAAATTTGATTCTCCATGGAGTCGACAGGTCGAATTCCCGTTCGAGTGTAATCGAGGTTCCACATCATCCTCTTCTTCATTAGACCCCTGTATTAGTTCAGGTGAGAATTCGCCTGAAGGGCTCAACGGTTTCATTCGACGAGCCAATTGTTCGATTTTTTCAAAAGAACGACGTCGTTTCGTCTTACCCTGCCAATTCATTTGGCTTCCGTCTTTCCTGCTAGCACTTTCCAGCGATCCTGGGAAGTCCGCCGCACGTAGTACATCACTCGCATTCTGCGCATTGGCTCTTTGACGGTCTTGCAAATAGCTTTTCCGATCATTGTCATCGTACTCACTCTTCAGTCTTCCACGGATATCCGCTTCACTCTTCGCACGTGCCAAGCCCATTAAAACCGAATCTATGTGAGGATTGCCCGTGACTTCAAATGTTTCCGTCTCATCAAAGATCTTAGGCATCGCAAGATCTAGCATGTATTTCAGCTTGTTTTTCAACTGAAGTTCCGTGGGTATAATGCCATTTTCGAATTTGGTACATCTGACCATGTTATAATAAATGCAGGTCCATTTAAGCGAAATTAAGCTGCTGCGCTCCAGTTTCCTTTGTGAGGATAATTTGATGTTTTCAAATCCGTAAAAGGGCCCAATTTCAAAGCAGTTTTGGAGAAGAGCAAGGGTAGTTTCATCAGTCCACTTAAACTTTGTTTTGCGATCCTCATCAGAGGTTCTCAATTGACCATCTTCCTTCAGTTTGTGAAGGTCTTCCAAAATACTTTCCTGGGCCTGCTTGAAATTTCTAATCTTGCTTAAATCTTCGTGGCTTATTTTTGCTGGTGCCAGCTCGTTGTGCCCATTGGTCTCTCCATTTTGCCCCGCGCCTTCTCCAATGCGAAGAATCTCCTCGGTATGTGACTCGCCACTGACACCTCCATCGTATTTGAGACTTTGGTCAATTTGCTGTTCCAATGCACCGGATTCTCGCTCAGAGACTCCTATTGCCCTCATCTTTTGCAAATCCGTTTTCTGTGCCATGCCATCTGTTTACAACTCAGTTTTATGCTACCTGGCAAGCCAAATCTCCGGTTGAAAGGCTATCTTCGCAAGAAAGTTCAAGAACCTGAATCTATTGAACAGATTAATGGCCCTTGAATATCCTGTATGTCCGGCGATTGGGGATCAGATGAGCTGTAACGAACACTGAAACAATAACCAAACTCTGGTTTTTTAAGGATATCATGGGACTTTGATTTCGTATAAAATCACAATTTTCATCTTTGAATAAGACGATATTTCGATCCACATCGCCTTTCCTTGAACAACGAAATCATTTTATAGTTGGCCGGAATTCGAAGCCACAGGACCATTCTTTGAGATCTAGAATTAACATGTCATTGATTTGGAGTTGATTCGAGAAAAAACGGCAAAAATTGGGCCCGTTTTGGAAGAGGTGCAATTGTAATTTTGTCAAGTTATCGTCCTCAGAAGTTGGTCTTGGCGGAACGCTGTAGAGTCGCTTGAGACTTTAAATTTTATTTCTGCTTTCATTTCATTTTCCCAGCTTTAGCGAGGAATTTTTAGCGTTTTAACTTATGATGACGTATTACTTTTAATGTTGTAGCTGAATGTCGTCTGCATGGAGGAAAACAAGAACCTTGCTGAAAAGTTGGCAAACTACTGCAGAATAGATCCTAATCTAAATAAATATCTCATGGCAAACAAAGCGGCACACAACACTGCCAGAGCACGCATTGGGTTTCGACCAAAACCCCACCATCTAGCGGCTTTCCAATCGGCTGCTTTCGGCCCGCCAGAAACTATTTTAGAGAAACCTGAGGATGGCCCAGTCTACAACGACTTTGACAAGCTTTTTGCTGAGTACCAAGCCAGTACTGGTAACGAGACTCTGTCAATTTTACGCGATTCTGACGAATCTAATGGCTGCAGCCAGCGAAACCTGAATGGGACTGTGAGAACGCAAGCTTTACAAGAAGCTATGGTTAAGCTGGGCTCAATGTCGGACGACATCGACGTGATAACACACAGAGGCGACATTGTCGATCTTGCCATGTGCTTAGCGGCTGGAGATTCGCTTCCTAATGATAGAATACAGCACATTTTTCACAAGAAGCATGGAAGAGCTCTATTCTTCCACGATGTTCGACGCGACGAACCCTTTAAGAAACAGACGTCGCGAAACAGCTGGTTTAGCGGTATCAAGTTTGAAATCATGTGCACGGAGCACTGCTGGCCTGAAGATAAGTCGAAATGGGGGCCGATTGCGCTCGATTCCAGCAATTATCGGTCAGACAAACATTCACAGATCGTGGCGTTACCGCTAGGCTCACCCGGAGACCAGCAACTCACCGCACTTTGCGCTGCTGAGTACGATTGTCGCGATCCGAACATCGAGGGACCAAGTGGGTACATGGAAGTCAAATGTATGGCGCCGTTCGTCAAAAAAGTTACAAGCTACGATTGGAGGAAGATGACCGACGCAGCAGTGCTAGAGACGCTAGTCAACAGGCTGTCCGGCTCCAAGTTCCTAAAATGCTGTCTTCAATCAAGGCTGGTCGGCGTTCTGCATATTGTGCTGGGCATTCGAGACCGAAATCAGCAGCTGCTCACAGTGCGGAGGTATTTGGTTTCCCAGATCGAGCAGCAGCTTTTAAGGCTAGGCCGAAGGTATAGCAATTTCTACAGCTGTTTGCTCGGCGCCGTCGGCCAATTCTTCCGAGAGGCGCTGGCAGCTTGCCAAGACGGGGAATTCTACGCCGTCACGAAGGGGTCGGCGGACGCACTAATAGTGGTGAGAAAAGTGGAACAGACGGATCTCGAATTCCCTGACCCTTTCATCCCAGCGTTCGAGGAGCTTCTAAAGTCTTCGTGCCGGCAAAGGCGCCAATACCTACAAAGAAAGAAGACCCAGACACCTCTCGACTCTCTGCCTCGGCCCCAAGGTCCCGGTGAGATAGCATTTACGTTTACACGTTCGAAAAGAAAACGCCACAAACAAGGTCGCAAGAACACAGGCCCCGCGTCTCGCGAGCCGGTAGCCGAATTAACGACAGAAATGCGCGGACTCTCGCTAGGACAAGAACAGCAAGAGACTAACTCCGATGGCAAGAAGAAAAAAGAAACCATTTCCGCACACAAAAGCAAAACGTCATAGCCGCTGACCGACCCCAGGCACGTGACCGAGTGCAAAGGTCGCTTACGTAAATGAAGTACGACGCACTTTCTGCTCCTCATCTCGCACATCATCTCCGAACCTCCAAAAGCAGAGAACAAAATGAGAAACCCCTTCGCGGCTTCCATGTGGAAGCGCGGAAAAATGAAAGAAAAAGAAACAAGGAGGGTTGAAAAGGGTCGCGTGACCGTTACCATGCCTTATATCACGTCTCACGGCTCATCGCTAATTCCCCTCGTCCAACTAGCTTCACACAATGCCATTTGCGACGCGGCCTTTCTCGCTCTCAGGATAGAAATTAAGGTTTTCTTTTGCCATGGCGGATTTTATGTGTCAGCTGCGTGCCACGAATCCGGCTCATGCAGCTCAAACATTGTTCACGTTTACAATATCGCGTAGGTTGCCCCCCACGTTTTCATGGAATTTCGTAACCCACTTTGATCTTAATTATATCCACAGTCAACAAATGAAAAGGGAGCCCACGAACGTGGTCCGCGGATGTTGCCGAGCCTTCCTGTGCAGCACCCGTCCCTCTTACGCAGACAGCACTGGAGAGGACTGGCGCATAAGCGGTGCAGATGGACGGATTTATTTCTTTTGGATGCTCGTTGGAAACGATAACAAGATCATGTCAATTTAAAGTATGTGGCCCATGTGCGACAACGTGGGCGACAAATTAATTAACTTGGCATCTCAGGCACGAGAATACGAAGGACACCTGCGGGTAGTAATTGGGCGAAAGAGTGAAAAATTTGATGGGTTCCGGGAAGGCATGGGAGCAGCAGGATCCTATATAAGGAGTGTGTAGTACCTCTGTATGGTTCAATAGATCTTTTGTAGTTTCGTTCCCCAGAATTCAACACTGCCAGCGTCTAGGAATCTCATCAACACATCCAGTGGAAGTCAAGAAATGTCTGACGAAAAGAACCAAGCGGAGGTCTATCAAAAGACCAAAGGTGGTAACGCCGCTTTCCACAATTTTATCAATGATTTCGCACACATCGAGGATCCTCTGGAGAGAAGAAGATTGGCTCTGCAGAAAATCGACCAAGCGGACTTTGGCTGGTACCATGTCCGTGCCATCATGGTTGCGGGTGTCGGGTTTTTGACTGATTCGTACGATATTTTTGCCATTAACATGGGTATTACCATGATGGCGTACGTTTTCTGGGAGGGAAACATGCCCAGCTCCACCACGACCCTGTTGAAGGTATCCACCTCTGTTGGTACCGTTATTGGCCAACTTGGTTTCGGTATGATGGCCGACATTGTCGGTCGTAAGAAGATTTACGGTACTGAACTTATTATCATGATTTCCGCCTGTGTTTTGCAATGTACCATTGGTAAATCGCCCGGTGTCAGTTTCGTCGCTACTTTGACCTTCTACCGTATCATCATGGGTATCGGTATCGGTGGTGATTACCCATTGTCCTCTATCATTACATCTGAATTTTCCACTACCAAATGGAGAGGTGCCATCATGGGTGCCGTCTTCGCCAACCAGGCTTTTGGTCAAATCGCCGCCGGTATCATCGCTTTGATTCTTGCTGCCGCCTACAAGGACGAACTAATCCACGCCAAGAACGGAAAGGAGTGCGGTGAAGCCTGCATGAAGGCTTGCGACCAAATGTGGAGAATTTTGATCGGTCTCGGCTGTGTTCCAGGTGTCGTTGCCCTGTATTTCAGACTAACCATCCCAGAATCCCCTCGTTACACTTTGGACGTTGTTAACGGTATCAACCAAGCTGCCGCCGACACTTCTAAGTTCGTCTCCGGTGAACACGGTAGCGCTGACGTTGATGAAGTCGCTCGTCTCGAGAGAGCCCCTACCGCTGTTGAGCAATATGAAGTTACTCCACCAAAGGCTTCCTTTAAGGACTTCAACAGACACTTCAGCCAATGGAAATACGGTAAGATTCTTGTCGGTACTGCTTTCTCCTGGTTCGCTCTAGATGTTGCTTTCTACGGTTTAGGTCTAAACACCGCTGTCATTTTGCAAACTATTGGTTACGCCAGTTCTTCTAACGTTTACGAGAAGCTATGGAACTCTGCTGTTGGTAACTTGATTTTGATCTGTGCTGGTTCTTTGCCAGGTTACTGGGCCTCCGTTGCTACCATTGACATCATCGGTAGAAAGCCAATTCAACTCTTCGGTTTCTTCATTTTGACCGTTTTATTCTGTGTTATCGGGTTCGCATACCACAGATTGAGTGACGGTGGCTTGCTAGGTCTATACGTCGTCTGTCAATTCTTCCAAAACTTCGGTCCTAACGTTACTACTTTTATCATCCCAGGAGAAATCTTCCCAACCAGATACAGATCGACTGCCCACGGTATCTCTGCCGCCTCGGGTAAGATTGGTGCCATTATTGCTCAAACTGCTCTAGGAACTCTGATCAACTACCACTGTGAAGGTAAGAAGAAGAACTGTTGGTTGCCACACGTGATGGAGATTTTTGCTCTATTCATGCTGTGTGGTATGTTCAGCAGTTTGTTGATCCCTGAAACGAAGAGAATGACTCTTGAAGAGATTACTGAAAAATATCACGACGAAGTCGACACTGGTAAGTACTCCAGTTCTTACTCCAACTCTTCCAACCTCAACGAGTCTGTTTGAGGGTATTCAAAAATCTGCAATTACTCCCAAGATGCATAATATTAAGTTTTCGCACCCTCACTGCGCCTTTCTGTACATTAGGATTTAAACGTTTAATTCGACTTTCATTGAAACATACATTTTTTCACAGCATTTTAAGAAAACTCATAAGGTAGTTTCTATTATACAAGGAGGGCTCAAATATAGTTCAAAAAGGTAGACTTAAATACTTTCCTTTATTCTACTGTTTAGAGTTTACTCTAGCTTCAAAATGATCCATACCACCACTTGTTCATTGAACGGTTAAAGTTTTCAAAGTTGAGGTTCCTTTTCATGTCAAGATTATCAGTCGTCATGTTACCCGGCCCAGATCTCAACCACGTTTTTTGTGGAAAAATGTAAACACAACACAAAACATAATCATGATACTCGATCTCAGCAAGAAGTGTTACAAACACGACTCCATAAGATCGATTAACGCATTATGAGAGAAGTCATTAGTGTTAATGGTATGTTAATAGATGAATTCGAGTCTTTTGAGTGACTTTTGGGCTTGATTGGGTGGTTCAGTGTTGCGTTTGGGACGATATGATGGCCCCCTGCCGACGCGTTTCAGAATTTAGAGACTCTGTTGAACTCTCTGAATCGTCAGCCGAGGAGAATTTAGGGACTTCAAGGAAATGGAGGGCCCCGTGTTGTGTAGTAATCCTGAGGTTCTATCTTAATTTCTTCCAGAACAGACTCCTCTACTCCCCAAAGATCGAGATCGAGTAAAATGATTACTAACATCCACTCTTTTTAATTTAGTCGGTCAGGCAGGTTGTCAGATAGGAAACGCTTGCTGGGAGCTGTACTCGCTCGAGCACGGAATTAGACCTGACGGCTACCTTCAGGAAGGTCTTTCAAAGCCCAAAGGTGGAGAAGAGGGCTTTTCGACCTTTTTCAACGAGACTGGATCCGGGAAATTCGTGCCACGCGCTGTGTATGTGGACTTGGAGCCTAATGTCATTGACGAGGTGCGTAACGGTCCTTACAGGGAGCTGTTTCACCCAGAACAGCTTATAAGTGGCAAAGAAGATGCGGCAAACAACTATGCACGTGGTCACTACACGGTTGGTAGGGAGCTTTTGGATGATATCCTTGACAGAATCCGTAAGATCTCCGACCAATGTGACGGTCTACAAGGTTTTCTGTTCACGCACTCCCTTGGTGGTGGTACTGGTTCGGGTCTTGGGTCCCTTCTACTTGAACAACTTTCCATTGACTACGGTAAAAAATCGAAGCTAGAGTTTGCCGTTTACCCAGCTCCTCAAGTGTCTACTTCGGTCGTAGAACCTTACAATACCGTTTTGACCACACATACAACTTTGGAACACGCGGACTGTACCTTCATGGTCGACAATGAGGCTATTTACGAGATGTGCAAAAAAAACCTTGATATTTCCAGGCCAAGTTTGGCCAATTTGAACAATTTGATTGCGCAAGTTGTTTCCTCTGTCACGGCTTCTTTGAGATTCGATGGTTCCCTAAACGTGGATTTGAATGAGTTCCAGACCAATTTGGTCCCATACCCTAGAATTCATTTCCCATTGGTATCTTACGCGCCAATCATATCGAAAAGTAAAGCAAATCACGAGTCCAACTCGGTCTCCGAAATAACAAACGCCTGTTTCGAGCCCGGTAACCAGATGGTCAAATGCGACCCAAGAACAGGTAAGTACATGGCCACCTGTTTGCTATACAGAGGTGACGTTGTGACCAGAGATGTCCAAAACGCAGTCGCTCAAGTGAAAAACAAGAGAACAGTGCAACTCGTTGACTGGTGTCCTACAGGATTTAAGATTGGTATTTGCTACGAACCACCTACTGCCACACCTCAATCGCAGCTCTCTTCGGTCAACAGAGCGGTATGCATGCTATCTAACACTACCGCAATTGCTGACGCCTGGAAGCGTATTGACAGAAAATTCGATCTCATGTACGCCAAACGTGCGTTCGTTCATTGGTACGTGGGCGAAGGTATGGAAGAGGGTGAATTTACCGAAGCCAGAGAGGATCTCGCCGCTCTAGAAAGGGACTACATCGAAGTAGGCGCGGATTCCTATGCTGACGAGGAGGAGTACTGATTGATACGTTGAGATTTTCTTTTGTTAAAGCAAGCCAAACAAAAAAAATAGAAAGCTATGTGGGGAGCAACAACGGCGGAACAGCAGCAAATAAAGCACACAAAAATTTTAGCTCCAGGATTTGGATCTGGGTTTGGAGCTCGTTTGAAGAGTTTGCAATTTTACAGTTGGTCTTAATTGTCGTCCATTCATTTCTCAATCTTTATTTTTCTTTTCATCCCTTCTCTCTAATACTCTTTTTTATTTCATTCTCATCCTCCAAAGCCCCTTGCATTGGGCTGCAGCAATGGTTTACGCTGGCTGCCAATCCCTGCGCAATTAATACGTTTCCAGAATTCCACTGTATACCCGGAATGTCTCCCACTCCAATAATTTTTACTCGTCTCCTTAGATCCATCCTTTGCGCCCGATGATTCGGGCCTTGGTTGCTCTCCGTGCTACGATCGACTGCCGCTAATCTCATGCAAATGTCTGACTTCTTTGAACCAGCGTTGCACCTGACGGCGCAACCTGTTGTCTTTTTCTTTGCAGATGGTTACCGCATTCTGCATAGAGCCTTATAACCTCTACTATTTCCGACGAACACCTCGTGGAAAAATTCAAAACAGAGCTGACAAAAACCCACCTCCATTTAAATGCTTATATAAAATACATAAGTTCTTGGCTTCTCCAGAGTGTTTCCTTCTCAAACAAAAGCGGTGATGGCTTCTCCAGTCGGACTCCCTAAGGGAAAGAAGGGATTCGTTTTCTCCAATTGGGCCAAAATTTATTCGTCTAAGCCAGAACTGTACTTTCAACCGTCAAGTATTGAAGAGGTGGTGGCACTGGTCAATGCTGCTCGCAAGGAAAATAAGACACTTGTGACAGTGGGATCAGGACATTCCCCCAGTGATCTTTGTATGACAAACGAATGGCTGGTAAATCTGGACAAGTTGAACAGAGTCATCTCCATGACTGAACATAAGGACAAATTGTACGCGGATGTGACAGTTGAAGCAGGTTTGCGTATCTACCAGTTCAATGAGTATTTGGGGAAACACGGATACACAATTCAAAATCTTGGATCAATCTCTGAACAAAGCGTTGCCGGTATCATCTCTACAGGCACGCACGGATCATCGCCATATCATGGCCTGGTTTCGTCCCAGTACGTTAATTTGACAATTGTGAACGGCAAGGGAGAACTTGTGTTTTTGGACTCCGAGAACCAACCAGAGGTATTTAGGGCCGCGTTGCTGTCTCTGGGTCAAATCGGGATCATCGTTCGTGCTACCGTCCGTGTCGTACCCGCATTCAAGATTAAGTCTACGCAAGAAGTGATCCGCTTCGAGACTCTCTTGGAAGAATGGGACAACATCTGGGCGAGCTCTGAGTTCATCAGATGCTGGTGGTACCCATACAGCCGCAAGTGCATTTTGTGGAGAGGTCGTAGAAGCGAAGAAACTGACGTGATCCGTAGGGGTTCTTGGTGGGGCTCGTTTTTGGGCCGCCACTTCTACGAGGCACTGCTTTGGATTGCTGTTAACATTCGTCCTTCTTTGACGCCAGCCGTCGAAAGATTCGTATTCCGCAAGCAATACGGAAGCATCCAAAACTACGGCAAAGGTGATGTGGCGGTGCAGAACTCGATAGATGCTCTCAATATGGATTGCTTGTTTTCGCAGTTTGTTGATGAATGGGGATGTCCGATGGTCAATGGCATTGACCTCTTGCGGACCCTTGACCGTTCCATCGCCCAGGCTGCCAAAACAAATGAATTTTATGTCCATGTCCCCGTTGAGGTCAGATGCTCGAATACCACGCTTCCCGACCAACCAATTGATTACTCTGATAGAACCAAGAACAGCAAGGGCGCCGTTTTTGGAAATACCTTACGGCCTTACTTGGACAGCACTCCTCATTTGAAATACAAGCCTTTGGAAGAGGTCACGGAAAAGCAACTGACTTTGTATGTCAACGCTACCATGTACAGACCTTTTGGAACGAACACGCCTATCAAAAAATGGTACGACGTTTTCGAGCAAGCAATGAGTGACGCAGGCGGGAAACCTCACTGGGCCAAGAATTTCATAGGGTCTACCGCTTTTGCGGCTGGTCAAACGAAGTCTGAAAATGAATACGTCGACTACGAAATGAGAGGCATGGCTACCAAGTTCAAAGAGTGGTACGGCGACGATTTGATTAAATTCCAGGAAGTCAGAAAGATTCAAGATCCAGAAGGAGTTTTTCTAGCCAACAAAGCCTGGGCAATTAGAAATGGGATACTTGATATAGACGGATAAGCCTTTCTTCCCAAATTTTTTTTCAACTTATGGTTCTCTTCCTGGTAAAAGCTTGCATGGTTTTCTAGCTCACATCGAGTAGTATAAACAACAAGAAAAGATCAGAAGCTACATACCAGTTTGTATGGTGCATTAGCAATAGAGAAGCCCACCATTGTTTAATGTCATAATCCTATCCTAAAATATCACTTATGACGTAGTATTTAATTTCTGGAAGAATCTGTTTATTCGAGATTTGTCATTTTTTGGCTAAACCTCTGATCCATTCTCAGACACCAGAGCCATCATCTTTTGAGTATCAAGATGGTTGAGGATAAGCGTAAGCTCTTGGATGAGCCGCTCCACGGTATTTATATCCCGACCGCTTTGATGTTGGTGGGTGTAGCGATTACTGCATACATGTCGGGCAATTTGTTATCGTTGTGGATTTTACCTTTCGCAGCTCTAGTCTTGGGAGTGAGATTCGTGGCCGCTTATAGAAGAAGGAAATCCGTTTCTGAAGATAAGTGGACGGCATTAGAATTGGAAGAGCAGACTGTTATTTCAAAAAACTCTGCAATTTATCGCTTCAAATTGAAGACGTCTTTGGAAGCTCTCAATGTGCCCACGGGCCATCATTTGGCGGTTAAAGTCCCAGTTGATGGTCAAGAACATATTAGATACTATACGCCGATATCGCCTGCTTTTGAAACCGGACATTTTGATATCATTGTCAAGTCGTACCCTGACGGGACCGTATCTAAATATTTTGCATCGCTCAAACCCGGCAGTCTCGTGAATTTTAAGGGTCCCGTTGGTAGATTCAATTACGTTCCAAACTCGTTCAAGCACATTGGACTGATCGCTGGTGGATCGGGAATCACGCCAATGTTGCAAGTTTTGAACAAAATCATCACAACACCCGAAGACTTCACCAAGATTTCACTCATTTATGCCAACGATACAGAAAACGACATTTTGTTGAAGGAAGAGCTTGACGAAATGGCCGAGGTGTATCCAAATTTTGACGTGCATTACGTGTTAAGGTATCCAACTGGGTCCTGGAATGGAGATTCAGGACTTGTGTCGAAAGAGATCATGCAAAAATACTTGCCCGAACCAGCTGATGAGAACAGACTGCTCATTTCAGGTCGCCCAGAAATGGTCAAAATGCTTTTGAACTATGCCGAGGAGTTGGGATGGCCGAAAGGCAAAGAGAAGTCGGCTGGTGATGATCAGGTCTTCGCTTTTTAAGCTGGGTTATTTTGAATTTAAGGACCAGATAGAGTCTCTAGTGAGAATATGTAAATATTGAAGCTTTAAAATCATCAACCTTCATGCAAAAAGGCTCCCCTCTCAGTTTCGTTCCTCGCTAAGAGAAAGGGCAAATGCCAGCTGCAGATCTTCATCGTACTCGAGACGATCAGCGGAATGCGGAGTGATATCGTTTGTTGAGGGACTTAGACTATTTCGATTACCAGCCTCGTTGGCAAAATGAGATGAGTCAGGGCCGAGGTATTCTCCTAATGGTGCTCTACGTCGCTCCAGGCGTCTCGAATTGATACGATTGGTACTTTCTGCTGAGGATAACCTCAGAGCCGTGAACAGTTCCTGGTCATTCTCCCGCGTTTCAGTATTGACGTCTCCTTCATAACTGAGCCTGGACTGTTCCAGAGCAAGAAGTAGCTCGTCGTCCTGCTCCTCACCATTGTGAACTTGAGGCAAACTGTGAGAATGGACATCTCGAGATTCCATCATGGCTATCTCCAATTGCAGTTCTTCGTCTTCCACATCTCCAACAAACCTTCGTTGAAGAGTCTGTGAGCGCTGTATACTATCTACCCGCTGCTTTTCGTCTTCGTTGTAGAGATCTAATTGAGTGTGAAGAACGTCCGTCCACTTGTTGCTCCTTGTCTTGGATGAGACGCTGTGCTTTCTCTTGGTTGGCTCATCGTTGGTAGTATACTGCAAATAATTCAACACGTTGCCACTTCCGACTATCATGCGGCCATGCGAAACGTCTAAAAATTGGGGAATCTTTTCGGTTTTGCGAACAACTCTGAGCTCAGTACCATTCGCAGCGTCAAAAATGCCCAAACTTTCACTAAACGCGCACACCAGCACGAGATTGTTCACTTTACATGCGAAAAGCTCGCCCTTAAAATCCAGTTTTGTCTGAGTTCGTAAAATTGTCCCTGGAGCTCGAATGTTGATTGTAGTCACCGAGTTGTCCGCAGTCATTATTGCGAGGAAACAGCCGTCTCCCCCGGCAATATGAGAATTCTGTTGTCTCTTAGAGGTCACCTCATCAATGCCAATGTCTTGAATTCTCTCAACAAATTCCAATGACCTTGTGAACCCGAAATCTTTGTGTGGATTAATAGATATGACGTAGATGCGCCTTGTATCTCCTATGATGAGCAACTTACCGCCAAAATCGATCTTGAAAAAATGCAATTGATTCGGATTTCGAGCCAGCTCGTATGGCACATCGATGACATCGACAGCTTCCATTTGTTCCACTACATAAATCCTCCTGAGATCCATGACTACTGTTGTGTCTCGGTTCATTGCGACGCGCAAAATAGGTTGTTGCGAAAGACGCAGTTTCCTGCGCATCTTGGCCTCACACCACCATATGATTTCACCATTTTCGCTTCCACTCACACACCAGTCCTCACGCGAGTCCTCAAGCGCTGCGGTCGTTATAGCAGTGACACACGCACTATGCAACGCGTCAAATTCAGTGACGGGCGACAAATGAGACTTGTTTGTCAACAATTTCCCAAACACGCGTCCATCAAACCGGCCAAAAACAGCAGCATTGATGTTAAAATGCATCGTCGAACAACCCTGCGGTGTCGTGCACGGCATATACGTCAAACGGTCCTTGCGCCTCTTGGAGTGCAATTGCACAATCATGATCACACCGTCGCTATAGCACGCACATCGTGGATACTCAAATATAACTTTTTCCAGCTGATTATGCACGTTCTGCGTTGCAACCGTGTATTTCGTTTTCACAGCCCTATTATGGCGCCACTCGTTCAAACCTCGGGTCCTTTCGATGTATTCAATGCTATATTTTGGCGATTTCGAGAACGACGGGAAGAACTGCGTATAAATTCGGGAAACAAACAGATTTTTCCATAATTCTTCATCGTTTATAATCTGTTCAAACTGTTTACAACTTTCCTGTAAATTAAGGAAATCCTTCTCATCAAGATAGCTGAAAATCCGTATCAAAACCTCTGTTGGTAAACCTTGTAACGTAGCTACCGCATCCTTGCCCATTCCAAACGTGTCACCATCCATAATGTCCACATCTCAACATCCAACTTGTTTCTATTCGGTCAAACATGAAAAACGCTGATTTAATTTTTTCGCTATCCACGTTGATGATGAATGATGGATTTTGAAGGTTCCTGAGGAAAGGAATCTGAGTGAAAAACGACGATACTCAAACTCAGCGATGTCTGGATGAAAGAGTATCAGAGGTGGACAATCTAAGAGGTTTGCCTTGAGATTTACGAACTTCGTAAGAGCGGCTTTACCGATAACTATGGAATGTCTAGACGATCCGCGTTTAAACGGATATAAGCGATCACACCTTGCACATGAGGGGATTTGATTCCTAAGAAACGTACAGGTATAAAGAGAGTGTCTTGAAAGCTGTGGAAGATAGCCTTTGATCGTGAAAATCAAGGATAAAATGCCAGAGTCTCTAAATATCGCGATTGTTCTTTGCAGCTCGAGAAAGCCTCGTGTATGCCCTCAAATCGCCAGATTTGTTAAAAATTGTATCTTAGACAGTTCTCCTGTTTTGACTGATCTACAAAAACCAGAATTGACGTTGATAGATTTGGAAAAATGGAATTTACCCCTTTTCGATGAATCTGGAATTCCGTCGCAGATCAAGAACGGGAAATATGATCACGAACACACCAGGGCCTGGAGCAGGGAAATTCAAAAATACGACGGATTCATTTTTGTGGTCCCACAGTACAATTGGGGGTATCCAGCTGTGGTCAAAAATGCTATTGATTTTCTATATCACGAATGGAGCAATAAAGCCGCTCTGGTGGTCAGCTATGGCGGTCACGGTGGCAGCAAGTGCAATGCCCAATTGACGGAGGTTCTGCAAGGTGTGAAGATGATCCCAGTTGAAGGCGGAGTGCAACTCGCTTTTCCTGACAGAGAAACGCTTGTCAAAGCTGTTCAAGGTGCTGAGATTGCCATGGCCGCAAATGACTCAGACTCTGGAGCAGCTATTTGGTCTGAAGAACGGAAAACTATCGCAGAGGCATTTCAAAAACTTTTAGATACGATCATGTCGACGAAAGTCAAGACTGTGCTTTCGGAGAAATGATGTGTATATTTGTTAGCGTTTTTTTATTACAATCTCAAGGTGATCATTATTATCACCACCGTATCGCTAGAGAGTCAGAAGGCTCATTAGGGGGACAATACATGCGAGATAGAACGGTAAGTGAAAGGTCTTGAAGCTCATGGCGGAATTCTGGGAAAACAGCTCAGTTTGCTCTGCTTTGACTGTTCCTTTTGATGACATTGTGCTGGTGGAAACGGAAACAAAACGCGAAGCTTTGCGTTCTTCATCATCATTTTGCTTCTCTGTGAGCGCACTCACACTCGGTGTTGCGCAACACGACGAGTTGGTCACGGTAACATGATCAATGAGAATAAGCGTAGAATAGACGAACTGCCATGAGCCGTTTTCGTCCATGTTAGATGTAGAACTGGTTATGGCATTATGCGTCGACGACAGTTGCGTTATTTGGTATGATCTAGTACTGCCATTCGGTTTTATGTCAACAGTGTTGTTGGCCAGTACACTAGAATTAATGAGATTCGATGTCAGCGATGATGGAGAAGTACTTGTGGTGTGACTATTGAGCGTGGGTTTGCAGCTTATAGAGAAACCCTCAAAAATGTCACTCGTAACAATATCAAGTTTCGCAGCCGAAGCTGTCCAGCTGTTGCTGTAACCAGGTGCCTTCTTCGCACCTGGGATCGCTCCTATCACCTCAGAGATATCATCTGAAGTAGTACCCCAGTTAGCCTGCGCAAGCGAAATCTCCAGATTGTCCAAGTCGTACACAACATAGGCAGAGGTCAAGAAGACGTCTCCAAATACCGCGTGTTGGTCGCTCGGTACAATTCCTAATGCACAGGTTTCATCGTCATCAGTTTCGAGCACATAATTATTCACAGGAGTCCTTATATGGAAGCCTCCAAATTCGAACACAATCTCCGTGTCATTGTAGCTTGAATTGCAATCGAACGTATAGAACCCCCAATCGTCTGACCATGTTGCATTAAGGAAATCAGCAATGCGTTCGGCGATCGCCTCGTCAATATACATTAGAGTAGTTCCAGAGTCCAGCAAAGCTGGAAATTTGACCGTGCTGAGAGTTGCCTGACGGCAATTCGAAGCTGATCGCATTCCGAGACCTTGAACAGTTATGTCGAATTCAGCAGGTTGAGAAATGCCATAAGAAGTGAAAACGTTAACCAATGGAAGAGTGTAAAGCTGTCCCGTATATCTTGAAGCATCAACACCACCGAAAAGAATCGTACCGTAATTGGCGTCCGGAGAATTAAGGAACAGAGAATAAATTGTCCTTGCAATAATGCCATTTTTTTTCAGTGTAAGAGGGAAATTGTCATAATTCTCGTTGCTTGCATTCGTGTATCCTGTCACAGCCTCCAATTTTCGAAGTCCAATCCCCAAAACGCCCACGGAGGTGTTAGATCTCGTCGCCACGGCGAATTGTTGATCGCTTATAGCGGTTCCTCCTAGTGTAAGATCATCAGTTGCCCAGTAACCATATGCGTACGAAAAATCCGAATATTGTATATAATAAGGCTCGGACACATTGCCGTGGAAGCTTGTCGATCTCCCAGCATCAAAAACTCCAAATTGAGAGCAGTCCATAGTGGGTTCAACTGCTATCCCACTTATTGTGGTAACAGGCGCTGCACTATAAGTCGGTTGAGGAGCATAAGTGTACTCGCGCTTTCGATGGCCTGCGCGATCGCCGGTGTGATCCATACAGTACGGGTTTGAAGGCAACGAGACCCATAAATCAGAAGACCCCGTGTCCAAAAGTACCACCACTGATTGTCTCGGAGTGCCAATTTCTAAATTCAAGGAGTAAAATTGGTATTGCTGCAGCAAAGGTGATTCTAAAGTTCCAGTGTCTTGATTATACCTTTTAGACAAAACCGGTTTGAAAGTAGAGAAAGAATTCTCGAAACTGGAACCTCTTAATTTGTCAAATTCCAATTTCAAATGTTGCCCGCATGAATTTTGGATTAGCAGCGACACTGTTGCCGATATCAAAATCAACCCAATTACCATCATTGACCATTGAGTAGTGAGGAATTGATCCAAAAATCTGAGCGCACCGATTTCTCATTCCGAAGATATGTCACATCGTAAAGCCCACATTTTTCAACTTATTATAGCCCATCCAGTGTTTGTTGCATCGGTGTTTCATGATGAGACATTGATTATCCGGTCCTCAAAACTCCTGACAGGGTGTAAGATGTATAGCAGAATATCACGTAAAGTGTCTTGCAAGTTGCAGTACAAGTTGTAATACATCCAGCCAGGTAGAAAGCTCTCGAGATGCAGCTTAAAAGCGCATCTGCTTTTCAGTTTTTGAGGGTCACTCGCCGAGACTGGTCCAATGTTGTTGATTGCTGAGCAAACCCACCACGAATCTGGAACTTCGAAAAGGAGATTTCTTGCCAATCGTTTTTGTTCCTCGGGTTGAGAACTTGTCGCTTTAGAAGTAGACCGGCATCCTGACATTGTTGTATACAGAAAGGTTGGCACGGTATCGACATTAAACTTGGTCGGCACTTGACCGCAAGAATTCGAACGTTAATGATTCATTATGAATATATTTCTCATTCCATGATCTCGTAGTCTCAGTAGTGATTTCTTAGTTCAACTTGTTTTTTGGTTTAAGTGCTTCTTTTGTTTAACTCGATTCAATTTATTTCGTAATTTAACTGGTTCCCTACAGCCTACAAATGATACCTTGGAATAAAACGTACTTTGTCTCCACGACTTCGGGGTCTTCCTAAAACGTTGTAGACATCGTACTTCTTTATCTTGCAAGAATTGCTCGAAGATCTGAAATTCGTTCTAGCTTTCTAATTTACGGATTTTTTAAATATATTCACTCCATGTTTGTCATCTAGAGCTTAAACTTCAAATCGCACTCTCAAGCGAAACAGACGGTAGCATATTAACGAATTCTCTGTAAATCCACGACCATACCTGAGGGTTGTTAACAATCACCCAAATGCAGAACTACATAGTACTGGCACCCTTCATGTTTTATCTATGTCGGCTATGTCTGGAGACCATCATGGCATCATGGTAATGGATCTTGATGGTCAATTCAACTGGTAACGCTTCCAAGAACGAATACGAATACTAGCGGGCGCTTGATGTTTGCATATTCGCGAAATGGTGTGGTATGATGCCTTTATAGTTGATTTTCGAACTTCATGGCGAGATTCAATGTCAGATTTTGTAGGGCAACCGTTAGAATAACGGTTGTCTTCCATCATATTAAAGGCAGAAGGAGCATTCGAAAAATCGGCCATTGAATAAAGAATGGAGAGAAAGACCAAGTTGCATTTAATTAATAGTACCAGGGATGACGACGCCGAGTCAAATGGAGGAACCAGTTCTGGTCAATGCTCCACCCCCATACGCAGGATTAAACCATGATGATAAATTGCCAACTGTTATGACTTATGCAACTTCTGATCCTAGTGGAGGTGCTGGTATAGAAGCCGATTTGAAAACGATAACGGCGCACAAATGTTACGGCTTGACATGTATTGTGGCCATCACGGCCCAAACTCCCGTGGGAGTGTCTAAAATCGTCAAGAGTCCTAAAGACCTTGTAGAGGCCATTTTGGATGGCAATCTGAGAGACATGAGAGTCGACGTGATTAAAACCGGTATGTTGACTAGAGACGCCACTCATGTTTTGCGCGATAGGCTGTCGAAGTTGGAAGAGTCAGCCAGACCTCAACTGGTGGTTGACCCAGTTTTGGTCGCTACTTCTGGCGCAATGCTTGCGGAAGACGACGAAGTAATCAAGGATATTTGCCGTTTGACCCATCTTTCGACGCTAGTTACTCCGAACGTGTACGAAAGTATGCAAATTGTCGGCAAGGAAACGGCTTTGAACAGCGTTCAAGACATGATTGCGCTCGCGAAAAAGGTCCAGGAAGTTACGAAAAGCAAGAATGTGTTATTGAAAGGCGGTCACTGTCCTTGGACCGCTGCTTCTGGACGGAAATACGTTACAGATGTTCTTGTGTCTGGTAGCGGAACTCACACTATCTACGAGAGCAAGTTTTGCCCTTCGAAAAGCACCCATGGAACCGGATGCACGCTGGCGTCGGCCATTAGCAGTAACTTAGCGCATGGTGAGAGCCTCGAGCACGCTGTCTACGGTGCTATCCAATATGTTCACAATGCCATCGGTATCGGGTGCAATGTGACCAAGAGCCATGTCACAGAGAATGGACCTATCAATCATGTTTACGGCATTGAAAAGCCACTAGATGAAATGGTGAACGATGTATGTTACTCTGCTCACGCACTTAACTCTGCTGCCGCCGGCACCAAAGCTGTGAACAGCAATTTGAAAGCTCAAATCCGGGACAGCGGCTCTTTCTTTGAATTCTTGATCAGCGATCCTCGTGTCAAGCCCCATTGGGAATCCTATATCAACCACGACTTCGTCAGACAGATCGCGGACGGTACGCTGCCCAGATACAAGTTCCGGTTCTTTTTGGAGCAAGACTACGCATACCTCGAGAACTATGCCCAGATCCACTGTATATCTGCAAGCAAGGCGCCCACGGCCGAGGACGTCGACAAATCTGTCACAATTATTGGCAAAATCAAGACCGAAATGGAAAAACACCGCGAAAAGGTATCAGGTTACTTTGGTATTAAAGACATGAAGCATTTTGATCAGATCCGCAAAAGCGACGCCCTCAAAAACTATGCCCGTTTCTTCTTGGACGTGGCTAATCGCGGCTCGTGGGAAGATCTATGCGTAGCTCTCTCGCCTTGTTTGATGGGATACGGCTACGCCCTCATCAACCAGGAAAAGAACATCACCGTACCAGAAGACGATATCTACTATGCCTGGTGTCAAGACTACTTGGCTGCCTGGTTCAAGGAAGGTATGGAAGAAGGTAAGATTTTGCTGGATAGAGTTTGCCAAATGACTGAGGACTGGGATTCGTTGTGCAAGATCTACGCGGCTGTTTGTGAACTCGAGACCCAATTTTGGGACTCGGCCTTAGCTTACGAGCCCGAGCAGAATTGAGGGAAATCGATTACAAGCAACGTTTTCTACGATAAAAGGACCACTACATAAACTTGCGTCCCCTCACCAGAGATATTTCTATAAACGTCTAATGCTCACTTTAGTCTCACTATATTAATTCTCGTTCCACCTGTATTGAGCAGCCCTGCTTGTTGTCACTTGTTTGTGTTAGCCGCCGAGGTCCTGTGGATTTAAGTCTCGTAAATGTGTAACTTTATGCATCTGAGGGGTCATAGTTGGTATACACTTACATGCTCCATATGGCCATGCATTTTCGGGACCGTTCGCCTAAGAAATTTTCTTCTAGAAAATTCGATTTGTATCATTTTGAACGGAAATTTATCATCATTTCACACGTTGTTTTGATCCTCGTTTCAAGCTCAGGCTCTTTTAATAATTTGTCAACGTATCAAGATCACTAACCACTCTGTAAACCACTAATCCCCATAGCGGCCTCTCTACTGTCTCTATTCGAGTACTAGAGGGCTGTTTTGGTTATTGATTGAATGACAAGCACTGAACTCAACCCACTCGCAAGAACACTCACGGACGTGCTGGACGAAGAGCTGTACCACCATCGCTTTGCTGCGGATAATGGAGGAGTCGAAACAGCTGTTAGTAATAGTACTCCCAAGACGTGGAAGAACCGGTCCCTAGAAGATCTGCTGATGCTTCCGGAACAGTCGTTTAACGGCATGACGTTGACAGAGGCAAACGACGCCGGATCGCAGCAAATATTCAGCAAATACGCAGATCCCTCGCTGACAACTATGTCGCTCGAAAAACCCGTTTTGGCCACGAATGGTGGTGCCGCACATGCTGGAGGCGTAACTCCACAGCAGGCGACCGTTTCTTTAAATGCGGTCATGAGCGTTAACCCGTTTTTGACCAGACTACCCAGTCACCCGCAGGACGTGAGGATTTCGGCCCCTTCACTTTTCCAAGGTGACGATATGTTGGACTTAGAAGACGCTTTCTCTCCAGAATACTACTATGATGATAGTCAAAAAGTGTTCAGCTGGCCCCTACAAGAATCCACTACGACTTCTCAGGACGCTATGTCGATATTCGATCGCGAGTTTACCGACGATCTAAGTGACGATGAGGATGACGACGATGAAGACGGTGACGAAGACGTGGAAGGCTCCCAGTTCATGAATGAATGGCGTCAAGTGACTCCGATCGAGAGGTCATCGTCCGAGACTCCTCTGGCATATCCTGCAGTGAAAGACGAAGAATCTCATATATTTGGCGAAAGAAGGCCACCTTCCAGCTTTGTCGACGATGACAGGCATGACGTAGCTTTACTTGATGACGATGACGACGACGACAGTGATAGCCATTCGAGCGAAGAAGATGAAGACGAAGAGAGTTTTGACGAGGATATGATATATCAGGGTAAGCTGCGTAAATCCAGCGTCATTGACTCAAGCGACTTCACAGCTCCCTCAAGCACCCGTGTTACCCGGGAATCGACGCCCGATGGCGCTGGTATTTTATCCAGCCATCGTGGGCTTGAAGCCAAAATGGATCATACTTCATCCCCGTCGGTGGCATCTATCGCAAGAAGAAGAAAACACTCCAGTAGGCGAAAGTCTTCATGCTCAGTTGTTCCTGCTCCCAGCATAAAGAAGAAACTTACTTCATTAGTTGCAAGCTCGCCAGGAGGAGCTGCTTTGGCGTCAACTCCGGGTCACGGTCAAGATGTGCATACATGTCAGTTGATAAATCCCTTGACAAATCAGCCTTGTCTCAAAAAATTTTCCAGACCTTACGATCTTATAAGGCATCAGAAAACGATACATGCTAGCAAGAAGAAGGTTTTCCGTTGTTTGATCTGCATACAAGAACAAGGAGAGGAAGGTTATCAAAAGACTTTTTCTCGCGGTGATGCACTGAGCAGACATGTCAAAGTCAAGCATGAACTTACAGGCGCTGAGGCTCAAAAGGCTATACAGTTCGCCAAAGAACATGTGGAGTTTGCTGCTTCTTGAATGTGACTGGGAGGAAAGACGATTGCAGAGGAAAGAAGATTAAGTTGAGGAAGAAAGGGAGATGCTTTGATGCGGGAGATCATACACATTTGCATAGAATAAAGGGACATCGCGGCTGTTCATCATCAAAGAATTAAAGATTGGATAAATTGAGCGCAATCGCTTAGACTACTTTATACCCATATTACCACATACCGTTGTACATAAACAAAAACTTGAAAATTTCATTAAATTATTGTGGTTTACTCTATTCTTCTATAAATGTTCATGAAGGCTTGCAGTTCGTCTCTTTGCTCAGTTTCTGTCCTGACTTTGGTTCTCAAAACCCTCATTCCTGACGCGCTCTGCATTTTGTTCTGCGAGTTCTGGGTCAAGGTAATACCGGCGAACAAACTTCTTCGTGGCCTTGTCTAATTCTACCACAATCGGAATTGCGTTAGGAATGTTGATATCTTTGATATCATCATCCGATATGCCCTCCAAAATTTTCAGCATAGATCGAACCGTACTACCATGTGCGACAACTAGCGACGACGAGCACTTATCTAAACTCCCTACGATAATTTGGTCCAGAAAAACGTTCAGACGCCGAACAACATCGCTCAGAGACTCACTGTTGGGTAGCGTCTCGCCCGATTTTTCCTCCAATGCGTATTTGATATGTCTTGTAGGTTCTTTAAAATCGTAGCCCGTTAGAGCACCTTTATCGTGTTTCTCTTGGATCATTTCTCGCTCAAGGTCTGCTGGCGGTGGCTTCCCCCAATAGTCTCTTCTGATGAACATATACTGTTCCTTCCCGTATTCTTTCAAAACGTCAGGCTTGCGTTGGCCCTGCCAAGAGCCGTAGTGACGTTCGTTAAGGCGCCAACTTTGAAGAACGGGTATCTTCCCCTCTTTATGGGCCTCTAAAATGTCATTCAAATTCGTGGATTTCGTCACAATTTCGTAATCACCTTTCAATCCCAATTCATCCAGCATAACTTCTAATGTCTGATGGGTCCTTATAAGACGTGATCCAAACGCAATTTTGGGAAGCGATTCCTTCGTGTGACAGAATTTTTTAATTAGCGTAGCAGCATTACGAGCTTGAATCTTTCCTTCTTCAGTCAGCGTAGCATCGATCCACCCACAGAATATATTCTCATGATTAAGCTCGCTCTGTCCATGTCTTAAGATGAATATTTTGTAAGTGTCATTCACTGTCATATTGGGCATTGACCAGTTCAGTTAAACCTTAGCACGTAGTTTTGAGTGTGTCAAACGGAATTAATACAATGTGATTCTACTAAAATAATGCGAGGTTAGGAAAGCAGCTTGTTCGAAGTGGTTTATTTTGGAAGGTGCTACCACTACTCTACCATCACCAGATCTCTGTTAAGGCTCGTTCGTCAACAGTGATTCAAGATAGAAGGGTTGTCGACTTACGTCTTCGTATAAGGCTAGGAGGACTTGGACATGGTCATATGAGCTTTCGGCGTTCAATTAGACCTCTCTGTCGAGGAATGACTGGAGCATTCCGGAAGGAGACTCTTCATATTCTTTAAGCTTAATTTCGTCGTTCACAAGATCTGTATTGGCTTGAATAATCTGTCTTCTTGGTAGTTTCTTCTCGATCACAATTGATCTAAAATTTGCTAAATCCCCGTCAACGTCGCTTCTTTCGAGAAAGAATTGCGTACCTCTGTCTTGGTCGCCCGAACATTTATAGATGTGCAGCTCGTGTAGGAACTGCGCAATTGCATCGTGTCCTTGACTTTCAATTAATGACCTGTTCAGGTTTATCGTCAAATCGCTGTGGTCGCTTTGGGAATAATCCAAAGTGAGCAAATTAGAGCCATTGGCGTGATTGAGCAGGGTTTTCATGATGGCGAACCTGGCCTGCATGTGAGGCTGGCCCCATTTTCGCGTGGAAGGATCCCAGAATTCGAGAGCGACAAGGCCTGCCCTGGCCATTTGCAGAAACCCGGCGTAAATGATGTTGTTCTGCTCTTCTCTGGTATCGAAGCCAAAGATTGACAGAATCTCACGATTTGTGATCAAATACATGGCAATCAATTCTGCACGGCATTCCTCGAAGGGTCCAGCTACACTACCGAATTTAGACCCCCAGGTCTCACCCTTGCGATAGTAAGTTTTCACGGGGTTACCAGAAAGATCGTGGGGCGGGTTATGAACATCGAAATTGAACGTGCCATCCTCGAGTTCGCACATAAGCTTGCCCGAGCCGTGGCCAAGGAGCTCGTGAATGCCCACTTGAACTTCGAAGGAATCCGCTTGGTATTTTCTGAAAAGTTCAAGGTCCGTGTCCTTTATAAAAGTGGGTGTCTGCTTCGAGTTCAGGGACACGTTCAAAATGTTACCGAGGGAGACGTTTTTAAAGCCGATGTTGAGCCTTACATCGTCGTAGTTGGGAATGTTTATACCCGCCGGTATTCCACTACCGGCAAAAGTCAGAACCTCTAGTGAAGTAAAATCTGGCGGTTGGAATTTAGGTTTCTCGAAATCAGATCCCCAAGGCAATAGCTTGATGAATTTCTCAGCATTCTTGACTAGAGTACTGAACTTGGCCGTCCGATTTTTATTCTGAATAGCCACCAGAGACTCAAATTCGCCAATGATTCCCGAGGGCTCACGGTACGTCTCGATGAACCCAATGTTTGTCTCGATTACTGGCGATATATCTTTGACCCAGATTTTTTGAGACTCTTTGTGGGCCTCAGACGAGCCAGTCTCGAAATGGCGTATGTACTCGGCGAGGAACCTACCCTGCTCATCATTAGCCGCGTAACGCTGGGCGGCTCTCAGATATTCACTAATTTTCGCCATCTCTCGACAGTGGTCGCCAAATTTGAAAACCGCGCTTCTGCAATTAGAGAGGCTTACTGGCCCTTGCGGGTAGCCTGGCACCTCGGAACTGCGAGAGGCAGAAGCCACAAGAATCTCAAAATCGCCGCTTGCCAGTTTCTTGATTCTGGTATTTTCTGGTAAAATCTTTAGCGCAGCAAACACTTCGTGTTTCAGAAGGACCATGTCTTTGTCAGATACCGGGCCGAAATAATACGACGACGTATACCCCGTAGCAGGAAACCCGAGTAATCCGGTTTTTTCATCGACTTCGAAGATGCCTTTATCTATCACGTCCTGCCACAACGCGAATTTGCCAGAAACGTCGCTGCTTCTGGCAGCTTTGTCGATGTTCGCCAACTCCAAAAGCCCATAAAAATACTGTTTTGAGCAGCGCGGAACGAACTTTGTGTCGCCAAAAGACTTGTAGTTGCCCAAATTGGCCAAAAACTGCGAGATGTAATCGAAATAAAGCTCGCGGTCAGCTGTTTCAGGGTACGATGCACCAGTCCCGGAGTGCACCATCATGATCAAATCGTAAATGCTTTCGCTTTCATGCGAAACCTGGCGCAACACAATTCTCGTCCCACAGTGAGATGCTTTGGACATGTAATGCGCGTAGAGCTTCTCGCGCGACGTGAGCTGGTCAAAAAACGTCTTGGCGCTTAGCATGACCTGTGGAGCCTTCGCATCGGCCAAATTTGTGTTTTTGGTGATGGTTGTCATAGTTCTTTTTGTAGTGATCCGTTTCAATAGCCCGTTGAGGGATGTAAACATTCAGAATTGCCTGAAGTCGAGCCAGCTCCAACAATTGATTGAATACCTGACGAAACACTTCAATTGAGATGGAGTTGTTCTTCTTTCTGGCTTTACTTGAGAAAGTGTCACTTTCCTTAACACTCGATGACCTTCAAGAAGCGGCTACCACTATAAGCCCTTCTTGAATGACGAATAATCATTTTGTACTAATGCTCGAATTCTACTCGGTTCCTCTCTTTAATGCTATCCATCGGCATTGAAAGCCTCTGTTAACCGCTTCAAAACCGCCACCATTGAACGTGTCTAATATACACTTTGAGTATGCAAGATAATTATCGAAGATTGGTCGTTATTTATGAAGCAGCTCACAAAGGTGGTCAATCACGACTAATAAGCCATCTGCTTTAAGGGCGCTGTAGCTTGTACTGTGCTTTTAATGCGTAACAGATGGCCACAACATGATGCTCTTGATTGTTTAGGAAATATTTGTCGAAGCTTGGAACTACGTATTGTCATGTAGTCCTATAACTTGGTACTGGCCTTACTCATTGGCTACCCATCTACGTATAATACGATAACTTCTCTCCTCTTCCAGGTATAACCAGGTATAGAATGAGAATGAGTTACCACCTGGTCACTTTAACTGAGAACTGGGTCACTTACTTTGTTTGCAAATAGGCTAGCAGCGCTGCGAGTGAACGCCGCCGACAACGTTGCTCATGAATTCCAATTTCCATGAAAAGCTACTAAGACAGCAACGAAATCGTCACAAATCCAGTTGCTTAACTATAGTAAGAGATCAACTTTAGATGGTTAATAGGTCAGCCATGGCTCACGTACACCAAATTCAAGTAGTAATTCATCGGACTCGTGGCCCAGTGCTGCGCACAACCCGCTTTGAAAAATATCACTCCGTACGCGTCTCTCACAAGATGAGCTCTTCATCTAATCAATACACTATGCTTTAAATCTTGATGGGTTCTCTAACTACAAAAATTGGAATAGCTGTTCTGTGTATGCCAGCACGTTCAGAGCCTTAGCTTTTCGCCTCTGGCCTTCTTGGATTCTCCGTATTTCTTGACTCTGATGGCTTGGATGGCGATGAATCCGGTTGTGTCGATAGGCGAGAAACCGGTCAATTCGTCCATGGAGGACTCCGTAGCATCGTAGAGGTTCTCCGTTTCGGACGATCTTCCCAGCACGATGACATTTCCCTTGTAGAGTCTCATCCTGACTTGACCGTTGACAGTCTTTTGGGAAGGCGCGATCATGCCCTTGACGTACTCGAATTCTGGAGTGAAGAATGAGCCGTTGTACATGAGTCTGGAGTAAGTAGGCGTCACAAATTGGTCTCTGATATGGCGAACCTCTTTGTCGAGCGTTAAACCCTCAAGGTCGACATGTGCCTTCCTGAGTAACGTGAGTGGGGCTTGTTCGTAGCATCCTCTGGACTTTAGGTTGATGTACCGGTTCTCGACAATGTCGATTCTGCCCACACCGTTTCTTCTGGCGAGCTTGCCCGCGGTGAGGAAAATGTCGGTAGGCTCAGTGGCGGTCTTAGAGGCGCCGTTTTCGGTGTAGGACAGCTTGATTGGGACACCCTTCTGGAATACTATCGTCAAGTCCTCTGGCTTGTCGGGTGCGTCTTCTGGGTCCGTGATGAGCTTCCACATGTCCTTAGGAGGCGTGGTGTCAGGGTCCTCAAGAATGCCGGCCTCGTACGAAATGTGCGCCTGATTTTCGTCTGTAGACCAAGGCTTGGCCTTCGTCTGCGCGACGGGGATGCCTTTCTGGGCAGCGTAGTCGAGCAAGTCCTTTCTGCCTGCGAACCGCTCGAAGAAAGTGGGGTCCCTCCAAGGCGCAATGACCTGGACGTCCGGCTTGAGTGCGTAGAAACCAAGCTCGAAACGGATCTGGTCGTTACCTTTGCCAGTGCAGCCGTGTGCGACCGCGAAACAGCCCTCTTGCTCTGCGACGTCGATCTGCGCCTTTGCAATCACGGGTCTGGCAAGTGAGGTACCGAGCAGATACACATCTTCGTAGACGGCGTTGACCTGGACCGCTGGGAACAGCACGTCCTGGACAAACTCGTCTCTGCAGTCGACACACACAAACTTGGTCGCACCGATCGCGAGCGCCTTCTTTTCAGCGGCCTCGAAGTCTTCTTCCTGGCCCACGTTGGCAAGGAAAGCGACCACCTCATAGCCCTGGTCTAGGAGCCACGCAAGGATAACCGAGGTGTCCAATCCCCCGGAGTAAGCCAGACAAACTTTACCTTTAGACATTTTTTATTGTATTAGAATTCAGAGTTGTAGCCTGAGTGCGACTTGAGTCTTGTGTTCTACTGCTTACAGCTGCTTTCTCGTGCCTGACTTCTGCTTCAGCTCGTCCTTATGTACCATCTCTAAGAACTGTGAAAACTGTATCGTCGGGCTGAAAATTTTCTCCTACGCGCCTTCGAAACAGTCATCTGGGCCACTTACGCACCACTGGCGCCTGCTGGACTCCTGATCTTATCGCCTGGGGCTCTAAGCACCTCTTAGACGGCCAGCAGCCAATGCACTTATCCTGACTCATTTTCTTGTCCCGACCGCTGCCGTACGGCAATACTTGGCCTACCTGACGCTTTTCCGGCTCCGTGGCTGGGCCCGTTGCCAGCGGGCCCAATCCATTACCAGCGCTTTTGTGGCGCGCTCAGAGCACCGTGTTCGCCTAGCTAAATACTTCTACTAAGTTTCAATTATCAACACTTTTCTACCGTCTAAAGCGTCTGCGCGCCCGCATCAGAGCTTAGTTCTCTAGTTCCTGTACTTAGCGGACATTAAAAGAGCTCTCTAAGTCCTGTACTTAGTGGAAATAGTGAGGATGGAAAACAAGGCTCGGTCGCTGTGTACGAGGTACACGGGATTATAAACCCGCATCAAAAACGCCGTACGGCGATTTTTTATTTAAGGTGTGGGTGTTTTATTCGTCTATCGTGACTCTATATGGCGGCCTTAAGGCGGATTTTGTTGGAGCCCCTAATGTGCCGTTCAGGGTGACTTTGAATCACGAATCCGACAATTTAGATGGGCTATCCATCGACTACAAATTTAATCAAAAATAAGAACATTTACGCGTTTCTCTCGTGATCTCTTATTTGAGCATGAGTTACTTGGAATCGTGGCTGACTTCTGCTTCGCTTACCCCAGTGCAATGTACAGTTTTCCAACTAGAAGGGAAAGAGATTATAAGGAGGTGGATAGTTGTCTGAGAAAGAAGCGGTGTGCTGAGAGAACGCCTTCCTTTGGTGACTCCAGCTCCGCGGATACACTTGTCAACGATAATTTAGAGCCTTACTATGGCTCGTCTCGTCGAGATGAAAAGGCGCTTCGTCTTTCTGCGGGCGGTGAAATCTCCGACGATGATGTGCGCGATGACATGTCCTTGAGTGATAGCGCGTCTGACCCTCCCACACTCGAGGAAGAATATGTAATCGAACCTACTGGCTCTGGGATTGCTCAGAGAAGCTCTTCGGAAGCCTACAAAGGCGTTGAAAGCGGTCCCTCAGCTGGTGTTCGACAGATAGTCAAAGAAACATCAGCTGCTAACGTAGCTACAACAGTCGTTCAAACGGCGCAAATTCCTGCTGCAGGCAGTCAGGAGAAGCCGATTGTCTCTCAAGAAGTGTCCGGTCGCACTCTCCAAAGAAACGGAGCAACAACAATCAGCCAATCCATTACGCTGCCAACTCAGAATTGGACTATGCCGGCCAATTCAAAGAACAAGCAACACGACAGTTGTCTTCAATCTAGTCAATATCTTCATTGCAGCAGCTCTGATGAATCAGATGATGACAACAGCGACTTAAACAGTCGAATCAGCGCACGCAAAGTAATAAAAGAAAGGGCGTTCCCTAATTCTGAGCCAGCTTTTAAAAAAAGATTCGGTTTTGGTTTTGAAGCATTTTCATTGAATCCTTTCAGCAAGCCTTCTCTAGTTGTGAATTCAAGTCTAAATGATGCCGATACGCAAGTCATTGAGAAATTTAATATTTGGCTGTTGTCTTCTCCGTTTCAGATTTGGGTCACTAAAGTGGGGGATAACCCACCTTATGCTATTTGCAAATTCGACAACTGTAGACGCAAATTTACTTTTCAAGGCAATTCTACTTCATTTAACATCGCGAAGCATCTTAAGCGGCAACATGAGGCTGACTATGAGCTGTACCAGAAAATTTTGAGACGTAGCCAAAGAACTCTCGAATCTTCCTCGTCTGCTTCTTCAAATCACGAAGGACCGTCCGGGTTAACGAAGAGACTTCTTCAATTTCTGTCCGTCCATAAGCTAACGCTTAGTCAATTGAATGTTTTCATTGAAGGATTCATCCCGTTCAGCTTGGTTGAATCGCATGCCATGGGTGTATTTCTGAAGTCCCTTAACACATCCGATTGCCCGACTTTATTGTCAAGTGAAGAACTTGTAAGCCTTTTGAGAGAATATGAAATCGAGCTCAACAATCAGTTAAAGCATACCATGAGTTATTCTTCAAATTTCAACATTTTGATTGACATGTGGACGTCGTCTAGCCAAAAAAGCTACCTGGCTGTCTTGGTTTCCTTCTGTCCTAACGTGAATGGAAATTTACGACTGAGAAAAGTCGATGTGACAACTCGTGGAAAGTGCGACACGCATTTGCTAGACTTCATAGACTTGAGCGATCAGCGGCACGCCGGTGATTACTTAAAAACTGCCTTATTGGCATGTCTATCCAAATATGCTATTAGTCACAAAGTTGGTAGCATAACCTTGAGTATTGGGTCGAATAATACCTCGATTCTTGAGAATCTAGACTCAGACCTCGAGCTAGGATTTAGCAATAGCGGTGTTAGGCGCGTTGTCAAGATTAGGTGTATGACTCATGTGTTGAACCAGGTCTTCGCAGATTTGTTTCAGAGAATCGAAGAACGTTACTCTTCGTTGCTGTCAAGAATCGACAAACTTGCTGATCTCATTAAAAGCAACATCCACATTCGCGAAAAGATTCGCGCTTATATTCCATGCTTGATCCCAAGGCGTAATCAAACAAGGTCCCTTTCACGCTATCGTCAACTCGAAGTCTTTCTTAAAGTTTGGAAGGGTGCGAAGGAGTTCTTTCTAGAGAGTCGATTTGATCATGATTATCAGCTTACGCCAGATCATTGCTCGACATTTTGTTATGAACAGAAAGAAATAGAAACCGTCACATTCGTTCTACGCTTGACGCGTATTTTCGAAGAGTTAACGACGCTGTTACAAGGTGAGGCTACCTGCTCTCTCATCAATGGAATTGAGTACTACATGAATTTAGGTCAATATTACGATTTCGTTGAGAAATTGTTAAGTGGCTCAGAGGACATCCAGTTGTTAAAAAATCTCGGACTCAAACCGACACATTTGCCATCCAAGGAAATAAGGGATAAAATACTCGGTTTTTTTTTGAGCTCGCGTCCCAAGTTTGAAAAGTACAGGACGATTGCTTACAATGAGCCCGGCTATTGGGTGGCTCATATTTTGCAACCCTATCTTAAAGCAGACCGGTTGAACAGAGTTTTCGAAAAATCTTTCAGAGATGAAGTTCTCGAGTTGGCTGAAAAATACGTTACAAATTATTGTAAACTATTCTCCGAGACGTTTGAGAGTAGTCACGATAATAAGGCAGCGGCTTCTAAAGTTAACTATAGCCAAAACAGAAAAAGCAAATATATGGAGATCATGAGTCAATACTTCGATAGGAATTCAGGAAATGACGACAGTTTGGTTCAAGATGAATGGCAATTATATCTCAGGGAACCCGCTGAGAAAGGCCAGTTTTACGTGGACTATTGGCTAACAAACCAAGGCCGTTTCCCTGCCCTTTCCTCATTAGCCCTTTCCTTCTACAATACCAAGTTATCGACAGCCGATGTAGAGAGGTGCTTTTCCGTAAGCAGGCGGGTTCTCGACAGTAGATTTTCGTTGGCGAGCGCAAATCTTAGAAGCACAATGATGATACGCAATCGATTGAAATGTTTCAATTTGAGCTCAGAAATGCATGTTGCCGAAGACATTCCAATAGAATCATGGATCGTGGATGAGGAAGACAACGGCTCATGGAATGACGGGTTTATGGAATCGAATAATGCTCACGATGTAGAGCTGTCTTCCAGCGACGGAAGCGATAATGAATGATCAATATGCCAAGCCTATGGCATAAGCCGAAACTGCCAAGAAAAAAAAACAGGCTTGAGGCTATCAAGAGATCAAATGATGTTACCAGATAACTAACATATTGGTCACTTAGGTAAAGGTAAGTAACAAATCGTCGAAGGGTCGCATTAAGCACGTTTAAGTGATGAATTCGTATTTAGTGCTACTAACGCTTGGCTCGTGCTAACTCAGTGAACTGGAGAAGGTTCCGGCGGTTCGCAAACCCGGCCTCTTCTCACGAACTTAATTTGGCAAACTAGTCGCTAAAATTGTTTTTAATATGGAATTAGCCGCGACTACTTAGATTACTGCGGAAAATTAAGCTATATAATAGTGACACTTTGTCGATTTCAGTCACCGGGTCACCTGCTTCTTTGCAGAATCCTCGTTAGCATATTAGCGTACCTTCCCTTCGAGGCCATCGGCTTGTAATTTGCTTGCAAAAATGTTTTGTAATTTAAAATACTAATATACACTCTGTTAAAAGGCTTATAGAAAGAAAAGTGCCCGACTTCCTCAACCTAATGAAACGAGTAATTCTCAGTGGTTAAAATGCAGGTAATTGTTTTGAAGATATATGCGACTCTTCTGGCGCAGACAGAGAGAGAGAGGGGGGAGAAAAAAAAGCGCTTATTGCTTCTCCTCGGCGTCGCTGCGGACGTTGACACCTTCCAAATCCTCAATCATGTCTGGTAGGGTCTCCATGGAGGCGTTCTCGTAGACGATCTGGTAGACGGCCTCGAACAATGGGAACTCGTCGACCTTACCGCTGGCCTCCAACCATTCGTGCACCTCCTTACAGGTGTGAATACCCTGGGCGGATTGGCCGTTCAACAGCTCTTTTTCACACTCCTCGGCAGACTTGCCGGTCTTGGCCATGTGGGTTGCAACCCTCACGTTTCTGCCACCAGAGCAGGTTGTGATCAAGTCGGCAACACCGGCGGACTCTTGGTAGTATGTCTCGACCTTGGAGTCAGGGAAGAAGAGCTGGCCAAACTTGATGATCTCGCCGAGACCCACTCTTTGGATGGCGGCAGAGGCGTTGTTACCCCAGCCAAGACCCTCGACGAAACCGCAACCCAAGGCGACAACGTTCTTTAGCGCACCGGCGACAGAAATGCCTGCAACATCGTCGATGACGTTAACGTGGAAGTAAGGTCTGTGGAACAAAGCCTTGAGCACGGCGTGGTCAACGTCTTTGCCCTCGCCCTTGAAGTCCTTGGGGATCTGGTACGCGACAGTGGTCTCGGACCAGTTCTCCTTTGCCACCTCTGGCGCAAGGTTGGCCCCGGAAAGCGCACCGCAGGTGATACCGAGCTTGTCGGTCACGTAGGTGGAGAGCAGTTTGACACCGTCCTTCGACACGTCGAAACCCTTCAGACACGAGATAGCACGCGCGTCCTTCTTAACCTTGCCCTGGAGTTGCGACACGATACGGGGTAAAAACTGGTGTGGAATGTTGAACACCAAGATGTCGGCGTCCTTGACCGCGTCCAGAAGGTCTGGGTTTGCGACCAAGTTCTCAGGCAGCTCGATGCCCGGCAGGTACTTGACGTTCTCGTGTTTTGTGTTGATGATGTCCGTGAGCTTCTGGCCGTTAACTTCCTCTTGGAAGACCCACATGTCGACGCGGCGCGCAAACAAGTGTGGTCTTAGAGCCGCGTTCTCGGCCACCACTTTGGAGATCGTGGTACCCCAGTTACCGGACCCGATCACGGTCACTTTGAACGGGTGCTCAACTGCTTGGATCGACTCGCTTAGGATGTCGCTGGTTTGGTTTAGTCTATCGGCGGCGGACATTGCTGGTATGAAGTGTATGAAGATGTGGGTATGAGCTGTCTTTCGAAGTCTTTGTCAAAAGCAGCAAATGGTGTTTTCTAAAGAAGAAATTCGTGTGACGACGACTATCTGTAGAGTGTAGTAGCACTAACCTTTGGTACCTATATATACAAACAAAGGCTTCATCAATAACCCCGTTATCAGATCGCTTACTTATATACTTTTTGCCATTCGCTGCTTTCCTACCGATTATGCCCCCCATGCGTCAGGGGTCACACTTGGCCTGCGTACGCCTGCGTAAGCAGGCGTACGCTGTTTGGGCAAAGAGGAGATCCGCCGTGGGGGCGTAGCGGCTCAGGTGGGTCAAATGCGCGCGGGTGAGTCAAATGGGCCAAATAGGTCAATGTTGTCTGTGGGTCTAGAGCCGCTTGTGACCGTATTGGGCCGATTTTCCGGCCTTGCCCGCTTTTTTGGAAGTGGGTCAGATGGTGACCCAATGGGACATCTGGTCATTTGTCCCAGGGGACAAAATCGCGGATATCCAAAACCCGATGCTGGAGCCGCTCCTGGATGGTCGCTGCAGGAAGCCGCGATCGGGCAGCGGGGCCGGCAGCGGGGCCGGCAGCGGGGCTGCAAGGCCCACGGCGGGTGAAGCTAGTGGAACCAGCGGAGCCGGCGGCGGCGATGGAAGCGGCGATGGAAGCGGGTGGACGTCAGGTCTTGTTGCGGCGGTGTAAGGATGTAACAGGAGGGTGGCAAGCCATGACGTCAGCGGCCACGTGGACGGTTCGCGCATGTCGCGTTGTACGTCGTTTTTTGGTATAGGGCGCGGCAAACGAGGGAGGCAATGACGTAGGGACATTTAAGATCGGTGGTGTCTGGATGACGGTTCGCGCGCGGTCCGCGGCTACTTTACTGCATGAGGCTGAGTTGCGTAAGTTAGGGTAACCGCGTGTGCACGTGGTTGTTTTTTACTGGTTGTTCATCGGTGCATTTCCTTTGAGTAACGCGTAACTGAAACATACTTACGCGTCGCGGTGGTCCGTCTCAGTGACGGACTCTGACATTGAACCCATGGTTCGAGTTATCTGCCAAGATGGCTTGCAAAACGATCAAAGACCCTTAGCGACACGACCAAAGCGGAGTGCGGTGAAAAGCAGCGCGAGCGGCTGGATGCTGAAGTCGTCGCTCCGCCCTTTCTTCGATTTTATTGCGAAAGACGGAGAAAGATACGCGTTGTGCAAGTACTGCGGGAAACAATATCGCGAAGGGGAGTCCACCGGCAACCTCGCCAAGCATGTGCGCGGCCAGCATCGAACTGCTTTTGAGCAAGCCAACAACAGGATTGGGAAGGGAAACGTGGTTCATTCGCTAGCCAAAAGAAGATCGACGTCATTAAGATTATCAAGGGCCATACAGGAGGAATTCAAACAAAAACCACTTATGATCGATACCGTGCTGCTAGTTGTCGAGAAGTTCCTGCCCTTTAGTTTTGTCGAAAGCGCCGCATGGAGCCAAATAAATGAGAATCACGTTTCTGGCCAACTTATACAATCCAGGACGACACTTTCGAAGAAAGTTGACCTCTACTCGAAATACATGAATGACTCGCTTCACCTCAACCTGAGGGACACCCAGCTCGTGAACCTCGTACTTGATGTCTGGACTGCGGGAAATGGGGAGTCATTCCTTGCTATCATGGTTTCTTTTGTGCCGAATTTGTTCAAAGAGGAAGCAGTCAAGGCGGCAATCTCTCCATCTCCGTTCCTCGATAGACTGGGCAAGGCGCAAAACACGCACTTGCTCGACTTTGTAAGCCTGGGTTCGAAGCGGCATTCCGGTCAGATTCTTTGTACATTATTTCTGCAGTTGATGGACAAACACGGTCTGACAGATAAGGTGGGCACGATAACTATGGATAATGCCGCAAACAATGGTACTTTATATTCACATTTGATACACAATAACTACAAAATATCAAAACCGCTTCCATACCGACTGCTTGGTAAGACGCGGTACATCAGATGCGCCAGCCACGTTCTGAATCTACAGTTTCAGAAAATCATGAATTACTTGCTCTCCAAGCGCATATTCGCTGACCCTTTCTCGAAAATTATAAAGCTTTCCAAAGTTATCAGATATTCAACTCGAATCAGAATGTGTTTGGCGGAATTTAATGCACCCCTTTTACCTTTAGACTCTCAGACGAGATGGATGACGAGATGGCGTCAAATCCATACCTTTTTGAAGAACAGACACATTTACGAGGCTTGTTGTGAAAAAATAAAAGACTCTGGAAATCTCAAACTGGCAATGAAGTTGCGCGAGCTTATCATCTTCGATGCAAGAACTTTAGAGCTCTTGCAATATTTTGTCGACGTTTGCAAAATCATGAATGAAACCAATCTGCAATTGCAGCATGCCGAAAATAATTGCTTGCCTAATGCAGCACCGGTCTACTATTTGATGGACCATTTCTACCAAAACTGCACCGATGCATTGGCAGGATACAAGATCTCGAGATCGTCCTCAGATATTGATTTCTCATGCCTCAACGGTAGCTCAGCCCTGCATCCCGACGACAAGCGATTAATACTTGATTCCATGGCAATTGCTAAATCGTCACACGAGAAATATTTCATCGAGTTTCGCTCCAACCCCGTATATCATGTGTCTTTCATTTTGGACCCGAGAAGCAAATCTCATGGACTTTACAACTTGATGAGTGCGTCGTATGCCGTCAAAAACATTCAAAAGTCCGAGATGTTTATCATGAACTACCTCAAAGAATATGAATCGTGCTGTCCATCTCACCCAAGTAACGCAACACCGCAGCGAGAATTGAAGGAAAAAGATCGTTATTTCGCCTTCACTCTAAAAAATCGCGACGCCGACAAAATTGACACGAGCGATAACTCAAATGAAAACTCCGTGGCACTTGATGAGTGGAACAGCTATTTGGCAGAACCTAGGCTAGCTCTAACATCAAAAGAAGCTGCCGTTAATTGGTGGTTTGAGCGGCGCTACAGATTTCCGCGTCTATTTAAACTGGCGATGTGTTTATTCTACACCAAGATCTCCACTTGTGATGTTGAGAGAACCTTTTCGTTGGCTGGGAGGGTGATGCGAAAAGATCGCAAAAAACTGCACGGCAAAGCCCTGACAACTTTGATGACCCTTCGGGACAGGTTTGTGCAGTTTAATTTCTATAAAAAGAATGTTGGGAAAGCATCATTCGAGGATCAAGATATTGAAACCAACGATAGTGAATCTTCTGATGAACTAGAAACGTATTTGAAGAAGTTGACATCATACGATCGTAACATTGATGATATTGGCATTGATGCTAATGATGGCGACATCAGCGGTCAAAAGGACTCTCTCTCATTATTTGATTCTGCTCCTGTAAAGGACGGATTCCCAAATTTTGACGATAACGATACTGTTATAAGTGAAGATGCAAGCATTGAAGAAGTGGATATTATTGAGGAGCATGACCTCTATAAAGAAACTTCTTTGCATGACAATTATTCTATGACAGAAGATACGTTACGCGACAAGGCTACGATTGTTACAGAATAGCCAGTAAAAGTTCAAAACGCTACGAATAGTCTAAGGGCCTCTTATAGAGAAATGATTGACGGTGCCCAAGACTACGTATTGATAAGTAGCACTGTCGCGGCCATTGCTAGAAACACCCATGTTGCCCACGAAGTACCCACGAAGTACCCACGCGTACAAAGCCACAACTCATTTGCGACTCACTTAGGAGTGAGTGTGAGTTATACCCGGTAATAAAAAGTGACGACTCGGTTACCCAGTATATTAGTATGGTCCCCAGTGCTGGATTTTGTGTGAATAAACATCATTTTGCAGCTCCTCTACTCGTAAATACTTCAAAAGTCGAACTACTTGATGTTGGGTTTAGTTGTTGAAGCGTTTGCACAGTATACTTATTAACGAAACACGTTCCTGGAAGCGTGGGTTACCAACCTCAGCCATACAGTAGCTTTTAGTTTGATATAGCGGCAAAACAAGGTTCCTGGCTGTTTCAGAGACAATTCCAGTTCAAAACTACATGTTTCCTAGTAGTATTGTCGCATGCTTGACAGTTACGTTACTCACTAAGTACTCATTGAGCACTCGTCACATGACCTCGGCCAAAAGGGCTAGTCGCGCCGCACGTGCCCATTGGGCCCGAGCCCTTTTTATTTTCTTTTTTTTCAAGTTGACTTGGTCATGCTGAACGAAAAGTGTCTCAATTTTGCCCATCTCAATGCTAGAAATTGATTAATGGAGAGGGATTTGAGCCGCGCGAAACAAGTTCGTACAGCTACAATCTCAAGCGCAAGGTTCTTCTAAGCCTCTACCACTACACCAGTCGCTTCTTCCCCTCGAACCACCCAAATGCTAAGGCGAGAGCCCACTCTGTGGCTACAGCGTGTAGTGCCGCTGCTGACGCTCCTGCACGCAATTCGGGGTCGGCCGCTCGTTGCCGTTGCCGGCATCGAGAACGCCAGTCCGGACACTAAAGACCCCCGGTTCGTGCCCTTCTTGATCATATCCGTCGTGCTGGTGTTGCTGGGCGGTGTTTTTGCAGGTCTTACACTAGGGCTCATGGGCCAGGACGAGGTCTATCTCAAGGTCATCAGCACCAGTGGTACTGCGCACGAACAGAAACTTGCGAGACGGGTTTTGGGCCTTATTTCGCGCGGTAAACACTGGCTGCTCGTCACTTTACTGCTTTCCAACGTGATCACCAACGAAACTTTACCCATCGTCCTCGACCGGTGCCTTGGCGGCGGCTGGCAGGCCGTCGTCTCTAGTACCGTGCTCATCGTCATTTTCGGCGAAATCATCCCGCAATCCATCTGCGTGCGGTACGGCCTCGAAGTCGGCGCCTTCTTCTGCCCCTTCGTGCTATGTCTCATGTACGTGCTGTTCCCCGTCGCTTTCCCAATTGCCTTGCTGCTTGACCGTATTCTTGGCGAAGACCATGGAACCATGTACAAAAAATCCGGGCTCAAGACACTTGTCACGTTGCATCGCACCATGGGCGTCGACAGGCTGACCAGAGACGAAGTTACCATTATCTCTGCGGTCTTGGATCTCAAGGAAAAACGTGTGTCCGAGATCATGACCCCGATTGAGAACGTGTTCACGATGAGCGCAGATACCATCCTAAACGACGCCACGGTCGACGAGATCTTTAACTCTGGTTTTTCGCGAATCCCAATCCATTTTCCGGGCGAACCCAACAACTTCATCGGAATGCTTCTGGTGCGAGTCCTGATCTCGTATGACCCAGAGGACGGATTGCCCGTTTCTCATTTCCCGCTTGCTACCCTTCCAGAGACTTCTCCCGACACTTCTTGTTTGAATATTCTCAATTACTTTCAAGAGGGTAAATCCCACATGTGCGTCGTGTCAAAGGAACCTGGAAGCTCGTTGGGAGCCCTGGGCGTCCTGACCCTGGAGGATGTAATCGAAGAGCTCATTGGTGAAGAAATCGTGGATGAGTCCGACGTTTTTGTTGATATCCACCAGCGTATCATGCGCGAGCAGCCCGGCCCTCTCGCTAAGAGGCATATCACTTCCTACTTGCATTCATTATACACAAATTCGCATAGGCGTTCTGGTGCCAATACTTCTGAGGAGCGAAAACCTTTACTAACAAGCGAACCCGATGGTGTGGTACCGAATGATGTGCACTCCAACGGGAAAAACACGCCGTCCTCGGTCCGTGGAAAAATCGTCCTGCCTTCTAATCCAGCTTCAAATCCACTTCATACTCACAATCCGCACGTTACCGTGAAAAGGCTTCCCGAACTCAGTCGCGGTGCTTCTCCGCCTAAACATAGAGGCGGATCTCCTAACTACGGTGGAACAGATACCTTTCCAAAAGCCTCACAGGGATCCAGCAACTCTTTGGAAAAGGGCATGAGTCTGAAAGACGACAAAAAGGCAGAATCCATTTTCCATGAGCACAGGGACTCCGCCCAGGTGGCAGCGGATTATACTGCGGCAACTGGCGAGCCTACAAAGGTTACCACAACCCGCCAGTCTAGCCCGCTCGTGTTAGACAAGGTATCTTCGTCGAATTCTGCTCAGTCGGGCCTCCTGCCCGATACCCGCATGATTTCCTCTTCCTACCGATCTACTAAGAACGGTATAGTAGAAAGCGTCGTCACCGTGAAGGGTGTTCCTAAGACCATTATCGAACCCGCCAAAAACTGGGACGAGTCTCAAGAGGTTGTCATCGATGAACGTCACAACGTCAGAGAATCTGGCGACGACAGCGATGACAGCTCCAGAAATCATCCGAGTTCTGGCAAAAACGCCACAAGTCGAAGGGGCAGTGTTTTCAGTATCCTACGACGCGTCGGATCCAGCAACAGCCGCTCCAGCAGCCGACATACCCCGTCCGTCGGTTCCGCATCCTCTGAAAGAATTGAGTCGGAAGCTCTTGGAAGTGACGAAGACGCCTATTCCATGAAGAATTCACTTTCTTGATTACATATATTTGCAACTAACACTAACCAGAATCTTGCAAGTCTAGCTGGCTTGTACCAGCTGGTTTGTCCATATTTGATGGTTTATAGTCGTCCTGATCAGTCGTTAGTTAGATATCTTTGGACGAAGCAGTCATTTGGAAGTAACGGCAAGAAGAAGATGAAGATCGTTCACTACAAAGGGAAGAACCCAATCCACGGGGAGTGAAAAGACTTGGTTGCGGAGCTTGAGTGGTGACGTAACATTCGAAGAATAACATTCGTTAGGCTGGTTTCCGTTTTCTGAAAGCGGCGCGATCTTGATAAAGGGTCGTAATTTGGTTGATCATCAATTCCGCCTGGTGAGATTCGGTTGAAATGGTCCAAGAAAGCTCTGCTTCGGGACAGCATACGGATGAATTACATCCTATTGGATCGTCGAATTCTAATTCGTCCCAGGGAAATAGTATTTTTGGTAAGAAGAAGTATGGTTTGGGTCTCTCGAAGTTGTTAAGGGGATCGAGTCATTCTTTGCCCGGTGAATCGGGCAAAGATCTGTTGGGATCACTGCTGTCGCCTAAACACAGTAATTCTAGTTCCAAGTCTCAGGAATCGACGTCGCGGTCCCACGTTTCAGTGCCTATGATGGACCATCCGCATATGAGTCAGCCACATGCCAACCATTTGCATAATCCAAACAATTACAATGAGCATCACGAAAGAACGCAACTTGCGGAAACTACATCTTCATCTTCTGACTACACACACCATATGCATAGGTTGAAAATCACGCCCTCACCGCAGTCACATATGCATCCTGTGCAGCTACTCCAAAAAGAGATCGAAGAACAGCAAATGAGACTGGCCTCGCCGTCTCTGACGTCTCACAAGCACAAGAAGCCCTCACTGCGACTCAAACGGTTTTTCAAAAAGATCCACGGCGATGACGCGAGCGGATCAGACAATACAAATGCATCGATAGCATTCATGAAGGATGAAACCTCGACGTCCAACACACTTTATGAGACTGACGATGCTCACGAGCTCATTGAGAAGTATGGAGTTCCGGGAAAGCTTTTGGGTGAGGGAGCGTCTGGTTCGGTCTCTGTGGTGGAAAGGACCGACGGTAAGCTATTCGCGGTGAAGAGGTTTAGATCTCGAGGCAACTGGGAAACGCAAATTCAGTATTCCAAAAAGGTGACTTCGGAGTTCTGCATTGGTTCCACTTTGCGTCACATGAACATCATCGAGACGCTAGATATGCTTCAGGAAGGACAAAATTTTCTGCTGGTCATGGAGTATTGTCCATACGATTTCTTCACCTTGGTCATGAGCGACTTGATGACTAAATATGAGATTGCGTGTTATTTCAAACAAATTTGCAACGGTGTTGAATATTTGCATTCAATGGGGCTCGCGCATCGAGACCTCAAACTCGACAACTGCGTCGTCACCAATCAGGGCATCTTAAAACTTATTGACTTTGGAAGTGCAGTAGTTTTCCAATATCCTTATGAACAGGATATTGTCAAGGCTAAAGGGATCGTGGGTTCAGATCCTTATCTTGCTCCCGAGCTTCTACTTGCCCCAACGTATGATCCACGGCCAGTTGACGTTTGGTCGATAGCTATTATGTTCTATTGTATGTCCTTGAGAAGGTTTCCCTGGAAGGCGCCTAGGGATAAATACCAATCTTTCAAGCTGTTCTGTGAAGAGCCTGAGCATGAAAAGGATAGTCAGAGAGGGCCTTATCGAATACTGAAACTTTTACCGCGTCACTCCCGTCATTTGATAGGCAGAATGATGGAATTGAACCCTAAAAAGAGAATTTTGATGTCAGATGTGGTGGAAAGTCATTGGTTCCAGCAAATAGAAAGTTGTGAGGTCAATGAAAAGAATGAGTTATTGCGCATCCCGGAAAAACACAAGCATCATCTCATAACTGAAGAAGAACTGAACGAGTTGAATCGTCGGAGAGAAGAAGAGGCCCAACTTTCAAAGTTGCGTGCCGAAGAAGTGGATCATATGGACCATGCTAATATGGAAAAGCGATACATGAAAGAAGGCAAAATCGTTGAAGAGGAACAAAAATTTAAAGCATTGCGCGATGCTGAGCAATCTGAGAGGTTTACTCATGCGCCGTCAACTTCTGATTTGGAAAATGGAACAGAAGGTAAGTCATAATTTTTCTTCCGGCAGTCAAACAAAAACTCTTTTAAACGTTATGTACTCATATTCATTCTATAAAATGAACACCTTGAAAGTTATTTAAACCAGGTTGCGAATCACAATGGTTTACCAGCCATGCTCGAAAAGCATGCTTATTGATTCACCATTGTGTATTCTTCTTATAGATTCTCCAAATACCCTGGACACATTAAGAACTTGAACTCTGTCCTTACCAAGAACTTCAATCGTTTTTTCTTGAGGAACCGTGTTTGTAACAATAATTTTATCGATTGCACTTTGAGAGACCCTGTTCAAAGCATCTCCAGAAAACACACCGTGGGTAATAAGAGCGTAAACCTTCGAAGCACCCTGATCCTTCAGCAGCTTCGCAGCCCTGGTGATAGTGTAAGAGGTATCCACAAGATCATCAACAATGATACAAACCTTGTTGCGAACATCTCCCACTAGCATGGTTGTTTGAACATATTTGGATGAACTGTGGGACATTTCGTGGGAAGCAGACCGACCTAAGGAAGATCCAAGCAATGGATGGGAAGAGATAGGAAGACCCCCTCCCGAGGTGAATGTAGCATTAGGAGGTCCCTTTGGTAGTTGTGACCGTCTCTCCTTGTGGATTAGTGCAAAGGACAATTCCAGAGCGTCTGCAATTGAAGCGGCTCTTTTAGCACCACCCGCGTCTGGTGAGACAAGCACGGCTTCTTTGTAGTCTGGAATATTGTATTGGATGTAATTTTGCGCAATAGGCTTACAATACAGATTGTCAACTGGTATATCGAAAAACCCTTGAAACTGAGCATCGTGCAAGTCCATGGTAATGACGTGGTCTGCTCCAGCCGTTGTAAGCAAATTGGCGACCAAAGTCCCCGCCTGGGCAACCCACAACTTGTAGCCAGCGTTACTGGCGTTGAACAAAGACCCCAGATCCGATGAGTTTTCTTCGCGTTCTGGCACAACAGGGATACGAGATTGTGAAGGTGATTTGTGCAAATTTGTATCCATGTTCAACCTTTTTGGAAGAGGTTGTTTTAAACCGTCGGGAAGTTCCTCTGCACTTTCGATGATACACTCCGTAATATTCTCCGGCACGTTGTGAGAAAGGGGTTTCTGGGTCGTCAACACAGAAGGCAGAGGAGTTCCAGGATGACTCTCGAATGTGTAAACCTCTTTGGGCTTGGAAATAAGTGGTGCTCCTTTGGCAGTATACGGGATATCTGGTTGTCTGGAATAACAAAAATAAGGCATCACAGCGGTCACACGGCTAGCAGACGCAGTTTTACAGGCATTCAACAGAATTAAAAGTTCCAAAAAATTGTCGTTAACATGTCCACATCCACTTTGAATAACGTAAACATCTTTCTCACGTACCGATTCTCCGATACTTATACTGGTCTCACCATTAGAGAACTTGCCTAATTTAACCTCTGAAGGTTTGATACCGAGGTTATCACAAATCTGGTTCACCAAAGACGGATGTGAATTTCCACCAAATACCACGATGTTGCTCATCTTTATGCAGCCGTTCCTCAGATGTGTATCTACAATTCTTCAATTCTTCATTCCTTGACATGATGATGACGAGGAGATTTTTTTTCAATATAAAATTGTTGATGGATAGAGAGCTGATAGCGTACTCTCACCAACTCCATCTACTTAGCAGGCTTTACCAACTTGACCAACTTAAGCCATATGAGGCAAATAATGGCATGCGGTTTGCAGTTATTAGATGATAATTTAATCGTTCCAAAATCTAAGGATCTGACTGTCGCCCCATAAATGCGATTCTCTGATGATTAAGATACAGAAACAAGAGATCCAAGCAATCCAATTCAAACATCAGTGTTACTAAAATAATGTAATTCGCGCACCGTGGATACGAGCGATGCGTATTGTTTGCGTTTGGAATTGTCGAAAATAATATTGGAAATAATATTGGACAACACCTATAGATATAACTTCAAGCTGATGAGATCATCAACGATCATGACAAGTTCCCATCACTTATAGGTTCGTATTCGTCTCTTGGATAACGGTCATTGACAGGTTCCGTCGTTTTGCAAAGCGTAGCTCATAATGTGATGAGATCTTGCATCAAAATGACTTGATGTGCTCGTTTCTCCCTAAAAGATCGGATATAATTTGTAACAGGACTCTCAGGTTGAAGATCAAGTTAGTAAAACACTAGCAAGATGTGATCTAAGATTTGAACTAAGGTCGACTAAATGACGATTAGTTAGTCCTTTTGAGTAGATCATGTGATGACTCTACAATATACATTTGATTTCTAAAGCTTTCACTACGAGGGAGATAGTTCACCTCGAGGGAGGTTCCGAAAGTTCAGGTCGAATGATCAGTGCATTGTTCATATATTCACTGCGAGGTGAATTACTCATTGCCAAACATGCCAAGAGTACTCCGCACAAGTCTATGTCCGAAATATTCAGAATACAGGTGATCAACAATTTAGATGTAAGATCACCGGTGTTGACTTTGGGGTCTACTACGTTCCATCACATTAAATCGAATGAAAATCTGTGGCTTGTGGCCATATCGCGGTCCAATGCAGACAGTGCAGCAATTTGGGAGTTTTTATACAAACTGAATGCGTTGTTATCAGCGTATTCCTTGCAAACTGAAGAAAGGCTCAAAGAGGACTTCCTGGTTTGTTACGAGCTTTTGGACGTCGTACTCGAAGGTGGGGTTCCGGTAGAAACGGAATTGGCACAAGTAGCAGCAAAAATGTCTGTGAAGCCAACGGTCCCATTGGACAAAATCAATACTATCTCGGACGATCTTTTCAGTGGAGCCAATCGGATTTTTCACCGACCAAAACAAGATAGAAGCAGATCGAGTGGATTCTCCGTACGTGAACAATCACCAACGAAACCTTCGGCTTACCCTTGGAGGCCCCTGGGGATCAGACACAAGAAAAATGAGATTTTTCTCAACGTAAATGAAAGTATCAGCATTTTAGTATCCCGAGATGGGTCCATTCTTCGGTCTTATGTCGACGGAATGGTAGACATAACGACACGATTGAGCGGGATGCCCCTGTGTCGTTTTGGACTAAATGATTCGCTCTCAGTGGATACTCCATTTGCCAGTGAAACAGAAATAAACGCTAGTTCGAACTCGAGAAACAAAAGAGCCATTCCCAAAGCGGCAGCCGGTAGCGTTTTTTTGGAAGATTGTAAATTCCACCCTTGCGTCCAACTAGACAAATTCGATTTCGATCGTGTCATAACGTTCGTTCCACCAGATGGATCATTCGAACTCATGCGTTATCATGTACGCGAAAATTTGAACTTACCTTTCAAAATAACGCCGATAGTCACTGTAGCCGGGAAAAACTCGTTTGAGTTTCGAGTAACACTCAAGTCGCTTTTCCCAGGCAAACTTACTGCCAAAGACGTGCAGCTGCGCATCCCGCTTCCACCAGAAACGGTCGATTGCGAGATCAGTGCTTCAAATGGGAAGTGCCAGTTTGACCGCGAAGAAAACGCATTACTGTGGAAATTCAGCAAATACCAGGGACTAACCGAAAATACTTTGTCAGCAGTAACGGTTCCAATGCGAAACTCCTCTGTGAATGTTCAACAATGGCCAAGGCCGCCCATGTCATTGAAATTCGAGATTTTGATGTTTAGCAATTCGGGACTGGTGGTTCGCTTCTTCAATGTCGCCGAAGGTGAACGCAACTACAATCTTGTGAAATGGATCAAATATATATCAAAATCAGGCGCCTACGAAGTGAGATATTAGCATAGAAAGCCAATTTTATGAACGAAAGGACCGGTTACGTAACGTATTTAAAGTCAAATTTGAACGGCATTATGAATAGAGGCTGTGAGGCGATACTGGGTCAATTGGTTAGATCGATGTCGCGGCATGGATGTTTATATGATTTGATGTTTTGATTGCATTGGTTGAAATTCAAGTTTTTGCGAATCTGCCGTGAACTGAAATGTCCTACATCGTGATATAGGACTGGACATATAAACTTAGACTTACAAGTGGAGAAAGTGAGAAAGTGAGAGGATCACAAGATGGCAAGATGACTAGACATTATCGTTAGGAGGAGCTCCCAACCAGATGCCTCGACAATGATAGACGACATGTGACCTTACTGATAGAGTAATACATGGAACGAGTGAATTAACTCCGGAAGCCATACAAGTCAAAAGAATTCCGATTCGAGCCATGGAGTTCCAAGAAGAACACGAATATTGGCCACAAGGGTATTGTGGATTCGTCGGGCAGAGTTTTCGCTTTCTTACGCGGAGTTATCAAAGGAAATATTATTACAGTAACGATATAAGAGAGACGTTATGATCAGTTTTAGAAAGGTTAAATTTTTAAGATCATCACCGGACATCATGTTTGAAGGAGAGTGCGATATCGTCAAATTGTATTATTGGCTGCTCGGTTTCGATGTCACGTGGCAAAGATGACAGAATAAAATAAGAGATATTCCAGTAGATGATTGAAATCCAGTACAGTAGCAAGTCAAGAATCTCTATATAGTTTCAGAGGTGGCCAATACGTATATCACCTCCTAAAAGACCACCGATGATGTGATTGATACGCGAGTATTAGGATTAAGCGTCGAGGAATAGAGTCACGTGACCTAAATACCAGACTATATGATCAGTATTGCCGTATGTCAAGTTGCTTAAGTAGAGATACGAGTACCCGACACTCGATATAGCTTACAATTAAAGCCATACCGTCCAAAGTAGAATGCCATCTTCTAACGCTGGTAAGACTAAGTGAATATTTTCTTGTTCTCACTGCCGTTTCTCTTGCGTGCTTTAGCAGACTAAAGCATACTCAGCGAGCGATGCACGAACAAGGTTACCGTTGCAAAGAGAGACATACCTTGGCCCATGTTATTGAGATTAGAAGTCAATATCTTTACTCATGTAAGGCTGAACTTCATCTACTTGGACAAAAACGGTGGGGGAATTCTGGCTTGTAACACGTGATAAAGTAAAAGAAGCTCAACAATCTATAAGGAACAAAGGCATCGGTGCGGGGGCAACGAGTATAAAGCGCAGTGGCAGTGAACCGCACATTCTAAAGGCTCTCTAAACTACTGACAATCAGGATACATTTTATTCAGGGCAATTGGTTTTTTAAAGGTTTCTCAATCGCCAGCAATGATTCTCAAACTAGGCATTGATGTGGGAAAGATTAGTCCATTTCGGAGTTTCTTACCCAGGGCTCAAATTGGGCGGAGGGCGCTACAAACCGGTTCAAGGGTTTATTTGAACTACGGGAAACTCGTAGGGCCAAGTATGGATTGTAAGAGCGTCAGTGTCCTGATAAGGACTTTACCCCGAAGGCGGGCATTTCATACTACAAAGCCGAGACGTAACCACAACAACTCTCATAATTTCCCAAAACTTAAAGTGTATCGATTCCCACCTGTAGTGGGTATTTTGGCTGTAATTGGGGTTATCTCGCTCACTTTGCTCATACTCCCGCTGTTTTTCACTTTCTTTTTGCCCTTAGTCGTTGCGGGCATCGCAGCTTACCAGTTCAACCGTTGGAAATCAAGCAACTTATATGGGCAGCTGTATGCAGCGCTGCGTTCAACCAAGTCAAGAATGCCCTACAAGTCTGTGTATGCGCTTCAACGTGCGAGCCTGAACAACGTATTTCAGTCAAACAAGATGCCCAAAGAAATGATTCGTGGACTTTTTGACGAGAGTTCAAAGCTGGGTAAATGGATAAATGAGGATCAAAGCTCTCACGCAAATGCAATACTACAACAACTCAATGATCGGGTTTTGCGTGCATTCATGAAGGACGAACAAGGCATTCGCGAATTTTTTCTGGGCCGTAACGTTAAAGAGTGGGTTCAGGACGCCTACGATCTTGATCTCGACACCCGCGTTTTCAGAACTCGCGGGAGAAACATTGATGGCAGTTTAGTCATGTCAATGTCGTATCCACTCTACTTATCTTTCCGTAATCAGGGGAAAAAGCATCTCGCCGACGTCTCGGTTGTGTTTCTTGACGAAACGTTACACACTCAACCCATCAAGCTCCTGGCTGACTTGGCCAGAGAAGATCGTCTATGCCCTGTTGTCATCAGTGTCTCTGCTGTTAAGACTCTTATTCCAAGGCAGTTCATATTAACTGACATGCTTGACTTCGCTGATTCAGACCACTATTCTGTCCGCGAATTCAAAAATGGACAAAGGGAATTTACCTACAGGGAGTGAGAAGCTCCAAGTCTTACCACACACTTTTAGGGTGGTATGCGCTACATACGGATGAAGGATTTTTTATCGTTCATCAACGTGTCGTGAATTCTTACTATAGCAGACCTAAGTTACAGGGACGGTTTAAACCAAGGAAAGCAGGTCGAGCATTTCAACATCGGATTTAATCTAACAGTGCTACATTGCTCAAATTTGATGAACCACAATCAAACTTCGAGCAAATCTTGAGTCTATAGCTGGGCCTTGAGGCAGCTGGTGATAGCCTCGTATACGACGACATTTCATTAATTTCAAATGAAAGCTCTCGACCGCGTAGAGCTAAGAAAGGGGCACACATGTTTAAAGACCCGCTTCATAACAGTAGCGATAACCCCACGATCAGTCATTGGTAATGGATTTGCACACACCAATTGGTATGGAAATATTTTTTTTGTTTTGCTTTGAGTTGTAATGGACTTTTTATTAACAACCAAGCAGTTCTCGACCAAGGTACCGGGTTCGTTAAAATAGGTCGGGCTGGGGAGAATTTCCCAGACCACACGTTTCCTTCTATTGTGGGACGACCCATTTTGAGGGCTGAAGAGCGTGCGAACCTTACCACCCCTTTGAAAGATATAATGATTGGTGACGAGGCCAGTGCAGTGCGGTCGTATTTGCAGATTTCTTATCCTATGGAAAACGGCATCATCAAAAACTGGGCTGACATGGAGCACTTGTGGGACTACGCTTTTTTCGATCAAATGAAACTGCCATCGACGTCTGGCGGGAAAGTGTTGCTTACGGAACCTCCCATGAATCCATTGAGAAACAGAGAACAAATGTGCGAAGTCATGTTTGAGAAATATGATTTTGGTGGTGTTTACGTGGCTATTCAAGCTGTTTTGGCCCTTTACGCTCAGGGTCTCTCTTCTGGTGTTGTCGTGGATTCTGGTGATGGTGTCACGCATATTGTTCCAGTTTACGAATCCGTTGTGCTCAACCATTTAACTAGAAGGCTTGACGTTGCTGGCAGAGATGTGACTAGACATTTGATAGATTTGCTGTCGCGTCGTGGCTACGCTTTCAATCGAAACGCAGACTTCGAAACTGTCCGTCAAATTAAAGAAAAATTGTGTTATGTCTCTTACGATTTAGATTTGGATACCAAACTTGCTAGAGAGACCACAACTTTGGTAGAAAATTATGAACTTCCGGATGGACGTGTCGTCAAAGTTGGTTCAGAACGTTTCGAGGCACCTGAATGTTTGTTCCAACCCAGCTTAGTCGATGTCGAACAGCCCGGAATTGGTGAGATGCTTTTCAACACAGTACAGTCCGCAGACGTCGATGTGAGAACTGCGTTGTTTAAAGCCGTCGTATTGTCAGGTGGATCGAGTATGTACCCTGGTCTTCCGTCAAGGCTTGAAAAGGAACTGAAACAACTCTGGTTCACTAGGGTGCTTCGGAATGATCCGACCCGTTTGGACAAATTCAAAGTTCGGATCGAGGATCCTCCCAAAAGAAAGCACATGGTATTCATTGGAGGCGCTGTTCTGGCGAATATCATGGCCGACAAAGATCACATGTGGCTAACGAAGCAGGAATGGGAAGAATTAGGACCAGCTTCTCTTTCTAAGTTTGGCCCGAGATAATGACCGCATATACATACTCAAGTCGATGTCTGTCTAAATAGAAAACTTTTGACTACACAAATTTTAAATATTGCCGTGATTTCATGAGTAAAAAATTTGAATTTGTGATCATATGCTGTTAAGTTTATGCTGAATGCTGAAGATGTTCTATACACGATCATAATTTAAAATCGGCTAACCTTTGCCACACATCATCTGCCAAGTCCTCTACCTTTTGATCTGAGACCTCTACCTGAGTAGCACCGTATTTAACCGCGTTCTTGATAAGGTCTCTGACAAAAAAATGGGTGACTGAAACGGGCTTAATAAAAGAACTTGTCAGCAGCTCATCAACAGTGCTTCTCTTGTCAGGCTGTCTTTCTAGGCAGGATTTCATGACGTCCAGAGATGTTCGTGGAACGGTTATACCCGAAGCTGTCTTCTCGGGGTATACAATCTTCACTTCTGAATTCATTATAGCCAAAAGCCTGTTCTGACCTTGAAACCCGCCATAAGGAGGTCTACCATAAATCATTTGGTAGATTATGCAACCACAGGACCATATATCTGACGGTTTACCTACTCGCCAGCGGTTTTGTTCGGCGTCTTTGCCATGCGTGAAATTCATAGCCACCAATGCCTCTGGAGCCATGTAGTTGGGTGTGCCTATCTGAGTTTCGCGGTATATATTAACGGTATGATCGGGAACCGCATTTGCAATGCCAAAGTCGATAATTTTTAGTATGCCTTTGACAAAGACAAAGTTTGCAGGTTTCAAATCAGAGTGTACTATCCCCGCATCGTGAACCACTTTGACACACTTCAGCATTTCCTGTGCGTGATACCTCACAAACTCAACGTCCAAAGGCATAGAGGAACGGTGCGCTAAAATTTGAGAGAGGTCGTGATCCCCGCATTCCATTACGACGTACAGAACCCCATGATCCATTTCGTAATCGATTAATTTCACCACGCGCGGTTGACCTTCCAGTTTCTTCAAAAGCTCAATTTCACCCTTAAAACTATCAACACTACTATCGTCAAACTCGTCAAATGATACCCTTTTCAAAGCATAAACTTTACTACTCGTTAAACTTTTGACTTTGTAGACCTTCGATGTCCCCCCTCTCCCAAGGAGTTCCATCTTTTCGTATTCAACTCCATTCACATCAACGATAGGACGTCTTCTATAAGAGGGTTCGTGATATGTCGATGAAGGTTTAAGTGGTACAATTTCAGCCTTGTAGGGCTCCTGTATCTCCACATGTTTCTTCCTCGAGACTTCACGGCCATAAGGCATTTGCACATCTTTTGCAGACTGAAACTCGTGTTCATGATAGGACTTTGAATTGAATGGCTCTGGCCCGTTTGCACCATCACCCAAGTGTTTCGGTCTCTTATGTTGCCTTCCATCGTTCAGCCGGCTGTTTATGTTGAGGGTAGAAAGGGCTTCTCTTTTCCTCAAAAGTTCTGATTGCCGTTGTTGTGCCTTAGAGTCAGCATGCTTCTCACCAAATAAAATTTCTCCTTGCGCTTCGATCTGGCTGGCATTGATATGTTTCGGTGCTGGGATGGGAGAAGAAAGTGTATTGATGTTAGAGTTTCTTGAGTAAGCGCTGAATTTTCGACGAGGTTGCCTTTCTGAGACGAAAGAATCAGCTTTGACATCGGTAAAACCGGTTGAAGCGGCGTCCGAAGAGCCTTTAAATGCTAACCTCTTTTCGAGCGCTTCTCTTGTAAAACTGTTTTTGCGGATGGCCACTTTGCGGTTTTCTCCTTTCTGTCTTTCAAAATAAACTCTGGAAATATTCGGCAATTCGCTTGTAGGTAAATTGTGCTTCTTGAGATATTGATATGGATTAAGATCACCAAAATCGATCTGCTCATATTCTGGGCTCGGGCTTCTTCTCTGAGTGGGGTTGTAGTCAATTGGAAGGCTATCGGCGGCTGTTTCTGTGAATTCATCTGCATTCTTTTCTCCGAACGACCTGGACTCTTCCAGTGACGGCACTGAGGTACTACCATTATGCCCGTTGAAATTCACTTCTTGACTGTCTACAGGTCTATCTTCCCCAAAAGCTCTTTTTGCGGGTCCGAGAGCGCTTAATCTGGAAGAAATAAATCTGCGGTTTCTGCGTTTTGTGTGCCGAAGTGCTATTTCTTTCTTCAATGCCTTTTGCATGAGTTCGACGCTGCGTGGACTCTTTTCAGAAGAAAAATCTAGAATAGATTCTTGATAACCTCTGGCGATGGGATCCACTGTTGTCATGCTCGGCTGATTCTTCATCGACGCGAAAAGCGTCGATTGAGAAGCTTCCTCTGTATGATGAGCATTGTGTGCGCCGCTCTCGAAAGAATGAGTCGTCGTGTTCGAAGATGCATTTCTCAGAAGAACGGGTGCTTCCTTACCCGTTTTCGGCCTGCTGGATCTACTCTTCTCCTCCGTCGATGAAACTCTGTCTTCTGATCGCTGCTCGACGTCTATGTCCGAAAGAAGTGCTGATCCAAAATTGCTCAATTTCGGTGGTCCTAAAATGTTCTCATCGTCCTCATCTGAAGATACATGATTTGTGGGGCCTGGTTCTCTTGCTTTTCGGTATGTATATCGTACTTTGGCAAGCGCCTGTTGTGACGAATCACGCGGAGCGGTGTATGATGTGGAATTTTCGTAATTCCTAGACATTTAACGCAGCCTGTCACTTGTTCATCAAATTTCAGACCTTCCTTTTCTCTTAGCACTAGCTTGTGAACCAAACTCGTTCGGCACTCCGCTGATCAAACCAAAATTCTGCGCCAGCAATAAGGATGATAACTTTCCTAAATGCCTCAACACTGAACTATTTTTTAGCGCACAAAAAGCTAACGAGTATTTCAAATAATAGTTTTAACTCACTATTCAAGCCCTTGACGCCCCTGGAACTTTTACAGCTACTGGTTTGCGGTTGATTTCTTTTGCTGATGATTTCTCGAAATTTGTTTATCATATACACAAAGCATTCATCGCGAGATAATAACAAGTCACGTGACTTTCTTTGACCACGTCGCGGAACAGGCATACAAACCTATAAAAGTATCCTTCCCCCCACCGAAAGATATTTGACTCCATCAATGCTTGATAATCGAATGTTTTCAGACGGCTTCTCTGAAAATTTTGAACCGGTAAATGTCCTTCCGAAGAGTCACGTATAATACTGCATAGTCCGGTGTAGATGATGTAGATGATGTTTGATGGAATTTGTAGGCCAGCCCTGTAATGTTGTTCATCTCAAAGATCGTGTCATCCAGATGACAGGGATAAATGCCATCATCGCTTGTGTACGCCCTCATGCATCTCGAGTCGGGTTGCCCCGGCACTTGTGACTCCCATCCAAGAATATATTCCTGTCGGAATGCGTGAATGCCTTTGTAGGTTGTTAGGCGCATCAGAGAAATGAGACCAATCTGAGAAGCCACAACAAAGCAATTCAGTTCTCGAATGTGGCATACGATCGAAATCCTGTTTAGCTGAGGGTCTAAAGCACCACATGAGGATACATTCTGTATGGGGAAAATCTCATCGGCTGTATACGCATTAACGATAAGCGGATTTCCTAGCATAAGGTACAACTTCGTGCTTGTCGTCACCAAGAAAAAGGTCTCGTTCGCCAGAGGCAGTTCGAATCGAGGCCCGCCGGCAGAGAATCGAGATTGTGGGGTAACAGCTTGGGATAATGAGGAAACTTTGTCGACGTAGTTAGTAAGAGACCATAGTCGCATGGATTTGTAGGCTAAATCCTGGAAATATCCAGCCGGCCTGTGTGAGGCAAACCTTGACGTTTCATCGTCTGCAGTATCAAGCCGCGAAGTGAGAGTTCCAAAGCTGGTCGATCTGAAAAATCGCTGTATATGCTCAAGCGTGTTCACATCAATGTCAAAATTTTGCGCGGCAATAGCCAAACTCGGCAAGCTTGTGTTTCCGAAGATAGCCTCTTCCACCGAACGGCTGTCAGATGCAAAAGAGCTCAAATCTGGAGATGTAAATGAAGAAGCATTTTCCGTCGAAGATGAACTATCATCTATGTCATCATCTTGAGAGACAATGCTTCTGCGGCCCTCGTCTCGTTGAAAAGGTCTAGGACTAGCATTATCTGCTGACAATATATTATCAGTTTCACATGCTTCGTGTTCGTTAATTTCTTCACCACTCTGCGGTTCAGCACTTGAAACACCGGAGGCTTGGGAATCGCCTATCTCATTTTCGCAAGTATTCTCCTCATAAGTCCGATGGTCATGTACCATACCCGCATAAAATTCAGGTACTGCGACATCATGATGTTTAGACGTCCCGATCGCCTCAAAATGAACAAATGCCGGCGTAATACCTCTTTCCACTGCAAACTGCAGGTCAGTGTCAATTTTGAAATGATCTCTGAGACTTCTCATCATAGAATTTTGACGGTCATTACTTCCGCAACATAGCACTTCGGCAAAGGGATACCGAGACCAATTCTTTTCAGCGGTCTCGATACCATGGGCCACTTTACAATCGCCAATTCTATGCTCCCCTTTCAGTCGAATCACTTGGCTGTGGTCCGAATCGATTTCTTCGGGAGAGTGTAGTAAAGCATCCACAACAGCAGCAGCTGAGAATTTTTCTGGGCTATTTCCACCGTTTGAAAATGAATGTAAATTGAATGTGGTGAATCTCAATCCAATGTTCCCGTCATTGCACGGGTACTCGTTCGTAAGCCGTAAATTTGAAACAGGTACTGCAACTTGAGCAATGGTTGCGCCGATTCCTAGGCCACTTGACTGCGCTAGTCGAGATGGTAATGACCTAAGCATCATACTGTCTTGGAAAGCTTTTTCAAGATAATTTGACTTGTGGGATCGATTATAATCATTTGACAGATACTCGAAATTCGAAACAGCTTGGAAATCGCTTCTATCTAATGGAGTGATTGTCCAGCACCACTCTGCAAGATATTCAACATCCACTAATTTCCATGCTAGAGAGCAATCTGCGTCTCCACGATCTTGGAAGGTGATTTCTAAGGTCCCAACATCACCGAAAATTGACGCATAAGATAGAAAAACGAGACCAGGCTCGAGAGTTTCTTTCTTGACAAAGCTCACGGCGGGGACATTATGATGGATCAAAATTTCGCATGCTACCATTGTCTTGAGAGTATTTCGGTGTGCAAAAACAGTCACCCCAGGACCGTTGTGTCCCAGTGCGATGAACTTCACGTCACCAATGTCATATATGTCAATAGCCCAGCAACTCTCAGGAACACTAAGAATCAGAAAAGGTTTGATTTTAAGCTCAAAAATTTCCGCCTCATCCAGAACTGCGGTGGAAGTGGTAATATTCATGGTTTTGATTAGTTCGTCAATGAAAAAGATAAGCACCAAACCTGAGAGTGTACAGAGACAAAGAACATCTCGCTCATAAAATTTCGCGATCTTCATGAAATGAATTTGACATCTAAATTCCGTCGTTGTTCTTATCCTCTCATTTTTAGGACCTTCGTCTGCACAGTACAGCTCAAAAGACGTCACAACGTCCAAACAGCGCTTTATAGGGACTCCCCCGACATCGGTTACGACCGAATCAAGGTCGGAAATCTGGACTTTAGCGTTATTCGCAATAAAAAGAAAATTCTTGAAAACACAAGACACGCAATTGTTATAAGCTTTTCGATAGGGTTTGTCAACGATCCACAAATAATTGCGTAATGGCTTCAGCTTTTCAACCTTGAGCCGTTCCCATGGCGGCAGAAGGAGGCTCGCAGGATCGCAGGTTATACCGTTGTCAGCCCATACGGGTTCTTTAGCAGACCCTTGGTTCTGAACATCATCTATAAAGAGCGAATCTCGCGCATTGCTTGTCACACATTCGTAAGTCTTTGCCTCTGCGAGTCTGCTCGCTAAAGTCTCCTTTAAAATATCAAGGCCCGTTTGAGTCGTGGCTTTGTATATTGAAGATGCAGTGATTAACTCGCGAGGTGTACCTTCAAATCGTAGAGAGTTTAAGTTGGTGACCTTAAAGTCGAATTTTAAAAACTCTTCTTCTTTCACTATTCCTCTAGAAGTCAAAAACCTCTTCAAATCACTCCGCTTCGTCTCTTCATCATCCATATTCCTCTTGAAGGGTTTTTATATCGCATGGTGTAATAATGAGAAACTTTCTCTCCAGACCGAGATTCTCCTTTCATAGCCTTAGAGTTAAGAAACTTGAAAAGTCACCTTAGATTCATCTGTCCACGTTGCAAGATGCCTGCGAGAACTACTGGATTGATTCGAAATAACCACATATTATAATTCCGTAGACCTTGCGGAGTAGGTATGAGAGATGACCCTGATCAAATAATTGGACAAATTCAAACTGGCACAACAAACAAAATGTTTACCGAAACCAGTCTACCAACTGATCATCCAATTCAAGCAGATCTAGTATTAAGAAATTCTTAGTGTTTGTCAAAAAGTGTTATTCTTGTCTTTGGTTTATTTTGAACTCTTCACAATTCTCTACAATTGATATATTACCTTAACCAAAGAATAGCGTTATGGAAGGACTCCTCCCATAGCTCAACGAGTAGCAAAACGAAGAGTGAACAAGGTGCTGAACAAGGTGCTGAGAAATTATGAGACGAGGGGACATCTTCAGTGAGTTTTATCGCGATGGGCCTTGTAAACAATATTTTTTCATACTATCTCGTCGCTCCGGCAGATCGCTAATAGCGGCCAACCAAGAGGAACAACTGTGGAGCAAATGGTGCTTTTGAATGACTTTCAATCCTGACTATGCTTGTTGTGATGAATCAAGTGACTCTGAAGCAGAAGTTTACGCGAGACCGCAATACCTGCGCAAAGATCGACAACCGGGGAGAGCAAGCGCACAAGACTTTCAATCTATGCATAGAACCAAGGCTAATGAGGACTTTTTTGACCTAGCGGACCTTGCCATGACAGAGAAGCTTTTGAAAATTCAACCTAGGAAAATCAAATATGTTGTCGATCCGGCTATGCGTCAAGACGGAATCATAAAAGAGAAACCTCAAATGAATTCAGCAAATGAGAAAGCTTTTGAGAGTTGCGAAAAATCGTTCGAATATGGCGATGCTATCAACGGGTTCAGGTTCGTTGGCCTCAATCCGGAAGTCAAACGGTTCCACGAAATTCTGGGGTCCAACCAGAAATGTCCGTACGATAAAGTAAAATTTGAGTGCCTACAAGAAGGAAACGTCGAGCGAAATATCACAAGTTTCTGGTCGTCAGCTTCTGATGTAATATGTGCGCCTTTGATGGGAGTGTACCCTCTGGAGACGGTTGAAATTGATGATATCACGAAAGAAGGAATCATCACTTTCTATGAGGAGAGTTCAAAGCTACTCAATGAGCCAGTCAGAGAACTTTACCGCCAGCAGCGTATTGCATGGCATCCTGACAAAATGTTACGACGATTCCAGAATCCAGATGCAGTGGTAAAAGCTAAAATCACCAAAATATTCCAGTTAATTAACAACTTGTGGGAGCCGAAATGATGTTATGTGAGTAGAATTCCTTCTCTGTTGTTCGCCTCATAGCTACGTATTTATGCTACACTGCGCGTTTGATTTTATTACTCTATAGAATGTGGACTACGTTACTTGGGATCCGGAGATGTTGCAGTAGAGTCCTGCGGGGTGGGTACCGTCTCTGTATCGAGGACTGAACCTTCTCCCGGAGTTTCTTCAATTTCGATACCTTCGCTATCAGCGTCGTCTTCAAGGTCAATCTCCTCGGCCTCGTCTTCTTCGACAACTTTCCTCCTCTTCGCGTCAGGTTCAGATTCACCTTCGCGATTCTGTACCTCTGGATTGTCCTTTTCATCCTTCTCTGCTTCAGCCTCATCGTTCTCGTCGTCTTCCTCTTCGTCGTCGTCTTCCTCTTCCTCCTCTTCTTCCTCTTCTTCCTCGTCCTCTTCTTCTACATCGGGCTGTTCCGGAGGATACTCTTGACCTTGCTCATTGTCCCAAACGATGTTAAATCTCGTAACTCGCGGTTTTTCCGCCAAAATGTTCCTCACAACATGATCTACCTGGACTTTGGCCGGCGGATTTTCTCGCATTTCTTCATCGTCATATTCATTGTTCACATAGTAGCCAACCCTTACAAATTCTCTGCCGTCATATGAGCAACTCAAAAGGATAACTGTAACGCTCACGAGTTCGCTTGCTGGGATCAATTCTGGAGATGGTGGGTCTGCAGTGAATAAAAACTTATTGACTCCGACAGGAACTGGCCCTACCAAAATGGAATCTAATTCTTGGTCATGTTCTAAACTTCTAGACGAGCCCACATACGTTAACTTCCATTCAAGGTCGTTTTTCAACGGTTCTAGACATTCGAATGTGATCTCAAACTCGTAGGGGTCCGTAAACTTCGCTGGATTGTTCAGAACATTGATTCCTAATAGAGACACGATTGACATTTTTGGCTAGATATAATACCTTATGGCCAAGTTTAATCCTTTTTGTTCACTGTTCACCCAAAATTTTTTACGCGTTTCGCGTCTTGTTCTCTAGTAAATGATGATGTTGATGGTGTTGATGATGATGAAACTTCACGATCCTAAAGTTGAAACTAAATATATATAGAACTCTTCAATAGTGAAAATGCAAAAATGATGTATGATATATAACAAATGTTGTCTATTAAAGTCGATTGCCAAGCGCACCGATGCGCTAAACCATTTGGTTAAGCAAACCCTCTTGTTCGAACGACAGAACCCTCCTGCCCTTCTTTTTAGACCCTGCCGATATGTTGCTGTCTCTTTTCGTATCGTGCGGTAAGGAGACGTAAAAGCCATCGTTTTCAGCAGGTTTTGAATGCATTTTTTGTAAAGAGGACAAATCCATCGATCTTGGTCTCAGACTTGTGTAGGATAGGGTAGAGGTCCGATTGGAAGTATCTGGAGCCAACAGAGGCTCGTCTCGCTGAGATAACATGTATTGATCTCTTGATAGCAGCGCCACTCCAGTTATGAGGCTCATGACGCCGGGCAAAAGCTTAAACACCATCTGTAGAGACGTTAATTTGTCCTGAGGAAAAAAAAGCACACCGTTGAAGATGTTGATGAGGTTGAACACGCAGAAGACCAGTGGGTACAGGATCGAAGTAGAAATGAGAGATAGGCCCTTGTTCAGGAGAAACAATTGCGTCAGGGAAGTAGCGACAAACGCTGCGACGAGGACGTAAAACGGCAGATGTCTGAGATCTGAACTTTTGTGTACCAGCGCGTGCGTGATAATGTCAGAAGCGGACTTCGCGAGTAGAAGTGCGTGCGCGGACCACACGCCGCTGCAACAACCATAAACGAGACCTCTTGCCAGCGTGCTGGGTCTGTAGACGCGGGCATAAACCAACGCTAACAGAACGAAAAAATTGGTAGCGACAAACCATCTGAGGAAAAGTTGGCCATGGGCGAGCGCGAGCAACTCTGCGAGCGAGTGTGTTAACGGCTGAGACTCGGTCGCAGAGACGCCAGCGACGCCGATGACCATGCCACCACCGACAATGAGAAGCGTTGCGAGCGGCGTGCGCCACGTAGAGCGTTCTTGGAGGATATAGTGCGAGGCGAGGGAATTGAAGAGCAAACCGCAGCTCTGGAGGGGAGCCAAGATAATCAACGGCAGCGTAGCGATCTGGACCGTGCTGCCGACGAGGTTGGCGAGCAAAAAGAGTGCCAGTCCCAATTGCCACGTGGGGTTGCGGTACAGGGACTCCGAGCACGCGACATTGGCTTTCCGCTGCAGCGTGAGCCCAAGGGATTGCGTCGCGGACGACACGACCCCGACCACGACCCCGGTTATTATAATAGAGTGGGCACTGGGCATTTTAGGCTTGGCGGGTAAACATAAGCATGCGCGGTCTAACACTAACAAGGGCTGGAAGAAACGCGGTTCTGTTAGCTTTACTGAACCAGCCTTAAACTTCAGAGGTAGGCTTTTTTTAATTTCTTCATGGTCTGGCCCTTGTACCCGGAGTCACGTGACAACAACATCGATCACATAAAAAACGAAACTCCGCGACGGGGAATTGAACCCCGGTCCCGAGCGCGACAAGCTCGAATTCTAGCCACTAAACTATCGCGGATGACTTGTGCAAGGGTGAAGATATTTCTGTTCCCTGTACTAATCCCTTTAACATGTGGCTCTTTTCACTTCAACGTATGCGCACATTGCCACAGCATAGCCTGCCGAGTCAACACTGCCAGATTACCATTGCAACGCCGCCGCCTACAATCCACCATCGCCAACACATTAGCCAAAAAAATAACATAAACTAGGTTCAAACACGAAGTTCAAGTAAGCCTCAGTCACGCCCCGCTGAACAATCGCTTACCATATCACACACACACACACTCCCTCTCTCTCTTACTAACGGCACTCTAGGAGAAGCGTTCTTACGATTTGCAAGAGCCGTTAATCGAGCCCCGATTCGAGCGCCTCCACCCAGACACAGGCACAAAACTGATTCCCACCCACACCTCCACAACATCCCAGCCGCCTACAAGAAATGGCGCCGTGCGCCCGTTGGGCACCGCGCTGATCACGTCATGGCATTTCCGATTGTGGCAGATGCACCTGCAGGCAAGTCTTGCAAAAGCCGGCATTTCTTTTTGAAGACTCGAACGCAGCAGCCTCTGAGGTAAGGATGCAATGAAACGGCGAAGCTGTGTCAGCATTGCCCGAGGCCCATCACAATGCCGAATCAGGCAAGCACATCGATTGTAGTGCCGAAACAGGAAAGCGGAGCGTAAACCATAAACAACACGGGCTAGACGCCAGGCGATTGCCGGATCGGGAAAGATGAGACGGGACTCAGTGCAAACTTTAAATAGTGAGACTTGTTTCTTTTTGGGATCACGGGTATATAAAGGCTGCGGCCGTCGTTCCGACGCGATCTCTGAGATCTGGTGTCGTTTCAAGATTTAAGTACTATACTAGCTTCTGAGGCCTTATTAACGCGCTTACATCTCCCACTCCTTGTCATTCCTTGTAGCGCACTTTTCGCCCATTTGATCAGATCCATTCATTCATTATCGATCCGATCCGAGCTATACCAACTTTTCCCATCTTTTAGAGCCGATCATGAAGTACTCGCAAGTTTTGTTCAGCGCGGCAGCGATCCTCGCTACCGCGCAAGCCGCACCAGCTGCTGCTAAGCACGCAGGCCACCAGCACGCCCGTCGTGATGTGGTCACTGTGGTGCAGTACGTGGACAGCAACGGTAACCCGGTCAGCACGAACGCTCCTGGTGTGACCACCACGGTGCAGCCACCTGCCTCGTCCGAAGCGACTCAAAGTTCGACTCCGGCTTCGAGTCAGGGTTCCTCTGCTCCTTCTTCGTCGTCGTCTTCCTCTGGCGGCGACTTCCAAGACGGTACCATCCAGTGTTCCCAGCTTCCCTCGGGCCAGGGCCTCGTCGACCTTTCGTGGGTCGGCTACGGTGGCTGGGCCTCCGTGATGGACATGAACGGTAATACCGCTTCCTCCTGTCAAGACGGCTACTACTGCTCTTACGCGTGCCAGCCAGGTTTTTCTAAGACGCAGTGGCCTTCTGAACAACCATCGGACGGCAGATCCGTCGGTGGTCTCTACTGTAAGGACGGTTACTTGTACCGCAGCAACACCAACGCGAACTCCCTGTGTGAGGCCGACGCTTCCACTTCTCAAGCGGTCAACAACAAGGACCAGCAAATTGCCATGTGCAGAACCGACTACCCAGGTTCCGAGAACATGGTTGTCCCTACCGTCGTCGAGGCCGGCTCGTCGCAGCCCGTCTCTGTGGTCAACGAGGACGGCTACTTCCAATGGAAGGGCATGAAGACATCCGCTCAGTTCTACGTCAACAACGCTGGTGTTTCCATGGAAGACGGCTGTGTTTGGGGTACTGAAGGCTCCGGTGTTGGTAACTGGGCTCCTGTCGTTCTAGGTGCCGGTACTACCGGTGGCAACACTTACTTGTCCATCATTCCAAACCCTAACAACAAGACTCCACCAAACTTCAATGTCAAGATTGAGGCCACCGATGGTTCCTCCGTCAACGGTGAATGTTCGTACGAGAACGGCTCCTACAGCGGCAGTGGTTCCGACGGTTGCACGGTGACTGTCACCTCTGGATCCGCCAACTTCGTCTTCTACTGATTTACTTGTGGACGTTTGGATACCCCCCTTCCCTAAAATTTCCTTTTTCTTTCCGTTTGTTTGTTTTTCACTTTTCACTGTTACTATTTTTCGCTTGTTATGTGTTAATGTGCTTATGACAGACGCCTCGTTTACTCATTTTCCTTCGTTTTACCTTATGGATCGGGCTTTCTTGCCCACCATGGTGCCTCACCAACTGGCGCGTGGCAGCTGATCCTGGATGCTTTTATGTTTGCACTTACACAATTTCATCTGTTCATTTTTTGGTTTCTGTTCCAGGTTTGCTCAGATTCCATGATAAAAAATAAATAAAATCAAAATCAAAAACCTAAATCGCTAGGGTATCTATAGTTTATTAGCGTTGTATTATTGCTTGTTAGTTGAATGGCTTCTTTATCTCCCTTACTCAGTAGTGTCCTTGCCTTCTCAGCCTAAATACGGAAAATCGACGTTCTTGATGCCCCTATCATTCGTCTGCTTGTCCCGCGGAAACCGGTAGCGGACTTCGAACTTCGCTTGTCGCCTTGAATGACCCGCCTGGTCGTATGATCCAACATCTGTTGTCAGTTCAAGCAACTCTGAACCTCGTAATGCTGCAGAATGATAGAGTAAACCCTCAAAACCGCTGAACCTGAAACTTTCCTCATCTGTGTGCGCCAAGATAACCGGTTTTCCCTGTTGGTATGGAACAAAGTCCAGTCCCAAGGGCCGAAGATATTCTGTACATCTATTTTGTGCCGTAGTTTCCAACTTAGCATTTACTTGGCACAGCGATATCCTCCTGTTCTTCGAAACATGACTTGCCTGGCATATCTCGAGAGTTCCTAAACTGATATAGTAAATGCCGGGAAATTTGCACCAGTCGTCGACAAATACGGGCAAAGTTTTTTCAATAATTCTTGCGTCTCCATTGGCATCGTTTGCGTATCGTACGGTAAATCGGACCTTTAACATTTTTAGTAGACTAGGTGTCTTGAGGATCTTGATCCAAAGTCCACATTGAGATAAGTTTCTTTCACATATCTCAATCGACCCAGTCACTTCCTGCTTCCTGTACCACGATTCTGGGGGTTCACCAAATGGAGTTTCAAAGAAGAGACGTGGCCACTTGAACAGCACGCAATATAAAATGTGCCAAGAATCACATAAATACTCAATAAAATCAGTCGTATCGCTTGCGCTAGTCAAAAACGACCGCTCATTGTTGATAAGTCGAGCAGCTCGCCGGTAATCATCTAGACTTTTCACATATAAAGTTGCGTTCTTTTGTATTTCCAACCAAAACTTCCATGTCTTTACGCTCAAGCACAAGTCCCTGTAGAATTGATTGCTTAAGCGGTACCAGGAGCGACCTACTACCTTAAGCTGAGGATTTTCAGACAAGAGGCGAAGTCTAAGTTCGACGGGTAAGCAATCGAGGCTAGTATGCCGTTTTGGTGATAGCAACATCAAAGTTTTTGATCTGTATACATGTATATATATGGGCTTCAGTATATGGGCTTCTGTCGGCAGGAAACATCAAAAAATCGAAAAAAAAAGCGATCGCAGAAGAAAACGCTTGACTTAAGCCAACTTGACATCTCCGTGTTGAGATTCTTCTTCAGGGGGACAAACGAAACTGCCGGCCAATGTGAGCGCCGGTTCTTCAATCGAGTGATGAGAGTACGACAAAACCCCAATTCCACCAGCATCTAACAAGAAGTTAGGATTGTCAATCAAGTGTCTGAAGGTAGTCAACGGAACGTAGGGCACCGTCGGGTCGTTGTAAGTAGCCGGAATTGGATCCTTGCCGTCGCATGGTACCTCCACGCCCATTTTGAACCACAAAGCAGCAAAATAACGCAATGCATGGCCATGCGCAAAAACCATAATATCAGATGGAATTCCTTCTTCTTGGTGCTTCCGGTGCAAGTTCTGGACACGCGCAATCGCGCGCGACAGTCTTAGACCAACCTCCTGCGTCGTTTCGCCGTTCTCACATCCGTCCCTCCAAATATTCCAGGGACATTCCTGATCGAGACCACGCGACTTTCGCAAAGAAACGATCTCAGATGTCAGCAAACCTTCGTAATCACCGTACTCCCACTCGCGAATGTCTTCATCCACCACAATCCGGATATTTTTCTTCAACTGGGCAGGTACCGTCTCCAAAACCAAATCAACTGTTTGTCTAGCTCTTTTGCGTGGCGACGTAAAGATGTAAGTGATATGAGATGGATCAATGAACTTGTACCCGAAGATCGCTTGACCAGTTCTTCTCATTTGTCCGACGCCAAACTCCGTCAAAGGAAGATCCGTAAGACCCGTATACTGTCCGGACTTGGACCATTCCGTCTGTCCGTGACGGACAATGATACACCTTGGTGTAGGTTGACTCCCCATTTATACTGACAGACTCAATTGAAGCTTGTTTAGATGTTAATGTTGATGATCTGAACTGCGATATTAATTATCAACAGTTTTTCGCTTTATATTAAAATCATCTCTTGAAAACAGACCACTTGAGAAACGTTGATCAAAGAAAACCCTAAGATCACTCCAAGGCGTCGGGAGACCCGGTACTAAGTCCGCCTAAATTGCAAAGCTTTTTGGGTTTGATGATTGGGTGGGGTAAAAAAGCGCAAGCGATTTTCATTGTGCTGACCTTTATCGTGCTACAAGTGGTTTACAAGAATTGGTTAGTTGATGATGATATATCGCTAATTGATGAGCCAGGTCTCAGTCTCATGCGAAGATCAAAGGTAGAAAAACAATATAACGCAGATGCAAGTCTTTTTCGGCCCTTTTTAGACAGAATTAATGACTATTGGATCACCAAAGGTGAGACAGAGATCAAAAACCACGGGAGTATCAAATTGTCGTCTAGAGGCCGAGTGGGCCAATATGGGATTTTAATGTCGAATGGTAAGGGAGATAACACGCTTGACGATTTCGAAATGGTTATCAAGTTTGCTATATACAATAATGTGGGTGAGAGATCATCGTCGTCGTCGTTGTCGGCTCCTCCTCTCATGGGTGACGGGATGGCCGTCGTAATAACGCCGGAAAATGGGTTTGCGAAACAAAAAATGATGTCCTCGTATGCCAAAAAGCAGTATGAACATAGTTCGGGCGGCGTGTTAGAGAATAATCACGATCTGATGGGGTTCCCGAAAAATTTGGCAGGCTTGGCAATAGTGCTTGATACGTACCGCAATGATAAACGGACCCGGATAAAGGCTCCCTTGTTGCATATGCAGCTGAATTTGGATCCACAGAAGCACTCTTATAGTTTGGAAACGGATGGCCGTATGAGCACCGGCCATTCTTTGTGTGGACCTTTGAAACTGAAAAAATCGGTCATGTTGGGATACGAGACAAGTCTCAGGGTCATTTATTTGGAAACAATCGGATTTCTCAAAGTTGACATCGATTACGGTGGTAAAGGCAACTGGGTAGAGCTTTTCCAGCGGGATTCAGGTTTCTTTTTACCCAAAAACAAAAAAACGGGACAGCGGTTTATCGGGATTGGCGCGCTGAACGGTCAACTCACTCAAACTGTGGAAGTAAAAGGTATTGAGACTCACGAATTTCATTTGAAAGCAAACCAGGAGGGCCAACAGACGGAAGAAAATTTCGACTACGCTAAGGAGTTGCAACTTTTACTGGCTACTGAATTTCAAGAGCACGTACGTATGAGCGAAAGCGAATTCGACAAATGGAGATCCGAAAAGGCGTCAGAGAAGATCACGACTGACAATGGATCTCACGGTTTGAATCCATCTCCAAACAAAAAAAGATTCTTGTGAAATTGCTAATCTGGCTATTCTCACTTTATTTTGCATCCATTTCGATTAGAGTCGTCATTCGAAGATGGCGAAAATTGAATCAAAAAAGTCATAAAGTCGGCCTTTTAGGTTAACTTAGACCGGTTTATCATCGCATTTGAAAGAAAATTTGTATTGTACATATTACAGACATCAAGACAGAAACCGATTTGCATTTATTCTTTCTTGTGGGCTTCGAAACGGAACTGAACACCCCATAGTTCTCTGCGAATGCCATACAAGCTATTCAAGACCCGCGACTCCTCATATTTAAAAGTTTTGATGGGAGAAAATCCCTTTTTCTTTAAGGCATCCCTCAAATCTTTGTCAAAAGAGCAAACGTCAAGCAAAAGTTTCATTGACTTACCATTACCGTGCTTACGATATTGAAGGTCTTTGGTTCTCAACAACGCCCAATCAATGAGATCTTCCATGACCCCACTTTTCAAGTAAACGCGACGCGCTCCAATAGTTGTGACACCCATTACGAGGGAGTCTTCAGTAGAAAGATGCTTGTTTTCCATGATAGCCGCTAGCGCGATCGGAGTATCACGGTAAACAATGATCTGCGTGTTTTCTAGCACTTCAGAGCCTTTAACCTTGTCAGCTGAGAGCTTGTTGAGATTCACATCGAACACGCTCTCACCCTCCGTTTTGACAATGGCATCGATCTTCTTGCTGAAGACGTTTTCGGTCACTCTTGATAGCAGAGTGAAAATCACAGAGGAAGAAATAACTATAACGATACCAGCGGTAATCAGTTCTTTGGTATTCATGTATGCGTACTGCACGAAGAAGCCGCTTACAGACTTGCTTCCACGAGGAAACGTCGACTTAGATACCAGGTACAGCAAAGCGCATGTAAACGATCCCAAAAGAGTAGTCTTGTTCCATAAAAGGTACTTGTTCGCCTCAGATTGCTGTTGTCTCAAAAAATCGACCGACAAGTTTAAAGCTGCACTCGCAAACTCAGGCTTTAGCTTACTGCCATATATAGTAGGTGGAGCATCTTTATCGATGGGCTTATCTAGCGAAGCATCCACTTGCTTCACAGTACCTTTCACGACCTGTTTAGCCATTGAACACTGGGAAAATTGAAAGGAACCTTGAAAGTAATCGACAGAAAACCTCTGTCGATGGGGCAGTGATCTCAGCTTTTTTTCCCACCTTTTTAATTAAAGCCCATATATATATATATATATATCAATAAAATGCTGAAAATTAATGGAGATAATTCACGTGGAGCCATCAGAGAAACTGGATGAAAGCTTGTTGGAATCAAGCTAGGCCAATTAAAGTTCGTTTTAGTACGTTGATTTGTTAGTCTACTCTTCATGTTTAGTCGAATCTTATTTTGCAGCGATAACTCGAAGCTTTTACTTATCAAGTAAGAAGCCAAATTGCAGGTAGTTCGACGGTGGGTTAAAAATGTGTGAATCAAAATGCAAGGCCGTTCCATGCTACCTCAAAGACCCATTGCTTCTTAGTAAAAGGAGTACCGTCTGTTTAGTGTTGTAAAATGGTCAGATGCTGCATAAATTGGCATGCTGTTGATAAACGGGCTGCACTTATGCGGTGTGTAAAGTAGCCTTCAAGCCCTTTCTGCAGTCTTCTGAGTAGCCTCGGTGTTTATTGTATGCGTGCTATTGTTTCTAGGAAGTGGGAACTGTCTCAGACTGTTGGCGCGAGACGCGTGATGCGTCGTGGTCAAACTGAATATGGAAGAAGCAGCGCCATGACCAGCATTGGCGTTGTATCTAGCACGATCCACTATACTGGCGGGAGGTATGCCCACCGTGCTGCTGTTGGTCTCGAGCGTCTTGCTGGAGAGCACAGTTGCCCTTGTCGATTGCAAAGAGGTGCTTTCTGAGAAGACAGACGATTTCATCGATTTGACGGACGCTGACGCCGAATACTGCGAAACTAACGGTGCTATGCTGGCGTTATCACTACAGGCATCGAATTCCACATGTGGCTGAGACACACTGCTCAAAGTCGCATCCAGAGACGTTAAGTGACTTTTTCTGCTTTCCTTCTTTTTACCATGTCTCGCATTGACGCCAGCGCTCGGATGAGTACTGTGTCTCTTTAAGGCTTCGCCTGCATTACTTGTACCATTTGAATCCCTGGGAATTGTATTACATTGCTGAGGAGCAGATTCAAACTCCCGGGCTTGCTCTTTATTCGGTTGAATAATCCTTCTCACCCAGACAGATAGTTTTCTCTTCCGTTCTAGATTAGTGTCAGTGAGATGAAAATATCTACCAAAACCCGCTAGAAATTCTAATGTGCTATCAAGTAAACATACCCTGAAATCCTGTATCGTTGTGATTGGTTGACATTGATTGTTCGTGGTACACATGTGAAGTCAGTTTCCGATGTTCAGTTTCAAGTTGATCAATGTGAACAAATCGTTCTTGACGTGGAGCTTTAATAATTGGCCTTCACCAGATAAGTTACAACAGCTTGGTGAAGAGCCATTTCCGCCATTTCAACTAATTTAAGCCCATCGAGAACAATTTGGAATTGTCCATATATCTTTACTTCAGCTTTAAAGGTATTGGAGGAGTCAAATTAATTGTTGACGAATTGCAAAGGTTTAGACATAAAACTCGGTTCGCCAATGCTTCGTGATCCATCGAGATCCTGGTTTATAAAAAACTCTTCGTTCTGGTTGAGCTTCTCAATAAGAAATTGAGGTTTTGTTGTCCATTTTTGTATGTGTATGTCTAGCTATGATTCAAGATGAATTACGTCGGAAGATGTGAAAAATTGACGCATTTGAACTGCCAATTCTGGACACCTCACTGTTTAATTGTAGCCTGCATTTCGCAGCGGTACCGTTTTCGCTGGGGCCCAGTGTATTGAGTTCTAATCAGCCTGAACGAGATTCTTCGTTAGAATTCAAAATGTACTCGTAATTGAAAGCAATTAGGTACAGATAGGAATCTATAGGCATTTTCTCGTTGACGCTATGCGCATGACCATCAAGAACGCTGTTGAATGTCGCGAACTTGTACCGGTAGATATTTTCACTCAAATCCCAGTAATGCGCGGTGTCGGTATTGCCGGTAGTGATCGAAGGAGCCACAACCACCTGCGTGTCCGGTTTGCCAGCGAACACAACGTCTTCAAAAACATGTCTTATCGTCCCACTAAATGTACTCCATACAGGGCCAACGACCGGAGACACAGGAGCAGGTTCGAGAAATCCCATCGCGGTGTAATTAAAATATCCATTTTGAGTAGGCTCGTGGATCCCTAGACCGTTGAAAACTAGTCCTATATCGTAACTTGACGCTACTTTTTGGATGTCACGGAGTATTTTCATGGCGGTTACATTGCATGAGGAGCCCACGTTGACACGGTGATTAACGGTGACCTGTGTGAGCTCTGGCAACGCGTTTGCCTTAATCCCGCCCTTTATGATGTCCGCTGCCTGTGTTGTCTTCGCCAAGTATTTCAAATTGCGATGCGAATCCACCCATTTCAAGACTCGTTCTTCCGCGCCCACGTCCTTGAACATATGTTTTATGTCCCCGCATGGTATAGATTCGTCACGCGTTGCAAACTCGGCCATGCATTGCAAATAACTGTAGAAGGGATTTTCTTCATATACTTTTGACTGAAACGGACTAGACTCAATTAAAGTTACTAGTTCCGACATTATACCTATCCCGGTGTGGTCTGGAGGTACCGAGGAATGTCCTCCCGGCGTATAAAGTTCAATTTGAGAACTGAAGGAACCCTTTTCACCAACTGCAGGTAAAGCAAAGAAGGTGTCACCTATTTTCTCAATAGCAGCACCACCTTCATCCACAATCGCATAAATGCCGTTAGAACCATACCGATCGAGCAAAAATTTGCCAAGTTCCCCGGCGCCATATCTACCTCCCACTTCTTCGTCGAACCCAAACGCCAAAATAATCGTGCGCGAGGGTGTAAAACCGTCCTGGCTTAGTAACTCCACTGCTTTCAGCAACGATGTTAGCAGCGATTTACAGTCTGACACACCACGTCCGTAAAGAAAAGTGCCGTCGCTGAAGCCCTTAAAAGGATCGTGATTCCACTCTGATAAGGTGTCAGGATTAACGGGAACGACATCTTGGTGAGCCGCAAGGACAAGAGGCTTTAAAGTCTGATTTGAGCCATTCCAAGTGTAAAGCAGATTGTAGTCATACTTGGGGTGCTCGAGCTGCATCTTTTCATGTGCAATTGGATACGCGTCCTTGAGGTATTGGTGGAAATCTAGAAACGACGAGTAAGACTCTGGATATTGGCTGGGACACAAATGAGAATCAAAACTTTCGGTCTTGACTCCGACAGCACCCAGAAGCTTCGCGATAGCTTCAGTTCTAAACGCTTCATCACGCACGATCATCTCGATCGTTGAATTATCCCGAGTGTAAGATTTTGGTCTCAATGCAGGCATCGCAGGGCATCTTTTTGGTGTTCCACTAGTGAAAGCATAAGTGTCCTCGGGCTTTCTTTCCTTGCAAGTTAACCAAAATAACGAAAGTGCTATTATTGAGGAACATAATAGCTGCGTAACGGTTTTTCTAGCACCGAGTTTAAAAGGTTTTCCTGAGAACTCGTTATCCATCTTGAGCGTGCGTATTACAACGTCGCAGTTTGAGTGAAGAGGACAAAGAACGTTTTCACAGTTGCTTGAAGCTTTGAGAAGATGCGCTTTCAAACGGGCTGCATCCTGTCGCTTCTTATCTGTGCTCTCTGCTGCTTAGTTGCAACGTAAGATCAACAAGATTTGATAAGAAAATGGATATTCAGTTACTTAGCAAGTTGACTTAAAAGAGATAGCAGCCATATAAAGAAGTATATCATATCATAGAGTGGGCCCCTTGATCGTCGCACGGGGATCAAGCAGCTTGCAGCGAACTGCCTCGCAAGCCCCAATAAAAATCAATAAGGGAAATAAATAGAAGAACCGTATTCAGGCGGAAAATTTGAAATTTAAATGAGCATAATTCGAGCATCTAAAGAAAGGAAAATGGGGAGACGACAGAACCTTCAGATTCCTGAGGATTTCCAAATCATCTCTTGAGTCACTTCCTTCACTATTTTCTTCAATCGCTTGGGTCTCGTCTCAGCTCCGACACATTTCCGTCCTTTATTTCACCATATTGTCTGCCCCTTGGACAACAGAAGAGGCTGTCTTGGAAACTTCTTCCGCTAACTCACGTGCACGAGGCTCAATGATGTCTTCGGCCTTAGAAGTCGTGGAAGCAACACCATTCTTGAGCTTCTCGAGCGTCAGATTGCCAAGATCGACACCAGTAGACACAATTGCACGTGGAACACTCTCAGACTTGTTTAAATTCCCCTCGTACTTCTGAGAAACGGTCTGGTACGCGGCGTCGTACTTCCCGGTCACGTAATCGCGGGTTTCGCCGATTTTACCCTTAGTGAGTTCGTTGTAGCCCTCTTGCAGCTTGGTCTTGGTAGGTGCAATGTATTCAGATTGCAATTTGGTGTGGATACCCTGGCTTAGCGAACGCGTCGTATGCGCAAGCTCCTTGACGTGCGGACAGCCGTCGTCCAACGCAACATGCTCTTTGCCGTTGGCGCCGGAAACTTCAGCGGCAGAGGCCAATTTCAAGGGTTTGACGACAAGTTCGCGCAGCGCCAAGTTCGAAACGTTGGCTAGATAGTCCACTAGGTACAGCGCAAGCCACAGCCCGGCACGCCCGTCGTGGAGTTTGTACTGTTCCAAAAACGCATCGAGACCCTCGCGGAGAACGAGAATGTTGAAAAGCTCATCGGCACGATGAATCGCAGCGACTCCGAGACCGTAGCCGGTCTTGACGAGTTCAGGCGATTTGGGCGAGTCGATTGCTGCTCGTTTGGCGCGATACACCAGCGTCGCAACGACAGATACACTCTGCGCAACGAATGCGTAAGACAAAAGATAGCTGACGGAGTCAGCAAGCACAGGGTATTTTTGCAAATGATTTAACGTGGCCGAGTTGGAAGACGCGAACCGCGAAAGCGAGTCCTTGTCGACGACGACTTTGACGTTGTCGCTGGTCATTTTAGTAGTCTGGTGTAACTTTTAGTTAAGCGAAAAATGCGATAAGGTATGTTTCAAAGTTCAAAAACCGCTTATGAATCCTTGTGGCTATAGTCCGGATGGCTCAAGTTTGTTCAGAAAGGCGAAACTTTTTTTTTGTCCAAAAATCGTTTCTCAGCCTTGCAGTGTCAAAACTGTCCGAAAATAAACCAAAGCAAAAAAAGGTATTCTTAAAATCCCCGTATTGCTTTCGTGTCGAGTTCTCAGCACGCTCAAACAAATGGTCCTCACTTAATCTCGAAACGTCCGTAAACACCGAAATATTCTCAACTTTAAAACAGTCTCTAAAAAGCTAAGCCTGTATGGATGTCTGAATTCTTAATCCGATTAACAAGTTCTTAAAGAGTACAACTTGGTCTCGTGGTTTATACCTAGCACTGTAACAACTCAAAGCTTTACAGAACCAAAATTAAAATAATCTGGTAAATGATGCCAAAGGGATGTGAACCTCATCAACTTTCTGCAGATGTGATAAATATATACGTTTTTCACATGATATAGGTCAAAGGACTGTATCCACTATCTACTATAAAGGGGTGAGAAGAATTTTAGGGAGCGATAAACCCGTGACTACAACCGTTGACGCGTCGTGTTGAACGATAATGAGTAGAAAGTGGGTAGCAAGCGGGCGGCAACGCAGTGGTAAGATAAGTAGTAGAAGTTAATTCCCTGGGAGCCCTCTATGAGATCTTTCTCATGGTGTCCCTGAAATTGACTTGGTGGCTTTACATCGTTTTTTGTTGTCTTGTGTCTTTTCTACAATCTACAGCGTAGTCTTTTACACCATGGCCTTTGGAATGGAGAATCAGGAATGCCTTGGAAAAAAGCTTTAGAGACCGAATTTCCGGTGTATCTTAAACGGCCCACCACCGAACGACACGTTGGGTTAACACTGTGTATTTTTTTGCGAACTCAAAATACCGCTTACGTTTATATAGCTGACATACAGCGCGCTGGCACTGGAAGAAGTGTATGAGTTAGAAATCACGGGTTTGTCAGAGTCCCGCGCGCGTCGCACACTCACGACTGTTTGCACTCTGGAGGTTGTTCTTTGGACGTTGCAGCGTTCTTGAAATCGTCTTCTTCGTCTTCGTCTTCGTCGTCATCGTCTTGATCTTCGTCTTCGTCGTCGTCGTCGTCGTCGTCGTCTTCATCTTCGTCGTCATCGTCGTCGTCGTCGTCGAAATCTTCGCCGTCTTCGCCGTCGTACTCAAATTCCATCGCGGTGCCTGTGAACCAATCCACAGCGCGTGGGATGAGTTTATCCTTGATCTCCTCTCCGATCGCATAGTCCAAAGCGAGTCGGCCCTCTAGATCCTCCGCATCAGAGTCTGCTGCCGCCTCTTCATCATCTTCGTCCTCGTCGTCGCCCTGTTCGGCAGCCGCGTTCTGGGGCAATCTTGGTGGGTCGAAAAAGTTGAAAAACGACTCGACAGGCGTGATCTTCTCAATGGTACGCACCTGCTTGGTGGTCTTGTTGCGTTGCTTGCGTTTCTCGACCGCGACGGTGACCTTGGATTCGTTGTCGGTCCAGTCAATCGTGCAGCCCTCAGCATGGTCGTAGATGAAATCACCCGAGTACCCGAGCTCAGTCTGATAATAGTACGCTTTCGTGAGCTCTCTGTTGGAAAAAAATGGGTTTTCTTCGCTGAACACAAACACTAGCCTGAAACCCGGCTGGCCCTCTACGAGATACTCCAGACGCACATCGACAAGAAAGTCTAGCACCTCCGCGTCGCGGTCGGTCAAAGTCTGGGACACCATAGGCAGGTTTTCGAACGCGGTGAGCCAGAAAGAAGGCACGCCACGAACTTGTGTATCCTCGGCGGTGTCCTCGTGGTCTTCCTCAGCTACGGGCGCCAAATCGCCACTCTCCTGCTTCCCGGCCTCTATCTCGCTCGCGGTGGGGTCCGCTTTGCCCGACACCAACTCAAAGCGCCGCTTGTGTATGGGAGCGTATTTCCGCAAGTATTTTTCCTCCAGGGCAAACATTTCGAGCTGGAACTCGCGCTCGACCTCGAACAGGTCACGCTGCAGCTTGATCAGCGCGTAAATGCGCTGGCGTACGACCAGGGGCAAAGACGCAATGTAACCACTGTCCTGGCCGACCAGAGTGCCTAGTTTTTCTTGTATAGACGCCAAAAGTTGCGGATTGCTCGCCAAAGCAGAATTGATCTCTTCTTCGTCGATGGTATTTGGAATAGCACGCACAGGGTTACCGTTCTTCAAGTAACTGCTGGTCAAAACGCTTGCCGGCGTATTATGCGGCGTAGGAGCCGCGTCGATTTTGGACGACGTTGTCTTGATTGGCTTTGACATTGGTTGCTGCTTAATCGTCTGTACCTCGTCTAGTTTCAGGCCAAAAAGTTCCAAATTGAATACGACAGAGTCTTAACAGGTCTCGACGGGTCTTCTCTACCTGAATTATCTTGCAAGAGTACCCACAAAAGCCACAAAATGTAACCTTAATGTCACTTCTCGGTTCAGTTGCAAACCTTAACAAGTTCAGTTCAGATTCTCGTCAACGTTTTTTTCCATCACGCCCCCACGAAACCACGTCCTATAAAGTGGGTATAAGCTTGTCAAAATAAGAAAAAACTAGCTCACGTGTAGGGCAAAGAAGACGAAACTCGTGAGAACCTGGAATCAAGCTGGAATCTCAAGCCAATTGCCCAGAAATGTTTAAATTTTGACTTGCAAGTTGCCAAAATGGGGGAGCCATCTTTATTTTTTGCTCCGTAGGCTGCAAAAGTGGAAGCTTACTTTTTACGTAATTAAGAGATCATTATTTTATCGAGACCCAGAAGCCTCTATATAACCAGTCTTGCGGTGCTCACCAGGGTCAGGTTCGCAGGTGTTTTCTTTATTTTCGAAACCCTACTAGGGTTTGGTAAACTCGATGATTTCCTAAAAGAAAAGGTGCCGGGGCACGGTACCTCTGTGACTGCGAAGGGTCTCTGTACGACAACCAACTCCTTTAGACTACTCTAAAGATTTGAATGCCGAATCCCCCCAACCTTGTGTCGTATACATCGCACCGGTCTTGAAGCACACTCACCGAGACGGCGGAAATACTGACGCCCAAGGCACGTGACCACTGCCACAGTTTCTCAGGGAAGAGAGGTTGACAAATGCGCACCTAGCCGTGATGTGCCCGAGCTGGTCGGTGAAACTCGAGCTCTGAAAATGTCTTTTATATTGACTTTGTTCGGATTATGGTTTTCGAGAATTATTGTTCTTAGGCTTGCTATTCAGTACGTGACTGAAAATATGTATGGTGTATCTCGAAACAGCTGAATAAGCGTTTCGACCGTTGAGCATCAAATTGGTGTTGAAACGGGCCTATGGAGAAATTCTCTGTCCCATAAGCATTTCAAATGCTTCTTTTGTAAGCGGCAGATAATGGGGAAGTGACATCGTCAAATTGCACTATAACGTGACCACGATGACTAACTAAAATAAGCAGATTGAGCAAATGATGAGCATCCTAGAAAACAATTAGGAGCTCATTGATTCCAGTGATGTCACAAGAATTAGTAAACCATCGAAACGAGACCATCAGTGGTAAGACGAATGACGTGTGCTCGGACTTTGCCGCTTGTTACATCGAAAGTAACGGATAGAAAACTAGAAATGGTTTGACAAGAATTGTATAAAAAGGGAATAATTTGATAATCTGTATACCTGTCATATCCTCAAGCTAATCATTGAGAGTTACAAGTACTCAACACCCGATGTACTTTGCAATTAAGAGAAATTTGAAGAAATCAAGTGAAAAATTCACGAATCTGATCAACCCGAACACCGGTTAAGCTTAATAGTAGACATCTTTGCTTCGGCTTCAAATCGTTTTTACTAAATCGTAATGTTGCAATTGTCAGATGTCATCGCCGTGTAGACAGGAAAACCAGGCCAGATGTGGAGTCACGTGATATGGAGCCGCGTTTTCTGACATAGATGTCTGATTGTGGGAGCATTGGGGCCCGAATTTGACGGTTTGCTAAGGTCGCTGTACTTCAACTCAATCCAACTGAGAGATAGTTAGGATGTCCGACAAAACGATTAAGTCTCCCAGTGATCTGCCCGCTATAGAAGTTATCTGGCTTGTCACATGTTTGATAACTTCGTACATAACAAATGGGTAGCCTTTTGAAGGCCATTATCGGGATGAACAGGTCCCTACGATTGTATTGTAGCAGTGGTCACGTGACACTCTTTGGGACTGACCTTGGGCGGAATTGAGCAATGGCTTGCATGGCTCGGGTGTCCTGTCCAGTTCGTTCAAGATTTTTACGCTGCTCAGTGGCTTTAGTGAAGTTTATGGGGCTCTACGTTATTTTTTCCCGATGACCTTGGCATGAAAAGCCTCTGTTAGCATAGTCTATTAAACTGGGTCTTGCTAGTAGGAAAGGATTTGATGCTGGGTAAGACGTCTTAAATAACAGGAATCCTCTAGCAACTATTAAGTACTCTCGGTAGCCAAGTTGGTTTAAGGCGCAAGACTGTAATGTGTTTCAATTGTAATCTTGAGATCGGGCGTTCGAATCGCCCCCGAGAGATCTTTGTTTATTTTTTTTGAATTTCTAACTGCAGGTAGAACTAATGTAAGGAATAGTAGGAGACATTGTTAAGAGGATTTTGCAAGAACAGAAATTTGAATTTCCGGTAAAGAAAGATTGTTTCCAGCGGGAGTTGTGGGAATTAGCTTTACGTTTGGATTCAGAGCTACGAGTTTAATTACAAGATTATTTGGTTCTTTAAGTGTTTCGTTTGAAAGCTGTCTCGTTCAAGAATTGATCCACATCTAAATTAACATGGTCAAACCAATTGTCGCACCCAGCATCCTAGCCTCCGACTTCGCGAATCTGGGCTGCGAATGCCATAGAGTTATTAATGCCGGTGCCGACTGGCTCCACATTGACGTCATGGACGGCCATTTCGTGCCAAATATTACGCTGGGACAGCCCATTGTCGCAAGTCTGAGAAAAGCCGTTCCGAGAGCCGGATTCAAAGAGCGAGAGAGCGAGAGCGGCGCGTCTACTACTACTCCGTCCGCTTTTTTTGACTGTCACATGATGGTCGAAAACCCTGAACAATGGGTCGCCGACTTTGTCAAGTGCGGTGCTGACCAGTTCACGTTCCACTATGAAGCTACTTCGGACCCGCTAGGTCTCGCCAAGCTCATAAAATCGCACGGAATCCGTGCTGCGTGCGCTATCAAACCAGGCACCCCAGTTGATGTTCTGTTCGAGCTCGCTCCACACTTGGACATGGCTCTCGTCATGACCGTCGAGCCCGGTTTCGGTGGCCAAAAATTCATGCTCGACATGATGCCAAAAGTCGAGACTTTGCGCGAAAAATTTCCCAATCTTGACATACAGGTTGACGGTGGCCTGGGCAAAGAGACTATCCCCCACGCAGCCAAAGCTGGTGCTAATGTGATCGTCGCTGGTACCAGCGTTTTCACGGCCTCGGATCCCGCAGACGTCATCTCGTTCATGAAATCTGAAGTCTCTGCCAGTCTTGAAAAGAGGGGTCTCTTAAAGTGAGCTCCCTCCGCAGCGCTCTGGATTCGAGGATTTTTATCACAGTGTGTTCCCTTTGATTCAAATGCTAATATACAGTTATATAACTAGAGTCGCCGCTTCCCATTTTAAGGGAAAAATGGGCCGCCAAGCGTCGTGCCATTGCCGTTCTCCAAGACGAGTCCGGTGTTAGTAGAGTCGTCAAGAACTTGGAAAATGGCAGCTTTGACTCTTGAAAGAGCGGTCGTTTCGCCCGCCCTTTTCTCTACAGACTTCACTCGGTCGATTTCCATGCTATCCTCAGCTTTTTTCTGCACATCTACTAGCAATTTGCGCTGTTCGGCGTATTTGAGATTTCTTTCGATTTTCTTAGCCCTTTTCTTAGACAGCGTCTTGGTGGTGATAGGACCGTGAGAGCCGTGTTCGCCTTTATACAAGTCGATCGGTATCGAGCGAATCTCGCCAGACTTGGACCTCGCGTCAGATCTCGCTGGTTGCAAAAGGCCCGCCCTTTCCCGCGCATCTCTTTTCTTGGCTAGCGAGCGGATCTTGTGGTTGACAGTGGTAGTATGGTGCGGCCTATTGATAGAGTTCTTCGAAGGCATAGCTATATGTGTAAGCTGCGGGACAAATGTTTCGCTATATTACCAAAATTACTGAAGCAAACGAGTTCTTGTCGCTTGTACTAGGTCTATTCTTATTCGGTAACAGTGCGATGAGATGGGCATCTCAGTGAAGAGATGCGCTTAGAATCTTAAAATTTTTCAGTAGTTATGTACGAACCGAGGAAAACTCCGCCAAAGATATCAATAACGACGCTTTACATGGTCAAGAAACTACGATTGCAAACTGAGTGGGATTTTAGCCACCACAAAGCTCTTTGGTTACCACTCAAATCGCACGTAGTTCAGGTAGTTTGGGTTTTGATTCATGAATCACTTTAGACGAAATCGTTTTTACATCTTCATCATCTACAGACAGGAGAATGGGCCCCCCAGAGCACCACCCGCAGTCCAAGTTAACCTCTAAAACCTGTATGGAAACGTATAAACCTGATATAGTTTCTGCCCCCGGCGGTGTAGTGTGAATGTTCAGGTGAAATATTCGATTCCGTGTGCAGTGACTTCCAAACAGGCTTATGATTTAGACATGATCCGTCAAGGAAGGGAAGGACTACTTGCAATACAATAAGAACAAGCCCAAGAGCCCTATTTTTTAAGGTTTCGCTTAAAGCGAAGGGTTGCTAGATACAATGGGTGACAAAAAGTCTACTGAAGCTGAAGATGTCCTTCAATTTTTGGATTCTTTACCTGAAGGTAAAGAAACTGGGAACAAAGAGGTGAAGAAAGGTCGCCAAGAAGACAGTGAAATCCTTGATTTCCTTGACGAACTTGAGCAGAGCAATTTGAGTCTCAACAAGCCCAAAGGCACGACCAAAACACCCGACGAGACACCTGACGCCGGATTGGGGGCCGAGGACAAGAAACATGGGGCCAACGCGAGTGAAACAGGCGCTGATAACGAAGGTTTGAAATCCGCAGGCTCGGAGACAAGGGCCCCAGCGCCTGAAAAGGTTGAGCAACATGACTACGAGGAGGAGAGTCAACAACCCCTCAACGATCCAATTACTTCAATCTCCAATTGGTGGTCGTCTTCAGGCTCGGCAACGGTGAACTCGTTTTTTTCCAAAACGGCGGAACAAGCCAACCAATTGAAGGACCGTTTGGCTCACGAACAACAAGGCATTGCATCTAGGCTCCAGACGACGTCGCTGGGTTCCAAGATCTCAGCCACCACGATTTCTACCCTGGCCAAGAACCTGACCCGGATTGTCGTTGGCGAGACGGATGAGGTACTGCGCATACACTTGGTGCACGACCTTGTTGGGTACCCAATGCTGCCATACCACGTAGAGCAGCAGTTCGACAGAGTTCTAAGCTCACAAGTCCAGAGTGGAGTGCGTATATTTGTCGACGAGTGGGATCACCCCATTGAGGGTGAACGTCGTAAAGACGACGGTAAACGCCATCTCAACTTGTTCACGGGCAAATTCACGGACGGCGAAAAATTGGCGTTTGCCAATATCAACAACGCTGTCAAGCTGTTCAACGCTGCCAAGGAGGAGCTCGAGAAACAGCGTGTCGACGTCTCCGGCCATGAACGGCAACAGACGAATGAAGAGCAGAACATATCAGATCTTTTCATTTCGGTTCTTCCCGTCGCGATCCCTGTCAAGTCTCAAGACGCTGGAATCACGACCACGGATGCAGCGCAGCCCGGAAACTTCAGTTTCGTTGTGGTACTCAAGGACGTGACCAACGACACAACGTCAATCACGAGGTCTCAAGGTTTCCCTCAGAAGTGGGCCGACTGGCTGGAGGGGACGTCGGCGCTCAAGGCGAGGGACGAGCACGATGCAGAGAAGCCGCAAGCCACTGCTAAAGAGAGCGACGACGATAACACCCAGCCTGAGGATATCGACCCCAGCGAATGGGTCAAAGAATGGGTCGAGGACGGGCTCAGCCTGACATTTGGAGTTGTTGCTCAAAACTATATCATCGAACGCATGGGGTTCGAGTAGTCGCGTTATCACCTCAGTAGTTTTCATCCATAAGCTTATTTTCGTATCGAACCTAGTGTGCATAACAACTATAGAAAGAAATAGGGAGGGGCCGCAAGAGTCGCTCACTGCGGCCGCAGTGCCTTCTCGACACTCTGCGCATCTGTTCCCATCTTTTTTTTCTCCCAGTCCACCCACAGCGCAGTCTTCGAGTTCCAGTTGCCGGCCTTTACGCTGTCCCCTAAGTCCTGTCCGAAGACACTGTTCGACGAGGATTTGGTCAAAAGAGTGCCGAGATGGGGCACCTGCTTGCCCACTAGGCTCGCATTAATAGTCTGCATGTACTTCAACTGGTCGAGTGTAGGAAACTTGGTGTGTACTTCAATGTCAAATTTTGGATTCTGGTCTGCCCGGAGTTCTTGCAAGATCGAAGAAGCCGGTTTGAATCCTACGTCGTGCGTGAAAACGCTTATAATCCTAGGGCTGTTCTGTAAAGATTTAAAGAGCGACATTCCGGTTCAAAGTTGTCGATTTGTCTCTCAATCGGAACTCTAGCAAAGCAAGACTATATGCAAGAATCCATCTTCCTAGTGAAAAAAAATACTTCCAAAAATCCATGCCATAAGGATCGACAACGGCTTGCAATACCTATCAACTACAAATAATGGGCACTACTACGACAATCGGCTAATCATTGGGCAGACCAAACATCTTCTAATGATATTGACGAATATTGACCAAGATTTATTCTAGCACCGTCATTTGGCCAAAAATTGCTCGACAATTTTCAAATGGATATTCACGTGACAGTTTTCAATTTGGAAAATTTTAAGACAATTGGACCATAGGATACGAGGCTCATAAACAGAGAGATGAGGTTCAATAAGAGATAAAGCTGAGACTGGGCTGTTGTGCAACGAGTCGGCTTGTTAAATAATTCACACAAACTCTGCGGTTCTAAAGATGTCAGAATCGAGGGGATCCCCTGCGCCTGGCAAGTCTAAAATCACCGAAGGGGAGGCAGATCTTTACCTGGACCAATACAACTTTACCACGACAGCGGCAATTGTTGGATCCGTTGACCGGAAAATATTTGTTTTGCTTCGTGATGGTCGTATGCTGTTTGGAATACTGCGTACCTTCGACCAATACGCCAACCTTATTTTGCAGCATTGCGTCGAAAGAATATACATTACGGAGGAAAATAAGTACGCGGAAAATGAGTGCGGGGTATTCATGGTGCGCGGAGAGAATGTAGTGATGCTGGGCGAGGTAGACATTGACAAAGAAGATGAGCCACTTGTGCAGATGGAACAAATACCGTTCGAAGAGGCCTCGCAGATGAAGCAGGAGCGCGACGACGCCAGATACAAGTCTGAGAGCCAGAAGGGAAGGCAGATGGCCAGGTACGGGCTCATCCACGACTTCCACAAGTCAGACATATACTAGTGTAGATAGCATCAAGAGATAACGAACAAAGAAAAACGAAAAACGAGAGTCCCCGGCAGATTAGGTGTGCGAGAAAGTCTTAAAGAAGTCACGAACGTCCAATGAAAGCCTGGGTTATTCGTTCGATCAGATAGCTGTTTCTCAACGGTCTCTCTTCCTTTATAGCAGTTGAAACAGTGTTGATGATCTCAATCTTGCTGAAAATTTTCCCGTCTTCTATCTCATCGGCAGACGAAAAAGAGCCAGCGATGTCGCATTTCTCACAGTATAAGGACACCATCCAGCCTGGTGATCTAGCATTGGCCTGGGTCTCTCGAGACAATGTGAAGCCTTTCAGAATAGTGCCGGGAGAAAGCTTTAACACCAGATATGGGTCTTTTGAACATAACGCAATGATTGGAAAACCGTATGGCTCGCAGATCGCCGTGAGAACCAAAGGATCCAACAAGTTCGGTTTTATACATGTACTGCAAGCAACTCCAGAGCTATGGACGATTTCACTGCCGCATAGAACCCAAATTGTCTATACACCAGACTCATCATATATTATACAGAGACTTCAATGCACTTCACGCTCGAGAGTAATTGAAGCCGGTACCGGGTCCGGGTCGTTCTCACATGCCTTCTCAAGGACTGCAGGTCATTTGTTTTCGTTCGAGTTTCACGAGGTCAGGTATCAGCAGGCTAAAAAAGAGTTTGAAGACCATGGGTTGATTGCAGACGGGAATGTCACAATTACTCACCGGGACGTGTGCCAAGATGGGTTTACTATCAAGCCCACTGACACTACCAGCTACTATGAAGGTTCATCCGCTCACCCCCATGTTGCAGTCACACTCGACGCAGATGCTGTGTTTTTAGACTTACCAGCGCCTTGGGATGCTATTCCACATCTGGATGAGGTCATTATGAAAAACGCTAAAGTCATTCTGTGCTGCTTTTCGCCATGTATAGAGCAAGTGGACAAAACTTTAGAAATCTTAGAGAAGCACGGTTGGACCGACGTCGAAACGGTAGAGATTCAAGGAAGACAATACGAGGCCAGACGTCAAATGGTTCGGAAACTAGACGATGCCTTGAATCGACTGCGCGATGTTAGAGAGCGCAAGCAAGTTGGGGTGGAGCGTCGCAAGCGGATGTTCACTAAATTGCTGAACGAAGAAGACACTGCTTCCGAGGTAAGGCCTCCCACCGAAAAAACGCAATTCAACCCGTTCGGTAAAGGTTCCCGAGTAAAAGAAGGTGATACGAAGTTCCAGTGGAAAGAAGTTACGAAAGTAGAGGCCGAAATCAAATCTCACACTTCGTATTTGACGTTTGCATCTAAAATTGGCAAAATATCCAGGAATGAAGAAGAAGTGCTACGGGAACTCCAAAAAGTCAGAGACGGCAAATCAAATAATTAGGAATTCTTTTGTATCTGCTGCATATACGGCACTGGGATGTGCATTTAAATAAAGTCTCCGAAAACATCTCTCCTGCGCTGGTCCCATAGTGGCATGTTTTGCCGCATTTCGGCTTGGGCACCAAAGTCGAGATCTGCTGTAATCAGCTGAGGAGCGTCGTTGGCAGGATCGGCTCGAGAAATCACTGTGCCCCACGGGTCTATGATCATTGAGTGGCCCCAAGATATTCTTTCAACGGGTTTTTCAGTAGCGTCTCCCGGACTTCCGTCCGCGGACACATTATGATGGCCCTGCTGCCCAGGCATAATTACAAAACATTGAGTATCGACCGCCCTTGCACGGCCCAAAAGCTCCCAATGGGCTTCGCCTGTCTTCATCGTGAACGCGCTGGGAAAGCACAAGATCTGGGCACCTTCAGAGCGCAATTTGAGAGACAATTCGGGGAATCTTATGTCGAAGCATATAGCGTTGCCAAGTTTCCCAGCTGGCGTATTCAAAACCGCCGGGATTGTAGCACCAGCTTGTACCGACCGACTTTCGCGCAAAATGGGTCCATTTGGAGCATCCACATCAAAGAGATGCAATTTCTGGTAGCTTTGTCTGACCACGCCCGAGTGGTCGATATAGATTAAACAGTTCTTGACCCTGGTGTCTTGATGTGCAAGATCAGCGTCGTCCGGTGGCAGATGAACACCGATAGATACATCGATTTTCTTGCCCGAGCTGCTGCAAACGCTCTTGATGTAATCCGAAAGTTTCTGCACAAATTCTGGCGACTCGCCAGCCAATTGTCGAGAATGATTGGCCGATCGCGACAGATAATCAGAGGCTTCTGGGAAAAAGATTACTTTGACGTCTTTGTCAAGGGCCTGCTGGATTAAGCCTTGGATGGTGTCCAAGTTTTGTTTCAAAGAAGAACTAGAGCATATTTGTCCTATGGCTACTCTATTCATGGCGATCGAATATCTCAGTTGCTGCTGACATAGATTTTTGCCTCTTGGAACGCTCATAAGTTTCTTATCAGTGCGCTTGAGACCATGGACGGTTGCAACAGCAACACGTGAGGTAGCACCCACAAGAAACCGGCGGAAAACTGTCATAATACTTGTGTCTCTGGAATAACGAAGGTCAGCTGCTATAGTGACTTTGTTCCGCTGTCAGATTTCATTTTCGAGGCATGACATCGGCATAAAAAGTGATTGATGAGAAGTTCGTCTTCTCCGAAGCGACAGAAGTAATTATTTCAAAACCGTTAGGAGTCTTGCATTTGAAGGTTCTACATGAATCAACAATAAAGTAAGTGTTGTTGGTGATGAAAAAGCATTTATAAATTGGAACACGTTTAAGGAAACCTTGTAGACGACGACTTTTGTAATTCAATTGCGGTGCTTTAAATATCGAGTGCTGATATTAGAAGAACCACCAAATGTAAAACCCGAAGCAAAATTATAAATTTGAGCTCCAACAAATTTCTCCCTTTACGCTATTGAACAGGAAAAAGATGTTTCACTGTGTTCGAAAGACGTAGCGGTGTATTGCCTAGTGTACGATATAGCTGTAATATATCTCTGTCAATAATGAGCTGGACATCTCAAAGGCCTTTTTTGAAAATATATTAAGCACGAGACTCGATGAGTGAATCGCGCAATGACCGGCTTTCATCACGCATCGAGGCTGGGTTCGGAGGCGTACTCCTTTCATTTCCACGATAAGGATAATACTAGAGACCAAGCCAGTTATAACGAACGGTCGATTCTCTTTGGTCTTAGCAAATTACCAATTGTTGTTGTAGTGTTAAACAAAGAGTCCGTTGACTCTAGTTCTATATAGTCACAGGACTCAACATGGAGCAAAGACGTTGACACGATGTGTTGTCCTTAGCATCCGAAGCTTCTCTCATGGAAACGCCCACATGCATTTCGATTTGTTGACAGAAAACCTGAAGTCGGCGGCTAAATTCGTCCGACGCGATATAAACTTTGAATACAAAACAAAACATTTACTGCGTATTATTATCTTAACATTTTCTAAGTAACCGACGGTCAAGTCTCTTTTGGTTACAGCCTTGCTAATATTCTTGCCAGGATCAGGACCAGGATCAGGACCAGGATTAGGATCAGCACCACCACAGTCTAAGCGTTTTCTTCTGTGTAACGCAGCAAATTTTCCAAGACGAAAGAGCGTATAGGCAGATAAGAAAAAGCACATCTTATTCTTCTATGAAAAACCACGATCAAAGTGAGTTCAAGAGCCATAATTATAATTGCTTAGTCGAAGCGATTTGAGTCGTTCTGAATATATTTTGTGTGTGTCGTCTTTTGCGACGCATCTATGACAAACGCTCCCGGACTCACTCACGTTCCCTTAAGCAAGGCTCTGATTGTCTTGTCAAAGTACTCTCAAAACACTTGGGCAAAACTGACCTCTGGTTACTATTTCGGCGCTTGCTCAGCTCAAAATGCTATAAAGACGATGGTCTTTAAAACCGAGAAAGGCCCTCACAATTTTCATTTATTTGGTATCGTGGCAAAAGTCTCAACAATCAAATGAGACCCCTCCAGGAGCTTACTTGTGCGAAACTTTCTCATTAAGACTTTGTAGCAGTGACCGCTGATTAACAAGTTTTCATTCTGAAAAATTAAGCTCATCACTTCTTTCCGATTAAAATATCATCAATCAGCGAGCGCGAACTACGAACATATGAGGTCACGATGGATATCGTAGAGTTGCAAGAATTGCAAGCGACGACGGGTCTAACTCCTAGGTCTATTTTACTGAAAGATGGCGAAACAACGGCAACTATGTATCCAATCCCTGCTCATCCAGACAGACTTCCAGCTGGATTGTTAGCGTTTCTTCTGGATGAGTTTAATATGGAAGTAGAAAAGGGAGACAGTTTGCCATTTTATCAGTCGCTGAGTTTGGACGAATTCAACAAGATCTGGTTTCACAGACATGGCCTGGTATGCATCATGGTTCTTGGCGAAATTCCTGAGCTGGACTACAGTAATGACGACGAAGAAAACCACGAAATCATGGCAGACGCGACGGCCGACGATGGTCGCGCAGAAATGTTCAGAAACACGCCCCAATACATCCGGAGAAAAGAGCGACGGAATCTGAATCTCAACATACAGTGGGAGAAACAGTGTCTGGGCACGTTTAACTTGCATCCGGCTTATCCGGGACGTTCATCGCATGTTGTGACTGGCACTTTTCTAGTGAACGCTGGTATTAGAGGTAAGGGTATAGGTAGAACCCTATTGGAATGTTTCTTAGATTGGTGCCCGAAGCTGGGATTTACTTCGGCCGTGTTCCCGCTAATTTATGGCACCAATGTCGGCATTCGCAGACTCCTAGAGGCTCTTAATTTCAGGCGAGTCGGTAAATTGCCCGAATCTGCCATTTTGAAAGGTTGTGACGTTCCTGTAGACTCCTTCATTTATGCCAAAGAGTTTACCCACGTATCAAAGACCATAGACCTTTTGAATGCACCAAATAAGCATTTCGCCAAATACGAGCGCTTGAAGTACTATCTAGAACATGGCAAATATCCTGACAATTGCGACAGGAACGAGAAAGCTCGGCTTAGAGCGAGCGCCAAATATCATACTGTACAAAATGGCAAGCTTATGCGTCAGGGACGAGAAGTCGTATACATACCAGAAAGGCAGCTGGAAGTTGCTTTTGAAGTGCATCAAATATCTCATCAGGGTATCAACAAAGTTACCACCAAAATTGCTGAGAGGTACCATTGGAAAGGTATCAAAAACACTGTAGCGCGAATCGTTGCTTCGTGTCCACTCTGCAAAGATCAAAATCATGACGACATTGGTATTGTTGTCGATCCTGGTTCTCCTCAACAGCAAGCGCACATGCTAGTGAGAGATCAATCTGAAGTCGATCACTCTGCTCAATTGAGCCAAATGGCTGCTGCCGTCGTAGGATCGCTTCAGACAAGAGATTTCGACAATAGTCGCACGCCTCCTGACACGAATCAACGAAAACGTTCGAAGCCAACAATACACCGAATCAAATTCAATGACTCAAAGGAAGCCATTGTTTCATCTCATGATGTCCTGCATAATGCCCAATCGATGAACAACTTTAGTGATTTAGCAAGACCAAATAATAGCGGTAAGCGAAGATATTTGGACGTCGCAATGGGAGCGTCTGAAGCGTTAAACAGGACTCCTCATGGGACTGACATCACGAGCGGGCCTTCTACGGTTCAAATTGAGGACGAGGACAATTCGCAAATCGATGATGCTCTCCTCGATCTTGAGGACAATGTTATGGCCGCGGTTCAGGCGGTGCATAATGAACAGCAGCATAAAGATTCACCTCTGGACCACACATCCGAAAGATTTTATTGAAATTGATCAAGGGCTTTCTCGTCTATACGAACATTTATCCTCTACATTACTCACTACCTTTTAAAATTGTCCTCAGTAACGCGATTGTCCTCAACGACAACGTTCCTAGAGTAGCTCTCTCTATGAGGCCACTCACGGTGAACTCTAACACTATGGAGGCTATCACCGCTACCGTAGTTCCCGGTAGGCGTTAACGTATAAGTTGAATTACCTGATTGTGAACCCGCAAGCGACAAAATGATGTCGGTGTGCTTGCTCTCCTCTTGATAATTGAGAGCCACATACCTGTCAAGAAGCCGAGAAACCTCTGCCTTGTACCTCAATTCAGAGTGATCGTTGTCATTCAACGTGGTATTCAACCTTCCGTGGAACGTCCAGAAAGTTTTGTCAATGTACTCAAAAACTGTCGAGACCTCCGAGAGGATACTAATGTTGTGAAGTCTCTCTAAAATAACATCGAAATGCTCAACATCCCCATTTGATGAATAGTCTTGTAAGCTCATAAGCGTGTTTTCTGTCTTTTTAATCATGGTGTAGTTCTTCCCATCAATTCGAATTTGACTTTTGGCAGTCATGTCATCCTTTGCATCCACTCTCTGAAACAGCTTGTCGTCCTCGCTATCATATGCCAGAACCTTGAAGAATGGAGGCGACAGAGTCGAATTCTCGAAGGAAACGGAGGAAACGTTATTTTCATCGCTCTCTTGATTCCAGAGCATGATATTGCCTGATAAAATCCAATTTTCACCCACGGTGGCTTTATAATCCTCGCTTACACTGCTGATTACTTCAATCTGTAGTTCCCAGACGCCCTCTTTGAGGATTGACAAAAATGGTGTCAAATCAATGGTGTAGGCTTCAAGGTCAAAAGCTTGCATACCGACGCAAGGCCTCCAGAGGGGTGGAGAAACACCGCCAGAAAAAATTATTGGGGTTGGTATGAACGATTCAACTAGATGGGAGACATCCGAGTTAGTGAGATAAACCCTAATCAAACGAAGCGGACCATGCCCCAGCAATTCGTGACCCGAGTCACGGAAACGGCTTGTGTAACGGTCTAATACATTAGTGTACCAGAATTCCTCTGCGGCGTTTCCAGAGGCGAAAATCTCCAAGACTGCTCTGGTGATGTTCGAAGTCGTTTCAAACTCTGGTAGTGTTCGTGTCCACCGAGGATTTCCTTGAGAAGAAAGCGGATAGTAAAACAGAGGGGTCCTTGCAAAGTGCGAGACCAATGGAGTGACCTCCTGTGGAGGCTTTGTAAAATACTCGAGCATTTTTTCCCGCAGCGAGGGCGCCTGCGATGACTCTACAGTGGGCTCGTTGTAATAGTGAATGAAAAGTTGTACGTTGAAAACACCATCAAGTCTCGAAGTAACGAGATTGTCGAGTTGTAATGTCAAATCGAGTTGGTCTCGCTCGAATAACGAAATATATTTGGTAATGTCCTTGATAGATTCACTGACAATGGTCTTTTTGCCCCAGGGCTCAGCTGTGGATGACCTCCAGACGTTGATGTCGTCGAGAAACACATGCACGAGACGATCGAATTGGGTACCCGTGACGTTTGTGACGAGCTCTAACACGACTTTGTTGTAGTGCCCATTTTTGTAAGGATGAAACTCGACGTGCGCTGGTTTGCCCCATGAGTCTCCAAATGAGTGGGTCAGAAGCAGTTGCGTATGCACGGGATCCTGGTTTGGTAATTTCTCAACTGTTATCTCGAAAGACTGTTGAACAGACGGAAAAGACGCCTTAGAGCGTAAGTGAGGGCAAACGGGGAAAGAGAAGTGCCTGAAAGCCACGTGTAGCGTCAAAATCGAGAACACAAGGTAAAATAACCTTTGGATCCATTTTCTGGGCCTATTGCGACGAGACAGGGGACGACAGGGCGCAGGGACTTGCTGTTTTTCTACATCAAAGTTTTTGTAGTCTTTGGCATCCTTCAAGTCCTCACAATCGCCAGCGTCTTTCCAGTTTCGCATCAAGTTGTCGTAGATCTCATTTTCACGGCCTTTAGTTCCCATGACGTTGGGATCCTAATGTAGCGTCCTTGAGAGTAAGTTCCAGAGATGTGCCAGTGAACTTCCCGGTGAAGCTCTTGATATACGTTCCCGACCCTTGCAGTAGCGAAGTTCTCAGCTTAGGCCAATGTCCAGTTTCCGGTTTTTGGTGTCCACTGGATTTCGGACTTAATTTCTTCGTTTCCTGCAATTCCAGATTCCACCTTTTATATATATATATATGTATCCCATACAAAAAGATCGACAAGCTAGCGACGTTTGCCTCTTGTACAAAGAGAGATGGTCTTCTTCCTGAGCCACATCCGAGATGTGTTTGCCAGGTCGCATTCACGAAGCCAAGAGATACTGCTGTCAAGAAGAGCTTTTTTCCGACTTTTGGGCTATTTGGCCAGTTGTGTGTTGTTTTCGCTAATAGCACAAGACCACGTATAGAAGTCTACAGAAATCGAGATCACTGCCGGAGTTGGCTTGTGAGAAGCCCAGGCTCCGCATATATGTTTTTTATGTAAATATAGTTGAAATCAATAGGAGCTAGAGGCACTCAATCATTGTAAAATAACCATCCATTATCGATGGTCATTTACTTCATAGGAGGCTAAAATATCACCAATTTCAATTCACAAACTTTACATATTTCTTTACATATTTGTTTATACTCTTCTTCACATACATATTTGCATCAGCACTTGCATAGGTACTTACATAGGTTTCTTGCTTGTTTACATGTTGGGCATTTAAAGTCCATTTTCATCTCGTCGCTAGACACCTCGAATACGCTACTTGTAATGGACGCAATCTTGTGTAACGTTACCGGCTTCTCTCACGAAGCAGTTGCCCTCTGTATAGAACCTACACAGTCTAATCTCTACATAGGCAAACTCATTCGACAAGCCAGGCAACGACACCCCGGTGTCATACAATGTACTCAAACCTATACCCACATCCACCATCCCCGCTCCTCTGCTAACCACCATATTGGAGCCACAAATCCATATCTCGCTCGGCGGCTAAAGTGGCTTGAGAAGACTGTTCGTAGAAAGCGACACTACTGTTTCTGTTCTGTTACGCGGTGTCCTGGGGCTCAATCGCCAACTCATTTCGTCTTCCGCACCCTGGCCCAAGCAAGCATGGACATGCGTGCTTGCACGAGCCTAGAAAGGCGAAAATTAACATCATGTAATTCGAGGATAACGTAAGCCATATGAGCACGTGACCGGTGAGAAACGAGTGGCACGGCGTACGGATGAGTACTCATGAGTATCTACGTTGGTAGTGATAACATCTTTGATCATGAGTAAATGCTGAGTATCTGCGTAATTAGTGACAAAGTAGCGACGTCAAATGAGTAACCCGTTACGTACAAAGCGACGTATTCGGAGTATTCGTATAAAGGGACTATACACTATAAGATCTGAACACGTGCCGTATTGACTATATCACGATATACGGGTTATATACACCCGGACATCCAAACCTGTTCATCTTTCTGCACGGCGTGTTGTGGTTGTAACGGCCGAGGGAAAACTGCTGCGATGGTGGTGGGGAGCATCACGTGACAGCAGACCCCCCAAAATTTTCTTTACAAGGAGAAAGTAGACGTAAACCTGTATCGCGACCCAATGGGACACCCGTAGACACCATGGAGAGACGCAAAAGCCTGAGCTCCTCTGAGGAGTTAGTGGGCAGCAAAGAGATCAGAAGGACGCCTTCGACCTCCTCGCAGTACAACAATATCAATGCAAATCTTCATGCTCGAGTAAAGGCGTTCCAGGAGCAACGGCAGCTCAAGCGAAACGGCAGCGTTGGATCTGACAAAGCCGTAATGGCTCCTCTCCCGGTCGCAGATTTGGCCACCGCCGTAGGTTCTACACCGGTTATGCCTGCACCAGGTATCGACAAGGTGGTGAACAAGCCGCTGCCTCCGCTGCCTCCACCCAGTCGCGAAAGCGACGCAGTATTGAACCCGATCCGAAGAGCACCGCGGCCTCCCGCGCTGCCCATGGCAGCCGTACCGCTTGGAAACATGGCCCGCGGCGGGCCGGGTGCTGCCGTGGGCATGTCCAAACCGAGTCTCAGCGCGCGACGTGGGCTGAAGTTGCCCGCAGGCGGGATGTCGCTCAAGATGAAACAGCCCTCGCCTCACGAGTTTGCCGGTGCACCCTCGAATGCACAACAGCCAGCCGGCGCTGCCGCGCCGGCCAGCAGCCGCAGCAACCCCGGCTCGCTCGTTAACGGTGTTCAAACGACGTCTACATCTTCCAATAAACAGCGCGACACCGAGGGCACCACGCCTGCGCAACAGCGCAGTGGATCCAATGGTCTTTTCACGAACTTCACCAAGTACGTCGACATCAAGTCTGGGTCTTTGAACTTTGCCGGTAAGCTGTCGTTGAGCTCACAAGGTGTCGATTTCAGCAACGGATCCAGTTTCCGTATCACCTTGGATGAGCTTGAATTTCTCGAGGAACTGGGACACGGTAACTACGGAAATGTGTCCAAAGTTTTGCACAAGCCCACCAACGTCATAATGGCCATGAAAGAGGTCCGACTCGAGCTCGACGAGTCGAAGTTCACGCAAATCTTGATGGAGCTCGAAGTACTCCACAAGTGCCAATCGCCATACATTGTCGATTTTTACGGTGCCTTTTTCATCGAGGGTGCCGTGTACATGTGCATGGAGTATATGGACGGCGGTTCGCTGGATAAAAGCTACGACCAAGCGACGCTGGGCGGCGTTGACGAGCCTCAACTTGCCAAAATTACGGATGCGGTGATACAAGGACTGAAAGAATTAAAGGATGTCCACAATATCATTCACAGAGACGTGAAACCGACCAACATACTTTGCTCTGCGGCCCAGGGCACGGTCAAACTTTGCGATTTTGGCGTTTCGGGCAATCTCGTAGCTTCCCTGGCAAAGACCAATATCGGTTGCCAGTCCTACATGGCCCCAGAACGTATCAAGTCTCTGAATCCCGACAAAGCCACGTACACGGTACAATCGGACGTTTGGTCTCTGGGACTGAGCATATTAGAAATGGCGCTCGGTGCATACCCATACCCACCCGAGACTTATGACAATATTTTCTCTCAATTAAGTGCCATCGTGGACTCGCCACCCCCTAAGCTTCCAAAAGACCGTTTCAGTCAAGAGGCTCAGGATTTCGTGAACATGTGTTTGCAAAAAATTCCGGAGAGGCGGCCTGGTTATGCTGCCCTTTTAGAGCATCCTTGGCTCAAAAAATATCGCTCTGAAGACGTCCACATGAGTGAATACATCACAAAACGCCTTGAAAAGCGCGAAGCGCTTCTCAAGGCTAATGGAGGACAAGATACTAACAAAAATGTCCCAGCTTTGCATATGGGTGGTCTGTAACTTGCTGTACCAAGCCAAAACTTTTATTCAGCTCTTTCTACTTTTGATATTAACCAACCGACTCGACTTGCAAGAAATTTCCAATGCATAATTAGCGTGAAAGCACACCCCGCTCAATTTTCATTCATTCGCCATATAAACATAGACAGATCCCTCTGTAACATAAAACAATCCAACATTTCTAATTTTCTTCACCGAGAACTAAGCGTAGCACGCTAAATTCGACAGCTCTTCAAAATTTATATGGAACTAAAAAATCAGCTATTAGAAGCCCCTGATCTTGGCTTGATCGGCCTGATCATAGCTCAGGTAGCTCAGCTGTTTTTGTTTGGTTTTTCACGTTACCTGTCCGCTGCGTGTCTTTCATTATTATGAGCCTAAAAAATTTAAATTACCGAAATTCTTGCCTCATCTTATAAGGCTTCGGCATCGAAAATTTGATGGGGTTCTGGCGTACTGTCAGCCGAAGGCCCACCCTTACCCCCGTAAACTTTCGGTACCGGAAGACTGTGGGTCACAAGGTGAGAGACTTCATCGAATGGCTTGGTCATGTTGTTCGTCCTTTTGCCAAGCATGTGCTTCCAAATTTCATTGCAGTCCATTACTTCTACATCATAAGCATGGCGATCATCGGTTCGATATTGATGTACCCGGTCAAAAATTTCCCTTACATTGATATTCTTTTCATGGCGACGGGTGCTGTGACCCAGGGCGGGTTAAATACCGTAAATGTGAATGATATGCGTCTTTACCAGCAGATTGTGCTGACCGTTCTCTGTTTTTTTACAACTCCGATCTGGATTCATGGTGGGTTAGCGTTTGTGCGGTTGTACTGGTTCGAAAGGTACTTTGATGGCATCAAAGAATGGTCGAAACAGAATTTCAGAATAGCCAGAACCAGAACTTTGATGCAAAGAGAGGCAACACGAACCATGTCGCGCAGGAAAGCTTCAGGTGCAGGGAATAATGAGGACTTTCAAAGCAAGCTTTTCAGCGGTCAGATGGTGAATAGGGAAGAGGATAATAATCAAGAAAACCATGAAATGACAGACATGAGAAGCACAGGGCTGCAGAAGAGCTCTGAATACCACGCGGAACCGACCAGAAGTGGCGGTGATGGAGATGTTGGCGTAAAATTTGGGAAGATGCCCAAGCCTGGATTGCCCGACGAAAAGTTAAAGAAGATGGAAAAATTTAAAGGTAGGAGACAATCGGGGGATATATCACCTTCTGACATGCTGAGATCTATAGCCATGCTTCAGAACCAACATCGCGAGAGTGACAATGAGGATCTGGGTCCTCCCCTGGTAATATCTGGTCCCACGGAGAGATCTAGTAGCCGTCACGTCCACGACCTTAACGGCGAGGCACCGGATGCGTCAAGGTCTCACACGACTGATATACAAGGGAGTAGCAGCAGCCTCGAAGATTCAGCTGAAGTCCCAAAAGGCATTACCGAGGACGATGAAAGAGATGTCTACAGCCAACCTCAATCTTACAATGGCGAGGAAAGTGATAGCCACCCAGAAAACCCTCAATTTCAGGGCGAAAACGAACCGACAATTCAATTCGAAATCACTAAGCCTCCTATAGGCCCCCACTCGAGTACAAATCGTGTTCAGTCTCGAAAATCTGCTGTTCGAAGATTGAGGCCAAAAATTTTCCGCAAATTCTCGTCTTCCAAAAGCCTAGGACATAGAATAAGACAGAGGCTGAGAGATTCTGATGAAGATGGTAACGATGCTGACTTGGAAGATGAGGGTTCTGACAGTGCTGACGAGCTGAAAGAGAACAGTCCTGAGAGAGAATTGAGCGCCTCTGAGGAACACAATTCCGACCCGGCGGTGGAAAGCATACATTCTGCGTCAGCGGTTCAGTACGGAGACACGGTAGGGAAAGATGCGGAAAGGTCTTACACATTCGATCCAAGTCAAAAGTCGAACCTTGACACGCTAGCGAGATCCCCGAGCTTTCAAGATATCATATATAAGAGGTGGAAAGATGAGAGAAAGAAGCGAGGGCGGTTTTTGCATGGGCATAAAGGAGCTCAACCGAATTTATTACGGTCTCTTAGTGGTAGAGACCTGAGCCGCAATCGTGATAGAACAAGTCTGCATCGTCAGCGCACCGAGAACACAATGACCGACGAGGAAGAAGGCTATTACGGCTTGACATTTGAAAACGCTAAAAGGCCTCCTCATTTGAAAAGAATGAGCACCAACTATCTCTCTGGGCAGCCCCGGATAGGGAGAAACTCAACTTTTGTTGGTCTTAACGATGCACAAAAGACTGAATTAGGAGGCGTTGAGTACCGTGCCACTAAATTGCTCTGTCGATTATTAGTAATATACTACTTTGGGTTTCATGTCCTGGGAATCATATTAATCTGTCCTTGGATTACCAACATGAACAACTACATCAAAGTCGTGAGAGAAGATGGTGTATCGCCTGCTTGGTGGGGCGTCTTCACGCCAATGAGTGCTTTTAACGACCTTGGCCTTACGCTAACACCCGACTCGATGACTTCCTTCAATAAAGCGATATATCCACTCATTATCATGATGTGGTTTATCGTCATCGGGAACACTGGCTTCCCAATTCTTTTGAGATTCATCATATGGATTTTATTCAGGATTTCTCCAGAACTATCATCAAGGAGGGAATCTCTTGGATTCCTCCTTGATCATCCTCGTCGCTGTTTTACTCTTCTATTTCCTCGAGCTCCAACCTGGTGGCTATTGCTCATATTAGTGGCTTTGAATGTAACAGATTTGGTTCTTTTCATCATCCTTGACCTAACGGCAGCTGTCGTTGATGGACTTTCGAGTGGCTTCAAAGTTCTGGACGGGTTATTTCAAGCAATAAGCACGCGTACAGCCGGATTTACTGTGCTCAATCTCGCGCAACTTCATCCGGCTGTTCAAGTGTCTTACATGCTTATGATGTATGTTTCCGTGCTTCCATTGGCCATCTCGATCAGGAGAACGAATGTATACGAGGAGCAATCTCTTGGAGTCTACGTGAAAGGGAACGAAGACTCTGACAACGAGAACCAAGCACACATCGAAAAGCAGCGTTTACTTGAAGATAGCCCCAAATCGTTCATAGGGGCTCATTTGAGAAGACAGCTATCTTTCGATTTATGGTTTCTGTTTTTGGGATTGTTCATCATTTGCATTAGCGAGGGCGGTAAAATAAAGGACCCAAAAATGCCCGATTTTACAGTATTCCAAGTGCTATTTGAAATCGTAAGTGCCTATGGTTGCGTTGGACTGTCGCTTGGATATCCGAACACGGACACTTCGTTTTCGGCGCAGTTTAACACACTCTCCAAATTGATAATGATCTCGATGCTCATCCGTGGGCGTCATAGAGGCTTGCCTTATAAATTGGACCGGGCCATTATTCTACCAAGCAACACGCTCGAGCGGCGAGACCGCCTCGAAGAGAGCAAGTCGCAAGGTGCTGCGGGCGGCACCGAAGACCCTCTACTTGGTTATTTGCGCAGACACACTAAACCATTCCGTCACCGTCTCGGATCTGTCTTCCAGCCGCGAAATTCTGCCGTACCCAGCTCCCCGGAGTCACAAGCAGCCCCGGAGCCCCCGGAGCAACGAGTGCCCGATTTACACAGCGTCAACTACGAGAGATCCCTTTTGAATGGCAGACACATGTCCGATGGAAGTCTATCTCCAGCGCACTCATACCCGGAATCAACAGCAGAGTCGACGCTAAGTCGCTCTGACACTGCTGTAAAATCTAACTGGAAGCCACCCACTGAAATGACGTCTCGTTGATTTGAGCAACGTCCGTTCATGGAATTACTCCTCTGACATGTTCGGCCATCAACCTATTCAGCCGTCTTTCAAACGGCTCAACTATAGCCGCCGCTACCCCCGCCGGAGTCTATACATCTCCGTCGGATAAATTCGCATTTGTCCCGGTTTTTATTCCGGGACGTTTTAAGGACATTCTGCCTTTTCCTTAACCTTTTAAAGTAATTTTGTACGTAGATTTACATCATCGTCACTGCATGTCCCTAAAGACATTTTCTCAGAGCTATCCGTAGGACTCCAATATCGCAGTCATCGGCGGCAACTTGAAAAATTTTCTCTCAAATGGTATAAAAGGTCTCGAAAAAAGCCTTTGGGATTGGAAGTTTTTCGTTCCCCAATTTTAATAATTCCTATCATATTATTACTATCTTCTTGTATATTATCTTCTTAGTAAAAGTTTTGATCACCAGCGAAACCGAATAGGCCCAAAGTCCCCCCGTATTCATTTCCTCTCGATTTTCAGGTTTTCTCTCTTTTTTGTTCTGGTATGTGTAATAGCGATCTCGCTTGCGGAAAATGAGCGTTTTAGCTTGGTCGTGATATCTTCAGTGCTGATTCAGGTGCGTTTACTGAAGACATGATCTAATAGTTGTCTGTGAGCGATGAACGACGAGCAATGAGAAGGCACGTGACAGGAGTCCAAATGGTAGATCTTTCGTTCCAAAGTAAGAGATTTGACTTTAAGAGACAGGCTCACCAGCACACAGCACTTCAGTTCAATTTCAGGCAACCCTCGAGGCGAAGGCGGTGACTAACCCTGTAACGCAGCACATATTCCTTTTTGAGCGAAGTTTCTATAGGAATTCCTTCCTCGTTAACTCCGTTTGAGAACAGCATAGACAGCAAATAAAGTTTTACTGTTGTGCTAATTTTCGGCCAAACCCGATAGTAATACACAGTCCCCCACTGCTTGCAGTGGTGTATTCATCCTCTCTCTAAGACTCGCGCGAAACTCACCTCATAAGAAATGTCCATCATTGTGCCTACTGCGCCCATTACTCCTCCAATGGAGTCTACTGGTAGCCGCCTTTTTATGCTGGAACTCCAAGACGGCACTTCTCTTCAAGGCTACTCCTTTGGTGCTCCAGTCGCCGCCGCTGGTGAACTCGTATTCCAGACGGGTATGGTGGGTTATCCAGACTCGGTGACCGATCCCTCCTACGAGGGCCAAATCCTGGTCATCACTTACCCTCTTGTTGGTAACTACGGTGTTCCTGATCGTAACCTCATGGATGAGTACGTTGAAACCTTGCCCAGATATTTTGAGAGTAACAGGATCCATATTGCAGGTTTGGTCGTTGCGCACTATACAGAGGATTACTCTCACTGGCTTGCCAAATCGTCTCTTGGCGCTTGGCTCAAAGAACAGTGTATCCCTGCTGTCTACGGTGTTGACACAAGAGCTCTTACCAAGCACTTGAGAGACGCTGGTTCTATGCTTGGGCGTCTCGCGCTGCAGAAAGAAAACAGCGACGCTGACCGTGCAGCCAGTGCCGAATGGCGTGAAGCTTTCGATGTTCCCGACTGGATCGACCCTAACGTGCAAAATTTGGTAGCCAAAGTCTCTATTAAAGAGCCTGTTCTTTACGAGCCTCCAACTGACCACGAGGGTATCACTCTACAAAAGGGGCCCGACGGTAAAGTACTCAGAATTCTTGTCGTTGACGTCGGTATGAAGTACAATCAGATCCGCTGTTTTGTCAAGCGAGGCGTCGAGTTGCTTGTGGTCCCCTGGGACTACGACTTTACTCAAGATGAGTACGATGGTTTATTCATTTCCAACGGTCCAGGTGATCCTTCCGTTCTCTCTGAGCTTACAGAAAGGCTGTCAATTGTTATCGAATCCAAGAAGTCCCCTATTTTTGGTATCTGTTTGGGTCATCAATTGTTGGCCCGTGCTTCCGGTGCTTCAACCCTTAAGTTAAAGTTTGGTAACAGAGGTCAAAACATCCCGTGTACTTCCGCAATTTCAGGTAAGTGCTACATTACTTCGCAAAACCATGGTTTTGCTGTTGACGTTAACAGCTTGACCGAAGGCTGGAAACCACTTTTCACGAACGCCAATGACGGCTCTAATGAAGGTATTTACAATACTAAATTGCCTTATTTCTCGGTTCAATTTCACCCGGAATCCACGCCGGGGCCACGGGACACCGAATTCTTGTTTGACGTCTTCATCAAGTCTGTGAAAGATTTCAAATTCAACAAGCAGCTTAAGGCTGTAGAGTTCCCTGGAGGCAAGATCGATGAAAACTTGACTGCTCACCCAAGAGTTGAGGCTAAAAAGGTTTTAGTTCTTGGATCAGGTGGGTTGTCCATTGGTCAAGCAGGCGAATTTGATTATTCTGGTTCTCAAGCTATCAAAGCTTTGAAGGAAGAGGGAATATACACAATTCTTATCAACCCTAATATCGCTACGATTCAAACCTCTAAGGGACTTGCTGACAAAGTCTACTTTCTACCGGTGACACCAGAGTTTGTGAGGAAGGTAATTCTACATGAACGTCCTGATGCCATCTACGTCACCTTTGGAGGTCAAACAGCCTTGTCGGTCGGAATTGCCATGAAAGATGAGTTCGAGACGCTAGGCGTCAAAGTTTTGGGTACCCCTATTGATACCGTTATTACTACTGAGGACCGGGAGCTTTTTGCCAACGCCATGGATGAGATTAACGAAAAGTGCGCCAAGTCTAAGGCTGCGGCCTCTGTGCAAGAGGCGTTGGATGCCGTAAAGGACATCGGATACCCTGTAATCGTGAGGGCTGCCTATGCCCTTGGTGGTTTGGGTTCTGGATTCGCTTCCAATGACAAAGAACTCGTAGATTTGTGCAACATCGCGTTCGCCTCCTCTCCTCAAGTTCTGGTAGAGAGATCCATGAAGGGGTGGAAAGAAGTGGAATATGAGGTTGTCCGCGATGCATTTGACAACTGTATTACTGTCTGTAATATGGAAAATTTTGATCCCCTGGGAATTCACACAGGTGATTCCATTGTCGTTGCGCCCTCTCAAACTCTATCGGACGAAGATTACAACATGCTAAGAACGACAGCAGTAAATGTGATTCGTCATTTAGGTGTGGTTGGTGAATGTAACATCCAATATGCCTTAAACCCCTTCAGCAAAGAATATTGCATCATCGAAGTCAACGCCCGTTTATCTCGTTCATCCGCGCTAGCATCAAAAGCAACTGGTTATCCGCTTGCCTACACGGCCGCGAAGCTGGGTTTGAACATCCCGCTTAATGAGGTTAGAAACTCTGTCACCCAATCAACTTGTGCTTGTTTTGAACCATCTTTGGATTACTGCGTTGTTAAAATGCCAAGATGGGATTTAAAGAAGTTCACGAGAGTATCTACCCAATTATCATCGTCAATGAAATCTGTTGGTGAAGTTATGAGTGTTGGTAGAACTTTTGAAGAAGCAATGCAAAAGGCTATTCGCTCGACCGAATATGCCAATCTTGGTTTTAACGAAACCGAAGGGGACCTCGACATCGATTACGAATTGACTCATCCTTCTGATATGCGCATTTTCGCTATAGCAAATGCCTTTTCGAAGCTTGATTACTCGGTCGAAAAAGTGTGGTCAATGACGAACATTGATAAGTGGTTTTTGAACAAGTTATATGATCTCATTCAGTTTGTTCGCAAGATCGAATCTTATAGTGTTAAGGAAAATCTGCCTTTTGCACTCTTGAAGCAAGCAAAGCAGTTGGGTTTTGACGACAGACAGATTGCGAAGTTTTTGAACTCGAACGAAGTAGCAATTCGTCGTTTGCGTAAGGAGCATGGCATTGTTCCTTTTGTCAAACAAATTGATACAGTGGCCGCCGAGTTTCCCGCGCACACCAATTACCTATACATGACTTACAATGCCGCCGCTCATGACCTTGACTTCAATGATCATGGTGTAATGGTCTTAGGTTCTGGTGTCTACCGTATTGGATCTTCAGTGGAATTTGACTGGTGTGCGGTCACTGCCGTTCGTACTTTGAGGAAAAACAATATCAAGACTATTATGGTCAATTATAATCCGGAAACCGTTTCTACAGATTATGATGAGGCTGATAGACTATATTTTGAAACCATCAACTTGGAGAGAGTATTGGACATATATGAAGCTGAAACCTCCGCTGGTGTAGTTGTGTCGATGGGCGGACAGACATCCAATAACATTGCAATGTCACTCCACCGTGAAAATGTCAAGATTCTGGGTACAACACCGGAAATGATCGATTCGGCGGAGAATAGATACAAGTTTTCTCGTATGCTTGATCAGATTGGTGTTGACCAACCGGCTTGGAAGGAGTTGACTTCTATAGACGAAGCAGAGTCGTTTGCAGAAAACGTGGGCTACCCTGTTTTGGTTCGCCCATCTTACGTTTTGTCAGGTGCCGCTATGAATACGGTCTACTCCAAAGATGATCTTGCCTCCTATCTTAACCAGGCCGTCGAAGTTTCTCGAGACTATCCCGTCGTTATCACCAAATATATTGAGAACGCCAAAGAGATCGAAATGGACGCTGTTGCAAAAGACGGTGAGCTTGTAATGCATGTCGTTTCTGAACATGTAGAGAATGCAGGTGTTCATTCTGGTGATGCTACATTGATCGTGCCACCACAGGATCTTGACCCCGAAACGGTTAACAGAATCGTTGTTGCAACGGCAAAGATTGCAACTGCCTTGAAGATTACTGGTCCAATGAACATTCAATTTATCGCTAAGAACAATGATATCAAAGTCATTGAGTGTAATGTACGGGCTTCTCGTTCCTTCCCATTTATTTCAAAAGTAGTGGGTGTTAACCTGATTGAGATGGCAACAGAAGCCGTGGTCGGACTACCGGTCAAGCCTTACCCAACGGAAAAATTGCCAGACGATTATGTTGCTATCAAGGTACCACAGTTTTCTTTCCCTAGATTAGCTGGTGCGGATCCAGTGTTGGGCGTTGAAATGGCTTCTACTGGTGAAGTCGCCTGTTTTGGTCACTCGAAATATGAAGCTTATTTGAAATCTCTTCTTTCCACGGGCTTCAAATTGCCAAAGAAAAACATTCTTCTGTCAATCGGTTCTTTCAAAGAAAAACAAGAAATGTTGCCATCTGTCAAGAAACTTTATAACCTCGGCTTCAAATTATTTGCAACAGCCGGTACTGCTGATTTCATCTCTGAGCATGGTATTCCCGTGCAATACTTGGAGGTGTTAAGTGAAGGAGATGAAAAATCCGAATATTCGCTGACGCAACACTTAGCAAACAACAAAATTGACCTATACATCAATCTTCCATCTGCTAACAGATTCCGCCGTCCTGCCTCTTATGTGTCGAAGGGTTATAGGACACGTCGTATGGCTGTTGACTATTCAGTTCCTCTCGTCACTAACGTGAAGTGCGCAAAGCTACTTATTGAAGCTCTGTCCAGACATTTACAACTCGACGTTTCTGAGCGTGATGCACAAACCTCTCACAGGACGGTCACAATTCCGGGCCTGATCAATGTTTCGGCCTACATCCCCAATGTCTCCAACGTTGTCAAGGGACCTGCCGAAATGAAGGAAATCACAAGAGTTTCTGCCGAATCGGGTTTCACGTACTCTCAGATTATGCCCAAGTCAACTCGCGGACCTGTTATAACAAACGAAAAATCTTTAGCTGCTGCCCGTTCAGTTGTGAAAGACTCTGCATACACAGATTTCGCTTTCACCGTTGCGGCTACAGCTCATAACTTGAACGAGATAGCCGAATGTGCTCAGGAAGCCAACGCTTTATTTATTCCCTACAGGGAATTGTCCAACAAAGTTTCCATGGTGGCTGATCATTTGAAAAATTGGCCGGTCGAGAAACAAGTTATCGCAGAAGCCAAAACTTCGGATTTGGCGTCTGTGATACTGCTGGCCTCACTCCAAAACAGGGCCATTCACATTACCGGTGTCTGTCACAAGGACGATCTTGCTTTGATCAAAACTGTCAAAGAAAAGCAAAGCAAAGTAACTTGTGACGTTAACGTGCACGCTCTGTTTGTTAGCCAGGAAGACTATCCTGAGGCTCTGTTCCTACCAACTCTAGAAGACCAGGAGTTCTTGTGGAATAACTTAGACGTGATTGATGCCTTCTCGGTAGGTTCTTTACCTACCGCGTTGGCGGATGTCACTGGCAACAAAGTAGTCACCGGTATCGGTATCAAAGAAGCGCTCCCATTGCTTCTATCAGCTGTTAATGAGGGAAAACTTTCGATTGACGACATAGTTGAGAGATTACACGACAATCCGGCGCAAATATTCAACATTCCCAAGCAAAATGCGGTTGTCGAGATTGACTTAGATTTCACTTTCAGACACACCAAAAGATGGTCTCCATACACCAAGGGTGGCTTGACTGGCGGCGTTGAACGTGTTTTGGTAAACGACGAGACTATAGTTTTAAGTGGAGATCTAGTCACTGCGGAAGCCAATGGCAAATCATTGACCAATACACTTAGTAAACAAAGTTTGACGACATCAACACCCAGTGCAGAGACGCCAACACCTTTCTCATCCTCTAGAAAGAGGTTTTCTTTCTCTAATGAGAAGCGTTCGTCCGTTGCTGCCATTGAAGATGATGAGGAAGCTTTGCTTGATCAGCCTCTAGAGCAAAGATTAATGTCTTCAAGACCTCCAAAAGAGCTTGCAGCTCCAGGTGCAATTTACAGTTTGATTCGCGGCAACAATCCGTTTTTGCGCAGAAATATCTTATCTGTCAATCAATTCAAGCGTTCAGATTTTCATGCACTATTTGCTGTCGCGCAGGAATTGAGATCGGCTGTAGAGAGAGAGGGTGTTTTAGATATCATGAAGGGTCGTGTTCTAACAACACTCTTTTATGAACCATCTACACGTACTTCTTCCTCTTTCATTGCTGCTATGGAGCGGCTGGGTGGCAGAACAGTCAATGTTAATACCACTTCATCATCCGTTAAAAAAGGTGAGACTTTACAGGACACCATAAGAACGATGGCATGCTATTCTGATGCTATTGTCTTGCGTCACCATGACGAGATGTCCGCCCACACTGCGGCGAAATACTCTCCCGTTCCTATTCTGAATGGTGGTAACGGCTCTCGCGAGCACCCTACTCAGGCGTTCCTTGACCTATTCACCATTCGTGAGGAGTTGGGTACCGTGAATGGTATCACAGTGACCTTTATGGGCGATTTAAAGTACGGTAGGCCGGTACATTCCCTCTGCCGTTTACTGCGTCACTACCAAGTCAGAATTAATTTGGTATCTCCAAATGAACTGAGACTACCACAGGCTCTCCGTAAAGAGCTATCAAACGCAGGTCTTCTCGGTGTGGAAAGTGAAATATTGACTCCAGACATCATCTCTAGATCCGATGTTCTGTACTGCACCAGGGTTCAACAGGAGAGATTTGAACACCCTGAGGAGTACGAACGTCTAAAGGACGTTTACATCGTTGATAACAAAATTCTCTCTCATGCAAAGGACCACATGGTTGTGATGCATCCACTACCCAGAGTGAACGAGATTCGCGAAGAAGTTGACTACGATCATCGTGCCGCGTACTTCAGACAAATGCGTTACGGTATGTTCGTGAGGATGGCGCTTCTTGCCATGGTAATGGGTGTCGACTTGTGAGCGAGGTATACCTCAATTCTATTCTGCGAAGGGCACTCTCTGAAAGCTACTCAAACCTCTCGCTTTTTTGTGGGGACTTTAAAGCAGACATTGTTTGATTACGCACGCGGAGAACTGCCAAGCTGATGGCAGCCAATAAGTGAACTCAATGAACGTTTTCAATTTAAAGTATTTAACTTTCCGACATTTAATTACCCTTTATAACGATCGAATACTGTAAATTAGTTTAAAATATTGACACGAGCTAAAAAGCTCTTTGGTGAATTGACCCATTCTGTATAAACTGTACCTATCTCTACTGGTCTTGTTCTTCACGTAAAGATCAGCCTTTCTTGGATATTTCAAGGATAATGATATGATGACTTTGAGAGCTGGGCTTCTTCACGAAAATTGATACCTATTTAAATCTCAACGATGAACAGTAACACGGAAATTTGAGACCCCATAATCCCACTAGTGAAGCAGTTTGCAGCCCAAATAGACTCTAGACCTTTCATGTTAACAAGCCTCAAATATTCGTGCCAGAATCAATTAAAAATCCTGCCTTCAATCTCGAGCAGGTTTTTCACCAATCGAGCGCGACATCAAAAAGAGAACGCAAGAACCAACAATGACATTCTTCTGAACACAACAGCCTTACTGAAGTCGCAAAAGTCGAATCACAGAGATGATAAATTTTCGAGACAGGTAATTCCCAAGAAAAGAGCCAAACCGATTGGACTGTCTTCACATCGTAAGCGACTGGCTCTAAGATGGAGCGGTGGTAATGAGAGGGCTCAGCAGGCGGCAAATTGGATAATTGAAAGGTCTATTAAGATCAATAGTCGTGGAATTGTCAAAATGGTCAATACGGAGAGCAACAAGTTAGAAGAGGTACAAATTCAAACTCTTCCAGAGAAAATAGATTTATCCAGTCAAGGTCTTATACTAGTTGACGTTGAAGAGCAGCATGGAAGCAAAATACCCCTTATTAAGATAGTTGAAGCCAAGACCGCTCTGAAGCGATATTCAGATGCGATTGCTAGCCGAAAAGAGAAAGAGCTGTCAAGATTAGGAATTTCAGCGAGAACCGGTAAGAAACCCGAAAAGGACAAAGATAGTTGCATCAAACAAATAAAGGTTTCCTGGCAGATATCAGATTCTGATCTGGTGAATCAGAAGGCTAACGAAATCGAAAGTCAGCTGCAGAAAGGGCTCAAAGTTCATCTTTATGTCGATTCTAAAGACGCACTAAGCAAGGCAAATTGGACAAATGATTTTAATTCAACGAACAGCTCAGCCCCAATCCAGAACAACATTTCAAAGAAAGAACTAAAAAGGAGAGAATTCATCGTTGAAGCTCTTCAAAAAATTGCTGAGAATTCTAATGCATCTTACACTCTCGAAGGTTCATCAGAAACTCGTCTAATAATGAAACTTGCATCAAAGAGTTCAGGGAACTCCGATGAGAAGAAGACAATTAAAGAGCATAATCGGAGGGAAAAGCAGGCTAAGATCGAGAAGAGGGTCGAAAAGAAGAGGTTAAGAGAGGCCCAGAAGAGAACAAACGCCAATCTTATCCAGTCATGCTAAACACCTTTTAATAACCTGTATATACCATTTTTAATTTCGTGATGATTTTGGAATAACTCACACAATTGCGAATCCGCCTATTAACTTATTGTTCCTCATATTACCATAACCCATGTTCGGGATGCCAATTATTACTTTGCTATCGGGACCTGCTAAAAGAATTTTTCCAAAATCTATTACCCCCTTCTTGTCAAGCGTTTGCCCAGTGACTAATAGATTTTTTGGAATTGTGACATACATGCATGGCAAGCGCCATTTCTCCGCGGCTTCGGCAATGTCCCGCATTGCTATATTCCAAATTGCTCCTTCCGCGTTGAAACTTCCCGGTGAAGATATGAGCAATCTTTCTTGATTAGTATCATAAGTAATTCCCGCCCCAAAGCCGATAGTAGCTGGTATGTTGGCTAATTCAGTTGCTGTATCTAAAGCGACCTTCATATGAAATTTCACGTCATCACCGAATTCTCTGAAAATATAGACCATATTTTGCAAGTGCTGCGAGATTGCGGTGTACTTCTTCTCCTCATACACCCAAGTGAGCACTTCTTTTCCAAACATTCCATGCTGATTAGAAGGCTTTATCTTTCGGTTTTCAAGCAAAGCACCTTCATCCCAAGGCAAAACCTTATTTTCCTCTAAAACGTATCGCGGGGAGGACTTCGAACCAAATCTTAAGATCTCGGCCAAGTCATACATCAGTACTATCCCAAGTCCTTGAGCAGATAAGTAAAGAAAGCCAGATTGGTTTGCACCACCGCATGAACTGGCAACTTGTGATCCAAAATGCTGATAGGCCAGTGGTTTTGGCAATTCAAGAGTAATTTTATTCAAAGAAGAAAATACCGTTTCCTGGCGAGTTCCTTGCACCAGGAGATTTGAGATTTGGTGGCCATCGACAATATAAACTTTTCCGGTTTCATTGAAGCCATAATACGGATCAGAGAAAATCAGGGCAGGCACATCGTCGTCGAACAATTTTTGCACGCAAGACAACGAAAAGTGATGAGATTCGCAATCCGAATCAACTATGACGAGTTTCTCAGACCCACTGAGGTAAAAATGTACCGAGTTTCCTCCACTGTCAGTCACTGCTAAGAAGTCTATTTCACCTACCGTATAGCATTCGACGCTATCACCGTAAAAGTTGTTGACCGCGTCCAAACTCCCCAGCGCACGATTTTCGCCAACCAAAAATCTCCAAGGAATCACATAAACGGAGCCTCTCGAATCTTCAAGTGGTGCGCCTACAGCCAGGCAGATTTCGCCATTGAGGAAACGGCCAAGCTTCATGCTGGCACCAAATCTTGATAATTGCTTCAGCGGAGACACCAATAACATATCACCCGCGCCTGTTTGAATTAAGAGTCTCGTGCTCTGCAGCACGCTATCCTCAACGCCGTATGGCCCTTCGGTTTCCGGCAAAGTTGCACATATGCGAATTTTGTTCAATATTTCTGTATCGGAAAGTGTGGAGCTTGGTTCGAACAAGGCCAAAAACCCACCTAGACATTTGTTTACCATCGCGGCACAGTCGAATTCGCCGCCCATCCAATGCTCCTGAATGAGCTCTCGAGCACGCGGTGAAAGCCCGTATGGCAGTGTAAGCACCTGTCTTCGCCTTTCGAGCAAAGAATATATTTCCGTCGTCATAGCAATTTTGCCGCGACGCACGCACGCATCCAATCCCCAGAAATCTATCGAATAAAGTCCCATTCTATGCACCAATTCCATCAGATCCTTTTTTTCGGGCAATTCCCAATCCTCCTCAGTGTAAAAGAGCCAATCGTCGTGCCCATCGCGCACTACACCGGCCAATACAAGTAAATCACCAAAAGTATCCGCATAATTATGCGCTTTTTCGTAGATTCCGTCAAACTCTAGACCTGCTAACACTTTAATGAGACCATGACTTCTGTAATTCTCGACCAGCGAATGCCACGAAACATCCACAACTTGATGCGTTAGAACTCCAATAAGAAACGACTTCAATTTTTGGGCACCTGGTGAAAGCTGCTGTGAGTCGTATCGCTCATGCCACAGTTTCACACCTTTCACCAGGAAATTCGGCCAATGACAATCCTCAGCAAAATCGTGCCATTCGGAGTTCGTCCCACAACTATAAAGAGCATCTGGGAAAAACGCTCCGGCTCTTAAAGAACTAGAAAACAATTCATCTTGCGGTGCTAAAAGTGTCCTTGCTAACACCGTCAAATGGACACCAACACCAGCTGCCCAAACACATCTCAAGGTCAGAAATGTGCATACTAGAGGGTTCATTTATATATGATTTTTTAAGAGAACGTTTTTCAAGAATTCGGGTTGTCATCATCATCGTCAATTTATTTAAAGACCCTAAGATCAAAGAACCCATAATACGACAGACGACAAAACGAGCTCAACAAGGTCCTCTTGCAGCATCAAATTAGAGCTAAGGAAGATTTCGGAACTGATAAATGGAATACTATGTGCCAAAGTGGTGGTTACAGTTGTGTGTTTTAAGCTCCTTTCTGAGTGTCGTTATCTCATCGATATCGATATGTCGACAGCTGATAAACTACAGAAAACCAAGTGAACAGCGATTAATCGTAAGAATTCAAGTTATGGTACCGTTGTTTAGTGTAACTTGTCTTTTGGCGTGTTTTAAACCACAGTGGGCTCAGACGTGGACGGAACCCATAAGAGAAATATATGAAGCCTTCGTGATATACACATTCTTTTCGCTTTTGACACTTATTCTTGGCGGAGAGAGAAGAATTATTACTGAATTATGCATGGGAAAAGCTGCGGTACGACACCCGATCTGTTTCATTGGTGCGGTATTGCCTCGTGTCGACATGTCGAGTCCCTCTGACTTTTTGGCCGTGAAACGAGGCATCCTACAATACGTATGGTTCAAGCCCGTATATTGCTTAGCCATGACTTTTAGTTACAAGTATGGTTGGAATCATAGGGTTTGGATTGTTCTGTATAACATTTCTGCAACATTGTCACTCTACGATCTGGCTCTATTTTGGAAGTGTCTTTATAAGGAACTGCAGCAGTACCATCCATGGCCGAAATTTCTGTGTGTTAAGCTCATCATTTTTGCCTCCTATTGGCAAGGCATGGTGATCAGTATTTTGAGCTACTATGGTGTGATCGAACAAAGTGCAGACGTAGATTACGGATATGTTTACCAGAATGCCATGTTATGTGTGGAAATGATTGGATTTGCAGTAGGGCATTTGATCGCATTTAACTGGGAACCTTATTCTGCAAGGAGTTTACCTGGAGCGGCGCGTTTGACATTTGGGTATGCCCTGAGAGATTGGCTAGGCTTTGGCGACCTTATCTGGGACTTCAAAACGACTTTTCGTGGCGACGACTATACGCACCGAAATTTCGATTCAGCAGAAGCTGTTTTAGCCATGCAAAATATGCGGACGAGAATGCATATGCTCAACGAGGGCCTACGGTTTTCTGAGGGAGGCAGGGAAAGGTACTGGATAACCAATAATCGAGGTCGTCCATCGCAGGTTACATACGGGACCACAAATGAGGAAGACCCTTGGACAGAATTTCTTGGTGACGTTCGGGGTTACATTCCCGAAGATCCTAATTATCCTATAATATGGGATGTAGACGCTTATAAGCATACCCGAAGTATGGCCAGACTACGAGGCAACTTAGAGACGCCGCAAAGTGTGTGATTATTATCGGGAATTTTTTCTTATTCGGACTTCGAGACTAGTTATTAAAAACATCCACATAGTCTCGGGACCTTACTATACACAAGTTAATGCATTAAAGGCTGGACGCACTGTCCATGCAACATAAACGAAATGCTAGAGTATTTTTGAGTGCAGGGACTACTCGTAGAGGAGTCGGTCGGAAAACAAATTTGCCGCCTTCCCTAAATCTCTTCAGACACTTGCTTTAGGTTTCGCACTCAGTTATTCAAAAACTGCGCATTGAAAAGGAAGTGCTTTGCACACTCGTATGCAGTCCAAGAAATGGCCGTTGCCGGCATGTTGCTAATGATCCTTGGTTTCAAGCCACGAAGGAAACCTCGCCAGCCATATATCTGATGAATTGCCTTCGCAGCTTTTGAGAACGTGTCCGCTTCTTTGAAGAGCGGATGCACGACGCGGTCACTGCCGCGCACTTGAAGTGCCGTCTTGATACAATCGAGGGGTGTGGTGAGAGCCGCGCAAGTGCCCCCACTGATGCCTCCGCACAGACAGTGAACGAGTGGATTGTATGAATTCGAAGGGTTGAACACCTTGGTGGAAGACTCGTAAATGACGAAATTGAAAGCCGCAAACGGTATATTCATTGCAATTGTAGTAGGGTAAGAATAAAAGAACGATGCAAGTCCCTCATTTCTGTACATTTTGCTTGCCGTTGACCACATTTTATCCGCGGTTCCATACTGCAGTTGCATCCGTTGCTTAATGGTATCAAATGGGTTCATGAGGGCATCGGCCGCAATGGTGGCAGCTACACCACTGGCGGCTGTTTTGAGCGGTTGATGCGTTTGGAAGTCTTCGGGATCGATCAAATACCCTTTGCACATCTCGTATGTCGCAAAATAAACCGCGTGGGCTGGACCCGCACCCAAAATTACAGATTGAACTCCCTTCCATAGGGCCATCGACCCTTCCGTCGTAGAAATTTTGGATATTTGCTGAATGATCGTCGATGGCAACTTCGCCGCCGTTTCTACTGTGCCAACACTCGAACTCATCGCCTGCATTCGAGTCTTTATCGCATCAATCGGAAACATGATCGAATGTTCCATGATGCCCGCAAATGCTCCGGCAGCAAGTTGCTGGGAAAGTGGCGCATTTGCCGGAAGCGCTTCGTAATCTATTTCTTCATCCATGGCTCGATGTGTTGCTGGAGCCACCCACAGTCACAGTCTCGTCCAAAGCCTTCACTTGGGGTTTACCTGACTTTATTCAATTTCTTGAGCTCGTGCTATTGGCACCTATTTTTCACCTTGAAAATTCTATGCTTATCGTCATATGTCGTAGTGAAAAATTTCAAGATTTGATAATATGAAAGAGGTGCAAAACACTAGAGGAACCGGAGTTAAGAAACGGCTGTGGGATGGATCCATTTTTAAGACACAAGGCGCTTTTAAAATGCTTTAGATTTCCAAGCTAATTCCGGCTTTCAAACACCACTATGACCGATTCAATTTGATTGAAAAGGCATGATTTGAGAGGTGTATTCACTTTTTACGTTTAATGGCCGACTTGACAAGATTGCGCGGCAATAATACTAGAATACTAGGTGCCGTGCGTTGCTCTTACAAAATAATACTAATCTTGATGCTCCAAAGCTGATTAATCGTAGGAGCGTTGACATCTGTTCTAGATTCCAATTTAAAATTTTGGTGCCTAATAGAAGGACAGTGTAGTATTTCTCAACGCAAATGACGGTTTACGACTCAGTACTTCGAGCCTTTGAGTTTACACCGTTCCATGCGAAGGCTGCGCTTGCGTTCTCTTCCGCCATTGCTTCTCGTCTCGGTTGATTCCGATGCTGCCAAAGTTCCCGCGCACTTCTGTATTGGTCACGCTTTCTGATAAGAAAACGACAACCGGAACGACACCCAACTTGACATAAAAGAATGACATTAGAATAAAAGGCAACAAACATTTGCGGAATGCTTGTTTAAAAAGGACCTTGCTCTCGCATTTGCTCCATCTCGATACTGAACAAGTGTTATTAATCACTCAATCTAAAACTTTATTTTAACATTCATTGCAAAAATGCAACTCTCGGTCATGTTATCCCGCAGAACAATGCACGCGGCTGTTACCGCAACTAGCTCAGCTCAGAAAGCTGCTGTTAAGAACCTCAGTCAGCGTTTAAGTTCCGATGTGGCTATCGGTAGCACCGCAGCGAACGTGTCAACTGGTTGGAAATCCAGCGGGAACAGTTTCTCGTCTTTTAAGGAATACCGTCAAATTGCCAAGACATATGGACCTCTCAGTGCTTCGGTAGCAGCAAAAAGGTCCCTTGTTGGCGGCGATAGACGTCTAAAATGATTATATGTTCCTTTGTGCCTATGTAGGCACAAAGGAACAGGACCCTGCATATGGTAGATTACGTTATCACAGCCTCCCGGAAAAATAAAGATAGACATGCTGTAAGGGCGACGAATACTCAATACATAAGGTTTTTAGATAAAAAGGTATCGCTGGTAGGTACGAAAAGTTTGAAGTGTTTTTTCTTCTTTCTGAGCAAGCGGTAGCGGCATAAAAGTGACACGAGGAGATGGAAACGAATATCCACGGTATGTCGTTCGATCTAACGTTCTTACACAGCTTCTTCGCCTGTTTCCTGCAGACATCAGCGAGCTTTAAAAATTTTTACACCTATCTATCACTTATCTTTAACCCTCGGATTTACAAATTCAATGCCCGGAAGGCCAGAGGGCATGCCAAGACGACAACAGCCGGGACACCTGCATAAAGGAAGAACCTCCCAATGAGATTGGTGTTTGAGCGACCGTGAAATAAGGAGATCTCTGGTAACTGCTTGTCATCGTTATGTTGCACCACGTACAAGTGTCTGTCATCTGTAGTCAGCCTGTTGAGGACTGAAAATATAACTTTTTTCCCAATGACGCTCTTCCATAGGATCACGAGAGACACCCCAACGAAAGTACGCAAAATCGTTCCTCTGATGCCCAGAGTGGAGAAATCGTAGCTTGTTTGGAAAGTCCCCGGATTATTGACGTGGAATTGGAGCCAGTCAGAGCACTCTATACCTGCAATGACGCCGATAAACGCGACACTGTCATCGAAACATGGACATTCGTCGACCGGTTTCGCGTGGAAATATAGCAAAAATAAGCCGAAAGATATGGATGTGACCGGAAACCACCAACCCCACTCGTGCATGCTTGCCTGATCAAAAGAGGTGTAGTAATGCACACAGAATCGGCCTGCAAAACATACTGCGCCGACCATTGCACCTGTGACGATATCTAGAATGCCGTGCATTCCGCAATAGATCCGGCCGAGAGTCAAAGTCAGGTAGTAGAACAAAATGCTTGCCATTGCAACCGTTTTCCAGATCATCGACCCTTCGTCGTACAGATACAAGTACCAGGCCAGAAGCATCGCAACACTCGTAGCGTTGGCGGTATGAGAACTCGGGGCGCCATACTCTTTGGTCGTGTATCCGCTCAAAGTGACTCGAGTGAGAGGTGGTGAGACCGGCCGTGGAAGACACCAGTAGTCTTTCAAATACCCACTCAAGTAAATCGAATAACCAAGTACATAAACCAGATCACGCGACGCGGCACTCATACCCAACCAGCGTGGTAGAGGCAGCATGATGACGTAAAATGTGTGCGATCCCATCAACGAAGTGTATCCAAAATATCTGTCCAGAGCATCGCGCCGAAATCGTGATTGCCAGGCGTACAAAGTATCAGATTGGTTTTCGGTAAACCTGAGCATCTTGTCACGTATCCAGAATCTCGTCTTGCTCATTCTTTTCTTGAAATGGTCTCTCGAATGGTTGCCAGGGTCCTGCAACGACGGTTCCCGAGTAGCCTCGATCTTCGGAGGTACATTTTCAAACGACGTTACACTATGGCTAGTCTCAGTGGCCGACCGGCTCCTTGTTGTTGCCATTGTTCTCAGGCTTGCTAGCTACCACCTTCTTAAAACTCTGTTGTGCGCACACTACTTTTTTGAGCTAGATCAACTCTTGGGCTTCGAATTATATCGTGATGCAGATTTTCATCTATATCATAGACCTCGTTCGCGACACTCAAACTTGAGGCCAAAGGCACCGTTCAAGTTGCCTAGACTTCAAATTTGGGCAGAATATTGATACCCGTGGATTCTTAACTCGAGCTTTGTACTGTTGATATTACAGGTGCTATCCTTTCTTTCACAAACGGTTCTTATACGAACTACAAATTGAGATTTGAACTCTCTTGTTGTCGGTATCTGAATTAAAGTACAATAGCCGGCAATCACGGGCAATCGCATACAATTGCAGACGAAAGTGAAGCTACTTCGTTCTCTTATAGTAGTTCTTATAAACATATATATAGGTATTTCTTTACTCTTTAGTCGCTGTCTGTCATGCCACTGGTATGTCTATCTAGCTTCGACTGATGGTTTCTGTAGCGTAAACGGGATAAAAATGTGGACGTCGCGACGTAATGCGAATTTGATCGTAGCGAGGAATATTTTAGCTTATAAGTACTTCACAGTTTAACACTGCTAGTCGCTGACGCTGCTTTGTTCCTTACATTGCTAGTTTTAGTGCTCGTTGCGTAATCTTACAGTTGTCCGAAATTCAATGACTTTTCTACATGATTGAAGCAACGCAAGTTTAAGATAGCAGTGTTATCAATAATTGACCCTGGTTGACCAGCGATATAGAGGTCATGTTTGTTCTGAGTTTAACGTCAGGCCAAGAAGTTTGAATATGTCTTGCTTTCCACAACAGCCAAGTTGTCCAAAGCGACCAAGGCCGTTAGTAATGAACGAGACGGCGGAAAGACATGGATGTCGAAATCTCAGCTACGTTCCAACGTTATAACGTTGCCATTTTATAAATGTAAGGACGTTTGACCATTGAACGATTCAATTGCCAGGGCGACATACTCTCAACACTTGACAACAATGTGAATGGTAAGAATGGCAAGAAGGTGAGGGCGGTAGGAAACCTTGACAGTAAACAGGGTTTATTTACATTGGCTTTGGATACCCGAACGAAGTTAAATTTTGACAAATCTTGGTTTTTCGAATTCGAGAAAAGGGTAAACAATATGCAATAGTTTTTCACAGAGTCTTCTCAACAAAACCCGATCTTTCATCAGCATTTTCCATACAATAAGCGATCGTTTTAGACCACTCTGAGGCCTTATCCTTAGCCTAACAAGTCTCGATATGGACCTGGAGAAAAAGCCGTTGTCGGCGTCGCCAAACAAGAATAGTTCCTTCTCTTTGTTAGGTAAAAGCTCTGATGGTTCGGACTTGTCAGCGTCCTACAAGACAATATCGGATGAAATCTGCAAGTGGCCCGCACAAAGGCTGCCGACCGCCTTTGAAAGAACGTTGTCCGAAGTGCCGAGTTATAGCAAAGTGAAAAAGGCAAACCGCATGGCAGATTACCATGTAAAGATAGTCGTCGTGGGAGATGGGGCCGTAGGCAAAACTTGTCTACTCATATCATACACCCAGGGAACTTTTCCCCAGGAGTATGTGCCAACCATATTCGAAAACTACGTCACAAAAGTTCAGGGCCCTAAAAACAAAGTCATAGAGCTTGCGTTGTGGGATACTGCCGGTCAGGAAGAGTACAACAGACTAAGGCCTCTCTCGTACACGGACGTCGATCTTCTCCTGGTATGCTATTCGGTGGATAATAAAACGTCTCTTTTCAACGTCGAAGAGCTCTGGGTTCCAGAAGTTAAACATTTTTGTCCTGGAGTGCCGATTTTTCTTGTGGGGCTTAAGAGTGATTTATATGCGTCTGACAACCTCAGAGACCTGGTAGACCCCAAAGAAGCGGAGCTGGTCGCCAAAAAGCTCGGCGCCTCAGCGCACTTCCAGTGTTCTGCTAAACTGAGGCACAATATTGACGAATTGTTCGGGCTTGCCCTGAACACACTATTAGCGGATGCTATGAAGGACGATAATTATAATTCGATAACCAAGAAAATCTTTAAGTCCAAAAAGTCTTCCGGGTCTGTGAATGCTCAACGAGTGAAGAGCTCCCAAGTTCGCAGGAGGCGGCATTTCTGCACTGTATTATAGTAATTTCTCAAAATTAATTTTTGTCGACTCACCCAAGGGTGTTGTTGACTGGGAGGATAGTTGTGCGCTTGAAAATGGCATCAGTAAGGTTGGCTGCCGTAAGAAAGTTACAACAAGGGGGTATTCACGGCAATTGTTCACCGAATCTATTTGGCACAAAAAATTCAAATTCAGAGGTTTAATAGCTCGTAACTATGTTAAATTGGTTTAATTTTTGCAAATATTGAAATTTATTGGGACAGCATTGCTCTCCTCAGAGGCCTCTACGATCCTGGTTCTAGCATATTGAGATTAATTGGAATCTTAATTTTCTTATGGCTTTATATGTCATCTTGTGTTGATTTTGTCGTGAGCCTCCTGTGTTAGTTCTTAAAAAGAAAATTTTACAATTGACAAGGTCATCGCGAGTCAAAAGTGTAGAGACATCATCGCTGCATGGATGCTTATAAGCTTTAAAGTACTCCACACAATTGCATTGAAGATCCCTCCCTTTAAAGCAGCTTGTAGACCGAGATTTTTTTGCAGATTGAAGCCCATTCCGACATCTTTTCGATTCGTAAGTGAAGCGATGAGTGTCGAACAGCGATCCGATTCGAAGCGCGGCGGCGTTGATGAAGAGCCCCAGAGAAAACCTATCAAAATTGCGAAAAAGACAAAGCTGAAGAAATACAAGGCTAAAAAAGTTGATCCTACCGCTCCCTTAGGTGTTTTGCAGGGTGAGATTGATGAACTATTATTGGAATTCGATAAAACTCGTGAACAAGTAACCAACGATGTAACTGCGATTCTGAATGATACACACAGTCAAACTGGGCCTATTGCTAGCCTGTATCATCGGCTTGTGCCTGACGTGAAGGTTATCAAACTCACAGCAAGCGGTGACGCACTTGCGTTTATTCAAAATCCTGTCGAGACTGACAAAAACCAGGTGGCTTTAATACCTTTTGCGTTTCCGGGAGACGTTGTTGACATTAAAGTGTTCAAAACCCATCCTCACTATGTTGAGTGTGATTTGCTCGAGATTAAGGAACCATCGAAATCCAGAAACAACGAATTGATCAGATGTCAGTATTTTGGGAAATGTTCAGGATGTCAATTCCAACCTTTTTCTTACGAAGAACAGTTGCAAATTAAAAGAGCTACGGTCGAAAACGCGTACAAGTATTTCGCTCCTAATTTGATGCAAGAGGGCTTGATTCCTGTAGTAGGGAACACAGTGGGGTCGCCCTTGACTTATGGATACAGAACTAAACTGACACCGCATTTCGATATACCCAGAAAGTTGGATAAATTGAACAAAAGACCTCCTTTGGGTTTCGGTCAAAAGGGGAGACCAACGTGGAGAAACACGAATGCCGGCGGCGATGCTAGTATACTTGACGTCGAAGAATGTGTTATTGGAACTTCTATCATTAATCAGGGCATGAAAAATGAGAGGGCTGAATTCGACAAAACGTATAAAGATTTCAAGAGAGGAGCTACAATCCTATTGAGAGAGCATACCAAAATTTTGGACGAAAACGAAAGTGTCGAATCTCAGCTGGACAAGGGATCTCTGAATCCAGAAAACGGGGCCGTGTCGTACCAGGTTTCTGACGGCGCGGCAGGCACGAAATTACTCAAGACATGTGTTACAGACTCCAGGCAAGTTGTCACCGAAAACATTGACGGCTACACTTTCAACTTCTCCGCGGGAGAATTCTTCCAAAACAATAATAGCATTCTTCCGCTCGTCACGAGCTATGTCCGGGACAATTTACAAATCCCCACCTCAGCCACAACCGAACCGCACTACCTAGTTGATGCTTATTGTGGATCCGGTCTCTTCAGCATAACTGCATCTAAGGGTGTGGACAAGGTTATTGGCGTTGAGGTCTCTGCTGACAGCGTCCGCTTCGCAGAGAAAAATGCTCTTGCAAACGGCGTGAAAAACTGTACTTTCGTGGTTGGCAAGGCAGAGAAGATTTTCGCCTCGATTGATACTCCCTCAGACAGAACCTCTGTTATTTTAGATCCTCCCAGAAAGGGCTGTGATGAAGTATTTTTGAAGCAATTGGCAGATTACTATCCTGCTCGCATTGTCTATGTTTCTTGCAACGTACACTCTCAGGCTCGCGATGTGGCGTTTTTCCTGAAGAACACGACTCGCGGCAAAGATTACAAGATTGAAAGTCTCCGCGGATTCGACTTTTTCCCACAAACGCACCACGTTGAGGGCGTGTGTGTTTTGTCAAGGTACTGAGAAGGTTTGGACCTTTCCAAACTATTTATAAATCGCATGTGAATTATTTATGAGAATCCGTTGTTTTAAAATTACCGACTCGTCAATTTCTAGACTCAAATCAGAAGGCCACTGCTGACATCTTTTGTTTAGCAAAAAATTAGACCTCCGTTTTATACCTGTCCATTTAATGCTGTGTTAAACCCTATCGAACCCTAAAACAATCGTGTAAATAGCGACTGTCGCACCCATACATTCTCCATTTGAATTATATTTATCTTACATCCGTACATTTTTTCAACTATTTTTTCAAAAACAGTTTCAAGATCCTAATCTACAATGCATCGTCGCAAACCCGTTTCAAATGATCTCTAAACTGCCTGAATGGCAGAGACCAACTCTTTCGACAATTGACATTATGCGATTTGCCAAAAGAAGCACATCTTGCTAGTGAGAGGGAACCCACAGATCAGGACCAGCATAAGCCAGGATGGAAAACGATAAGGGACAACTAGTATGTTCTTGTTGAAGCGAACGGGGGGCAGGACAACTTGCGCCGTAAGGGCGATTGCTATGGCATTGATGTGGTTTGTTTATGAAGGTTGAAACAACCGTTATTGACTTCCTTAGGTGTTGTGGATTGAAGCCGTCAAAAAGGGTTAACAGGATATGATAAAAGTCGAAAACCAGGCCAAACAATATCGTTTCTTATCCAGATTTTGTGAAACATGAATTAGTGGAAACCCGAGTGTTTCAACATTTAGGAGAAGAAGTCCCACATCGCAATCCAGCCCCAGAACACTTTCTTGAGAAAGAATTACTAACAGATGATTTCAGGTCGAACTTTACGTTCCAAGAAAGTGCTCTGCCACTAACAGAATTATCAAGTCCAAGGACCACGCCTCGGTTCAGATCAACATCGCCAAGGTCGATGAAGAGGGCCGTGCTATCCCAGGTGAATTCATCACTTACGCTTTGTCTGGTTACGTTAGAGCCAGAGGTGAAGCTGACGACTCTTTGAACCGTTTGGCTCAGAATGACGGTTTGTTGAAGAACGTCTGGTCTTACTCTCGTTAAGCTTTCAGTCAGCAATGTAAAGGTAGCTTTAATAAGGGCTACTTTTTATGTTATATAGTGTGCCCATGTAGCTAATACACGCTTCATCGTTTCGACATCGACATCGCCTTGATAATCGTGCGCTGTGATGAACTGTAGGAATATCAACAAGCCATCAAGGAACCATGGGCATCGTGCTTCCCCAGAAAACTCAGAACGCTTGAGACGAAAATGAGCATTTGCGTAGCAACGCTGCTTTATTCCATTGACTATCTACCAGGCGTTTTTAGTCTCGGGTATCAGCTTCGAGGTGCGCCCCGCGATTGTGCTAAATGTATATTGGTCGATAAAGGGCTTGTTCGAGCCAATGTATTGAGCGAACAAGACGAGAAAACATTAAAGGCACTCTTTGACACAATCATATACGTTGACAGTACTGAAATTGATGTTCAACTTTTGCGCCAAAATGCAAACAATTTGTCCCTACTAGGGAGGCCCGAGTTGAGTCTGACGTTTCTCAAAATCGAACTTTGGCAATTGGTGCAATATCGGCGCATTATTTTCCTTGATAGTGACGTTCTAGTGGTAAGAAAGGAGTTCTGGAATATCCTTGACGCTCTAGAGTCTCAAAAAGAGTCTGAAATCGGCGCTGCACCGGATTGCGGTTGGCCTGATTTGTTCAATTCCGGTGTATTGGCTATCGTGCCGAATAGAAACGATTACGAGCAGCTGCTCGAGCTTTTAGCCGGTCAAACATCGCTTGACGGCGCAGATCAGGGTATTTTGAACCAGTATTTCAACGCGGCTTGTGGATTTGCGGGCGAGACCTCGTCGCGGCGGGCCTGGAACAGGCTTCCGTTTGTTTACAACGTTACAATCCCAAACAGTGGCTATGAATGGGCCCCGGCACTCGCGTATTTCCGGGACCAAATCAATTTGGTTCATTTCATTGGAAAGAAAAAGCCCTGGATTTCCAGAAACGGCGGCAGGTACGCAGACCAGTGGTGGCAGAATTACAATTCGTTTTTGGCAGAATTTTACCCGGGGGACTCAGGCACTGCAAAGGCTATTTCAAAAGCGCTCGACCACGAAAAGGAGAGGACGGTGACTAATTCTCAGAGCTCGCAACTGGACGACCCTCTGAGTTCCGATTTGACAGAAATGACCATTGAGGAAGCCCCGAAGCCAGAAATGAATTGGGAGCCCACTTGGGATGCAACCATCGAGCCCCCTCCACCTGACGGGAAACCGGAAGCCGCAGAGCTTCTTATCGAAGAAAATTATTCCTGGAGTGAAAATACAGAGATCGCATTGCCTGATTTGCCCTCGATGCCAAATACTCCTGAAATCAAGCCCGTATTCGAATGGGAATTAGTGCATAACCCAGATGAGGTAGAGCGTGTTTTCCCAGGCTGATTCAGGCCATTCTGAATTGAGTTTAGACGATTGACCTGATTGGATTTACGTCTGGTAGCTAGACATATGTTGATATTAGCTTTTCAACTCAATACTCATTTGTTACTCGTTTAATAATCACAAGTCACGTGATTGGAGATGGTATCTGTCGGTTTTCTTTCGTATATTGTGCCTGAAAATTTTTACGATTTAGAGTGTCGTCGCTGCTCTTAATAAAAAGTTTTCTCCTGATGAGCACACTGATCCTTAAGCTCAAACACGGTAGATTGATTAAATAGAACGAGGTCAATATGTCTTCTGACGGTATCACGGAAATTGAAGAATCCCAGATTCAAACCAACTACGACAAGGTCGTCTACAAGTTCGATGACTTGAACCTTAAGGAAGAGTTGTTGAGAGGTATCTACGGTTACGGTTTCGTCGACCCATCTGCCATTCAGCAACGTGCTATCTTGCCTATCACCGAAGGTCATGATGTTTTGGCTCAGGCTCAATCTGGTACCGGTAAGACTGGTACTTTCTCGATTGCTGCTTTGCAGGGCATCGACGAAAAAATTAAGGCTCCTCAAGCCTTGATGTTGGCTCCAACCAGAGAATTGGCTCTTCAAATCCAAAAAGTCGTCATGGCTTTGGCTTTCCACATGGACATCAAGGTGCACGCCTGTATCGGTGGTACATCTTTTGTCGAGGACGCCGAGGCGTTGAGAGAAGGTGCTCAGATCGTTGTCGGTACCCCAGGCCGTGTTTTCGACATGATCGAGCGTAGAAGATTCAGAACCGACCACATCAAGATGTTTATCTTGGATGAAGCCGATGAGATGCTGTCTTCCGGTTTCAAGGAACAGATCTACAAGATTTTCACCATGTTGCCACCAACCACTCAGGTCGTGCTTTTGTCTGCCACCATGCCAGGTGACGTTTTGGAAGTGACCACCAAGTTCATGAGAAACCCAATCAGAATTTTGGTTAAGAAGGACGAGCTGACTCTAGAAGGTATCAAGCAGTTCTACATCAACGTTGAGGAAGAAGACTACAAATATGACTGTCTAAGTGACTTGTACGACTCCATCTCTGTCACTCAAGCCGTTATTTTCTGCAACACCAGAAGAAAGGTCGAGGAGTTGACTCAGAGATTAACTGCCGACAACTTCACCGTTTCTGCTATCTACTCTGATTTACCACAACAACAAAGAGACACCATCATGAAGGAGTTCAGAACCGGTTCTTCCAGAATCTTGATCTCCACCGATTTGCTTGCCAGAGGTATCGATGTCCAACAAGTTTCTTTGGTTATCAACTACGACTTGCCAACCAACAAGGAAAACTACATTCACAGAATTGGTAGAGGTGGTCGTTTCGGTCGTAAGGGTATTGCCATCAACTTCGTCACCAACAAGGACGTTGGTGCCATGAGAGAATTGGAGAGATTCTACTCCACTCAAATCGAAGAATTGCCAGCTAACATCAGCGAATTGTTCGACTAAGCTTGAAAGCTTTTTTTGATTACAATCGCAATCATTGCCATTGTATCTTGATATGAAAGCTTCATGACAAAGAAGTTGATCACTTTGTAATAGCAGTGTATATTTTTACTAAACATACGAAAGGTTTTTGTCTTATTTTAGTGTAGTGCCTGTACAGTCTGTAGAAAGAGGAACAATCGTGCTGGGTGAATTTCAAAATTAATGTGAGATTGTTTCGCAAGCTTGTCGTTACCAAAATATTTGAAACTTTTGGCGTGGTCAACTTTATGGCATTCTTGAAACCAACTGGTCCTCATCGCTCTAGCTGCCAAAGTTGTAATCCCTTCGTTCAAAGTGCTGTCAATACTTTTTTTCTTCTCTTTTGAAAAACGTCAGTGGCATCTCATTATTCAAGCTCATCGCATCGCTTCGGTGAATTGGGAATTGTGACAAACCACCACTGGTACGATGTCGACCCGTGTGACTCTCGAGAAGAACGTTTGCAGCGGTGTCCTAGATTCCTTGGTGCAACGTTGTAAGACGGACCCAAACCTCGCATCAGATAAAGCCATCCATGTGGTAATTAATACAGAGAAATCAATTGGCATTAAAAACGATTTTATTCCTAGAATTATACCTTTGAGCTCCTGCAAAATGTACAAGCCGCGAGATCTTCGAATTTTGCTTATAACGAAGGATCCTGCAGGTCCTTTCAGGACAGCTTTGGCCGAAAATGAATCAACATCCGACTTATTCAAAATGGTGATTTCCGTGAGAAATTTGAAAAGCAAGTATCGATGGGCGAGACTCATCAAGCTTTTCAAAGAGTTTGACATGGTTGTGGCAGATCATCGTGTCCAGCACCTCTTACCCCGTATACTGGGCCGTGCGTTCTATCACAGCAACAAGAAGCTGCCCTTCGCGGTACAGATGTCAAAGGAGGTTAAGGATAAGCACACACGGTCTCTAGAGACGTGTGATGCAGCATTTGTGCGCGCGCAGCTGAAAAGCATCTGCAAGAACGCTTTTTACGTGCCGAACAAAGATAACTGCATGAGTATCAAGATCGGTGAAATCGGCGTTCACACATCGGAAGAAATGACGCAAAATATTCAAGACATCGTGCAGTTTTTGAGTGATAAGAGCAAGCGTTCAATGGGGGGAGGCATTCTCAGGAGCGGCATCGCAGCGCTTTTCGTCAAAACGAACAACAGTGTAAGTTTGCCATTGTACAGAGCTCCGGCCAAAAACCTTACTCTTCTAGATGAGAACGACGAAATTCGGCTTTAGACATGAGATTGACAGGAGCATTTTCGATTGCTGAATTATACTTCGAGCCCCAGTTGCAGATAATTCGAATATGTTAATGAGAGTCACGTGTTTGAATCGCATTTTATAATTAGTTAACATCGCTAACGGTAGATCAGCCAGAAGTAATAGCGTCACGTCAGGATTGCCTTGTATATATTTGTCGCTTAGACCATTTCACACCAATTGGCGTTCAGGCGCATATGAAGATACGAGTTTTGTTTGGCACCTTCGTGTTTTTGAGTACAGTGTACCTGTTCTACATACCAATTTCGGTTATATTCACATCCTGGCGCTATCATAAGACCGAAGGAGCTTACTTCTTGAGATCCCAGAATGCATTGAAAGCTTATTCAAATATCAGGCGCTTTGATGCGATTCTGGGTGCGCCGAAGCTGTCGACGAACACGTATCTCGATCAGATCATTCGCAAAAATGTAAGTGGTCATAGTTCTGACATCGAGCTCCAAAATGCGACTTTGCTGATGTTGGTCCGCAATTGGGAAATCGAGGGTGCTCTCAAGTCTATGCGATCTTTAGAAGACAGGTTCAATCGAAATTACAAGTATACTTGGACCTTTTTAAATGATGTTCCTTTTAGTGGGGAGTTCATCGAGGCCACAACAGCAATGGCCAGCGGTAAAACCCAATACGGATTGATCCCCAGCGAGGATTGGAATCGGCCATCGTGGATCAACGAAACCGAATTCGAAAACTGTCTCCAACTTATGCGGGAAAAGCATGTGATTTATGGCGAGTCGAAATCCTACAGGAATATGTGTCGGTTTAATTCGGGGTTTTTCTTGCGACAAGCAATATTAGATAAATACGACTACTACTTCCGAGTTGAGCCAGATGTCGACTATCTCTGTGATTTTCCTTACGACCCCTTCAAAATTATGCGGGAAGGTCACAAGAAATATGGATTTGTGATTACGATCTATGAGTACGAAGACACTATACCGACCTTATGGGACGCAGTTGAAGAGTTCATAGAGGAGCATCCTGATCTCGTTAACGCCAGTACAAATAGTCTCAAATTTGTCACGTCGTCGGGTCGCATAGGGAAAACGACGCCGATTGTCGAATCCAATTCTGAATATAATTTATGCCATTTCTGGTCCAACTTTGAGATCGGGGACTTAAATTTCTTTAGAAGTGAGGCATACCTCAAATATTTCGAATGGCTCGATTCTAAAGGTGGGTTTTTTTACGAAAGATGGGGTGATGCACCAGTGCATTCTCTGGCGGTAGCATTATTGCTTGACACAAGCGAGATTATTCACTTCGATGAACTTGGCTATTTCCACGCACCTTTCAGTTCGTGTCCCGACGGACGTTCCTTGAGGTTGGCTCAACGCTGCATATGCGACATACCGCAAGCCGATAAGGTTGACATTGCCCCCAACAGCTGTCTCATGCGCTGGTGGAAAGACGGCGGTGGTAAACGCTTTATGAAAAACAAATAATGTACATAGCACAATAGAAGTTCAAACAACTTTTTTTGTCCGGTTATTCCCTCGCATTAATCAGTACAAGGTCTCCAAGTTTGACAATTCTTTGAGGATACGTTCTAGATCCTCGTCAGATATCTTGTTACTCAAGCTGGGTATCAAAGTTTTTGCTTCATCCGCATCCTCGCACGAAAGGGACCCTAATTGTGCGATTTCGAATGGATGCAGGTTCGTGCTTTGCAGTAGTTGCGTCACGGCCGTCACCGTTTCTTGGTCCCGAAATCTCGAGAAGTTCGTCAGATACACCATTGTCTGTTTCAAGGCTTGATTGTTCCCGCCCGTAGTGGTCTCTAAAAGCTTATCTATGTGCTGAAGCTCTCGTTCCTGTGTCTGGGTGTGCACATCTTCCTCCATCTCGTCATCTGCCTCTATGCCATCACCTTTTCTGGCCCAATGCTTAAAAAGCCGTCTTCTCTCTTCGAGAGCTTCTTTGATGACCAAACGCGCCTCGCTCAAATTAAGAGCAATTAATTCCTCCTCTTGGCCCTGATGATTCACCTGTCTCAGTTGAAACTCTTCCCCCAGCTGAAGAGTCGCTGCATTCTCTTCTTCTTCGATTTTTTTCAAGCCTCTTCTCTTGGTTGAAAACGTAGAAGTCGAAATATTCATTTTCCGCTAGTTCAGTATCTTATTCTCACCACAATTACAAACTTAAGGGCTTCGCAGAGTTATTTAGAACCGTTCTTCGAAGAAGTGGTCAGATCTCGTTCTTGACTCAATTTTTCAAATATCTTTCTCCCCAAAAAACGGATCGAAATCGTTCAAATTGGACGATACGCGACTGGCCAGTGGTCTGAATCCTCCAATAGTCTGAACTCTAATCAAAATCCTAATGAGATCTAAAGCCTTAACTTCCAAGTCCTTCAAAATTTAATCTCTTCATCTTCATGCTTTTCAAAATGTTATGTATATCTAATTTTACAATCACTTTACACGATATTTAAGAAGTCCCATGCCAACAACAGCAATCTCGGCTTAATTCTCAAGGAATTGGAAACCTAAAATGTTCAGATTTACAAGTGCAGGTGGTTGATGCAGGAGGACGAGAAGAGCATTTGGAACCCTGCTTTTATGGGCAATGTCCAACAAAATCAAAATGCGGCGCCTTATTTGTTCAAAAACCCGTGGAACGAGAACGGCGGAGCGACGAACCGAAATTCTGGCGTTTTTAGCCAGCCGCTACCAACAACGTACGAGGAGCCGGACCGGCCTCGAGATCGTGACGATTTCCAATTCAGAAGAAGGAATTCGAGTCTTATAGTGCCTCCAACGCGTGCTGCAGGTCCTGCTCCACCAGACTCCCTGCTATACAACGGGTCCCAGTTGTTCCCGATGCAGGACGCGCACGACGTGTCTATGGATTTGCATAGAAGGCAATCTGTTGCTGTGACGTTGCCGCACACGTTCAACACGCAGCATGGTACGGCCGCTGAGCCTCCGTTTCAGCAGACAGCGTCGACATTTCACAGGAAACTCAGTACGTTCCCTGGTGCAGTGCTCCCTGCTGCACCTCCACCTCTCAAGCAATTGCGAAGGCAGGAAGAGATATTGCAGCCATTTGCTATACCGCAAATGCATCGCGTCGCTGGGAAGCAAGATCTTCATCCAACGGTCAACGCGACGCCAAAATATCGGCGCGCTTCGCTTAATTCTAAGACAGTTTCTCCCCTAATAGCGCTCACAGACTCTCTAATAACCACTTACACGCTCTGTTCTTCCGAATTTTCATACCAGACTTCGAAAAATCCCAAGCGTGTGTTGACGAAGCCCAGTGAGGGGAAGCACAACAACGGCTATGACAATGCCAACAGCGACTATATTTTGTATGTGAATGATGTTCTCGGAATAGAACAAAATAGGAAATATTTGGTGCTTGACATTTTGGGCCAGGGAACTTTCGGTCAAGTGGTGAAATGCCAGAATCTTATAACGAAAGAGATTGTTGCCGTCAAAGTAGTCAAATCCAAAAGCGAATATTTGAATCAAAGCATAACTGAGGCCAAAATTCTAGAGTTACTGAATAACAAGATTGACCCCATGAACCAACACCATTTTTTACGGCTGCATGAAACGTTTGTCCATAGAAATCATCTGTGTCTGGTCTTCGAGCTTCTGAGCAACAACTTGTACGAGCTGTTAAAACAAAACCAGTTCCATGGCTTGTCTATCAGTTTGATTCGCACCTTTTCGCGACAGCTGTTGGATTCGCTTGGCGTTTTGAAAGATAACAAAATCATCCACTGTGATCTCAAGCCTGAAAATATTCTGCTAGTCTCGTTAGACCGCCCAGAATTGAAAGTCATTGATTTCGGATCAGCCTGTGAGGAGACAAGAACAGTTTACACATACATTCAATCCAGATTTTATCGGGCACCTGAGGTAATTTTAGGAATACCTTACTCTGCTGGAATAGACATGTGGTCCTTTGGGTGCATAATTGTGGAGCTTTTCTTGGGAATACCCATATTTCCGGGCTCTTCAGAATTTAATCAAATCACCAGGATTGTGGACACACTAGGACTGCCGCCCACATGGATGCTTGATATGGGCAAGAACTCGAGCAATTTCTTGAACAAGACCTCAGACGCCGATAAAACTTGGCGTTTGAAAACAGTGGCGGAATATAATGCTGAGTACAAGACAAAGGAGCAACCGGGGAAACAGTATTTTAAATGGCGTACCTTAGAAGACATTGTGCAGAACTACCGACTTTCCAAAAAACTGGCTGGCTCCCCGGCGCTGGTCGAGAGAGAAATGCAGGAGAGAAAATGTTTGACCAATTTTCTGGAAGGAATTTTGAATCTCAACCCACTGGAGCGATGGACTCCTCAACAGGCCGCCTTGCATCCTTTCATCACCCAGCAACCTTTCTGCGGGACGTGGTATCCTCCTGGCTCGACGCCAGCTAGAGCTGCGAAACGCGATCGGCCCAAGGAGGCAGGAACCTCGGGCACGGCAAATGAATTTACGAAATTGAGGATAGACGACTAATCGACGACTAAGGCAGGCCGTGCCAAGGCTCAGCACCACGCCAAGTAATTCGTAGAAAAGATATTCAGAGTTAATCATTAAAAAATCATGTTTATATATACACGAGAAAAGTCGTTTGCCCAGCAAAAAAGCAGGGAATGAATGCAAAGGCCGCGCAGAAACCCCGCGTGGGGCCCCCGCGTCGCGACGTGTTTGTTCAGGCTTGCAACGCCGGAGGCTGTTGAGGTTCGGGCAGAGGTGGCGCCATGGGCTTGGCTTGCCAAGCGGCGTACCGCTGGAACATCAGCCCGACACCTTCCATAACACCCAGCAAACAACCGCACATAATTGCACTATTTCTGGTGTGTCTCCATCCTCCTCTGATGGCTAGAGAGCCACCTGTGAATAAACCGGCGATGATCGCGTTCCACGGATCCTCGCGCTTCCGCACGGCCTTCACAGCACAGTCAAAGGTGGAAAACAGGCCACCCCACACACCAAAATTACCTCCTACAACGGGAGCGCGAGCTTTGATCGCGCTCAACGCTCCCACGTGGCGTTCGCCCATGGGCGAGTTTCTGAAACCCTTGATACCGTGCCATACGCACCCACCAATGACACCCATGGCGAACGCGCCACCAAAGTCGCTTAGAATGACAACGGGGCACGGATCTCTGGAATGATCTGCTGACATATTTGAATCTGTGTTGTGACGTGCACACGTGAGTCCCGACTCAAGTGTGACTGATCTGCGCTGAGTGGTTTCCTCCACTTCAATTCAAGAGTTCGGTTACTGTGTAGTGTTTCCAGAAAATTTTCACCACTCCCAGCAGAGGCAAACCGGTGCCACAAGCCGGGTAACGTCACTCCGCAGGATCCCATCATACCGTGGAGTATGATCTTCCAAATCCGTACTTTGTGATGTCTCGATAAGTCACGTGCATCCTCACGGTAGGGCCTCACACGTCCGTCATTTCCACGTCGTTCTCTTCTACACTGCTGATCTCTTCGATCTGGACCCCTGACGTCTCCACTCTCCGTTCTTCGTCCGGCTCCTGGACCGTATTCGGGCTTATACCAGCCTCCTCTGTGTAAACTTCTACAAGGAAAAAGACCCCTTGTGGAGCCTGTGGTAGGTCATTGCCAAACCGTTCATCTATCAACACGCCTTGTCGTGGATGCTCAGGGGCAGCGTGCATCTTTCTTCTCTTTCCTAGTCTTACGGGTTTTTGAATTCTCATGGAAAATCAGGCTCTCTTCTAACGTGTGTATTGGTTGGGATTTGTATGAGTGCTATGTGCGGTTTGTCGAATCTGTTCGGAAGGGAGAGACATGTGTCTAGAACCGGCAAACGCGGTGGTATACGCGTATATAAGGGATGAGGGGCCTAGAAATCTAGAAGGTTCTGGAAGCTTCGGGATGGAAGGGGGTAAAAAGAAAAAAGGTGCCATGTTATCGCTACATACGAGGATCTCATGATGACTCCGTTTTAGGTTAATTTGCCGCTGAGATTATGGAGGGATTTGGGTGTGGGTGTTTGAGAGAAAGCTCGGCGGCTAATTGGACGTTTCGTATGCGTTGATGTTGATTACGTGGTCAATTTTTCGTCAAATGCGATATTGAGTCATCTCAACATGACTTGTTTGAGTCATGTTGTGTTGAGACTTACGGTTTAGCATGGTCCGTTGAGGGTCGCCTGAGATTCGGTGGAGACCGCTTTAGGCCAGGAATTTCTCAACAAACGAGGCACTGTTGCATCAGTTATATATGGGAGGGCCAGCGCGCTGGTCTCCCGTTTTTTGTCGTTCCCTTAGCGCCCCTGGAGCAACCTTTAATCTCAACTCTCGAAGCCGTATTTCAGCTACGATGTCCAGATTCAGGCTATTTTCAACCGCAGGCAAGGGTCTTAGACGCGCCGCCGCAGGGACGGCCGTCCAAACGAAACCTCAGCTGTCTCCGCTGCAATTGGCACTTTCTCTCGAGCAACCTAGCCACGCCTGGTCCAAGGAGCAGCTACGTGAGATCTACCATACTCCTCTGCTCGAACTAGTCCACTCAGCGCAGCTGCAGCATCGCAGATGGCACGATCCTTCCAAAGTCCAGCTCTGTACGCTGATGAACATCAAGAGTGGAGGATGCACCGAGGATTGCAAGTACTGCGCGCAATCCTCGCGCTACTCCACGGGCGTGAAGGCAGAAAAACTCGTTTCTCTAGACAGCGTGCTGCAGGAAGCGGAAGAAGCCAAGAAGAACGGCTCGACCCGTTTCTGTCTAGGTGCGGCCTGGAGAGACATGCAGGGCCGCAAGTCCGGTTTGAAAAAGATCTCCGAAATGGTGACCAGAGTCAACGAAATGGGGATGGAAACGTGCGTCACGCTTGGAATGGTGAACGAAGACCAAGCAAAACAGCTCAAAGACGCAGGTTTGACCGCTTACAACCACAACATTGACACTTCAAGAGAACATTATCCTAAGGTGATTACATCGCGGACCTACGACGATCGTTTGGATACCATCAAAAACGTTCAAAATGCTGGCATCAAAGCATGCACTGGTGGCATCCTTGGTCTCGGTGAAACCGAAGAAGACCATGTCAGTTTCCTATACACGCTTTCAAATATGACCCCACATCCAGAGTCTTTGCCAATCAACAGACTGGTCGCCATTAATGGAACGCCAATGGCGGAAGAGTTGAAAAAGAGCGACGCTAAGAAACTTGGTTTTGATGAAATTTTGAGAACGGTTGCAACCGCTAGACTTGTCATGCCACAAGCTATCATTCGTCTTGCTGCCGGAAGGTACACAATGAAAGAGACGGAACAATTTCTGTGTTTTTTGGCCGGTTGCAATGCCATCTTCACAGGCAAGAAGATGTTGACCACGCTGTGCAATGGATGGGATGAAGACAAGGCCATGCTCTCCAAGTGGGGGTTGGAGCCCATGCAGAGCTTCGATTACGATGCCCAGAAAAGGCCAGCAGCGGGAGAAGTTTAACTTATACAATTAATTTAATATTTATTAACAATTTACGACAACCTCAAGCAAATCTCCTCGCAAAGCTCCCAAAAACAAGTGTTTTCATTCAATTTCCGCGTTGACGGTTTTTTCAAGCATGTAGATATCGTATTCACTAGGCTTGATTTCCTTAACATTTAGTTCCTTAAGAGAAGATTTGGATTTCCCCCCGTACTCGGCACTTGGCGCAGAAGGAACGTATTGGCCCAGTTTCTTGCCATCATTCAAGACTACAAACTTTTTTCTTGTTTCCTCGCTAACAAACGTCTTGACAACGTCGTAAACCCAGGTCAAGAGCGATGGCACATTGATGAAATACTTGGCGTGCAAAAGCTCTGGATAGTAACTTTGGAAAACGTTGATCACTTCTTTGGTGCACTTCTTGATCTGTGGATCCATTCTCCATATAGATACGCCGTCGTAGTCATGAACCTGGGTCATGGAGTTATTGGTTGGGTCAGCAAAGTCTAGAAGACGCAGACCTCTTTCCATGAGTCCAATACGGTACCTCAAAAATTTTTGGGCATCTGAAAAGACTTCCTTATTCTTCAGAAGACCGCCATATAAGTTCCAAGTGATAACTTTCAAATTGGCTGGCGCATCAGAGTCCCGAGTCAAAACTCCTACAGCTTCAAGGGCATCATCATGTTTTTCCCGAAAAGCAGCGCTGATAGGATCGAATTTCCGTCTCCATTCTAGCGTCGCGGATAGTGTCATTACTGTCTGATCATGATCAAATTTATAGGCTTTACAGAATTTGTAGATCAAGACTTCGACAACTTTTTCATCGTAAAGCTCACCGGGTAGAAGCTTGTAACCATAGAGCTCATCGTAACCTTGGCACTTCTCGACAATTGACGGCAGTTCCTTCAAAACTTTTTCAAACACTTGACGCTCATTATCGTTTGCGAATTCCATGGCTCTTTAGGTCTTTTTGGTTTATTTGTTAACTTCAACCAAGAATGTTGGGTGTCGTTTTCGATCAAGGTTTCTTATAAAATATGAGACTAAAACAAAGAAAATGTCAAAAATACCTAAAAGCGCCTTCCACAGGCTAAGAACTTTGGCTCAGCTAGATCTTACCCTTGTTGTTTTAAAAATGCTTCTTGAGTCGAACCGAGAATAGTAAAGCACTTTTCTTCTCATCACGTACAGTGTAAGAGCATTCAGAAGCTTTTGAAGCTTTTGAAGCCTTTGCATACAAGTTTGCGACTGTTAGCCGAACTCATCCCGACCGCAATCGGACGATTTTGGTTTGTTTGCCAATTGATGGTACTCCCTGCGTATTGTAAATGTTATTGTCGTAATGACAGGACATAACACCCTGAGATATGCCAAAATGCTGGCCAGTTGGAGACCAGCTTTTTATGGTGACGATCTGTTGAGTTCAAGCCATGCCCTTCTCCATATGCTTGTTATTTCGTCGCTTGACTGGGATGACCACGGCTCGTTGTTGGGATTTTCTACTATTTTGATGCCCGATGAAAGAGTTCCGGGTCCACGCTGGCAGTATTCGCCCGCGACCACGCCCCACGAGTCCTTAAATAATTCTTTTAGAACGTCGAGCCCCGTGCTATTCTGCAGACGTGACCACTTCTCGTTTGAGTCCTTACTAATGTAAATTGACATGTACTCGCGTATACATGCCTCTATGCCATCATTAGGTCTCAAAACGATCATCATTGGGGGCTCATCAGTGGTATTGGTAAGCAAGACGCAAGTTTCATTGTCGATCTCATCTGAGACCGTTTCAGACGCAAGCAATTCGTCTACATTCGCTAGAACAGCACATCGCGGCGACAGGTAGCACACAAGCTCAAAAGAATCGCGTAAGCACAGGAACGGCGCCAACAAGTTCCAATTTCCGAAAAAAGGCGCATCGCTCGGCGATGAGGTTGAATCAGGCACTAATTTGGGTACTAGCCTAGGTGCAATCTTCTCCATTGCTATTACGTGGATGCCCAACTTTGCTAGTTCCTTCGCTAAATCCTCCAGATCATGTGGGACCAAGACGTAAAGCGTGTACCTTGAGTGACATGCCCTTAACGTGAAATCCAGCACCCTTATGGGTCCCATATCTCGTTCGTCACTCAAAATACTTATCCAGCATCGGTTTTGAGCAGAGTTCTGCCAGTTTAACTCATTCGTAGGCGCCCCTGAAAATGAACTTCGTGGATTAAGCCATTGTCGAATTTTGCTCACGTCTTCAATGGAGCTTCTTCTGACTTGCTGAGGCCGTGGTTGCTCGGAAAACTCTAGTTCTTGCAAAACGTTCATCAACTCACCTTGAGGATTCGTCGTTTTCGCATCATCCGAAATCGCATAGTGATGCTTCCACAAGTGATATTCTTCTGAACTGTCAGGGTTGCTGCTTTCATGAGTACCCGACGAGCACGCTGAACCCTCCTGCGGTGTCCCTATGGGTGAATTCGAGCTCTCTGAAAACAAAGGTGGGTCTGATGGTTCTGACCACGATTTTCTCACTGCAGAAGCCAAATCGTCCGAAAAATCCATATTCTCGGAGTTTGAAGGCCAACTAAGACCTGTAACTAGATTTAAGCCAATGTTGCTAGTTTTTCGTTTCAGAAGGTTGTCTTTTGTCACCTTATTCCCCTAAAAGTTGACTGGTGTTAACTGACAATGGATCTTTATATATATCATTATCAGTCTTGATATTTGAAAATATGACTTCCTTTAAAATGACACCAGTATTGGAACGGAAACATGTATAAAGGGGTGGTTAAGAGGACATTTTCGACCATTTTTAGTGGGATATTAAAGCAGAAGTCAGCGGATTTGAAATCTACGCTTCAGTTCTTGGTCCAAGCCGAAAGGCCGACGACTTTAACGTCGATTTTCGGCGACGGAACTAAATTAGATGGCAGACATGTTAAACAGATCACGGAGCTCTTGAACAAGGACTTGCCCGATGGCAAGGCCAACAAACGACGTATCGATGCGCAGTACGAGATTTTGATGACCCGTTTGCGTCAACTGGTTGAGGTTTCAGTCAAGAACGTTGTTGAGGACAAAAATCCTTCCAGTGTCGGTGACAGAATTGCGAAATGCGAGTCGAGCGAGCACTTGTACTTGCTACTTTTGGAACTGCAACTGTCACGGAAACTGACGCGCGGGTTAATGGCAAAAATCGTGATGCACAGTCGATTTGCGCACGCCAAGCAACTGAGCGAAAATCTAGTCGCGTTTGACCATGAGCTCGAACTTGCGACGATGGTTTGGTACCGACTGCGTGGGAGTGAAGCACAGCAGGTGCGAACTGCTTATCGAGATAGATTAATCGCTAGCTGGCGCTCGTTGTCCGCTTTAGCGCAAAAATTGGTTTGGAGAAGTGAGCAGCGCGCAGCAGGCAGACCGGGCGTCCTGGATCTCATGCAGAAAATCCCGAATTGGACTCCCTCAGATACTGTAGCCTTGTATCAGGCCCTTTACTCAATAGCACACGAGTTACCCGCGCCTGCGGATCTTGTGTGCCACAACGCTACACTGACCGCGAATCAAATCGTATTTGTCGAGACGCTGCGAGCGCTGTCGCCCTGGATATCGCAGCATGTCTCGATGCGTAAGAAAGCGCTTTCGGTTGTTCGCGCCAGCGTTGAGGATAAAGTGGCTCTCGAAGCAACCGAGAACTCAGAGGTTTCTGTCTTCAGATACAGGTTCATCCGAAGACTGGACGATCTAGTGCAGCAAGCCGTGCGTGACAGCGACGAGCCAGAGCAGCAGGCTGCCATCCAACGCGTGCTCACGAAACTGCATGCAGAACAAGAGCAGATACGGTCTCAAACCGTTCTCAAATTCATATGACTCATCTACGAATCGGCCTACATCTACAACAAAAATATCCCAGTCCTCAGGTCATCACCATTTCATGGGTCGCTCAACCCGCAAGCGAGAAGCAGACCTCTAACAGCGATGGTTTTAAAGTTGGGTTTACAAAATTTTTTCTGCGGTAAAATACTGCGTTGCATTTAACAGAGCAATACGCTTCGCTGAAGGCATAGAAATGTGACTCCAAAGGTCGCCCTTGCGTTGTACTACGCTAACAACACACGCTTTTACCGGGGTTTTTTGTTTGTTGAATTAGGTGGAAAGCAGGTTGAAAGGTTTGAGGAAGTCGAAGGCTTTTATACTTGGGTGTAATACAGGGCCGGGTAACACTACAATAAGGCATTTGATCCATGGGAAAGACGACAAATGAACCAGCTATCGCAGGGCTTTTATGGACGGAGAGGATAGGTCAAATGAGCCACAACGACGCACTTCTGGAAAACCTGAATGAGTTCAAAAGTAAGGTTCGGGCGAGTCCTAATACTTCACCTTGGAAGAAGGGAACTAGCGACTCTAAAAGGCGAGATATTGAATTGGAAGACAGCCCCACCGTCAAAAGACCTAAAACAGCCGGATCTGTGCCATCGACAAGTGGCGCGACATCAGACGGAAGTTTGACCGGTACTCATTTGTCTACGAAACTTCTGTTAGCCACGGAATACATTCAGGAGCGTGGAGAAGCGGTGCCTATACCGCAGATCGAATCCTATCTATCGCTTTCGGCAGACAATAACGTTATTCCACTGCTCAAGAACATCAACAAGATCAAATTCGACCCGAAGCAGAATACGCTGCAGTATGTGTCTATCTACGATGTTCATTCGGCAGAAGAATTGCTGCGATTGCTGCGCACGCAGGTAACGTTCAAGGGCATTTCATGTAAGGAATTGAAAGATGGCTGGCCACAGTGCAACGAGGTTGTGGACGAAATGGAGGCAAAGAACCGAGTGCTGGTGCTGCGTACCAAAAAGGATAACCAGCCCAGGTTTGTTTGGTACAATTTTGGCGGACCCGTCGGCAGTGTCGACGAAGATTTCGTGAAGATGTGGGAGACTTGTAAGCTGCCGCAGCGGGGCGAGTTACCCAGGAAGTTGACAGACCTGGGACTCAAGCCTGCGAGTGTTGACCCTGCGACCGTGAAAAAACAATCAACGCGGGTCCAGGCCAAGAAAAGGAAACAGCGCAAAGGCAAAATCACCAATACCCACATGGCCGGCATCCTCAAAGACTATTCAGACCGCGTATGAGCTGGTTGCATTAATTTCTACGTAAAACATATCAAATTTTCACATTTTTTACATTAACCATTTAGAATTATTTTACATCGACAGAAACGATTCCCGCTCGCGCTATTTACTCTTTGCTCTTGTGCTTGTGCTTCTTTTCCTTCTTGTCCTTCTTGTCGTGCTTCTTGTCCTTCTTTTTATCCTTCTTGTGTTTCTTGGCCGGTTTGTCCGTATTTAGCGCGACGTCGTTATCACCCTGTGTATGTTCTTCGGCGCTCCGCTTGACCTTCGGTGATGCACGCAGTTCTACGCTTTCGTTAATGCTGAAAACACGACTCACGTCGCTGCCCTTCACAAGGCTTTCTGCGTTCTTTGGCACGAGCAAAGCAAGGTCACTGAAATCTCCGTCGATTTCTTGTTTCACTTCAAACCGTTTATCGCCCAGTTCAAAGATTGCATGCCCACTACCGGCGAAATCGACTGGAAGACTCTTAAGTTTGCCAATCTTAACGTTTTTTGGAGCTTTGATCAACCAGATTTCTTTGTCACCTGCATCAAACTGGCCCAACTCCTTGCATCTCTTGTAATCGTGACTCCCATCAGCCTTGGACTCTTTAACCATCGCGAATAGCTTCTTAATGCTTCCCGTGGTCACCTCATCGCTTCCCTTCTCATCGCGTCAACAGCTGGATTTACAGTAATAAAATTTTCTATATTAATCACGTATTACGATTATTAGAAGCCCTAACCTAGCTCGTTCTCGTCGTATGAAAGGACAAGCTCTTCAAATTTTTCACATATAAAAAGGCAAGAGATGAGCACCAGTCGAGAATTCAACACCGTACCAAGTTGTTCCTTTGAGTTTGTCAAACCTCTCAACAAAGCACATTGGCTCAACCATGCAGTTCACTCAAGGGTGAGTGGCTCCAGCGGAAGGTTTATACGTTTGCAAATTGCGAAGCAGCAATGTTTTTCTCTTTCTCATAAGGGCCGTGACGAAAACGGCATCTCTTCTTTCCCAGTCCGATTCGACCATGACGATATGGGTTTCTACCACGCAGTTCCTTTGGAACTGCTTTTCTTGCCAGTGTGCTTCGAGCACACCATCTATTCTCCGAGCCTCGAGAATTGAGAAAAACATTGGCTGTTCTGCTAAGCGAATACATGTACCTTCCCTGGAAATGCATGGCGTTGGCCGTATGCGTTTAAAGGTCGATGTCCATTTTCTGTAGAAAATACTTTACTCGTGCGCGATGATGAAAATTGGTTCCTTACATTCGCAGTTTCCACGGTAGGAGTACGCCAACGAACCCATCGTATAGTGCTCCCGGTGACCGCTCTTATGAGACCTTCCTAGGATGTCTGAGTGCGCGCGATTTATTGTAGTCTCTTGTTCTTTTTTTATTCTCCTTCGAGACGTTGCTAAGTAAATGTTCGCCTATATGGTTCCAAACGGGCGTGGAGTCCAGACTGGTGCAGATTGCCATAGCAGCGGCCGTTGCTCGCGCTTCCGCAATTTCGCTAGGTCGTCCAGTACCGCGTCTGCGGCTGTTGATGCCATTGTCGCCGTTGAAGGCGTCTGGGTCACGTGACTTTCCTTGGGTCTCTCAATCGATAAACTAACGATGTCATAAAGGTTAAGCTCTGATGGGGACGCACGCGTTGCCACGCGCGTGAGTTGGTCTTTAATTTTCGCAATCTCGTTTGCGTAACGTTTTTGTAGTTTTTCGGGCAAAACTTTGGTGCAGTCTATCGTTCTCTGTAAAATCGTCACCCCAAGATAACTAGGATGCTGCCGCAGCAGCTGTGACCACCGATCACAGTGTGCAAACACTTTGCGGTAGTCCAAGGCGTGGTCACACAATTGCGTAACAAATTTGTCCAGCTGGGACTTGGAAAAAGTTCGTCGGAGCACGGTCATCTGCCTGGCTTGTACGGTGATATCAAACTCTTGCAAAATCCATCGACACAGCTCGTATGAGAACACGTTTATACGTTCGGCGAGTAGTCTGAGCACCAGCGGTTGGGTGCGAACATCATACTGCTTAACAAATTCCGAAATAAAGATGTCAGGCCCCTTCTTGGCTAGCTTCCAGGCCTCCTTGGCGATCCCGACAAACTGTTCGATCTTTTCTTCAGGCGAAGGTTCGTTTCTCGCCTTTTTTACGACTTTAACACCGCCTGTAAAGCTAGAAGATACTCGCTGACGTTTCCCCACATGTACGTCCGAGTTGAGAATCCGCGCCACAGCGGGTAATGCCTCTATAAAGCGCTGAGCGCCGTTTCGCAGCTCCGAGGCCTCCGAAATCTCACCCTGGCCATCCACTTCACGATTTCCTTCTTCTTTCATTTCATCTTTCAGTTGCATCTCCTCCGCATCCCAGTAATTTCTCCACAGCCACTCTAACGCCTCGCTGCATGCCAGACGTAGCATCTCTAAGCTGGGCAAATCACGTTCGTGAGTACTGCAATGTCTGAGCTCAACAAACCAGGACGGAAGCTGCAGGCGCTCCGCAAGCACATGCAGCGGAATGGCGAACTGAGACTGCTGCGTCGGGTCCAGTAAACCGTTAACAAATCTAATGAGAGCCATTGCGTACGCCATTCTCATGGTGAGACCGTCTAAATTCCCACTTTCATCCATCAACTTCAACTGAACCAAACGAGCCGTTGTGAGAATCACGTGAGGTGTATAAGGTCCTCTGGACTCCCAGCACTCCACTTTCATCACACCTCGTTCTCTCGCATCTTCTGCTCCATATTTCCACGAATATAGCCTTGTTTTCACCAGTTCAATTTCATCTCGACTTCTCCAAGGCACTATTCTCGCTTGCTGGCGAGTCATGGAGTCTGCTGTTTGTGCAGAATGCCTTAAAAAGCAGCTTTTATTCAGTTTGAAGAGCTCATCTCATCGACTATTTTCATCTCATTGACTTTTTTCAAATCATCAACTGTAAGTAATCACCTATCTTCACAGAAAAATCATTTGTATATAAGCAGCGAGACTAAAGGTGGCTCCGAAACCGCGACTCTAGCCCATTTCAACTCGATCATCTGTTCAATTGACGGGTTTCCAGGCCTATGAGTGACAACGGATGCGCGCCTGGTACGAATCCCGGTGGTTCAAAGAGATATGACCGCAGAAAACGGCGAAGATTGACGATTGTATGCACTAATTGTAAGAGACGGAAGAGCAAATGTGACAAGAAAAAACCTGTTTGTGGAAACTGTACGCGGCTTGGGGATGAGGACACGTGTGTTTACGTTTCGCATGCTGAATCTCCGAACTCGAACGTACCGTCAGTCGTAAGCTTGAGTTTTGAAAACGTCGACGAAATCCCGGTAATGAACGTAGACCTTGCACCTAACGGCAATGTTGTTATTGCGAAACGATCCGCAACGGCGTATGTAAAGCCATTAACGACCGTTGGAGCTGCATGGCGTGATCCTTATCTACAAGTTTTGAACGCATTGTGCTCGGTGAATAAACGTCACGTCAGATGCAGAAGTGCAAAAAGCGGTGAATTAAATGGTACTGAAAAGAGTCTTCCCAGCTCGATAGAATCTTTAAAAAAGATAGAACAGCGTGAACCAAGTGATGCGGCAAGAGTGGAACCTGAAAAACTGATAAACAGACATCGGAACATGTACAAGCATCTTTTCACGAAATTTGGAGAATACCGTCAAAACAAGTCAGGTAAAGTAAATGATAAGGAGATACCGGGGAAGCATATACCCGACCAACAAACTTTCGAAACTGTGATTTGGCCTCATTTCGAGGTTCACGTTTCCCCGTTGTGTCCGATCTTCGAAAACAGCATCCTTCATCATGAAATTATAAGCCTTTACCGGAATCTGCAAAAAAACTCAATACTCAATAAAAAGAATAATGACAATGTCATCTATGCGATCCTTCTTCTCATCACTCTCCTGTGTCAGTTTTCTGTCAATTGCGCTGGTAAGTTCAACTCTGATTCGTCTTCGCGAGACGATGCAAGGATCACGAGTATCAATACTAGAAAGTACTTCGCGGTTGTGAACTATTGCTTGTCACAAAATAAAGTGTATCGCAAAATTAATCTTTTACAGCTTCAAGCATTGTTGTTGTTGAGATTTTATCATTGGTGTGCTCCCGATGAGGGTGATGGAGAACAATTGCAGCAAAGTAACATTCTTATGGGGGCAATTATAGCCTCATGCCGTGAAGTGGGAGCAGGCTGGTCATGCTTTAAAGACGGTGATAAATTCACTTGTGACTTGTTGCCCGATGCGCGCCCTTCTCCTTCCGTAATGCATCAAGGCAATTACTCACAGGTTTACAGAAAGTTGTGGAGCACTGTCTTACATTGGGATCGTAAATTGAGTATGCTAACCGGCCAAGAATGCTTTGTGAGCAAGTCAATAAAGATTAATCTGCAAGATGTCGACTCATGGCATTTGAAAATGATCCCCATGGACCATTTGGTTTTTTCGATATGCAATCTGGTCAGCGAATGTCCACATCAAGTTCACTACGAAAAGGTAACTTCTCTTCTCTCGGATTTGTCGCAGAATAATAAAAATGTTATGGATAGAGACATGTGCGACTATCACCAGCATTTCGAAATGCAATTAATAATTCTTCTCATGGAAACTTCTTTGCACCACGCATGTGTGGTACAAAGCGAGAGCACTGGGAATACCTATGATTTTGGCTGCCATATGCGGAGTCTCGAGGATAAGATGAAGAAATTGGCGACTTTATGTCATGAATATTTGTTTGCTGAAGAGGAGCTGGATGTCTATGGAAGGTTTTACACCAACAAAATCGTCGTCATTGCTTTAGAAACAATTTGTTGCATTCTACCGTCATCAATTTTAAGATCCAGGCAAACAGGGAGCTCTCAAGGAAACACTCGGCTACTGAGGTTCTTTTACGATGTCGCCTCGATGTACTTCAACGAGATTGGCGTTGATTATTATCAATGCTTCAAAAAACTCTTTGTCATCAAAATTCTCTACAAGACTCTACTGACAGCTGATGATGCGAAACCATGGAAAAATATTCTAGAATTTTTGGTGAGTGATGAGAATGAAGGTAACGACCCTCTTGACAAAATGCCCGCTGTCGCGAGTTTTTTAGAATTTCATAAAACTCGCACAGACGAAACAGATGTATGTGCGTTATGGAGACAAATGTTTTCGTGCAATCTGGAGATGAAATTCGAGAGCGACTTGACCGATAGTGACTTTGATCTTTTTGTTAATGATGACTATGAGGATTACAACATTTTTTCGGCTTTCTGTAATAACATTTCAACGCCTTTTTTGAATAAGATGTCGCTAAACGGTACTTATTCGATGGAATCTCTTTCATCGAAAGTACCGAAAGCTGGGCAATGGAACGATTATGATGAATTCGGTTTTCCATTGGGTACGTCTGATTTGCTAAATTTCCTAAATGACGACATATATGGCCAAGACAATGGTAAAGCCTTCTACGAGCTATTCCTGGATTGATAGCTTAGTAAAGAAAAAGAACACTTTTTCACTTAATGGAGATATCCACGGTAGTAAGTGACTCTAAAAACCATTTAAACAAATTCCATTCATGCTGCCCGCCTACAGCCCTTCCTTTGAGCGGATTTCATCGCGAGCACCTTATCATCTCGTGAATTCCCCGATTTTTGGCAGGCAGTGCCAAGGTTGCTCTTGAATCCCTCGTTGTAAAATACCGGATGCAAAACGCGATCTCCATCCTCCTCTGTCACTACAGTTGGAATGTCGTTGATGATCAAAAATCTTAATTTTGGAAATTGGTGAAGCAGGGCAACGTACGTGCGGCGGTAATGATGTATAACCGCATGGTAATAATTGACAATGTCTGTTCTCGAAATGGCCGAATGGGGCATCTCGAGTTCGTCTAGATCCTCACAGTCCCCGTTCTGCATTTCGAAAAGAACCGAAGGTCGCGTGAGCTGCGACATCTGGCTTCGGTACATGAACAGTCTTTCGTTTACAATCGAAACGAAAGATCCCATATCCATAGGATGAGTCCTTACGCTGGGATAAGAATCGCAAGCTTTGGAATAAGGAAGAAGAGAGTATAGGCGCATCATACTGAAAATATCTTTCGTAACAATGTCCTGTAGATCATGTATGATGAAATCTTCGGGGAAGAGAAATATCTTTTCGTTCAAAACTGACTCAAAGAGATGGGTACATGCTTCGCAGTGACATTGCTGGGCTATTTTGAAAAGACCGTTTTCAATTGATATGATAGGCACATCCAAACCTTCGAACCGCATATCCAAGAATTCCAGATCCTTACAGCTATGCACAATCGTGAGAAACAACTCCGGTCGAGCAGATGGGAAAAGAGACTCTCCGACAAAATCGATCTTGAGACGCTTTATTTGAGAAAGACTGCTAAACAGTCTCATGAGCACTAACGTGTCTTGTTTGATGGATATTAGTGAGATATCTTCGACGTTTTTGAACTCTTCGAATTGTCTTAGAATTTCCTTCTCTTTGGACATTAAACTTTCGTGCCAGGAAATTATGGTTAACACTTTAAGGGTTCGTATATCAAAAATGTCCGAAAGTCGCGTGCGGACTTTTTCGGTGACAGGTGTAGTGAAATAGTGTTGCGGATAAAACTCGCATCTCCAGTGTAGCTTGAGATCTGCGACCTGTAATTTTTGATGCAATGGGGTAATATAATTAAACAGAAGCAGAGGGTCCATGAAAAGATTCATGTACGTGATGCGTGACGAAAGCCTTCGAGTAATGAATTTTTGGAGATTTGGGATGTAGTCTGGAGGCGCTTCACGTTCCGGCATGGCATTTGGGGGCGCCATGTCAAAACTCGTGAGACTTCCACTGGAGATCTTCCCTGTGGCTATTATATCGTTACAGCTGGGATCAATAACGTTTTCAAGTCTTTGTAAAGCTGAGCCCTCATTACACAGAATTTCCAAAATTGTCTTTTGGATTGATGGGGCGAGATCCCAGTTAATCCTGATCCACGTCACACACCGTGTGGCTTGGTTGTTGGACTGTAGTGTCGCTATCAATTTTTTTAACTTGTCGTTCGCCAGCGATCGCGACTCCTCTTCGGAAAGCAAAGGAGGTAGCGACAAAAGCGTCCAATTGATTGCCAAATTCATAAAATCGCTCCTTACCACATTAGAATCATTCAAATAAATTCTCCGATAAACCAGTTTAAGGGCCACTTGGTAAAACCTGCGATTGACAAGACACATGTTAAGTCGATCCGGCTGCGGTAAATGTGAGAAGACCTCTTCCAAAAGATAATCAGAGAGACTCGCTAACGAAAAATTCGCATTGTGTTCCGGCGTCACAGCCGACATCTTTAAAAGTACCAAATTCAACTTACTATTCAGCTAAAATAACCTTGCTTTTTAGCGAAAATAGCCCTGTCGGATCACTTGTTTCGAAAAGAGACCGCTGGGCTACAAATGTGGGCCAGTCGTTCTTGATCTGCTTTACTGAAGTCTACTTCGGTTGAGATCAGTTCCCCAATATCATCGAATACTCAGATGGCAAACGATCTCGCTATACGAAATCTCATCTCGATCGTGAAAGCGCATCTCAAGATTGAAGGACTTAGAGCATTTAGAGGTAGACAACCAATGAATCATAGGAGAAGAGATGGGTTATAAGTGATTCGAGGATGATTGTGAAACGTTGAAGTAGAATGAATATTTCTCCTAAAACTTTGCAACAAAACGATTTCGTAGCCTTTTTCAGCTGTCAAGTTCGTCAGAAACCAGCATGCAGAGGTCAATATGTCCCTCGCGTTAACGAACTTTAGACCCGCAACGCTGCGCTTATCATTTTCGTCCTGAGGCCATCTGACATGAGAGTCCGGTAGGCACTGGACGTCGCTATGAGCCACAAATTCTCAAATATCTGACGGGACATAAAACGCGTAGTTGTTTGGCTATTCGCGAAACCTAAGAAATCCTTGCCAGCTCTCGTCATGAATCTTGAGCTCACCTTTAAAGCAGCTACGAATCCGTTGCGAAGTTTGACTCAGAAGATGAAAATGGCATGAGGCAGAACCATTTGAATAGAAGAGCTTTGGTATAGCATTTGATTTCAAGTCTTCCATATGAGTGGGGACACCTTCCCTTAATTTGTCTTGGAAGAATTGGTGATTTGTCTTCAAAGTTGTGACTTCTGCATGATGTTATAAAAGAGAATGTTGGCCTACAACGCTGTGTGCGACAGCCGCGTTGTAGCGAGACGCAAGGTTGTGAATGGGGGAGAAATGATTTTGACACACCACTGAAGGATACTCTGAGCCCTCCAGTGCTACACAAAGTGCGAAGTGCGACGTCAGGGTCTCTGACTTATGCTGGAAGGATTTGCTCAAGCCGCACCCCAATTGTCCTCGACGCTTTTTGAGCGCGCAGTGGGGGGAGGGGTGAGAGGGTGGAAGACCGAATGTTTTACTGCAACGAGACTCTATTTGGTGAAATAGGACAAGGATCTGGCACATGCAAGTCAAAAGATATAGAGAGATAGGGAACATGAAAGGTAAAGATCCAGGATGCTAGCTTCCTGGAAGACGAAAATAACCCACAATTCAGTAAACAGGGTTTGTTGTTAGAATCAAAAGCTTTGGGCTCATCAGCTCATTAAATCTCAGAGAGACACGTCGAAAAGATACGGACAAACTCATTGAAAGGTGATTAACTAAAACCGTCAAACGCCACTTTTCTTGAGGCTAAATGTGAGTTTCGAAGTTGTAATTTTGCTCACTTTGCTGGCTAATTTACTGGTAACATTTATGAATATCAAGAGATCTTAAAGAGCTTTGAACGGTGTTCTCTGCCTAAAACTTGTCATCTCATTTTGTCGTATATATAGATTTTATGGTATTTCATCTATGTGAAAAAGCTCATAAAGGTGCCCTGTAATTAACCTTCTGGTGACCATTAACAGGGTAAACCAACGAACAATGACTAGTGTTTACACCGTAAACAAGGATGACGTTCTCTTGGGTCTACTTTCTTTCTTCTTTCCTACCATTCCCGTAATTATCCGGAAGGGATTTTGGTCTAAAGACACCCTTATCAATCTCCTACTCACAATCGCTTTTGGGTTCCCAGGTCTGTTCCATGCGCTGTATGTCATTTACATGACCAGCAAAGAACGTCCTTTGTACGAACCTATAGGCGGAGAACCTGATTTGGAGGCTCGTGGCGATTCTCAGAACGCAGGTTTGTCCTCTGAGCCAGTTGGCGAGGAGGCCGCTGGTGAGCAGCCTCCTTTGTACGACGAAGTAGCTGAAAGCCAAAATCCAGCGCATGCCAGCACGGATAACAAGATTCAACACTAGTTTGGGCGGATATTCCTATAGGATAGCACATAGAGTGAGTTAGATTTACACATAGAGTAATCCAGGTTTATGTTTTCGTATTTTAAATGCTGCTTCACCAAGGTACGGATGGTTTTACCGTGTTTATTGAATGTTTAAGTTGGAAAAATACTATATATGCCATCAACACAATTGCTGGTATCTACACGAAGTATCGCACTTGCCCGCTCAATGCGGATTTTTTTACAAAAACTCTTTGGCTTTTCTGCGAAATGCATGGCAGTCCCGCAACCACTGCCGGTATTCCTTCAAAGAACCAATCTTTTCACCGTAATAGTCAGGCACGGGATTGCTAAAGCTTTGCGAGGACGAGTCGACACGATTGGCGACTACATGTTTCAGAAATTCCTTAGTTTTCCCGTTGTAGTCGTTCAATCGGTCCTTGTGTCGCATTTTAAAGATATAAGTTCCAAAAAGAGGTCCAAAAAGGTATCCCAGTGCGCCAGAAGCAACCAAAGCGGCAGAAACAACCATCAAAGGATCGAATCCCATGATCATCTGCGTAGGATCTATCTGCATTGTCGACAAATAACCCCATGAGATATTACAGCCCACAAACGCGCTCACAATGGATGATCCTAAGTTGATTTTCCGTTCTTGTTTCCTTAATTTGAAGAAATCGTTCCAGTTGAAAGGAGCAGGTTGTCCCGCATCTTTAGAGCCTTTTTGCTCGATCTGCTGAAACCGGGGAAGAGTGACGCTCAAACCTCTGGATGCAGTACGAACTGTCACTCCGGCTGATCTGCTAACTGCTCTGGATAACATGACTCGACGTTACCGGATTTCTCTCTTTGACCGGGCTTGTGTTAAAGGTGATGCCTTGTCAGTCTTTTCCAGCTAAATTCTTTAATCTCAAAATCACGTGATAGCTGCATGTTCTGGAATCATGGCATGTCCGAGGAGATGAGATTAATAGTTGAGATATTCATTATGGGTGCCTCAAACTAAATTTACATAGCACTTGATGTTCGTGATAAAGATCAGGCATTCGGGGTTGATGTCTCGCTATGTTTGACTTTCTTCACAATTTTAATATGTATGGCATTTTTTGTTTTCTTCACCTAAGTTATCTTTCAGCAATTATGGCATTTCAAAAACTGATAAATCCAATGGCCTACATAACAACATGTTAAAAAATCACTCCGCCGGTACTTTATCGGAATGCAGGACAGTGCCAGCGAATTTATGTTACTAACGTTTCTTAAATAGTATTTTAAATAGGACGAGTTTCTCAGATTGTCATCACAAATCTTGCTCGTCGAGGGTCTTAAAATAGTGAGGCTTGTTCTGGTCTGGGAACTTGATGTTGTTCTCCAAAAGCTTGGCAAACGCCTTCGAAAAGTCTCTGAAGAAAACGTCTTGATCCTTGGCGTATTCTTCGACGAGTTTACGGTACTTAGGGTCCTTCACCAGAGCCATATCGGTAGGCAGCATCATGTGACCTTGGTCGTTATCCCATTGCTTAACACCTTTCTTGTTGGTGTTAAGCGTCCAGTGAGCGTTGAGAAGGTTGACGAAGAAATCGTTGGTGAAGACGTTAGGCGAAGGGCCCCAGGGTCCCTCGTATCCGGAGTTTTCGTAGTGAGTCTTGCCCAAAGCGTGGGCGCCAATCAGTGCCACAGTTTCTCTGTCGCCAAAACCCAATCTATCGAAGAGATTCCGGACATATGAAGCGCCCTGCGAAGCATCGGGCAGACGTCCGTTGTCGGGGACTGTGTTTTCGGGCTGGTCGACTCTGCCGGACCGCCAAGGGATCTTGGGACCCATCATTTCCTGGACTGCGGTAACACCGCCTAGTGTGTAGAGGTCGCCGCTCGAGATCCAGGGGAATTGCTCGTGGATTGGGCGCAAAAAGTCGAAAGCGTTTTGAAGGCCCTTGTTGGACGGGTCGTTCATTTCTTTCTTAAACCTGTACGTTCCACCAAACGACCCACCGGAGTTGTCGTTTCTGTCGAAAGTCCCGGACGAATGCCAGGCCAATCTCACCAGGACGGGACCGTATCCAATGTAGTTGTCGTACTCATCTTCATCTCTGATCTTGGTCGCAATCGCGTTGTAAACCTCTTGGTAGTCACGTTTCGCTTCCTTTTCGGCGACATGCACGCCGGGAGCAGCTGCGAGACCGCCCCAGGGCTTCAAGTTGTTCTTTTTGTTGCCGTTGTTATAATTCTGGTATGCCACTGCAGAACCCGCTACAGATGTGAGCCCAGCAAGGATAGCTAGCGATTTTCTGTTGACCGTTCTGCCAATCGTCGCGCGGAAAGTAGACATCGGTGCTGAAATTGGCGACTTTGATAATATCAATTATAAAGAACCACTTCGTAGAAACTATGTGAACGCTGTGACTACAAATTCCTCTGCTTTAATAGAACCTTTGCAACTAGCGAGGCCATCATTTCCTTAGTCAATCACGCGATCTGGCCGGGCCCTCAAGTCCGTAAGCTTGGTAAGCTAATATGGAAATATCGGTCAGAAAAGCTAGCCACGTCGTTATCGTTTGTAGGTATATCGTTTATTCTCGCTCCCTCGCTTGCTTATACTTGCTCGCTTCTGCTTGACTGACTAAGGTGCCTAATTGCTGCGCTATGCATGCTAGAATATAGGCAGTCCGTCCGGGTTCTTGGTTTTCTACAAAGTTCCATACGTCATGGATTCGAGCCCTTGGCTTGAAGCCGTTGACAAATGCGACGATGTCACGCACTGCTGGAAGATCTGTGTCCTTCTCGAAGTTTCCCAGAGAAGAGGTTACGTAAGTCGGACATACGTACAAAATGATACACATATGTGAGTAATCTGTGGGTAAGCGGTAGCTATCCATTTTGTACGAAAGGCTTAATTGCGCAACTACCGAATGCTACTCCTTCAGATCGAAAAAGCTCACCCAGTGCTACCCATTGGAAGACATTCACAAATTCTTCGAAACTTAAGCCGTTGAATATGTTCTAGCGCTTATGATTGCGACTACGTTTCGAGAATGTGTCGCATGGACAACATAAGGTTGTTTCGTTATGGAAAACTAAACTACTAATAGTCGAAATAGACCCCTTATCCGCTTAACATACGAAAAAGCGACATTGATAACAGATTTGACCCCTGTGGGTAACACTCCTGTTGGCGCAGTTACCCGGTTACATGATATCCTAGGATGATTTCCTCATTTTCCGAGAGCTTCGGCGGCTATTTTTCAAGCGCCGGCGTGTTTTACACCATAGTTTTGCACGTCAATTACACAGGGGGTCCCTGATTTCAGAGAAAGGGCCAAAGGGTCGTGTCCTACTGAGAATTGAAAGCACTTAGTATCTGAAGGGTAGAAAAGCACAGGAGTAGTTACGAATCGGTTCGTACAAAACTACTAGACCTGCAACGAACCCAATACTTTCAAAAGACGACGATCAACTAAGAGATAGAATCGTTGAATAATCTGTGAACTCAATGCTTGCTCATTTTGATTGAGCTCTAAGTACCAGTTCCTAAAATTCGTGAAATGAGACAGACTTTGTGTACGCATCCAGTACTGCTCGAGATGCGGCACAATATAACTACACACGAACGACAGATTCTTGATCTCGTAATTATGGAATTATCACGCCCCTATGAGCTGTTAACGTAAAGAGTCTAGAGCGAAGAGCTAAGCTGCCGAAGCTTAAGATACAAAGTAAGAGATATGTCATACGCAGAGACCATTGACGAGGCAATTGTCAACTGTAAGCATCAGACTGTGTTCATGCAAAGGTGTCTGTCGCAAAACGCGCTGATGGACGCCTTGAAGCATACGTCGATTATGCTCACCGAGTTACGAAATCCTGCTTTATCACCTAAACAATACTACGAGCTCTATATCCTTTGTTTCGACTCCTTGAGTCTTTTATCGAACTATCTCGTTGAAAGCCACCCCAAGAAGCACCATCTCGCGGATCTGTACGAGCTTGTGCAGTACGCGGGCAACATCCTCCCCCGTCTGTACCTGATGATAACCGTTGGCAGCAGCTATCTGCAATCGCCCGACGCGCCGCGAGAGGAGATACTGAAAGACATGATTGAGATGTGCAGAGGCGTTCAGAATCCCATCAGAGGGCTTTTTCTTCGATACTACCTCTCGCAGCGCACCAAGCCGTTCCTCGACAATGGACTGGTTGACAAAAAGTTTTCGATCAGCTTCATCATTAGCAATTTTGTCGAGATGAACAAACTCTGGGTGCGATTGCAGCACCAGGGGCCCTTGAAAGAACGAGAACAGCGGACACGCGAGCGCAAGGAATTGCAAATTCTTATTGGCGCAAATCTCGTGAGATTGTCCCAGATTGTTGAAAACGATGTACAGCTGTACCAAGCGGAGGTTCTTCCCTCAGTCCTGGAGCAGGTGGTCCAATGCAGGGACGTGGTGTCGCAGGAGTACTTGCTTGACGTGATTTGTCAGGTTTTCCCCGATGAGTTCCATCTAGTCACGCTTTCCAGCCTCTTGGACACGACGCTGAAGCTAAACCCAGAGGTCGCCATAAATAAGGTAGTCTTGAATCTCGTTGAAAGATTGAATGGCTACCTGGAGCGGAAAGATGGCTCCCTTGATGCAGATATAACATCGAAACTAAGCTCGTTAGACATCACTGACAATGACAAAAATTTATTTTTCGTCTTTTGGAGCTATCTCAATCAGATATCTGAGGAGAGACCTGATGTATCCGTATTAGAATTCTCTCCCTTGATTCAAAGCATAATGAGACTTACTTTACAATGGTATCCAGGAAAAATCGCCAACATAGAAACGCTGTTCAAGTTTTTGTACGATAAATGCAAGGACTACGGAAAAGCGTTACCTCAGGAATGGGATAATCGTTTCGAGGATGTTTTCTTCTCTGAAGCTATAACATCAGATCCTGAGTTCTTTTATGAGGTTTTGACGAAATGTGAATTCTATCAGAAACTTTTGGCGCTTCAAAGTAAGACGCTTCAGAAAGTTATGATCAACAAGATTCTCGACTATCTTTTAAGTCATGATGTGCGAATTTCGGTTAAAGCAGAACTGGAAAAAGTCTTGCTAATCTGTGAGCCTCTTACTACGCATCAGCCCCAGACGCCCGCCGAAACACAATCCGATGCTTTGCAACTCACTGCGAACACTGAACCGGGGTTGGACGACTGGCTTTCGCACCCGGATCAGGAAAAGCTCGTAAAGCTTGTGCATTTATGTTACTCGAAGTCGATTAAGCGACACGCCGACCTCTTGCTCTGTTGCAAAGCATCGTTTCACAAAGGTGGGAAAAACATGAGATTTACTTATTCTGCCATCATCTGCACTTTCTGGAAGCTTATAAGAAGAGCGCACCTGAAAAGTATCAAGAAGCCTGCTCGTGCTGAGAAGTTGCGAGCGTTTTTGAAACAGATGTTCAAGTTCATTTCTAGATGTGCTAATGAGCTTTTCAATGTTTGTGGCGCAAGCTGTGTGGATATGATCTATAAACTGCATCTCGAAACGGCATCCTTAGCCGATCAGTTGTCTTTAAGCGAAATTGCGTATGACTTCTTTACACAAGCATTTACGATCTTCGAAGACTCCTTAAGCGATTCTCGTACGCAATTCCAAGGTATTGTCAACATGGCCCAGGCGTTGCAAAAGACGAGATCCTTGTACGATGATTCCTACTACGACACCCTCATAACACGCTGTACACTCCACGGCTCCAAGCTTCTCAGAAAGCAAGATCAATGCCGTGCAGTGTATTTATGTTCTCATTTGTGGTGGGCTACCGAAATATCGCTTTTGGGCGAAGAGGAAGGGGTCACTGAGAGTTTCTTCAGAGAGGGCAAGCGGGTTCTGGAGTGTCTTCAAAGATCTCTTAGGGTGGCTGACTCTATCATGGATAGTGTCCAAAGCTGTCATCTTATGATTGAAATCCTGAACAGATGCTGCTATTATTTCATTCACGGCGAGGAGCAATCTACACATGTCGGGACCAAATATATCAATGGGCTAATTGAGCTTATAACTACCAATATCGATGCGCTTAAGCTGGAAGAGCCTTCGTCCGAAAATGACCTAGAGCCTAGCCAAGCATTGTATTTTATCGGACCAGATGGAACATATCTACACTTACCATCGAACAATAGCGTGAGCATCGTGACAACAAAACCACCTGCCATTACCATTGCTGAGCTGATATCGATACCGACCCAATACTTTCAACGAACTCTGGATTACATCCATGACCAGAAGGATGTGGACGTCAGATTCAAGGCCATCAATGCCTAAGGCCATTGATATGTCGCGATATACGAAATAGATGCGTATAATTATATTGTTCTTATTCGCTGTTATATCTTTGCACAGAGGGCGAGCCCAGTTGAAATATCAAAGCTGAGGGTTATACGACGACTACGACTTTGGACTCTCATCTCTCGGCCATGGGTACCTACACTGTGTCAAATGTATGTGCAATTTACTGTCTTCCCCAAAAGTGGTATATAAGGGAGCAAAATACTAAATGAAGGCAAAAACCTGCCACGAATAGGCTCAAAATTTAAGGATATGTGTTGTTATGGTGGGTTTACCCGCTAGAGGGAAATCATTCATATCTCAGAAAATCGTACGTTACCTTTCGTGGCTCTCATTCAAGGCCAAGTCTTTCAACGTAGGAGGTTACAGACGAAAGGGAGCGCCTCGCCCTAGCGCGGACTTTTTCGATTATTCGAATGCTGAGGCCTACAAAATCAGAGAGCAAGCTGTAAAAGAAGCTGTTGAGGATATGATGAAGTGGTTCGAAGAAGAAGAAGGGTGTGTGGCGATTTTAGATGCAACGAATTCAACGAGAGTGAGAAGAAATTGGATTTTAAAGCTTTGCAGGGAAAATTGCATAGAACCAATGTTTTTAGAGAGTTGGTGCGATGATGAGGATGTGGTTTTGAGAAACATTGCAGATGTGAAAAATTCGTCACCTGATTATGAAGGCGTCGATTCAGAAGCCGCTACGTCTGACTTTCTTGAAAGGATCAATAAATACAAAGAAGTTTACCAACCTTTACAAGATGATATCGATAAGGATCTTACTTTTGTGAGACTGATTAATGTTGCGCAACAAGTGGTAATAAACAGAATCGAGACTTATTTGGAGAGTAGAATTGTTTTCTATGTCATGAATCTCCACATAAAGCCTCGCTATATATGGCTTTCGAGGCACGGGGAGTCGATTTACAACATCGAGAAAAAAATAGGCGGTGACTCTTCTTTGTCGCCGAGGGGCCTGAAATACGCGGCTAAACTCAAGGAGATGGTCAAAGAATCCGCCGGTGACAGAGACTTGACGGTCTGGACTTCAACTTTGATCAGGACACAGGAAACCGCCCAATACCTACCTTACAAGCAGCTGCAGTGGAAAGCTTTGGATGAGTTGGATGCGGGGGTCTGTGACGGAATGACCTACGAGGAAATAGAAGAAAAATACCCTGAGGATTTCAAAGCACGAGATGAAGACAAGTATGAGTATAGGTATCGCGGTGGAGAATCTTATCGCGATGTCGTGATAAGATTAGAGCCCATCATAATGGAGTTAGAGCGTCAAGAGAACATTTTGATTATCACACATCAAGCTGTGCTCCGTTGCATATACGCCTACTTTATGAACGTCCCACAGGAAGAGTCTCCATGGATGTCAATTCCGCTTCACACGTTGATCAGATTGGAGCCACGGGCATATGGCACAAAAGTAAAGAAAATAAAGGCAGACATTCCTGCTGTAAGCACGTACAAAGAAAGAGGCACAAGTCAAGTAGGGGAAACTTACGATGAAAAGCGAAAGTCTTTGCATATTTTGAATTCTACTTCTGATTAGTTCAGTCCATTCCTAAGCAGCTCGACATTCTTTAAAATAAGTCAAGTTGTTTAATTCGTTTTAATAAATATCAACGGCTTCTTTGGGAAGTGATCATCCCAATGAGTTTGCGCCTTGAAGCGACAAGACGTTACATGTCTCTGTCATCATCCATTAAAGACCGGAGAACTCACCTTCTGATAATGGACCACATGATATTTACGATAATAAATTGAGAGCTCAGCAGTTGATGGAGCAAAGCTAATTTGTGAGCCTTGTCTGCATAAATTAGTATGCGAGAGCTTCATTATTCACGTCTCTTGCTTTTAGGTTGGTCTCTCATATCATTTACTTGATTTTCTCAGACGACCTAACGACTTTTGACCTAACGACTTTTGAAAAACGGAAAATTTAGAAATCACAGTGGAAAAATTTAGTTGTATAGAAGATTCTCTTTTACACAGGGAAGTGAGCTTGCTCTTTACGTTTCGTGTATCTGAGGAAGGATGGTAAGAAGGATCTTTGGAATTGGTAGAAAGAGCGAGTCTCCCGAAGAATCGTCGAAAAAAGATACACCGAGCAGTTCATCACCTTCACAGGGTGAAAAGATTTCAGGGACTTTTAACGAGGCCCCAAACCTTACTAGAGATTATACCGACGATACTATAAGTCACGTATCTTCTTCTTTGCATTCCTCCGTTTTTTCGAGGAGTAGAAGAACGTATGACACTGGTGCTTCCTCTACGCGAACCGGCAGTACTAAAAGGAAAGAAGATGCAAGTGGGACGGATCATGATATTGGTAGGCCCCTGCGCGTATTAGATTTCGAGAAATTAAGTCTCCTCAGCTCGGTGGCCGAAGAGGAAGACAGCGCTAGAGACCACAGTCATCATTATTCAAGTATAGCTGGTGAGACCCAGAAAAACATCTCAGGGAAAAATTCATTGATTCAGGGATCTCATGGCAACAAAAAGGAAGTTGACAGACCTGCAATCTCGGTGGACGTTGTAACTGATGAACTCCGAATACTAGAAGACAATTTGGCCGCTTTGATGGACGATATCCATCAAAATGTTACCAATATATCAAAGGCTGTGATTGAAGCTGTGGAATATTTCAAGAGGTTCTTGCCAGACTATAACTCATCCAAAATTGCGTTCAGAGCTTCAGCCTTGGATAAAAATAAGTCTCTGAGAAAGATTACCAAGGTTGTACTACATTTTTTTGATAATTTACTGCATTCCGAGGTTTTCAGCAATTCAAGAGCTATACTAATGAAGCGATACATTGATTTTTTGAAAAAGCTTAATGTGAGCGGGATTGAGGAGCAATCGGGCCCTCGAACCTTGCCGCATCCCAGGAATTTTTGTATCGACCATGAATGCGACCTTCCACACAAGGATAATATTGCCATGATTATGCAACAAGTAGCGAATGCAGAGTCTTCGATCATTTCAGATCAAGAGGGGGCGTTTATAGCGCCCATTCTCCGTGGTTTGACGAGCAGCTCTGCCGTCCTGACAGTTATGTTCGGGCTTCCTTCATTACAGCAAGAGCACGAAGAGATGGTGAAAGCACTTTATTCGTTGTTTCCGGATGTGCATTTCTTCTGTGTGAAAGATTACATCAAGAACTGTGCGGACGTTATCCCATCAATTAAGCCACGGCCCATGGAAAACAAAGCACTGCCGAAATTCCAGCCCCCCTATAGGTTGCTTACCGATGCTATGAGCCCACCCATCTCCATGTCGCTTTCATCTGATCAAAGCAAAAACATCAGTGGCACTTTAGGAGGTTATTTGTATCCTCAGATCGATAACTCAAAGCCAAGTCTCTCTCAGTTCAGCGGCTCCACTTTCGCAATAACCTGTGCCCACGTTGTTTTGCAGGAGTCCCAGGATTATCCGCATGTATCGGTACCTTCGCATGTTTTGCAGAATCAGTATAAGGGCTCGCTCTATGATGAGTCCCTGCGGTATGGGAAGGACTCAAATGAAAGAACTGCATTTGAGTCAGAAATTTTCAAGATTGAGCAAAACTTGCAATGGCAGAGGGAGAATCCATTTGGGCAGGTCGTTTGGGGAGAAAGGTCTATAGTAGACAAACGACTTTCGGATTTTGCAATCGTAAAAGTCAATCCTGCATTTAATTGTGCCAATTATCTTGGTGACGACGTAGCGGCCATTTCAAGCCCCACGCTGAGATTTCAGAATTCTTATGTGAAAGAAAAAGTGCTGAAACCGAGGGCTGGAACCGAGATCTTCAAGATTGGAGCAACAACGAAGTATACAACGGGTCGATTGAATGGTTCGAAACTAGTTTATTGGGCCGATGGTAAGATACAGAGCAGCGAGTTTGTCATATCTTCTCCTTCGCCTTTATTCGCTGCTGGCGGCGATTCTGGGGCTTGGATTTTGACAAGACTCACGGAAAGGGTGGGATTAGGAGTTCTCGGGATGTTGCATTCCTACGATGGAGAATTGAGGCAGTTTGGGCTTTACACTCCTATCGTAGACATTCTAGAGAGGCTAAATACCGTGACCGGTGTTTTATGGGATATTGAAAAGCCGAACGACGCTTAGAAAGCTAATTTTGAGCGAGAAAATGAATACCGGCTGGTAGACAACACTGATCCCATTCACATGATACACACACATACTTTCATAACAAAGGAAAAGCGTTTACACTATCGGCGGCTAATCGTTATCAGTGACATAGTATAACTGTGGAGATCCATTCCTGATGGATCTTTCCCTTATTTTGACCCTTATTTGATTGCGAGGGAAAGCTTCCATTCATAACGACGCGTATTTAGCATAAATCAAAATTTCCTCAATCAATGTGGCCGTGTAAATGTAGGCACTAATGCATTTGAGCCCCTATATCGTATTATGACTGCGAATCACAACTGTATACTACGACGGCGGAAACTCAATAGATGATCTTACCTGAACTTTTTCGACAAACAAAGTTTGTGGTGGGGTTTAAAGCTGTTCCATGCAGCCTCAATAGCGCTTATGCAGGGAAATGGGTCGTTGCTTGAGTTGCTCGGAGCTACTGACGACTTTTAACCAAGAAGGGCAAAGAAAACTCACTTGACAATCTTCCCAGAGTTTTAGGCGATCCTCACTGGTTTCAAAATGTCACAGATACGAGTTCGACTAGGAAAAGGCTATCGGCCTCACGCACCGCATCACGTTAGGGGTGGAAGGCCCTAAAACTACGATTGAGATATGTTTTACGCTTACATGCCGTTGCACGACCAGCCCTATTTCCGGTCTACACTAATGAGGCACAACTAAAATCACGTAGGATTCTGACCGGGATACCCCACATTTGGGGCATCGATCAGTTTGAGTTCACGAACTTTCACGGATGTGTGGAACTACAGTTTAACTAAAATACAGGGTTGACCTATATAAAATTGAGGGTCCACTGGCGCTGATGCAAACTTGTTTCAAGGCCGCCAGATACCAGGTCTCATGAATTTGGCTACGCCTGTTTCAGGGTCGCGGACCAAACAAGTTCACACACCTCCAAGCATCAATGGCAGTTCACCGTCTTCCAGACCTGTTAAAAAAGTTTCAGACGGTGTTCTTGGAAGAATGACTTCTTCACTCAAAGCATTCAGTCCAGGTAGCGCCTTGCAGTCGCGCAGGTCATCTAGAGACGAGGTTCCGGTGTTGGTCAATCCAAGGACACTGCAAGGGATTGAAGACAGCGAATGCTATCTTTCAAGCAATCGGCTAAATACCGATATGCCGATTACCGGTATGAAGCAGCGCAGGAAGACACCCACCCCTCTCATTCTGCCTCAGTTAAACACACCTCCTTCTACTGTTGTCAAAAGTAGGACGTCTCCTCAACGCCAGGAGATGCTTGACTCCCCGCTTTGCTTGAAATATCCCAAAAAACAGTTCTCAGAACATTATGACCACACGCCCTCCAAATTTACTCCAAGAACGCGGCAACACTCATATCAGCTCAGCAACGCAAAAATTCCGGGCGAAGCCTGGATGCATGCTCCGAGACGTCCAAATGCTGAAGATGAGCCTTCAACAGTTGCACAAAGCCTTGAAAAAAACCTCATAAAGATTTCTGGTCCACGCTATTTTGTTTCAAGTGAGTGCAGTGTCTGCGGTGAGCGCTTAGAAACAGTCCTTTCAGGTGAAAAAATTGTAGAATTGTCTTGCGATCATCAGTGCCACTTGGGTTGCTTTCAAATAGCATATGAGAGTACGATGAGTCGAAATAAGTTTCCAATATGTGAGCTTTGCTCGAAGGAGTCAAGGCCGAAGAGCGAAGATCTGCTTGCAGAGATGACAGCTAAAATTCTAATTCGAGACACAGTATCTTCAAGGTTTTCAGTAGAATCAGAATGGTACATGAAAGATTTTCATTCTCATTCGCAGGAACCTCCACGCGCAGTCGTTGAGTACTCTCCGCTCAGCTACACTTCGGAAAGCCATGAATTGAAGACACCATTCGAACAGCTCATTAAAAATTCAGACTTCTCCTGTCACGGCTTTCACACTCCAGTTCAATCGCAAAATACACTTGCTCGTCCGAAAATAATTACCAGATCAACCACTTCCAGTTGGTTTTCGAGAAGCTCGATAGATGAAAACGCTAGTTATGTCACCGCCGACTCAGATTTTTCTTTTCAGCCTAGCGTTCACATCTTACCTCAGCTCCCAAAGCTTTCAGTGATAGAAGGTGACAAATGCACGACATTGCAATATGTGATAAATGCCTTTGTCCCCAAGTTGCAACCGTTCGATGGTCGTGGTAAGAAAAATGATTCGGAAATGAGGGCAATCAAAACGAAGGTTAACGTAGCTCTCGCAGTTCGGTTCGAAAACACTTCATTTAATTCAAAAGAGGTGCTTTTGTTTGATCGCATGGAATTTTCGCAAGACGGAGATACCTGGGCTGAGGTTGAAGCGTATCTTTTCGAAAACAATTTGGCATTCTTCCAAGGAACATCCATAGTGGCAGATATTCCGCTAGATCAGATTTCCCAGCTGCACCCAATAGATGCTTTCACCGTGGTGCTGAATTTGAAGATGAAATCCCTACATGAAGCATTCATTAATTGGCATGGTGACGCTCGGATAATGAAAAAATGGACTCATTATCTCAAAAATGCTTCCAAGAGGCACATGGCGTCATCTGTCGTTGTCCCTCTTCAAGATTTTACGACTAATGGAGATTCGCTTCTTCCAGATGAAATTTCTAACTGTTTAAGGGCTGGCGTCGGGTATGAAAGTGGCCTTTCGGACGTTTCTGCTTCAACGCTTTCGAGACGTGTCTCCTGTCAATCGAATTACGAGAAAGAAGGGTCGCCTCTCAAAATCGTTCTGTGCTTGAGTTTAATCAATTGCAAACCGCTTGTTCATTCAAATGCCGAGCTCTTGATCTTGATCGTCGATAAACTTCACGAAGTTTTGATATCGCTTTCGGATGCAGATCTGGTAGGTATCATATTAGTTGGACGCGACGGCGCAGGGAAGGTCGGCCCCTTCGGTACTTTCTTGGGAATGGTGTCAAAAAATTGGGATGGATGGAGTGACTTTTTCCAGTCATTAAAGGTTTACGATAATAACAGTATTTTCTTAAGCGATTCAAGCGAACTGATGGTAATGCTGGAAACGAGCAATAAACTCTTGTCAACAAACCCTCCTGACCTGGCTTTTCAAAGACATTTGGTTATTTTGGGGAGTGATCGCGACAAAAGTACACACAGTTCAATGGAGAAGGAGTTTTTCTCCAATAGAATACGAAGCCTGTTAACTAAAACCTTGAGACTACACAAATTCACCTTGTTGCAGTACTGCAGTTGTAACAGTGGAGTTAGGCTGAACGAGTCTGTCGAAGGGTTTTTTTATAATGTTAAGGTTCGGATTGCAACTGCGTTTGCTGACATAGACATGGCAAAGCTTTTCTCAGAGTTACACGATAAATCAGCTCAAGATCTCGTCGTTGACGTCAAAAGTCTGGACGAGAGACTTGTTCAATTCTCTGCCATCGAGCAAAACGGGAAATTGTCAAGAGTTGCACCTTGCTCAGAAGCATCATTTGTAATCGGCCCCTTACGTCCTGGAGAGACAAAAAATATCGTTTTTCAGGTGAACGTGAATTTGAGCAACCTTCGCAAAAGGGCGTCTTGGCAAACAGGTGAACTGCTTGGCTTTTCAGCACAATGGGCGAGCAACTCGTGCCTCCGCCGCTTCCATGGATTTTCTCATGGGTGCGAGATACGCTTCAGCCAGTACAAGACTAAGCTGTCAAATTTGCAGCCGACGCGCTTGCTAATGGTAGACAACTTTAGCAGTCGGGATAGTGAAGTTTTGGATATCTCTTTCGCACCACCTCTCAGTGCAGCTCAGGAAGCACTGTTTGTTTCCAGGCACATTGACCTTACTGTTGTAGAAGCTCTTCGAGCGCTTTATGGCCAAAATTCACAGGATTTGGCTGCGCAATTGCACCAGCTTGTCTCGATCATATTCTGTCTAAGCCGGAACTGTTTATGTGCAATTCCAAGCTTTTATCAGCAAACAAAAGGGTTCGAGGGCATCTGCGATCGTACTGAAAAGTTGTGCTTGAAGCTGGAATCGATTGCAGGAGCTTTAAGCTCATCATATGCCCAAAATCCTGATGATTCGCTTCATAATGACGTCGCCAAACTCCAAATGCTCAAGTTGGCTACAATTCTAGCCTGCCAAGATGAATGGAGTGATACTTAAGGTCCGCATTAATGAGGTACGTTCTGCTATCTGTCTGCCATCGCCAAGTTCCTACGCTACTGCGTTCTACAATCTCAAAATGACAATGCGCTAGCACGGTTTTAATTTATGATTCAGCAACTATGCGACACGGTTGGCCGATCTAGCTCTAATTGGGAGACGAAGCCCGGTTTTTCTCAAACAAACATTGCAAAGTACTCGTTTTACCCTATGGGTCGAATTCCCGCTACCATTACCAGGTGTATTGAAGAATTGCAATTTTTCTCGATCAAGTGAATTTTGGATGCTAAAAGGGCAAAAAACGCGACGTTGGTCACAGAAATTTATAAATTCCAAAAAAAGCCCTCGCTGTTTCGTGGCGACCGGGAGGAAACGTATGGAAACGAAAACTTAAAAAGAAAATTGGATGTCCGTTGCCCAAAGGAGCAACCGGGCTCGGTCAAGGCTCGTGGTTTATTTGTTTTGGTTTAAGGAAAAAAAGTTCCAGAACTGAGGTTCGCGAAAAAATTGGCGAATTCTTGTTCAGCTCCGGATATAAAAGGTTCAACCAGATTCTTTCTCAAGGTTAGCTTTTTCTTATGAGGGTGTCCAGGTAACATCATAATCATTGGTCCCTCCATTCACTCGCTATGCAACTAAAATCCATTTTCGCTTCTGCCGTCATTTCCAGTGCTCTTGTCGCAGCTGACGATTCTTCGTCCTCAACCTGGACTACATTGACGCCAACCGCTACTTACAATGGCGGTGCTGGTTCCTTCAGCACTTCATTCGGTATTGCTGTTCTTCCAATTGCGTCCGCTTCTGCTACGAGCAGCGCTGCCACCGGTAAAGTTAAGAGAGACGCTGTTTCTCAAATCGGCGATGGACAAGTTCAAGCTTCTTCTGTCACATCGACCTCTGCCGCTTCCAGCACCGAGACTGAAGCTGCAGTTTCTCAAATAACAGATGGCCAGCCTCAAGCCACCTCTGCAGCTTCTTCAAGCCCGGTCTTGACGGCCTCTGGAGCTTCACAGGTGTCCGACGGTCAAATTCAAGCTTCTGCCACATCTGAAGACAAGACCACTACGACTCTCTCGTCAGGTTCTGCGTCGGCATCTAGCACTGGCATCACAATCAACGCGGTCTCCTGTAGTTCGGACGGAACTTTGGAAATGAGCCTGGAAAACGGTATCTTGAAGGACAACAAGGGCAGAATCGGTTCCATTGTCGCCAACAGACAATTCCAATTCGACGGTCCCCCACCACAAGCCGGTGCAATCTACGCCGCTGGCTGGTCCATCACTCCAGACGGAAATTTGGCTATCGGTGATAACGATGTCTTCTACAAGTGTTTGTCGGGATCTTTCTACAACTTGTACGATCAGTCCATCGGCGGCCAATGTTCTCCTGTGCATTTGGAGATTGTCAAGCTCATCAGCTGTTAAAGCTCGTGCTTGCCAGTTTTCTATCCTTCATACCCATCCAGTTCTTTCTATTGCAAACAAAATAGGTTTTTTAGAGTTTTAAGCATTTCATTGCCATATGACAAACGTTTCAAATATTTGTTCCTGCTGAGAGCTGTGGTAACTCCCAGAGGAAGTCTAGGACCATGGGTTCCTGTCGTTGGCATTTGAGTACTTGTAAGCGACCTTGAGTTTGTAATTTGAAACGACTTGCGAAAGGAGAAAACCCTAAGTTGGACGGCATACCTTGTAAGCAGATTGGGGTTTGCATTGAGAAGTAGGTAGGAAAACGTGTCAACACATGACATTTAATGTAAAGACTTTATTCACGCGTCAATAGGTAAAGATAAGGAGCTTAATGAAATCAATGATCCAAATGCAAACCTACTCTGCTACTTTTCGAGTTACTTCTATGCGTGATAACAATTCAGTATGAAAACAAGCCCAAACATAGACTACTTTGCGCGAATACATTAAGAAGTTTGCGAGGGCCACAGTAACATAGGCTATTTGGAGCATCTGGACCGTCATTTAAGCACTGACGGGTTTCGTGAGTTTCTCCAAAACTATCGTCCAGGCCAGTATCTTTTAAGATACCAATATGGTAATGCTCATATTCGTTAGAGAAAAACAAGACCGCACGGCGAGCGCCGCAAATGATTCATGAGGACTTAGAGGATCAAGGAGTCTTTCGCAACGAAGAGCGCGAAGCAATGAAATAACATCTCAGAAAGCGGCGTGCCGATGAGATCGAGTTTGAACGTAAAAGAAGGCTCAGAAGCCGGGGTAAAAATGTTTAGTTATAATGTCAGGTATGAATGCGGTGATATGTTTCGATTAAGATTCACCGACGCCACCTTCCGAAAACTAATTGGATTTAGTAAGCCTGATTTCGATAGTGTGGCCAAGACATTGAGGATACCTTCTAATATTGGCTCGTACGCACTTGACGCATTTGAATGTTTTTGCGTTTTCATCGTTAGATTGAAAACCGACTGAACTTACACAGCGCTGACCAGTCTATGTGGGAGAGAACCCTCTGCGACGTCCAAAATTATCACATTCATGACCTGTTACTTGTTTCACATTGTAAATCCAGCTTTGTCAGTCGCAAACGCCCTTTTGCTCGCGAGCCGCTTATCGCTCATTGACCAAAGCCTTCTGAAGTCTAGCAAATCAATACCTAAAAGCAGAGTTGTTGGATATGTCGATGGCACGCAGATAACGATAACGTGGCCACATGGAAGCTCTAAGTTGAAAAACTCAGCGTATACCGGGCATAAAAAAGCCATATTTTGAAATACCAAGCGGTGACTACCCCTGATGGTATTTGCATAGACTTAACGACCCTTTGCTGGCAGCCAGCATGATTCCTTTCTCTTAGCGAACAGCGGTCTGGCCTCTATATTAAAAGCTGCTTTGAACACCAATATTCTGTATTGAACACCAATGGCGTTCAATACAGAATATATGCGGATCCCGCGTACAGTAGTTCTGACTTGCTTACAGTAGGATTTAAGGGACAGAACCTTACAGCCGCGCAAAAGGAATATAACAGAACCCTCTCTAAATCTCGTGTTTCGATTGAGTGGTTTTTCGGGGCAGTAAAGAACAACTTCCAGATTTTCAACAACTATGGAAAGTTGAAGGTAGGAGGAGTGAGGTATTGTGGTGATTATTTTACCATCGCTGTATTTCTGACGAACCTTAAACATTGTCTAGAAGAGTCACCAGCATCCGAGTACTTCGAAATATCTCCACCGAGCTTCGAGGAGCTCACGAGTAGGCTTGAGTTTCCAAAGTACTTTGACAACTTGCTTATCGATGATCAAGGAGTGGGCACTTTCCACACGAGACAATATGAGCAACTTCGATCAACTGGAAAACTTGACCTGAACAGCGTTACAGCAACGATCTTGAAAATGGTCAAAGGAACAAATTGTAGCAAATACTGATGCTGCCACATTTTTAATGATCGTTTCACAGGTAACGGCTGAGAAAATCATTAATCAGCTTCTGTAAACCGTCGGTAAATGGGGAATTATCCTTTTCTAAGCTTTTAGCTGATCCCACGATCCTTATAAGTGTCTCAATCTTATTGGCGTCGAATTCGAATTGTCCGCGCCTGAGTATTTCGCTGTTGAACTTGCTTTTCTCAGCCTTTAAGTCCAATTCTCGGCGTTTTAGCGCTAACTCAACATCCTTCTGCTGCTGAGATCTTTTTTGGTATTTTCTTTCTTCCGAAAGAGTTACCTTCGTCTTTGCTTTTGCCGCTTCATGCTCTTCTCTCATTGATTTTGAAAACTCTGAAAGCGAACGACCATCTGGAGTGGCATCTCCTGAGATCAACAAATTTTCAGGCCTGTTCCTGCATCTGATTGTGATATTTTGGAGCTGGTTCACATCATCTATAGACGACTCTTCTTCAAAATCCGAACAGCATGTTCTCTCAATGATGTTTGGAATACTATTCGAGGACAACATTTGACCTGCAGTCCTTTTATTATTTCGTTGATGGGTAATACGTTTCTGAATCTCTGCCCTGCTAAGTTCCGAATCGTTTTTCAACCTACAGAGCTCTTCCAAGACGTTATCAACTTTGTCAACACCTGTCAGCGAGAAGGGATTTCTCTCATCCCCGGTGGTGACAGCAAATAATTTGGGATGCCCGAGTTCCGTCAGATATCAGCATCTTTGTTTGATTTGACTTTCTGTTGGTATCACATTGTTTTCAAATTCTAGCGACATCAGAAGATCATACAAAATACAACTCCACTTGAGAGAGATGAAACTGCTTCGTTCTAACTTCTTTACCGTCGGTGATTTCAGATGTTCGAAGCCATAAAAAGGACCAACTTCACAGCAATATTTAATTAAATAGTAAGTTGAGTCGTCAGTCCATCTAAACTTATACTCTTTACCATGATCTGCTGATTTGTAGCCTTTTTTTCTTACCAGTCCTTTGATAGCTTCAGCCATTTTTGCTTGTGAAAGGCGAGGATTCTTTATGGTGGCTAAATCCTCACTTATAATTGCAGAATGGAAGTACTCCAGATAGAGCTCAGTTTGTTCCATTGCAGGATGATCCCTTGAGCTGCCAACGTGAGCAGCAGTGGCAGATGCTCTATCCTCATCATGAAGGCCAGCTTCAGTTGTTGAGTTGGCCTGCACCTCTTCACCAGGAAGCAGATCACTTGGTGGAGTGTTAGATCGAATCGAGCCTATTGGATTGTTATCACCCACAAGATCCATAGCTTCCATGACCCTTTAGAACTTGTCTTCCAGTTGTTATGTCCGTCGATCCCATCAATCGTCAAATTTGGTGTTGTTTGTTCATGAATGGTACTTGTTTCCCAAGGCACTAAGCACGAATTATACTCCAGATCAACTTGTGGAAAGTTTCCCCAGGATACTTGATATATTTAACTTGTGTTTTGACTTGTGGCAAAAAAAAGAAATAAACTTACCACAAGTCGTTTCGCATTACAAACCCAAAGTCGTTTACAAGTACTCTATTATAAACCAAGTCGTTTACAAGTACCCTACTTAGCTGTCGTTTGTAACGAGCTTAACATAGGTCCTTTAACCTGCAACTACAATTCAAATAACGAAACTACTAGGAGAACGCATCTTGGCCAGGTTCCTTTAATTGGCTCTGGCTTTTCAATATGATCATCTGTTAGAGAAATTAAAGAGAGGGCTTGGTTTAAATTCACTTTGATTAAAAGTATAGCTCCTCGCATGTATGATAAATCGAAATACTTTATATCCTACGAGGTTAAAGGCTTTCATAGATGGCGATGGACAGCAATATTCGCCCGTTTCTTGTGTTTACCACTTCGCACACATTTTTGAGTATAAGTTGCTCTCAGCTCGCCCTATTACCAACTTGTTGCTCGTATGGCGCAGTGGTAGCGCAGCAGATTGCAAATCTGTTGGTCCCCAGTTCGAACCTGGGTGCGAGCTTTTTTTACTAAACGGGAATTTTTTGATCTGAGAGGATTTGGCACTTTCGCTCCAAGAACGCTAAAACCAACCGATCGTTATTAATAACGCCAGAGACAACTCTCCGATAATCAGGCATGATAGGAATTAGTTTATTTGCGTTTCCACTTACTTGAGCATATATGAACGTAATTAAAAAAATTGAGATGAGGATAATGAAAATAAAAGGGCTCCACCAAAGGAACTGAATATCAGTACCGTTGAGGCTAATGCTGCATGCCAACCAAGACTGTAGCATGAGAACTTAAAAAGGATCTCGTTAAAGCGAGACCACTGGCCAAAGGGCAACTCGATTGGACGAAAATTGAAATGAACAAGTGCAATGCTAGAAATAGAAGTTCAACAGAAAATGCAAAGGGAATGACGGTGTGAACGGGATTAATGCATCAGATCATAGAAAACATTGAGAGAAGCAGAGTGCGCTCCTCTTACCTCGTGAAATTTTTGAATTTATCTTGTGCTTTTGATTTTTGGAAAACCTCTTATTGTTTAACAGTCAACCAAGTCAATGACCTCCAAGTGGACAGGGGTACATTGGCCACCGATGGACTCGTCGTACAAGTTGTAGAAAGAGCCAGACAAACATTGGTAGAAGACATCGTTGTTACCAATAGCCAAGTTGCCATCCTGAGTGATGGACCATCCGGCCGCGTAGATGGCGCCGGCTTGTGGTGGTGGACCGTCGAATTGGAATTGTCTGTTGGCGACAATGGAGCCGATTCTGCCCTTACCGTCGACCAAAACGCTGTCGGACAAAGACATTTCCAAAGTACCGTCGCTCTTGCAAGATTCGGCCTTGACAGGGTCAGTGGAAGAAGAACCAGAGCTCGAGGCGGTAGCAGAGGCTTGAACTTGACCGTCAGAGACTTGGCTGACACCGGATGTGGTAGAGGCTTGGATTTGGCCGTCGGAGATCTGAGAGGCAGCAGCGGCGGAGGATGGCTTCAAAGTGGTGGTGGAGGCTTGGATTTGACCGTCACCGATTTGGGAAACAGCGGCAGCAGAGCTCATGGCAGCGGTAGCGGTGGTGGCTTGGATCTGGCCGTCGCCAATTTGAGAGACAGCGGCAGCTGAGCTCTTTGGAGCCTGGGTGGCGGTGGTGGCTTGGATTTGACCGTCACCGATTTGGGAAACGGCGGCAGCTGAGCTCTTTGGAGCCTGGGTGGCGGTGGTGGCTTGGATTTGACCGTCACCGATTTGAGAAACAGCGGCAGCAGAGCTCTTGGCCTGAGTGGCGGTGGTGGCCTGGATTTGACCGTCGCCGATTTGGGAAACGGCAGCGGCGGAGCTCTTAGGAGCCTGTGTAGCGGTGGTGGCCTGGATTTGGCCGTCGCCGATCTGGGAAACAGCAGCGGCGGAGCTCTTGGCAGAAGTGGCGGTAGTAGCCTGGATCTGGCCGTCGCCGATCTGGGAAACAGCGGCAGCGGAGCTCTTGGCAGAAGGGGTCTGTGTGGCGGTGGTGGCCTGGATCTGGCCGTCACCGATCTGCGAGATCGCGTCACGCTTAGCCTTCGCGGAGGCGGAAGCCGACGCGGAAGCCACCGGGACGACGGCAATGCCGAAAGTCGAAGCGTAGGACGACACCGCGCCGCTGTAGGTGGCGGTAGGAGTCAAGGTGGTCCATGGCTCAGAGGCAGTCACGGCGGCGGAAGCGACAGAGGCAGCGGCGGCGGCTGCGAGGGCTTGTTTGTATTGCATTGTGTGTGAGTCTTTGACGGTAGCGATCGGTAATCTGAGAGAACTAGTGAACTCTGGAGATGGGATACTGCAATGGAGAGAAGGGAAAAAAAAGTTTAATCCACTACCAAACCAATTCGAAGTCCTTTTAGCTCAAATCCCCCGTTTATATACCCTTTTCACTTTTCGCTCCGCACCGCGGCACTTGCGCGCCATGCTCCCGACTGCTGCTATATTAAGCTCAGTGCCGTTTGCGCCTGCTAATTAAGAGACAAGCGTTTAATATCATTGCCCAAAACGGAAAAACTAGTGGGCTGGTAGACGAAAAATCTAATATCTGGTGCATGAACGCCCACACACCCGGGGCTCCCAACTGTCTAATCAGAGACTCGAGGAGTGACAGTCACTGTTGACGGCCCTCTTTCTCGCATCACATCAAGTCACGTGACATCATCATCCTTTTTCCCTTGCCAGCCTCGTGAGTTTTCTCTCCTTATCCCCGCAGCCGTCTTCCGACGTCCCCGCTGTCTCCTATTACGGGACAGATCTATTTTTACCCGATGCGGTAATCTTGCTCGGGGACAGGCGCGCCGAACGGCAGGCGGTGACGTGACCCGCGGCGGAGCTTGCCGAGAGGCGGTGCACGGGCGACGGCGCGCCTCTTCAATTTGCAATTGCCCAGCCACGCGGGCGGGTAACCGGCTGTTTCGGTGCTGGGCGCTGTTTGCTGGGCGCCGATCTTCGCCAAGGACGACCTGTCACTGCGCATATATATGAAAGCACAGCCTTCAAGTTTAGTGTTTCAGGTTGTCACGCTGAGAACAGGCCGAGACGCAGGGCCAAGGGCCCTGCACTCGAGAATGTTAAATTGGCGCGCCATTTGGCTCGCCATTGGCGAGCCAAATGGCGAGCCAGCGGCAGCCGCTTGTCTTGTAAGCTCAATCAAGCTTTTGCAATTACTGAAGTGCAAGCGATCGATTTATAGATATAGTTATATAAAGGGTCCGTAGAGTAGCTGGAAAGACGGAATCTGATTTGCAGACAATCACCAGTGAATCACTGAACTACCCCAACAACTCGATTCACACCTTCTCTAAAATGTACGTGTCTTCTTCTTTTGCTTTAGCCGCGCTCGCCACGGCGGCTTCCGCCGCCGTCACCGCCTCGGAGCCATGGACCACCTTGACTCCTACCGCCACCTACAGCGGCGCGGTGTCGTCCTACGCTTCGACTTTCGGCATTGCCGTCGTCCCGGTGGCTTCCGCGAAGGCCAAGCGTGACGCTGTTTCCCAAATAGGCGATGGCCAGATCCAGGCCACCACGGCAACGCAAGCGCCTTCTCCAAAAAACACCGCAGCCGCTGTGTCTCAGATTGGCGATGGCCAGATCCAGGCTACGACGGCAACTGAACCACCAAAGAACACTGCCGCTGCCGTTTCCCAGATCGGTGATGGCCAAATCCAGGCCACCACCGCTACGCAGGCGCCTAAGAGCTCGGCGGCTGCCGTGTCCCAAATCGGCGACGGCCAGATCCAGGCCACTACCGCCTCTTCCTCAGCCGCCAGCTCCGTGAGCGGCGCCTCGCAGATCTCCGACGGCCAGGTGCAGGCTATGACGTCAGCGGCAACAAACGGAACCGCGTCGGCGTCGGCGTCGGCGGCATCTTCTTCGTCAGGAGTGACCACAACGCTGCAGCCCGCCACCTCCGACTCGAGCGACCCCGCCCAGTCCCAGTCGTGCAAAAACGAAGGTACCCTAGAAATGACGCTCGCCGACAGCGTGCTAAAGGACGGTAAGGGCAGAATCGGCTCCATCGTCGCCAACAGACAGTTCCAATTCGACGGTCCTCCACCTCAGGCGGGCGCCATCTACGCGGCCGGGTGGTCGATCACCCAGGATGGCAACTTGGCCATTGGTGATAACGACGTTTTCTACCAATGTTTGTCTGGCTCTTTCTACAACTTGTACGACGAGCATATCGGCAGCCAGTGCACAGCGGTTCACCTGGAAGTTATCGAGCTGGTCGACTGCTGAAGGGAACGATAAAAATGAAAAAAATGAAAATGAAAAAAATAAAAGTGACAGCGGCGGCCGCTGTCTCGTCTGCATCCTTCTTTCTTCGGTTCACACGCTACAGGCGCGCGTGATGCTAGCCGCGCGCCCTTCACGTTCGTCATAGATCATCTTTCGTAATTTGTATAGTAGAATTCGGTTTTCAATATGTCCTATCCCGCACGCGTAGCATCCGCCGGCTCCGCAGCCCGTACATCGAGATTGTGAACGGCGGGTACAGTACCACAGACGCCACCCCGGCCCGGTACAGCAACGACTTCTTCCCGAAGGATACCCGCGCCATGTTCGCAAGCTGGATCAGGAATCCGAGCCCGATCGTGAAAAACGACAGCTCTCCGTAGCTCAGTCCCGACAGCACGCCGCCGGGTTCTCTCCCGTGCGGCTTCCACATCTGCGACTCCCTGTCGTTCACGATCGTGACCGTGCCGCGCGCCTGAGCTTTTTCCTGTTTCCGTGCGGCCTGGTTGAGCCGGTAGTCCTTGTACAGAAGAAATAATCCGACTCCGAACAGCGCGTTGATCACGACATTGCAAGCCAAATTTGCCCGCGACGCCGTGAACGGTATATACTGAGGTTTAGCCTTCGGCACGGGCGTCTTAATGCGTTCTTTACCGTCGATTTTGGGTGAACTCATCCTTTACTGTTGTCGTCTTTATGCACTCTTATCTTGCGCATCTCATCGCAAATATATTAATGATGCCGTCAAAGGAGTCCGGGGTTGCTAGCTCTTGAGACGTATGATGGTAAAAAGTTTACTGTTAAACAAGAAGTATCCGATATAGTGTAGGGGCTATCACACGACGCTCTCACCGTCGAGACCCGGGTTCGATTCCCGGTATCGGAATAATGTACCTTAAAATAATTTTTTTTCAAAGGCTTTCAGTTAAGCTCTATATAGTGAATATAGGCGCGTAAAAGGAGCAAGATGAGACAGGATGGACACTTCTTCCATTCAAGAAATGTTGGTATCACTTGGACTACTCCTTTGCAGCAGCTGCTACGTATGCCCCTAATCTTCTGAAATTTACGCTTAAACTTATTTTATTAACCAGGTAAGTATATTCAAAGTTAGCCGAAAGACGGATGTGTAACAGAAAATATAAAACAAGAAGCCCACAGGCGAAAGTTTGACAAACTGCAATGGGAATGAAATCAAGGCTCCTGATAGCTGCAGTAATCAAGAAACAAAAATGCTCTAAGCACAGTAAATCGATGCATATTAAATTTTAGCGAAAGGATGCTGCTAAACTGTTAGTTCGGGATCTCGGTCAAATCTCATCTTTTGTCGAACCTGTGTTCACAAGCCGATCGCACATATAATAATTAAGAAATTTTGCAAGGTTTAAGTTGGCACATTTTGCCAATGTAGTAAGATACATAGTTTTTGAATAATTTGACAGGGGCTCTCAACTTGAAAAACCTTGGTGTTCTCCTGAAGAATCATTCTAAGATGTTTAGGGAACACCACTTGTAAACTCACTACCTGGTAAGAAATCGGACTTCGTGGCCAAGCTGGTTAAGGCGTGCGACTGTTAATCGCAAGATCGTGAGTTCAATCCTCACCGAGGTCGATTTTTTTTGTTTTTTAATTACCTTTTCGCAGTATTTACAATATATTTGTGATGATTCCAACAGTTCGATGAGGTAGAGACATTTGTTAAACTGCGGTTCATTTAGTCCGTTTACGGTCAACTACATTTGCGACAGCCCACTTCTAGCGCGGACGCTAGTCTCACACAAGTTTGACGGATTGATATGATGAGTGTGAAGGGCGGTGAACTACAATGGATAGATCAAACAACGTACTATTCAGCGCTAGGCCTTACCTCAGAGGCAAGCGAGGCTCAAGTCAAGAAAGCATATAGGAAACTCGCAATAGTTCTTCATCCAGACAAAAACAAATCGCAAGAAGCGCCTGATCTGTTTAAGATCATTTGCCATGCCCACTCGATTCTCACAGATAAGGACAAACGACGAAAGTACGACAGGAAACTCATCTCGGAGGGACTGTTTAGGTATTACCCCAAGAAAGCGACCTCTCAATTGAAGAGGGAGACCCTTTTTGAGCAGAAGAAAACGTTCAAGATTAGAGAAGAGGTTTTACGGACGTCAAAAAAGACTAAAGATACAACACTGAACACAGCTTTTGAAGCGTTTCCTGGATCCTCGACTCCCATAGGGAAACAAAGGACAAGTCGGCCATATGAGCAACAGCCATATGGATTTGGATTTGAAGATATGGCTAATTGTTCTCCCTCGAGGACCAAAAGTTCTCATGCACCTCAAACCACTCCGTTCAAAGCCAAAAGCTATCAACACAGGCGACCGGCAACCATGGACGAGATTCACTCGAAAAAGTCGTCAACGTACAGTACGAGGTTTGGCCCCAATCCGCCACCAGATGCAGGTGAGGAGCTCCCTGAAATTGCAAGCCCCGAGGCCTCTGACGCAAATGATCCAAAAAAGGCCAAGGTATCGCAGGAGAAGTCTGAGCTTGAGGCTTCGAAGAATGCAGATAACTCCTTCACAAATAGTCAGCAACGACACTTCACTCGCACGCTACATCGCGACAAACATAGCTCTCGAAGATCCAATTCACCTGTAAAATCTACGCCAACAAGCAACACAGACACCTTCCAAGATCTAAAGAACATTATGAACTCTTTTAAGGCCAAAATGGAACCTCTGGAGCTGAATTCAAAACGTGAAGAACAGCTGTTTAATTCATTCTATGCTGAGGGGGACATAGCGCCCAAGCAAAACATCAGCATTTTTCGGGAGCCACCAGCTCAAGTCACTCCAAGAAAGAGAACTCAAGATGAGGGCAAGGTATCTGACCCAAATTCACCAGACAAAAAAGATTTTCGCCTCGACGAACTAAACAACTCGCTTCCGACAAGCGATGAATTATTTGACATGCGCGAGGTGAGTAACACTCTAGAGGGCGTGAAAGTTAAAAAACCAAAAATTTCGAGGAAAAGTTTCCCCGATAATCCGTTCTTCACCTCATCAACACAATCGGCAGCATTTCCGCCTACGGATCAAAACCTTTCCAAGCCCGTCAACGGTATTCTCCCCCGCATTTACAAGCTCGAGCCAATTTCGGCAGCCGAATTAGGCATCAGTCTCGCTACTGAGAGTCTGCGCCTACCAGACATACCTGTGTTCCGGTACAATATTCTGGATAAGAACGAATTGGCTAAGACGGCCGAAGCTGTGAAGGGGTTTAACCAAGAAGCGTCTAATTTGAAGAAGAGACTGACCGAAATTCTGGATAGACGTGCTGTCGTTGACACTGCTCTCAATGATCGTCTCCATAGGGCAGAAAACATTCGACTATTCATCGAAGCCAAAAAATTCGATTTACAAGTATCTCATATTTTGAACGAGCTTCAGAACAGACAACTCATCGTCTCAGAGACATTTTCCAGTCTACTAAATCCTTCGACCACCTCGAGCCGTCAGATATGACCTTTTTGTTGATGTGTTCTCGAATTTTGGGACACGTAAGGTTTTCAAATTCGAACTACCGCGAAGGTAACCACTAATACCGTTCGGGCCAGTGCGAAACATGTGGAACAAACAGAGGTTCACATTCATCGTTCTCGGTGTGCTTTTCCACATTTTCTATCTATGGTCGATTTTCGATATATACTTCGTTTCGCCGCTCATCCATGGGATGAAGCATCATCGAAGTGTTAGTGGTGAGCCGCCCGCTCAAAGACTCTTCTTAATTGTTGGTGATGGACTACGGGCTGATACCGCATTTGACAATATCTCACACCCTACTACTGGTGAGACAGCGTTTTTAGCACCATTTTTGAGATCCCTTGTTCAAAACAATGGCACGTACGGTATATCCCATACCCGTATGCCAACGGAGTCCAGACCTGGTCATGTTGCTATGATTGCAGGATTCTATGAGGATGTAAGTGCGGTCACCAAAGGTTGGAAAGAGAATCCGGTTGATTTTGACAGTGTGTTCAATCAATCGACTCATACCTACTCGTTTGGCTCACCTGATATTCTTCCAATGTTTAAGGAAGGTGCGTCAGACAAGAACAAAATAGATACCTGGATGTATGGCAGCGAATACGAGGATTTCACCCAGTCCTCAATTGAGTTAGACGCTTTCGTGTTCGACCACCTGGACGAGCTTTTCTTGAATGCAACGAAAGATGCAACCTTGAAATCGGAACTGATGCGCCAAGGCAACGTTTTCTTTTTGCACTTATTGGGTTGTGATACAGCCGGTCACGCGTATCGCCCATACTCTGCAGAGTACTACGACAACGTGAAATACATCGACGGCAAGATTTCTACCCTAGTTGACCAAGTTAGGGACTTTTTTGGTGATGACGAAACCGCTTTTGTCTTCACTGCGGATCACGGGATGCATGCATCTGGTTTACACGGGGACGGTCATCCTGACAACACAAGAACACCATTGATTGCTTGGGGCGCTGGCGTCAATAAGCCTTTAAAAAATAGGACTCCGATTTTTGACAGCTACACGAAGGGGTGGGATCTTGCCGATATACGTCGAAATGACGTCAAGCAAGCTGACATTGCATCCTTGATGTCGTACCTTGTTGGTATCAACTATCCGGCGAATTCAGTTGGCGAATTGCCATTAGCCTTTATAGACGGCTCAGAAACTGACAAGCTCAAGGCACTCTACAACAACGCTCTTTCTTTACTTGAACAATACCTGGTTAAAGAAATGGAGATGAAGGAATCCCAATTTCATTATAAACAGTATCATAAATTTGAGAAAATGCCACATAGCAAATATTTGACTCAAATTGAAGAGCTTATTACAAAAATTGACATGGGCGAAACTTACCTCGAAAGAGAGGCCATCACTTTAACTGAAGAGCTCATGAAAACCATTCTCGAGGGATTAAATTATTTGACTACCTACAATTGGCGCTTTATCAGAGCCATTGTTAGTCTCGGGTTTGTGGGTTGGACTTTGTATTCCTTTATTCTTTTCTTGAGACTTTTCATTTTGACGACTGACTACGAAACGAAGGCATCACCGCTCAATGTTTCAGCATTCACGATTATTTCAATGGTACTAAACTACATTCTTTACTACCAACGGTCTCCTTTCAACTTTTACATGTACCTTCTCTTCCCGCTGATTTTTTGGTGTCAAATTTTTGCCAGTGGGAGAGTTTTAGTTGACGGGCTAAAAGAGGTATTTAAAGGCCTTGGATTTGCAAAACAAGCTGGATTTTTCTTCCTACTGGTTGCGGTATATGAAGGAATTGTGTATGGATTTTTCCACCGCTGGATATTTACTGTGATGTTTAACGCGTTGGCATTTTACCCATATCTTTGTGGCGTCAAAAGCTTTCGGAGGAATGCCATTTGGTTCATGACGAGTGCCGCGATTTCCGCTTTTACTCTATTTGATGCTGTCAAAATTGAAAATTTGACTCAAATCAACATATCGAGTTTCCTCATTATTGCTGGCGGTGCATACGCCTTGAAGCATGTTCGCAATAGGGTCAACACTTTTACTTTGAGAGTGCTTATCTGCCAGATCATTTTAGTCATTCTTATGGTGCTTACAACAAACAAATCCGTCATCTCTTTACAGCAAAGAGCTGGCCTGCCGAAAGACGCACAAATTGCTGGATGGGTTCTAATCGTACTCTCCCTCATCGTTGCACCCACATGCCACTACCATAAACCTAACGATGATTACCTCGTGAGAATGCTAAGCATATTTTTGACGCTTGCGCCAACTTTCGTTATTCTGACGATCTCCTTCGAATCCTTTTTCTACTTCCTCTTCTCGATTTACATTCTGCAATGGATTGAGATCGAGTCGAGCTTGAAACTATTAGCGGATAAAAGTGGCTCTCAGAGAAACTGGCTACAGGTGCTACGCATTTCGCTGATTGGAATATTTCTCTTACAGATTGCTTTCTTTGGAACGGGAAATGTGGCTTCTATCTCCTCTTTCTCGCTGGAGTCAGTTTTTAGGCTGCTGCCAATTTTCAGTCCCTTTGCCATGGGCTTCTTACTGACAATAAAGCTTATCGTCCCGTACATCACACTTTCCACCGGGCTTGGCATTATTACTCGCAAGTTGAATATTAAGGACTATACCATTTCCTCGTTGATCATCTCTACCAGCGACATATTGTCGCTCAACTTCTTCTATTTGTTGAGAACCGACGGAAGCTGGCTTGACATTGGGATTACCATCACCAATTACTGTCTCGCGATACTGTCATCGCTGTTTATGCTCATTTTAGAGCTTATCAGCCACATACTCCTCAGAGGCGTGGCAGTGAATCCGGTCGTCAGCACCGAGAAAAAAGGTAAATAAAGTGACACTACAAATTGCGGAAAACCTTTTCGCCGCAGCGTTTTGTTAGTGCGTGATGTGCGACCACACTTACGACCTAACTTCCATCTAAATATTTACTAGGAGGTATTCTACGACTAACGCACGGATAAGCTCTGCTTCTAACCTCTGTCTATTCGATAGCATTGTTCCTTTCCATTTGTTTTCCTTTCGTAGGCTTGAGACTTGACATACCACGTGAACGTTTCAACCTCAAGCCACGAACAAATAGTGAGCGTGACAGTTTCTTGTGATGTGAGTCGGCTCTCGGCAAAACCATGCCTAATTAACTGGATCCTTGCTTACCATTATCAAGCTTTTAAGGGACAACTTTGTAGAAGAATATCTAATTAGTTAAATATCTAAATAATAAGTAAAGTTCCAGTCTCTCCCGACGGGCTTACATCAATTATTGATTTGCCAGCAGAATAAGTAGAAACAGCGGCAAGATGAGAGAGATCAAATTACCTACCGGGCCACAGACGGAGATAAGGTGTTCAGTAAAATACAGGAGCCCTCCTGAGAAAGGGCTGCAATATGCAACTTCTAGTTGCAGCAACCTTTATTCTTTACTTTCTTTCTAGCGTGAAAGTAGGGTAGTTTCCATTTATCAGCCTGACAGAAAGTGAAGCAAGAGAAGCAAGTGAAGCAGACAAAGCAAGTGGTAAAATAGTCCAGAAGTTGACGGATTGTGAGAGGGGGAACGATTTTGATCAGTCTGAGGGGAATATGGCACCAAGTTCGAGTTCTAATCGCATGGATGAGCGCACGCCTCTGAAACAGGAATCACCCAGCAAAAGAGACGAAGAGGCATTGATTTTAACCGAATCTACCACGGAAGGACTTGAATACGCTGTTGAACAAACCGGCATTAGTATTGTTCGGAATGTCATAGAAGAAGAGGACGAGGGGCAGGATAGCAGAGAAGTAGATCAGCAATCGAGATGGTTACAGGAATCTAGAGAAAAACATGCTAGCTTGCATTGGTTAAGGAGACCCGGTCTTGCCGTCGTATGTGGCATGCTTACAATTATCTCATGTGCAGAAACGATGATTATGTCGCCGATAATCGTGCTTTCCTTGCGGAAAGTGTGCGAAAACGCGGCCCCAATAACGGATATCGATGGCTCGAAGCACTGCGATTCGGGGCAGGCTCAGAAAATTTTCTCTGAGATTACAGCATTGGTTTTGGTAATCTCTGGCGTCTGTGGAACTCTCGTTTCCGGGAAACTGGGCGAACTTTCGGACAGGTTCGGAAGACTTTTCGTCTTCCGTTATCTTACCGTGGTAAGGCTACTGGCGACGTTGTTCACCCTATACACGGTGCTTCCCAGCACTCCGTATTCGAGAACTGCTATGACAATGGCCAACTGTACGGGCGCCTTGGGGGGCAATCTACTAGCGCTGGTCGCAAACGGGAATAGTTATATCTCGGATGTCACAGAGCCCGGTGAAAGGACTGCTGCTATCAGCATTCTTATGAGCTGTCTATATGCTTCATTTGGCCTCGGCCCAATTTTGGGTTCGCTTGCAACAAAAGTATTCAAGACACCATTTACGCCCTTCTATACCGCTGCCGTTCTTATGATAAGTTGCCTTGTAGTCAACATCACGATGATGACGGAGCCTAGACATGTGAACGCTTTGGAAAAATCGCAGCACGATTTCAGAAAGAGAAAGCAGAGTTTCGAAAGTATGAGATCAAGTCACAGTACCTCGTCTGCCAGAAATGAGGGCCGGTATCGGTTGATGCAGTTTTTGGACCTCCTTTCGCCTCTCAAAAAAGTTTGGCTACCTCCTTCCGCCAAGGGATCATTAATTCCTAGATTCACGGTTATAACTCTCTTAGTGATGGACATTTTCTTTGTCGTCGCCTCCTCGGGCATGATGAACCCCTTGATTTTGCTAGCGACCTATTTGTACAATTGGGATTCGGTAAAGCTTGGAAATTTCATTTCCTTCGTCGGATTCGGTAAAGCCGCCATTCTGCTTATACCGGGACCACTTGTCCTGCACTGGTTGAAAAAGAGGCACACAGTACTGGACAAATCAGTTGATTTTATAGACCTCACAGTACTCAGAATATCTTCCTTTTTCGTGGTTCTCTCTGTGTTCTCTGTGTTCATGGGGTCTCAAGAATTCGCCATTTACCTGTTTGCATTTTGCCAAAATCTAAGCGCACTTTTATCGCCCACGATCCAGGCCGCGATCATTAAGTACTGTTCGCCGTCGTCCTTGGGACAAGTTTTTGGTGCCATAGCGCTAATCCGCAATTTATCGAGCCTCATTTTCCCTCCGCTCCTGTTGTCAATCTATTCAAGAACAGTCACTACCAATCCGAAGCTGTTTCTTCTTGTACCCTTGGTGATGTCTGCAGCGTGTTTCGGCCTCTGCTTCTGCCTCAGAGTAGTGCACGATACTGCACTTCTTCGTCGTCCCTCTGAGGTGTCCGCGACGCCGGCCACCCTCGACATCTCTTCAGACAGAAGGCCGTCTACGGCCAAAAGTCTGAGACAGCCCAGGCCCTCCGCAACCGCATGAGAAGGGCCCATTGCTGAGTCCAATCACCAATTTCATTATTCTATAGTTAGTTGTAAATATGTCCTTTATGAGTACGGCGATATCCAAAGCTTTTCTTAGGTAAGCATTAATGTTTCCTATAATCGAAAATGTAGAACCAACCACGTGATACTTCATTGTACTCTTTCACGAAATACCCATTTGAGACTCACTTCAAGGAAAACAAGTGGGGAAAAAGAAAGGATTTTCAGTCTGAAAAAAACATATGCCACTGTAAGCAATAACGAAAATCGGCACTAGGCTTGCACTGAGAAAAATTTAGATATTAATTCCACTCATACGGAACCTTGTGTCTGGCAAGGTAAAGTAAGTGGAAGTTCACTTTCGTTCCTTTCATTTCCTCAATTTAGGAGGCAATTCGTGATATTGTTTTCATATTCAAATATCAAAACTGATAATTTTGCAGTTTGGGTGACTAGTGAGCGACTTTGGTGGGTACCAAGAGTCGTTGAATAGGGTGACAATCGGAAGAGATTAGTCGACACCGAGGAAAATATAAAAACTGACGAAACCTTTACGGGGGAAGGTTTGACGGTTTTACTGGATGTACGTAGATCCGACGCGAAACAATAGGGTGACGAAGTTAGATTTCGGCAACGCAAGAAGTGAGATGAACACGAATGAAGGCTCGGATCACAGCCGAGACGTGGGCCTCGCAAACAGCAACGGCAACAGTCACAGCAACGGGACGGGCCAGACTGAGATGCAAGAACTGCCCAGAATGACGCCATCACAGCTGCATGGCTCGCTGGGACAACATGGGGCCCTCCAACATTCGAATCTCCAGGGTCGTACAACGTCAGGGAAATATTCACTGGGAGACTTTCACATCTTAAGGACGCTCGGAACGGGGTCGTTTGGACGCGTGCATCTTGTGAGGTCGAACCACAACGGGCGCTTCTACGCGATGAAAGTGTTAAAAAAACGCATAATCGTTAAGCTGAAGCAGGTCGAGCACACAAACGACGAACGACGCATGTTGTCGCTGGTTGCGCATCCATTCATCATAAGAATGTGGGGCACTTTTCAGGACGCAGAGCAAATATTCATGATCATGGATTACATCGAGGGTGGTGAGTTGTTCTCGCTTCTGCGGAAATCGCAACGGTTTCCCAACCCCGTTGCTAAGTTCTACGCCGCGGAGGTGTGTCTAGCTTTGGAGTATCTGCATTCGAAAGACATAATATATCGGGACTTGAAACCAGAGAACGTGTTACTTGACAAAAATGGGCACATAAAACTGACTGATTTCGGGTTCGCCAAATACGTCCCAGACGTTACTTACACGCTCTGTGGGACACCTGACTACATCGCGCCTGAAGTCGTCAGCACAAAGCCTTATAACAAATCCGTGGACTGGTGGAGTTTTGGCATCTTGATCTACGAAATGCTGGCAGGATACACACCATTTTACGACTCAAATACGATTAAGACCTACGAAAACATTTTGAATGCCGAATTACAGTTCCCCTCTTTCTTTCATGAGGACGTGAAGGACTTATTGGGTAAACTCATACAGAGAGATCTCAGTAAACGCCTGGGAAATTTACAAAACGACAGCGAGGATGTTAAAAATCATCCTTGGTTCAGCGAAGTCGTGTGGGAAAAACTACTGTGCCGAAACATAGAGACGCCGTATGAGCCTCCTATCCAACCGGGCCAGGGCGACACTTCACAATTCGACAGATACCCTGAAGAGGACGTTAGTTACGGTGGGGAGGGTCGCGATCAATATCACGACCTGTTCAAGGAGTTTTAGGCGTCCTGGAAGATCGAAGAATGCAGGGGGCTATTTGCAATCGGTCAACCTATGGCAACTCAGCAATCGAGTCGAAAAAGCGACTCTCATTGTGTGTTGCACGCATTTTCAAAGCTGGCTTCGAAAGGAAGCTTCCGGTCCTCGACTTCTGCGCTCCACGTCCACTTTTCACATATCTTTGGTTGAAACACTAGTTAGTGTACCAAAATAATTGTTGGCCACGGTCACGTTTGATTTAATATGGTTAAGCTCGATTGAACTTTCGTGCCGCCTTTTTCTTGAGAGGTTTCCAATATCAGCTTTGTCGAAATGGTTTCGCATGTTTTCCTTGGCAATGTGACCGCCAAGTTAATATAAATTTCTGCAAGCATTCGAATCCTTTTAGCATAAAATAATAGAAACTACATCATTTTACTTTTTCCCGGAGGGCACGCTGGAAGTTCAAAAACTAGGCTAAAAAAGTCTTCAAAATAGAAGCGTGCGCTTTGGGGGCTTAGTGACATTTAACATATAGAGACTTCTCGCATATCTAATTTATTTGTCAGGCTAAATTAAAGCCTCTTGTGGACAGGGCTCCCTGTTTAAGCCAGTCAAATGCTCCAAAAGGCTGGCAATTTTTCAAAAAAAAAAACACTCACGGTGGGGGTCGAACCCACAATCTTCTGATTAGAAGTCAGACGCGTTGCCATTACGCCACGCGAGCAAAACTTGAAAATATTAGAAGGCAAAGCCGTTCAAGTCTTGACGTAGGGACCTCGAGATATCAAATTTTCCAATATATAATCGATATTAAGCATCCAAGGATGACACTAACAGTATCATAAGTTCAGAGATCAAGGAAGTCCAATCAGCCTTACCGGTATGTCGCGCGTTGTTAGGCAACTGAAGTTCTTGAATAAGATATCTTCTACCACTATCAAGCCCCAGATCTTGCTAAACCCTGAAAGTTACGGCGCCTTGAACCTTACATTTCAATGGCAGAACCACAACGGCCATATGGGCGCGAGGAAGTTTTGGCATGAGTATCTACCAACTCTGCAATTTTACAATCCTGAACTCAAAATAAATATTTCAAGAGTGAAGAATGACAAGAAGGACGTTATGGTGCCGTGCAAGCTCGAAATTTTGTCTCCGACTGGCAGTGTTGTCGAGACCCTTGACATGCGCGATAAAGACAAAGAAAGCATAATGGATGAGCTTCTGGCCAAGGTGAACCACGAAAGAGTCTCCTCAAAAGAAATAGTCAAAGTTTGAGGCTCTAGTTAGTGAGCTAGTCATATTTATCATGTATATACGGTCCGTTGCACGGATATTTCAACGCGAACGAACGATTTACGTCAGGAATTAAACACGGCATAAAATTCAGCGATCGTCTTACAATTACAACCCCTGGGGAACTTGGCTTCGAATTTCTATCTGCGGAAGTGATGTAAGGGCTATTCTCAGTAACGTTTGTAGTGATGTGTCCTTGACGCTTACGATTGCATTGTCTCTGTAGTCCGAGAAGAGACAATTCTACAGAAAGAAGACTGAAGATCACGCTACCTCACAAGCTTCGAAATGAATGATGTGGTCAAAAGTGGCAGCGGGACTAGACACTGGTTGATCTTCAAGGAATTCGTTCGTATTCACAGGAAAGAGCTCGTCAAAACCTATTTGTTCGTTCCTATTGGCGTTTTACTGACGCTCTGTATCCTCTATGGAGTCGACAGACTAATCAAAAATGTCATTAAAATTGTATTTCCAGCAAGTGTTGCAGTCATGTTGGTTAACCTTATGATTATGTGTCTACTGTCGTGGTGGCGCAGAAGCTATGCGGAATGGTATGTCAAAATTATCGATGTTCCCCTTAGTTGGAGTCTGCGGTGGATGAATCTCTTCTTCACGCCAGCATTCGTAACTCTGATTCTCAGTCAATGGATTTCATTGCGCGAGGCCATGCTGATTGTTGCTGTGTTCGTGCTGGGATATCTTGCGACTTTCATTTTTCTAGGTTACTTCACGGTTCTATGCCAAAAAGTGTTTGGTGGGCGAAAATTCCTGAGCATTTTCGTGCGTCAGGAAGAGCTAGAAAATGGAATGGAGATGGGATCTAGTTTTGCACCCAAGCGCAGAACATCCTGCATATATCAAAGGCGAGGTTCAGCGGATTCAAACATTTCGACCGAGTCCTCGGAAACAGATTCTGATAGACAATCAAGTGTTAGATCTCGAGCGGACCAGGGTTTCACGGCTCTTTCAGATATTGCAAGCAACGAAGGTATAGTCCAATGTCACGAACAAGCGAAAATGAAAGAAGAGGCAGATGCTATGGAGGGCTTGCCCGAACAACACATAGGTTCAGACTTCGAGATGATCGAATCTCCGCTCTTGCGCCCCAGCAAACTGCGTGTTCCACAGCGCTCGTTGTTCGGCGGCAAACCATCAACTACCGTTACAAGCGACGAGCAAGCCAGCCCCGTCATATGCCAACGCGCGATTACAAGACAGGTCTCAAGCCACATCGATCACCTATTTAGTATAAACATGTGGTACAATCATTTGCATCATGTCTTGTATGGATTAGGGTTCGTGGCGTCCATTTTCAGCTACTATTTTTCTTGGTACGTCATGCCGTTTCAGCTTTTCACTGCAATTATAACATTCATGTTCATTGTGAGTGCGCCGTTGGTACCAAATCCCAAATACAAAAAGTTTCTTCATCCCGTCATATGCTCGGTTGCGTTAACTTGGCTGGTTTTACTGATATCTGTCATGATAAAACACCAGAAAATATCGTATTTTCCATCCGAACTTAGGGACTACAAGACCGGGAGAACCTATCTAAAATTGTTTGACAGTAGTTCTTATGGAGGCCACGAGTGGCCTGGTGCCGGTGATGTGTTTACGAGTTGCATGGACGTTGCCATTGTCGGCCTCTCCATGCCGATGTACACTTACAGACACGACCTACGAAAACATTGCCTCAGCATGCTGCCACCAATATTTCTGCTATGCGCTGCGTCTCTTATACTGTATCCCCTCATTTGTTACCACATCGGCATCTCCAAGGAAATGGCCATAGGATTCACCGGTCGAAGCATCACTCTGGCGCTGGGAACGCCCACCATAGAAAACCTGAATGGCTCCGTGACCATCATGGCCGTCACTACAGTCGTGAGTGGCATTGTCGGCGTTCTTACAGGAGGTTCGTTACTTGACTTGATGAGAATTCCAGAAAGTGATTACGTTACGAGAGGCCTCACGCTAGGCTGCAACTGCGGTGCCATAGCTACAGCCTATCTTTTGGGAGTCGATCGCAGAGCTGCGGCAATTAGCACTTTGTCCTTTGTTCTATTCGGAGCTTTTATGGTTATTCTCTCTGCAGTCGACAAGATCAAGATATTTGTGCAAAGTTTGGTACAACTATAGCCTCATGTGCCATTTAATCTACATATTCTTTAACTCTCATTTCTGTTTTCTAATGTCTTACAGTTCGGAATTGGCATCTGTCAACTCGGATAGAATGTAATAGTCCGCTCAGGGTGAGGGAACAACTTCTTCAAGAGTGGAAGATCCAGCAACGTAGATTATTAAACCATTACAAACAAAACTCAAGCGAGCAAAATTAATCAATTGTATAACTCTCTTTGGATTTAGTTAGGGTTTTGTTGGAGTTTATTTCCGATAACAGTGACGAAGATCGCCCTTATATTAACGGGGTATATGAATGTCAGAGCCGTACAATATGATAGGGTCATTAGCATGAGAGCTAATAAAAGCTTGATTCAACCTACCTAAAATATTGGAAAGCAGCAGATAGCAGGACAGCATTCCTGATCATCACACTAATCATTACCTTGAATCTAGCTTCCCAATAGCTGGGGAATGCCGCAAATCATTTCCGAAGAGGAAAAACCTGAGGTAGATAATGAGTTAAAGCGCTCAAGATCGTTCTCTCAGTCGATTAAAGGTCTGTTTAAGCCAGGGTCGCCAACCAGGAAGACAGGTGGTCCAACCGATGCAACGAATGGAGCAGGGAAGAACAGCGATAGGTTGAAAAAGCTTGCTGTGAGCAAAGAACAGGAACTTGGTGGAAAACGGCATGAAGCTGCGCAGAACAGAGCCGGCGATGGAAACAGACCTAAAATGAATGCTCTTAAAACACACACTGGTGCTTTCACTAGCATTAAAAATCATACGGGAATACCGGAATTTGCAGGCTTGTCGCTTTCGTCGCACGGGCAGGCTCGTAACCCAAAGGAAAACAGCAATGGGACATCTCAAGAATCTTTAGTGAGTGGCGAAGAGGCTGCTAAAAAGAGAAACAGAAAGGCGATCCCCATTGATGCTGGTAATGATGACGATAGCGATGGAGATGAAAGTAGCAGCCGCCGCGAGAATACCATAGATGAGGAGTTGTGCAAAGATCCCCGTGAGGTTCGGCGATCGCAAAGTTTGCAACGCAAGGGCTCGTTTTCTCGGCAAGACTATCGATCACGCTCCATGTCTCTGAATTCGAGATATAGGAGTCGCTCTCCAACGTTCAGTGCCTCCAACTTAACCCAACATTCTGAGAGACACTCGAAACTTGTTGTCAATACGGAAACTTTTCAACTATATGAAGACGGCCATCACGAACATACTTTGAAAGTGACGCCGCTTGTACACGATAGCCAAGAAGATGGGCACAAGGGCAAACCGGGGTTCTCTTTATCTGGTTTTTTCAAGAGTCACAAGGACGGAGAGAACTTGGAAAGTGCTCTGTCTTTGCTACCTCGCAGCAGATACGAGTTTCACAAACGATTAAGTCGCATATGGGATGAAGAGTTAGGCGATGAGAATGATGACAAGGATGATGCCCAAGCTGGTAAAGATATTCCGACGCCCGTTAATCCAGAGGCCGCAATTGGTGTTGAGGAGCTGAAATTAATAAACAAGCTGTCGAAGAGAATTCATGACACGTCTGCTAAGAGTGCTACGCCTGTGACCTCAGGTAATGCAGAAGTCATGGCAAAAAAAACCTATACGCTATGTGAGAAGTATGGTAAATCCATTGGTGTTATAGGCCACGGTGCATACGGTACCGTGAAAGTCGTTTGTAAAATGATAGCCCCTTCGGAAGAGGAGAGGGACATTACTGAGACTTATAAAGTTGGCAATAAATTATATTACGCAGTGAAGGAGTTAAAGCCCAAGGGGGATGAACCCAAAGAAAAGTTTGGAACGAGATTGACCTCTGAATTCATAATAGGCCACTCCCTGAGTCGAGGACAAAATAGCAAGGAGGGCCCCTCTCCTAATATTCTCAGGATGCTTGACCTCATGCAAACCAATGATGGATTTGTTGAGGTTCTCGAGTTTTGCCCTTCGGGAGACCTTTACAGTTTACTTTCACGCGCTTCACGTTCAGGGTCAGGACTCCATCCCCTAGAAACGGACTGCTTCATGAAGCAATTGCTTAACGGAGTCCAATATATGCACGATCATGGTATTGCACATTGCGACTTAAAACCAGAAAATCTCTTGTTTCAACCGGGCGGAATTCTTAAAATCGCCGATTTCGGAACGAGCTGTGTTTTCCAAACAGCTTGGGAAAAACAGGTTCACTTTCAGACAGGTGCCGTGGGTTCCGAGCCTTATGTGGCGCCTGAAGAATTCATCGAAAATCGCGAGTACGATCCCAGGCTGGTTGACTGTTGGAGCTGTGGTGTCATTTATTGTACGATGGTATTGGGCCACTATTTATGGAAGGTTCCACTGCTTGACAAAGATTCTGTATACGCCTCATTCGTGGAGCAGATAAGAACCAAAAAAGAGTACGCGGTTTTTGAAGAGATGAGGCACGTCTCTACTGATATTAATCGCTACAGAAAATCCTGTCTGTACAACATATTCCAGTGGCATCCCGATAGACGCATCAGCATTGACAAATTGCTTCAAAGCCCGTGGATGAAAAGGACAAGATGTTGCGTTTTTTACAAAGACCATTCAAGGTGAAATCTCTCAACGATTCTGAACGTACTTTCAAACAGTTGAAGATGCAGATTTTGAAAATAATTTGATATATACTCGTGAGATTTCAAATTTGTATGTACATGAAATTTGCCCTTAAAACAGTTTAGACAATCCTACTTGCCAAAGAGGAGATTTTGTTGTATCCCTTTCCCCTCAGCTCGCTGCTCACACACCCGTCGTTGGCCATTATTCTCGTACCTAATGGCTCCCCATTGTTCTTATTGACTAACACACAGGCATTGTCTCCAAAACTTACGCAAAACCCGTCATTCCGCATTTGATTTTTTTGCTTGGTGCGAACGACAACGGCATGTACGATGTCACCCTTTTTCACTCTATTGTTGTTCGAAGTCCCCGTGATATTTTGCGTGAGAGGTCTGGCTTTCTGAACCACGCAAACGATTCGATCTCCTACTCGTCCGGGAGATTTGGGTGAGCCTTTTCTTAATACTTTAATGCATTCAGCTAACTGAGCACCAGAATTATCGACGACTTTCAAAATAGACTTGAGATATATCATGCTACTTTTCGTTTTACCGGTTTTTTCGATTTCCAGTTTTCTGATATCGAACCTGCCTAATTTTTCATTTTCATTCACGAATCTAGTGAAAGTCGTATAGAATAACGTCTCGAGAATTCGCTTCATCTGCCAGCGAACTGATGCTTCTACGAAGAATGAACAGACATAGGATTATTAAGTGTCGTTTAGTTATTAGTTGGCTATTAGCTGCAAACATGAGGCCACGAACCTTCTCGTGCCAATTTAAGATCAGAGAAGTAACTCCTAGATGCCTGGCGATGACAAAGACAAATACCTTCGAAGAAATTCTTCTACGGTGTCCAGAGAGTGACGCTGTTTGAAATCTTTTTGCAAACAGCCCACAACCGTATCCATAAGTAGTTGTGATTTTTTAACTTGCCCCGTTTGACCATCTTCAATGTCATCAAAGCACGCACTGCGTAAAAGCTCTTCATCATATTTGGCAGACGTGATCATTGCACGAAGCCTGGGCTCGTAATCGTGCTTAAAGGGCAGCTTACCAGTAAGCATTGTATAAAGTGTCACTCCCAAAGCCCATGTGTCAGCAGAAGGTGTAAGGTATGGTCTTCCTGGCTCCAAAAGTTCAGGAGCAGCGTATGGAAGCGACCCGATGTGCGTATGTGGATCCGCCTGTATTCTGCGACATCCGACTTCGATTCTTCTTTTCTGCGTATCCTGACTACCATCTGCGGATATTGCATGGATAGTTTCTGCCTGTGAGGAAAAGCTCAACTCATTTGATGAAAGGCAATTTCTCAACATAAAAGCACTAGTCATTCCTGGGCCGTATGGTTTGGGAAATGAGCTCACACCTAAAGGCGCGGTACCATCTCTGTTAGTTCTTTCGTGTAACTCCATCTCATTAAAAGATAAAGAGCCCAATCCGGTATGCGAGACGGCTTTTGGAATCTTGTACTTTTTCCTTTTCTTTTTGTCTATTCGGTGAATGTCTCTCTTGGTCAAAGAATCAGTTGTCCTATCCAATATCTTCGGTGCTGGGACATGAAAATGCCGACTCATCCCAAAATCACACAGTAACAGATGCCAGCCTCTTTTGCCCGTGTCTCGCCTTTTTTCCAGTAAGCAATTTTCTAACTTTACGTCGCCATGCACAATGCTTTTTGAATGCATGTACTTAAGAGCACATACAGCTTGCAAGCATAGAGCCGCACTTATGTCACGTCTTTCTTTGAGATTGATTTTTGAGTCTTTGAATTCGCTCCAAGACATCACCAGGTCGTAAAGCGTCCCACCGCTAATTTTTTCTGTGAGGCAATAGATTGCATAATCTTCCTCGAGCTTCCAGCTGATTAAAGGCAAAATGTTATGGTGCTTGATACTTGCCCATATTTCGACCTCCCTGAGAACCTGGCTTTTAACAGAATTATTCTCCCGAAATTTGACTATCTTCATTGCCTTGATGGAACCTGATTCCATATGATTCACATCAGAAGTACTTTGATCGCCAAGACTTTGATCTCCATCTTCGAGACTACTGTCACGACAGCACTCGCGAACCATTCCCCATGCGCCGAACCCAAGAATCTTGCCCAACTTATATCCCATGATATCATTCTTTCGACGGGTATATTTTGCAGATGAAGACGGCGTAAACGAGCTCAAAAATTGGGAAGCCACTGACTCACGTCGCGGTCTGCTCTGGAAAAGGCGCGAACTACTTTCAGCAGAGGGAAAGGAGGTTTTTTTCAGTTGCAACATAACGCTCTTGTAATCTTTGTCCGGAAATATGCTCATGATCATTTTTTTTCGCTGAGAATAGGGCAAACTCATAAAGTCTTCAGGAAGCTTGGAGCTAATTGTCCTTAATTCACCTGAGGTTAGGTTAAGGTTTGGGATTGACGTTGGACTTAATGGTGTCACAGTGCAAGGAGATGGGGGAATATCGGATTTCTGCCTCTTTAGCTGCCTGGCCGATGGTCGTGAAGTTTCCAAAGCCCAGGGTATTTTGTCTGCCTTCTCAAAAGATATGGCTGTAGGTCTAATCCCTGTGGAATAGGGCTGGCTTCCCTGAGATCCTGCATCCCATTGGTAAAGCGACGACCTCCCTTCAGGGAGGGGGATAGGCATGACCCTTGAATGGCTTGTATTGATCTGCAGAGACGCAGATGACGAAGAAGAAGCATTTCTCATGTCTTCTTCGTCGTCATTACTCCACGGAGCCTCCGTTTGCCCCATAGCAATGTCGTCCACCAGCCATTTGGAAACAGCATCTGAGAAACTAAAGTCCGGTATGTATTCGTCCTGCATATCAGCGAAAACACGTTTGTAGTTTCCATTTTCGTCGTTACGGCCCGTTAAACTTGCATCTTTGTAATCTGTCGATGTCGAGTACCGGCGTTTCGCCACGCTCGGTATTTCCAAGGGCTTTGTTCCACGATAAGATTGCAAATCTCCTCGATAAATTGGCCTGTAACGCCAGTCGTCGTACATTCTCTCGCCAGTGTCTTCGTCGAAATTCGACCGCTCGTTTTCCGAGTAGACCCTAATTGCCATGTCTTTAACGCGAGGCAGATCTCTAGCCCCTGATTCGTCAGATTCCATACCGTCAGGACCCTTATTGTGCGCTTCCTTTATGCGGCCTGCGCATAAGGGTTGGTTCGATGCCTCGTTGAGGGTCTGGTCATCTTCACGAAATTTCGACGAAACTTGTCCGGAAAACTCGGACTGGTCTATGTAACGCAATGTCTCCTTCGACTGTTCTTCATCATCAATCTTTGTTCCCATATCAACATTCTCGAATCGGTCAAAAGACTGTATATTTAACTCACGAAGTATATTGAAGGGGTGTTCATCCATAGTTTTTGATCCAAAGTTCCTAAATTCACTGAAGATTTGAATGATAAATCATTGTAAACGACAAATGTTCAATCATTGTACACGAATTGTTCAACAGCCCCAACGCTACCTCCAGGGCTACCAAAGTCCTAGAGTTCCAACTTAATCTACGCAAGACCCCATCGCCATTTCTTCTCGTTGCATTTTCCCTACTTGTACCAAGAAAAAACTAAATCGTTATCAGTGCATTAGAATATATTTCCACTCAGTTAAAGCTTATATCTATGTCTCTTCGGGGGTGTCAGTCGTTCTTCTTTAATGGTCGCCCGCACGCATTGTAAACCTAGATTCTTCGCTTCTCCATATAAGGCAGGTGTATTGTATAAATAAAGGAGATGATGATCAGCGCAAAAAATGCATTTTAAACGTTAACTCTCTTCAATTCCTCTCTGCCGGCCTTGGTGTACAAGTACTCGTTGTAGTCTCTGCAGTTAACCCACCACATCCAGTACATGCCAGCTGGAAGCACTACGAACAGAATTTGGGACTTGACTCTTCTGAAAGTGTTGAAAAGAGCGTTGTGGTATATTCCAGCCAAAGGCTTTTGCGCGTAAGGGGAAACGGCGTAAGAGGTAATTCCCTTTTGTTTCGGGGAGCCTATGCTACCCCACCATCCCATATAAGTCTTGGCACTTGGTCCACCCATTGTTGATAGTTTGTAAACTTGTAAAGTCTTGACTTTTGGTGTGTAAACGTTTAGATTTACTAGTTGGTTTCATTACGTTTCTTCAGTTTTTCAATGTATACGGTATATCCGAAAAATAGAAAGGTGAAAAATTAAGGCCTCTGATTGGCTGAGCGGAGGAACTAACGCTATAGCATTGTATAAAATCTGATCTAAAAGCCTCCGATTCGACCTTGATGAGCTTTAACTCCGGCATTCAATGGCCTTGTTTCGAGCGTCTAATTGCTTATTTTTGTCTCTTGTAGATCTTTCCCAGAAAATCGGTTAAAACCTGGCTCTTGAAACCGCGAGATTCGTCGATTTTGCCAATCTTCGCTTTCAATTCGGTAGCGATTTTTTCTTCGTACTCGTGGTAAATTTGGTCAATCTTTAAGTCATGGAAAATTTGTTTACAGTATTGTTCGCTTTCGGCGTTCTTTCTACCGTAGTGCTCATCCAGCGTCTTACGTTGCTCTGGGGAACAAATTTTGAGAGCAGTATTGATAACCCACGAGCATTTGTTGTCTTGGATATCGGTACCGATTTTGCCAATATCCTCGGGCTTCCCGAAGCAGTCCAAATAGTCGTCTTGGATCTGGAAATACTCACCGAGCGGGATCAAAACGTCATGTGCCTGTTTCAAGTCCTCTGCATCACTGACGCCCGCCGCATACATGGCGAGCGCAACTGGTAAGTAGAAAGAATAGTAAGCGGTCTTGAAACGAACGATAAAAGAGTGCTTGTCGAGAGTGAACTTGCTCAGGTCGACGTTGTCTTCGGGAGCCGTGATCAGGTCAAGCAATTGACCCAATTCCGTTTGGAACGTAACGTCGTGGAACAGTTCCAAAAGGTCAACGTAATAAGAATCGTCTCTGAAATGTTTTTTCAATAACACGTAGATCGCACCCTCCAGCATGAACGCGTCATTGATGGCAATCTCACCGACACCATCCACCCTATACCAACAAGGTTGTCCTCTTCTGGTGATCGACTTGTCCATCATATCGTCAGCGACCAAAAAGTACGCTTGCAAAAGCTCGATACACCATCCTAAAAGAGCCAACTTGAAGTACTCCTTCTCTGGAAGGCTTAGAGGAGATTCAGCTCCTTTCAACACCGCATACGTGTCCACAACAGATAGACCACGGTTCAGTTTGCCACCTGGGGTGTTATAATCCAGCGATTTCTCGTACCATTGCACAGCATCTTTAGCCATACCATAACCAGTTAAAACCGACTTTAACTCTTCGACAAGGGTCGGGAAAACGCTTAAAAATTTAGCTCTCTTTTCCTCCTTAGACATTGCTTTCAATTGAGATTCTATGAGCTTCTCAGAAGTGTTATTTGACACAAAATAGCTTCTCTTAAAGTATTATATCTAACTATCAGCTGATAATCGTTTAGATTTTTTGACGGCAATTTTAAGAAAGTTAGACCTCGAGCTACTCACCTACGAAAACTGAAAATCAATTTGGTCGTAGAGTGCTGTGCTGAAGATCATTGATCGCTCTCTTGCTCCAGTTGGGTAGCAATTCGTACGTATTTTAAACTTAACCTAAAGAGGTTTAAGAGTAACTCACAGTTCACTTTGATAGGTGGTTAATTAATACTTACCACTCTATGAAACTAATGGATCGTATTCTCACCATGCTTTCTGATGCTACTGACCAATGCAAACTACACGACAATTAATTTAGAAAATTGGATGAGAGAAACAAGAAAAGCACCTTAAAATTAACGTCTGTTCGAACGCCTGCTCTTTCCAGGACGAGCTGCCTTGCCCTTCATTCTTCTATGAGAAAAATCGGTTACGTCTGCTGACGATTTGGAGTCGTTTTTGTTCTTGAACCGTTTCATACCACCACGCCCGTATTTGGCATCTTTGGCCTGTCTTTTCTTGTTTGGACGGGGTCTTTTCTCGGAAGCAGCATCCTCCACGCCAACATCAAACTCAGAATCCCCGATCTCATTGTGCTTTCTTTTGCTTTTCAAAGACTTGATCTTCTCAAGCGTCTCTCTCTTCTCCTTTTGACGCTTCTGCAAAGTGGCCACTTGTACCTGCTTACCGAATTTCTTTAGCTGTCTCTGCTTCCTCGCTTCTTCTCTGGCCTTCTTGTCACTTGCTTCTGCTACAAGCTTGGATTTCAATTTGTCCATGTGTTCGTCACTCTTGACCATCTCGGCGAAGTAATCGAGCGGCCTCTTGAAAGGCACCTTCAATCTCTTTAGGTGTTCTTTGGCTTCGTGCACAGCCTCCAGTGACTGCTTGTAAAAGGCAAGCTCTCGCTCTGTATCGTCGTAAATATCCTTTATGCCTTCGTCAGTGTTCGCAGATGAAGTGATAGATTGATGTTCATGGAAAGAATGTTTTTTCCAAGGTAAGCGAATTCGTTCCAACGAGTGTTTGAGAGCTCTTGAGTTATTGATCGTCACTTTCTGATGAGGTACAACGTCTGCGTCAGAATCGAACTCCACGTCCGAAAGTGGGACATCTTCTTCCTCCTCCTCTTCTTCCTCTTTTTGGTTTTCTTCGTCTTCTTCTTCGTCTGATTCAGCCTCGGAGTCACTTTCACCCAGTTTTTCTAATCTCAGCTTTCCATCCTTTCGCTCACTCTCTGAAGCTTCTTCTTCTAATTTGTTTTCTTCAGATTGCTGGAGCTCCTGCTTCTTATGCAATTTCTTGAGTTTTCTTTTCTCCTTTCTCGACAAAGTTTCAACGCCTCCGCTCGATATAACCGAACCCCTCAAGTAAGTATCATTGGCATCGATGTTTTCAGTCACAGGACTTTGCTTAGCAGCACTGTCAACCGAAGTCTGTTGCTCTTTAGCGCCCGCTGATTTTCCAGAGGCTGGTTTGCCAGCTACTTTCACCGACTCGGGCGGAGAGGACAACTTCTGAATCTTTGAAGTTTTGGACATGGTATTTGATCGAAGCAAGAGAAGTTTCGTGCGAGTTCAGTCCGATGACTTTACAGCTCATCTCATCTCATCCCATCTCTTGAAAATTTTTCGATTTCGGAAAGTGGACTTGAGGACGTCCGTAAACAGTGATCCAACTACAATCGACGACAGCTGAGCACGTCTCGGCCGGATCAACAAACCCTCTTGATTTTATCAGGCCCCTGCCGGATGGTTTATACTCATTATGGAATTTCAGCGTTGGGTTTGCTTCAAATCAAATTGTTTTCTTTCAGTTTCGCGAACAATTCTGGCTCGATGTATTTGGAAAGCGAAGGACCGTCATTTGATGACGTTCCTTCTGAGGACAGCCCTTTCCTGCGACGGGTTTTCATAACAAAATCGCGACTTAAACTTGCCGTAGGAGCTGGCTTCAGTTTCGGTATTGGCGTGTCTTCATCCATAACATCACCAGGAACCTTGCGCCACGTTTTCCTGCAGAAATAAAATTGACACATGCCACCACCATTCGTTGCCAATCTCAGATCCGTTTCGAACCCCAAGGAGTCAATCACAGGTATACGACCGCAAATTTCAAGCAAAGGTGTTCCTTGAATCTCAATCCTGCGCGTTATCTTGGCGCCACGTCTCTTTCGGAAAAGCTCGTCCAGTACACCGCTTGCTAGGCTGTGAACAATAATGTTCACCTCATATATGGGCTCAAGAATGGCTGGCTGAGCGGTGAGAAGAGCAACGTAGCATGCTCTTCGCACAAGTGGGATAACTTGACCCGGAATAACGTCTCCCTCACAAGCGATATCGATTAACCTGAAATGCACGCCAAAAATAGGCTCTTCAGCTAGAGGGCCCTCTCGAACAGCCCAGTAAAAACCCTCCAATATCTGCTCCTTTAATTGCGCAACTCGTACTTTGTCGACTTGTTCTGGGAGCGTGTCATCAACAAACACGTTGCAGTTCTGAAATTCCCATACATTCCGGGCAGCTAAAGAATCCCATCCGTACTCGGTCCGAAGTTTCTTAGCTAAATGACGATGATCCTCAAAATCACTTTTTCGAAAGTGTCCGTTGGACAAGTCATCTAGCAACTTAGCGTCCATCGCTTGAGCACTCACACTTATAGAGAGGTTTGCATTTTTCGAATGTACTGGAATAGATGCGAAGGACTCATCTGTGCATCCTTCTGAAAACTTGGATAGAGGGTTTGATACTTTGACTTCAATTCCAGCGTAGATTTCCCTGAGTTCAAACAGCAGAGAGTCTAAGAAGAGTTCAGCCGGTCCAAAGACAACATTCTCGCCACTTTCCTCAACGTTGACGACGCAGCCGGGGTACAGCTTATTTATGAGGCTCAGACTATGTGACATTTGTGGCATTTCTTTGGCTACTAGAGGCTGTAAAATCACCTTTAAGACAGGTTGGTTCAAATAATCGAGGGCTCCGAAGCTGAATGTGGGTAAGTTTGTAAGGGTGGCACTTTTTGTGAAGAACTCTTCCGGTCCTCTCACAAGAACAACCTGCCCTCCACCAGCTTGCGTTACTGGCACAACGTACCTACCACCCAACAGTGCTATGTCTTTGATTTCAAATTCTGGAGTATCAAAATCTCTTGGACTTCCCTCATCTAAGACTTTCAGTCTATCACCTCTCTTTAAAACTCCCTTATGAACACGCACTAAAGCCCAAATTTCGCCACAGTAGTCAACACAGCGGACAGCATGTGCTAGAACATGGACAGGAGAAGGAATGTCATTCGATGAGAGTTTGCTTGCTGATATGGACATCGCTGTTGAGCTAACATTTCTGCTTTTAGCCAATACGTCAATAAGGCCAACCTGATTTCGAAACACCAAACAGAGGACTTTCTTCAAAAGAGGGAGAGGATCTAAACCAAGATCGGGTCCGTCCAAATCGACCTTGAAGTGTTTTTTTAATGTAGTTGCCAGGACTCCAGGCTCACTGGATAGAGCGTGGGTAAAGAGTTTGTATATTGGATTCAAAACAAATTCGACAAATGTCGTGTGCTTCCCGCTGTTGGGAGTTGCTGAAAAGATACCCAAATTAAAATAAACATCCCCCCACAACTGACTGATGAAGCCCTCAATCTGGCTTTCTTCCAGTTGGCCCGCATAAAGCTCCGAGACGAATTGCTTCAACGTAAAGCTGAAACTAAACTTTGAGGATGCGAAAACGATGTTATTCAGCTCAGGTGAATACACCATTGTTGTAACAGAGTTTATTTGGTCAACAACATGTCTCAGCTTGGCAAACGCGTCATTTGGTGGTAATTTCAGTTCCATTATAAGTCTGTCAATTTTATTAAGCACAAATACCATGGGCAAGCCTTTCTGCTGTGCTTCCTTGATGAGTTTTCGTACACCGCCCGTGACACCCTCTACGCAGTCTACCACAACCAAGCAGAGATCAGCTGCTGCAAAACTTACAGCAACCTCATCCAGAAAGGCGGAATGGCCAGGCGTGTCGAGAAATGTCAAAGCCCATGATTTCTGTTGCAAATCCAGACCTAACGTTGTGAAACCGTTCAATTTCGTCGTCAATCCCCTTGCAATTTCCAACTTCGTGTTATCCAGATATTTAAGAGGCTTCCAGCCTTGTTTTACGCTGCTTGATATGCTCGGTAAATGTTTGTGAGATTCTAAAATCAAAATATCCATAATTGAGGTTTTGCCTGAGTGGAGAGTGCCTACCACAGCAATATTCAAGCATCGCTCTGGCACATTGAGTAACTCGAACAAGTATTGTCTATCATATGTCGTTTTGGGAATTTTGCCCAGATTGTAAACCGCGTGCCGTGCTTCCCTCTTGCCTCCAGTATCTATTAAAGGCGTTTGTAACGACTGCTGATCTTCTTGTTCGTAGAGAACCTCGACATCTTCGCCACGACTGACATACCGCTCTGTAGTAACAATTGCAGTGGATTGCAGTTGTTGTGGTTCTTCTTTTTCTTCCTCATCCTCAATGGTCTCGCTCACTCCGATTATGCCGTCAATGGTCTCGCCAAAAATTCGATTTCCAAACCTGAAAGTCGACGGAGTTAGTAAAAATCAATGCATAGATCAAGATTCTGGCGATCTAACATACTCATCGAACTCTTGATCACTCATTTTGGTTCGCTTTCTATGTCATCGTTGTTCTTCTCAAATTGTAATTTTTTGAAGATCTGAATTTCAGACAGATTTATCCCACCGATTGGCAGTCAGCGTCGAGCTCATGTAGCGGCGGTTTTCAATGAGAGTGCTTGGTTTCCATTAGTTGAGCCTAGATAGACTTTCTTCCTCTATCACAGAGATGGGCACGGGACTTTCAGATATTGTGGAGCAGGATGTGGCTCAACTCGTAATTCCTCAAAGTATCCTGTTGCGGTTGGATCGTTCCCAGGAACTCGCCAAGAGGAACAGTCGTCAAGGACAAAAAGTTGTGATGCTCTTTATACTTAAGTGTCGTAATTTGCGGTAAATAGAGCTGTAGGTCAACGAATCGTGACTCGTAGCTCCAAAATTCAACGCAATGCTACGATATTGGGACTATAACGATGAGAGCTGGCGGTTCTCACGAAAATCGTCTATCTCGAATTTTGATTGAATAAGACTTAAGTTGCTTGAATATTTGTAGATCTATACAAGTTAAGTTCCATACCTGCTGACGTTAAAAGCCAAGGTGACAATAATCGTAGTATTTTCCCACGCCGAAAAGATCCCTTTGTGAACTCTTTAGAACAACAAAGGAAAGCACAAGAAGCTGAGTTTCCTTACACCATTGAAGCTGGTATTAGCGACTAAATCATTGAGAATTTTGAAAGATAAGGATCTTTACACGTTTTTCGACGTCTAAGAGTGAAGCTTAGGGGCGGTTATTGGCCAATTGTGATGATTACGGGTCATGAATGACGAGGCTATGGCATCATGAAAGATGATGACATCTACAAGCCTCAGCATAGCCAATTCCATGCAGTGACGGTGTGAGCTATATTAATGCCGGAGTATACTCGGACCGCCTGGCTGGTGCGAAATAATTGGCAGGCACTACACAGCTCTGTTTTTAATAATTTGGACACAGTTCTGCGTGATGATGGCAGCGAAACAGAGGAAGTGGAGTGTTTTCTCTATGAAGAGCGCTTAAATCGATCGTTTTTATCCAAAGGCTCAGTAATTGGCCTAGGATTCGGATTAATGAGTCCGGTGCTTGGCATGAGCAGTACTATGAGCATAGGGCTATTGAACGGTGGACCTTTGACCATAATGGGTGGTTTTTTGATCTGCGGTATAGCGACGTGGTTCTGCTCACTGTCACTGGGGGAAATCATTTCCAAATACCCGATAGAGATCCATGGGGGATCTGCAATGCTAGCACCAGCACGATTGAAGCTTATATGTTCCTGGTACACGGGCTGGCTAATGCTTTTAGGCAACTGGGCCATGAGTACTAGTATCACATTTGCCGGCGCCCAGCTTCTGGTCTCGTTGATCGCATTAACGAACGAAAACTTGATTAAGACCGAAAATGTTGTTCTTCATACCGTGTTGGCATTTTATGTCATTGTGACTCTCGTGGGAGTCGTCAATTTGAAGCTAGCGCGATTTATCGAGACAATTAATAAGGTTTGCGTTTATTGGATCATCTACGCGATCATATTTATCGACATTTTACTCTTACTTTTCCATTCTGGCAATTATCGGTCCTTGAAATTCGCGCTGATGCATTTTGACAATCGGTTTTCAGGGCATCAAAGCGTTGTGCTATCGTTTCTCATCGGTTTCCAGCAGTCGAGTTTCACGTTGCAAGGATTTAGTATGCTGACAGCTGTTTCTGACGAAGTTCAGAGACCGGAAAGAGATATACCGCATGGGATGTCTACTGCCGTTCTAATATCATGGTTGGCAGGCATAGTATTCCTTCTGCCGATCATGCTCATATTACCCGATCCGCAAACCATTTTAGACAATCCCAAGATTGCTCCTGTGGTACTCATCTTCACGCAATCCACACATTCGATGTTCGTCTCTTTTTTCCTAGTGTTGATGATTCTAGGAAATCTTCTCTTCTCAGGTATAGGATCAATTACCACGTCCTCAAGAGCTGTATACAGCATGGCACGAGACTCTGCGATGCCTTACAGCGAGATCTGGACCTATATCGATGAATCTTCTGCATCTAAAGTACCCAAATTTGCAGTGCTTTTAAGTATGGCAGTTTCATATATTTTGGGCCTACTTGCATTAATCTCCACTGCCGCATTCAATGCTTTTATTGGGGCTGCTATTATATGCTTATGTTCAGCTACATGTATTCCTTTCATTTTAGTGATGGTATCAAAACGCCAAGCGTTACAGGGCGCACCAATAAAAGTTAAAAGGGGACTAGGATGGGTTTTGAACATCGCAAATACATTATGGCTACTTTTGACAATCGTAGTCATATGCGTGCCTGTCAAAATGCCAGTAAGTTTCTCTACCATGAACTATGCGAGTCTGGTTTATGCATTCTTTCTAGTTTGCATTACAGCACTGTATTACATGTGGGGCAAACTGCATTTCAAGACCCCACTTGTCAAAGAACACATTCCTTTACAATCGCCTGCTCAGCAGGACAAATCAAAGACAACGTCATTGGCTGAATCCCTTCAATGAACTCTAATACCACTTCCGTCACATCTTTTAGGTTTTAGGCAAAGAGCCCGGTTGACAAAATCAGTAGTACACCAGCACAGCACCAATGCAAGCAAACCGTACCTAAAGCATGATCCTTCATAGATTCATCGGTATCATGATGATGGTGACCGTCGCTGAACCCAACTGCAGTCTGGAACATCTGGAGCCCGATCACAAATAAAAATCCAGCTGTCAAACTCAGCAAAAAGTTCACATGAACTTCACGGGCACCGGAATAGTGGAAACTTAAATAACCAAGTAAAGCTCCCAGTGGTTGAGATCCACCACCCAAAACGATCGTCACGAGGACAGCGACCCACTTACGTTTAAAAGCAGCGTAAAGCGGCAAAGTCATCGAAAATCCTTCGATGAAGTTATGTATAGCCAGACTAAGGAAAATGGAAAATCCGATAGCCTTAGAATATTTGGAATCGTTGTTAGTAAAAAAAATGATGAAACCCTCAGGAAATTTGTGCAAAGCCATTACGGCGCATGTTTGAACGCCAATGGAAACTAATTTGGAGAATGGAGTTGCAACGTGGTGGTGATGATGGTGAGATACACCATCACCATCGTGCAATGGATGCATATCTTCAGTACTTGATGTAGATCCAGAGATTTCATGGCCATGGCTATCGATACTCAAAAAACGATTGCGATACATGCTCAAGTTTTCGAGGTCGTATCCAATGTCGTTTTCGATGCAAGGGACGGCTTTTTTGTATTGATCACTGCGACAACTAGCAGGCGCAATCTCAGCATCCTGCGGTAGGCACGACATGCTACCGTAGCAAGTACCGTGTGCCGGATCGCTCTTGTTCAATAAGTCAATCAACGATGGCATTTTCTTTAAAAAAGGCTTTTTGGGCGGAGCTGGTTCCACAGGGTCGCGTTGCTGCATTTCGGCGGGAAAATGCGACTGTTGGTCGTTGGAGTGCGTTACATCGTGATGATCACTGCCGCCGTTGCTATGGTCACTACCATGGCGATGGCCATCGCTTTCGTGAATACCAGTTCCGTGAGCGCAATGCACCAGACTGTGATTGGTGTAAGCATGCACAATGAAGTTGAGAATAAAGCTTACTACTACCCCGAGCAGAAATCCCATGAACACCTGTTTCTTGTGCTTCTCGTCGTGCGGCAGCATTCTGTACAAACTCGTTGCGAGCATCGATCCTGCGCTGAGCGACAGCCCATAGTTCAACAGCCGAGTGTTCACGGTAGCCGCAGAAGTACTAGCACGTGACACGAGCGGCACACACAGCGCTCCTGCCACACATAGCAACGAAGACATCCCAGTATACAAAATCCATCTTGGAGTCTCGTCGAAAATCATATCAAGTTGACCTTATCGCGTTCCTAGCCGGGACAAATGTACCAAAATATCAGCAAGGACGCTTTAAATGCGCGCTGGATCCTGTGCTTAATCACCCAAACTGTACTTCAACCATCAAACGTGTTCGTTACCTTGCTGGTTACCACTGAGTTCTCTATTAGAGAAGTCGAACCACCGGGTCAAGAAACTGTTGATGTCAGTTCATACGAGGTCATTCAAAAGAGCCCATCATTTAAAGGTAACCAAGATCAACTTTCGATTCTAATCAGCCTGTCTCACGATGATAACAATTACAAGGAAACGCTAGAAACGCTACCGAAGCTCTATCAATTTGGTCATTGCCATCTTGACCCTGTAGGTATAGTAAGCCCCAACCTACTGGCTTGTGATCTTGCTGCCTTTTATGGATTTAGATATGATGTTAGACAATTAAGCAGAGATAGATGTTACAAAGAAGACCTTCGACAATCGGACCGTGCCATTTGGTACTACCTATGTGTTTTATATGCCCTATGCTGCTATGCTCGTATGCTCCTCTACTAGCTGTGATTGGTTGAATTTTGCGAAATCCGTAAATAATGCGCCTTTGAATAAGTGGCATCTCATCTCTACTGAAAGCAGAAGAACAAGGTAAGCCGAGATGCTGGGCCGGCTGCTGGCGAAGAATGTGTATCAGGAGGGAAGCAGCGTGGCGGATGATGCGGCATTCACTGCTCCTTTTCACCTTCACGAGGAGGCGAGACTCAAGCTTTTCGGGAGCAGAGATGTGGAGCAACAAATCAGTCCGCATCAGTTCCGAGTCTTGGTGGCCCAGGATTTGGGGGAGCTGATGAGTCGACACAGTTTTCAGGTTGCGCTGGACTACTGTAATGCGCGAGGATCTGCGATGGACCAGATTTCGGCCAATGAGTTGCGAAACTACATTTTTGGGTCAGCGGTGCGAACCATAGACCCGCACCAAAGCGATAAATTCCGGGTTCTGTCAGACATGGGTGTCTTGCTAGTCATGCGAGTGTTTCCAGCGACAGGTAATGGGCAGCGGCTTGCCATGTGTCTGTGTTTGCCGGAGAGCTACGCTACAGCGCTCAGCGAGGTTTGGAGCTATGTTACGCGATGGCTCGACGAGTGCCGAGAATTGGCCACAACAATCGTTGCGTCTGAGAGTGTGAAACCTTTGCCGCGAAACATAGGCGTGCAGGCGTCACAAAGCTCAGAAGCGATAATAAGCTCAGTTTACAAACTACTTGTGCCAGTTATAGCCTCTCACACCGAAATTCCAAGATTGTTTCTGTATCCCAACACGTGCAGTGAGTACATCGTGAACTGGTTTCAGGGAATTTTCCATTGGCTTGAGATCAAAGATGGACACAGACTCAAGTTCTTACCAGTTTTGCTGGCTAAGGTTGCGCTAGATTTTTCTGATCAACTCGTGGCCAATGAAGCGTGCCGGATCGTGATCATGTCAGGAAATATGGTTGTAGCAAACAAGCTGATTTTCATTCTCGCGGGTATGCTCAAGCCCAGATACAAAGGATGCATACACACTTGTGACCAAATAACTCACGGCAGCAAACAAAAAACCGACAATACTCCGCACGAGGAGGAGAGTTTACACGATGCCAGGCAGTTTACTACGGTGACAAACCAAGGCTGGAAAATCCCACGTCAAAAAGAATCCCCCTACAGCTCCACCAGCCTTTCCTCTGATGAGAGTAGCGCCCAAGTAATTCAACCTTCATCCTTCAAAAGCGGGGGAAGTTCACTAGTACATCTGTCGTCATCACTGTCAAGTGCATACGGTAGCTATGGGTCTTGGTTCAATAAGAGGGCCACTGTTAACAGTCCATCTAAAAATGGCAATGGTTTTTTAGAACCATCGCTTTTCCTGCAGAGGAATAATAGTAGCTCCTCTTTGCATCAAATTGCTATGAACAACAGGATTACACCGCTTCCATCGCCGTCCTTGAACGAATATGAGGATTTCCCCTGGCTCGCTACCCCCATGTCTCCCAGAACTGAGCACAGCAATAGCGACCATTTTGCATCGGCAGAGCCCGCATTCCATACATTGAATCTGAAAAGAAACTGTAACAGGATCACAGACAGTACCGAGATGGATGAGATTTTCGAAAACCTGTGTGTGTTTGACGCCTCACAGCTATCCATGTCGACGCCTGCAGTCGGCGCAAACCACGCACCTGTATTGGAGGTCAACTTCGAAGAGGACTACAAGTACGATGCCACCGAACTTCTCCCGAAATACACAGCCTACGTTCCAAATTTGGTTCCGTGGTTTCAGCTTCAAGCCATTCCAATTTCGTCTGACGCGGAGCGCAAAGTATTGGGTGTGATGAAGCGAGACTTGCATAACTGTCATGTATCGCGGACACTATTCGTGTCACTGCGGTCGAGGGAGATCAGGGAAATAATGCTAGAAAAGGACAAAAGGACCCACAAACTCGTTCAGAGGACCAAGAAGATTTTTAATTCGGGGAAGTGCACTGCATTGTCGCCGAGATTCCAGCAGGCTTTGTCGTTTTTCGAGGCCAAATTTCGCGAGGCGCTAGATATTTGGGAAAGCAGCAAGAGCGACGAGGACAAAAAGAATTCGTTGACGCTCATATACAGGCAATTGCAACTTACAGATTTCTGCGCAACGCCGTAAACCTGTTTCGTTTGCAAGAAAAGTCACTACACGAACCCTGGATTTCGTTTCTCTTGGATCTACTATGTCGAAAAGTGCCCGAACAAAAGAGACACATCTACAGCCACATCTACAAGTTGTTACGGCTCGAAGTAAAAATGATTCTGATTTTTCAGAAGTTGTGGTTTTTTTTACCGACGTGGGCGCCGTTTCTTGCAAAGCGACTTTGTCTTCAAAGTCTCTACAGGTGAAAACAAGTGGAAAGTCAAATATGATTGCCCGCCACCATACGGCTCAAATTAAGATCGAAGCGCTCTCATTCTCAACGCAACCTTTTACAAAAAGAATTTAACATTGCATTTTCAAATTATGCCAAAGACTTCGCCTGCGTAGTAGATCACGTTAATTTTTCACACTGACCAAATAGTGCCATTTAAACGGCACTAAATATGGGGCAACAAGAAACGAATTCATACAGGCTTGAAAAGCACGGGAAGCCACAGTCAACAATGCCTTGAATCTGAAAGAAAACCGTCGAGGTGCTTGATGAATATTTCTTGGCAGAAGCCGCTGTTGTGTGTGCCGCCTGGCTTGTACGCCACAGTGACAAATCGTGCATTAGGAAACCAGAAGCAAGCAGCTGCAGGGAGCATGGCTATATAAGAAACAAGAAACGCTGAGCACACAAATTTTCATAAGAAAGAGATCGTTGGAAGTACGCGTCTATCAGAGATCACGATGTCCAAAGCGGGTTTTGCCTCGCAGTGGAACATTTTCGGTAAAGAAATTTACAAGACTAGTGCGAAATCACGTGACTCGAGCGCCGACGCTGGCGATGACGTGGAGGCAGGCGATCAGTTCGTTACGGAGCTGGACCAGGGCTCCAAACAATTGGGCATAGTTTCGTGCATTGGGTTGATCTGTAATAGAATGCTGGGGACCGGTGTTTTTGCCGTGTCCTCGACGGTGTACACTTTGTGCGGTTCGATCGGACTGTCGCTAATTATTTGGGCGGTTGGCGCGATTATTGCGATTTTGGGTCTTTACGTTTACATGGAATTCGGAACTGCGATTCCCCGAAATGGTGGGGAGAAGAACTATTTGGAATTTGTGTTCAAGAAACCCAAGTTTTTTGTCACTTCGATGTATGCCGCTTACATATTCTTTTTGGGATGGGCAGCAGGTAACTCGGTGAACACCGCAGTGATGTTTTTGACTGCGGCAAAAGCTGAGGTGACCGAATGGAACCAGCGCGGAATCGGAGTCGCGGTTGTTGGGTTTTGTTTTCTGGTGAACTCGATCAACGTTAAGACCGGTCTGTACATCCAAAACGTGCTTGGAATCTTCAAAATCGTGATTGTAATTTTCATTTCCGTGACCGGATGGGTTGCGCTTGGAGGTGGGCTCAAAAACGGGTACAAGACCAACAATTTCCACAATTCATTCGAGGGGACTAAAGATGCGACTGCTTACGGGATTGTCAACGCACTGTACAATGTGATTTGGTCCTTTGTCGGCTACAGTAACGTGAACTACGCCCTGGGTGAAGTGAAAAACCCGGTGAGAAGTTTGAAGATCGCGGGCCCCACGTCGATGATTTTCTTGGCGATCATCTACATTTTCGTGAACGTTGCGTACTTTGCAGTGGTGCCCAAGGAGACGCTTGTGTCGTCGAAGCTCGTGCTGGCCGCGGACTTCTTTGACATCGTATTCGGCAGTCGCGGTAAAACCGCGGCCGCCGTCATTGTGGGCCTGAGTGCGCTGGGGAACGTGATGTCGGTGATTTTCTCGCAGGGTCGTATCATCCAGCAACTGGGCCGCGAGGGCGTGCTGCCGTTTTCCGATTTTTTCGCGTCGTCGAAGCCGTTCAACTCGCCTGCGGTCGGGCTGTTCCAGCATTTCGTCGTGTGTCTGGTGACGATCATTGCGCCGCCCCCGGGAGACGCGTACAACTTCATCTTGAACCTGATCTCGTATCCGATGAACATCATCAATCTGTTCGTGAGCTGCGGGCTGCTGTGGATCTACTGGCAGCGCCGCCAGGGCAAGCTGACCTGGAACCCACCCATCAAGGCCGGCGTCGTGGTGACGTCTCTGTTTGCGCTTGCGAACCTGTACTTGGTTGTCGCTCCGTACGTGCCTCCAACCGGCGGACAGTCCGTGTACCACTCGTTGCCGTACTGGATCCACTGTGTGGTCAGTTGGGGTATATTTGCGCTCGGAGGCGTTTACTACCTGGTATGGGCGCAACTACTGCCCCGCATCGGACACTACGACTTGGTCGACGTCGACGTTCTGGGCGACGACGGCTTCTGGCGTAAGAAGATCACCAAGGTGCCGCGCCGCGCTAGCGGCGACGGCACCGACGCGTCGTCCAACGACGCAGAAGTGCGGAGAGAGGTGGTCTCGGTCCGGGACACCAAGAGCTCGAACGTGAAGTCAGACGCGGAGACTATAATATTGAGAGAGTAGGAGATTAAATAGAAATGCATATGCTGTTGTCGATGCCGTAGCCGCCCAGGCCGTAGCCGCCCAGGCCGTGGTGGTCACCGCCGGAACCAGTCGCGGGGCCGGTAGTGCTCGCCTATGATGGGCTTCAATGCAAGCGGCAGCCACGTAGCCGCGTCGCCCTGGAACCCCCACACATCTTTGCTTTTGCGCACCTGCTCGAGGTCCTCGACTGTGAGATTGAAGATCGCCACTTTGCCGCCACACTTCTTGGCGCGCTCCACGTAACCCATTGCGGGCCACACTTTGCCCGAGGTGCCTACAACGAGCACTAGGTCGACGGGCGGGCCGGACTTGAAATAGTCATCGACAGTGTCCATTTGCGCGAGCGGCAGGGCCTCGCCCGCCCAAACGACGCCCGGCCGCAGAAGACCTTGGTGGCATTGCGGACATTGCGGCAGCCCCGCGGGTAGAAGGAACGGCAACGGCCGGGCTTCGGAGTTGCCGTTGCCGGCGTCGTCTGCGTCGTCTAGCGACGACGCAGACGACTCTGCCGCTGACGCTGCCGCCGACGGCTCGGGCCCCGCGGCGCCGCCGGTTCGTCGCTTCCGGCGGTCCGAGGCCTCCGCATCGGCAGGCTCGGCGGCTCGGCGCTTCCGCCCCGCAGCGCGCTGCGGGGCATACGGGACGTGCGGGGTAGATTCCCTTAGCGCCGGGGTCAGCCATTGGTCACGCGTGTTGCGTCCGCGGTAGCTGCAGAAGAATTGCGTGCACCGCAGGTCGAAGACGCTGCCGTGCAGCTCGACGAGCGACTCGGGCGGATGGCCCGCCCGCTCGTGGAGCCCGTCGACGTTCTGGGACACGACAAGTGCCACGGGCCCTTCCTGGGGCGGGCAGCCGCCGGCTGAGCCGCCGGCAGCCCCAGGGGCAGCCCCAGGGGCTGCCCCTGGGGCTGTGTGCGGGGTTGCGCCAGAGGCCGCACGGGGCAGCCGCCGGCAGAGCTCCGCCAGAGCGTAGTGGCATGCGTTGGGCCGGGCGCGGAGCGCCTCGCGCCGCCGGTCAGAGTAGAACATCCATACGAGCCCCGGGTTGACGTGGAACGCCTCTGGCGTTGCCACGTCCAGCGCAGGGTAGCCCTGCCATAGCCCGCGCTGCAGCTGGTAGGTAGAGATGCCAGAGGACGCAGAGACGCCCGAACCGACGATGCACAGGATCTTGCGAGCACGGCGTAGGTACCGCTGAAACGATGCCAGCTGGTGGCGGTCGGGGTCGTCGTCGTCGCCGGCCATCGGGTGGCAAGAGGCGGCGGGCGGGCAGCGAACACAGGGTGGCCACTGCGTTGTGTAGGCGGAGGAAGAGAGGTGAAGGTCATATTGTACGAGGGAAGCTCTTTGCTCTTGTTTCGGTTTCCCGTACATCATGACACAGCTGTCACGTGGCCCCGTTTCCCATCAATTGTCCTTCCTTCTCTTCCACTCAATTACTTCGACTGTCCACACTCCACCTACACCGCTGCGTCCCGTCCCAACCCACAATGTCCGAGGAGAGAAAACTGCTGCAAAAGAGGCTCAGGCCGCTCTACGAGAGTATCCTCACGCTCAAGGAGCCCAGCGGACTCGAGATCTACCCGATCTTCCAGGTGCTCCCAGGCAGAAAGGACTACCCAGACTACTACGGCGTTATCAAACACCCAATGTCCCTGAGCACCGTCAAGAAGCGTCTCAACAACAACTACCGAGACCCACAAGAGTTTGTCAACGACCTTGCGCAAATCACCTGGAACGCGCGTACCTATAACGCCAAACAGTCCGACATCTACAACTACGCTGAGATCATGGACGCGTTCATCAACGACACCATCATCGACAAACTTCAGAAATTTTATCCGGGCGTTGTCTATCCCGATTTGGGCCCTCTTCCAGACGACGCTGATGCTTCATCCCGCAGCAAGGCTGCCGCGCGCGCTGTCCACGCCTCGCCCGCAGCGCCAGCACAACCCGCCGTCAACGTCAAAGTCGGCGTCACCGAGCCTGCACTGCTCAAGTCTGAGCCCGCCAACGACAACAGCGTTTCTACGCCTGGTGAAGCGGACGCCGACGAGGAAGAAGACGAATACGAAGAACAGCCCCAAGACGAAGATGAAGACGAGGACTACGTTGAGCAGAAGAAAGTTCTGCCTAAAATCCGTATCCCGGCTATGACCCAGTCCCCCGCACCTCAGCAGCCCGCGTCCCAGTCCATGACGCCCACGCCTCTTTATCACAGACACCAGCAGCAAAAGACCCACATGCGTAGAGGAAGACCTCCTGTGATCGACCTTCCCTACGAACAACGTATCAAAAACGTCCTCAAGGCTCTCAAGAAAGACGTCAATGACCGCAACGAACCCATCACCGCGGCTCTCGACAGACTCCCCGACGAAGAGCGCGAGCCGCAGTACTACAACATGGTATCAAATCCCATTTCCATCGACGAAATTCGCAAGAAAGTTAAACAAAGAAAATACAAAAACTTTCAGTCGTTCCAGCAAGATTTTAAGCTCTCCATCGCCAACTTCCAACTCTACCATCGTTCTCAGTCCACTGACATGAGGCGTGCTGCGGATCTCGAGCGTCGTTTTAACGACCTTTGCAAATACGAGCTGTCTAGGCCCGACGAAGACTTCATGACCGACGGAGAACTCAAGTATCCCTTAAATCAGGTCGATCACAACGGCGTGTCGTATAAGATCGGTGACTGGATCCTGATCAACAACCCGAACGACACTACAAAGCCCACAATTGCACAGATTTTCAGACTCTGGTATACTTCGGATGGCAGAAGATGGCTCAATGCGTGTTGGTACCTGAGACCGGAGCAAACAGTGCACAGATATGACCGGATATTTTATAAAAATGAGGTGGTCAAGTCAGGCCAGTATAGAGATCATCTTGTTGAAGAGATCGTTGGCAAGTGCTACGTTTGCCATTTTACTAGATATCAGCGTGGGGACCCAGACGTTGAAATTGAAGGTCCACTTTTTGTTTGTGAGTTTAGATACAACGAAAGTGAAAAAGTTTTCAACAAGATCAGAACCTGGAAGGGATGTTTGCCTGAAGAAGTTCGTGACGTCGAAGAATCGACGATTCCCGTCATGGGTAGGAAGTTCTTTAAATATGACTCCCCCATCAAGCATCTTTTGCCACCAGATGCCACTGTAACGGACCCCATTCCTGCGCCAACTGAGGGTGCTGTCAATGCTCCGCCTTTGGTGGGTGCGGTGTATCTGCGGCCCAAAGTCAAAAAAGACGATCTTGGTGAATATTCTACGTCGGACGATTGTCCACGGTACATCATCAGGCCCGGTGATATACCTGAGCCCGGAAACATCAATTCCGACACGGGGACTATGGTGGTTAGCTCCCAGGCTTCGAACAATTTACCAAAACTGAACGCATCCACCACTCGTCTGACGTCGCTTAATAAGAGTAGGAGCGCCACAGGCCTCTCTGGTATACGCCATTCGACGACAGCTAGCTACAATCCGCCTGCTATGAAAACGGCCCAACTTTTATCTTCAGGCCCCGTTGGGACTCCGTCACCACCTCCGCCGGAACACAACGCCCCAATCACGGCCCAGCAGCCTATAACGCAAATATCCAAGGCGTCGACTTCGAGTATAAGGCAACCCGCGTTCAACCCCCCTACAATAATCAGCTCCATCGCTGCGCAAGCACGCACCAATCCCTCGGTTGTCGGCACAATCGTCACCGACACCCCAGGCGCCTTCGTACTGCCAATTTCTATCACCAAAAACATCGAAGTGTTACAGCGCTCCGACCACAACAGTCAGCTCAGACGCCAGGGCAAGGATCAAATGTTCAAGAAGCGTAAAAATAGGGGTGAGATTATATGGTTCAAAGGTCCAAGTGTCGCCATTAGCGAACGTCTCATAAATTCCAGGAACGAGTTCACAGATTTGTCTCTGAACAGATGGTTCAAAAAGCGGAAGTTGGATTACGAAGAAGTGGACGCCGAAGATAATGACTACAATAATAACGACGACCAGGACTACGAAGAAGGCGAAGATTCCGAAGATGACGAATTTTCCGTTCCGGGCACATTCCCACTCGGGCTAAGACCTTCGGCTTCTTATATGGCCTTCAAAATACAACAACAGTCCGAAGTTTACCGAAGCTAACGTTCGAATCCCGGAATATGACTTCTTCGTCAATCGAGATTTTTTTTTTCCGCGGACTTGGTTCAGCAGAAGAAGTCATAGTTAAGGTTCATTTAAAATGATTTCAAATGGTGATAATTAATATTAAAAAATTAGTGAAGATGCAACGGGCATCTCTGTTTAAGAAAGTTAATTTATAAAAACCTGGACGCACAATTGGAACTTCATTTCTCTTACATATAGACATTTAAGAACAGTGATCACAGAATCGACCCAATTACCGAGGAAACACTAAACAATGTCAGACTTTGATAAGTACACCACACCTCTCTCATCTCGTTATGCTTCCGAGGAAATGTCGTCAATTTTCTCGCTGAGGAACAGATTTTCGACATGGAGAAAACTATGGTTGAACTTGGCGATTGCCGAGCAGGAACTGGGACTGTCAGTGATCACTGACGAGGCTATTGAACAAATGAAAAAGCACTTGATTATCACTGACGAGGAAATCGCAGCTGCCTCTAAACAGGAAGCAATTGTGAGACATGATGTGATGGCACATGTTCACACTTTCGGAGAGATTTGCCCCAGCGCCGCTGGTATCATCCACTTGGGCGCTACGTCCTGTTTTGTGACCGATAACGCTGACTTGATTTTCCTCAGAGACGCATACGATGTGATCATTCCCAAGTTGGTTAACGTGATCAACAGACTATCCCAGTTCGCGCTTACATACAAGGATTTGCCAGTTCTTGGCTGGACTCATTTTCAACCTGCACAACTAACCACGTTGGGCAAAAGAGCCACTTTGTGGATTCAGGAATTGTTGTGGGATTTGCGTAACTTTGTCAGAGCCAGAAACGATTTGGGTTTACGTGGTGTCAAAGGTACCACTGGTACGCAGGCGTCATTTTTGGCATTATTCCATGGCGACCACGATAAAGTTGAAGCCCTTGACAAAAGAGTGACAGAACTGCTCGGTTTCAACACGGTTTATCCTGTCACTGGTCAAACTTACTCCAGAAAGATCGATATCGATGTTTTGGCACCGTTGTCTTCGTTTGCTGCCACTGCCCACAAGATGGCCACTGACATCAGATTGTTAGCCAACTTGAAGGAACTTGAAGAGCCATTTGAGAAGTCCCAAATCGGATCCTCCGCGATGGCCTACAAGAGAAATCCAATGCGCTGCGAACGTGTCTGCTCGTTGGCTAGACATTTGGGATCTTTATTTAACGACGCTGTCCAGACTGCTTCTGTTCAATGGTTCGAGAGAACTCTTGACGACTCCGCCATCAGGAGAATCTCTTTGCCAAGTGCTTTCTTGACCGCGGATATCCTTCTATCGACCTTATTGAACATTTCGTCTGGCTTGGTTGTCTACCCCAAGGTCATTGAAAGAAGAATCAAGAGCGAACTGCCTTTCATGGCCACCGAAAACATCATCATGGCAATGGTTGAAAAGGGACAATCTAGACAAGAAGTGCACGAGTCTATCAGAGTACTCTCGCATCAAGCTGCTGCTGTTGTCAAGGAACAAGGCGGTGACAACGATCTAATCGAAAGAGTCAAGAATGACAAGTTTTTCGAGCCTATCTGGAACGAGCTGGACTCACTGTTGGATCCCTCAACTTTCGTTGGGAGAGCTCCACAACAGGTCGAAAAGTTTGTTGCTAACGATGTCGCCTCTGCTCTTGCTCCTTTCAAGAATAAGATTACCGACGAACAAGTTAAATTGAATGTTTAATTATATCTCCTCTCGTGTAGGCTACGGAAAATACGAAAACGATTAGTCAGTTTGAAAAGCCTTAAAGTGTGTGCTCAGAAAAGAGTATATTCACAGTCCGACTGGTCCTCATCATCACCGAACTCCTCGTAGAGCTGTGAAGAAGTTTAATGCTGAGATGCAAATTAAATGTTAAAGACATCGAAAAATGTCTAATAAAACACAGAGTTGGGAACTAGCCCTTCTCGGGCTGATCCGCCGTATCTGAATAAAGAAGATCAAGCAAAAATATGTTCCACTTATGCATTCGAACAAAAATCAAATCATCGTTGGTTAAAAGGGCCAAGTTTTTAGGCGACTTCAAAGTACTACCTCGCAAATAATTTCCAACACTTGAAGCAAACCCACTATAGCTGTCACCCGCTTCCTCGCGTATAATCTCCATTTCACGCTTTTTCTTGATGAAAGACACCATTCGTTCCAGCCCGTGAATCAGGAAATGCCAATGTCGAGCAAGAAGCGTCATCGAAGCCGCATAGTCTCGTGAATTAATTGTGAAAACAAAACCGTAACGTCTCTCACTGCCTCTAGCGTTCCCATCCCAGAGTTTAAATCCAACCACAACGTTAAATCCCCTCGTTTGATCATAAAAGGTAAGTGGTCGTCCATCATAACTCATAGTTTCTTCTGAGAATATGTGCCTTATAATTGATGTGACAAGTTGGTAACTTATCGCAGAATAATTAGTTGAAACGTAGCTCCTGTTTCTGACAACAGTCCTCATTGATCGACTAGACCCATATCCCGATGGGAAATGTGCTAAACACGATTCACAATAGGAGTCAGTTGGGTAATCGGGAAGTAGCAAATCTTGACTGTCCTTGGTACTCTGAGTAACCAATAAAACCCTGGGGCCATGTTTGTCGCAAAAATGCGCTAATGAAATTATCATATCCGCCATCTTAGCGCTCTCTCAGAGAGAGACCCTCGATCCTCTTCACGCTGCTTGTTATTTTAATTACAGGTTTAACGTGGACTGTGACACTCTCTGTTAAGTCAAGTTTGCTTGATACGAGATTTTAACATCATGCCCAACTTGCGGGCCAATTTTATATATTACATTTGCGGCGTTGAGGCCTGGAATCAGCTCAAAGACCATGGTTTATACTGCCGAGGATTCACATGCGAAATGCTGGGCAAGTCATCTGAATTTTTGACCAACCTTATCATGTTCTGACTCTCTTCTTGCTTTTCTACGAGTTTGATCCCAGAGGCGGCCTGCTCGGACAACATAACCAGTTTCTTGGAGACATTTAATTTAGATAACTCTTCGTTTAAGTCCGAAACTTGCTTGCCAAGAGATAACTTTTCATTAAGTAGCCTCTCAGACTCTTTAGAGTATTTTTCTGATTCCAGCTTTAGTGCTTGTTCAAGCACGTCAAGATTTTCCATCTTGCGATCGATCTTCTTTAAGGTCAAATTGACAAGATCCTGGACCGTCAATTGCGCTTCTTGCAAATATTTTTCTGATAGTTTTGTTGAATTGTCGTGAAGGTTGGTCGTTAGATAGGAAGAATTTTGGCCCTTAAGCAGTGCATCAACTGCGGCATCAACTACGTCTTTGACCTCAAGTTTGGGCTTCGTGGTGGTGGTGGTGGACGCAGTAGCGGACTGGTGGTGAGCCAGCCTGGGAGCAGCCACTTCATTGATATATTTGTCCTCGATAGGTAGCACCAAAAACTTTTCAACGCATTCTTCTAGGGTTTTAGATCCTCCGACGTGTTCCGTCACCTTTTCCCAATTGTCCTCATACATCTCTATACCTTCCAGAAGCAATAGAACTTCTTGATCCGACCATTGTTTCTTGACGTTGTTACTATTCTCCAGACGTAAAAAGTCCGAGGATGAGAAATGTGCACTGAAATGACCCTCCTGGAAGCAACGCGAGCACAGATTTGTGTCGCGAGATCGCAGATTGTGGTACCGTACACCCACGGCATCGTTACCACACGTATGGCATACGTAGGTCTTGTGAACTTGCTTAGACTGTTGCGAGTCATTCTGCAACGAGTTGAAATCTTGTGTATTATCAAAAACGTTTTTCCTTAATGAAAGGTTCACAGGAAAAGATTCGGGTTCCTTGAACTTTGGCACGCTATTTTTATTTTCTGATTTCTCATCAGACGAGTTCGTCTCCAGCTGCTGCTGCTGCTGCTGCTCTTCTTGACCGTTATTTTCATTGTCTTCATTCTGAACGTCTTCCAATACTGGGGGCACAAACGGCTTCAAGCCTTGAGGCGTATCTAGCACAACCTGGAAGTGACCCGTAAAGCTGGGTCCCACGAGAGAGGGCTTGGAACGCGGATCAACTTGATAATTGATGAGACCCCATTGCTCGAGAAAAGCATGAATTCGAACAATAGATGCAACATCCATTGCTACGTTCCTCCTCACCGCCGTAATCGTTAGGTATTCATAAGGTGAGAGCCGGTAAGTGTTGACCATAAAGTTCCGGACGTCTTTATACCCCTTTTCGCTCTTGAAACGCGACGAATCATCGAAAAAATCCGCCAACATCCTTCGCTCTATCTCATGTACCTCAGAGAATTGAAACCAAGAGGCAAACGATGGTACTATCACGGGATGCGTCTGTTTCGCTAAAAATCGTGTCGCCTTGTCTTCTAGTTTTTGAGCCTCTTGCTCGTAGTCGATCTTTGAGATCTCTTGCTGCTGCTGCTGCTGCTGCAAATGCGGCAGCATCGGAGGTGCACCGCTCGCCTCAAGGTTGCCCTGTGCCTCTTGATTCTCTGCCATCACGCTAACGTCGCTGTTTTTACTAGGGTACATCGAGGCTTGAAAACTTTTGGTCTCTAATGTATACAGTTCGTTAAAGCACTGGAGACGAACATTAACGTCAACAGTGATAAAAAATTTGAAAACTACTTCGTAAAACATTACAAAATATAACGGGACGCTTGCACGTCGATAATGAGTTAAGTGACCGGGTAACAACTGATAATTGAACCCGATTTGATCACTACTAACGGCTTACAATTTGAGTTATCGCTATTTACGCACATGGGTATTAAGTGGGTTACGTTGGTACAGGAATGCGACAGATTACCTATCAAGGCGTATCGAGCTTCAAAGATCGCTTCCAAAGTAAGTCGAATCAGTGTTTTACCGGTTGTCACCGAGAATTGATGTCGCGAAATACTACACAGCTGAATTACGTGGTCGTCGCTTTCAACAATAGCGTACACACCTAAAACGGATCAAAACAAGTATCGGTCACCTGCGATAGCTTATGTCTCATTTTTTGAAAAAAATTGGATTTTTCACGAGAGCATTGAGTGAGCATCTTCGTGGGTTCAAGAGAAGACTAGGTTGTTGTGACAATGCTAGAGTTAAACTATCGTATAAAATGGCTACACGGTAATAAAAGTACGCAACAAATCTGCAACGAAAATGGGCGTACATCCAGGATGAAGAAATATAGATGAAACGAGACTCGTAAGAATTTGAAGCAATCTCGCAGAGAAATCAGCTGTCTCTCGTTGGATTACGTTTAGGTATCGACTCGCCAGACTCTCGCACAGTGCAGAATAAATCACTATACACGAAACAAGTCTTTGCCAGATTAATGTCTATCCTTAAATAGTGTTAATACCAGCTTGTTTCCAGGTAGCCATGTCAGAAACCAATCTGGACCCATACCAATCTATATTTTGTAAAATCGATAAGAAGTTATGCATCCATCATAATTTTGGTCTTTTATTTGCATGCAGAAGGCGCGTAGGAGCATCTTGAACGCGTTGAACAACGTTCAGCATTCAACACCTAATGTTTTTTCTCCGATAAGTAAACATCTACGTAAGTATGGCGGGAGCCCGTACGGAAAGTAGCAAAGGCATTGAACTGAGAGGAGACGCTCTACGACTCCTGCTGCTTTTTGTTCCGGCAACAGATGCCAACGATGGTATAATTAACATGATGAAAAATAGTTTCCGAAACCTTCAGAATTGAAACCATGAGATAAGAGCATAGGCACCCGAGGTCTTCGCATTGATGGCAGGAACGCGGGGGAGACGACGCTCAACTAGGGTTGATTACAAAGAAAAACAGGAAAATAATCTTGAAGCCGATGTTATAGACTCCTCATCGTCAGAGGAAGAATCTCCAGAATCGAAGCCGGTCTGGCTCAATGACGAGTACGTGGACGAGAAATCAGACGTAGAGTTGAGTTCCGACGATGAAAATGATGACGGTCTCGTAAACGAACTAATTGACCAAACGGCAGAGTCGCGAAAGCAAAGTCAAGCTGAGGATGAGATCGATGACGAAAGCGTCGACGATTCGACAGTATCGTTGAAACTCAGCAAGCTGCATGAATTCGTGAAACAAAGCCAAGTCTATTCCGGGATTATAGCCGAGAACTTGTTGCAGCGCACGCAGGAAGCGACCGACGCCGTAAAGTCGCAGGACGGCGAGAATCCTCCTCCCAGGAAGAAGAAGAAAATCACAGACTTTTTTGGTAAGAAGGCGGAAACACGTTCGGAAGATCAATCGCAAAACCTTGCACATGGTCAGCCCCAGCTGCTGAAAAACTGTTCACTAAAACTTTATCAGCTGGAGGGGGTAAACTGGCTCATCACCCTTTATGAAAATGGTTTGAATGGGATCTTGGCCGATGAGATGGGACTGGGTAAAACTTTACAAAGTATCGCCCTTTTAGCATTCATTTACGAAATGGATACACGAGGACCTTTCCTCATAGCCGCTCCCTTAAGCACTGTAGGCCATTGGGTCAACGAGTTTCAAAGATACGCGCCCGACATCCCAGTATTAAAGTACTACAATACGCAGGGACAAGGCGAACGTCAATCGATGATTAAGAAGTTTTTTAGGAAAACAGGTAACGAAGGCGTTGTGATCACTTCATATGAGATTATAATTCGCGATATAGACCTCATTCTATCTCACCAATGGAAATTTTTGGTTGTCGATGAAGGTCATCGTTTGAAAAATATCAACTGCAAATTAATCCGGGAGCTCAAGCGGATCAACACTTCCAATCGACTTTTGCTGACTGGAACTCCTTTGCAAAACAATTTGGCAGAATTGTGGTCATTGTTGAACTTCATTTTACCCGAGATTTTCGCTGATTTCGAGATCTTTAATAAATGGTTTGATTTTGGCGACGATGACTTGAAAAGCTCGTCCTCAGGATTGAATAAGATTATCAATGCCGAATTAGAAAAAAATCTAGTATCCAATCTTCACACTATCTTGAAACCGTTTCTTCTGCGCCGTCTGAAAAGTGTTGTTTTGGCGGATGTGCTTCCGCCGAAGAGGGAGTACATTGTAAATTGTCCTCTAACAAAGACACAGCGGAAATTTTACAAAGCCGCGTTAGGTGGGAAACTCAAGCAGGCCGTTTTCAAGCAGGCCGTCAAGGATTTTTTTACACTGAATAGTTCCCACATTGGAAATGTGAGCCATAGATCTATTCGCGATTACATCGAGTATAAGCTAACATCAAAAGACCAAGATTCAGCCTCTGACATATTGAAGCAAATGGACGAACTTTATGAACAAAATGTTCACAGAGAGTTGAGAAACAAGCGTCTTCAGAATATGATGATGCAACTGCGCCAGATTGTGGATTCCACGTTATTGTTTTTCTTTCCCTATATGAATGCCGAAGATATGACACTAAAGCAATTGCTCAAAGTGTCAGGTAAGCTCCAAATTCTGCAGCAGCTCGTACCAAATTTGATTCAGAAGGGCCACAAGGTGCTCATCTTCACGCAATTTGTCACAATGCTTGACTTGCTACAGGACTGGTGTGAACTGAACGATTTTGCAGCCTGTAGGCTCGACGGTTCAATGAACAACGAGGAACGGCAGGAACAGATAAACTTGTTTAATGACAAGAAGCGAAGTTACAGCGTTTTTTTAATTTCTACTCGTGCCGGTGGCCTGGGAATCAATGTCAGCTCTGCAGATTCTGTGATAATTTTCGACAGTGATTGGAATCCGCAGGTAGACCTTCAAGCCATGGATAGAGCTCATAGAATAGGCCAATCCAAACCTGTCATTGTTTATCGCTTGTGTTGCGACAAAACTGTGGAGCACGTCGTGCTGACTCGCGCTGCTGGTAAGAGAAACCTAGAGAAAATGGTAATACAAATGGGAAACTTTACTACTCTGAAGAAAATGGCTAAAGGTGAAAGAGGGCTGGCAAACATACCGGGTGCCACCTCTAGCTCTTCTTCAAATAAAGAATTAGTGAATGAGCTTTCTCAGCTTTTACTAACAGGTTCATCAAGTCTAGATTTTCAAGGACAAAAAGACGAGGGCAAATTAACGGACGCCGAACTCGAAGAACTGACCGATCGATCACAGAAGGCATACCGACTCGATAGAGATCTAAGCCAACACCCTCATATCAAGTTATTCGAGAGCAGTTCTAAGCTTGAATAAGACCAGGAAAAGGCCGGGCAAAATTCACGCACGTGACCAGTCATTAACCTTACGTGTTCGTATTAAGGTATCTAATCAAGTTTTTAATGAAAAAGCCCTTGAAGGCCCCTTAAACCTTTTCCAGAATGCTAGCAAAGACGAGGCAAGCGAGTCTGATCAAAGGCAAAATAAGGTTGGAGCTTTAAGATGGAACAAGCACCAGGCTATAACAAGGAGTTGGCTTTGTTTCAGCGGGAATTTGCTGCAAAAAAGCCTCAAGATTTCTTGCAATTCGCCGCAAATTACTTCAACAGAAGACTAGAGCAAGAGCGGATGTTTGCTAAAAATCAAGAGCCAGTGATGGGTTCAGTAGGTGGACACTTGTCTCCTTCGGCAGCTGAATCAACTTTGAGCGGTGTCGGTAATGCCATCAGGACGGAGCAGCCTTTTGCTGCGGGTGTTGAGGAGGAAGATGTGCGCTTTAAATCACCATTTGGAGGACCAGTCACACAAGCATCGGCTTCGTCGACTACGAAAACTGGAGAAGAGTCTGAAGGGTTACCCACGATATTCAAGGACAACTTTTCCGTGACACAGGTTTCCGAGAGCAATGCTCGCAATCCAGTGGATCCTAGAGCACCAGCAGCCACTTCGGGCTCTTTCAACACAGAAAAGAAAATCTCTATGACCAGGAATTCGATAGTCGGTGAGCAGCCATTGCCAATGAACTTTAATGCATTGAGAAGGACATCTGTGAGCGGTGAGACACTCAAACCGGACAATTTGGACGACTGGACACCTGAACATTACGTCGAGAAATCCGAAGAACAACTACAGCGACTCGAAAAGGCAATTGGCAAGAACTTTCTTTTTAACAAGCTTGACACAGAGTCCAGGAGGCTCGTCATCAACTCGCTTGAGGAAAAATCAGTGACTCAAGGGACTCAGATTATTAAGCAGGGTGATGAGGGTGATTACTTTTATGTTGTGGAGTGGGGTACTGTGGAATTTTATGTCAATAACGAAAAGGTCAATACCTCAGGAGCTGGTTCAAGCTTTGGTGAACTGGCTCTCATGTACAATAGCCCCAGGGCCGCAACTGTGGTGGCTTCAACCGACTGCATACTCTGGGCCCTAGACCGCTTGACGTTTAGGAGAATTCTCTTGGGACGTTCTTTTAAAAAGAGAATACTATACGACGAATTCCTGAAATCAGTGCCGGTTTTGAAATCGTTGACCACATATGATCGTGCCAAACTTGCCGATGCTCTCGACACGGAACTTTATAATCCAGGCCAAATGATTATTCGTGAGGGCGATGCTGCAGACAATTTTTACTTTATTGAGTATGGAGAAGCAGAGGTTTCCAAGAAGGATCAAGGAATCATTGCACACTTGAAAAAGGGTGACTACTTTGGAGAAGTTGCGCTTCTAAACGATCTTCCCCGTCAAGCCACGGTCACTGCAGTAAAAAAGACAAAAGTAGCCACACTTGGCAAAAGTGGGTTTCAAAGACTTTTGGGTCCCGCTGTCGAAGTTTTGAAACTGAACGATCCGACTCGTAGTGGTCATCATTGAATTAGGTCATTCCTCTGGTGGTTGAAAGCTCACGAATGCGAAGAATGAAGATCTCATCCCCCACACGTAATTGAAAATTTGTTTCAAGTCAATTATTTGTATCATAAACCGCATCGCGTTGTGGTTGCTCAATGACATGGAATTTGACGCTTAGTACATTTTACATATAATATAAAGCTCGCCAGAAATCCAACACAATGACGCTCACCACGAGCTGCCGGTGTAAAAAGCTTTTTGGTTGTACATCCACAGTAACGAAGTCGTGGAAACCACTAGTGGTCCAAGGAACCCTTTTCCAAACTTGCAAGTACGGAAAAGAATCAATTCGCTTCCAAAGTGAAGTAGGGCAACAATGTAGGAGATGAAAACCAATTGAAAGACATGTTCCTCATTGAGATACAGGGCACCGTAAAGTCTAATCACACTGCTAATAAAAGTCCAAGTACCAAACGTTCTTGCGCTCAATGGTGTTACTTCGGAAGGTTTACGTTCGTAAACTCTTCTAGTAAGCTCTAATCCAGAAATGTAGGTCTGCAATGAGTTGAAAACCGATACGACAGATATAAAAAGAAGCCATTTGGGTAAATAGCCCGGAGGCATGGACTTCAATGCGTTTTCAGTAGACGTAACAATTGTTTGAAAGCTCAACATTGGTTCAATTGCTTGTTTTGGTGCAGAAATGAGTTAAAAGGTTTACGGGTTAGGACTATTTTCACTATTTAAACGATTTTTAGTGTACGACGGACGATCATCAGTCGCTTGAAATAGCTAAAATACCCAAAAACCCAATGCTGGTAATGGATTTGTAGATTTTACTTGTAATCATCAGGCTCTTCAAGGTAAATGTCGACAGAAGTCTCACCGATGGAATAACCTTTTAGTGCTATGTGGCCTTATATGCAGATATCGGTATTTTAATATTACCACTTGGCGGCGGCCTTATATTGCAAGAAAGCGACAAATTCTGTGATAATGGAAAACGATGGATTTGAGGTGACGACTAGATGAAAGAGATGTTTGATTAGCTGGTCTGTGCCAGAGGGTTAGGAGTATTTTTGCTGTGCGGCATAAATGGCCGCTATTTCTTAAATACACTTCCTTTACGAGCGTTGTTTCGTCCTCAATTGATAACTCATTGAAGCAAGGTCCTAATCCCTTTTTTTGAGTTCTCTATAACTCTATCGATCGTATTCATGGTAGCGAAGCTTTTTACAAATGAATGGGGCCTATTGGCCCTTTCAATATAACTGTTTATTGAGATTAACTGATGACGATTGACAAAGTATTACAAAAATTCAATTGTTTCTGCGGAAAAAGACCTTCATCATACTATATTATGCTTTGATATTAACACATACCTATGCGAAAACCGTGATCTCGAATTTAGACAAGACTTGTCTATTCATACAGGGATATCCGTCCATGTAATAACAATGGCAAAAATACTACTAAAGAAGGCCAAAACAGTCAGATAAAGCGCGTATGATTGATTAAGCCGTTAACTGTAGCCTGATTGTTAGCTGCTATGTCATTTTTGTCGTTAGTCTCATATGAGGTGACAATGTCTTCTGATTTTCGGAGCTGGACTTGACGAAAATTCGTTTCTCGATCAATTAACCCCTTTATAAATATTCAACACGCTTAAAAACAGTACGATCTCCCAATCAATTTCGGTCCAGCAATGAGTTCCGAAAAGTTTGAGGCGGCCATGGATTTGCTACGTAGGCTTGACCCTACAAAAGTTGAGAAACATTTGACGCAGCTAATCAAATTGGAACCTGAATTAGCTGAAGATCTTTTGGCGTCCGTCGACGTCCCACTTCAAGTCAAAAAAGATCCCAATGCATCTCATCGAGAGTTTTTGTGCTGCGATTATAATCGAGACATCGATTCGCATCGTTCCCCGTGGACCAATGTATACGTGCCGTCATTAGAACCGGAAGACGCAGAAGAATCCCCTTTCCCATCGGAAAAAACCAGGCAACTTGAAATACTAGCCAATGACTCCTTTGATATTTATAGAGACTTATACTACGAAGGTGGTGTTTCGTCTGTGTATCTTTGGGATCTCGACGACGCGACCGACGATTTCGCCGGTGTGATATTGTTGAAAAAGAGTGAAAATAGCAGAAGCTCGTGGGATGCAATTCATGTCTTGGAAGTTCTGAATAACGGAAATAAAGCAGAATATCGCATCACCACCACGATTATCCTGCATTTGAATTCGGGGTCTCAGAAAACAACGCTGTCTGGGAATTTGACAAGACAAACCGAAAAGACATATGAACTTCCCACTGGAGTGCCTCATGGAAAGCTGCAGGTTTGGCACACTTCGAACCTGGGCTCCATGATCGAGGACGTGGAAAGCCAGATGAGAAACATACTAGAGGTTGTCTACTTCGATAAGACTAGAGACATCTACCATGAATTAAGAGACGGCAGCTTTTCGGCCACCAACAGCAATAGAGCTGCGCATGAACAAGTCATCAAGGGCTTGCAAGGAATGTGATTTGCCGAGACCAACGTCCCGCTGGTCGACTATTCTACATAGCCTTTACTAGGATCGCTTTGTTTTGTTAGTCGTATGACGAGAGACATCAAAAATTGCAGATACAATTTTACAACTCTCTTGTAATTGTCGACAAGTGTAGTCGAATTTCCATATTTCGAAACGCTTCGAAGAGGGCTCTCTGCAAGGCTTGTTTCATCGAGGTTTCATCATTATGAAATGCCGAAAGCGAAGTGAGGCTAGGGTTTACTCTACGGTGAATGATGAGAGGGGACAGGCATACTGGGACTATGAAAACACGACAATTGACTGGTCGAGCGATACGAGTGGTTACGAAATTGAAAACAAAGTGGGGCGTGGCAAGTACTCTGAAGTTTTTCAAGGTGTTCAGCGCATGAATCAGATCAATATTGTTATAAAGATGCTTAAACCAGTGAAGAAGAAAAAGATTAAGCGTGAAATCAAAATTTTGACAAACCTTTCGAATGAATCGAACCCGACTACTGCTCTGCCGTTCAACAAAGATAAATATTATGACAACAAAGACCCGGAAGTGCTAAAATTTATGAGAAAGGAGGTCTATACTTTGCCCCACAATGGACATGATAACATCATTCAATTGATGGACGTGGTGCGCGATCCAATCTCGAGAACTCCGGCTTTGATTTTTGAGCACGTCAATAACGTTGATTTCAGGACATTGTATCCTACTTTCAAGGACTCCGATATCCGGTTTTATATGTTCGAACTTCTGAAAGCTCTGGACTATTGCCACTCCATGGGCATTATGCATAGAGACGTCAAGCCTCACAATGTGATGATTGACCACAAAGCACGCAAGTTAAGGCTGATAGATTGGGGGTTAGCAGAATTTTACCATCGTAACATGGAATATAATGTCCGAGTGGCCTCCAGATTTTTCAAGGGACCTGAGCTGTTGGTCGATTACAGAATGTACGACTACTCCTTGGACCTTTGGTCCTTTGGAACCATGCTTGCATCAATGGTTTTCCAAAAAGAACCTTTTTTCCATGGAACAAGTAACACTGACCAGCTTGTTAAAATCGTTCGTGTCTTGGGCAGCGACGATTTCGAAAAGTACTTGTATAAGTACCAAATTACCCTTCCTCGTGAGTTTCACGATATAGATCAATACATTAGACGTCCTTGGCACAGGTTCGTTAACGATGCAAACAAACATCTCTCGGGAAATGATGAAATTGTAGACTTGATCGACAACCTTCTAAGATACGACCATCAGGAGAGACTTACCGCCAAGGAAGCCATGCAGCATCCATGGTTTGCTCCAGTGAGGAATGGCGAATTTCCGTGAATGCGTTGGAGAGCGTTTTTCTTTTTTCTCGTTTTCTGATCGTCAATTGTACAATATAGATTATTTGGAGCACGTCAATGCAAACGTTGGCCAACGCACCTTTCTTACCTTGGCAATTATTTCAGTATCTTTGCTCATTAGACTGCCGCTCAAAAGATAAACTCGATATTTGTCAAAGTAGAGATGCAGATCTTGATTTTCACACACGAAGATCTGAAACCGCTTGGTCCATTCGATATGCCCCAAAACAGTTAATAAACATTCAATAATCATTTTTTGGCGCTGGGTCGCTTGAGTTTCGTCCAAAGTTTGCATGCTTTTCGAATTGCTGACGATTCTTTTATAATTGAGCTTGCTGAGCCTTTCCTGATATATCTTTTCATGAGCAGCACATGGACGCTTGAAAAATGTCCCCACTCCTTTGGAATGCTCGATAAAGCGAATGAGAGAAATTTCTATAAGCCGCATCAAATCTTTAATGATCAAGGCGGCGACATCAAATTGTTGGCGATGAATTTTAAGGTTTACTACCATCCAGATAACGCGCCAGTGATAACTGCATATTTTGGAGAGTAACAAAAGGGGCCTTTCAGTTGCATGATTGGTATACTCCGCCAACAATTTCAATAGCTGAGATTTCTTGTCGAAGGACAAGAGAACCTCATTTCTAATGAAGTGTGATATCCACTTTTCTGTCAATGTTTGAACTGTGTCGCTGTCATCGGCTCGAAACGTAAAGTGAGAAATAATTAAAAGCTGTAAGCAATCGCTGAGAAGGCCAGTCTTTTTTTCCTTCCCACAGTCTATGTTTCGCACCCCCATAAGCCACTTGATTCTTTGATAATTCGGCAGTAGAGCATTTGTAATGTCGCGGGTGTCTAAGTCATATGCGAGACTTTCGACGATGGACTCGTGGGACAAGAAGGAACCTATGGAGAAACGGTGATGCGACAGAAAACCTTGGACTGGCCTTAAATGGGGCAAAATTGCGTTTGAAACCAGTTTGCTTAAATCTGGGTCTGATGCTAGGGTCTTTTCAAGCAAAAACTGTTCCTTGACCGCGAGAAAATCCCCTTCTTCTCTTGACAAACTCTTTAATAAACTCTCCTGGCCCATATAATCGGTCTCTTTGTTATGAAAACGCTTGAGAAACTGATTCCAAAGTGTTGGATTTCTTCGTTTGATGACAGCGAGAGCCTTTGATAAGATATAGTAAGTAAATTGCCGCCGAACTAGAAAGAAAACCCAAGCGTTTCACAATTTTTACATACGATTAGAAGTTCAACGTCTTCTGATGTGTGGAGCTTCTCACCCTTCCCTGATGAACCCATTTGTATTTATATCCCTGTTTCCGTTTTTTCAATAGCTGAACGGATAGGATGGTCGTGCTAGAAATAAGAATCCGCTCGGCAGTTTCATAAATGCTGCTAAATGTGAGGAAAACAAAAGAGAAATCCTCGTGAAAGAAAGAATTTGTGAACGATTCTGATGATTAAAACTTGCCTAATGTACAAACAATGATTCTATAAGTTAACTTCTGGTGACAATGCTTACCAGAACCGTGTTACCATGATCAAAATGAAAAAAAAAGATACCGTAAAACCTTTTATCTCAGATACTCATGCGAGAAAAACTCGTGTTCAAGCTTTTCGCAAGACAATTTTCGCTTGATTGTAATTTGATAAGTCCAATGTAGCGGTACTGTGCTTTATTGTTCTCTTACCCGTAGAGCACACAGTGTATTTATGGACATGGAAATCTGAGATGCGAGCAGAAAATTTAAAAATCCCAGAAGAAAAAGCCCATTCGATGATTAAAGCAACAGACTTTAATTGAGACCGTGGAAGTTTTGATTTGGGCCAGCCAATGGTTTCATTCCCGTTTCTGTAATGTTGTGATCAATCTTCAACATTTCTTCGATCATATTGAGCTGCTCTTTGGATCCGCCACAGGTCGCCATGTGAATCTCGGTAAACTTTTTGAACTTGGAAACTAACTTCTCATAGTAATCAATTTTCCTTTTCAGGTCTCTATTGACTCGACTAAGATCATGCACATCTTTCTGGAGCTGCTGCTGTGCCACTTTCTTTCTTTGTCTGCATTTCGATGCAGCAATTCTGTTTCTTTCAAGCAGTCTAGCCCTTTTCCACGCAGATGTGCCCGGTAGAGGGTCCTGGTGATAAGGTCTGTAAAACCTAGCTTGTTGATTCATTTCGCCTTGATAGCTTTCAAATGGGAGTCCATATTGTGGTGGTTGAACAGGAGGGACTCCGACAAGTCCATCCCCTTCTAAAGAGTCGCCTTTTTTGGTCACAGCGTCTGAAAAAGTAGACAAAGGAGTCGGCAGCGCATGGTTCACTACGCTATCAATCGCTCCAACGCCGTCATTCACGGCTGTGGAGCTGGACGGCGTTACATACGGTGCGTTGGAATGAGGTGGAACCGTAATATTTGACACTGGAGTATCTTTCTGATACTTCACCATTGTGCGTGGCATGGATTTCATCGGTTCGTGCCGCAGAGGCATTGGAGGAGGCTGTGAGTAATACAGGTCTTCGACAGATCCAGTCTCGTCGCCCAACTGGCTTATCTGGCCGTTCGAGATCGAGATTCTCCGTCTACGCGGTCCATCGGAGCAGTTGGCAAGCGAACTCTGGAAAATAGGAGGGTTGGTAAGGGGCAGGTGCGACGCATCCACTCCGAAAGGCTGGAAAAATGGTGACAAATAATCTTGCCAAGTCGACTCCATACCGATGTGACCACCGTGAGCTGCATGTCCAGTATTACCATTATCATATGCACTACCAAACTGATGTGTCATGGGTCTTTCTGATCCACTCCCACCGACACTTCCGTTTACAAACGAGCCTGGAACGTCTCCAAGTGGGATGGAGTTCATGGGGATTCCATGACCCAGATTTTCAGTCTTGATATTAATGCTTTCCATAAAGTTTAATACTGAAAGACGAGGAAAAGAGGACGCGCTATTTGGAAAGCTATTGCTGGTTCTTCACCTCAAATTCTATCACAGCCAGTTGTTTGAATCCTGCTCACTTTTTTCCCTATAAATTTTTCAGCTTGAGTTGGTTGATATGATACCACCTTACGAAGACCAGGCTCATTCCCAGCTTAAAATCAAACCATCTACGATAAACGCAGTTTAACGCAGAAAAGAGACCATAGAATCGCAAAAATGTTGAATTTGTGAGATTGGCCCAGTTCCGTTTTCAAACTAATGTATATTGACAGTTTTTCTAGCAAATCAGCCAAACTTTAAAGTGAGATTTGGTATGGTCACGTGACTTCATGATAGTAAACAAAGGCTTTCTTGTTGACCTAAGTCTGGAAACTTTTGAGTAAAGCGAGACTAACAGCATTTGAAGGAGGGCGTCTTTCTATCCTCCTGCCATCTTTATAGTGGATTTTATGGGTTTCGGTAAATCCGATATACTAATAGAACATCAGCGCGGTATGATGATCTTGGGGTACCCGGTCTTTTCGCCAAATCTTTTGATTCGAGGGGTGGATCCTCCCCATTTTCAGCTTATATGTGAGGGAGGTGTTTTTGTCGAACCTGAAGAAATCAAAGCTGGGGCAGGTATGTATCCTCTGGACCTTAACGAAGCTGGGAAGCGGTTCAAGTGGTTTGTGTCGATGGATCACGCCGGGGAGTACGACACCGATGATCAGGGCTGGTGCTACGGGTGGAGGTTTCGAACAAGCAAATGGAAGCCGCGAAACGGATTTGTACGAAAGAGATTCTGGATACGGCTTCCAGCCGATACAAACGTGCTTTCTCTCGACGCCTGTGGCGACGTGGGCGGCTTTTCTGGCAGCGACGAATCACAAGAAAAGAAGACAACTATGTTAAGTGAGCCAAAAGCCGTTAATACTATTGAGGATCACCTTTTAACTCGACTCAAAAATGCGCTCATAGACAGACAACGATTGGAACTGGTTTTCGACTTTCTCGAAAAATACGTCCGTTCGACTGCCAGCGACCCAACCGCGGATGGAAGAAGAGAGCTTTTGGATGCCGAAACTCTCGACAAAATCTTGGTTACTTTTCAATACCAGGATTCCAAAGAAAGGTTTCTACAGCGGTACAACGCGTTGTTAGTTTCCTTGCAAGGGATGCAAGGTGGCAGTTGAAAACTCAGCCACAGCATTTGCGTAGAACATAATAGAAGTGTATCGTGAACCAACTAAAGCCTCTACGACTTGCAGCCTCAACCCCGGAGTCATCTGTCCGGTGCAGCAGAATGCCTCCGGGTTATCGTCAACTAAAATCAAGAAAAGGTGAATTCTCCGAAGCATCGCTACAATACCACAACCATATCTATCCTCATTAGCCTCGAATCTGGTGCGTTAACCAGTGAGAGTCTTCAATATGCTCTTTGTGAGCCCTTTCATAGCCGTGCACGTGATCAACCAGCAAGAACGAGAGAGTTTCTCATGGATCAATGCCGTTTTAACAATCAGGAAAAAAATTTTCAACGTGTTGACGCTAGTGAGGCCGAAAGGGTTTTGTGAGCTATCAAGGATTCCATTATAGGGCTTGGCTTTGAGTAACGACTAGAATCATTTGCGCTGTTCAAAATGGCTCACAGGAAATTACAACAGGAAGTGGACCGAGTATTCAAGAAAATTAGTGAAGGTCTGGAAATCTTCGATACTTACTACGAGAGACATGAGAATTGCACGAATAATCCATCGCAGCGAGACAAACTGGAATCTGATTTGAAAAGAGAGGTCAAGAAACTGCAAAGATTGCGAGAGCAGATCAAAACATGGCAGAGCTCGCCGGAAATCAAAGACAAGGACGCTCTGTTAGACCATAGGCGGTCTGTAGAGGTAGCAATGGAAAAATACAAGGCAGTTGAAAAGGCTTCAAAGGAAAAGGCATACTCGAACATAAGCCTGAAAAAATCGGAGACTTTAGACCCGCAAGAGCGAGAACGAAGGGATGTAACGAATTACTTATCTCAATGTGTGGATGAATTGGAAAGGCAGTATGATGCGCTACAGTTGGAGGTTGACAAATTGATATTGCTCAACAAGAAGAAAAAGACTTCCAATCCTGCTAATGACGACAAGAAAAACAAGCTAAAAGAACTTCAGTCAAGGTATCGATGGCATCAGCAACAAATGGAGCTAGCCCTGAGACTGATAGCCAACGAAGAGCTGGACCCCGAGTCCGTGAAAAGCATCCAAGAAGACATCAATTATTTCGTGGACTCCAACATGGAACCCGATTTTGTCGAAGACGAGACTATCTACGATGGTCTTAATCTTGACGCAAACGAAGCAATTGCGCACGAGGTCGCAGCATCTTTCGCAGCTCAAAATAACGAAGATTCTGAAGATGAGGGTTCAAGAGACTCCACGAAGCTTTCTCGAAAAGAACAACGTAAACTGGAAAGAGAGGCAAAAAAGGCTGCCAAAGCAGCTGCAAAAGGCGATCAGGATATAACGAGCACCGTGATCCCCAGTTCACCAAATTCTGCTGAGGAAAAACCAGAATGCTCAAGTCAAAAACGGGTGGTATCGTCCGATATATCAAGAGAGTCTCATTCGGTGAGCGCATCGCCATCGCCTTCTCCAGTTCTTTCATTTAAAGCTCCCTCTACGGCTCACACAGGCCCTTCGTCATCTGGAGCATCACATGGCGACTTGGGCTCCAGTGGGAAAGCGAACGAATCGAAGCCCTTGGAAGTGGTTTCGAAGCCAGACACTCTGGAGGCTACAAGTCACACTCACATTCACCAGAGCCTAAACGGTATAACAACTAGCACTCTTAAACCAGCGACCCTTCCTGTTCGCCCTGCTGGTGAGCTGAAATGGGCTACAGCAGCTGCTCAAGCTTCTGAAAAAGAGAAAAAGACCAACGCATTGTCTTTTTCAGCAGTCGCTAACACATCTAACACAGGTTCGACTTCGAACAGTGTGTCAAACAGCGTGGTCAATACCCCAGTAGTGGCGAAGTTGGCTTTGTCGAATTTTGTCACTATTGACAAGCTTGCATCCTCGCCGCAAAGCAACGATGACAGGAATGATGGACTGCGAAAGTTTGCAGATCAAAAGGAATTCTTAGGTGACTTGTCTGGTTCAAAGGCGGATCTGAGGGGTGACTTAGAGAGTACTTTATCAGAGTTTGATTTTTCAGAGGAAGACTATGAAACTGAAGTGTCCGAAGTCGATTTTGATGAGGAGCAACCAGAGCATCAGCTAAGTGCTGATGAACTTAACGGGCAGATAGATGCAAGGGCCGCGTTGTCAAATTCTTTAGCTAAGGACTATGAATTACTGACACTACCCAGTGGAATCCAGGATTTCATAGTGAGCTCGCTCTTATCGAGAAGCAACATTAATAATGGCACCAGTAACAGCAAAAAGAGTGCCTATCAGGCGCCATGCAATTTCTGTTCTTCTCGTATCGAACCAATCCCACAAGGCGTCAATCCTCCTTCACCCCTTGACGCTTTCAGGTCTTCGAATCAATGGGACCTAACGCGCGCTTCCCTTTTTGATGACTTTACGAATATTCATGATAGTGATGAAGATAAGTTCACTAAAACTCTGGAGAAATTCAGGCCTTTGGAAACCTTTTCTCTGTTTTATTCGTATTATTTCGCAATCTCACCATTGGAACACGAAATCGCCGCATTGCTTCTGGAAGAAAGGAACTGGACGGTCTCTAAATCTGGAGACAGATGGTTTTTACGACATGGACAACCAAAATTCACCTCGGACAATTGCGAAATTGCCGATTTCAAGATTTTCAAACTTGACGATTGGGCTGTCGTCGACAAACTAAACTTCAAACTAGAATACGAAACGCTCAAACAACCACCGGTAGGTTTTTTAGATATTAGTCGGAGCCAACAGCTCTTGCAGCAGCTTAAGCAAGGAGTAATTGGTACGAATGCTCAAGGTGTAGTTGCGTAATACGATAACATTTACTTTCAATCTTCTCTAGGATGAAAATTAATTGCTTGGTCTAATCTATCATTCAATTTAGAAGCAATGTAAACGGTCGGTCACATAGTGGATAGCATTATGAAAATAGAATTCCACGAAACTCGTTATATTTATACAAAAATTTGCCAATAGCCAAAAAAATGACTTCTTGCAGCTTTTTAAAAACCGAACCACATTTGAGATAAAAAAATGGCATTCAAGCAGCTGCTCCTTGCGCCTGTTTAGCAGTGTAAGGATCTAAACCAGAAGCAATGTTACACTGATGCATTAGTCGTCTCTCGCCAGGCTTAAATTGGCCTGTTACTGCATGCCAAACACCTCTGTTAAAGAAAATGACAAGGTCGCCTTTATTCCAAGAATGCGCGTAAACATTGTCAGGCGCAATGGCAGGCCTCATCATTTTGTGTACTTCTTTGCGAGCTTCTTCTAAACCCAACTTAGTGCCATCAGGTAGTTCAAGCCCATTCAAACAACAGCCATGCACTTGAAGATGGTGCTCTTTGGTAACCGGGTTGGTCCACACCAAAGGTAGTCTTTTGATTTTGGACTCTTCCCATGGTGGTAACTGATCAAGTGGCGTTTCTTTACCTTCAGATACCATTGTCAACCCATCAGAAGTCGCCCTGGCTGGAGAGATGAAAATGTAAGGATGAGGAGCATACACGACCGTTGTTCCTAATGCCCTTTCTTGCATTTCGGGAGAAAGAAGCTTGAATGCATTGGCTCCTGAGATGAAAGCCGTCGCACCCTGGGTGACATCCAGAACGTCACCGTTATCCTCATACAAGATTTTTTGTTTTCTGGAGTGCGGCGGGACGTGAATCCCTAGTAACGTTGTTGCAACTGGGGGCGATAGTCCGTACAAGGCGGAATCGATGTGCCATCTGTAAAAACGAGTCAAATCTTCTTCGAACGCCTGTTTTTCGGTGAGCGGATCGTGGTGAAAATCGAAATGCGTTGGGTGCCTCAACTCAATCTCGCCCAAGCCGTGATGGCCTGCTGGCCATGTTCCTTGGCCCAAAACCTGTACCTGAGGCTGACCAGGAATTGAGGTCCCATCGCGTTTCAGCACAGAATTCTCGTGCCTAAACTCTTTCCCATGCCCATAGGCACCACCCAGTTGATCGCATGTCGGATCAAATCTTTTTGTCAATTTCCATTGCGATTCTGGTTCTAAATTTTCCATTCCGGGAATGACGACGACTAGATATTTGTGCACGGCTTCATACAAGGTCTTGAAATCCTCCTCTGACAATGCACTTGGATCATTGCAACCCTCCGGCAACTCGATGGTTGCTCCCAGCGGTTTTCCCTCAAGAGGCGTAACTTTGACTACCATTGTCCTATTTTAATCGTGAACTCAAACTCAATACTTAAAAGCTCGTTTTTGATGTGCGAAAAAGCCCAATTTAAATTCAACAAGTATGGCACAATCAAACTGATCCCTGTTACTGTTCAACAGCTAACGGACACACGATGGGATTCTCTTTAAACATTTGTTCCGACTCTTTATATACTGCCGATACTTATCAGTTCTGCGATTTGACCATCAACCCTTGAATTTCGTTATCGGCGATGCCGACCGGTAGAGCCGGTGAGGAACGTCACCGGTGATTTCCGTTGAGATAAAAAGTTAATTGAAACTCGAATCTCGTGACTCTCGTGAAACCAAGGTAAGGAACAAGTACTCGGAGATTACCAGTTTCATTTAAGTGATTGTACGTGAAACATGGTTTACTGATGGGACTGAAGGTCGCTTAATTGCTTGTATTTTTTTGCTGGGAAAGAAAAGCTAAAATTTGATGAGTTTTGGTGGAAACTAACGACGCAAGGAATGATGTCTTTGATGGGGCAAGCAAGTAGTTTTGAAGGGCAAGGTTCGTATTGAAACGGAGAGCCGATTTATAGATGATAGAGAAAAATTACGACTCTCGATTCAATTCAATAGTGAATTCTTGCAGTTTTCTCTCGACTTGATCCACTAATGGTCGACGGTTTAATCGGCGCTGAGAGTGAGCGATTCTTTCCAAGCCTTTTCGAAACTATCGAGAGTAGGCGATCTGGATTTTAATCGATTACCAATTACTCAATTACTCGAAACCCTGCCGACGCTGTAAGGCACCGTAGTCGAGGTCTGCAGTAATTAAACAACGTTAGATTACTTATATGGAATTATGTCCTCTTACCCAACCACCATTAGACTCCTGAGGAGCCAAATTCTAGAGCCCAATTTTCGTACTGCTCTAAACCGTCCTTAGATACTGAGGGTTTGATGTAATTGAGACTGTTCTTGAAATCGATCAGAGATATGGGCCGAATTTGATCGCGCGGTGTGAACAGCAGCTTGTCCCCCAATTCTCGTAAAGGTCCCATGGCAGCATCTTTCGCTAAAGAAGTGATATCGCTACCTGAGTAACCTTCGGTAAGCTCTAAAAGTGCTTTAAAATCCTCATCTTCAAGAGTATGCGTTTGATGCATCATCAATTTGACTAATTGAGTTTTGCGAGTCTCCGATTCCGGTAAAGGAATATACTGCCGTCTCACAAAGCGTCTTCTTGCTGCCTCGTCTATTTGCCAAGGTAAATTCGTCGCTGCCAGCACCAAGACTCGCTGGTCATCAGAGTCGTCGTCCCCACTCTGATAACCAGCGGCAGCGGCCGACAAAGAAGACCACTGTACAAGGAACTCATTCTTTATGCGTCGGCTCGATTCGTTCTCGCTCTCATTGCTCCTACTACCCATTATAGAATCGATTTCGTCCACGAAAATGATAGAAGGTGACAACTTCTTGGCGATCGCGAAAAGCGCTCTGACTAGTTTCTCACTCTCACCGAGATATTTCGAAGTGAGACTCGAAGCGCTAATTGAAAAAAACGTTGATTTTGATTCCGTGGCGACCGCCCTCGCAAGCATGGTTTTACCAGTTCCAGGTGGACCAAACAAAAGCATACCGCGGACTGGTTCTCTCAGACCTAAAAAGAGATCCGGTCTCAAAAACGGGTAAACGACAGCTTCTTTCAGAGAGTTTTTGGCACTTTCCAATCCTGCGATATCCTCCCAGTGTACTTCATCTCCATGGACAACAATTTCGGCAAAAATTTGCTTGGCCGCCGTCTTGTCGACCCCTCGCAGCTGTTCTATGATGTCGTCCTCTAAGGCTTCCTTCAAATTTTCATGTTCTTTGGGGCTCAATGTGGAAGGATGCTCTTCTGAAGAGGTTATTGAGCTTTTTTCGCTAACATCTGTAGCTTTGTTGAAAGATTTTTTGACAGCCAGAACTTGTTTCGGTGTTGGCTTGGGTGTAGGTTTCGCTTGCGGATTCTTGACTTGAATATCAATTTTTGCATTTCCTGGCTTTGCTTCGATTTTAGAGCCTTGTTTCAGTGATTTACTCGATACACCAGACGGTACTTTTTTCTTTCCAGCTTCATTGACATTTGAACTACTTTTACCTGGGCTTGGGCGAGTTTTGGCTTGTCGTACAGGTTTAAGTACATGCGATGCAGCCGTTTTGGGTACCGAAGATAAAGTGTTTGAATGGATAGCTGAAGGGCTTTCCTTGCCTATAAATGCTTTTGATTCTGCTAGTCGCGACGAGTTCGGTTTGGATGGTCGGTGACAGGGTGTCGTCGATGTCGTCGTTTTTTTGCTTGGAAGATTAGGTGAAGATCGAGTTTGCTTTAAGGAAACTTCAGGAGTTTTTTCAGGTTCAGCAAGTCCTAACGTGACAGCACCCATCGTTTTTTGTAGGCCGCCAAGAGTATGTAGGCTCTCCACGCTTTTGCTATCTTCGTCTTCATTGTCCAAGTACGTGTCAAAATACTCCTGAACATCGAAATCAAGAGAGGCTTGGTGGCCTGACTTTTCTAAGCTTACTGCATTCTCCTCTCCATCAGATAGATCTATCAAATTCTTTTCCTCCGAAAAATCTGCAAAAACATTCTTCGGTGTGAGTGGCTTTGAGTGCGTGAAGTTGATCTTTTGACCCCCAGAACGAGACCCTAGAGAACTAGACGTTGTATTTGAAATATTCGGCGCAGAAGCCGTATGCATTCGATGGTAGTTCATTCGGAGTGGCCGCAATGTTTTCAACATGGGTCGAGTAGTGGAAGAAGGAGGCGCTGGACGGCGAAATGAATCCGTCTGAGATCGACGTTCTTCACCCAACTGTTCGTTTTCACACAACTTTGCAACACGTTCCAGGTGCTGCAAACTCTTGTGATAAAGTTCTCGAATGCCATTCTGTATGCTGATCTCATCTTTCGTGTAGCTTTGAGATTTCGGAAATGTATGCTCAATCTTCGTTAGTTCGTAAAGGGTATGGGTATTCAGCGCTTTCCAGCCTTGTACCGCTTTTTTATATTCTCGTTTCTCTTCTAACTTCAAGTAGTATATGGATTCATTTGCAATTCTGCTGTACAAGTCTGTAAAGTCCGTTAGAGGCTGCTGTGGCTTTTTGCGAATTTTTGTCAGCTTCATAAGAAGACTTGTGTCTTTACCATTGTCCATCGCCGAACGGGTATCCTAAAAATCGATTTAAATGACGCCCACTACCTGAAGATCAAAAGTTTCATCTTTTCGAAAGCCGCTTCTGCATCTATTTACTGATTCAAAAGTTCATTGTTGGTCACGTGTATCTCTCGTAAAGCCCTATCACTATCACCAACAAGCAACTACAGCTATAGGACGACTAATAAAGACAGGAAGATCCCACTCAAGATGGTTATAACCTTGGTGAACCACCAAATATGCTGAATGGAGAATGGACATAATGAAAACGACCATTCCCACCTCTTATGCAAGACGTTAAAATGTCCAGTAAGTAGACCGGCGTTTCCGTTAAATTCTCCCATCATGGATTTGACGGTAATTTCCTTGATATAATAATTGGACAATTGGGGCTTCTTCGAAGCAAACCACTCTGCGGTTTTGGGATCTTTGTTGTAAAAAGTTTCACAGCCCTCGTGGTCATGACCAGTGAGAATGACACCTGGTTTCTCGTTATCGAAAATCAAATTCAGAACCCTTTTAGTTACGCCTTGGCTGAGATGATTTTGAGAACGTAATAAATTTGCTTTGTAGGGCTCTCTGGGATAATCCTCGGGATAATAGCTGAAGTACGGTCCGTCAACGCATATGCCTTCTTCTTTGTAGAACGGCACATGCGTCAAAAGGACCGTGCTGCCGTTAAACCTGCGCTCGAATAGTTGGTAAAGAAATTCCCAAGTTATGTCCAAAAACTCGTCTTGTAAAGCGGGGCCCTCTAGCAGTAGGGAGTTCAAGACGACGATACGCCACGCGTGTTCTGTGTCTGCGTCGTACTCTATCCAGTAGTTATCCTTGCCAAATAACTCTTGAAACCGAGCCATATGTTGGAAAGTAGCGTCTCCGGAATATCCAACATCATGATTACCGGTGATGTTGATAAGCAGATAGTCATCTTCGACTGGATTCCAAGCATAAACATTTTCATAGCCGAATTGGAAGTCTATAGGCGTTTTTGACATGTGTTCTGGCAAATCATCAGCGAAAGACACCCAATCGACCTGATATTGTCCGTTCATATCCTTGCTACCGTTCCGAATGTCATACAGCCAAGCAGGGTTTCTTTTCAGCACGCGGCTCGTGAGCCGAGCCGTTCGATTAAAGAATTCTGAATCACCAATCCACTGAGAAGAGAAAAGATCTCCCATCACAGCGACAAATTGAGGATTCAATCTGGTCCTCATCATAGAGAAAATGTGGCCCAAGTAATAATCGTTTCCAAAGGTATCCAACCGCTTAATGAGCGGAGTATTTTGCCAATTGCCCTTTATTTGCGGGTCCCCCAGTGCAAGCATGTGTATGTCGCGAGAATCTAATGCCTCCTCACCTTTTTGACGTTTCCATTGACTCAATACATCAAGGCCATATTGTTTAGCATAGTATAGCGTTTTTTCGGCTAACGAAAAGTCTTGCAGGTCGGCGCGAACCTGGCTTCCCTTACATCTCCAAGAGCATTGAAAAGGGAACAAAGATGGATAAGTAAAGATGTACACGTTAAAGATCAAAGCCAAAATCGTGCAGGCAGTTGCCAGGATTTTCAGCGGCTGCCTCAGCATCTTATTCTCGAGGTTCTCCGGTTCCACAAATGTGTTGAAGTTAATTGCCGATATCCTAATTTTCATTAATTGGATCAAGCATTATATGCGAAAAATACTAGTACATTATAAGCATATTATAGAGTTATATCAGAGCTCGTTAAACGCTTAGTCTAAAAAAGCTGAAATTATAAATTGAAAGGAGAGCGATATCACTTCTTGGCTTCTGTTCTTCTCCTTTTGCCCTGAGCATCGAGGATGAGCTCTTCGAAAACTCGTGCGTCTTCTGCCTCATCGGGAGATCTGACAGCAGAAGAAAATTTGTTTGCAATGTATAGAAGGGCTTTGGCTTTTACTATACGCTGCTTCGTAGGCACGTTTTTGTCGGTTAGGATTTTATCGCAAACCTCCTTAAGCTTGCCCTGAGCTTCGAATTTTGACATTACCCATGCTGTTCCCAAGACTTTTCCTGTAATAAATTTCTCTACCTCAGCACGCTCGTAATCATCCATCTTTTCCATGTCCAATTTTTCCAGCTCTTTCATTGCAGACTGTGCATCCATTGCCGAAGAGAGGATACCCCAAGCAGACTTGGCGGTTTTGGTTTTATCGCGGACACCGGTTATAAGCTTGCTGAAGCCGTGTGTTTTCTGAGACATGAGAAAATTGTTTGCCTTAGTTTTGTAGATTTTAGCAATTAGGTGCAACAACTCCAGCCCGAAACTTTCCAGTTTCAGCTCTTCTATCTCCTGATTAAGCTTCGCATCGAATTCGTCGAGGTGGTTGTTCTGTGCTGCCGTGACATAATGCGCGATTTTGTCATCAAGTTTCTTGCTTAACTCTTCGACTTGTTTCTTCTTCTCAGCACGTCTCTCATTTTCCATTTCGACTAGTCTGTCGCGCTGCTCTTTGGTCAATTTGTCCGAATGCTTAGTTGGTTTGCTAGTTTTTCCATCGTGATGCACCACATCCGTAGCATCGCTTTGTGTTGCAGGTGCTTCACTTTCATCTCCTATGATTTCCGCACCTTTAGAGAGGTTTTTAAGCATCGAAAACTCACCGATCCAGTCTTGGAACCCATCACCGCCAAAAATAGTCGTGAAGAACTCGGCAGCGTCTTCAAAACCTTGTTGGGGGATTGCCTCTTCTTTCCCGAATTCGTCGTAACGAGCTCTCAAGCTGTCGTCACTCAGTACCTGGTATGCTTCACCAACGGCTTGGAATTTGACCTGAGCTTCTGGATCATCGGGATGCTTGTCGGGATGTGTCAGCATCGCTTTTTTCCGATAAGCTTTCTTGATCTCAGCTGGCGTGGCCTTTGGATCAATGCCAAGAACATCATAATACTCGGTATCTTTCACCATGTTGGCTCCTAGTTCAGATCGGCGTCCCTCTCTCCGGGTGGCTTCTAGGCTTGGTTGTTGTCCGACCGGTAAATTGCACGACGGCGTTCACTAACTTTTCAATTTTAAAAGCTTGAAAATATTAAGTATGGATGCCTAAAATTAGAGATAAGTACGAGCAAAACACAACGTCAACAAAGCTTCTGGAAGCTTCGTAGATCTCATTAACCCTTATGCAAACTTTAATATTTCTGGCCGTCATTCATCCGACATTTGGCTTGTTTTTTCGACCGAGTTTTAGCCAATTAACAAAGACCGTTCAAATACCTCTATAACGTAGAAAAAACTCTCAAAAACTGGAGACGCATTTCTTCTAGCGTCGAGATGGCAGTGGCTGACACAAGTCTCTGCAGGTGTGATGTATGCATGTATTTCTGAACGTCGCGCCACATTTGCTGAATGTCTGCATCGGTGCGGAAGATGTGAACTATGGTTGGGATATCTTGAAAAAGCACACGGTGGGGACCACGAATCCAAGCCAGAACGGCTAACACAGCAACCGCAACATAAATCAATTTTCTTAGCGTAGCCAACAAGTGGCAGAATACCTTCCATAAAATATACGTTGCGACCACATACCCAAATATATTGGTGGCGACAGGGTGTTCACGCGCCGTTCGGGCACACAAAGGAACGGCACATTTAAGAATATATGCAAAATAGTAAAAAAACGTTTGCAAGATCGCAAAAACTATACTTGACAACGTCATTGTTCACTCTTGCAAGAACTGACATGTAGGTCATCTCACAATACATCTCTAGTCTTATAATTGATCGCGAAACATGCGTATACTTGTTCGTTATCACTTCTAAATTGAAGAAGTCAATCGACAAAGGTTCTATAGTGTAGTGGTTATCACTTTCGGTTTTGATCCGAACAACCCCGGTTCGAATCCGGGTAGGACCTTTTTTGCTTTTTCCTTCTTTCTTTTTAAATCGTATGTAGGGATGCTGAGAAATCTTTATAACTACTTTCATCTTTAACCGGGGAATTTCGGTGACCACGGATATACCAGTCGATAGGAACGGAATCATCATTTATTAGCTAGCTGTTGCCTCCTTAGCAAGTTTTGCAACTGTTCTGATACCGAAGTACAGCCTCACATGTCCGTGGCGCCCTCTAGGACCCAGTTTCTGTCGCTTTACCGGCAATACATCAGGAGTGCGAACAACTTCACGAATTATAACTTTCGCAAGTATTTTCTCAGAAAGGCCAGGACAAGCTTTGAAAATGGTAGCAAGTTGAATAACTCTCATGAACTTGACGAGTTTTGGCTGGAGGCACACAAAGAGCTAGCTGTTTTGAAGAGACAAGCCGTGGTTTCCCAGATGTATACGTTTGATCAACTTGTTGTCGAACCATTGGGAAAAAAGCAGGCTTAATAGTCCATCTAGTCCCTAGTGTTTGACTCTTTATTGCCCCCCTCCGCCACTTCGGTCTATGCTTTGCCCTGGTTGCTTTCAACTCTTGAGCTTTTCTCTACTCGTTCGTCAATGCGATAGAGTCCTGCTTCCCGTAACAAGGCAGAAAACTAACAAGAAGTTTTCTTAGCATCCTCCACCGCCCCCAAAGGGCTGGTACCTTGGCTGATCGTACTCCATCTGACCAAGCAGCTCTCCAAATGGCCTTCTATGAGCTTAGTGACTTTCGACAACGACGAAAAATTTAGGAGAAAGTCCCCCCTTTACGGGTGAACATTACCAACCAAGCGCTTGGGTGGGGCTCTTCTACACCAGTTTATCTAGGATGTCAATAGCTTATGGACCCAACTCTAATGTATATATTCACGTGAATTAGTTAGCCACTAACTAATGGTGTAATCTGAAAAATTTCAATGGCTGACAGAGAGTGTATTGGTGAAAACCAAAGGATTTATCTGCAAGGAAGCTTAAAAGCAGTAGAGAGTAGGCCAAAAAAGCGTTCGTTAGGATCTTGATGTTGAGCAATTTCGGAAGATCAGTGGCTTTAAGTAGCTGTCGCCTTTTTTCCAGCTCGTCAGCGAAGATGGACTATTCATTTAAGATCAAATTAACACCCAATAGAAAGTCCCAGGTAAATCTGAAATCCGGTGACAATAGCGCTGCTTCGCCTGCTACAAAGTTAAAGAGGCTGGATCCAAGGCTAGTGAAAAAGTTTCAAAGCGGTACTTACTATGAACCATTTGATTTCTCGCTGGCAAGACTGCATCTGGATAAAAAACTCGCTAGGAAAAACTCTTCAAATGATCTGTTTGACAAAAACGGCGTCGATCCACTCGACCTTTACACTAATCCAGAGTTTTTGTCCCGTTTCGTTACTTCCGGCGGTAAAATACTGCATAGAGATGTTACTGGCCTATCGGCTAGAAATCAGCGCCGACTTTCGAAAGCGATTCGCAGATGCCAGGCAATAGGGCTTATGTCCAAGACTCATCGCGACGTGTCATTCTTACCATCTCGAATCACAGGAAAGCTTTGAAGCTCGTGAAAGGCATACGTTATACCTGTACATAAATAAATTAAAGTTGTCGCTCGGGCGACGATTAGCGTAAGAGTTTTGATTGCGGCCCCTTAAGTTTAACATAAGCATCGGTACCCCATCCCCATAGACTTTGAATGTCCAACGTCCCACCGAACATTTCTAAATATGCTTTGCACATTGGCAATCCAAACCCCATTCCAGAAACATTCGATACTTCCGCACCGGGAATTATAAATGCAGACATCCCAGTGTCTTTTTCGTCCATCTCAACAGTACTGTAAGAGTAATCAAACATGCGATCTTCGACTTTTGGTGGTATACCGCCGCCATAATCTTGAATTCGGATTTCGAGAGTATCGTCGCTTCGAACAATAGCGACCTCGATGGGTTTCTCATGGGTAGGATTTTCGGATGTACTATTCTCTATGTGGGCTCTGCACGAGTTCTTGAGGAGTTCAGTCAAAACGTACTCCAGATCTGTCGGTATACAAGAGAACTCAATGTCGCTCCCCGTCGATATATTCACTGGAACCTGCTGGTCATATTTTACAAAACATAAATCGCCAACAAATTCTGCCACACGACGGATAAGCTCAGAAACCTTTAGCTTCTTGTGCAGAACGCCGATCATCAAACTGTCGGGATCTACCTGTGACACCAATTTCAAATAATGCGTCGCTAAGAGCTTCATAATAATGCGATCCCTCAAATGTGCGTTAAGAAATTCAAAAACGACTTCCTTTTCCGGGTATAGCCCCATTATCTCCTGAAACCCTTTTGAAAGCGTCAATAATGTGTCTTGATGATCGTCAAGAAATTCGGTCAGTTTGCCTTGCATCGAGGCCTGATCGTGAAGCCCGTAGGGATAATCCATGGACAAAAGACTCTCCAGAGTCTTGAGATAGAGACGATTGGTTTCTTCAATGTTGGGGTTCAAAACCGCGATGTAAGGCAATTTCTGCACTGCCACAAGTCGTCGACAAGTATACGTAAGCAGCTGGTTTATGGTCTTGATCGCCAACACATATTTTTCGTTATTTGTCAAAGGCGGTTTATACTGCGTCAGGTACTCATACGTTAGCGTCGGAATAGGCTTTCTGGCAAAATCTTGGATCAAAAGTCCGATGTTGGATCGTACGCGGTATACTTCTGCGAATCCCAATTTTGGGAGCAAATCGTGATGGTCCAACGCTTGACTTGGGCGAGACTTGGAATTTTCTGCAACTTGTAAGCTTTTCCCAGATGACGCTTCTAGCACGCGATTAGACATTATTTGCCGAACCCCAAGAGCCCTGGAGACAAATCTGGCAAAGCCATGGTTTCTTTCACTCATATTACGAATCATATTGGTCAAAAACGCTTGTTTATACGACAATTCGCCAGTAAGTCATATGCGAGCAAGTGGAAGGGACCTTAATAGAAGCGTCACAGGCTCAGAAAAGCTCGAAAAAAAGCTTACAGTATATTTCAAAACCTTTTCACTTTCCTAACTACCTTAAAGGGCTATAAAAACAATCCGAATTGCAATAAGCTTAAATTTTACCTTATATTTCAACCACTCTTTATAGTCTGTCTGGTGCTAAGTGTATCATCTAACCTTCTAGGGTAAACTTGAAAAAATCGAGCAATATATAAAGGCTTGTTTGTTATCTCTCAATGGATATATCGATAAAGAAGGACAATTCAAACAGACGAGCCTCTAGCACAACTTCGGACGCTGAGAACCATTTCCAATATGTCATTGAACTCGTTTACAGATTCTTTCAGTAAGAAATTCCAGGAACTTTCTACGCAGGTGAGTCAAGCTGCCCAGGATGCGCAGCTTGATAAAAGGTTCAAGGATCTTTCGCAAGCAGTGTCGCAAAGAACCCAGGATTTGACAACCCAATTACCCAACCTAGCTCAATCGACGCAACGTATAATGCAAGAAAAATTGGGGCAAGTGACTGATATATCGCAAATGCCCCAAGATTATGTGGAATTGGAAAACAGGGTTGACAGAATCAAACTGGTGTACGAGAATTTCTTGAAAGTCACGCAGGTGTATGAAAACGAGAGTTACGACTATCCTAGCAACGTCAGAGAGTCGGTAAACGAGTTTTCGAGCGTTGTTGGCGCGAGATTGCACGACCTTTCGCGTGCTGCGACAGCTGACGAAGCGCAGTCGATTTTGATCGCACCTGGCCCCCACAAGGATCCCAAAACACTTAACTATGCTCTCAGCAAAGTGGCTTTGACCTCTAGCGAATATTTGAATAAATCTTCTGGCGGGCAAGACGATGAGCTCGCTACTGCCTTGCTCAAGTACAGCGATGTTCAGACAAAAATTGCACAGGCAAGATTGCAGCAAGACACTTTAATTCAAACCAAGTTCAACAAGAATTTGAAAGAAGCTCTTTCTAAGGACCTTTTGGCTGCGCAAACTGCGCGTAAGAATGTGGAACACAAGAGACTGCAGTATGACATTTCAAGAGCCAATTTGGCGTCTGCTAAACCTGAAAAGGAAGCTTCTCTGAGAGTTGAAATGGAGGCCTACGAAGATGAGTTCGCGCAGGCCACTGACGATGCGGTAATTGTCATGCAGCAAGCTATCCAATCTTCCGCGTTTCTGAAGGATTTGCATGAGTTAGCTGTCGCCCAACTCGCATATCACAAGCTTTCTTCAGAACTTTTATCAGAATTTGTTCCTCAACTAGAGTCCACCAAGCAAGAAGAGGGAGAGGACAAGCCTGGTTTGTAATAACTTGGCTTGTTAAGCCTTAAGTTTTCTCTATGTTACAATAGTTTCTTTAAATCGTACTTAAACCTATTCTTAAATCGCTTTTTTATAAAGTCACTCTACCGTCTTGACATCCCATTGCATAGAAATATCCCAACGGCTGGACTTGGCAGCCCAACTAACATACTTGATAAATTGGAGTACACTCTCATCTCTCAAAACCAAATTAAAAGAATTCCATTGCGGGGGTTTGTTGATGAGAACAGAGTCTCCTGTGTCGTCGGTTTTGTAAACAGCTGCATCTTCAACGTCTTTGTCGGCATTGTCATCTTGATTGTCCATGTAAAGTTCGTAGCCTCCTACTTCTCCTGACCCCCATCCATCGGTAGGAGTGAGGCACAGGCTTCCTTCCAAAACGGCATCAACGTAACCCTCAACATTTTTCAAAAGCTCGCTTTTATTTATTTGAGTTGCCAAAGTGAAATCTTTACCTGGTCTGAATCTTCTGATCATAATCTGTTCACTGAGTGGACAAAGAAGTGTCACCAAAGCCAGGTACTTTTTGAAAATGGAACTTTGCAAAAACTCAACCACGTCAATTAGCTTACATTCTGTCTCGTTGGCAGAGGGGTCTAGCGTTTTTCTCAAAAGGGTATAGTTCGGCAGCTCCTCTTTGTTGAGAGTGTTGAGAATGTCCTGTTCGCTACCAAACTTCTCGTGAGATTTCCCGTCAATGTAGAGATACCTCCATTTGTGGGGAGGAATGGCGGTTTTCCAAGGATTTCTAACCTCGCTTGCGTTGTACGGACACTCTTTTTCCAGTTCGTCGGACTTTATCAGTTTTTTCAGCAATTCAGATTTCTCTTCATTCAGAAAGGAATCGATTTGTAGATGGCTCTTTTCCAAAAAGGTCTGTTGAAGATTCTTGATTCCTTGTTCGCTGAGATAATTTTCTGATAAAAATTCAGCAAGATATTCCACCTCACTATCGGTCAATATTCCAACGTCGGAGATAGCACTGAGAGGAGTTTCATCCTTTACCTCGTCGCTGACGTCATTAGCCGCAATGATCTTTTCGAAATGCTTTACCTGGTGATAAGGTAAAATGTCTCTTTCACTTTTCGGAAATTCGTAATCTTGCAAAACGCTTGATTCCAGTTGTGCCAGTGTACTAGTATTTGTTTGGACCCACTTCTCCTCCTCACCGGCTATATAGCCAGGTTCGTTTTCTTGAGGTATATGGTACCAACCTTGAATGGAAAGACGATGCTTGTTAACACGAACTTCCTCGACGTCGTGAAACGAAAATCCCGGCTGCACGTGGAAAAACGCGATCTGGTTGAATTGTGGAACTAATTTGGCGCTATGATCACTATGTGGAACATTCGCAACTATACTTGGGAAAAGTCTCAACCCTCCTCCATAGTGTTCTTTCCACGTTTTTCCGGGCTCTGGTAAATATAAGATGAAGCTAACTCTTCGGGATCCAATAACATCGTCGTGAGTCAGCAAATGGCATCCTTTGGTGTATGTATTAATGGACATGTCCATCTTGGAGCCAGAAAGCTTTCCTGCACCTGTCACATAAGAAATAACATCTCGGTAAACGGAAGAATACAGAATCTCCCGCAGTTTGCATAAATTGGGCAGCCTCGAAAGATCACTCCAATCCAGTCCAGAAAGGTTCGCTAGGTCTCCACTTTGATTTACCTTGTAGATATCCGTTTCTTTCTTCGTGAAATGAATTTCAGTTTCAATTTCTTTCCTTACGGCGCGCAACAAGTCATCGTTGACCAAATCGCGTATGGAACCCCAGTTGTAGGGCTTCGAAGCACTGATTTCGCTTTTCAGGCCTTGCTGAAATTCTGGATCCCAAATTTTCTCATTGAAAAGTGATTTCACTTTATCTTCCTCCATAACAGGCTGTTTAGCCTTGCTTTGATGCCTTTGACTCTCCGAGGATCTTTTCATTTCAGCTACTCAACTGCACCTTTAGAGTAACTCGAGCTGATGTCCCGATAGATGTATTTTATATACGCTCGTTTAGGATCATTCTTTTCAACGTCTCGATTGATCAACTGACAATCTGATGATCTCGAAATCGTTAAAAATTTTTCAGCTTTGACCTGTTAATTGTTAATAGCGTTGAGAGTAATTCGCTGACTGAGTTCCTCCGTGCAAGCGGCATTGACATTTCTGGTCACTTTTCTCGATCTTTCTGACCTCTTTACTTAAATCCCTTCCACATCTTGTGTTTGTTCTGACTTAACCGACCCCGATCCGCGAAACTCAAGATCGAGAGACATGAGGTAAATTCAATACTCCAATGGTAGAAATTATTTACCGTATTAGAAAATATCTTGTGGAGTTTTTGTATTTCATTATGCGCGTTTGCAACGTGTAGCGTCTTGTTTAGGGCTTAAATCAGTCGAACTCCTTAGAATTCGGTCAGAATCAACCGGTTCTTTGGTATGAATTTAATCCCCGGTGTTTTTGAATCCATAATCAGGTTCGTTCGTGCTGCCCTCTAGACCGATGCGGTCTTTCTTGCCTTCTTATATTAAGATAGTTTTGACCTGAAATAATCTGACATTGTTGAAGAGTGCTGTAGGGATCGTCCCACGACATTTTGCTAGCACAGCAGGATATAAAGAATTTGATATAGTTGCTACTCCTCTTTCAAAAATGCTGTTTTACGCGAAGGATACAGCTCTGCTTATTTGATTGTAGGTATATAGAATCCTTGTCAGTATGTGGCCTTCCTAACGCTTTCTTGATTAGTCGTCTAAGAGGAATGATCTGGAATGTATATAGTGTATCACTGACCCTAAATAAGGCCTCCAACAACTTAAATTGCATTGTAATCAAAGTGAGCACCGTGAACTTAATTTTCTAAGGCTCAAAGTTTCTCTGGTGTCGCCGTCAGATGAATATCTTATTTGATTTGAAAATCGATACCACCATTGAGTTTTAGGGACCAATTTGTCTGTCATAACACTTGGAAGTAAAGTCACATTTTTCTTTGTAGACAGTGCATCAGACTGCGGAATTTGGGTGAAGCCCTTTTACAAATCTCTTGCACCACGGGTATTTTGGCTGAGTTTTTCCAGCGTTTGTTTAGATCTTGATCTTCTAACGTCATCGTGAAATTAATTTAACAAAACCATCTCATCATAATAAACACAATGGATTCATGCCTGTTCTGTGAAGGTGATGGATCAGATGAGACCTTTTGGGTACAATGCGAAGTTTGTCCACAATGGGCACATGTTAATTGTATTCCCTTAGAAAGCATCTCAAGTCAAAGAAGGCCTCGAAAAGCAGCTGAGATTAGTCAATTTAGTTGTAACAAGCATGGAAAGACCCTTTTGGTTCTGAGAGACAACGTTTCGCATAAACGTAGCCCGAAAGATTCGGGAGTTGATAAGCCCGATGCTAAGAGACGTGGGTTACGAAGGAAGAAAGAGGTTGACTACATCGCGCTAAATGACGGCGGCGAAAAACGGCTAAAAACCGAACATCCGCATGTATCCGCTTTTCTTAAATGTTTTGATCAGTGGGAGAATACCAGCAATGTGATGGACGCCACGGATTTTGAAACAAACTTTAACAGCATAGCTATTCCAATAAAAATCAATGATCCTGAAAATTCAGGTATGAAGGTACCAGATCTTGGAACCTTAACCCAAAGTGATCATGGCACCGCGAGGCCAGAATTTTCGGTAGAGGGGCTTACTGAGGTGTTAGGTCCAGATTACAGCATTGATGTAATGGACGTTCAGAGCCAGGAAAACAGCAGATGGCCGATGCGCGAGTGGAATGATTATTTTACAAATACTTCTGCAGAGCGGCGAGATCGGATAAGAAATGTTATATCGTTGGAAGTGTCACATATAGATGGGTTCAAAACCGGAATTCGGCGGCCAAAAGCTGTCGATAACAATGATTTGGTTAGTAAAGTCTGGCATGAAATTGATGATGAAACAGAACCTCCCAAGGTCACTAAATACATCTTGATGTCAGTGGCCAATGCATATACCGATTTTCATCTGGATTTTGCAGGAACGTCAGTATATTATAACATCATATCTGGCGCCAAGAAATTCATCCTTTTTCCCCCCACGGAGCATAACCTTCAAAAGTATTGTGATTGGTGTCAGAGTGATCATCAGAACCTAATTTTTCTGGGTGACCAATTAGAAAAGGGAATTGCGATGGATCTCCGCAGTTCAGACTTGTTCATGATTCCAAGTGGTTACATTCATGCTGTCTACACACCGGTGGACTCTCTTATTATTGGAGGCAATTTTCTTACGGTAAGAGATATTTTGACGCAGCTACGAGTAGTGGAAATCGAGCGGCTCACTAAAGTTCCGAAGAGATTTACCTTTCCTAACTTTGATGCGGTCATGGGTAAAACTTGCGAATATTTAGTCAACTCCTCCAATCGCGATATAGTCTCAAAACCGCAGATTCTAGCACTTTTACGGTATATGCGAGATCCAAAAGTGAAATATAAACCTGTCAAAAGTTCCAGGAAACGGGATCTCATAGATGCGTTGGAAAAACAGATACTTGGTTAACCCAGGGCGACATACCGTTCTAGGATTGTTCGCAGCGGAAAAACGGAAAACGGAATACCTATCTGCTCTCAATGGTGTCAAAATTGACGTGCTTGAGATCTATAATGCAAAAATCCTACATTATTTAACGACCAATGCCCCATTTTGAGCAAGCAGTGACTTAAATTGCACAAAAAGAACGAGATAACACAAAAATGACACTCAAGAACTTTGCGGACTACATTATTCCGTTGAAGAAAACTTGTCACGGATGCAATCAATATGCTCAGAAAGTATCTAATTGAAATCTACCTGAATTCCATTTTCTACTTTTTCTTGCAAAAATGTCAACTGGATTGATCAAAAGGTGTCAAAGTCTGCGATGACAAGGTACAACTAATAAAATTGCGGGACCGAAACGGGGAATTAACGCAGCGATAGAGACGCATTTAGTGGTGATGGGATTCAATAGCCCTGGTGGCGAAGAAGATCATTAACCGAAGCCTATAATATTCGAATTACAGAGAGTATTTTTCACGAAAATTTTTCCCGTATAGTGAAGAATATATATAGTGGTGGAAAACTAGTAGTCCCCAACAAACGATGAGCCTGAAGGGATAGGTGGCAGGAGATAGAACTGTGACCTTTCGGGACCATTTGGGGTGATGGAGAACGATTCTTTGGACATGAGAACCGCGATAGTCGGTGCATTAGTCGCAATTATAGCGACGGTGATTTTTTCCAAGTTTTTCCTTCCTAAAACCGTTGAGAAGCCTGTTCTCATTAAAGATGAATTTCAAGAGTACCCATTGATCTCCAAGACTGTTCTCACACATAATACAGCAAGTTATAGATTTGGTCTTCCTAAAGATACTGATGTTTTGGGACTACCAATTGGACAACATATATCGATTCGGGGAGTCGTTAACGGGAAAGAAATTGTGAGGTCATATACTCCAACTTCACTTGATGCGGACGCTGTGGGTCACTTCGAGCTTTTGATCAAGTCTTATGAGCTAGGCAATGTTTCTAAGATGATTGGAAACCTAAATATTGGAGACTCTATCAAAGTGCGGGGTCCCAAGGGCTTTTACACTTACTCCCCTAGTATGAATAAAGATATTGGTATGATTGCTGGAGGCACGGGCATTGCTCCAATGTATCAAATAATGAAATCGATTCATGCGGATCCTTCCGATAAGACCAAAGTTTCTTTGGTTTATGGGAATCAAACTGAAGACGACATTTTGTTGAAAAAGGAGCTAGATGCTTTTGTTGAGTCCAACCCTGACCAGTTCAAGATTCGTTACTTGCTAGACAAACCTGCCAGAGACACCTGGGAAGGAGGAGTCGGATATGTCACCGCAGATGTGATGAAGGAATTTTTGCCTGCTCCTGCTGATGGTGTACAACTACTCGTTTGTGGTCCACCGGGCATGGTGTCAGCAGTCAAGAGAAACGCTGTGGCACTTGGTTTCGAAAAGGCAAAGCCTATTTCTAAGATGGGTGATCAAGTTTTCGTATTCTAAAGTCCTGTGTTCTTCATAACAGTAGGTTGTTGTTGTTGTTGTTGTTGTTGATCTTGTTATCCGTAACTCGTTTTGATCCTGAAATATGCACACGTAACACTTCTATAAAGGCTATATGATAATATATATGACTGTTACATTAAATTCCTCGTTTTCGTTAATGTTTTCATGATTTTGAGAACGCTCATAGGTTGAGTCTCTTTATTTGCTCTAATCTCTCGTTGACAGCGCTTCCTAGATCAGATTCATGAGCGGGAGCATCGAGCAGCTTCGAGTGAATGGACTGAAGAGCCTTGATAGCGTTGTCCTCGTCGATAACGCATGAAATATTTATTTCGTTAGCACCTTGAGAAATCATCTCAATGTTAATTCCTTGCTCGGCCAGCGTGGTGAACATAGTTCCGGCTATACCAATGAACTGTTTCATCTGCTTACCAACCAAAGAAATGATGACAAGTTTTTTAGTAATATCGACGGAACCAAATTTCTTCAATTCTTCGATCGCGTTCTTCAAATCTCTCATAGAGTCGGCATCGGGTATTGGAAGCGCCATGGAAACGTGAACTTCGGAAGTGGAAATTAAATCAACAACAAGTTTAAACTTATCCATGGTGGTGAAGATTTGAGCCAAAAATCCGTGCGACAACGTCTTTTTGTTGGAATGAATGTTCATGACGACGATGTCACTTTTACTTGTGATGGCAGTCGCGCCCCTGCGTTTGTGCTCAAAGAAAGAATTGCTTAAAGTGACAGGTGGATGTGGTGGGGTAGACTCACCCTTCTTGGCGATGTTGTCAGGATAGATGACAGTACCCTCACCAGTAGGATTTTGAACGTTTTTGATTCTAATGGGGATTTTGGCCCTTATGACTTGTTCCATAGTGAAAGGGTGAATAACTTCTGAACCATAATATGTCAATTCCGAGGCCTCTTCAGGAGTGACACTCCTCAAGAGTCTGGCTTGCGGTACTTTACGAGGGTCTGCCGTGAAGATCCCGTCGACTTCCTTCCAAACCTGTAGTTCATCGGCGTTGAGACCCACAGCAATCAAAGCTGCACAAAGATCGGTGTACCCGCGACCTACACCGTTCAAAAGACCCATAGGAACGAGACCGAAAAAGCCAGTAATCACGGGAACGACCCTCTCGCCCTCTGCCTGAAGTTTCAAAACAGGTTGTAGCGCTTCCTGAAATAACGTCACTAACAGCGTGTAAAAGCTGTTATCCAAAGATCCCTCCTTGCATTGGTAGTCCGACGGAATGATGGACGACAAATCAATGTACTGAGCTGAAACACCGTGGTCATTACACAGAGCTGCCATGAAAAGACAACTTAGTTTTTCACCGCATGACATAACCAAGTCCATGGTCCGCGAAGAAACTTCGCCCAAGACTTGGGATGCATTCAGATATTTGTCCACGAGGTCCAACTCCAGAGCAGAATCTTTGATGAGCTCCTGCTGCAGCTTGGCATCTTTAACAAGAGTTTTGGCATTCTCTATGTGGTCAACTCTAACTTTCTCCAGAACATCTCTAAAGCTAGGGTCATTTTTCGCCGCTAGATCGCACGCTCTTAGAAGTCGAGAAGTAGTACCTTCTGCCTTGGTATCGGACGAGCGTGCTGAGCAAACCACGGCAACGTTATTATCGTAGTCCGTAGTGAACACTTTGATAATTTCATCGACAATACGCTCGGAAAACTTTCCCACACTAGTTCCACCGAACTTTTGAACGATCCAATTTGTCTTGGCAGGCATTGTTGAAATTCAATAAATTGATACCAACTCTCAAAGAAACGTAAAACGACTCGATAGTGACTCGACGATACAAAATGCTTGCTTATGTTCAACCTTCATATAGAGGTTATTACGGCTAAAAAATTTTCAGTATAGTGAAGTTTGAATAATTGAGTCATTGTGAGTCATGTTGAAAAACTGTGGTGCCTAGTGTGCGTGAGTACTCAGGCCTAAACAGATGACAACCATGAACGGAGTTATTTATGTACATGAGGACTTGGGCGAAAAATGTCCGGAGAATATTTGTGATTGAAATCGTAGTGTCAAGATCAGGCGGTAGTAGTTGGCTCGATGATCCATCGGCACTCATGTTTTGCTGAGTTCGCCGGGAATCATTTGACAATATGTAGATTTTCTCTGGTTCAAAGCAGTCCGGTGGCAACCTGTGCGTATGCTAAACGTAGTCCTGCTTGGACATTAGGACTCCATGATGCTCCAACGTGGTATTTCGTCGCTAGTAGATGTGCTCACGTGCTCTGACGCATGCGCAACCACGTGCTCGACCATGGTCGGCCAGCGCATCCGCAAATAAACCAGAACCAGCATGCAGCAAATGACTAGCGCGCTCAACGCACTATTGCTCGCGATCCTGCGCAAGGCTCTATGCAAAAAACTCTGTTTGTTCAGATCTGAGTCGTCACTGCCCTCGTAGAAGTTGGAGGTTTTCTCTGATGGTTCCCAACTCGTATCGACAATCTCGCGGGGCAAAACCGGCTCCGGTGACCCGCGCACCCATTCCCAGAGATGGTCCCAGCGTGGCGGTTCGCCAGGCACGCGTCTGGTCTCGTGCTCGCGCCGCGCATGCGGCGCGGGCAAGTCGAGCACGCCGACGCACTCCCTGGGCTCCAGATCGTATATGAGCGACTCAAAAGTGTGTCCCACATCGTCGAACGCGGCCGTCGCGTCGCGTCCCCCGTACTTGAGCATTACTTGTGCGCCTCCGGGATGCAGCTTCACGTATCGCGAAACGTCATATACCTTACCATGAATAGCCATCCAACAGTCGTCCTGCTGGCAATGCTGCGATAACTCGTGCCTGGAAACCTGTCTGTCGTGGCTAGATCGTACTCTGGGGTCCAATCTTGCGCGGGCATTCTCCCTTTCGCCGATATCCCCTGTCAAAGATGTTCCATGGCTGAGCCCATATAAGGGCATTTTGAATGTCACTGCTACAAGAAAAACCGCGCTTTTTTCGTGGCTTTCTCAGCTTGCCACGATAATAACAACTATACCCTTCTCTTTAGATTGTCAAGCGTGAGCCTCGACCCCTGTAATGCTTGATAAGTCTTACCTGAAATATTGATCTTCGGTGCCAAAGCTATCTCTGTTAAAGAATGACTATCACGGGCCTGCGCCGAAGAGCCCGGGTAGAAGAAAAAACAAAAAGAAATGAAAAACGTGGAAAAGCTGAGCAATTTGCACGGGAAAAGATTTTTGAAAAAGAGATGTCACGTGATAAATCTCTCGCTTCACGTTGTACGAATTGAGTTGTCAGTGAGTAGCATACCTATGTACGTAAATGAGTACGCAATGGGTAGCGTCGGCGTCGAGCACGCGACAGTGTTAAGCGTACCTCGACCTAAACGCATCGCATTGGACAATTTACACTAGTCTGGTTTCAAACATTAAATTCTAACGAGACTATTTTATTCCTTACGGTGTTACTCAGGGGAAAATCCGCTTGTAAAGTGTCAAATCAAAGCTGTCGTAAGAGACGGTTACCTAATACCGGGAATCACAGGAAGTCTCAACAATTACTCGAATATTTTCCAGTGTATGATCTGCCAGATGGTCTGTGAGCGCAAGTCTTTAAGCTCACTGCAAATAGCGGTGAGTTTGTGACCCAAGATGTCAGATTCGTCCCAAATGCTCATACACCCTTGAAATCTGTGCTTGTAGCTGGCACCTCACAGGAATCATCACTGAGTATGTACCTGGTAGCATTCGGTAGGAATTTTCCTACCGGGTATATTTTCTACTCACCAACAATACATCTCAATGCAGATTAGCCATCGGGTAATACTTTACTACTACTCATGAGTACACATTCTTACACCACGCCACTAGTTTCTCACCTTTGATGACCCGGTATGTAGAAAACACTCCTCGAGTAACTCACTGGTAAGGTCCTGTCTCAGTGGGTTAAATCTTTACGCTCATATGGGGACTTTGACTTTTCCGTCAAAAATGACTCTCTTGAGTGAAGTTAGCTACACAATAAAAATGGACTAAGCGCCCTCTCGGTTCTCCGTTGGATACTTGATGTTTATAACGGTAGATGACAATATGAACAGTTTCATGTGAAATCGTAACCCTCTGATCACGCCGGAATATGGGCATCTGTCTTGAGGGCTTTGCTCTTAGTCTCGTAATAGAGACGATCCGCATGTGGACAACAGCCGACAAAAGCTTAGAAGTACTCCTGGACACGCATTCGCACGGCACGTGTGACAAGAACTACTGCAAGCAGGCTTCCATTGCGGAGGTACGGCAACCTTCGAAAGATAGCCGCCGAGCGATATGTTCACGTGCTTTTTGGTTTTGCGAAAGCATTGTGCACGGGCAAATGTATGTTCCACGTGACTTTGTGATCTAGCAACTGTTCCATATACGCGTCAAGCATCTTTCGGGTCAACAACGCTCAACAATCGTGAGACTGGCAGAAACCTCGGTCGAGCTAGCGCATTTGGAAGCTGGTTTTTGGACGCTTTTTCTGAAGACCACAAGATGACGTCTCCTGAGGTCAAACGAGCTTTGGTGACGCTACTTCGAGATCCCAAGAACAATTATTGCGCAGACTGTAAGACCGCGAATCATCCGCGTTGGGCGTCGTGGTCGCTCGGGGTGTTCATATGCATTCGGTGTGCGGGAATTCACAGATCCCTGGGCACACATATATCGAAGGTGAAGTCTGTGGACCTGGATACATGGCAAGAAGAACATCTTAGAAAAGTCATCGAGTTTGGCAATAACGAATGCGCAAACGCCGTCTACGAGGGCAAGCTCAGCGGCTGCAAAGTCCCAGACGCATCGCAGCTGGGCACTTTCATCAGGAACAAGTACGAACATCGTCGGTGGGAAGCACCCGCAAGCGAGGCCCGTCAATCGCGTTCTGAGCCAGATATCCTGGAAAAATCGGCACCCATCAGCCAGGCTCCCAGACAGACTACCACCCAGTCTGTCAGGCGGGCGAATGTCAACAACCTATCGGCCGCGCGTGTTTCTGCTTCTTCGTCGCAGCTAGAGCTCAATTTAGCTAGCCCTCAACCTAGCACCAGAAGTATTTCTCGATCGGATGCCGCGTCAGATACAAAGGCAAACGCGAGCGGACGTCCGGATCTCAAGAAGTCAATTCTATCGCTATACTCTCGCCCTCGCAGTGGCGTCAGCGATCCAGGCTTCAATTCTACTTCCCCCAAGCTGCCAGCGCAAACAACGTCCCAGGTGCCAGCTTCGCTGTCAAATTACACACCCTCAGCAGTTAATTCCTCGGTGTCTTCTTTGGACGATAATGAACTATTCAAAAACGTTTGGTCTTAATTGAAGGAATATATTATCTGTGTAAATGTAGCGCGCTAACCGCCCTCCGGCATCAAAATGCACTATATAGAAAATGATCAATGGCAGGAGTATTATTATGTAGACTGCGCCTTTCCGCGAAAATCAATGTCCCGTAGTTGGCAAACCAACGTAGGCTTTGAAAGAATCGTAAATCAACCACTGGAAACTCGTCAAAGTTCCAATCATGACAATACGGACCGCTAGACCGTTCCAAAGACCAGCAAACCCGATTCTCTTATAGATGCGTGCCGTTGCGTCTCCCATGGACTCGTTGGCCTTGCGCTCGTTGTTCACCTTGGATACCATCACGTCTGCGGGGTGAGATACCACGGCACATAAAATACCTGCAAGATAACCACCTACAAACGATACGCCAATCTGCTGGAGCTGCGACATTTCGCTCTTGGGACGAGGCAAACGCGCGTAAATTGACTCCACGATCCGTTCAAACGATGTGAACTTACACATGGTGTAAGGGATCTGACGACACCACAGCGGAGTCAAACCTTTGTAAAGCCCTGCGATACCCTCTGCTTTCACGGTCTTGGACCACCCGTCAAACACGTTCTTGCAAAACGGTGGAATAGTCGTCTGCTGACGCACTTTGATCGCTTCCCATGGACATAGAAAGATGTCTGCTACAAATTCGGCAGACGCAGACGCACCGAGGTACAACCAGGTCCGATGCTTATGCGCAGTCTCCGGAGAAAGGAACCCCGAATAGAAATCTTTGAAGTATTCATATCCGCCGTATTTCAAGGCACCCTGGAACGAGTATCCTATGAAGGTAGCGCCTAGTCCTGTAAATATCTTCGATGTGCCTTCCCCGCGTACGATTTTCCGCCAACCATCGAGATTCGAGGTATACAGAGCAGGATCGACCTGGCGACGGCATTTGACCAAGTCAAGCGGTGTCACGGCAGAATGGGTAGGTCCACAGGCTATCATACCACCGAGTGTGCAAGCTGCGTAGTACTCTGGTGAGTAAAGCGGAATGTGTGAATCTGGCATGCTGTGCGAATCTGGGCTAGAGCTAGCTATATCTATAAAATTGATCAAAGTTGTTGAACGGCTTAGCCAAGGGTGATGAGCACGCCAAACTGTCCTCCGATTTATACAATGCCACACTGAGCTACGATTGCTCGCGTAGGTTGTTGTATCCGTGGCACAAGCGTTTAATCGCGCAACACTAAAATCTGTCGTCATTGGAGCGGTAGATGCCGTAACCATTGGTTTTCTTCGGGGGTAAGGGGTGGATATGGAATTGGCTAAAAAAAGGGCGCGTTCCGAAAAAGCAAACTTCGACAGTTCGATGCCCGAGTAGATCAGTATCCACGACCCCGACGTTTTCACAGGCAATCTACGTCTCTCACCTTTAAACTCTTTGACAGGGAGCTCTCCCCACCGGGAACCGCCGCAAATTCTTGTCAGACCCCTCGTCTTGAATGCGCCACGTATTCGACGAAAGGCTTCGAAACCGACCCCTCGACGACTTTCACTCACATTGTGGCCGCCGAAAGCTTGGTGACAGCGCTCTGTCTATTGTATAAACTACATAAGGGCATATTCTATTGGCCCTGACAACGCGGTGACGAACAGAATTACTGGCGGCATGTTCCTTCCTTATGTATGATTTTCTGCTCGTCGGCCCTCGTCCCTTGTTGACCCCCTGCGTCATCCCCAGTTCTCCAATGCACTCTGCGATAGTCCAACAACCCCAACTTGGTCACGCGCCCCCAATTTGCCGCGGAGCCGCGGAGCCGCGGAGAGATCGGCGCCAGACAAATGACACATTTGCCGATACAAGTCGTTTTGTACGGAAGTGTCCCCGCTCTCCGCGTCGCACAAGTAGCCGGATTTCTTCCAATGTATGTGTTATTATTACTAATTAATTAATCCTAGAATGAACCAAACGTGCAGCGACACGTAGTTATGTTGTTAAAATTATCACGCCCGCTGTGTAGTTTCCCCGTATTATTTCTGTAATGTATCTTCAAGTCGTGAGTCGTACCGCGCTTCTCGTAAGGCGAGTTTCGTGAGTTTCACCTTGCCGGCCAAAGCCGGGCTAGACCCGAAACCCCCTGCTTACATAAACAGCAAAAATAACTGTGGGTGCATGGGTGCCGGTGATGAGGTAATTCTGTACCATTCCTTCCGGTCCTGACTCCATTCGCCCAGCGATGAGCTCCATTAAGCCCGATGTTGCGCCCTCTAATTCAGAGCGAGGGCACTTGGCCTCTGTATCTGTGCATCGTAGCCAAATGCGTGCGCCAATAACATACGAGCATTACCGCGAAAATGGAAGCCAATACTTGCAAGTCTTGCATTCTGTTTGTTGTGTCTGTCCGAAAGGATTTTGTGGTAGGTGTAGGTGCACTCGTCAAAAGCCCAGAAATCAGTCGTTGCTGGAACCCGAGGGCCTCCAATTTATAATCATGCCGATGAGCTCAGTGCATCAAGATATATACCTCAACCGCGCAGGCAGGGCAGCCTAAAAACAACGCAGAGCAATTGCTCTGACTAACGTCGCCGCATAGTTTTGCCTAATGGGCTAAAGGGGACGCAGCGTCGCGGGAACTTCACGGAGTAGTCTCATGCAGAAGTGGCGTGTAGGGCACGCCTGCAGCCCGCTGTGTGCACCGGCGTTAACGGCGTCTAGCTCATCCGTGGGCGCCGAGAAAGTTTCACAATTTGTGCGCGCGGATTTCGGCTGGGAAGGTATGGGTGGACTTTTGCGCTCGCTAGCCCGCACACAGCGATGATCGGAGGCTAAAACGGCTTACACTAGGGGAAGAGTACAGTATAAAACATTGCACCCATGCACCTCAGCAGCGATGAAGCTTCCTTTCTCCGGGCTGCCTAAGCAGCTGTGGGCACAGAACGGCAGTACCGCCGGCCGTCCTGCTGCTGACATATTAAGTGTTCTGGTTGCCTATTTCGGTCAATTGTATACTCTTGACAAATGCTTCCTGTTTACAGTGCGGTCCGTAGCGTTGCTTTTCGGCGGGCCGCTGGGGCTGGCGGTCTGGCCCAACGACGGAGATGGCTTACGTAGCAAAAATTGTGATACTAGTGAACAGGATCGGGATAGGTCTCGTTGCATTGGGCTCGTTGCGTTCATGCTTACTGTGGGCGTGGCGGTTAGACTTGAGTGCGCAACAGACAAGAAGGTTCCTTTGCGAGGTGCCCTCTTAGGGTTGTGTGCCTGTCGCTGCACGGCTGACTTTTGCTTGTGGGCGGCGGCATTCTCTTCCGGCGGGCAAATGGGCAGCGGATGTGGAGTCGTGAAAGTATTTCGCACACAGAAGTAACAGAGAGTCCATTTCTATTCGCAAAAGAGCGCGAGTGTTAGAGAGAGAAAGAGAGAGAGAGACGGGTGTGTGGGTGGGTTGAGGGTTGTTCACGTGACTCTCGGTGCTTTTAGCTCGCCCATGGATTGTGGAACATGGTGTTGCCCGTGGAGCCTGTGTTGCCGCCAAAAGCAATATCAAAGCTGTAATTGCGTCCAAAATTGTTGTCCCACACCTCGCGACGCTGCTGCGCGTCGCGGGTCGTGTACTGAACACATAACTCGATGTGCTGCGATCCGAATAAACCGATTCTGAACTCGAAGCGGTCCATGCCCAAGCCTGGAAGCACGTCATCGCCGGTGCTAACCCACACGCACTCTACGTCCCGGGAAGTGCGCCAGCGGTCCCACGAGTAGCGAACGACCACTTTTTTTTCGTAATATATGTTCTTCACGAAAACCTGGCCCGCTAGTGTGGAGGTCCCCGGAGTGAGTGACACCTCTTGCAAGAAACATTCGCTTTGGTTGGCCAGCTTCACAAACACGTTTTGTTTCAGACTACACGGGTCGTTGCTACTCAGGATTGAGAAGTTGGCGTTTCGCAGCATGTAGCCCTGCGGTAACCCTGGACGACGACCCTGGCCAGGACTACCACCACCATAGTCACGTGATTCCCCACGTTCGGAGTTTTGCCGATCCGCGTCGTGCGCATGGCTCTGCGACGCGTTACCCACGGGATGCTTCAAGCGTTGGTAACGCCTGCTCCGCCGCAATGGGCCTGCTGCGGCCTTTCTTTCGAGGGTCAAATTGGACATTGTCATCGTCAGGTCTTCGGGATCGTCTCTGAACTCCGCGGGAAGGATACCCCGTTCCCATGGGTTGCGATAAGTGCGCTCTTCTAAAGTATTTTGCTCGACGGCTTGGCTCGCAACGTCCTGTGGTGAGTCGTCCTTCCAGAAATACTTGACGCTGACGACGTCGTCGCGATCAAAATGCACACTTTTGCTTCTTTTCGGGGTCGGCATGACTTTCATTTGCAGATTGGTGTCAGAAATACTGGGAGTGGTTGGCAGCGATTTCGAGCGTCGATGAAATCTGATGCTCGGGCGCACTATCTCGCCTGATTTTTTACGCACCAAGGGCGGTTGTTCTTCCATGTCGTCGTAATCATCATCACCGGGGAAATAGCACGGAACTCCACTGTCCGAGCTGTCGGGCACATACCGAGCTCCCAATGAGTCTCTAATGAGCTTGTCGACTCCATTCGAATCTTTGTTCTCCTTTTCATTTCGATCGTTTAATGTGTCTACAGTTAACATGCCCCGATTCAGGTCCGTGTTCCGGCGCACTGACTCATCCGGGAAGAGGTCTTGCTGTTGGGACACGCGTTTTGGCTTATGAAGGTATTCCAGGGATTTGAGTTTAGAAACTCCTCTAGGCGTTGTGTTATGTTCGGCGCCCCTGATATACATTTCTTCGAGCTCTCATCTATCTATCCAAACCTGTTTCAGCGTATCGATCGTAAATTTTTATGGGCCGTCTATTAAAACCTTGAATGCAATTAACCGATTTATGCCCTCGCAGCTATGGGAAGTAGCTGCTTTCTGCTCAACTTGAGCTCCAGCTTCACTTTTTGAATTATTGTGCCCTTTGTGCAATCTCAGCTGATGATGCCCTTTCCTTCAAGGGAACGATAGACGTGCGACATTTGAAATCCACCCAGTGGATGACTTATTTTCGTGTATAGTTACATATCGAGACCTCTGGCTAATACCAGTCCATGCTAATCGAACCTGTAAAGACGCACCACTCCTAGCTCATCGCCGCTCACAAATTCTGAATCACCTATTCCTAAACACGTAATTGGTGCCTGATGGCCCTCAAAAGTGTGTATGCATTTTCCCGATTGCAAATCCCAAACTTTCACGGTTCTGTCGTGCGAGCCACTCACAATGCGGAAATTGTCGGCTGCGATATCCCACACGCCTTCAACATGACCAAAATGCGTTCGAACGCATTTCCCCGTCTTTACATCCCACAACTTAATAGTGTTATCTAGAGAGCAAGATAAAATATGCGTCGGATAGGTCAAAGATTCATCCATTGGAGCCCACGTTTCTTCCTGGCCCGGCAAAGGATTGTTGTTGAGCTGCACTTCATTTTGAACGTCAGTTACAAGGTTCTCTATATCCAAAATTGTCAACGGAATCACTTTTTGGACCTGGCCAACGTGCCCTCGGAAGACCTTAATGCAAGCGTTGGACCTTATGTCCCACATTCGAATAGTTGTGTCATCGCTGCCACTGAAGCACGTGTAACTTTTAGGATGCAATTTAACGCAGCTCACCCACTCTGTATGCCCTCTCAAAGTGTAGCAAGTGCGCGATTCAACATGCCAGATTTTGATGGTCTTGTCCGCAGACCCAGACACTATAATTTTTTTGTAGGAGTCGATGCTGAGGACGCTGTCAGAATGGCCCCGATAGGTAGAGACACAAGCGCCCGTAACGTAATTCCAGACCCGAATTGTTCGGTCAAGCGATCCAGTAATCAGTTTCTGGTCATCGAAGTAGAGGGATTTGACACCATCGTGATGGCCCGTGAGTCTTCTGACAAGATTACCAGACGCAAGGTCCCAGATTGCTACCGTAGAGTCATATGACCCCGTAAATAAACACCGGTAGTTGAATTGTAATGAAAGAACCCCATCCATGTGACCCTTAAACTCTTGTACCTGACAAGTTCCTTTTCTCCAGTTGGACTCGACTTTAAAACGCTCCCTGTATATGACTTTCCAAGGTCGCGTCTTTCTGCCATCTACCGACTTCGACGAGGATTGCATGGCACATTTTGGCTGTTGCTGCTCGGGATTTTCAATGAATCTTGCTCTCTTCATATGCATCAAGGGCAGCCCCCAACCACAGTTCGGGCACTTTCGGTCGATGTGCTGTTGACACATGTGGTACCACACTTTGTCATCGTCTGCCAGCTGTTGCCACCTCCTACAGACACGCGCAGCGTTGCATAAGCTTTGGCAATCCAAATATCCAAGGATCTTTAGCGAAATTTCCTCGGGAAGAGTACCGACAAAATCGATCTTAATTAGCTTGTGTACCTCAGAGGCGACAAAAGAAAGCTGCGGAAAGCAGCAGTTCCATAGCATGCCTTCAAGCAGCAATTTTCTAGTCCGATCGTTCGCCTGCGAAAAAGTTGAAAGGACATTGTTCACTTCTCTCTGCTCCTCATCCGGGAGCGCAGAGATCTTCTTGCTCAGCTCCAAGCGTTTTTTCTGGTCCTGTGCCACGCATTCATGATGCGTGGGCGACCGTTGCAGGTCAGGATTGTGTCGGTAACAGAACTTCAGGAAATTGAACTGAGGCGGTTCCGTTTTCTTTTTCTTAGTGCTTCGCAGTCCGTCTACTGTAGTATTTTCTCCATCTTTGGGCATCGGCCTCTTGCTGACTACCGAAGCTTGATCTCCTTCTGCGGGTCCCATCATCTCACTATTTATCTCCAAGTTCCCGACTGCCACCTACCTAGAAACCCCGTTCGCTGAAAGCTCAATTGAAAAGTCACAGACAATAGCCCAAAACTTCAGTTTTTCTCAGTTTTCGTTCAAGAAAATCTTCCAAGAACTTTTCAATCACTTGTGCGTGCCCTCACTCACCAGCAAAATTCTAGCACAAAACAATCAGCCCCTTCTTGTTGTTTACCACTGGTTCAAATTCGATGGATCTAACTACGGGGTGATGATTTATATCGACTCGCAAAGGGCGAAAATTTTGAAATACCACGTGATTAAGTCTTCACATCAAAACTGTGGCTGACAGTATTGGATCAGTCGGTATCAAAGCATCGCACCGAAATACGAGATTCTCCATAGAAAGCATCCGGTTCTCATTCACTTGGCTGGCAAAGAAAGCTGAAAAAGATGGATAGACGCTCTGCTTGTTTGAAGTTGTTCAATTAGCAACTGGAACTATTGTCACTTAAAGGTGGTGGTGAGGCAATGGTGTAATACTCTGACTCTGGAGCATCTGAGGCCCAATTTGAAGTCTCCTCGGTTTTCTTTCCTGTAAATTTGTCTCGGATGGATTTCCTAAGTTCAGAGGACGTAATTCTTGCACACTTTGTTGTGGTGAGCACGATTCCTTGTTGTCGCCGGTGTAAACACGAAGGGCCTCTGAGCAAGAAAAGTGTCTGTGCTCCTCGGTAGCTGCCGCCCCCAAGTACTGTGTATTTATGCCATTAGGCTTGAAGTCTTAAAGGCTCGATCATTTCCATGGGAATTGGCAAGCTGAAGCTACCCAGCGAAAATGGTAGACCCTTTGAAAGTCTTCAGTAAGATTGTATCTTGCTCACATGCCTTTTTAATAATCTGTCATTTAGTCACGTGATTTCTTTCGGGGAAGCATGACGACGGGAAGATGGGGCGCGAGAAGAAATATAGCATCCCGTGTTTAAGGCGAAGCGATGCTTCGCGTCGCCTGTCCAACACCCTTTTATCTGGTGGGCGAGAGTCCCGGTCAATCTGATCAATTTAATTTGTTTCTCCCAATTTTGTAGGAAAACCTCAGGTTAATCTCAATGTCGAGAAAAGCCTACAAAACAATAATAAAGCAGTAAAAAACATGATTAAACGTAAATTATCTTGTATAACAAATCTATCACATTTTGGTGTCTTAGACACGACAGTTGGAAATTTCAAACACCATGATGTCACAGGCCCCAGCGTTCTTAAGCTCGTCCATGATATTACCCTTGTTTTTCCTCTCAATCATAGCAGACACTGCAACCCAACCTTCGTCGTCGATTTGCGAGATGGTGGGAGCTCTGCGGCCTGGCGTGATTTTAAGCACTTGTGGAAGGAACGCTTCTGGCACGTTGTAGTTACAGTGGACGTATCTTTGCGCAGTCATGACACCTTCGATACGAGACTTGATGGTTTTTAGAAGTTCTGGGTTGCCGACAGGGCGTTTAGACTCGATTAAGTGCGCACTCGTCTGGAGCACGGTGGCAATGTCAGTTAGACCCGCGGCACGCATAGTTTCGCCGGATTCGACCAGATCGACAATGGCGTCGGCGATTCCCAGAGCACATGAGGCTTCCACAGAACCACCGACGTATCGGATCTTCGTCTTCAATTGGTCGATAGGGACGCCCTCGAGTTCGGCGAAATATTGCTTGGTCAAGTTACAGAAACTGGAAACGATCGTCTTGCCTATTAGCTGCTTTGGATCCGTATATTTGCCGGTGGCCGGAACCTGAACCTGAAGCTTGCAGGACCCAAATTGAAGGTCCATAGGCAGATTGACGTCGACTTCGGACTCCATAACCTGGTCTACACCTGTGATTCCCAAATCGCATCTACCCTCTCCGACAAACATGGGAATGTCGGCAGCTGGTAGGAAAATGAGCGCAATTGGCATGTTAGTGGACAACGCGATGTCTAGTCTCTGCGACCGGTGGAAGTGTATGTCCGACTCCTTCAGAATCTTCACGGCCTTTTCATAAAGTCGTCCCTCTGTTTCCATCAGTTAGTTACAACGTTCATTATACCAACGCTGCTTAATTAGGGCTTTCAAGCACACGAATTGGTACGAAACATACTCTTGGGAATGGCAAACAAAAGCCTGTCTGTGAGGTGGTTAACTAAATCCATTGAATCTCAGAGAACGTGGTCTTGAATGTTAACAAGTAAAGGTTGAAACCTACGTCAGTCATTTCTCGGAATCCACTCTCTATTGAGTCATCAAATTTTTCACGGTGATTACATCTAATCGTGATCAACGGCGCGCCAGAGCCTTGATCTTATCGCTCTTTAGAGCATAAAGTGCAGGGAATCTGTAGCTAAGAAATGCGCATGCCCTCATTATCTTTTAAATCGAGTATAACGGTTTTAAGCGTTCTTATCCAAGAGTTCCGCTGAATCTAAACCCCCATTTTTGGATTGTGACAATTTCCAAGTCATTAACCTTGAGAACCGCCTCAAACCGCCTTTTCGCGTCGATGAATGGTCAATCAAAAAGTTTTGATGTGCAGTTCGAATATCTTGGCTGGTCAGACGTTGTGTGAGAGGTTGTGGCTCGACGTTCTACTGACGGATTAATAGTCATTGTCGTATCCGGCGTGCTCTGTAACTTGGGTCACTTGCCTGCTCTTTTTGCAAGAAATGTACAGTATTAATTGAACTTGATCTAGATGAGGAATCGTTTAGTTTGCTAAAGGCTTGATTTGATCTCTTTGGTGAACCTATCGTCGCTTTTACGTCGCCTATCTCCGTCGCACGCTTGGTAGTTTCTTACGAGTATATTTTTGATTCTACAAAGCACTATTGACGTCTATCTTTCGTCCACAGTGATTTGTTATCTTTCATCATCACGTGAGATGATAACATCCGCTCACACGAATATCAACAACTCACGTGGGGGGTTTTCATCATATGTGGTATGGTTAATCTTCGGAAACTTCGTCCGAAGCGCAATACTTGAACACGTCGCGAACCGTGGGTTCCGATTCGTTCTAGCCAGTTTGAGATCATGAAATTTGCTGAGCACTTGCGAGAGAGTGTCATTCCGGAATGGTCAGATAAATACATCGACTACAAGCTTGGCAAAAAAAAACTCAAATCGTGCAGAGAGGGCATCGCAGCGAGCCGAGTGCTTGTCAATAATATTGCCGCGAGTCGTAGTTTTTTGATTCGCCAAGGAACTAGCGGTCTTCCAACACCGACGAATATTCCGTCGCATTTCGTCAAAGAGTTCATTGACGATTGGCTTATCGCGCAGGAACTCGAAAAGTGCAATGAGTTCTATGTTTGGCAGCTAAGACGTTGTTTGACACAGTATGAGATCTTGAAGGAACAGATGAGAATGTACGAGCTCCAATGCCATGTCACCGCAGTCAACAGCTTTGCGGGGCCAGGACCCGAGTATGGAACGCTCCAGACCCACGAGCACGATCCGATATCTCCAATGGCAACGAAAGGAAACTGGCGAACAAAAGTGGGTCGGTTCTTACAAGACAACGACTTGAAACCTTCTTTACCAAAATTCATAACCATAAGGAGGTTGCTGAACAAATCGCCGGTCCGCGCTTCTGAGACTGGCCGCGGTGAAATGTTTACGCCACTTAATCTCAATAAAAGACAAATCAAAGAGCGCATTTCGAACGCTCTTATTGATTTTTATCTATTGACGCAGCTTGTCAAAAGCTATAGAGAGCTCAACGTAACTGGCTTTCGCAAAATCGTCAAGAAATTCGACAAAACCTGTCAGACGCACGAGCTCCCCAGGTTTCTGGCTGATGCGAAAGTGAACTACGAGCTTTTCCGGCATGCAGAAGCGTATGCGCAAAGTGTAGCACAACAAATGCATGAGGCGTCACTTCTTAAATCGTCGGTCACTACCACCAAAAAGCCTGATCATTGTGACGATCCTTTGAGCAATTGGGAAGCCGCCGTAACGAAATGGTACACGGAGATTATTCCCTCGACCGTGAAAGACCGGAAACACAACGCTTCTAAGCTAAGGCATATGTCATTGCAATATTCACTTAGTGAACACAAGGTCCACAGAGTCAACAGCGTCATTCTACAGATTTTTGTCGGTGGTCTCGCTCTTGGCGCCTCTTTTGGGCTGGTTGCTTTCACTTTGTATCGAGGATTTAAGGCTAATTCAAATTCTGATATTCATCATTTCCTGCTTCCCTTGTGGGGTGGTTGGTATTTGATTTTTCTGATGTCACTTTTCCTTGTTATCGACTGCTTTATCTGGCACAGAACCAACATTAATTACCGTTTCATTATGTTTGGGGAGATTCATTCTCGTCACGGAGCCGTTTTATTCAACAACGATTTCTCGACGACCAACATCGCTTTGCTCGTTTATTTCGTCGGTGTATTATTCCTCCCTTTAGCCATTTTGAGTACTGTGAGCTTTCATTATGAGCGACTAAGTCCAAGTGCAATTATATGGGCTGTTACAGTTGTAGTCTTGTTTTTCTGGCCAGCTCGAAAGTTCAAGCTTCTTCCCACTCTACCTTTTTGGAAACAGCTGCTAGTGAGCAAACGCTGGCTGATGACAACCGCTATAAGACTGATATTTTCGGGGTTTTTTCCTGTTCAATTCGGAGATTTCTTTCTTGGAGATATAGTTTGTTCTCTGACTTATTCCATGGCGGATATTTCCCTATTCTTTTGCTATTATACAAGCAATCCCCTGTGTGCCTTGTGCGGCTCATCCCATTCGAAGTCCATGGCAGCGCTTTCGGCTCTTCCTAGTTTTTGGAGATTTCTGCAATGTCTGCGAAGATTCTCTGACTCTGGTGATGCGTTCCCTCATTTATGGAATGCTTTGAAATACGCTATGGGAGTTGCATACAATGGATCCCTAGGCGCCTACAGAATGTCTCATGCGTCTTCCAAAAAGCAAGGTTTTATTGTCTTAGCAACATTGAACAGTCTTGTGACTTCCCTCTGGGATATTGTTATAGATTGGTCGCTGCTTCAACCAGGATCGCGAAATTGGTTATTGAGAGATGACTTATACCTTGCAGGTCGCAGAAATTGGCGAAATGGTGCATACTCCTCTGGAAAACGGAGCATCTACTATTTAGCAATGATCTGGGATGTGCTCATTAGGTTTGAATGGATAGTCTATGCTGCTGCCCCGCAGACAATTCAACAAAGTGCCGTCACCAGTCTTGTTCTAGCGGCTTTAGAGGTAGGGAGAAGATTCGTCTGGGTAATATTTCGTGTTGAAAACGAGCATGTTGCGAACGTCCATCTTTTCAAGGTTACGGGTGAAACATCCCTTCCATATCCGAGCACAATCACGCCTGACTCTGACTCAAATTCTATACTTGATGGACACTACGCAATGTCCACTGTTATTTCATCTGAGGCAAGTGATAAGCCCAAGCCCGAGCACGGTGAAAGTAGACACTCATTTTTCAGGACCGCAAGTAATACCATTCCTTGGGCCCACGCTCAAGATTTCCAAAGACCGACTGGTAATTCTGGCTCAGAAAGGGCGATCGAAAGCGATGAAAGTGAGAGTGAAGTTGAGAGCATGGTGTGAAACGGGCCTTAACAATAAAAGCATTTAAGAATTTGAGAACTTATTAAAATGATGCAGGATAGTCTATATAATCTATGGGAAGTCCTTTCAGCTCTTAAGCAGTGAAAGAAAACTGCTGGACTTTGGCGTAGTTAGGAGGGTTGAGCTTTCGGTAGAGCGCCTTGGCCGCCCAGACTGGGACAATGGATATCGAAAGTACGACGGCAACTTTAACCCAAAAGGCAGCTTGCGACATGGAGTAAAGGTCAAAATATTCTCCCAGAAAAGGAATCGAGCAAAAATAAGCCAAAAATGTCAAAATTTCTACAATCAGCATGATTTTATTCCAGGTGTAAACTTCTAAGGCGACCATAATAAGCTCATTTATTACAAGTGCCGTAAAACTTAGCGCGACCATTTTAGTGAATTCGATTTGATCTAGGCTTGTAAACCTTTGGGCAAGTCCCTGAACCACGCAGCCCTGAAACAAGGATAATGCAACCCAAATCAAAAAAGTTTTGTGGGACAAACTTGTACCAGCAGTGAGCTCTTTATAAAGCTCTGGAAATGTCGTGGTCAAAGATTCGTCGATATCATGGTCAAGAGTCAAAGAGAAAACAGGTGCCATAGTATAAAATGTAGCATAACCGACCATCAACCAGCCTTGGTAAAGAGCAATGGGCTCAAAGCTTGAGCTAATCGAATACACGGCCTGGCATACTGAGATCAAGAGGCCACGATGTATAACAAATTGAGCCAATTTTGCAGATCTCTTGTACGAATTCCTTCCATGCCATAATAGCAATTTAGTCAAATGGCAAAACTGTGTGACAGAAAAATCGGCAGCTAAGGAAGCCTGCTTACCTTCTTTGCCAACGATACCAACTCCGACATCAGCGGCCTGGATCATGCTAACATCATTTCCACCGTCGCCTATGCAACAGACACGTTTTTTAGTAGTTTCCTTAATGAAATCGGCAATATCTGCCTTTTGTTGAGGAGTGCAACGACATGCTATAACGGCCGGCAAATTGACGACAATGTCAAAAAATTGTGATCTATAATGATCCAAAAACATACTCAAAGATTCGCCGTCTATGAGTAGACACGCATCCTGATTAATTCTCAGAAATTCTATGCTGTTTAGCGCACCATCTGGCTTTGAGAGTTTGGTAATTGTATGAACATATTGTCCCCTGGATATCAGTTTGGCACTAATAGACACACAGCGAGCGGTTTCCACTTTGTCTCCTGTAAGCATCCAAATTTTTATACCGGCATTCTTAAGAACTTCTATGGAAGCCTTCACGTCCTTCTGAAGCTTATCCTCAACTCCTGTAAGGCCTAATAGCTCCAGGTCATTTTCCAAATGCTTCGAAACTACCGAAGCCATCGCGCCGTCACGATTGAGCATGGAGAGTGAGGCATTATGGTAATCCTCGCGGAATTCCTCATAGCTTTTCGCGCTCAATTTCTTTCTTCCGATCACAAGTGTGCGTAAGCCCTCTCGTGCCATGTTTGCCGTTTCCTCTTCAAGCCAGTCGTTGTTTTGTACTATCTTGGACATCACTACGTCAGCGCCCTTTTGCAAGAACCAGTAGGTACCGTTTTGCTTTCCTTTGACTATTAAACCCATTCTTTTGTTATCGGAATTGAAAGGAAAAACGTGTAGTATTTCATAGTCGATGTTAGTTCCCGACTGATCGTGAAGTAAAGTTAACGAGTGACGGTCTCTTTTGAACAGCGTTAAACCAACTGATTCCGTGAATTTCACAATGGATATTTCATCAGGAGATGCTGCCTGATACGTAAGTTCTCCATCTTCAAAAGTAGGAGTGACTTGGTGACATATTGCTAAAGTCAAAACGAGATCTCGTACACGAGTTGATAAATCTTTCTTAGCTGAAAAGTGAGAAACAGTAACGTCGTTCCCATTCACCATACCCCTCACATAATCGGTAACGATATCCATCGTGTCCATGGAGTACGAAACTGTCCCTAGGTGTAACTTCCTCAATTGCATGTCGTTCTGAGTTAAGGTACCTGTCTTGTCACTCAGTAAATATTCGATGCGACCCAAGTCTTCTGGAATCGTGCTAGTTCTGACGACAGTCTCTGGAATTGACTTGTCATGTTCAATTTGATGAGCATACACAGACTTTCCTAAATCCAAATTAACCCTTAAGGATACAGGAATGATCGTGGAAAATAATATCAGGTATCTCATGACGTCCACATACCAATCATTGTTATGAAGGCCACCAAAAGCGACCAGAACAATGGACAGCAGAAAGACGCATGCGCACAAAATCTTCGAAAGGCCGTTAATCTCGAGCTCTAGAAGCCCAGTCTTCACACTCGACATAGTTGTATTCATAGCTTGTCTAGTGTCGCAACCCGTGTACAAAATACAACCAATACACGTCCCGGTAGAAGCTAGAACTGTATTTGCCCACATCGTATTGTCAACGCTTAGTGGTTGAGAGGTCGCATCCTTGTATTTTAATTTCCCAATAAAGTTGTGTATTGACTTCTCGGGAGCAGATGCATTAATAGAGATCTTATTCAATAAATCGTCAAAGGACATGTGTTGTGTCAGAGGACATGCTAATCTCAATTTCCAGTCAGTCTCACCATCTAGTTGATCTGTTTTTATGAATAACTCACCTGATGGTTCACTAGATTGAAGCAGAACGATGTCAGCCGGTGCCCTGGCTCCCTTTTCTAATTTGATGAGGTCTCCCACTTTCAAATCTCTGCTCCGAACAAGTTGCGCCCCATTTAATACCTCATAAAGTTCATTATTTGATTCCCTATCACGCTTCCTTCTCTGTATATCATCCAGGGCCTCTTTGCTCATTGTAACTGTTAGAACAAATGCGAGGGGCACGATATATGACGAGAGGTATCCGATCCTTAAAGCCGGTATTACTTGGGATAATGCAACGATCAGGAAATACAGGTTGAAAAAGAATTTGAATTGCTCATAGAGTATGACCGGTATGAACGTAATAGGATTATATTTTGCATTGGACAGGGCATTTGAAGCATATCGATTTCTGTCATAAACGGGTGTTGTCCCTGGAAGAATTTCCCTTTCGAGCTGATTCTCATCGGACGTTTTAGCCATGGACCCTCTATATTTGCTTTTGGAGCGGTTATTGGAAGATTTGAAGACTAGCAAAATTTTGGAAAACCAAGATCCGCCCTCCTTACCGTTTGGAAAGCCCGCACCATTCAAAGACGCCGAATTCGCTCTTAAAAGGGGCTGTGTATCATCGTCAGTTTTATTAGATATCGTTCTTGAATCCTTCTTGATTTGGAAACTGCCATTGTTATCTTCGTTAGATTTCATTGTGTGCATTTCGAATCCCTCAGTACCGGGAGAAGTTGGCGGATGAATCTGTAATGAGTCTAACGCAGCCTCCAGAGAATCTTCGTATCGTAAGTCGAATGAATCAATGCTTCCCTGTCGGCCTTTGGATGATTCTTGATGTTGACTTGAGCCGGGTGGGGGCGACAACGACATCTGAGTACAAGGAAGCCACCTAACAGAACCAAAGAAACCAAGCCAATATGTTAAAAAGGCCGGGTTCTAGCTTGACGCTCGATATTCACACGGAAACACGACAAGTCGATGAGTTTACAACCCTGATCTTGTATGCTTATTTTTGGGTACCTCTTGCTAATAAATAGATATGCTCAAGATCAAAGAGCTATTGGTGTGATTATTTACGAAATTGTAAAAAATCCATTGATTTGATTGAACCTTACAACGAGGAAATGTAACAAGTTATACGGGAAGCGTAATACACAGTTATCTAGTCAGAACCGGAAGAAGTTTAGTTCTTCTTAGCCTTCTTGGAGGTCTTTTTCTCGGCCTTCTTAGCAGCCTCGGTTTGCTCCTTGACGACCTTCTTGACGATCTTTTGTTCTTCGATCAAGAAAGCTCTGATGACTCTTTCCTTGACGGCGTTGGCGGATAGAACACCACCGTAAGCTCTGGAAACGGTCTTGCTGGTCTTAGACACTTGAGCGTAAGCTCTTGGTCTTAGAGCAGAAACACCTTGTAGAGGAACACCGGTGTCACCACACTTAGGTCTAGTAGCCAACTTCTTGGTGTGTTGAGCACGCAAGACACCGCCTGGGGTCTTAACAACCTTGATCTTGTTAGAACGGGTGTTGTCTGGGGTGCGAAAGTTAGTATTTGGTTCCGAATTTCGGTCTTGGTCAGATCGTTTCTGCGGCAGAATGGGATGAGCTAGGCATCAATTTCTTTGTGGACCTTCTTCACAGTATTGTTGCTTTCACTTTTCCTATCAAACTCCTGGTCTACCCAAATGGCAGACAAATGGATATACCTCTCGTAAGTTAACAGCAACCTATTCGAAGCATCCCACTGATGGTAGCATCTTAGGGCCCTATGCTGTCCCACAACATTGTACAAACATGAACGTCAGGCACAGGGGCCATTACATCATGACACCCTATTTCCACTTCTTCCTTGAAACTATTCTAACCCACTTCGGCATTCTATTCACACCAAATTGCGCGACTCAAATTCAAACATACATGGATTTCTTCTTCTGAAAGTGACACGTTGAGCCATCCTTGGTTGTTTTGTCCTGGTATTACTGGCCTTAACCGAGAGTTCAAAATGGTCTAGTTTGCCAAATTTTTTTCACTGTAACCTTCCAGACCGGCCGCCGGTAGTGGTGGGCGGTGATAAACGTGTAGGGTGACGATCGATGGCGCCGTTGGTTGGTCTGCGACGGTGGTGGCCTTCCACGGTTGGCGTGAGGAGCTGGGCAGGGGCTCGCACGGCCCCCAGGCGGGCCAGGACTCCCCTGGGGGGGGAAGCACCATGCTACGGGAGGGCGAGTACCTCAGCCTACAACCACAGCCCCTAGCCTACCGCGGCTAGCTCAGTAGGAGGCAACCAATGCGTGGGTAACACGAGGAAGGTCGAGTGGGGTTTTGAGATGCTATGCTTTCCGGAAACTTGAAGGTCTAATTCGATAATTGTTTTACAAAAAATAATACCCCCATACACCATTATATATTGTTTGGTAAAATCCGTACATTTGAAACAGTCATACACTACCCTCGTATGCAGCTGTCAATTGTCGTTTGGAACGGAATTACAGGGTGTCGTGCCCACAGACAGAGGTGACTAGTGTGATCCATAACCTAATCTGCATAACGAAAGACAGGAACACTCTGCAAAACGCTGAAAAGCCCACTTTACATGTTTTTGAGAGCGTTTGGAAAGCAGCAATTGAGATCGATGTCGAAACTAACGTCAGTTCGCACCCCACTTGCGCCCCCACCGGCTGCGTCCTACTCGCAGGCTATCAAGGTCAACAATATGATCTTTGTCTCAGGTCAGATCCCCTACACCAAGGACAACAAGCCAATTGAAGGCACCATTGGTGACAAGGCCGAACAGGTGATCCAGAACGTCAAGAATATTTTAGAAGAGGCCAACTCGGGACTTAACCACATTGTCAAAGTCAACATCTTTTTGGCCGACATCAAAGACTTTGGTGACTTTAACAAGGTCTACGCCAAGTACTTTAGTGAGCACAAACCTGCCAGATCCTGTATCGCTGCCAAGGCGCTTCCTCTGAATGTCGATCTGGAGATGGAGGTTGTCGCTGTTGAAAAGGAGTAGACGCCTGCGCGCACACCTTCTACGGCCTAGCTAGATATATATATATATACAATTGAACAATTCAGATATCACCAGCTACAAACGCAGTTGCGAAACACAGCAGCTTCGTCGCTTCACTGGCGCTCCGTCGCCCTCGCGTAATGCCGGGCTTACGCCATGTCTCCTGGGAGAGTGAGCGGACCAGTTATCAACCACGAAAGTTAATATGTATCACGTGCTCAAGTATTTCTTATCGAGTCGAGCCCATAGCTTCCATGATCTTTTGGATTAATGACAGAGAGGGAAAGCCAAGATAGGAACTCTTCCCTGCAAGCACCACATCCCTTTCCCCCATGAGCAGAGCAAGTAAAATTACATTAGGGCTGTCGTGTCTATTCACCGCGACAACGGTGATCGGAGTTCATATGGTGCAAGAGATGGAACGCGACGTGTTGCGGCAGGGTCCCATTAAGGACGCACAGCGGGTGGCCGAAAAACACAAGACAGATGCTATTGACCCGTCCAAGCAGAGAAAACGGCTGTTCAACCAAAGTGAACACGAAGTGCAGAAGGAGTTGCGTAAAAAATACGAGGCCATCCAGCCTTTGAGCGGTGAAATTCTTACGAAAGACGGTCAGATCGTGCCGAAAAATGAAAATCGCGAGGAGTCAGCAAAGTAACGGCTTTACGACCATCTGTCTGCCCTGTACATAGAATTTACAAGCGTTTGAACCGCATCAAAATTACGTACCGTAACATGTGCTATCCTTTTAGCACCCTACAAGCACCTCAAAACGTCCGGAAAGTTCCCAGAGATAGCCTGTACGTGTCCGATCATCTCGTCTTTCTTACTGGTGATCAGAGTGATCGGGTCTTTTCACGAAAGTCTGTTTTCTCTTCAACGAGGTACCTTGTAGTGCTTGACTTGGTTGATGAGCAGATATATATGGACAAAGTCAACCAAATTTTTCAAGGGTTTGGGATAAACAATCGCGACAGTTATAGAGACAATATAAGAGCAAATGCCGCCCCGAACAACGAGCCAAGCAGATGGCGGCAGTGCTTCACCGACTAATAGAAGCAGGCCGATGGTGATTCCTCGACAGGGCCGCAGCTTCGACACGGATTTCTCGACCAGTGTTACAGAGGAAACGATCAGCAGTTCGCAGTCGTCGAACTCGCTTATAAACCCAGAAGAGTCCTCGGTGGCCGAGGGTGAGGGCCATGGTGGCCACGGTGTTGGTCACGGGGGCCACAGTAGCGGTTACGGCAGTGTACCGAACCTGGTAGGGACCAGCTGGTCTCAGGGAAAGCAAGGTCGAAGCAGACCCGGTCTGAACCGTACGAACAGCTCTTACACTACCACAGACTCCTTTATGGGAAATAACGGAAGTTATATATCGATGTCGTTTGTGGGGTCTCCGACGCACGACGACGAGGGGGAGTCGGAGCCCGAGGGTGACACTTTGGAGGAAAGCAGTACCGACAACGGTGCCGAAGATACTGTCGGGCCTGATGCTGGATCAGACCGAGACAGTGCGTCGAAAACGTCAGTTCCGATGGCTGTGGCGCAGGCGATGGTTCGGCCGCAGTTGTCGCAGTATTTCGAACCCAGCAGGCCTCAAAACGAAGCTTGGCAGGATCACACGCCGTATCACAATACACCGACCTCTGTTTCGAGCTCCTACCGCAAAAATGCGTTTATGACGCCGGCGAAAGAGATGCCAGCACAATCCACGGAGCAAGACCCGGTCGCAGAGCAGGAGTTGGTCGATTTGGCTGAGTTTTCGACTGACAAGCTGCTCGAAATGCTCACGGCGCTACTGAATAAGATCGTCAAGTCTAACGACCAGCTCCATTGGCAGCGGCCGAACGAAGAAGAGAGTGGTCACGGAAGATACGATTCTGAGGTTCTAAGTTTCCGGGGCAAACATGTGCCAGCGATAACGCTGCAGCAGTATTTCCAACGAATACAGAAGTACTGTCCGACGACTAACGACGTATTTCTGTCGTTACTGGTGTATTTCGACCGCATTGCCAAGGCCTGTAACCAGGGCAAAAGCCAGGTGTTTGTCATGGACTCCTACAACATCCATCGCCTTATAATATCGGCGGTCACGGTGAGCACCAAGTTTTTCAGCGATTTTTTTTACAGCAACTCGCGCTATGCGCGAGTTGGTGGCATTTCGCTGCAGGAGTTGAACTTTCTGGAACTACAGTTTCTTGTACTATGCGACTTCGAGCTTATCGTGCCCGTCGACGAGATGCGCAAATACGGGAAACTCTTGCGGGACTTCTGGCAAAGAGAGAATGGGGACGGGTCGGGCTCTCCGAAACCTGCCGCAAATAGTGTAGTGTAGTATAGATTTTTGCGCCGGGATTCGGCGATGTAACGATATTAAGGGTAATCGACGCTTACGAGATGGCTTAGGGTCGGGTGATTGTGGTGCTTCTCCACATGGTATATATATAACATACAAAACATGCAAAACATGCAAAACACGCAAAGCATGCAAAGAAACACGTTCCCCCTTCTAGAGCCTTACTTTGTATAAAAACCAGACGTTCGTCCAGCACAAAGCCAGATTCTTTGGGCCGTCGCCCCCTTGTCGGTGTATCCCTTAGACGATTGTGTTCCTCCTGCCGCCGAGGTCTTTCGCCGCGCCGGGCTTCTCCGACGCTCGCTCTTAAACGGAACCGGAACAGCCGCTCGCTGCATCCGACCAGAGGCAAGGACCCTGGTCACTCCTTATGAAACAGCATATCTGGGCTTCTCCACCTCCGGTACTTCCGTACGGCGTAGCCTAGTCAACCAGATCAGTCTTGGCACTTTCTCGGTTCGTTTAAAGTGCGTGCCCAAATAACCCAGACACCGTGAAAAGTTTTCGGATGATCCGGTCGGCAACCCCGGTCATTCGCTTCCGTTCACGCCTTAGTTTCTAATGAAGGGCGTTGATATTGAGACCTGACTCTGGGCCGTAAGGCGATTTTTGCGCAGACCACCGTAAACGAGGGTCCGCGCGGGTCTCAAGACCTACGTCGCTCTGCGACTCTAACTACTATAACTCAACGTATGTGCCAAGGCTACGTGGCAGATGACCTGACGACCCTTGTACCACCTCGTAATTAAGCCCTGCAGAAGACACAATCAGATCGCGGAGATTTGAGGTGCGTCGATGTGTCAGCCAGACGCATGGGGCATCGCTAGTCTTTACCAAAAAAAGACAAATTGCATCACCGAATACGAAACAGTTGTTTTCCCAGCGCCTTTGTTTCTCGCGGCCCTGTCGGTTGTGTGGAAAGTGTGATAGCATGTCATGATAGCATGCCATGATAGTGACAAAAGACAAATTTTGCCAGGACGAAGCAACGAATTCTGCGGGCCCTGCGGACAACGCCGTGGAAATATGGAGAACTTAAGCTTCACAGATCTTGCTTCGTAAGATTCTGCAAGGCCAGATAGGAGCGCACTGATACGGGGCTGGAGATCTCGCAGCGGGAACACATCACGCTCGATAGCGTCCTCTAGAGTCAAATACAGTGTCGTATGTTATGACATCGTGCTTATCAGCTCGACGGGCCTGTGTTATCACAAAAAGAAATGCACTTGTGAAAAATTCATTCACGTTTCTTTTGGATTGGGAATCATCTCATCGCGCCGTGCGTCCTATATAAGTGATGGTGATACGGAACGCATTGTAAGAGTAGGTTGGTGGTTGGAGCGGTGCAGAAAAGTATTTGTTTCTAAGGGCCCCAATAGTGGACTTAAGTCGACGTCATTGGACATAAGCCAAGTCTCAAACTCGTCATACTTATTTATTTTTGCCTACAATGTCTTCGAAGGAGCAGTACGAAATCAGAGATTTCGAGAAACAGCAGCAAGTTCCGTCGGAGCTGTCTGACTATGAGTCCACCCCCGTGGCCGAGTCGTCTGAGGCGGTAAATCTGTCGTTTGTCGACCGTGTCGCGGCTAAGTTGAACGCAGAGACAAAGGGTATCGACCCGATCACGGATGAAGAGAAAAACGACAATTCGCTCTTTGGTGCCGCTTCCATGTGGTTTTCCGCTAACATGGTGATCGCTTCGTTCGCGCTGGGCGCGCTGGGACCCGCAGTGTTCGGTCTCAACTTCTACGAGTCGCTTTTGACCATCATTTTTTTCTCGTTAATCGGACTTTTGCCCGTTGCTTTTTTCTCCGTTTTCGGTGCTGAACTCGGTCTTCGTCAGATGGTTCTGTCGCGGTTTTTGCTCGGTAACGTCACGGCTCGTATTTTCTGTCTCATCAACATCGTTGCCTGTGTCGGTTGGGGTGCTGTCAACACAATTGCCTCCGCGCAATTGTTGCACATGGTCAACCCTACCGGAGCACGTTGTCCCCCATGGGCTGGGTGTCTCATCATTGTGGTCTCGACCATTCTCGTCACCTTTTTCGGCTACAGAGTCATCCACACTTACGAAAAATGGTCCTGGATCCCTAACTTTGCCGTTTTCCTCGTGATCATCGCACGTCTCAAGATCTCCGGTGCATTCACCCCGGGTGAATGGACCTCGGGCGCCACTACTGCTGGTGGTGTGCTATCCTTCGGTGGTACGATTTTCGGGTTTGCAGCTGGTTGGACTACTTATGCTGCAGACTACACAGTTTACATGCCAAGAAATACCAACAAGTACAAAATCTTCTTTTCCGTGGTTTTCGGCCTGTGGTTCCCATTGCTATTCACGCTCATTTTGGGCTCTGCCTCCGTCATGGGCACTTTCACTAAGGATACCTGGAACTCTTACTACGAAAGCGATGGTGTAGGTGGTCTAGTTTACGCCATCTTGGTTGAGGACTCTCTTCACGGATTTGGTCAATTTTGCTGTGTTATCCTCGCTATGTCTACCGTCGCCAACAACATTCCAAACATGTACTCCATTGCTTTGGGTACGCAAGCCATGTGGGAACCACTCTCGAAAGTTCCAAGAGTGTTCTGGACTGTTTCGGGCAATTTCATCACCTTGGCAATTGCTATTCCAGGATACTATAAATTTAACACTTTCATGTCCAATTTCATGGATGCTATCTCATACTACTTGGCCATTTACATCGGTATCACTTTGAGTGAACATTTCATTTACAGAAGAAGCTTTAAGAACTACAACGTCGAGGACTGGGATAACTGGAAGAAATTGCCAATCGGTTACGCTGGCGTTTGTGCACTTTTCGTGGGCGCTGTCGGTGTTGCTGTGGGCATGGACCAAACTTACTGGGTTGGTGAAATTGCTCGTCGCATCGGTGAATATGGTGGTGATATTGGTTTCGAACTCGGTATGGGATTCGCCCTTATTGTCTACAACATATTAAGACCTTTCGAGAAGAAGTACACTGGTCGCTGATTCGTGCTCACATCTTAAATGTATTTAGCACCTGTATTATGAATAGTAATGATCTCTATCTAGACTAATTGAGTTGATCTTCATCAAAAATTCTGTCATAAGTCAACGAAGTGACTCTGCGCCAGGCATCAAACCCCGGAACGTCAGAGAACAAGACATGCACAACTGCGGCTTCGAGACAAGCTAAGCACGATCCAAGTCACGTCAGGCATCACCAAACTTAGAATTAATAGGAACGATCAACTTCTTTTCAGCCGTACTCTTTGCGATTCTTGCATTGTTCCCTTAGCCGAGAAGCTGTGGCAAGGATTCCCCACCGTCTTAGCAAGGTCAAAGTAGATATGATTTGTGCAGAATTACGAGGATAGCAGATGTTCTTTGGGCATCATGCGCTACAGTTTTCACCGCGATACCCATCAACGTGGCAGCTGACCTAAGCGACTACTGAGTAGGAAGCGAGTAGCCGCATATGTTGATAACTCATTGCCATGTGATCTTTGCTTTCTGTTGCACGTGACAAGCGTTCACCTGTGACACAACCCGTCGATCCCGCGGGGAGCACACAGCCGGATCGCAAGGCCGGTTCACCTCGATTTCTCTCCTTTAGCTCTCTATCGAACCGTTGGTGGTAACCCCTCTTCTTCGGGTACCACACGAGTATGGTGCTAAAGCGCTCCTGAAAACGCAATTAACTATGGGCCTTAATATGGGCCTTAATATGGGCCTTAGGGTCACATTCACGCAGTTAAATTCATTCCGCTCGTTGGTACTGAGTCTTCTGATCGGGAAAATCTTCTTCAGATGAGTGGAAATTTTTCCAGTTCATCAAATTACGCAATAGACTGAACAGCTTAGCGCTGATAAGTTAATTCTTTACGAGGCGAAATTGAGCATTGTGTGAATTTGATTGGACTTCTGAGAGACCGAAATACTAGGCCATTGCTGCTTTCCTTTAGATTCTCGTCAGGCTTTGTTAACGGTCTGTCGACTACTATCAAGAAGATAATTAACTTTGTTTTCACGATCTTGGTCTTGAAAATCTCAAATGGACGGCTCAAACTACAAGTCTTTCAAGTAAATCTTTTACCCAGACCTTGAAAATGCTATCGCAGTTTTTATTCGTCTGTAGGGCCTTTTTTTTCCTCACGACTTTGATTGGCTTTGTGAGCATCCTGTTTGCCAAATTTAGGAACCCCACTCTATTGAAATATGGGAAAACCCGCCAATTTCCCAATAGATCAGCTCAAGGCATCATTTCCTTTTTTGAACAGCTCACCGTACCGAAAGCTTGGTTTCGACATTTTTACATCTTTTCTGAACTTCTGGCTTTTATCAGCGTACTTAAGAGACGCGACACAGTATCGCTTCTCTTCCTTTTCCATTCTACGAGACGTTTAATGGAAACGTTCTATGTTAACAAATTCGGATCACAGTCCAGGATGCATGTTACACACTATCTAGTTGGAATTTGGTTCTATTCGGGAGTTAATTTTGGCATTGCAATAAATCAATCCCAGGGTTCGCGTTCGACTATTTTACGACTGGTAGCCTTCCTTTTGTTTGCCGCTGCTTCTTATGACCAATTCCAAAATCATCTTCATCTTGCACAGCTGAAAAAATACAGTCTTCCCACTTACGGAATGTTCAAAGTGGTATGCAGCCCACATTTCCTTGACGAGGCGGCGATATACCTTGCCCTTGCAATATTGTCAGGCTCCACAGAACTCATAATGTGTTTTCTGTGGACTATCTTCAATCTTTCAGTGTCCGCGGTTGAAACTCGCACTTGGTATTTGAACAAGTTTTCCAAGTCCACGCCGCAATATGCCATCATCCCATTCGTACTTTAGTTATGGGAAGTTGCAACTTAATTTGCATCTTTATGCTTCACTTAGTCACTTGCTCAACTTCATCCCATTTTTTGAAAAGAATTGCACTGTTGACGCCGCCAAATCCAAAGCTGTTGTTGAGAGCGTATTCCATCTTTCTTGCAATAGGTTTGTCTCGCACAAAATTCAAGCCTTGAAAATCGGTCTCGTCATCACCCTTGGCGCCTCCAACGGTGTTGAGGTTTAAGGTATGTGGGATTGTATCGTGGTACAGCGATTTGATGGTGAAAATAGCTTCCATTGCGCCAGCGGCGCCCAGCAGATGCCCTATGGCGCCTTTGTTGCTAGAGACACAGATGTCTGATTCCCGGTTGTTACGCGCGTTAAACACATCTCGAATGGCACGTGCCTCTGCGCGATCGCCAAGGATGGTCGATGTAGCGTGCGCGTTGACGTACCCCACGCTGCGAGGATCGTGGTCACCTAGTGCCATCTGCATCGCCCTTCTTGCGCCGTCTCCACCCTCAAGAGGAGACGTTATATGGTAGGCATCACTTGTAACTCCGTAGCCAACAATCTCAGCATAAATTCGTGCTCCGCGGCGCTGAGCATATTCTAGATTTTCCAATACAAGAATACCGGCTCCTTCTGCTAGAACGAACCCGTCCCGCAGACTGTCAAACGGACGCGATATCCCGGCCGTTGTTATGCTCTTGGCCCTCAGGAATCCGGCAAGTGCCAACGGATGCACGCTGGCCTCGCTGGCGCCTGCCAGACACGAGTCGCTGTACCCAAGACGTATGAAATTGTAGGCGTCTCCGATTGAGTTGTTTCCAGTGGCACATGCCGTTGAGACGCAATGCGTCACACCTTGAAGGCCAAACTTGATGGACAAGTTTCCCGCGGCCATGTTATTTAAAATCTTGGGCACGAACAGCGGAGAGACTTTTTTACCCTGGATGAAACCCCCTACCGTATCAAAAGTGTCGCTGATCGAAGCGATGCCAGACCCGATGACACATCCGAATTTTTCCTTGTCGTAGTATCGATCATGGAGCAGGCCCGCGTCTTCCAGTGCTTCCCTAGCCGCAACAGTGGCATACTGCGTGAACAAACTCATTCTTCGCAAATCCTGAGTAGAAAATAGACCCCCATACTCCTCTGGACTGAAATTGCTGACCTTTCCGACCCCACACGTCGCAGGACAGTGCGCCGTGTAGCTCGCGGCATCTGGCAGCTGAGAAATAGGTGTTATGCCCGATTTTCCTGCCAAAAGAGATGTCCACGATTTCTGTACACCTGCCTCTAAAGGGCTCAGAGCCCCGAGCCCAGTTACAACGACTCTAGCGGCCATACGGAACTCCATTCACTTTCTCATCGGAGCGGTTTTCTGCATTTTATCAGGCTCAGTAACCAGATGAATATGTTCACGTGACCTCTACTCTCAGAACAGGCAAACATGCTCTATCAAAGTGCTAATTTAAAATACTCATTACTTAGAAAATGCTGGCTCCGGGCCCATTGGCCCTTCGCGCTATCTCTTTTATATCCCCCGGATCATGGCCTAGCTGGGCCGACTTATGCTTACCATTTAAGCAAGTCGTCCTTAGCGTACAAGTAGTCGTCGAAGACGAAGTCCACTTCGTCGGTTTCTGGGTCGTAGCCACCGATGTGGATGGACTCGTGGTTCTTGACGATGATGTCGCAGCCCTTCTCCTTCAAAAACTCGAGGTCGAACGTGGTAGCGATACCAACGATTTTGCAGCCGGCGGCCTTACCAGCGGCAATACCAGCAGGAGCGTCTTCAAAGACAATGACCTTGGACTTGGATGGGTCCTGTTCGTTGATGGGGTAGCCCAAACCGTTTCTGCCCTTTAGGTATGGTTCTGGGAAAGGCTTACCTTGCTTGACGTCGTTCGCAGTGATAAAGTACTCTGGCTTCTGGATGCCCAAGAGCTCAAACCACTTGGAAGCCATTGGGCGGGTACCGGAGGTAGCCACGGCCCACTTCTCCTTTGGAAGAGCATTCAACTCTTTGCAGAGCTTGACGGCACCGGGAACCTCGATGGAGTGCTCACCGTATTTCTCTGGGATTTCACTTTCTAGCTTGGTAGCGTATTCCTCGCTGGCGAAGTCTGGAGCGAACTTGGCGATCGCGTCGTACGTTCTCCATCCGTGAGAGACGTGGATCACGTGCTCGGCGTCAAAGTATGGTTTGTCCTTACCGAAGTCTCTCCAGAAGGCAGCGATGGCAGGTTGCGAGATGATGATTGTTCCGTCGACGTCGAACAAAGCGGCGTTAACTTTCAAGTGGATAGGTTGTTTGGTAGCGGCAGTCATTGTCAATTTAGTTGTCGATTGTGTGCTTGCGTATGCGAGTGCAGATACTTATCAGCGACAATCAAAAATTTCTCTCCGATAACAACTATCTTCCTATATATACGTTTGATGGCCTACCAAAAAGCAACGATCGCTCCTGTGACGACTACCACTGGGACCAGCTTTGTGTTCTCTTCCCGAACCACCAACCGATGCTTTCTTCTTCCCACGTAAGACAGGGCCCGCATAACTAACGCACGCGCTCCGGAAATTTCTCTGACGCGCTAGCGATCTCCGCCTGCCTCATACCACGTTTCGCTTCTTTTTGAGATGGTGAAGATGATGTAGGATGCCATCGCCTTATGACGTGCGGAAGGGACTGGCGCAGTAGTGGGTCAAGATGAGCACGATAGTGGGCTGGGTCAAAAAAGAGACAGGTGGGTCAGAAGTTGACCCAGACGCTCAGGTGGGACAATCGGGACGCGCGTTGCTTTTCGTCGGAGAGGAAGCGGGCGGCGGGCGTCGGCAGCGACGCCGGCAGCGGTATGTGCGTGGTCGTTGCTTTTGGTGCAGGAAGCGGACGGAAGCGGACGGAAGCGCAGGGTGCGTGGGTGGTTGTGTGGGTTCTGTTAAGGAACGTATGTAATGACATTAATTGAAATAGCCACGTGATGTTGATTACGTAATTGAGGTGTGTGGATGTTTTTTGAAAACCATGTGACATACAGTGAGCATTCTGCACGGAGGGCCCTCCAGGAAAGCCCTCCAGGAAAAACAACAAACCTAATACAGAAGAAATCTTTCCTAATTCCCCCTTTCGCCTTAGCGCTTTACTCGGCGCGTAAAAGAGCACGCTGCGGAACGCAAAGCCGGGCATCAGAATGTCGGAGCAAACGGAAAATACTGCCGAGCAGCTGCGTGAGGAGCTGACCAGCAAGCAATTGGCTACGGATGGGGACCGTGACGCGCTTGTAGCGCGACTCCGCGCAACTCAGGAGCAGGACAAAGATACGGCCCCTAAGGCGTCGCCGGCTCCTGTACCAGCGCTGAACCCTGAAGAACGCAAAAGCCGTGCGCTAGAGCTTCTGAAAAAGAAACTAGCGCGTGCCAACAAGTTTGGTGGAGAACAGACGGCGGTCGAGGCGCTGGAGCGCCAGATCGCAAGAATCGAGAAATTCGGTCTCGACCTCGACACCGGGCTCGCCAGAGAGCTTGGTCTTGGCAAGGGCCCGCAGAGCACGCGGGCTGGGGGAAACCGTGTACCGCACGGACGTGGCAAAGCGCGCAAGCGCTCGTCTAAACGTACATCGAAGCACTGAAGGTTGAGCAAATCACGTGGTGTTCGTAGAATGTGCTTGGCCCATTCTTCGGTCTTGTTCCGTTCTCCATCCCAGCGGGCGTCGCCCATACACCTCAGGGAACTTTCTTCACAAGCCAGAGAGAGAGCGGACACTGGAAAAGCGCAAAGGGGGCCAGCCTGCTTGGTGAAGTTTTTTGATCTTGTACCGTATTCAAGCTCATTCTGGGGCAAATAGCGCTACATTGGAAGGATCATGGATGCGCAGGGGTCGACACGAGTAGCGTATATCAGGATCGATAACCTTCCGCCGGGCAAAACATGGCGACAGGTCAAATATTTCGTCGGAGGAATAGTTCATCACAGCAACATTTTGCAGGTGAAAATGCTGCCACCGGTGCAGTCCATAGTGCCTCCGTTCATGCCTTTCCAGAGCTGTATAGTGTCGTTGAGGAGGTCCGACAGTCAATTGAATAAGCTGCTACTGGAGTTGAATGGGTTTAGTTGGGAATACTACCGTCTTGTCGCTTACGCAGTTCCGCCTCTCCATAGCACGAACGGCGGCGTGGCAGGACCCGAGCAACCCTCCGCGATGATGATGCGGATGGCACCCATGGGAAACATGTATTTCGGGCCTTTTCAGCAGGACAACCTGACCCTTCAGCTGCCCCAGCCGAGCAAGAGAATAAAACAGGTTTTCAGCGAAGAGAGCTTCCGAAAGCAAATGACCGCAAGAGGAATGTGGCAGTTGCTCTTGGAAGGTTTTCCGCCTTATTTGCATTTCGAGAGCGAGACTTACGGCGGCGCACGAGCGGTGTCGCCGCAAGATCCTCGGCAGCTCCCAGTCATAGACGTCAAAACGTCGCATCCGGAAAAATATGGGAAACTCAAGTGGACAGTCTTGAAAGATTTCATCAAACTTAAATGTCACAAGCTGTTAGAGCTTGAGAGTGTAGGAGGAGCCGCGAATACCAGGGAGTTTTATGTGGGTGTTTACGAGGCTCAAGAAGTTTTGGCCAAATTGCATCCAGGAGACAGCGAAGGGGGCGCTGTGGCGGAAAAGATAGGGCCATCGAGCGATCAAGAAACCGATGGAGGAAAAGGGATCTCTGCTCAGGCAGAACCGGGTCTGGAGACACTTGAAAATGGGGACAGCGAGGATGACCACAGCTTGGATCCTTTAGTGAACAGTCTAGCGGGTCTGAATGTAAATACAAGCCCAAGTGAACTTCCCGCTACCATATACAAAGCAATAGTTGGGTTTCATTCACGGGAGCTTTGTGATCTGTGTCGTAGCAGTCTCCAAGGCCAAGAATATTCACTGGGGTATACGTTAAATGTCAAGGAGTTACCCCCATACGACTGGTGATACGTGAGAGACGCACGGGGGAGTCAAGGATACCAAAATTATAGTTGGCGGGTAGAACGGAAACGGTCTAATAAAAGAAAGGCACTTAGACAGGCACACAACGGCATGAAATTCATCTACATTAAAAAACAAATCAGGTAAAATAATACTGAACTAGCATTTTTCTGGCGTCCGTGCACGGGCCTGTAAGGGCACCCAACTGAAATGCTCTTGTTTCTGACTGCTTTTTCAGTTCTTTTAAATAATATGCATAACTCAACCTACAAATTTTATTACAAAAGAGGCTGGAACACCGGTTGTGGTAAATTGTTATTATCAAAAGCACCACGCTGATGTTCAAGTCGCACCAAAGGTGGTAATCCTGGCTTGTTCGAGATCGTCAATCTATCCCTGTTTTGACTCGATCTGATGAGTAGTGGAGAAACTTTTCCACTTGTTTTGAACGTGGCTTGGTTTTCGATCGGAGAGTTCGATGTAGGTGTCGAGATAGGTGATGTAGACGTTTCCGGCTTGACCACTGGCGATATGCCCGTGGACGTCGACGCGGAGACATTGCTTAGAATAGTAAGCCCGCTAAAGGGCTCGTCCTTCATTTCACATATCTCTAAGATGATTTCCTCCGTGGTGAAGCTATTAAAGATCTTGGATAACTCTAGGTCGTCTTTAATCAATGTGGATTCCTTCAAAAGATAGAGGTTTTTAGCTTGGCTCACAATCTGGAACAAATTACGCGAGTTCTCGAGAATTTCTGTAATAGTCGGAGAACCATTGCTCAAAAGATGGAACGTAAACCTCTGCTCCTTGCCCTTAAACTTTAAAACCACTTGCCGGTTCACGTCTTTATTGGCAGCCGCGGGTGCCATCGATAGCGACGACATGACCGCCGATCGCTGTGACTCGACAGTAGGTTGTGACATGAGCGGATAGTGTTTGACGATGACATCGTACATGGCCTCGCCTAGTGGGTAAATGCAGGGATCGAAACCAAAATCCTTGACAATCCCTCCGATCAACAGGTACAGTAGTTTTAATTGAGCGTCTCTGGACATTTGTCCGGGGTGTCGTTGCGTTGCTGGAGAAAAAAGTTTCAGCGACACCTCTGCTAACTGTTCGGGCGAGTTTAACTTAGTGGTGATGTATTCCATGGACGAAGAGGCCAAATTAGAGAAAAACCTTTCCATGACAAATGCTACCGAAGCTTTCGTAGACATTTCACCCAGTATCATCAAATTGGTATACAAATCCAAAGAGCCTTGCGACGAGCCAATTTCGAAGCAGGCTCGTGAGCGCTGGATGTGGAGAATTAACTTCTCGCGCAGGAAGTACGGAATGGAGCCGTCGCTGCTAAACTTGGTCTTGAATTCTTCACGAGGAGAAACCGGTGCACCTGCAGGGGGCTTGTTTAGCATGGGACGAGATAAAGCTAGACTCAGAAGGGCGCTGTCGTTGCTGGACATGGCGAAATCCGCGAGATTGGGCGAATCCGCGTCCCGACCGGACTGGTCGTGCAAGGGAACACGGTTGTGCACGATGTCTGCAACCATGGCCTTGATGAGTTCGTCGCAGTTCTGAGGGTGCATTCCGCAGGCAGTCGAGGGCAGCGGCGGGGCGAGAGTGGCGCGTTCGACGTGGCCGGAGTCCGGCTTGGGCTGCAGCAAGGGCCAGCCCTGGCGTGCAACATCAACACCAACCCCTTCCGATGTCACTTGCAAGGACCCCACGTCTGCCGGACCTAGCGGCGATGCTGGATGCGAAGACGAGGTCTCCTCTTCGGAATGCGAAAAGGTCGCTGCTGGCGAAGGCGAGGATGCCGCTGCGGCCGCCGCCACCGCCATGGCAGCAGCACCGGCAAATTCTGTGCTCAAAAACCGAGATTTCGAGGACCGTTTCCGGTTTCGCCGCACCGATTGCACCGCAGCGGTGACCAGTTTTTCGAACTCGGGCGACGAGCTCGACGGGTACCCGAATTCCGTGCGCAAAATCGTCGCGATCTGCCGGATGTTCTTGTCCTGCTCGCTTGCCTTACGCTCGCTCAGCTTGAACTTGTCGATCAGCTCCAGCCGGCGACCGGAGAACCGTTTCCAAAGTCGTTCGTCGCAGAAATTCAACTGTTCGCGGATTTTCCGCGTCGTCCCGCTCGACGCGCGCTTCTGCACGCGCCCCGGTCCGCCTGTCGCGACCATCGCTGTCATAATAATAAATCCTGAGTGGTACTTCTAGCGTCTGTCGTCTTTCAAACCTGCCTTTGCGAAGTCGGTCTATTCTATCAAGACTATGTGACTCCTCACGCGGGCGAAGATGACTCAACTAAAAGAAACGGGCAAAAGCTTATACAATCGTGTTGAAAAACTCGCGCTTTTCCTACGAAGCTACCCAACCAGAGCTTGTTTTCTCACTGTTAACGCTGATTCACGGTGGTGTCGTCTAGTTGGCAGCGCGTTCGAGCGTCCCATGCTCCGACGGGGGGCCCCGCCGGATATCATATCCGGCACGCTCTTAAATAGTGCAAATCCGGCCTTGTCTGCATCGAGTATACGCCACGATCGCACTATGACTAGCGCGATCCGGGTTGTGTCTGTGTCAGTGGCAACGCGATTTATGCGGCAACGAGGCATCGAGGGAGACATCGAGACACAACGCGACGCACGGCGACGACGACTACTACTACCAGTGGCTACGTTAGGTACGTTGCTTGATACAGTCACGTTACCCGGTTTGATACCCCAGGCCACGTTTCAGACTGCCGCGGGCAGTCGCAGACAGTATTGTAGCTTGCCAAGAGTTACTTGCGGTGTGTGGGCGTCCGGGTGCACGGTTGGAACTACAAGAAGGTGCATCGGTTTTGACACATTTTTCCTCTGCACGTCAGGAACGAGCCGTTCCCAGAATGGGAATCTAAGGCGAGACGCATTTGAAAGGTGTGTGGGTTTGTGGGGCGGTGTATATTTTGTATGATTACGTGATGTTTACGTAAGTGAGTCATCTTCGCTTACGTACTCTCTTTGTTTGGATCACCCATGCCAAGAGTCAACATGGGAATGGATATGGTAGGTATTGTTTTCGGTACTATGGAGAAGAAGAGATCATATAAGGTCATGAATATAGATTGGAATTAGGACACAATTGAGAGACAATTGAGAAAGAAAAAAGGAGAAGACACCAGTTTATAGTTTGCTGTCTCGGAATTGATCCTCTGTGACGCCTTCGGCCATTGCAGCGGTTGCGCTCGCACCACCTAGCGCGATTTGCAGTAGACTATCGATGTACTCGGCGCCCGACCATTTTTGATGCTTGACCACGTCGACGCCCTCGTTGATTTCCTGCTGCTGTACGAGCTCTGCGTAAGAGCGCATCCCGCGCTTGACAAACTCGCGCGAAAACACGTGTGACGACAGCGCCGAAGTGTGCAGTCCGGCCAGCGTTATGAACTGCCAGATGAATCCGAGATTGCCCAGCCGCTCGATGAACGTGAGTTGTTCCTCTGCCGACATGGCTTTTGTCCAGTTGAACGAGGGCGACAGGTTGTACGCGAGCCACTGGTCCGGGTACACTGCGCGTACACCCTCTGCAAACTGGCGTGCCTGTTCAAAGTCCGGATTGTTACACTCCATCCATACCAGATCGGCGTAGGGCGCAAACGCGCGCGCACGCATGATGCTGCTCTGGGTGCCGCCTTTGTAACGGTACAGGCCCTCGCGACCGCGGGGCAAGTCCCAGTCGAAATGGATGGTTCTGCCAATCAGGTGCTTCGCAAGTCGCTGCATGTCCCGGAGTGACGTCGCAGTGAACGGTCCGACTTTAGAGTTGAACTCGTCTAGGATTTGCTGTTTGTTCGAAGGCTGTAATTTCAGCACTACATCCCGGAACGCCTCGTGGAATAACTTTAGCTTGGCTTTGGCGCACCAGCGTTTCTCCAACGCAGCAATCTCCTCTGCAGATGCACCTTTTAGGATCGCACGTTCTAGAATTTCTGCGTACGACTCCTCAACGGCCGCGTTGGTCGCGCCTACGATGAAATAGTGGTCCCGAGGATCGATCGTCGAACTGATCAGTGTAGCCTCTTCGGAGTCCGTACGCGCCACGAGCACCAGATCCGAGTGCATGATGTCCGCGCACAGCCGCACCGTCGTCAGCCGGTTCACGTGTTCTTGCACGGGGATCACGCACCGGCCCGCCATGTGGCCGCATTTCTTGTTGGTAGAGGTTTGGTCCTCGATGTGGATACCCGCGGCGCCGCGCTCAATGAACATCTTGGTTAGCTTGAAAACGGCCGTGGTACCGCCGTGCCCTGCGTCTGCGTCCGCGACAATGGGCCGCAAATAGTCAATGGCCGGTCCCAACGCGTCCAGCTCCTTTTGAGACTTGCAACTCGCGCGTGCCTCAAGTTGCTTACGGTCGTGGAACAACTGCGCCTTGAAGAGGTGCTCTACTTTGTTGGGCACTGTGTCCATCGGGTAGTCTGCGAGGTCAGGGCCGGGCTCGTTGCTCGTCGACGCAGTCGACGAGCACTGCCAACCGGAAACGTACACGGTGTCGAGATACTGTGCCATTTGCGTCACCTGAACCGGGTCAAGCGCCCCAAAAGTGCGCGACACAGTCTTGTCGCGTTGATGCTGTGCGAGTACGCCATACAATTTCTGCGCCATCAACGACGACGGATGCGTCACGGGCGGCAGGGTGCCGCGCCGCGCGGCAATTTCCGCCGCCGTGTATATGCGCTTGGTCTTACTCCAGCGGGGACTACTCCACCACTTTTCGATTTCACGGGTTTGCTGGCTCAGCTCGTTTTGAAGCTCTTCGAAGTTCTGCATTGGCATTTGATCGTCGTCTTGTAGTTTGAATGAAAGAACCAGATAAAACATTCTCCGCTCCTAGCTTCTCTTTATATATACGCTTTTTCCCGTCCGTTCTCCATCCACGCGCCCTCAGAGCTCGACCCCGAGCTCCTATGATGCTGATCCGCGCAGCAATGGAGCTTTACCGCCCAGAGGCTTCGGTCCAATGGCGCAAGTCCGGAAACCGGACGAAATGACGGTTTAGTACAAAACGACGGGTGAAGCTCGGCTCAAAGGAGGCAAAGATAATGGACGCCTATGACTCAAAAAAATAAACACGATAGCTGCAGGATTCGAACCTGCGCGGGCAAAGCCCAAAAGATATCCTTGGAATAAAAGCTCCATTCAAGTCTTTCGCCTTAACCAACTCGGCCAAACTACCGATATTCGGAGAACGAAAGAAGAATGCATCGTCATGTAGGTAATATGGAGGACCAGGGGACCAGGGGAGTTGTGTATCTGACCCAAAAAACTTGCAGGGAATCCAAGTCGCGGCAGAGTTGCCGCAGGTACAGGGTTTTTTTACTTCTGAACGAGAATCGAATATCTACGTCTTGACGAGAGTTGCGTCCATGGCGGATAACGAGCTTTTGCTCACTTTCTATGCGTAGTGGTGTAAGGTACGGGTGTTGTTTATGCTACGTTATGGTTATGTTGAAAGTTTTACTGTGTGCGCATGTAGCAATGTTTTTCTCAGACAAGGAGAGTGGTAACTTAATGTCGGGTCGGCGTGTAAAGACATAAAATTGGAAGCGCACAGATAGTGAAGTAGCAGCCCACTTACAACGTATGCGAATGCCCGCACCAAACTTGCCCTAGCTTGCATGTGTGGATTGTAGATGCGAAAGGAGAGCAGAGACAGCTGTGCAAAGAAAAATTAGGGAATGTGCGAATTCATGGGGTGTTCGTAAGAAGGATAAATGGACTTACGGGGAATTATCTTGGAACGCACGCTACTACAAAGACAGAACCGAAAACGAACGCCAAAGTCACAGTGTCCTGTGTGGCGTGGTGTACGTGGTTGTCAAAGTTGGTAACTCTCAGCGGCCATGAAGGCTTGTGTCCTCGAATTCTTCACGCACTGACAGTTTGGCCGAGTTGGTTAAGGCGAAAGACTCGAATTCACTTGTAGAGATCTTTTGGGTTCCGCCCGCGCAGGTTCGAATCCTGCAGCTGTCGGTTTTCACTTTTTTCGCTGGATACAGAACTGTGTGGCCGGGTAACGTAATATAACTCAGCTACATACAAGGTCATCGCATACAAAAGACAGAGTAGACGTGGAGAGCCTGAGTCAGACGAATAGTAGAAGTACCGGTCACATCCACGGAGTGTACATAACTCACACACTACCACCACGATACACAGCGCACATGCCACGCATCAAGACCAAGCGCACCAAACCTGCGCCCGAAGGTTTCGAAAAAGTGAAGCCCACGCTTGTCGACTTCGAGTTGCAGCTTAAAGAGGTTCAGAGCGACAAGGCCTCGCGGCTCTCCGCGAAGGCAGAAGAGGGCGTTTGGAAAGTGTTCCAGATATCTCACGAACGCTCTCGCTACGTATACAATCTCTACTACAAGCGGCACGCGATCTCGCGCGAGTTGTACGAGTGGCTGCTACGCGAGAAGTACGCGGACAAAACCCTGATCGCCAAGTGGAAGAAAAAGGGCTATGAGAAACTGTGCTGTCTGCGCTGCATCCAGAGCACCGAGACCGCTCAGGGTACCACCTGTATCTGCCGTGTACCGCGCTCCACGCTCGAGGAGAACAGCAAAGACGGCAAAGTCACGTTCCAGCGGTGCGTCCACTGCGGCTGCAGTGGATGCGCGAGCACGGACTGACTCCCATCGGCGCCGATATCAGGACCAGGATTGGAACTCCGGACGCTGAAGCAGTACAAGGAACATAATATCGCTTAGGACGAGTACCCAAAACACGTGATCTCGGATTTGCTTTTCGTACAAAGAGCCTTAAAAATTTGCGACGCGAAAATGTATTCGCGTTTGCGGGAGCAACGCGAAGACGCGAAAAAAATGTCGGTCTTCGTCTTTTGGCGGTGCGACCGGTCCATCCCTTCGAAGATCCTGCAAAAATAATTCGAAACGCGTCAGATGTTAATTATGCATGCTCTTCGCTGTATATATAAGAACGCGTTATTGTGGGCATAGGGACGCGCAGAGAGTGATAAGGGTTTAGCTGATCTTCACGCTGGTCATCCACCACCGATCGGCGCAAATTACTGTTTGACAATCAATCGGTTTTTCGACCGACTTTCTCCCGACTTTGGCTGTCGGAACATGTCCGGCGCGGAGAACGGCCCTAGTGCTGTCGTCGACACGTGTGACAAGCGTAGCCGCGATGAAAGTGATGTTACCGGGCAAGTCACTTTGACTCCACCGCATTCGACAGCGCGAATGCCGTTTTTGGACCGCAATAAGAACAAAAGAGCACATCCGTTGTCTCCGGAACTTTCGTCGCCCACGCGACCTACGAAAGCGCGAAAATCGAAATCTGATCCGCCATTAATCACGACAAGATCCTCAAGCTCGCAAACGTTAGAAGAGCAGATCGAAGCCTTTAGCGACGAGGTCAAAATGAGGGCACTGCAAGATCGTTCCAAAAAGCCACCTTTCTCCTACGCCATGCTCATCGGGTTTGCCATCTTGCAATCGCCTGAGTCGCAACTTACGCTTTCGCAGATTTATCACTGGATTACAAGCCGGTTCCCCTTTTATCGGCCGAGCGATGCTGGTTGGCAGAATAGCATTCGTCACAATTTGTCTTTGAACGAGGCCTTTGTGAAAGGTGGCAAGTCAAACGACGGGAAGGGTCATTTTTGGCAAGTCAAAGCCGGCTGCGAGGCTAAATTTTTTAAAGGGTCGCACTCCAGTGCTGAAATCCGCGAAAAATTGCAGAAAATATCTGCCAAAATCGGCATCTCAGATGCATCGTCATGGGGCAAAGTTGACAGGCCAAAGACTAACTTGGAAGGTTCTGCAGACGCTGAATCGCGCCGGGCAAGTCGTGATGAGCTATCCGACTACAGGGGCCCGCTAAACTTGGCTTCTTCTCCACAAGCCACAGAGGAGCCCGCGTCTCCGTTTGGAACGGGAGAAGACGACGACCATGAAGTGGAAAGAGACGCGTTTATCGACGAAATGCCGGGCCACCTGAGTTCACAACTCCCGCTTACTTCAAAATCGGGGTTTGAAACAACATTTGATCATCCTTTCTTCTTGAAGAAACCTGGCACGACCCATGGTAATTCGGATTTTGCTAAGGACGAAAGCGGGCTTTTTCACGGAATGTCCGCTGGCATTGCTTCACCTCGCGACTGTCAACGGTACAGTTGTTCTTTCAATACCAGTTTTGAAGCCTCTCCTATTGCAAAAGAGGTAATAACAGGTCCCTTATACGAGAGGCTCAATTCACCATCTGCACCGACGCATCCTGAAAGCGACCTTCTCAAAACACCCAAGCTTACGTTTACTTTCGGCGTGCAGAAAAGTCCGATTGGCTTGGCCTCGACTCCCAGGGACGGGAATTCTGCTTTCAAATGGAAAACGCCCTCGTTGATCGACGATTTTTGTCGATCGCCCGTGTTTCTGAAACCAAGTGGCACACCTCTTCTTCATCTAGATGATGCCAGAATAAGCCAAGTTTCTTTTGATAGGGAAGAAAATCCCTTAACACGCAAATCTGGAACAGCTACCTGCACGACGACAGCCGCCTCAAAGGGAACTCATAGAGCATTTGAAAGTATAAGATACTCGTCAAGCGGTCTCTTCGGCGTCGACGTTTGCTCTGTACTTCGCAGAGCCGCTGAAAGCTGTACTGATCATCCACAACCACAAGCGGCTAAAGAAATGAAGTTGGGTGTGCCTTTTGAAGGTCGAAATCGATCACAAGCGGAGTTTAACAGGGACAAGAAGGTTTTGTAAAATAATTAATAGTGTTTAAAGACGCTACGCTGCCAATTGGGAGGTAGCGGTGTCTAGGTTTGTAATATTAAAGAAAGCTCTGATGTTGAGTCTTGAATGAGTAAGGTCGGTATTTTCCCATTTTTAACTGGATTATGTATGGTATGGCATGCATAGAAGAAATATGAAAAAGTTCATTAATTTTAATGAAGATTTAGAAGGTCAACCGGCGAAGATATATGAAGCCGGAGCGCTATTATAGTCTCCAGATGAATATCCATAGGAAGAATAGACTTGAAGAACAATTAGTCAGTGTTACAGATCCGACGGACTTTTCCAGGACTTTACTCCCACAAATGGTGGAATTTGATACTCTTCTGAGATGCCATATATGCAAAGATTTCATAAAAGCACCGGTTTTAACGCCATGTGGCCACACATTTTGCTCTCTGTGCATACGAGAATATTTAAATAGGGAAATGAAGTGTCCTTTATGTTTAGTGGAATTGCGAGAGTCGATGTTGCGAAGCGATTTTCTAGTAAGTGAGATCGTGGGCAGCTTCAAAAGTATCAGAGCCGAACTGATAAAATTTTTAGAACCAGGCAAGTGTCCGCCTTTAGATGCTGGAAATCAGCAAGGTGGATGTGGTTCACCTATCGAAATTGCATCCGGAGATCCCGTTGAGGGAACCGACGAAAATGAACAAGACGAGGACGAGGACGACGACGTGCGAATAATATCAATGTCCAAGTGGGAGAACGACGACCAACAAGCCAGACAGCACTTATTCAGCTCCCCGTCAGCGAGAAAAAGACAGAGAACGGACAGCCCTGTCGTTTCCACTATAGACAATATGCTGGTGAAACCCAAGACAGAGGCCAAATTGGCCGATGCGCAGTGTCCGATATGCCAGAGGTATTTCGTTCTTGATTACCTTCAAAGAACGCATTTAGACGAGTGTTTAAATGGCATTGCTGGAAACGTTGGGGCTGAAGAGCCTTCTGGCTCGGTCGCTACGAGAAATCCAGTGCGACAGAGAGAACCTGCTACTGAAACTTTATCAAAGCCTCAAGTCCCCAAAGTGGACTCTGAGCAGTTCGTTATAAGATATTTGGAATCAGGCCAAAATCGAAACTTCAACAGGTTACCAAAACTAAATTACTCTTCACTATCTCAATCCCAATTGAAGCAGAAGCTTTTGGCTTTGAAGCTTCCCACTTCTGGATCGAGAAAGCAAATGATAAGCAGATACAATCATTACGAAATGTTATGGAATAGTAATTTTCTTGATTCTCTAGAACTGGTTGACGAACGTGAGCTACGAAGAAGACTGGCAAGCTGGGAGTCTACTCACAACAATTCAGGAAGTCAAACGAAAAGCATCATATCCACCATGATGGGCGGTGCCACTGCGAAACTCAAAGATTTCAAGAATGATAGATTCGATCGCAAAGGCTGGATGCTGGAACATCGACATGAATTTAAAGAACTAATAAAAGAAGCACGCTCTAAACTTGGGAAGAAGGAAGAGATTTCAATTTACTCTAATCATACTGAACTCTCTCAAGAAAAATCTATTGAGTTTCCGCAGTCACAGGGTTCCCCGTCAAGCGCCCAAATGCTACCTCAAGGATCGCAAGGTCAAAGGGAGAACAATTAATCGTCCGCTTGGCCCAATATTGATGAGATATGTATTTTCAAAGAACTTTAAAATTCTTAAAAATACGGCGTACTTGAAATGTATGTTAGATGTTGGTATAAGTCTGTTCATCGTCCTCCAGCTTTCGTTTGAATCTGTTAAGGGCTCAGAGCTCATCATGTGCTACATCATTTGAAGAAGTCGATCGTCTAGCATCCTGTGACAAATCCTCCGGGCTATATGCCGAAGCAGTCATCTCATTGGCGGAGGTCAAGCCAATCAAACTCGAGTCAGGAGGCGCGTCCATAAACTCGTCCGTCTCCGAGAGCTCGACTCCAATCTTTTCGGGCAATGTATCAAGGTCGTGTTTACTGTCAATCTCTTTACCTTCTGATATTTCTGGCGTTATCTGATTATCAAAATCATCAGGAAGGGCGAAGGAACTCGATTGTACATCAGGCGAAGCAGTTGACTCCCATGCTGTGGTTACTTTGGAAGTTTCCTTCAACGACTCAATATTTTTTCCGCCCATGTTAGAGTCACCAGTCTGCAGAGTGGAATCAAGTGTCAGTCCCTCCCCACTACCAGGGTCGACCGAAACACTGATAGTCTTGTCGAAACTAAACTCAGAGCCTTTTTTAGATGAAGTGACTTCTTCGACGCTCTTCTGCGTGGTGGGATATATTTCCTCGCCAGAAAGACTGAAAATGGACAATTTAGCAATAGCTTCAACCTTGACAGATTCAGAAGGGGTTTGTTCAGGCGACAACTGCGAGGAGGTGACTTGGAGTTCTCTTTCTTCGTCACTCTCAGAGTCAATGCTGTCTAAGGTTGATGCATTCTCGGTTGACTCACTAGCATCTGATAGAACATGCTCCTTTCGTGTCTCATATTTTACAGTGTCAGTGGGAGCATACACAGCGGGTTCAGTGAAAGCCGTGCGATCATCAGTCAGCTTTATAGATGTTAGTGAAAGGGTTGATTTCACTATAGTCTCATGACCAGGATTTGAAGCCTGTTCACTGATTTCTGTTTCTTTACGCTCTACCGACGACGAAGATTGTGTCAAAACTTCCTGAACCTCACTTAATACCTCTGTATCTTCCACGTCACTCAAGCGATGGCTGGGGTTTACGGGAATATCGGCAATGCCGTCTCTGGAGTTAGTGTCAATTGATTCAAGATGAGCCTCCGGTGTCACCTTTGATTCATTTAAATTCATCGCCTCAGAGGTAGCTTCAAGAAATGCCGGCACAGCAAAAGAGCTGACCGCCTCCAAGGAGTCGTTTTCGACACTGAGATTTAGGCCAGTCGCAGTGCTTACTGTTCCCGTGTCCTCAGACGTTGTCACTGGTGTACTGAGACTTGATAATTTTAATTCCTTCATAGAGACAAAAGCATCACTGGACTGCGTAGTCTTCGAATGTGGTACTGATGCATTTGGAGTTTTATTAGGCTTTTTCGAAGATTGCCAACTGGTCAAAGTGTCAGTCGCCAATGAGCTCCAACTTTCTGGCTCTGTTAGACTCGCGTTGGCAAACTTCGAGGCTAAAGGGTCGTTTTCAAACCAATTCTCGGTGTGTACATAAGCCGAGTCTGTTTCTCGAGGCATAGTATGAGTGGAGACACTAACCATATCTCCGACTAACGTCGTTTGACGATATACGTCATTTAGCTTGAAATAAGACGAGGAATCTGTTTTCTCAAATCTCCTGCGCAGGATTCGATAGGTTTTAGTATGCAGGTCATACTTAAAACAGAGCTGGGCCAGAACTGCGACCATAACAACTAAAACGAAATTGACCACAAAAGTCTTAACTTTTTGTAAAAAGCTCGTCGACGAGGCCAAATTTTCTGGAATTTCAACGGCATGCATAGTGTTAGCTGCTGAAACGCTGCAGAGTAGCTTACTGTCGGGGGAAAAGGCGACTCGCGTCACTGCGAAAGTGTGGACATGTTTGAACCACCTGGAAATCGCAAGAGTGTTTAGTTTCACAAGAAGAACGGAATTGTCACTTCCTGCAAATGCGGCAAGTTGACCTTTGGAATCTACATCCATGGATGTGACTCCCTTTATTTTATTGGTGATCAGTTGCGTTTTCAAGAGGGACGCACTGCCACTCTTGAGACTAATCGTAATGAGCACTACACCTGAACCCTTGCGCAAACTTGCGGCAATAAGAACAGTGTCTTCGCCCGTGAATCTGATTTTAGAAAGAGCCCAATTTGGGTCGAAATCTGTTTTCCTAACGATAAATCTTCCAGTCACGATGGAGACCACTTCCAAGGTAGAAGGAGTAATATAGCTGAGCACCTTACCTTCGGGACTGAAATGAAGATCCTTGACGTCGTTTCCGGTCTCAATTTCGTACGTTTCAGACAACGGACCCGGATTCAAGATTCTGATCACCGTCGGAACGCGTGACGACGCACTAGCCGCTACTGTACCATCCTGGGAGATATACGTAAGCTTCGTATAGTCTTCTGAGTTCCCGGATCGATCCAAATCCACGCTTGCTACAAATTTCAAGTGTTCGTTTTCAAACACGTACTTTCTCAAATGATGATTCTCGCCATTATTCTTAATTTTTGCCGAACTTTCATTACATCCCATAAGTATAGTATTCTGCGCAGCATCCAGAGTTGTCGGTGAATCGTCATTCGGGTCCAAAGCTAATTCTCTAAATCTTTTAACAACTTTTTTCTTGGCGAAATCAATTCGAAGAGCTGTTAACTTATTAGGTATGCCATTGTTTCCCTCCCCGCCACCACCAGCAACTAATAGCACATTTTCATTAAGAAACTTTGCGCCGTAAACAGGATATCCAACGTTGTAGATGGTTTCCCTAAGCTTCATTTCTGTTCTTAGAACACCTTATTTATAGTATGTGTCTTTTAAAAAGTTAATTAGGTTTAATAAGGCGATTACTCAATTTTTCACAATATCAATCGAGATATAAGATGAGTCAAATGAAAGGGAAGATCCTGTCAATCCAATCCCATGTGGTCCATGGTTATGTGGGAAATAAGGCTGCTACGTTTCCTTTACAGTATAAAGGATGGGACGTTGACGCTATAAATACAGTTCAGTTTTCTAATCATCCTGGATATGGACATTTCAGTGGATTCAGGTCAACACCTGAAGAATTGGAGGAAATTATTGAGAAAGGTCTTTTAAAAGGATTGGATATTAAGTATGACGCAGTAATCACGGGGTATTTACCTAGTGTCGAAGGTTTGAGCAGGGTATGGAAATTGATAAAGAGAATGGAAGAGTCAACACCCGGTTTGAAAGTGATAGTAGACCCAGTTTTGGGGGATAATGGACGGTTATATGTGCCCGAGGAAACGGTGCCGATATACCGGGATATTTTGAAGCAAAGTCGTGTTTTTTTGGCCACCCCGAATCAGTTTGAAATTGAGACTTTGACTGGGGTAGCGATAACGGACCAAAAAACACTTAAGGCAAGCATTGATCGATTTCATGAATTATATCCTCGTGTCGACAACGTGATCGCCACAAGCGTTGTGTTGCCCGCATTGAAAGACGTGTGTCTGATTTCTGCGTGCAGCGACTATGAGACAAGATCTGCGTTCTTTTTCGAGGTGCCCAAAATCGGCGCACATTTCAGCGGGAGCGGCGACCTCCTCAGCGCCCTGCTCCTGGATGCGTTGGTTCCAGGTCAACAGGATCTTGTGACCGCTTTGAACAAATCCTTGTCGTTAGTGGAAAGTATTCTACAGAGAACATACGAGCTGAATGAACTCGCCCTAAAGCTAGAAAGTCCTAAGAAAATAAACGATTTGAAACTAATCGAATGCAGAGATCTTTTAAAAGTTGATCCACCTCTCAAATACACTCCGCAACAATTATAGAAGGCGTATTTGAGGCTTTAGTAGGGGCGCAATGGAGACGAGAGATAAACGAGAAGAGAAGTGAAATCTGCGAGGATAGCAATGGGGGAATGAGGTTAAGGACCGACGTCAAGCTTAAAAGCTTCAATGGATCCATGTTGGTGCCATATGGAACTCTTTAGTAACAGCACCATTGGAAAGACGACGGCGTATGACTTTCTTCGTAGAGTATGATAAAGTGACAACGATGGTAGATAGAGATACCGTGAATAATCGAGAACTCTAGTTTAGAAGGGGGCTCTTTTCTGAAACGATAGCCCTTTCCCTGGGGCTAGGAAGTCATTCATGAAGGAAGCCAGAAGATTTAATGGTAAATCTGAAAGGTGGAGAACGTCCACTCAAATTTTTTTCCTGCTAATTATTGTTGGATCTGTGGTATATGCGTATTTGGGTCATGCTCATCGATATGAAGTTCCAAAGGGTAACAGCAGCAGCGAACCACTAACAGTTTCATTAAAGTTGAAATCACTGGTGAAACAAGGCACTGGTGGCAAACCACTCATGCAGGAGTTAAAGCTAACGTCAGAAGACGTAGAAGAAGGTAGGCGAGCTTTTACGAACATGCGAGTCGAACAAAATGGTGACGACGAAAATGTTAAGGAATTGTGGACAACGAACCCGAAATATAGTACTGACAACCCCTTGGATTACACATTTGCCTTGCACGCGCAGCCCATAGAACTTAAAAGAATGAAACATCGCGATCCGCAGTTCGTAGAGTCCTATCTTGACTTTGCACTTTATAACCCCGAAATGGCCTCCAGAGTGAACTTAGAATGGGAAGATGAGATAGTACTTGCACCGAATGTGTCAGACAAAGACACGGTTGTGAATTTGGCGCTCATGTCTTCAAATGCTTATGTGAGATTACCCCATACTGGGGACTGGAGAAACGTGTCTGAGCCCTGGAACAGCACCGACGGTGTAGGACATGGATGGGATAGCGACGGCATAAGAGGTCACATTTTTGCAAATGAGGAATCCAACGTGGTGGTTATTGCAATTAAGGGTACCAGTGCGCGAGGATTGCCAGGCTCCGGTGAAGACGAAACTACCGCGAATGACAAACTTAACGATAATTTACTATTTTCATGCTGCTGTGCAAGGGTCAGCTATCTATGGACTACAGTCTGTGACTGCTTTGTCAAATCGTACACATGCGACGAAACATGCTTAGAACATGAACTCAGACGTAAAGACAGGTACTTTTCCGGAGTTTTGAAAGTTTACAAGCATGTACTGAAAAAGTATCCAGACGCGAATGTCTGGGTCACAGGCCATTCATTAGGAGGGGCCCTAGCAAGCTTACTTGGTAGGACCTTTGGTTTACCAGTTGTTACGTTCGAAGCTCCCCCGGAATTGCTTCCCAGCAAAAGGTTACATCTTCCTTCTCCTCCAGGTCTTCCTGACTATTTAGAAGGTGTGTGGCATTTTGGACATACTGCAGACCCTATTTTCGTTGGCACATGCAATGGTGCCAGTTCATCTTGCTCCATAGCGGGTTACGCTTTTGAAACTTCCTGTCATTCAGGAAGAGTTTGCGTATATGATGCCGTTAATGACCTAGGATGGCATGTTAATATGCTTAATCATCGCATTCACACGGTTATTGACAATGTTTTGAATGGTTATGAAGACGTTGCTAAATGCGAAAAGCCGGCACCTTGCATCGATTGTTATAACTGGAATTTTATTCGCGATCGAGATTCTAAACCTTCGAAAACAATCACTTCAACCATAACAAGTTCAACATTATCGGCTACCACAACTCCCCCAGAAACCTCCAGTTGCGTAGGCAGAAACTGGTATGGGAAATGCACAATGCATGGATAGTTCATTAGGCGAACAAATAGACTTGGCACCAGAAGAACAATATAAATGCTGCTTCGATTTATCCTGTTGCGGTCTTAAAACGACATTTCATTTCAAGTTCGACGTTAAATGCTCTGGAAAGTGGCTCGAAAAACATTGTAGTATCGCATTGTGGTATTGCAGGACAACGCTCGGCACTTTGAGATCAACTTCCTCGACCCAAAAGCTTTTCAGTTCACCTTCACGGATAACGCGCAACCTTTCAATAAAGTTTCTGATGTTCATCAAAATGCTTTCGAGCTCATTTTCATGTAGGAGAGATTTTTCTTGATAATACAAGAGGTGGGCTGTCATTATGCACATGAGGGAGCTATGCACGCAAGAAAAATAAACCTGATCAGACAAATATTTGAAGCTCTCAAACTTGTCGGTGACCATTGTCTTGACACAATGATGGCAATGTCTCAAAAGTTCAATCTGTTTATCCGAAGGCATATAGGATAAAACTTCATGCACGGGGAAAATTTGACTTATGTATTCGCCAATGGCCGTTCTAAATGGCTTTTGATAACCGGGTTCAGTAACCGGATTGCGCTTGTATGGTTTATTAATCTCATAAAGCTTATGGTAACCAACATAAAGCACAATTGCATTCCCGTAGTGATAAGCAAACTCCACGTACTGAGTCTTTGGCTGAATGGGTTGTGAAAATAAATAAGTCCACTCTGCCAGCCATTCTTTGAGCTCCTCGTTTATGTTCTCAAAGATATCTAAATTTCCTGACCTCATGAAAGCATCGTCTACGCTACATTGCTGCATGAAATTGTAGAGTTTGAATTGCAAGGATATCTCGGCAACCATTCTTCCATCAAAATTCGTAGCGTTGGGCAGATCTAACGTTCGCCGACATAAATCAGCCCTTACTTCATCAACAATACTCATTCTCCCAGAAAATACGCAATGCGTGATGTGTACTAAGGTTAAATGATTCCAAAGTCGGAAAGACGTCAGCTTTTCAAATTCCTCATCCTCCTCGAAAATGTTGTAGTCCAGGGAATCAACACCGCCACCTGAAAGTCCAAAAGAGAAGTTTGCAGATGTTTTGTCTCGAAATGCGAGAAGAGCCTCAGAAATATTCTTGGTGAGATATTGTTTAATGCCTATCCCGGAGATGTACCAGCCGTCTACCGACATTATGTCACTGCTAAAAGAAGATGAATAGATGGATAAAATGACAATCGCTTGAATAAACTCTGTTGTTTGAGGAACGCATTTCATTGCCAGCCCTAAATCGGATTTCAATTTATAGAGGAGGTTTTTGTAGATGCGAATTTTAATATCGTGATGTTGATCCGTGTATCTTAAGGCCATGACACAGGCAGCACTTAGAAGAAGCGAGGCATTCTTGGCCCTGATGTTTTCCACCAACCTTTCTGTAGAGATTTCTTCCGGGAAAGAACACCAATTACCGTAACGTTCACGGAAATCTTGCATTAAGCTAGTTGCTTCTTTTAATGTAACCAGTTTCATGGTAACAATGTCGTCCGTTTGATCGTATGCGGAGGGTTCGTGCAGTCTGTATATGGCAAGTGGTAGATTTTCTCGAGACACGAGCTGAGAAACCATGGTGAAAGGGCTCGCGAGGTAAGGCGTGAAATGACGTTGCTCTGTTGAAAAATATGGTTCTGGGGTTTCATTTGCTGGTACCAGAGTTTGCCCACTTGTAGAAGTCATCATCTTGACTGCTTCTATAAGCACCGAATCGATGGCTTTTGTCTTGTTTTCCGTCCCTTGCTGTTGCTTCACATTGCCATAGTTTCTTTCCAGGAGACCTAGCAGCCGCGAAACGTTACGGTCAATGTTGTGCAAGAGTTTTGAGTTCGCTGCAAAATGCTCTGGTGTGTATCCGCTTTTCAGCAATGTTTTGGTCCATTCTGCAGAATCTGCGCCTAGTGACGGTTCTTCGGCATCATCAAGAATTGAATCTGCAGCAGATGTCGAGACTTGTTCGTTTTCAACCAGATTTTGAAATGAACATCTGATGTTCAAAGAATCACACCGGAGACATTGCATCTCAGTTTGCAAAGGTGAAGGTATACATCTCGACTTGAGCCTCCTGCAGGCATCGCAAGCGCGTAAAGCTCTTCTGCCTCTTTTCTTCAGGGACTTAGTCGCACTTTCACCTGGTGCCATCTTGCGATCTCATCATGGTAATCTTATCTATAAAACTGTCATTCTAGTAATTTTAACAGTATTGTAATAGTTCAGAGATGGACAATCGACAAAAAAAGCAGACACTTCATCAAAACAGCTTTATACCTTCATCGTCGTCGTCATCGCCATACTGTTATATATAAAATCGTCACCTACGTGCTTTCTATGTTTAATTCAGCAAGTTTCTTTCGTCATCACATCCGATTGTACATGATGAATGTTGAGGAAAGGAGGAAATCACGAATGTAGTACGTGGTGCGGACATTAGTGTAACAAAAAAAAAGGGATTTAAGACAATGAGTCGGTAGTTTTTCCAGGACAATTATCCTCGTTCTTCTTTTCTTATTTTTACGCCTCTTCACCTTGGAAGCGATTATTAGTCGAGTAACTGCATCGTGACGACATCAGAGCAAAAAGCGCAATCAACACTTTTTAGTATTTTATTCGCGGTGTATCAAGATTTTGATTCTCATTTGGCTACTTGCCCGTTTGTTCTGTTTGATAATATGTTTTCGGAATGGCAAAATTGCACTCACTTCTCAAGGCTTTGGTCCATAACACGCCATTTAAACACCAATAAATTGGTGAAGGTTGCTCAAATCTAGCTCTAAATTAGAAATAAATGTCAATGGAATGGCCTTGTTTACAGGTGTTTTAGATCAAGTGATGATGACAGTCTTGGTGAAGATGACCTTCAAATTTATTCGGTGCATGAAAGAAAGAAGAACTCGAATACTCAAAATACTCAAATATTACCGATACGTTTAACAAGTGCAAGCGTATAGCAAAACATAGCAAAACACAGCGAAATGCTACTGAAATACGTCCTTTGCGTTCTATGGACGCTGTTTAGAGCAGTTCAATGTGCTGAAAAGATATATGAGCCTAATCCGCCTGTAACTCACAGGGTATTGATGACGGTTGAGTATACAGACCAAAACACGCTTGAAGTAAAGGAACACGACATTACGATCGAATTGTATGGAACGGTGGTCGAAAAAACCGTTGAGAATTTCCAAAAAATTGCAGGTGGTATCAGAGCCGTTCTTAAGGGTAAAAGTGAGAAATTGGACTCGTTCACGCTGTCTTACAAAGACACGCTATTTCACCGTATCATACCCGGGTTTATGATTCAAGGTGGGAATGTTTTGCCCGATGTTGGTCCGTTCTCGATCTATGGAACATATTTCGCGGATGAGTCGTTTGAATTGAAGCACGATAGACCTGGAAGAGTCTCAATGGCGAATCTCGGCAAACCGGACTCTAACGCGTCGCAATTTTTCATCACCACGTCTACTGAGCCCATCCCAGACCTTGACGGCAAGCACGTCGTTTTCGGACAAGTAGTCGCTGGTCTTGAAGGGCTCATTGAACACGTTCAACACGTTCCTACCGATAAAGACGACAAGCCTCTCAAAGACGTGAAAGTCAAATATAGTCTCGCAGACACTTTGCAACTTGCCAACAAAGAAGAGCTACATGCCAAATATCAAGAGAAGCTCAAAAAGTTTAAAGAAGGAGACAGCTCCCAGGGTGTAACCATGAAGGCTATGATGGCGAAAGGTAAAGAGGAAGAAGCCGAAATGGTTGAAGAGTTGTATGCTAAGCTCCATCACCCACTCTTGAAAGTCCTTGGTGGATTGAGCGTCGTGGGGTTGCTCTACCTTCTCGCCCGCAATCGGAAGCGGATTTTCAGCAAGACTAGCAACGTCGTGTCTATGAGGCACGACTGAGCTCTGGGAAGTAAGTAAGTTTTTATGTTTGACAATGCAATAAACAGCTAAAAAACTATGTAAATTGTTTTAAGATATCAACGAAAATATCTTCGTCAATATCTTTGCCAATGAAAACCAGTTTACAGCAATCTGATCCAGGTTGTCGTCTTCCAGGCACAATATCAAAAGTGTCTCGTACCCCTTGCAGAACTTTACACTCATCACCAACAAGAAGAAGCCCTTTGGATCTATGAATTTCCCAATCTCCTTCTAGATCTTGTCCATAATTCTTCCAATGAACAGGACGCAGGAAGTTTTCAAGAAATCTTTCAAAATGCGCTTGATCTCGTAGAGCTGGGAAACTCATCGACACAGTTCGCATTCTCGGGTCGTGGAAATTACCTGACGGTTGTTGTTCTAGCTTGAAAGATTCGAATGCATGTAAATCCAGAACTTTTTCGATAGGAAGCTCACCGTAGGCTGTCCGATATATCGGGGCTATGCTATTTACAAGCCGTATTCTGCTTTCCACTTTTTCCAGATCCAAACCCTGTTCTTCGGCAAGGTCCACTTTATTCAGTAAAATGACATCAGCCATCACCAGTTGGAGATGCGCCGCAGTTACTTTTTCTTCGATGAACACATTCTCGCCATGCCAATGCGCCTCTGGAGAAATATCATCCAGACATTGTGAGATATTCACAGCGTCTAAAACGGTAACAACTCCATCTATGTAAATGTTACTGTTGAGACCCTCATCCAGCCAAAACATCTTCGCTATGGGGCCTGGATCAGCTAGTCCTGACGTTTCGAGTAAGATATAATCGATTTTACCTGGGCTATGTGCAATCATATTCTCGATAGCTTTGATCCCGACGTCCTTCAAACTGCAGCACAGGCATCCATTACCCAAATCAAGCCATTCCTCGTATCTATTTTCGCCGTTTCTAATAGTCATCGATTTTTCAATATCATTCGAATCTCCAAATTCATTCAATATGATGGCCATACGTCGATCAGAGCCCTTCAAGGCCAGTTTTTCCAACGCTGTCGATTTACCAGACCCCAAATAACCCGTTATGATCGTCACTGGAACTTTTTTAAACGTTTCAACCTTTTCTTCAAACTGCTTGTTCGCCATATCGATCTTCTTCTCGCTCACGATACATCTCCCACCATCGAAGCTGAGTTCACCCAAAACCTCATTGATGTTTTCCTCTTTCCCAGTGACCAGACTCGGTATTGGACCATCTTCATCCTCCTGATACTTGAAGTTTTTCAGCGCAGACATTTTTCTCTCAGGTATATTGATATATGTATATATATAAAAGTCCGAGACTTGAGATGGTTTTCCAAAAAATATTACAATCTCTATCAAGGAAATCCCTCATCACAGGATACAAGAGAAGACATAGGAATCAATTGAGATGATTCGTTGGTCATTCTTGGACACTGCGCTTCTGGTGGTCATTCTTTTCCATTTGATTATGTCGCCGTTTACCAAAGTTGAGGAGAGCTTTACGATTCAAGCCGTTCATGATATTTTGAAATATGGAGTTTTCGATATTTCGAAATATGACCATCATCAATTCCCTGGTGTCGTGCCTCGGTCATTTATGGGACCCCTTGTGCTAGCAATGTTTACAAAACCTTTTTTATTTGTTTCTCAATTTGTGTCGAAGGGTCCCGGAAGTATAGCCGGAGGTGCATCCGGATTTGAAGCACAATTACTTACAAGGGCTGTGGAAGGTTTAATCAATGGGTTGAGTTTGATTTACCTCAAGTACGCGGCACAAGGCCTGTTGGACAAGAAGAAAGACAATGAGAAGAAAAGTGATGCAGATCAAGAACAGCCTAACACCATCGGAAGTTGGTTTTCCGTTTTTTTGTTCACTCAGTTTCATTTAATGTACTACTCATCGAGAACACTGCCCAATTTTGTTGGTGCCTTTGCGCTGTCAAATGTCGCTATGGCTCAAATCATGAAGGGAAACTATAGTACTGCAGTCTCAATTTACGCTTTCACGTCACCAGTTTTCCGTTTGGAATTGCTTGCATTGTGTGCTGGAATTGGAATATTCACTTTGAAGTATCGCAAACTCACTTTTTTAAAACTTGTGACTGCAGGGATTAAGGGCGCTGCACTAGGTATCTCGTTGTCCGTTTTCGTTGACTCGTACTTCTGGCACCGGTGGATCCTACCCGAAGCCGATGCGTTTCTATTTAACATTGTATCTGGCGAATCTGTTAAATGGGGTACCAAACCTTTTTTGGCGTATTTCACAGGGTTTCTGCCAATGCTGTTCCTTCCTCCAACGGTATTGTTGTTGAACTACCTTGGCTTCAAAGTCGCTCCGGAAGAACTGAAGATTGCCGGACTTGCATCATATTTCCATATTTTCGTTATGTCCTTCCAGCCACACAAGGAATGGCGCTTCATTGTCTATACGGTGCCGATTATCACATTACTGGGTAGTCGCAGCTCCTCGTATCTATTTGAAAGCGGCGATCCTCATATCGTAAAAGCTTTGGCTACCAAAGCTATATTATTGGCCTCTCCGTTGGCTTCTTTGGCAATTTCCGGGGCCTTTCTTTACATTTCGTCCTTAAATTACCCAGGTGGACAAGCGCTCATGCAATTCAACAGCTACGTGCTGGAAAACGGCATAAAAAATGCGACGGTTTATCTAGATGTGCCCGCGTGCATGACTGGTGCAACACTTTTCGGTCAATTGAATGACAAATTCGGCATAACGTATGATAAAACGGAAAGACTTTCAGATTTGTACAACAGATGGGACTCATTCGACTTTATCATCATCTCCCACCCTGACCTTTCTGTGTTACCTATGGTATCGGATCCTGAACAATGGGAACTTATCCAAACAAGTCAGGGATTTAGCCATTTCAACACAACATACCTTGCCGATGTCTTCACCACCCAGTATTCAAACGGGTTTTCGATAGTTCATCACTTGCTACAGGAGCAAAGTTTCGCGCCTTTAACGGAACTTGTCTCCCGCACAGTCGTAAACGCCGACTTATTGTTCACCTATAGACGCTTGAATACTTGATAACATTCTTCGCCCTTCGACTATATACAGATAAGATACACTTCCCCTCTTTGACAATTGAGGATTTAGAAAGTTTGCGATAAAAGTTGTTTAACCTCTTTTACAGCATTTCCTTCTATCACGACCTTCCTCGACTGCATTATTACTTTAATCGCCTTTTGGGGTATGTTCTTCAGGTTTTCTTGCAGATCGTTTCTCAGCTGAACTGGGTCTCCATACACCTTCCGAATTTCGGTGAAAACTTTCCCGTTTCTCTTAAAATCGCTGTAAACTGGTAGATTCCCGGTAGCCGAACGCTCTACAAAGTAATTTTTGATGCCGAAGTTCCCTGACCCTACAAGCTGATCGGGATGAACATCTTCAATACCGGGAAAAACACTGAACATTTGTTCTTCAATTTCGACAGGCTCTACAAGCCCCAGCTTGGAAGTGGTGTTTTTGTCATTCAGTTTTCCTGCGAGAGAAGCTTCCTCTTGTCTAACCGAATTGACCTCACCAGGTTTCATTACCATCAAAGACGATTGAAACCTCAATTGGTGGCAACCGAGACGATTACCATTAAGAACTTTGAGGGGAACGTTCGACCTCACTTGTCTCAACATGAGTCCTTCGTTGTGATATTTGGTCGATTTTTCCAGATGTTACAGGTAGCCAGTCTATAAAAATTTTCAATATGTCTCATCTCGTAGATACGTATTGAAGTGGAAAGCCAAGGAATATAAGCTTATTCAAAGCGAAAGGACCGAGTCGTCACTATCAATGAGTCCAGATCCTGACCATCTTGTCTTTACCAGCACTACAAACTCTCTTGCCGTCGACACTCCAGTCAACAGTATAAACCTCATCTTTATGCCCCGGTAAATCGACAGAGAGTTTCTTAGTTTTTACGTCCCAAACCTTCAGCGTCGTGTCTTTAGAGCACGAGACCAGCAGTCTGCAATCTGAAGACCATGCCACTTGGTAAACGCTTGCAACATGGCCCCTGAAAGTTGCTAGGAAGTTACCATTTCTTCCGTCCCATAGTTTTATGGAATTATCGAAAGAGGCAGAGACAATATATCTTCCATCTGGAGAGAACGCGACGTGATTGACAAGTTTCTGATGACCAGTCATTCTAATAATCGGTTTGGTAGCCTTTGTTGGGTTCCATAAATACATGGTAAAATCGTCACTCGCTGTAACCATGAGCTCCTCTAAATGCCCGTTTTTTTTGGCGACTTTTTCGTAGTTTCTTAACGCCTTGATTTGAGCTTCTTCTGGAGACGATGGTTTTTCTCCGGTGTGGTCAAAGGGCCCTATCCTCAGGGCGTAATCCGTCGAAAGAGAAAGATGGTTTACCCAGTGCGCATGAGATTTTAAAATATTAGTACACTTACCACCGCCATCAATATCCCAGGCCCGTATTGTTTTGTCGTGCGACCCGCTGTATACGATACCGCTTCCACCCCATTTTATGCACGAGACAGAATTTGTGTGTCCGCTTAAAGTCATGAGACAATTTCTGCTTATAGTATCCCAGATTTTTATGGTACCGTCTTTTGACGCAGATGCCAATCTGGGACGATTACCAGGCTTAACACGATGAAGTGGTTCAAAACTCAACGAGGTGATCCATTTCGCATGCCCTCTCAGGGCGTCTCCTAATGCCTGACCCTTTTTCGGATCCCACAGACGCACAGTGTTGTCCATTGAACCTGTAGCGATAATCTCGCCGTCTGGCGACCATGAGACGCACAACACCCAGTTGACATGTCCCTGTAGCGTATACAGCGGAGTGTGCGTATTACAGTCCCAAATTCGAGCCGTGTTGTCTCCTGATCCCGTTACAATCCGTGAACTAGTATTGGGTGCAAAAGCCGAACATAGAATTGTCGATCCATGACCAGCGATTGCTGAAGAACTCCGAGTCACTGGTTTGACTTTAAAGATCGCTCGAGGCGTGAACACAATAGTTAAAAAGTCTTCCGTGGTCTTAAGCCCCGGCTTCAAAACGGAGTTGTACAAATTGTCTTTAATATCTATCATCTCATCTGGTTGACCGTTCTTGCCTGTGACAAGGCAGCTGAAACTGTATGGAACGGGATCCTCAGCATTCCCACTGAACTGATTTAAGAGTTCTTCAAGCTGCTTTTCACTGATCCCACCAGGCACCCTGACAGCGTTTCCCACAGCTTCACCACTGTCAAAAGCTTGAAAGTTTACCAAAACGTTTGGTAGATCTTTAGGCATCAAATCGATCTCCTTTGGTTGTTGAGCTTGACGCCTTTGCTTTTTCGAAGGAGGGGGAACTAAAGTCGCCATTTTTCCGAAGTGATTGCAATGTACACTCAGACCTTTCGCTACCTGTGTCTGCTAAGATTCGCAAGCGATGAGTTCGGTTTTTTAGTCTCGAGATAGCTCATCGCCAAAATTTCCATAAATTTTTCGTCAAGAAAACCAGCCAGATTCGCCAGGGACAGGTGCATCAACAAATGAAACTCAGTCAGGAAAATCAACTGATAAAGCGTGATATTAGAACTTGAACGCTTTCTAGTTGATAATTGCTTACGTTAAAATTTACTGTCGTTTTGTGAATTGGATTCTTAGCTTGATTATAATGACTCCATTCGTTGTTAACCCGGAGGTAGTTTTAAAATAGAGGACGACACCTCCAGCCGTAGGATATATGCAGTTGTTTTCGAGTGGAGATGAGATTTCAACCTTAATTTTTAAATGTATGGATTCCAAAACGCACTCACCAGGTGAATGAACTCTCTGCACCAACAAATAATGACGATTTAATTAGTTAAATGACTTATACTTCGTAAATTTAAAAATCTTGGAAAGCTAAAAGTTATCTATGAAGTGCAACGATCTCGGTTCTCAAAACCCCCTCAGTCTTACTATGCATGCAAACAGGAAAACTTAACGTCGATAAAGTTTGGGTGAGAAGCTAGCGCAGAAATTTGTATTTCAAACGCTGGAAGAGCAACTAGCTTATTTAATGACATTCAGTCTGTATAATATCTATAGGGATATCCTTATTCTATCGTTACAACATTTTCGTCACAATACCACATAATTTATCTTGATAACCGCTTTTTTTCTACAAATATCAAACGTCAGGTGCCGGAGCTTCAGCGTCTGACGTGCCATCACCGAAAGCCAACTGCCGAATTTCAGTCATCCAAGGATCCATTAGCAGTTCCATGGCGGTGGACCTCCGGTTCGGATCTTGAATGAGACATCTCCCCAAAAATTTGAGGCCAAGCTTGGATATCTCGTCTTTATTGGGCATCTGTGGAACGTGGCCCGCTGCCACATGGTACATTATAGCCCACTCATTGTCTAAGTTTGACCATGGTCTTCTGCCTGACACCATTTCAAGTACAACACATCCTAGTGACCAAATGTCATCCGAACCAAGTTTGCCCCTTCTAGAGTTCGTTATCGACTCAGGCGACATATACATCGGCGTACCCATCATACTATTAACGCCTCTTTTGTCTGTGGAAGTAGCTCCCTTGGTTCCATTCGCTGCAATTAGCCTAGCAGCTCCAAAATCAACATACTTTATGATTCCGTTGAAGTCCAGCAGAATATTTTCAGGTTTAATATCGCGATGAACAACACCTGATTGATGCAAGTAAGCTAACCCTTCCACCATTTGCAAAGTATAAACCTGTGTCACCATTTCATCCTCGATTCTTCCATGCTCCAGCAGTTGCGCCAAAGATCCGCCTTCGCAGTACTCCATGAACAAATTAACTTTGTCTCTGTGTACCTCAACACCATAATATTGTACAACGTTTGGATGATTTAAAACTTCAAGCACAGACATCTCTTCTTTTATCGACGGGAAGACTTGTTTCATCGACTTGCGATCTTGGATTTTGATCTCCTTCACAGCCAAAATCTCTCCGGTATCCAGATTAATAGCAGAGAACACAGTGCCGAACGTACCACCCCCGATGAAAGTCCGCTTCTGCCATCTTATAGAGACGTTCGAAAACGAAGATGCCAATGACAATAAATACTGATTTTCTTTATCGGTCGCGTCAAGTACTTTACCAGCTTGTCGAGGATTGCTTTTAGTCTGCTGCTCTAGGTCTTGAATGGCGCGGACCCTTATCTCAGAGTTAACAGCCAATATTGCGTCATCATCGTCTTCACAAACCTCTATGTTGTTTCTGACAAGAACATTGACAGTTTTGTCCGTATCCTGCGTCCTAGCACCCATGATATCAAAATGGGATATCAGAAGAGACATACATCCAGAAATCTTTTGCTTTAAGAGCGAGAATTGCTTTTCATCTAAACTCATTATGTTCCATCCTGTAGTCATTTGCATAGCAAACTCCATAGCGGGAACACACCATCTGAAAGTCCGTGAATCTGTTGGGTCACAATCGTCCACCAGAAACGAAATCCAAGCTAAGCTTAGTTTCAAAAGATGCATGATTATGATAGATTTCTTTTCATACGTCGCAACGTTCAAGCGCAGAAAGTTTTTAGCGAAATCGCGACAGAAAATAAAAAGATTGTTTATAGTTTCATTACCATGCGAAATCCTTTGGACTGTTGACACTACCTTTGGCGCATTTGCTAAAACGGAGAAGGTGACCCGAAAGTATGCACGATTTATTCTCTGTAGCGTGTTCTCGACCGAATTAATGGAGCATCTGCGCTCATTGAAAGAAACAGAATCCCCAACAAAATGCTGAAACCTGTCACACTGGTAGTCCATGGCATACGTCGATCCTTGATTTAGCAAAACAAGGCTATCTGGCATAATCTTTATGTCCAAATCATTCATTGTAAGCTTTGTATTCTCCGATAAGTTGAGCATTTCTCCTCCCCATAGAAGAGGTTCACTAGGACTTATCGCAATAATGTACCCGAGTGATTTAACCTTCAACTCGAGCTCGAGAAATTCATCCTCGTCCGTTTTGTAGTCGTCAATGGCGTTACTATTCATGAAATTTGTGCCTCTGCGAACTTTAGAGTTTGTGATTTTCACGTTGTTTTCTGGCTGTACATAGTAGTAAGCAATTCCATCCGAATCATATTCCTGATATATCATTGCGTCTTGATCCCAACCCATTTCAAGGGCGTTGTATACGCTCAAACTGTTTTTGATCTCCACAGAGGGTATAAGATCAGACCCAATTTCACTATTATGCAAGATTTTCAAAATGTCCAGATCCGAACAACCCAATAGATTATCACTGCAAAAAAGGTAGATCCCATTTTTCTCGAGCTCCCCGCCGGTGTAAACAAGAAAATGCCCACTTTCTTTCAATCGTTCTAATAATTTTTGATGGTCGCTGATTTTGTAATTGACAGAATTCTGCAAAGCCTTCGATAAGACGTTTGAAAATCGGTTTATCTTTCGCTTGAAGGATCCAATATTTTCCATCGTTTGCACAAGCCACTTTTCTACCTCTGATTGCGTTCTAAAATTAGGTGGGTTGTTTTGTTCGCGAAGAACATATGAATGCAGTCTGTTCAGCAATCTGAGGGTGAGCTGAGTAAAGCCTTCTGCCACCACTTGACCAGCTCCTTCTATATGACAGCAAACATTCTTCAGTTGATCCCAGTATTTCAATAGCTCCTCAGGTTCTCTGAAAGTTTTGAAAGATTTTTTAGCACTGTCCAGCAGCTTCAGGTGAAGAAGTTTAAATAAATACCTTATCGCCTCATTAACCATAAAATCAAACCTAGGATTTATCTCAATGCCAAAACTCCAATCACTACAGTACAGAACTGTTGTACGCTTAATCTGTACCGACAACCTGATATAAGAGCTGAAATCGTCAATCATCTGATCAATCATCATCATCGTTGGATTTTTCAGTTTCTCTGCGTATTCTAGTCGTATTCTGATAATTTCTTTGACAAGCTTCAATGGAAACATCAGTAGGATTTCGAGCTCTTTGTCGAGTAGCGGCATGTTCATATCGTGCATTGTCTGATGAAGAGTGAAGACGGCAACCTTTGCTTTCAAAATCCACGGAGCATGACGAAAAAAGATCTTTTTCTGGAAAATGCTCTCAATATCTCGTTCCTTTAATATTTGTTCCGCAAATGTACTCTCATTCTTGTAAACTCCCTCAATATCATGATCAGTTGAGGTGAATTGTACATCTAGCTCCTCGCTGCCAATCCATGATTTAAGACATTCGATCTCAGAATCAAAGGCCTCTTTAAGGGTTAGCAAGGTGTTCATCGTAGCAATACGGTCTTCAAACTCGCTGCTACCCGTAACTGGATATTGATGATACATTTGTGGCAGGCTTCTCCAATACGAGGTGACCCTGTGAAACTTATTGACCAGCGGTTCAACAATCGCTGCAGCTTCCTTTACTGTTATACCTTCCTTAAACTTCAGTTCCATAATATCGCGTACCAATGTTTCAGTGGACGTCCTTAAATATTCTAAAGACTTCCTTTCATCTTCCACAGGGCGACAGTTCATCCATGCTTTTAGCTCGAGCCAGAGATCATCTGCGTATTGCAAATCACTGCTTGTACGTATGGCTTGATGCGCAATTTTGCTCTTTTCAATCTTGACTATATCTCCTCTTAGCACATTCGTAAGCATTGTTTGCCATTCAAGTCGTTCTGACGCGTAATAAGTATGAGAAAGTCGATTTATTGACTCTTGGCATTCCTTTTCGTTAGGAGGAGAAATTGTTGACTGCGGGGTTAATAGTGAGGTACCACTAGATGAGACCCTTTGCAATGGACCAAGTAGCTCTCTTACGGTTGAATTTTCTCCATCGGCCTGCCGAAGCCAGTCCATTCTACCCAACAGAAAGCGCGCGCTGATGGTAACAAGTTCGTCCTCCATGGCCAAAGTACTTCCTTTTTCCGTAGTGGTGAAGAAATTGGTACCGAACGCAGCTTCGTCATTATCAGTGTCCTCAACATCGAGATCTGTCTCTTCCTCCTCATCATTGATCGATGCCGCAATGCCGCGCGTATAGTACTCATCCAGGCGACTGTTTTTCATTTTATCGAGATAAAGCTGTTCGTTCAGCACGTATTGTTTCTGTATGGGTTTGAACGACCTTAACGTCGTTGTACTACTGTTGTTTCCCGAACGACTCGAGGATGACGAGGACATCTGATCTAAGTGTTGCTGGGAGTTCCCACTTGCGCTTTGCACACCTGAAGGGAATTGCGGAGAGCCAACATTTGATGTGCTTTGAGAATTCAGAGATGCCAAATTTGGAGGAAGAACTAGGGTTGGAGTCGCGGCGGCGGAATCCGTCGTTACTGCGACAGATCTAGCACTACTCAAAGAATTCGACCTGAATCTGTTCCCCGGAGAAGTCGCAGCGGCCTTTATAGCCCCAGAAGGTCCAGAAATCGACGGTTTTCGGCTAGATTTGGCAGAACTAGAATTGGAAGCAGGAGACATTGTATTTACAGCGTGTTTCAAGCCGCTAGTATTCAGTTTTAGGGTATTCAATGGTGAATGACCTGTTACTGGAGGAGGACTTCGCAGTTGATTGGCCATGCTATACCCCGGACTTCTTGGTCCTTGACCAACTGGTCTCGAAGGAGAAAACGACTTGAAACTCGTCGTTCCTGTCCCAGCAGACCGTACCCTATTCCTCGCAGACCTCTTACTCCCACCAACACCAAAATCGTCCTCGGAACTCTCGTGCTTGAAGCTGAAATAGTCCTTTTCAGCCATGTTCCTTAGCTTTGTTTTCCTACAGGAAGGTTACGCAAATAAGTTGCAATTCTCTAATTTTCTTTCATACAAGATACTATATAAAATGCGAAGAATGGAGCTAGATCGATGTTTGGAGCAGCTATATAAAGGCCAATTATTGCCAGAAGAAACATTGAGGGCACTATGTTTCAAAATGAAGGAGAGATTGGTGAAAGAATCGAATGTTTTGCATATAAACACGCCTGTCACGGTTGTCGGTGATATCCACGGACAGTTCCATGATTTATTGGAAATTTTCCAAATTGGAGGCCCTGTACCAGATAGTAACTACTTATTCTTAGGTGATTACGTCGATCGGGGTCTGTACAGTGTGGAGACCATGACACTTTTGATAGTTTTGAAGTTAAGATGGCCAGAAAGAGTGCATCTGATACGTGGGAATCATGAATCGCGACAGATCACACAAAGCTATGGGTTTTACAGCGAATGTTTGAACAAGTATGGTGGATCAAGCAAAGTGTGGCATTATTTCACGGATTTGTTCGATTATTTGGTGCTGTGTTGTATCATAGACAATGAAATATTCTGCGTGCACGGAGGGCTATCGCCGAACGTGCAGACTTTGGATCAAATCAGAATCATCGATCGCATTCGTGAAATACCGCACGACGGTGCAATGGCAGACCTTGTATGGTCCGATCCGGAGGACGATGCAGAAGGTCGCGAGCATTTTCAAGTCTCGCCGCGCGGTGCAGGCTACATATTTGGACGCAGCGTCGTTGAAAAATTTCTGCATCTGAACGGAATGTCCAAAATCTACAGAGCGCATCAGCTGTGTAACGAGGGATTTCAGGTGTATTTCGGTGGGCTAGTAACCACTGTTTGGTCGGCACCCAATTACTGTTACCGCTGCGGAAACAAAGCTTCCATCCTTGAAGTCTACGGAAACGGCGAGTATTTCTTCAATGTTTTTGAAGAAGCACCCGCTAACAAACTTCTCAACGTACCAGTTATGACCAGTGGTAGCATGCTAGCAGGCTTTTTCGATGAACCTACTCCTGACATGTTTTCTGATGAGTACCAAGCTGCATCCGCAATGAACAGACATGTGGATTATTTCCTATAATTGTCCGAACAACACAAAGTTTTTCTGCAATACATTCACTCACAAGTAATACAATTCCAGGTAAGTGTTATCGTGAACTTCATAGTCCTCGAGACTGATGTGATCTTTCAATACGGATCCACCTATTTGAAGAACAATTTTAGCAGCTGGAATACCGATTTGAAGGGCAAGAACCTTTTTGAAATCGCCAACCAAATCATCTGACAAGCATTTCACACGCACTTTCTTACCCAGACGGTCATTTACAATCACCTCTATCATCTTTGACTCTCTTATGGTGGGTTTGGTGATCTACAGTTCAAAGCTCATCATTTTCGATCTGAAAATTTTCAATTTGCAGGACCCTGAAAAATCTGGCAAGTCATCGTGACAGCACTTGGCAAAGAAAGCGGGCCTAAGGTTACCAATGGGTTTTAATGTGCTCTTCATTGATTCTTATGATTCGTTTACATACAATTTGGTGAATCTCATTCAAGCTCAAAACGAAGATATTCGTATTACGGTTATTCATAATGACACCTTCGGAAAGTTCGAGGATTTGAAGAAGTATTTGGTTGCTTTTCACTGCATTGTTGTTGGACCGGGACCAGGTAATCCGAATAATGGTGTTAGTGATATAGGACTTCTTGTTGATATGTTCAATGGCGAACTAGACGTTCCAGTGCTGGGAATATGCTTGGGCTTTCAAATTATGTGCCGAGCCGCTGGTGCGAGAATTGAACAGCTACATGAAATCAAGCACGGTCAAGTTTATGATATCAATCTCAGGAAAAACGCAGGCCAGCTTTTCGAAGAGTATCCCGAAAGTTTCAAGTCGGTGCGGTACCACTCATTACATGCTGTGGGAGCCACTGAAAAACTTATACCGCTCTGCGAGACCCAAGACGAAAATGGACACGTGCTGATGGGAGCTCAGTACGCGGGGAAACCCTTCTATGGCGTTCAGTACCATCCAGAATCGTGTTGCTCGGAGCTCGGCGGACAATTGATCAGAAATTTCTTAAAATTAGCAAACAAGTACAATGCTCAATGTCGCAGCAGGAGCGCTCTTTTACCCGATGGCTCAAATAAGATTAAAGAAATTTTGTCTCTGCTAGATAAGAAGATAGACAAACGAAGCCTTTATCGAAAACAGGAGCTACACGAAAAGCCTATATTCGTAGAAGAGTTGAAAGCAGAAGTTAAAGCTGAAGTGCATGTCGTTTGTGACAGGTTAAAGAGACACTTTTTTCTCATGACTTCGGCTGTGACCGATTCTGAACGGGGAAAGTGGTCTATCATAGCACTTCCCGACGCGAAATCAACCGTATTCACGTATTTTGAGCAACTGCAGCAAACAGTTGTTCATCACTGGAGGGACAAGGATGTGTCACCAGAAGCGTTCGAGAAAGCCGTATTATTCGAAAACCCGATTAGAGGGCTACAGCGCTATCACGAAGATAAGCGGCAGTTCTGGTGCAGGATAGGCGGATTCATGCAAGAAAGGATGATAGCCAACAATCCAGAACTGCCATTCATTGGGGGGCTCGTTGGTATACTGGGCTATGAGATGGGACAATACACGAGAAACAAAGATACGGCTAAATTGAGGCCTGACGCTAAGTTGGTCTATATTGAGAACTGTGTCCTGTTTAATCACTTTGAAAATACATGGCATCTTATATCGCAGAAAAATGATTTTCCCGAAGACGTTCGACAAGTCATTGCAGAAGCTGTCGATCGGTGTGAGGAAACAAGACCCACATTTGACGAACTGCCAGCTGGAATCACTTATGATATAAAGCTACCGACATATGAAGCATATGCCGAAGCCTTCGAAAAATCCCAAAAGTACCTCCACAATGGCGATTCCTACGAAGTGTGTCTTACAACGCAAACGACAGTCAAACCAAGCAAACCGGTAAAACCATGGCGCATATTTCAAAGTTTAGCGGAGCGTAATCCGGCGCCTTTTGCAAGCTTTTTCGATTTCAGCGACTTGAGCGAGGAATACAACAGCGTTTGCTTTATTTCATCGTCTCCCGAGCGGTTTATCAAATGGTCTCGCGATGATTGCGAGTTGCGACCTATCAAAGGTACTGTCAGCAAGAACGTTTACTCAACATTGGAGGAGGCAGCCCTTGTTTTGAAAACTCCAAAAGAGTTTGGCGAAAATCTAATGATCTTGGACCTTATTCGAAATGATTTATACCAGCTTCTAGATGACGTCGTGGTTGACGCTCTCATGTCGATTGAAGAATACAAGACAGTTTACCAACTGGTTAGTGTGGTAAAAGGTCGGGGACTTCGGCTAAGCAAATTTTCGGGAATTGATTTGCTAGTGCACTCATTACCGGCAGGATCTATGACAGGCGCTCCGAAGAAAATCACTGTTGAACTGCTACAGCAAGAGATTGAATCAGATCTCAACAAGCACATAAATTCTGCCGGGGTGAGAGGCCTGTATTCGGGAGTTACAGGATATTTAAGCTGCAACGACAATGCCGATTGGTCCGTAAACATTCGATGCCTATATTCTTACGACAATGCGAAAACATGGAACCTAGGTGCGGGCGGAGCTATCACCGTTCTGAGCACTCTAGAAGGTGAATGGGACGAGATGCGCACCAAACTTGAGAGTGCTCTACAAATTTTTTTGGACTAGCAGAGGCAGCATAGGAGCAACAAGATAGAGCAAGAGACCACATTTCGCCGTTGCATTACTTAACACCATGAAAAGCTACCCAATGCTTAAAAGCTCCGATCGATAACAGTGAATTTCAATCGCCTTGTTTTTTTCACGACCTATACCTAACATATAAATGCCATTAATCCCTGCTCATCGACGTAGCCATCGACTTGATTTACGAGAAATTATGAAACAAAACAAGAAAAGTAAGGAACCTCAACGACAGCAAAGAGAACACTCGAGAGAAGCTTAGCAAGTTGCATCAGTCAAATACTTCTTACTCATTCAAGTAAATCTTTTGAGCTAACGGTTGACAAGAAGGCCAGATGATGATACCCGTTTGATGGTGATCCTCGCCATTGTCAAAAAAGTTGATATAACTAGTTACGAAAGGTTCAAATATCGCAAAAATTTTAGAAACTGAGGGATGAACAAGCGGCTTTAACTGTTTCGATTGCATAAAATTGAACAAACCCAGCTCGTGAGTGTGAATTCTTTAAGCACGGTTTTACCAGAATTGAGGTTGGTTTGGATTTAAGTAAATTGTGACGTTCGAAACTGAAGAAAGCTGTTTAGTTTCTATCGATTTCCGCGCTTTCAAACGCTTTTTTTTAATTGAATCTGCCATCCACATAGCTGGCAGAAAACAAACAATAATAGTGAGTGCGTTGTTGCGAAATAGTATTTCAGGTTCCGATCCACTAATTGTAGTACGTGAAGCAATACCGGAGTGATATAAGTGATTTACAAGGGCAGGATGACGACAACAGTGCCCAAGATCTTTGCATTTCCCGAATTTGCGGGCGTCGCCGAAGCGGTAGCTGATCACGTTGTACATGCCCAAAACACTGCTCTTGCAAAAGATCCGTACAAGATTAAAGGTTCCAATAGTGCGGGGGGAGTAGCCTCTGACGGCATTATGAGTGGCGCGACCGGCAGTGGCATCATCAGCAGCTCACAATCGGCAGCACATGTGTCGCGAGCTTCGTCTTCGCGCAGTATCAAAGGGTCGAGCGGCCGTTCAAATAGTGCCAAAATGAAAAAGGTCAAAGAGCGGCGTTTCAAAATCGCGCTTTCGGGTGGTAGTCTTATTCAGGTGCTGCATGAAGGTCTCCTCAAGCGCACAGATGTCCAATGGGGCAAATGGGATATTTACTTCGCGGATGAACGTCTTGTGCCGTTCGAGTCGCCGGAAAGCAATTTTGGACGTGCTAAACGTCAGATTTTCGACCAAGTTGACACAAGTCGTTACGGAAGTCCTAAAGTTTACCACATTAATGAATCCCTCATTGATGATCCTCAGGAATGCGCCGATGATTATGAAAAGGTGTTGATAAGGGGTTTCGCTGGCAGAGACTCCGTCAAGTTGCCAATGTTCGATTTATTTCTCTTGGGTTGTGCTCCTGATGGACATATCGCCTCACTTTTCCCAAACTTTCAAGAAAACTTACGTGAAAATCTGGCTTGGGTAGTACCTGTCCAGAACGCACCCCATGGGCCCTCTAACCGTATATCGCTCACCATTCCGGTCATATGCCACTCTCATCGCGTAACGTTCGTTGTCGAAGGTGCGACAAAAGCTCCTATCATCAAAACTATAATGGAAAGACCAGAGAAAGGGCTACCCAGTAGCATTGTCAACGAGGGCGCCGCAGGACGTGTCGCTTGGTTTGTGGACGATGATGCCTTGACGGACGTGAGTGTTACAAAGAAAAAATACACTTTTCTAGAAGCAGATAGCGATTCCGGCAAGTCCGGAAATTAAGGCGTTTCAATCGTATCGTCTATTCGTGACCTCTGTAAACAAGCCACTGGGATACGTATATGAAGTTAAATAACAGAGTAACGCATGCAATTCCGATTTTTCCAAAATTACTGGTAGCTGCAGCTGCAATACTGGGTTCCCCGACTTGTTTCAACTTGACAATGAGTTGTGCAATAGAGCAGATGCTACCAAATACATCAAGGACAACACACAGCATCGGAAAGTCTCGCATTTTTTTCCTTTCGTAATTATGCTTAACTTGGGGGAAGTATTTTATGAGAGACATCAGAATCTTCAATGCGATGAGCCTATTGCACAGAGCTAAAGTGTTGGTGTTGCTCAAATTCTCATTGAAAAGCCGAACGCAAAATGGAATCAGAGAAATTGCAATGATTGCTAAAGTCGCTCTTAAGATTCTCTTGTAAAGTATTTTCATTCTCACAACACCTGCAGTTTGAAAGCTCCATAGCCTTTTCCCGTACAATAATTGACTGGCTAGAACCCCATTCATAACTAAGCTGTGGACACAATACCAAAGGTCGAATTGCGTAACGGTAGGGCGTAAAGGTTCATTTTCATCATTAGTTTCTTGCCAGCAAAATAACTGTAAAAATATAGCACTCGTTAAACAAACATAGCCCACTATGTTAATTATCAAGAAGTCAACCGATATTGCAGACGCAGATTTCTGTCGCCAATTCTTAAACAATGAGGGGTATATCGAAAGACACCACGGAATAGCATATCCGTAGCCCAGTACTTTTTCCAAATCCATTGCTCGAGAGGAATGTTTACATCAACTTTTTCGCTAGCAGCTGTTTTTTCTCGGTGTGTTCTTGATTCTCGAAGAATTGATGGAGGAGTGAAAGGAATAAGTGCTTACGAAAAGCTTCTTAAATTGCTGAATTTGTTCTTTTACTCCGTTAGTTTTCTCGCCCATTGAAAGCATAACGTAAGCAGAACGTACAAGACAAGATGATTCATTTGCCAGAATCGCGTCGAGATCGTATAAATATTACAATATCCGGGAATGAGAAGTAGTATTCTATATTGGCATTTACTGATCACAAAGGCTCCTTCCGTCTACTTTAAGGTCCAAAATGTACCTAGTCTGAGTTCTCTCCATAGAAATCCTGACACAGGGTCAGAGAAAAAAATCATCAGTGTTCTTATCATCACATATGGAGTCTCTCTCATAACATATATCCAATTTCTCATACGTATGTGTGCTCTTCGGTATTATCAGCCTCCCGCATTCCGTATTTGCTGGTGGCTCTTTGAAACAAAAATCTTCCGTCCTGTAGAGAGTATTCATAATCTTCACTGTGCCGAGAACGAGTCGTGGAGGGTGCCAAGTCGCTTCGACCGTGCGATTCTTGATCGTACGGTGTAATTGGGTCATAAAGGGCGCCAAAAAGCTCATAGTAGAAATCTTCGCCAAGAACTCTAACAAGTAGTTTTCTTTTCAGGTCAAAGAAATATATTAGTGGGACCAATACAAGGAAAAATATAGGCAGGTACCGGTTGAGCATATCTACCAGAGGTATCAATTTCAAATCTTTGTAAAGGACGCTTTCGAAACTGCTTTCATGCCCTTTCATAGCCTCAGGGAGGAGTGCCATGAAATTGAAACAAAGAGGCAAAAGAAGTCGACTTGAATAAAGCGAGAAATAAAGCGAATTCTTGGGATTACTGTGTCCCGTTGGGATTATATGGAAATTTTGGAATTTAAAACAACTCATGGCGTGAAGTGATGCAATGGTGTTGTAAACCAAAATTGAGATTTCCAATAGGAAATTCCACCAACTGTGACCTTTGAAAATCCAAGCATGTGCATACTTGGAGGGTGTGAGTTCTAAAAGCGCGACCATTAGCGACATTGCAGCGCAAAGGCCACCGAGACAAAAATTCAAAATGGATTTAGAAACGTGCAAAGATTTGTTCTGCGAGTGCGTTAGTCTATGAATGATCACATCCGATTGATCTTCGTAGTAGAGGTAATTGTAGTACTCCGTGAGAAAGAAATTGTAAAATTTGTTGATTTTATCCAAGGACACATTCGGTTGACCTCCACCTTGTGACAATTGCGGGATTGTAATTTTGAGTTCATTGACCAAACCTTGTACCTCAATCTTACATTCGTTCTGAGCCTGACCCAGTACAACATCGCCGTTTCGCACTTCGGGGAGAGATAAGATTTTTTCCGCATAGTCTGTCAAGGCAAGCCGAGCGTCATTGAGATCATCATTGATTTTACTGAGTTCCACAAACATCGCATTCTCGCTGTTGTTGCCCAGGAAAAATGCTTTGGGAAGCAAAATGAGCCCCATTGCCAGCAAAACCAGTGTATACGACAATGAGTAGAGATGTGACAAAGAAATCAAAAGCGGTTTGAGATCGCTAGCGCCTCGATGCATTGCAAAGAACAAATAGAGAGCACCGATAACGAATGCGATCCCACAAAGCGCATAAAATTTGATGTTCGTGAACAAGGCCTTTTTAATTCGTGCTCCTTGCGTCGCCGTCCAGCCAGTCTCTCCGATGTAGGGAAACAGATACTTGAGATCCAGATACGACATCAAAACGGGCATAACGAACCAGCATATCACGAATTCAGTCCAATATATTGCGTACCAGACGCCTGCTAAATTTGTAGGTCGGTCCATCGACTGTAAACCGCTCAACCCATCGGCTCCTTCTCTGCGTGTAAAAGAGTCTCCATTCTCAGGGTTTTGATTCTGGGCTACAGCTGCTAGAAATACGTCCAACGGGAGTAGATAAGTGATGGAAAGTAATAACCATAGGTTCACTATAAGTAGCGCTAAAGTGAACGGAAATGTGTTCTTGTGCAGCTTCAAAGACAGGTATCTATTCACTAGGGCCACCGAGCATAATGCCGAGAGTCCAGATGCCACACATATGAGCAGCCATACCATCCTTGTCTAGCAATACCAAGTCAAACTTTGACCAGTTATTTACAAGAATGCGTTAAGGCATCGCCAACGAATTTTTGAACCTTAAGTTTCCGAACTTCCCGTAAATCGATACTTTAAATCCTGCACATCAAGATCAACAGTAATAATCCCAAATAAGCTTGTCGAAATACCATAATGGACACTCCCCGGACAGCAAAAATTGATCTGAGTCAATTGGTGCCAAATGCCATTGGAATGTTGGCTTTTGACGAGAAAAAAAACGTTATTGAAGCGTCCGGAATTGCGAAAGATAGATTGAGCGACGTAGAACAGATAAGCCAAGTCAAACTCGATAGTGAGGGTTTTGGCCTACTTCAAGAAGATTCAGTGCAAGTGATCATTTACAAGCAAGAAGACAAGACCCTTGCAGTTTATACATATGCTCAAAAATAAGTTGTGGTATTTGACGTTCAGAAACTCATTTTAAGAAACCCATTTAGAATCCTGAATATATTCGTTAGCACATTATTACATATGAAAACCCGCAAATCGTGTTTCAATCAAACACGCTAGAGTTTAAATGAAGCCGCCCCCACCGCCTTGATGAGACATGCGACCAAAAGGTTCGTCATAGCGAGCGCTTGGAAATGGCGGCGAATCTTTGTTAGTACCAAATGTATTTCCTCCGCCCTGTAAAGGATTGGAAGAAGGACCTCCTCCCTGAAAAGGGTTAAATATCATACCTCCTCTTGAAGGTGGGTTCCTGAAATTTGGCAAGTGTGTTTGGGGGCCCTGAAGCGCTGGATATTTTTCTCCTGTGGGGTACAAGTCACTGTCTCCATAACCAGCAGCAGGCGAGGGGACTCCGAGACCCGGGAGACCGTGAGGTTCCCCAATAGGTTGTCGACTTGTCTGGGCCTCGTATTCATCATCAAAACTTGGCATGTCAGCAGGGCGGCTAGGAATACTAGCGTTGTAGCTTCGTGAGCGTGATCCAAATTTCAGCTTTTCCAGCGCCTCCATAGTCTCTTCTTTGTTTATCGATCCCCCAGAGGATTTTCTTTCCTTCTTAATGAGACAAAACTTTTCCTGGAAAACAGCAAATACACTAGGCGTGAATAATTGCGAAGCCTCGTCTGTGAATATTGGAAACTCAAGCGGCTTTTTCCCGAGCAACAGGTCCTCTTTGTAGTCTAAGATTGCTTGTTTAACGCATTGCTTTTGATCACATATGTTAACCAGACATTTCAAGCCCTTTGAGATCTCTGAGAAAACTACTTGGAAATCATTTCCAGTCGAATGTAACTCTAGTTGCGCAATTTCTGAGTCAAACTTGGCTTCTAATTCAATATGCTTCTCCGATGTGTCTGCGTACGTAATATTATTTTCGCTTTCCAAAAGGGATGATTTGAGTAAATAGGTAATGAAAAGTCGCACTACTAGCTCCAAATTGGTTTTAATCTCTTTGTCAGCGTTCATTATAGCCAATATCAACGCCCAAGGTAGACGATATGCGGTTATCTCTTACTATTTAGAAACTGCCAAACCTTATTTCTGACTTTCGCAATTAAGGCTACAATGTTAACATTACGTACGATTATTCCGTAAACCACACCCAAGTCAAAGAGAAGTTGCTAGTTCTTGAAAAGGAGCTTCTTTTGTCTACAATATACATTACGAAGGGTTCATTTCAGTTCACTGATTTCACCATCTCTAGCAACAAGTCCCATCACATTTAGGAAAAGGTTCAAATCCTGATAAAGCTTGTCACGTTGATATAGTGCCATGGGTTGATCCTCGACGGCAGCAGACTTCGTAAATTCTTCAGCTTTCGATATAGTGCCAAATATTTCATCCCTAACTTCATCAATGATGATACGCTGATGGTTGAGCTTGCCACTCAAGGCAAGGGAAGCCAAAAACTGCCATATATAGGAGCTGTCGTAGAAACTTGGTTTCGTGAAAGTGGCCGCCAAAGGTGTTCCTGGAACAGAAGGCGCTGGTTGGGGATTAGTGATTGATACAATCTTTTGTGTGTACTCGCTAGGAGGGAAAATTAAAGAAAGCCTTGTTTCCAGAGCAGTGAACAATTTATCGTAAATCTCATTCCATGAAGAAATCTCCGACGAGGACAAAATGCTACCTCTGTTGACATCCTGCTTGATCAAAGCAGCACGTGAAATGAGCACAGTTATCAAGTTAAGTCCAATTTTCGAGGTGGTGATGAAAGAGACGTTATTGTTTTTGACAAGGGCAAGCAGCAAGCCCATTACTTCCATGAACTCCGCAGAGCTTGACAAGAAAGAAACAATGATCTTAAGAAAAATGGATTGAAAAAGTTCGATTTTTCTCAATTGAGCTCCTGTTGGATTGGGGTTTGTCCTGTAGGAACTGGTAACCACGATATTCAAGTGGGAAAGTTCGCTGAAGAAGCATGAGAGTAGTTTGAGTTTCTGCTCTTTGCCTAAAAAATTAATGATCCGTGGCATAATCTTCACACCCTTATCGAAGGACAGAATGGAAATAAATGGGCTAACTTCGAAAGCATCGTCAAAGATGTGAAGCGCTTCCCACAATCCAGAGCTATCGATTGTTTTACCGCTTCTTAGCTGAGCTTCAAGTTCTAGCACTTCCGAATAAACCGTTTCAATCAATGAAAGAACAAACTTTCTCCCTCCAGAACGGGTCAAGACTGCACTTTGGTCTAAAGAACGTAAAGCGTACGAGGACCTTCTTCTTAATTTAGACGAAGAGGTCGAAATGTCCACGCCCTGTAGGCATTGAGCAACGTCGTCGATTGCTGACGATGTTGTTTCGTCACTTTCTTCCATCTTAGTAGGAATTTGAAGTTGTCTTCTAGGGGCTTTGCTGTTCATACTAGCAGAAATTTTACCAAGCACGCCTTCTTTGGAAGCCTCAGAAATTTCCTTGTTCTTCTGAGGTCTTTCCTTTGCCACAGTAACGGCTTTTTCCACCTGACTTTGCATGCGCTGCAATGCGACATCGGCACGCTTATAGCGACCGCCCAAACGATGACCAGAGTGCTCAAGGTAGGCACGCGCAATGAGACCCTTATTAGATTCGCCAACGACACCACCTCTTTGAATGATCTTGTAGACTTGGAAGTAGAAGTCCTCGTTGTAAGGATCGTCGGTGACAATTTGAGAAAGTTGGTAACGAGTGATGAAATCCTTATCACGAGGAGTCATGACACCGCTGTGCTTTAAAATCTTGTCCACTTTTGCCTGGCGCACTTGCAAACGCTTCCAGTCTTCCTCGCTCAAATGTTCCTGAGGCTTTCTCATCGAATTTCTGCGAGTACCCTTGGCAAATGGCTCATTCATGCTCTGGTAATAAGGAGGACCTTGATTGACACGAGGAGAAGTTCCGCGACGATAGTTGCCGTGGGGAGAAAGTGGTTGTTGAGAAGGTCTTTTGGGAGACATAGTAGCTTCAATCACAGGTGATGTCTGGGTCTGGGCCTGGTGGACAACCGGAGATAGCGCCGAAGGAGCAGTAGATGACGAAAAGACTTGCTGAGGAGCGTGATGGGGCTCCGAAATCTTATTTGCCTGCACGGGAGCCGGCACAGGGACATGTGATTGCTGCTGTCCCACTTGCTCAAAGCCGGGAGACATTTGCTGGTACTGCATAGGAGGCATATCGGATGAGGACATTGGGCGTGGACCAACACTCTGAGGCGGAGGAGGAGGCACTGCCTGCACGCCAAAATCAACGTTTCTGTCCTGGAATTGCGGAGCGCCTGTCATCTGTGGTGCGCCCGAAACAAACGGCTGTCCGGGAAATCCGTATCCCATCGTAGCTATATGCTGAGGTGGAGGCATAGACATGTACGCATGTTGCTGAGGAAGCATTCCCATCTGGCGCTGCTGTTGCTGCTGTTGCTGTTGTCTCTCGATCTCTTCCATGGACACAAATTGAGGCTGTTGGAGCTGATGAACAGGCTGGTTTGTCCACAAGGACTCCATTGGAGTGAAGTCTAAATGCTCTTCGACAGCTTGGGCAGGCTGACCAAAGGGAACAGCTGCCACGGCTGGACCCGAAGTCGCCGCAGACGCATAGGAGCGGCTGTGATCGACATACGCATCATGACTAGCTGTAGGAGCCGCGTACTCGCTCGCTCCGTACCCAAAATCAAAATCGGTACCTACGTCAGCTGCATCGCCAAAAGTCTCGCTGTTCAGATAGTCGTCTTCCTCACGGGCGTGCTCGCCAAAGCCCTGATAAGTTTCGTCGAAATCGAGGGGCTGGCCCCCTTTTTCGTCCTTGCTTCGTCCGGACCTTCTTCCCTTCTTGGGACCAGAAGAATCAAAGCCAAAAAACGACATGTTGGATGCAATTGACTCCCCGAACGGTATACAGATCTCCTATAGCGTCGTCGGTTTTGTTATTGCAGGGTATTTGATTAAAGAAAAATTTTCCTCGTCACTATCTACGAGTATCACCGGATTTCCGCCAGTGAAGCATAAAGGGGGAACGCGACTATTTAGTATTCACTTTGGTGACGAGGAAATGAATCTTTCTGTTTCGATCTCATCCGAATGCCACTGACGCTATTAACAAGCGATCTTTGCGCAGCGCCTTTCCAAAAAACCAAAAAAGAAGTCGCGATGAAATCCGAGGCTAGGCCAAGGCTGTATTTTGGGCAGCGTCAGCCAATGTTTGACCGGCCCGTATGCTGTTCTACTGAGTTTCAATTGCGATCATTTTATCTGTTCGAAGGACTATAGATTAGGTGATTGGTCGTAAATATCACGTGACTATGATGACAGAATAACCCACTAAAGGCTCTAATCGCCCCCAGGAGGCGGCGAAAGTTCAAAGATGGGCATGAAATCACCACACCGCTACAATCATACTTCCACAGCTAAGATAGATGGCACATGGGGCATGTCGCTAATTATTTCTTAGCAAGAACATGTGAACCCAACATATGTGATCAGCATTAACGAAATCATGTCGCCAAGTTAATCGTGGAAGACCACCCACTAAGTAGCTGATATAGATCCCTTTTATGAAAAACATTGCACGGAATAAGTGGCAAAAAAATTAGATAACTGTCGACCTCCGACACTGGTAATCCCCAACGTTCCCAGACAGAACGACCGGCAGTGTGGCCACATAATCTGGTTGAAATAGCGACTAGGCCCTCCAAGGCATTGGAGCTGTAATTGTTTTGTACTTTATTAGTAAATTGCCCATATGAGATATTTCTCTAAAGGTACACCGAAGATGAAGCGGTGGCTCAATGGTAGAGCTTTCGACTCCAGTTAAATCCTGGATTTCCAAGGAGTATTGCAATCGAAGGGTTGCAGGTTCAATTCCTGTCCGTTTCATTTTTTATTTTTTAGCTGACACAAGGGCAGGCAGGGTAACGATTCAAGAAATATCGATAGTTAAATTGCTAATCTATAGTTCTCGTGTATAGTGACTCTCGAGCGGCGGTAAAAGCCGGAAAAGAAGCCACAGTCTTATGTAATCTGTCTTTGTAATTCCTTGCAGAAGTCAAACAGAGATGAGGAAAAAGTGTTGATAGTGGGAGAGTTACTTTTTCGTCATCTTTTCAAGATCGGTAAAGTTAAGTTTCTCAACGCTTAGTTCTACCTTGTTCTGAGTCTACGAGCGCCAGTGGGGATATAGTTTCTGCGGTTGCAGCGTGATAGTTTTCCGACAAACAGTGCTTTTCTGGCCTTTCCAAGCCAGTTTTTCTGCCTCTTTCTTGCCTTTGGTAATGGGCGAGAGTAGAGTTCAAAGTTAGAGTCGTTGGAAAAAAAAAGACAGATACGTCTGTCTGTGCTGCTGAGCGTATTCACTTTGTTCACGCAATTCACGTTATTCACATCTTTCCCGCTATATTGAGCTGAAAATCACATACCTATGTCGAAATCCCGAACCTCTAGCCAGAAATGGACGCTGGGTCTTATATTTCTTGCAGTGGTCGTGGTCCTGTGGGTTTTGTCATCGTTTCTCATCAACATCATCTTTGAAGACGGGTCGTACCGCAAACCGTTTCTAATCACGTACATCAACACTGCGTCGTTCGTGTTCTATCTGGTTCCGACGTGTCTCGTCGCCGTGCGCAACTACTGGAATACAGGTCATTTCAACTTCCACCAACAATTGCAAGAAGAAGAAGAAGGGCCGGCCGAAGTTTCGGTTTTGACGTCAGATGAGCCTGCTGTCGCCACGTCTCCTCTGATTCCTAAACAGAGCAATGATGACCTGGCGTCTGCCACTGCTAAGCTTTCGCTGCCTGCGACAATCCAACTGAGCGCACAGTTCTGCATACTCTGGTTTGCTGCAAACCTCGTGACCAATGCGTCCCTTTCTTACACGTCTGTCTCGTCCCAGACCATTTTATCCTCTACGTCTTCCTTTTTCACGCTTTTGGTAGGAGCGTTCTTCCACGTCGAAATCCTGAGCAAAATCAAATTATGGGGATCTGTAGTTTCCTTCATTGGTATAATACTGGTTACCAAGTCCGATTCCGACCAGGTGGATTCCGATTTACATTCTGCTGTACCTTACAAATTCCACAATGGCATTTCTCTTGATAATACTGATGCCCTGACGATTCTATATGGGAACATTCTTGCCATCGCAGGTGCGCTCTTCTACGGTGTTTACAGCACGTTACTTAAATGGAAGATTAGAGAGGAGTCTCGGATAAACATGAAAACCTTTTTTGGTTTCGTTGGACTTTTTACACTTGTATTGTTGTGGCCTACGGTTATACTGCTGCATTATACTGGGTGGGAAAAGTTTGAGATGCCTCCAACCTCGAAAGTCGCATTAATTGTCATTGTGAACAGTTTCATCACTTTCATTAGCGATTTTTGTTGGGCTAAAGCTATGCTTTTAACATCTCCTTTGACAGTGACCGTGGGGCTCAGCACAACAATCCCATTCGCAATGTTAGGAGATTTTTTGTTCAAAGAAAGGCCCATGTCTCTGCTCTATATGGTCGGTGCTACTTTGATATGTGGCAGCTTTTTCATTGTCAACAGAGATGCTGAGGAGGCCGCATTACAGCCATCACTGGAAGATGATTTGTCGTTGTCTTTCGTGGTTTAATAATTTATAGATTTTTACTTATCGTGCATTTTAGCTTGCATAGCAGCAAGCTAATGCTATAGTGTGCACCGAAATGCTAACTGTAGCTGTTAAAACGAATATGGATAAGCGGGGTTCTTAATCAAAAAGCAGGACTGGAAATAGGAAAATGTGTACATCAAACTTCCAAGTAACAAAACAGCAAAGGCGTTTTTCAAGTTTTCATTGAGCTTTCCTACACTTGCTACTAGGATAATCCCCACCAACGAGCTGGCCATGACCAAATACATCGATGAAACCGTGAATATTTCGATCCCAAATTGCCAATGCATGCCACCGCTAAAAAACATCACCTGGCCCTCAGGATTTCGCGCTAAAAACGGAATTTCGTTTATCTGTGTGAACTTATAACCAGTGATGGAAAGAAATATGATTCCGAATGCGAACAGACCGCTGAAGAACTTGGATTTATTCGAGATTAGAGGCAAGATCTTTTTCTTGAAGACGTAAAAAATAGTCAAACATGGAACGAAGTATTGTAAAAATTCATTAGCGTCAAAATCCCGGTGTATTTGTATATGAATGTTGCAGATGCGGGCCAAGAAATCGGCAAATCTTACTGGATCCTTTATGCTTCCTGGCGTTACGTCAAATTGAAAAAAAGGTTTTGTATGCCAAGCAAAATCTGTCTCGTTAACTCCAGGTGGGTACACCAGAAGATGCGGAATCGTTTTCAAGTTCATGTCGTTAACAAAAGACGGCAGTTGGCTGATATCCAACTTGAAAAACATGATTTCTGCGTCAATTTCCGCGGACAGTTGAGACCGTACAGCTTTCGAAGTCTTTCGAACGTTATATTCGACTCCATCACACAAATCGCAATACCTTCCATTAGATGTTAGCTCTGTTGTGGTGATAAGTAGAACAGAATAGAAATTTCTGGCTCCTCTGCTCAAAAACTCATAATTTGACTCCGAGACTTCGATTATTCCATCATAGTCTCGTAATGCTATAACATCCGTAGTATCTATAGCAGATATGCAGTGCAAAAACCACAGTAAACTGGTCAGACAAGCCAATCTCATGTACCCCTTTTCGTGATACTTTTGAAGCACGAACACTTGATCGGTATTTCAGAAAAAACCGTTCCTCGAGGAATTTGAATGAAGACTAAGTTGACGAAACAAACTCGAAGTCAATGGTATGACGACAGTACTTCAACTACTTGCCAAATACTATGATTCCGTTATTAAATCCGAGCAGATCTACTCCGATTATATTAGAACCACGGAAAGTGGGTCCAGTGTGAAAGATGCGGATTCGATGTTTATCAAAGAAACCATCAGTCTTAAACATCAATTGGCTCAGCTAATTACAGATTTGAATCAGGAAAAAAGAGAAAACGAGCGGCTGAGAGAGCTTCATAAGACGCAAATTGCGTTTCTGGAGTCTAAACTTGACAGTGCGAAGAGAAATATCTCGAAACTGAAAGATCAGAATCCTGATACAAATGGTGATGATAATAATGACAAAAATAGTAAGGCATTAAAGAGAACCTCTGGCAAATCTAATGAGACTTCCGCATTGGCAAACAAGTTTCATTTGCTTTCACCGATAAATCGTGGATCTACGCGATCAGAAGCTATGGATGAGACTGATCCTTTGCCCAAAAAGGCACCCAGTGGACTGCGCCAAGCTATATACAATCGTCATCAAACTTTGTTTGATGACGACACGAATGATGGAGCTGATAAGACAGACGAATTCTCTTTTATGAACTCCATCAAACATAGAGGCAAGCTGGCGGAGCTTCAGATTCCTGATGGAAAATTACCTTCTTCGAGTGGGAACGACGAAACTGAACTACCAGGTCCTGAACCTGAAGTGCAAAAAAAGCGGAAACTAATTAGGAAAAGGATACATAGGGATGAAGATACTGCCGATAACGTTTTTTGAATTGATAAAATGGTGTTATTCACGTTATTCAAGTCCTCTTTTTCTTCCATCTTAGCTAACGCACTTATAATCTGGATCTCAAACCATTGAGTCTATACTTGACGTCCTTCAGTTGCTTAGTATCGGGCTCCCAATCCTCAAATGCTTTGAACAATTCGTCGATATGACTGTGCCCCAAATGCGTACTCGTTTCGAAAAGCAGTCCCCGCATGCACCAGGGAAGATGATAAGGATTGGATCCCAGCTGGTCAACTTCGTAGGTTCGATAGCTTACTGGAGTATCTTGAGCCATATTAGTTGTCTCCATCGCAAATTTAATCCCTAGCTCATAGACTTGGCCCTCGTTGTATATCTTGGAATGGCCCCCACCGGTTAAAGTACCTGCCAAAGAAGAGCTTATCTCTTTGATGATACCATGGTCATCATATCCTAAATTATTCAAGCTGTTAGCTGTCTCAACGATTTTTGTGATAAATGCAGGTGTCCTTGAGTCTTTGTCAATGAATGTGGCTCGGAAAATATTAGGATGGTGTGCAAAGAGACAAGTGGACGAATAGAGCGGGACCAGTTGGTCATTTATAGACCCCACAAAAGTTATTTTCACGTTGCTCGCGATAACTAGACGCAAACTTTGAATGAGCTTTTTAGCCAAAGTCGAATCGAAGTTCTGAAATTGGAACAATTCTCTTAGCGAGTCGTTTTCGATGGTTGAATAAGCCCTCACAAAAAGGGTCTGATCGACACCATAGAAGGGACCATTATTAACACCAGCCATTGCTAGGACGCTAATAACTTTGTCGGTAGGTTTTGCTTTGACGCGAAACTCGTTATCGCCTAAATCGAGAGCTTCTGGGTTAATTAGGCCCGATTCTATTAGTTGTGCAAGCAAAATTAATGTGACAGGACAGCCCTGAGAGTGTGCCACAAAGTAAACAAAGTCTGCATCGTTGAGCTGGGTAGACCATTTTTTGAGAACTTCGAAGAAAAACGCGACCCGATCGGAAACCTTTCCTTCACGCTCGAGAGCTATCTTGCCGATCTCCACGGGCGTATCGTTCTCTTTGAACCATCGAATAACCGCTTTTTCGGCCTCTGTTATAAATTTGGTAGATGTGCCCGTTGGTTCTCCAATGAGCGGTCTTATCATCTTGTGTGGGAAGAACCCATGTACGCCAATAATCAAAACTTTGGGTGGTTTTGCCGATCTGCATAAGGCATCAAGAGTGACCGACGCGGGTCTTTTGTAAAGTGATCTTTGTTTTAATGTGCTTTCTCGTAGCAGGTTCCATTTGTGACCTTGACGCGCGACGCTGATGTACAGGGATGCTAACGTCGTTAGCGGTGGTAATATATCGAAGTTTGGAACTAAAATGTTCTTATTGAAGCCCAGCTCCTCATTTTCGTTTTTCAAATTTTGTTCCCGCTCTATCTCCTCCTTAGACTTGGTTTTGAAAAGAATCGCATCATCGGGATAAGTGATTAGTTCGTTGATGATTGGCTTCAGCTGCCCACTAGACCCGGGCTGGCTTGCGTTGATGGCATCGATAGGCTGACCGGCACCGGCTTCTTCGTTTTTATTGCGCCAAAAAGACCATGTCCGTCTTCTGGGTTCTTCGTTATCTGAAAGCCCCGTAGTTTCCCCGATTCCTTCATGCAACAGCTGATCCTGATCAATGTCTCTTTCTGGCGTACCAGTCCGGCGTCGATCTGGCAGCGCTTCCGTTTTCTTCGGCAGACCACCGCGAAGGGAACTTATCGAAGGTTTTCGCCACCAACCTCCACTATCTTCCTCTGCATTGTGAAGTGACTCTTGTTGAACACGACCAGCGCCTTCCTTCCGCGCGCCCCAAATGGACCAGCTCGTTGGGGACTGTCTGGAGTCATGTTGATCGTCCTGCAGAGTTCCTTGAGTCTCGTTTAAGGACTTGTTTTGCGATTTGACAGAGGAAACCGACGATTTTATGCTTTTTCGAGAAACCATCGCAGGCTTCCCAAAAAAAGGAGTGTATTTGAGAATCGTTCAAGCAGGAGTATCCACTGTTTTTTCTAGCGATTTCGACACAAATATCTCGAAGCTTGCTTTGAAACTGTTTGGTTCTTATAGATGGTTTTTGCCGGGCCTGTTTAACAAATCAGTGTGGTTGATGTATCTGTAATCCCTAATGTTTGTCCTGGCGAAATTCTAGTAATTAATTTGTTCTTAGAGGGTTCGATAACGAAGAAGAGACAAAACACAAGAAATGGTATATAAGCCGTGCTTACCAGCGTCCAAGCCTCTCCTAAATTTTTGCCATTTCGATTTCGGAGCAACTGGTTTTCTGATCGACAAAACTTGATTATTTTGTCCGCAGGCCCAGTTTCCTGGGCAAATATAAGAGTATGAATTAAAGCTTAGATAAAGTTCATTTAAAATGCGTAGATTTGTCAAGAAGTAACTCATATTGGATTGGAACAACGATTGAAGATAGGTCAGTGCATCAAATGGCTTCGTCAAGGTCTATTTGAGGGCTTCATTGGCACGTTTTTGACAGTTTTTGACAGTTTTTGACAATCTTTGACAATAGCGGCATAATATCACGAGAAATCGTTTGCTGTGGCAATACAGTTTCCTGGTAAGACGACAGATTTTCTTCTTTGGTTTATGATTTAAGTGAAATGCGAACAGATGTAGGCGCGGTTGGTTCTGTCATTCTTCCATTTCAACCTTCGATTAACGCGTTTTTTCAAGTTCCAGAAACCACATTTACGCGTCTCATCTCATCTACAAAAAATTGAATTAGATCAATGCTGAAGAGCTGATCTACTTAGACAAAGTAAACTAGTGATGACGGAAGCCAAGCGACCTAGGGAAGATTCTAGACCTGCAGATGGTGTGAAGCGGCAGAAGAGCATTGCAGAGTTCTTTGGATCAAAGCAAACCAATTTGAAAAAAGCGGCCAATTCTGAAAAGAAGTACTCTGATGCCGATGCAGAAACAGGAACAGCTGCTGGCCAGCAGGATGCCAAGTTAAAAAATATGGATGACATTACCAAAAGCCCCAAAACGAAGCTCGTCGAAAAATTGACTGCCGAACAAAAGCGGCTTTTAGCGCTAGAAATAGATACGTTAGACGACGCCTGGTTTGAAAAACTCAAAGAAGAGTTCCAGAAGCCCTATTTTTTAAAGCTTAAAGAATTTGTCACTGCAGAGCAAGTCCAATGTACGGTTTTCCCTCCACCGCAGGACATTTATTCCTGGAGCCGACTCACGCCTTTTGATAAAGTGAGAGTGGTAGTGATCGGCCAAGATCCCTACCACAATTACAACCAGGCTCATGGACTTGCTTTTAGCGTTCGAAATCCTACGCCTGCGCCTCCCTCACTAAGAAACATCTACAAAGAACTGCGTGAGAACAACTACGCGGATTTTCAAGCGGACAACAAAGTGGGAGATCTGAGTCACTGGGCTAAGCAGGGAGTCTTGCTACTCAATACGTCGCTCACGGTGAGGGCACATAACGCAAATTCGCATTCGAAGCACGGGTGGGAACAGTTTACGAAGAGAGTGGTACAAACGCTTATACATGACCGGAGGCAGACGAAAAAGCCACTTGTCTTTCTATTGTGGGGGTCGAACGCAATGAATTTGGTCCAGAACATTCTTGGTACGCCCCCAAGCAATATCCTAGTACTCAAGTCCGTACATCCATCCCCACTTTCAGCCAGTCGCGGTTTCTTCGGAAACCAGCATTTTCGGAAAATCAACGACTGGCTCTATGACCACAATGACTACATGATTGATTGGAGTGTTGTTGAAGGTGCCCAACTCAGCGAAGTCGAGAAAAAGAATCTGGTATTAGATGTATAGATTGTCTTTATAAACCGTCATCTGGATACCGTACACATAACGTGGTCACATGACTAAATTTCAAAAGCGTATCGACTCGAATATAGAAAGTAAAGGTCATCACGATAACTGAAGAGAGTGCAAGACATCTAGAGACGGCTTGCCATCAACATTGGGCTTTGTGATGCATGATAGAGTCTCCAGTGGTGAGGAATCCATTTTTTCACAAAATTCCCGAGATTCAACCGACGAAGCCCAAGGTATAAATGAGAATCAAACGTATATCGACGGGAAGACAAAGCGAATAGAGAATGGCAGCTCTAATCTCGAGGTAGAATGTAACGAGACCAAACCTGCTATGCGGAGGGGGTATTATGGTGTAAGTGAATCTCAGAGGCGTCCAACAGGAAATAAAAGAGGACTGAGTGCTCTTTTGGAGGACGCGTATCGATTCTCAGCGCATGAGGATTTTTCCCTCCCGGCGGGGTTTCTAAGAACCCGACGAAGAGGACAAGAGGTTTTCACGTCTGACCATGCAGATGAGGATAAATTGGCACCAGTCGAGAACAAGCGTGCAAAAGCCGCGGAGACTAACGTTAAGGCGAATGATAACATTGAAGCTTCGAACAGCGTCAAAAAGACAGCTGTCAAAACGACAGGACGCAATCCATCGGCAGGTCACAACAAAATTCAGGAGTTAGCTCCTCGTCGGCGGAGTCAGCGAAATAGCACGTCTCAAAATCTTACCAACGTTAAGTTAGCAAAAACTTCGCATAAAAAGGCAAAAGCATCTACTTCTGAGTCAAATACCATACAGGATTCTTTCATTCCAGACTTAACGAAAGTGAAAGATATTTCACACGAGTTATTTGACCTTGAAGGTTTAGAAAATGAGGAAACGTTCACAGAGAATCCCGTTCCATCGACGGCATTGTCGAAACATTTTGATAGCCGTTGCATGCAAGTTGGACTTAAGTCGATCTTATTCTCGAATTATGAGGAAAAATATGTGATAAATTTCTCGGCTGATTCGGCGAAGTACAATCCTATGGCTGAAATTGGGCGCTTAATCGAGTACACGATAGCAATATACTTTCCTCGAAGCTACCTTGATGAAGCTAAAAAAACGGTCATTTTGCCATTAAACAAATCGTTTGACCGTGGTGATGCTGAGGAATATCTGAAAGCTGTCAATGCCTACAATGAGCTGATCAATCGAATCCCAAGACAGAATGTCCTTAACAGGCTCAGACACTTGAATGGTGTTCCAGTAACGTTTTTGCATGAATTGCTGCACATTGCTTACGTTAGATCAATCCATCCTAAAGCTAATTCTTTGAAACAATATCAAGCCTTCAGTAACTACGTGTATGGCGAACTACTTCCGCCATTTTTATCAAAAGCTTTTGCACAATGTCATTTGAAAGGAGGAGACATTTTCGTCGATCTGGGTTCGGGTGTAGGAAATTGCGTTTTACAGGCCTCTTTGGAATGTGGTTGTGCGTTGAGTTTCGGCTGTGAAATAATGCCAAATGCCAGTGAGCTCACAGAAATACAAAATGAAGAAATGCAACGTAGGTGTAAGCTTTTTGGCTTGAAAGTAAATCCAATCGAGTTTTCTCTGCGGAAAAGTTTCGTAGGTAATACGCGCGTGGATGATATTTTAACAAAATGCGATGTCCTGCTCATCAACAATTTTATTTTCGACTCTGCCATGAATACCAAGATTGAGAAATTAATTCAGAACCTCAAGGTAGGTTGCAAAATCATTTCTTTAAAGAACTTAAGGGGTTTTGGATACTCAATCGATTTCAATGATGTCGACAATATTTTAAACAGACTTAAAGTCGAGCGCTTCGAATTGAGCGAGGGAAGTGTCTCGTGGACACATCGTGGAGGTGAGTATTTCATTTCTACTGTTTTAAATGACATCGACGAATCGATTTTCACAACATATTCGAAGGGACGTGTTCGACGTTCAGCAAAACCTTTGAAATACACCAGATGACATTATGCGGATAAGAAGGACACAAAGGCAGGAATCTTATCGAGGAGTAGTGCTTTGTTGTAGAGTTCATAGACATAAAGCAAATCAAACGTACTTTACAAAGGTCTATATAAGCGGAAAGTTGAATGAGGGACTGAAGAATCAAATTCCGAGTTGGGCGAAGATATCAATGTAAAGCCTGTTCCTGACCGTTTAGCAGAGTGAAAGTAGGCGCCTGTAACCTTTCTCTTCCTTTCAAAAAGTCCAGTTCCATAACGAAGGCAAATTCCAACAGATTTGCGTTCAGTCTTTGGACGAGCTCACCAGCTGCTAGCGCTGATCCGCCAGTGGCAATTATATCGTCCATCACAACAACATTGGACCCTTCTGGAATGGATTCGATTTGGATTTCGAAAACGTCTTCGCCGTATTCCTTGACGTATTTAGCTTGCAAGCATTCGCCAGGCAATTTTCCTTGTTTTCTGACTGGAACGAACCCTGCTCCAATCTCCAACGCCACAGCTGGTCCAAACAAAAACCCACGAGACTCTAAAGCAACAATATAGTCAATCTTTGTGTCGGGAAACTGTTTTTGCAAATGCATCTTGAATGCCTCGACTAATTTTCTAAACAAATCCGGAGAACGGAAAATGGGCAGAAAATCCTCGAACAAAATTCCCTTACTAGGGAAATTTGGATATTGATGAAGTGCAGATTTCAATTCATGAGCGATCGCGTCAATTGACATGGTTGGTTTGGTTGATTTTGGCTGGGAATGAGCTTTCAGATCTTAGTTGAGGAATTTTAAGATTTGAAAAATTTTGTCGCTAGCTCATCGCGAATAAGAGCCCGATTTGCACTCACAGAAACAAGCAATCAAGTAACGGTAGTCGACCCGCATAGTATACTGGTGATGCTTTACTTCTAAGTGCAGCTGGCGGGACTTTGTTAGTGGGAGAAATTAGACCGAAAAATGGTCAATTCGAACAAGATATATCCATGCTATCATGTCGATTTGACACATGAATCTCTGGTTGATTTTGAGGAAATGAGCACTCTTTGCGCTTTAGAGAGTTATGACAAGATACTGTTTTTCCTGGAAAGTAATATGGGCCTGCCAAGGATGGGGGTTCCTTCAAGTGACGTTGTAATTGTGTTGTTGACATTGGCAACAATGTGTGGGGCTAAAAGTGAAATGGCTCTCAAAGCCAACGATCCCTATGGTGTAGGGCGTATTTCATTACCTGTCAGATGTTTGAAGCTTCTGATGCAATACGTAGAAATCCTCGCGGGCCGAAGTGACTATGAATTCGACCCATATTATTTCAAGCTGCTTCGATGCCAGTTTTTTAATGTTGCTGATTATATCCTCAATTGGGATTTAGAACATGAAAAGTTTACCTCTAAGCAAAAAATTAAGGAGACTGAGGGTTTCGCCACGACCTACAACTACATTGGGATTTTTGAGCATGGTGATCGTAAAGTTTTAAAGAGGGAAACGCTCTCTTCGAAACTTCGTGCCCGTCAGTCTCTGCAGAATTGTGTCGCATGGGCTTTGAAATTATCTTCGTCGTCTGATGACGCACTTAGTGCTGTCGGCATCACTTGGATTCAAATTTTGAATGTTCTATTTGAATTGTTTGAACTGCGGTGCATTTGCCTTCAAAAATGCGGAAAGAAGGACGATGAGAGAGATGATAGTTTGAAAATTAGTTGGCTCACCGCTTTCTTGCGATCTTTTGGGGTTCACAATCATTCCCTCTGTGACTTGGTTTTTATTGGTTGTGAATTTACGGGACAGCAGGTTGTTCCCTCTGATCCCATCTATAGAGAAGATCCAGAAAAGAATATTAAACGTCTAAGAGCTGACCATCAGATGAATGATCTATCGGTCTATTCATACGCGCAATCCATGCGACTGCGACACCAGATCCTTAGAGTAGTTTTCCAAGTTCTGAGATGTTTGCCGGAGGGGGGAACACGATTTAGCAATGAGCATTCCGTAATCGCTGATGTGGCTCATACCCTCCTAAACTTCCAAAACATGGCTCATCTGAAAATGTTTTTGGGAACCATTGACTTCAATAAGGATAATGCATGTTTTTCAAAATTTGTCGAAAAAGCACTCTTCGACAAGTTGAAGGACTTGAGAATCGACGTTTCGTCTCCTCTGACTGAGATGGGATGCTACGAAGATCTATTAGCACAGCTTTCTGGCTTTTTGAAAGGAAGCGCTTCTATTTTTACGTCGCGTCGTCAAGATATGATGAACGAAGTAAACCGGTCATTGGCCTTGGTTGATCTGTTAGTCCTTGTCCTGTTAAAGGTACACATTTACAAGAAGGGGCGGACAGGCATCAAAAACGGCCTGGCTTTTAGGTCCTTTATGAAGGCGCTTCGCTTAAACGACAAAATGCGGCATCAATTTGAATCGAGAAATGAATTAGCTGAACTCTCGCTGCCCCGTCTACTTCCAGATGTCAAGAGGATATTTGACAGTTAATCATCCAGTTCTTATTTCCTCGTACTCATTATGCTGAGAACTACACATCACAGTTTGAGACGTCAATATGCACCACAAATTTCATCATCTTGGCCACGGCCAAAATATGCCATGGTATATGTTCTTTTTCCCGTTGAGAAACACCAAACCAGGCACTTAAAGCAGCCAAGTTTCTAAACTCTTCTAAAATGGATTTGAGAAGATTTCGGCTGTCAGAATGCGGGCAGTTCAGTAAATTCACGTCAAGTTTTTCAACAAAGTCATCTCCCTCGCCAGGTTTGAACTTCACAAGAGCACCATTAATGATTGGACAACGGTGTAGCGAATGTAAGAGTTGTAGTGGGTGTTGGAAAATGACACCGTGTACCTCATTACTAATCTTGACAATCTGATACTTGTCCAAAGCGTTAGAGTCTAAAGAAATTGAAGTGTCGATATCCCTGAAAATTGGTTTGAAAGATGGATACGACTTGTCTTCATCTAACAGTGTTAAGTTGGAGCTCTCTCCAACACATACAACTGCCAAATGCAAATTCTTGGAGGTAGATGATAGCCTTCGCCAATTCATTAATTCGTCGTCTGGAAGCACATTGTCCAACCTTGTGAGAACCAAGCATATGCGTCCACATTTGGTAGCAGCAAATTTCAGTGTTGTTTGCCACATTTGATTGCATGAATTCTCGAAAGCACTTTTTGAATTTCCCGTGTACCAAGTTCGTACTATGTTTTCGTCCCCAGACGAACTGGTCCAAGCCGCACATAACCAGTTTTTGTCGACGCTTCGCGCATAAGCAAGGTGGAGAAATGACTTGAAACTGAAGGAATGACTATCGTTGCCTTGAGTAGTCTTAAATGTAATTTTCTCTGGCAAACTTTTGGCGATCACTGTGAATTTGATATGCAAGGGAGGAAGAGAGTTGTAGAGTCCAGTGCACAGATCGTTATAATCATTCACCGAAGTCAGGGGACTTCTGATAAATTTCGTAGGAATCAATTTGAGGTAAAGTTCAACTTTAGGTAATTTCGATACCACTTCAACTTTGATTAGATTGAATTTCAAAGTCATGTACATTATGGAGAAGATATCCACCGAGTCTAGAGGGAGAAAAAGCATTAGCGGCACATTTGCGGTGTTGCGCGTGCTTCGGGAACAATAAGATACAATTTGGGCAGAAAGTAAGGATAAAGTGTCCCTTTCGAAATTTATTAAATGAATGAGCCCGGGAATATCTTCATCTGTTAATTTGACTAACTCACAAAAACCAAGCTCCTGTGCTGTGTATGTTTGTGAAACTACTGACAGGAAATCAGTGCAGTCATCCTTGAAAGAAGTAGTCAAAAAAAGTGCTTTGAAACATTTAAACCTTTGAACAGGTTTTAAATTTAAGTACTGGGCAAAAGATTCGGAATCAGCTTTTATCTTGATGACCTCGGAGTTTTTCTTTACTTGTACCAACGGCTGTTTCATGTAAAAGATTTCATCAATAATCTTATCGCCATAAACCCTGTCAAATAGCCCGAAGATGTTTTTGAGACTATCTTGAACAAATCCCTCTTCGCATGATTTGAATACATCATGGGCTGAGTCTTCACTTCCACCCATTTTCAAGAGTCCCTTATCGAATACAATTTGTTCAGTAAGTAAATTTAACACACTTTGTACGCCCTCAATGGACGTTGTAGGGCATTTGTCATAGAACCTCCTGGGTATTGTGTTGAGAGCGACACTTCTTAACAAAAAGGGTAAGGTGTTTGACGATTCCTGGCTTCCTATTTCTGAATCGCTATTGCGATTCGTCGTTGCAACTGGTCCACTAGTAGCAGCTTCGTTGGTCTGATGAAGCAGTGTTTTCTCTTCCTCGGTGGCTTGAACATCCTGGCCTTCTTCACATATGCCGTCCCCATCCTTAAGGTAGTCACAATTATCGAAGGCTGCTTCTGATGGTGGAGGAATATTACCAGGAGGAATCGAAATCTCACCGTTCTTCGCATCCCGAGGTGATTTCCAAAGATCCCTTTGGCCGTCTTTCATCAGTTTTTCGGGACTTAACCCGCTGCTGCTCGGCGGTAGGAAAGATGCTTCTTTAGAGAAGTCATGTCGTGCGAATTCAGGCGGACGATCTTGCAAGTCCCCTTGATAGGCAGGTATGGATATCATACCAACGTCGAAAGATTGACTGTTTATCCGGTCTTCGATTAAGTCCCCGAACTCGTCTTCCTCACTCATGGAAGCTCCATCCTCAGAACTAGAGATGTTGGCTGTTGAAACATCGAATTTTAATGGTTCCTCACTTTTCCTAGTGTCAATTGAGAATTTACCACCATTTCGGTACTTGTTATCAACGTTTGACTCAATGATGGGGTTGAAGTTCAGCGGTGCGAAAACGCTTTTCTTGCGGTCCTTTGGGGTCTCTACTGGGAGAGGAGCTCCAGGGTCGGTGTACAGAGGCGTTGTCGGTAATGTCATCTCTTCCAGAGGTATGTCAAGGTATTTGCGTTTGAGATTTTTGGAGTGATCGAATGCACCTTGTCTTGGACTATCACTGGGGCTATCTGTAGCACTATCTTGGGCAAGTTCGAACATGTCGTCTGTTATATCCTTCAAATCTTGCTTCTGTATGTCGTCCGTATCTGAGTGCTCGCCAAAGAGTTCCTCATCATCAGCGTCTCCTAATAGTCCCATGTCATCTTCTTCAGAAGGTTTATCATTGTCATATTCAGAATTTGGTATCTTGACGAGCTTCTCCATCTGCTCGGCCGGCGAGTCACTCTGATGGGCTTCTATGTTGGACTTTTCTTTGTCAAGCCACGCATCACTCCGTTCATTATCGGAGTTTGGATGCTTAATGTAATTAAAACGCTTCTTGTCGAGCTGATCGCCATTAAGATGTGGACTATTGAGAAAAGCACTTTGAAATTGGTCATCGGCCGAAGGTGGTGCCGAGGAAGGAGGTGGTGCTGGTGTGATATTCGAGCCTAGCTCATTGGGAGTTGTTTTCAGTGAGTTGGATTGCGGTATGTTGATATTTGACGTGGGTGCAGGCCCTATGCTGTTCGAGTGTTTGTGCAGCAGTTGAGTATTATCAGAGTAAGCTGCGCCCGTGCTTAAAGGGTTGTATCCCGTTGCAGTTCCAGTTCCTGTACCGGTGCCCGCACTTCCTGGAGTTCTAAATGCAGATGTCAATTTCAGTTGGACAAAATCATCAATTATTTCGAAAACTTCATCCAGATCAGGCTCCAACTCCCCTTCGATCATCTCATCTTTTGGTTTGAAACCACTACACATCTGCGCGTAACAAAGCTCTAGTGGCCAAACTACTTTTTTGTAAGTCTTCGGAGTTTCTAGATAGCGAGAAACTTTCGAAGTTTGCCCATTCAAGTGATCTAGACTTGCGATGAGATTGACCCACGTTATCTCTGATCTGCGAGTCAAATCTATGCCGTATGAGAGCAAAAGCGTAATCAAAAGAATTTTGGCATTTTTTGGAGCAGCACATATGGCATCTTTGGGGTCTTTTGTAGCGAAAAAGGCACGTATACCAGATGGCGCCAGATATACTGCCGATTGTGTCAAAAATGTGTCTCTCAGCAGGCCTGCATCAAGCTTTACAAAAGGTATTTCTTTCATGTCCATAGAGAGACACAGTTCACCGCTTTCAATGAGATGGGGCTCGAAACTGATAATCCTGCTTGCCCAAGAGCCCCGACTGTAAATTCCCAAGTTACCAAAGGGCACCAAACTTTCTTTCGAATTGAGGCACAGGTTCACGTAGACCATTCTTCGAAGCGCTTTAAGGAAAACCGCGTATGGTGTTGGCAAATTAGGTTTTGGTACATCTGGCGTAAAATGGCCCTTTTTATCAAGTTTGGGCCGCGCTTCGTCTCCGTTCTCATGCGACGGGAAAGGCAACGGCTCGTCGTTCAAACTAAAACACCATAAATCTCTTGAAAAAAGTGCTACAAGGGCCTTTGGATTCTCTTTACGCAGTATGAGTTCGGCTTGAATACACCACTGACTGTCCGAATTTTCTTGTATTAATTGAGCATAATTGACCTTTTCTATATTTCCAATCTTATAAAAATTAGTCGCAATATTTTCCAACGGGTACGATACGCTATTGCCAGCCATAATATGGGCTCTAACTCTTCTTTTTTTTCGTGCTATGACTGGCCCTTCTATATGGTTTTTCATTCATGATTTGATCTACTACAAATTTCAAAAGCTTGGTCAAAATGATTTAATCAAACTTCATATATACATAATGCCAAGAATTCGATGGCAGAGGGCATAATAATCGATGACGAAACTGGCATTTTACTGCTAGATGATCACTTCAAAGTTGGGTTAGGGGAACTCGTACGGTACAAATTTAGTGTTAGTAAAAAGATCCTAGATTCTCAGAATATAAATGTGACAGAATTGTATTTGAGTTTTAAAAATATGGAGAGTGGGCTATTGCGACCCATTTATCTGACAGGCCCATATTCTTTTTACATTGACATACGGCCATTTAACTATAATGAACTGAAGAAATTCGAAGGAGAGGATTTGCAGTTTTGTGAGGATGTAAAGCCATGGGAAGAATACAGAGCAGTTTTACGAATCAATGAGAATTCTCGTGTCGGAGATTCTGATGAGTACGTTTGGCTTATCGATGTTCTTTCCCAGCTTTCTGTTACTGCGTTGCCGACATTGAGCTTCAGATTGTGTATTGGCACAAAAGCATCACGAGAGATGCCCAATGGGCAAAAAGTGGTCATGGCAGCGGGAATCTCGTGCGCGAAATGGGACACTCGAACGTTGTGGAACTTAGATCCACCATTTCCTGAACGTGAAAGCCATCTTGTATTTCTCACCCACGGCATCTTCTCTAACGCAGGTTGCGATATGTTGTATCTGAAGGATAAAATCGAAATGGCTGCCGCGAGTCTCCCTGACAGCGAAAATCCGAATTTGTTAGTACGAGGGTTTATGCAGAATATTGGCCGATCGAGCAAAGGTGTTAGAACGCTAGGTACACGTCTTGCCAAATACATCATCGAGACCGTGGATGAGCTACGTTCGAGATTCAAAATTACCAAGATATCTTTCATTGGTCATTCATTGGGCGGCCTTGTTCAAGCAATGGCTGTGCACTACATCGCCGTTAAGCGACCTGACATTTTCGATAAACAAACCGGTTTGGAACCTGTCAATTTCATTACTCTGGCCACGCCCTACCTCGGCGTCACGGGTGAGACGCCCAAATTCATATCTTTGGCGCTAGATATTGGCGCTTTGGGTCAAACAGGCATAGATCTGGCGCTGCAGCGAACGTTTTTCCTGCACTCCGATGGGTTAGTTGCGACAGAACATAAGCCTTGTTTTAACACCAAAGGAAAGGCACTTCTGGAACTAATTCCAATGGATCCTGCTTTGTCAATTTTCAGCAGGTTCAAGAACCGTACAGCGTACGCTAATGTATTGCACGACGGTATAGTACCACTACGTACTTCTGCCTTACTGTATTTGGACTGGAGAGGCCTGGGAGAGGTTCGAGGAGCACGAACTAAGGAGCACGGTAATGATCCCGGAAGGTCAGACGCTGGTAGCAGTCGAAAAGATAAGGCAGCTGGTGAAATTCCTCAAGAGACCATGGATAAAAAATCCGCTCTACAATATATTCTCCCACAGGCGCTTATCAAAAAGAACAAATATAAACGGTATAAGCGGACCCAGATTGTGAAAAGCAACTCAAAGCTGAACGCAAGCGATGGTGCAACTGAAGAAATGGAGACAGAAGAAGATTTCACTCCTCCTCCAAAGGCGTCCGCATTTGAATCCGCGGCCAATGTTCTATTGGCTCCTCTACCAAGTCAAGAATACTTGAAGGACCCAAGCAAGCGCCAAGACAAAATAATTCACGACAAAGTGTACACTCCTGATGAGCTTCCTCCTGCTCATTATTCGAAAAGGCCTGTCATAAAGAAACTAATGTACCCTAATGACCGCATTCATCGTGTTCAAGAGCGAATTGCTCGAAAATGGCAAGAAACGATGACCTGGAGAAAAGTGCTGGTCACACTCCAGCCGGATTCGCACAATAACATTGTAGTGCGTCGTAGATTTGTCAATTCATTTGGCTGGGTTGTTGTTGATCACCTGGCTCGTTCGCATTTTGGTAAATCAAGTTCATGAACAAGCACGAGTATTTGCATTAATATTAACATTTCTAATTATCTATGGAAGAGCTTTTAAGAATAAAGAATTTGTATTCTTTTAATCTTTGCTCGAATCCAAGGGATCAATTTTGAACACTTTATCCGGATTGAGCAGCCGCTTAGGGTCCAGCGCCATTTTTAGCTTTCTCATTGCGGAAATAGTCGCTTCGCCCAGTTCATCTTCCAGCATGGCTCTCTTACCGAATCCAATTCCATGCTCGCCCGAGCAAGTACCTTCATTTTCTAAAGCCAAGACTGCTAATTTGTCAACCACCCTTTTGCACATCTCATATTGTTCTGGTAAGTAAAATATGTCGAGATGGAAATTGCCATCTCCTACATGTCCCAAAGTCAAATGCTTTAAAGGATAAGCTTCCATAAGTTTATCGGCCTGCTCTAAAGTCGAAGCAAGTCGTGACAGTGGCACCGCAAAATCCGTAACCCACATCTTGGCGTCTTCACTTATCTCATTATATCCATAATCGAGCATCACGTACAGTGCATTTTTGCGGACAGAAAACAATTCCTCCGCCTCAACTTCATCGCGTGCGAATTCGAACATACGACAGTTACTATTTTGGCAAACTTTCTTGACTTCTTTGACATACTCCGTAACGACTATTTTGTTGAGACCGGCGATTTTGAATAACAGAGTAGGATAATTCTCAAACTTTTTGGAAGTTAGATCGCTGTAGTTTATGCATTGCATCATTCCTGCATCGAGAAACTCCACAGCGTTGAGCTGAATGCCACTTTTAAACAAAGAGGCTACGGCATTTGTAGAATCCTTCAGCGTCGGGAATTGAACAAGAACAACGGTCTCGTGAGCCGGTCTAACCTGTAACTTAACTGTCACCTCTGTTATTATCGCCAAAGTTCCCTCACTACCGGCAAGAAGCCCTGTCAGATTATATCCCGCGCTTGACTTTCTTGGCCTTCTTTTTGTCTTAATAACCGTTCCATCGGCTAAAACTGCAGTCACAGAGATTATGTTTGATACCATAGAACCATAGCGCGTGGCGCCAATTCCAGAAGCATTGGTGCTGACCATGCCGCAAACGTGAGCACCCGGGCCGCAATCACAGCCAAGCATCAGATTCTCGGCGCCTTCTAATTCGGATAAGTGTTCATTCAATTGTTGCCAGCCGACGCCAGCCTGGAGCACTGCATCAAGATCATCGATATTCACTTTGACAATTTGGTTCATTCTTGAAGTGTTCATAACTATACCTTGCCTTGTAGAATAAGTGTGGCCTTCGAGTGAAGTCCCACCCGAGAAGGGCACGATAGGGATATTGTATCGGCTGATTATCTTCATCGCGTCAGACACCTGTTCAGTTGAACCCGGATAAATGATAATCCGAGGTTTGTGCTCTGGTTGTGGCTTGGAAGGGTTGAATCCATTATCCGTGTGATGTTCGATCTCAGCCTCGGAGTCTCTTACATATTCTTTACCCAATAGTTCCCTCAACTCCACGACACACTTCTGCAAATCTGCGTCGGAGCCATATTTGGGCGGGCCAACGCTATTAAGCGGGGTAGTCGAGGGTTCTGGGAAAACTTGTAATTCATCATGCGAGCTCCATCTAATTTTCGCATAAATACCGAGCCCAAGGCCAATAAATAGCGAACTTATGTTAACTATCTTGTTTTTTGTCAAAAATGGTCGATTGCCAGAACTTTGATAGCGTAACCCGCCTTTATTGGCAAAAACCTGCTGCTTTGCCACACGCACCGCAGACCCGCGTCCAATCCTCTGCAAAAGCATTGAGTTGGAAGTGGTTGGTGAATACTAGTCTGTCATTTCTCTCAGTTAGCCTACCTCTTGAAGCTTTGACGATCAAAAGCCACAGTTTTTGCAGTCGCTAATGGAGAGATAACAGTCGAAAAAATATAGTAGACCCGTAAAGGCTCATCGAAGCGACATCGAGAAGTTTTTCTGAGTATATTTGAGTATCTTGGACTTTTCTTGAATATCTTGGGGATTCTTTGAGATTGGCTACTCCCATGAGAGTTTCTTCAATATTAAATTCAAATCGACCTTATTGTAACATATAACACGCAAGTCTTCTGGTAGCCTCAAATTTCGAAATCTTCTGTCTAAACCAAGCATTTGTGAATGAAGTGAGTTGTACAATGTTACGCGGAACACCCAGATTATAGTCTTGCCGCTGTAGATTTGCTTTGATTTCGGTCCTTTTTCAGTTAATGATGTGGGACTATCATGTCGTTTTGAAGCTAATAAACCTGTCCAATGACAGATTTCCGAAGAGGATCAAATTTAATCTCAGCCTTGTTTTCTTAAGTTTTCACTTTACGTAGCGGTTATCTAACAATATGTCTGATGGTCATTTATCGATTCTTAGCGTTTAATTGTATACTGTCATCAGTTGCATGTCTTCTGGTGAAAACTTATAAAGATAAGAGACACCAAATTTTCAAGTAATTAACGATTGCTAATCTTCGAGTGTGTTTAGAAAGCCCATGATATTCGTTTAAAACTCGGAGTACCCGGGACTAGCAGCCCAGCTTCAAAGGGTAAACTAAAATGTGAAAATAGTCTAGTGATGCCGAGCATACCACACTGCGTCTATATATTCCTACATTAACGTCGTCAAAGACAACGGCGAAAGTGCGACACCTAGTCGAGAGGTACTAAATGCTCTTTGAGATGCAAATGTCTCCTTGACGCTGTAGATCAATGTTTTTGAATGAAACATGGTAATGAATTTCCTTCGTATTAATGTGATATTTGGCTAGATCTACACATTGGAAAAAGTGGTAAAGAAGTTTAAGCGGAGAGATAATTGTACTTGAAACTACATGCACGCTTAGTTTCTTCTTCTGAAACGTCTCTCTCTTTGAGCGGAAACGCTGGAAACAGACAATGGCAATTTCAAACCCAAGGCCTTAACCAAGTCGGCGGTTTGGTTGTCGACGTTCAAAACACCCTTGGAGTTTTGAAGGTCCAAAGCGGACACAGCTGGAACGTATTGGTCCTTTCTCTCTCTTTCCTCTTCTTGCAACTTGAAAGAGATGCCTCTAACAGGACCCTTTTGAATTCTCTTCATCAAGTGAGTCGTGTAACCGGCAATCTTGTTTCTCAATCTCTTAGATTGGATGGTAGCGATCTCATCGGTCAATCTCTTGTTGGTTTGGAAGTCCAAAGTCAACTTTGGATAGTAACGCTCGATCAAAGCCTTAGAGGCACGCTTGACTGTCTTGGTTCTAACTCTACCCTGCAGAAAACATTTTGCGTTAGTAATAGATTCTTCGCTGTACTGTTCCATACGAGAGCTATTGTTTTAAGTTTAGCCAAACGCTGCCACTCAAGCACGCATCAGCAGGGGAATCTCAAACCACTTTCATCGCGGTATCTAACTCATTTCTTGGGTCTAGTGAACAAATTACGCCCCTCACGTTCCCTGTCTGCTCTCTTCAGACTAACCAAACGCTTAATGGTACTGTTCTTTCATGATGATTTTAACACCTATGAGCGTGCCCTCTGCGATAGCTTCCCACTTAGCGCAATACTCTCGTCCTTCTTATCAGGATAATAACGTACCATTCTGTCCTATCGGTCTTAGGTCCTGTACTGTTTGAATAACTTAATTGCCAATTCCCTTCGATGATAAGTTAGTTTTTTCAATCATCACTACTGTCCGGCCAGCAGTGTGGCAGCGAAGGTTAGAGCCCGTGCACACCAGCCTAGCGTTCCAGCGGCCAGGGCTGGCAGCTCGGACTAGCGCAGGAACCGTCAGCCCAGAGGAAGAGGGCCGTAGGCCGCCGCTCGCTGGCAAGCTGAGGCTACGCGCCACGGAGGCGAGGCGGAAATGCAGACAAACTTTAGAGACCAGATGCGAAGTAGATGCTCAAAACTATTTGGCACCAAAGGGACGCATGTGGCTTACTCCGTATGGTGTTTGGGTTATGTATATTCAACAAAATGTTAGGGTGTAGAAGTCAACATTGTTTGTTATATTGTACGAAGTAAGGTCATGATCGTTAGGGCAAAGTCTCGTGTTACGGCATACAAGATATTTCTCATCATTCAAAGAATATAATGGAAATAGAAAATCGAGATTTAAATGGATGTAGGTAACCAACGGGAGACCGAGGCATAAGATTCCTTCCATGTCCAATAAATTCCACTGCGATGTTTGCTCGTCGGATTGTACCAATCGTGTTCGGATTTCTTGTGCCCTTTGCCCGGAGTATGACCTGTGTGTTCCTTGCTTCTCGCAAGGTTTGTACAGCGGAAGTCACCGGCCATATCATGATTACAGGGTAATAGAAACCAATGCTTATCCGATTCTCTGCGAAGAATGGGGAGCTGATGAAGAGCTGGCTCTCATCAAGGGCTCTCAGAGTCTGGGGCTGGGCAATTGGCAAGATGTTGCCGAACATATTGGGTGCAGGCATAAGGAAGAGGTGGACGAGCATTACATCAAATATTATTTGGAAAGTGCCTTTTATCCCATACCAGACATTACGAAAGAGATCGATGTTCCACAGGAGACCTTTTTAGAAAACCGTAAAAGGCGAATTGAGAGGTTCCGCGAGATACCTCTAGTTCCGCCTAGGAAGCCAACAGCCTCTGTGCCAAGCTGTCATGAAGTTCAGGGGTTCATGCCTGGACGATTGGAATTTGAGACAGAATTCGAAAACGAAGCCGAGGGCCCAGTTAAAGACATGGTATTTGAACCTGACGACCAGATGTTGGATATTGAAGTTAAGTTAACTATTTTGGACATCTACAATTCTCGCTTGACTCGGAGAGCGGAGAAAAAACGCTTGTTGTTTCAAAATGGATTAATGGATTACAGGAAATTGCAGGCGATTGACAAAAAGAGAAGCAAGGATGCGAGAGACATGTACAATAGAATAAAAGCATATGCCCAGATCATGACTCCTGAGGATTTTGAGGAATTCAGCAGAGATATCCTAGAGGAACTCAGGTGTAGGACCAGAATCCATCAATTACAAGAGTGGAGGAGTAATGGCATTACAACTCTGGAAGCCGGTCTTAAATATGAGCGAGACAAGCAAGCCAGAATTATGACACTAGAAAGATTTGGGAATTCCACTTATTCCCCTGCTAATGGCGGCGGTCGGTATAGAAACACTAATGGGCACCGCTCTAACACTGATTACGGGCCAGGCTACAGTGAGCCAAATAATAAGAAAAAGACAATGACGTTGAGCGACATTCAGCATGGAGCTGACTATGGTCTTCTCTCACCCGAGGAACAGCAGCTTTGTCTACAATTAAAAATTCTGCCTAAACCATACTTAGCAATAAAGGAGGTTATGTTTCGAGAATTGTTAAGGACTGGCGGAACTCTGAAGAAAAAGGCTTGTCGCGACTTGGTTAATATAGACGCCAGCAAAGCCAACAAAATTTACGATTTCTTTCAAACTCAACGATGGCTGTAATACTACAACAACTAATGACAATGTATGTAACGTGCGTGAATTTCTATTTATCTAGAAAATATCAAGTGCATCGTACACAACGTGAATGCAGCATACGACTGTGAGTAAGCTCTTAAAGCTCCGAAGATACCTTATCAAAGTTTCTTGATAATGGCATTCAAAATACCGTACCTTGCATCTTCGCCCTCCTGTTTCTGAGACTGAAATCTCTCTTGAAGATATGATGCAAAAACTTTTTTCAAGCTGCTGCTAACATCGTCATCGAGCTTATATTTGTATGCAATGAATTTGTTGACGGAAATCTGCAAATCTTCTGTATTCAAATTTTCGAGTTCCGCATATCTGATGTTTAGGGTAATATCGATGATGAGAAGGTCGACATATGCAGATTTTAGTTTGAGTTGTAATATTTCTCCGAAGGCGCTATTCTTCCAAAATTGAACGACATGATTTATCAGGTAGTCACGACGTAGGTCAGTAAAATTGTCAAACAGATCTATAAAAGACATGGTTAGTTTGAACAAATATTCTGCTTGTGTGACGCGAAGATTCATATCACTATCGAGCTCGGTTGTCGTATAATAGCCCTTGTGCTTGTTGAAGTAACTTTCTGCAAGCTCTTGGATTGCAATATCGAAAATCGTCAAAGCAATGTCACCTCTCAAAGCAGGATTTGTGTCTTCGTTCCCAAGCATGTTCATGTCTGCCTCTGGTAATTGATTCAATTTATCCCTCATAGAGTCGCCCGTGCTTGGGACATTTAGTGGCCCGTCATCTGGCTCATTGCCATCGTTTTCGGAATCTTCGGCCCCATTGGCAGCATCTTCCTGCTGCTGTAACATATCCATTTGTTGTTCCCTTTCGTTGATAAGTCCGAGCACTTTTCGCCTATTTATCAACTTTGTGATGAAATTGAGCTCAAATTTGCAATATTCCAGCCATAGCTTGAACGAGTCGGGATTGAACCTCAGACTATTCTGAAAAACACTTCTGCAGCTCTTGAAGTTGGCATGTACCTCGTATTCGTACTTAGCGCAACTGATCCAAATATCGACCTTTGTGGGGTGAAGTCTTAGAAGTTGGTTGTAAACACGATGAATACGTCGGTAGGACGTCTTGCTGCCACGAGTCTTCAAATGATTAAGGTAAAGAGACCAGAATTTCAAGTCTTTGGGGAACTTGTTACATCCACGCTGGTATATGAACTGAATTCTGTGCTCGATGGACCAGTCTGAAATACTGTTGGTTTTGTGGGCTTCCAGAATTCGTTTGACCCGCTTCTGTCGCAACTTCTCGACAGAAGTCTCGTATGCAATGTATTTGACGTAGTCGTTGATTCTAGACCCTCTGGAGTTTAATCTATGCTCAAAATCTGTTCTTTTCTTCATGATCATATTGACTTCATTCTTGGTAAAAAGACCCTTGTCAACGAGATCATCGACCTCCGGAATGGCTTGCTCTAAGTAATATCTAGCTCTCGAAGACATTTGGAATCAATTCGAAAATAATTAGGGAACCTATCAATGTCTGTGAGTTGATATTGCGTCTATAATTTTTGCGAATCTTTCTGTTCTTCGACGCGATGAGATGCCCTCTAGAAAATTTTCTGGAAGACCGATGTCAGTTTGACTCAGTCACGTGCTCTATATGAGACCCTGAAAACCATTACAACGTGAATCGAAAAGCGAGTGTTCTCTTTGGCCCACTTACCATTGTCCTTACTCTCGTATGCTTGACATGAAATTTTGTCTTCACCCCGAATCTGAAGGTTTTTGGACACTAGTCTGTTTGTTTTTCTTGCCTGTTTGGCGGATCAGTTCATGAGATGAATTTTAGAAGAGAGTTTGGTGCTGAGCAGATCAAATACTCCTTTTTATCTTAGAATATGAATTTAGGGAAGAGCATCATTTGGTGGAAAGACTGACCACAAACAGAATCAAAGAAATCTTCCTCAAAGCTTAATCTTTACCACATCAACACTCCAGTACTAATAGAATGTCTTTTTTCAAACCTTTGATCATGTCTGCGGTCACGAAAACGCTTCAAAGAACATTTCCTGTCACAGCTGGCGGGCAAATAATTAGTGAAAATTTAAAAGAACCAACGGAAGAACCTTTGCTGTCAATTCCAAGCTTAAGAACCGACAATATGCGAAAATAATCAGGCTTATGTGAGCCTCAGAAATTTTGCATCTCGGAATTTCGACTTCAAGCCTTTGGCATTAAGGGAATAGCATCATTCTAGAGCTCAAATTTGATGAAGAATAGCAGCTCGATATGTAAGCATTTTTCGAAAGGGAACGCTGCGATAGCCTGGATGTAGTTATGGTAGATGAGACTTGGAGGATTGGTTTCTTCGTACGAACGGTGCAATTACAGATTTGATGAAAAATTTGGGATTTGATTAACTGATAATCAAGTAAGTAGGTAGTGTTTGAGACAATGTCCGGCGTGATGAGCTGCTTGTCGTCATCGTTTTTACGTCCGCTGTTGAAAGTATGTCATAATTTAATTTGGGCTAACTTCTTAAAGTTCGCACCATGAGGTTTTCAATGATCATTTACTTACTATTCGAAATTATTAGCATGCGATGGCTTGTCGCCGATACGCATCTTCGACACGTTCAAGCATACTGAAACATGCAGCTCTTCCACCACAATACACATTGGCCACTGTTAGAGCTTTCCCTTCACTCGAGCCTCTCACATTTGTCCCCGTGCCAACTACGCTGTTGGACGCGCCCTTGAGAAGGGACCTGCTGTGGAGAGCCGTCGTGTACGAAAACGACAACAAGAGGGTCGGGTCATCGAACCCGCCTGGAAGAAGCGACAACGGATACTCGCGGAGAAAATTGCTGCCACAGAAGGGTAGCGGTAAGGCCAGAGCCGGAGACGCCAATTCGCCAACGCGCCACAACGGTGGACGCGCGCTTGCCAGAACCGCGCCCAACGATTACACTACTGAGCTTCCTAAAAAGGCGTATTCCCGCGCCCTACTCAATGCCCTCAGCTACCAATATAGACGCGGAAACCTCTATGTCATCGGCGACGGCAGGGGTCTCACTCAGGCACACGATTTTGATCTCAATGAGCTTGAAATATTACCCACTAAGGCTGACGCCGATGATGCAGATGTTGTTTTCGAGCGATTTTTAAATGAGTTCGAACTGAAAAGCAGAAAGCTTTTGTTTGTGACAAGCGGCCCTCGCGAAGGACTGTTCACCAACACCGAAAACTTCAAAGACGACGTCAATATAGTGCGGCAAGAGTTTTTGGACGTAAATGATCTTCTCAGGGCCCACCGCATTTTCATTGAGCAGGAGGCGCTGGAATATCTTGCTATCGTCCACTTGTCCTGAGCGGCAACGTTTTAAAATTGCATATAACACATGTACATAAAAGATCGTTCAAAGTTATCGAAGTTAGCGCATAATCTCGTTTTGAAAGTATTTGATTGAACTAGACTTATTCCACATTACTACTGTGAGTGCTTCAAGATCCTCACCGTACTGAACTGCGTGGAGATCGACTAGTGAACAACTTGATCAGATGGTTGTGACTTTCAACCCATACATTTCTTTAAATTTCTACGCCCAGACATATGATGGAAGTTGGAAAAATTTGGAATTTTTTGCATGGAAGCAGAGATAGCATGGCGATGGCCTGCCTAGCTTCTCAAAGCGTGCGCAGCCTAATGCTAGGGGGACCCGCGGCGTCATTCCGCCTAGCCGTAGGATGCCTCACCCTGGCTAAACCGGTTAGGCAGGCATACCACGGTGGGGCCCCCGTCTAGACGATGCAGCCGGGTACAAACGATGATCGCTTCGCTCACGGTTCGTCGATCGTGAGTTGATGAACTTCGATAGCGTAGTGTCAATTTTCAACTGTATGGAAAGTTTTTCTGAAGAGGAGAAGTTTGGTTAGTAGGTTCGGCAATAGTACGCAACAAACGGTAAAGATGTCTTCTCTAGTTGTTCAAGAACAAGGTTCGTTCCAACACATTTTGCGGTATGTTAGCTATTGAATTGGAGCGTTTTGATGGGGTGGCGTTAAGCAATCTCGATGGGAAACACGGCGAACAAGATGGCGGTGAATGATTGAGCATATGATCATAGTGGATTAAGCACGTAGTGGAGACGCTTCAGAATAAGAAGACCTAGGTATTGCGAGAAGTGGTTTGTGAAGTGACTTGAGGTGAAACAGGCGTGGAGAAGCTGTTTTCGAAAGCATTATATGGGGGTATTATGTGTTTTACCAGAATGGGTTCCGCGTCGTTTTTCAAAGTTGCTACTTTTGTTTTCATACTAGATTTGCCAGTCGTGCTTTGACTTTCGCACTGTCCTCACCACAAACACTTATGCGATGAAGTACTAACCTTAATGCAGTTTGTTGAACACCAACGTTGATGGTAACATCAAGATTGTGTACGCTTTGACCACCATCCGTGGTGTTGGTCGTCGTTACGCTAACTTGGTTTGCAAGAAGGCTGATGTCTCTTTGCAAAAGAGAGCTGGTGAGCTAACCCAAGAAGAGTTGGAGAGAATTGTTCAAATCATGCAAAACCCATTGCAATACAAGATTCCAGCTTGGTTCTTGAACCGTCAAAAGGATGTCAACGACGGGAAGGACTACCACAACTTGGCCAATAACTTGGAGTCTAAGTTGAGAGATGACTTGGAAAGACTTAAGAAGATCAGAGCCCACCGTGGTATCAGACACTTCTGGGGCTTGCGTGTTAGAGGTCAACACACCAAGACCACCGGTAGAAGAAGAGTTTAAGCGCAGCTATACACCCATAAAAAGATATTTTCTTTGTCACAAAATTATCACATTGATTGTACTTTTAATCACAAATATTAGTGTATACTCGTTTTAAATTTGACCCATGTTATTTTCTAGTCCAAGAGAATTGATCTCGTTAAAAGTTTGTTCTGTGAGCTGGACTCTTTAGCGGGTACTTCATTACTATCCGGCTGATAATCTTGTAAGCTAAGATCCACACTTTCGCTTTATTAAATCAAACTTCTTTAGCTAGCTAAAACTCCTATGTATGCAAGTTTACTTGTTATGCTCGTAACGTATTGATATCGATCTCCTTGAGGATAGCGCGCTCATGCTTTTGAAAGGGCTTGAACTGTAGCTTTGCTGGAGGTGGAATTTTATCAAGATCTTTGGAACCACCTCTGGGCATCACCCTTCCGTTTATCAATTTATTCACCCTATTGTTTGGGGAAGTTCTAATCGGTGTCAGAATCTTAGTGTCGCTTTTCAGACGAAAGGTCAAAGCTTGTCCTCGCGTTGATGTGGGTGAGGTTTTGTCCTTAGTTGGAGTAGATATGGTCATTTCTGGTCGTTCCGTCGCATTTGAGTTACCACGTTGGAAAGCAACATCAATTGCAGAAGGTGGAGTTGTGGGACTTTCGCTACCCGACTTGGAAGTACATGATGAGGGCTTTACCGTTACTGGAGTCAATGGATTTAGTGCCGCTGAATTTGTCGTTTCGGCGGAATTCTCAGTCAAAGAAGCTTTTTGCTGGCGCTTGACGCTCTGACGCCTGTTTTGAAACCATATTTGAATTGCCTTCTCCGACATATTACAACGCTCTGAGAGCTCGACTCTCTTTTGCTTGTCTGGCGTTGCACAAATCAAAAATTCTGCCTGCAGAATGTTGAGTTCGTTCTTGGACGTTCTTCTTCGCTTACGACGCGCAAGTGGTGCGTTGTCGATCGAGGGTTCTTTACCTGGGAAAGTGTCCTGGGAATGCGAAATGAACGCAAACGCACGTTTGCTGTCCTTTGAGAATTGCTTGCTCGCTGAGCAAGGTGTCGCCGGCAGAATTCGGGATTTTTCGGCCAAACTGCTGTGGAACATGTTACTGATGTAGGGTGTTTTCCGGGCCACCGATGGTGACATTTCGAAAGAAGCATTGCAGGAATTGGCTCTTTTAAGATCGCCTCTTGGCGTTGATCCCGGTGTGGCATTCGCTGAGATGTGATCAAATCCCGCCGGGTACCCGGTTGGGGCCATTTCGAGTGATTTGATTGCCATGATCGCCGGAACCGTGGGCAGAGAAACCGGTGGCAGTTTGATGACGCCTTGTTGGTCGGTTCTGAAAGAGTTTAACTTTCCGGGTACCAAATACGGGGAGCAAGGCTCAGAATACGATCTTGTCGCCTCGCTTTCCACCAAAAGACTGTTTATGGGAGGAAGGACCGTTTTGTTCGTCATTTCGTCGTCGCTATCGTCGCTGTCGTTACTGTCGTGAGAAGACTAGATAACTACCCAGCTACTACTCCATGCACCATTCCTGATATATAATTTACAAAAATCCGCCCATGAATTTGATGTTTTAGGTATGACCGAGACGCTCAACGGCTATCGAAGCCTCCGTCGCTGTCAGTGCGCGGTTCACAAGCGCTGTTCGCAGACGCTGTTGACTAAAAGACATCGACCGCGACTTTTGATCCACATTTGTACGTAAGAGGAAACCGGACTACGGGACTTTAGTCCCGTTTAGGTAGTCATTAACTGGAAATGACAACAGCTTGTCGCGGTTCTAACAATTGTTACTATGAGAAACGTGAACAATTTTTTTGGAAACCGCGAATTGGGTCGCGTTCTTGATTTTCGCGTCGCCTTCGTGTTGCCTTTGCAAAGCCTTCACATTACCTTCGCGGTGGGTCTCGTATTGGGTCCTCGCGTTTCGTTGGTGAAGGACCTTTTTGAGGGTAGCCCCGATCGATCTGGTGAACACGACAGAGATTTTGTCAAATACGCACAAAGAGATGAAATACCGCTACGAATATTTGGTGGTTATTAGCTGTAAAGAGGTTTTGTAGAAAGAAGGGAGTAGGGTGACTAGTTTCGAATTGCGTAGAATTTCCCAGGCTCGACCACAGAAAGGGGCCAGAAGTAGATGTAGATGATCTTGGCGGAATTTACCTTTTTTTTGTTCGTTCGGTGTCGGGTATATGTCTTGGTGACAGATGTCAACTTTCAAGTCAAAGCAAGTCAAGGAAAGGTATCTGTTAAGAACAGAAGCGACCATGGAAACAACTTCGATTTCCGGTCTTAGAATTTCGAATAAATGCTATATTCAATTAGAGTCTTGAAGATGCTAACTTTAAACCTAAAAAATGCAGCTGTCACAGTCTACCCATTATATCAGAGATTTGGTGATTTCGATAACATTCGCCGTGTGTTATAATGAAGCCAGCGTGGGTAGACAGGGCTACAGGGCTTTTCTTTGGTTCATTGTCCGCGAAGTTCCTGAAGTATTACCTCCAGATAGACTTGCTAGCGGGAACGCTCTGAAGTCACATTCTGACAGTAAGAACACCTAAAAGAATCTAATATACATTACAAAACCGTTAAATCTCTTCAAGAAACAAGATAGGCGTCAGTTGTGTAAGACCATGTACGCACACTGTGTTCACTACGCTCATCGCTTCAGCCGTATGTAGTAAAGGATTCTCGAAGATCATTTTCTCGTAAAAACCTCAAGCCGTTCATAATTACGTAGGTTTTTCATCATAAGCTCATCATCACCACATGGTAATAAAGGACCCACATTGTGCTAGGGCAAGTAAATCCTTACTGACAACTCGAGTACCGGTTTTATCAGGTTTCGTTTGAGTTCCGGGCTTCGACGGAGCGTCAATTGAAATTGAGGTTGTTCGGTTCCCTTGGGAATCCTTTGGTTTTGCTCTACTTCAGGGTACAACGATGCGGCCTGTGGTGAAGTCGTCAAAGGTGGAAGGGGACGAAAAATCAGCCGGAAAGAGGCCAGAATCATCGCGTCAAAAACGTTCATCTTTGAAATTTTGGGCGCTCTTGGTCGTATTCTTGGTCGTTGCATCAACGAGTGTCAATCATGTTTTCCGTGATGAGAGAAGCGGCGAGAGCAAGAACGGTGATAATCACTGCGGCCGTTTGTCGGTGGAAGAAATTGAAGTCATCGAGCCTGACGAAAATTGGGCTTCAAATTTGCAAAGTCTCGGCTTGAAGCAGGATTCACCGATTCGTGTTTTCAGGTACAAGGGGGCCAGTCCCAGAAAGCTTCATGGCAGGTTTTTGCATATCACAGATATGCATCCGGATCCTTACTACAAAGAAGGAAGTTCCATTTCGCGCGTCTGCCACAGGGGCAAGCCCAAAGATGAGAAAGATTCTGCCGCTAGATTTGGTGACGCGACTGCTGGTTGCGACTCATCGATGGATTTGATGAATTACACTCTCAAATGGATAGTGGACAATCTCCGAGACAAAATTGATTTCATTGTGTGGACTGGCGACAATATCAGGCACGACAATGATCGGAATGTGCCCAGAACTGAAGCTCAAATTTTCGATGTCAATGAACAAGTTAGTCACCTTTTCGAAAAGCTTTTTGGAAAGCATGACAGCATAGACCCGCATGATTTTGACGTGCCCGTGGTCCCCAGTATTGGCAATAATGACGTTTTCCCACATAATCTGTTCTCCCTGGGTCCAACTTTGCAAACACGTGAATTGTACAATATCTGGTCGAGTTTTATTCCTCAAGAACAACAGAGAGCTTTCGCTCGAGGAGCCTCTTTTTTCGTCGAAGTTATTCCTGGAAAGCTTGCAGTATTATCCATCAACACACTTTATCTTTACAAGGCTAACCCCTTAGTCGACAATTGCAATGGCAAGAAACAGCCAGGCTATCAACTATTGCTTTGGTTCGGATATATCTTAGAAGAGCTTAGAAGCCGAGGCATGAAGGTTTGGCTTTCGGGCCATGTCCCTCCAATTTTGAAAAATTTCGATCAGAGCTGCTATGATAAATTCACTTTATGGACCCATGAGTACAGGGACATCATTATCGGCGGCCTCTACGGCCATATGAACATGGACCACTTTGTACCGGTCAATTCGAAAAAAGCTTGGAAATCTGTGACTGAGCAATCTTTAGCGTTGGCTCAGGCCGATGAGATAAGTCAAAGCGAGAAAGACTCTGAGCTTGATGACGAAAACTGGATAGGGGACGCTGCTGCTGCAAGTGATGCACGTTTGATGGGTGCAAAACCCGTCAACAAAGAAAATTACATGGATGCGGTTCGCGAAACTTACTACAATAATATCGCGTCCAAAATGAATAAACAGACATCTGTCGTCGTCGAAGAACAGGAGGACTTGATGAATGTTGAAAAGAAGGTTAAGTGCCAAGGTAAGAAGCACAAGAAGAAAAAAGGTAAGAAGAAAAAGGGAAAAGACGAAAAATTTTCTTCTGAGGACTATTGCATCGTCAATATTGCCACTTCAGTCATCCCCACATTCAATCCTGGATTCCGGGTTTGGGAATATAACCTTACCGGATTGGAAGACATGTCCGAGACTAAAATTTACAAGCCATGGAATCAATTTTTCGAAAAATTGGAAGAGAAGATCGAAGCCGAGCTTGAAGATGATTTGGCACCTAACGGCAGATTGGGAACGTTCCCTTTGCTATTCTCAAATGAGCGACAAAAAAAGCCAGAGAGGAATCCGGATAAGAGCATCCCGTCCAAGATGCCAAAAGATAGAAAGCTTGGACCTGGCTATGAGCCCCAATTATTTTCACCGACCAGGTATGTCCAATACTATGCCAATCTGGAAAAAATCGACAAGGATTACCAAAAGGCACTGAAGAATCACCTCGACCCAGATGAGGCTGCGTCGCAAGCATTCAAATACGAAGTTGAGTACACCTCTGATTCTGAGCCCTACCCAATGCCTTCACTACTGACACGTGACTATCTCGAGCTCGCTCGCATGCTTTCGGAGGATGATCGCATATGGCAAACGTTTGTAGCGCGAGCCTTCAGTTTATCTGGCTACAGGGATGAATAAATTTACGCGTTTGGGAGCCGAATTTCGTAAGACATAATTGCGTAGCATTAAAATCAACTCACAAGGTTTATCCACGGATAGATAACCCTGCAGCATACACAATATATACACACAGAGGCATATAAATGTGCCGAACTAATTGTCATGTTTATTCAACTTATTTGTTGGCAGCGGAGAAATATTCCTTGGAACCTTCAACATCCGGCTTGATGGTGGCAGAACCTGGGGTCCAGTTGCATGGCAATACAGTACCGTTCTTGTCAGTCCATTGGAAACCCTCGACGATTCTCAAGGCTTCTTGAACATTTCTACCGACTGGCAAGTCGTTGATGGTGATGTGTCTCACGATACCTTGAGGGTCGATGACGAACAAACCTCTCAAAGCGACACCGGCCTCCTCGATCAAAACACCGTAGTCTTTAGATAGAGAGTGGTTAGTGTCGGCAACCAATGGGATGTCCACAGGACCCAAACCACCGTCCTTTCTGGCAACGTTGGTCCATGCCAACAAGGAGTACTCGGAGTCAGTGGAGGCGAACAAAACTTGAGCACCGATCTTCTCGAACTGCTTGGCAGCCTCAGAGAAAGCAATGATCTCAGTTGGGCAAACGAAAGTGAAAGCCAAAGGAATGAACGCTAGAACAACGTACTTGCCCTTGTATTTGTCCAACGAGACTTCGTCGAAGACACCGTCAATGACGGCGGTTTTCTTGAAAGTTGGAGCTGGTTTTTGGACTTGAGCAACCATTTCTGATGTGTATGTGTATAATTGAGTGTGTTGATAGACTGGGGATCTTGGTATTTAAGGTTCTGAACTGATCTGTTAGGTCTCGTAGCTCAACCCTTTTATACCTTTTCATTCAGAATACCTTGGAACGAGGTTACCCGCACTCATTAGTCAGACCCGTAAACGTTCTGGCCCATAACCCCTTACAAAGTGATAATGCTTACTTACTAGCGGCGGCTTGGATCTGGATCAATAAAGCTGTGAAACCGATCTAGAACAGTCGCAACCTGACAAAACCACCTACAATTATTCTGCCTCTAAATCGTTTAGTTACAGTGTTTAGATCCTAAGTACATGCATAAATAAGGTGAAAGTTCGGAATTGCTTATTCTTGTAATAGTTCTCTGGCCTCAGGTAAAACGTCAGCAGCGTCATGGGGCAAATCTTGGTCGTTAGTTTGATCTAGCTCCTGACCGACGTGTGAATTTCTCGACTCGTCGGCACGGTGACGATCGAACAGTCGCCGGGCCATGATGTCCTCGAATTGAGTTTGGAAGCTTGGCCAGAATAGTAGAAAGAAGAGAACAAAATTCTTGAGCAGCCCTAGTAACACGCCGTCGCAGCGTGGATCCGTTACAACACGTCGCATGAGACCCCCGTTATAGAAATCAGAGACTCTTCGCCAGGGCACACGGATCATGCGGGCAAAAAACACGGGTTTGTACCATGGTGTGGTTGATTGCTGACGCAGATAGTCTCTCAAATAAGTCAAAAACTCAGTTTCTGGATCGGAGAGTGCGTGCAAATTGCGCAAATTGCGTAGCGTTTGGGTCCTCAAAGGTTCGAAAAGGCGGTCCAGCAACTCTGCACGTATGTCGTTGAACTCAGAGCTTGCGCATCTTTCCAGCAACTGCGGCACAAAGATCGGGAGAGACTCGCTGAGCTCCAGACCAAATTCTGACGCTATTGCGTGGCGCAGGATCCCGATCGTCTGCAACCTCTGCATCAAGACTTCTTTGACAGCTAGCGCGTCCTTTAAGGTTGCGTAAAATTCTCGATTTAACCTCTCCCTCAAGGCAAATTCTAACTGTCGGGCTTCGGAATCAGTAAGTAGGACGCGCGCATTACTGTTTGCGAGTAACTCGCGCCACGACTCCCATATCTCAGTGCTACTCCAAAGAGCTCTCCCGAGAATCAAAAGTACTCCGCATATTATGTAGCCCGTCGGTATGAAGTTGGCGATTTGCAGAAAAATGATGAAAGGAAGCACAGAATTTCTGAGCATCAAATATATGGTTTTCATAATCGTTTCAATCCAAGATTTGACGCGCGCAAATCTCTCTTCCTCTAGGTCAACGGCGGGTAATACGTCGTCTGTATGCAGAGTAGGTGTTGGAGCCAGCCCAATCCCCCTTTGAGGCCTCACCAGAAGGCATCCTAATCGGAGTTCGAGTTCTGCCATAGCTCGAGGTGAAAGATATAGTGCGTTCTCGTCTACTCGAGAGTCCTCGTCAGAGAAGAAAATCCGTTTACCGCATATGTCGAGGACGTTTCCGCCAAGTTTGAAATTGTGCGCTTGAATAAAGTATTCGCGACCGGACACCATCACCTTTTCATATGTCTCGCCTGTGCGCTCTATTTGCCGCCCCGAAGTAGTCATATACTCCGTCTGCTTTCCCGTTTCGCGCGAACGTATCCCCGTTGCTCTTTCAAACCCTGACGTTTCGGTAGAGCCCGTAAGGGTTGGTTGATTATGCGAACGTGGTGGGTCGCTGCCTCGTCTGGACGCAAAACTGCCGCCTTGTCCACCACGCGCCTCTGCGAAGGAGAAGCGATCGCTGTTGCTGAAAAGTTCGCTCCAAAATCCAGGCCCCGGTTCGTTGTAATCTTGACTGACCTGCACGTGTACTTTAGCATTGCGACTGTCGGAAATGTATTCAAGCACCTTGGAAGGACTTCCCGCGTAATTGTTTTCATGTAAAAGCTGGCCCTTGTAAATCAGTTTCACGTCGTAAGGTGCAAGTCTCAGCGCATGTGCGTATACTGAACAGATAAACTCTTTGACTTCTAGGACAGTGGTGTCGGCTGTAACGACCATTTTGTTCATACTGAGCGTAACATCCGAGACAAATTCAATGCTGACCGCGTTTTCGAGGTTTTGATCATGTTTCAACTTGAACATTAACGTACAGTGATCCACATCGTTTGGTGCAAAATCAATGCCCAGTATATCGCACAGCTTAAGGTCATCCGAGTCGCTTCCGGGCGACAACGTCATCGGTTGGGACTTTCCAGCCACGTTGAAGCCAACAAAATCGTCTCCCGTGTGATCTTTGACACCGCATATGTTCTTGAGTGCGGTATTTTCGTACTCATTCACGAGTTGTAGCGCAGTATCTCGCAATTTAGAAAGAGTGGACGACAGTGGAACCCCTCGCTCGACGTGAGAAAGAATTTTTTCTGTCGACAGCACGTTCAGTTGGAACTCCACGTTCGTCGTCGTTAAAGCGTCCAAATCCAAGGTCCCGGCCTCTACCACAGTGTTTTGTGGGGGTTTTTTTTCAAGCCGCAGTCTCAAAGGACTGACACCGCTGGTATCGATGCTCACGAGCGATGCGCTAGGCGGTAGTGGCCCAAATTTGTAGTGCAACTCGTAATCATGCACAGAACCCAATCCTACAACTGCCCTTTGCCTCAAGGTCTCATGAATGTACAGCAAAAGACGCGCCACCGTGGCTTTCGCATGTGCCCTCACGAGCAACCGTGACTCGGCCAGGTTCGCATCCGACGACCATATGCTGACACTGAGCGCAGACGTAGCCAGATATTGCATCTCAGATAAGCAACTTAGGCTCTCCCAAAATCCAACGTTAGCGCTGCTACCGGTACTACTAATTCTCCCCGTAGTTTCCTTGATCCAGAGCCCTTTTCTATAGATTCTTGAATCAATACTTTACATCATAACATACGGTTCTTACAACTTCGTCACCTCAGAGGCTCGCTTACTCGGTAACCGTCTCCACCTATACACAAGCGAAGTTCCCCCGGTGGTGCGTGGGGAGCGGGTCCTTGTAGCTCTATTTACTTGCGAAACTTAGCCTGTAAGGCCTTGAGTTCTTCCTCCAGTCTGGAAGCTTCCTCGGTCATTTCCTGGGTCTTGAGCTTTGCAATCTGGGCCCGTTTCTTGCGCATCTGCGTCTCCTGGTCTCTGGTCTCCAGTTCCTGGATCCACAATTGCTCTCTTAGCTTCGCCTTTTCGCGCAATTGATCCTCTTTGGTTTTCTGCTCTTTCTTGTTCGTGCCGTAGATAAAGCTTCCTGCAACAAGAGCTACCAGCGTGAGACCCTGGAGCCCGACACGCCAACGAAAATAGTTTTGGGCCCTGCGCTTGTTACCGCTTCTGACGTTCTTGGCGGCGAGTATCACGGCGCCGGTCGTCAGCAGCGTGCCCAGGGGCACCAATGGCTGCTGTTTGATGTGGTACTTGATTTTTTGCAAAAAGGGCAAACCTTCGAGGTCTGCGTTGGGATCATCAAAGCTGGATGGCAGATGTGACATTTTGCTGAAGTTCTGGTTGTTGATGGTTCTGGTCGTCACTGAACCACAGTCGGCGTCTTTCCGACGGACTTGTTTCCCTGCTGTTGAGTCGATATATGCGAAGTCAAGGCTGGGTAGGGTCCCGGAGTCAAAGCGTTCTTTATCGGTGTTACGTATGCAATGACCCTACCCGTAACTTGCTTATGTCAGACAAAAGTCCGGCGACTTCCGTTCGGAAGCGCAAGCGAGAATGCTTTCCACGAGAGTCATGCGATCTCAAGAGCAAGGTTGGTAGGATAAATTACGTGACCGATAGGGAACGACTCGCGCTTGGAGGGCAGGGGGAGAGGGTGATTATGCCACGTGACCAATGTCCTCGTTCATGTCGAGTCACTTAATACGGGAAACGCTTGGAGGATTGCCTCTACGATTCTGGCTCAAGGAACACAAAAACATACGCCTACGCAAGGAACGCTCAAACGGAACTGTATAGACAGTCCAGCCGGTTGCAGCCGAGCTTCCGGACCCCTAGTGCTACTATGCTTGAAAATCTTCTTCCGGTTGGATTGGGCTGGTCTTTTTCTGACACGCTGAGGTATGAGAACAGCGCAAAACGGAGTTGAAGAAGTCCCTGAATATCTGAAACTCGTCCGCCACGTTCGTTGGCCTTCTACTCACCGGGTAGGTCTTCGTTTAATCCATTCTGTCACGACGGTCACGTGACCCGGAAGTTGTAACACCGCAAAGTAAACACCTTCCAGGAATAGCGTATGCCTGTGCGTACTAATGTACTCTGCCTCGATAAGCCAGAATGTATCTACGTCGCCCACCAGCCCTTTGAGTAGGATTTTGTTTGTCTTCCGAGTGCATGTATGTTTAACAGCCAGTGAGTTCATCTGCACTCCGTACGTATGCTTATCTATTGTTCTTCGAAAACAAAGCTCTTGAGCTCGCCGTAGGCTTTGTCGAGGTCGTCGTTGACGATAGTCTTGTCGTGGGCACCGGTCTCGGCATACTCGAGCTCTGCGGCGGCGGCCGCAAGTCTCTTGGCCAACGAGCTCTCGGTCTCGGTGCCTCTACCGGTTAGTCTCTCGCGCAGAGCGTTGACGGAAGGTGGTGCGATGAATACGTAACGCGCGTTCAAGTCCGTCTGCTTGACGGACTTGACACCTTGCATGTCGATGTCCAAGATACACCACTTACCCGCATCGCTCACCTGCTTCACCGACGCGATCGTAGTGCCGTAGTAGTTGCCAGAGAACTGCGCCCACTCGACAAACTTGTTCTCGCGGATCATCTTCTGGAACTCTTCGACTGTGACGAAATTGTAGTCCTTTCCGTCGATCTCGCCCTGTCTAGGACTCCGCGTTGTCGATGACACGGAAAACCCAAACTTGCCAGGGAACTCTTTGAACAGCTTTTTCAAAAGCGTCGACTTCCCAGCACCGCTGGGACCGGAGAAAACGATTGGACGAGGCATGCTTGGCCGTGTAAGGGAGCTTTCGAGTGATGAGCGTTCGAATGGGGTCATCGCCAAATTTTTCAAAAGTCAAAATTTTTCATATCCAGCTAACGCGAAACAGCGTGATGATCATAGGTTTCGCGTCGTGTCGCTCGTGCAATACCCACGTCTCGGCGCAATTAGGCAGGGGGTGGGGAGCTTAGCTCCTTAGATTTTTCTCTACCAAGCGGCGTTGTCTTCGGTTTTTCAGGTTCTCCAGGTTCTTTACATGCTTAATCCGAAGACCAAAAACCTAGAAATTGTGCAACTCTACTGTAGAAGTATGCCCAACTTGCGATACCAGCTTCAGTTCCTACGTAAATCGCTCGAGACATGGAGTCTGCTTAATTGAATTTCCAAGGCTTGCTCTTGAAAACGAGAATACCCATGTCACAATACGGGCACCGACCTTTACTTACAAGCCAAGGAATAAAGAAAATCAAAAGAGCTCGCTACCGGGGTAAGCAATTGGTGCAACGGTCCACGTCCCCAATCATACATCATGGAACGCCACACAGGACTTCTGTGTCAGGTCGGTTGCTCTTCGCTTTCGATTAGATATATTTGGTAAGTGGCAAGGCACCCGACAAGTCGTTCCTGACGACAAACTCAACAACGTCGATCCTTGATCACGATCAACGCCCCGGATAATTGGACACCACTCCTAAGTAATATTCACCAAAGAGCGTATTGGCTGGCGTAGGACCATCAAACTCAAGTTTCATGGTTTCGACAAAATTTGTGGTGTTGCTCTTGCTACGAGGCGTCGTCAGTTTGGCCCAAAAAGCCACCAATGGCGACGACGATGACCTGCTACCTTCGCCAGGTTCTCCAGATTCAGGGAACCCTCCGGTGGGATCGGAACCAGATGACGATGTCAATCCGGTCATGGAAGAGATATTTTCCTCATGGGCGCTGTTCATATTGTTATTCTTGCTAATATCGGCTCTGTGGTCCAGTTACACACTGGCACAGCGACGCATTAGGGCCGTTCACGAGACGGTGCTTTCTATTTTCTACGGCATGGTCGTGGGGCTCATAATTCGGCTCACGCCTGGCCACTACATCCAGGACACCGTGACCTTCAATTCCTCCTACTTCTTCAACGTGCTTCTGCCGCCAATCATCCTGAACTCGGGCTACGAGCTCAACCAAGTCAACTTCTTCAACAACATCGTATCCATTCTGACGTTCGCAATTCCGGGCACTTTCATCTCGGCCGTCGTTTTGGGCGTTATTCTTTACATCTGGACGGCGTTGGGGCTCGAGGGCGTCGACATCTCTTTCGTCGACGCGCTTTCCGTCGGCGCCACGCTGTCGGCCACCGATCCGGTAACGATTTTATCCATTTTCAACGCTTATAAGGTGGATCCTAAACTGTACACCATCATTTTTGGCGAATCTCTGCTCAATGATGCAATTTCCATTGTCATGTTCGAAACATGTCAAAAATTCCATGGTAAGCCAGCCAAGTTTTCCTCTTTCTTCGAAGGTACAGGGCTTTTCATGATGACTTTCACGGTCTCCTTACTCATTGGGGTCATGATCGGAGTTTTAGTCGCGTTACTGTTGAAGCACACCCTGATTAGAAGATACCCCCGCATCGAAAGCTGTCTCGTGCTATTGATTGCCTACGAATCTTACTTCTTTTCGAATGGATGCCATATGTCGGGAATTGTATCTCTTCTGTTCTGTGGTATAACGCTGAAGCACTACGCTTACTTCAATATGTCAAGGCGCACTCAGATAACGGTCAAGTACATATTCCAACTTTTGGCACAGTTATCGGAAAACTTCATCTTCATTTACCTTGGATTATCTCTTTTCACAGAGGTCGAACTGGTCTACAAACCTCTTCTCATAATCATAACTGCGATCTCCATCTGTGTAGCGCGGTGGTGCGCCGTTTTTCCCCTGTCAAATTTCGTCAATTGGCTTTACAGAGTGAAAACTCTTAGATCAATGGGCGTCAGTAACACCAACAGCATGTCGATTGCAGATGAAATTCCCTATCAATATCAAATGATGACATTTTGGGCTGGCCTGCGTGGTGCTGTTGGTGTTGCTTTGGCCATGGGACTTCAGGGTGAATTTAAGTTTACCCTTCTGGCAACAGTGTTAGTTGTTGTTGTCTTGACTGTCATTATTTTTGGAGGAACTACGGCAGGAATGCTAGATGTGCTGGGGATCAAGACAGGATGTATCGACGAAAACGACGATAGCGATGATGAGTTCGACATAGAAATGCCGAGGCCAGTAAGTTTGAATGCAAGCCCGATCGTCGCCTACAGAGACGAAGATCCAAGCACAGAGGTTTTATCCCCAAATATAGCCCCGGTCATCGGCGAGCCCTTGGGCAGTTCACCCGCTCCGCAGGCTACATCAAGACTATCGCTCGATAGGCAACACCTAAGAGACACGTTCGGCACAATTTTCAAAGCAGATTCGCAATGGTTCACGAACTTCGATGAGCAAATTTTAAAACCGGTTTTCCTTGATAACTCTGGGGGCTCTCCTCAACCCGGACAAGCAAGCGATACCAGTTATAGAAGGTGAATGTCGCCCAGCTTTCGAGCTTCGGACATTTATAATCATTTTTACGTCTCCACGATCCGAATGATTATATAGATGTAAATTATCCTAAATCATACATGCCTTTTCGTTATAGATTTCCAAGACCCACTTGCTTAGTTTGACCACGTCCTCATCAAGGTAAACACTATTGAGAAGGTCATTATATCGCAGAACGACCTCGAGAAACGCATTGATGGAGAGATCATAGAGGATTGTGACAGCATCAGGCAAACTTGCTTCATTTGCAACTGATGGTTCTTCCCATTCGGCATATGCGCCAAGGGCTCCAACGGATCGTTCGAGTAGTTTCAAAACTTCTCCGACTGAGGAAACCACACTGCCCTTAGGATCTTCTTCGAGTGCATTGATAAGCAGTCCCATTAACGCTATTAGACATTCAGCATAGCACACCGGTAGAGGGACTAATTTCTCAGCCTGTTTTCGCTTTGAAATGCGCCAAAGATCGAAAAATGAAATTTGCGGAGCGCTATCCTCGGCCTGGCCAGGAGCAAAAAATGTGGTGACAAGTTGCTTGAAATAAGACGAGATGTCATTAAGAATAACCAATAACGCCGTTTTTTCTGTTAAAAGAGAATTTCTCGGCGCGGGTGATATCCTAAATGGCCTGGAACTTGGAGTGTGATCTTGCCCTAAAAAGACCTCGTTATTTTGTAGTTTTATTCTATGATTCAATCCTTCTGGCATGCCATGAGACCCTGGAAGTTTGGTGCTTAAGCCAGTAGAGATCACATGTTTGTTTCCGAAAAGAACCTCTGTGTTAGGATCGATATGAACATCGTCAATTTTCTCTGTTTCCGCCCTTTTCAGTCTTTCCTGGCGAGTGTCTACGTTTTTCATGAAATGCGACACGCTCGCATTTGACGCTTGAACCGTGAGCAAGCATTCTTTAAGAATGCTAGGCCAGACTGACGTATTGCGAAAGCGCGTGCGGTAAAGAGGAACTCTAAGCTCCAGATCAGGAGAGGTCGCCCTGTAGGATAATTCCTGAAATGCGGTAAGCTTGGTAAAAAGCTTTGGAGATGAGAGACCTGTGACTAGAGCTTCCATAGGCGTAGAAGAAAATGAGGAAAGAGGTTTGCCTCTATGCAAACAACCCACGGAGAGATATCCGTCAAAGGCAACGTTGATAAATTCCCAGATTGAAAATATCGCAAAGGATAAGCAAGTGAGCTTGAAATTCATAAATAAGCTTGGCGCCCCCGAGGAGAGAATGTAGATGGAGCACAATGGAAGACAGAAAAAAATTATTGCACTTAGCACTCCACATTTCATAGAAGACTTTTTAACCTTGCCCGAAATATATCTTAATGGATGCTGGTGCTGAGATCCATGACGGAATGAGAGGCGATCCATATCAAAGATGGCATGTTGAGCAGCATAAAATAGTGGGACTAAAACCCACATTCCAAATTTGTAAAGGCTCGATGACTCTACATCCGTGATGCCAAAAAAGCACCCATGCAAGACATGCGAGATATTCAGGCCGCTGAAAAAGTAGATTAACGCATAGGCAGCTGCCTTTATTGAGCACAACTGTCCGTAAAATTGAGTCAATATACTTGTGTACCCGAAATACTGCACATGCAGATAATTTTTTCGTGTAATGATCACCAAAAGAGAAGCCAGATAAATCAGCAGAGCTCTGAAAGGAATCACAATCATGTATTCCCATTTAGACCCGCAGGTTTGGCAAAATATAGCAGAGATGAGCCCTAATGAAAAAGAAGCGCTGACCAACAATCGTGTCGCCAAATGATTAAATCGCGTCTTGCAAACATCGCTCAGTATCGAATGATATGTGTAACGTGATTCCAGAAGCGAATTGGTCATTACATGCACCATCTGACTCGTTTTGTTCCTGCTCGAAGCTACTGTTCGTAATCAAAATATCAGGAAAAGTTCGTGAACTTCTAGAAATTTTACCCTTCGTTCAGGATGATCGTGATTCACTGGATCAATCGATCAAGTTGATCTTGCTTTGTTATGAAGCTCACCAACAACAGAACTTAGTAGGAATAGAGAAGTGGATAGGCCAGAAGCGCGAATTCCATTCAATAAGACGCAATGGATGAGAAAAAGAGCTTTTCCAACTATTCCGAAGATATACAGGCCAAATTAGATAAAAAATTGGGGCCGGAATATATCTCAAAGAGGGTTGGTTTTGGGGCTAGTAGAGTTGCTTATATCGAGGGCTGGAAAGCTATCAATTTAGCCAATCAAATTTTTGGATACAATGGCTGGAGCACCGAGGTCAAAAGTGTTCTAATAGACTTCATGGATGAACGGCAGGGCAAATTCAGCATAGGTTGCACGGCGATTATTCGCGTCACACTGACGGACGGAACGTTTAGAGAGGATATTGGGTATGGAACGGTTGAGAATGAGCGCCGCAAATCATCAGCGTTTGAGCGGGCAAAAAAATCGGCCGTGACGGACGCTTTAAAGCGCAGCCTCCGCGCCTTTGGAAACGCATTAGGGAATTGTTTATATGACAAGGATTTCTTGGCTAAAATTGACAAAGTGAAATTTGATCCTCCAGACTTCGATGAGAGCAGTTTGTATCGAGCAGCAGACGAAGGTCATGAGCCAGTGAAAAGTGTGACTGCTGAATTCGATTCTGAGATGGCACCAAACAAGCGCCGACACCCTGACGGAATGCCACAGGAGGCACCCCGAAATGAGACACGGGACGTTTCTGGTCAAGTGCAAACTTCCAGTAACTATGAACCCCCCAGATCTGCTCAGCATTACTCTGCTGTCACCCACCATCAACAAGATTCTGATGAATTGCTGGACGATTCCTTCATGTTTAGTGATGAGTTGCAAGACGAAGACGTTGATAGGGCTATGGCAGAAGCTCCGGCCGGTGCAGCTCGGACTTTTACCGCAACCGTAAATGCCTCGCATGGGCCAACAAGGCAAGCTGCTGCTGCTGATGCTGTTATGGAGGCTTCTGCTCCTCCAGGCCCTAACGCGGATGTCCCAATAACATTTGTGACAGCTAAAGCTGCACCAAATCTTCAAAATAGAGCACCAGTGCCTCCCAGCGCCGTATTTGATCCGAAATTTAAGCCGGCCTCTATACAGCATACCGTTGATCAAACGACTTCAACGCCAATAAGAGCTACAGATTACAAGGTGAGAAGAGCTAATATGAAAACCTCCGTCTACGAGAAATTTGCTGCAAAAGGTAGGTCTCTGGAACCAAATGACACCCCTAATGAGCTCGTTAAAACCGGGCCCAGACCTATAAATGAAGCTAAAATTACTAACCCAGAGCCTCAGGTTCCAAGAGAAAAATCACAGCCTCCTATTGTGCAACCTCATCAACCATCACCAACTCCGCTGGCGACACCTAATGCTATTAAGATGGTAGGTAGGCCGAAAACGATGCTCCCAAATCTAAAAAGGCCTATTTAGCTCTCAGGATTTTAAGAAATTGAAGCCAAAAGAAAATTCCCTGAAACTATTTAACTTAAGAGCTACCTAAAGCTCATCTTGTTCTTTGCCGTATTGCTAGTGTCATCATTGTCTTTCATCGTGATACCTTTTTACGATTAGCCTTAAAATTGTTTGCCGTTGTAACAATGATTACTTTCTCTACCACTTTATAGTTGGCTTAAGGGTAAACAAAGACGGGGAATTAGGTTACGTTTCCAAACCTCAACGCGTACTTCCCATCATCGCTGGGTGAATTTGAGTTTTTGTGCCTTGCTTACTTGAAATTTTTTGAGCTATTAGCAAGCCCTCCAGCATTTCAAAAGCTTACAAAGAGCTCAGAACACTTTGATCCGAGTTTTGCCAGGTTGGAGCAAAGATGGTGACGTTAACAAAACTAGAAAAACTCAGAAAGGATGAACAGGCTAAAGGTTTCAAGCCTCTAATGGACGAACTCACTCAGTGTTCTGGGGAAGAGTTCGTCGAAAAACTGAAAGGCTTGATCGAATGGGACAGATCAAAAGATGACTTGTACACGTGGATTCCTGTACTTAACAGAATTGACGCTATGCTAGGGAAGCTGGTCGAAAATTACTCGTACAAGGGCTCTGACCCCAAGAAACAGCCCGTCAGGCTTACAGTAATGAAAGCAGCGGATGAAGACGTTGCCGTGGGGTTGATGGGATTTACATGCAGGCTGCTGAACAATAGCTCCAATAGGCCGCTTTACTCTTCGTTAGATGTTATGGCTGATCTATTGAACTGTCCTAACTATAGAATCAAGCTGGCTGCTACCAAGGTCATTGCTACGTTTGGGGAGTGCCAAGTCATTTCGCGACAAAAAATTGATAGCAAAAGCGCCATAGGTACGCCTGACGTGAAGAGAAAAATTTTGGATTTGGCCCTTGCTATTCCCTCGTCTTCAGCGGATGACAGCATGAATCATTTCGCTCTATCAGATTTGTTTTTCGACAAGAAAGCATTTCCTTCAAAATGGTCCAGAGTTGCGTTCAGTTACTATATTGAAAGTTCAAAAAAGACACATAACGCTTCTTCTTCGGGCAGACAAGCAAATACTTCGCTAAGGCGCTTTATCCTTGGCCCTGATGAGCTCAAATCCATGACTCTACAGCAGATTTTTGACAAAGGAATGGCAGAAATACCTCCTGACAGATGGTACGACTTTTCTCTTCAAGCTTCAGTTGCCAAGGCTTTCAGCGATAACACCTTTGACAATTTACAGCTCAGAATCGTTATTATACAAACCAAGTTTAACGCGATCGCCTTCACCAATATCGTTTACATTCCGCCACAAGTCAGCTCAAAGCTTTTCGAAGTAGATCCTTACGCATTCAATAATCTGGCTGATTTTCTCAGCCTTTCTGAGCAAAAAATACCCAGGGATCTTCGTCTTGACGCTTTGTTTGCATTGGAATGCATATCTCTAAAGCATATATGGTGCTCTGACATCATGAGAAACTTAGGAGGAAATATGTCGCATGGCCTTCTCTTCCAGATTCTTAGGTACATCAGCAAGGTTTTGCGGGATGACACGAATGCGGAAATTGATAACGAGTACAACGTTAGATTTTCTTACTTGATTTCAAACATTGCTGATGTCAAGTCTTTACAAGAGTCATTGATAGGCGCGGGCTTGATATCGAATTTGCTCGAAGTGATTTCGATCAGGGACTGTCCTCATAAGCGTACCCTCTCCTCTGCTGCTCATTTGTTGGAAGTTGTCGTTGACGACGCGGACGCTGCCACGGAATTTATCACAAACAATGGCTTTAATGTTCTCATTGAATCCTTGAATGATGAAGTTCATTATGCATTGGACCATCCTGAGATGGCAAAACCACCAAAATATTCAACCGTTTACTATTCAATTTCATTTCGTCAGTTGACGTACATTCGAAGCTTGTTGAAATTGGTTTTAAAGCTGTTGAAGACCGATTCTGGTGACAGGATAAGAAATTTGATCGACTCGCCCATCCTCCAGGCGCTAAACAGAATATTGGCCAATAGGCCCACCTTTGGTTACACGCTTGTGACTTATTCGCTTGACGTCATTCAAACCGTTATCAATACTGAGCCTACCATTTATTCTGTCCTGGTAGAATCAGAAACCATCCCCTATATTATTGATCACTTTGAAGAGTTTTTAGGGCCCTCGGGTGAGCTGCTGTGTCTCTTGCCCGAGGTTATCTCGGCTCTCAGCCTAAACGCCGATGGACTGAAGCGCGTGAGAGAGAAACACTTAATTGACTGCCTCTTTCAAATTACGACGACACCAGAATATGCAAAGCTTTTGTCCTGGGATGATAACGCTTTTGACTTAGGCTCCTCCATAGATGAGCTCGCTCGCCATTACCCCGACTTAAAGCCTGATATTGAGGCCGCATTTCACAAAACGATAAAAGCGCTACCGAAAATTCTTAAGTTCGATCATCCTTATGTCTATAAGTCCTCAACAGGAAAGGGCGAATTTTATTTGTCGAAAAACGAAGAGGTTATTGACAACGAAGAAGGCTCGAAAGAAATCGAATCTGGGGAGGTGCAAGTGGCTGCTGCCGTTGCTGACTGTTTTTCAGCGATATTTTATGGAATGACGCTAGAAAATGTATCTTGGGCAGGACTCGCTGAAAAAGTCGATATAAAGGAACTCTTGAGTGTGGTTATACTTGAAAAACCACCCTATGACTACGTTGGGTCACAAACTCTGCTGAATTTTTCCGATATTTTGAAAATGTTCGATGACGAGCGCAGAAATTACGCTCTTCCTGCTCTTCTAGAACGTCTTTCACAAAGCTTGGAGTCTGTTCGCGAATTTTTAGATTTTGGGTTCGAAAGGTCTTACGTGCTTTCGACACCATACGATAAACTAGAAGAGACGCTAAGGGAGCTTTCCATCATTAATGTGATACTCTATATCATTACTGACACTTACGTCAATATTGCTTCTCTTTTCCCTATCAGAGTTTTGCAAATCTTGGAGTTTTTTGAGCAACATGATTTCAGTTTGATAAGGAACTTGAGGCTGCTTTTCCAGAGATGTGCCTTGGAAGAGATGTTCATTCGAGACAGGCTTCCGCCTTCTGTCGTTGCCGAAACTGCTGTGCGCCCCATAGGGAACACACCACCTATACTGATTCACGCTGCGAAACCGACCAAAGACGAGGCCAAGGACGATAAAACGTCTGCCAAATTCAAGAACACACTACAAGACAGACACTTATTCATCCAAATTCAATCATGGAGTTCAATGCTGTTTAGATGCTTTTTGAGACTGACGCATGCGCGAAAGATGAGCATAGAATCTAACGACCGCGCGCTGGAGATCAGAGTTTTTGAAACGACTGTTGATGAAATTATCAACATGCTTGACCTTCGGTATTTGGAGACACACATGGGTTATTTCTTAGTGGTTTTCAATTTCGTCACCTTTGCATTCACTTTCCCAAATGTGACAACCTCTGCGGGTGGAACAATTCAGACCATTCCTGCTTTATTGTTTTGCCAAAATGGTGGTTTCAAGATCTACTTCGAAGCAGTTAAGAAGCTTTTCGATTATCTGGAAACGCTGAAGTCTGTGGAAAAACTTGAAAAGATCGAATACATCAAAGATTCGCCCGATGTTCTCGCTGTAACGTCCTTGATCAATTTGCTATCATTCATCAACAAATGCGTTCAATTGGACTCTATGGAAAATATTAAGAACACCTCTGAATATTACCCCTACGATGAAATACAGTATAATATCACTATTTCTCTAATGGTATCCGTTAAGATACTAAGCTTGGGTCTTATCAGCGAAATAACTGAGGAATATGAACTGTTCCAAAATGATGAAAGGCGTCTGCCGTACTCTGTCTTCAAGCAGCTGTTGTCTCTGCTGAAAAATATCTATAATAACTCTTTTGAAGACGAGAGCTATGAAGCCTATCAACTTCATTGGGATTTGATACCTCCCTCGCAACGTAAGGTTGCGATGCTTCAAGAATGTGGTATATCGGAAGATGTTGCCCGCGGATATTTGGAGGAGGAAAAGGATGATTTACCCATTTACGAAAGACCTGATGTTTTTTCCGAAACAGAATGGGAAAAATATCTAGAATTAAAAAGGTCAGGCAATTGGAAAACTGATCTTGAGTTACTCGATTCACAGTACAAGGATAATTCTAATGTCGATGACCTCTCGAAAATGAGGATAGAATTTTATCAAGGAGGAGGTATGTTGGATCGAATGCTTGAGCTGTTGCCTCTATATCCCAAGCTGGTGAACGCGATATCGCATACTCTTTTACAGATGCTAAAGGAAATGCATGAATCACCAACAAATGTCCTTGAAAATCTTTTAGTAATGATGAAAGAGACAGATTTGGAAAGTGCCTCCAGTTTAGCTTCAGTCATACATTTGTTCGGGATCCTGCTCAATAACAAAGAGATCTACGAAGTTGCTGAAGCTGAGATCAAAGAGTTTGTCAGCTATCTAACAAAAAGCCTACGCCCAGAGTACGTCAATACTGCTTGGTTTTCGAAAGCTCTTTACGTTTATGAAATCATCTTCGCAAAGTCAGAGTCACCAAAAGTCGAACAACTCTCCGGAGACTGGAAGGAATGCGCTAATTCGCCCTTTCCCTCAACCTTTAACGCTATAGATATTTCCCATCAAGCTAAGGAGGAAGTTTTTGATGTTTTGATAAGAGTCAATGAGATCAGTGACTTTTACTCTGCGTTAGCGGTTTCGCGGATATTGATTTTGTACGCCAGGAACGAATCGTTTGCTCAAGAAGTGGCAAAATCTGGAGTTCTGGCAACGCTTTTGAAAGTCATCGGTTTGCATCAAAAGTCCGAAAAGATCAATTACCTTGAGTCTTCCTTCCTTTTATTGGCAAGAAGATGTTTTGAAAATTCAGATATCGTCAAGAGTCTGATACGGCACGAGTTGAACCGTGCCTTTACGAGCCGAGCAATAGCGGATAACAAAGAAAAATCGAGAGACCTCGCTGGATTGCTCTCAGAGAAAGCTAGTGTTGTACTGAGGGAGCCCAATCTTTTCATCAATTGCCTAAGTGAGACTACCCGCTTTGAAAACTTTTTAAATCCCAAAAAGCTTGACAATTTAAGTGTGAAAAGATACCCAAGCGAGTGCGATGTCGAAATGCAAGATGCGTTCGCTTCTAGCGAAGAGAAGGTGACATTGAAAAACAGAACTGGGATTGTACACCTCTTGTTTACCCAACTCATGGCCGCTTTCAAGAAGGACTGGGCAAATGATCCCTCTTCAAACGAGGAACTTGTCGATGATTTGCACAAAAAGGACGGCCAAAACGTATCCAGAAATCCTGTTTGCGGTTATATGATCTTCCTGCTAAAGGTTCTTATTGAGTTGGTCGGAAGTTACAAAGAAAGCAAATTCGAATTTCTTACTTTCAATAAGAGAAACCTGTACGCCGAAGCCCCAAAACCTCGTACAACGGCTTTGAACTTCATTCTATACCAACTTCTGGACACTGACGACCGGAATCAAGAAAAGGCGTCTGCTGAAAGAAGGGAAGTGATCAGTAAACTTGCAAGGGACTTAATTGTTAGTTTCGCTTCTTCAGTTCAAGATGAGCGGACACAAAGAGGGGATCCTAAAATTGTGGATCCAGATATGACATTCATCAGAAAGTTCACTATTGAGTCAATTGGTAAGGCTTTTAGGGAAGCGACTAAGACTCCAAAAACCCTCGAATCAAACGTCGGTAAGCTTTACGGCTGGTTTCATTTACTTTCGTCTTTGTTAGGGAACGATGTCAACTACTTGCACTCCGTTTTAGACCCTAACAAAGTTTTTGTTGACAGATACCAGATTGGAAAGCTTATGATAGAAATGGGAATACCTTGTAGTATTACAGACTGCATCGCATCTCTAGATCTCAACTATCCCTTTTCGAAGAAGCTCTTCAATGCATCAATTGAGCCCCTCAACGCGATTAATGAAGTTAGAAGCAGATTTTCCGCTCTTTTCAAATTAGAGAATATCGATGACGAGGAGGAGGTTGACGATGAATCTGAAAAGGAGGAAAATGCAGACATGTTCCGAAACTCCGCCTTGGGAATGTACGACGTTGACGACATTGAAGAAGACGACGATGATGACGCATCCTTGATAGGAGAAGATGAGGATATTGCTTTTGTGGAGGGTGATGATGACGGACTCGAGGTCGTTTTTAGTGAAGATGACTTAGATGGGGAGCAAGATTCAGATGACCTTGGCTCTGATCACTCCCTTGGAAGTGAGGATGTTGACGACTCCGACGGAGAAATGGATTATAATATTGCGGGTCCTATTCAAGTAAGTTTATCCTCGCAGGAAAGTTCATTTGGCTCACGAGAAGTCTCCGATACCGATGAATCTTCATATTTCACTGATGAAGAAGGACCTATGAATATGATCGAAATAGATGAGTATGGCTCAGATTCTGCCATGGACGAAAATTTTGATGATATTTCCGACATTGACGAGTCCGATTGGGAGTCCGGTCTCTCCGAGCTCTCGGGTTCGGATGAAGACAATTCAGAGGGAAGTATCCATGAGGGTGTACCTCCAAGTGATAGATGGTTAGCAGATGAAAACGACGTAGATGACGAGTCCGACGGCAATGGCAGAGGTGTCTCTAGTTTCCAATGGGTCTTTGCCCCTGATCAACAACCGTTTAGAGTACATGATCGCTCCGCCAGTGCCCGTCGAGGTTCTCATCACCATCACCTGGGTCGGCGGTCTGGGTTTTCCATGGTCAGTCCGTCAATTAGTATTCTTAATGGCGGCCGGAGGGCTCAAAGCATCTTATTAAATCCTCTTGGTCCATCCGGACTCGAAGAAGTTGAAAATGGAATTGTTAATCAGTTAAATGAAGTGGGAATTCCGGGGCGGTCGAGAACGGACGCAACTCATCTTTCTGACGTTTTATTTGGAGGTGAGTTTTTTGACGAGAAAACATCTGCCGGCATTTATCTGAAATCAACTACAGCCAGGTGGAACGATATCTTTGAGATGTTCTATGATTCAAAGATATATGTCAATAACTGTTTGCCTACGATTTTCTCGAGGATTTTTGAGCCTAGCTCTGTTCTTTACATAAAAAAGCGCGAGGAAGCGCTTCAAAAGCAGAGTGAGCAGAGGTTTAGAAGAGAGGAAGAACTGAAAAAGCAGATGGATGCCAAAAAACGCAAGTTGGAGGATATGCAAAACGAACCCGAAATTGCTGATTCTCAACACGAGGAAACGACTCAACACGAGCCGATCATTGTAAGCATCGGTGGTGAGGATGTTGATATAGCCGGTACAGACATTGATCCCGAGTTTTTGAACGCCCTTCCAGACGAGATGAGGGCAGAGGTTTTTGCACAGCATGTCAGAGAGAGACGCGCGGAAGCTCAGCACCATCCTTTGTCTTCCCGCGAAATTGATTCTGACTTCTTAGAAGCAATTCCAGAAAATATTCGTGAAGAAATTTTGGAGCAGGAGGCCGCGGAGTCGAGATTTTCGAGATTAGTAGGCGCGCTCGACGAGAGGGAACCAGAAGAAGGAGAGTCTGATGGGGAGCATGATGAGGTTATCGAGGACGGAGAGCAGCCAAAGAGTAAAGCGTCAGAGAGGTGCTATTTTTCTCCACTTGTCGACCGTGCTGGCATTGCCGCAATAATGAGATCGGTATTCATAGCGCAACCTTACTTGGCTCGCGAAGCTCACCACGAGTTATTCTTCCGCTTATGCTCAAGCAAGCAAAATCGTAATGACGTGGTGAATTATTTGCTACTCATTTTGACTGAAGGGATAACTGATACACACTCACTTGAAAAAGTTTACAATTTAATCTCCAGCAAGGCTGTCGGCCCGAACAAAGGTGGACCTCCTACCAGGCAACTTCCTATTGATTGCACTCCCTTAAGCGTTGCAAACCAGACGATTGAGATTTTGCAAAATTTGGTGGAAACAGGCAACAAGCTTAAGTTCTTTTTCATTACGGAACATGAAAACTTACTTGTCAATCGGTCTTCATTGAAAAATAAAAAGGATTTATTCACAAAAAACATGAAATGGCCAATAAATCACTTGTTTGGACTTTTGGATAAAAAGATCATTACTGATGAAGCTGTACTTTTGGACTTTCTGACAAGAACACTTCAAATTTGCACAAAACCAATTTCCACGATTGCCAAATCTCTTCAGGAGAACGCACAGAGGAAGTTCTTATTACCTGAGATCGAAGAAAAACACCTAGAAAGTATTGTTTCAATTATCAAATATGATTCTTGCAACACGAAAGTCTTTCAACAAACCTTGAATGTTATGCTCAATCTTCTGGTCATGGCGAATGCACAAGAAAAGTTTACACAGGAGCTATCGCATCTGGCACAGCCGGCCGTACGAATACTTTCCGATGATGTCAACACTCTCAGCAAAAAGATAACTGATGTTGAGAATGGAAGCGAGATAAATTACGAAATTATTCAGAAATTTACGGTGCCAAGCTCAGAACAAGCGAAACTCTTGAAAGTGCTGACTGCAACAGATTACATTCACGCCAACAAGAAGCATTTGACAGAGATCGAGGTCGAAAAGCTCATGAAATTGTACGATAGCATGAAATTGGGTAATTTGTGGTCAGCTTTGAGTAATTGTCTGACCCAATTTGAGGAACGACCCAATATCACGTCATCGGCGAGTATTCTTCTGCCACTCATTGAATCCTTGATGGTTGTCTGTAAACATAGTAAAGTGCGAGACTCAAAGGAGCTGCTACGATACGAATCCAAAAAGTCCGACTTTGCTCAGATTGCTGCGGAAAACACCTTCTTTGCGTTTACAGATCTTCACAAGAAAATTCTTAATCAAATGATCCGTTCAAATCCGAAATTGATGAATGGGCCCTTTGCGCTACTTGTACGGAATCCAAGAATTTTGGACTTCGACAATAAGAGATATTATTTTGTTGCTCGAATCAAGTCTGGTGGACAAGAGAGGCCAAAGCTTTCTATATCAGTTCGTCGTAATGAAGTTTTTTTGGACTCGTACCGTGCATTATTCTTTAAATCGAACGACGAAATCAAAAGCTCGAAACTTGAGATCACTTTCAAGGGTGAGGCTGGAGTTGATGCTGGAGGTGTGACAAGAGAATGGTATCAGGTCCTTTCACGTCAAATGTTTAATCCCGACTATGCTCTCTTCTTACCTGTGGCTTCTGACAAAACCACTTTCCACCCTAACAGGACATCTGGTGTTAATCCTGAACATCTGTCCTTTTTCAAATTCATTGGAATGATCATCGGCAAAGCTATAAGCGACCAGTGCTTCCTGGACTGCCACTTCAGCAGAGAAGTCTACAAGAACATACTAGGAAAACCTGTATCGCTTAAAGATATGGAGTCTCTTGATCTGGATTATTACAAATCCCTGATCTGGATTCTTGAGAACGACATTACAGGGATAATTGAAGAAACCTTTTCCGTGGAAACTGATGATTATGGTGAACACAAGATTATTGACTTGATTCCAGACGGTAGAGATATTGCTGTTACTGAAGACTGTAAGCAAGAATACGTCCAAAAAATCGTCGAGTATAAGCTGCACACATCCGTTAAGGAGCAGATGGATAATTTTTTGCTTGGATTTTATGCGGTCATCCCTAAGGAACTAATAGCCATCTTTGATGAGCAGGAGCTAGAGTTACTCATTAGTGGGTTGCCGGACATCGATGTTGACGATTGGAAAAACAATACCGTCTACGTCAACTACACCGCGACGTGTAAACAGATCAGCCATTTTTGGAGGGCCGTTCGATCCTTCGACACGGAAGAGCGGGCGAAGCTTTTGCAATTCGTCACTGGTACGAGTAAGGTGCCTCTTAATGGATTCCGTGAATTGAGCGGTGTGAATGGGATTAGCAAGTTCTCTATTCATCGTGACTACGGCTCTACTGAAAGGTTACCATCGTCCCACACATGTTTTAATCAACTCGATTTGCCGGCGTATTCTTCATATGAAACATTGCGCGGCTCTTTATTATTGGCGATTAATGAGGGACACGAGGGATTTGGGATTGCCTAATTTTGTAGCTTTCAAATAACAGTTCAGGATCTATTTAATTGTAAGACACACGGTACAGTCGAATTTCAGATGTACGGAAAGTGATGGTTATCGAGACAAACTTGTAATAAAGTTTGCACTTCTTCGCGAGAAAGGGATGACATTAACTGAGACCTTCCAATCAACAAACACAACATCGCCAACGTAGTGTTTCAAGCTCGCAAACATAATATTAAATAAAATTAAAAAAATGTCAACTTTTCTTCTAAAAACAGAATAACAATGGACAAGTGACCACGGAATTACAAGACCATCCTGAGTGGCAAAAATCTGAAACACATCTTCCGGGCTTTTCTAATTTATATGTTTCAAGATTTCGAATCAATTTGTTTGTTTAAGACGAATGTCTAAACTCCTGCTTAATTTTCACTTCTAGAACCACTGTGTTTCTGCGATGATTGGTTGTCCTCAAGATGCTTGACGTGCTTCTCCAATTTACGTATTGACCTTGTGAGTTCTAAAACACTGTCAGACCAATCCAGCTCCCGCCTTTGTCTCTCTACCACCTTGATCGCAAAGAGGGATGCTGCTATAAGGCCAACCGTAAAACCTACCAAACCAAACTTAATGCGATTCCCACCTGGACTTGTAGATGCAAAATTTTGAATACCTGTTGCTTTCATTACTAACTAATCGTGTTCTTAGGTTATATCCCTGGAATCTGGAGGGGACTTAATTATTGCGGGGAAATGTCGTTCTTATCGCCCTTAAACCGTATAATTATACCCATTTAGCAAGGTGGTCCTAGCCAGACAATGAATACGAGCGATCATTGAATAGCAGTCTCAACGTGTTGAACGGCTGTATTTTGATATACATCAAGACTTAACTACTTACATACACATCATTAGGTTATCAACTTGACCAACCAGTGGGAAAAGTCATTGTTCATTATAATTTTTCATCTACGGGCCCAATCCATTCCCAGCATTTCATAATCTCACCATGTAACTCCATTAAAGTCACTTTAACATTGGTATTGTTATGTTCAAGCTTCTTGGCAACGCGCTGCCAGATTTTATTTTTCTGCTTGAGATCAACGATGTCAGAGAGTAAAATGTCACGCAGTTGCACAGTACTCATGAAGGCGGGTCTAGTGTCATCGGATTCACGGGCTGCTTTTTGAAGTCTCTCTAAAATATCTTGCGCCAAGGTGTCTAGCTTGCGAATCATTTTGAAATGTTGACGGAGTTTATGCTTGATTACTTGAACAAAAGTTGAAATTAGCACCAATGACCAGACTATGAGTTTATATCTCTGATAAGTCTGATAAACTTCTCTTTCGAATTTACATCTGAGGCTGATGTACTTCTTGGATGTTGAACGAAAATACCCGTTTTTTTGGCCGTTTGGAAAATCAGCCTGCGTCCCTTGAAAGTCATGGGCTGCAGTTGCGTGCTCACGGCTTCCTGGAACTTTAAAGTCATTGGTTGGTGTCTGTGAATACGAATTTATGTTAGTAAATCTGTGATGTAGATGACGCTCAGATAGCGCGCCAATAGGTGGAAAAGAAAAATAACTCACTTGCCTCCAAGTAATTTCGGGTTCATTTTTCAAGTCCTCGATAACTTGAACCCATAAATCGTCGAACTCCTCATTGTTTATCCAGGGAGCTCGCGACTCAGAAAAGATACTGTATAGTTCTTTCTCGTTCATCCCACTTTGCACATCATCAACGCCTTCGCCACAATCTAATTGTGCGTTCTTAGTTCTTAATAATTCAAGGGATTTTTTAACGACCTCATTTATCATCCGCTCCTTTTTGGAGTCCTTTGCGCAGTAATCACTTATAGGAAAAAGCCCAAAGAGGCTTGCCTTAGAGTTAGTTACAACATAACCGGGTCTGCATTTGATTTTCATGTATGGGTAGCAGATTGCATTCTCTGGACAAGGTAAACAATATGGCTTGTGTTTAGCCAAGATGTTCTCGAAATCTTCCAGCCACGCTGAATTATTAGGATTCTGAAAGGTGGGCAAATTCACTTCGTGACCGCAATAACCGACGCGCACCCTTTCTTCTCGATACCATAGGCCGAAGAAAAGAGTGAAAAGCATGAGATAGTAAATGACAAGTTTCTGAAACTTTTTTAGCAAGCATATGAGAGCGGACCAAAGAACGCCTCTAAAAATCCTCCCATGCGACACTTCTTCTTCGACAATAGTGGCAGACAAATCGACTTGTTGATGGGTACTATTGTCTTCGGAAGAAGATGATGGCTGTTGAACCTCCACCAAGATGGAATCTTCATTGTCTTCGGCCTCTGAAGATTCAATCGTTTCCTCCTTGTCATCAGCCTCAACTTCTGTTCCTGATGATTTGTCCATGCTTACTTGTTCTTCCTTATCCGATTCTTGCGCAGAGGTATCCGATTCGGTAAGTGACTTTTCTACACGCGACGATTCCCATTCAGCGACACTTTTGGAGTCACTAGAAGAAAATGTCTTGTCTAAGAAGGTGCTTGACCTGCTTCCATTGTCAGCACTCCTAGCTCTACTAGAGGCTCGCTTTAGCTGCTCAGCAAAGGCGGGACTGACTTTCAACTTCGAGAGATCAGGCGACAAGGCTCTGCGCTTGAATGAGAAATCCGCAATGTCTTCCACAACGTTAGAAGGATGATGGGACGGTGAGGACAAAGGAGAAGCAGCAGGAGACGAGGACGATGAAGACGAAGAAGATTCGAACTTATCGATGACCAACGACTTGTGTGGAGAACTTTTCACGGGACTCTTTTTGTGAACCTTTTCTACAATTGGCGACCCCTTGACGCTACTCACTTTCCGTTTGCGACTCCTACTTTCGTCGTCTTTATCCCGCTTCCGTTTCCTTCTCGAGTTCGTTTTACGGTCTCCCTGAAAGTCATTCTCGTCCGAAAACTTCGCAGGCGATCCAACACTCGACGTCTCAACCGAAATCGATGATTCAAAAACATCAGGCCCTGATCCACCCTCTCGATCCTTTAGAAGCTTCTCTCTCTGAGACCTTATGTTGTCCTCAAAAAGTTCACACAAATCTGCCTTTTTCATTCCAGAACGAATAACAACTCCATTTTCAATCAAAATCCTTCGCAGTTGCGCCACTTTGACCTCTTTCGGATCAAACGTTGCATCCAAATAGTCTTGGTTCATCGGATCGTCTTCTAATGTCCCGATCTCTTTTGCTTGTAACGCTCTTTTCCTTGGTCAAGGATCGTTCAATATTTGTGTTTACCAGATGTTAACATATGGAAAAAGCTCTTTCGTAGCAAATGACATCTTCGAATCACGATTTGCACGATCTCGTTAATATGGAACTTGTTCACCCACGACTCAGAGAACGCAAGGAATTTAGTGATTAAAGAACCTGGTAGACTCCAAAGGCCTTAAGACAGCATCTTTCTTGAACTTGGTGAAAGAGGGAAATGGACATACCCTCAAGCAGCAATGACTTCTCTAAGTTGTCGCTAGAGAAACAGCTTACAGAGGATGCATATGACGCATTAGCGTCGCCTCGGGGAGGATTCTACAATGAATTTTCGGAGGGAATTGAAGGAAGTGACATGCGTGAGAACTCCGAACCCATGGGAAGCAGCGGATCGGTGGGCGATAGAGCTCATTACTCGTACCATGAAGATAAGGATTTATTTGAACAAGGCAGCAAGAAACAAGCTTTGGATCAGTTGCAGTCAGGTACACCACCGAGTAGCAAATCTGGGCTGTGGAACAAGGGTGAGTCAGTTTCTGTTTTCAGTCCTTCGCATGGATCCAGTGGGATCAGAAGGTTGTCGACTACAGCGCGGACTGCGGTCCCTGAACCACCTTCGCTGAAATACGCACAGGATGCGGACAAAGGTCCAGCCACGAGATCTAGGCTCTCCGCTCAATATAGGATGGGGATGGTGTCTGAAGAAAGTCACGATTTTGCCGACACTCCGTCAGAAGAGCTCGTTGACCTTTACAGCAAGGTCCAAAACTGTCGAAATCTCAGAGACAAGTATCAGACGCAGTCGATGCAAATGCAGTTCCAAAACCCGAAAAATCAGAAATACTGGAAAATATTTCCCCCGCCACCCAAGCCAACTTACAGTACTGAAACCAAAACCGTGATAAAAGTGGACAACAAACCCGACAGTGAGGTTTTCGATCTGTCGCATGTACCAATACCTGGCGACGACAACGAGTACGATTTCCAAATTAATGGTGACGACGTGTTTGTCGTTGTTTCGTCCAAAGATCCAACGGATTATTTGAGTCAAACCTGCAGCTTACGCGAGTATTACATCGATCTAGACTACATGGTAACCGTGTCATCAGATGGACCAGCCAAATCCTTTGCCTTCCGCAGGTTGCAATACCTTGAGGCTAGATGGAATCTATACTCACTGTTGAATGAATATCAAGAAACCTCAGTCTCTAAGAAAAATCCCCATAGAGATTTCTACAATGTGAGAAAGGTCGATACTCACGTTCACCATTCTGCTTGCATGAATCAGAAGCATTTGCTTCGTTTCATTAAACACAAGCTACGCCATTCGAAGGACGAAGAAGTTATATTCCGTGACAACAAAGTTCTGACTCTTGACGAAGTCTTCAAATCTCTCAACTTGTCGGGCTACGACTTGTCGATTGACACACTTGATATGCATGCTCACAAAGATACTTTCCACCGTTTTGACAAATTCAACTTGAAATACAATCCCATCGGAGAATCGAGATTAAGAGAGATCTTTTTGAAAACTGATAACTACATTCGTGGACGCTATCTTGCCGAAATCACGCAAGAGGTTATATCTGATTTGGAGAATTCGAAATATCAAAACTGCGAATACAGAATATCTATTTACGGAAGGTCCATCGACGAGTGGGACAAATTGGCCTCATGGGTTATTGATAACAAGGTCATATCTCACAACGTTAGGTGGTTAATTCAAATTCCACGCCTTTACGACGTTTACAAAAAGACAAATACCGTCAAGACTTTCGATGACATTATCAAAAATCTCTTCCAACCCCTATTTGAAGTGACAAAAAATCCTCAGTCACACCCCAAACTGCATGTATTTTTACAGAGAGTCATTGGGTTCGACAGTGTTGATGATGAGTCCAAAGTGGACCGCCGCTTTCATCAAAAATATCCTAAGCCTTCTCTTTGGGATTTCACGCAGAATCCTCCCTACTCTTACTATTTGTACTACTTGTACGCCAATATGACTTCCTTGAACCAATGGAGAGCGAAGCGTGGATTTAATACTTTGGTTTTGAGACCGCATTGCGGAGAAGCAGGTGATCCTGAACATCTTATCTCGGCTTATTTGCTTGCGCAAGGCATATCGCATGGGATTTTGTTGAGAAAAGTTCCTTTTGTCCAGTATTTGTACTATTTGGATCAGGTCGGAGTTGCCATGTCTCCATTATCCAATAATGCCCTTTTCTTGACTTACGATAAAAATCCCTTGCCCTACTATTTCAAGCGAGGACTCAATGTGTCTCTATCCACCGACGATCCTCTGCAATTCTCATACACACGAGAGCCATTAATAGAAGAATACTCCGTTGCTGCCCAGATCTACAAACTATCCAATGTTGACATGTGTGAGTTAGCCAGAAACTCTGTTCTCCAAAGTGGCTGGGAGGCACAAATTAAGAAACATTGGATAGGCAAAGACTTTGAAAAAGAAGGTGTCGAAGGTAATGATGTGGAAAAAACCAATGTTCCAGACATTAGAATTAATTACCGGTTCGAAACTCTATGCACAGAGCTGGAACTCGTCGAGCACTATGCTCATTTTAGGAACATGCTGCGTAAAAGTCCGGCTTAAGTCAAACCAATTGAAGTTCTAGTGAATTAGTAGGTTTAAGCGCGATAGATCTATTCAGAGATTTCTTTAAGTTTATCCCCGTAGACATGTAAAGTTTTCACATATTGGCCAGCTTGTATTCTTTCCTCAATCATTTTTTCAAATTGATCACTCACAGTTTCTAAGTAGGGTCCTAAAATTTCTTTGTATTCATTTAATTCGGGTTCAGTACACTTGATGTTCGTTCCAATAGGTATAATCCAAGTTAGTACATTTGAGCCCATAAACTCTTTGATGTTTTGGAAAATGCTGGACTTCCTGTAGCATCTTTGAGTCTCCTTTGGAGAAAATTCCAAAACGTATCTGCAGTTGTCTTGTGCCCGGTAATAACAAAACCACAACTTTCTCCACGACGCTCGCCGCTTGGTTTGCAGTACCTCTATGGAAGTCCTATTAGTTGCCATATAATAGCAGTGCGAAACAAATAACGGGAATATCATGAGGAGGCCGATACAACTTAAACCGAAACAAATTAAAATGTTTGGATTTATTCTGGGAATGTGATGTCGACGCAATAATATGTCGTCCAAGTAACAAGCTATCGAAGTGACGACAAGGATGGCCCACATGGTCCCAAAAAACATATATTGAACGAATAACTTGTAGTTTTTGCGTCCAATGATGGAGCCCACCCAAACGCAATAGTGGTCGAAACGTGGTACGCAGTATCCAAGCATTGACGAATGATGAGTACGATGATCTTTTACACTCTGACACTCACTACACCAAATCGGGTATCCTTGAGGATCACAAGGGTAAACTTTAGGCGGAAATATCATGTCAAGTCTACTTGAGTTTAAAGAGCTTGGATCTTCTTCAATTCTCGCATAATCATCTCGCAAAATATAATATGGAAGCAATTTGGGTTGTCTCCCGGCCTTCACCAAAACCAATTGAAGCCATGCAGTAAATAGCGCTAAAGTCAAAAAAATCTCTGTAAACATAAGTCCCACCGCGGTACCGTGCTCTTGTCTATTTATATAAATTTCATCATAGCACAGTTTATGACAGTAAGTCCATGTCAGGTACGTGAAAATCCCAAATAGAACCGCCGGGACCACAAATCTCAGCTTCTTTCCGCTGGCAATATGTCCAAACCTGCCCGACATATACAAAGACCCGGGCCTGGGTTCTTCTTCTGCTAACCGTTGGAGAAGATTCTAATTTCAAAAATGACTAAGATCAAATTCTAAAGTGAGCTTCCATTTCCGTAAGACTGATGGACTAGGAAAGGGAAACATATAAGACAGTAAGTACCACCACTTGGAAGTCCGGAAACATGGCAATTGGTCAACTAACTCGATGAAAGTGGATGACGATGAGAAGAAGGACATGTGTCCGATCTGTAAGACAGATCGATATCTGTCACCAGACATGAAATTTCTGGTGAATCCGGAGTGTTATCACAAGATATGTGAATCGTGCGTTGATCGTATTTTCAGTCTGGGGCCCGCGCAATGTCCTTATGAGGGTTGCGATAAGATTCTCCGGAAGAATAAATTCAAGACTCAGGTATTCGATGACGTTGGCGTAGAGAAGGAAGTCGATATTAGGAAAAGAGTCTCTAATGTGTTTAACAAGACAATGGACGATTTCGACGGGGATTTGGCTGCTTACAACAAGTACTTGGAGGAGGTTGAGGATATAATATACAATCTGAATAACGGGGTAGACGTTGCTAAAACGGAGGAGAAACTGCGCACATACGAAGACTTGAACAAGCAATTAATAATGTCGAACATGAAGCGAAATAGACAGGATTTGGAGAACTTTGAACAGCAGCAGAAGTTTGAGAAGGAGATGCGGTTAAAAAAGCGGCAATTAGAGCGACAAATTGAAGAAGAAGAAGTGGCAAACCGCGAATGGGCGCGGCGCGAGATAGTCAACCAGCTTTCAAAGGCTGAAGATGCCGAAGATGTTGTTGCGAGTGTGAAAAAAACCGTCAAATTGAAGAAATCGTCTGCAAGGCGAAAGTTGGAGGATCTCAACAAGGTGTTGAAGAATAATCCGTTCATGATGGTCTCGAACGGGATGTTGAAGAAAAAGGAGTCCGTTCCTTTCACACCTTTCAACGGTGACAGAGACTTACAAAAACGCTACGTACTCTCGGAAACTGCATATCATGATCCTTTCATTAACGATTTGCAAAACAAGCGTGAATTCATTGCCTCTGGTTTTCGCGCGGACTTCGTCTATGATCGAATGCTTACAGAAGCATTTATGGGGCTGGGCTGCATGGTCATCGACGAGTTACAGACCGCGCAGCTGAATGGCATTCACTAATATTTTTGATAATTCTTCCACAGAACGTGGATGGAATCTGTCCCCCAATTTGTAGTTCTATATACCGCGATGTAGTTAGTAATAGGTTTGCTTTTTTCAATCTCTCAAAGAGTTGTGTGCATCTTGAACATACCTTTTTGATCAGCCCTAAATCGTAACCAGACTCCAAAGCCTCGTCAGTGAGATCTACACCAACTCCATGTATCAATTCCTTTGCCTCAAGAATGGCTTTTTCGGTTTTCGCTACAATACTTAGGACTACAATCCTAGACGTTTTCTCGCTTATGCCGAACCTCTTAAACGCTTCTCCAATATTAGACGTCGGAGACAACGATAATATACACTCTGAGTTTAAGGTCTTCGTTCGTTGCTTGTTGAAAGAACTCTCAATAAGTGCTTTGTAAACCGCCGAGAACAGTTGTTCTCGCGAACAGATGGTATCGGCCTCTATAAAGGCAAAAGGGAGATTTGACACCACTGAATGTAGCTCCTTCGAATTAGCCACCTCAACATAGAGCCCAGCGTAAATGGAATAGTCAGGAAACTGAGGAATCATAGTTTCAGTCATCATGACTGCTTCTCAAGTGTGTCTTTGAGAATCTTCACCAGTAGGAACTTTTTCGCATTCGATCTTCAAAACATCTTATATCAGTGCTCCAGTTAGGATAATTATTCAAAAGCATGAAAAATGGAGAACAATGGGGGTCATGATGACCTAAACTTTGACACAAATACTAACAATGGGGAATTGATTAGTGAAAATTTAACAGGGGGAAATATGATGCAAGTTATACCACAAGAATCGCGGCAAAATTTGATCGATGGCCTATTGACACAACTTCATGAAGTTATACCGACAAGCCAAGACGACGATAATGACGATAGGGAAAACAGTAACGGAACGAGTTTATACGAGATATTAGATTGTGCACCAAGGGCTAGAAAACGGTTAGCTGACTTAACTTCGGCGATTACAGGTGATACGGAACTGCTGTTGAAATTTCAGGATAGTGCATTGCATCACAAATTATCGGATACCGTTGACGAATGGGCCCGCGAAGAGAGTTTAGAGTCGAAAGATTCCAAAGAGATTGCTAAATTGACGCCTGGACTGCCCAGTGATATCGCATCGGTCGTTTTTTCGTGGAGTTCTGCAAATAAAGCTATAAATGAAGAAGCTAACAAAAACAAGAGTCCGTCGCACACAGAGAGACTGCAAAGGCCAATTAATGATACCTTGTATGAGTTAGCTCTGCCTGGCTTGAGAAGAATTCGTAGGCGCTATGAAAATAAAGCCAAACCGGAGAAACCTTTAGGAAGTCGCGCAGGCGAAAGAGATGAATCACAGCTTCCGGCAACCAATGTATTTAAAGTGGACCCGTTGGGACGATTTGAAGCAAAACCAGTACGGCGACAAGGTACGAAGAAGGTTAGAGAGAAGAAAAAAGGTCTAGTTTGCTCTGGTTCTGGAATAAAAAGGGGCCAGAACAGCAAAAGACACATAAAGAACTCGAAAACCGTAAGACAGATGCTGAAAACAATGAAATTCAGCCTATAGATACATTTCCGGAGTACAGCCGTGGGCCGCCATCTCCGCAGCCGGCTTCACCATCTGCTTCACCACCTGCTTCACCACCTGCTTCACCATCTGCTTCACCACCTGCTTCACCACCTGCTTCACCACCTGCTTCACCACCTGCTTCACCACCTGCTTCGCCACCTGCTCCGCCGCCGTTTTCTTACCCGTTGTCGCCACAATTGACAAAACCCAAGTCATCCCCCGCTTTGCCCATAGTAGAGGATCCTCAAGAGCCCAACCCAGTCACAGATTCTGACACGCCGTCGCATTACTACAACTTGGATTCCTTCGTACCTCTTCAACCAAAAAAACGAACCTGATTTCACTCACCACTGTAATGCAGGACTTTATTCCCAGGAAATGATCGATTTGGCGCGTTTGTGTGTCCGTGATGTATATGAGTGCGCTGCTGTGGTGGAGAGCCAGACCAAAACGTACCTTGAGGAGCTGTCGTGGGAGCCCCCAAGTCTGGAGGTTTAGTACCGTATGTGGCTTCCTCATAGGAAGGAGGAGCCTCCGGGAGCATTTGTTCCTTCTCGTTCGCTTGCGAGGGAGTTTCTTGCTTCATCCCTTAGAGTTCGACCAGTACTTCGATTTGAACGGGAAATGGCTTAAAAGATATTTGAATTTTTGAAGCGTTTGTCCAATTCTTTAAGTCGTCGCGATTATTTCAGTCGGATAGACGGTTTGATGAATACCAATGGATATTTGAACCTTCTGTTTCTTTGATCCCGTACACGTGATGATTCGGAGTAGTTAATTCAGCACTTCAAGATCGATCAAGGTGAAAAATTTTGGCCTGGCGTGAACCATTCAGAGGACATCATCCCCGCAACACAGAGGACCGAGATGTTTTCCAAACCAACATGCGCGAGGAATGCTTTGCGTCAAATGAGCCAACCCGTAACAATATCAGTTCGTGGAAAAAGAACGAAGAGTAAGGGACTGGTTTCACCAGCTCTACAAAGGGTCGTTACGCAATTAAGTGTCATGTCAGCAGGCAAAAAGCAGCCAAGAATGCTGAAATTATCAAGAGAAGACTTGATCAAACATCAGGTAATTCAGCGATGCTGGGCCACGTTTCAACAGGAATCGCGTGAAAAGCAAAATGATCAGATGAGAGCTCAATACAAGAGTGCCGAAAAGGCGATGCATATGTTGAGAGAAATTGACACCAATCTCTACAATGCTGCAAATGCAAATGAAGCGGGGAAAAGATTTCCGCTCGAGATTAGAATACCCACGGAGCATCCTCCTAGTAAGATATGGAATTACAACTTGAAGAAGAAAACTTAAGTTATCGTGGGAATATGATAAAATAGAAGCACGGCTGTATATAGTTTACAATAATAAAACTGTGTTCTTTGGACGCAATAAGCTCGGGGATACATCATCATCGGAATATCATTTCTTCACCATTTCGCTTGCTTACTATACATATCCTAAAAAGTTGAGAGGAGTAAAATGCTTTCTAGTCGAAGGTTATTTTCTTTGGCTTCTTAGTGGTATCAACATCCTTGTAGAATGCACCGTATGCACTGTGTTCCTTCTTCTTGGTATGCGTGCCAAACTTTTTCAGTTCTTCTGGGACTGGCTGGTTGGCGCCATTCAAAACATTGATAAGTGCACCCGCCAAATGTTTCTCTTGTTCAGTAAACAACGTGTGCGCAGTTCCTGTCTGGCCTGCTCTTCCCGTACGTCCAATTCTGTGAACGTAGTCTTCTACTGTCAATGGGAAAGTTAGGTTAATGACAGTCTTGACGTTTGGAATATCAAGACCACGCGCTGCGACATCAGTGGCCAGCAAAAGATTAGATTTTCCAGTCTTAAATTCATTCAGCGCCTGGGTTCTCTGCTGCTGAGATAAATCGCCATGGATTGCTGCAACGTTGTAACCGTTGTATTTCAAATTTCTCTCAACACGCGTTGCTTCCTTCTTGTAAAGTGCGAAGATTAGAACCTTGTCGTTTTTGCGAGATCCTGATTGATACTTCTTCAAAAGCTCTAGCAATTTTCTGTCCTTTTTGAAAGGATCTACAACTTCGACAGTCTGCGAGATACGTTTGTTGGCCGAAAGTTCGTCTCTGTTACCAATGGAAATCTTGACAGGGTTTCTCATGAAACTGCTAGCAAGTTCACGCACTTCTTTTGGCCACGTGGCCGTGAACATCAGAGTTTGTCTACTCTTGCCTTTTGTAGCTCCAATGATTCTCTTTATGTCTTCCTCAAAACCCTTTTCTAACATCCTGTCAGCTTCATCGAGCACCAAATAGTCGACACGCGACAAATCAGCAGATCCTTCTTCGATGAGATCTAGCAAACGACCTGGAGTAGCCACGACGACATGCGATTTTTTTAACTGCGATCTTTGCTCGTCTTTGGGTACACCTCCGTAAACACAGCAACAGTCCAAAGACGTTTTCTTGGTCAAAAGAATCAAATTATCGTAAATTTGGGATGCCAGTTCTCTTGTTGGAGAAACCACCAAGACTCGAAGGTATGATGCCTTTTTCCTGTTTTCAGACGTCAAAATGTTGTTAATGGCTGGCACACCGAAGGCAAAAGTCTTTCCAGAACCTGTTTCTGCGATTCCTATCACGTCTTTGCCCGAAAGAAGGTACGGCCACGAAACAGCTTGAATTGGAGTTGGTTTTGGAAACTTGGAAACCTCGTCCTGAATGTCCTTGACTAGCGAAATATGGTCGAAGGATAATAGTGGACGTAGATCCAAATTCTCAGGGTCCTCAACGGTGACTTCGCTTTCATCAAAAAATTCCTTGATTTTATCGGCAGACACCTTCGAAAGCTTTTCATTTTCCTCATAGCCCTTGACAGCTTTTTCGCTCTTTCCCGTTTCTCTCGTAATTTCCGAACAAACGTCTTGGTGTTCAATTTTCACTTCATCTTCAATCTTGTCCTTCTTGTCCTTCTTGTCCTTCTTGTCCTTCTTGTCCTTCTTGTCCTTCTTGTCTTTCTTGTCCTTCTTATCCTTCTTATCCTTCTTCACTTTTTTGTTGGCGGATTTCAATCCATCCTCATTAGCATTGCGCTTCTTTCCACCGACCTTAATATCCGTCATCTCAGTATCTATCCTTCACCCTGGTTCTTTGATTAACTAGCTCATCGCTATAGTGAAAATTTTCTTAACAGCGGCATCGCCTGCCAGGTTTTCCTTTTTCCAAGCATCGACAGAGACTTACGTCAGCAAGCGATGAAGTTCATCAACAATACGTGATAATTGGTAGATCAACATATAAATATATACATATGAATTAATATGGAACCTCTCGCGAAGTTGGGAAACGCTCTATGCTTCCTGGTAATTATTTGGAGCCGACTATAGAGTGGGCCTTGAATTGATCTTCTTCGTTGGTGTCAGCTCCAACGTCGTTTCCGTATTCTTGTTCCTCGACAGCATGGAAGTTCTTACGGGCACCCAAGAACCAGTAAGCGACCGAAAAGACTGGATATCCGACTATAACTACAGAGGCGTAGTTCATGTTGTTGCGGTCAACAGGCATTTCGAAGGGGAAACTAAAAAATACAATAGCGAAAACGGTCCAACCTAAAAGCACAATGTTTGAGAAAAATCCGAACTTCCCCAGCCAAAAGGGTCCATGCCTGATTTGACGTTTCTTCATGAGCAAGCAAATGACAGGAACAATGTAGGAGAGAAGTAAAAAGGCAATGCAGCCCGTAATGAGAGAGTTGAAAGCCGTGGAGGATGCTAGGTAGAGCACGCCAAGTAAAACAATCAAGGAACAAGAGAACAAATGGGCGTTCAGTGGAACACCAAGTCTGGGGTCGACTTTGGCCCATAAATGAGAGTACGGCAGACCTTTGTCTCTAGCGAACGACCAGCACAGTCTAGCCTGCCAGGTATGGCACGCAATAACACATCCAAAAGAAGTGAACAGAATTAGGCAGCCTAAGATTTCTGCCCCGGCTTTGTTGCCCAGAGCTTGGTAAAAAATGTCCAAGATTGGAGCGCCCGTGTTAGAATTAACAATTGCGTCCAAATTATGCAGCGAGAAAAACATGGCGATAACGTAGCACAATGAGGTAGTGAAGCCAATTGCCACTGTGCCCATGATTGCGATTGGGATAACGCGCTCTGGTCTTTCGACTTCAAAGGCCATGTGAGTCGCGCAGTCCAAACATGAGAAAGACCAAGCCGGGTTAATTAGACCGACGATGAACGCGAGTCCACTGTTTTTCCATCCGGTTTCGTTGTAGAACGTCGCAAACACGAATTTTGCTTCGTTGTAGTTACCGTGAGAGCATGCAAGGACCGTGATAGTGATAGTAAGGAAAGAAAATAGAGAAATGTACAACGCAGAGGATGAAATCAAAGGCAATGATTTGCCGTAGCAGTTGAAAATGGTCAAGAACAAGTGCAGAATCTCAAAGCACACGAATACGTGCCACCTTTTAACTTCGAAATCCGGGTGTGTCAGAGCATACATTCCGACAAGTTCGGTTGCTACAGAAAGCGTTGTAGAGGCACTGGTAAAGACAGAGCCGGCCCAGGCGAAGGAGCCGCACATGTACGCTGCGAGACGCTTATATTTTGGAGGCGCTAATTTCAAAGACCACCAAAACTGGCCACCGGCATGTGGATACGCTGAAGAAAGCTCACCTAGCGAAACACCAATACACACAGAAATCGACGCAATGATCATGATCCCGTAAACGATCATCATAGGTCCTCCGGACATGATACCCGTGACCATCGATGTCGAAATACCGAACCAGGAATTTGTCAACCCAAATCCAACACCCAAGATCGACCACAACGAAAATTGCTTTCGCAATTGAGTCCCAGCCCCTAATTCATATTCTGCTTCCTCAGTTTTCGACTCTGTAGTGGTGGTAACCCCATTTTCCTTGTCGTTTCTCCCGATAATTTCTTGGAAGCTGTTCTCACTCGGATTCTCCTGGTACGCCGTAGTCTGAACTTCAGCCATTATTCCAAAAGACCAAAACCTTGAGTTTGAACAATGGCGTAAAGGTGAGATAAATTTCTAGCTGGTCAACCTTTTAGCCCAGAGACGTTCTTTCCTATATTGCATTTTCACATGTGAAAGTTGTGAAAAGAAATATTTTTTCACTTCGAAGATAAGGGATCAAAGAGTCGAAGAGTCGGGTTAGCCAATCCAACAAAGGCTCCGTTTGAGTAGTGGAAGATCTCGTAACAGCTCGGTCTCGCTGAACGACAATCAGTGCCTCTGCCACATTAAATAACACGAAAGATGACTTTGGACCAACGTATACCTGTCGTTGTTCAAAATCCTATATAGACAAATGTGTCGCTACTAGTGTACATATGTTAATGATTCGAAGGACCGAGAATTAAACTTGACAAAATACCGTCGCAATTTTTAGACAGGAGCTACATAACATAGTTATATGGTGGCTCCTAAAGTGCGCGGTGGTTTGACACGGTAGTTTTCGTCTTCATCTTTTTCTTTTCAAGTGAAAACCTAGTTCATGGACTTAACCAACTTGTTGATGAATTCCTCACGGTTACCGAAAGAACCACCTTGGATGAAGTGCTTGAACTTTCTTGGCACACCCCAGCCACCATTTGGGTTGGACAACTTGAATGGCCACAAGAAGTTGCTGGCTTGCTTGAAGTGAGGACCAACAGTGACGATCTCGTGGATCAAGTCATCGACAGACAAGATACCGTACTTACCCAAGTTGGCCTCGACAATGGAGTTTTCGGAAAGAGCAATTCTTTGCTTGTTGATCTTACCGTAACCTCTCTTGTAAACCAACTGTCTGACAGTAGAATAAGATGGGTAACCGTATGCAACGTAAGGCTCGACCAACTTCAACAATTCAGAAGTGGCCTTGGTGACCTTGACGAAAACACCGGTATTGATTTGGTTCAATCTCAAAAGCTGTAGAATCTTTCTTGGCTTTGGAGCAATCTTGTTAATACCCTTGATTCTGACAACGAAGACAAGCTTTGGTTGAGCGTCAACATAGTAAGAACCAGTGGCTCTAGCCTCACGTCTGGCGTCAACAATGGCACGCTCAGCAGCCTCGTACTCAGATTGGTAAGCGGCGTTTCTCTCCAAGATAGCGGCTCTTTTTTCCTTGTTGGCCTGTTGAGAATAATCTGTTAGTATTACGTGCTGGACTTGTTTGCGCGCCAAGCTTATCCTACAACCAGCTGAAAGTGTATTCAGGGCACACAACGAACTCGTAAAAAAACCACGTATGTGCGAAACCAATGTCAGGCGAAAGATGGTGATATTATTCGACAACATCGCCGTGGCTAGTCGAAGGAATGGGATAAAAAGTTTCATCACGTTATGGGATAGCACATACAAGTCCGTGTGTCGTACCTGTGGACTCACAGCTGGGGAGGGAAAGCGCTGGCGCCTCGGATTGGCGATTAGCAATTTCGACATACGGCCTTGCGGGCAGCTCTCTCGGCGGCAACTTGCTCAGCAGTCTTTTGTTGAGCCTTGGACTTCTTCACTTGAGACTCTGGAGCCAAGATTTTTCTATACAGTTGTTAGCGTTCGGAGCAAAGCATGTCCGACGTGTCGGTCGAGGACACGTCGACGTCTAATACAATAAGTTACATCGAAGTGAAATACACCACATTTCATTCGATGAGAGGGAGAAGCAGAGCCTGGCGGAAGCGCACGTGTATAATACGACGGTGGGGTCAAGAACACGCAGCGCAGCAAACCAGACTTTGTCCTTCGTGAGAAGGAAATCCCCTACAGGAAAAGCCAACTGAAATAATTCAATTGGAAAAATTCACGCCCGGAAGAAAGCGTTAATCTGACGAAGAGCAGGTACTTCTGCTTCCGATGTAACTTGGTATCCAGACAGTGGATTGGAATTCAAACATACTCAGCAACTTTCTTGATAGTGTTCATTTTCGGCGATGAGATGTGACAGCGGTGTGAGTGTTGACGGCATATGCGAGGGATGCTGGACACATTATATAGACACTGCGCATTCGATGCCAGAGTGCGTGGAACTTCCCGCGTCTACGAAACGCGCGTGGGTTGAACCCAAAGCCGTGCTCCACCCGCAAAAACCAGTGTCAGAAAAGCTTTTTTTCGAAGAACATCTCTGTTTCGATAAAAGGTATGGGCAGGTGGATGGGTGTCCAATAAGGCCTGTGACTGCTAAAATAATGTATGGGTGTTTACGAATGCAATCCTCCCAGTTCCCAGGCGACTTGTGAACGTTGCTCATTAAACATGCTAGGGCGTAGGGCCGGTGCCAGAGAAAAGAGTACAGAACCGTTGTTTCTACGCGAAATCGTCTACTATGGAGTCCAGAGTTTGGTATATCAGCCCCGAAAGATGGTTAACGTAAGACAGCATCGCCGTAGCTAGCCTTGTAATGTATAAAACATGTGTCATCACCTATACTGCACTCTGGAGACTCGCAAATGCGACCTGAAGCTGCTGGTATGACCACATATCAATGGCTTCAGGCACGCAACTGCTTCGTCGTCTCATGGGGGTGGAAAAGAGAGAACAAACCAGGACGAACAAATTTTTTTCTACATGGGCCTTTTCATACAAAATCACATGCACTCACAATATCCTATCAGTACCCTACGTAGAAGGTGATTCATGCTCCCATCGGCTAGGGCTCAGCGAGGCTCGCCTGCCATGCAACGCGATCGTCGCACCTGAAGATCCTCGTTGCCTGCGGTGGCGAGCGCTCGATTACACATGACGAGAGGATCTGCGCATGATTCGCACACGACACCAAGTAGCCGTCTGGATCGGTTGCCAGCAGATCGGTCGCCAGCCAGAAACCAACCGTCAAACGGTAGCCACTTGACAGACGGAGAACGACGTCCTATGTCGGTCCAGTACATACCCAGGGCTTACATAAGCCGCGGAAAAACTTGTCGGCTCATCCAGACGTAGAGGTACATGGGGGCCCTCGGGCCCAGAAATTCGTAATTTTTACGTAACAGCGTAGAAGACGTCACGCGACAGCGTTCCTTCCAGATAAAAACTTCCGGCGTTCATTAAACTTTTGTTTCTTTTTCGGGATGCGGCCGCGGCGGCAGCAGCAGCGGCAGCAGCGGCAGCAAATGCGACAGCCCTGCATGAGATCGGCGACAACGGTCCGACGGGGTCATCGCGCCTCGACGATCTCGTACAGACGCTGAAGGTCGATTTTGATGCGCGCAACTTCGGCTCGCAGCTCGTCGAGCGTGTCGCGCACGTACTTCAGCTCCGTCTGGACGTCGGGCGGGTCCAGCAGCGTGCTCAACGAGTGTTGGCGCGACGGACTGTGGGACAGTGACGAGTCCTTGACTTCCAGACTGCGGCCGTTCCCGAAATAAAAACGGGCCTTGCAGGTCTCGAGCAGATCGTCGAGGTCCGTGTCGCGGTGTGTGGGTGCGCGCGCGACAGCGCGCGAAAAAAGCAGGTTGAAGCGGTCACGGCATTGCCTGCTGTTGCGGTGGAGCTCGTGGTTGAGCACCATGTGATCGCTGATCGCTTTCCAGAACTTGGTACGCGGGTACGAGCGCACCGGGTCGCGCAAGAGCGCTCGCAGCTCAAGCACGCACTCGACCAGCACTTTGTCGTCGCGCGTACTCCATGTAAACTTGGCGCCTCGGCGGGCTGATTCCGCATCTGGCGCGCCGCTCATTGGGGAGGCCCTGGGTCGGGGTTGCGAGGAGAAAGGTCTGGATCAGAAACAAAAGGGAACACGAGGAAGAGATAGTTCTAACACCGAGAAAACCGAAACGACGACGACCGATGCAGCCCCAGCTGGATCGACAAGACGAGGCAAGGACTGCGCGCTTTTACGTAAATTTGTAGAAGTAACGACGACTACGTGAGGATGGGAGGGAGCCGTCTTTGGTCGGGTCCTGAGATTTCCATCCTTTTTATTCCGGACCCTCTGTGTCCGCCAGCCGCGGTTACGTCGACGTCCGCGTACGACGCCGCGATCAGAATCTACACTTTTTCTCGGAAAGAATGGGGAAAAAAAAATTTTCTTTCCTATGAGACTTGTGCGCGCTCGTGTGCTTCCTGCCTTGTTATCTGTTTGGACGCTGTTCTGTTCCGAATTTGTTATCGTACCAACCAACTCCCTGCCGTTGCACACTTTGCCGGGCCGAAGTGCGCTTGCCTCGAGATGCAACAATGGCACCCGCGTCTCCCCTTGAGTCTGTGCGGCGGCGCTCGGCCGCTGACGGTGTGCGAGCCTGCTGCATTGAGCCGAGCTATGCCGAGCTGCGCCGAGCTGCACCGAGCTGCACAGGTCTGCGCTGAGGTGCGTGGGCTGCGCTGTGCTGCGCTACATAACCGTCCATCTATGCACCAGCAGCCATTGTATGCATGCACGGCTCGGCGCTATTGCCGATGGGCCGCCGAGTCGCTACTGCCTGGACTGACGCATTCCTGCTGACATCATGCTGAAGTGGCTTCGTAGGCACAGCTGCACCGCAGATCCGCTTGCCTAAGCGATGCCGAAGTGAGGGGCCGGCTCGTTCCACGGGACATGGGCACCGGTCGAGCAAGACGCGTGGGAACACCACCCAGACCCATGCATAAGGGGGCCCACGTGGGCCCCCACGTCCCCGGTCGTTCCCCGGTCGTTCGAAATGCACAGAACACTAAAATTTTTTTTCCTCCCTTCTGTCCGGGGTTCTTGTCCTGGTTGGGTCTGGCCCCAGCCCCACCCACAGCTTCTTTCCAGGGTCCTCTGCCCATTCCGAACCGACCCGTCCCGTCCCATCTCCATATGTCCGGATCAGCGCAAGTTGTTCCGCCCTCCAACAGCGGCCCGCACCGCGGGCCGCTACTCGCAGAACGCGACTACAACCACGCTACAGACTCGCAGTACAAGTCGCTGCGGTCGCAGGCAGACGCCGCGTACGACGCGCAGAAAAAGCTCTCGGCGCAGTCCCAGCGCGCATACAGGGCTGGCGACAAAGCGGATGCTCACCGTCTGAGCGAACAGGCCAAGCAGCAACTCAGCCATGCGCAGCAACTCAACCTCCAGGCCGCTGAGTACGTGTTCACGCAGAACAACGCAGACAGCGCCAGCAACCACCAAATAGATCTACACGGACTGTACGTGAAGGAAGCGCAGTGGATCCTGCAGAAACGCATCGCTGCTGCGGCAGCGGCTGGCGAGCCGTTCCTGCACGTGATCGTCGGCAAGGGTCTGCATTCCGCCAATGGAGTTGCCAAGATCAAGCCTGCCGCCGAGGAGACGTGCGCGCAGGCGCACATCTCGTGCAGGGTCGACCCCAAGAACACGGGCGTGCTGCAGGTCGACCTGCGCGGTGCACGGGTGCCTGCTGCGTGGGCGTCTGCGACAACATACCAGGCACCTCAGGCGCCGCATTATGCGCAACAGCAGGCAACTCCACAGGCACACGGACAGGCACACACTCAGGCACAGCAACACGCGGCGGCTGCTCCTGGCAACGGAGAAACGGGCGGCGGTCTGCTGGGCCTGGTGCTCCAGCTGGTGTGTATGTGTGTCAAGAACTCTGGCAGGTAGCACAGCGGGTGTGGCGTGTGTCGAGGCCGCGTAATAGTGAGTGTATGTATCCAGTACATATGCATGCAAGCGAGTCGCGTTTCAGCTCGAGGATCGTAATTTTGTTTTTGAAGTTGTTTTGCTTTCTTTTACCTTACGTCTGTCTGACCCCGGTTTTCGTCATTTCCCGTTACTGCCGCCGGGCTGCCCTCCCGGGCTGCCCTGCCGGGCTGCCCTGCCGGGCTATCGCGCGGCAGCAGCATACCTTTGCAGGCGCTAAATGCCGAACAGCCGATTATAGCTTGCCAGTGCTGGACCGTCGAGCGCAGCAGTTCGCGTGCGCAATAGCGAGCCGACACCTGGGGCGCCCTGGCCGAACACGTCGGCGACGAACCAGCGCAGTCTGCACAGGACAGCGCTGTTTTCCCACCAGGCTGGAGCTCCGCCCTCGACGATCGCGCGTGGGCCGACGTTTGCGTCGCGAGCCGTGGAGAGTGCGCCCCACGCCCGCAGGCATACGAAAAGCGGTACGACGAGCAGCAAAAAAACGGCGAAAGCCCTGTGCGCACGGTCACAAAGGGCAGAAAGCGCAGGCGGGTCGGAACTCGAGCCGGAGTGCAGCGTGCGTCGCGTGCCTGAGACTCCGGAATCTGCCGCATCGAGCTGCGCGCGCATGGCCAGAATCAGTTCGCGCTGGCCGTCGATCTTGCGGGTAAGCTCGGCTATAATGAACTCGTGTTTGGTATTGTCGTGCAAGAGCAGTTGCGACGCAAAAGCTGAAGAGGCCGGCGCGGGCGCAGAGGCAGGTGGCGACGGCACGGATCGCTTACGCGTTGTCGCGTGGGGCTCCGCGTGCCCCTTGTAGAAACTGAATTCACGCTCGAGAAACTCGTATTTGTCTTGAAACTCCGAGGCCCGTTTCGTGAGTCGGAGCAGCTCCCGGTCCTTTTCTCGTATAATCTCGTCCTGGAATTGCAGTTCTCGTTTCAGTGCTGTCACGACGTCATGATGGTTTTGGGCGCGGCCGAAACTGCTCATGGCGCTCGCGGACGACGGAGGCGAACAGTCGTCGTCGATCTGGTGGCTCTTGAGCGCCGCGATGCCAGCATCGCGGTTCGCTGCCTCGCAAATGCCGGACTTCGTAGGACTAGCGCCATTGAGAGTTTCTTCGCCGGCACATTTCTCGACGGCGGCTTTGAAACTCGTCCCGACGAGTCCGTTGAAGAGGTCTTTGAAATCTTCTTTGTAGACTTTGAAAAACTCCTGGTCGGTCGCGAACTTGGTCAATATATCGCGCCCGGTCTTTGAAACCAGCTCTGTTCTTCGGTGAGCGGGCCGCTGGGCGTTTACTTGCTCGTCGAGTTTGCCGATGAGCAAGGGGAAGTCTCGCGCGTAAATGAAACCCTGGCTTTTCACGTCCACGAGCGGCCATGCGCGTTCGAGAACCTGGGGTACCTCAACTGCACTTGCCATCTGGGTTTATGTTTGTATTGTGTACTTTCGCGTCTGGTTCTTCGCGTCTGGCCGTGCTGCGCGTCTTACATTTCGATTTTGGATTTTATATCTTGGTACTGTAGTGATATGAAAAGCGAACTACGCGTGAACAGCGAAAGGACTAAGAAACAGCTTTTCAGCGGTCTGGTTTCAAAATACTATAGCTATTATTGGTGCACGTGGTAAATCAACGCTACTGACGTGCTCACGAAGATAACTACATCAATATAATATGTCTCGGGTGTCCACTCGAATACGCGGGACGTACGATAATACTTGTGTTTAAGTGAAAAAGCATTTGTGCGTCTTCAAAAAGAGTGGATTGACAAGCACATGCCTCGTTCTTTCCAATCAGCCTATTTCTGACAGTTTCTGGCAGTCTTTGGCGCCCCCGCCCCCCGCGCCCTTTCCTTAGATTTTCAGAAACGCCAGACATCGCTAACGATAACAAATCATAACTGACACCCAGAGAAGAAAATACTAATGCTACAAAGACTACTGCAAAAAACGGATCCAACGCTGAGTGCCAGCAACAGACTGTGTACTGCTTTCATGGGAGAACATTCGTGATAATCAACTCTCTATTTTGTTAAAGATATCGTTTCGAACTTGCAAAATTGAGTGTCTAACAGCTCCGGTTAAGCGCACTGTGTCTCGAATCTTGCATAGTCAGATCCTGGGTTAACAGATTATGTGTTTGGGCAAATAACCATGCCAGACCTGGCTTGACTTCCATGGCAACGGGTCGCTAGACTTAAAGATCGTTTTATACGTGGAACGGTGCCTTGTGGGCAAACTAGGTGCCAATTCGTGTTTATGAAAGGCTTTCGATGCAGATGAGTTGCGCTGAGTGGATAGTACCGAGCAGAGGGACCGGGCTTGAGCATTTGTACAAAATGGGTATTCAGAAGGCTCCAAGTATGGACTCGGAAGATACAAACCTTTCAACGGGTTTAGGATCAGCCTCATGAGCCATTTGCGGACTGCTATTAGAGCTCGACCTAGTTGAGCGACACTCCCTCCTTCGCTGAAATCGTGATTAGGTCTTCAACCGGGTTCGTCGCATTTCCGTTCTCAAACTCGTTATACTCCAAATCGTTCTAAACGAAGATAATACTATAGAGCCATTGCATTCTATACGGTGGCAAAAGCGTGTAGTTAGCTACGAGTTGCTTCCGGTTCTATCTGTATAAGCTCTTTCGTCAGAGCTTCGAACATACAGGCTTTTGGACAACCATTGAGCCATAGCAAGCGAGGTTTAGCTGTCAATAAACACCTGCTGTCGACTTGTCGAAAGGACTTGTTGTTGACTTATCGAAAAGGAAGGCCAATTCTGACCTGTTTTTTCGTGGATCCTTTTTGTAAGGGAGAGCGTGGTTTTGCTCATCACGACAAGGTAAGGGCTCCAAAATGAGCAAATATTCAAACCAAAAAGATCCCAGTGCACTGAATATCAAAGATCTAGAGAACATAATCGAGCCGGATGATTCAACGGCACCCGTGATCGATGCCAATAGCCAGCACCCGGGGCTGGCGACAGTGAACGATGCGAATTCCGTGATAGAAGATATTGTGAATCCGTCCTTGGACCCGGCCATGATGATGCCACAGCCTAGAACTGCGTCGCAAGAAATAACGCAGTTCTCTCCTTCGATTCCGGTTGCTTCGCTCGCTCCCCACGACCAAAATATCGTGCGACGCGGGACACCCGTCGGGATTTACCAACCACAGGGAAGTCCAAGCGCCGGGCAGGCCCAACTTCACGAAAATTTACTTTCAGACACGCTACTCATGCCCTACCGAACCAGATTTTTGCAGAACCCCAATCACAGACCAAGCCCGCCTCCAAACAAGAGAAAACTCACTGCTACCAAGACAAGACCTGCCTTCATCAACAAACTGTGGTCCATGGTGAACGACACTACGAATCAGAAGTTAATCAAGTGGAGCGACGATGGCAAATCTTTCATTGTGACGAATAGAGAAAAATTCGTGCACGAAATTCTGCCGAAGTACTTCAAACACTCAAATTTTGCCTCGTTTGTGAGGCAATTGAACATGTACGGCTGGCACAAGGTACAAGACGTGCGATCCGGGTCTATCCAAGGAAGTTCAGATGAACGATGGCAGTTCAAGAACGATCACTTCGTGCGAGGCCGCGAGGAAATGCTAGATGAGATCGTCAGGCAGAAGCCTAGCTCCAACAGCAACAACAATAACAACAGCAAAGACTCGTTTGGAACCCAAACCAATGAAGATATGGACATTGGAATTATGCTGAATGAATTAGAAACGGTCAAATTCAACCAAATGGCGATCGCAGAAGATCTCAAGCGAATGTCGAAGGACAACGAGATGTTGTGGAAAGAGAACATGCTTGCCCGTGAAAGACATCAGGCGCAGCAACAGGCGCTGAACAAAATTCTCCATTTGCTGGCTTCGCTTTTGGGCTCCAACACGACCAAGCTTCTTGGCGGCGACTTGATCAACGAGCTTACACGCACGAACTCTAATATGGAAAACCAAGCAGCAGCACACCCCTGGGACCCAACCCACGCGGCCCCGATTGCAAGGCCGCGTTTGCTTTTGAAAAACAGAACCACGCCCGTTCCTACTTCGCCAGATGAGGGTTCCATCTATCATACAAACAGCAGAAACGCCTCAGCTTCTACGATGCCGCAGACGGCAGGAATTTCACCCATACAGGAGCTTGACCGGTGGTCAATTCACCAGCCGTCTACAGCGAGTGAGGCCACGTCCCCAGGTTTCGGCAGCTCTCGGATCTCGGAAGTGCCGTTCGAGCCGCAGTCGCCCGCCGTTGACACGACATTCTTGAACGACCTCCAAACCAACATAAAGCACCAAGGAGAGTCAATCCAGGAACTTCAGGACTGGATATCGCGCATCTCACCAGATGAAGATCCTCATGGTGGCGCTCATCACTCAGAGCCGGAGCAACACGCCGCGAGTCACGTGACCATGCTACCCGACTCATCTACAATGGGCTCTGGCCCAGGTTCGGGTTCCGGCCATGGCACCGCTTCTGTCTACGAAGATACAGCAGCGTCTACACAGCCTGCTCACGCCAAGTTCGATCTTCAGGACTACCTTTCGACCCCCGCCAACACTGCACTTACACCACTTCTCCAAGAAGAATCTCCAGCAGGTTCTCCAGCCCAAATGGACGACAATCCGAAGTCCCGAAAGCGTTCGGACGCCGAAATCCAGGAATTACCGAACCCTACCAAAAAACAGCATTTATGAATTACTAACACGCATCAATCCGAACTTCGTCTTGTTAAGTCGTTGAATTGAGACCCCACGTAGAAGGATGCTTGTGAGAGATGGCGTGTGACTAATCATATACAACGAATACTTATACAGTACTCATTCACCGTTCTCTTTCCGAAAGTCCGAATCTGTCTTTAGGCTTACCCCGCCTTTTTTCCTCTTCAAACCCTGGAAAGAAAGGCCCAGAAAAGCCATTATTATGTGGCTCATCTCAAGGGAAATGGCTGATTCTATATAGAAAAGCTTGTTTGTTGCGGGTGAAATTTAGAGGCACTGAAACCTTTGGAAGGGCTAGTCCATATTACAAGAGAATTGGTACACTCTCTCCTTGCGAGTGATTTGAGGGTGAGGTTGGGATCAAGGCGATATAAGAGTGGAAAACAAGAATTAAACCGCACAAACGAGTTTTTTTTCTACGTTTTCTCTTTGCTATATTGTACAGGATACGATGGGTATTCCAGTGACCCTTCTCGAAGACGACAATGTACACGAGGCTATTGCAGAGGTGGAGTCAAGGAATCGGTCTAATGGCGATGGGGCAGAGGAGCCAGGACGTGAAAACTGGCACTTGGTCAAAGATATTCCATCACAATTGGGTTTGCGCGCAGATAGCGCGTGGTCCGCGATGAAGGACAGGAAGAGCGCCGGTGGTGCTTTCTGGGCCCTTTGGCTTGACGATGGGTCGCGCGTGTGCGTCGTGGATGCACATGGACGCGTCAGAGAGACCTCTGTGTCGTTTGACGCCAAGATCACTAGTCTGGACATCCGTAACGAGAACACGGCGGTTTTCCTGCTGGAAACCGGGATCTGTGGCACCTGGGACCTGAATTCTGGTCACACGAGGTTCTGCGACGGTGTACAGCAGTTTGATGCTCACCACCGCACGGAGGCGTTCGTGTGGGCAGGACAGCAGCAGGCAAGAAATAGCGGAAGAGGCTTAACGCACGTGACGCTGAGCACCGCGCGAGCTCGCTATGCAATCACAACGTCCTATTCAAATTCTGCCGTATGGGCCGACGTTCGAGTCCTCCGGGAGCCAGTATGCGCGGCTATGGGTGACGATGGCGACTTGTTGGCGACCAGCGACGGGCAGGGCGTTGACATCCACCATTTGTCGCGGGGCACACAGACATCCGTGGTGGGCCTCGCGCTAGCTGAAAACGAGCGCGTTTGGAGACTTGGAATCAAGCCCGACTGTCAAACAGTAATAATAGCCACGACGTACAGATTGTTATCACACAAACTTGGTTCCGGCGGGGTGTCTTTGATTTGCGAGGCCCGCGAGGGATCTTGTTTTGATATCGATTCCGAAGGCGGGATTTTAGTCGAACGGAGACATCTGTACGGTACACATATTGCGTACTACACTTTTTGCGAGGATTCTCTTTGCTGGTCTTCTGTGGGCTACACGGATGTACGAGCTCAATTTGGAATCCGGAAAATCGATAAAATGATCGCGATGGGCGAGGACAAGATCTGCGTTCTTTCTGAATTAGGTACTTGGACGGTGCTATCCGTAGTGCGGCGGTGAGACGAGCTTTGCTGGCTTCTTGATGATTGAGTGAACTTTTGCGAAACTCTAAAATGTAAATAAAGGTATGACAAGTCTTGTTTTTAATTGTAATAAGTAGCAGAAAAAGCGTTGAGCTTGCTGTGGTGTGGGTAGGATTAAGCGAGCAGCACGCTCTTACAGAACTTTTGCGGTGCTTAGCCATTCTTACTCCGGAAGCCAAAACACTACGTAAATGGCACACTAAGTTGCGATTTAAAATGGCAGATTTCCTAATGACAAGTGACATCTTCACATCGAACTTCGAGTCGTTACCTGAGTCGCTTCCCAAGTCGATTCCCGAGCCGATTCCTAGTTGTAACATCAAACGAAGGCGTCACTCTTTTCTATAGTGAAGAAAAAATGGGTGCAATGACTTGATGAAGAAAAAGCCACTAAGTAGCGATGAACTTGAAGAACTATGCGTTTATCTCACGGTTTCGGTATACTGAATTGACATTTTCGTTTAAAAATTCAGGCCAACATAGGGCATTAAGTCTACAAAGTGATAAAACGAACTTAATAAACTCTGTTTGGCCTTGATTGCCGAGAAAACTGCTACAAAAACGGCGTTTTAAAAGCATGGAAGAATCACAGCTAGACGTTTTCTCGTCGGATTTATGGCGACATTCGCCGTCTGTCGATTTGTTCTTGGCATCTGCATCGCCTGTTTCCTCTGCTGGTACTCATACGACGGGAACAACAACAACGACAGGGACGACGACACATACTGACGAAAGCGTTGACACACAACTCCGGCGCTCCGATGATACGGCGAGTTTGAATAACGCATTGGGTGAGAACGCATTAGAATCGATTCGACGACAGCGAGCGCAGAATAAACTCATTCATTTGGACCCAATTCCAGATTTTAAGGACCGAAGCGAGATCAAACCCTGGCTCCAGAAAATCTTCTATCCACAGGGAATAGAGATCGTGATAGAGCGATCAGACAGCGCGAAAGTAGTTTTCAAGTGTAAAGCTTCCAAACGTACCAAACAATCAATGTGGCGGAAAGGTTCCGCGGGCGGGCCCACTTCTGTCAACGGCGGCACTGAGGAGGCTGAAACGCCTCTCGCGGCGCAAGCCGTGAAACGGTTACAACAAGGAAAGAAGAAGAGGTCTGTTTCTCCGTTCAACACTTGCCCATTTCGAGTGCGGGCGACGTATTCTTTGAAATTGAAGAAATGGAACATTGTCGTCATGAATAATGGTCATTCGCACCCATTGAAATTCAATCCTGAAAGTGAGGATTACAAGAAATTCAAAAACACTCTCAGGAATGAGGGAGACTGGGATGCCGTGCGTAAATTTGACGAACTCGAATATCGTGCCAAATTCAACCTCCCCACAGAACCTGAACCGATTCCGTGCGACTGTGGTCTAACTCAAGAAATTGAATTTTTCAACATCGTCCTACCCACAGCCAATTCAACTTTGAATTCCAGCTCAGAAACGATAACAAAGCCGCGGCACAAATCAGAGATCTCACGCAAACACAAGGCGTATAAAGAAAAAGTTTTAAATCAAACGGAGTCTGATACGCGATTTCAACAAAAATTAGATTTCGATCCAGATAGCGTGATGTCGACGCCTAATTTAGCCCATTTACAGCATCAGATATCTGAGACACCCGTTACCACTCAAGGTAATATTAATGAACAAAACTTACAGGAAGAGATTGACTTCAACAATTTTTTCTTGAAGCCAACCTCTGGGCCGACTCCCCATATCATTCACGAGGTGAAGGAAGATCTGAACGCTAATTTGCCAGGACATTTAGATTTTGATCAAAACCTGCTTGATGCGTTCACCATGCCAGCGTGGACACCCCCATGCGAAGCGTATAGCACGGAGACCGGTCAAGACGACAGTGTCCGTGCTACAAGCATCAATTCTGTTACACACTACAATTCTTCACCCGCAACAAACCTGCTCTCTTCCGATATGGGGAACATTCATTTGGTGGACAGGCAATCGCGTCCTCAGCCAATAGACAACGACACGAGTAATACACAGTCCCCCCCATGGGGCTCTCAGCATGACATTTTCCGTTAATGACCTCACATATTTCCTGTACTTAGAACTGTTTTTACATTCGCATGCCCCAGGCAAACGGGTCTATCGATTTAATCAAACCATTGCACTTTCCATCAAATACACGCATTGCAGCCGCAGTTTCATTAGTGATGCAATTAGGACGTAGAATTCTTCGGCTTTACTACCTTCCGTCAACTGAACCCAGAACGCTTGTTTTTCAAGTCACTCGTGAAGATATGCGAACAGCCCAAACACACATAGAACAAAACCATTGAGGTATCCTTGCGTCGCTGTTGGGACTGGAAAAAAACGTTCTCGCGTGAATGGCATCTTGGACATTCTCTGTCCGACCTGGGCAACGTCGGGTCCGAGCCAATGTCTTGTACGACACCAGCAGTTTCTCCGATGTTTGTTATCAATTCGTGTCTGTACACGAGCGGCGTGCCAGCTTCCTCTGCATATGTGCACGTACGACATTCGAACAACAATCGCTGGTTCTCTTTATCCTCTCGAGGGTAAAGCATATTATTACAATCTCTGCAAAACCGAAATGTGGTCATTTTTTTAAGCGTAAAAAAGTTACTCTTTCAAAAGTGCGCTCCAAAGCCAATCAAAGTATGCGAAAAAGCCTTAAAATATCCTTAACTGCGTCCTTTAAGGTGCTTGCTTTCTTTTCTAAATTTTCCACCACTCGGGCTATTGACCAAGATTGAAAATTTCTTGATAAGTTCGTCCATGGTCACGTGGTTTGTTGATAATTATGAAATTTGATGAAAAATTTTATTGGCAAACCTTTAGTTAAACCTTCAATATTCAACCTAGATTCAGCGACTCTCAGGGCGTTGCGACTTGAATTTAGGTCTTTTAGGCATAGCATAAATCAAAAATGTTGGTGCGCCAAGCAAGAAACTCGATCGTGAGATTTGGAAGAGTTCCAGCCGCAAGACTGACCGTTCGTTGGAACAGTAGTACAGCGACCGAAAATACGACTGTTGACCCAAAAATTGAGAATATTGTTCAGGAAATTTCAAAGTTGACATTAGTAGAGACATCCAGTTTGATTTCAGAGCTTAAGAGCCAGCTAAATATCCCAGACATTGCACTCCCAGTTGCGGGAGCTGCACCCGCGGGAGGGTCAGCAGCCGCGCCAGCAGCCGAAGAGGCTGCTCAAGAAGAACCTAAGGAGGAGAAGAGCATTTTTTCCGTGAAACTGGAGGCGTTCGATGCTAAGACAAAGCCAAAGGTCATTAAAGAAGTGAAGACGCTGCTTGGATTGTCATTGGTGGAGGCTAAAAAGTTCGTGGAAGCTGCTCCTAAGGTGTTGAAGGAGAATGTCGCCAAGGAAGATGCAGACAAGATTAAGGCTGCTTTGGAGGCCGTTGGCGGCAAGATCTCTCTAGAGTAGAGAGGGTTTGACTCGCAAAATTAACGCAACTTGTACATAAGGAAAACACGCTTTATCTAGACAAATGTCTCAATTATTCGAAAACGCTGAAAACGTTCTGCTACGTAAAAATGGCGTAATGTCCGCTGCTGCTTGTCATCAAACCGTCTCCTAAAAGTCAACGAAATACTGCCTATAGGGGTCTTCACCAATGCATCCGTAATCGAATTGTTCTTCCGGATACTGATCAAACAAAGATGCATCACCTATGCCCGTGGTTATAGGAGGTTCATAAGGTGTTTCAATGTCCTTAGCCAATAATTTTTCCCAGATCACTTCTGCGAACCAAGGATGACATTTGATGTCATGAGACCCGCTCTGCAAATTACCGAGTCTCCTAGTCAAATCTGCCGTGATCAATTTGCTGAGCAAATCAACGACATCTGGGTGGAAAAAAGGAGGACACACGACTTTCCCATGCAGAATCTTCTCGTAAGTTTTCATAGGGGTAGTGTCGTAGAATGGAGTATAACCCGCAAGCATTTCAAAGATCAAAATGCCCAAAGACCACCAATCTACAGATTTGTTGTAGGGCTTTGTTGCAATCACCTCCGGCGCGATATAATCCGGTGTACCACACAGGGTCCAAGTAACAGTGTCAACCTCCTTTGCAAAGCCAAAATCAGTAATTTTGATGTGACCATTGGAGTCTAGTAAAATGTTTTCGGGCTTTAGGTCCCGATATATTATATTATGGGCATGCAGATATTCGAGAGCAAGCACCACTTCTGCGGCATAAAATTTGGCCACAGGATTGGGGAAACGTTGCGATTTGCGAAGCAAGGAAAATAACTCTCCGCCCTCAATGTAGTCCATAACCATGAATAAATTTCGCGCGTCCTGGAATGTGCCCCACATCCGAATCAAAAACGGATGCTCCACCAGTTTCAACATCTGACGTTCGTCGTTGGTGTGCTCAATCTGTTTCATGCGAACCACCTGGTGTTTTTTGAGCACTTTAATCGCATAGTACCTCCCATTGTGCACAGATCTTACCAGATGTACACGTCCAAAAGACCCAGTACCCAAGGTCCGCATAATCTGAAAGTCTCTGAACGTGTATTTACCCTTCGACACGGTAGATCTCTGAGGCAGCATGGAAGACTGTCTCGTATCGTATCTCAGCTTGTGACTATCTGCACTAGCATCGTGACCCCCAACTCCGCCAAAACGCCCCGTATCTTGTTCCATTTGTCCGCTCGCACTATTCAAACCCAACCAACTGTAATTGCTAGTTTGAACTTTCCACTGATTGGCGTGTGAGCTTGAACCACCCTGCAAACTGGTTTCGACTTCCATACCCCTAAGTTGGGTCCATCCCTTCAAATTTTTGTTGATAACTTGAAATGCCAACCGTCTCATTTGAAACACGTGATTCGTTGAAAAGAGAACCATCTATACAAGGCTGAGCATCGACGAGCGCAGTTCACTACGTCGACGATCTCTACTATGATGATTTGACCAGTCTTGATTTTGAATCTGTTCTAAAACTAAAATATGTAAATATGCAAATATGCAATCGGGTTGTAGAAGAGTTACAACGCTATAGCCATATGTCACCACCGGCGGTGCGCTGGTTGGTTTCCGGTGGATATTGAGAAGGTTGTTGTTCTTGACTTGGACCTTGCTTTCCTTGCGGTGGTTGCGGCTGTTGTTGTTGGCGAAGATGTTGGTTTTGAGGAGAAAAGAAAGAGGCATTGATGTTGTTTGAGATGATGTTATTGTTCAAGGACTCTAGCTGTCTTTCTTGCTGTCCCTGCTGTTGTTGCTGTTGTTGTTGAAGAAGAGGCTCGACAGGGGGTTGACGAAGTTGGGGCGTTTGTTGTTGTTGCTGCTGCTGCTGCGTCTGTTGTTGCTGTTGTTGCTGTTGTGGCTGTTGTGGCTGTGAAGCTGTTGCTAGCGGATTGGCATTTGGGTCTGACGACTGGGCTGCGTTTTGTTTCAAATTGTCCATGTCCTTGTCGATTAGTCGCAGAAGCTCTTGGGGGATAGACGCACTGGCGTTGCTGTTCTGCAGCGTTTGTTGTTTGATCTCGTCCGGCGACGGATGGTGCTTGTCCTCACTTCTGCAATAGTGGAAATGGGTAGAGAATTTCTTCATGGCAAGAGCCTTGACGCGATTAAACGCGTCAGTCTTCGATTCTTCGTCTTTGCCCGTACCCGAAGCGTCGTCGAGCTGTGGCAATTCGCCCGCGGCACGCTGTTTTTCGATCATGGCCTTGGTGTACCGCAGCATGGTCCAGTCAAAAAGATGATCGTTGTGGTACTCGAGTTTGATGCCCAAGTCTTTGAATAAACGTGCCAAATAGAGATAATCGGGTCTTTCGTCAAAACGCAAGTTACGACAATAGCGCATGTACTCCACAAATTCCATGGGCAGGCCAGCGCAGAGCTGCTCGACACTGATGCAAAGCTTCTTCTCCATAATCCGATCGTATTTCTGTCTCTTGGTAGTGGCTTTTAAACCTTGCCAGGGCAAAGAACCTTTGCAGAAATAGATAAGCACGTATCCCAAACTCTCGAGATCGTCTCTGCGACTTTGTTCAATACCCAGATGCGTGTTGACGGAGGCATACCGCGCGGTACCGGTTAGGTTTTTGTTTTCACGATACGGGATGTGATGGTGCGTTGAGAAGTCGCGATACTTTTTGGAAAGACCGAAATCGATCACGTGCACCGTGGAGCCACGTCTACCAACGCCCATCAAAAAGTTGTCGGGTTTGATGTCCCTGTGGATGAAGGAGCGACCGTGGATGTACTGGATTCTGCAAATCATTTGGAGCGCTAGCATGATGACGGTTTTGAAAGTGAATTTGCGATGGCAGTAGTTGAAAAGGTCCTCGAGCGAGGGTCCAAGCAGATCGATCACCATCGCATTATATTCGCCCTCGCGGCCGAACCAACGGATGAAAGGTATGCCGATCCCGCCACTCAGGTACTTGTAAACACGCGATTCGTAATCGAGTTGCGGATGCCGCGAGCGGATCGATTCGAGCTTGATCGCCACTTCTTCGCCGCTGATAAGGTTTGTACCGTGATATATGTCACCGAAGGACCCACTTCCGATCTTTCTGCCTATGCGGAACTTTCTACCGACCCGTAGATCCATCTTGGAAACGTGTGTGTTTGTGGTGGTGTTGATTTGTCACGAAAGTCGTTGTGAGTTTATTTGTGCGCTTGCAAAAGAGAGAGCCTCTTGTGACGCGACCAAACAAGTCTACGTGCAAAATTTAGCACAACGAAAAGGTACAGGAGCCACTTGCTACTGTACTTGGCACCCACGGGTCCGGTTCTGGGTTGTTCTGTCTCTCCGTATGGGTTGTGTCTCCTTAAAAATTTTTTTAACTTTCTTGTGGCAGCCGATACGTCGGCGGTGACACTTTTGCAATGTCATGTGATAAAAGGCCGTATACATTCCTTACTTAAGAATTCACTGGAAGCCAAGCTTTGTTACCGGGCTGTTCGAGTTAACGCGTTCGTGCTTTTGTGCCACCCTACACTAGGTCTGTATCGCATTCTCCCGCATTGTAGATGCATCTCTGCCGATCCACTTCGGCCTCCGTCATTACACCTGTCAAAACGGCGGGATCTGCGCACTCCGCACGAACACCCTGGCACCCCAACCCGTCGAGAATTTAGATACCATCCATAGCTACACTGATAGACACTGTCTGGCACTCGCGCTCCATCCGCCTAGACCGACTACAGCGGCGGTTTCCTGACGTAAAACCGTGCCGTTCAAACACCAAAAGATTAATCTGCTGTGGCACGCTTCTATCCGGATCACGTTGCGTCGTTGTGTCGTTATCCTGTGGGACTCGAATGTGTCGAGGGGTTTGGCTTACCATTTGGCGTATGACTCTGCAAGCTTCAGTTGTTCAGCTTAGTTTTCATGATATAACGAATTGTACATAATAGGGCATTGTTAACGTTGAACCTTGGGGATCATACAGAATGAGCCTCGTGATACTCTTAGAACATTGTGTGTCCCAATGGCCCTCGCGGTGGGCTTCAAGCGACGACGTGGCTACGACGTGGCGACGACAAAAAGCTATACTTATTTTTGTCTTGTAAGGATTCCTATTATCCGTTCCCCGCTGGTTCAAAGGGTCACCGTTCAAAGCGAGAAAGAAAAGAAGCAAGGCTATGGGAGATACAATGTACAGGAGAGCAGATTGGACGAGTGAGTAACGGGAGAGTAGCCTGATGAATGGATGATAACCTATGAGTTTTTGTGTTAACGGTGATAAGAACTATCTTAGGCGGTCACTAGCTCTTTTGTCTTATATCTTCTATCCGTTAGTGACATTGAGTTAATCTCGGGTATGCACGTATGTAGTGACGATTCACAGACGCCCCGAGATATATAGTCTTGAGTATTCGTAGGAAGTTGTTACCCGCTGATCAGGTCTGACTTATTTTTCCCTGAGAGAAACCTCTTGGTTTTACTTCTTCCTTGCGGAACGAGATGATCACTCAACTGATGGGCAATGGCCGTCAAAAGTGGAATTCAGTTTCTGAGTATCGAGAGTGACCACTGTGCGGGGTCGATAGGCTACAAACTGGTTCATATTTTTCCTGACAGTAGAATATAAACGTGGAATTCGTGTCTCTCCGTGCTTATCTTGAGTCTCTCTGCTTCTTAGCGGATGCGAAACCTTCCTTTAATCTGATAATATTCTGTCATCGCTGTCACGTGATCTTAGCACGTAACCACGCGACTTGACAATATTTTCCGTCAAACTCCTTCCGCAACAACATGCCAAACTCTCTACGCGATGGGCGCTGAGATGTCCGAATTTCTTACCGTCACGTATTGAAGTATCTGCTTGTTACACATGAGTCACTCATTACTTTTCAAATTTCACTCATGTAACTCATTGCGCACGTTTGAGCATCGTCGTAGCCCGTGGCTCAGCCGCACCAAAGGCCAGGTAAGATTCGAGTTAGCCGGAAATTGGATGTAGATTGCAACCAAATTACGACATTTAGCATGACATGTGGTTTAATATATGCGTATACTATATATGTGCCCAGACAAGAACAATGAAGTCGCTCAGACCACGCACAGCTACAACTCGCTATGACCGGAATTGAAATCGTAGGACACAGAGCATACAGAGGCCGGTATCCGGAAAACACCCGCATTGCGTTCGACAAAGCCGTCGAAGCGGGTGTGGATGTCATTGAAACCGACCTTCAGATGTCTCACGATGGCGTCGTTGTGGTGAACCACGACGTCGACACGGGTCGGATGTGGAACCAAACGTTTGTCATCAAGGACACGCCCTGGGAGCGGCTCTCGCAACTACACTGTAACGTTGATGGGTACCAGGATCAGAAAATGTTGACGTTACGCGACGCACTTCAATGGCTCATGGATAGACCCACGGTGAAACTGATGCTGGATATCAAATTCACCAACGAAAAGCTCATTTTGCAAAAAACCCTGGCGGAAATGAGACTACTGCAACCGGACCTTCAGTTTTGGCGCAGCCGCATCATCTGGGGGCTTTGGAAAGTCGACTGGTACCGGTACGCAGTGGAAACCGGCGTCATTAAGGATTTCGACGTTGTGTGTATCTCGCTTTCCCTGCAGGTCGCACGCGCGTTTGTCGATTACTCTGAGTCGCTCAAGACCCCGCATTACAAGTTGCACGGCATCAGCGTCCATTACGTCTCTACGTGGTCCCACGAATTCCAGAGCCAATGGTTCCAGATCATCCAAAATCACGGCATCAAAGTCTATGTCTGGACCATCAACAAAGAAAGCGATTTCAAGTACTGTGGATCCCTACCCATATCCGGGTATGTCACCGATTTCCCGCAAAGGGCCAAAGCGTCACTAGCCAAATACAAGAAACCAGGTAAACAAGTATTCCAAAAGCCTGCCTGGAATTCCATAGAAGGTATACGTTTTTACGTCTTTCTGGCCGCATACATTGGCGTCCAGAGCATGGTTTTTTGGCCCTGGTCCCACGTTAAGATCATCGGACAATGGTCTCTGTCGTATGTGGTCCTCAGACTACTTAGATGGATACATTTTTTGTAACCAATCCTATCTCTTGGAGCTTTTCCGGCGTGGTTTCACGACAGTTGCAGGAAAAGTCTAAAAGTTGACAGGAAAAAAGGCACGATGTTCTCATCGCCTCGCAAATTCCGATGTCGCATCCAAAGAATCACTATCCCGCCCTTTTCTACATATATAACCATTTGCGTTGAACCGATACAACAGCCTTGATGAGCGTCCAGTCAGATTGAAAATCGGATCACGTGATCTTCTCTTAAACTCGAAGTTCAAGAATATGACCAACACTGTCGGTCACTTTGAAGACGCGCCCGAGCGATCAACAAGTGGAGACAAACCAGCCCAACGCGAGGCAAACTGGCGTCTGGAGGTGATCTATAAGAGGGCATATTACATAAAGCTGTTTTAAAAGGCCTGCCTCCGTTTTAGTTCACGTTTTCTGGCTGTGTCTGCAGAATGACAGATATCCATTCTGAAATTAGAGGACTCAAGAGAAATATTCAAAGAGACTCAGAATTAGCCACTGTAAATCCCATTGTCAACTGGAAAGAGCTTGTGGCCATAACTAAAAACGAGACAAACCGGAAAAGCTCGCTCAAAAACAAGGAAAACGAATTTTTGAACCAAAACGGTCGATTAATTCGCGATCCCATTGGAGAACCACTCAATTATCGCTTGTGCAACAACTGCGACAGACCAGTTAGTGTTTCTGCTATAGTGCAGCATTTAGAGAGCGACTGCCCCGCGATTTTTGGACACGGTGCACAAGGGCGCGCAATAAAGCAAGAAGACGAGACTCGCGTCGAAAATTCAGTACCAAACATGAAACCTAGCAATTCCAAGAGATCCACGCCTTTTGAACCAGAAACATCGCCAGAAGGTAGTCCCGCAGTGAAAAAACAAAAAAAGGCTGCTACACCAGCAGGCGCCAAGTCTAAGCGGAAAATCAAGCAAAGAAATCCGACTGAAAAACATCTTATCGATTTCGATCGCCAATGTGGTGTCGAATTGCCAGATGGCGGCTACTGTGGCAGATCTTTAACTTGCAAGTCCCATTCTATGGGACTAAAGCGCGCTGTAGAGGGCCGGTCTCAACCTTTTGACGTTCTTTTGGCGCAATATCAGAAAAAGAACCAGCTGAAAACCAACGCTGGAACGAAAAATCGCGGGAAACTTGGGCCTCAGCAGCAAATTTCATCTTTAGCACAAGATAATTACACTGGCGACCAGATTACCAATGCGCTAACTCCAGAAGAAGAAACCACACAGGTGCTAAATGGCGTATCACGGTCTTTTCCTCTTCCTTTAGAAACGACGGTTTTATCCTCTACTCGTTCCAGAACCAAATATTTCAGAATGCGCGAAATGTTTGCATCTTCCTTTTCCATCAGACCGGGATTCACCTCACCAGGTTACGGAGCGATTCATTCGCGGGTCGGATGTATTGATCTGGACCGTACTACGGACTACACTTTCCGCATTAGAACACCTCAGCCTGCTAATCAATTGAATGCAAACAATTTGAACATGCAGCAGAGGCAGAAGCTGCAACAACAGCGCATGCTTCAAGCGCAGATGCTTGCACAGCAACAGCAACAGCAGCAGCAACAGCAACAGCAACAACAACAGCAACAGCAACAGCAACAGCAACAACAACAGCAGCAGTATCACCAACTGCCGCCGCAATCCCAACAGCTATCATCCGCACAGCATCAACAACAGCTCTCACACCAGCCGTCTTCACTCGCTATGAAATCTAGTGAACAAGGTGACAAGACCGCTAACATTTCTTCCCTGATGCAAAGCGGCGCAGAGACAGGTCTAACACCGCAAGAAATTCAGAGGCAACAGCAGCGTCTAAGACAGCAACAGGTCCAACAACAGCGCTTCGAAGCAGCCGCGTATCACTTGGCCACGGCCACTAAGCTAATGCAAAATGGTCCTAAGTCTCAAGTCAATGGGAAAGCTAATGGGTCCGTTTCGTCCATTGGATCGCCCGTCAATTTGAATGCACTGAGCCGAAATGGAAACCAAGCTAATATGTCGACAGGATTTCGGCCACAGTAAAGCTTGAATTGTGTTTTAATGTGATCAAACAACGTTATTTAGAATCGACCAGAGGTGACTCTGTAGTGTTTTATTGAAATTAACTATGTGGGTATGTAATTCATTTATAAGGTAGGCTTCTCGTTCCAATAAAAAAATGATTGAGAAGAAGGAAAGAAAGGCATAGATTTTAGGAAGGAATGTCAGGCAACTTATCAGCAGAAATGCGATAAATCCTCTCATTACTTGAAAAATTTGCTTTCTAGCCTTGTAGTAGCGCCAAGATGAGCACTCTTGAATGTTTTCTTCGAAGCTATGCGTCATAGCTTCTCTTGAAAATCTCTCCTTTACTCTGAGAGGTCCGTTTGTATGGAAAATGGTTGTCTTCGGTTTTAAAATGTCCTTGGATTGATTCAACACAGCAGCCCATTCTTCTACAATTGGTGGCCTCAACCAACCCGTTGCTTCCTCGTCGTTTTGACCTGGCTTTAATGAAACGACTGTCTCTAGTGGCCCGCCATTACTAACAGCTAACACTGGCTTCCCAGCTTTCATGGCCTCCAGAGGTACTATGCCAAAATGTTCATATGATGGTGTGTAAAGTAAAAGTTCCATCTTTTGAAGTAAAAGCTCCTTAAAGGAAGATGAAACGGAAGTCAAAAAAATGATGTCTGCACTTTTCAATTGCAAGGCAATATCTGACTTCAAAGGTGTGACATCTTTGCTAAAATGGATGGTAGCAGAAAATAGGCCGCTTTGTTTAACGATATTTTCAAGTTCTCTCAGATATTCTCTATTTTCATCAATACGGTAGTCATAGCCACCAGCTAGGACCAACTTGAAGCGGTTCCCTGGGGCCTGCGATTCGGCAAAGGCCTTGAGCGCAAGCTCGATGTTTTTCTTTCTCTCAAAACGGTTGATACTCAGGTAAAACTTATTTTCAGCTAACCTGAGTTCTTGTAATATACTTTGATCTTGAAGAGGAATTGTTACCGGGTCAAGACTGACACATGGATACACGACTTCCGGCTCAGATTGAAGAAAAGTGAATGTTTTACGGAAAACAGATTTTGTAAAGCCCGAGTTCACCACGATTGAGTCTGCAAACGCCATTGTGACCTGCTCTAAGAGATCGAATGGAACGCGGTACAATTTTTTAACCCAGCCTTGTCTCTTGGCTAAGAGCTGATCCGGAAAATGACAGTAAAACATGACACGCGTTTTCATGCGCCCGAAAATTTGTAAGAGAGGAACACATGTGGATAATTGGTCCACAATAAACACATCATGTACACCAACTTCACCTTTCAGGACCATCTGCGTTGTGAGATTCAATTGTCGAAGATTAGAGAACAAAATAAAGAACTTACCGGCCAAATTCGTTGGAAGAAAATCACCATAAACCACGACCTTCAAACTATTACTTTTTATCTCCTCAAAGCAATGACTCCTGTCGCAATGACTTGTGTAGATGGTTACTTCAAAACCTCTCTCTTGTAATCCTACAGCTGCATCAACAACGAGCCTTTCGGCGCCACCAATTCCCAAGTCAGGGTGTATAAAGGCAATTTTTATTTTCTGATTCATCATATCGGAAAAGATGGACCCCTTGGAATTCTGGTTTGGTCACCTCTCTGCCCTTGATTTGCGCTTTAAGGCGTAGTAAAGTTGCTTATTGGTAGATCAAAATCAAATAATCTTGAACTTTGACATATCAAGATCATCGCAAAAAACCATGAAACAAGTGCAGCGGGTAAAAAGAGTTAATGGAGTTCTCAGAGTTTGTATGAAAGGCGCTATATCAAGGTACTCCACGTCCGAGAAAGCTGCAATCTTTCAGAGGCTGAAAGATCTTAAAGACGAAAGTGTTATCGATAAGAGCGATCCTTTGGCCAATATGATCAAAGGTGTCTTTGATAAAAATGAAAAACTGATTGATATTTACGAAAAGCTCCCACAGAAAGAGTTTGAGCATAAATATTGTTCTAACATTGTACACGCGAAATTGGGACCCCACGTTCATAAGCATGCGAGAGATATAGCGCTATCGAAGCCCTGGACAGGTGAGGAACAAATTTTAGACACATCGATGAGGATGATTGTGGATAATGTGAAACCTGCTGGATCAGGTAACAATGGAAGTGCGAATGCCAATACTACGAGCTCCAAGAGTCATATGAAGTTACGGAAACTGCGGGCTCGACTGGAAACCACACAAGATGACGTGATTAATTACAGGGCCAAAAGGGACAAAAGCGAGAACGACAGTGAAGCTTCGCAATTTAGAGCTCTGCTAGCAGAAAAATTCACTCCAATTGGCTCTTTTGAAAAGCTCCAGTCGATCGCAGAGGTTAGAATTGAGGAGAGCATTAAAAGTGGAGCGTTTGATTCTCTCAGCAAAATGAGAGGCCGCAGCCATCAAAACATGAGGTTACAACCGCATATTGAACGAACTGAACAACGTCTGAATGATATACTCGTGAGACAAAACTCGCTTCCTCCTTGGATCGAGAAACAGTGTTCTGTAAATGGAGAGGTGGCGGATTTTAGGCGCCAGTTGATATCCTCGCTCGATTTAGCGTTCAGTTGTGCTTTGAAAAGACATGATTTTCATGACAAGGTTTCCGAATTATCACATTCTCAGCTTCAACATTATGTTAACAGCAGAAGAAACATCCTTGAGGATCTGAAATCTGGCGTATTTTATCAATGGAAACACAATACAAAACAATTAATGAAAGACAAAATAAGAGGTGTTAATAATACCATGAGGTCTTATAACCTTCAAGCACCTTTGTCTACTCAAAAATATTATCTGATTCTGGAGAAAGAATATCAAAGAGCATATGAAAATGTTAGTGTCACAAAGAGTTTACAAAATTTTGTCGCTGCACAACGACTGAAAAAAATCAATCAAGTAACAACTCAAAACTCTCAGACCTCACTCAAAATCAAGTTTCCAACTTTTTTAAAATTTTGGTAATTATACTTATGTTCAGATATATAGAAAACGAGTTCGATCGATGAATATTCTTTTAAGCACTTACTTCTGCCACCTTTACGGCTTCAGTTTTGATATCTTGTGCTGGTTTCTTGCCTTTCCTATAAAATCGAGTATTCCCTGGAGCAAACCCGCCATTCCCGAATAGAGCCCATTCTGGTGTCTCCTTGATGTAGTCTAAGTGACTAAAAGTGCCTCCAGACTTGAGTAGCTCAAAAAATTTATCGAAATCGATGTGTGTATGCCACTTTCCATCGATTCTGAATATCGTATTGGCAATCAAAATACAATTAGAATGAGCGTGTTCCGCAGCCACGTCGTAACCCAAACCTCGTTGCTGCAACTCGGACGAGAGTGCCTTCACAAAATTTGTACATTCTTCATAGAAAGGTATGTTTTGCATGGTTAAAGGATTACCATTACCGTCAGAAGACCCACAAAACGTTGCTCCCTTTACCTCGATAAAACATGGCTTTCCCTTTTCGACCAAATCTGCGTAAGCCTTAACCTCTGTCATGTTAAAGCCCTTCACCAAGGTGAGCCGGAAAACAGTACGCTGATGCGATTGAGTTGTTTTCAAAATTTCCAAGCATTCCAGCATCCTTTCCCAAAAATCACGATATAGAGGTCTGTCAACCTTTTTCAGTTCCATTTTCGTAGGCGCGTCAATTGAAACGTACAGTTGAGTTACTTTCCCTAGATCTCTTAGAGGTTCTGGATGTTGAGCATTGCACACAAGAAAACTGGAAATGCCTTTTTCATGAAGAAGCTCAACGAACCGGCTGATGAAAGGGTACATTATAGGTTCACCCACTAAGGAAAGGGCACAATGTCTGACTTCAAAAGCTTTGGCAAATCTCTCAGCAATGACACCAGGGACACCTCTCAATTGCTTGATCTTCGAGTAATGTCCTTGCAAGGCGTTCTCCAAGATGTATTCGGGGTCATCAACCTCCCACCTCCAATTTTTAGATACTGGGTTGGTACCGTGCCTCCAGCAGAAAACACACTTTGAAGAACAAGCCAAAGACGGCGTAAGCTCCATACACCTACTAGAAACGATGTTAAACAAAGAGTGCTTGTAACACGAGCCTCTTCCTCTTAAATCGCTCTTTGTCCATCTGCAAATTTTGACACCAGAATGAGAACCTACCACAGTATAGCCTTGCTTTGTCAGATTTTTGTAAGTGGGACTATCTTTCGAAATCATCTTTTTCATCTCACCAGTGTTCGGAAGTTCCGACAACTTTCCGAAATCCTCAAGATCTCCCAAAGTTTCCTTTTGGTTGATTTCTGCTACTTCGTCGTCGTCGAAGGTCTCATTGTACTCGTATAGTATAGGCTCATCATCCTGCAAAGTTTTAGCTAGTAGTTGTGCCCACCGGGTGATTTTAGCATCTCCATCATACTTCATGCATGCTTCACCAACAGGGAATACTCTGCGGCCTCCCAGTTTTGCCATCAAACAGTCAGCAGTCTTGGCTTGATAACAGAACTTTTCAGGCCAAGTTTCAAAGTCACCGAGACCCAAAACAGAATAACCCACCAACTTTCTAAGAGGGTACTTGTCGACTCTAAAATCTTCTGCATTCTCCTCCAACGTTTGTAAAAAGTAATCGATTGGAGAATCAGTTTCGTAAGAGGGCAAAACCAAAAAGTATAACGAGTTCTCGGTTGGAACATTAACGAAATAGTCATCAAAATCCGCTAATTCGTCAATGTTAAGAATGACTGGGCTGTGCTTCAAGTCCTTGATCTCAGATAAAACACCACTCAGAAGCTTCGCTGATCTTTCAGCTGCTCCTTGGAGGGAACTGTAAAAGATATATATCTGTGATCCAATGAGTTTTCCTTTTGAAATAGTGAGCGCTTTCTTGAAAAAACTTTGCTGGTTCTTAGCCGCCTTAATTCCACTGCCCTTGCCGGTTTTAGAAATGATCCTTGGCATTCTTTTCTTCATAGGACCGGATTTTGACGCATTAGGGCTTTTGAAAGCCTCTGTGAAATCTGTGGCAAGATTATTTGATTCGATGGTAGCGCTAGGTTTTACACTCACAGTTTTCGACTTCTTGGAGGAACATGCGCCACCACAGCAGCCCCCTTTTGATCCTTTCTTTGACGAACAGCATTGTCCGTTACTACCTCCGCAACATGTTTTTTTTTCGGTGCTTTTCACCCCTTCATCCTCACCGCGCTTAACATCAGACACCGACGACGATGCATCATGCTTTGCCAAGCAAACAATAGTGAGCAGAAAACAACCGACAGAAATACGACCGCCGTCCAACATGTATGCTGCTATCGCAGTACATGTCAACAGAATATCCAGCATAGCGGGTGTTTTTTTGCCACCAAGATATCACGTAGCGCTGCTAACATCGGCGATGACCATTAAGATCAAAGAGTCTCAAAACTTTCAAACTAGAGAACGGTCGTTTTCCACGAATATCGAAGAAAGTCGGTAGCAGTCCATGACCAATGTCAAGGAGTAAACAGAACATGCGTGTTCCGTCAAACCCTTCTTGATATTAATAAGAGCTTTTTGTAGACCCAGTGAAGTTTTAGGTCCTTTCATGATTGAATTCGCTTAGCATGTAAAGTCGTGAGAAATCTGCAAAGGATTAGTGGTCAGTCGCATGAAAGGTATCGTGTCAGGCAATTGTTTAGCAATTTGCTATTTCTGTGAAGCCTGGTGATTACTCTCAACGAGAAATGTTCTCCTATGTTTTGAAAGGTTTGACAAGAACTGTTTCTTCTTTTGAGGCTCGAAAATAAGAATAAGTTTCAATGAAAGCCATTGCCTTTGCTAACTCATTGGCATTGAAATTGTAGTCGATATTTGAAGAGATAGCTTTTTGAAGACTTTCGGCCTCATCTTTATAGTTTATCAAGTCTCCGTCGAATTCCCCGTATAGTTCTAAAATCCATCTTAGGCTTTCAGCTACGCTTTCCACGGGGCAACTCTTTCTCAAGAGCAGCCAAAGAACGTAAAGATCATTCTCAGAGCTCAAAGTTATGTCACCAAGTTCGGCAAGCCCTTGTGCGATGAAGGCCGGGTCAAGCTTTGATAACTTTTTGGTAGTAACAAGCTGCTTCTTGTGCAAATTAAGCAAAAGCTTCTCCTGACGTTTCAGCCCATCAATGGAGCTTTTCAGTATTTGTACTTGACCCGCTTTATATGCCTCAGCACACGCCTTTCGGTACACGTTGATAGCGTAAGTGCCTTGAAACTCGACAAGAGGTGAGCTTTTGGTTGATTTTAATTTCTCTGCGAGAGCGACCCTTAGATTTTGGAGACCTTGGAGACGGGGGCGAAGGTGATGACGTGTTTCACCTTCATGAGCTTCCAGTCTGCAAAACAACGCGAGTAGTTGTTGTAAGCAGGTGTCATTCTCAAGACTTATCAAGTATAGCGCCCCATCAGTATGGTCATTATGTTCGTTGGAACTCTTGCTTTGATCTGTTTCAAACGCAAAGTGTGTATAGTTGGAAAGGGTCGGTAAAGCGACATCATTCTCCATCAAAATGCTGGCCAATATTGTAGGCGAAAGTTTGATTCGAAGGGCAACGGTGTCAAAGACATTGTTTTCCAACACAAATCCATAGCCCATTAGAAGCTCTTCGTTACCTTTACCTCCGTAGTTATTGAAAATCTCGCTTCCCGCAGAAACGCCTTCAAGCTTTCTCAAACGGAACGAGCCCTGTTTATCACCTTGAGACCACTCGATTTTAGAATTGAAATCGTGGTTTAGTAAATCTATGATAGGGAGAAGCATTATGCTCGAACTTGGTCCATCCTTGTTGATGATATACTCAGGAAAGGCACGAGAGAGGAAGATTAGGTGCGACCACAAATAAGCCTGAAAGCTGAACCAGAAATTACTTCCACTTGACGTCTCGGACGTGTAGTTGAGGTAAACGTCTTCCATAGTAAGAGCGGAAAAGTCGCAAGTGTCAGGCTTTATAGTCGACTTGAATCGGTCATCTTGACTCAGCTCAGAAAGTAGACTTTGCCACTCGTTGAAAATTAACTCAAGCTTCTCACGCAATGAATTGAATAAATTGGTTCCGTTCAACAAATTAAACTCGGCAGGATTCCACGTCAACGGCGAGTCAAGAACATTGGGGAGCGCCTTGATGTACGGTGCAAACTTTGTTTTCAAATCCTCTCCATCAACAAGTGTTGGTGTAGTATCAAACTTGAGCTTCGCAAACAAAAGCTTCAAATACGTGTTATAACGAGCCTTGGCGCCAAAATAAGCCTGGCTGAGCGCAGATGTGATCACCAAGGTTGAAGGTATTTGAAGCCGGAATTCAGGTTCATCGCACTTAGCTACACAACAAATTTGCCCACTTTCACTTTGAAGAAACTCAATAGTGTCCGGAAGGTTGACTCCTTTTTGTTGAGCCCACAAAAGTAGGTTTTCTATGGTATCTTCGCTCATCATCGTATGCTAATTGGTTTCAATAAAAAATGGGTTGACTTTTTCAAAAAATTCTATCAGCGAACCATGCGATGACATACTTTTCAAAGCGATCTTATTGTAGAATTCTCATGGTAAGGGGCGAAAATTCTCATTCCAAAAGCAGAGCTGTCGCTTATTGAAAGCCAGTAAAGGTTCTCTTTCCACGCCTCAATCGAAACTAAGCAATTATCTCCATAAGAATGTAGACATCAAAAAAAGAGAATATGTGTCTATTTTAAAGCCCTTTTTCAAATCCAAAAGACCATTTTATACTCGACTATGTGATTGTATTAGCATGCGGTCGCCCGACAGTTTGTAAACCGTTCTTTTCTTATCAACCATTCCGTTCTTGAAAATGCATTCACTCAAGTCATTCCGTTTCTTGTCTCATTAAACTGCTAATTTCATATTTTACTACATAATCAGCTCACAAAAGATATACCAGACGAAAAGCCGTCCTTTTATAGCACAAACTCGCGCTCGGCGGCTATCTGTAAAAGGCGATTTAAGTCATATAAATCCTCTTCTTCATCAATAAACAAACCGTATCAACATAGTTAAATCTTAAACTCCTAAACACGACGTATAAAACTTGACCAGGGGATTTGGGAACAAGAGGTAGATTGGTTTTAAGCTTATATAAGCTCTTCGAGGCACACTTTATTAAGTGCTTAGTGATATGTTCAAACGATTTACTTGGTCAACAAAGGCAAACTGAACTGTCTCACTCTATGAAAATAGTACTAGAAATCCTACTAGTTAGAACATGTTAATCGACCTGTTAAACTCAAGAAGGTTGAGAAATTTTGCAAATGGAAACCAGTGACAGAACTACTTGAGACCATCATAAAGGACGACAGATCTCGATTTTGTAAACACACATATCTCGATCGAAGGAGACATGAAGGGTCTGCTTGAAGGGGGATATAACCGAAGATATGATTAGTAGCAACCAAAGTCGTCGAGACTCATTGCAACAGCGCAACCTTCTGCTTAGCATGCGCTTGAGCCAGGGCCCTGGAAGGAGAAGCTTGAATTCGACCTCGCGACAGAACAGCGGAAAATCGCTAGCAACAAAAAAGGGGAGGGTATCGTTCTCACAAGCGCATTATGGCGACGAAAGTCGCCGAGAGATAGCTTCCCCGTCAAGAATCACAGGAAATCATACAGATAACCTACAAACTAGCATCATTCCACCAAGAGGTGAAACCTCTAAAAATGGAGACGATGGTTTGCCGACGGGCCTACTGCGGAAGACCTTCAATCCTAAAGCTTTTCCAAAATCTCCCGTAGAATACATGTGCCTGTCTTTGGACGACTTTGACATCGGGAAAAAGCTCGGGAAAGGAAAGTTTGGCAAAGTGTACTGCGTCAGACATCGACAAACAGGGTTTATATGTGCTCTCAAGGCTATGAACAAGAAAGAAATTATGCAATATAGTGTCCAAAAGCAATTTAGGCGAGAAGTGGAAATTCAATCCTCTCTGAAACACCCAAATTTGACCCAGTTGTATGGGTATTTCCATGATGACAAGCGCGTTTACCTTCTGATGGAATACCTCATCAATGGGGAACTTTACAAGCATCTCAGAGCTAACGGTCCTTTCAACGACATCATTGCATCAAGCTACGTATATCAAATGGCGGATGCTCTAGACTACATGCATGATCGCAACATCATCCACAGAGACATCAAGCCCGAAAACATATTGCTAGGTTTCCAAAACACTATAAAGCTAACTGATTTTGGTTGGAGCGTTTCAAACTCAACGGGATCGAAAAGAAAGACGTTGTGCGGAACTATAGACTACCTTTCCCCAGAACTCATTAAATCAAAAGAATACGACGACAAAATTGACGTTTGGGCTCTGGGCGTGTTAGCCTACGAGCTTCTGGTTGGATACCCGCCATTTGAAGAAAACTCCAAGGAACTTACTTATAAGCGGATTTTAAAAAGAGACCTGAAATTCCCAGATCACATCTCTCCTCAGGCACGCGACTTGATAAGCAGGCTTCTCGAGCACGATCCGCAGTTGAGAATAGATCTCAAGGAAGCCAAAACGCATCCTTGGATCGAGAGGAATAGGGATTATTGGTAAGCTGTGGCATGCCAAAATGCAATTTATAAGTTATTTACAAGCAAAGTCCTCTCTCTCAAGCGATGGGAATATGGTTTCGCGCCACTTTTGGTAAACCTTTAGCCCAAGACTTAGTTTTCTTGTCGGTTAACATGAAAACTCTGCCACTTTGGTTCATCCTACCGGTTCTCCCCACTCTGTGAACAAGGTCAACAGCCGTCTTAGGAACGTCATACAAAATAATGTTCCTAACACCTTGAAAGTTAATTCCCCTCGCTGTGACGTCACTGGTTACTAGAACTTTTAATGTGGCTCGTACTTCGCCGTTTGAATGAAAAGAATTCGATATGATAACATTTGACCCTGGAACAGTATAAGAAGTTGTACTAATCTGCTCCGCAGCCTGGTCCCGAAGATCTGTAGTAGCTGATTTGAGCGGCTGCGGAGGAGAGACAAATGGCTTTATCTTTTCTGCACGCACTTCGGCAGAATCCTCTCCTGTGAGACCAACGCAATCGTGCCCAAAATCATTGACCAGCTTTTCGACTATATTTGCCACGTCTTTCTTCTCGTTAACGAAAATAATGGCACGCTTTTGAAAACCCAACTCAGTGCCATCCATTGTAATCGCATACAGAGTTTGGGCCAGTGCCTTCATTTTTGAACCTTTGTATGGATTTAGAGTGGCATCAATCAGTTTAAAGTCAATATTGTTCGGTAGCCTATGAAGCTTAGGTGTGCTTATCGAGTGAGAAGTAGGAAACAAACGCTGCACAGTTTTTCGAAACTCATTGGGTATGGTGGCCGAACATAAAAGGAGGTGGTAGGCATTCGGCATCATTTGTATTGTCTTGTAGGTCTCCTCAAGCCACGACTTATCCATTAACGTGTCTGCTTCATCCAGAACTACAAAAGAAGTTCTCGCAAACAACCGCTCGGGCCTTTCAATGATACGCACATTAAACAGGTTTAACATTTTCCCCGGCGTTGTGACTAGAATGTCGACCCTGGCCTTGACGCTGTCCAAAAAGCCACTGTAAGTGGACCCTGAGCCGTACTTGCATGCATTCAAATCAAGAGCTTCTGCCATCGTATTGACAGTATTGTAAACCTGGTCTGCCAATTCGTGCGTTGGCACCAAGATGGCGGATCTGATCACGGCTTTGTCCTTCAGACTTTCCCATTCTGCAGCGTTTTCAACTTCGAAACGCTTCAAATAGTCAAATAAGGGTATCAAATAAGCCATGGTTTTCCCAGATCCTGTTTCAGCAGCAATTGTGTGCACTTGAAGTTTTATGTCCATCAAAGTTTTAGCGAGCTTTTGAATTGTAGCAACTTGAATCGGAGAAGGATTAATGCTATCAGCATCAAGCCCAGAATGTTCTTTCTTTATCCTCACTTCCTTTCTATTGCTCGCAATATAATTTCTATTGTTTAAAATTGATTCTTGTGATAAAACTGACTGTGCGGCTGTCCGAACGTCAGGTAGAATTTTCAACTGATGGAAAGTGGCAACTTTCTTTAACAAAGCGCTGGTTTGCTCCACAATCTTGTCCTCATTTTCTATGAGTCCACCGTAGGTTCCATACTGGAATGGTGTGGGATTTAGACTGGATCTTTTGTCCTTTGCTGGATGTCGCTTCCTTGGCGCATTGTTGCTTGTCTTTACGAGAATGTTCGGCTTCGAAGTCCTATAAAAACGTCTCGAGTATAACGACCATTCCCTCACAAACAATAATGGTCTTGATTGGGTGACAGAGAACATCGAATCACTGTAAATGCTATACCTCGTCCATCGCATCTCTCGCCCAATTTTCATACGTCGAGGCTTTATTCAACATTTTGAAAAATTTTAGATATAGGCGAGACCAACACTACTGAGACAAAAGAGAGCTGGATACAAGTTTCACAGGGATTTTAGCAATGGGTAAGGAAGATCTCACCTCTTTATTCTCCCTATTGGATGTTCAATCCAAAAACGAAGCTCATTACGAAGTTTCAGCTACCAGTTTGAAGCTTCTGGAGAGCGGGTGCACTCGAGCTATAGACGTTCTGAAGCAATGTCTTGTGGCCCTCATTAAACAGGACAAATACGAACAATGCTCCTTGGTTCTCAAAAGTTACGCCCACATTGACTCCGGAGACAGGGAGCTGCTTATGGAAAAGTTGTACATCTATTACAAACTTAACGATCGTAGGGCATTTCAAGAGATATACCTGAAGATTGAGCCTGGACTTGAAGAATCTGCAAAACAGAAGACATTGACTAGGTATCAGAGAGGCTTGCTACATGTGGTAGCGCAATTCCATTACAAAATTGGCAAATATTCTAATGCTGTCAGAATTTATCAGCTGTTGGCCGCTATTGAAACTGAGAACAATGACAACGAAGTCGAACTTGCCTGCAACGAACGTGCGGCTCTGTGCTACTCCAGTGACATCAATACTGTGGCTGTAACTTCGATTTTTGAGGATTCGTATGATTTGCTGATCAACCAGTCCCTAGTAGAATCCGCCAAGGGCAACCTCGAACAAGCGTTGTCTTTAGTGCAGAAGGCCAATCGGCTAGCGGAGTCTGATGGGTTCGTTGAAGATCAAGCATCTGCGATTCTACAGCAATCTTTCCTACTGCAGCTATTAGGTAGGGAACGTGAGAGTAAACAGCTCTTAGAAAAAATCACCAGCATGGCTGGCGCTGCCGATGTAACCAGTCTTCTAGCAGTAAACAATCTGCTTTCTTTGAAGGACCTATCCAAGTACTCTTCAAACTTCACCTTACTTTTAAGGGAGCTGAACGTTCAGGGACTCACTTCAAGTTCCGATAAGTTCACCGTCGAGCAATGGGATACTTTGCAACAAAATATTTACCAACTCAAGTTTTTCGCTAACTCCACATTAAAGTCCAAGAGCTCAACTTTCTCGCATACTTTGTCGAAATACCAAGAACTAATTGGAAACGTTGCATTGGATCCATACAAACATCAAGCAAGAAAGTTATTCAAACACACAATGTCCGTAATGAAGTGTGGAATTTCGGGGAGAGTCATTGGGCTGCTTCTCTTGGCCATTCAGCTTCAAGTGAAGGACAAGCAATGGGACCGTGCTATTTTGCTGGCGGAGTTTTTTTTGAAGGCCAGTAGCGATAAACTAGATGTTGAGCAGCAGATTTCGATATATCTCTTGATTCAATTGTACCAGAGGGCAAACAGAAGCCAAAACAAACACAGACTTTTGGAAAGTTTGCTTGTGAGATTCAAAGAGACAAGCTCACGAAGCGATACTGAATTTTGGAAGTTTGTAGGCTTCAATCTTTTGGCAGAAGGCAAATTTGCGGAAGGAAAAGCTGTATTTGAGGAGCTTTTACGTTCAAACCCATCCGACGATCTAATAAACAGAGTTTTGGGTCAGGGCGACGTTTTTGAAGGCATTCACGATCAACAACTAGATAGCTTGATTTCCGATGTTGACATTGATGAGTTGGTGGCTCTGGGCTCGATTCCCTTCAAGGCCGAAGGCGCACGGGCTGCGCCAATAATTCTGGCTAAACCTCCCAAGAAGAGAAGGGTATATAAAAAAAAGAAATTCTCTAAAAACTACCCCGAGAACACACAACCTGACCCTGAGCGCTGGATTCCAATGAAAGAGAGATCTTATTTCAGACTAAAAAAGAAGCAATTGGCGAAACAGACCCAAGGAGGTGGATCTGGCAACAAAAAATTAGAACAATCTTTGGATATTTCTAAAGCCAAATCAAAAAGCATCAAAAAGTAAGCTATTTAAGAAGGCCTCATATTTCGCGGCCGCCGCTTGTATGTAACGTGATTTGAATGGATATATCTCATATTGCACAGGCCAGGGCCCTTGTAAAAAGCATGCAGGGTTTATTTTTTTCATGTGAAAAGCGTGTCCTCGTCTCTCAAATATTCTCCAATGTCAGCTTGCCTAAACGCTACGATACCCGTGGGCTGCATATCTCTGGCCTCTGACGTGCTTTTAGAACTTACTCCGAATCCAAGTGGCACGTCGTGCATAGAATACACGATAACACCCGCATGTTCGGGAATATCTTCTGACATTTTACCGACGTGCGCTTTCAGAACATGGTTGCCATACAGAAAGGGCATCTCACCGTTGGGCTTGATCCATATCTTGTATCTGGCATGTTGGGCAAGCACTCCAAGAGCGGTCACGTGAACGCGAAACTTACCGGTCTTGGTGAACTTTCCGAGGCAGATCCCAACCGACATTAAATTTGGTCTCGCCACTGATGTGGCCAATTTTGCTACATGATCAGGGATGTAGTATACGCGGTCTTTCTGCAATCTGAATACGAATGGCTGTTCTTTGTTGCCAATCAAAAACTTGATGTTTCTGCCAATGTAACCAGCCAATTTCTCAAAAACAACCCTCGTCTCTTCCTCAGTAAGTTGCCTCATAGTGTGTTGAAGTTACTAGGGATGCAAGTACGATCAAATCTACCTAAAAATATCTCCCAAACCTGAGCGTTTACGCCGAGTAATCGTTGTTCAAAGATCATCTCATCGCATGTTGAAAAATTTTGGTAAAATGAAAAAGAAATTGATTGCACTAAACAGTCACGTGAACGTATTATTCCTGACTTAAGTCTAGAAATGAGGCATATGAGTTAATCTAGAAGTCAACTGATGATATAGGGTGAACTTGTACTTGAACAAATTGAGGGACTTGCTTTTTATATTTCTGTAGGGTCTTGTTTCTCGAGAACTGCCCGTAAATAGGCGCTTTAGCTAATTAGAAAATTTTTGAAAATATCAATCTCATCTCATCGGCCACTTGTCGACTAGCTAGAAAACAACCAGGACCAACAACTGATGAGCTCTGAGAGCGATCTAAGGCCAGAATACGCTGATGATCAGCCTGGTGAAGAGGCTTATAAAAGAGGGAACCAGCATAAATGGACGAAAACTCGCAGATCGGATTATGATAGGGACGATACTGCGGATTCTGACAGCAAGAAATTGTATGTATGTGCGCAGAGTATTTGATAAACATAGTTGTTTTTCACTAACTTTCAAGATTTCAGAAAGATAAGCAGTGAGAAAGGAGATGGGGATCGAAGCAGTGGCGAAACTAATGCCAACAAAGAACCTAGATTACCCAAAAGGAAAGTCGCTGTGATGGTCGGTTTCTGTGGAACTGGGTATCACGGTATGCAGTACAACCCACCAAATCCTACCATTGAGTCCGAGCTTTTTAATGCGTTTGTCAAGGCTGGAGCCATCTCAAAAGCGAATTCGACAGATTTGAGAAAAAGCGGATTCATGAGGGCCGCTAGAACCGACAAAGGTGTTCATGCTGGCGGCAATGTCATTTCTTTGAAACTCATTATCGAAGATCCGGACATTTTGAAAAAAATCAACGACAATCTGCCCGAGGGCATTCGAGTGTGGGACTTCAAGAGGGTCAACAAGGCCTTCGATTGTAGGAAAATGTGCAGTTCGCGCTGGTACGAATACCTCTTGCCCACTTATTCATTTATAGGGCCGAAACCTGGCAGTGCGCTGTTCGAGGACATTGAGCTGAGTAAAGTTGAAAAACCAGGCGTCATTCCAGCAGATGAAGAAAGTGCTGGCTTCTGGGCCGCTTTCAACAAAGATGCGGTCAAAACTTTTTCCGAAGCAGAATTGAGTGAAATAAATGAGTATGTTCCTCCGCCAAGAAATGAATTCGATGAAACTGACCCCACCTATCAGCTTGTGCGGCAGTTCAAACAGTTAGAAAATACCCACCGTAGAGCTTACCGGGTGTCAACCGCAAAATTGGAGGCATTTCGAGCAGCAATGGCCCAATACCTTGGCCCGCACAACTTCCATAACTTCACTTTGGGAAAAGATTTCAAAGACCCAAGTGCAATCAGATTCATGAAGGAGATTAAGGTTTCTGACCCGTTTGTCATTGGCGAGTGCAAGACTGAGTGGGTTTCCATTAAAATCCACGGCCAATCGTTTATGTTGCATCAAATTCGGAAAATGATTTCTATGGCCACTTTGGTTACACGCTGCTCATGTCCTGCTGACCGCATAACAGAATCTTACGGTGCACAAAAAATTAATATTCCCAAGGCCCCAGCTTTGGGACTTTTACTCGAATGTCCCGTTTACGAGGGCTACAATAAAAGGCTGCAAGAATTTGGATATGCTCCAATCAACTTCGATGAGTATCAAAATGAGATGGACGCTTTCAAAATGAAGTACATTTACGATAAAATTTATCAGGAAGAAGTGGACGAAAATGTGTTTAACGCATTTTTCAGCTATATTGACAGCTTCAGTAAAGTCACTGGTGTGCATTCGGAGGCAGGGCTAGCAGGTTCCGAAGTCAGCGACAAATTTCAAAAAAGCGTGTTCGACTTTTTGACGGCGCGGGGAATTCACAACCCAAAATCGAATGCGAATTCTAAGCCTTTAGAGTAAACAATTGAACTATTCAGAGACTATTTTGGTTATAGAAGAGCACGTAGTTTAGAAGAGATTTTACTTGTCCATTTCAGCTGTTCTTATATTGCCAACCTCTCGATATTCTTCATCTCTTGGATTCATCGTTATGTACTGCGTAAAAATTTCTTCAAAATTGCCATGTACCAATTAATTTGAACAAAGCATAATTCCTGAGACCAAGGATGCTAAGAGCCACTTCAAGAAGTTTCACTAGCTGCAGCAGACTTGGGGCTGCCGTAAGTCGTGGCAAACCACAGGGCTTTGCAAAAAAAGCCGGGAGCAATGGCAGGACTGCGGCTAAAAAGGTGAGTGCTGGATCGCTTTATAAATCCTGGGATCAAACGGTTGCGACCTCGCAATTCAATCGAAATGCCTCACCTGTTGCATTGCCCAAATTTGAAAGTAAAGATGTTAGTAAGTCTTTGAATGAGGTCGTTTCTTACTCGAGCAGTCAATACAAAGCTCTTTATCATTTGGGCTCTTTCAAGCAGAATCAACGTCATGAGTTATTTCCGCGGCCTGTATCACTTGTGAGAGAAGCGACGACAAGAAGGCTATTTGACGCTATTAAAAATTCGGGTGATAGGAAGTTCGTTTTGACGGGGGAACCTGGTGTAGGAAAGTCAACTCTATTAACGCAAGTGCATGCTCTTGCTGTTGAGCAAAAATCTGTTATTCTCAATATTTCTCATCCGGATCTCTTTCTTGACGGTAGAAATGATTTCTACCACGACGGGAAAGAGTACGTTCAGCCAATGTATTTGAAAAGGCTGTTTTCGAAACTTTTGAAATCTAACGATGCTGATATACTCGCATCTATTCCGCTCAAAGACGATCATAAGCTTCTGGGTCAAGCTACGAAAGAATCTTCGGTGGGAAAATCGTCCATACTCACAGCAAAAAGACACACACTTTTGGATTTACTCTCTTTCAAGGCAGCTCCAAGAAGTAGAGGTGAGCAGTTCACCGCGGTAATTAAGGAGCTCATGAACCAAGCCAATGTCCCAGTGTTCGTCACAGTTGATAACTTTTCTCGTATGCTATCAGAGCCTTTCTCAGCTTACAAGGACACTGCGAATAGAAACGTTCACATCTTTTCTTTACAGCTGGGAAGAACAATTATGGACATAGTCAGTGGGAAAATTGGCTCTCAGAATTCAAAGAGCTGCGTCATTCTTGCAACATCCGGCTCAGATCGTACAAACCGCACGTTGCCCATTGGTCTCGGAAAACTTGATCATGACCCTTACATACGACTGAAGCACTATGAACCAAAGCTTGCCGAACTTTTGAAAGAGGGCCAAGTGAAGGAATTTATGGTTGAAAAGCTCACGAAGGAGGAGGTTAAACAACTACTTAAATTTTACTTGAAGTCAGAAATTTTTTTGAAAAGAGACTCACAGGATAAAGAATTCGATCAAGTCGTTGACGAAAAGTATTTTTTAAGTGGCAATGGCAATCCTCGCGAGCTTTTGAAAAGCTTGGTTTTGCACATGGCTTAATAATGGAGCCTTAGTTTTCATGTAAATAATTTTTTGAGTATCCCAACACTCAGGTTTTCTGTTTTTTGGGTTCAGCCATTGCTTCTTCTATTTCTTCCGACCAGTTGTCTTCCTCGTCATCCACATAACGCGGTTGGTCAGTGGGCGGGCCAGCGGGCTCAACAGGGCGCTGGGGTTGAGCGTTTATTTCCTGAAAAGGTCGCTTTTTGACATCATGCCTATCAACCCAACCTTGTTTCATTTGGCTACTGGCTTCTTGCAAATCCTCGACTCTAACAGAATCGCTAATACTTTCCAACACCTTTTGTACAACTGAAACATGGTTACCATTGAGTTTGTCATCTCGGAATCTTAATAGTCTCCAAGCTCCGCTTTCCTGATCCTTTGAACACTCAACTATTCTCCCATTTAGCGGCTGATCCAGATTCTTCAATTCATGCCATTGTTCATCGCTAATTTCGAGCTCTGCGAATTTCTTATACGTCCTCTCTAAGATTTCTAGTTCTTTTTTGGAAAATGGCTGGTCGAAGGTGTGCAGTCTGTTGTTGACATCAGCACCGCCTTGCCAAATATAAAGTTGAAAAGCAGGTTTGACATCGTAATTAAAATAAAATCTGCTAGGATCGTTTTTGGGTGTTGTTGTATCTTCCGCGATCGGAATTTCTAAAATGACTTTGAAATCGACACTGTTTTCTTCTTCGGGTTTCCACTTCAGTAAAAGTGAGTCTTTTCCTCCAACGTTGTACGGCGTATTAACCGGCGTGAAGATCAGACCGTCCGACACATGCGGTAAACTTTCAAGAGAATTCACTACTTTCATTAAATCGTAGCTGAAATTCATGTGCTTCATGGATATTTTGAACGGGAAAGTCTCGCAATGCTTTGGATACAGCGACCTCAAGTCATAGTAAGGCTTATAAAATTCTTTTCCAAGATGTGCAAGCCGCGAACTCGTTGGTGATTGCACTATGCACCTTCCATTGATAGCCAAACAGTCAAACATCAGATAGCGCATTTCTTTCAGTTTTGTTACAGGATTCGTTTGCAAAACCAGTTCTCCATCAATCAAAGTCCCATCTTGAAATGTTTCTAATAATTCCTTCCGCGACTGACGTGGAAGCCTTGGGAATCGGAACCCACTCACTAAAAAATAATTGTTTTCTCTGTCTATAATGAAGCAGCCTTGTTCCTTCGTAACTGGATTTATTACAACGAGCATCAATGCTCTAATTCCATCCGTCTTTTCACACACATAGTAGTCTTGCCCACACAACTTATCCTCAATGTCCGAATGCTGAAATGACACAGGTTGCGATCCTGGAAACGTCTTAGCAGGTTTTGGTGAGTTTAAAAGCTTTGAAATGAGCATACGAATATCCTGCGTTACATTGGCCGGTTGTCGAATTCCTGGAATATCTGGTGCAGTCCTGCTCTCCATCTTGGTCTGTTCTTCTGTGCTCTTCGGTATCTCTGTTAATCATGATTTAGGTCTCGACAATATTTCAAATTTTGAATCTTCTACAGCATCAACTACTTCAATAGCCCCGACTTCTCATGACGCCGATTTAAAGCACTATGAATGTGGAGAGGCGGTCTCTTTCGAGACGTTCAACCGCCAAAAAGGTTGATTATAATGAGAAGAAGGCCGATGAAGACCTCGTCAAGCGACTCAAACGATTAGAAACACCGTCGAACAAGAAAACTTCAGAGACCGTTAAGAAAAAAGGTTCCAAAGAGAAGTATCAGCAGTTTCTGAATAATAAATCCGTGGAATGGAATTTCATACCGTCTCTTCCAGCGACTTTCAGAAAACATAGCCGGTTTTCTAATATTTTGGACTTGGAGGACGCTTTCGTTAATATTGTTTCAGATACTTTAATGCAAGAAGGAAATGTTATGCTGCGAAGGAATGATCATATTTACATGGTTTCTGAGCCTCCAGGTGAACCCTATTACATTGGCCGAATCATGAGCTTTGAATGTAAACAGGAGTATCGGGAATTGATAGCTGCCTCGGAGGATTTTACCGAGTCCTTCCCTGCAAGATATTTCCAGCTGAAAATGAACTGGTATTACAGGCCGCGAGATATCCAGAATAACGCATTGACCATCAGCTCACGACTTCTGTATGCGTCCCTTCATGTTGATATTTGTCCTATACACTCTTTCCGGGGAAAATGCACCGTTTCTCACAGGGCACTATTAGGAGAGTCACCTGAGGCGTTAACCGAGTTTGTCGTGAAACCTAACCACTTCTACTTTGCTGACCTCTTCGACAGATATACACTCAAATACTATCCAGTTTGGAGCACACGACAAATTCTGACCATTGACCCTTCGTCGTCATTTCTCATCGCCATGTCCAGACGAATACCGTACATTTTTGTTGAGGAGACCTACCCAATTACTAAAGTGATAGAAAAGTACGTTCTTAATCGGCCTCAACAAATCACTTCAACAAGTGATGACGATTGGGATCAGAGATGCGGCCATTGCTCAGAGTGGTGCGAGAAATCCCAATTTTTAAGATGCGATGAATGTCGAATGGCTGTTCATCTGTATTGTTTGAGTCCACCGCTAGAAAGAAAGCCTGCCAAGAGCGTTTGTTGGATATGCTCAAGCTGTTTAGAAAAGGGTACTGCGGTTGGTCAAACAAAACGCGAACAAGAGATAAAGGAAGAAGTCGCCCAATTCAAGATATATGCGGCTCATTTAGAAAACTCTGGGAAAGCAGCTTTAGCTGGATCACTGGACGAAAGCCATATCTGGTTTCATTACCTTGGGATGAAGCTTATAAGTTGTTTGGATGACATTCTTTCTCCATACCTGGGACTGCCGTATCCACTCAAGTGCTCTAGAGTTGGAACAAAATACCAATGGCCTGATAATAATCTTGAGCTAGGCTCTACAGCGAAGTCGAGATCTCCCTCACCTTCTTTAATCAAAGAATCGAGGGGAAATGCCGAAACTTCGGAGCTTTTGTGGGTTTTTGATACGTCCAAAATATCTATCAACGAACTTGATCATTACATGGATACTTGCCGCCAGTATTTTCCTCCCCGACTCAGCATTTCGTCGGAAACATGCAATTTTTTGGATGCTGCTTTAAAAGCACTAATAAAAACGGATTATAATACCTCAGACGCCCTGGCTTATTGCAAGAACCATCTTTCTCGCGAGTTTTTGAGAGAGCCAACCTTGACTTCCCTGGAAGTCACCAAATTTGAAAAGGCAATTGGGAAATATGGAAGCGAATTACACCCTGTCTGCAAGTACGTGGGAACCCAGCCTATGTCCATGATAGTGAGATTCTATTACTATTGGAAAAAGACTGAAAGTGGAAAGGAGATCTGGGGAGGTTTCAAAGGACGTGGAAAGAACAAGAAGAAGCAAACCCTCAAGTCGTTCTCAGAAACACAGAATAATCGTAGAAGGCGCGAGAGAAAACCTTCGCAAGCTTTGAAGTTTAATGACGGAAAGCCCGCTAAGGAATGGAGACATGTAGATGATTCATCCTTCGACTCGGACAAAGTGTCAACCTTCAAGACTGACTTTCAATGCATGTTTTGTTCTGTAGATTATTCCCCTTTGTGGTACCGTGTAACCGGTGGCTGTGACGACGATAACATTAAAACAAGAATGATTACAGGAGTTAACGAGCAAACAACAACTTCTCAGAAGGGACCGAGTCGCACGGCAAAGACCGCTCAAGTTCAAAATACTGAAAAGCTAGATGCTCTCTGTATTCGATGTGCTCGTTTATGGCGAAGATATGCCATAAAATGGCAACAACCCATGGATGTTTTGAAGAAATTAAGTGGCCGAAGTATGAATTCAATCCGGGAGGCTTTAGACAAGGTTTTGGAAGCTTCAATTGATCAAACGTCAAAATTGCCGCCCAAATTAGCATATGAGAAGGGCTTGGATTGGGAGTTAATCCAAGACACTGAGCTTGTTCTCCGTCAGCGCTTCGAAGCGCTCAGTGATCCAGATCGACTTAATAAGATGAGAAGAAATTGCTCGTCCATGCATACTCAACTCAATAAATTAGTTCGACGGCCAGTTGGCGTTAGTGACACGGATGTCAGTCATCTGAAACAGGAGTTGGAGGTTTATATTTACAAGGTCAAAGAAGACTGTGTCCGTAAGGAAAGGGCAAAAAGGGCCAAGGATAAAAAGATTTCTGATAAATGTGCTTCAGTCAAACGTCAAGGAAAACCAGCAAAATCTTCTTCTAATAAAGGCAGCAAGAAGCTGTCAAATGTTGAGGATGAGAAAAGTATAAGCCCAGGCGTAAAGAAAATTAAACCAAGAATATCGAACAAGTCAGCCTGCACTATTGATATTCCACGTGTTGCAACGAACGGCACGGCCGTATTATTCTCTAACGACGAAAAGAAAATTGGAAGCATAACTTTCGAAACTGACTTCAGCCATTTGAAGCTTTCAGATGACCTAAATCAGGCACTTAGAGCACAAATTGACTTTGAGCTCCAAAAGCAAGAATTTCTTGACATTGGCAAATCTAAAAAACAGCTATTAAGCCAAGAATCAGAAGGCTCGAGAAAATCTTACGGGGATTTTTATTCAATCTCCAACATAGGGAGTTCTTCTCAGCCTTTAGTGCGCTTCAACTGCGTGGCCGAAACGGTCAAGGCTTACGCCAAACTGCATGAGCAACAACGACAATTGCTCCTTCAAGTGTCAGGTGCCCGGTCGCCAAGCTTAAATGAGTTTCCGTCTATCCCATCAAGTGCACATTCCATCAAGGCACCAGAAAATAAAATGAAAATCTTTGGGCAAAACAATGTAGGACGTTCCCTACGTAAAGACAGGAATTACTGCTGTGTTTGTTTGGAGGCGTTTGATAATTCACGGCGGGAAGGTTTGGCGTGTGCTAATTGCGGACTTACCGTTCATCACTTTTGTTATGGCGCACCGCGTTCGACAGTCATAGGTAGTGCGGAACAAGGTGGTGGAAGCACGTCGAAGACGTCAAAGTGGTTGTGTGATGTGTGCTGCAATGATCTTAATCCAGTGGCTTCCACTGACTATAAATGCTGCTTGTGCAATGCAAGGGAAATCGATTATGAGGGTGCAAAAGGCCTGAGTGATAAAACGATTCCTGATGCCCTCAAAGTAACTATGGAAGGCGCCTGGTGTCATGTTATCTGTGCTCTCTTCAATGCAGACATTGCGTTTGGTCAGGCTATCTCCTTTCAACCAATTACTGGTGTCAAATCTTGTTTAGCGGCCAATCAATCAGTTCGATGCTCAGTATGTGATTTGACAGGGGGTGGCATTATTAAGTGTAGTGACTGTGGAAATACGTTTCATGTCACTTGTGCTCAGGACTCAAACTGCAGATTATGTTTCGAAGTTTCCGACAGCGACGAAACGCCTCCCGATAGGACGCACAACTTTTTGAGACGAGGGCTAAATCTGAAAATCAAACCAGTAACAACATGCTGCTTTCACGGTGATGTGGCAAGTCATCCAAATAGGTTTCCCTTGACGTATGAGACGCCCTCAGGCTTCAGATTGATAGAACTCTATGCAAAAAGTTGTAAGCAAAGAGGAGGCGATGTTGGCAGCACGGTTTCGATGAGGTACCAAGACCAGAAGGCCGCATTATCCACGCTAGCGGTAATGCGGAATCCTATCAGTGTGGGCATGGCAACTAGCTCGAGCTCTACGAAAACCTTTTCGAGAATGTGTCTTAAATGCCATTCGACCTGCTCTATATACTGGTTTGCGTCACTATGTCATTCTTGCAACATGATAGAAAACAACACGACTTCTGAACAAGACGTGGTACCGGAAAACCTGACAAAAGATTATTTTAAGGAGCCTGCACAACTTAGTGAAGGGTTTTGTAGGGCCATGATGGAAGGTATTGACGAGCAAAAATTAAGTATTTCCCTAACGGAACGCTCGAGCCGTAAAAGAACGGCTTCTGGGACTAATTCTGTGAAAACATGGGCGAAAGGTGGCAAGAAAGCACCAAAAATGTCAAAAGTTAAAAAGGAGCCGGAATGCGCTGATTTGAAGTCTACAACCCCCCTGCTGCAATCAGTAGTTGTGCAACACCCGCTTCCGCTTTCGAAAAGTGTTCCAAAGTAATTCGAACAGGGTTTAGACGCCACCAGATAGAATTTTCTCGATTCTGTCGATTTCTTCTAGAGTTGTTGCATTTGAGAGTTGATCCTTTAACTTTTCGCGTGTATCTTCATCAAGCTTCATGACAACGTCTGACATCAATTCGGCTGACTTGTCACGTGGTGCAGCAGAGGAAACTGCAGCAGTTATTGTTACGCTTGCGTCTGTTTCGAGCGAGTTCTTCGCAGCCCCATGAGCGACTCTTCTCCGCTCCCCATCGGAAACAGCGGTAAAATCGAGAGTTTTTATACCTGGTAAAAGTTGTATTACATAGTCACGATACCCTTGCAAGTAGCATACACCGTTAGAACGCAAATTGACGTTTTCGAGGCTCGCGGGTGCACTTTTCAGGTCGTTTAATTGCTCAAGATTATCGATTCCATTTCTTGCCAAAGTAAGTCTTTTCACGTTTCTCGGTAGTAAAGAACCATTTGGACTCGAAATTTGGTTTCTTGAACACAAGACCGTGTGCACATCCGTCCTATCACTAATCGGCGGGAGTTGCGTCAAATTGTTATTTGTTAAGTCCAAAATATGGCAAGGATATGGTAACTTCGTCAGCATCAACGGCATGGAGTTCTGATCCGTTTCAAGATCCAAATCCCGCAGAGTTACGCACTTATCCGACTCACATTTCCCGTTCAAAGCGTCTTGGTAGTACGTTGGAGCATCTAGTACTATGCCTGGAGTCACTATCATCGGGGGTTTTTCTTGGTGAGTTTCTTCAACAAGACACCTTTTGTGATATTTCATTATCTTGAAATATTGGGCAAGTATTAGCAGTTGAACATCAATGGATATGATCGTATAAAATCAAAAGGTGGAAACAAGTGGAAGTGCATAACAAACCACAAGATGAACCACCCGGTGGATTACCTAGTGAATTTATTGCAGGATCGACAGGTGAATTGGCTAGATACATTACAGTTGGCACAAGAACGAGACCTTTGATAGAAACAAGTTCATCCGATTGACCAGATGTTTGATAAGAAGAACGTCGACTATTCCTTGTATCTGGTGACAGACTCGACGATGCTACCTGAGGGTACTACGATTGAGTCGCAAGTCGAAAGCGGTCTTCAAAATGGTGTAACTTTGGTACAATTACGTGAAAAGGATATAGGGACAGGTGATTTCGTGGCCAAAGCCCAGAGGATTAAGAAATTATGTGCCCAGTACAACGTTCCTTTGATTATCAACGACCGAGTTGATGTAGCGCTTGCTATTGATGCAGACGGTGTGCATGTGGGTCAGGATGATATGCCCGTTGAACTGGTGCGTAAACTTCTGGGGCCCAGCAAGATTATAGGATGGAGTGTGGGTTATGAGCACGAAGTTGAGAAGCTTGCAAAATGGGGGCCCGGGGGTGTTGATTACATCGGTATCGGAATGGTGTTTTCGACAAACACCAAGAAAAACCCTAAGAAATCTCCCATGGGACCTCGCGGAGTTTGTAATATCTTGGACGCTTTACAGGAAAACAAGGCAATCTGGTGCAAAGCTGTCGCAATTGGTGGCCTTCATCCAGACAACATTCCACGTGTTATGTATCAGTGTTGCTCTCAGGACGGGTTAAGGACAATAAATGGTATATCTTTAGTGAGCGACATTATGGCCGCAAAAGACGCTGTGTTGGCTACCAAACGCCTTAGGTCGCTCATAGAGAACCGTAATTTCAAGTTCACTGAAGGCTCTACAAAGTTTCAGAGTTTGAGTATGGAATCTGTCGCGATCCAGAGTGTAGTAAACTCGATGAAACAAGGGGCACCTTTGGTACATCATATTACCAATAAGGTCCATCAAAACTTTGGGGCCAATGTCGCGTTGGCTCTCGGTGGTTCGCCTATCATGTCGGAAGTTCAAGGAGAATTTCACGAACTTGCCTTGATTCCACATGCAAGTCTTTTATTGAACACAGGATCTGTGGCGCCACTCGAAACCACTGTCGCTGCAGTCAAAGCTTACAATGAGGCTAAACGGCCAGTTGTTCTTGATCCTGTGGGATACAGTGCCTCAACGGTGAGATTGAATCTGAACAATCATTTGCTTGCAATCGGACAATACGTGTGCATCAAGGGAAATGCTGGCGAGATTTTGTCTTTGGCCGGTCTCAATAGAGGAAAAATGAAGGGCGTCGACGCAGGAGACTTAACGTCTGACAATGACGTATTGATCAAAGCTACAAGGCGCGTGGCATACTTGTATAAAACAGCCGCTGTATGCACTGGCGAAACTGATTTTGTTGCTGATGGGTTCATCAGCGGAGTTAAAAAACTGAGCGAAACTTCGCTAATGACTGCTGACGAACTTCCTTGTTATGCAATTAATGCAGGACCCTTAGATATAATGGGAAGAATCACTGCCAGCGGATGCTCATTGGGTACCACTATTTCAACGTGTGTCGGTGGAGTCACAGCAGGACAAAGCATTTTGAGTGCCGTTTTGACTGCAGTGCTACTGTACAAGTCTGCGGGTTATGAAGCCCAACAAAAATGTCACGGCAATGGTAGCTTCCAAGTTGAGCTCATTGACGCTCTTTACAGACTTTCCACAGAAAACCAACCTTCTTCATGGAAGGCAAAGCTTTCCAAGGTTTAGTGAACACCTTTGAATTTTCAAGCCTAATCTATTTACAGTTATTTGAACCTCGATAAATACACATTTATGAATGTTTTAATTTTTGTAGGAGAGATTACTCTTGTCGCTTGGTAATAAATTGGGATCAGCATCTATCGCCTCATATCTCTTGATCGCTTCTTCCTTCATTGCAGTCTCTTGCGCATGTGTTAATTTCACAACAACTTCATTTGGAGGAACAAACCTAAATTTTCCCAAAGCGAACTCTCTATCCGACATCTTACTCAGCACGTATAATTGGGCACGCACATATTTCACCATTGCTTCCAAATGAACCAGATCGACGTTCTTACGCCCGCCAAACAAGTTTCTCCAGATAGCAGCCGCTAAAGTAGCATCATCGGTGTAAAAACCCTCATCATAAGCAAAGACAGCACCACGCAATTGCGAGTTGAAATCCTTGAGATACTGATCAGCAATTCTTCCCGAATTGACGTTCATCTCTTCGAACAATCTAAGCTCTATATCAGCAAACGTGCGATCCACGAGCTTCTGCTGATAATTTTTGCCGTACTTAAACGGCATGGCGCGCATTCGAACAAACAAGATCCATTCGTGAAGAATAGTGATTTGAAACCATTGTGAGAACGTGCGCGGAAGTTTAAGATCCTCATAAAAAAATTTTGCAGTCTTCGAGAGTTCCTCATTTTCAAACTGCAGACCTTGTTCCTTGCACTGTGCGTAGTAAAAGGACCCAGCAATGGGACCAGCTCTTATTTTATCCATATCTAGCCCGAACCCACGAATGACAACTTCACCTAAAGCTTCTTTCCACTTAGGTAATTGATAACTCTTAGATTCATATTTCGATTCCGACAGCAACGAACGCTTTCCTTTCGCTTTTACTGGTGCATTATTCGAAAGGTCAATTGGTTTTGACGTCAACTTAGAGTTCTTTGCTTGTTCCTCCGGAGATTCCAACTTCTTGTCGACTTCCCTCTCTTTACTTGCAAAACTTCTCCCTTGGCCCCACGAATTAATCAAAGATGAACCATGAGTTAGTCTTGCACTCCTATAAAGGGGCTTCGAAACTACCTTCAACATTTATAGCACCCAATCGTCACTTTTAAGACCTGTTTTTAAGACAAGTAGTCTTCTTCACAATCGAAAATTTTTGACCGATATGCTCTTAATTGACTTGTATAGATTAAACTCGAAAAAAATTGTTTAGCAGACGACAATAGTTCCTAGGGAACGTGGATATTAGCCCAAATCAATCTGTTGATTTGCTGAAATTTGGTTGGCTTAAAATATATGCGAATTTGAACTTCCAGAAACCTCTTTCTGACCGTCGCTGTCGTTGTTTAATAATAATTATCCGAATGACGGGTATAGGCTGGGTATCATCTTCAGGGTTTCTTGTTTATTACACGAAAGGTGTTCTCCAGAATTTTGCTCAGCCTAGATTCCGAACTTCTATCAATCTCAACTTTCGATTCTCCGGCGGCACCTTTGTAAAGTGTAGTGTTCCAAACTTTTCTTGCTGCTAAATTATCCCAGGATGTAGCTGTTTCAAGGCAAATCGTCCTCTTGAGATTCGATAATTCAGTCAAAATTTCGGTTTGACACTTCAATTTGTGATCCCTGACTTGCAAATTGTTTAAAGAGCCCTTAAGTGTAAGACCATGCTGCTGAGATGAGTCTTTTGCTGCGAGACTCCGCGATTTGATCAATTCGTCTCGTCGGGTTTCAAGCTCCTCGATCCTGTTCAAGGCTTTTCTCGTTTTAGATGAATCGTCCAGTTCCATTAGCTCCTGCAAGATATCATCGAGCTCGCGTTCATTTTGAAGAGTTTTTTTGTAGTCTAAGGGCTCCAAGCTCTCAACGAAGTCATCGTCACTTAGCGTGTACTTAGAGAATTCATCCACCAACGCGTTGATACGTTTGTCAATGCCTGCTAAAATGGTTTCATTTTGCTTCAAATCCTCTATTAAGCTACTCTGATCATTTCTGAGCCCTTTGGACAATTCTTGCTCGCATTTGATTTGCGAGCTGAGTCGAGTTAGCAAGCACAAGAAGTCTTCCTCTGTATCAATTGCAGACCATTGCGTGCTGGAAATCTGAAGTCTTTCCGGCATTTCGTCCAAAATTTTTTTTTGTATGGGAGAGAGTTCAACGGAAGTTGTGATCTTTCCGCCTGCGTCCAACAGAGTCTGTTCTAAATTTCCATTCACAACATTATAAGACCCGTCATCAACCCTGTATATTTGGAATATACTTTTTGTAGCTGCTATGCTGGAGCTTTTAGAAGTTGTTTCAAGCCATTTATCAATATCTTGTACGGAAACCTCAAGGAAGTAGGAAGCCTCCGAAATGTAAGGTCCCTGGATCCACAGCTGTGAAAATTGAGTTTTTTCCAGACTGTTCAAATTCCTGTCCCCTTTTCCCTTAAACCAAAAGTACTTATTACCGTGCCTATCTTTACCCACAGGTCTCAACTTCTGAAGATCGTTATCAACCAAAGCTTGATCCAACAAGACTTTATCCCTCCCCAATTGCTTCACGTTTCCTTCGAGCTCAATCAGGGACTCTCCCAATTTCTGTGCCTCCTCCGAATTAATCGTTGATTCATTTGCTTCCTTTACTTGAGTTGAAGTGTTCTGCAACTTGCTAATCTCCACTTTTAGGTCTCGACTGATTTTGAAGCGCTCACTTCTCAGTTGAGAGCACAACTCCATTGAAGCGTCCACCGCTTCTTTGATGTCCTGCGAAAAGTTGGAAGTCAAATCGACCAAGATCCAAAGAGATTCCACCTTCTCTTCTAAGCTTAAATTCTGACAAAAGTTTCTCCATAGACTTTTTCCCAATTGGGTTTCGTGCCCGCCTGAGGGCACGACCTTGCTGATAAATTTCTCGATAAGGTCTGTGTACAGTGGCATGTGCATACAATCCTGGTAAACTCCCAGCAAGATGATTAACCACGATCCATTTTGGAAATTCCGCTTGATGAGTCGTTCTGACCAACTGATGTTCCGATAATTTATGCTTTTTTCTAACAGATCATTGATATGCGGTTCTAGAAGATTGTCACTTGTGTCATTCTTGAGTTCCTGGTCCTTAACAGCGCCGGTGTCTGTGTTTAAGTGATTTGTGCTCATTTCTTCATCGACCTTCTCTGTAGCCTCCTCCTCTAACCATCTTTCTGCCACTAAGCAGCGCCAGTCTCCTCCCTCGTCAATAAACAAACGCAGTAGTGCTACAAAGCATTCCACCAAGAGCGAACATCCGCTAGCAGCGACGTCATCAAACACCACTAGACTTTCCAACTCAGCTTGCTCTACCTCATAGCAGATATGTTGCGAAGGTTGACAATTTACTAAATCGTTAAGCTTCGTGAAATAGGAAGTTGCCCCAAAAGGAGCTTGTAACGCATCTTTGAACGTCGCTAAATCAAAATTTTTAAACTCGTCCTCAACTTTGGGATTAGCTCCTCTGATAGAAGCTTTAATCCGGGACGGCGATTGTTGTGGTATAGTGGTACATTTGAGGCTCATTACAAATTCTTCGAGGGAAAATTTTGAAATCATAAGAACCTCTTTGAAGGCCATCAAAAATTGATGAATTTCAACTAATTTGGTCATCGCCGGAAACTTGCACGCAATGGACGTCTGAGGGACCTTCTCTAATCTTTGATCGTAACAGTAAGTATTTTTGTAGGCCCTTTGAATCAGTGGTACATAGGGGATCCGAGACTCACTTTCTTTGCTACGATGCAAAGGCTCTTCTACTTCTTTGGTACCGCCATTACCAGTTTTCGATTTCTTCAAACCTGAATTTTGTTCGAGGTTATTCCCATCCTCGGCGGTTCTCTTTCTTTCAATTCCCTCACCACCAATCTCTGAATTTGATTCAATCACGCTGTTCTTGTCGTCGTCCTTTAAGTGAGCCATCTCTGCTGGCCAATCCATTACCAAGCCATATACTGGAAGATATTCATTTTTGACACACCAAGGTGCTCCCATTTTGCTCGAAGCGCGTCGCAGTGTAATTTTACAAAAACATTTAATAAGGTGTTTCGTAAACGTCGAACGGTCGCGGTATATTTGGGTCTGGTCTGCGATTACAGACCTCAACCCGTGCTCGTCCACCAACATGTATTTCGAAAACGGTTGTGGTGTACTCCCGGGAATCTCAGGAACAGCTGCTGTGTTGAATTGCGCTTTTTCCCTTATAATGTATGAACGCGGAACTTGAATTTGCGAGACAACTGGGCCAGTACCATCGAGATCGTTAGGGGGGGTCGGTGAAATTTGCTTAGGACCCTTTTTGCGGAGAAAAACGGTTTCTCCGGGGTAAAAATCATTCTTGAACTTGCTGTAGACACGCTCAACAAGCACATCAAGTCTGCGGATCTCGTTGAAATGCAAAAAACGTGCGATTGGCTCTCGCAGCTTTAAAGGAAACTTTTCTTCAACAAGTCGGAATTGAAGCTCCTCGCTATTCAAAGCATCGAAAAACGTCAGGCTCGATGTTCCTGTGATCTCGCACGTAAAATGTCTCGTCTTGTAAAAGTCCAATCTGTCCAAATATTCCTCATATGATGTGAACCACTCTCCAGTCTCATTCAGATGCCAAACATTGACGCCCAGGTTCCTCGGTAGCTCTTTTGCAGCGGGAAGTATGATAGGCTTCCTTTTGTAAAGAACCATGCCTCTTTTGGATCCTCTTTGGCACTGATTTTGTGTTTGAATGCGTTGAACAACTGGTAATTTTCCATCCCATTTAACTTGCAATATTTACATATTTATCAATATCAGTCGCCCTTCTAAAAAGTTGCCAAGTCGAAGTATATAAGCGATAGATCCCTCGCGTTCCATGTGATCTCAACTAATATTAAGACAACCAGTCTGATTAAAGTCCCAAGGCTTCAAAGGTGGTCAAGGTGGACAGTTTCACACGATAGTGTGTTATGGAAAGAGCCCTTTACATGGGAAAGCCCGTTCACAACTCTGGAACGATTTCAAGATGTCTACGACGTTGTGACTCGATATAACACGTTGCAAGATCAGCGCGAGCCGAATGCCTCCAACGGTTGTCGATTTTGCCAAGCATGCCTGTATGCCTGAAAGCTCTCTGGATCTTTGAAGAACTGAGGTCAATGACGTCGAACCTGATATTCAACACGTGACCATTTTTCATGAATTAGAAAGCATATTAGAAAATTTTCAGGTAGAGTTGAGCTCATCGCATCTCATCGCGCTTTTTAACGGAGCGCTGAGAAGAGGTGATACGGCGTTTACGGCGGATTTGAGCTGAGTATTAGGTGCTAAAATGGAGCAATCCAATAAAGAACATCGAAAGAAGAAGGAAAGCTCGACGGCTAAGCGTAAATTGCACACGCAAGGACACAATGCCAAGGCTTTTGCAGTGAGTGCGCCAGGGAGGTTGGCCAAGACCATTCAACGGACCAGTGATGTTAATGAGCGGAAACTGCACGTACCAATGGTGGATCGTACACCTGAGGACGATCCTCCCCCGGTCATTGTCGCCGTGGTGGGCCCTCCGGGAACGGGGAAATCGACTCTTATCAAGTCGTTGGTTAGAAGATTGACGAAGACATCTCTTTCTGAGATCAATGGTCCGATTACAATCGTTTCGGGCAAACGCAGACGTCTCTCGATATTAGAATGTCCTGCAGATGATTTGAACTCAATGATCGACATTGCGAAGATCGCAGATCTGGTGCTCTTGATGATTGACGGGAATTTCGGTTTTGAAATGGAAACGATGGAGTTTTTGAATCTTGCGCAGCATCATGGTATGCCGCGTGTCATTGGTATTGCAACGCATCTGGATCTTTTCAAATCTCAGTCTACGTTGCGTGCCTCTAAGAAAAGGTTAAAGCATCGGTTCTGGACCGAAGTGTATCCAGGAGCAAAACTGTTTTATCTCTCAGGTGTGCTGAATGGTCGTTATCCGGACCGTGAGATTTTGAATCTTTCGAGATTCATATCTGTGATGAAATTCCGGCCGCTGAAATGGAGAAACGAGCATCCTTACTTGCTTGCCGATCGTGTGACTGATATCACCCACCCAGAGGTATTTGAGAAACAGGGGAAACAAGTAGATAGGAAAGTTGCCATTTATGGGTACTTACATGGTACGTCTCTTCCCTCTGCGCCCGGAACTCGGGTCCATGTTGCCGGCGTGGGAGATTTCTCTATAGCAAGTGTCGAAAAGCTTCCTGATCCCTGTCCTACTCCTTACTTTCAGCAAAAAATGGACGATTTGGAACGTGAGAGAATGAAGGAAGAAGGTGCTTCCGCAGCGTTGCCGCGCCGTCGCAAACGGCTAGACGACAAGCAGAAGCTAATTTACGCGCCAATGTCGGATGTAGGTGGTGTTCTCATGGACAAAGACGCTGTATACATCGACGTGGGAAAATCTAGAGACGGCCAAGGTCCTAGTTTTGTCGCAGGTGAGGAGAAAGGCGAGGGCGAAAAACTAGTCACCAGTCTTCAAGCCGCAGAGAAGAGTATTGGAGAGAGTTTCGATAATGTGGGCTTACAGATTTTTAGCAACGGGCAGGAATTACGGGAAGCTCCAGAAGAAGAGTCGGAGGACGAGTCATTAAATGAAGAGGCGACACCTCAAGGCGATGAAGGGAGAAAGTTCCTAAGAAACCCGAGAGTTTATGGAAAATCTATTCAAGAGGCGGATGATGAAATTGATAATCTCCGCTCTGACGACGAAATTGATGAAGATAATGGTTCAAAAAATATCTCCTCGAAGTTTGCTGAGGACTTGGAAGGGGAGGCTGATGGCAAGTTGGATTTTGAAACGAGTTCAGAGTTTGAACTCACTGATGATGAAAATGAAGACACGTATAGGTCTACCGCTATCAAACTGAATGGCAATGGGTCTCTTGCACGCAAATGGGATATTGGGAAACTCATCTACATGGAGAACATTAATCCTTCCGACTGCATAAAAAGGTGGAGAGGAGGAGAGGAAGCCCTCTCTGAAGGTGGTGACGAGGAGGAGGATGGCGATTTCTTTAAAAAAAGTGACGTTTCGAAAAGCTCGTCCGCAAGTGACGAGGATGATCTGGAGAAGTTCAAGCCTCATTTTGATACCTTCAATAACCTTGTTGCCAAGTGGAATTCAGCCGAAGGACTCAGACGCCGGTTTATTGGTGCTCCTAAAGTCTCTGACGTGGATCAAGGAAACGCTAGCGGAGACAGTGAAGGCGATGAGGAAGAGATGTATGGTGATTTTGAAGATTTGGAAGCCGATAGTGGCGAGGCTGAAAGTCAACATCAAGAGGATGAAGATCAAGTTTCAGATGAAAACGAGTCCGAGGATTCGTTCGCGGATTTTGAAGAAGAAGAAAAAACTAATGATTCCACGCTGAAGGAGCGTGATGCAAACGCAGCCAAAAAGGAGGCGCTTCGCTTGCAGTTCGAGCAAGAAGAGGGTGACAACTTCAATGAAAATGATCCTGATAACGAATATGACACCTGGTATGAACTTCAAAAGGCAAAGATGGCCAAACAGTTGGAAATCAATAATGCAGAGTTTGCTTCAATGACATCGGAGCAACGTCAAAAGATCGAAGGATTTAGGGCTGGTTCATATGTCCGTGTCGTTTTCCAGGCCATACCGATGGAATTTATCGAAAATTTCAATCCGAGTTTCCCAGTGCTCCTTGGTGGCCTTCTGCCCACAGAAGTCAAGTTCGGAATTATCACCGCCAAGGTTAGACGCCATCGTTGGCATAAGAAGATTCTCAAAACTAATGACCCGCTTGTCTTGTCTCTTGGTTGGAGAAGATTTCAAACGCTGCCGATTTATACAACCAGTGATTCGAGAACAAGAAACAGAATGCTGAAATATACGCCGGAACATGCATATTGTACTGCTAGTTTTTATGGACCCTTATGCTCCCCCAACACCACCTTTTGCGGTGTTCAAATTGTAGCCAACAGCGATACCTCCGGTGGATTCAGAATTTCCGCCACGGGGATTGTCTCGGAGATTGACGCTACGGTAGAGATCGTTAAGAAATTGAAGTTGGTCGGTTATCCATACAAAATCTTCAGGAACACCGCCTTTATAAAAGACATGTTTTCGAGCGCAATGGAAGTAGCTAGGTTTGAGGGCGCTCAAATCAAAACCGTGTCCGGCATAAGAGGTGAAATCAAAAGAGCTCTTTCGAAACCTGAAGGGCACCTCAGAGCTACCTTTGAGGACAAGATTTTGTTAAGCGACACTATTATCTTAAGAACTTGGTATCCAATTCAAGTAAAGAAGTTTTACAATCCTGTTACATCGTTGTTACTCGAAAATAAAACTGAATGGAAGGGCCTAAGGCTCACGGGTAAAATAAGGGCTGATCTTGGCGTGGAAACGCCATCAAATCCAGACAGCGCCTATAAAAAAATCGAGCGTGTTGAAAGGCACTTCAATGGCCTCAGGGTTCCCGTTTCTGTACAGAAAGATCTTCCTTTCAAATCTCAAATACATCAAATGAAACCTCAAAAGAAGTCTACCTACATGGCTAAGAGGGCAGTTGTTTTAGGAGGGGAAGAAAAGAAGGCTCGTTCTTTCATGCAGCAGGTGTTCACGCTTTCTAATGCCAAAGAAGAAAAGAAGAAGGCCAAAAAGCAGGTTGAGAGACGGGAAAGATTAAAGAAATTGGCACAGATCGAGGAGGACAGAATTGACAAGGAGAAACATCGTAAAAAGGAGTATTTTTCAAAGCACGGTATCAAGCGTTCATCGAATCAAGATGGCGGAAACGCGAGCGGCTCCAAGAGAAGAAAGTAATCCTTTTTCCACAATCCCAGCATTTGACCAGGCGATAAAAATAATGTTTCTAGACACCAAAATATATATATGTTCTACAAACAATTAGAGTGTGCAGGTGCCAAGCTACATTCAAATGTATTGAGAAAGCCATTGAAAGGCTTCCAGATAACCATTCTTCATGACAACAGAGCACATGAAAACCTCTACTGGCCTTTGGCCCTCAATTCTAGCTCCACCTGTGGTGTTAAGCAATCCAAGAGCTGATCTCAGCTCTGTCTCGGAAACAGCGTTTGGTGAATCGATCTTGTTGCCGAGAATAACGAATGGCACATCTTTAAGTTCGGCGATGTTGAAAAGAGCATCTAATTCGACACGAGCCTCGTTGAATCTTTCGGGGTCAGCCGCGTCTACAAGGAAAACAATACCATTGACTTCGGGGAAATAGTCTTTCCACAAACGGCGGGCTTGAATATGACCACCCAAGTCAAAAGTTGTGAATTTTATGTTGCCAATTGCAAGCTCTTCTGAAGTAGGATGCCATGTGGGTTGCAAAGTGGCCAGTCTGTCATTCTTTAACATGTGTAGGAGAGTAGTTTTTCCTGCATTGTCTAGACCTAAAAACAGCAATTTCCCATGCTTATTCCACAATCCTAGTGACGACAAAATGTCTCTGACTTTAAACAACAAATTCCCCTGTTAGTATCCATGTTTTTTGATTTAGGCCTTCTTCAAAATTTGGAACCAAACCCCTGCATCTTTCCAAAGAAAGCTTCACCAATGAAAATAAATAAGCACATACACCATCCAAAAACGTCCCACATCTCAAGAGTTTTACAAACCTGTTTACGCCTTTCCTCGCCTACACACTTTAAGAGAGCAAACTGATTATCAGTCCATTTGATCCAAATTTTTTTTCAATCCAATTCCATATGCCCATATACGACGGACCGATATCTTCAACAGGCATCAACATCAGCCTTTTGATGAAGCTTTTCTTGAGTTTTGATTGCGGAAAGTAGCCTTTCATTCGTAATTTTGAGTCCTTCGTAGTTGATAATGTCCAGTAAAGCGACTTCGAGTCTTGTCAATAGCCGTTTTGATATCCCACAAATTTTGCTGAAATGCGCATGTGAATGAATGCAATCGTCAAGCAGTTTAGTAGAAATTCGTATCGCTGCAATGATAAATCTGTGCACACATTCGGATCTCAAGGGAACTAGTACTCGTAAATCGTTGTCGACTTTGTGTAAAACGGATTTTTGAAGGAGATAGGCCGCGGCTAAATAAACGATGGGCTCGAAAGAGAATTTGGTATTCAGACGGTCGAGATACTTTTCGTAGCCCAAAGTAGGCGCTGCCTTCATTCTGAAAGGTTGCATTTTCTTAAAATCCGTCTCGCTTTCTCCTGATGAATCGATTATGGGATTTTGCTTATTTGATAAGGATAGTAAATCTTGCAGAGTTTTGGTTAAAACTGTTAGAGCACCAGACGCTGAGATTTCCGGAGCTGACACATCAGAGTAACAATTGTCAGGCGGTCGTGTGGTTTCACTTAAGCTCTTTGCAACTTCTCGCTGATAGTCAATCTTTAGTAGTGGTGATTGCGAGACTGAGCCATTTCCCACGGGTAACGAGTCTAAAGAGGCAGGGCGAGATGTATCTCGCGAGAAATCGCCATTCGAACGTTCATCAATGTTATCGGCACTCTCAGCTTGCAGGTTTTTCTGTGGATATGCGGAGGGCTGGTGCTGCGATAGAATGTCTTTAATGCTTTTGAAGTCAAAGTTAGCTCCTGCCGAAGAGTGGATATCATGATCGTCATCCTCGTAGTAATCGCTGCACTCACTATCGCTCAACACAAAGTTGGACGCAGACCCAGATGCGGATGTAAGAGCCGTAGCAGCAATGCTGCTGCTGCTATTGGCGCCCATTCCGCCGGTTTCGTCGCTTTTATAGAAAGTTCGACTCCCCAAATGAGATCGAAACGAGTTAATCTGGTGGATGTTCTGGCCCAAATATTGGTCCAAAGCCTGTGCATGCTGTATCAGCTCCTCGATATGGGGTTTTCTACTGGAACTACTGGAATTTGTCTCGGTTTTTGAGACGCAAAGTTCGTCTGCTCCGCAGACTGAGGAGTTCGGAAAGGAGGGTGTCGGAGTATCTGGAACGTCTTTCTCGAACCTGACTTTCTTATCTAAGCCTGATAAACCCGGAATAGCGTCAAGTTCTTGAAAATTGTCTGTGTGGGGGAAACGCGACTTTAAGGGAAGGTCAAAGGTGTCATCATCATCATTGGCATAGAGGTCGAAATCCGATGGACTTCTAGGAGTTTCGGTATGTTGTCCAAAAGACTTAGAAAGCAGTGGGTTTCCTGTCGCCTCTGGCATTTCTATTGAGTTGACGAGACTAAAGTTGAAGCTGAGATTAGGTTTTACTTTTGGTAAAAGTGAAATTCCCTGGCCTTATGTTCCTCAGTTTGAATAAAGTATTCAATACCGACAGTGAAAATCGAACACTTAAGATCAATATGATCCAGATCCAGTAGGGCAGAAGCTTTGCAGAGATTTGTGTTCTTTTCGCGATATCTCGTCTCACACCAAACTTGTTTTTCAAATTATCGGCTAAGACAAAGAAAGATGAGAGATCATTTTCAGATACTACTCTAGAGATAGTTATTAGTACATAAAAGCTTTTATATAAACCGATCACTAGACATTGAAGCCCAGCAGTTCAGCTTGCTTAGTACAATCTGTATGGAGGACCCATGGTGGACTTGATGACCAAAGATCCAACGTTTTGCCAGTGCTTCTTCAACAAAGAAACCAAAAAGTTGACGGCCATCAAGATTTGGTTGACCAAGGTGTCTTCGTCCATCTCGATGTTACCGACGGCAACAGCCAAACACAAGACCTTCTTCAATTGGAATTTGATGGTGGATCTGACGTCAGTGACCTTGGAGTACAAGTCATCGTTGTGAGACACTGGAGTAGGGAACTTACCAGCCTTGGACAATTGAGGACCCAAAAGTCTTGGAACTTGCTTAATCAAGACTTCAGATGCGATGAAAGCACTGTACTTCTTGGCCAATTTCTTGATCAACTTCTTGTTCTTGTTCAACTTCTTCAAATCTTCGACGGACATGGCATCGACACCACAGGACTTGGCTCTGTCGACATCGAAAGCGTCACCAAAGATACAAAGAGACAAGTTTGGTCTTGGGCACTCAGGTAGCTTCAAAGTACCAGAGAAACGCTTGTCTCTTTGAGGGTCGTAGTTCTTCAAACCGACTTGCAATTCGACGGTTTCCAAGAAGTTTCTCTTCTTGGTCTCGTTGGAGTACTTCAAAAGCTCCTTGACATTTTCTCTGACGTGAGAGGAAGTGATCTTCGATGACATGATGATTGCTAGTCTTCCAAAAGTATTTGGTGGTCCTGATACGGCTTGCGACTATGGTTTAAAAAGAGTAAACTGGTAGCAGAGCTAACTGGGACACGGACTACTTCATTTTTTTCCACGCATGAAACACTGTTTGCGTGTATGCTACATCGAAAAGATGCGATGATGTGACTGTCATTTGAGACAAACATCCGTACATTTTCTCGAGAATGCGCTTTGAAATTTTTGGAAAAAAATCATTTGTTCGAAAAGTATATGGTGTATGGGTTATTCTATAAAGTACTTCCTTAGTATTTATAAGGTTTAGAGCCAGTCGTGCCAAAAGGACTTCACCTTTGACAATGGATATTCATTACTTGATTGTAATTTTTGTGTGCATGTCGATAATGTGAATGAGTTTAGTGTCAAATGGTGGCAATTATATGTGTCACGTGATCGTGATGTCAATTTCTAGAAAGATGTACGTGACGTTATTATTAGATGACTGGAATAATTGGATACTTTAGATACTGTTTTCGCTCATGAAATTTAATGATGGAGGGTGCAGGTTTTTATTTCAAATGTCGAACCTTTTACGATGAGGGAAAACATTTTCCAAGCCACTCAAATTCTCAATTTGAGTTTATGATGATCTATACCACTTTCGAAAAAGTCTTTTGTTAAATTGATGACACATTCAATGCGTGGGATAATTCTCAGATCGGCTTCATGTTACATTGCAACTACATGTCAGCTCAAATATGAATCACTCTAATTGCTCGGCATGGGGCTTTCAGGATCACGACACGTCTGAAATGATCTGCAATATAATCTAGACAACATGATTAAGCGCTATTTAAAAACACTTTGGCGCACGTCAAAAAGATATGGAAATATGCGGCTGATTGCTTAGATAAAGCTGCTATGTTTCAAAGGCCCTGCTCGCTTTCATTTACTGTTACCGTAGATAGAATTGAGACTCATTATATACGAAATCAGATCGCATCAGAAACAAACAGAATACAAAAGCCCGAGAGACCCAAGCCAGGATGAAATGGCGACCATAGTATCTCTGTTGAAACTGGGCATTAGAAAACGTCTTGATTTTTGGCCTTGCGAATATGAGTTACATATTTGATGATAATAACTATGTACGATAAGAACTCTGGCGCGAAATGATCTGGGTGAACCCTATCTTACAAGTGAAATCAGTGTTAACTTTAACCCAGCGATTGCGGGCACGGCTGTAATGGGCTTTTCAATTATTAGAGATGGTGCCAGAATTTTGGCTAGGTTTGGATTCTTTAGCGGCCATCATGTTCACCATACGCTATTTTTAAAATTTGGTCCAGTACGATTTAACTCATCTGCCAAAAGCCGATGGCTCGATAGGCAGAAAAATGATGCATTTACGCGAGAAGCCAAAGTTTTGGGTCTGCGTTCGCGTGCTGCCTTCAAGTTGATGGAAATTGATGACAAGTTCCGGATTTTCAAAAAGGATTCCCCGCAATGTGTTCTAGATCTGGGATACGCGCCTGGAGCGTGGTCCCAAGTTGCTCAAGATCGAATAGGGCACAATGGGATGATTTTGGGAGTGGATATCCTCCCATGTACACCTCCAAGAGGGGTCAGTGCCATCCAGGCTAATATCCTTTCGAAAAAAACGCATGAACTTATCAGACTCTTTTTCTGCAAGCACTTCGAGTTGTATCGACATGACAGGCTTCATTCCGAAACCGGCTACTTTCACGACGCGAATGAAAATGATCCATCTCGATTTCAGCAAGCTCAAGAATATAGAGAGATCTTTTCATCAGATGAATACCCAAATCTCAAAGTTGCCTTGCGAAATCAGCCGCTCGACACGATTCTAAGCGATATGTATGAACCTTGGCCACAAACTACGGGTTTTTGGAATAATCTTACTAATAGCGCATACTCTAGGATGGCCAACACGTCAGGTTTAGCAATACGGGATCATGTTATGTCAATGGATTTATGCGACGCTGCTTTGATAGCCGCTATAGATCTTTTAAAGCCAGGTGGATCCTTTGTTTCCAAGCTTTATACCGGTGAAGAGGATGAATTGCTCGAGAAAAGGATGAAAATGGTGTTCTCGACTGTGCATCGCTACAAACCGCAGTCATCACGTAACGAATCGAAGGAACTTTATTTCGTCGGTCTCAAGAAAAGGAGTCAGGTAGACAAACTGCGCGTCTTTTCGTGCTAACCGCTGCTGGTGAACCGTTCACTGCGAAATTGTCGTTCTCATTGGGTGTCTAGTCACGAAGACTTTCATGGTTTTTATATACGAGGCTTTCTTTTATCTAGTCTGACGGTATGATGCTAAATGTACACTATCCGGATAAAAATCACCGCGTTTAAACTACTCTTGTACACCTTCAGCAGGCTCAGATGCTTCCTTAAATTCATCCTCCGAGGTTTCTCCATAGTCTCTCACGTTCCCAGCCTCAGCTTCTTGTGTACCAGCCTCCTCATTGCTCAATTCTATTAGTGGTTCATCAGCCACAGGCGGCGCTTCCTCTTTCTTGATGAAACTTATTCTTTCTGCAATAGACATCTCATTATTGCTTTTGAGGTGATCCTTCCACTTCTCTATAGCTTCATTCACTTGATTTGGTTCCCCGTTGTAGACCAAGGTCATCAGAGCAGCTTCTGAATATCTCTCGCTCTTTGTCAAAAGAGCAGTCGCTGCATTCACATCACCCGCAAGCCAGTAGGAATTGAAGGCAAGATTGAACTTTCCAGCTGATTGTGCTTCGTCGCCTAGTTTCTTCAAGGCCTCCTGATCACCAAATGAAGAATACAACAAAAACAGGGAGTCAAGATCTCCAGCCTTTTCATACGCCTTTATGGCCAATTTAAAGTTGAATTTTGCCAGAGCCTCATCACCTAGTGTGCGCCAATGATGCTCATTTTCATTACTTGACACAATATCTTCAGCCAATGACAATTTACTGACTTTCAATGCCAAGTCAAACTTTTGATCAGCATCAGGGCTAACTTCAAGAGCCTCCTCATACAGCTCCTGACCTTCCAGAAATCTAGAAATTTTTAAGAGGTTTTCCTTGCCATCAATGTTGGGTAAAACATTCTCCTTAGCTTCTTCGAGTTCTCCGCGCAAGACCAAAGTCTGAAACTCAAGAACTTCAAGAGAAATTTGATAGCTTGAAACATGGATATCCCGGTCTGCCAAGTAAACTCTGTTATCGCGTGCCAGATAGCCCAACATGTATATTTCTTTGTCAAAATGGGCGAGATTGTAGGTTTTTCCACCGACAAAATAATTCAATCTACTCGTCGATGTCGTGTAAATGAAGACGTCCCCAACCCATTTTCCTGACCCCACTTGATCATTGACCTCATACAAAACGTCGAATGAGTCGTCAATGCCATCTTCACCTGGTTCATTACCAGAAGAAACGTGTTCATCATAGGCATCTTTGTTGAAAGCAAGAGCATAAGCTCCGCACTCGTCAGTGCTTCCGCTCTCAGAGTTTATTATCATCACAAGTTCTCCATTATCGGACCAGACCACATCACGAGCGTCTACGTCGATTCTTCTTACCAAATCACCGGTTTCCCAGCTGAAGAAATAGACAAATCCATCAGCTTTGACACCGAGAAGAGCTCCGGTGAATAGTTTTTCGACACCAAACTGCAAAGGAAGGGACCATGAGCTCAACTCTTTAAAATTTTTGTAGTACTTAACCTGTCCTGCGTCGTCAATAAGGGCATAGCTGTTTGAGTCTAATCCCCAAACAAAATCATGAGATTTGCCAAAAGCCTTGTTTCTCCATGCCAAAGCGGTGTAAACAATGTACTCACCGTCACCAACCACAGCCACAAATCTGCCATTTGGCGAATGCTTTAAAGATTGAGGGAAAACATCGACAGCACCTAGCTCCTTAGTTTGAAGGGGTAAAGTCTCACCATCTTCAGCTGACTCAGTTCCCCTAATAACGGCAGTAAAGACATCGTTTGCAGAAGCATTCTTCCCTCCACACCAAACAAGCTTTCCAACAGGATCTAGAGACAGCTTAGGCTCATCATTTCCGAGTGAGAGGATTGTGAATCCGTTGTCGAAACCGGACGCAATGAAATTTCGCTTCCCGGTTGGATGTGTTGCAATACACCAACTTCTCTCTAAACCAAGGTTCAAGGTCTTTTCCAGCTTATATGTGTTAGCATTCCAAAGCTTGACAGTACCATCTTCGGAACCCGAAATGATGATAGGAAGCGATGGATGGAACACAGCAAACGAGACATTAGCCATGTGCCCCTGAAGCGTGGCAACGCAAGACTTGGTTTGATAGTCCCAAATTTTGATCGTGCGATCATCACTGCTTGTGATGAGATAGGGCTTGTCCTGAAGTGGATAGTAATCAACGTAATTGACACCTCTGGTTTCGTGGGCATGTAGAGTGAAATTTGCGGTCGATTGCCCAAGAGACCAGATCTTGACTGTATGATCTAAACATGCAGACGCAAATGTGCTGGGGTCCTTTGGATTGAACGCCACGCACATAACAAAGTGCTCATGGCCCTCGAAAGTTTGCTCTAGCGACCAGTTTTTCTCCCAGTTCCAGAATTTGATTGTCAAGTCGTCTGAACCGGAGAGAACGTAGGGCTGTGTGGGGTGGACTGCAATTGAACGAATGTAGTCTGGATGCGCTTCGAATTCAGCTACTTTCTCGCCGGTGTTGTAATTGAACACTCGGATTTTCAAGTCGTCGGATCCAACGATGATCCAGTTCTTGCGCGCAATAAACTTACCGGCTCTCACTGGAGCATCTGTGACCACAATTGATCGCACTTCGGTCTGCGTTTCATAGTTCCAGATCTCGATTTTTCCTGAGTACAGAGTACTCAACACCCATGGCTCGGTGGGATGGAAATCGATTCCCTTCACTCGGTCCGACCTATTTCCAAATTGTTTCTGTTACTTTTAGTTAGTCATCATTCTAATTATTAAATAACAACGCCGAACATTGGGGTTTTGCTTGCCAATGACCAAATATCGTCGAGTTCCCCTTGCCACCACTCTCTGAGCTTAAGGACGCGCCACGATGTTCGTACGCCTAAAAGACCCCCCACAAACTCCCCAAATTGACACCAATTCGATCGCATATGCCAAACATACTTTAATATCAAGCTTCATGGCCACTTAAGCCTTTTTTGTGGTCTTCTGCTCCTACCTTTTGGACGTGTGTCTCGTCCCGGTCAGCACTATTTATTCCCAATAACTGGAATTTCTTCGTGTCTCAAGTGCTAGTTTTGTACGAACTATCCATTTTTCCATTTTCTCCAGTTTGCCGTTCACAACGACCAAGGCCCTTAGCCATCATTACCTTGTGTCACTTCAGTGAGAGAGCCTCATTCGACGACATGTTTACAATGAGTAGCTTTCTTTCACACGTTAACCTAGGAATTTGATCAGCACTTCAATTTTTGTCGATAATCGGGGTTTTGAATCGTCACCTTTTTCATTGCCTTCGCAATATTGATTAGTGGAATTTCAGAAAGGCAGTAAGTTGAACGTGATCGTCACATAGAATTTCACTAAGAAAGCTTCGAAATCATGGTTCACCGGACGCCCCTGTCTTTCTCATGTCTTTTTCTCATGTTTTCGTGTTTGTGCCTTGTGAACTTCTGCCATGCTACGCCATTTAATGACAAAATGACAAAGATAGCGGCGGCATTTGATGAGCCTGACAAGATCTGTTCCATAAGCGAAGCCGCCGGTGATGGGGGTTATCGACGACTGATCAGCAGATTGACAGGCATAAACTTGAAAATCTTGGGTGTTGATGATACCTTGTTCACGGGCTTTAGATTTCACCGAGTCTACAAATTCAATTATCGAATTACAGACGCCACGCGATATCTCCAAATGAGTTATTGTAAAAAAGGTAAACTGCAGTGGTCAAGAGATATGAGGTATGACGCTGACGTTGAGTGGGAAAAACCATTGTGTATCTACGCTCCCCGCGAGGCTGGAGAATCGAAAAACGCCGTCAAAAACTCTGGATTTCCCAAATGGAGGAAGCCCAAATCTGACGCTGCCAATGCTATTTCATTAAAGCAGAGTGCACTAGCGGATCTGGATAATTTCCGCTGTTTTAAAATGGCCCGCAGAAAACGATATGCTCGAAGGCCTTTCTCATTGTATTTGCCCAATACTTGGATAGGAGCCCTATTCGAGTGCAAAATGCCAAACTCTGCGAAGAAAATCATTCTACAACAAATGAGTTCCCAGCTACTACAAATTTCGCCTTTAGCACTCGACTTGAGCTACATTGATTCTTTCCGTCCGGTTCTACCTCTTCTTTCAGACAGCTACAAGGGCCACTGGACTGAATTGGAACGAAAATCACGATGGCCCATTCTCAATCGGTTTCTGAAATGGCAAGTGAACAGAATTGTGCCATTCCTGTCAACGCCACTATATGTGGATGAAGAATTTCATCAAGGAGCAGATTATTTACTCGACCGCAATCTCACTCGAAATTACATTTCGGCGACAAACTCTTCATGGTCTTTTCCTTTGGAGAATTGTCGTCATCAATACTATAAACTGGATTCGAAGAAAAACTCCAAGGCAAAAGATAGCCAATGGTTCAACGAAGTTGACCCACTGGAAAATTATGATTATTCATCCCAGGACGACAGCATTAGAGACAAATTCGCCGAGAAGCTTTTCAGTCAAGTAGAAAACCTCACTAATTCTGCAACATCTAAAGAAAAACTGCTTAATAGCCTTGAGTTGGACCTTACCGGTAACCAATCTCTTGTAGTAGCTTTTGCGGGCAGAATGGGGCATCATCTTAAAGCATTCAGGAAGAACAAAGAACACCTTTGGACGAAAATGAACTTCGTTGATAGAATAATGTCCACTTATGGAATGTCGATATTTGAAGAAAAAATGAGAGCTACTGATTCCCAGCCTGATACAATCGATGGCATAGATAACTGATCGACAATATGCATCAAAGACGATAGCCTGCGTCGATACTATATTGCACCTTATCGAAATATAATCCTATATAAAATTTACCATCACGCGGAACTTGCTGGAGTGCGCTAAAGATCAACCTTCAAAGTCTATCGTAGTATGAGTTATTTTTGTGTGTGAAAAGATCAGCAGAAGATGTTGCCGTCCCGTGAGCAGCACTAACGGTATTCATGCTCTCATCTCTGGGGAAATTGGTATCCAGGGCCCTACCAGTAGTGTCTGTGTATTCCAACGATCCATTAGACGAGGTTTCAACTAACGGATCAGCAAATGCTTCTTCATGTCCGCCATTGCGGTAGGATGCGATGAGACCATTTTTAGATTCCGATTCTTGGCGCTTGTGAGTTCCCGGATAATTCTTTTTTGCGGGCGAAGCCGATTCTGTCGAAGGCTCTCTGGACAAAGACGTTAAGGGTGCACCTTGTTCTCCACCGACGGGGTTACTTGTGTTATTACGAGACGACGTTGATTTATTGCGCTTTAGGGACAGCTTTCTCTTGAGTTTTTCGGCCAGGGACATCTTGTTACCATCGCCATTCTGTTCTTCTGAGTTTGTTGCAGAGGTGGCAATCTTTTCATCAGAATAATCTAGCCCTGACATGCTCTGCTCTTTTTGCAGCTTTTGCTGATTATAAAGCTCTTCCTCCCAGTTTTCATCATGATTCTTGGCAGCATCTCCAAGTGCAACGAGCTCTGCGGCGGCCGATTTGTTCAAGTTGCCGTTAATTTGCGATGACCTTTGGAATGACGTTCTATCGTCTCTCGCTGGTCTAAATCTTAAATCTGGATTGCGAGAGAAAATAACCATGCTCACAAATACCAAAATCAAAATGAGTAAAATTAATGAGAAAGCCGCATTCATGATAAAGAACACCCATCCCATCACAGAGGCAACAGCCATAGGTTGCCCAAACAAGTCTGAGAAAAACATGAAGAGAAATGAATTCACCACAGTGACAGTTGATATGAGAATATTCAAGATATTTGTAGGGCGGTCCAAGTAGGGCTGGTAATAAATGAGGGCCACGAAGTAAAACAGATCAACAATGAACAAAGCGAGCGATTGGGTTTTACCCGATGCCTGAGCAAATGAGATGAAAAAGGCCTTAAACAAGATGTAGCACAAAATGACGCAGCTCCACCAGTAATGAGTGGCATTGAACATGGTGTAAAAAAAACCATACTTGTCCAAAACAACTTGATCACCATACAAAATCGCCGCAGGGTTTTTGCGCTGACTCATAGAAAGGCGAGCAAACTTAATGGTCCTGAATGCCGCCCATAGCATGAGCCCAACGGCTTGGATAAGTAGAAGGCAGGCAATGACGATCACAGCAGCAGAGTCGTGCTCCATAAATTCCCAAAAACTGAGAACTGTTAATTGAGTGAAGCCGATGTAAACATACCGCAGTAATGAACCCTTCAAAACGGTTCTCCAATTACGTCTAAATTCCAAAAATCTGGAGTGGTTCAGCCAGCCAGCTCTGATGCACAGCTCAATGGTATATTTCGATGCCATGATGAAACCAGCAAGCACGTAAGCGCAGAGTAAATAGAAAGTGAATCCAGTGCACACGATAGAGGTATTCTCGATCTTTGAACGATAGCCCAAACGTTTTATACCACGTTGAATTAAAACATCCTCATTCCCGTAAAGGACATCTTCCTCTCGTTTGTGAAAGTTTCTGAATTTGAGGTAATCCAAGCTTCTTTGCACCAGAACGGAAATGCTCTTTGATGTTAAATACAGAGTAGGTGTTCCCCCAGTAGATTGCACGAACCATCTGAAAATTTTCTGCATAAAGCTTATTCTAATCAAGCCCATGGACCAAATCAGATTTTCCGACCACGCGGCAGCGATAGGAGGCACCCGGTGAACGTGTTCCATTGATACGACAACGACAGATTGGAAATACAAGAAAAGGGACATCGTGTTTGCAGAGATATGGGAAGCAGCGTTAGAATTACCAAAAGTGGACAAGATCGCTGAGCACAAAAGACCTATACCAGCGATCACTGCGGTTGCCCACTTGACACCTGTTTGCGAAACTGTCTTACCGTTTGAGAAAAACGCTTGAATGCACGCTATGTCTTCGCTGACGTTGTTGTAGACGTTAACTCTGACAAAAGCATCGATATCAGGAACCTGGTAGGCGATGCCGGGAATTTGCTTAACGTACGTCTCTGAGATGTATTCCACGGAATCCACTTGCACGTCGCCCGGTAGCAGCGGACAAAACTGCTTCCAATTCAAGGAACACAAATTTAGCTGCTTTGTAATGATTTTGAAGCCGTATGCCCAAACTTCGATGTCCGCGATAATATATGAGTTGATTTCACTTACCATGTCCAAAGAATAATGCAGGGATCTGTCATCTGGGTTAAAAACCACGTCAAAACCCGTGGCTGACAGTTGTGAGTTTTCCATGCATGTAACAAGCGAGGAAGCCGATAGCTTCCTCTTGCACCACGCCACATTAAAGAAACCGCTAACTACCACCAGTAACGGCAGAAGTCTCATTCTTGTTCTATTTTTTCGTTTTGTGGTCTAAATGAGTTCCTCTATGATTATTGGGTTGAAGTGTCAGGCCAGAAACTTCACTTACTTTAACCTCTCTGTTTTCTTCGTTTTTGACAAACCACGACGATGAGCCCGATCAAGCTCAGCCTTCTAAATTTTCTTAGAAATGTAATATAGAATCAGTGATGATCCCCACTGGAATATATAATCAGTGATTAGCAGTGCAGTTGCCTTGTTTCACAAGCGAACGAGATAAGTATGTCTTCAGAAGCGACTGTACTCTTTTGACTGACTCCTTGTAGAGTCTATGTATTGAGCACTAATTAAAGAAGAAATACTAAGTTTATCTTGTCAGGGCGACGCGGGAACTGAATTTGGAAGGAGCGAAAAAATTTCAGCTATAAAAAGATGATCTTATTTCCAAAAAATCATGGAAATATTATATAAGAGAGAGGTTAAATGTCATTTTTCATGGTCAGAGGCAATGGACCAGATTGGATTGACAATTAAAGCCTCAACTGTTTGTATAGCCTTACACATGATGTGAACGTGAAATTCTTGAAAGTTATATATCTAAAGGATGACAGAACGCGAGGCATCACCAGGAGCTACCGTTGTTGTTATTGTCGTTGCTGTAGCTATCATTCCCATACGAATTGTTTCCATAAGAGTTAGAGTTGCCGCCCCCGTACGAATCATTTCCGTAAGATGAACTGTTGTTTCCGTAGGAGGAGCTGTTGTTATTGTTGTTGTTGCTGTTTCCGTAGGAGTTGTCTCCGTAGGAGTCATTTCCGTAGGAGGAGTTTTTGTTTGAGTTTCCATAAGAGTCGTTTCCGTACGGCGAGCTGTTGCTGTTCTGGTTACCGTAGGAGTCATTACCATAGGACGAGTTGTTGTTCCCATAGGAGTCACTAGTGTTTTGATTACCATAGGAGCTCGAGTTGTAGTCGCCGGATCCCGATTTCTTGTCAGACCTCGTAGAAGATCCATACGAATCGTTACCATAGGAGTCGTTGCCGTAGGAAGAGTCATTGTTCCCATAGGAGTCACTAGCGTTTTGATTACCATAGGAGCTCGAGTTGTTGTCGCCAGATCCCGATTTCTTGTCAGACCTCTTAGAAGATCCATAGGAGTCGTTGTCGTATGAGTTCGAGTTATCGTTATCGTTTGAGCCATAGGAACCGTTTCCGTATGAACTGGAGTTGTAGTCATTTGAGCCGGATTTCTTGTCGGACCCTGATTTCTTGTCGGATTTCTTTTTGGAAGATCCATAAGAGTCGTTACCGTAGGAGTCGTTGCCGTAGGAGTCCGAGTTACCGTTATCGTTCGATCCATAGGAATCGTTTCCGTATGAGGTGGAATTGTAGTCGTTTGATCCAGACTTCTTACCAGAACCGTAGGAATCGTCCCCGTAGGAATCATTTGCGTAAGAGCTGGAGCTATAGTCGTTAGATCCTGATTTCTTGTCGGACTTTTTGTCAGACTTCTTTTTCGAAGACCCGTAAGAATCGTCTCCGTATGAGCTGGAGTTGTTATTGGAGCCGTAGGTGTCATCACCGTAGGAGTTGGAGTTGTTGTTGCTGTTAGAGCCGTAGGTGTCATCACCATATGAGCTCGAATTGTTATTGTTGCTGTTGGAGCCATAGTTGTCACTACCGTAGGAGTTAGAGTTGTTATTGTTGCTGTTGGAGCCGTAGGTGTCATCACCATATGAGCTCGAATTGTTATTGTTGCTGTTGGAGCCATAGTTGTCACTACCGTAGGAGTTAGAGTTGTTATTGCTGTTAGAGCCGTAGGTGTCATTACCGTAGGAGTTGGAGTTGTTATTGCTGTTAGAGTCATAGTTGTCATTACCGTAGGAGTTAGAGTTGTTATTGCTGCTAGAGCCGTAGGACTCGTTTCCGTAGGAATCGTTGCCGTAAGAGTCGCCAGCGGATCTATTACCCGAGGACGATTTCTTATTGTCACTAATTGACGTCTTGGACAACTGTTGCCTGACGGAACCCTCGAATTTGTCGAAATTGTCGGACCCCACATCGTTTCTGATCTTGTCCACCCTTTCCTTGCCTAGAATCCCTTCAGCCTTGGAGACAAGGTCACTGCCACCGTTGTCACCGTTGCCACCGCTGCTACTGTTTTGGTTGCTGGCAAATTCTTTAACTTTGTCGAATAGACCCATTGTGATAATATCGTGTACTGTTTATTGATGAACTGATTATTGTGATCCACCTAATTCTCCCTACAAAAATTCCAAAAGACCTTCGTTAAACTCTCAAATGTCTCTCCTTATATACGTCCATTTGATCTGCCAGATCATTCCCTCTGTCAGCTGTAGCTCATGATCAATAAAGTCCCCCCACCTCCCCCCTGGTAATTTGCTGCACCACCTTGCGCCATTTGGCACGCCGAAGTCAACGCATTCCCTACCGAAGTCTCTGGCGTCGTTGGTACGTTACGACCTGACATCAACTGCTAAGAATGTCCCAGAAGACTTTCCTACTGCCACCCTTTGCTTCTATGATATCATTTTTTTTTGGAAATTCGGTGAGAAGCCACTATTCGTGCTATTAACGCCGAGATCGGCTTAAGTGGTTCCATGCATTTTCATGCAGCAAGCCGTCGTAAAGACACTCTGGCAGTGCCGGCACTGCCACGGGTGAAGGAAGAACTACTGGACAGATTCTAAATGACGACAGTCTTGAAACATTTTGTTCCCGACACTACGTAGACTATACTCTTCATAAGATAGCTCCAACAAGTTCCTGCTTCCGACCCGTGACGCTTCAAGAATTTAATGCTCTCCGCTTACGTGTCATTTTAGCTTTTGATCTGGTTAGCTTCCTCGGATCCGACGCCAAGAAGGAACACTTTCTCATGCATGGAAGGCTATGCATGCATGCTTTCCTTACATCATGCATACGCATCAAGAATTTTGCGGTCTCGTTAAAAGGGGCGCATAACAGTGGCTAAATTTACGAGCACAGAGCCTGTAAGGTGGCCAGGAATCAAAGCGGTGGGCGTATAGAGAGAGAGTCTCGACTCCGGACTGAAAGCCTAATACCTAGCTCCGAATGACGGACATCGCAAAAGAGTAGAACAGTGGACATATGGCGTTTGTAATGGCTCTTCAGGTGCTTATCTTCCTTCGAGTCAAATTCCACGCAGGTCGACTGTCCTGCCGGATCACGCGCTCCGTAATTAGTCTTGTGTAATAAGTCTTGTGTGGGGTTAAAGACTTTCTCCCAACTTTGTTAGCCGTCCAACGGGTTTTCGTAGACACGTGAAAAAACCCTGCCTGCTCTGCTGAGACTCAGGAGAAATGTATCAATGAATATATAATTTTACGGTATGAAAAGTATTGTTAGCCCAGACAAATGCCTCAGCCCTTCCAGTGCGGTATGATGTGTCATATGCCGCTCAAGCTCTGCTGAAGCCACCCTATCGTGCGCTTTTTTATCTCGCCATGCTCGTTTTTGTAAATGCGTCTTTTCTCGAGCAGGTCTATCATCTCTTCGGCGGAGCGACCTTTCTTAATGCCATTTTGTATGAACTTGTAGAGCCGCTTGCGTCGCGCAAACGTCTTGACATTTTTTTTTAGCCGCCACTTGTTCCCGTAAGTTTCCTCGAGATATTTGACCGGTGGGTTTCCATCAAGCCCGTTGATATATTCTTGCCATATAGCTCTGACGTTGGCAGGAGCCTTTAGCAGAGTGTAATTGAGATCGGCATCTCGTTCCTCTGAACGAGAGGCCGTGGTCACGTGATCGTGATCTTCATTGCTGTCCCTCGCTGCTGTCCCTCGCTGCGGCGGCACTGCGAGTCCATCCAGACCGGCACCGCCGCTACTACCTGCCGCTTTTTTTGCCACGCCTACCGACAGATCTTCGGTGTGTTGTACTGCAGGCTCATTGTATTCATTGGTCGAAGCGCCGTCATTTTTCGTTGGTTCGTGCCCACCGTTTGTATGCCTATTTTTACTTGCAGATCTCTCCATATTGGCATCGTTATGCCCACCTCCCCTTTGAATGCCGTATTTTGACGCTGTAAAGGATTTTTCTGTGTCTGAGCTGCCTCGTCTATCCTCGTCATCCTCTTGGTACCCATCCTCATCGTTTGTAGAATCGGAAGTATTTGCTTCAGATATGCCCTCATCACCGGACCCGATCTGTATGTCAACACCTCTTCGACCAGCGCTTAGCGGGGCAGGTATAGCGCCCAGATTAGAACTCCCATTGATGTTTTGCTCATCGCTCAAATTGTTGCGCCTTACAAGACTGTCCAACGTGAGACAAGGAAAACTTATGGACCCCATGCCACTTGCTGGCACGAGATCTTGATAAGAAGGATGCATAGTGACGGCCCTTGACGCAGAGAGCCCGCCTTTGACTTTACGCTTTTTTATACCGTTGGGATTCAAAGTAAAAGATTGTTGTGACAAGTAGCGCGGCACCCCAAGTGCTGGCTCACTTGCATTCCCCAAGTTAAGCGGCTGATTTTTAGGCGTGTGTTGTTCATGGACAGCGAAATTCCCATTTCGTTCGTTTATGAAAGCAGGGCTGGTCTGATTTTCGGAAGATGAAACATTGCCACTTATCGAATTCCTATGCCGCTTGCCCTTTTGCGAATTCCGCGACTTGATCTTTTGCAAATAATTCGAACTCACGTTGGTGATGGAGTTTAATAAGTCCGTCACAAACCCGTCCTTCTCGTTGTCGTCGTTATCGTGCGGAACTGGGATCGTGGAAGTTATTTTTCGCAATTCTGTCAGAATCGCATTTGAGACCCTTTCGTTTTGAATTTTCAGCTGTTGAATGGTCGACTCTTGTTCAAAAAGCTTGTAGTGAAGCTTGTTAAAGGAGTTTTCCATCGTTATCAAACGTGCAGCGACTTCGTCCAAACGTTGGCAAATCTGAACGTTTGTCGTTGTTGAGTTCGTAGAACTGATCGCGGCTGACTCGGGGCTCCCCGGAACGTACCGTGAAGATCCTTTAAGTCCATTACCATTCGGCACGCTTGTAGGAACAGGTTCTGACCTCGTTATCTGGGAATTGTGACTAGCATCATTTATAACTCCCACGGAACCGGGATCCGACGGTACACTGCGTGCTATACCAGCGGCGACTTGATCGTTCGCACCTGGGCCCAAAACATCTACTATTGCTGCTGTAGGCGCATTTTTACTCGTGGCCCCGCCCTCAGATCCCAAGGAAAGATCGATCCCAAGATCCAAAGCGCCCACAGGAGCATTTACGCTCGACTGCAACGAACTCTTGCGCGGATCACCTTGTTTCGTTCCATCCAGCGGTGAAATGTCAGACCGTGGGTTTGACATGCCCACGTGCGTTGACCGATGTCTTTGTTGTGTTCCAAATGCGCGTTGGTTACTTGTTCGTGAACTTTATTCAGTTAGTTCTGAACACCATGCTATATGTGAGTTCTCTTGAAAGTGTTCTTAAAGCCGAATCAAGAACTGATATTTCGGAAAACGTACTACGAAAGGATATCAGAGATCCAAAGTTAGGCAAGCTAGGCGAAGTAAATTCCAGCTGCTAATGAAAATCTGAGAGCTTTGATCGTACACAACTTTTAGCGGTTAAGCGGTTTATGCATGTAGAGGGCGGTGGCCTATGCCATTGTGTGACGCCCTTCCAGTTAGCAATCCACGGGCAGATGCAAAAGAAAGAAATATTGCGATTCTCAATTCATCAAAACTCATTAGCTCTGGTTCTCTCTTAAGTTACTTGTAACTTGACTTTCAAGTTGACTCCCGAAGCTTAAGCTGGCTTGCTACATTCCCCCTTGATAGTCATCGACCTAACTTAAATTCAGTAATTATTCACACAACCTTTATTACGAGGGGAAAATCAACAAATAACGAGATGCCAGAGGCAAGGACAATTTTGAATGTACTTAAAGAGAGGAGTGGCACTTTGTTTACCCACAGGCTCACTGCTGACCAATTTGTACCAGACGTGTCGAGGGCAGTTGAGATTTATGAGCGAAATATTACAGAAGAGCGTCAGAGGGTGTTTCACACACCACGACTAGTTTCCAAGGGAGCACATTTTGCATACTGTATTCCGGAAAGACGTGAACATTATCGACCACTTTTGACCTCGCAAAAGGCTCTAGTCGATTTACAACTGAATATGGATGACGAGCTTCTCAGTCTGATAAATGGGACCAAAGTGTACAGTGACAAGGATAAAAACATATTTCCGTACAGCATGGCATATGCTGGGTTCCAATTTGGTCAATTTGCTGGACAGCTCGGTGACGGGCGTGTTGCTAATCTGTTTGAAATCGACGACGCCAAAGGACGTCCGCAGACGTTACAAATTAAGGGTTCTGGAATTACACCTTTTTCGCGGTTTGCGGACGGCAAAGCTGTGGTACGCTCCAGTATTCGAGAATTTATCATATCGGAATCTCTTCACCATATTGGAATTCCCTCGACCAGAGCACTGCAATTGACTGCTCTGCCAGGCACAAAGGCCCAGCGAGAGACTTCGGAGCTTTGCGCTGTTTATTGCAGATTTGCTCCGAGCTGGATCCGTCTCGGAAATTTTGATTTGTGTAGATGGAGAGGCGATCACGACGGACTTGTCAAACTGACAGATTTTTGCATTGACACGGTGTTTGAGCAAGGAAAAGACTTCCCAGAAGCGATAGATCTCAATGTTTACAAGAAAGACTATTTTAAGAATGAGGATATCGGTTCAGAGACAATCGAACTTGGGCCCATAGAAGGAACCACGAAGTATGAGTTATTTTTTCGTCACGTCGTCAACTTAAATGCTGAGGCTGTGGCGTGTTGGCAAGCCTACGGGTTTTTAAATGGGGTTCTTAACACAGATAACACCTCTATTATGGGGCTCGCAATGGATTTTGGCCCTTTTAGCTTTTTGGACAAATTTGAGCCTCGTTATACTCCAAATCATGATGACATTCAATTACGGTACTCCTTTGCTAATCAACCAAGTGCGATTTGGTGGAATTTGACTAAATTTGCGCAGGCAATGGCCACTTTGATAGGTGCTGGTCCCAAACACATTGACAAATTTACTAATCAGGGCGAATTAGATGAAGTGGATCTCTCTCTTGGGGAGGAGCTCACCGAAAGAGCAAATAGAGTTATTGCACACGCATCTCATGAGTTTAAGTTTCGTTTCATGGTTAGATACGCGAGTCTTATGGCCCACAGGATTGGAATAAATCTAAATTTGTCAAATGACTTGTCAAACAAGGATGGGTGTGAACAAATCGCAGTCAAGGTCAGTGAGTTTAACTCTTCCATATTGGAACCTCTGCTCGACATCCTTCATGTATCGCAAGTGGACTACAACAACTTCTTTGTGAAATTGCAAGGCTACAATGGCCCCTTTTTGGCAAGCGGAGAGTCACAATTCGAGGGTGTCGACCCTGGGTTTTTGAAGGTTTTCTTTAGTGAAGCTCAGGAAAAGAAGCTTGTGGATCACTATCACGGCGTTCCTGTTAATGACTCTGGCGAAACAAGGATTCTGATAGAGAAGGTACATGACCTGCGCAAATGGATCGATCACTATCTCGCCTTTGCATCGAATGATCCCGACGAAAGATTTTCACTTGCCAGTAATGTAAACCCTATTTTCACGCCAAGGAATTACATATTCGATCAAGTGATCGAAGATTTAACTTCGAAACAGGGCGAAAACCTCGGCGACGCTGAAAAGCCTCTAGATTTATCATTGCTGAATAAACTCTATCTCATGAGTGTTAATCCATACAATCCCAATAAATGGGACGACTCATTGAGACCGGAGGTGGTTAAAGGTTGGATTACACATGGAGAGGAGACTGAAAAGTTTATGAGACAATGCAGCTGCTCTAGCTAAGAGGGGATTCAACCAAGATTTTGGCCGTTCATGTGAGACTTCTGGGACTTCTCGAAGTAGTTTATAATGATTAAGCACTGATGTTTTGCGCTGTGCAAGTAACGTTTAAAACTGATTCACAGATAGTGGACAAAGCCTCCAGACAGCACTGAGAACGAATCCGCAACAAATCCGGTGATTCAAATAGACGATAGTCCGGCTAGAGATCACCGACGTTCTCGGACAGCCCCACTATTTATCAAATTGATTTATACTAGTTTACGTAACAATTTGCCAAATGTGTCAAAATCAAATTCGAAGAAAGAAGCTAAGTTCACGAATCATCGGATTCGTCCGAAGTGCTGACTCTGGCCCTCGACTATCTTGAGATTAGAAACGCTGATTTCTAACAGGGTTGTCATCAGTACAGGCTCGCTGCTACTCTTCAAGTGACACGATTGCACCCTGAAATCATTACTTAGGCGTCTTTATGTTTTGTCAAAAATAAGACAGGGATGGGGCGCCCCATCGAAGCGTATTTTACCAATTGGTGGGACCAAAGAATGAGTTTAACTCTCAAGGGTTTACCGCACGTTTAGTCAGCAGATTCGAGGAATTTTAACGTCGCTACAGTTCAGAGATTTACGAATGCTTGATTCCCTTAAAATGCCTTGGTTCATTGAAAGTAATCATAACTGAACTCTTCGACTTTGAGACAATCCCCACAATCGTTCAGCCACTCATTAGGCAGAGAGCCTTAAATTGTGAATGCTCTTTCCTCTCCCATTGGTGGTACTGTGACTGTCTTGCCCCGGGTTATCAAAATATGAAGCTGCTCGCAGCCTTCGGGCTCAAGTATTACGTCCGCAGGCAGTTGAGTTTTTCTGGTCTTAATGAATATACTCTGATTGCCAGCTAGAGTCAGAGCTCATAAGAAGTTATCATAATAAAGCTTAGGAGGCTTGCCATTCTGTCGGTCGCCTTGAAATGGCCTGTTTCTAGCGATTTGTGCGCAGTTGGTGAAATAGATTTGCATGTCGCCTAAAGGAGGTGTCAAGGAAAAGATGCCCAACGCCCAGCTGTTTGATATAAATGAGGTTCTTGTTCCTATCGCAAATGGAGGAGACCCGATAAAAGAAGCCAAAGATGCGAAGAATTTTGCAATGTGGCTGAATCAAGCGACTACTGAAAATCAAGGTGATCTAGTAAAGGGATGTTGTTCTCCTGATATTATGTCGAATTGCAAGCCAGAGTCTACGAAGACCGCTTACTACAAGAATTCGTCTCCATAGTCAAACCGCCAAATATTTGTGCCTTACGATGGTAACGAACCAGCAATAGCCTGTGGAACTCGAAGTTTATTTTGTATCTAAAGCCGTTAAGATGCCATTCAAGCAGCGTTGGACTAAAATAACTCGTTTCGTAGGTAGACTGTCTACTCAAGATGAAAAAGCACCTGATGAAAACACTGTACGAATATAACCACCACCTTTCATACCTCGCGGCAAAAAAAATTCCTTGAAAGGCAAAGCTTCCGCGAAAAAATGAAGCTTTAACTAAACTAAATTTGGACTGCGCGGTTGACGCCTGTCCTGACACAAATTTAGATACCAAAAAACCAGTTCTGGATTGAGAGTTGCCAGAACTCTGAAGTCCGAGCATAGCGCTTACGGGAGCGCTTTCCTCCTCTCCCGGCAATGACAGGGCCATAAATGTGAAGCAACGTTAGCGTATTTAAAACCAGAGCCATCAACCCCAAAGCTCGCTTGTTCACCTCTCGTTTCACCGACTAATGTCAGTCCTATTTAGCACAGGCCAAAGACTTCGGCGAAGCCTCCAGCCCCTGGAAAAAATACCGAAAACATTTATTGTTAAACGGGGAAAACAAATGCAGGGATTCCATCTCACCGTATCGTCAACCTGCTGGCGGCGGCGCTCCGGCATCGCCGGCTGGAATGTTCTCTCCGGCGACAGGCTGGGAGGCGCCTGCCGCGACGTCAGCGCTGGTGTTTTCGGCTCCTCCCTCTGTATTCTCGCTTTTCTCGGCGTTCACCGGCTCCTTGGAGTCGTCCATGTATTTCGAGGAGAGCTCCTGAAAGCCCGATCCGGGACTTTTGTCCCCGCTCAGCTTCTCTCGGGCCTGCAAAAACAGACTGGACATAACAGAAAAAAGCCCCCCACTACTTATTAAGAAAGAGTTGAAATGAAAATTTTAGCTATCGTTAAACAGTGCCCGGCGGTCTGGTTTCCAAAGGAACTAACTGAACTAGAAATGAACAGTTGATGCTGGCCTGAAGCCCGTGTCTTTTGGATCAAACCCTGTATGTGCCGCTTTCGTGGTCCCCACCCTTTGTACGGAGAATGAAAAAAACCCTTGAAAGCTCGCTATTTGGGTAACTACCTAATCGCTAGCAGATAGAAAACCGTTCCGATTGCTTTCAATGTGCAGGCCTCCTCTGCTCTTATATCTTCACGATCTGAGCCTGCTACCACCACCCTGAGAACAATTAAAACAAACGCCGGCAAAGAAACGAGTCTACGAATTTTCTACGTCTTGCCAAATCTGTAGTGGGGCGTCAGTCACAGCTCTAGGGACCGGAAACCAGAAACTCGTAACTTCTGCAATATACGCAATTCAAACCGCACTTGCCACCTTGGAAAAAACTGCAGAGTCAGTACAACACCACACCACCGGGTGGAGTCTGTGTGAAATACGTAAACTGCCTGCTATATTGCGTATTCTTCACATTTAAGTTACCCAGCAACCTACGTATTACGTGAAATACGGGCATCACGTTCCCACCCGGAGTAAATACGTATGGACGTAGAGCCGAAAGGCGCGCTCAGGGAGGCCAGGGCGGACCCGTCCGTACAGGATGCGCAGCGTTCAGCCTTGTTTGCACAACGGCTTAAGGAAATCATCCGTGCACCACGCATTGTTTTCAGGCGACGCGCCGGCCCTGAAACGCGTATCTCACGTAGCAACGCGACCGCGGTGATGTACCTTGGGACGTGCGCGGAGCTCCACCCACGCACCGTTGAGACCGGGCGGCAAGACGTCACAGGTGTATGGGCTGAACTGGAAATAAGCCAGAAAAAGGACGTAGTAAACAAGTGTGGAGCCCTTTCTTTTTCGCTCCGCGGGGCGAGACCCCCATCGGGCGCCATGCCAAGAACGGGAAAAGAAAAGCCGTGCGTGCGGGGTGCGTGGGTGTTTGAGCTCGTAGCAACGCGTTTCTTTTTAGCACAAAGACATGCAAGAGGACAACGACAAAACGAAAAAGAAAGGGCGCCTTGTCAGGCGCGCGTCTCCCTGGGTTTTGGTGTGGGTGTTGATCACGTGGTTGCAGTTTTGTGCGCTTGCGCGTAAGTCCAGAGCAACGCGGCAGGGCGTGTACTCTAAATCTGTCCATTTCTTATTGTGCTGCAGCTTCTGCAGTTTATCCCGGGGTGTACCCCGGGTTTTTCGCAGGCGCTGGCCAACTTGACCGCACTCCGCTAACGGCGGAATAGTTAAGAAGCGGGCGCAGGCGCGGGCGATCCCTGAGCGCAAACGCGGAGTCCGCGTGGGCTCAGCTCTAAGGGAGGGCCTGCTAACATTAGCTGCGCTGGGCCCCACATTGGCGCAGCCGCCCAGAGCAATACATGTCATTGTGGCACTTTGCTGGTGAACGAAGTTAGTCAAGGATCTGGCGCCTGAAATTGAATAGGGGAGTCTGTAGATAGAATCCCTAATTGTGTCTGGGCAGAGGCGTTTGCTGGCGTTTGCTGGCGTCTTGATATATAAACCACTGTGTAAATCTTGTGTGTCATCGGTATCGATTTCCAGTGGACTTCGGAACACACCACATCAAAAATGTCTAACATTCTACACAAAGTATCTGAGAAGCTTTCTGGTCACGACCACGACAAACAGGAGGAGACCGACGAGTACGGTAACCCTCTTACAGGCCAACAACAGGAGTATGGGCGCGAATTTAAGGGCGGATCCGGTCGCGAGTATTACACACGTGACCAGGAATCCAGCGACCAAACGCTACCCTCGCAGCACCAAGCAATGGGAGGCAGAGACGTACATTCGCACGGCCAGCAGAGCTGGAAGGGAGGCCAGCAGCAGCAGCGTCACGACATGGAACAGGAAGGCGGAAACTTTGACATGTTCGAGCAAGGCGAAGGTGTGGGTGCCGGCAAGGTCGGCAGTCGCACGCGCGGCTCAATGGGCCAGGGCCAGGGCCAGGGCCAGGGACAGAGGCAGCAGCAGCAGCGGTCTGGTGATTGGGGCGACGACGACGATTTCTCCAAGAACCGCGACGAAGACTACGCTGATGAGTTTCAGAAGCGCTACTGGTGATGAAAATGGCGATGACCCGTGTGTGGTGATTTCTGCTGTTTTTCCTTTTCCGCCCCTAGTCGGCGGCTACCGAGACGCGCACAGGAGCCCGGGCTTGCCGGATTTCATGTATCTTCTATATTTGTTCTCCATGGCAATCTGCCTTGTTGACTTTTATCTATGCTAGTTATGACCGAAATGTTTTAAGATGATGAACGCCATATGATGCGATTTTTGTCCACATTAGTTGATGGCAAAACCTCGTCAAACTATTAATGTTCAGCGCTTCTCTTGTAGTAGCTGTGAAAATTTCTGGTAGTTGTTCGTGCGTCTTTCCAGGTGATGAGCTAGTGACCTCTGTTTAGCCTTTTTAGTACGCCGTGATCTCGAGTTCTTGAACTGAGAGATCAATCTCATTCGGAAAAATAGCATGGCACGGCGGAAATTGGAAACCCATATTTTACGTTGAGATAACGAGTACCAAGTGAGGGGTACCAGAGGTTTGCAAGCAGTACCACCAAGCGAGACGCTAGTCCTTCTCTTCGGTAATTGTGCAAAAATAAAGCACAAGTAGCTTACATGGAGCAAGACATTCTGAACACCACATCTGTCTCGAAAAGCGAAGACGTACCGTCGGAAACTGCTCCAAAAGTCTCAGACACAAATAAGAAAGGAAATGGAGATGCCACTGCCTCTGTTGCGACCAGATACCAATCACCGGGTGAGAGGAGCCACCGTGCGACAAGTAAAACTGCACGCGGTAGCAGATCGCCTGGCTCGCATCCGAATCATTTGAACCCAGCTGTTGCACCAACGAGCAGGTATATGGGTGCTTTGGACTCCCACTCGAGTTCTGCGACTGCCCAGCACGCGAATCCGCATATTTACTTCCAGCACAAAACAAGACCCAACGCGCCTTTCAACTCGCGGCTCATTACGGGTAGAAAACTTATATACGACTCCCAAAGTGTTGAAACCCATGATCGAACTGCTTCAGGACTCGATTACAGCCTTCAAACGGGCTCAATTCCAGTTTTCCAGTTCAGCAGGGCTGACCTACCCGAGTTTCACGATTTCTATGGACAAGCGGAAGAGGTGGGCCGTCAATTCGGGGCTGTTAAAGTTGTTATACTGGATGACGCCGACAACAAGACCGACAACAGAGCCACAGGTGAAATTGAACCCTTTTTGTTGAACACAGAGTATTTTTGGTTTCGCGCAAGAAGACAAGCTCTTGACTCTTCCTCGAAAGTGCGACAAAACAGGCTGAACTTTTATCGGAACTTATTTTACTTTCACAAAAACACAGAAACAGATGAGGCTGGTGGTGATCATTTACTACAGGGGAAAATTCCAAGCATTGAAAAGCGTCCATTGGATTTTTACAGGCTGAGGCAGTGCGTGCGGTTGAGAGGAGGATTCGACGTTGTCTGTCAAAAGAAACTATGGGCCCAAATAGGTCGAGAGCTAGGATACTCTGGTCGAATCATGAGCTCCTTGTCTACTTCCCTCAGAGCTGCGTATGCAAAGGTGATCTTGACTTTTGACAGTCACGAAAAGAATTTTTGTCCAAAGGACAAGTTCTGCAACTTTCTGGAAGAGGCCCAAATTATGCAAAAGCCTCCCATTCTACTCTCATCTGTGTCACCCAACCCTCAGAACCCCTTGAAACGTCCGAATGATGTGAGCGTTTTGTTTTCAGAGAGTGAGCATGAAGTGACTAAAAAGAAGCAGAGACGTTCCTTCTCATTGCCCGAGATTCATGGTTCCAGTCACGAATACATCCGATTAAGAGATTTAAAAGCCGTCAAGGGATTTGACACCAATTTCGATAGTCTGACAGAGCCTCGGAAAAACCAGTCAGTATCCCCAAATGGAGATATCACCACTTGGAAGATTGGTACTGAGCTCTACGACACGTCTTGTCATGAAAGCGCAGATGCGCCAATATACAATCTTCGTCAGTATCATGAGAAAAGTCAAAGATTTTATGAGTTTATTCAGAGAAATTACGGAGACAATCACGAGGAATTCTTTCAAAATAGTGACGCCACTCACGTAAGTGACTTTGAGAAACTATATTTTCGATTGCTAGCAGATAAAGCTGCTGATTTTGAGGTCGACAGCGGTGTCGGTCTCTCTTCAGAAATTCATGGCTCAGCGTTTCAATCTACACTCAAAAATGGCATTAGTTCCTCGTCTCCTTCACAATCGTGGAATGTCAATGAACTTCCATTTTGTGAAAAGTCCTTGCTACGGTTTGTTGACATAGATTACGGAAACCACTCAAATTCAAAACTTGATGTGGGTATGCTTTTCTCAACTAAGGGTTGGTCAGTGGAGGACAACTTCATGCCCTGTTTAGATTACAATCACGTCGGATCCTCCCGGCTTTGGCACATTATACCTGGCAACGATCTTCAGAAGTTTGAAGGTCTGATAGATAGGTTAAATTCAGAAAGATACACTGAGCCGGAGATCAAAAGCGATCCTGCGTTTGAGTGCTCACAGTTTTTTCAAGCATATGTGGATACGAATCCACTCAATGAAACGCGAACTTCGTTGCCGCGGAAAAGTTTGCATTTATGGCCTCCCAACGCTAAAAGCACGAAAGGTAAGGCCTATATTGATAATGTCAAATCCAAAACGTTGCCAGATAACATTCAACTTTCACCTTATTATCTGAGATCTCAAGGTGTCACGGTCCATACCGTGACACAAGAGGTTGGGTCTTATATCCTCAAATATCCACGTGCCTATTCGTCAACAAAAGCCGTGGGGTTTCACGTTTCTGAATCAGCACGATTTGCACCTTCATCGTGGTTATTAAACGACGCATTTGATGGGGAAAGCTGGCTTACCGATCGAGGTATTTTACCAGGTTTGAACACCGCGCGGCTGGCTTTTGAAATTGTTCACAGATCGCACGACGGTGAGCTCGTCTCAAAGTGTGTCAAAATGATTGAGCAACGCGTCCAGCTAGAATTGAGACAGCGTGAGGAATTCAAGCAAATTTTCACTGATTCTGCGTCTCTGTTTCTGAACAATTTCGATTTCATCTCAGATCTTGATGTGAGCTTGACCGGCTTTTCTAAAGTCATGATATCAAATGCTCTTGATTCCTTTACTCTATCGTTGTCACAGTTTTTGATGTCACTAAGGAAGCAGAATGGCAGCATATATTTGTACGGCCAAGATCTGAATGGAGATGATATCAGAATCTCATTACATGTAATGTATTCAGACGCAAGTCTAGCCGAATTGCTTATTCAAAACACGACCTGCGAGCAACTGATAACAAGGCTAAAGTCAGCAATTGACCAAGAGCCAAACTTCTCATTCGATGCTTTTATTAAGAATAACTATACCGACCAGCCTGTCCCGTTAGCCGATATCGAAACAGCGCTGGCAAAACTTAGCATAGTTCGTGACTCTTCGAATTTATCGGTAATTTGTGAGTATATGACAACTGTCTACGCGATGGAGAGAAAATGTGCTATTTTATTGACCGAAGTGCGTGAGGATGCAAGATGCTACGACGATGTCAGTTTAGGATCGGGTCTTGATCTACATTCTTTACCTCCTTCCCAATGTCGACATTCCGTTTCGGACTTTGTTTTACTTTCGGAGAAGTTAAAGCGACTTTCGATTGAAGTACCCGCTTACCGAAGCATTCAGCAGTACATGACGAGAATTCTTGAATTCCAGAACCGGTGTGCGTCCGTTCTGAAGTTAAGGAATTACGAAGATCTCAAAGGCACTTACATTGAGGGTTGGAAATTGGGGATTCGGATGAAATGTCACGAATACGTTGCACGCGAGCTATGCCAGATTCATTGGCTTGATGCCTATGAATTTGTTGTCGGCTCTCCACGCTATGACGCGGGAAAATTTAACAATTCTAATGACTATCAAGTGCGCTTTCTTCCCAAATTCTTGGAGTTTGGCCTGAAATGTCTCGATTCGACACATGTTGATAAAATAAAATTCGTCAGGAGGATCATTTTAGAAACTCAAGACGTCGTCTCTCGAGTTGCGCAGATATTGAGAAAGAAAAAAGCTTGGATATCCGTAAAAGAAATTGAATATATTTCTAAGCGCGCCGAACTTCAAGAAATCCCAGTCTCTGCTCAATTTGTCGATATTTTGAAGAACATTTTAGACTCTGTTACCAAGGCGAAAGCAGAGATGGCGCCCGTGCTTAGCAGGCTTGGAAAAGATGAGTCTTCAATAAGCTCCTTTTGTCAGCTAATGTCAAGTGGATCGTTGGAAGCACTTGATCTTCTACCACAGTTTAACGGCTCCGTAACTGATCGGCGGCTCGGCATAGAAGAGGTGCCCAATGGACCTTTCTTTTCTACGTTTGTCAAAGAAGGAAAAGATTGGATGCAGAAACTGAGTTCTCTCGTTTCGCGTCGCAATTATCTGGCGAAAATTAGCGAGAGCACATTTGAATGTTTGGATCTCAGAGAGGATGTCTACAGGGCCGATTGGGCTTCACGTGTTGATCGAGCCTACTGCTTTTGTCGGAGAGGCGATTACGGAGGAACAATGGTGGAGTGCGAGATCTGCCGCGAATGGTATCATGTTTCTTGTATCAACAAGGGCAAAGGGTCTCCACCCATCGATGTGAACAACGTCTTTGTATGTGCGATCTGTGTTCCTGAACCAGCCACCTGTTTTGAGGTAGCTGACCCAAGACTAAACTTCAATTCCTTGGTTACTCTCGCTATGACATCTTGCCAGCTAACACTGATACCTGATCGAGGTGTGCTCGCTGATTTATTTCAGTGTTTGGAAGCAGCCCTCCGATTTAAAGACCACATACGCAATGCAGTCATAAAAGTCGATGAGGGTCAATTACAGAGGAACTTTACCATTGACGAGTTGAAATTCTGCCTTCGAAAATTGGTCGGCTCGGCATGTCAGTTAACCGACGAAATCACTATTTTCAAAATGGCATGTCAGGAATATAACGAAAATGAATACAAGAACTTGCAGCAGCGCGGAGTCGTTGTGATCACCGGGGATGAAACTACAAATTGCAAGCAAGAGCCCTCAAACGTCTTGCGTACATCCCTTGACGCGCAAAGTGACGCGCAAGAAGACAATGGAACGAATGACGTCTAGCCGTTCTGGCCATTACACGACACATAAAAACGAATAAGGTCAATTTCAAGCCATCAAATCTATTAAGACTTCAGAATAAGCTCAAAGTTTTGCGTACTCAAGTCTGAGCTTAGGTTTGGCGTCTCTTGACGGTGAATGTTGGTCACGTGATGCTTTCTTGATCGATGGGTTCTCGTTCGACTCGAGCGGATCATTCATTCATCGCACCCAACTAATTTACAGGAAGAGACTAACCAGTCAATTAAGTCAATCTTGAAACTTAAAGATTCAAAGATGTTAAGGCTTGGAATTACGCCTGTCGCTTGCTTACGGGCAGCGAAGAGAGGCCCTACGAGGGCCTCTCCTGCACTCAAAGTGCGGAGAATTCTCTTTCACTCTGGGCCAAGGTGTGCGTCGAAGGAGATCAAGGACGATATGGTAGGAAAACCCCAAGATGGTTATGAAATTGAACAGAACAAATTAAAATCTAGATACAATGAGAAGGATTTTTCTCAACGCGAGCATATACATATGAAGGAATCCGAGACTGAGGAAAACGACTCATTTCAGCTCGGCTCAATGCTTCATCGAGAAGGATTTGGTCACCATCATCATCAAAACACAAGCGGAACTGCCCCTAAGAATCCACTTTTGATCATGAGTGCTAAGGAGTTTAGACAAAACCCAGGCGTGCGTATTACATGGGTAGGATTGTTGATAAATGTCGGATTGGCGTTGGGGAAATTCGTCGGCGGCATTGTGTTCCACTCTCAAGCCCTGGTGGCTGATTCTGTGCATGCTGCTTCTGATCTCATATCAGATTTTCTGACGCTTTTCTCAGTAGGTTTGGCTTCCAGAAAGCCAAGCTCTGACTTTCCTTACGGGTACGGTAAAATTGAGACCTTAGGATCACTGGCTGTTTCCTCTATTTTGGCTACCGCAGGACTGTCAATTGGGTGGACCTCACTTACTGCCGTAGCAGGTCCTTTACTTCCGCATGCAATTCTGGAATTTTTCGTCGGCCACGGACATTCGCATTCTCATAGCATTGCACAGGACGTTACCAATATCAACGCGGCATGGATTGCCGGAGGTTCAATCTTAGTGAAGGAGTGGATTTTCAAGGCTACGAAGAAGGTGGCTGAACAGACTAACTCCAACGTTTTGCTGGCAAACGCGTGGCATCATCGCGTTGACTCACTGACTTCTTTAGTTGCGCTCGTGACAATTACTTCCGGATACTTTCTCAACATCCAGACTTTGGATGCCTTTGGTGGTCTCATCGTCTCTGTTTTGGTTTTGAAGGCCGGGATCGACGGTTGCTCTGGTGCCATCAAGGAGCTTATCGACAAGTCTATACCCCACAATGATCCCCGTTATAAGGATATCGAAGACGTTACAAGGGAATTGCTTTCTCAAATGATATCTAACAATAATGCAAAAAAGCCATACTCGATAGCCGATCTAGTCGTTTTGACGTCAGGTCCTAATATACATGCAAAATTGGTATTGGAAGCTCCCATTCAGAGATGGGAGAACGTGTTAACTTTAAAAGAATTTGAAATTGTCACTGATCATCTCCGTGGTACTCTTTACCAAAACGTGCCTAATTTAAGAAAAGTTGACGTTGAATTTATTGAGGAGAAACCACAACTGACTGACGAAGAAGCCGCTGAAATTGAAAAACAGAAAAATATGGGACAACCACCGCTACCGAACACAGAGACCCAAGCGACCCGACCCCATCAGCAATGTGGCCATAATCATTCTCATTTCGGGCTTGACAAACACATTCACAAACACTAGTTACATTAATTAGATGCCCCATATAAAGCTGCAATTATTACTAAACTCATCTTCATCCACTAGTTACGCTTATTCTGCTAAAGATAATTACTGGTGGCCGACAGCCCAGTCGTTCAAGCCATGCTTATTTCTCGCAATTTCAAATGCGTAGAATTGAATTCTGACAACGAAGCATGTGCTGAACTGGCCATACTCCTGGGTTGCGTCGGTTCTAAGTAGAGTTCCAAAGTTAAAGTCGTCAATCTTTTTCTCGAAAAGAGCTATAAATTTCCTCCATTTCTCTTTGGCTTCTTTGGTCTTGAGCTCGTCTTCCGAAAATTTTCTCAGTTTCTCGACATCTTGGTACTCTGGGAAATGTTCCATGAATTTTTCGTAGATCTCATCATCGAATTTTGTTAGTCTAAGTTTAGAGCCTGGGATCTTGGTGATGAGGTTCCAGTAAGTCTCCGCTTGTTCAACGGCTACCACTGCAAATTGCTTCTCAATATCTTCCAGGTTATCGGCGGTTTCGGCGTTGAAAGTCGACATGCTGTTTTGAATGGATATTTAGACTCAAGGTAAACACTTAACACAGCTTGAATAAGGCTAGGGTAGTAGGGGCCTAAAGGTTCGATGTTCTTTTAAACTTTTCAAGATCTTGAACTTCCATGAGATGAGCTATCAATCTTTTTCAGCATTCGCGACGAACCCAGAATTCAGTGGACGAATCTAGAATCCAGACCGCCGTCAAAAGTGCTAGAGGATTCAACGTAGATGTCAGGAGTCCATTTAGAGATCAAATGGAATCTTCACTCAAGTCAGCCATTGCTTGATTGAATTGAGTTACAGTAAAAAGAGACTGATTCTTGCCAAACTCATAATTCGCTGCTAATTCCTTTTTATGAACAAAATCTTCAGTTCCCGTTGATCACGTGATACGACAGAATACATCAACCGATCGACTTGCCTGAAGCTTCAACATCACCATTAAGACAAGCCTGCCATCGTTACAGTAGAGACTCCTTGAGAGCTGCTTGCTGGCAATGGAACTTGAAGTTTGAAATTCTGAATCACTAGAAAAAAACTGTACTAGTACCTCACAAAATGAGTGATTTCCAGCGGTGAGTTGCATTGCGATCCACTCGTGCTGGGAAATGGATCTTCACATCGATTAAAAGAATACTAGCGGAAGACGAGGCCAAATCTGCTCGCTTTTAGCGAGTGAGAAAATGTAAGACACCGGTCGAAGTTGAGTTGTTCCGAAATATTTAGCAGATGAAAGGGCTATTGAGGTTGTACTTGCTAGGAAATAGGACTATTGGTCTAGTAGCAACTCCTCTGGCTTGTTTGTCTTCTGTACAGCGAGTTCTTCAAATCTGCTGGTCAAATGGTTTAACTAACGAGTTCTTAGAGTTGCGTATAGCATGATCGTCAAGATTCATTAGCACCCCAGAGGGTTGGTAAGCATATAGGAGTTTGAGGGGAGGACATCACGGAGCGAATGCTGATAAGAAGGGCAACTTCAACGTTGAGTTCATTTGCTACAAGAATGCCATCAATGAAAGCTGCATGTGTGATTATCGGCGATGAAGTGCTGAACGGCAAGATCACCGATACCAACTCCAGATTTTTTGCCAAATATTGCTACAATTTGGGCCTCGAATTGCAGGAAATAAGTACCATCGGAGATCGTAGAGATCAAATCATCTCGACGATCCAGAGATTGAGTACTGAAAATGATTTTATTGTTACCTCAGGTGGCATTGGATCGACCCACGACGACATCACTTACGAAGCCATTGCCAGTGGGTTTGGCTTAACGTGCAAATTGGACGTGGAATGTCAGGAACGTATGCGCAAAATATCGCAGCCGGAAAGCAAATACCAAGGTGACGCTTTGAAAGCGTTTTATCGGATGGCGACACTTCCAGAAGGTCCGAATGTGAACAATTATTATGTCTCGAAAGATTTGTGGGTTCCTATCGTATCGATCTCTAAAAAGGTTTACATACTGCCAGGGATTCCGCAACTTTACGAAAAACTCCTCACGGATTTCGCCCCAACTGTCAAGCAAATTTATGGTCTCGGTGAAGAGCGTTCACAATATTACAGAAGATTTTTCGTCAAGACCCGGCAATCAGAAAGCCAAACAGCCTCTTACCTACGTGACCTGCAAAGCCGTTGTAACGACGTTTCAAGCGACATCAAGATTGGATCGTATCCACATTTTGGTACGGGGTTTAGCACCGTCAGTATTTTAGGTTTGGCAGAGCATGAATTGTTTTTGAAAGAGGTGGTGAAAGAAGTTTGCCAGAAAATCGACGGTACGCCAATCACGGCGGAAATGGAACAGAAATATTCAGATGCAAGGTAAAAACATTCTCAAATCCAAATTCTTATGATATTTATTTGTCTATAAAGTCCGTATAAAGATTTTTGTATCATTTTTTTCCTCCTCTTCTTCATCTTCTTCCTCGTCATCTGTGTCTGGTGGTCTTGGAGTTCCCTTCGCTGACGAAAGCCATTCGATGTACCGCAAACGACGACGCTCAGTTTGAGCTTTCTTCTCATTTCTGGTCATACGCTTCTTTCTCTTCTTGACTTTAATGTTAGCAGGCGAGTCATCGTCCACAACTGCTGCGCGTGCTTCAACGTTCAGACCAACAGCATTCGCATTGCCTCCATCAGCAAAACGAGCATGATCAACTTGTTGAACACCCTTTTGGACCATTTTACCATTTTCGACAATCCATTGTTCAGGACATAGAGCACCAACAAATTCGTTATTGTGAGAAATCATAACAACACCACCAGTCCATTCACGGATTGCAAAAGCGAGTGCGCCCAAAGAATCTCTATCCAAGTAATTGGTTGGCTCATCCAACACAAGAAGATGTGGATTATTCCACATAGCACCTGCAATCACGACTTTGACTAATTGACCACCAGAAAGCGATCCCAATGGTGTATGATTTGTGATCTCTGCATCAAGTCCCACGTCTTCGAAATGTTTGGTTATCACAGCTGGGGTAAGTTCTCGATAACCAAGACCTTCTCTAGATGCTTCGTGGTCATCAAATTTCTGAACCAATTTATCGAAGCCATGTTCCAAAAGCACATCCTTCGGCACCCATGAGTTATATTTGGGTTTCCACCATTTCCATTTGACTTCGTACTGGAAAGATTTCTTATACTTTTGTCTTCCAACAATGGCTTCGATAGAACGCTTGCCACGACCATCGTTAATGTCTATCTCTTTTTCCATCATCTCTTTCTCCTGCTCGGAAATCTTTCTGGATTCTTTTAGCAACACTTCCCGATCATCACCAAATTGATAACGCCATTGCAAATATTGATTGGCCGTCTTCTCTTTGTGTTCGTTGACATGTTGTAGTGCATGTTGGGCAATATAACCAATGCGCAAGTTGGGATGTTTTTCCACTTTGCCTGCTTGCGGTACTAACTCACCAGTGAGCAACTTTATCAAAGTAGATTTACCAGCACCATTAGGCCCAAGTATGGCAACACGTGAACTTAAGGACAAGGCGCAAGAAACATTAGCCAAAGAAGGCTTTGCTGCGCCAGGATATGCAAAGGTGACATCTGACATTTTGGCGACAGCTCTCGTATTGGATTTTACACCTGACAATATTCCCGGTGGAGGGAATCTCATTTGAGCATTGGAATCAGTTAATGTGTAATAAGCCTTGGCTTCGGGCTTCTGTTCAACAAAAGCGGCCAGATTTCCTTTATAGTAAGCCAACTTTTTATTTTCATAATGAATAATGTCAGTGCACACTCTGTCAAGAAATCCTGAATCGTGCGATACAATAAGAGACGTAATATCAGTGTGTTCCAAGAGATACTCTTCTAGCCATTTGACATTAGCGACGTCCAAATGGTTGGTGGGCTCGTCCAATAAAAGAATATCAGCCCTCTGCAGCATAGCTCTAGCAAGTTCTAGCTTCATCTTCCAGCCACCAGACAAAGATCCAACAGTTTGAGATCTCCTGAAATCATCAAATCCCACTGACTCGAGAGCTGCTGAGATTTCCTCTTTCGAGACATTTTGTAGCTGCGGATCCAGAGCAATGAAGGCAACAAGATCCAAATCACCTTCTTCGCCTTGGAGTTTGTGTTCAACGAAACATGTTCTCAGGGTATCCTTGTCTGGAAATCCTTCCAATTGCCCATTGGCAATGGACCTCATTAAGGTGGATTTTCCTGCTCCATTTCTACCGCAAAGACCATACCTGTGTCCCTTCAGTAGTCGCAGGTTAGTTTTGTTCAGCAGCATCCTCGAACCATACGCCAAAGAGAAATCAGTATTGACAATCTCAATTCCTTCGTCGTCGTTCGTTGCAGCAACCTCTTGATGGAAAAGATGCCTCAACTGCTGGACAAAATGTTCATCGACGAAAGCCGCACTGTCGGTACCAAAGACTAAAGTCAAGTACTCTTCCAGTCTTTTCCAGTCATTGACATTGGCATCAAAAGTTATGATCTTTGATAGATACTCCACAATTACAGAGTCTTCCTTCAAAGCGTACGGAGTGAAATCGAGCTGCTTCTGCAGGAACTCAGTGCCTTCTGTCAGTGTTATCTTGCCGGAAAATTTCTCATCCTCCTTTGAATCCTCTATCAAAACGTCGAGTGCCTTTTCAGCAAGCTCACGAACTTCCGGCAATGAGGCTGTTTTAAGAACTTTTTCTACGCCTGGTTGCAGTAGAGGAATGAAGCTTTCAATTTCACGGCGGTTGTTGACCAGTCTAGTTAAGTTTTCAACCACGATGACGGTTTGTCTGAGCTGTTCCTGTGTAGACGAGGAAAGATTTAAAGACCTGTTCAAGATCGGCACCAGAATACTTAAAGCGGGCTCTGTAACTTCGGCAACGAAAGTAACGCTGGATAAAGACTTGACAGATTCTGGTACCTTCGTGGGATCTTGCAGAGTATCGACAATCAGCTTGAATCGAGGAGAAAGATCCAAGTTGTCCAAAATGGACACATAGTCATATAAAGTTTTATAACCCTGCTTGGCCAATTCAGGCTTGAAATCGGTGGCAACGTCCGTTAATACTGGAATGGTATCCTTGAACGTCATTTCAAGTAAGTCGTTTGGCGATTCTTCCCTGATGCGGTCTATGAGTTGCAATGCGGCCAGCTTGGACTGCCACTTCACACCAGATTTGAGGTACGACAAAAGTACTGGCAGCAAAACGCTAGTTTGGGCTTCGATTGGAAGTAAGCCAAAAATCGCATCTACTGCGTGCTGACTAGCGCGTTTCACATTGTTCTCCTTGTTAGGCATGCTGTCCAGTGCTAACGGTACAAATGGGATCAAATATGCCTCCTCGGGCGTTTTCCCGCTTACACTGTTGGCCAGCTGGGAGATGAGCAGCATGGCAGCTTCTTGTTGCAAAGCAGGTGATTTCGGCTTTGACAGCTTTGTGATCGCTTCTCCTAGGTCCCACTCTTGTATGCAGCTCAATGAACGGCCCTCAACGTTCAGCTCATCTATGATGCCCTGGATGGTCTTTTTACATTCAGCAAGTGTTGTACACTCTGGAATTTTCTGCAAAATGGCAGAAACGGGGGAAACTTCCAAGCCTGCCAGGCTGTTTGCGAGCGAGCTCACAGATACCGATGAAGAGACACGAGAGGGTGTCCCACTGCTTACAGGGGAAACGTTCGACGAATAGCTCTGTTGGGAATACTGCTGCTGTTGATAGTTTTGATAGTACCCCTGGCTTTGCTGGTAGTTCTGATAGTTTCCCTGGTATTGTTGGTTGGTTTGTCCACTGTATTGTGGATGTGCGCGCTGTTTTTGGTACTGGCTGCCGCCGTTCCAGTTCCGCGAGTTCTGATTACCGGTTTCGCTCGCTTTCTTCGTATAATAGCCACCAAATGGCGACTGAACTTGATTCTTCTTGGGCGTATCATCGCCTAGAAAGTCATCAAGTGACTGGAACTTCTTTGGAGGCATAACTGCTTGTCACTTGGACTTCTTTGATCGCAACGGTGATGCCAGAGATAAATGTTCTTTCATACTTCGAAAATTTTTCAGAAGCTTCCCAAGAGATGGGTTCTCATTTTAGCTAGATCACCGCATACGTATCTATCTCGGACTTCGCATCTGAAAGCCATTCAGCGAAATGTCATAGGGTATCAAGGCGTTAGGCGACTTAGTTAGAATTGAAGTGAAGTCATTGTAGCGTAATTGATATTTAAATGCGGTTTTGGTTTCAGTTTATCAAATTTTTAGCAGTTAAGAAAACCACTCTAAGCTAGTCACAGCAAAAGCAAGACTCCTTGTAAGACGGAGGAAGTGTATAAGGCAAGCAAGAAAAGGTTACGATCGCTAATACTCAGAACTGTCACTCCACTCTTCCTGTTGATAAGGAGCGCAAGCTTTCTGAGTTCAAAAGCAGAACGCGTATACTTTCGTACGGGTCATCGCGACACGAAAAATTCGGTACTCTACGCGTCGTGCACTTCTCGTGACGCGTTGAAATAGGTAAAACGCCAAAAGGGTATCGCAGGAAAAGAGACAACTCTTGAACTGTTTCTCGAAGCTTTCAACAAGTCAGCCCTGGCTCCTGGGAGCTTTCAACTCAACTGTTATTGGAATGACGAGGCTTGAAGATATGGGAAGCAGTGAGCCGATGGCATTGATGTCTCTGAAAGTTCTCTATACGGTGGATAACGAAGTCAACACATACCTAGCGCGCAGCAAAAACCTGGTAAGAGTTCGCAAAGAGCGAATTCCAAGTCCTAACAACGATGATACACAGTTGACAGTTGGGGTGATCGAATTGAGTGGTATACTGGAGGTAATTCGAGAGTCTTCCCCCGAACTGTTCTCGTCGCAGGGCAACGGCGGGCTAGACTACAATGTGTATTTCAGAGACCTATGCGAAACGGACGAGCCATTTGTGAGTTTCGGACTGCTGTCGACGCTCAAGAAAAGTGTGATGAGCGAGGTTATCGACCCAAATGGAACCCCTCAAGCTGAAGATGAATGGCCTGCAGTAGTTGGCCGCGTATGCTCAAATTTCTCGGCGCTTCTGTCGTTTAAAAGCAATAACAGTATGGCCGGCAATTCTAGCGCGTCTATCAAGAGTGCAAGTCAGACGCTAGAAGTAAAGGTCAAGTTTTCAAGAGTAATAACCGCAACGTCGTCCAGGAGGTCTAGCATTGAGGGGAGGTGCAAAATAACAACTCCCACGCCAAGGAAAAAAATATCAGAAACTCCTGCTGCTGAAGTGAACAAACGGCAAGAAGATGGACACCGCATCATGAATGAGCAAAAGCCCGGCAAGAGGCAAACCAATCCCATGCCTGCACCAAAAGCCGCCAGGACCCAATCCTTGCCTATATGGAATCAAACCAAAAATGCACAATTTTCGCTCCCTGCAAACTCCATAGCGCACAAAATTTACTTGGCAGATCGCATGAGTAAGGAATCAGAGACCTCCAAACAAGCATTTGGAGAAAAGAGGCCGATCTTCCATGTGAACAGCTTGCAACAGGACAATACTGTGCAAAAAAGCAAGGTTGATGACTCTGTAAGTAAACGATTTGAATTTATTACAAAGAAGAAGGTGAAGTCGGCTAAGCCTGTTGCTAAAAAGCCGCTGTCTAAACCGAAAGCAACAACGGTGAAGAAGATACGAAGAGATAGCGCAGCCAGCAATTTTTCCCCATTAGTGCCAGCTGCAAACAACGCGGCGACGGGAGGTATTAAAGAGGTCAACGGTACAAACTTAAAGCTGTCTAACGAAGAGTTAATGGAGGCTGGAGAAGAGGTTCTAGCGTTGCAAGATTTCAAAGCTGATATTATAAATGAAGTACAACAGGAGGAGCAACTTCATATGGAAAATAAAGAGAATGAACCACCCAGGGATGCATGCATAACAACGAGATTTGAGGACCTTCTTGGAATGGAGTCATTGGGCTTCAAAACTCCCAGTGATAATGATAAATTTTTCGGCCTCTCGAAAGAAATGGATCCACTGGAATGGTTTGGTGACATATTTGGCGCACCACCTCCTTCCAAGAGCAACTCTCCTGAAAGAGATCCGCAAACTTGTAATACGTTGCCAATCGATGACGAAGATCAAGAACTTAACAAAAGCACAACGAGCGACAATGACAAAACTTCTCCGCTCGACACACTCTCTATGCCTTTATTGGAATTGGATCAACGTAAGCAGCGAACATCTGGTACGTCCATACTCACATGTAAGGACCAGCTGAAAAGGCTTCCGATTTTGTGCAGAAAATCTGCGTTAAATGGGCTTGAGGAACAGGTAGATGACGACGCGACTTCGGAGGTGATGACCTACTCTACATCTCCCAAGGAGCAAGACTCCAGAATCGATCTAAAAAGACGTCGATTATCGGTTCCATCCTCACCTCTGCATGAGGCAGGGAACGGCTTCAATGAAATGAGCGAAGAAACAATGAAGAAGAGAAAAACCATGCCATCTTCGCCCACATCCATATTGCATTACGAAGATGAAGCAGCTGTGAGTAACGAAGATTTCTCCTTTGTCGATACGTGTTTGAACCCTAACGTTGATTCTACCCCTGCTACACAATACAGATCCAGTGACGCGGATGCCGTGAAAACAACTGGTGACAAAAACCCCGAAGCACAATTTCTGTGAAGTTCGGCATTGCATAGCATCAAAGTCGGGCGTTGAAATATCGCCTTTGGTAAAAGGCTAGCTTGGCTCAATTAGCACAAATGGCGTTTAACACCAAGTCGCTGCCGTTTCTGAGCGTAATACATTCTTGTCACAAACCCTGTCAACCGTCATTCCCGTAATTAAACAGTCTGCATTTAATTTAAAATCTAGCATCTCTTCTACACAAGCGGCATGAACGCCTCAGCCATACAACGTGACGGGCACAAATCGAGAAAGTTTGCCACAGAGCCGTCGATTTTTTTGTTAAGAAGATCGTTACGAGGGGGTGCTGTTCTTTTAAGTGATAGTGAAAAACGAATTGAACCGACGCTGCGAACATGTTGATTTCAATGTTTCCCCTATGTTGAGAGTCCTCGCTCAAACTCACGTATGCCTTACTTCCTCGAGGCAAAGCATGACTGTCTTAGCCTTAGTAACCCATCTCTCTCTCTCTATATTATAAAGAGCCTTGTTGGCGCAATCGGTAGCGCGTATGACTCTTAATCATAAGGTTAGGGGTTCGAGCCCCCTACAGGGCTATCTCTTTCATTTAGTTTTTTGAGAGCTGCTGGAAAGAATGGCATATGCGATGACACTTACGCTGTGGGAAAAGCGAGCGTTCTATGCATTTTTCCTTAGTCAGTCTCCAATGGAAAGACTTTCACAATATGTCTTCACAAAAGTTATAATGGTATTTCATATTTATTGAATGACTATGTAAGTGGCTCTTACTCTTACTCACAGATCCAATGACATTGCGAGTTTCCATAGGAGTGTCTTGAGGAAGTCCAATCGCCTTCAAATATCTCGGATATTCTCTTTTATTCTGTCTCTTTGAAAATGGCGCTCGGTAGTAAGGTAATTAACTATTTTTTTAAGTTGTGGAGAGAATTGATCAATTTAAGTAAACGACCTCCTGAGACCTGAATAATAGAAAACTTTTCAGAAACCTGGTCCGATTAAGGAAGAAGGAATAACGCCAGTTCCAGCCAGAACTCCTTACTAAAATCTTCACTACTTATCCGCCTGACCTTTATAGAGGCTCGGTTGAAGGGTTAATGTGTGAATGCGTACATGGTGATATATCAAAGCCTTACGTTTAAGAAAGTTGGCTTGACGCACACAGTGACCGGTTCTCTGTGGGGATCCAAGCTACGAGCAGCGTTATGGATGTTCTCCTAGAAAATGTTATAGCAGGTGGTCTTAACCACGATCCCGCCAGCGAAGCTTATTTAAAAGACGTTCTACAGCTCAAAAGCTCTTATGATGATTACTTTTCGTCGCTTCCTATTCCTGGAAGCATTGTGGAGGAAATAGCCGAGACAGATGCCAAGATGGCCCAATTGGAACTGGAACTACGAAGTTTGCTGTTGGATAACAAAACCACTATCTTGAAGTCCTCGCTTGACGTGTCGGTGTCACTTGATTTGAATAATATATTAAAGGAGATGGACGAGCTCTGGGAGTTGAGAGGCGGCACACCGACGCACAAGGAAAATCATCAATTCGATGATACTTTAGCCGCTTTGCATAAAGAAAGACCTGCTCAAGAAACCAAAGACGGATTTGCAGCTGCGCTGCAAAATCTTAAAATCCAGGAGTCCACGGGAACTCATGTCATAGATGATCTAGGTCTCGCGCTAGATAATATGCCCGGAGTCAATGATATTTTGGAGCTGCCATCGCTGGTTGCTGTTTGCATCAAGATGGGGCATTATAACGAAGCAATTCTTTGCCATGTTCAAGCCCAAAAGTTAGCGGCTAGATTCCCAGATATTGAGATCATCAAACAGGTAGTCTCTACGATTACGGAAGAAATAACAACAAACATGCTACAGGGCCTCGTTCGTCTTCTGGAAACCAACTCGGTGATAAACACCATGAAGAAAACAGTAGGCTTTCTGCACTCAATACCGCCATTCACCGAAAATGACGATGCGCTCCTTCAAGTTTTTCTCACGATGCGTTTCAATTTTATATATGCGGAATTACGCTCCTACGATGCGCCAAAGGACGCCAGCGACGCAATTTGCGAAATGTTGATGAAGAGAAAAATCGAGGCCATTCGAGAGCACGCATACAATGCATTTGTGGTGATTTCTTCGATATCCAATATTTCCACTCAAGATATTGCTCTGCCCATATTCGAGGAATTGCAACCAGCTAAGCCCACAAACCTGAGCATTTTAGTATTCGTCAAAAAATGCATCGACATGCTAGTTGCAGACCTAAACAGCTACAAAAGTGTTCTTTCAGAATCTGTGTGTCTGCAATTGATATACTGCTCCTTCAGGTTTGCCGATTCTAATCCAAACTATCACCGGATTTTCATTCAAACGTTGTGGGAAAAGAACATTTTTACCAAGGATCAATTGTTGACTGCCATGGAGAAAAGACGGGACCTGGCGACCAAATATCATTGAACTAAACTCAAGTCTCACTAGCATCATGAGCAGCTCACTTCATCAGTTGAATCAAGATGTCGTGTTGTTCACCGGCATCATATCCAGCAAGGACTGAAAGATAATTTTATACGATGTCGAAGACATCACCAAATTTGGGACCTTCTTAACTTCTGCATCCAGTAAATAATCCATTCGACTGAATATGGACCCCGAGCTTCTATCCGCCCAATTTCAGAAAGTCGCTATTCGTAGAAGAGCATCTGATTTGCAAGAAGTATGGCAAATTAAGTTCCTAAGAATGACGTTTGGGAGAACGAAATCCACCACAGCTTAAAATTCAGCAGCATGGACTGCGCAAGCTTCCATTCTCTGACCTCAATAATTTTTAAAGCCTATATGTAACAATATTTGTTTAACAATGTATCCAAGCAAACCGTGATTTTGTCTCTCATCGGCTTAAGCATAATAGTCTGCAGCTCTTCGAAAAAAGAGGTATGTATCGAAGCCCTTTTATGTTTCTTTTTGGCCTCTCGGAGTTTCGAACCACGGCTGAGAATCTTTCTTTCTTATGTAATCAAGACGGGGAGCCCTTTTTTTTTCTATTTTTCTTTACCTTAAAACCAACGCAGAATTCCGACAAAATACTGAAGTCTCATTCAAAAACTTCACTTTCAACCATCAAAGGATTCTATTCCGGGAAGCAAAAACTTATCAATCGGCGAGATGGTCACACTACCTGTAGACTCAAACATTGAGTCTAAAGAGGCCAAAGCTGGTGGCAATTTGGCCGAAAAGACCTACCACGAAATGGATGCGCATCAAAAGCCCCGAAAATCGACACAGTCGCAAAGCAGCTCCCAGAGGGAAGTACTTGTAGCTTCAGCTGTTCAAGGAATTGCTAAATTACCGACTCCCAACAAAAGTGGAGCAGTGGGCCCGGCTCCCATGGAGCTAACGGACCCTAAAGGATTCCGTCATGCCCCCTCAAGGGACAAGAACAAATATGATACAAGCATTGACACGTCTGCGGTTCTGGTTAGAGAGAGGCACATACAAGAGATTGTCGATAACATTGGCAAAGACGATGTGCGCACTTTGTTCCCGTGGCGAAACATTGGGTCTTTTCGTTCGGCTGCCGACGCTGCTCCTAGCGCTGACTCGCATCTTATCAGAGCGTACATCACCGAGCGATTCTACAATGATTTGTACTATAACACAGCTGGAATGATCGGCACATGCTTCTTTGCGTGGCTTTTGGCGCATCTGGGTTTCTCGTGGTGGTCTCTGGGATTTTTATTCTTGTGCACTGCCTCTGTTTATCGCACAGAATTTCGTCGTTTCAACAGGAACATTCGCGATGATTTAAAAAGAATCGTTGTGGAAGAGACTCTCACGGATCGTACTGAAACTACGCTATGGCTAAACTCGTTTTTATCAAAATTCTGGGTTATCTACATGCCAGTTCTCTCGCAACAAGTCAAAGACGTTGCAAACCCCACGCTGGCAGGAGTTGCACCAGGATACGGTATTGATGCCTTGTCATTAGATGAGTTCACATTGGGTACAAAATCACCAACGATCGATGGTATCAAGTCTTACACGAAGAGAGGTAAGGACACCGCGGAGATGGACTGGGTTTTCTCTTTTACACCGAACGACGTCTCAAACATGACAGCTAAAGAGGCGAAGGAAAAAATAAACCCAAAGATTGCGCTAGGTGTTACGATAGGAAAAGGATTCGTCTCGAAATCGTTGCCAGTTTTGGTCGAAAACATCAACGTTGCGGGAAAGTTGCGCGTCACAATCAAGTTTGGGCAGTCTTTCCCTAACATAGAGATTGTATCCATTTCTCTTCTCGAGCCACCTTTCATTGACTTTGCTTTGAAGCCAGTCGGCGGGGATACTCTGGGACTCGACGTGATGTCATTCTTACCAGGACTGAAGACGTTCGTGAAGACCATGATTAACTCCAATGTGGGCCCTATGTTGTACAATCCAAATAAACTTGATATCAACGTCCAAGAGATAATGAAGCAACAGGCACAAGATGCGATTGGGGTCGTTGCTGTCACGATCAATTCTGCCAAGGACTTACAGGCTCCCGATTTCGCTGGCAACTCAGTCGATCCGTATGTGACCTTAACCACCGACCGTGATATCACGGGCGTAACGCCCATCAGGACTACTGTTAAATCAAGCATAACCTCACCCGTTTGGAACGAAACCAAATATCTTTTGGTCACAACTTTGGAACAAACACTCTCACTAAATTGTTTTGATTTGAACGACCTCCGTAAAGACACCTTAATTGGTAAAGTGCAAATTGATATGAAGGACTTTTATCAAAGGCCTTCACTAGAAAATCAAAAGTCTAAAATCGTTTCGGGGGGTAAAAATAGAGGAACCCTCGATTATGACATTCATTGGCTCCCGGTGACGGAAGAGAAACCTGAAAGAGAAGACGGAGATGCGACAGATGAGAAAGAGGGGAGAGAGGAACAGGCAGAGGAGGGACAAGTAGCCTCAGATGTGGGTATCATTAAGCTCACTTTACACAAGGTCAAAGATTTGAAAGGGTCCACAAGTTCTACATTTTCATCTACCTTGAGTCCCTCTGCCGAAATGCTTGTTGATGGAAAAGTTGTGAAAAAGTACAGAACCCTTAGACGAATCAAAGAGCCGTCCTGGCAAGAAACTAATGAGGTGCTAATTCCGTCAAAGAAAAATTGTACTCTGGAATTCAAGGTTTTTGATGAAACTGTACGCGGGAAAGAACTACTATGCGAATACTCGTCAACGGTAGAAGACTTAATGGCGCTGCCTAGCCTTGAGCAGATGACGCTACGTGGTTCCTCACAAGGCCAGATCATAGTTTCTGCCCAGTGGAAGCCTGTTGCTATGACGGGGTCATTCGCTCCTGCAAATGCGAGAAAAGAGCCTATCGGTGCCATTAGATTGCATCTAATGGATGCTTTGATTAGCGAAAATCTCTCAGGTGTCGGTGATATTGATCCTTACGCTATAATACGACTCAATAGAAAGATAGTGCAACGCACCCATTACTTTTCGGAGAACAGGAGCCCAAACTTCAATACTGTCACCTTTGTGCCCATCACTTCAGAAAATCAAAAGCTATCCATTGAGCTAATGGACTACCAACACGTGGGTAAAGATCGCCATATCGGCTCATATGATATTCCCGTAACTAAACTTGTTGAAAAGGACCATGAAACCGGAAAATACGTGCCCATTGAACAAGGAAAGACATCACAATGTCGCTTGCTTAACGAGAAAATGGAACTCACCAAGAGCTATTTTAATGTTTCGATGTCTTTTATTCCAATCCTGCCTGTGTATGGTCCTGATGAATTGGCTAGAGTTGAACAGCTCGAAGCCCAACAGGAAAAGAAGAAGAAAGAGTTCGAAAAGGAGCAGCTGCAACTCCGGGAGGAAATGGAGAAACATCCAGATAAATATGAGGTTGTCGAGGTTGAGGACACGGACCAGCTTGCTCTCGGTATGGACACTAAGGAAAAGAAGACCCTTGACGAATTGTTAAAATTTAATCAAGGTGTTATAAATTTGCAAATTTTGAGGGGAACACTGACCAGGAAGACTGCTTTCCTGCAGCTCATCTTAGATGATTTTCCAATCCCTGTGTTGACCACTGCCAAAGCTACCATGGGCAAGATTATTCCTGACAACGGTACGTGCTTCATCCGAGACTTGGATCATAGCAGAATGACTTTTAGAATCACGCGTAAAGAGAAGGTTAGCGAGTTGGACGAGATTTTCGACGAGTTTAGCATTGGCACAAAAGATCTGTTGAAGAGCAGCTACGAGAAGCCTCACTCTATAAAGCAAAAAGGTTGTGAAATCGAATTGAGAATGCTTTACACGCCAGCAGCAAAGCAGCTTCCTGACTCCGAGACCGCCTCTGATACAGGGGTCCTCAAACTGAATGTCATATCCGCCGAAGATGTTCCCTCACATGACAGAAATGGAGCATCTGACCCCTTTGTCGTTTTTTCTGTGGACGGGCGGAAAATCGAGAAGACTGAAGTTATCAGGAAGACATTGAGCCCTGTTTGGAATCAAAGATTTGAGGTCCCTATCCCTTCGAGATCGAGAGGTGAAGTCAAAGCTGAGATTTATGATTGGGATAGAGCGGGTTCTAATGACCTCCTTTGCTCGAGTATTGTTGACTTAAAAACCTTGATTCCAGGTAAGGGCCAAGAGTTTGATTTGAGCATGGAACCTCAGGGTAAACTCAAACTAGGAATAACTTTCGAAGCCGGATACCTGTACCCACCTCTAGATCCGGTGAAGGGTAGCCTTACGGGTAAACCTTGGAAGGTCATCGGCGGCGCAGCCAATGTAGGAATGGGAGTTGCGGGTGCTGGTATGGAATTTGCAGGCGCTGGACTAGGCGCCGCTCACAGTGCGGCTGGAATGGGACTGGGAGGTGTAAGTAAAGGTGCGCGACTTTTGAGAGGGAAGACTTCTAAGAAGTCAAAGAGTCGGGAAAACGCTGATAATTCTGATATAATTCCTGACAATAAAAGAGCACAAGCCTCTGGGGAAGCACGGAAGTCACTTGATTTTGACCCTTCGAAGCCCAATAATAGCTACGCTAAGGTTCAAACAGCCCAGCAACCTGCAACCCAACAAAAAAATGGAGAAGGCTCGAGTATCGCTGGCGCTCCTGGGCCAATCCACACGCGCTCTCCTTCATCGACCAGCAGTTTTGCCCGTACGCTAGCGCCAAATGGCACTTACAAAGGTAAGGTAACGATAGTTGCGGCCGAAAATATTGGTAAAGCCATACAGATCCGTGTGTCTCTTGCACAGGGAGGGCGTATGAAGCATTTGTACCGCACTGAGAATAGGAAGACGGATGGTAATGGTTTTACGTCCTTCGATGAGACATGTTCATTTAAAGCTTCCCCAGAAGCCAACCTAGTTTTTGGCGGAGTGCTCGTTCACAAGCTCAGCAAGGATACCGATCTTGGGATTGCTCAAATTAACCTCGGCGACCCCCATATACAGCAGGAGGGACAATTATCCTTACGACTGGGAAAAGGTCATCTCATAGTCAAAATTGATTACGGCAGTGAGGATCTTCCGCCTGTTCCTGACATTCCTTTCGAGTACAAGAATTAAAATTGTTCAGTTTAAGTATTAATCTACCAAAGAAGTACGTTGAATCTTCTGTTAATGAAGCTCTATTGTTGAAGTATCCCGTCATCTGTTTGCTTGATCCAATGTGGTCAAGTGCCCTTGTGTCTGTCACCCATACATATTCTAAATTTAAAAGTTATATCATTTTTATTTGTGAACACCCAAACATTTTATCTAAAAGCCGCTTTCCGTCGTCTGGCTTTTTATTGTTCTGAAAATGACAAGCAGCTGACTTCGGTCCCAGCCAAAGGAAAGGCGTTCCGTCTAGGCCCTGGGCTTGCTAGGCTCTCCTCCAGCCTAGGCTCCTCCGCCCAGTCTTCCCATCCCAGGAGCCTAGGGTGAGAGCTGCCAACAGACGCGGAAGGAAGCACTCTGACCTCCGCTCGTACTATACGATGTAGTACCGGGAGAGTAGCCTTTGACTAAACTCTTGGAAAAAGTTGCCAGAACAACTCAAGACAGGATATCCTAGGTTTCGAGCAAGCGAAAGATCAACGAAATGAGCGCCCAAAGAGTATGTTATGTGCGTTAAAAAGAGGAAAAGAAGCATCGAATGAATTGGTGGTGGGCTGTCTTCTGAGGTGGGGTATATCAGATATGTTTTCAATGACGGATATCGTATGAATCAAAGAGGAGTGGTGACCAACATTACGCCAATGATTTCCAAACTCAACAAAGAAAATGCTGGTTACGAACCAGCGCCTGAATAGTGGCTCAGAGTTTGGTACTTGCCTTTGTACCAGAGAGGAGTTCAAGGTAAGACTGTAAAAGGCCCTTCACACCGTGATGGAAACACCCAATTTGAGTCCCACATCCAACCTTCTAAGCTTTCCTCTGTGTTCTCCATTTTATATTTATACTAACAGTGATTAGGTTCCAAAGTGGTATCCAGCTGAAGACGTTCCAGTCGCCAAGCAAACCAGAAAGACCGCTCGCCCACAGAAGTTGCGTGCCTCTCTTGTTCCAGGTACCGTCTTGATCTTGTTGGCCGGTCGCTTCAGAGGTAAGAGAGTCGTCTACTTGAAGCATTTGGAAGACAACACCTTGTTGGTGTCTGGTCCATTCAGAGTCAACGGTGTTCCATTGAGAAGAGTCAACGCTCGTTATGTTATCGCCACTTCTACCAGAATCTCGTTGGACGGTGTCGATGTCGAGAAGTACAACGTCTCCTACTTTGCCAGAGAAAAGGTGACCAGAAAGCAAAAGGCCGAGTCTAACTTCTTCGGTGACGAACAAGCTAAGAAGGAAGTCCAAGCTGAGCGTGTCGAGGACCAAAAGGTTGTCGACAAGGCTTTGTTGGCTCAGATCAAGAAGACTCCATTGTTGAAGCAGTACTTGGCTTCCTCTTTCTCTTTGAAGAGCGGTGACAAGCCACACTTGTTGAAATTCTAAATTAACAGGAATGTAAACGGTACGTACTACTCCCTTTGAGGGTTGACATCAAGTGTATACAATCTAATTTCACATCAAGTTCATCGAGGAGGCGACTGGCGTCGCAGTGCCTTCGAGGACTATCTTTCAAGACTTTATCAAGAACTTTAGCATTTCTGTGATTGATAGCTTTGAAGATGCCTTTCGATGAAGCTTTTTGATTCTTTATCCTATTTCAAATATTTGTTTTCGACACCTAGCATGATTTTAAACAAAACGTTACTTGTTGAAATTTGGTGACAGCCTTGAAAGCAAGAGGAAAACCCCAAGCGTTAGCGAAAATGTTCTGAAGGACTCAGGGGGTTGAGATATCTAACTGAAATTTTCAATGGTCTAATAAAAAGTGCACTAATGCTAGCCCGTTCTCTGCGTCAATGACCTCACCAAAAGCGTGGAAGTAAACTGCAGTCATGGCTTTCTCAAGATCGCCTGATACTAACAAGTTGGTTTCGTGGTCTAGTCGGTTATGGCATCTGCTTAACACGCAGAACGTCCCCAGTTCGATCCTGGGCGAAATCAATTTTTCTGCAATTTCATCAACTTTTCGTTCATGGCGATATTCACCAGAGTAATACCTAGCATCCGAATAGTGTCGAATTAAGCCGAACTTCTTTTCTTTTCCATAGGAGTCGATGGTTTTGCACGTGCAGCTTTCCTTTTTGAAAGTCACATGACCATTTCTGAAAATTTTCACTATACAAGACGATGAGATGAAGTCTTCAGCTCATCGGCATATGTCTAGTACTAATCACCAAAGTAACTTCGAGGCCGAACCATGACTGACTTACTACCTCTAGCCACTTATAACCTTAAGATAGAACCATACACGCCTACGCCAGCCATTGATGTCACCGTTCCAGTAACCGTGAGATTGACACTAGCTGCTGTGGATCCAGAAGCGATCGACGAGGACGACAAGCCATCTACCTTGAGAATTATCAAGAGGAACCCAGACTATTCCGACGATGATGACATTTTGGGTGATTACGACGAGGATGAGCTTGACGAGGACGAGCTAGACGACGAAGAGGAAGAGACTCAAGATGAGAAGAGGTCCAAGAAGGGCAAGAAGCAAAGTAAGAAGGCCGAAGCTGAGGAGGAAGAAGAGGACGAGGAGGAAGAAGAGGACGAGGATGATTTCGACGACGAGTTCCAAGAATACGTGGTTCTCACCTTGTCGCCCAAGACCCAGTTCCAACAATCCATTGACATCACCATTGCTCCTGAAGAGGAAGTCCAGTTTGTTGTTACGGGCTCTTACCCTGTCCATCTAACTGGTAACTACGTCAAGCATCCCTTTGATCAGCCACGTTACGGGGACGACGACGAGGACGACGAAGGAGAAGAAGACTACGACAGTGAGGAGTATGACTTGACTCCAGACGAAGACGAAATTCTAGACGATCTAGAAGACGCTAGTGATATCGAGGGTCGCATTGAGGAGCTTGTGCAGCGAGACGAGGAAGAGCGTGCCAAAAGCAAGAAGAGAAAGCAAGAAGCTTCTGTAGTGGAAGAGCCAAAGGAAGCCAAGAAGAGCAAAAAAGAGCAGAAGAAGGAGAAGAAGGATGAAGAGAAAAAGGACAAGAAGGAGAAGAAGGTCGAATTCAAGAAAGATTTAGAGGAAGGACCCTCCAAGAAGAAAACTACTAAAGTTCTCGAGGGCGGCATAGTTATCGAAGACCGTGTGACCGGAACCGGCAAGTTGGCCAAAAGAGGCAGCAAGGTTGGCATGAGGTACATCGGAAAGCTGAAGAACGGTAAAGTTTTCGACAAGAACACAAACGGCAAACCTTTCTCTTTCAACCTTGGTCGTGGCGAGGTTATCAAAGGCTGGGACATCGGTGTTGCCGGCATGGCCGTCGGTGGTGAGCGCAGAATCGTTATTCCAGCGCCATACGCGTACGGAAAACAGGCTCTTCCAGGCATCCCAGCCAACTCCGAGTTGACCTTCGATGTTAAATTAGTTTCCATGAAATAAACAAACTGATTGGGTAATCCAATTCGCTTTTTTCGGTTCAAATGGTAAACTATGTGCACTATGGGAATGATACACAATGCTCGCCCGTCTCGCGCGATATCAGTTCCACGACTCGAAGATTAAATGATTGATAACTGTATAAATAGCCTGGCCCTACGAAGAGGTAATTCTAAACGCGCCAAATACTTCATATAGTAGCTTCAGTTGTATCTATCTTCCCAGCAGAAGAAGTTGCAAGCATTTGTGTTCGAAAGCGAGATTGTCATTTTGTTAAGGAATTGGAGAAGTTCTTTCTCAAAACTTAGCTTAGCCGCTCAGCACCTTAGCCGAGAAATCCCTTTGACCACCCCATTTCACCGGTATCGGAAAACTCTAACTACTTATCTACGAAGGCATAAGAGGACACCTTCTAGGGCCAGACTCGCGATATATCGGAGGAACCGTGACCTTATACACCGATACTTTACAGGATTCACCTCGTCGCCCGATTCATCGCCAGAGAAAATAGGTCACGTGACTACAATATAGGTTTACCGGGCTCGTTTGTTGGTGTTTTAAGTCAGCCCACTGAAGGTACGAAAAATTGGACTTAAGCGACCGCGTTCTGTATAACCGAAAAATTTTAGTCCAAGAGGGTTCAAGGCATATAAGTAAGACCATTGAGGCTTGAGGCTTTCTATTAGAGCTTCAATTCATTTACAAATTTACATTTAGGCGAGATGTATCTGCTTTCCAAGCAGTTGGCGCCGCTGGTGAGGCCATTTGCCTTTATTTCCAGGCTCTCAGCGCGACATCCGATCCATGTGATTCTCACCACGATCTTGTTGACGGCCGTTGCGTACCTGTCTGTTGTTGAAAACTACTTCAATGGGTGGAACTTAGACTCCAAGAGCATTTTCGCCAGGAACTACGACTCGGAAAGACTGCTGGAGGAGAGCGTTCATTACTACCATGCTAGGTCTTCAAAAGATTGGATCATTATGAGCAACGACGATGTAGTCGCTGTTCCTGTGTCCGAGCACTATTATCTTGCTCCTCTCGAGTTTGACCTGAAAAATTCTACGACCCTTCCGATTCTCGACAACATCATTTACAGAGAGGACAACACTGTTTACACACTTCAACATGAGATTGAATTGGCCACCCAGATCGACGATGGCGACACTGTGTGGAGCTTGAGACCCTCGAATTTCAAAATTCACGACATCAAAAACAAGGTTTTGTCTGCTGCCACCAGCCTCAGCGAAAGAATCAAAGATGCAGAGATTTTCGATGTTTGCATCATCGGCACGGCGTACCTTGGCATGTTCTATACCATTGCAGGGCTTTTTATCACCATGAGAAGAAAAACCAAGTCCAAATTCTGGTTAGCCTTGGCCGCCATTGTTTCCTCCACCAGCGCCCTTTTTTTGGCACTTTACGTAAGTCAAGCCATTCTGGATAGACCTGTCACCGCTTTGAGCCTCATCGAGGGTATTCCCTTTGTCGTGGTGATCGTTGGATTCAGTCACAAGATTCAACTGGCTTTCTTTGTTTTAGAACATTTCAAGAAGCACGGCCTCAGCCAGAAGCATACCGCCGATAAGCTTGTTTATCAAGCCATGTCCGAAGTTGGACGGCGTATACTGCAGGACTATCTTCTCTGCATAATTGCATTTTTGGGTTGCTCCATTTATGCCTCCCATCTCGATGCCTTGAGAAATTTCTGTATTTTGGCCTCACTAATTTTGACCTTTGATCTACTTCTGACAAGTACATTTTATTCGGCAGTCCTAGCTCTAAAGGTTGAAATAAACATCATCCATCGCTCAACGATTATTAAAGAGACGCTAGAAGAGGATGGTATTGTGAGAAGTACTGCCGAATCCGTATCAGTTGCTGACACAAAAAACTCCCCATCAAGTTTAGGATCAAGCACGAGTATTGTTTTGTGCAAGTTGTTCGTCGTCCTTGCCCTCATCGGGTTTAACTTCTTCAGCTTTGGCGCAAGATGGACATACGCTACTTTCTCAACGCTATATTCAGGGAAGAGCGCAGAATCTGGTCTTCCAGATTCCATACTAACCAAAATTGCCAGCAACATAGCCCAAGATCTTGTCATTTCCGTTCTTCCAGTTCAGCATTACCAACCTAAAAGGGCCTATTTCAAGGTCGAAGACGTCTTGCGCTCTGTTTTGAGTTACATCAGCGTCTCGATTCGTGACAGATTTATCAGTAAGCTCGTTCTTTTCGCCCTTGCTGTGAGCGCGTCAATCAATATTTACTTACTGAACGCAGCGAGAATCCACACCGCGTATACTGCCAGTGCCTTACAAAAACAACACGCCAAACGCCAACGTTCGGCTGGCTCAGCATATTCTCTTTCAAAGTCATCTAATCCACAAAGTGCCCAGTCGTCGTCCGTAGAGTCGATTGAAACAACCACCGCAATTGCGTCGAATAGCAACACCTCAGATGATGACAGCAGTACGGCCGAAGAAGCTGAAAGCAGCAGACCGCTCGATACCCTTATTGAAATTATGAAGGGGGGCAAGACGGCATCACTTTCGAATAGAGAAGTCGTGTCTCTTGCCGCTAAAGGCAAGTTACCACTGTATGCGTTGGAGAAACAACTTGGCAACACGTCTCGTGCTGTATTGGTCCGTAGAAAAGCCTTGGCTGCCTTAGCTGATGCGCCAGTGCTTGCTACAGAACGTTTACCTTGGAAAAATTACGATTACGATAGAGTTTTTGGTGCTTGCTGTGAGAATGTTATTGGTTATATGCCACTTCCCGTTGGTGTCATTGGTCCCCTTGTTATTGATGGAGTTCCATACCATATCCCTATGGCCACTACTGAAGGATGTCTTGTTGCATCTGCAATGCGTGGTTGCAAGGCTATTAACTCCGGAGGAGGTGTTACAACAGTCCTAACAAAAGATGGTATGACCAGGGGACCATGCGTTAGATTTCCTTCTCTCGCCAGAGCAGGTGCGTGTAAGATTTGGCTCGACTCCGAAGAGGGCCAGACCAAAATCAAAAAAGCATTTAACTCGACTTCCCGTTTTGCGCGGCTGCAACATATTCAAACTGCCCTGGCAGGAAATTTATTATTTATTCGCTTCAGAACAACTACAGGTGATGCGATGGGAATGAACATGATCTCAAAGGGGGTTGAGTTTTCGCTGAAGCAGATGACAGAAGAATTGGGCTGGCCAGACATGGAAGTAGTGTCTGTTTCTGGTAATTATTGTACCGACAAAAAGCCTGCTGCTATCAACTGGATTGAAGGTCGTGGTAAGAGCGTGGTAGCAGAGGCCATAATTCCTGGTGAAGTTGTACGCAAAGTGTTGAAAAGTGATGTTAATGCTCTGATTGAACTCAACGTCACGAAGAATTTGATAGGTTCTGCAATGGCGGGCTCTATTGGAGGCTACAATGCCCACGCTGCCAACCTTGTGACCGCAGTATATCTAGCTCTCGGCCAAGATCCCGCTCAAAACGTTGAAAGTTCCAACTGTATCACGTTGATGAGCGAGGTAGACGGCAACCTAAGAATATCTGTCTCGATGCCCTCCATTGAGGTCGGAACGATCGGCGGAGGTACCATTTTGGAGCCACAATCTGCCATGTTGGACCTGCTAGGTGTCCGTGGGCCTCACCCTATCACTCCAGGTACGAACGCGCGCCAGCTTGCCAAGATTGTTGCATCTGCCGTTCTTGCTGGTGAGCTATCGCTGGCCTCTGCTCTTGCTGCGGGCCATCTCGTCCAAAGTCATATGATCCACAATCGGGGTAAACCTGCTCCTTCAGCTGCTACCTCCTCGCCAGCTACTTCGTCTCCAGCCGATGTGAAAAGATTACAAGAAGGTTCTGTGACCTGCATAAAGTCCTAATGGTCGCATATGGCCCTTAATCCCATTCAAAATTTGTATACTATAAAAATTTACCAGATCCCGTGCGAGCGTGCAAGTGCAACTTAAATATCCACCACTATAATGAGACTTAAAACGCCTCGCTAATGTCCGCCCTTTCCTATCAAAGCTCAAGGCTAGGTTAAACCTCTGTCTTCTGGTGGTGCTGTGATGCTTTCCTTAATCTTGTTAGTCCCGGCGAACACTCGCTTCAAAGGCACGCTCTCGGCCTTTGACTCATGCAGATGGACGTTGAAGAAACCCTATATCATGCATATTCAGAGAGGTCACGGGATCAGATATTAGGAAGTGTTGAAGAGTCCATCTCGACTTTTATTAACCTAGATTGATTAGTCAAAGGGTCTGATTGATGGCCATAATTGGACGGTATCGTTCGCTCAAGAGAACTCAGGGGTATAGACGTAGTGTGAGCTTTTTACCTGTTAATGTCTGGAGCACCTCCGAGAGATACAAACGTTCAATGCAAGGGCAAGGGTCTAGAACGCCTCAATGCGTTAGTCATCGGGGTTCCTCTTGATGACCCCAGAGTTCGAGAGCCAACTACCTTGGATATGTGCACGAGCGGGAAACAGAAGAGAAATACTTTTGCATGTACAAACTGTCATGCCCAAAAGGCTAAGTGTGTACCGTTAGATCCCCGTGACATATATGGCAAGGCTTGCGTTCGCTGCGCCAAGAGAAACAAATTGTGCACGTTTGATTTGTCGCGACGGACACGTCGTCGCAAGCATGAGGGTGAATTTGTAAAATCAAGTGGCTCATCCAAAAGCACTCCTGCTCCACATGGTTTAGTGTCTTCGCCACACGGTTCACATTCTCACGAGGCAACTTCACAAATTTGGATGAACACGACTGAAGTCAACAGGAACGGACTTACGACGGACTCATCATCTTCATGGCTCTATTTCGAGCTACAAGGTCTGCTGTCTTCTCAGCGAGAGAAGCTCGACATACTCTTAACCCAATTAACTACACTTAACAACAAATGGAGCGAGATAATCAAAAGCAGTGATGTTATGTCACGAAAAGGCGATCTTATAGAACAGGGAATTATCACATACCATGAGGCCCAGTTTCGCTTAGACCTTTACCGGTCAGAGATTTCAAAGAGGCATCGATTACCGTTTGTCAAAATTCCGGAGAATCAGACACTTGATGATCTCAAGACTCACGAGCCTATACTGTTTGCTACAATCATGTGTGTCGTATCCGCCATGCTCAATGAAGACCAAAGTACCGTCGAGAAAAATATTAGAATTGACGACTACGCTCTAGCTCTTGTGTCGAACGCGCTTTTGCGGGTTGGTGAAACCTCTTTAGAGATGCTCCGATGCTTGCTAGTGATGTGCTTTTGGTATAACTTACCCGAGTCATCCAATAAGTCGCGATTTCATCTGTTCAACTACATCTGCTGCTCTTTGGTTCGCGAGTTGTTACCGTCCGTGAGGCCGCGATTCTTACCCACTTTAAATGCAAGTGACAGAAGTGATAGAGAACAAGAAATGTATCGCCAATTTTTTTCGAAAAACCAGGAGTATGCTCGGTTGGTGCTGTTGGCTTACATGTCGGCGATCAACATAAACATTTATCTGAAACAGTCTATTCAAAACAAATGGGGGCCCATGCAAGAAATTGCTTACAACGCCCTTATTGAGGCCGCATCGACACATTATTTGGTTCATGTGCATGCCGCAGATGAAATCTTAATAACGTTCGCGAAATTGAATCACGTACTGGAGATAATTCACATCAAACTACATGAAGCTGAAGAAGACGAGAACGAAAATCGAATCTTTGTTATATCCCCCAAAAAGGAGCAAATTATACACCGGCTTGAGGCAGATCTAAAAGACGTTTTTAAAGGAATACCCTCTGAAAGACATCGCGCTCTGGCTTTCTATTATTCAGTGGATGCTTACTTACATGACTGGATCTTTACCAGCTTGATGCCAAAATCAGTGGACAAAATTAACCGAGAGGAATCTTCTCCGAAGCTAATTGCAGCTTTCAGACGCTTTTGGGAATCTTGCATGTCAGCCTTATACGAGTTCATGCAGCTTACCCCTGATTTAATTTCATCGCTGCCTTTATTTCATATTTCTAGAATAATATACACAGTGGGAATGCTTCTTGTGAGGCTTAGGTACATCACTATCACAGTGCCGGCTTTTTCAGCCCTCAAGCACAGCACAAGCAAATCGTTAAGTCTAGTCCAGCAGGTATCAGAATTACTCGACCGAAGTGCGCAACTATATCCTTTCAACAATTTTCTCACCAAGATGAGATACGTCGTGGCACTGTTCATTCAAATGTATGCAAACAAATTAATGTCATTCGTTGACAAAAACCAGCAAGCAAACTTGAAAGAGACCAATAAAATTGTGAACACTCAAGTTCCTGACGTGCAGTTTCAAAACTCCGTCAATGTTTTACTAAATCCTTCGCCTCCTCCCAAATCAGTTGCAATGAACAACCCACTTCAACCTCAAGAGCAAGAATTGGATGATTTAGCGGGATACCTGGCAGATTGGGATTCCCTTGAATTGGGATTTAATACCTTAAACGACGAGTTTTGGGCAGACGTTTTTCTTTCGAATGCATGATGGCCTTATAAAAGCCTTTAGCGTGAAACCATGGGACTCAAATATTGTTCCACGGCACGCAAAAAATAACGATTTTGAATTTTCCTGAAACCTTGACCCATCTTCTCCTCTTCTTTCTCTGCAAAATCAATTGGAGATAGCCAATTCTCGGCTACACTAGGCACATAAATTTCACCGTAAAGGTGATGAAGTACCTCGCTGACATTCTTTTGCTGCACATCTGTAAGTAATACCAACCACAATCCTGACGCAGTTGTCAAAACATGCACCCTGTATTTCCCTGTTGCTATGGTCCTGATCTCGTTGCTAACGTCTTCATTGCCAAGTTTCCGGCATATGGATTTCAATGAAAAAATCATGCCAAACAAAAGCTTCGCCGTATCTTCATTCTGTTTGGAGTTCACGACTCCACTAGACTGTTTTGCCTTGAGTGTCCATTCTCTGTCAAATATACAATTGCCTAAATTGTAATGTTAGAATACACTATTAAAGAATTGAACAAATATGATGACATAGCACAAGCTTTGATTGTAAAACATACAATGCCTGTCAAAGATCCAAAACGAATAGATTGCCATTGTCTTCGGAACTCTCAATCGGCTTTTGATTTCCCTCAAACGTCAAAAATGCAAGCTAGTTCTAACAGCTTTCAAGAGAAAGCCAAAGATTCAATATAATCAGACTTTCCGTAAACAATGATCTGTTGAGCTAGAAGCTCAATAGGTCAGGCTCCTGGGCATGAGAAGTTGAATTAGATTGGGGCGCTGCTGCCAAGTCACCGAATTCATCGTCATCACCATCATCAGATTCTGGGTTATGTTTCGGAACGGTTTCTTTCTGGGTGGTTTTGTTTTGGCTGGTGGGTGTCACAGTCGTCTTGGTAGACAAATAAGAGCTAGGTTGACTTTTGGCACTCGAGAAGAGGGAGCTGAATGGATCTGCCTGACTTTGAGAGCTTGCCTGAATAGCAGGCGTGACTCCACTAGCAAAACTAGACTGCGTAGTTGGAGCCGACGATACTACAGGACCAGCGGAATATAAATCCGCTAGCAAATTTGTACCGTTGCTAGTTCCAGGACCAGCGGAAGTCCCAGTTGAGGCAGTGATCGGAACAGCCGACTGAAAATCGGCAAACTCGTCGTCATCATCGTCATTTCCCTCGAAGCCGGCAGAATGCACTGTGGGCACAGAGTCGTCTTTCGCACCGAACTCTTGCATGTCCGTAGCCTCATTGTCATGGAATCCACCAGCTTGAGGCGTCTCAACTTCCTCATCGCTGTCGTAGTCAGCGCTCACGGAAATACCGTGAATACCGGAACGCCCGAATCCCGCATACGTGTTGATAGCAGAAGCGGGCAAATATGAAGAGGGCGCACCACCGGCAACACCTTTGTATTTTTTGGCCGTTTCGCGAGCTTTTTTGCGCTGATTACGGATCTCACTGTCGTCGGCGAGAAGCTTCACCAGGGCCTGGGCGCGATTGCGCACGTTGATTCCTTGATCCCGGCCCTGAGAGTCGATGTAGTGGAACGATTCCAACATTTTAATCAATGAGAGATTCGCGCGCGTATCGTCGATGAATTTTTCAGACCCATGTCTAATCAGGTACTCTAGTAATTGCAAACCTTTGTAGATTTGTCGCCATTCACTGGAAGTCTTCTCCGTGAACCGTCTAAAAACCATCCCCAAGATCTCTTCACGTTCCCGGTAATTATAAGTGCCCTGTGAAATCTGTTCCATCAACGTAGACGACGCTCCCCACGGCTCGTTGTTCGTCGCTTCTCTCACTTTACTTTCCATTTCCGTATAGTTAAATACCACATTTTGAGCCCGACGGAAATACTTTTTGGCGTCGTACAATGACAGCTTACTCAAATTGTTCTCTATGCTCATCACACCCCGGTAACTGCCCCTGTTATCGTATCGGTCCGTCGTTGCCTTGAAAGCCGTGATAATTGGGATGTCTTCCTGATAAACTTATTTACTTAAAAGAACTCGGTTGAAGTAAAATCACGTGACCCCGAGTTGATGAAGTTACATGTAAGAGCTTTTAAAAATCAACACTCTCTTAGTAGCTCAAACCTGACCAGCTTCTTCGATGACGATCCTAGCGCGTGGCTTGCCCGACATGGTTCCGTAGGACTCAATGGTCTTGACAACGTCCATACCGTCAGTCACCTCACCGAATACGACGTGGTTGCCGTCTAGCCAAGGGCATGGAACCGTGGTGATAAAGAACTGAGAGCCGTTGGTGTTTGGCCCCGCATTGGCCATCGATAGAAGACCGGCTTTGTCGTGTTTCTTCACAAAATTTTCGTCTTGAAATTTGCTCCCGTAGATGGATTTCCCACCGTATCCGTTAGTCAAGTCGGTGTCACCACCTTGCAACATAAAGTTGGGAATGACTCTGTGGAAGGGCACACCACGATATCCGAAGCCTTTCTCACCAGTACAAAGGGCTCTGAAGTTTTCGGTTGTCTTTGGAACTACTTCGTCATATAGTTCAAACTCAATTCGCTTTTGCTTGGCACCGTCAATTGAGGTGTCGAAAAAGACCTTGGTACCAAGCTTTGCAGCTGTAGAGGAAAATAGACGCGATTGAGTTGCAGCGGAACGTTTAATAGAGGCTAGCATGTTATTAATGGATCCTCGATCAATTGTGGTTACTGTCAACATGTCAGAATAAGACAGCTTTTTCTATTTTTTTTATATTCTTCAGGTGTCAAAAGTCGAAAAGGTCATAATCTCTAAACTACGAAATTTGGCCTTCAGTAGGAGGACCAAGTCGGTGTCAATGGGGACTTTTGAAACCAGTTTCTAATTTCTGAATTGCTCAGTGTCAAATTTGCTTAGTCTCAAATTTTTATCTTGTCTCTTTTTTGGATTCTCAATTCCGTAACCCGCTAGCCCACAAGGCCTTTCCAATTACTACGACTTCTGGGCAGGTGATTTCAGAATTTCGTCGTCAATCTAGCGTCAGTAGCTTGATCATTTTTGAAATCTGGTATTCCAGAATTTCTAGCCATTTTTCAGCCTCTGCTTCATCTCGCGATAAAATGGCTTCGTGCAAACCTGGCAGAACATCCCCAATATAGCCTTCGAACTTATCGGGCCCGAAAATAGCATGCTTCATCCATTCTCGATCCTTAAGTCCCATTTCGGTCAAGAACAAACGGTCTAGCGTTTTTAATCTCTTGTTTATGCCCGACAATCTTAGATAAATGCCAATTTTCTTGTAAAATGACCAGAACGGGTAGTCAGTAGTTGTCTGTTGCCTCAAATGGGCCAAGTGGTCGTCAAAAGGTCCTGTAATGTTAAAAGCGAGGTAGCTTAACAGTTCAGAAACATTTGAAGCTTTCTTAATGACGTTTGACTGCGATTTGAAAGTCTCCAATAGAAGCGTATGCCATCTGTCAAAATAGTTCTTGATAAGTTGCACGTAAGGTGTTGACTGGAAAGATACAAGCTCATTTTCCGTCAACATCAACGCAGAAAGACCAACAAACATGGCCAAGGTGTTATGCAGATCATACTCGGGATCTACAAACTTTTCCATCCAAGTGTAAGAATCGTAGTTGGTATGGTATTGGTAAACCGCATCCGACACTTTATTGTCTTCAAACTTTATGTTAACGGAGGGAATCCCCAAGTGATTCTGAAACACAGCAAAATCAGTGCCTGAACCCAAAATTCCAACTTCTGCACTTGATTGATCCAGCCAATAATCGTAAAGCGTATGCTCAGGCTGATGTGAGAATGGTGTAAGATGAGCAGCCTTTCTAAGCAGATTCGCCAACAATGGGTTAGCTTCGCATGTGAATTTCCATCCACTAACCGCTGTATCAAGATTAAAATAAGCCAAAACTTCCTTCTTTAATTTGTCTGCGTGATCTTCACCATATTCTGTCGATCCAATCATGGCGGGCTCCTCTGCATCCCAGCTTATCAGCTTTATAGTTCGCAAAGGTTTCCAGCCCTTAGAACGCAGCTCATCTAAACCGCGCGCGATCTCCAATAAAATCGAACTTCCACTATTTGGGTCGCCAGCGCCTCCAACAGTCCACGAGTCTCTGTGATTGCCAATAATCACAGAACTTCCCCTCAAAATACCTGGAATCTCCACAATAATATCCTTCGTTTCCTTAATTTCGTATTTTTGCTCGTTGTACACCCTTATCTTTACATTCTCTTGAGAGGGTCCAGTAAAGTAATCAAAATTCTGAATGTCACCTCCCTTGCCAATGCGCACACCCTGTTCGTTCAAATAGACAAGGATTTTCGACGCATCCCGCGCGCTCATCGGTACAGAAGGAATTCCCGGTACCCTCCCCGCAGGCGAGTCTCTACGCATGCTGCGGGACTTCGATGCATACCCTGGCGTAGTAGGGTCGCCGGGGCTTTCCGTAAAAAACTCAACAGAACCTCTTTGAATACCGCTGGGATTCCTCGCAGGCCCTTCTGGATAAGCTTTGTGCCCATTTTTGACAGTCATTTCGCCGTCATCAAAAGGGTCGGTGTAAAGAATCACAGCAGCGGCCCCATGCGCTTCAGCGTTCTTGACCTTTAGCCCCCTAAACATCGAACCGTATCTTATAATATGTACCTTGCCCTCTAATTCAATTCCTTGGTTCTCCATAAATTTATAATCGTCGAGGCGCCCATAATTGCAGAACACAAATCTGGCAGTGACATCTCCATTCGCCGAGTAGCCGTGAAATGCAGGCACCGAGTCTCCCGCTTGTGACGAAGGATCCTCATCTAGAGGGTCCTCCATTTTGCTAGCAGATAGTTTCAGTTGTCCATTCTCCCAAAGTGATATTTCCGTGTCGATGGGCTCATTAAGCCATGGGTAATATTTCTCGACTGATGGGCTAAAACCATAAGATTTTAGCGTATCAAAGGTGTATTGAAAAACACGCTCATCTCCAGACAGGTGACGATGGGCCGTGTAATTCCGCAAGTGTTTTTTCAATTCATTTTTTTCGGTTAAGGCTTCTAGGTATACCCTATAAGCTTCCGCTTTAGTGTAACTGCTGAAATGAAGCCTCCTGAGGTCTCTTGAGAGAGATGTTCTTGGGAGAAATGCCAAAGTAAAACCCAAATATAGAAATATTGCACCAAAAAGACAGGTTAAGAACTGTACTTTATGTCTTTTCACCGTCTCGTACCCTGATTTGAGGCTATTAACGGTATTAGCCCTGCCTCGACTGATAAAAGACGCCACTGAATCTCCTCTTCGGCGACTATTGGGAGCTAAAAGCGGCTGAACTTCATCGTGAGAAGTAAGCGAAGGATCCATACTTCGCTCCATATATGAGCCAAGGTGTGCTTAATTTCAGCATTTTATTCAAGATCAAGATTAAGTCGCTGCAGTATACATCAATATAATCACGTGACTAATGTAAAAGAGAAGAGTCTACAAGCACCGGGATACCGAATTTAGAGCAGAGGTCCCAAAATATTGGCAGTTTCTGGCCCGACGTATGATTCTAGTTCGTCTTTACTGGATATTTGCTGAAAATCTGAGTATTCAAATCCAGGGACTACCACTTCGCTTATAAGAAGCCCGTTGTTAAACTCTTTATTGGGCAATAAAAAAGAAGCTTTGTAGACACCGCCTGGGACAACCCACTGAGAAACCTCTCCTTTGGAAGTATCAAATCCTACTTTGAAGGATTTTACGGTTCCGTCTGGGTAAACCAGGACGTATTGACCTCTACCTCTTTGAAGAATGTGAATATTGCGACTTGTATTCATGATCATCTTACTCATGGGCGCGTCTGGGGTCAAAAGGTAGTATATTAAAGTGTGGTAATGTCTTGAGTCCGTGTAAACAGGTAATTGAGAATCTGTTGGCATTTGACTTTTCTGTTCAGCAGAGGCGTTAGAAACTGAAGTTGAAGTCTCAGGAGCATCCTGTTTGGAGGAGCCAAAGTTTGCAACAAAGGGTGACCGATCTGTTTCTTTGAAGTAGCCCCCTTCGATATGTTTGATAAGTCCCAATTCATCAATTATCTTTTGAAGCTCAGTGCCTGGCTGAGCGGCAGGAAAATGGACCAGATTGGGAAATTCTATTGGACTCGACGGAGCAGCATCTACAGTGGCTGATTTGAAAAGTTCAGCGACCATTCTGCGGGTGAGTGAAGCTGAAGTTTGTCTCCAGATCAAGATCGCGTCAAGGAGGTTTACGATGACTTCGAAGTAACTCAGCGTAACGCCCTCTTTGCTGTCGTGTGAAACGCTAATAAGTAAGATACTTCCACGATGGAGTTTAAGTCCAGTACATTGAGTACTTTAATGAGTATGTTGATGAGTCGTATGATAAGGTCAACCAATTAGAATATCGTCAGAATACATGCACTATATCGTTTTAGGACTTCAATTCCTTTTTGACCAAGTCCTGCTCAACTAGATTTTCTGCTTTTCTCTTTTTAGAGTCTAACAGCGGTGCTTCATCACTCTGGACAGCACTGAGGCCCTCAACCACTCTCTGGTCACCAGTCTTACCATTCACAGGTCTGAAGTAAGGCTGACATCTCCAGTATGGTATGGTTTTATAGGATCCGCCCCAGAGTTGCACTTCTCCAGTAGATACCTTGTCCAGCTCTGTGATATTGTCTTGCTGAAAAATGGTTTGAACAACTTGTTCTACTTGTCTGACAACCTGTTCTTCCCATACATCAAAGGAATTTTTCGCACTCATTCCAGAGAGGTTTGCCCTAATTTCAGTATGATTGGGTAGAAATGGTCGCAGAATTTTAAAAAAATGCGACTTCATGGCGATTTTTGAGGCATGAGACTCACCAAGTGATTTTACGATTTCAAAATATTCTCTAAGGAGTTTATCGACCCTCGGGAACACTTTATCCTTGTCCTCGATATGGTCGGTGTTGAAGACGCCTGGGTTGTAAAGATTGCCCTCTGCACTCATAACAGCATCACAGTCAATGTGCTCAACACACCTGGAAATGTCCTCCGGATAGAGAATGTTACCGTTCGCAAAGAATACGGTATCTTTAGGAAGATTATGACGTAAAAACTTGATCATTTCCCAGTCAGCCAGTCCTGTTTTTTGACCCTTTTGCTCTCGTAACCTTCCATGTACAGTCAAAAATTGGGCTCCTGCATCTAAAACCATTTTCGCATAATCCAGCGTCTTCTGGCGTTCGGGAAACACGCGTATTTTGGCCGTCACAGGTATGTCCAAGTTGTCATGAAGAGTCCTAATAAGCTTATGTATCAGATCCCACTTTTCCATAAGGAAAGAGCCGTATTGACCCTTTTTCGCAATTCCCTGCGGACACCCTAAATTGAGGTCTACGGCATCACATTTGCCTTGCACCAACTTTGCAGCTGCAAGCAAGTATTCGGGATCATTCGCACAAAACTGAACAATCAGAGGCCGATCAGTCTCTGGATCACCATCCAGATGGCACCACATATCCTTACGGTATTTTTCAGACGTTGCAAACAATTTCGCATGAAACATAGGCGTATAAGCTAGAGTCGCTCCGTATCTCCGTGACAAAATCCTCCAAGCCAGTTCAGACTGATCCACCATTGGCGCCACTATCTTGGTAGGGCACCCGATGCTCTGAAAAAGCATACGGCCCTCTAATTTCCTCAAGGGCTCAGAAGGCGATGCTTCAACCGTCATTTTGTTCCAGGGTACTACTGTCTTCAACTTTCCTTTGACCCCAAATACTGATGAAAGTCGACCTGCCCAAATCTTTAAAAAATGGTATAATGTTCTGCGCTATGAGCTAGCGGTGCGTTAAGCTTGTAGTGCTCGCAACCAATGATAGAGGTCATCGCTCGACTTCACTGAATTAAGTTTTTTTTTGATATTTCAGCAAGGTTTCTTTTCCTTCAAGTACCGGCTCACGATGGAAGTTAATGATCTAAATTATAGATGGCTCTTGATTGAAGTGCTTGTGCGAAGAGCAAGGCAATTGGCCAAATTGGCGCGTCGCCTAAAATTCTGACACCCAAATATAAGGATCTTGATGACAAGCGAGCTCTTAAAATGACACCCACGGTTTCGTAAAAATCCGTATCAGGACTCATTGCTTGGGTTGCGAGCTTGTCGTCCAAGACTTCGACGTCCAATGCACCTTTAGCTTGCGATCTCAAAAATTCAGCGTAAGATTGCATATTGTAGCCTTTCGGGAGTAAATGCTCCTCGATCTTCTTCAGAATTATTTCTGATTTCAACCATAGGGTTCTATCAACGGGCTTCAGACTAAGGTCCGAAGCGCCATCTCTGCAGTCTCTAGCCCAAACTTCAACGCGTTTAAGATACTCGGCAATTATGAGAACAGATGAGAAGATGCACGTTATGGAAAAGATAGGAGTTCTCATCGATGTTTTTTCTGCGTTCTTCACGATTGAGACGCTATCTACCCAGAATTTCACAATGTTTAAAGCGTAGTCTGTACTTTCACGTAGGGAGTCCCAGTCATTGAACCGTTCGAGAGAATGATTCATACCTGCCCAATCTTTGATCCATATCTTGCTCATGATTCCTGTAAAGCTGAGACATTTCCGGATCTTTGCAAAATTCAATAGTGGTATCATCAGTCTCAGTGGAGGGTTCGCATTGATAAAAGCTATGTTGCTTTCATTGGCAATTAAGGGCCCTCCATGCTTTATGTATAACGCCTCCCAAAATTTCAGCAGTGACTCCACAATTGGCCTTGAACTCATTCTCCATTTCAAATCCAGGAGTTGGGTATTGGACTCATGCTCTAAATTCGACCTCTCGATAAAAATCTTTTCATGAATCGAAATTAGTAAAGACAAGAGGGTGTTAAATGAAACTTTTTTGTTCTCGTAGAAAAACTGATAACCGTTTGTCAGATATATGAGACAGTTCTTGTAGGTCTCACCACCGTTTGAAAGTTGAATTAATGAAAATTTCGAGTCAAGAATGATTCTGTGTTGAGCAAGCATGCTGGACCACTCCACATAATTTTCACAGTGGTAAAGATCTTCGTAAAAACATGGAACACCACATTTCAAGTCGATAGAATGGAAACAACAGTCAAGACCAACAAGAGACGTGAATAAATTGGAAATCAGTAAAATGGTGTGACAGGTTCGTATCCTCGTCTGTGCAAGCACAAAATAGTCAAAATTTTTTTGAATTTGTTCTGAGGTCAAGTAAGCTCTCCTCTTCTGTTCCAACAGCTGTGGATTGTCTTGATATTCCAAGATATGATCGCTCTCAATGGGTGGGTTAACAAACATCTCTAAAGGCATGTTAAGTTGCTTTAGCTTCACAAGCTCAATCAGAGACATGATCTGTGTGTTCATCGTCTTCGTGATGGATAAGTCGTTGTTAAATATGCCAACAAAAATCAACAGAACCATACTTTGTATGACCCACAATGGCGTGTCGTCATGCCGATGTTTTGTTCTCTCTAAATGCTCGCGAATGTGGAATCGACAAATATTGAAAAGCAGCATGGCATGCGATGAATGAAAACCGTACAGTGCGCCAATCATTGATATGGAGAGCAGAAGCGGATAAATCTGCATACTGGATTTGATTGAGGGCAGGTGAATGAAACTGAAATATCGATGAAATTCGTCCTGGTATAAGTTGACATACGAGTTTAATTCGTGAAGCGTTGGAAATTGCGCAGAAGTAAGATGGTTCTTTTTGATAATCTCTTGCCTCAGTTGTTCTGTGAACAAGGTCAGACGAGATCTCTCTCTTATTCTGGTAGAAGAGCACTCAGAGCTAGAAGGCGAAACATAATCTTGTTGATTTTCCATGATTTTCTTGAACAGATCGATCTGCCTAGACTTGAAAAGCGAAGGAATATCGCTTGCCAGAGCCTCATGGACAAAAGAGTCTCTTTTAATAGACGACATTACCGTGGAAGTGGTAGAGACAGATGTGGGATCCGCCTCCGGTAAGGAATTCGGATTCCGAGGAGAGTCAAGGCGCTTATTCCCATTAAGCGGCGGTAGTGATACCGAACCTAGTTGTTGAAGTGGGGTTGAGGCGTCAGTAGCTTGGTCTGAGTTTGTGAAAGGAAATCCAATTTCGTTTAGGTTGCTTAGATTGACCTTAAAGTCTCCGTCCATGTGAGTGTTGATAAATTCTGAGAGCCAGTGCTCATCTGACTGAGGGTTTTTCGCCAAAATCTGTGCGTCGTTCGAGCCGTCTAGTTCGCCCACCACGTTTCCAACAAGTTCGGAGCTTCCTTGGACAGCACCTTCAAGAATACTTCCTCGTCGAGAGGTAGCCTTGTTGTGTTGAACGCGCTGGTCATTTTTGTAGTTAAAATAGTCGAGGTTGGCATCTGAAAAATTGTCGTTGACGTTTGTAAACCCACCAGCACCACCAACAGATGATCCCATTTGCAGGAATCCTAAAAGCGAAGGCGTATGCAGCAGATCGCTGCCGGCACCTTGAAACTTTTGAAAATCGGTATTGTTCTGACATCCGCGTGCAGTCTTAAAATTACCCTCGCGCCACATAAAATTCCCAGCAGCGTTTTCGCCAAATTGAGACTCGGGAAGCTCCAACTGCGGCAGCGACGATATCGCATCCAAGTCCACGCCGCTTTCGACGGCTTTCTCCATCAACTCTTGCGCAGAAAGCTGCGGCGTCGAGAATCCAACTTGGTGAGGTATATCTGGGAGGTCGCGCTCGATAATGAATGGTGCGTCTTTCGCTTGCGTGTACGTTATGGAGCTTGACGCCGAAAAGGAAGCATGTCGTTTACGTTTTCGCAGTTTTTCTTCGGCATCCGGTTCTCCTAAGGCATCCGTCTCAAAACCCGCGTGCTGGGATTCTTCTACCCGATGGGTTGCCCCCTCGCCAGGACTTAATTCCTGACCGGTTACAGGCCGCGGAAGCATTGTTTCTTTATTTCCGGAAATGGTGATGATATGGCGCTCGTTGAGCTGCTGCTTGGACTCCTTGGCAGCAGTGCGTTCTATCGAAACGTCGTCCATCAGCGAGGAGTGCAGTTTCTGCTGGTGTCTCAGCACCAGGTCCCGTCGCGCAAAGCACCTTCCGCAGAAGGCGCAGAGAAACGGCTTTTCGTTCGTATGTGCGCGTTGATGCCGCTTCAAGTGCTCTTGCCGCGCAAATCCACGTGTACAAATCGAACACAAGAAGGGTCGCGGCCTATCGGTCTTGATTGTTCTTGATTTTTTGGGAATTGGCACCACCCCAGCTTCTGATGAGGGCACGCCGTGGCTACTTATTTCTCGTGTAGAATCTCCCATCGAAGCGAGCATGTTCAATCCGTCTGCATTGCCGAACACCTGCGGCTGACCCGCATCCACAGGCGAAAACATGGCCTCAGTTCCACAGAGATGAGAGCCTGCTAAACGTTCCAATCACGCTTAATTTCTAATCTCTAATTGTCATTTTCAAACCTCTCGGCGACAATTCTTGTTGAAAAGCCATTGTCGTAGAGCACGTGACTCTCGCGACCTGGTTCAAGTGAATGCCTATTGAACTGGAACGTGCTACCACGTTCAATATAAGACGATGTTTGCTTGCTAACTGTTGTGATGTGCTTCTATATAGATCAGTAAATAAAACCCACGCAGAGTGCGGGCCTGCTTTCACGAAACTCCCCGTATTCAACGGACCTAATCTAGCTACAGGACTAACCTGACGCAGCCTGCTGCTCCAGAATTCGTGCCACTGCGTAGCACCAATTCAGTAATCCGTCACAATCGGACGCCGTTTGGTTCGCTTTGCTCGTCATTCGGCAGAGTCTGTGAGCCCTGATGGAAAATTTTTCCCTCTTCACGAAGGGCATCATAGCCCTCGGGGAAAAAAATAGTATATAAGGACGACACGATAGACAGGCAGCGCCCCACGAGAATTAAAAGTTTCGGAAAAATAATTAACTTTGTCCAATTATCCACCGCAATAGACAGTACGGCAATCGGGACCCAGTGCTCGGATTATAGGGCGTTGTTCTAACGTCCTTCGAGCGCTTTTTTATACCTGATTTTCGCCGTGATAAGTGTGTGGAAAGACGAAAATTTGTATCCATTAAGAACTCGAATGGATTTAACACATGAGCTTCGAGTGTCAGAGGATGCAGACAGTGTAAAAATTTTTTGGCTTCGGTTTGAAGCGCGTAGTGTTCAGTGGTCGAACTTTTGGTATTTTTTAGATATTTCTTTGGGATTTGGCTGTTCTAGGATTTCCTCCCACAACTACCACGAAGTATCCGACTTATTCTTGCTGCAATTACCTGTGCATTTGCCGCAGCATTCTTTTGCCGGTTTCTCGGTTTGTGCAGTTTTTGCAGTGTTCTCTGCAGACTGAGCTTGGTCGGCTTGTTTTTTCGCCTGCCGTTCCCTCTCGGCCGCAGGTGACCGCTTGAATGTGTTCATATTGGGTTTCGGGTCGTGGTCGCGCGCGATCAGGCTATGGCATTTAGGCTCGTTCTCCTTGTGTCTGAGGTAGACGTAGTTATGGAGCGCCATGTGATCTGCAATCAGGTCTTTAAAACAGTTGGCACACCACCGGCGTGAGTTTTAATACTGCATCGCACGGTGACCGTAGCAAACGTGGTGCGTAGTTTATTTTGTAAGGGTCGACCTCAAGGTCGCTTCGCTTGCCTCGTTAAAGTCGTCTTGCGCCATAGAAACAACGCATATAGCGGTCTCTCGTATGGCTCTCGTATGTCACCAGATCAGGCGGAACAGAAGCGGGCGTGGCGTGAGTAAGCGCGAGGTTATTGCTCATTAGACACGAAACACAGCGAAACAGGCCATCGAAAGAAGCGGAGGCTCGCAGGCAAAGCGCAGTGACGACCTCGAATGCTCGCGAGCAAATAAACCGACTGAATGGCGTGCCAATCGCTGTCTGGTGGTGGCCGGTTATTCGCAGACGCACGTTTTCCGTAGTTTTTCACGGCGAGGCCCGCTCCAAGGCCGTCAGTAGGTAGATGCGAATCGGCGCGATGAGCTTTTTGAAAAGAATGTTGTCTTCGAATTCGGCCGCGCCGGACGTTTCCGTTGTCTCGATGATTTCGCAGTGTAGTTTCTGGTCCCGACAATGCGCCTCGAAAACCGATATGGTGTCGTAGTTACGCACCGCGGCGGCCACCAAGGCGGCCCGAGTGGTCCAGCGAAGGGCGGCTGACAAGCACCTGACCAGATCCGGTACCACGGTGGCATCATATGAGACGTCAGCGGCGATGATGAGGTCAGAGGCCGGGACGGGATCGAGGTTCCAGCGCAATTGCTGGAACCGCACGTTTTCGGTGCTTACTCCGTTACGGACGTAGTTGGCGCGCGCATGCGTGGTGACCACGTCTGGGTCGCCGTCTGTCACACAGAGCTCACGCGTACGGTCCGCTTGCGTGAGTGTCCACGTCAGTCCGACGAGTCCAGTACCGCAGCCAAGCTCGAGAACCGAAATCACGTGACCGAGCGGCGCTAGCACCCGTTGCTCGAACGCTTGGCGAGACCCGCCAAGCGCGCCCGCAATGAAAGCGCACAGATAAGGCGCGGCGGCCCAGGTGCGGAACCCGGTCGAGCCCGCGGCGCTGATCAGGTTGGGCGTCTCCTGGATGTCCACATGGACTTGTCCGAACGTGTAGCGGATCAAATCCGGCTCTGTCGGGGCAGGTGCTGTCACGGGCAGAAGCTCTATGTACTTCTCGTAAAGCCACTCGTCTGGCCAGGTTTCCAGGCCGTCAGTCTTCAGGGGCTCAATTCGAAGGCTACTGCTGGACTCAAACAGGCCTGCGTGGTCAATGCATGCCTTTGCGAGCGCCTTGGCGTAGTACGCATTGCGAGCGCTCGCCAGTTGGATGTTCTCGACGAATTCTTGCGTTTTGAACTCCGCGTTTTCACGTGCAGCGTTTTCTATCGCGGCAACGACGTCTGCAGGCCGACATCTCGCGTGGATGGACCTGTATATACGCTCCATTGGGCTTTTCGTGACATGCGCAGAGAGCGTTTGCTCAAAGCACCTGGGCTGTACAACAGATGGCTTGGAAGAAGACCCCGGTCACGTGACACACAATCTCGTCCTCGTGTCGTCTACTATGACCCAAAACGTCAATTTCAGATTCAATATTATTCGTATATACAACAACGCCAACGGCCGGGGCCCGGCCGGGGCCCGGCCGGGCCCCAGCTGCGCATCCTAGGCGGCAAACACGCGCAGCCGTTTGACGCCGCCATCCGGAATGATAGTCAACTTGACGTGGGTCGCGACGACGTCGCGACCCACCGCGAACTCGTGTTCCCGGTCGGCGCTTGTCGCCGCGTCGAGAACCAGCGGTGTCCAGCGCGGGTCGTCATGCGCGGGCACAGCGCTGTCTTCCTCGAGCACATGCACAGACACGGCCCGCGGGAAGTTCCCGCGGAAATGCGCCGTGTCGACGACCACTTTGTCGACGCGGCGGGCCTTGCCGCCGAGCTCGACGATGACCCAGTCCACGTGACCAGGCTTTCGCGACCGCGCCGTTTCCCATCCGTCCGACATGTCGTGGCCGCGGCCGGGCAAAAGCAGATTGTCCGCGCTGCCGAAATGCTGGTCCGAGACGGCGACCGCGACGCCGCCGTTCACGACCGCGGCTAGATCCACAGGCGGGGTTCCGGCGGCGCGGGGCAGCGGAATGACGCGCCCATACATCCGGAAACGCGCTATGCCGCCGTCCGGGTACATTTTGAGTTTTACGTGCGTATACGCGTCGGATGTCTGGGCGTCGCGCAGTATGTAGTGATTCGCAGAGGGCCCGCACTCGGTGACGGGGATGACTTCGCGCCAGCGCGGGTCGTCCTCGGCGGGTGCTTGGTCGTCTGTGCCGAGTTCAGGGGCGTAGAGGGCGTCGACGGAGATAGCCGGAGCGTGGTTACCGTTGAAGAACGCGGTATCGACAACGCAGCCGACCAGGTGTGCGGCGGCTACGCCCATGCGTATGACGGTCCAATCATACTCCGCGGTGTTGTGACGGCGCGTTTCCCATCCGTCGTACCAGGCGCCCGCGTGCACAAAACGGGTCGCGTCTCGGATGGGCGCCTTGGGCTCAATGAGGTTGGAAGCGTCGGCGAACCATTCGTCCGAGCATGCGAGGACTTTTCCGCCGAGCTTGGCGCCTATGACGTCGGCGGCGCGGAACTTGTGGGAGACGGCAGTGTAGAACTCCTGTGACGAAGCAAGCGACATCGGGAGTGGGCTGGTGGTGGGGGTGGAGCCAGCTGTGAGGTGACCCGTGGGCGTAATTCTGGATGCCAGTTATATAGGAGTGCGCTGCAGTGGGTCGCTGCCAGGGGCTTTATCGAGAGCAGGCATTGCCGGCCGGGCTGTTTGCCGGAGTTGGTGGGTGCGGAGTTCGGCGAGAGCCGAGGCGGTCGCTGTGTACGGGCAAAGTGCCCGGGCGTGGGCGCGCGATTCGAGTCGCTTTGTACGAGCGGTGCTCTGTGAGAAACGGCCGTAACGGCTGGGCTTTCGAACAACGTAGGTGTTGGTGGAAAGGCATTACCCCTCGGTCAAGTCTGCCTCCGAAATCTCCCCGTGCTCCTCGAGATACACGCCAAACGCCAAACGCCAAACGCCGAGGTGCCCTGTGCCTCGGCTGAGAATACACCACGGCCGTACACCACGGCCGCGCGCCACCCACACACCCTGAAATGCTGCCTAAACTCCGCTGCCATGCATGCGCTACCCGCGTTCTGCAGCCGCGCGCATGAAAAGGTTCTAGAAGCTTTTTGGAGAAAAAAGGGCTGAACTGGACCCAAGGCTAAAGTTTTCTTTTTTCGTTCCCGCGGTGCAGGTGCCATCGCGGAGAGATGGGAGAGAGAGGGCAGAGACATAGCAGAGACGTGGCAGAGACATGGCACGCTTACGCCAGGCCGGACCCTGGTTTCTTATTGGCAGCACCGGGCACCGGCACCGGGCACCGGCACCGTGCATTGGCACCCGTCCGCCGTTCTATATGTATTTTTAGTGAGTCTTGTGCCTCTGGCCTCTTTATTTTTTCGGCTTTTTCTCTTGGTTCCTTTTTATTTTATTTTTTTTTTTTTCGCGGGTAAGCTATGGATCGCCGCTAGTGAGAGCGTTCTTCGGGAGTCGCAGAAAGGTGATTGCTCATCGTTGTGTTCTTGCAGAAGGTGAGGTTGTGAAACGGGTTCCTTTTGCTTTGAAATTCCGCGAAAATTTTTCGGGGCGCGCACAGCATATATAGAGCTGGGATCAATACACGTCTCACTAGAAGTAGTAGTAGTAACAGTAGTAGTTAAAGTTGAAAGGCACGTTGACGCAGGTTTGGCTAAAAACGCGGGCAACCGAAAACGAGACTTTATTATTCGGTCGGTGCTTGATTTATACAAGTCCCTCGGTGAGTCAATTTGTCGGTCAGCAGGGCAGGTCCTTGTCGTACCGTAAAGTTTAGGTAGCCCAGCGAGTGAGCTCGTAAATGACAGCAGCGACGGGCGAGGCCAAGGTGCCGATGTCGACGACTTCGACAATCCCGCACCCGCCCTCGTCGACCATACAGACGTCGTCGGAGCCGCCCCGCACGCTGTGGATGGGGGACTTGGATCCCGGGTTTGACGAGGTCGCGATTCAGCAGATTTGGGCACACCTCGGCAAACCCGTCGGCGTAAAGCTTATTCGGGCCAAGAAGAACTTGCTCATTCCTTGCAGCACTAGCAGTACGTTCAGTACGTCTCAAAATGAGGGTGCCGTCGGCGCCGGCGGCGCCGACGCACCACAGCAGGGCGTGGCGCCGCAGGGGGCCACGCTCAGCGGCGGCCCAGGCAACAAAATCAACATCAACGGGGTAGCGTTCATCGACCCGAAGACAACGCAACTGCACCATGCAGGGTACTGTTTTGTCGAATTCGAGACGCTGCACGACGCGCAATGGGCGTTGACGTTGAACGCTTCGCCGCTTCCAAACATCGTGTGTGGGTCTGCGCAAATGGCGTCCAATCCATCCGGGTTGCGTAATTTCAGGCTGAACTGGGCCTCTGGTGCGACTCTACAGAGCGTCATTCCGTCGACACCAGAGTTTTCTTTGTTTGTCGGCGATTTGTCGCCGACTGCGACGGAAGCCCATTTGTTGTCGTTATTCCAGGAACGGTTCAAAAGCGTCAAAACCGTGCGGGTCATGACGGATCCCATCACGGGAGCGTCGCGGTGTTTCGGGTTTGTGCGTTTCGGGGACGAACATGAACGTCGCAGAGCCCTGGTAGAAATGAATGGCGTCTGGTGTCAAGGACGGAACCTTAGAGTCGCGTATGCGACTCCACGTAATAATGCGATGTGGCAAGTGCCACAGCAGCCAACTACGTCTGCGACTCCAGCCAATCCGCAAGGATTTGTGTCTACTGCGCCATCTGGCGAATACGGCGGGCCTCCTGGCCCTCAATGGAAATCAACCACGTCCCAGTTAATGGATACCGCCAACGCTTTGCTCAGCAGCAATCCCGGTTTGGTCACGTTCAGAAACCATCAAGACCAGTACTCTCATCATCAAAGCGGATCCTTATCCTACGCGAAGCTTCCACAAAATTATTCGAATGGACACAATACAACGGTCTTTGTCGGAGGGTTAACTCCTTCCATTTCCGAGCAGCACCTGCATTCTCTTTTCGCGCCTTTTGGCACTCTTGTTAGTGTCAAAATTCCACCCGGAAAAGGTTGCGGATTCGTTAAATACGCAAACCGCATCGATGCTGAGGCTGCAATTCAAGGCATGCACGGGTTCATATTCGGCGGAAACCCTATTCGGCTATCATGGGGCCGTACCTCCCAGGACACACATCATCCTCAGAGAGACCCATACTTGCATCAGATATCCGCATCGCCGAGGCCCTTGGACATCTTATCTTACCAATCGTCGGTTTGGAATGATTATGAAGGGGCTCAACCTTCTGCTTTAGCAAGACAACGTCAAACCTCCGACATGTCCTCGCAACAGAATTCTGTTCCTCCAGTGCACCCATCATTGTTGTAACAATCATCATGTTTTTAGTCGTTTTTCCCCGTTTGGCATTTGAAAGAAAAAAATTTTGATCTTATCTTTCTCTTTCTCAATTTTGCAAGTTTTATTAATTCTACGTTCATATTTGGCAAGTCTTTCTTATTAAAACTAAATATCATTATCGTAATGTTGATCTTATCTGTCGTCAAGCTCTTATGCCGATTACGATCTTTTGACAAGTGAAGGAAGTGTTGATGTCATTGAGAACGAAAGACCCGGAATCATCCAAGATGGAACAACTGTTGACGAGAAAGATGGGCCCACCGTAACGACTATGTCGAGATAAGCTAATCGAATGTTATCGCTTCAATTAGCTCATCAATTAAAAGGCAAGAACATTCTTCTAGTCGGTGCTGGGGATGTTGCCGCGACTAGAATCCCTAAACTGTTACCAACCGGCTGTAGGCTTACCGTCATTGCACCAGAAATTAGTGATGTCATATGGAAAAACTCTCCTTTCAAGAAACGTTCAGATGAAGTAGACTACACAGATAGAAATTGGAACCCTGAGAGTGGTAAAATTTACAGAATTGTTAACAGAGGTTTCCAGAATGAGGATTTGATATGTCATGGGGACGGCCAAAGCAGCGAAACTTCAAAATCCAAATTTCTAGGAGGCCTCGAGATCGATGTACAGGAATTAAGCTTGGATCAGAATAATAGCGGTTGGCACATGATTTTAACCTGCATACCAGACCCTCAACTCAGTGAGCGCATATACCGAGGTGCTAAGATACTATTGGGTCAACACATTCTCTGCAACGTCGCGGACAATCCACCCCTCTGCGATTTTTATTTTGGCAGCAACGTAATTCTGGGCGACAAGAACAATAAGGATGCAAAGGGGCTACAACGTCCCATCCAGATTTTGATTTCGTCTAACGGCAATTCTCCGCGCTTCACTTCACTGCTCAAAAATGAAATCGAACAAAACTTTGGCTCTCTACCTATAGCCTCAGGCGTTGGTAAACTTGGGCAGTTGCGGTATAAAGTCAGAACTATTTCTGAAAGGAATAAACCTGCGGACTGTACACAGCCAAAATTAATTAAGTATCGCATGGAATGGATTCGGAAATGCACAGACGCCTTTGGAGTCAAAGGTTGCCACGAAATTGATGTTGATAAGACGTCTGAGCTCTTTTCTGAAATGTTTTCCCGATTAAGCCTAGATTTCCCTAGCCAAGACAAGATGGTCGCCGAGTATAGTGAGAGACCGCCATAGAAACCATTTCATGAATTACAGCTGATTCAATGCAACAAAAGGTTCAAATTCGATTTAAATGAAAGAAATACGTCTATATAAAAGCCAATTCAGTTTGTTTTTCCCATTTCTATAATAGATAAAGCACATAGCGTCATGACGAAAATAAGTAATAAAAAAAAAGCTTGGACGGGCTCTTCCAGCTAGCGAAGAACGACCAAAAGGAAAAACAAAAAAACGAGCGAGAGGAAATACACTGAATGACGAGTAACGGACGAAAGCAGAGAGAAAGAAAAGGTAGTTCAAATCGTAAGAATCCCACCTTATACTAGTTTCTTGCCATCTAGAGACTCTCCTCTTCTGGCAGCAAACTTGGTAGCAGCATCGTAACCTTCCTTCACAACGGCCACTCTCATGGTAGCCAGAACATTGTGAGCAGCGTTGGAATGCAAGTAAACACCACCGTTGAAAGCTTTCGTGGCATCCTTACCTAGAGCAGCTTGCAACAAAGTCTCACCACCTGGGTGTTCTGTGATGTAACCAGCAACGTCGTGCACGATACCGGAGATGACAACAAGGCCTGGGTTCTTCTTGATTTGGTCCATGAACTCTTGTTTGTCCCATACAGGTAATTGGGTGAGAGGAGTCCCCCAGTTGAGGTGAGACCTTTGGCGGTCGATTTTCTTTTGTTGCTGTTGCACTAGACCTTGCTGAATTGCATTTTGGGAGAACTTCTTCAAGTTGAAGGCCAAACCGACCATAGAAGACATGTAGATGAAAATCTTGGTAGGGTCGTATTGGTACCACTTAATGGCGTTTCTGTAGTCAGTGGGGAACTCGTGGTGGAAGTTGTGGTAGCCTTCGCCGAAAGTGGCCAAAGCGGTGATCCAGTTGTCACGAGGAGTTCTGCGGTCGTCGAAGGGCTGAGAACCAAGGTAGTGGGCCAAGGAGTTGATGCAGAAAGTGGCTTGCTGGATGGCAAAGACACGGATGATACCCGCGTAGATGAGACCACCCTTCAAGTCGTTGAAGAAGTAAGAGCACACGGCAGCGGGCAAAATGAAGGCGCTGAACAGCATAATAAGGATGTAGTGTCTGTGCTGGAACCGAACGATCCAGTCGTCAGTCAAGTCTGCGATGTCGGCTCTGGCGCGGTACTTGGGGTTTGGTTGCAGAAGCATCCAGCCCATGTGCGAGTACCATAGGCCGCGGCGCGCGTCGTAGGGGTCCCTGACGGTATCCGTGTAACGGTGGTGGATTCTGTGCGAATGGCCCCACCATTTAGCAGAACCCTCGACGGAAGCGGCGCCGAAAACGGCGAAGAACAGACGTAGGGGCCAGCGCGCAGAATAGGCGCGGTGGGCCCACAGACGATGGTAACCGGCGGTGATGGAAACACCGCCAATGACGTAGTAGAGAAGCGAGAAGATGGCGACGTTGCGGTGGAGGGGCACTTTGCCGGACAGCGCGTAGTACCACCCGACGAGCGGGATTCCGACGACAAGCACCATGTTCAGCCAGTTGAGGTGGCGGTGCCAGTTGTGCACGGTCCAGGGCATCTCGGAGATGTGCCTGGCGCTCTTGTATCTGTCTTTTTCCTCCTGGTCCCTGCGCAGCAAGTAGTCCATGTTGGAGTCCTCGTCAAAGTCGACGTTGACCATTTTTTTCGAGCCCATGAGCGAGCCCAGCCCGTTCACGACACGCACGGACTTCTTGTCCGCGCCCGCGGCCAACTTGTTGGCCTGCACAAGATCTACCTGTTCCATTTTAGCGGCGGCAGACATGTGTATTGGAGTTTTGGAGTTTTGTAGTTTTGGGGTTTGAAGCTGTGGAGTATGTGGTATCGGATCTGACCTTAATCCAGGGATCTTGTTCTAGAAGATTTTCGTACCAAACGCTTTGCACACGCTTTTCTTTTCAGACGCTCTTCGGAGGCTCTTCGAACACGTCAGGTGCGCTAAAGCAAAGTCTCGATGGTCAACTGCAGTACTGCGTTGAAGTATCACTGAGTTCACTGAGTTCACTGAGTTCACTGAGTTCACTGAGTTCACTAATTCACTGGCTTCGCTAGGGTTCACTAGGCTTCTACTGCACACGCTCTTATCCTGATGGAGTAGCTTCCCCGATCCCTACACCTCTCACCGCCTGTCTTATATATACCGCCTACTCGTATAGCCACCGGCATCGTTTCTTCCAGAACATCTGGCCATCGACTGATTCCAACACATTTCTTTAGACAATTTGGCTTACTGGGCCGCTCATTACGGAGCAGAGCTGCGCGGGCTTTCTGTCGCTGTTGGTTCTAGGGGAGGACACCTAGTTGAGAGTTGTGTGGGGCGCTGCGGGTGGGTCTGGGCAGAACAGGCCGGGGTTGTTTCTTTTGGAAGCGATTGTGGTTCTGTTGGATTTTCGTGCAATGTGATGCGATAACCCCGAGGCGTGACTCAAAGTGGCGAGCATCGCGAGGCACGGGCGAAAGGGGGCCGAGGGTGTCAGGGTGTTATGCGGATCTGACATTGTCAGATGCATGTCCCGCAGTGGGGAGGGAAACGATGTGGCTTGTACGACGGGACAAAGCTAAGAGTCGTCTGCTAAAGGGCAAAATATAGCACGTAGGCCTTGTAGTAGTCTCGTTTAAAAGCTGTCTTGTTGGTGTTGACCTCAATGGCCAACAGTTGGTTCGTACACGATCGTGAGTAATTCTGTCGCGGCGGTCACGTGACACCACTCCAGACCGGGCAACGCCGGCGAGAGCTCTCTACGCTCAAGCGTGGTGGCTCATCGCCTGCGGATATCGCCAGAGCTCTAGTTGGCCTGCATATTGCGTAAGGAGCACTTATCTGTCTCCGTGGTTATCTTAAAGATATGACCACTGTATATCTAGTCGTGTCGTCGCAATTTACTTTCTCTAAGATCGACGGCAACTTTTCATGCGTCATCCGCCCCGGCCACCACTGGGATCGTTTAGGTTCCATGATTTCTTGTTAGGTTCATGATGAACCGTCCGTTCCGTCATATTCTGATCTGTCACCGCGATCACGTGATGCCGCCACTTGACGATATCCCATCTCGCTATCTCGTTCCGGCCGTGTTGACACGAACGCTACCCACGTATTCTGTTGCATTTCGAAGTAGCCGCACCATGACCCGGTTGTCACTCTAATCTACAATGGGAGCTGTGACAAGCCACTACGTTTCTGAGCGACGGGTGCTTGATAATAGTGTTGAGGTTTATCATTGCCGGTGGTTGATAGGTTTCTGAACTGTTCATTTAATTCGTTCATAATTGATCTAAATAATAAAGCTGGTAAGGAATTGAGTACTTATATCTCTCCGTGGCTATCTTACGACCATGACCACTACGATCTTGGTCATATCCGCTCCTTTTATACAATTTCTGTAACATTGATCCAAATTTGGAATCCGTTACTTTCTTCAATCCAGACGGTGAATTCTCATCATACGTCATTCATCATACCACATATGATCTTATCACGATGTTCCGATGATTCTAGAACTGTCAATGGACCTGTTTTAGCTTCCAGTTCTTCCACAAAATGCCAACCGTCTGTCCAATCCTCTAATTTTATTCTGTCATATCGATCACGTGATGATGCAATTGGACGATATCATCTTCTCGCCAGCTCCCTCCAACAAGTAGCTATCACTCGTTCTTGATCAATCGGTCAAGAGTTTAGATGACTAGTGATAACTCATCGTGCACAATATCCCGGTAGGCAATGTATGCATAAACATTCATGAGTGTCCAGGGACAGTTGTCATGGCAACGGTGCTACATCCGATTTGGATCATCAAGGCACACATGGGTGTCAATCACTTCAATGACATGTAGGATGGGCGGCCAGGAAGTTGCCAAATTATGGCAAAAAGGAATAAACGAGATTCGACTTGGTGCTGAAGTGTCGCACGGGATGGCTAAAGATTCGCACTAGCAAAGGCTTGCTTCCTGGGCTGCGCTGCCGTCGGCCAAAAGGCCGGGCCGCATCCTCGAAAACCAAAAAGCGTTTTAAAGCTGACAAATGAGCCTAATTCTTGACACCTTTTTACTTTGAAAAATGGCTGTTCATTATGCAAACGAAATTTGCGGAGGTAATTACACACGGATTGGTTAACACGCGAACCCTTTCCGCGGAGGAGAGTACATGGGGACTGGTTAGAAATACTAAGCCAGTAACAGCTCGCCTGTCAAATTGCAAGGGGCCACACTTTGAACATGATTAATGGGAAAAGTCAAGGAAATCCCGAAAGAATATTTAAAGGCTTGACGAAGCTACTCAAACTGGGTTCTGGTTAGTCTAGAAACTATAAATCACAAATGACTAAACAGACGGTATTCATCTCTGGCGGAAACCGTGGCATTGGTTTCTCGCTTGTTAAAGCCTTTGCCCAAGAAGCTGACACCACTGTTTTTACCACCGCAAGAAATCCAGACAGCGCTACAGAGCTTCAAAAGCTGTCAAAGAGCTCTGGAAACATCCACATCGTTAAGCTCGACGTGAACAGCGAGGAGAGTATTCAAGCGGCTGAAGCGGCCATCGCTGCGATCACCAAGGAAATTGACATTTTCATCTCCAACAGTGGTATCGCTGATTTCGACGGGTATGCGCTAAACACGAAGAGGCCAAACTGGATCAAACACTACACGACCAACACACTTGGCCCTATCCTCTTGTTTCAAGCCTTGTTCCCGCTAATTGAGAAGGGCAAGCTGAAGAAGGCGTTCTTTATCTCTTCCGAGGCTGCTTCTTTCCAGCTTGAGCTTCCAATTCCCACAGCCGCGTACGGCCAGTCCAAAGCTGCACTCAACTACACTGTCAGAGAGCTTGCTCTTGACCTGAAGAAGGACGGGTTCACTATTGCACCTTTTCACCCTGGTGTTGTTGATACCGACATGGCAAAAAAAGGTGCTGTGAAGCTGGGCGCGCTTGACCCAAAATCTGCCAGTCTGTTTGACCCAGCGAACGTGATCACGCCAGACCAGAGTGCCAGTTATCTGAAGAAGCTCATCGAGGGGCTCAAGCCTGAGGACACTGGTAAGTTTTTTGCCTACGACGGCAGCGAAATACCATGGTAGACGGGGCGCTTTAATTAGGGATAATTGTTGTATATGAGAATGAAATTGTTGAAGTTTACCATCCTCGGTGGTCGATAGGTTCTCGAATTGTTCACTAAAATTATTCGAATATTGATTGTAAAATACATCGATTATTGATTACTTATATCTCTCGTGATTGTCTTGACAATACGAGCCTCTGACATAGGTCGTCATCTCTCTATCAAGATACGCACTTTTTTTATGATAGAAAAGCACAAGAACCCAGATATTTTGCTCGACGCACAACCTGTGTGATAATAGAGTTTACAACGTCGCTTTGGGGTGATCTTCTCAAATTATCTTTAGCTGAAACGAACCTTACATGGGCGTATATCTCGGAGACCTCAGCGCAGAAGAGCTGGTGATCACGTGACTTACATTTGACTCCGCATTCATTAGTGTGAGAAATCTAGTCCTTGTACATTATCGATGTCTAAACGCCAATTTAAGGCAAAAAGGCTTTTGTAATTATAACGGCTTTTGGTCTTACAATTTCACGGCCGCCGTTTCACTGCCGCAAAGGCTAAAAATTCTATACATGTAATTGCTAAGAGAACCCATCCTTCTCGTTTTTGACTAACTTGTCAAGGGACACCAGCGTCGGCGGTTGACAATCGGCTCATTTAGTCGGTTAAATCGTTCGTAGTGTTCTGAACAGTAAAGTAACACAAATATCGAGTCTTGGATATCTCCGCGATCAACATGCGATCATGGCTTGTCATTGCACCTTCTAGTAACTGCAAACACATCCTACAAATCCTAATCTCTGTTCCTAGCATTTCCGTTGTTAAATCTCACTCTGACAGCTATCGCAAACGGACGCTACTTGAATAGTATGCGCGCCGTCGGGACGACAAAAACGAAAAAACGCATTACGTGACCCAACACCACTCCTCGCAAAGACTTCTCAGCTCACGGACGGTCTCCAGCAATGCCCTCATATGTCGCGCTTGAAAGGCGAAGACGAAAGAAATCTGCCAGACAAGGAAGTTCTTCACTAATCGTGCTCTATCTACAATATACACTCAAGTATACAACTATACTGCTATACAGAAGACCTAATTATATCTCATAATATCGGGTACTAAAATTGCCACCCACGCTTTTTACCATAGCGACTAGTCTCGTTTTCCACCCTATGTCATTTACCTCAAAGTTACTCACACCAAAACTTGTTATCTGCTACGATTATGACTCTATACGAGTGAATACCCTTATATGCAGGGATCTATGTTGTCATGCACTCCCTGTAATATCACCTATGGCAACAATGCATGTATATGCAGCGACGCGGCACCGGTGCGATGCGTATTGTAACAAACACGATGAGCAATGGCAGCGCGACGACAAAATGGGCGGTGACAGTTGAGGAAATGGGGCAGACGAAGCAGCGACAGTGAGGCAGAGACAATGTGGCAAGGCCGACAGTGAAGCAGCGAAGGAATCAAGCGGTGAAGCGTTAAGGAGCGAAAGAAATCAAGGTAATGAAGTGGAACGTGGCGTCTGACTGCCATTAAGCGGGCTCTTCACTACTCCTCGTTCACTTCGCCTGCCGGCGAAGTGAACTCGTTGCTCACGTGCTTTTTGATTAAAGGTTCCCCGGTTGAAAATAATTAAAAAAAAATTTTGCGAAAGTGACGTTAGGATAAAGGTCTAATTGACTCCCAGTGCACATTTCCAACAGCGGTCAACTTAAAAATGCCAACGCATATTAAGGACGCACAAGGATCGTCCAACAACTCCTCTTCTTCCAGACATGCGTCGATTGTCGAAATGTTGTCTACTCCGCCTGCGATCCCACAGCAACCCACAGGATCCTCGGAAGTGGAATCGATCTCGTTATCCAGAAACCCAAGTCTTACGTCGCTGGACTCACAGGTGAGCACCACTACGTCGTGTCTCACCAAAATCCATTCTCAGAAATGGCAGCACATCCCGCTTTCGCAGCTGATCGAGCCCAACAAGCTTATCTCCGTTGACGGGTCCATTTCCGTCGAAGAAGCGTTCAACACCCTGGTGCGCCACAATCTCACGTCGTTGCCCGTCGAAAAATTCCCCGGCGATGTCGACTGCATCACGTTTGACTACAACGACTTGAACTCCTATTTGCTGCTCGTGCTCAACAAAATCCAGGTCAACGACGCGCAAGTGGCACGGGACTGTCAGACGGGCAAACCCGTGCCCGTGGGCGAAATTGTGAAACTGACGCCCAAAAACAAATTCAACAAACTGCCCGAAACCGAAAACCTCAGCACTGCGATCGGCATCTTGGGCTCTGGCGTGCATCGCGTCGCGATCACTGACCCACAAGGCACCCAGATCAAGGGCGTGCTGTCCCAAAGACGTCTCATCAAGTATCTCTGGGACAACGCGCGCCAATTTAGCAACCTGGAATCTCTGCTCAACTCCAGTCTCAGCGACCTCAAGATCGGCGTGCAGGACTCCCAGACCGCCCCCACCAGCCGGCAATCTCGCGTCATATCCATCCAGGGCGAGGAACCCGTCATCATGGCCCTTTTCAAAATGCACAACGAGCGCATATCCTCAATCGCGGTCGTCGATCATCACGGTAATTTACTCGGCAACATCAGCGTCACGGACGTCAAACTCGTCACCAGAACTTCGCAATATCCACTGTTGCACAACACCTGTCGCCATTTTATCTCCGTAATTCTGAACTCTAGGGGACTCGAGATGGGGAAGGACTCTTTTCCCATCTTTCACGTGTATCCCAGCAGCTCTTTGGCAAGAACGCTCGCCAAATTGGTAGCAACCAAGGCACATCGACTCTGGATCGTACAGCCGGACTCTGCGTCGCCTTCTACTCCAAATTCTGCCGTCTCTAGTACCCAGCAATCTGCGGCCATATCTACGTCAACACATCACAGCGACTCTGACGTCCCAGCCAGATCCGGATCTCCACTCAACGTCAAGAGCATGGAAGAACCGGCCAACACTACAAGCACCCCGCTTTTCGAAAAGGAGTACCGCACCGGAAAATTGATTGGTGTCGTGTCATTGACAGACATTCTGGGCCTGTTGGCCAGAAAACAAACAGAGCATAAACAAGTTGATCCGCAGACCGCGAGAAGACAGAGAGGAAGCGTCGCCATATAGGCGCGGTTTTCGTCTTCGCCCACAAATTTTTGGGAACGTGTTCTCAAGATCGTGTGCTCTACAGCAGGCGCCTACGTACTGGCGAAACAAATGATTTTTAGTCTCTGGGCTTCATGTAGAGCCTCGTGTGATGTTTTTTTCTTATCCGGGACTAAACATTATACAGAAAGCTGAGGAGCGTCTTCACACTAGTTTCTCATAAACTTATCTTCAGTCATGGCGGCCTTACTTCTGAAACTATTTCGTTGAGATACTGGGCCGTGGCTCAGGGAACGCTGTTGCTTGCGAAGTTGTCAAGACCTCCCCTTTCATCAAATTGACATTCTTTCTGAACACCGCCTTCGATCAAGTCTGTAGATGTATTGTAACATCCCACTTATCATGCCTCAAAGCCAAACAATTGATTATATTGAATCAGCAAGGTTACTGACGGTAATCGGGAACTATTTATATTAAACATCACCGGTTACCACTTGATTTTAATTTCATATTGCACTTCGTCTACTTGACACTTATGCCCAAATATTAAAAATTAAAAGTCTAATGATGAAAACCACTTTTGACGGTTGAAGACAACAGGTGGAGTCTCGTCAGTCTTGATTCTAAGCCGAACTAAATGCAATTTCACCAGTTCATGAGTGCAGCTCGTGGGTTGCGTTCTCCGGGCCAATTTAGAACTATTTCTAGCGAGCAGTCTACAACGCATCGAAGACCGCCTCCGAGAGAGCTTTTACAGCGTCAGGCATTAAGGGACGTGAAAGTCGCAAAGCCAAACTCTTCTCAGCATATCATCGCGTCCTTGAAGGACATCGGATCGTTGTTCAATCCCAGTGCAAGCAATTCGGACGATGAAGAGATCGAATTGGCAGAGAAAAGAGAAAGTATACAGCGCAGAATTGATTCCGGAGAACTCGAACAACTGTTGAGAACCAAGCTTGGCATGAATAAAATTGACCGAGCTACGCTGGATATGCAAGTTGTCGAAATACCAACAAAATCAATAACTAAAGCTTTCCCAGCTTTGACCGCTAAGGATAGAGAATTATTGGATACCTCGCTTTCGTTGATTCCAGCCAAGAAAAGCTGGAAAGATATACCATTTTTCCAGAAACAGCTCCTTTTCTACGTTGGTTACGGCTCCTATGGTGCTCGTCATGGGCTTACATTCATCGGGGCGCAGCCGGAGGATTTTCTCTGGACAAAGCGTTCTAAAAGTCTGAAACATGGAGATGTGGTTCGAAGGCTTTCAAATGACGAGAAACGCAACTTGAGAACATGTTCCTCAGCCCGGAATGAGCAATACCAAAAGGCAATAAGAACACTCGATCCCGTTTCTAGAGCTGTAGTCTGGTTAGGACTGATTGCAAGTTTCTCGGCTCTAATCTGCGACTTTAAGAGGGATGATGACGAAGACGCTACTATAACTGCGGCGCGGTTTTGCTGAGACGCTAAACATCCTCAATCTATGACGATGGAAAAGCGAATGTTTTGACGGCTGTCTCTTTGCCTGATTCGACTCTTATGAAATGACTACTTATGTGAATTCTATGCAGGGTTAAGTCAATGAACTTTTCTGTTTCCTTTGTTGGCCCACTTTATTCGGCTTCCTCGTCGTCCTCGTCGTCTTCATCGTCTTCCATGTCCTCTAAGTCATCCTCCCATGACTTTTCCACCGTTTCTTTGACTCTTTTAATGTACTGCGATTTGTGATCTTTGAACAATGTTGCGGCCTCCACATTAGCCGGAGATGCGGGATTTGGATCGTTGAAAAGACTTTGGATCGAGGTTAAAATCGAAGCCACATCGTATGTGGGTGTCCAGCGATTTTGCAGAATATCCAGACATATCTCCCCGTTGGCATACACGTTTGGGTGAAACATTTCGCTCAAAAACTTGACATGGGGCGGTTTATTGGGGTATTCTTCGTCAAATTCTAAAAGTAGCCTGAACGTGCCATCTTCATATGGTGTGTCTGCAGGTCCAATAATCATTGCATTCCAAACCATAACATTATCCGGCAGAGGAGACGCAGAGACACCAGGCGGGGCATCTTCCTTCATGCGCTACTTCCAAGTTAGTACAAAGAAGCCCGAGAAAAATAATATTGAAAACAACTTACCTTAAAATCTCTCATGAGCCTTCTTCTAGCCGGCGTTGACATCTTCGTTATACAGGTGCTTTCTGGCCAAAGTGGGTGTTTCGCGAGGTGGCGTCCATTGTATATAGCATTGTTCTTAAAATCACCAAAATTCATATCCGTCTCCAATCACGTGATAAATCGTCAGTAGGTCACCGTCCATAGATGGGCACGACCACTTGCTTAAATTCAGGCTAACAGAGCTGAAAAAGCCTCTTTTCCATCTAAACCTTGTCCAACTGTAGCTCGTCTGTGTGATGCATCAGATTTCCGAGTTTGAGAACCGTATCTGTTCCATAACCCTGTATTGAATGCACGGTAAGATCACCGTTCCAATATTCAGCATAAATCTTGCACATGGCCAAGGCAATGCCAAGTTTGTAACGAGAGGATCTCTTCAAAAGACTTTGAAGTGGTCTTTCAAAGTTGTATACGCTTTCGGGCAAATTGGTGTCGCCGATAGGTTCCAACGAGGTAAATTTGTACTGCTGAGTGAGCGAACTCTTTCTGGTGTTTTCATACATGTAATCATACAGCGAGACTGTTTGAAGCCCCGGGAGCTTGTGAAAATTGCTCAGTGATTCCTTTGCGAGATTTTTGGATTTCCCAAATGACCATATCGTCTTGTCGTCGTGCGGGATCCCGCCTGCACGATCGGATATACGAAAGATAAAGCTCTGTTTGTTAGATATCACGGTTGCTGTAATCTTAGCAGGCTGATTCAAGCCCTGCCGGATGAATTCTTTCATGGTGGCTTCGTAGCTGTTTCGCAGTATCTCACCCAAAAGATACTTTAAATGAGCAGGCAAAAAATAAAAATTCAAATCAACGTCGCCAGCTATCACGAACTCGGGAAGTGCGATTCCTTTGTAGTACTTGTCGCTAATAAAATTCTCACACATGTCTTTGGCTTCCAACAGGTACTCCTTCGCGCTGCATTCCTGGAAAATGTCTCCAAGCACCAGCGTGTTTTTCTTCTTCCCGCTGTTGAAGTTAGAAGTTATACTCAGATGTTCTTCCACGATCAGTCTCCTCGAAATTCGGGCACGTAGAAGGCTCGATACAACTTTGTCCATCTCCGCAGGTGGATACAAATCCAGAATATGGCATTCGAGCGCACCCATAATCAAATGCGGTAAATTCAACGTATTGAAATCAGATAAAATCCTTTTCAAGAACCTCACAAATTTTTCGTTGTCTTCCAGGGTTTTAATTGACGGGTATCGTCTGAACCGGTCAAATATATTGAAGTAGGATTCGTAAACTTGGCAAAAGTGGAAATTATTAACAACACTGAAGGGAAGCATTTGTAACAGATGTAGTTTGTGTGCTATTCTAATGGTAAGTTCCTCCTTAACAAACTGACCACTACTTATCAATTTCTGTTTCGTCAAAGTGCTTGAGTCGTCAAAGTATTGAGCAAGCTGCGCAAGCGAAACTGGATGGGGGCTTCTCGTTAAATAATCCCGCTCCAATATATTCTGATTTTGATAAAAGTGTTGTTGGTTCACGTATCTTGACCTTGACGGATACGCTTTCAGAGTCGTTGAAATAAACGGTGCAAGCTCACTTATTGACTGAATCGGTGAGTACTTGCTGAAATCCGGAATTTGAGAAATATCAGAGACATTAGACTTGTTGTGAAGCTTGATACATTTTCTGAAACGTGATATATCTGACGCTCGCACCATCTGGATCTGTTTTGACTTGAGTGTGGTAAATACTATTTCTTCGAAGGATGTACTAGATTTCTAGAATAAAATGAAAGACTATTTATTGTGCACCTCATATTGCGGCTCTTACTTGCAGACAAAGGACCAATGGAAGCTAAAGGTATGTTCATAAGACGAGACCCGGTTGCCACTTGGCAATACGGCTTTGATTAACGAATATAGATTAACAAGGAATATCAAGATTCTTCTAAGATGGGGGACACGAACAGTACTACAGAGCCAATCAAAAACGATGAGGTCGTTACCAACAATCAATCCAACACACCCAGTAATATTGCGAGTCTCGTACGAGTCACCAAGGAAGAGAAAGCGAATTCTGAAATCGAAAAGGACAAGGATGGATCAAATAGTGACTCTCTGAAAAGCAAAATCAAAAGAAGTAGAGCTGACGAGAAAAGAATGCCTAACATTGCCATGGAATTGGCGAAAAACCGAACCACGGTGAAAAGTCAATCCCCTTCCCCGTTAGGTGGATCGTTGGGTGTATCCTCCATACCATTATCATCTCTTCTTTCGTCGGATCCGGCTCAAAACGTCACCCCGGAGAACATAGCACACCTATCCAAAGCTGACACCGATTTCCAGCGCACGACTCTTAGTGCGACATCGAAACTTAAAGTTTCCTCGCTGTTGTCAGACGCACTTGCGCCAGAGTTATCAAACTACGAACCAGGAACTGAAACGTCCAAAAACGCCGCTCCAAGGGTTATATTACCGACACAGGGTCTTGCAAACACTATAAAGGAACAAGATATGCCAGGAACTGTGGTAGCACGCACAAAATCACCTATTAGCATATTTGGAAAAGGAATATCAGTCCCCGACGCGATTTCAAGAAGTTCGAGCACTTTGAGTTCGTCTACACAACCAGTTCCTGTGATCCCGGCCAAACGGATGCAATCAGCACCCGTGGGAGAGAAGAAGTCACCAGCCAAGAAGCAAAATACTCGGAAAGGTAGTGAAAATGGAGAAAATAGCAAGAAGGAAATTTCAAATTCATCAGAAACCGCTAAGAAGCCGGTCGCGCGCAGCAATGCGAAAACGAAAGACGCTAGAAATACCACAAAAAGCACTGATTCTAAGAAGGAATGGACCACTGAATTGAAGGAGCCAAAGAAGGAGGTAAGCAAGAAGGAGACTAAAAAAGATGGTAAGAAGGAGATCAAAGCAACCGCTGCCGAAAAACAGCCTCCTAAGAGTTCCGACAAGAAGAAAGATGTCAAGACGAATGAAAACAAGAAGGAGAACAAGAGTGGAAAAAAAGCTAGCGTCAATTCAAAGAAGAAGGATGGTACACCTCAGCCAGGCAAAAAAGTAGGAGAGAATAAGTCCCCTCCATTCTCTCCAGCCAAACTTGTGCCTGCACCAACCATAAAACCACCAACAATTTTAGACGCACTTGATCAGCCGAAGGAGTCTACAGAGACGGAAGAACCCATCATTGTGGTCGAAGTCCCTCTTTTTAGCTCCGAGGGTAACGATTATTTAGATGAAAATGGTCAAGTTGTCTTGAATCTTCACAAATTGATACAAGACAAGTTCGGTAAACACAGCAAAGCGAAAAGAGCTATGTTGCCTGAAATTAATGACAATGATGATGATGATGATGATGATGACGTTGCTGAGGTAGAGGATGATGACGGCGTAGATGAAGATGATGAAGAAGAAGATGATGACGATGACAGAATTGGGGTAACTAAGTCTCCAAAGAAAAAGACTCATCCAATGAAGGGCAAAAGCTTGATAGGGAAATACGACACTGAAGATCCTTTCATTGACGATTCGGAGCTTCTGTGGGAAGAGCAGCGTGTAGCAACAAAAGATGGTTTCTTTGTTTATTATGGCCCGCTGATTGAAAAGGGACAGTACGCCAGTTTTGAAAGGGTTAATGGGACAATGAAGAGAGGGGGTATTAAGTACACAAAGTAAAGTAACATGTAAACTGTAAATCAAGCTTTGGTTTCCTCCTCTAAAAAGGCTATGAGGTCACTATTTGCGATTCGAAGAAACTCTAGTTCGCTTAACTCGGATTCTTCCTCCTGTAGAAATTGTGACAACTCTTTCACTATTTCTCCAAGAAAGATCAAGTCCCATTTCATTCTCAGACCAGATAGAAAGTTAAGGTAAGTTAACATCAGCGTAGAAGTTTCTTTACTAGGACTTTGCTTTAAGCTTTTGAGGGCTAACAATGCGAGGCTATGTATTGCAGCCATTCGGTCCTCGGTGATGACAAGGAAAGGCCTAGGAGGCACTGGTGGCGCTTTTTTGTCGGAGGCATCATCCTTAATCGACAATGTTGAAAGTGCGTCGGTGACATCCGATTCGTGTGGCCGAGTATTGATCATCAAGTCTTTCAAAATTCCCAACATACAGCATTTGATATGAGGAAATGGACAGCTTAGGAGCGTATCGACGGCAAAGTCAAACGTGATGTTCTCAGGCATTAAACACAATACCCTTGTCAACGTTGTCAAAAGAACCATCCGCTGTTTACCACCTGCTGGAGTTGTTGCCTTAAGCAACAAAATTTGAAGGAAGATAACATTCAAATAGGAAGGAAGTTTGCTGAGTATCTTTCTATTTTCATGACACGGAACATTCAAAACCGCTGTCAAAATCCAATAGTGGCAGACGTCGACCATAAAATCGTGATCGTATGCTTGGGAAAACATGGCTGGGGTTACGAATCGGAGATACATGTAAATGCAATCGTCGATTTTGATGCCAGGATAAAGTGGTTTATTCTTCTCCAAGAAGTGGCTAGCCGATAAAATGAGAATACTGCCGGCATCCAAAGAGAGGTCTTTTTCGTTTGCTAATTTTTGCAAATTGTAGGTATAAGCCAGCTGGTAAATGACTTGGCCTATGGCTTTCCTAGCATTATCGTTCACAATTTCTGAGTCTTTGGGCAGAGATTGATAAATTCTTTTAGATTCCTCGATACAGCGTGTAACAAATTCCTTTTCCAGATCTATGTCGAACGACAGAGCCAATTGAAAGTATCTCGAACTTATGCCATTCACTACAGTCCAAAGAGAATCGGGTTCGAACTGAAGGTTTTTTATCTGCGCAAAAAGAGCTTCTGCCACATGTAGCTCTGATTTCTTCAAAAACAGATTTAGTGAGGTTGTTATCAAGCTCCGAAGAAGCTTGCGTTGCAAGCAGTTTTCATCCTCAACGATTTTGTTATAGTCATCTTTGGGGATGTCTCTAATCACCTCTTGAGTAGGTTGCGGAGGGATATATCCTCTGGCAAACGCAAACACTCTGCGGAGAACGAAGACGCTATCATCAATTTGGTCGGCATTCGAACGACCAAAAGCAAATAACGATCCAACAGCCATTCCAAGAAAACGGGACGGATATAACGTGTGGATTCGTTTTAGAGTAGTTGTGACCATTTCCAACACAACGTGCAGTCTTAATTCAAGGATGAATTCCTCGACACCCCTTTCAAGTGGAGGCGCAACGAAATCGTCCCGCAAATGGCGTGGTATATCTTCAGACTTGTTCTCAGTTTTCTCGTGAGGCAGCTTGATTGCTTCTGCTACGAAGTCCTCGCTCCGCGCCTCCTCTGTTCCGTCCGACAATTCGATAGACGATAACAAGCTTGCTGAAGTCTCAACCTTTTCATCAGCTTCAGCGTTATCGTCTTCGAGTTCGAGGTTGTCACGCTTTAACTTGCTCAAAATTTCACATCCGGTTAAAAAACACTCCTTAGCATTACCATGCAGCGAGATTTCATTAAAACACTTGACGACTAGACGAAAGACCTTACTTTTCAAAAGAGCCTTATCGGTGTCGACATTTTCAATCACTATAAAGTTCAAAAGCGATTTAGGAAGGTCCCAAGCGATTTTGGCCAAAACTTCTTTATTTAAAGTAAGCTGGCAAAATAATGCTTCGAGAAACGCTTCCTTTTGCGCACGAGTTCCTTCTCGATTGACTTGCGAGCAGTAAAGGTCAATTACCGTCACCAACGTTACAACATCTTCGCTATCCTCCTTAAACGCTCTAGCTACCTTTCCTGGTAAATTATCCATCTTTACTAGAGTATGTACCACTGTCGAACTCTTGCTTTATGAACTCTCAGTTCAGAAGGGGCACCGTTGGGTTTGAAGATGTCCTGACATTTTTTCAATATTTAAGTCTACCAACGTCTTGAATGAGAGAACCCTGAAGACTCCGATAACTGTCTTCTTGATTAAACTCAATGAATCCATGAGCCGGTTCCTTGAGAGCGAAGGTAGTTCAACTGCTAGTAGTATAGATAACTCAGAAGACGACAACAAGTCAGGTACCGTTCAAGACAGACTAAATTTTCTGAGCAGGAGACTAGGACAATTGGGACTAGAAAAGGACGAGGACGAAAATGTCGAAAACCCCAAGTCGACCACCGAGTGGACGGAACCTAGGCCAGATGAGTTGCGGAGGGAGGAGGAGGCGAAGGAAACTAGTACTAAGCCGACGGAACAACGCGTGAAGATGCCGAGTGATGATAAAATTCTGATAAGATTTCAAGCCATTGGTATGATCGAACAATTGAATCCCAATAGTGCCAAAATAACTGCTAAACAACCGTTTTCGGTGGTTGTGACTTTTTTGCAAAAACGACTTCGCGTCGCAAATGTTCATTGTTACGTCAATAACTCGTTTACACCAGCTCCGCAGCAGATCGTGGGCGATTTGTGGAATATGTTCAAAGTTCAAAACGAGCTCATCATCAGCTATTGCAGCTCCGTAGCCTTTGGATAGGCAAAGGTGATGTGTGTCAAAATTACAAATTAGGTTTACATTAGAAGATCGTGCTGTTTAATTGATTGTTGGAATTATTTCTCTTCCGACGTCTCTCCACGCGATAAGCAAGCAGGAGTGACATACAGGCAATTATTTGGGAATACCATGGAATTGCGGCAAGGCCGAATTCTGTCGGGTTCGTTTCAAGGTCGATTTCGCCGATTGTCAAAGTAGCTTGTTTCGTCGTAAGTTTCGGCAGAATTCCAGGGCTTACGAATCGGAATCTCGCCCACAAGGGCAAATCATCCATGCCCTTTTTTTGAGTTTTCTCTAAGGCTTTCTTCTTGGCCGCCGTTTCCTTGTCGTCGAAAAGAAAAGGCATATCTGGGTCGAGAACCACTAAGTCCATATGAGTCGAATCGAAACCCGAGCACCAGTTTACATGCCAGTCTCCTATCGTTGATTCGAAATTTTCACGCATGTGATGTTTCAACATGATAAATTGCTGGGGCCCATCTTGAGATTGGAAGACAAATTCGTAACCGGTGCGAAGTCCTTTGAAAGTTTTATCCCATATCTCGCAAAATAATGACTTGATCAGTTGTTTTCCTCCAGAAACGCAAATGACTTTGGCGTCGGCGGGTATTAAATAATCCTGGCCCTTTTCGATTACAGTGTATTTGTAGATTTCAAATTTTGGTGCCGAGCTGAACGGAACGTTGAAAAAATCATACTTGAACTCAAATAAAGGTATACCCAATCCGCCGTCCTCTAGATTAGCAGGTATATCGATTTTTCTCTTGTTATTCAAGAATCTTTCGTAGGAGTGTGGAGTAGGAAAACACATCAGCTTTCGACTGGCGAATAAAGACGCAAGAATCATTGTTCTTTCTCGGCTGAAGCGAAGTCCTGGAGGCACTTCCTGGCCGTAACTCTCTTGTACAATTGGTCTGCTCGGTGAATTGCCCATAATTTAGTTGATTCTCCTGCAGATGGTGAACTGCCAATACTTGGTAATAGTAAAGATACTTTAAAGACTGGCCGAGACAAGGTAAATTTCCCGTTTGATTTGAGATCGAGTCGATTTTATTATTATTAGCAGGTCGTTTCGCGGTGACGCAATTGACAAGAAGGGTTAAGTTCGCCGCACTCGTGCTATAAGCCTTTTTTTTCTTCCCTTAAAGCCGATCTCTTGTCTGCATTCAGTAGACGGTGATAAGCTGATGATGCTAATTCCAGTGACGTATTCAAAACGATGCGGCTTGACTAGGCGGCTTAGGTGCTTGGGATAGGTAATTTGACTGTTTTAATCAATACGCATTTCGACTTCCCTAGATTCCCCTCCTTGATTTATCACTTCAGGGTCCTTCCTCGATGGAAATATCTTGAACGGGGTGGAGCTCCATTGTCGCCATTTTCATAAATTAATATCATTGTTAAACGAGTTATTCCGTGGGGTATTGTTATATATTCACTATTACGCTGGATGGGACCAAATTCGAGTTTATTCGTGTCACATCGGGTAACCATCATCACTTTGTTCACTTGTTATCTTGATCAAAATATTGGCGGAAATATACCTAAATTTGTTCCTCAAACGCTTGAAAACCATGCGACCCATCTCATTCGTGAATGCACATTACTCAGGATTCTCAAGCGATTGAAAGCGCCGGATTTTTTGAGCTAATTCTTGCTTTGCCAAACGGCTCTTCCATCATAGATGCATGTTTGATGCTAGGAGGAAAGGTCTATGATGATAAAAAAAATCACTACATATACTAGGATGTCTAATGGAGAAGGGCGGTGGTGGTGGCTTATTGTAGGGCGATTGATGTTCACTTTTATCATTCCATTGCCGACTGTCATATATTTCAATATCTTACGGTTGTGGTATCATTTGGCACGGACTGGATCAAGTAAACAAAATCATGAGTGGATAGATGTTTAAATGTGATCGAAAGGGCGGAATTCAATCACATAGAAAAGGGACTTTCAAGTGCTCAGATCCGCTAGCATCGTCAGACTTCCAACTCCATGGCAGAAATGTCAGTGCATCAGTTTAACGACCAATCAATCGACAGGCTTATCCCAGAAATATTTGATCAGATGAAATCCAATCTAGACGCCGTTAAGACTAGCACAAGACCATTTGTTTCGGCTGGCACCCGTTCTACTTTAACCACGCAGTCGCTTCTTGAAGAAAGCAGAATGTTGGATAAAATAATCCCGGTGGTCGAGAAACTCGAAACAACACTCAGCGTGGCTGGTCCACAGCATCTTAAAAGAATAAAGGAAACATGCGAGTCCACGAACAAGATTCTGGACGCATGGATTAACATACAATCTCAAGGAGGTTATGCTTACGATCTTATGAACAACGAGCAGTACATGAACTACTTTAATGCTCTTCAAAATGACGAAACCATGACTGCTGAAGGTTACATGAATGAAAAACGTCAAGAAGTCGCAACGCTGCGCGACCAACTAGAAAGCAAGAAAAAAATGAGCGAAAACACTCTTGGTAAACCCGCTAACATAAATCAACGCCCTCTAAGCTCTGAGTCTACGACGGCAACTGCTAAATCTCGAACAGGAAACAAAGCACGACAAACGGGGATGCCCAAGCCCAGTAACATACCGCGAAGCAAGACACGAGCGACCAAACCGAGGGTTACGACTCGAAAAACCCAACCGCGGAGAGTAGGGTGAATTGGCCATTTCATAATAAATTAAGGATTAGGGTTCATAATATACACATGTAAACCAATTAATTTAGGCATTACTTTATTCTTTGGGTGGGACAGATTCTTCTAGCAATACCAGCAGATCAGAAGCGTCAACATTTTCGGCATCCTTGACGAAAACGTCTTTGACTAGACCATCTGTTGGGGAAGAAATCACCATTTCCATTTTCATGGCACTCAAAACAGCAATAGGCTGACCCTTCTTAACTAGAGAGCCCTTGTGTACCTTCACTTCAATGACAACACCAGCCATTGGGGCGCCGACTTGGTATGGATCATGAGCATCAGCCTTTTGTTTAGTTACTGTGTCAAGCTTCTGTGACTTGTCCAAGACGGCTACCTTTCTGAGTTCACCGTTCATTTCGAAATACACCTCCCTCATGCCAGTTTCTGTGTTCAAATCACCAATAGCTTGAGGCTTGATAATGAGCACTTTACCTTGCTCGATGGTGACAACGATTTCCTCGCCGACTTTTGGTGGAGACAAAAAGTTCTTGGTAGGCAAAACGGAGAGATCTCCGTAAACTTCTCTCATCTTGCGGAAATCCTCGTAAACTTTTGGATACATATTGTAGGAAGCAACATCGCATTCACTAATGTCCCCAAATCTGGATTGCAAGTCCTCCTTGATTTTCTCGAGCTCAAAAGGTGCCAGTTCCAAGCCAGGGCGGCATGTCAACTTTCTTCTCTTATTTCTCAAAATGTCGCTTCTTAGTGGCTCTGGGAAACCACCATAAGGTTGACCGATTAACCCTTCGAAGAAGTCCATAACTGAGTCAGGAAAGTTGAGGGAAGAAGCCAATCTTTTCACGTCATCAGGAGTCAACTTATTAGAAACCATAAATTGAGCAAGATCTCCAACGACTTTAGAAGTTGGCGTAACTTTGACCAAGTCACCGAGCAAGTAGTTAGCCTCACGGTAGGTTTTCTTTGTCTCTGCCCATTGCTCGCCAAGACCGAGCTGCTGAGCTTGGAACAAAAGGTTAGTAAGTTGACCACCAGGAATTTCGTGCTGGTAAACTTCCGGATCTGGACCCTTTAGATCGGCCTCAAAGCAAGAATACAATAGTCTCATTTGAGCCCAGTAGGCATCTAGCTCGCGAACCTCATTGACGTTAATGTTTGTGTCGATCTCGCCATCTAGAGAAGCTAGCAAAGCGTTGATTGACGGTTGAGATGTTAGGCCAGACATGGAGTTGGTGGCAACATCAACCACATCGGCTCCTGCGTAAGCGGCAGCAACCATTGAAGCAACAGCAGTACCAGCAGAGTCATGGGTGTGGACATGGATGGGTAAGTCTGGGAATTTGGCCCTGATAGAGCCAATTAATAGCTTAGCAGCGGAGGGTTTCAAAGTACCAGCCATATCCTTGATTCCTAATATGTGTGTGCCCATCTGGACAATCCTTTCGGTCAATTCTAGATAATAATCTAGATTGTACTTCTTGCCAGGTTGCAACATGTCACCAGAGTAACAGAGAGTAGCTTCAACAACACCTCCAGCTTTCTTGACAGCATCGACACCGACCTTGAGTTGTTCGAGGTCATTCAAAGCGTCGAAGACTCTGAAGATGTCAACACCATTAGCCTTTGCTTGCGCAACAAAATGGTCAATTGCATTGTCTGGGAGAGAGGAGTAGGCGACACCGTTCGCACCACGTAGCAACATTTGGAAAGGAATGTTTGGAACGAGTTTTCTCAATGTTCTCAGACGCTCCCAAGGGTCTTCGTGTAGGAAACGCATTGCCACATCAAAAGTAGCACCACCCCAACACTCCAATGCAAAGGCACCGGCCAAAGCATGGGCTGTCGTTGGAGCAATAGCAGCAAGGTCGTAAGTACGGACCCTGGTTGCTAGCAACGATTGGTGAGCGTCTCTCCAGGTGGTGTCCATCAACAACGTACCCTGAAATGCGCGCACCTCTTTAGCAAACTCGACAGGCCCTTTCTCCAAAAGAACCTGTCTCCAGCCAGCTGGAGGTGGCGTGGTTAGAACGTCCACGACATTGCCATGCGCATCGTGTAGGTGAGGAATAGTAGGCTGAGTATGCAGCTTAGGCAAACCCATTTGGCCCTTAATGGACGATCCGTTTACGGCAAGATCAGCCAAATAATGCAGTAACTTCTGGGCTCTGTTTTGAGAAGAAACCATCTCAAACAATTTAGGGGTATCGTCGATAAAAGTGGTCCAGTACTCACCGCTAATGAAAACTGGGTGAGTCAACAACGTCAACAAGAAAGGAATATTGGTCTTCACACCTCTAATTCTGAACTCGATCAAAGCTCTTAGCATTTTGCGGCGGACGATCTCATAAGTTGAGCCCGAACAAGAACACTTGACCAGCATAGAGTCATAGTGGGGAGAGATGACAGCACCCGAGTAGGCGTTACCACCGTCCAATCTAACACCGTTACCACCTGCGGAACGATAGACCTCAATACGACCGGTATCTGGTTGGAAGTTTTTGGCCGGGTCTTCAGTTGTGATACGACATTGAATAGCAAAACCGCGTGTGGTGATCTTGTCTTGGAGAAGGCCCAGCTGCTCTAGCGATGCACCAGCAGCAATTTGAATTTGAGCAGCTACGATATCGATACCAGTAATTTCTTCGGTGATGGTGTGCTCGACTTGAATTCTTGGGTTGATTTCGATGAAGTAGTGTCTGTTTTGGTTGTCAACCAAAAATTCAGCGGTACCGGCGTTGACGTAGCCAGCCTCCTTTGCCAAACGAACGGCATCGGTCAAAATGGCATCCCGCACACTTTTTGGTAAAGTCTTGGCAGGAGCAACCTCAACGACTTTTTGATGTCTCCTTTGCACAGAACAATCTCTTTCGAACAGGTGAACCACGTTTCCATATTTGTCTGCCAAAAGTTGCACCTCGATGTGCTTTGGCTGAACAAGGAAACGCTCGATGAAACAAGTACCATTGCCAAAAGCAGTCGTAGCTTCAGACTTAGCACGTTGGAAGGCATCTGCGATGTCGTCGCCCTCGCGGACAACACGCATACCACGGCCACCACCACCGTAAGCGGCCTTGATGATCACAGGGAATCCATACTTGGCAACAAAAGCCTGAGCTTCTTCAACGGTCTCGATGGGACCGGGCGTACCGGGAACGGTGGGCACGTTGGCGCGCTCGGCCAGGTTGCGTGCAGATACTTTGTCACCGACGGAGTCGATTACCTCTGCAGGCGGCCCAACCCACGTGATTCCAGACTCGGCAACTTTCTTAGCAAACTCAGAGTTCTCTGACAAAAACCCGTAACCTGGGTGAATGAAATCGACCTCGTGCCGTTTGGCAATGTCCAGGATCGCGTCAATCGCCAAATAAGCACCGACGGGTGTGTACTGGCCCTGTTCGCCGATCATGTACGCCTCGTCAGCTTTGAGACGGTGCATCGAGAGACGGTCTTCGCGAGAATACACTGCCACCGTCTTCATCGACAGCTCGTGGGCAGAACGGAAAATTCTGATCGGAATTTCACCTCTGTTTGCGACAAGCAGCTTGTTCTTGCTGCCAAGCAAGTTGGAGCTGTCCCTCAGCCCCGACAGTTGAAGAGACATAATACAAGGGGAAAAGCTGTTTTGTTTTCAAAAGGCTCTACTCAATTGTAACCCAAGTCGTCCTATAATATAACGATTCGAATGTTAACTACCTGACAAACCAGTTGAGAAAGCGATGGCGGCTCTTTCACTATTTTCAAGGCTCCGTCTTGTTCTCTTCTTCCTCCCCTCTCTGCCGCCATCTTCTTAAATAGACCTTATTAGTCCGGGTAACTAATTTGATCGTCCAATCATTTCCGAGAACGTCAACATGAGTGGTCATACAAGTATGACTCTTTCTAATGAGCCGTTCGAGTTTTGTTCGGGTAACTATAAAAACCTACGAGAGCAGACCGTCATGTTGCAGTGGCTGCGAAGAAGTCTGGGCCTCGAATTTTAGCTAAGCAAAAACTTCCATTATAAACCGTGACGTAGCACTGATCGGTGCTTAACGTCCTTCGCAACGGTGTGATGATAGAACGAACATTGATAGGTAAAGCCACCGGAAATCGCAGAAGTCTAGGAAATCTCCATACGGCAATTTCCTCGATCAGACGCGTGCTTAAGTGCCCCGGAAAACGCGACTATTGCTGCTGGTTAGAATTTCGTTCTTCTCAAAAACGTAGACATTACACTACTTGTGAGCTAAATGAAAGTATTTCCATTAGAAACTTTTGGAAAAGAGTTTCTTCATAATTTTGTCACATGATGCAATATTACATGTGCACGTGACTGAATATTCGATGCAGTGAGAAAACAGGACTGTGCCGTCTAAGTGAGGTTAGCGGTGTCAATTGCAACTTAGGTATTGTAGTTTCCGTCCAAAGAGTAGTTTTTATTTTCGGCCCTGTAAGTACGGGCGAGCGTGCCGCTCCGATGCTGTGAACCTATGATTTGGCGGGAAAGGAGAACGCGCGGCCCCGTCTCTCACACGGGCCATATCTAATCGTGCCGGCATCTATCTGTTCCACCGTTCGACCATTTCGTTCATCCACACGCCTCCTTGGCTCTGCAGAAGCTTCGGCAACTCCTCAATGCCTTCTAACATCCCGTCCTCGCTGATCGTTGCGTTTTCCATGTAGCCGTTGAGCAATTTGAGCACAAAGAGACAATTGGGATACACGATGCATTGCGCGTAGGGATGTCGGGTCCAGTACTCGAGGTATTTCAAATAGGCCCGAAATTTCGGGTCTTTCCATATCTGCGGTTGACTGAGCAAAAACACAACGTACGGGATGTTCGCCAAACACTGCACAAACTCCAGCTCCACTTCAAACCTCGTTGGAGGCTCATCGACTTGCTGCTGTAATTCAGCGCTGTCCGCGTTAATTGCGGTGTCGCTGTCCATTACTGCATGAACTAGTGCTTATCACGGTGCTAACGATGAGTTGGTCAGGGTACTAGGAATATGATTTTCTTACGGATTAAGCAAGTCACGTGAATGTATATCTAGTTTGAAGTGCTCGGATCTTCTTCTCATTTAAAGGCCAAGGTGGCAGGTTGATTCAAGCAAAGATAGCTTCATCATTCGGTGGCCACCATAAATTTCTTAACAAAGATGAGGAGGAAAATCAGCGGCTATCAGATCTTTCTGTTTTCGCTGTGTCCCGTTACGTTGGTTTTCGGGCACATATTGTCTTACTGGCTGAATATAGACGCAGATAAAGATGGATGGTTTAACGTTTACTTCGTGAAGCGTGGATGGTTTTGGACTAGTGTGGTGGGGTGGTGGTGTTTTATCAGGTACAGAGGATTGCAACAAGTCGGATCGTGGAAAAAAGTGCTTTTAAGATACGTGGTTTTGACGGCATGGTGGCTTTTCTTCACGCAGTCCATTATCTCAGGAGCAGCACCCATCATGGACATTGTATTCACATTGACTGGCGGTCGCTGCAATTTTGACGTGTTTGACCCTAACGAAATTCTACAATGGAAGTTGAATGAGAAATTTCACGACACGGTAAACCGCCGTCAAAGATCTTTGGCCAAACTATACAATGTGCTGAAAGATTTAAAGGACGATCCCACGAATATGGTCAAGCATGCATTATCAAGGATAGAGTCATGGGTCAGCGAAAATAAGGATCAACTTATGGAAGGTAATTATACGCCGGGTCAATTAAATGAGTATATCGATGAAATCTTGCATCGTTGGCGCAAGATAAACTCTTCAAACATCTGCCAATCTTTGGGTGGACAATGGATTGGTGGACATGATCCCAGTGGCCACATTTTTCTCATTACATTGATGTCAATGTTTTTACTCGGTGAGTTGCAGGCCATAGGGAAAAGAGCCTGGAGAGCTCTGTGGAAGGACAAAGCGGTGTTCGAAGAACTTCGAGCGCATTGTATCAAAATCTTGACTTTGAAAACTCTGTGGGGTATCAGAACCCGCCGGTCACCGGTGAACAATGTAGGAGATGTGCGAGATGTGCTAAGAGCGTTAGTCAAACCACCTTTGGAGTCGGCTCGCGAGGTTTACTATATCGTTACATTACTTGTCAAATACGTGTTCTGGAATAACCCGGTCATACTGTTGGTGGTGCTTGTCGGCATGTGGTGGTGGAGCTTTCTCATCACCACAATTGTTTTCCATACCCTTTGGGAGCAGCTCAGTGGGCTGATATGTGCATATATTGTCGCTACTTTGGTCTATTTAAACATTAACTGATTTGCGGTGCTCTTATTCGCATCTCCATGAAGTAAGAGGAAGTCTCTGGAGCTGTTGACCTTTTGTCTTGAGGTATCCAAAATAGAGACAAAGGCCCATAGTTATGCAAAGAGCATTTGTCATAAAATATCCATCCCGGGTGTTGACGAGCTTGCCTCCGTCTTTTTCGCACGAGCTTCTCGTAGCTGTGAAGTGGAAAGCGCGTTCTGCATCCATAAAGCATTCTGTTTTCGTGAAGAAATCTATCATTGACATAATCAAAAGCCGTGGCCAAGTTCCTCCCATGTTGCTGATAGTGTTCAGAAGTGTTAGATAAGTTCCCCCGATCATGGGATCTGCTATTTTGTTGTGAAATGCCGCTATCCCAACAAATTGGACTGTTGCCATAAAAGAACTCACCAGATGTTGCAAAATAACCATCATAAAATAATAGCTGGGAATTTCCTTTGTTTCGGGAAATGCCCATACCAGGTAAGAGCCCATCATTGCCGCTGCGAGCCTGCCTAAGTAGCCCCAAAGCCAAGGCGTTAAAGGGCCTCTTTCTCCGACGAAAAATCTCGAATATGACTTGCTTGAGGTTGGCTTTCTGTCCCAGGTCTCGGAACTCCACTTAGCGACATAGTAGCCAAAGATTAACTCGAATGGGAAATCTATGAGCACTGTAATGGCAAGATCTTCGCGTTTGAGGCCGCGCTCGAGAAGTTTGAGGTTTGTTGCAGCGTCATTACACTGGAATGCGAACTTGGAGACGAAATGGATGAAAATCAGGGACTGGACTGGTTTGAGTTTCAAAACTTTAAAGAAGGCCCTGTAGACGTTTTTTGTAGTGGTCTTTGAAGTCCCGGTCAGATCTACAGCATATTCAATCAATTGGGGCTTCTTTTCGTCGCTTTTCTTAGCCAGGCCAGGAAGAACGCTATCGAAATCGGGCGTCTCCTTCGTCTTGAGAATGATGAAAATAGTAACCAAAACGTAAGTAATTCCAGATAGTTTTAAATATGAGCCTAAGCTCACAATGCCGTAATTTTTTGGCACCGATCTGACGTACCGGTTCATGAAATCACTGGAGTTGAATGCCAAGAAAACTGTGAAAGAAAGGAAATAACCCATGTTCAGCCCCACAGTTTGTGCCGTGGAAGCGAAAGATAAGGATTGTTGAGAAAGAATCTCGAGTGCCCATCCGTCAACGGCAATGTCCTGTGTGGCACAGAGAAACACGAGAATTAGGAAACAAATGGTCAAAACTTTAATGTTAGTGTTTTTGGCATCAGCGACACCGATTGACCCCTCACGATAAGCAGCATCCACCCCGGCAAAAACCAAGTCCTTCGAAACGCAATAGCCTAGTAACCAAAGCGCTAAACCGCTCACAAGCTGCACAGGTATAATCCACGATCGACGTCTACCAATTTTCACATTGTAAACAGAATCCACTATCGGTGACCAAAGAATTTTCAGCGAGTATGGGTAGGTTGCCATACTAAAGAGCCCCACTGACGTAAATGTACTCCCTTTGATGGTCGATTTGAGAAGAAACGGTATCGTTCCAAAGGCTAACCCTACCGGAATTCCTTGCAGAAAATAGAGAACAATCAGTAGTAAAAATGGTCGAACGTCATGTTTGGCCAGCCTTCGACCTACTTCAGCCATCTTAATTCCTGAATTGTTCTCAGACCTTTCTCCCTATCTCCAGCACTATCCTTTGTTAAGTAGCTAAAGAATTGTTCTTTAATAGATCAACAATCTTAATCACCGAGAACATAAAAAAATTAATTTACACATAGATAACCATCTATTGGTAATAATGGCATGCTTCCGATATGATTTCGATCATCGTGATCGTATCTCGGTTATATAAACATTGATAATTTGAGCTCGTCCCCTCTGTGAAACTGTTAGTCTTCATAATCCACGACGTTCGCACATCTGCGTGACTATTCACTATTCATGTAGAAGATTTTGAATTGAGCATAGAGGGTTCTCGGAGAAGGGTTCTCTGCCATTTTAAAAAAGCGCACTTTAGTTTGTGTAAAGCTTCTAGCTCCTTCAAACCATGTTCTTGCGTAATATGCGATTTCATTTAAGAAGCGAATCGTCAACACACTCAAAAAATACTTTTCTTTCGAAAAACTCATTATGTATACAGTTGGAATATGATGTATCCGATACTTCGCGAATATGTGGCTTATCTTCGCTCTTGAAGGTGTAAACAAGGAAAGCCTTGCCCTCATTGCCAAGGTTCCGCTTCGACATAGAGGCGATGGCGTCAGCTTCTGAACGCTATTTACAATTCTGCCAATTTTTTGCAAATGTACATGGCAATCCCTTTGATTGGTGGCGGCCAGTAGCACGCACAGTGTTATACGGGGGGCAGGATGTTCTGTCAGAAGACGTGGTCGTTCTTGACGCTTTGTCGGAAAAGGAGATCGAGCCTGAGGAGCTCGTTCGAAAAATTAAAGCACCTTTAAACCGCTTACTCGATTGAAAGGACCTTTTTGGCCGCGCGAACAATAGTGTCAGGGTCAGGGAAAGCGAAATCCTCCAATTCCTTGCAGTATGGAGTTGGCACGTCGGCACCGGTCACTCTTTGGATAGGAGCATCCAAATAGTCGAAGGCTTCTGATTCCATAACTTTGGCAATGATTTCGGATCCAACACCGAAGGATGGGAATGTGGATTCAACGGTGATCATGTGATTGGTCTTCTTGACAGTGTTGATAATCGCGTTGACGTCCATTGGTCTAATGACACGTAGATTGACGACCTCGGCAGAAACACCGTACTGCTTGTCCAAAATTTCTGCCGCTTGCAAAGAAAATTGCACATTTCTGGTGTAGGTGACAATCGAGATGTCAGAACCCTCTCTCTCAATCTTGGCAGTGTATGGCAACGTGAAGTCAGGCGACAAAACCTCCTCGGAAATCTCAAAAGATTCACCATACAGAAGCTCGTTCTCAAGGAAGACGACCGGGTTAGGGTCTCGGATGGCAGCCTTCAAAAGACCCCTTGCGTCCTCAGCAGAGTAAGGCACCAAAACCTTCATACCAGGAATGGAACCATACCAAGCGGAAAAGTCTTGCGAGTGCTGCGCACCGACACCAACGGCAGCACCGTTGGGGCCTCTGAAAACGATTTGACATTTCTGGGTACCACCGGACATGTAGTAGGTTTTGGCAGCCGAATTGACCACTTGATCGATGGCCTGCATGGAGAAGTTGAATGACATGAATTCAACGATTGGTTTCAAGCCTTTGAGTGCAGCACCGACAGCGAGACCGGCTAACCCCATTTCGGTAATTGGGGTGTCAACGACCCTGCGTTCGCCAAAACGATCCAAAAGGCCCTTCGTGACCTTGTAAGCTCCGTTATACTGCGCAACTTCCTCACCAATGATGAAAACATCGTCGTCACGGTCCATTTCCTCTGCCATCGCACTGTTAAGAGCGTCTCGAACGGTCATAGTTTTAGTGGAAGCCATTCTCATCGACAATGGACCTTGCACGCCAAAACGGGCGCATTTTGCGACCCCGGTAAATGTTCTCAACAATCCTGATGCCATTGTTTGTTAAAAGGGTCAATCAGATTTAAAAAACTGCACTCTCTTCCAATAGAATTGCAAGAACAGTGTGGTGTGTTGTATGGGAAAAACCCTTCACGTTTATATATCCCTGTCAAATATTCAAATTGTGACCAAGGGAAAAAAATTATCAGAAATGGCATAGTCACTTATCATAGATTATAGAAGCATCTGGTATAAAAAGGAGACATTTTGATTACAATTTGATGATCAAAAGATACAGAATATCTTCTAAGTTCAAAAGACGTTCCGAGTTTACTTAGATTTGAATAAAGATTTTAGATGGCTTCTCTAAAAGAGAAACTGATTAACGAACGGAATTATTGTTATCTTGGTTGATGGTTTCGTACAAAGGGATTCACATTCGCACTTCGATCATCGACAAGAGCCCAGTTGGCCGATAATACGATCATGAGCACGGTTTAATTGTGTCTATTTTACATTAACCTTTTAAATCTTTTTGGGAGAATTTAATTCGTGCATTCAATGTTGCGTTTCTTGCATCATCCCGGAAATCATTTATAATCTTAATGTCAGTCTGTGAGCTTAAACTAAAAAACTGGGGATGTGTGAAAATTAAAGAGAAAATGAACCAGTTTCTTTCGTCTCTAAGTGTCTAAGTGTAAATCATACGGATCTGGTTTCCCTGTAGATGTATATATGAAATCATGCAGGTGGTAATATATCTGTCGCTGTCGAGCGTGTTTCTTTTCGTCCCTGTATGTACGTCCTGTGTCTAAAGTTTTGGCTTCCCTGCAAACACCTCAGCTATGATTCTACGCTGGATTTTGCCAGTAGCGGTCTTTGGTAGCTTGTCGACAAAGAAAATCTTGACTGGCACCTTGAAAGAAGACACTTTCTTTTTCAGGTACGAGGCCAATTCATCATAACTCAATTTCTGGCCCTGTTTGAGCACCACAGCAGCATTGACAGCCTGTCCGTATTTCTCATCATCCACGCCAAACGCTACGGCCTCGTCGACCTTCGGATGCGAAAGCATCACACTGTCCAATTCAATCGGAGATATCTTCTCCCCGCCACGGTTAATCAGCTCTTTTAATCTCCCGGTGAGAACCAAGAAGCCCTCGGAATCGAAATATCCTTGGTCTCCTGTGCGGAAATAGTTTTCACGTCTAGTAAAGTTCTCTTTGTTGGCCTTCTCGTTGTTGGCGTAACCAAGCGTAACGTTCTCACCCCTTATCGAGACTTCGCCAGTAGATCCCTGTGGCAACTTGTTGTCTTTTTCATCAAGAATCACAACTTCGACACCTTGTGGCTGTCCCACAGTACCAGGCTTTCTCTTGCCCGGAGGCAAGTTGTTCGAGGTCATTTGATGAGCTGCTTCCGTCATAGCGTAGGCTTCCAAGACCGGAGCATGGAACTCGCTTTCAAGTTTATGAAAAGTGGCAGGCGCCAGCGACGAAGAGCACGATCTAATAAAACGAATGTAGGGCATAGGCGTTGGTTTAGGACAGTTAAGCATGATCATGCTGATGGTGGGCACGCAGCTGAACCAATTACAACGCCAAGTCACGAAATCATCCCAAAAGTGCTTTGCGCTGAAACGAGGTGGTATGACGACGGAGCCCTGTGCCCGAAACGTGGACAAAAGTACGCCAATGAGGCCGTGCACATGGAAGAGTGGCATGACAAGATAGGAACGATCCTTGGGGGACAGTTGGTAAGTCTTCTCAATATTAAGCGAGCTTCTGGCAATGTTGAGGTGCAAGAGTGGCACAGTCTTGGGGCGCGACGTAGTTCCGCTAGTGTGCAAAATCAGCGCCACGTCGGTCGAGCGAGCAAATCCAGGGAACTTGTCGGAATGATTGACAAAAACCGCTTTGTCAAGCGAAGTATAAACCTTGGATCTGTAGCTATCTTTTGGTGAGTAGACATCGTATTCGACCCGATACCTCTCCTGGTGGAAATACAGTTCAACGATGAAACACCCGAACTTAGGCGCAGATTTCAAGATCTCCGCTCTAGGTTGCTTAACAGTGGTACCACGGGGCACCACAATGACCTTAGCCTTCAAATCTTCGAGGTAAAAGTTGAATTCTTTCTCCCTGTAATTAGGGTTCAAGGGCGCTGCAATCTTTGCAGCTGTAGTAGCTCCTAAAAACGCAGTCACGAATTCTAGACCGTTGGGCATGGAGATCGCGATCGCGGATTGCCTGCCGACGACATTGTAAAGAGGCGAGTCGGACGAGTTGAACAAAGTCTGGAAATGGCCCGTGAAGTGCGAGAGCTCTTTGTAGGTAACTTGAGTTTTAGTGTCTGGGGAAATCACAGCAATGTTGTCGGACACTTTGAAAGTATCATTGAAAGAAGCGGTCGTGGTCATTTCTGTATGAACGTCGATGATGAACTGCTCACCGCAACGATTGTTTCTGGAGTTGATCCGTTCCTCGCCATAAGTATACTTTATATGGTCTGATAGGAATCGCTTGGCAGTCGGCAATCTCTCGGTCCGAGTTCCGAGGTGAACACACATACCTTTTGACGACAGGGAAAACAACTTCAGAGTTTAGGCCGTCTCGACTCAAACTCAACCCAGATAATTTAGCTTCTGGTTGAACTGACTTGAATTTTCTATTTTGTTATGTCAACTTTCCGTCAACTAAGTCTTCAATTAGCTTTCTCTAACATTGTGTCAGTTTTTCCAGCCCAAATAAATTTCTGTGGATAATATAGCCAGTGCGGAGGTTCAATCTCTCTATATTTGTTTGTGATATTATTTTATACCAAACCTTTTTTAACAATGATAACTACCTACAAGCCAAAGGTCCTTAACTTCAACTACATTGGCGGATGCATTGCATGACATAGAAGAATGATTGTAGAAGAACAGAGTTTATAAAAATCGTAAGCAACAATCCTTCCGTCAATATTGCTGTATTTCATTGAAATGGCAAGTAACCAATTCCCTCTACCATAAAAACTCGTTAAGGACTATTAAAGTTGTCTTGCTCGAGTGTTATACCAAGAAGCAGTGAAAACTGACATATCTCTACAGGGCCTGAGTTCAAAGCACGTGTACATGACTATCTTTCCAAATAAAGAGGATGTTTAATTATGTATTGTAGGATAAAGAATCGATAAGGAAAGTAGGGGGAGGAGGGAGGAAAGAGGAGAGAGGAGAGAGGGGGGAGTGGTGTGCCGCTGGGCCCGAAATAGCTATAGTCAAGCTAAATTTACCTGTCTACTTGGCTAAACTCTTTCAAATGAGAAATGCGTGTTGCTGAGAGAAATACTAATTGTGAATGAGGATCCGAGTTCCGTACCTAATGATATTAAAAGGACCTGGCCAAGATTATTCCAAGCGTTTCGCAACTGTTCGGCAGATGGGACTATATAGATGAGTGAACTTTGAAAGACAAAGACTATCCACACTTTGGCGCAATTATTAACTGGAGTTTTTAAGCTGTGATTTCAGATGTTTAGCAAGACATTATACTACGGCTTGAGTAGCCAGCGGTCTCTTTTGGCTACTGGTTCCCTCAGAAAGGTAAGATTCATGCATGCGTCTCGCCCACTACTCAATGAGATAAAGGATCCGTATGCTGCTCTGGGAGTCGCCAAGACGGCGAGCGCTTCGGAGATCAAGAAAGCGTATTATAAATTGGCGAAAAAGTATCATCCGGACATTAATAAGGCAGAAGGTGCCCAGAAGAAATTTCACGACTTGCAGAACGCTTATGAGATCTTATCTGACGACAGCAAGAGACAGCAATGGGACCAATTTGGGCCCGCTGCTTTCTCTCAGGGTGCAGCAGGCCCATCGAGCGGTGGAGCCGGTTTTGGTGGCGCCGGAAACTTCAACGGATTCGGCGATTTTGGAGGGTTTGGTGGTATAAATTTCGAAGATCTTTTTGGCGCCGCATTTGGGGGTGGTGCTGACCGTGGCGGAGCGCGTAGCTCTGGCAGAGGCTCTATGTTCAGAGAGTACCAGGGCAGCCCTGTCGAAATCTCGCATCGCATGTCTTTCAAGGACTCCGTTTTCGGTACCAAAGGCGTGAATTTGAAATTCAATGCTTATGACCCTTGCAACTCATGTAATGGCTCAGGAATGAAACCTGGCGCTTCGAAGATCACATGCCCTACCTGCTCTGGTACTGGTACGCAGGTTCATGTCCGTGCGGGGTTCCAAATGGCCTCTACATGCACGCAGTGCGGTGGTGAAGGATCTGTCATGCGTGATTCAGACGCCTGTCAAACATGTCACGGCGAAGGTGCTGTCCTGAATAAAGAACACAAAATCACAATAGACCTTCCACACGGGCTCCAAGACGGCGATGTTATTCGTGTATCTGGGAAAGGCTCATACCCCAATATCGCTGTCGACGCTGCGATGAAAGATAATGTCAGGCTACACAGAGGTGACGTCTTGGTCAAGATTAGAGTTGACAAGGACCCCAGATTTCAGATCAAAAACAAATACGATATTTGGTACACTCAGGAAATCCCAATCACAACTGCTGCCTTAGGAGGCCAGGTCCAGATCCCCACCGTTGATGGGGTAGATGTCAGATTGAAAGTCGCACCGGGAACGCAACTCAATGACGTGGTGTCAATACCTCAAAAAGGTGTTCCAAGAGGTTCTTTTGGTAACCGTGGAGACATGAGAATTCAATACAAGATAGTCATCAAAAAACCTCAGTCACAGGCGGAGAAATGCCTATGGGAAGCTCTGGCTGATATTACAGGGGACGGACTTGCAAAAAGGTCTGTCCTACAGCAGAATCCAACTGCGGCCTCTGAGAATTCGAAGCAGGAATCCAACCCTGACACACCAAGCGCTCTGGGCAAACTGGAAGATTTCATATCAAAGACCTTCAAAAAGATAAAAGGAGACAAATCATGAAGTACATAGTAATTACCGGCGAGCTTGTAAATAAATTCTAAATCGAGATTCGGAAGTTGATAGATGCACTTTTTTTTCGTGTATATATTAAATCCTTACTAGATTTCATCAAACCACGTTAAATGAGGAACTATAGTAAATCGAAGCAAGACAGGCGCAAATGCGACCCGCTGAGGAAAAGTTCTATTTCTATTACTTCCTGGTTCATATCCCAATCACGACCTTCATTGATGCATCGGTTGTGCTGCCCGGAAATCTCCAGTTTTCCAAAGATTTAGTGGCATGGCATATCAAGAACAACAATGACTTCTTGCTGTATGAGAAACCACTTTGGCTCAAAGCGTTTGTTCTTGTTGAGCTGCTCTTTCAATTGCCAGGGTTTTTCTGGTTTGTCATTAAATTCAAAGAAGTTTGGAGGCTACGAAACCACGATTCCAAGGAAACCAAGGCTCTACTCAAATCTACAGAAAACACTCTGACTAAGTGGCTACACGTTTACGGGTGGAATGCATCGGCTACAACTTTCATTTGTCTCATCACCGTTTGGCTCAGGGGATATTATCCTTTTGGAGACTTTCTGCCAATGCCACATAAGGCAAAATTCAAGCTTATTTCGCTCTACATTCCTTACCTTTTGATTCCATTACGGCTGCTGTTTGTATAATTGAGCCCAACATCGGAAAAATTTCCCACAATCCACTCAGAGGCAATAATCAAGAGAGACTCCAAAAGCGCATCACTTGCGCGGTCGTAAAATATAGAGCAGACGGAGTCCTTTCTGCCTAACATCTTTATATACAATAATCTTGTGAGGTTACGCTACAAGATGGGGCGCGATGAAAGCACAATAACACTGGTGGCACCGTGTCGAATCCAAATCATCGATAAAATTATGTTATAGATCACGAATCAAAGAATCTTTTTATTGAACGAATCTTTTTTACGCCTCCCCTGTCCAAACAGTGTTTTTCGATATTAATATAATCAAGCTATAATTTTTGTATTTTTCGACAATTCACTATTAGCTCGAAGTGCCATTAACAAGAGGCCAGCGTAATGCACCAATTGCCACCAGGCTACAAACTTAGAAGAGTCAATTCCTCGGACTTCGATGCCGTGATAAAGACGCTTCAAGTTTTGACAACAGTGGGTGACGTTTCTCAAGCAAAATTCGATGAGATTCTCGAATATTGGGAACAAACCAGAATAACGATCAAAGGGAACCAAGTACCCGCTTACAATATGTTTGTTATAACAGATGATGCCGACAGAGCCGTTGCAACGGGTACAGTTTTAATTGAAAAGAAAATCATCCATTGTGGTGGGCTTGTAGGTCACATTGAGGATATCGCGGTTTCCAGGGACCAACAGGGCAAAAGCCTGGGCCGCATGATGATCGAACACTTAACAACGTACGCACATGACCTGGGCTGCTATAAGGTGATCCTAGACTGCTCAGACGAAAATGTGGGCTTTTATAAAAGGTGTGGTTACCTGAAGGCTGGGGTTGAGATGAGCCACCGCCTGTAGCGAACAAGCAACTTCAAGAAGAAATTTTAGATTTCTGTTTCAACTCTGTTTTTGTTTTCGCTAATATATTACAAAACAACGTTCAAGCTCGTAATTCCCATCTCTAAGCCAGTGTTTCCAATGCCTCTAACGCAACAATCGAGTTTCCTCGCACAACTGTCTGCGAGCCCATCGCGGCTTTTGAGCCGTCTGGCTTGATTTCTACTGCGTCGTCGAGAACCACATTCAAGAAAATGTCGTAGCCTCTAAGAACACCAACAAGTTTCCTGGATCCGTTTAATTGGAGATACACCTTTTTTTCCATATACTGACAGTGGTATCGGTTAGCATACAAGCTTGACAAACCTCGCTAAGAAATAATCAAACCAATTAGCAATATTTCATCGACAAACACATACCTTTTTCAGCTCTGGAGCTGACACCATGTTCTATAATAACTTTTGCTGACTCTCTTTTGCAGGACCAGATCCAAGACAGGATCTTAAGAGCTTTTCAAAGCTCCCATAAGTGATGGTCCTTTGACTAATTTACACGATCTTTCGTAGAACGTGACACACTCATCATTGTTACGAGCACTCGGGACGAATACGGCCGTCATGAGTGCTCATGGATTCAGATCATCTCTCAAGAAAGCATTAAAATTGCGACAAATCTACCGGAAATCCTTGATGGAAGTGCGACGACGAGCCCAATGACGTTTTGGACGATGGTCGCTTGATAGATCAGATTCGGCAACCAGGAAACACTGCTATTGCTCAATTAAATTCAATTCCCCAAAATGGCTCTTGGGGGTAATTCCACGTTCAAATCTTTCAGTTGTGAATTCGTCAAATGTAAAGAGTCAAGGGCGTGAAAAGAGAATGGTTCCCTGACCCAATGTAACTTTTAATAAGACGGAACTGGTTTTAAAATAGAGGACGGAGAGTTAAGGGTGGGGATCTGTGAAGCTTTTGCATGTAGCATGTGCCAACCATATCCCTGCCTACACGTGTGATGTGAGCTGCGAGTTAAGATGGAGCTTCTGCAAGGCCACACAACATCATATCAAGAAAAAGCCGATGTTTGAGTTCCACGTATTATGCGGAACATAATTCGTAGTTCGTCTCTTGATTGGTTCTTTATCTGAGAGCTCAGCGGTAAGTAAGAAGCGTACCCTCCAGATTTGTAGTAATCGGCCTCACTTAATCGTCGTTCTAGTTTTTCGTTTTGTTGCCTCCAGAGAAACTGCATTATAATCAAAATAAGTAAGGGTGAAAGGAAATCGACAGGGCTATTAGTGCCAAGTATTTCTAAGCGAAATGTTTCTTTCAAAGCACTGGGCTTGTTCAGTCAAACGATGAAGGGCTTGTCTTACATTCGTCTCTATTGCTGCTTTCCATTGGCTACTTCAATTCGGATCCGACGTGGACTTCACCTGTAATCTCTAAATACGTCGATTTTCCTCCGATTTGAGGCTTGGAAATCGAAGAAATTCAACAAAATGTGTGTAACGAAGGTAACATAAAACAGTGATGAGTGGAATCCTTTTGACTTCAGTTCCTTACTTTGATATCGTCTTCTATCGATATCTTGATCTTGACTGACACACTTTCTACGTTGATTGGTTCATAGGAAAAAAAAGTTGCCCTTGTAAATACGTTTGACTTCAGTCAAGTACTGTAAAAGGGGCAACGTGAAGACAGTACTGAAGCTCTATTACCAGTATATCGACGATGCTTAGACTGAATTTGCAGAGAAATATTTCCAAGAGAGCTTTTAGCCAGGCTAGCACCTTGTTGGCTGCTAAAAAACAGCACGATGTGGTAATCATTGGTGGTGGCCCTGGTGGCTACGTAGCTGCCATCAAAGCTGCCCAGCTAGGATTTGACACTGCGTGTGTTGAAAAACGGGGTAGACTTGGTGGTACCTGCTTGAATGTCGGCTGTATTCCTTCAAAGGCTCTTCTGAACAACTCGCATTTGTACCATCAAATGAAGCATGATGCGAAACAGAGAGGTATTGACATTCAGGGCGAAGTGTCCGTGAACGTGGCCCAATTTCAGAAGGCTAAGGACACCGCGGTGAAGCAGCTCACCGGTGGTATTGAGATGCTTTTCAAGAAGAACAAAGTCACGTACTACAAAGGTTTAGGGTCTTTCGAAGACGAAAACAGCGTTAAAGTCTCACCAATCGAGGGTCTTGAGGATGGAATTGCCGAGGAAACGATCTTAGAGGCCAAGAACATCGTCGTTGCGACCGGATCTGAAGTCACCCCGTTTCCCGGCATCCAGATCGATGAGGAAAGAATCGTTTCTTCTACTGGTGCTCTAAGCTTAAAGGAGGTGCCTAAAAGGCTAGCCATTATTGGTGGTGGTATTATCGGCCTTGAAATGGGATCCGTATACTCCAGACTAGGATCAAAAGTCACTGTGGTTGAATTTTTGCCTAAGATCGGTGCCAGTATGGACGACGAGGTCGCTGCCTCAACTCAGAAATTTTTGAAGAAGCAAGGATTTGACTTTAAGCTAGGTACCAAAGTGCTCTCCGGTGAAAGGAACGGCGACGTGGTTAAAATCGAAGTTGAAAATGTTAAGAGCGGCAAGAAAGAGACTCTCGAAGCCGATGTATTGCTAGTAGCCATAGGAAGAAGGCCTTATATTGAGGGCCTCGGTGCCGAGAAATTAGGTCTCGAGGTTGACAAAAGGGGTCGGCTGGTTATCGATGACCAATTCAACACCAAGTTCCCTCACATCAAAGTAATTGGTGATGTTACGTTTGGTCCTATGCTTGCTCACAAGGCTGAAGAGGAAGGCATTGCTGCTGTCGAGTATTTGAAGACAGGACATGGTCACGTTAATTACGGAAATATTCCATCTGTGATGTACTCCCACCCCGAGGTTGCGTGGGTTGGTAAGACTGAAGAACAACTAAAAGAGGCTAAAATTTCCTACAAAGTGGGGAAGTTCCCTTTTATTGCTAACTCACGAGCCAAGACCAATATGGACAGCGAAGGTTTCGTGAAAATCCTGATCGATGCCGACACTGAGAGATTGCTCGGTGCGCACATTATTGGGCCTAATGCTGGTGAAATGATCGCCGAGGCTGGTCTTGCTCTGGAATACGGGGCTTCTGCAGAGGACATTGCTCGCGTCTGCCATGCCCACCCTACTCTATCGGAAGCTTTCAAGGAGGCTAACCTAGCGGCATACTCTAAACCCATCAATTTTTGAGTGAATTTATGATCATTTACAAGACATACTATAATATAGCTGCGGAGCCATGAACATAGTTAAAGCTTTATTAGTAAAACATGGCGGAAATATATTCTACAATCTATTTTTCATTGAACATTCCAACTTTAAATAGTATGCAAAAAGATTGGACGAGACCGGAGTCGAACCGATGACCTCTCCCATGCTAAGGGAGCGCGCTACCAACTACGCCACACGCCCGTTATTAAATTCTGGTAACAACCTTTGATAATATATTCATTTAGAGACACCCTTCCTTACCATACGTACATTTCGGTTCAATACTAATGTTAATTAGAAAATTATTATCTTTACAACCCAGTATGTGGGGTGTCGTAAGGTCTTCTAGGAGGAGTGTACTGTGACCTATTGTTCCATAGCGACGCCACATTAAGTTAGGACGCACAATAAAGTTTCTCATTTTAAAATTTCTGTTAAAATTCTTCCAGTGGTAGTTGCTAGATTGACACCAAACGGTCCTTTTCCCTGGATTTTCCAAATTTTTATATACCGTAGCTTCCTAAAGAAGGCACCCCATTCGACGGGACACTATGGTCAAAAATTAGCTTTATATTTCACGTAACATTTTCAATTTACTATAGGGGAAGCAGGCAATTCGGTTGCCAACTAGTTGTTAAGAGATTGGCCACTCTTCCAATCGTGAGCATCGGAACACTTGCCCACTGAATAAGAGACTGTGTCTTTCCGGCCAAAATACGTGGCAAGTAGCAAGGTGCTCTTTAGGCTCGAGGTATTTCTCGAGTAGTACGTTTCACAGATATGAACTTGTCTATGGCTATTAAATGTATACCTTTCCGTTTCAAAGCGAAAGATGAACAGGTATGAATATAGGTACCGAAAATTGAAAGCTGCAGCTGAATCGAAAATCAAATTAGTTAATTAAAGCTTTGATGAAAACAACAGTTTATATTACTCATGCATAGAGATTTGGATTTGAATCTCAGTGGTGGTCGCGTTGTCAGAGTTAGGGGAAAATAGCGTTAGCGGAAACATACCGACCCTGCTGCTCCCCCTTCTCTAACCATTTTAGAGCGTGGGCATGATTCTTTGCCTCATAGACTCAATGTAAGCCATTCCCAATTTGCAGATGAATCTCCCTTTTGAGCCGGTGGTTTAGGCTTCTTATCATTTTGGAGATGGCCCTTGCTTTCTTCTTGTGGTGACCGGTCAAAGCCGAAAGTGGAATGTTCGGCTTCGTGTTGTTGCCGTTGAGGTTGAGCAGGACTTTGCTGCTGGTGCTGCTGAGAGGGCCAGCTTTGCATGAAGGCATCCATTTCGTTGTGGGAAACTGTCGGTAACGCCTCCTTGGAATCGATATCCATTCTGGAGGGATCGCCCGCAAGTTGAGAGCCCTCACGTAGTGGAGTGGCAGATGATTGGTAAGATGAGGCTTCGGTTCCAGACCCAGCCTCTGATTGGGGGACATCCGTATCCTTTACGATTTGCGACGTTGGAGTTCTTGACTTTCTGTTGGATGTGGTAGTTGTCTTCCGGCTGGTTGACCTAACGTCACCGGAGCTTCCCATCTTTCTTGAGACGGGGCGCTTTACACGAGCACCAGGTATCCCTTCTTTGGTAGGAGAGCTGATGGCAGACGTTGCACCAGGAGCAGACGGAGTAGTTTGTTTGTTTGACGTTCTTTGTCGCTTTTTGATGACGTCTGTCTTGAGCGATAAGGGCCGCACAACGCCGTGTAATTTCAGGAAAAGTCCGCAGGCGTTACATAGCGGATTACCTTGCGGATCTCTTCTCCAAAGCGGAGTCGTCCGCGTATGACAATTGGTGCACTTCGTGTCGGTCTTACCAACAGCGGCAGAGTTAGCGATGTCATGACCTACCGAAGCGGGTCTACTCAGGTTTTCCGCCCCGTAATCCAGACTACTTGAAAATGATGATGCCGGTACACTTCCAATCCGTGAATTTGTACCACGGGTCTGCTTCTTTCGGATTGCATTCAAAGCAGAAGGTCGCCGCGCGTTTTGAGAAAAAGATAGCATGGAAGACGGAGAAGCGCCCGCGGCAAGACCGGTAGGTAGCGAACTAAAAGCTCCATCCCAAGGCGCCGTAGGCTTTTGTATACTGATGGGTTGCGAATTGACGGCATTTACCTCATTGTTGGAAGGTTGATTTAATTCTGCAAGTGACACACTAGAATTAGTGGCGTGAAGTGCGGCTATAGGCGGCGGTGTAGGATGCAGAGTTCCGATGGTGTGCAGGAAATCATTGTCGTCAAAAAATGAATGCCCATTCAAAACATTGTGGGCAGCGGCGCTTGCGGTAGCGTTGATGTCAGATGTGCCAATGGAAGCCTCGGATGCACCGATGGCGCTGTAGAGTGTAGACGCCGATGTTGAAAGATTGTTGTACGGTACGGCACCTTCAACGGAGGACACGCCACTATCGCTAACGATGGCGGGGGAAGAGTTCGTCCCGGCATCAACATCCCGCATGCTTGTGTCATTGTTCTCGTCCTGGCTGTTGGGAACGGAGCCAGGATCGCCCAAGAGGTTAAAGTGTTCGATACCGAGATTAGTCATGAACCCGACATGCTGGTCGGGATTTGAGAACGAGCCGAAATGGGTATGATGATCATGAAGGCCAAACCCTCCATTACTATCTGACGCATTACCCCCCGACGTGTTTCGGATATGCTTCGCGTTGGAGTTGAGTTTCATGGAGGGCATGATTTCAGATCCGTATGCAGGATCTGACCTTGCATTTGGCTGTCCTGCGCCAAGGTTCTCGGGGCTTATACTCGGAATATTGACGTCTTCCTCGTTAGGATCATGTAAAACCCTGAGTTGGCTTAAGTAGTCGAAGTGGTCCTCGTGACTTGGAATCGCGTTGACCTTTGTATTCGAATTGACAGTGTGCGAGAGGTTAGCTCCAGAGGTGAGAGGCTCAGCCATCTCGAAGCCGGTGTCGCTGCGCGTACTGCGGTCTAGCCGCATCCCCTTCATGCGAATGCCGAGCATTCGCCACGTCAAGTTCGCCATCCGGTCTCTATAGGGGAGAGACGCCTTGGCCTTGGAGTACATGCACCATATCGCCTCGGCAGACGGATCGGATACCGCCGCTACAAGCTTGCGCTGATGCGCTTGCTCACTCGCGCGTGAATCTTTCATGTGCGCCCAGAACCTCACAGAAACTACCTGGGGGCTGTAAACAGTCTAATGCTCGTAACTTGGAAAACACAGGAGACGCTCTTCGTGGTCAAATAATTCAGAGAAGGAGCCGAATGTTAAGCGCATGAAACAATGAGCTCGAAAATGGGAGACGGAAGGATGCGGATTGTAATAAAGGCTTGATCCCGACTGTTGCATGCGTTGCATACTGGGAGCATCCAGACAGATTCGTGCCCAGTAACTCCCACGCCAGCCCGAGAACACATCCCGAAGAAAACTTTGAACCCTCCTAGGAATTGCAACCTGCCAAGGATGCCCAAATTGTTGCCATGCCATGTGATCGACTGCCAATCATTCCAGCTGCGCTAGCTTCTGTAGGCGGTCTTAGAAATCTTGATAACGCTTATCAGCAAAGCACATCAAAATATCAGATAACCGGGTGTATGGGTTTCGAAATTGGCGTTCTTTCGCTTGTCAGAGTGGGTGAATGCGAAATTCGAAAATAAACTTTCTTCGAAGCCGTCGTTAGTGAATCCCTTCGGGAACCTGGTCTTAAATCCCTATTTTGCCGGTAAGACGTGCTTGCTGCTGTAATCGGTGTTTGGTACCAACTCCGACGACGAAAAAACAAGCTTTGGCTGGCGGCTTAAACTTCCAATGTGATTATCCTGACTGCACATTGACGTAGGTAGCGTCGCTTTCTATCGGTACTAGTTTTGAGGACCTTATACATCTTATACAAGCATATGCTATTTTTCCTCTTTTGGCTTGCTTCCCTTCTGTCGAAGAAGGAAAATCCAACACTTCCAGTTATAGCCGAGGATACAACCCTGACAATTATGCTCGCTTTATATAAGTCTTCAGGATTGCACCTATAGCCCCTTGTATGTGTATGACTCTAATTTGTGACCCTCTTCGAGGTCATGCTCCAGGGGGCGAATGACCCCTTTTTAATGGCTTTTGGTTTGGGCGGTTATCTGCATCGTACGGCACTTTCTGAGCTCGAGAGCCGGATCCCCACCAAATTTCGAGGAAAAGTTGGGGTTGGCGGTTATCGCTCCAATGGAGATTTTCACTGATTTTGCTCTCAGCTCATTCGATGGGAACGGAAGACGTGTTGGGTCTAGCCTACTTCTTTTCGATGTGAAGTAACTTCTTCGTTCGAGAATTTTCTCAGGACTGGCGGCTATTTTTGTTACATACTTAACAATGCAGGGAAATGTTAAGACGAGGAAAGACACTGCAACAGTGGACACAATCGACTGCAACAAGTGTGTTGATCACAATGGGAGATGTCTAGGCACGTGTGGGAGCTTTTGTAGCTAAATCACTAAAAGTCAAACGCTTGCACGAGAACTGTGATTTCTTCTAGCTACTTCGTTAATGAAGCCCTAGAAAACTTGTGATGCGGGAAACTGACTTTTGAGACTCATCTCAGGTCCCAGTTGTGCACGTTTCTGCCCGATAACGATGATATCTGCAACCGCACATAGCGAAAAGCTATGGTGTGACAGCTGTTGCGCGACAGCCGCAATGCTTGTGATGAGTGATCCTTAAAACTTTCTTCTTCTTTCTCCAACCTTCTTGTAATGACCCTTGCGTCCGCTTGTCTTTTTCTCCTGGATTTCGCCATACTTGCGTTTGAAGTACCGACTAGTATCTTCGTCGGTCATCAGAGTCTCAAGCATGGTGTTCTTGCGCTGCTTGTTCGTAAGGCGACTGCTGAAAAACTCGCTCTTGTCTTCCACGATCGTGCCAACAGCAAACCTTTCGGGCACTTTCCACTTGTCTTTTTTGTAATGACGCTTCGGGTCTAGCGCAGCCCTGTGTTTCAACAGGAGCAGATCACGCTTCAGCTCCTTGGTGAGCTCGGGTTTGGGCAACGTAAACCATTGGTCTGTCAGCGTGAGCTTTTTCGAGTTTGCATCTTTTTTTACCGAGTGTAAAATGGAGACTGGATCATCAACTCTGGTGACAGCACCGGACTTAACAGTCTCGTTCGAAAGCTGGTCAAAATTTGTTTGCATTTTCGGCAGACTTTTCAAGCGCAGCTCAATGTCACGGAAAGTCGCTTGTTGTTCAATTACCTTCGAGTCCTCTTCGAACTCCAGTTTGTCGCTCATGAAATCATCCAAAGGTTTCCCCGCATGCTCTTTATTTACAGCAATACTTTGCTTCTCAAGACTTTTCAGATCGCTAAACAACTCTTGCAAACTCTTAGTCTCCATGGTGTCTTGTGCTCTAGTTGTCGCTGCCTCATCGCTCTCTGAAATCAAATTCAAATTTTTCGTTATCCATTAATCGAGCTATAGAAAACGTTAACGATGATGATATATCAACTCATATCGAGCTACACACCATATCTCGCCCCATAACTATTGAGTTTTAGCGGTAAGCATCTTCGAAGCTCAGATGACTTCTGCTTCCGCGGATGACCTTATGAACCAATTTTCACGACTTGTTGAGGATGATGCACAACTAAAATATGCCTTGAATGCTGTAAGGCGCTACAAGTCAAGCGACGCCCCTGTTGTGGAAGAAGAGCGCAAGAACAGGCACAAGCGCAACATCGTATCCGTGGATGACAATCTTAAGATCAATTACGAAATGATCAAAAGCACGCCAGGGAGTTTTTTGGACTCTGCAGCGTCGTCCAAGCCTAAGGCGCAGAAAGAGCAGCTCAATAGAATCACCAAGTTGAAGACCAACTGCTACAAAAAAAGGCTTTATAACATGAATGAACAATTTGTGCAGGAACATGGCCAAATAGAGCCCCTAGAAAACACATTAGAGGCGAATAAAAGTGATGCTACCCTCCAGCAACAAGTAGAGTGGCTTTCGCAAATTCATCAGAATTTGCTTCGAGATTACAAGCAGCTTCTTCAAGAAGAGAAGAGGTGGTTCATCAAGAAGGAGTTGATGTTAGAGACCAATTTGAAATTGGATCTTTTCAGCACCAAAGGTGAAGATAGAATTTCCATATATTTCGGTAGCAAGGATAGCGGCAGTCTTTGTTTTTTCAATTGATACGCAGACCTATAGCGTCAATGATCATGTTACAATATCGTTACGACAATCTGCTGCGTCCAGAGAGCGGGAGGTTTTTTTTAAATTAAGTTGAAAGACGGCTTCTCAGAAACTGTTGAGGAACAAGATTTACAGACGCTACAGGGATACTCAGCTAAGGCCTTCCAACATGAAGACAGCCACTACCATCTCATCGGTGAAGATGTTTAAATATGTGTTGTAGTATAGATTTTGATCCGCTTGCGAGCCTGTTCTTCTGCGGGTAAATCAACGAAACTACTCACTAAAATTTTTTAATTGAAAGAGAAAGTTGAGATTATCAAACAGTAAGATGGGCCCACAACCAGCTGAAAGCACTCTCAGATAAATGGCAGATCTTCAACTCGATATACTTGAAAAATTGGATAAGGATGGAGAAATCAAATCCAGTCTCCAAACTTTCCCCAACATCAATCCCCAAGTGATTTTATCCGCTTTGAACTCGTTGAAAGCTCATGGGAAGGTAGATTATAGCAAGCATGACAAGATCCGCTACAGCTTGACTAAAGAAGGTGAGGAGATCGTCGCCAAGGGATCTCACGAAATTAGGCTACTCCATCTTGTAGAAAAATTCGGTAAGCTTCAAATCAAGGAAGTGATGACTCAGATGGGTGCTGATGGTAAAGTGGGCCAGGCCAGAGCCTTTAAGAACGGCTGGATCTCGAAGAACAAAGAAAACGAGCTGACCCTTAGCGAGAAAATTTCTTCTAGCAGTGACGTTGCCGACGAAACGAAGGATCTGTTGTTAAAGGTCAAAGATGACAAGCTAGATGGGATAGATGATAAAGTACTGAACGATCTTAAAAAGCGAAAGCTTGTGGCACCTATCAAAGAGACTTCATTCAACATAGTCAAGGGGTCCGATTTCTCTACTGATTTAACCAAGCCCGAGACTGATTTAACCGCCGAAATGGTCTCCACGGGCTCCTATAAAGACCTCAAGTTCAAGCCATACAATTTCAACTCTGAAGGTATCATTCCAGAGTCTGGTGCTCTGCATCCGTTGAGTAAGATCCGTGAAGAATTCAGACAAATCTTTTTCTCCATGGGTTTCACTGAGATGCCATCTAACCAGTACGTCGAGACCGGGTTCTGGAATTTCGATACCTTGTACGTTCCCCAGCAGCATCCAGCACGTGATTTGCAGGATACCTTTTACATCAAGGACCCTGCCCAGAGTGACTTGCCAGAAGACAAAGAGTACATCGAAAACATCAAGGCTGTTCACGAAGATGGTAAGTACGAATCTATCGGTTACCGTTACAACTGGAAGCCCGTGGAGTCTCAAAAGCTTGTGCTCAGAACACACACAACGGCCATTTCAGCCGCTATGTTGAAGGAGCTTGCCAAGGATCCTAAGCCGGTCAGACTGTTCTCCATCGACCGCGTTTTTCGTAACGAGGCCGTGGACGCCACTCACTTGGCTGAATTTCACCAGGTCGAAGGCGTCTTGGCAGACTTCAACATCACCTTAGGCGACTTGATTCAGTTCATGGAAAGTTTCTTCGCCAAGATGGGTGTTACAGGGCTACGTTTCAAGCCTACCTACAACCCTTACACGGAGCCTTCCATGGAAATTTTCTCCTGGCACGAGGGTCTAGGTAAATGGGTTGAAATCGGAAACTCTGGTATGTTCAGACCGGAAATGCTTGAGCCTATGGGTCTACCCAAGGACTTGAGAGTCCTGGGCTGGGGTCTGTCTTTAGAGAGACCTACGATGATCAAGTACGGTGTTCAAAACATTAGAGAGCTACTTGGCCACAAGGTGTCCTTAGATTTCATCGAAAACAACCCAGCGGCCAGACTCGACGAGGATCTTTACGATTAGAACTTAGATATCATGCGTTCCATCGAACATCAGCGTCTCGATGCCTATACCTGTTCACCTGACTTGTGATAAACGACTTATATAATAATGTGCCCTTGTACGGTCTCTGATGTGATTGATTCGATGATTTCGTTATTATCTTTAAAACATTACAACATACACTACAAACAAACTGTAACCTGCAGTTCTTAACCGTAGAATACGTGCGGCCAAAGCGTGCTGCTCAGCCAATCGTCTCCCTTCTCTTTAGAGTTAATTCCCCGGGCCTCGCAGGATACATCGCTTGCGACATACTGTCAATTGCCTGAGCCGATCTGGAACTAGACTGCCGCCGACTTTCCGGTTTTTTGCTTCTCTCCTTCACAATCATCTTGCGAATGTGCTTAGGTGGAGAGTAAAACGGATTGCTCTTACGAGTCTTTAAAGATGGCCGCAGTAGTTGGTTTCCTGCAAGCATTGAATTATGATCGTCGCTATTCTTCTCGAAGTCGCGGGACAGGTCTCTGTTTACGTGATGCATGAATTCCATCGGCCCAACCAAGGTTTTATTACCTCCCTCTGGTTCTAAAAGCAGATCTGTCACGTTCACCGTGACCATTTCCTCGACCGGGACCGACCGGGAATGTATGTCGCCGCCAACGGCCAATGAACTAAATTCCGATGTCACGTGAAGCGGGTCGGTGATCACCAAGTCCAAGATGTCCTGCATTTGATTGGACTGACCTTCAAACGACAGCTGAGACATTCCTCCTTGTGTCAACTCCTGTTTTAAACCTTGTGTCCACCCTTGTGTGCCACTTAGCATGCCGAATTCGGAGTGCTCAAATATCATTTTTATATTCTGTGCATGCAATTTTTCTTCGAAAGGTAAAAGAGGGTCTGCGTAACAACACTCTAGCGTCTACATTCCGGACGATAAATTCTTGGAACCTTATTTACATTCTTTTATTTATATCTGACGATTTCGACTTCACTTTCTGATACAAGGATGGGCGAATTGCAGATACACGGGGTATGCATGATGATCTACATCCAGGAGACGTCCTCACGTGTTTACCTGCGAAAACCCGAATCAAGGTGAGCAGAAATCACGAAAAACTGGCTGTAAATGGCCTAATCAAGCAAAAGCTAACGATTCCCACTCCGAAAGCAATAGCTGAACAACCAAATAGGTTATAAAATCTTATTTCAAATCGCCAAAAAATTACCTAATGGAGTTACAGGATCTCTACGGCTTTGGCCGGAGCTTGCCTTTTCAGCAGAGATCGTCGAAGAAAAAAATAATTAAGCTTTTAGGCCGGAAGTCCCGAGGCTACAGCCAGGGCACTGATGGTTATTAGCTTACGTACGCGCTCCTATCGATAAAATACGGAAAAGTTAGTCGATCAATTAGCTGATCTGAAAAAACACCGGGAAAAAAACAGAGCAATCAGTGGTCACTGCTCGTAGTTACCGGGTGGCATATAAATGCCGTCTCCTTCGGCATCTAAAGGATTTGCCTGCCGATAGATTGTATCACGTTGTTGGTGACCATCATCACTCTTGGATTTGGTCGGCGACCATTGGTGTAATATACGACGTGTGGAGTCCACGTGACCGTATCTGCTCGTAGTGACGGTCAGAATGCCCTTCATGTTAGATCGCTGCAAAAGACCGATATGAGTTCGCAGCGGGTTGATCGGGTGCGAGCTTGGTCTCTTAGCGAGTTGCCTGTCGGAAAAAAACCGGCGTTGAAATCTCCAGAGATTTTCTTCTCTCGGTAATGCTGCCTTCTGATGCTGATCAGCATATCTCTGGCGCCATCTGTCGTCAAGCGTCCTCGCTGCAAAGCTTGGGTTCCGTCTGATCTCCGCTTCCAAACTACCGCTCAAAGCGGTTGTCTGGGGTCTGTAGGCAGTGAGCGCTTTAGAACTGGAAATTTTCGGCTCAAAATTCGGCAGACGGATCACATCATCAATGATCGATGTGCAGTCGTTTCCTTCCCAATCGTCAATTTCTTCAACAATGCGGTGCCTGAAACCATCCCTAATTTCTGGCTCTGCCCCGTCAAGAAACGGAGGTGATAACGAGGAACCACAGGCTTGGCAACTGTCAACCGATACGTTACTGCTGATTGGCGCTGTTTTTCTTTCCATAGTTGAAGTCATGCAGTCAGTGGCGCAAAAATCTGCCTCCTTTGGCCTCTCTTCGTGATTCCTCGTCGTGTGTTTCATCTTGCTCCAATGTCTGTTCACTTTCTCGCTTAAGAACTCTTCCTTAGAAACTAGCGTTTGTTCACTGTGGTTGGTTATTTGAGACCTTATGCCAAACAGGAGTGATGGTACATTAGGTGTGGTGGGTCCTCCCTCAATCGAAAATCCGCTGATTGATAAAAGGCGAGAGTAGAATCCAAACAGAAAGTTTAGGCTGGAACACTTCTTCCCATAGCTTTCCGCCAACAACACTGGCTGGTACAGTAAGATGTGAGCGGGAAACTCCAAACGATGATAAAAGCAGTAAGCTTCGAACGACAGTGAAAGAAACTCCGGATACTCATTTATTGTTGATTGATCCAACAGCTTCTTTCGTCTTTTCGTCTCCTCGACCACCTGCATATAATCGATGAGAGAACTCAAGTTAGTGACAGTTTCGCTATTGGCGTGGTCCTCTGTGTAGGCAGGCAGCATAAAATTCTTGACTACAGAGTTGTTTTGTGTCAAGCAAATCATCATTAGCTCGCTGACCAAATCGCGGAAAATAGCCGAAGATGAGTTGCTGAGTGCGAGCTCTTCATAATCGAATTGTTCAAATACAATGGACAAAATATGCAAGCTTATTCGTGGTATAACATACTTCCATATTTTCAGCGCCATGTCATTGCCCTTGTCAGGAGAGAATTTGACTACTTTTTCCACTTTCGTGCCATGCAGTTGTTGAAGCATTGCATTCAAAGTCGAATTTTGATCTTGGAAAAGATCTTGAACAACCGCGGCGTTGATCTTTAGCATCTTTTCTAGAGTGCTAGTTACGTCGCCTTGGACAGGGGTGTACGAGATGCCGAAATAAAATTCAAACCGGTCGCTCACAAGCGCATAAGACCCGGAAGATAACTGTCGACCCTCCACATCGCATAAGACAGAAAGAACACATAAACTGGATCCTTGAAATTTGTCTATAACCAGTCTTTCCAATTCAACTCCAAAGTTCGCATTAACCAGGACAATAGTATCCTCACAACTGTAACGCGCTAATAAGCTGGAGTATTTATTCAATGCTGCGAACGAAAGGCAAGACAGAATGATAATATCTAGTTTGAATTTCTGTTTTCCTTCCGCGTCTACTAACTTGGCCTCCAGCTCATCGTAATTTTTGGTAAATTCGTTGGGCCGGTAAAAATTGGAACCTAATTGTGCACTTTTCCAGGAGATAAGTCCATCCCTAGAAATGTGCTGCGAAACCAAAATTATAAAGGCATTCGTGAGGCTCAACCTCCAAGCCAGAAACTGAGTTGCAGGTGTGTCTCCCACTGTGATTAGGTTAGTTCGACGAAAACTCCTTTTATATTCCATGAAACTTAAGAGTCTCAAGATTTTTCCCCTTGGAGAAAATATCAACATACCTATGAGACAATTCAAAGGCTTCCGAGCCATTTGGGATTTTAGGACTTGTTGTTCTATCAATTATTTGACTTTTCCTGTAATTATGAAGTTTTCAACTTATGTAGGACGACACAAAGGAAAAAAATGATCTAACTTTTTCTTTAACGTAACGTCCACTACGAAGCGGACGGAAGGCAAGGTGGGTTATGTATCAACAAGCACGTACCGTAATACTATTCCAGAATATCTAAAGTTTTCGTATTCTTCATTTCTTGTAAACTCCTTTCAAACTTGCAATTTCGAAAGGAATTCCGTTGTAATACCAGCTCAGTCCTTTCCCCCGTTCCTTTGCGTATGACTCCAGAATTAGGAAACATTCTTGCAATGAAATGCCTTGCTCGAGACCTGCTTCTATAGTACCCCATATTTTTTTACGTCTGTTCACTTGCCTAGAGAAGTTTTTGTCGTTGTTGCGCCAAGATGAGCCGTACTTTCGCTCGAGCTCTCTGATAGATGTAGTTCTTTGCATTATTTGCCGAGAAAGATCGTTGTTACTTTCACTCAATGAGTGCGACGGGTTTAAAAGATCTGGCATGGGCCATTCGTGAGGTAGTTTCGTGTATTCGTCCCAGAGTTGCGAAACGGAAGTAGGTGATTTGATGAGAATAACTCCGAAATTGGGCATGCGAGCGCAGGGGTCCTTTTCGAGTGACGCAAGAGACAGAGTTTGAAGGAATCCAGATTTTGTATAATTTCTGGGAGTTTGAGTTGATTCGTTTTCACCTTGAGATGTTAAAGATGCGTTAGAGGGACTTAGGTCCTCTAGCGAGTCCATAATGTCTTTTATAATTTTACTCATGGGCAGAGGTCGATCTCCGGAAAAGGTTGAACTCGTTTCCTTAACTGCTTGCCTGCAAGCCAGTGAAGCATCGTCCATTTTTCTGATCAAGAAAGTGAAGTCTTGTTTGAATGAGTCAAGCTTATCGATGACTTCTTGAAGAACCGCTTGATCTCCCCGGAAGTGAGCGTTTTGGTCGGTATAGCCATTTGCGTTGTCTTCACAGTCTAAATCCATGTGTTGCGGCTGTCGATTTCTGGATGGCGAGATGCCACCATCTAGACCGTGTGTTCTGTTGTACTCGGTGTCAAAATCAAAATAGTCTGCATGTGGCCGGGCCTTGAAGACCGACGTGTAGTGCCCATTTGTATCGTCTGTATATGCCGTATTTTGAATAATCTCATCTCTAGTTTTCACCTCTGTTGGGCGATGCAGGGTGTCCATTAGCAGGGCCAACTGAGTACCCGCAGAGGGTTTGTTGTTAGTTTCATTTTCTTGCGAGCTTCTCGGCAACAGTTCAAGCCTGCCTGTTGCCTCCGGGCCGTTATCATTATCCATGGATTCCAAGAAACTAGCGGACATCTAGCCAGCGTGGACCTTTTCGACCCTTAGTCACGACAATACCTTTGGGAGACCCTCTGACCGAAAACAGCTAAATCAGATACTGTTTCCTCAACACGACCTATCTCCATTGTGAACATCACACGTCTCGGCAATCCCTAACGGTGCTAAACACTTATAAAGCTAATTGAACAGGAAAAACGCAGAGATACCACACTGCAGTCGTCTAAAACAAACAACCAAATTCCGTGGGCACCCTGCTTTAGGTTCCTGGAGACAAAGCTAAATTCCGCAAGGAAAAGCCACATTTGAAGTCATTTCTAGTTACGATCTTCATAACCCCACGATTTTTATACCGTGGCTTACTCTAATATTTTAATAGAAAACAAGAAAAGCGAAATTAAAATATTTCACGAACTCAGCGTGATTTGAACAAAGCAGTATCTGGACCGAATTTCGAGCCAGTAGTTTAGAAAATTACTCATGTTGATGATCCTGTCTTTATTGCTCTAACTTTAAATATTATTCCTAAGTTAGAGCTTATGTTCTTATTTCACGTGACATGAAGACAAACAGTGTGGGAGATACACAGTGTGGTATACGCGCAGTGCGGTATATACACTGTTATTAGCCTCATATGGGGCATATCAGAACAGGTTGGATATATTACATTTATAAGAACACGTGAAATTTTTAACGTACATAGTTGGCCCGCTATAGCGCGCGAGTAAATGAAGTTCTAAGCTTCGCGCTCTTAAATTTGCTAACTCTAACTGGATTGCCATGCTCGTCGATAGGTTCGAATTCTAGCTCTGCTTCGGAATCAACAATATTGGACTGGGTAGCAATCAAACGGTGTCGCAGCTTGGTATATTCAGTAGCTACTTCTGAGCTTAGATTATCGTAGAAAAGATCGTCATCATCAGGCGTTTCTTCCACCGGGACGTCTTTTTCAACAATGTCAGTCAAAAGGGCATCGGACTGAACCGAATCCAATTCATCTCTTGCTTTGGTTGCGTTAGTATCCAAATCTGCACTAGATGAGCTCTGCATTGGATTTTCTCGTACAAACCGCTCGACTTCTGGCTTTAGCGACTCGGCTTTCTCATTATACTCCGGAAAATCTTCTAGCTTTTCCACAACGACCCCTGCATCATCCAGGTCGTCGTCATACATCCCTAGCAGATATGCGCGAGCCATATCGTCCACGTTGGTGCCAAGAGCGTGATAATTAACCGACGGACGAGATACGACTTCTTGTAATGCGTCTGAAGAGTCTTTACGAAATTCCTTTCCCTTCTCGCCTTCTGAAATATCAGCGTCTTGCCCGGGACTAGTATATTTCTCTTTCTCCACCATTCTCTCGACGATATCGCCCACCGCGCTCTTGGCTTCAGCAGAATCTGCAGAGGGCAAACGCTTCTGTGAATCTTGGGCGGCGCTCGTGGCTTGGCGGTCCTTCTTGAAACGAGAGACCCTTGGTATCTTAACAGGTTTAGTATCGCTGACGCCCTCATTCTCCTGTTTCTCATATTTTTCGTGAAGAGCATCTGATGACTTAGCGCCGATAAGTTCGGCAAAGAGATCTGGATCGAATCCGTCCGCGTCTAGTTGCGGACTCGGAGCCTCCGCTGTAAATGCTTTGAATGTATTATTTTTGGTTTCAGCTTTAACATTGTCGACCTCGTAGATATCTAGTTCGGGTGCAAAACCAACCGATCTTTTTGATTTAGAGGATTTGGGTGATTCTTGAGGCTTGCTATCCTTAAGAATAGGCCTATTTTGAATTTGAGGCTGCGTTTTAAGCTTTTCCTCTCTCAACTTTGATATTTGTTCCATGAAAGACGATTTTGCACGGCCCGGTACTATGAAAGGCATTTTTCCAGAGCTTTGGAAGTTGTAATCGTCTTCATCGTCCTCATCTTCATCACTCTCGTCCCCGGAGGCCATGTGTTGCTCCTTATAAGAGTCAAAGTCGTAGCAGATATCATTCTCATCAATTTCGCCATCTTCTTCGTTATCTTGCAAGTCTAGCTGACGTACCATCTCGTCAAGTGTATAGAATTGATCGGTATCAATGTTACTAGCAGTGGGCTGCGCACGATCATTTTGCTGTTGATTTCGCGTCTCGAAAATCCCACGAACTCCATTTTCAAATTCTGAATCAAACTTCTCACCGTCGGAGCGCCCAATCTCTTCAATTTTTGTATGTTTGTGATCTTGATCCGAATCTCGCGGGTTAGGAGTAAATGCAGCTTCTACAGAAGTTGGTTTCACCGCTGAACCAATTACGTTGCCTTCTTCATCCAGTTCCTCGCGAATTTCCATGAAATGTAATCCATCCTCATTTTTGTAATCCTCCACAAGACCTTGTCCGGCGACCTCAGCCTCAGAATTCTCATGATTAGCGATATCTTGCATGGTCTTTAAAGTGCCTTCAGTTTCCGTGATTTTCTCTTCGAAACTTCTAATAGCGTCCTCCATCAACTCGATCTTGCTTGTCACAAATCTGATGGCCTCACCTTGAGTCTTCTCGACGAAGAATTCATAGCCAAGGTTCAGAAATATTTTCGAGGAAATGATAATTTCACCAAAAACGAGTCCTTTGATCCCAGATTGTCCGTCTTTCTCCTCCAATAGCCTAAATTGCTTCCCGTCGTATGCTAAAAGATGGCTTCTAATGTTCTCATAGTGTTGTTTCTGCTCATTTAAGAAGTCATTTTTACTCTTCAAATTGTTGATAGTTTTGTTTATCCTTTCGACAAGAGCATTCATATAGTTGGCCAATAAACAGAGGACAATCTTAAACCTTCACTGGTCATCAAGGTCATGTTTTCTCTAGCAGTTGGCACCTCATCTCAGTTTTTGAAGTTGCCGACTAGATTCGTATTATGTGACTTCTATTCAACCTTACCAATCCATCAAAATCGCTCGATGAGTTATTTGAACTTTACTGCCAGTATGTTCAGAATCACCTGCAATTCACGATAAGATTCAATATTATAACACAGTAACCATGAATGTGTGAGTATACCTGCTACAACTTCTCATCGTGGCGAAGCGACTGCTGACGAGTTCCATGGAGCCCACTATTTTTTGCCTCTCTCAGGGGACAACAGTTAGGCATCGGTGCGTTCCAAGAATACCGCCAAACTAAGAGAAGAAACACGTCTCTACGAGTATTGGCCAAGGTAGATCTAGCGCAAGGTAACGCATTCGCTGGCTTGAACCTAACTTTTTGTGCTGCCAGCTTCGGCCATTTAGGAGCCGCTTAAGTAGGTCAAATGCATGTCACGTGCACGCATTAGGATCAAAATACTAAAGAGGGCGGATTCATTTCGGCAGCTGGATTCCCCAGCATCCTAGTGATGTCTGACACTCTTGGAAAGCTATTGAATCTACGTCTTGCCAGTTGGGCATGTGACTTTTTCTCTGGGGAAGACGAAATCATCTTTTCAGACTACAAATAAAGGAAAAAAGCGGATTGAAAGAACACTTCAACAACGTCGAGCGCCACTGGTTCACGACATTTGATGGATCTAAAGCTGCGAGAAACAATACACATATCCTTTTTGAAGCGGGTGTCTGCTTTGATCACGTGACTTTTCTACTACTGTTTCTACGCGGAGCCTGTTACTTTTCTTGATATGAAAATTTTTCACCATTGGGGTCTCCTATTATCCGGACGTACCCCCCTCCTTGAGTTACAACACATTTGTTTGGAAAAAGGAGGAGAGCTCCTGAGGGCTGAAGGAGCAAAGACACAGATATCTACGAGGAATAGAACTGTGCTAACTTTGAAGTGTTCGGGTGGTCCTTTTTTTGTCTTGATCACGCGCGCCTGTCGCCCTATTTTACCTTTTTTCTTCTCTTTTTTCGTGTAGCCTCCTCAAGGTGGGGGTGAGTGACACGAGATTCGGAGATAGAACGGATTTAAGGGGAAGGTTAGGAAAATCTGGTCACGTGTACATTCTGATCAAGAAATAGCACGTGACTTAAAAGGTTTCCTCCGTTGGCGACGCTCTATAGCTCGAAGCAGTTTCAGTTCTGGATTTCAGCCGATAATGCCCACACCCTCCTCATCGGCAGCCGAAGCGGCAGGTTCGCGATTTCGGCAACGAAAGATTTCGGTTAAACAACGACTGCAGATTTTCAAAGCGTCAGATCTCAAAGATCTCGATAAAGATGAGCTCCAACAGCGGGAAATAGTCGAGATCGAAACCGGTGTCGAGAAGCATGAAGAAAAGGAAGAGCATTTGCACAAAATTTTGCAGAAAAATCAACTTTCTGCGAACGATCTTTTCATTCCGACACCCGATGCGTCACGTACGTGGAGTGAATTTAATGAATTTTACAAGGGCCAGTTTGTCGAGCCCACGGCATATATACAGTTTTCTGCGACGGTCGAGGACTGCTGTGGGGCGAGTTATAATATGGACGAAAAAGACGAGGAGTTTTTACGCGCTGAGGTCAACAAGCAATTGCCAGATGCGAGTAAGGTTAACGAGGATGAGTTTGAGGTAATTTGTAGCAGCTTTGAGGCCGCGATTCAGGAGAGACAGCCATTTTTACGCATAGACCCTGAGAACATCTTATCTTTCGATGAGGTAAAGCCAACTATATTGAAACGTGGTCAAGGCGATATTGATTTGAAAAGCAGTCTGGCCGCCGAGATTGGTCTCAAGGCCGGCAGCCGATTTGTCACACAATTTGACTCCCGAAATCTCGGCGAAACGAGGCCACTAAGTGTTCTTGTGGAAAAGTTTGGAAGTCGCATTTATGAGTACTGGAAAAATAGAAAAGTGGGCGCTAAGGGTGGTGATATTGTCCCACAGCTGAAATTCGAGAGAGCCGGAGATAAAGATGATAGCGATCCGTATATCTGTTTCAGACACAGAGAGGTGAGACAGCCCAGGAAAACGCGGCGTGTCGATTATCAAAACAGTCATAAAATCCGTCTTTTACATCAACAGCTGCGCTATACCAAAGAACTTGCAATGCTCGTTGCAAAGCGTGAAAATCTCGCCATGGGCATGATCAATGAAGAAAAAACTATTTTTGAACTGCGCAGTCAAATAAAGCCATTCAAGCTTTCATTGAACATCAAAGGAGAAGACGAAGATCTTTTCGCTCCAAGAAAGCTTCGTCAAATCAGCAGCGTTATCACGGAAACCGCCGCCGAATCCAATTCTAAAAAGCTAAAATCTAAGCACAAACGTAATGGTTCGGCTATGTCGCCTGCAAAACTCACGTCAGGTAGGAGTTCGACAAAGCTTTCAAAGCAGCAACAGCAGCAGATTCAGCAGCAGCAAAAACAACAGCAGCAGCAGCAGCAGCAGCAGGAACGACAGCAGCAGCAGCAGCAGCAGCAGCAGTTACAAGCCCAAAAACAGAATGGTGGCCTGGCGGCTGCGCATGTCTATGTTAAATTACCGACATCGAAAATTCCAGATGTAGTATTGGAAGACGTGGATAACATACTGCTAAACAAGGAAAAAAGCGCTCGCAAGTACGTTGCTGATAAGATGCGCAAAAGAAAGTTAGAAGATGGTGACACATTTTTCAACTTAACTGACGATCCTTACAATCCGGTGTTTGACATTTCGGTTCCTGCAGATATTGATCCTTCTAATGCCCCATTTTCATCGATAGTTTCATCAAAGTTTGAGCTTCAGAATTCATACTACATGCCCGATCTGCAAAAATACATCACCGGAAATAATCACGACATAACCGTTTGGAACAGAGATGGTGAATTACAAGACAACTTAAAGCTCAAAAAAATTGAGCTGTATAACCCTTTCAAGAAAAACGCTGAAATTTACAGTCATGAATTACCTTTGAGGTTACGGCGCCGCAAAGGGCGGTTCAATACAGAGTATGTTGATCGACGTATTTCACAACCAGGAATCAATCCTTTAGCCGAATTTACCGATTTTGCTGAAATTGAGAAACAAGAAGACAGTAATGAAGTTATTGATGTTTACGACTCTAAATTAGATGAATTTTCACGACTACACGACCGATGGAAATATGGTTCCGAGCAAAACTTATATGGGGCAAAGTTTTCGGATGAGCCCGCCAAGCTTAATCAGATTTCGAATGCCACTCAAATTATCAGATTTGGCACCATGCTGGGCACCAAATCTTACGAGCAGTTGCGAGACGCTACCATAAAACACCGACAAGAATTTTACAACCAGCGCCGAAATCAAAGACTGGTGAGTACTCAAAAATCAAACCATGCGATTCCTTCACCCTCTAAAAGCATGACTCCAACACCCCCGAGGTCCTCAACATCGTCGTCTCTCAAAAAAATTGCAAATCAGAAACAACAGCAGACAACGTCTGCTTCTTGACTCTAAAATAGTGAGATTTTAATTTGTTGGACTACTTATCTTTTGTCATGAATCATGGACGTTTGGGAGTTCATTTTTCTAACGTTCATTGCATTAACATTTGCAAATCTGCGAATGTTTCCCGGGTTAAAGTACATAATGTAACCTTTACTATACTAGAATTCTAGTTGTTCTTTTAGTGCATTTCGTTAATTTTCAATTAAAGTGTTTTAACAAGAAAAACGCATATGTAAAACAGGTAAACCATAAAAATGTATCACGGCAATTGACTTCCCTCGTCTGATATTTCTCCTTATGGGTATAAAAAGGGTTTTGAGAACTCTCACGCGGAAAGGTCTACAACATGCGAGTTTCCTGTTGGAAATTCGTGACGCCCTCTCTAAAGCTACGGATGATGGACCTGAATCGACATTGCCGTGCGATGACGCCCAAAATTTGACTATTCGGTGGGGTGACTCTACTCCCACTGGTAGATTCAAAAAACTGCCCTTTTTTTTTTTCTGGCTTGGTCTGGTATCTTTCTTGATAGCTCTGATATGCTCTTTCTCTGGCCCATTTAGCGGTGCTGATAGCGCACAATGCCGGGGCATATACATGTATCCCGCTTACGCTAGAATCACTGGATTCGATACCAACTACAGCAGACTGGCAAAGAAATACCATTTGTATCTTTACAGAGAGCAAGGTAAGGATAGAGAGCCAGCAGCGGACAACGTAATCAGCCTAGACGGAATTCCAGTACTCTTCATTCCTGGGAATGCCGGAAGCTTCAAGCAGGTGAGATCAATTGCTGCTGCCGCTGCTGAGCTTTATTTCGAAAACAAAGATGCCATAGTAAACCCGAACGCGCGAAATCTTGACGTTTTCACGGCGGATTTCAACGAAGATTTTACCGCTTTCCACGGACGCACTATGTTAGACCAAGCTGAATATTTAAATGAGGCCATGCGCTATATTTTGACCTTGTATGAGTCTAGTAACGCCGTTGGACCTCCTCCTCGATCAGTTTTGATCCTGGGGCATTCCATGGGTGGGGTAGTTGCACGAGTCATGCCAACTTTGAAAAATTATGTGCCCGCATCTATAAACACAATAATCACTCTTTCGTCACCACATGCGGTTGCTCCTGCCACTTTTGATGGAGACATCATCAAAATATATGATGACGTTAATGAATTTTGGGTCCAGAGTTATGAAAACGCCTCAAGTTCCTTTGCTCAAAATGTGTCTTTAATTTCAATTACGGGCGGGATTCTGGACACTGTACTGCCAGCTGATTATACAATTGTTGAACATCTTATTCCATATGAAAATGGATTCACAACATACACTACGACCATTCCTGGAGTATGGACTCCGGTTGATCATTTGGCCATAGTTTGGTGTGATCAGCTTCGTAAAGTGCTCGCCCGGCTTTTATTAGAGATTGTTGATTTTAAGACACCATACAAAACTATAGCTCTTCCCTCAAGAATGAGAGAGTTTCGGAAGCATCTTCTGACGGGTTTAGAATCTTACACAACTCAAGACTTGACTCTTAGAAATGATGCGAATTATAACAATTTAGAAATTTCAGAAGACGCTCAATACATTGATGCAAACGAATTTGTCCTTTTGGGGGAAATGGGTTCGAGATATGACAGAATATTTGAATTACCGAAACAATTGGATAGTTACCGCTTTACTGCCTTGTACTCTGATGGAGTAGAAGAGGTACAAATTTTCTTTTGCAAAGCTATGAGCAGTGATTACTTACCTGATAAACAGTTAAATGAATTGACAGGCTGCCTTTTGGCTACTAGTGACTTTGTTACAATTCCAAGCTCTGCTCCAGGCACCAAATTTCCTGCAGACTCCTCTGAAGGTGGCAGTCAGGAGCCTTACCACTTTTTGCATGTCAATGAAACTGTCTTATCCACTTACGAATTCATATTGTTGAAGGCGCCTTCCGTGCAGAAGAAATCCTCATTTTTTGTTGCCGAACTATCCACTGACATCGATTCGATGCAAATAAAGGATGGCCCATTAAGTTTCCTTTTCACTAGAAGAGAATATGAATTTTCCGGGGGCTCTCTTTTCAAAGAAATTAATTTTCCTCACATTTGGAATTCGCTGATATCATATCGAGTTAGCGTTAATTCGGCGCAGAGAGATCCACTGTTCCAGCCTATTTTAAAGCAATCTGTGGAGCGGCCGTTCGAAACTAAATGGCATGTTGATGTGACAAATGGTTCTCATGATATCAGCTTTCATAGCATCGCTCCATTCGTTCCAATAAAAGACATCTATAACAGCCCACTCAAATTTTCCTTAGTTTGTTCTCCTGAAAGCACAAAGGTCACATTGTCGCTCGAAATCAATTGGCACCGAACTTTCAAGCTACTTTTCCTTCGTTATAGGCTCAGTGTCATAGCTTTTGCAGTTGCCTTCACTTCACTGGTCATAGGCTATCAATTTTATCAATATCAGGATTCAGGAGATTTCATGAGTTTTGAATCAGCAGCTAAGCTCTTTTTGAGTAGGCATGGCATGCCACTATACTTTTTCGTGAGTATTCTTACTCCTTTGACAAGTCTGAATCTCATCCAGCGGGTCCATGGTTTCCTGCAATACCTCGGCCTCGAGAGGTTGGCCCTTCCATTTGATAAATCCTTGTCCATGAATGCTTTCTTTCTGGGTATGAGTGAGACATTCATGTGGTGGCTGGGACCGTTCCTACTATCAATTGTCATCTTCGCCCTCATTACGCTAGCCAGACTCATAGTACTGATAGAAGCCGGTTCTGTTTTTTTGAAAGAAAAACTTGGCTCAGTCGCCGTCCTGTCTGAGCCCTCCGCAGACAGCTTTCAAGGACTTCCATTCTCATCCTTGAAAGCTCGCAACTTACTTGGGACTGCACTGTTGATTTTATCAGTTTTCTGCTATGTGCCATACCAGTTCGCGCTAGTGGTAATGGCTCTTGTTCAAGTCATTGTGTGCTTGAAAGCTGCGCTTGCAAAGCAGACTTCCAATTCCCAGTCTATAAATCTGGTCAATTACAACAATTCCTTTTTACTTTTGCTTCTCTTTGTTGTCCCAATCAACGTTCCGATTGTGATAGTTTTTTTGCACAATTTGGCAATAAGGTGGGAGACACCGTTCTCTTCTCATCACAATTTTCTCTCCGTTTTACCGGCAGTATTGTTGATTGAAAAGAATGCCAAGTTTTCCATTCCAAAGATACGGGGCACGAAGGATTTAAGGTCAACCTCCGTTGTTGCATTTCTCTTCTATCTCGCCACGTACAGTTTTCTCAGTGGCACGAGAAATCTGTATTGGTTGCATCATCTTTTTAACCTTCTGTGTGCCGTCATCATTTTGACCGACATCTCATAACTGGGACACTTCAGTGTGAAGTTGAAATGGAAAAGTTTGCATAGATCAATTTTTTGGCTGTCCACTAAATCCTCTGAGAAAGTCAAGGGTTTTCGAGAGTGGTACTGTACTTCATATTTCTTGGCCCGTGGTCAACACACAAGACTTACAAAATTTGAATACATGAGGCGAAAAACCGGGAGGAACATTGAATTCAATTGATAATTTTTCTCTCAGCGGAGAAATGACTGAACCCAAACAGTTGGGGTATATCTTCTCCGTTATTTCCTCGCTAGCTAAGCTCGGTTGAATTAAAAAATCACTATTTTACATTATGAAGCGACGCTCTACTACCAAAAGAAGATTATTTAAGACCCTCTGTCCAAACCACAGAGAGTTCACTTGATTCACGTAAGGCATAATGGTCCTGCGCTTCGTATGTGGAAGTGCATCAAAAAACATTCACTAAATTCACCGCCTTTAGGCGGTGTATTCAATTTTCCGCCAAGGACCAAAACTTTCTCGCCTCTTCGTCGTCGAGCGTATCGGGTGTCTTGACCGTGGCATTCGAGGCTATATTCATGTCTCTCAAATTATCAGAGATGCCATAACGTGAGGGATTCAAATGATTTCGGGTTTCGTTTTCTGTCATCGAGCTATTCTGCGCGCTGCCAATGGATTGTGCAGAGTAGTCATAATTATCTTTGCCCAAATAACCGTCTCCAGCTGAATTTCCACAGTGATTTCCCTTTCCTTCAACTGGATATAAGTCGTAAAGTTTATTCTTCTCGCTTCCAGAGGAGCAAGAATTCATATTTCTCGAATACACGGTCATGTCCTCTGAGCCGTAACTGCTGGAAGTATATGGGCGAGGAGAGAATTGAGTGTTCACTGACGTTGGTTTGTTGGAGTTGTTTGCAGAGGTTGCCCACATCGAAGAAAGAGGTAAAGACAGCGTCACCAATAATATGGCTATGGCTTCGAGATCACCCGTGCCAGATTTACCATTCAAAGAATACGACAGGATGAATAAAATAGAGGGAAACACTAAGGTTTGAAAAGCCATAATGAGCAGAATGTGTAGACTGTCAAATTGCTTCAAACCCAAAAACCTTCTCGATCTTATTGCGAGAATCAACTTGATAGCTAACAAAAGTGTCATGAAATTGACAGAACAAGCCATTAAAATGACTGCCGCATTGTAAAGGATGGTAGGAGGTACTGATGAAACGTTTTCGTGGGCCGCTATCGTTGATTGAATCGCAGTAGCAAAGAACATTCCAGTAGTTGCACCAGCTAAGGCAGCCGACATGGCTGTCAGCGCTCTACCCGCATTTTTGAAGTTGTCGCATTTGAAAACAACTCTCACCTGGAGAACGAGCGAGACCTCGACAGCAGCGACAAGCAGCGCCTGAAATATGTTTGAGGCCCCGAAGAAGTAGAGATCGGAACGTGGGACGTATTGTGGGAACATTGTGAGCGTAAAAGTGATAGAAGAGTAATGGGTGTACGAGTAAGCAATTAACAGACTAGATTGGATGACCATCAAAGTTAGAGAGACCTGATTAGCAATGAATATGGGTGTCGTTCTTCTTTGAGATACCATCCAAAGAATTATTAAGGCAAGTCCCGCAGCTGAGAGACGAGCGCCTGAAATGATGGATTCCGATTGTCTCGTTGCGACAATGTCATTTAAATCGCTGAAACTGATGGTGGTATCGTTGCCGTAAAGTGAACTATAGCTTAGGGTCTGTTGCGAAGCATTAAAAATCATCTCAGAGTTGGGATAATTTAACATTTCTCGCTTCGCTCGACAGTCTTCGTGGAGCACTTAACTCTGGTTACTTCGCGTGACAGGCTGATATCGGTCTCGATTTATACAAAATTTCTGGGAGACTTGCAACAATCGTGTTACGAAGTAGATGAAACCTATTGTGTTGTGTTATTGAGGCTCTTCTCTTGCGCTTCAGAGAAGTTTTGTCCTTTAGTGGTGTATTACCCGATTTGGGCTAGTGAATGCCTTTCATGAGGGTATTTTTCTTGCTTATTCACTGGACCTAGAACTCAAAAGATCATCCTAATATGTCACATTGCATGGGTATCTCTTGGGTTTTGGGCGTCGCTTTCCGTTAACATCTGCGTTCCCGCCTGGTAATGAATACGGTTCCTGTCAAAATCTCAGAAGCATAGAAAGTTTGTTATCAATGAAAAAGTGACATTCAAACTTTTTATTGTTTGGTAAGACTCGCATTTTTCGTGATTTTTCGTGATAGACCTCAATCATAAGCAAGCGATTTAATCTTTACCAAGTTTTACTCAGGCTCGGGTTACCAGTTCTAACAGCTTGAAAACGTACATCCCATCTCAAAATAACAAAAATTGAAAATAACAAGAATTTGATAACGATGACCAAACTGCGAGAGATTATGTATCGAGCATCAAGCTGTTGTTCCTCTCGAATTGTCAACTCTTTTGGTCGAGTTGTGCCTATAATGCCGAATTTGACGATAAATTTTGGTCATTATTTGTATTTCACTACACCTTGAAAAAGGGGAAAGAGGGGATTATATTTAGATTTACCATGTTTCTTGATAACGGCTATGATTTTTACTGCTTATTGGCATCTCTTTACAGCGGCTCAACTTTGAATGTGTCGGTATTGTCAATTCAAATACCACGGATAGCACTACTTCATCAATTCAAAAGTGTTGATGTCATTTTCAACGCCTTAATTCACCGATGTGGAAAAATCCGAATAAAGGCAAGACAAATCGAGAAATCATCGAACAAGATATAGCAGCTGTTCACTCCTGTATATGTCAGATACTAAAGTATCATCGCCTGCCATAAACTCGTCTAGTAACGTTGGTCACCGGAAATTTTTAGACGAGGCGAATAAGACTGATGAAGCGCTCCGAACGTTCACTGAATTGAAAAAATGTGCATATGCTTACAAGGATCTTGGGAACGCTAATAGCAATGATTTCATGGAGTGTGACTGTTACGAGGAGTTTGAAAATGGTATAAACTATGCCTGCGGGGAAAGCAGCGATTGTATTAATCGACTCACACTTATAGAGTGTGTTAATGGAGAGTGTGGATCATGCGGAGACAATTGTCAGAATCAAAGGTTTCAAAAATGCCAATACGCGGATATTGCAGTGTTTAAAACTCAGAAAAAGGGCTATGGTGTACGCTGTGAGGAAGACATCGAAGCGCATCAATTTATTTACGAATATATTGGTGAAGTTATCACTGAAGACAGGTTTAGAGAGAGGATGATTCAATATGACCAAGAGGGACTGAAACATTTCTATTTTATGATGCTCCAAAGCGGAGAGTTCATTGACGCTACTAAAAAGGGATCGCTAGCGAGATTTTGCAACCATTCTTGTAATCCCAACGCGTATGTTAGCAAATGGTCTGTGGACGGGAAATTACGAATGGGCATTTTTGCCAATAGAAATATAACTAAAGGTGAGGAAATTACCTTTGACTACAACGTGGACCGTTATGGCGCTACAGCCCAGCCTTGTTATTGTGAGGAGCCTAACTGTATAGGATTTTTGGGCGGCAAGACTCAAACGGATGCAGCGTCCTTGTTGCCACAAAATTACGCAGACGCTCTAGGCGTGAATCCCTCAACTGAGAAGAAATGGATTAAGGCCAAGAAGGCTGCCGGCGAGAAGATTCTGAAGAGCGAGAAGGATAATATTAATGTTGAGTTCGTTAAGCACTTGGAATTACAGCCCTGTGAGAGCTTTGAGGATGTTTCTAAGGTGATGGGTGTTCTCTTGCAATTAGATGATGAGTTAATTGCGAGAAGACTGACTGAGAGGTTATTTCTGACAAAGGACCAAGCATTGCACTTTCAAATTATTAAACTGCACGGTTATAGGTGTTTTGCGAAGCTTTTAACGACATTTCGAGACGACATAGATTTTTGCACTGAGCTTCTTGAATACCTGGAAGGTCTTCCCAAGACGACAAAAAATGGCATTGTTTCTTCTCGTTTGGGCAATGTCATCGAGGACTTGTCACCTGTCCCTGAGTTCTCAAATATATGTCAGAACTTGTTGGCGAAATGGGCAACTTTCGAAACCTACAAGCGCATCACGAAAAAGGACATCTCAGATTCTGGCGACCGAAAATTGGATTTGAGGAGGATACGACTGCCGCCAGGGTGGGAAATTATTCACGAGAATGGACGTCCTGTGTACTTCAACGCGGAACAGCAAACCAAACTAAATGAACCTCCTACCGGAGAAGTGAAAGCATTACAAAATGGGACCTCGAATAGATCTCGAGAGTCAAGCTCTTTTGGTGAAAACCTGGGAGGCGGGACTTTTGCCAAAAAGAGGCCAGCCTTGGATCAGGAAACGTATGAAAAGAAGAAGAAACAAAGACTCGATATGCAGATCAAGGAATTAGAGAAAGTAAAAGAAGAGGAACTCCGACAATTGAAGGCTAAACTAGAATTGGAGAACGAAAAGAAGTCTGAGTTGGAGCGCATCATTGCAGAAGCCAACCAACAAAAAGAGCAAGAACGAGAGGAGAACCAAAAACGCTTGATGGAGCAGGAGGAAAAACGTCTCAAAAGGCTACAACAAACGAAGGGGGATCATCTAACGCATCGCTGGAACAAATTTTTCGCTGGATTTGTGCCAAATATGATAAAGCACTATGAAAAAGATCTTAGCCGCGAGCACATCAAAGAGTGTGCTCGAGATATTGCGAGAATTTTGTCAGGTAAGGAATTAAAGAAAAACGGCCAGAAGGGTCCGCCTAATGAATTGAGCAAAGAAAAGAGGAAAAAAGTGAAAGAGTTTACTCAAGTTTATATGGACAAATTTTGTCAAAGAAGATCTGAAAAGACCAAGAAACGGAGCGCTTAAATACTAGGCTTTTCAATTTTCTTTAAACTTGAGCTGCTTAATGTTAATATCACTCAAGCATGTTTGTCTAAGCGGAAAACAAACGAAAAGCAAAGACTAAGACAAGTATCATTTAGTATAATTTAAAACCAATTGCCCGTCGCTGCGTTGAGTTGTAGACGTCGTTGTTTGAGCTTGCTTCATGTTGTTAAAGGCTTTGAAAGTTAATTCCTCATTGCCATAATCCAAAGAGGAAATCTTGCAAAATGACATCTGACACTCTTGAAGGTTACAGACAAACAATCAAGAAACACTGTGTGACAATATTCGCTAATTCTCAGCTCCAAACGTCTTGTTCTTGGCATATTTTAATGACCAGTGTTCTATAACAAGAATAGCTCCCTCCCTTAGTTCCAAAACTTCTGTCACGGTAGACTTTTCCAATGGCCGATTTTCGTAATTCTTTGGAAGCCGCTGAAGAAGCGGTTCTGCCATTCGACGAATTTCAAAAAAGGTACTCCTGCAATTGTAAAAGCTGTCTGTGTGGCCGGAAGTTTAAAGTATGGGTTCCAAGATTGTTTTTCATAGGTTTCTTGGTGCCTCTGTCATGGCTGACGCTTTTGGGGATTTGGTTCTGCGTTCGTTATTGGTTAGAACACGTTGTCGCGTTCCCAGTTTTGCCCGAAGAAGAGTTTCCGACCATCTATGAGCTTCATAGTGGGGCCCAAAAAGCTTGCGTCAGCGTTCGCAAAGGGCAACGTGACGGCGACAATTATGCTTCTAAAGGATCCAGAGAATTTTATCAACATTCGAGCAAAGAGCTGAATCCACGGGTGCAATCTTGGGGGGTCGTTGAGAACAAATGGACTCAAGACGAAGCCACGTTGCCCGTAGGTTCAGAATCTGCAATTCGCCAATACTCCGGAAAGCCCGAACCCTGTCCTAACACCGCCGCACAGTTAAATCAAATGCTTCAAAATTCTCGAACAATGATGTTGGCAACTGTCGCAGCCGATGTCCTTCACTCTCATGACAGAATGCGTCGATATTACGATCTTTGGTTTTTTCGTCTATGGGCCTCCTCGTCAGCCTATATTTTAATCGTAGTATTCGTGGTCCTTATTGCATTTAAATCCATAGTATCGAGCCCCGGAATGGCCTTACCAACGTCTCACTGAGCTCACAGTATTAACTCGATTCCGGCGATGAGCAGGTCATCTTCAACTCCAAATATCGCTATTAACGAAGGGTCTCGAACTCGTAGTCACTTGACTACTGCCAAGTCTTTCAAGCCTATTTAAAGAAGGCATTTCAGCAAAGTGGCTCATTTTCATTTCCCAAGTTCCTCGATTTAAAGAGTTCCCAGTTAGAGGTTTAGGTTTAGTTTCTGGACCAATAAGAGCTTCCTGAGATTCAGTGAATCCCATTCCATCTTGAGAGAAATGTTTTTCAAGAAATCATTAGGCTTAGGTCTAGCCCTTTGTCAATTGATCGGAAAGAGCAGCGGGACAGGTAGTGACGGTGTTCAAGCTTACGAAAAGGTCCAGTTTAGCAATGTTGGTTTTGCTGGAACGTACACTCCGGTGAAAAGTTTGAAAAATGTGGATAGCTCCAAATGTAGTTGCGAAGTGAGCGGCGACGTATGGTTTTCGGGTACGAACGCCCCGATGTCGAGCGGGGTGTCGGTTCACTTTCGGGGGCCTCTCAAACTGCATCAGTTTGCGTACTATACGTCGTCCAATTTCGACGTCACAAGCAACTCAACTTCTGAATCCTGGAGCCGGTTGGCCTACTACGACGCTAGCTCGCAGGTCGGTGAGAATGTAACGTTTTTGACTGCAGCAGGTGACGATTCGCCCTGTTTGGGCAAAGCGTTGACTTATGCGGCTTCTAACGGTACTGGCTCCGCGTCGTCATCTACATTGATCGCCTCGGACACCTTGCTAAAGTCTGATGAAGAGTTCATGATCTATTCGAACATCTCGTGTCCATCATCAAGCACCAAGAAAGGCTGTGGTGTTTATAGAAAGGGAATACCAGCGTTTTATGGCTTCGATGGCGAAACCAAGATGTTTGTCTTCGAGTTTGAGACCCCAACCGAGACTCAGTCTAACAGCAGTTCGTTCAGCTATTACGATTTGCCAGCCATTTGGCTTCTCAATGAACAAATTGCTCGCACGTCGCAGTACCCCACGAACTCCAATTGCTCTTGCTGGGCGAGTGGTTGCGGTGAGTTCGATATTTTTGAAGCCATGAACGGTACCGAAAAGAACAATTTCTATTCGACTTTCCACACATTCCAAGGCATCGAGTATCTCGGTACGGGTATTCAGGCCGATGGCTATATTCCAAGATCTACTTCGGGTACCATGAAAGGTGGTGTCGTCTTTGATTCCTCTGGTAACACTGTGGTTTTCATGTCCAACAACACCGCTTTCGATTTGAGCATTGACGCAGGTACCCTGAACGGCATTCTGTCGGATTTCAACTCTAGCGCCAGCTACCAAACCAAACTGGCAACCATTTCTGCCACAGCTCCGTCGACGACTTCAAAATCGAACGCTCTGTCAATTTTCGAGAGAGGGCATGGCTTACTGCGCTACTACGTTTTCATCGCCGTGACAACTTTCACGCAAGTGTTCTTGTTTTGAATCACTCCCCCCCCTCCAGTGGTAACGATTGAGCTCAACGTTACGAAGATGATATACCCGATTTATATAGAGCTCTAATCGAAAAACTAAGTTCATGTCGGACGGGCGTTTGGTTTACACTGGCTTTATTTTATGCTGTTACTTGTTCTTGCTGACCTCAAATTTTTCACACGTGACCACTTTTACCTCGGTGTAGGTCGCATCACTAGAGCTCATTGTTGAACACATTAGGAAAGAGTATGGAAACTGACACCTAGATGAACTCTAAGAGCACCATAGAATTGTTTCAATGGGGTTTTTGGAGATGTTAAAGAGGTTCTTCTGGTACTAGAACCACAAATGTGAAACCGGGGTAGCTGTGCCCAGTGATGCTATTTGAAAAGCGTATATATTTGAGATAAAGGATGTCAAACAAGTTTCCGATATAGGCTACTTTAATCTTATTCTCGTTGAATTTGTTTGGATCTCAAAAGCTCTTTCCAATAATGTCGTATGCTTCGATAATCTTAGGGCTGGGTTCAGTTGCCTTGGCACTTTTAATCCCTCCTTTGGCATGGCATCTAAAAACCAGAAATACGCCGGCCATCATTTTGATAATCTGGCTTTTCTTGATGGATGTGAAACTTTTGGTTGATGCGGGTGTTTGGTCTGGCAACGAGTACGCTGAAAAATGGAATGGTGCGGTCTGGTGCGACATTATGACAAAATTGCAAATTGGTGCCAATGTGGGCATTTCGTGCTCCGTGGCAAATATCGCCTATAATCTGCATGCTATCTTGAAAGCTGACGCGGTCATTCCCGATCATAAATCCCGACGCAAGATTCTTACCGATTTGGCAATCACTCTGGCTTCGCCGATCGTAACCATGGGTCTATCTTATCTCGTACAGGTGGTGAGGTTTGGTGTCGCACGGTACAGCGGATGTCAAAATATCTTGTCTAATTCGTGGCTCACTATTGTGATCTATACGCTGTGGATGTTGGTTTGGTCACTTTTGGGCTTTATTTACGCCCTTCTGCTGCTTTATGTGTTTTACAGAAAGCGCAAGGACGTCAGAGACATTTTACATTGTACCAATTCCGGCTTGAATCTGGCTAGGTTCTCGCGCCTCCTGCTCTTTTGCATTTTAATTATAATGGTGATGTTTCCATTCTCGTTATATTCCTTCATCATTGATATCGCACAGGGCTTGGACCTTTACAACTACAATGACGTGCATGAGAAGATCACTTATATTGTATTTTTCGATCCTGGAAAACCACTCTACAGTGTTTGGCTCTACATTTTGATGTCTTACTTGGTTTTCATCGTTTTTGGAACAGGTTCAGACGCCATTGCAATGTATGTCAAAATTCTCAGGACCATAGGCTTGGGTCCATGCATTGACGAAATATCAGATGTGGTATCTTCTAGAAAGGCTAGGGATTCCTCTCAAGCTGTCACAACGTTTTTGGCAGAAACTAAGGCTTATTATAGTGATGGAACTTTAACGGACTCTACTCAAAAGAGTTTTATGAAGGGCTCTATATCCTACGATGCACCTTCCACAAGTGGCTCGGGTGTGACTAATTGCGATTCGAAGTTCATAATCGACTACATGTTACCTCATGAAAGGGAACGCTGTGGACAAAGCGGTCGTCAAAGGCTATACAATGACGTTTCTCGTCATTTAGCCCTAGCGAACGTACCTGCTAATCCCATAGACTTTCATGATGAGAATTCGATTTGTGAACTTTCCGGAAGTTCATCAAATTTCAGGGAATCTATCAGTGGTCGAAGTCCCACAGAGGTGAATAACATTTTAAAGGACGAAGTGCTCACTCAAGGGCGTACTCTTGACGATATCGCCGATTCCGTTTGAGCTATTCAAGTAGGAAAAGTTGTGAATGTACTAACAACCTCAGTGGCAGAGCTGCGTTGAATCAATTCCGTTACTCAGGCGGGCTTAAGTAATAAATTGAAACCTAAATAAATACCTTGCTGATTATTGAGTATAGTTCTAACTTTGACAACATTTAAATTGAACCTAGTCGGTATGTAATTAAACCTAACTTGTTTAAAGGGGTACAATTGAAAGCTCTTTTCGATAATTTTCCTGCATATCTGTTTTGTTTGTTACAGTTAAGGCTGTTTGATCTGCCTGCAGATCCAGGTAATCATTCGAACAAGCCTTATAATTCAAACATGGTTTTCTCACACGTTTTCACTCGTGTTGACAATATACTCGTAGATGAACGCGATCGCAGAAAGATGAGCCGAAGCCGGTATGTGCTCATTGACAGAGTGTACGGTCTTCAATAGGTACGAAGGTCCAATCATTGGAAAAAATCTGTAAATATTCTTTGTCAAAGGCCAATAGTATTTCGTGTCTGTATTACCCGAGAATAAGGCCGTAGTCACGTATAGTTCTTTTTCATCGTCACCTATGAAAACACCCTTTTCAAAAACATTTTGAATAGTTCCTGCAAAGACGTCCCAAACAGGTCCGTGGGTAGGGGAAATTGGAGCAGGCTCTAGTTTCCTGGAGCCCCTTAATTCGATGTAACCGAGTTCAGTGGCTGGTGCTAACAACTGCTCTTCGTATTTGACACCATAACCGTAGTGGTGAGCAATTTCTTTGACAATCGCGAGATCTCTTTCAAGCGTTGCGTTGACAGAGGATTGCAACTCTATTCTATGGTTCACCAAGAATGAAGTCACTTCTGGCAAGGCATTGGCCTTAACACCCCCATTTATGATATCTGCCGCCTGAGAAGTTTTAATCAGATCTTTAAATCTTGCATCTTGAGAAATGAAGTTGACTAGCTTCTGCTTTTCCTTGGGATCATCCTTTGAGTTCAAAATAGCACTTTTGAACGCAGAGGGAAGCTTGTTACTGTGTTCAGCCGCACAAGTCAAAAGGCCATAAAGCGGATTTTCCGAGCCAATTGTGGAGTCAAATGGTCTGCTTTCCATTGTTGAAATCAAAGCTGCAGCGACACCTATCGTGGTGTGATCAGGAGGAACAGAAGAATGGCCGCCTACTCCATGGATGGTTATTTCCGAGTCCACGTAACCTTTTTCTCCAGTGATGGGTGTGGCAATATATACGTTTTCCTCGAGCTCAACGACAGGACCTCCTTCGTCGACAATTGCGTACAAACCATCGTCGCCGTATCTTTCATGTAGAAACTTGCCGAGATATTTAGCGCCCAAAACACCGGAGGACTCCTCGTCGAAACCAAAAGAAAGAACAACGGATCTCACAGGCTCATATCCGTCTTCTAGCAACAGTTCTACCGCTGCAAGCTCGGCAATCAGTAAATTTTTGCAGTCTGCAGTTCCTCTGCCCCAAAGCGTGTCGCTTTCAGAGTCGTAGTAGCCCGAAAAAGGAGGATGATCCCACTGGGATACAGTAGCCCTGTTGACTGGTACGACGTCCTGGTGAGCCATAAACAACACGGGTTTCAAGGAGTCATCCTTCCCGGCCCACGAGTACACGAGTCCCACCTCGTTGACCTTTTCGACACTTAGGTGCTTGTGAACGAGGGGGAACGACTTTTCGAGATACGCATGGAATTCGAAAAATTTGGCATAGTACTCCAAATTGTCCGCGGGCATTGGATTGACGTCTTGAATTTCCGTTGGAATTTGAATGGCCTTGCTGAGCCTTTCAATTGCAGCACTTTTGAAGTCCGAATCTTCTAAGATTTTTTCGATAGAAGCATCGAATGATGGCGCCAAAGGGTCAATCTTGTTGCAGCGGCCGCCACGGATCGAAACATTGGCATCTCGGTTGCTCTTGCCTTGTAGTTGGTAAGTTCCAATGGCTAACAAAACCAAGAACAACGCCATGACGATGACGTTTCTCTTAGGGAAACCTCTTCTCTGCGAGGACCCCGCCAACGGTTTGTAATCGCGTAACATGAGGAAAGCTATCTAAGGAAAACCTTCAAGAAGGAGGCAAAATCTCCTGATTCTTGGGGTCAGAAGAGGGAGATTAGTCCTCTGTTTCATCTATCCATCGAGCTGCAATCCCTCAGTTTATATAGAGGACTTGAATTCAAATTTCAGGGATCTCATTGTCAATGCTCGTTCGAGAAGATAGATAGTCTCTATTGGGAAATTCGCACCGATACTGCCCTAAAGGGTAAAGCTCTCTTTTAGGTATTAGTTTCCCTTTTCGATAGAATTCAAGTCACCTGACTTTCGCGTGATAATCAGTGATTGTTTATACTTTCATACGTAAATAACGATGAGGGAAACGCGTGTACACGCGTAAAGATGAGGATGTCGTCCGTGAGAGAGAGGCGAGTGATTAATCAGAGAAGGGTAAAGGAGCCAAGCGAATTGAGAATGTCTAGTCAAACGCCACGTGTCGATCCACAGCAAATAAGCCAACTGAATTTTCCTGTCTTCAGGCTCATTGGCCAAGTTACGTCGCAGCCACAACAGGACCAGATCATAATAGCATCGCCAACAACCGGAGGCGAAATGGTGGCGCTGACGAATGTTCGCACGTCTAATAACTCCAACTACGACATCCAAGGGTGGTACGAGTTTGTTTGCCGTACAAACGATTCTGGGGATGCTGGGTTTCTGGTTTTGGACTCGGTCAAATGTTTGCTCCCTCAGGGCGAAGAGATGAGTGTCAATGGTGTTGTCGCATTGCAACAACTCAGCGGCAAATTCCCGGAACTGTATTGAGGCTACCCACTGAGACGGACCCAATTAGCTGAAAAGATGAGAATGGTACAGAATCCTTAATATATGTAATGAAAATAAGACGTTTTGTGCATAGTGGCGTGTGGCCAGCCAGTTGGCATACTACGACGAGACAGTGATTTTGCCCGCGTTGATCTTTCTGGTGCTCAAGGACTGTCTGGACTTGGGGTTGTACCAGCCTCCGTTGTCGGAGGGATTGGGCGCGGGCGAAGCGTAGTTGACGTCACTCGTGATAACGTAGGTCCAGCCGGGCGTGATGGTGGTTTTGATGTTGGCGTTCTTCGCATAAGTGCTGAAGTAAGTGACAGCGCTTGTGGGAAACCTTCTGGTCCACGTAGTCGCTGTAACAGAGGCCGCGGGCTGAGTCTGGACGGGCGCGAAGCGCGACACACCAGTTTGCTCTGTGTACGGCACCGTGAAAGAGCGCGAATCGATCGTACCGCCTTGGCCTTCACCCGTCGTGACCGAAGTCTGGGCGTTGGGCTGTGTGTTGGTCGAGTACGTGATGCTCGAGGCGCCAGCCATGCCCGCGAGTTGGAAACGCGGAGAATAGTGGATCGTGTACCCGAAATCTTCCGCGATCGCGACCACCTGCAAAAAGTACTGTCCGTTACCGTAACTGCTGGAGTCTATCGACGCTGTGAACGAGTACTGGGACCCGGAGCCGAAATCGGACGCTTTTTCTTCGTAAGCCAGCGGTGTGTTGCTGTAACATTTGGGGCTTGCGTTGGTCCCACTGCACAGCAAAATGGAGTATTTCTGGACTTTGGGCAGAGTGGGTGTGTTTCCATCGTCAGTCCATTTCACCTGGACGCTCACGGTGGACCCTGACGCCGAAAACACTGCTCCGCTCGACGGGGCCGATATCGCGACGTCTGCGACCGCGAGACGCACCAAAAGCGCTGTCAACCATACAAACACAGAGAGCATCGAAAGCATTCCGGTACAAGTAGTACAAGTGGCAATCGATATGCTTAGCGAGCGACTATATCTTTGACTGTTGGCCGCTGGTTGGGTGCTTTTCTATTGCGAGAATGTTTTTCAAGATTTCTGCTACTATGGATGGAGAGGCTTGTTTTTTTTCACGATCTAAGAGATCTGAAAAAAGAGATCCACTGCAGGAACAAGGGCCTGATCACGGGTTCGGAACGAGTTCCGAACCCGTCATCAGTAGGCAAATCCAAGATAAGCACCGTTGCTTGAGGTCGAATCGTGTGATCCGAATTTTTCCGTAATATCGTAGTACCGTTGAAATTCCCACTGTTCGTTGTCAAATTTGATGTGCAATTTAATGTTTCTGAAAGTTTTTCCGACTTTCGCTTTGGTGCCTCTTCCAGTTGGACTTGAACTCCCGAATTATGGAAGTATTCCATTGTAGAAACAGTAAGATCCCATACTGATATCTTCTGATACGAACAACAAATCCAGTCTCTTCCACGAGTGTAATTCGCAAGCTCTATGTAACAAGCCCTTCACGGCAGTTGTTACCTAAGCTTGATGTGTTTCAAAACATTCGATTTGACTCATGAAACCTCGGTGTTAACATAGTCTACACGTATTAAACAACCGTGGTGTCTGGGTGCAAATCCCTCTAACCGCTAGCCAAAACGAGCATGGGCGATACCTAGTATGTAACCGTTACATCTATGAACGCTACACCTGTAGGTGCTACGCCTGTGGGTGCTAAATCTGTGCGTTCACTTCCATTGGTGCAACGATGGCTGGTACCGCCTACAAGGATCTACGATAAGCTAGATTGCACTGATATCGCATAGGACCACAGTGATTGCATAGTGGCGGGAAAAAGTCGTCGCTGAAAAGGCCGTGGCTTGGAGATCGTGAGCTGGGTTTTGCGGTGGTTTCTGGGGCGCACGCGGTACTTTCTGGCAATAATTTAACGAGCAAAAAAGAAACAACAATATTTAGGCTTCGAGCCGCCCAGTATCGCAATTAAGGCTTGGTAATCCTAGGGGCGGTTCAGAGCAAAAGAGGGGGGCAGGGAGAGCATGCGCGGGTCGAAGGATATTGGGGTATATCCGCGGATAAAGTACACAAAAAAATTGTATATAAGGAGTGTGTTTTGCGCGTACCCCCCATTTCCTTCAGCTCGCGGGGTTTGAAAGGCTGGAAGCACACTGGAAGGATCTCAATGTGAGATGATGACCATCAACGCCCGCGCTTAAATAGAATCAGTGTGTAAGTATATAAGCAGGTGTACGTTAAGTATGTATGCTAGGTGAGACCCTGAGGCCGCTTTCAGGCCAATTAGGTCTGTGACAGAGGAGGGAACACGCGAGATTGGTGGGCGCAGGCGCGGTGGTATTTGGCTAGCGTTAAGGGGATGAGCGGTTTGGGAGGAGGAATGAAGTCACTCGGTACGAGGGTATGGAACTACCCAATGGGTTTTTTTTTATCTGGTTTCTTTTTTCCTTTTTTTTTTTTCCTCAACCAGAAGTCCTTTGGTGTGTGAGCCGGTCTCCAAAGTTGGTGGTGGTCGTCCGCAACTGTTGGTGCAAACGTCAACACGCTGGTAACGCAGGGTACAGCGGTGGTAAAAAAAAAGGAGCGGGTCGAAAAGGGCAGAGGCAAGGCAATGAGCGTCGAGGAAGTTCGAAGCGAGGACCCTGGGGCGGTGGTTGCCTCAAAGCTGGACCAGGGAACGGGAGACCGCAACGATCACGATCACGATCACGATCACGACCACGACCATGACAGCGACAACAACAATAACAACAACAGCAGCAGCAGCAGCGCACAACCGCACGACGATAACGACGACAACGCGAGTTCCCTCTTTGGCGACGATGCCGACGTGAATGGCGATGCAGACGACGCAATGCACTTGGATTCTCAAGCTTCCGTACAGTCCGGAGAGCCTGTCGATGACGAACAATTGACGGGTGAGGCGCGACAGAACGGCGAGGACACCACGGCTTCTCCCAAGGAGTCTCAGAAACCAGAGCGTGAGAACGGTGCTGGTGCTGAGACTTCAGACGCGATGGCTGAGGACCAACAGCAAAGCGCCCACGAAGAGCTACCACAAGCCTTCAAACCTGAGTTTGAGGCCGAACCGGCCGCATCTGCGTCTGTACCTGTAGACGAGGAAGTCTCCGAAACGATCGATGGTGAACATGATGGGCCCACTTCGCCCCTCGGCGAAATTGCGCCAAAGGAGTCGCCAGATGCTTCGAACGAGGAAAATGGAATCAAGACCGAAACGCGTGACGACGCGGCCGACGCCCCAGAAGCTCGCGCTGCTGCACAGGCCAAAGAGGAAACCGTCACAGTCGCCGAAAAGGGCCCTGTACTTGCTTCCGGACACAGCGACCACGCGGATTCGCCAAAGGATGCACTAAACAGAGACATAAACGCGGATGACGACGAGCTGTCTGTACCGCAGTCGCACGAGATCGTCATCCCATCGTACGCGCGATGGTTCCATTTGCACAAAATTCACAGAGTCGAGAAACAATCGCTTCCCGAATTTTTCACCAATCGTGTACCATCCAAGACCCCACAAGTTTATGTCAAGTACAGAAATTTCATGGTCAATGCATATCGATTAAACCCTAACGAATATTTCACTGTAACCGCGGCAAGAAGAAACTTGTGCGGAGACGCAGGCGCCATTTTTAGGCTGCACAAGTTTCTCACCAAATGGGGGTTGATCAACTATCAGGTCAACGCCAAAGTCAAACCAAAGCAAGTGGAACCACCCTACACGGGAGAATACGCTTCCAAACATGATGCGCCTCGTGGGCTTTTCCCTTTTGAAAGCTACAAGCCCGCTATTCAAATTCCTGATTTGTCTAGGCTCAAAAAGCTGATGGATCAATTGCAAAAGCCTAGTGCTGAGACCGCGGCCACGACGGTTGCTTCAACAACACCATCAGCATCGGAATCTGCTGAACTTAAGAGTGAAAGCCCGTTGAAACGTCCGTCCCAATCGCGTGCTGCTGTCGATGCTGTAAGCTCAGGGGGAAACACATGCAAGAGGCCCAAATTGCAGGATGTTGTAGATAAGGATTGGAGCCAAGCCGACGTAGAACGACTTGTCGAAGGTATTAAAAAGCATAGTTCCGACTGGATGCGCGTTGCTCTCCACGTTGGAAATAAGACTCCTGAACAGTGCATACTCAGATTTTTACAATTGCCAATAGAAGATGAATTTTTACAATCTGAGAGCAGTAAAGATCTAGGACCTCTCAAATACGCGCCTCATCTTCCCTTTACGAAAGCCGATAATCCGATAATGTCTACCATAGCGTTTTTGGCCGGGCTTGTCGACCCACAAGTCGTCAAGAAGATGACAGACCGCGCTATTGAGGTCGGCCAACAAAGTCGAGAAGAAAACGAACAAGAACAACAGGAGAAGAAGCCTTCGGAAGGAGAAAATGCCGATGCAGACCTCAAGGACTCTAAAAAACCCAATAGCGAGGGGCTTTCGTCAAATTATATCAAGGAAGGGAGCGAAATAGCATTGGCATCGTTGGGAGCAAGGGCGCATGTTTTCTCGACCAATGAGGAGAGGCAGATGAACGCGCTAACGAATGGCATGATTCAGACTCAACTGAAGAAGGTGGACATGAAATTAAGACTCCTGGATACTATGGAAAAGTCTCTTGAAGTTGAGAAAAAATTACTTCAAAAACAACAAGAAGAAGTTTTTGTTCAACGGCTATCTTTGGCCAAAAATACGTTTGCCCTCACTGCCAAATTGCAACAGTGTCTCGACGATCACGAGGACAAGACCAAGTTGCAAGAACATCTCAATGCGATCAAGCAATTGCATGCCTCACCTTTGAGGCTGAGTGTGGGCAAAGCACCATCGTCCACTCCAGGATTGTCCGGTACTCCAACGGAGAACGCACAAAATTCTTCGAACGAGTTTTCCGCAGTATCTGTTAAGCCGGTATCGGTGAGCGCTCCCCAGTTTTACAGATATTGGTCCGGTTGAAAAGGTAAACACGAGAAACGAAACTCTGCTTAAAGTTGCATAGTACGGTGGTGCAAGAGAAGCGGCAGGATTTGAGAGAGGTGAGAAGGAGTATCTAGTAATAAGATGTTTATCAAATGAGAGATGGAGGGCCTTTTGGAACTATATTAAAGTGGCAGAATTTTAAAAAAGCCCTTTCTTGTATTGGAACATAGCCAAAGTAAATACGAGCTCTAAAGAGCTTTTGCTGACAAGGAGCAAAGTTTGTAAGATCACTAACTATTTCGATCAACACTTTTTTGATTGAAGCCTGAATCATAATTAAACTAGAAAACTTAAAAATCAACGAAACTCGAAACAAGTTGAAGTAAAAAGAGTCAAGTCACAAGGAGTGGGGACTGTAAGTCAAAATGGATGTGTCCATTTTCAATGATGCTATTAACTTGTGGGCATCATTGAACTTACCAAAGGTTCAAAAGGATCTCGACGAGAACATTCTGTCTGTTGAAAACCTGAAGACAGAATCATTGGAGTCTCGGAAATTACTCGCCGGCGAAACGAAGAGGTTCAAGAAATTAGAAGATTCAGAGAAATTGAATCAGTTTACGAAACTGGTCAAACAGTACCAGAAAGAGGTGGACAGTTTGACAGCCAGGGCGAAATTCTCCGAAGATGCACTGTTAGAACTGTATGCTAAATTATCAGAAGCCCCAGATCCGAAACCGTTGCTGGAAGTTTCAGTAGATCAAGTTCAAAGTCAGGTTGAGACTTCGGCTTTGAAGACTAAGTTAGCAGAGTTGGAAGAGCGACTAGCGAAATGCGCCGACTATGACACCTTAAAAGCGAGGCTGCTCACTATCGAGCAAAACTCCGCACAGACATTAGCCAAGAGACTACAGGCAAAAGAAACGGAGATCAATTTCGTTTGGGAGGAACGCGAACGGAACTGGTCAGATCGAGAAAAGGAACTCGCTCGTCAACTGGAGCTCTTGAAGTCTAGCAATAAGATTCTGGAGAACAAGATTGCACAACCCGCTGACGGATCTGGTACGAGTATAGCGGATGCCGAAAAGGTACATGCTCAACATGATATTCTTTTACAAGAACTGAATGCCGCACAGGTGAGGATCATGGAATTGCAAGGACGCAATGAAGAATTGAGCGGATCCCTGGCGAAAGCTAACGCTGAGATGGAAAACGGATCAGAATTGAGTTCTAAAAACTCCAAAATAAGCGCATTGGAATCTGAGAATGCTTTTTTGAGTGCGTCTTTGGAGAGGGAAACCTCCTTATTGAAAACTCAACTAACGTCGCAGGAGCAAAACGCACGCATAGTCAATTCGCAGTTAGCATCCTTGAAAAGCGAATCTGAAACGTTGAAAAGAAAGCTCAATAATTATGCTGACTACGAAGATCTTAAGAAAGAGTTGATAGCGATGAAGAAAATAGAATTTGGCACCTCTGATGACGAAGGTGAAGATGTCGACTCTTCTTTAAAGGCAGCCAATAAAAAACTACAATCGAATCTAGCAGAATTGAGGGGTCGAATGCATGATGTAGAACAGAAACGAGTTGCCGCTGTGAAGGAAAATGAGGGTTTGAAAGCACGCACTAAAGAACTAGAAGCTTTAAACTCCAAGCTCGAACTAGATTTGGAAAAAGTTGACGATGTCAGCAGAATGTCAGATACCGCAAGTATAATGTCTGGTGCTACAAGGCAATTGAACAGAGTTGGCGCTGCTGGCCGTCCTGGAACTGGAAAACTTTCCCCTACCAGTTCTATAGTAGGCATTCCGGAGGATGACGAACCTGTTTTACCTCAGAGCAACTCCTCCATTCTGCCAATTGTCACCCAGCAGAGAGACAGATTCCGCACCAAGAACATGGATCTGGAAAGACAGTTGAGAAGCTTTGCATTAGAGAAAACAAACATGAAGTCTGAATTGGCCAAAATGAAGGCCAACAACGAGCGCTTGTATGAACGTATCAGGTTTTTGTCATCTTATGATTCTCAGCAGCGAGGTTCGAGCTTTGACGGCGAAGCTCAATTCAACAGATCATACGAGGAATCGTTACACCCATTGGCGGAGTTCAAACAAAGAGAGCTAGACCGCTACAAGAAAAAGCAAATGACACCTTTAGAAAAGCTGTTCTTGAGTTTTGCTCGGATCATTTTAGCAAGCAAGACGAGCCGTATGCTGTTCATGTTCTATTGTTTAGGACTGCATGGGTTGATGATGGCAATGTGCCTCTATGTAGCAAGCTTCAGCGGCTATATGACGCCCGACGTTGGAGTCGTACAAACGAGCAAATCAGAATTGAAGGGACTTGGTAACATATGAAAAGCCTACCGGCTTCACAAGGATTTCGGATCTGAAAGTTCACAACATTAATAGAGAATAGCATTAAAAAGACCATCTAAAATAGAATTCGCAAAACGACCAAATAAAAGGTTTTGTTAAATTGTATACTTCGAAGTGAGTTGCGTTAGATTACACAGAAGATATGAGAGATCAAAAGTAAGTGACTATTGAACCTGCGCTTTAAGCAGTGATGCGCTTTTGAGCAGCCAATCTACCTCTTTGTCTGGAAGACAATCTGGCAACCTTCTTTTGCTCAGCCTTCTCAACAGCTTCCTCCTTTTCAGTGACGACAAGCTCGATGTGAGATGGAGAGGATTCGTACTTGTTGATTCTACCGTGAGCTCTGAAAGTTCTTCTTCTTTGCTTTGGAGCCCTGTTGACTTGAATGTGGGAAACGAACAATTTGGTGGCGTCCAAACCCTTGGCCTGTTGATAAATAAAGTTAGTAAACGGATTCAAACGAACACGCACACACACAAACAAGCGTGTATTTGGGTGACGAATCGTCGCTTATTGAAGGCCAAAATGCGAGCCCCGTTGATAAGCCGATCAAGTCACCTGATAAAACATCTCAATAGTATTATTTCAACATACCTCAGCGTTGGCAGAAGCATTTTGCAACAAGTCCTGAACGAACTTCACGGACTTGGCTGGCCATCTAGCCTTGGTGACACCAAACTCCTTACCCTGGGCGGTTCTACCGATGGAAGAGTTGAATCTTCTGAATGGGATGGCTCTTTGGTGCTCCAAAACTTGCTCCAAATACTTTTGGGCCTTCTCCAAGTCCCATCCGTTGATGGCTTGGGCAGTCTCTCTGGTGTTCTTGAAGGAGACACGCAAGTAAGAACCACGTGCAGACGCGGACTTAGCTGGGTTGGTCGAAGTAGCACCGTATCTAGCCATTTCTCTTTGGTTATTCTTGGTCTGAAACGTCCTTCCAACTTTGGTTCCAATCTTCAGGTATATCTTGTTTTCCACAACTTTGGATGATGCGTAGCGACTGGCTGGGCTCCGACTGGCAACCACCTTCCCAGTGGTGCGGGGGCCTCTCTGCCTAGCTATTGGACGCACGAGGAGCATGCTAGGCAGAGGCGTTAGGCTGCCCCCGCCCAGCACCGGCCTGCTACCGTGGGGCTAGTGCAAGGATTCCCAGCCTAGCCTGGGAATCCTGACGCAAGCGAACGGGAAGCAGCAGCGCGCCGCCGGCTTACCTGCTTACCTGCTGGCGTCGGTCTGAAGGATTTAGTTACTGTCCCGGTCACCCACGCAACCAGCCAGCTGAAAAAAAATTCGTAACTGCTAAATTCAATGAAAAGATTAAAAACTCGAAAATGTCTGGGTCCCTACGATAGGATATCACAAAAGGTACGGATTCAAACAGTCACAGATTTTTGAAAACCTCAAAGTACCTTTGGACGAAATCGGAACCTTCCACCATTTATCTGGAAAACTATGTGGGTTCATTATTAAAGGATAACCTTCTGAGCTGGCATCGGAAAACCAATAAGCTATCACCGAACGCACACGACTCGTCGTTACACTAGAGACCGTTTTGATGCGATTCGCAAACACTCTTTTGGTGGGGCTCGCGATTTGCAGGCTGAGTGCCGGTAAGAAATGCTCGCAAAATGACATATTGAGGAAGTACAATATCGATGAAAACGGGGTATTGTATGAGAAAGAGACGAGTACACCGCCCAGTATCACCAAAGAAAGTTGGTGGATCAATGTTTGCTCGGATAACGAGCAAGATGCGCCCGAGAATTGCAAGAGCGATGACGTTGTCTGCGGACAGACGTTCGTGTCGTTTCCGGACGACAAGGAGCAAACTTTAACACAGCTGGTGGAATTCTCGTCAGAAGCTGGCGCTCGCATGAGAGAGAACGACCAGAACCAATTGACTATCGAGTTTGGAGATGTGAAGTGGGGTCAACAGGCAATAAGTGCGAAACTTACGTATACGTGCGATTCTGACGCTGATAGTGACTCCGTGGTAGGGGCGGTTTGGAAGGACAAACAGGTCAACTTTGATATCAAGGGTCCCTCGGGGTGTTTGAAGAAACGCGAAGACAATGGAGACGACAGCGACGACGGTGACGGTGACAACGGCAGAGACGACAGAAAACCCAAGAAGAGTTCCGGATTTGGTACTTGGCTTTTCTCGCTCATAGTTTACGCGTTATTGTTCACTCTAATATACTTACTGGCTACTTCGTACCTCAGTACGCGCGGCGGGACTTTCCACGATTTCCGCGAGGAATTCGCAGAGCGGGCCATAGGCTTCGCGTCCTCAGTGCCTCAGTTCCTCAAAGAAGTAATCTCGCGTATAATGGGTAGAGGTGCTCCTCATCAAAGAGGTGGTTACAGCGCAGTGTAAAAGCGTTTCAGAATTGTGCCTTAGGGGAACCTTCAACTATATATATGCTTTCTTTCGCATGTGCCATTATAATTCACAAAGTACATCATCATTGTTGCACAACTCGTCTGAGGCTTTCGACCGTGTTATCCACCGTAGTTTGTAGATAGTGCTGCTTGATTTTCATAGCTTTAATTTGCTCTTCAACACTCTTTTCATCCTGAGAGAGCTCAGTAACATACTTGGCCTTATCCTGAAACATGAACATCTTCCCACAAGATCTCCAAACGTTTTCCACTGGATAAGATTCCAGCTCTTTAGCTGTCACCGACGCCAGCTTTTGTTGCCGTTCAAGGCGACTCAATTGCATGTTAACCACTTCAAGTTGAGCTTTGCTTGATCGAAGCGATGAAGCCATTTCTTGCAATATATTTTGGGACATCTCAGATTCTTTTGGGGCCCTTTTTACTATGCGAGGTGAATTGATCACAAGTTTATCAGAGTTTAAGAAAGTTGGGTCTTTAAGCCTGAATCTTAAAATTTCATGATAACGAAAAACTAGCCAAAGTTAATAAACCTGGGAACTCATCGACAAACCGGTTTTCAAGAGCGCTACGAAGAGAAGGGTGGAAGCCAATATATAGGTGGTGATGAGTTTCAATAATTGCTTGAAAACCGGGACATTGCTAAGACGCGCTATTGTGAGAAACCATGGAACTTCCACGTCAATTGGAATTGATTCTACCGTCGAGAACAACTTGAAAACCGAATCGAACCGTTTGTCGAAAACGTTGAACAGGTTTTGGGAAAAAGTGACCATTGAACAGAATGATGGGCAGTTGAAGATAAGTTTAGATGGGAAACCATTGAAAACACCTTTAAGTAATGAATTGAGTGTTTCGCAGACACAAGCACCGTTGGCACATTTTTTGAAAAGAGAATGGTCGAATTTATCAGATCTAACGATACGACCTCACTCATTACCGTTGACGTCAATCGTGTCTCGTTGCATAGACTTGACTGCTGTTTCAGACCCCCACTGTGATCCTGAACTTGTCACCAAAATTGGAGGTAATCGAAATACAATTTGCCAAGGACTGTTGCGGTATCTTGATACTGACACTCTACTGTGCTTTTCTCCCAAGGACGAATTCGAAGGTGCTCTGCGCAGAGCTCAAGAAAAAGAGTATATGCCTTTGATTCGTGGTGTTGAGCAGTTTTTGTCGCCCTACGTCAAAAATCCTGTTTCTTTAAAGATCCTGGATGCGGATCTGCATGGTTTGAGAGGCAATGCACAGACTCAGGAGACCAAGGAAGCTGCCATGAAATTCCTATCTACTCTTTCGCCATGGAATTTGGCCGTTTTTGAGAAAACTGTCCTCACGACCAAATCTTTCATCTGCGGTTTGCTATTAATCCTGAACAAGACTTATATTCCGAGCGCAGCTTTGAAAGTATCAATGGAACAGGTCGCTAGGTTAGCTACCCTTGAAACCATATATCAGACGGAAAGGTGGGGCGAGGTCGAAGATACGCACGACGTAGACAAGCGGGATGTTAGAAGAAACGTTAATGCAGCAGCCATTGCCGCGTACCAAGAATAAGTTCCTGCAAGTGCTACAGTTATGATTTGGGGTATATACTGTAAATAGGTTAATGCATAGTCACGCCAAAGATGTGATGAGTTTAAAGACTTGATCGGCCATAGTTTGAGCTTTGAATTCAATGAGAAAATCACCCTTCTGATCAACCATAGATATACCAGTCCTGCCTATCCTCCGAATATCATGAATCTTGGTCTCAAAGTAAGTGGCTTTCCCATTTGTGGTTTGAAGACTGAACCGGATCAGTTCAACTTGATTTGAAATCTCAAGCGAGTAAACGCTCAAGAGCCCACGATCCGTTAATATCCACCCATGGTCGCGATCCTTTTTGTGTAGCCTGACTTTTACGTTGGATAGTAGTAATAAAGAGACTATTTCCCCTTTGGCGGTACAGCTACTGTCCTGAATAATAGAGGAAAGACCTGTAGAATTAGTGTTCGATCTGCTTACCCTGTGGTTCCCGACGCTAAAGGTAGACGACGATGTTGAAATTGTTGGTAGAGTATTAGATGTTTGCATACCGAGTTCATTTTCGTCCATCAAGCATGATGTTAAAGAACGCATTAGTCCTTCGATTTGTGGAGTTCTTACACTCAACGTCAGGTTTATATTATGATCGCCATTTTTCCACATCAAATCTTCGGCTGGTATTTTTATCTGGGCATCTTGAGCCGCGGATCTCGTCAGCTTCCAGCGCGATGAGATCAAAGCACACAATTTGACGTTCCTTTTGTCAAGGTCCTCTGAAGCGACATAATAGACTTTCCGATCTTCGGTTTCATGAAGACTCAAGTACATGTCTCCGTGTCCCGATATGTATTCCCAATCGTAGTTTTTCCATTGTGACATCCGAACCTTATAGCAACATAAGTTAGTGCTTCCAGTTGTATTCACGAGTCTCGCAATTTCGCGGTATGGCGACGAATCAGATTGAGGAGAGAGAGGGGGGCTATTGGTGGCTGGCGTTGAAAGGCTTACCGCGCTGCAACTCGAGTCTGATGCAGGAACACTAACCGACATGTTTTTCCTCTCTCGTTGTGGAACCTTGTCCTTTTTAGCGCTGAATAAACTTAGCAAGGAAGAAGACTTTCGTTTCATTAACTGGGGACGCTTGAACAGCTCGTCATCGAGGTCGAAGGAGAGATTTTCATTTCCTAATGACAGTTCAGATAGTATGCTTTCGCCGTCTTGTGCGGATTCTCCGCGAAGTGACTCTGCGAATTCTCTTGACGAAGAGCGATCAACCACTTTGAAATGGTTTTGGGACGGTGTTAAGCTTTGAGAAACCGGCGAGTTGGATATGCTGATGCTTTTGTCAAGCTCGATTAAGCTATCAAAATTGAGGTTTTCGATATCTTCAATTCTTGGTCTTTCTCTGATTTCGTTAACGGATGATAGCGAAATATTGAGCGGCTTCGATCTGTGCAATTGAGTAGTTTTCCTGACAAGTCTTGTATCCGAAATCGTTGCACTAGCAGATTTCGCGACAGGAAGGGCAACAGCGAGGCCCTCATTACCTTGTGGTCTCAAATGAGACAGCTTGTCGTGCTTGATCTTGAAATTTTGATACGAATGGGCCGATTTCGTCATATTTGCAGATACGACACCAAGCGCGTTCTGCGTGCAAGCATTCGCCGCGAAAAGACTTTCGAAGAAGACTCTCCAATGCGTTTCCCATTGATTCCGCTCTGTGGGAGTTAATTCGAGAATTACATCGTTTCCCGTTTTGGTTTTGAGCGCAATTCGACCGTTGGGCATATAGCTCATGTTCAGTTCATCTTTTTTTATAGTTGGGAACAAAAGGCTTCGTCCCATTTCTCTAGTCTCGGTTCTCTTGTTAGCGGCTAATTCCTCCAACAATTGGGAAGGTGACTCAATTAGGTGTGTCAGTTTCCCGCTATTAATTCTGAATATGGCCAATTCTCCATGCGGCAGCTGGAAAAGCTCGACGAGAGTCTCGTCGAGTCCAAATGCTGTGCAGGTGAGCCGAAACGTATCTCTTTTAACCATCTGCGATAATTCTAAAAGAGGAGGACACACGACGTCATGAGAATGCGATTGCAAGTCCCGAACGCTGTCATACCTAAAATCATTGCAATTGGCCGTACTCCACGCAGTCCTGAACCGAGTTTCAAATCCATGCAAAAGTGACGCTAATTGCGGATTTGACGCTCCGGTGACTTGTTTCATCAGCTTTACCCTCCGATAAGCCTGAAGAACAAGATCTGTGAACTGCGAGGTCTTCGAAAACCGGTACACCGCAAAGCTTGAGAACAGAAGCTTGAGAGAACCATTGAAGAGAATTTGGTACCCACTCAAAACAGATGCCTGAGCAAGCCAAGTATCGAGCAGTTCGACAGCAGCGGCTTCGCTGCAACCGCCATCATATTTTCTAGCCAATCGCTCTTGAAGATTTGCATGTTGACTTATCAGCACCTCCGCTCCAGAAGCAACAGCATCTTTTATACTCAAAATCTCACCCAGCGGGTTCAAACTCGCGTATGCGTGTCCAGTGCCAGCCCCGAGCTGTAAAAGCTTCAACAAACTCAAAAGGCACTGTTTGTAATCATTTTCAGAGCTTATGAGCTGCACAATGGTCATTGAACTCATCAAAAAGGCGTTCTGTGTCGAGCTTTCTTGAGCTTTCTTGAGCACAAACTTCACAGGTGAGAGGGCAATTTCGTTAAACTCCGAGAGAAAAGCTGACTGAATATTTTACTAAACCATTTCAATTCCTGATTCTGAGCTTACACCGCCAGGCTTATTTAGATTTTTCGCGGTTTTCCGATGCCACTTTAAGCATGAATGAACGCGTTTCATTAATGAAAATCCTGATTAGTTTCGCGTTTTGGTGATATTCACGCGTCATGGACTCTCTCTATGTACGAAGGGCCTAAGTCTCGAACCAATACTGAACCGATGGTTAACGAATCTGGCACCGTTGACAATGTTAGCGATGTCGAAAGCGCTTATAGCGTTAATTGGGCAAACGACCGAAACCAGGCGGTCGAAATTATATATCTATATCTGTACAATGTTGCTTTTAGTTGTAGAAAGACCGGAGAAGGATTCAGCCGAGCTAGCCCGAAACCTTAGCGAAAAGAGCCTCGATATCACTCACACACGACTCTCTTTGTCTACAACCTTGGAATAACGCGACTAGATCACCTTCCTGGTATGAAATCGTATCGGCGTTCTGTCCTTCTGCGTCCGACACTCCGGGCTCGTAGATGCTGGCAATTGTCTTTGGAACAATGAGGGCAGTTCTGGACAAAAGCGGTGGATGCCATTGTAGCGCATGCGCCACTGCGCTCGAAAGGTCTTTCCAGTAGAAGTCTCTCACAAGCGGATCGCTCAGATAGTCGAGGAATGACTTGGAATAAAGACTGGGCGCGATGATGAATGAGGACATGCCTAGTTCACCGTCCTGCATTTGCGGCAAGATAAACCCAGCGTGTGCCGTCGAAAAGTGCTTGTACGTCTTGATGTTGCCCTCCTTGATGATAGGAACATTCCGCAAAACGGCCACGTCCAAGGTTTTGGGGTCGAGCAAGTGTCTTTGCAGCGGTAAATCCATGCGCATGATGAGCGAGTCCTGATCCAAATACCAGAAATATTTGGCATGGGGAAACGCGTGGAATGCCGCGCGCATGATGAGAGGCTTAAAAAAATCGTACGACTCTTGCACGGTCTGCTTTTCGACCATAGGAACGAACTCTTGCGCCCAGCGTACATAAATACCGTAGCCCTGCCTTTGCGCGTAGTTGACTCTGTTCTGCACAATCCTCGTGAGCGTGTTCACGTCGTAATAGTCAAAATCGATCATGGTCACAATGATAACCTCTGGTTGTGGCGACGACTTGCGATACACGAGCTTACCATTGTCCAAAAAGCTTTTTTTCACCAGCTTGTTCTGATCGGTCATTGCAGCACGCTCTTTGTCCGTCATTGGCTCGTCGTCCGATTTCAACACATATTTCCGGTTTTCGTCAACATCAATTCTCAAGATGTACAGTCCTTTCACGTCGAGCTCACGCAAGATCGGCGCATGCTCCGTGGGAGGGAAAATAAGAGGATTCGGCGCTTGAATTTCGTTTTTGTAGGGCCCATGTAACGCCGGTAACCACGTTTCTTTGACCGACCGAGAACCCAAAAATCCACCAAACAACCACCACAGCCCCACAACTCCAACCAGCAGAGCAACAGATGTGAACTGCTTCTTCTTCTGTTTCGAGCTCATCATAGAATCTGTTGCTTTCGTTAGCCAACCTCGCGTCCCACTGCTGCTTGACGGCGTCTTAACTCTCGGCTTGAGGCCCATTCTAATCAGCCAGATAAGTCCTGCTAACAGCAACAATTCTTTCCAAGTGAAACTGGCTTTATGAGATGCACCAATCCAAAATGGATAAGCTGAAGCAGGCGCCAGATGTCTTGTAAACCTCTGAATCAAATGGTAAAACTTTTCGTGGTAGATGAAGTCCCGTTTCTAGTTGATAAATTGATAGTAACTGTAACTATATACGGTGGGTGTGAAACACATAGCAGAATCCTTTACCAACAACCAACTCAGCGCCAGCGACAGCTTTTTTGATGGTCGTAGCCCTTTCAGATAATATCATTACGCTGAAGATCTGTGCACGTGTGCAATTGGCTTTTTTGACCATTTTCAACACCATTTCTCTGAGCTTTGACTCAAAAACTATTCGACGGTAAAAAATGGGTCGCGTATCTTGGTGGCAGAGAATTGATCGAGGTAGAAGGAATTGCACGGCATTGAGTAGCATCCTGATACTGTTTTTGTAATTCTTTGTAGCTTTCGCAATTCAATGCGAGGCTCTGGTTCCATTTCAGAATCAAAATCCAGAATTGACGGCCTCCTTCTCTGCCTGATCATTAGCTTCCATATAGAAATGATTTCTGCTGATATTGCCGCCGCTGTTCTTGGACTTCAGTTCTTTAACCTGGAGAATACGGATCAGCACCGAGACTATGGCACTGGCCACTGACGTCGCAATGAGGGCGTAACAACCTTTCTGGAAACCCGGAACGGCGGTTGCCGCATAGAACAGTAATGACCACCATGCATTGACCGCGCCTGAAAACATGTTCATGCTTGCCAACACAATGGCACGTTCTTGCAAGTCGTCCCGACAAGCGATGTTGGCCCAGGCTAGGAAAACTGCTTGTCCCGCGTAAGCGACTCCACCGAGATATTGGGCTGTAAACATCACGCGAGGATTGATAGGCGCTGCTCGTATCATTACAGCAACAACGCACATTACGACTGCCATCACGATAGCGACATGCCAGTGCCTGGCGCTGCGGCAGTGGTCAAGGTAAAACGCCGACGCCAGCGTCGCGACGATTCCCACGGCAAAAATGCCAACAGGATTGTAGTTGCGTTGCGACAGAGAATAACCTTGATCTGCGAGCCATAGTGCAAATGTAGAATTCGAAGCAAACGATAGGTTTTCACCTCCAAGAACCCAGACGAAGCTAAAAAGCCACCAGTGCCATCTGCCAAACACTCTTCTAAAAACGGTGCGATCCAGTCTGACGTTTTCGCTCCGAGGCGGAAGTCGTCTACGTGCAAACCGCAGCTCTTCCTCTGAGAAGATAAAGGACTGCACCCTGGAGTTTCGCCCATGATCTGGAGTCGTGGGGAAAAAGATGAACCCATAAATCGCTATGGGCAGTGTAATGACAAAATCGATAATGAAGAGCCATCTCCAGCCGGCGAGTCCGTTGCGCCCGTTCAAAGATGTGTGGATTTTTACTTGCATAAATCCACTAAATATGGAGCCCACCAACCCACTGCTAGTGAAAATGGCACTGCGCATGGTCAATTCCTTTTCCTTGTACCACGAACCCAAGATTAAGTGCGTACCCGAAAACGTACAGCTTTCGAAAACAGCTTGGAAAAACCGAATTGCACAACACTGCTTGAATGACGTGATCTTGTACATAGATAGCGTCAAGATACCCCAAGACAACGTACAGAAACTTAGCCAAAGTCTTGGCTCAACTTTCAGAAGAATGAGATTATGCGGAATCATGCCCAGCACGTAACCCACCGTGAAGCAAGTGTTGACCAGATTAAAATCATCGCTCTTGAAGTCAAGATCTTGTTTCATTCCAGACACATATGCATTCGAAAACCCAACTCGATCCACATAATTGATCCAATATTGCAAGCATACGAACGACAGTACGAAAAGGTCGATCTTGAAAAGCAGAATCTTCTCGTTAACAGGGGTTCGACGTCGTTGACTTATGTTTTCGTCAGTGTATAGTTCCGTAGCATCTAGTTCATAGCCCTGAGACTGGCTTTCGTCTTGTTTCTTTGAAGTCATCGCCCTCGGTGAGTTTTTCAGTTTTCCATAGTGCGATGGGGGCCTTTAGTATCATGATATTCAACTATATATAGGTCCTAAAAACGAGACAAAAGTAGTGTTACTCAAGCGCTTTATTGAGCGCTTTGAAGGCGATTTTCGAGTTGTAAAAACGCTGATTGATACATGCATTTGATTGTCAGGCGTCTTGCGCTGCCGAACTTTATAATACCCTAAAGTTTATTTCTGACAAATTCACTGATTCTCGCTACTGTTCGTCATCCTCATCGTCACCTCCGTCCAGTAAATTTTCAATCTCTGCTTTTATCCTTGCCTCGTCAGCTTGCTTGAGTTTCTTGTTTTTAGCTTGTTCCATTCGTTGCGTCAAATACTCATTGAGATCGTCTTGAAGTCCGGTCAAGTGCATGCGCAATTTACTCAGGTAAGTGAATTCACCCTGGGCGTTTTTTCGACCCTCTGAGGGCTTGTCCACATCGATCTGGCCCGCTTGTAACACATACGCACTGGGTCCTGTCGTGGCACCATTTGTAGTATTGTAATGCTGTTTTGAAGCATCGATTTGGAACTCTTTTAGCTCGACATCTGGGGCCCGATAAACCGCCGAGAGCTGCGACATTATGAGCTCGTATAATGATCCTGTGCGACCTTGTGTGATTCTCTGTGGGGGTCTCTCCAGTTGGATATCTCATCAGGTTTATGAAGGATATCGCTACGAACGTTCTAGCACCGCTATCATACAATACTCGCTTTAGACTATAATGAGCATATTTAAAATGCGCCGAAGATGACGAACAGTGGTTTGCAATGGCGAAGCGCAGTAGGCTGCCGCAGCGAATTCACGCTTTGCCCGCAAGCTACGCCGCCGTTTCTTCGGCAGGTTTACCGTTTCTCACGAGATCAATTTCCTCTGCAAGTGGGAAAGTTAGTAAAAGTAATTCCAACAAATAAACCAGTTTATGCGACATACTCTGCACAAGACTCAAAGTCGTACCCTTGGATCCGTCCTCTCTTTCAAAAGTGAAATTGGCCGCGTCGGCTTCAATGTGTATAAGCGCACTGTTTACAAGACCGAGACCGCGACGGTTATGGTCCGCATGGTTAGTAATTGTTGCGTCAAAAAGGAGAATCTTGGTCTGGCCCTCTTTCACACATACCCTTTTCTGACGTATTGCGTCAAAAAGTTGATTTGAGGCTCGTTGAACACGGTGATGTTGAACCAGTTGGTAGGCCCGTCTCTACGTGGCTGCGACGCGATACTGTACTTCAAGTAACGCGTATTGTTCGAAGACGTGTACTCGGTAAAATCCGAACCAATTCGACCCAAAATCGACATTTTCGAAAAGTCCGACCGTCTACTCGTAGCATGGAAAAATCTCGTCTGTTGGCGTAGCATTTTGGTCTCGGTTTAGTCTCTCAATTGCAATGGTTTCGCTTGTAGAAACGCGTTTGGTCTCAGAGGGGGTATTTCATCGCCATTGTCTGTTTATATTAAGAAGTGCGAGACATAGTGTCATTAGGTACGTATACTAACCTAGTTTGGTACGAAAATTATCAAATTCAATTCCAACAAGTTAAATTTGGTAAATGTCATTATTCATATCTGAATCCAACACCAATTTACGACGCCCTAAGGGCAAAGGATGAATACTGCTTGACCTTCTCTGATACTGGTTTGCGTTAGAAGTACATTTAGCAAGTGTTAGAAATTTTTGTAGCGAAATTTGGACCTTTTGTCGTTGTTTTCTGCAACAGATTAAAGCGATCGACAGATTCTAATAAGTTCTTGGCAAGTTGGCATTGGAATCGTGAAAGAAGCTTCTCCGTGGGTCATCTATAAGATACAGTGCTTGTTTGTGGCGTAGCCGTCAACTTGCGCGTTTTGTAGGTGTTTTGGCAATTTCAACATATAAAGTAACACCTAGTAACAAGACTTACTCATCCCTACAACTCTCACAAGACAAAGCCAAAGTGAAAGAGACTTGGCACAGGACTTCACTGGCAGTTTGAGGAAGTTATGGCGTACAACAGTTACCACAGGCGTGGGTCGAGGTCCGTGGTTCAGGCAGCTTTTGGATACAGCAAACAAAGCAACAGTAGTGGGGACATAGACGAACTCCAACTGGCGAGCGTTAACGCAAGTGACGTGAGGATTTTGAATGCACCAACTGCAAGAGGCACTGAAACAATAAGTGAAGATTCTCGAATTTTCACGAATGAAGTGAAAAGTGAGGAGTTTGCACTGCTTTCGACGTCCAGCGACACAGGGACATGCTCCTTGGAGACGTATTCCACAGAGGAACATGACAATCAACAACCGGTGCAAATGCACGACGCTGCGTTGATGTCAAAGTCTGATATCATAGACGCCTGGTGCGTTCAAAGCAACCAGAACAGAACTCTACCTGCAAGACGCACCAGTCGGAAATCTCGAGACATTATCAAGGCCTGGGGGGTTGATGAAGACTTACCTTTAGTGGCTTACAGAAGTCCCTCATTGAACGAGAGACCACCCAAGCTGGGTCAACGTTTAGACAACTATACGGCGCATTTGCTGGACAGATTAAATCGCAGAGAAAAACAGTATGTGCGAGAGTTTACACAGGCCATGTTACCACTTCTTAAAAGACGGAATCAATCCGTCGAAATTCCGTCGCAATTCCAAACAATCCCGTCCATATTTCCTGACAGAGAACTGCTATGGAGGTTAGCATTACACGGTGAAGACGCCGCCAGTTTATCCGCTTTACAGAAATTGTTGAAGGAAGTACCTGCAAATGGAAGCAGTGCAAACAGTGAAGATTACGAGCAACAGAGATCTAGATCAGCGTCACTCTTGGATTCCTGGCATTCCTGGAATCTGGTGCCACATATAAGAGCCGATTCGTAAGAGTCACTGGCATCTGCTTTTTTCATATTTCAACTTTATCGGTACACAACGATTGGGCGGGGCGGGGCATATACTTACGATTTTAAATAATTAACAATGACGGTGGTTTCAGTTTTTTGGGCAAATTTGACCTAGAGCCCCGTTGCGGAACGTTCTACAAGACTTTTGGTTGAATACAGCTCTACATTCTCCGCACAAACTTAAAAAAGTTCTTTAAATCGCATTCCGTTTCCTCGCCCTTGGTACTATTATACTAGATTGGGTCGCGACACGCTCTCCCAAAAGTCCACCTATTTTTGTAAATCAAGTGCGACGACCTGTAAAACTCCTAACATCTTTCCGTCCTTTTGAATCAGCAGACTTTTAAGATCTTCCATAATAATTGCCAGCAACGAGCGTTTTTGATGTGGCGACCTTTTTCCATTCCGCACCAGATCCAAATGGATCATCTGCTTCCACCTCTTGACTTTCGATTGTCAAAGCATTTTCGGCCAAGAATCCGGAAATTATAAACTTGGCACTTACTCCTTTGCTCGATTCATGCGCAATACCATCTGTCATGAACCTCGCAATTAGTCTTTGTTCGCCGTCTTGTCTCAAGGTCACTGGACCATCAAACTTCCAAGTAATGCGCTTTTTCTCCTTACTGAAAAGTCCCAAAGGCTTGGATAGCGCACTAGTCGCAGTGGCACCTTCAATAGAGGCAAATACGGCCAAATCGTTGAGCGTTAACTCTTGAACTTCTGGTGTAGTAGGAGCGATTTTGAGCGTTAAAACAACGCTCGCTTGATGTTCCTCAAATTTCCACGCAGGATGTATAACGATAGGTGCTACGGGATGCTTTAATGAGTATTTCAAGGCACCTAGCGTTCTAGAGTTGATGAATTGGGGATTGATTCTATAAGCCTCTAGAGACTTCCGTTCGATAAATGCTTGATTTGCAATCACCTTCTCTAAGCCAGCCCCCGGTGATAATCTCAGGTTAATGTCGATTGGCAATTCACTACCGTTAGAAATGTAATTGAGGGCAATTTCTCCAATAACTTGTGACGATTCGAGAATTCCTTCTTTGAAGGTTGCATTTATCACTTCAGCAATGCTGGCGTTCAGCCCAAATGATGTTAATTCGGAGTGGTGGAAGATGGACTGTCCAGCTGATGGGAGTGAAAGCGAAGAGCCTGTAATATCGGGCTTTAATGATCTCATCTCGCCAGTCATCTGGGAACTCAATGATGACTGGCGTCTATACTTTTGTGCCTCCAAGTCCGCTTGCGTCAAATCGGTAAAATATTTGGATTGGACTTCTGATCTCTGTTTTGGAACAGGAGCCGGCGCTGCACCATGTGGACTTCTCGAGAAATCCGCAGAAGAAGCTGCTGGGTATTTTCTTGCTGGTGGGGGCAAAGGTGCATGAGATGCTTGAACTTGTGGAGCTTGTGGAGCTTGTGGGGCTTGTGGAGCTTGAATATGTAGTGGATAGGTTTGAGGAGCACTTGGTGGAAGTGGTGCCGAATCGAACTCCGTGCTTGCTTCCATTGTAGACTGCGATGCACGCATCTCCCTTGATTGAGGTTTCAAAGGTTGTTGGTTGATTGACAGAGTTGAGCTTGCCGCAACTGGAACAGGTTTTGGTGCTTCAGCGTTTGTCCGATTCGCAAGACCAAGCTTGGAATTTGAATGTTGGTGATCATGCACTGAGCTGTAAGGCTCGTGAGAGTCGTCTCTCGAAACTTGGTCAGGTGTTTCACTTCCCGGAACAGAGGAGCTGTCATTTTCGGGAATTGTACCATTGGAGAACTTGGACGAGGTTTTCTTCTTTAACTTATTTCTGCCAAAGATGGACCCCATCCTAGACTTTAATTTTCCGGATGATTTCTTGTTCTTCAAAGACTTATTGTTCCCTTCGTCTGAAAATTCCTTCTTCATCAGGTCGTGTTTGATAATAGTCCCGGAGGAGGACAATCGGTTGGCGATATTGTTCAGTCCTCCCTTGTGATGAGTTTTGGGCAGTGAACCCAATTTTTCGGACCTTGTCTCCGAAGAAACGTGCGATGCGCTTGAGGGCAAGCCAAGACGAAATCTGTAGTCTCTAGCATCGCTTGCAAAACGGTCAATCTCCATCTCGGGTTGGAACTCTAATATTTTAGCCATAGCCCTTTCGTTTTCTGAAGAATTATTTTGCAGACTATCGCCAACGGCACTTTCGTACTTCAAAAGACAGCTTTTCAAAATTAAGAGTCTGCTATAATCAGTAGCCTCAAAAAGCTCAAAAAGGTCGCCTGCTTCTGAATCCCATTTCGCACTAGCCTCGCGAGCCCTGTCTTCGAACTCAGTCCCATTTTTACGTTTGCTGTAATCTATATTTGCTGCAACCTGGCTCAAGTCAGCGTGCAACGTACGAATATCCTTCCACTTAGAGTCTTTTTCGGTAAAATCTTTCAACGTAACAGTCACGTCATTTTCTAGGACCCGGTAGAGCTCATTTGAGCTTTCTAGTTCCACCTTCAGTCCATCAAACATATCTGACCATACCTCCTTCAATTTGCCCAATGAGTCAAACCGGAAATCCCGCATTTCGTCCGCTGTCAAAACATTCGAACTTAGCATATCGTTAACAAGCAATTTTTGCAAGTCTTCATTCTTAACAATAATCTTACGCAGCTGCTGTGAGTACTGCTTTTTCAAGTCACAGATTTCTTTGAAAAACGTGTAAACCTCTTTGTTTATGAGTTTGGCCTGTGAAAGCCGTACTCTTATAATTTCGGTCGCCTCTAAAGGGTCCTTAGAAGTAAGAATGCTGTTAGCATACCTAGTTCTCTCAATTGACATGGCAAATGATTCTTCAAAAGCAAGCTGATTGGCCTTGTAATTTGGATATTTATTCAATTAACTCCTATGATAAATTGTCAAATTTAAATTATCACCAAATCTGAATTAACATTGAAAACTGAAAAGATCGACAAACAAAGGCGCCTTTTCGTAGCGTTAGAGTGAGAAGCGTCTTGTACCACCTTTAATTATAGAACTCCAGTCGTTACCTGTTGTATGTCAAAAAGGGTGCTTCCCACTGCCTTTAAATCAGTTTAGCGAATAATTCGTAGTTATGTACATAGGATTGGTGCTTCAGGACTAAAATTAAGTGGTTTAGACAGTCTAGTTGACGGTTAGATGTACTTTGGTAACCTATGGGGACCCTAGAGCTCATTATCGCTAGGTTTTTTGACGTGACAGCGTAAGGGCGTAGATTTCTTTCAAATTCATTTACGTAGTATCTAGTAAGATCACACGACCTCACATCGTCACTTTGGACAGGTTGAGCGCATGATATGACGTTCTTGACGGCCGTAGATCGCAGCGTTTGCATTGTCTTGTGATAAACCCCACAGCACAACCTCCGATACGGCAACCGTTCCAGAAGCACCTTGAATGGTGCCAGCGAGACATTTTCTCCTATGGTACCATGATGAAGATCAAGCGACCTTTGGTCCTGCACCACGACCGGAACTTTCCCAAATAGTTTTTCGAGAATAACGAGGTAGCCATGAAATTAAGATCGCAATTCTTCGTCGACAGTAGCAACTCAGAGGGCGGACAGTTTCTTAGCAGACAATAGTCATGTGGTGAACCCCACTAACATGCCCTTTAACCCTAGTAGTAGATGTGGATTGTAGCCCATCATATCACCTTATCGAAGGAATTCAGTTTCCGAAATTTCGTAATTCATCGCCGTCTAACAATTAACGATTATCGTTTGGTCTGCAAAAATCACAGTCATACAGCTGGGCTTATGAGAAGATGAAGAGCCAATTCAGGAGCACCAGAAACAGCAAGACGACATTCTGGCCCGGTTTTGGAGAGACCTGTTTGCAGGTGAGGCTTTACATTAGATTTTTCAAAAATCTCATCTCACTGGCGTCCCAGTTTTTCGTAAACACCTGCGGCGTCCGTTCGCCGCCCCGCGGGCGTCTCCTCGTACTCGTTGGCAATCAAGACCGCTAACGCTAGCGCTCTGCTTGTTTGATCATGTTATTGGCCCTACTTTGTTACGTCAAAGCAAGAGTTCGGTATTAAATATTATTGGGTCTAAGGCTTCTTGATGGCCTCGTCATGCGAATCTTCGAGGTACGAGACTCTGTCTTTCACATATTTGCACATCCGTGGCCACTCTGGGTCATTATACTTATCGCGGAGGTACTTGAAGTCGATGGGCGACTTCCCACACAAGGATTGATCCAAAAGTCTAAAGTTAAACAGTTCAATGTCAAACCAGTTCAGTTTCTGCAAAGACAGAAATGAACGGAACTGGGTGCCATCTTCGTTCAAGTACACACCTTCCTTGTAAAGCCCCCAGGGATCAAATTTATGGAAACTCGCATGCGCAAACATTACGTCGATGGGCACATCTGAGGTTGGTCTCATCAGGCTTTTGTAGAAACTTAGTTCTGAATCGTAATTGGGATCGTACAAGCTGTATTTCTTCTTTTCGCGCTTTACTGTCTCTTTGGCTTTTTGATATAGCTCGTAATCGTTGACGCAGTCGTACTGTAACAACGCGACTCCGTGAAAGCTTGGGCCTTTCGTCCAGTAGCCGTCGAACGATAGTTTCGTTTTCACCTGATAGTATTTTCGACGTAGAACGTGTGCAGCCACGGCAAAGGTTTCTTTATCGCCCTCACCAGCGGTTCCTTGCGAGAACAAGGAGTAGTACCACTCGGGTCCATAAACATTATAGTAGAGCGCCAAGAGCAACGTTTGGAAATGTCTCGTTTTATCAACTAGCAACTGCCCTGACTCGGAAGCTGAGTCTGGCACAGTGCCCAACAGATCGTGGAATGGAACGCTTTTCTTATTGTACATCTCATCAGGCGCAAACGCAGAATACCTTGATGGGGGCGATACGTCGTCACCTAGCGACCGGACGCGTTTCAAAAAATCCACCTCGACGTTGGCAATGCGATAAAACACAGGAGCAGTCATACGGCGCCACAGATCTGGCCATAGTACGAGCCCGTTTTCTTCGAAAACGTTTGACTCGAAAATTCCATCCAGGTTCTTGAGTGGGAAGTTATCGGCGTCAATGTAAAGGACTTTTTTGAAGCTGGAAATGAGCAACGCAACGGCCTTAATCTGATACCGCTCGAACTTCCAGTCCTTGAGCAGCGACTTGGGCAAGACGTCACGAAAGTACACACACTTGGCGTTTAATGCGGGTAACACGTTGTTGCAGTAGTCGTTATCGCCTTCGTCCTGTGGCGGGATGATAACCTCTACTGGCAGTGTGGTATTGTGTTCGCGCAGAACTTTGATCATCGAATAAGTCAACAACGAGAACCGACCACCTCCAACGGTGATAATGCCTTCTTCGCGCGGGAACAAATGGTCGAACACCGGAGATTCAGGCTCGAAATCGAGTGATTCCTGCAGAAATTCCAGAAACTCCATGTGTGGTTGCTGTAGTCCCCTGAAGTACGGTTCTGTCAAAGTATAGCAACGATCCAGATTCTCGAATACGGCTCGATCGATTTGGTCACCTCTATTGACACCGACACCCTGCATGTCGCACCCATTCAGTCGGAATGCCAACCGATCCTTAGGAGGGTCTACGGGCTTAGCCGCTTTGATTGCATCGAAGATTTCGCCGTAAATGCGTTCTCGCAAACTATCTTTGCTCGAGAGTCGAAAAACCCAAACAGAAAGTGCAATCAGGGAGATTAAAAGAACAGCACCTGCTGTCTTTCTGCGTAAGATCAACATTCCCGTCCGGCCTTAGCAATTGTCTGGTCTGGGTCCCAGGATCAATTATTTCAATGGGGGTTTTGTCTTTCCGATTGTTGCAATTTCCTGAAAAGACGTTGTATTTTTTTCAACCGAGGGCCTTTTTCATAACGTAAACCATAACAAAGGCAACGCCGAATGGCGACGGATCAAACCCTACTGAAGGTGAAGATCGCAACGCACAATATGCACGAAGCTCGGGGAAGTCAGCAAATGGAGACTTTTTTGATTATAGTAATCAGTTTTCTGTGCAGCAAGTAGCTTGTCAATTTTAGTAGAAATTGAAGTTGAATTTGCAGCCGTTTTGGTTTCCAACTGGCCTTGAGGGTCCTAGGCGAAGCAGGAGTTTCTGGCGTGCGCCAGGATTCGAAAGCCGGATCTTTTTTCGATCTAGTGCTAAAATAGCCAAGATAGTCACAAATCCATTAACGCGCACGTCACGCTTAAATATCGCCCTTCGATTTCCACGCGCCAATTTCTACCGTCTTGCGCAACCCTCAACGGTACGCAAACTCTCTGGTTCTCGACCTCTCATCACACAGCCTTAAACTAGGCCAAAAACGCTAGGAAAAAATGTGCTAAAAAGCGACAGTGGACAACAACAGCATGATCTCGATCGCGCAGTTCCCTCAACGCATCCGTATTGTGCTCCTCGAGCGTTTTAAAACCCTTGCTTTGTAGTTGTTTCCCCAGATGGTCTTGGCACGTAGGCGGTCTTAGTAGGACGCGGTCGGTGTCCGTTTCGAGATGAGTTTGGAAAAGGGACGATATCCGTTCATAGTGACAAACGCGAAAAGTCGAAATCAAAGAAACGCCAAAAACCAGGTTCAACAAATGACAGCAAGTACAACTAGGAAACCGGATTGTCAAGGCATTTGTGAGCTTGTAGGCGTGTCGTTCGAGTCGCGCGCGCAAGCAAACGTTGCGAGGGTGGTAAAAAGCCCGAAAAAGCAGGCTATACTGGTCGAGAACGAGGTACATTTACATCCAGACATGTCTGACGAGGAGATGCTGGAGACAGACGGCAGTTCCGCGAGTAGTCGCGCGAGCAGTCGTGCCAGCAGCAAGAGCAGCGGCAGGTGTAGCGGCAGCGGGCATAAGAACGTTTTACAGTTTGTTGGATCAAAGAAACACGGCGGCGAGAACGCGCCTGGGCTGACCAGAAGCGCAGGCACTCTCAATCTGTTGCTTGGCCGGGACGCCGAGGTTCCGACGATCAATGAGTACATGGACAGCTGGAGTCCTTTCAAAGAACGGCCCGAGAGTCAGGGCAATCTGAAGCGGTCTGCGAGCAGAAGTGAGCTTTCGCCCTTCGTGAACGACCCGGACATCCTCAGACGATGGGTGTACAAGAAACGGGACGACCAACCCGTAGACGCGGTCAGCTCAACTCCTGGAGCCTCTGCACACATGTCGAAGCACCGCAAGACGCTCGACAGGTCATTTTCCGCAGCCAAGCCAGACCAGGTTGCGTTTACGTCGTCAGGCCTCGTATCCAAGATGAGATCGAACCTGCTTCCACCCAAGATTAACACACCGGAGACACCGGTGAAAAAATCGCCCTTATCGAGAGACACGGAGAATTTGTCGTTACAGGACTCTCCGGTGCACTTTAATTCATTTGTTTCTGGTATTTTCGACTCCACGCTGGCATCGCCGCTGGGTACCGCTTCTAGTAGGTTCCAAACAACGAACATGACCACTGCATCGCTCACGTCCATCAAATCAAGGAAAACAAAGGCTTCCAGGGTCCTCAACAACAACGTTTTGACGGATACATTGCAACAGTTTACCGACGAACTCTACGGAATTTACGATGAGGGTTCTTTCTTTTCCGACTATGCGCCACCCACGGCGCCGGCCATATCTGTCACGTTAGACCCTGGCAGTCCCTTGCATAACACACCGACAAAATCGCATTCTTTCACGCAGCCCTCCTCCTCTTCGGCTGGCATGCATAGATCCCACAGATCCATAAACGCAAAGGTGAATCGCGCCTCATCTTCGGCGTCTCCGTCCCGCGAAACCTCGCAGACGAACCCAGATTCTCATCTCGCGACCAAATTCAGCAATGTGGGTACCATTGGATCGGGTCAATTTTCCGAAGTGTATCAGGTAACTTTTCTGCCGACCAACACCCGATACGCGGTCAAGAGCATGCGGCCCAATAAATACAATTCCACAAAACGCATCTTACAAGAAATCAAAATACTGTCCGAGATAAGTGAGACCACTTTAGATCACGAGGGTAAAGAATACGTGCTCAACTTCATAAGCTCCTGGACGTACGGGGGGTTTTACTATGTGATGACAGAATTCTGCGAAAATGGCAATCTGGATAAGTTCCTGCAAGAACAAGTTTCCAAAAAGAAGACAAGGCTCGAAGACTGGCGAATATGGAAAATTATCATTGAGCTATGTCTTGCGCTCAGATTCATTCACGAATCCTGCCAGATAGCGCATCTGGATCTTAAGCCCGCCAACGTTCTCATCACATTCGAGGGTAATCTAAAATTAGGAGATTTTGGTATAGCGACAAAATTGCCCGTGCAAGACGTCGGGTTTGAGAACGAAGGCGATCGAGAGTACATTGCCCCAGAGATCATATCTGAGGGCATCTACGATTTTCGTGCTGACATCTTTTCGCTTGGTCTCATGATCGTCGAGATTGCTGCCAATGTTGTATTGCCGGACAATGGTCACGCTTGGCATAAGCTCAGATCCGGCGACCTTTCAGATGCTGGAAATCTCAGTTCTGCGGAAATTCACTCTGAGTCTCTCTTCTCAGAAACCAAGACCAGTACCATGGGGACCAATGTTCATTCCGGCGAAGTGTCCGATAAACTTGACCTCAGACTGGACCAAGTATCCAAAATACCTGCCTGGGTTCCAAAATTTCTTATTGACGGAGTGTCGCTCGAGAAAATGGTACGACGAATGATACAACCGAACTACACTAAGCGGCCTACTGCTGACGAAATTTTGCATACAGAGGAATGCGAGTACGTGGAAATGACCCGGAAGGCCGGTGCCATTATTCAAGAAGATGATTTTGGTCCCAAGCCTGACCTGTTTATGGAAACTTCCGATAAATGTGCTTCCCGCTAAAGATCACTTGAGTAAGTGGTAGAGGGTCCTGACATTTCGTCTAAAATGACATTTCCTTCGTATATATTGAAGTCCGGTATTTGATTTTTCACTTCTCTACATTTCTCCTTAGTAGAAACTATTGTAAATATTATCCTGCCAAGATCTTTGATAGAGCTCTTGTTTACTTGCTCTGGCCTCAACATGTTGTGACTTAGGATCTGAACGAGGACGTTCAGGCAATGGGCTTTGCTAATTTATCTTGTATTGCGGAATGGACACAGTGATGAAATTTTCGAAACTTCGTTGCTAGATAGTAGCTGAAATTTTTAATGATTTAACAGTTTTGACAGTATTATCTCTCTGATTTGTGCTTCAAAATCACCGCTTGTAGATGTGCGTATTCTGATTTTGTGACTTCACAGCCGGACGGTAGATGTTTCGGCCTTTCGAGCGATCAGCTCACAGTTATTCAAATCGACGTCGCGAAGGCTTACCAAAGCCATGCCGGTGGATAGAACAATTGCGTTGATTGACCCTATATTAATATACTTGACATTACATAGTTCTGATCTGGCTGCCATCAATGCCCATTATGAGAGCATGCAAAGACAGTAGTGAACAATGCTTGAGGAATGGAAGAGAAAGGTTGGACCCAGGCGCGCACAGCCGCGCAGCTCAGAAGCCCAACTTCGTTCTTCTCCAGTGTCTTCTCTTAGCGTTGTAACGGATGGTGTTACCAGTTCTGGTTCTGATCCATTGAGGCAATGGTCTGTTCTGGTTCTGGGCCTTGCCCAACTTTTGCTTAATCTTGAAAGATTTCTTAGCCTGAAGACAAAGTCTTGTTAGTAAAATACTTCATCGCTGTTGTTATTGTCGTTTCTACGACGACAAACTCGAAAGGTCGGAATTGAAAGTCAAAAGCTGAAAGTAAATGCAGAGTTCGTCTGTTTGCAAGCCTAGCAAGGCGTTCACTACCATGGTTGTACCCCCGCACCATAACGAGCTTCGTAGTATCAACGAAATACGGACCCCCCCCCCATTGCAAGCATTTTCTCATAACTTCTTGGGCCCTCGCCTATCATCTCATTTCAGTTCCACTGAAGTCGCACCCACAATCTTCCATAACTACTTCGCATCATTCAGCCCGATTCTCACGAAAACTAGTCCCCAATTCACACATACAGCCATCTTTAGTCCTTGGTGTTCTACGTGAAACAAAAGACTTTGGAACTTCAACAATTTTACCTAAGTTAATCAGATGAAATTCGTCTCCAGGCTAACGCAGACCTGCGAGGAATGGACGCAGGCGAGGGCCCGAGCCTAGGCTGCTCTGGCCCTCTGCCTAGGGACCTTGGCCCCAGGGGGTGGGCGGCCAGCATTGCAGCCGGATGTCCGCAGTCCCCCTGGACTCAAACTCTGGCTGACCTCTTGATTTGCCGTAGCGACTGAAAAATTGACCGACGCAGCTCGCAGGGAGACTCAATGATTTTCGACGCTTTTTTAACGAATATTGAGTATGACCCATGCACCACGTGTTTTATTGAAATTATTCCTCCAAAAATGGTACTTCACGCCCTTACACCGCACTCCTATTCCGCAAAAGACAGTCATATGAAAAATATACCGCCGTGACTACCAGGTAGCCATTGAAACGAATATCATACTTTTTGGATAATGTTGTTCAGCAGGAACAACTTTCGAATCCAGATATAGGAAGAAATAACAGCAATTCAAAATGGCCAGAGTCTCCGTCCTTGCTGATGCTTTGAACTCCATTAACAATGCCGAGAAGACCGGTAAGCGTCAAGTCTTGATCAGACCATCTTCCAAGGTGATCATCAAGTTCTTGCAAGTCATGCAAAAGCACGGCTACATCGGCGAGTTCGAATACATTGACGACCACAGATCTGGTAAGATTGTTGTTCAATTGAACGGTAGATTGAACAAGTGTGGTGTCATCTCCCCAAGATTCAACGTCAAGATCAACGACATCGAGAAGTGGACCGAAAACTTGTTGCCAGCTAGACAATTCGGTTACGTCATCTTGACTACCTCTGCCGGTATTATGGACCACGAAGAGGCCAGAAGAAAGCACGTTTCTGGTAAAATCTTGGGTTTCGTCTACTAAGCGAGATGCATACGCATCGATTGGACCCCAGCGTCCTCGAAGTTAGCATTTTGTACTAGGTTCTGTAATTTAAAAAGCCCGTTTCAAATTGTTTCTAAAGAGCTTTGAAAGTGTTCCAGTACAGCGCAGCCGCTCAAGTGATAGTTGGCGTTCTGTTAACACTGTCTCGAGGCCGCGAGCACGTGACCAGCATTCTTAGTCTTTAGCCACTACAGGCTTGCCCATGGCGAGCCGATAAAGCGCATTCGAGACCACGACAATACCAGTTTTACACATTAAATGAATTCGTGCCATTTAGATGACTACAAACTATATTTGGTGATGAGTCTGTACAAATACGTATGTACAATGAAAAGAAAACTGGAATAAGGACCCACGCTGCGGGCAATTCACAGTCTTCTACCTCTTCTACCACCCTTCTTTCTGGTAGAGTCGGATGGAACTGGGGTAACGTCTTCGATACGGCCAATTCTCAAGCCAGATCTGGCCAAAGCTCTCAAAGCAGCTTGACCACCTGGACCTGGAGTCTTGGTTCTGGTACCACCGGTACCTCTGATCTTGACGTGGACGGCGGTGATACCGACTTCCTTGCATTTGGCAGCAACGTCCTGGGCAGCCAACATGGCAGCGTAAGGAGAAGACTCGTCTCTGTCGGCCTTGACCTTCATACCACCGGTGACTCTGGAAATGGTTTCCTTACCAGACAAGTCGGTCACATGGACGAAAGTGTCGTTGAAAGAAGCGTAGATTCTAGCAACGCCAAAGACTTGGGAAGCATCACGGGACTGGACGACTACAATCGAAGAGTTAGTAATTTGAATACTTGTCGAGCTTTGAAGCCAGCTCAAGACCGCCTAGTTTGCCCCGGTGAAATCGCTGTCTCGAAGATCTCCGCACCGCGAGAAGAAGAAAAACGCGACTGCTTGTTTTCCTGTGTTGTTCCCAGTGCTGTTCGCAGAGGACCGTGCACATGGTCGAGACTCATCGCACCCGGGCGAGTTCTCGCCCAATGATCGCACACTGAACTACGCTACACGCGCATTTCAAAGCTTAATCAAGCGTTCTCAGAACAACTAAACGGTTTTAAACAGGATACCACCCCTTGACATACCTTTAGCCATTCTTGATGATTATTCTTGGTTCAAAACCTTCCAAGCGATGGTGAATGTCAAAGCTTGATAATTCTTTTCTTGATGCTGCAGGGCAGCATCCATGCCAGGGCCGTACCCGGCCCTGGTGGATGGAGATCTCGCCAGCAAAAAGTTGAGTCTGTCTTCATCTACGAAACGATTCTTCCTAATTAGACTTTTCCCGGTTCCGAATCGTAAAATTAACGACTTTGGAAACGTGTATGGGTTTACATTTTGCAAAACCTTTCTGTTTTAACCCATACATTTCCAAAAAGCAGTCAAAGATATGATAGTCATGTTGAACGTATGAAAGCCCTGTTAAAGTCGCTCTAAGCAGTTGAGATACTTCAAGACAAAGCAGTGACTTTCATACTCATCTAAAGGAGCAAGGCTTCCCGTTCCCATTCTTGCGCAAACCACTGAACTACGAGGCATGGACGCGCGACGGCATGCCCGTGAACTATATACAAACCGTCATTGGCGACGACCATCTTACACTAGTGTGTGATATCCTGAAGTACATGAACGCCGGCAGATAAACGTTTACGCACCCATTATTACCTCCAAGCCATCACAATTATTCTCGAATCGGGTTGTAGAGAGAATGTTGTCTGGAGAGTCACAAATCCACTACAATAATACCCGTTCTTTGAAATGTACAATGATTTTCTCGTCTGAAGCCTACCAAGCCTACCCGTTCACGATCCGGCTCCTTATATACTCAATCGAAAAAGTGAATCCGGGTAACTCTGGCAGATCAATATCCAATTAAGGTGGACAAGTGAGCTTCTTGGTGGAAAATTGGAAGCTCATGAGACTTTCTCCGTTCGAGGGCTGGAACCAATGTTTGTATCAACTCTTGTGTTGCTATTGTGGGCATTCGTTGGAGCCCAAGCAGCAGTCATTCGCGGAAGGCTAGATTTGGGCGGTTACAACATCAGTCAACGTGAGGTGTTAAGGTCGTATTTTAGTCTCTATCAAGTCGGAAACGTAACCGATAAGCTCTACCATGCGCGCGCGAAAATTCAGGATGAAGCTGGCACCTTTGAGTTTACTGACGTTCCCGTAAGCGACGATGCTGACACTGCAACTTATTTCGCATTACACTCGCTTTCTCTGGATTTCAACTTGAAGCCTAACCGGATTTTGGTTGAAGTGAGACCTTCGAGCGACTTAGACGCGCCACCAACGATCCGAGCATACAAAAACATTTTTGGCAGGCAAAATTTCCCCTCCCCAGACATACTCCACCCTGAGAAACTGGAAGAAATTCCCGCGTCGCCCGCGATCGTTATTTCCACGGTGAACAGCGCTCCGCTGCGTCTTTACGTCGAAACAAGAAACCAAGGCATTTTCCAAAAGGGACCTTTGGCTAGCATAGTAAACTCCAAATACAAGCTGGCCGCGGTCATAACCGTGATCATGCTGCTTCTGTTCCCGGTTGTCTTGGAAAAATTGGACCCCGAGACGGCTAAGGCCATACGTGAACAAAAAGTGAACCAACAAAAAGGGCACCACGCAGAGAATCCGGCGGCAAGCGAAATAATTGGCAAAGAGTCAAAGCAGAAATAAATAGTTAGAAGAGGCATAGTATGGCATCGTGGTGCTTAGAGCTGTTATTCGTTGAATGTAATTATTCACGAATTCTGACTTTTTGACATCGCTATATCTCTGGAGCATCATTAAACCATAGTACTTCAATGGCTTGTATACCATCTGAGTCACACAAGCTGATTAACGATTTGGCTAATTCGAATAAGCCCTGGCTTGGGGCGTTCTGCACAGTCACTACTTCGCGATGACCGCCGTTCGCGAAGAATTGGCCACTTTACTGGCCCAGATTGTCACACTGAAAGATAATGACGCCGAATCATTCGACGGGGCAGATGAGGATTTTAGCGCCATCAAAATGTTCATTACAATGTTTTCCAACTTTTCAACAGAAGAGCAGGAGCAGTCTGAAAGATTCAACTCGTGTTTGGCCGAATATGTGCACGAACAACTGGTGACAAGAAATATTGACGTAAGGGAAACAGAGGATAATTTCGAGAATCTGGACCCCGAACTGTGGTACGAGCTGTTTGAGTTGTCGAACAAACACTGCTATAGAGAAATTGGCATTGCATTTACCTTGATTTTGAGTCTTTTGCAGGCCTCGTTTGTTAATCGCCAAAAATTGGCTCGAGCGAGGGATATAAAGGTTTTCCTGTGGAACTACATAGAGCATGAGCGGAACGAATCTATTCGACAAATTGCGTCCGAGATTTTTGTCCAAATGTTATCGGTGCATTGCGAAGCAAGCGACTTTATTCGCTGCGTTATCAGCCCCGTTGAAAAGGAGATGTATCGTCTCAAAATTCTGCATTCGCTGGCCGTTCTACTCCGCGACCAGCGCTATCACAGCTTTTTCTCTCTTGAGAATTATTGGCTCCATATTCCGCTCGAAGAGCGACGCGGAGAAGTGACGTTATTAGCTTGGATATCGCTTAACTCCCTGACATCGAATAGACTCTTATCCATCGATGGAAGGCTACATTTGGAAATAAGAGAATCAAAGTTGTGTCTCTCAAATGACGACTGTGTCTTAGGCGTGTTCGAATCATACGAATTTTTCACGGATATTCTTTACTGCGTGTCTTTCGTTATTGGAACCGAAAGCATAAGTTTTCTGGTCGATGGGGTACCAGTAGACACTCTCTTTATATCGTCTCTTACCTTGAGGGCTCATAATTCAGTTACAATTGGCTCAGGGATTTGTTCGTTCAAGATCTTTAAGCTGTGGTTGTGGACAGAAGTTCTCCCTGAACCTGTAATTCGATTCTTTAGTGCTGGTGGGTTGTACCATACTAGAAAATGGAGCAGTAGAAGCCCGTCTGACGCAATCCTTGAAAACTGTGGAGACCACCTTGTCGGTGAGATTTCTTCGATCAATGAATTATCTGGTACGAGTTTAAGTGCTTTCAGGAGTGAACTCCAGTCCTTGAGCTATGACTCGCTCGTTATTGATTGGGTCCCTCCCTTTGTCGCGTGTGAAAGTAAAGATATTGGCAGCGACTCAACAATTGACTTGTACAAATCAGGTGAACAAATTGGAAAATGTTATTGTTTCAAAAGTGCAGACTTTACTGCCGCCATTGCATCGGGAAACATTGTTGAGAGGCTTTTGGACAATATGATAGACATCTCAGACATCTCGCAACTCCATTTCCTAACTGAAATCCTTTTTTCTCTATTGGAATTTCCATCCATAGAACATGAATTCGAAAAGAAATATAGTTTCTCAACACTCGCATACCTTTTCAAAGCTCAAACACTGCAACTGAAAACTTCGCTATCAATTCAATTTCTGTTACTGTTTTTGCAGTACTGTGGGTTTAGCGTTGCTAGCTCTAAAAGTCCGATCCTCAAGCACGTTAACGCTTTCAAGAATCTTATTTTGAATTTTGATCTTTGGAGAAGTGATTTTTTGCCGGACCCCTCTTCTGACGAGATCGAGACTATGCGATTTGTTCTTTTCCAGATAATAGAGCTAATGACCACTTCAGAGCACAATGTTTACAATTCGAGGTTGATGCAGCGACACGACATACTTGGCAATCTTTTGAGCCAACAACACTCTGCGTATTCCGGGAATGTCTCGAATTTTGTGTACTCGCTAAATGAAGAATTAATTGAACTCTATGGGACGCTTGTATGCGAGAGTCGTTCTTCTAAGTCCATCTACTCATTGCTCAGATTTTCATTATATGAAATTGAAAACTTCAATCTCCAAAGTGCCCTCATAGCTTTGAGGGCATCACGACTGGCTTTGCAGAAATTTGTGGCGATGAAGGATATAACGATCACGGAGAAGCTTATTGGCGCCGTGTCTATAAAAGTCATTGTCATGATCATGGAGTCCACAGAATCGCCGGACGCTCTTTTGATCTCCTTGGAGTTACTACTATCTATGTTGCATCTGAATGTTGAGGGCCGCGAGAACTTTGTGCGCAGCAACGGATATTCTTTGCTTTACGAATTTTTCATGAATTTTAAAGTTTCCGATTTTCCATCAGTTATAAGTTTGTTGTGGATGTATTCTTTGGGCCCTGACATATCCAATCGCGATGATCTGACATTGTTGACGTTCTTTGAGCAAAGATTTCTATGTGTTGAGAAAATCGCGCTTTTAGAAAATCACTACCTCATAGTTGATTTAATTGAATGGGCAGTGATTAACGATATCAAAGGGCGCTCACGAGAAGACGTCTCACAATCCACCAATTTGTACCTTGACATTATTGCTTCTTGGCAATCAACCACTCCTTCATGTACTCTTTTCGACCCCAGGAAATCTTCTTACCTCATAAAGCTACTTGAGCTTTATGTAACACTGACCAAACCCCAAAATTGCCATACTTACTCAATTGCATCTCAGAAGGTCTCGGAGTTGCTCGCGTCGTGTGTTATTGAAGGTATGATGTCTTTAGCCCCACAGCAGTTTGCTGAGTTCCTGGAAAGCATCGTCAAACCCAAGCAATCCGGTTATACTAACCTAAGACCATCGAGTCCCTCCAGAGTAAGTGGCTATATTGAGATGGTTTTTTGGCTGAGCGCTTTTCCTTCTATTGTTGAGCGACTCTATGGATTCATACCTACATTTGAGTTTCTCTTTGACCAGAATGCGAACATGTTCTCCAATTTCATTCACCTCCTGCAGAAAACTGCCGACTGCTGCGAAGCCGATGCAGCGAATGGTCCTCTGCTCTTGAAAGCTCACAAATGTGTCGTTTCTGCTTGTGAAACCATCGTAAGCTTGTCCTCGATCGATGTTAAACGTGCTGAACGTCTGAAAGTGCAAAAATTAGAGAATCGGCTGGTTTTTGAAAACTGCATGGTCTTTCGTGCAACTAATTCCTCTGCTTCAGAGGATTTGCTAAAGGAGTTTTTAGAGTCTCTTATGTTTCACCAGGAAATCCTCTTTTCTCGCGCCAGCTCCTTCCAGCTACTGACCAGGAGCAGTGTTGCGACCATTCTGACAGTTTTAGTTCACCGCGCCAATTATCATGATCCTTCAAATGCATCATTGATTCTGAATTGTTTTAGGGTTATCTCTTTACATCGAGTCGATGCTCTAGAGGAAATATCAACTGCAACTGAGAAGAAGGCGAGGGAGAAGTTTGTTCAAAATATGGCTACTCTTATCACATTAAGCGATGAGGAGCTTTCCTCTCTAATTACTCAAGAGGGCTGCCACACAATTTTCGAGAAGTATCTGAACAGTTCCTGCCCTCAAGGGGAAGAAAGGAACAAGATAGGAGAAAGTGAGAGAAAGAAAGGCACACTTGCTAAGCTCGCTACTTTAAGGAACCAGCAGATGGAAAACAGAGCGATGCGAATACAGAAATTACGACAAGCCTTTCGTAAAGACAGTCTCACCTTATATCAGAAGCACATAAGCGCTGAAGAAACTAAAATTTTGAACGATATTGCGGACCGAGAGGACCAGTCGACCTCGGTACTTGAGAAATTATTGGCATTGAGAACCATTGTGGCAGGCCGCAAATGGGTACAAGAGCGTTCTGGAGAGGAACCACTTTGGATGCTCGATTCTTCCGAAAATATCAACAGGATGCGTCGGCGCTTGCTTCCCAAATATCTGATTCCTACGTTTGTTCAACCGGAGCGACCTCTCTGTGGTCTCGGGGAGGGTGGTATTGTTCCTTCAAACTCTGTGTCTCATAACAACTCACAAATGCGGCGTTCCAGCATAATGTCTTTCGAAATTGTACATGAGTTTAACGGGCATGACACATATAGACCAGCGCCTCATAACAGAAACCGGAAGATACTGAAGCTTTTGAAAAATGATGACTCTATCAACCACATTTGGAACTGCAGCCACGTAATAGGGTTGCGCGTCAATGAGGGTATTCTTATCAAAGGTGAAAAGTACGTTTATCACATACGAAACTACTTTTTTTGTTCCGATTCCAATAAGATCATCGAATTGGCAGACGTATCACAGGCCATGCGCGATGGAGCCGTTAGTCTTATCAATCAACCTGACCACCATGAAAGCGGGAATATTCATCAACACGAAATGTTATGTTGGGAAATGTCAAAGCTGGCATTTGTTACCAAACGCCCATTCCTGCTGAGGGACTTTGCACTTGAACTAATTTTCGAACATGGGGAAAATTGCTTCTTTACGTTTCATTCAGCCTCTTTGAGAAACGAGGTATATCGCGAGATGAGCCATGACTGTAGGGCATTTGGAATTGATCCTCTTTTAGAAAGTTCTTTCAGGGAAATTGACCTGCGAAGTCACGATATCGGAATAAAAAATGGGCTGTTGTCCTCGAGTTTGTCAAGCAAATTTGTAAATGTCTTTTACAATCTGCAGGACGCTCAGTCGTCGTTTGATGCCTTGAAGAAATGGCAAAATGGACAAATATCGAATTTCTTTTATTTGATGATCGTCAACACATTGGCAGGCAGAACCTTTAATGATTTGACACAGTATCCGGTGTTCCCTTGGGTCATTGCCGACTATGATAGTGAAGTTTTAGATCTGGAGGATCCTAATACTTTTAGAGATCTTTCGAAACCTATGGGAGCACAATCAGAGAAGCGAATGAATCAATTTGTAGAGCGATATGAAATGCTTTCGATGCTGAACCAAAGTGATTCCCCTCCTTTTCATTATGGAACCCACTACTCTTCCGCAATGATTGTCTCTTCATATTTGATGCGTCTAGAACCGTTTGTGAGCTCTTTTCTCCTGTTACAAGACGGAAAATTTGGTCACGCAGATCGATTATTCAATTCAATAGGGCGTACATGGCGCTCTGCTGCCGTCGAAAATTCAACAGACGTCCGAGAATTAATGCCCGAGTTTTTCTATCTTCCGGATTTTTTGACAAATAAAAATCATTATGACATGGGGGTGCTTCAAAGTGGCGATGCGGCGGGCGACGTCGTACTTCCTCCTTGGGCCAAGAATGATCCAAAAATCTTCGTTCAAAAAAATCGAGAGGCCTTGGAGAGCCCATACGTCTCCAAAAGCTTGCATTTGTGGATCGACTTGATTTTTGGATACAAGCAGAAGTACAAGGAGGCCGAAGAGGCAGTTAATGTGTTCAATAAGTTAAGTTATCCCGGCAATATCAACTTGGATGATATTGATGACGAAAATGAAAAAAAAGCGATAACCGGCATTATTTATAACTTTGGACAGACTCCTCTTCAAGTTTTTAGCTCTCCTCACCCCTCCAAAAATGAGATTAGGGCACAACAGAATTTATTTGCTGCATGGTGTGAGGTGGCTAGTCGCCCAACCTCGCATATTGAGGCAACACTACCCATTTTAAGGGACAAGACGCGAGAGCCTTTGAGAGTGAGTTTGAACCTTATCAAAGCCTTGCCCTGGAGACCATGTTTCCCCAAATTGTGGGAAGAAGATATCTCTGTGAGAGGACCATCGCTTTCAATTGGTGGAAAGGTGTTTAGCGGTCTCCATGAAACCAAGGTGACGGCGTTGGTAGTGAACGAGTTTGAGATTCTAACAGCGGACAAAATTGGTGCCATTAAGTTATGGTCGCTTGATTCAACAGGTGGAGAATATGAGCTTAAAGAGGTGAAAACATTTTACGGGCATCTCTTCCGAGTAACCCAAGTTTTCCGTCTTGCGGAATATAGCGTTATTGTTTCTCTGGATTCAAATGGAACGCTCCTAGCATGGGACACGGTAAGTGGTGACATTATCCGACGTTTTGCAGAGGAAGTCAGATACGCTGCTCCCTCTAGCGTCACAGCCAATGTTGCCGTGATTAATCTCCAAAATGAGCTCACTATATTTGACATTAACGGTAATGCTTACGTCAACGTGAGCTTAGGAGAAGACGCCGCCACGTCTGTTGCTTTTGGCGAAGTTTACGATGCTGGTGGAAACATAGATAGACATCGCTACGAGGCGGTAAAAGACGAATTTGTGTTAGTGGGGTTCGCTTCGGGAGACTTGGCAATGTACAGGCTCAGGGCGGACACCGGTATTGGATTTTCTGCAGATAGAATCCATACATTGCATTTGAATACCAAAAATACTATCACAAGCATAAAAGCAGTCGCAAGGGAATTATCGGTAACCGGTTCTGGATCGGTAACATACGAATGCGCAGTCGCTGCTGGCAGCGAAGAAGGGTCCATTAATTGCTGGACATCGAAATAATCGGGAGGATTTGGAATTGTAAATCGTTAAGATGAATTGAATGACTATTAAATGCTATATCATTTTTGAATGCAAGATGCAAATATTTTGATTAAATAAGGTTTTTGAGCAGCGTTTGTTTCCCGATTTCGCTGCTAAATTCCATTTCGTCGACGTTCGATTTTATAAGTTTGACGACTTGTTTCGTTTTGCCACTAGATCTCCCAGAAGCCATAGTGACGACACCACAGCTTTCAAGTGCACTACAGATTTCCAAAAACTCATTACGCTGGAGAGGAGATATGGAATCCCTCTGTTGAAGTAGTTTAGCATAGTAACTGTAGGCATCGTCAAGAGAACATTGGGTCTCGAAGATATCGTATTTTTCTCTGTGAACCAAAGAACAGAGCACCAACCGCTGTTGCATGTTGAGCCTTGCGAGTCTAGCCTTGGTGGAAGTGCTGTTCATTACGGTGGAAAAAACTTTGGCAACGTGAGCGAGCGTCACTTTGGGTGGTGATGCCACCGTGCCGTCATCATATTCGGAGTTTTGTCTATTGGTTTTAATGCAGTCCAGTTCCAGCAGTTCGACGCTAGACCTTAGAACGTCGAAAAGGCGTCTCAAATCACCCGTGTTACCAGAACACTTTTTCGCTGCGAACTTGATCGCAACGGGCTGGAAAAGAGGTTGTTCACCGATAGTTGAGACCTTGTGCATAACGATTTCGTACATTTCGTCGGCAGTATAAGGTGCGAAAACGACGGTCTTGGGCAAAAGTTCTTGCTGTAGATTCAGACGTGCTAGAAACCGGTCTTTCATGTCCAAACTGTTGGCAATGCCGACAAGTGCGAGTCTCGTGTCGCGACGTTTTGCCAATAGGAATAGATCGAAAATGATCTTGGTCGCAGAGGCATCCTGGGCTTTGGAAGTGACCAATTTGTCGAGCTCATCGAGTACCACGATGAAGGTGGTGTTGGGGTACCGTTGCATGAATTGTGACAATTGATCCGCACTGCGGACTGAGTCACAACTGCTGTCCGAAAACGACTGACAGATTTTGGCAAAAATGGATTCTGCGTTGCTCAGCGCAATGCAATTGATGCTGACCACGGCCACAGGTGCATATTGACCCTTGGAGACTTCGAAAAACGCAGTATTACGCAGATTCGAGTCCGGATGCTGTTGATGCCGTTGTGTCAGCGGTATCGCATGGAATTTTTCACGGAATATCAGATCCAATTGTGCAGTCTTGCCCGTTCCAGGTGGCCCCGTCACGTACAGCGAGTTCCCATGACGAGACTCGACTGTGTCCTGCAGAAACCGCATGACTTCGTCGTATTGTGACTGACGCGTGGGAAGACACGCTTCTTGGTGTGTTTCCAAGTCCGAACACCGTTGTAACGCGGCTTTTGTCCGTGACACTGTCGCGTCGCGACCAAATACAAGTCTCTGGCCCTTCCCACGCAATGCCGTCACTGGTTCTCTTACTTGCGTCTTCACCGGGTCCATAGGCATTTTCGCCGGCGACGCCGGAGGCGTCGCTGGCGGTGTCGCCGGCATCGTCGCATCACAGTTCAGCAACCGCTTCTTTGACATTGGTTCTGACCCAGCCACGCTACAACGCCGTTTCGTCACTGTCCCCACAGTATTCAAAGGTCTGTCTTTCAGCATATTACACATTCCTCTACCTCTACCGATCTACACTATCCTCAGGTATAACTGCCCAGGCGCATCGCACATATATACTTGATCGGCTTGCGCTGCATTCGCGCTGCATTTTACGCGTCTTTTTTCACTCGAGCTTACGCGTCTTTTTCACCAGCCATCGCGTTTTTGTTTTTTACTGTTCACGTTACAAGACGCGTCTTGCAACTGTTGTCAAAGACGACAAGGGCAATGGAAAGCTACTAACACTTCCTGTTAAGGAAAAGTGGTTGATCCGGTGGGCTAGCACTCTTCAACGCGAACGTCGAGCGGGACGCGATAGACCTGCAGTGGTAAAGAAGAGAATGGGGGAAAGACGGGGGAGTCAAATACAAGTCAAAGCGTTGGTTGCGATACAGGCGGCGATGTCTGGAGAGTTTCCTACGTTGTGGGGGGCTCGTTGCGGGTTTCAGACTTGTCTGGAAGTTAGCAGGTGTGGAAAAAGTTGATAGCATCTTTCACGAACAATTGTTACATCATTTTATACGCATTTTAGTGGCACGTCGTACGAATATTTATATGTCATTGTGAACGATTTTTCTTGATGTCTTCTTGTACGAAAGGACTTTCAGTTTTCAAACTTGAACTCATAGAGAAACAAGACTTTCTTTAAGAACTCGGTCACCCAGGGCCAGACCCAACACAGGCATACAGTTTTGTTTTGGAGCCGAAGAGCCGTGATCTGGAACGTTTAGAGGTATATCGCCTGGGGCGTCCCCTTTTTCGCGCAAAAAATGGGTTCATCGCACAGATTAGGCGAAAAGAAAGCGTACAGTTACCAGGGCCGAAACAGCGGTCGACATGAGGCGTACGGACGGGCAGGACCCGGTGTGCAAGGCGCAGGGCGTGGTAGTGGGGCAGTGAGCGATGCCAGGACCGGCGGGACCGGGGTCCCAGGCGCTCGCCGGTCGCGGTATGACCCGGTTTCGGGCAGCGGACCGCATCCTGCACTGCAGTCGCCTGCACACACAGCACAACCGTCACAGGCGCCATATCGCGCTACGAGTCGATATAATCCTGAGACAGGACACACATGGGCAGGCGGCCATGCGTCTATGGCCGTTCCACGCACCAGCTCTGAGGGACACATCTCGGGGATGCGATGGGGCAGCAGCCGATATAACCCACAATCGTCGCATGTCAACGGTGGTGTCGCTTTTTCCGACGTGTTCACGAAGCGAAAGTCGTCTACGGCATCTTCGGCGACCTCCGTTGAAGGTCGCGATGGTCGCGACGCGTCGGATTATCACAACGTCAGAGACAGTTTTGGCGGTAGAAGGCGAGCGAGACGAGATTGGCGCGACTGGCGAGATCAGCAGCCTGGTCCTGCTCCTTACCAGCAACTGCACCAACAAGCTGATCCTGCTCCTTACCAGCAACCTCATCAGCATGACCATCCGCATTCAAGCCATCAACGGTCCCCCATGCCCCATTCCCCTACGCACTCGACCAGCAGCACTCCGCGAGACACTCGGTACCGCGAGGGACCCTTCACGGCCAGCGAAGAACTTCCAGTTTTCTCAAATGGTGCCAAACTCTCCAACGCGCACCGTGCATCCATTCCTAGTCCAAAGAGTCACACAATAGCTGCGTTGAAACCTGAGTCGACCGGCGAGGATTCACCACGCGAGACCCTACAACCCGAAGCTACGAAAGAAATACCAGAAAGCTCGGATCTCCCGAAAACCCCCGCGCCCGTGACCGACAGCGTGCTCGCTACGAAAGAATCACCTGAGACTCCCGACACAGCTCAAGAAAACTTAGTTTCCTCCAAGATCTCAGCACCTCTGATGGATAGAATGCCTGTCGCGAAAGAATCAAACGCTGAAATTCTCAAACCCAAGCTTGAAGATCCCGATGACTCAGAAATACGTATTTCAGCAGCTGCCAAGGCCAGCCCCGAAGAACCTTGTTCTAAGATCGAGTCCTGCATTTTTCCTTTGACTTGTACTGAAATGAGGCTATGGGAATTGAAGAATCGGCGTCGTGCAAACAGAATCAAACATCAGAAATATCTATTGGCGGTGCCGATCAAATCTTTACAAGATTACCCATTCGTGGCGCCAAATTTTGTGCTTCACAATCAAGCTACAAGGTCCATCTTAACAAAAGCACTCTCGCAGGAAAAGCGCGCCGTATACATTCGGAAATTAAAGATGAGGCAAGAAGTTATACATTTGAAAAAAGAGTGGAAACTCAAGTGTGAAAAGATGGATTTTGTAAGTGCTGAAGTCAAGAGGAAGGAGCAGGAAGAGCAGCAGCGATTACAGGAGGCTGCGCGTCAGTCAGAAACTGAAAATATCGAGAATCAACCTTCACCACAGCCGAATCAGCAGAACCAGCAGCAAGAACCACAGTCTCACCAACAGGCAGAGCAGCAACGCGCTGGTAGCAGAAGAAGGAACAGAGGAGATTTTGTCGATGACGCTGAAATTGAAAATGTTTTATTGCAAATCGATCCTGATTATAGGCATCACCAACTTGCTGCAAAGATACCCGATATGCATTTAAATCCCTATGACCGGTTTTCTTATAAGTTTCAAGATGTCAATAACCTCGTTACGGACAAAGCCTCTTGGGCTAAAAGGGTATCTACAGATGGTATCGACACTTTTAGTGACGTCGAGCACGCCTTATTCATAGAGGGCTTTTTATCGCATCCCAAGAAATTTGGGAAAATCTCGCAGCACATGGGTGGTTTAAGGACTCCGCAAGAGTGCGTTTTGCATTACTACAAAACGAAGAAGGCCACAGATTATAAACAACTCATACTTGAAAAGAAGAAGAAGCGGAAACTCAGTATGGGACGCCGGCGCAAAGATAGAGAGAAGGGGAAGGATAGACAAGGAGAAACCGATTCTAATATCGTCGAGAGGGGCACCAGGGAAAGTACCGAACTTTCTTTAGAGGATGCCGAAAGAACCTTGGATGAGACCGAGGACGAAGGTCGTCCACCTTTCAAGACAGCTGATCAAGAGCCCGAGGTGGTCGAGGAGGCCGTGAAGCAGGAACCCTTGATTCTCGCGGATTCATCTGCTGCTACGGGTCTAGACGCGGGTCGGCGGGATCTGCAACAGGAAGACGAGCGGATTTCTGGGGCGGCGCAAGAGCCACTCGAAATAATTGATACCGAATTCAAGAAAAGAAAACTTCAAGAAATAGAAGAAGTCACGAATGACATTCCAAATCTGCAACCGATCGCACCTGCTGGTGTATTCGTTGAAGAAAGGGATCGAAATGTCTCTAGGGATTCTTCAATGGGTGGCAGCTCAACCGCACTTTCAGACCGTGAGAAACATGCTAAAAAGAAACTGAAACCATCAGAGAGCCATCAAAAGTCAAGTTATTGGAGCGTCAAAGAAACTAGTGTTTTTCCAGAGCTCTTGAAAGAATTTGGTACTCAATGGGCGCTTATATCGAAGAAGATAGGCACCAAATCCACGACAATGGTGAGAAATTACTACCAACGGAATGCAATTCAGATGGGATGGCAGAACATTGTCGAGGAAGTTAATGTGAACCGGCCTCCTTGCCAGCAAGATTTCGTAAACCAGCAGACCACGTCTATGGCTGAAAATGTGCCAGCGCAACAGAAACCTTACGTTAGCTTTTTTGCCGAAAGCGACTCAACTTCGATTTCAACCCCAACTCATACTTCGGTCTGCCTACGAGGCGAAACATTTTCTCAGCAATCAACACCGCAGGGACTACCCCCGCCACGTTTGCCGACCATCACCTTTCGTGCGGGACCCGATATCAACGAACTCATGAACCAAAGTAAAGATTCTCAGCCTGCATTGACCACGATTTTAAGCTCGAGGGCGCCAGACGCACAACATCCACCAGCGGTTCACTTTCCATTAAACGTCGTTACGGCACAACATCCTTCGAGTGGATCATGCTCGCCGGGGACGTCGTCGCAGGCAGCGCCGTCTAGTCGGAGGTCATCCATCAAGAGTCTTTTGAACGCCGACGACCAAGTACATGAGCCACAGCCTGCCCTGTATCCACAACCTGATACTCAGGCTGCTAATGTGATTGTGCAGGAGCTACAACCCACGAGCTTCCCAACGTCAGCCACCCCGTCTCCGTCGACTAATAATGGTCCGCATAAAAAGCTCAACCCTTTGTCGTCCATTTTGAATACCACTACTCCAGAAGCGCCTAATAACCCACCTCATATCCATCATCGTACTGCTGGCAACGCTGACACCGCTGGCGCCGCAGGTACCGCTGGTCCGGCTGACGCCCGTGTCTTGCGCACGCCTGTTCTTCATGAAAATTCGACGACAACTGGCATCACCACTGCCAGCACTCACAATCCTCTAAACCAAAAAATGATAGGGTTCAATTTTGCAAACAACCCACTCGCCGCGCTGGCTGCTGTTGCTTCCGCTCCAGAAGCACTTACCACTTTTTTTCTCAACCTGCACCAGAGCATCCCCACGAGTCTCAACCGACGGAGGCCCCGTCAAAGCACAAATCCAACTGAATCTCACAAGTAAAACACAAGCTTTAAATACTCGCCCAGTTAGCTAGTTGTAATATAATCACTGTAATGATCTCCACTTTCTAACGGTTTGGCACATAATTGAGTAACAATTGAGTATATTCGTACATAGCTATATCGATAGTTCCATCAGGTAAGCAAGAAAACCGTCAAATTTTTGTTTACATGGCGTCTCTTAACCAACTACTTTCTGATTAACCCAGATAAAAGCGGTTTGCGGTTCTGGTCAAAATGCTGTCAGCCATTCAACCATATACTGTTACGTTGTTGAACAAATACCCTTGGCTAGCGGAGTTTTATCCAACAGTGGAGAGGCCATTTTTCAATATTTCGTTATGGGAAAACTTCGACTTCGCGGTGACCAAAGTTTCGCAAGGCAAGTTCATACCCAGTCAATTTGAGTTTAAAGAGGGTGAACTACCTTTGAGCGAACTTCCTCAAGTTTTGGGCGTCATTTCTGCGTATTATATCATTATTTTTGGTGGAAGGGCTTTATTGAAAAACACTAAACCGTTCAAGTTGGATTTCCTGTTCCAATTCCACAACTTGTTCCTAACCCTGCTTTCTTTGTCTTTAGTGATTTTGATGGTTGAACAATTGATCCCAATGATCAATAAATATGGTCTCTTTTATGCCATTTGCAACGCTGGCGCATGGACTCAGCCTTTGGTGACGCTTTACTACTTCAATTACATCACGAAATACATCGAATTCATCGACACGATTTTCTTAGTTTTGAAGCACAAGAAATTGACGTTTTTGCACACCTATCACCATGGTGCCACTGCTCTCTTGTGTTACACTCAATTGATTGGTAAAACCTCGATTTCGTGGGTCGTCATTTCTCTCAATTTAGGAGTGCATGTCGTCATGTACTGGTACTATTTTCTGGCTGCCAGAGGTATCAGAGTCTGGTGGAAAGAATGGGTAACACGTTTCCAAATTCTGCAATTTGTCTTGGACATCGGGTTCATTTATTTTGCCGTGTATCAAAAAGTCGCAGATGAGTTTCTCCCAGCATTACCACACTGCGGTGGATGTGTTGGTTCTACACCTGCTACTTTCTCCGGTTGTGCCATCATTTCTTCCTATTTATTTTTGTTCATTGCATTCTACATTGAAGTGTACAAACGCAGAGGCACCAAGAAATCCAGACTCGTGAAGCGCGCCCGTGGTGGTGTCGCTGCAAAGGTCAACGAATATGTTAACGTTGATTTGAAGAAGGCTTCTACTCCATCGCCTTCGCCAGCGCGTATTTCTGGCAAGCGCTAAGTTGCTACGACAAAAAGGCTTTACAATTCACACCAAACAGAGTGTGAGAAATCTTTAAAATTTGCTTTTATCCAAACTTTCTCCACCTTGAAAGCTGGGAAACCTTGTGTAACTCTATCATGTAGCTTCTTTTCTAGATTTCAAGTCTAAAGCTCTTTCCCGAGAAAGTGAAAGCGATTTCCTGATAGCATCTGTATCAATCTTCGCGCCTCCACCTACAAAACTCAAATGCTTGAGTTTCCCATTTCCATCTGTGAGAATGGAGAGAGTGGACTTGATGGAAGTTTCTTCTGCTTCGCCCTGTAAATCTGCAATTAAAACGGAGGTGGGGCTGTCAACTTCCATTTCGTTGTCTGTCTGACGCACCTGGGCCTCCGGATCTAGATCAATTACACCAAAATTTGAGCCATATGAGATGTTGCCCAGATTCAGTTTCAGAGGCTTGAATTCTGTAGGGTCGCATTGGATGTCGTACGTCTCGCGAATGGTTGCACTTCGGCCTCTTACTCTAACGGGTATTTTGAGGTCCGTTGTACGTTCATCGACAAAGGCGCAAGGAAGCAGCGTTCTCTGTAGAGCGTACATGAGCGAATTCCAACACATTTCGAAAAGAGGACCATCACGACTGAAGACTTGAATTTTAGCGTACAAGACAAATGACCACTGTCTTTTCAAGTTAAAATTGCGGGTGTCTGCGCCTCCAGTCTCGTCGCCTGAATAGAAAATTTCGGAAGTTCCGTCTTCATTACGCGAGCGTACACCCACCGGTACTTTTAACGATTCCTTCGGTATAATTCCCGATGAAATGATGTTATCATGTATTCTCTGGGAGAGAATCATCTCCTCATCGGTAGGAGCACCTAAACGTCCACGTTCGACTTCGACAACTGGATAAACGGCACCATATTTCGCCAATCGGTCCGATGCCAAGGACATCTGTCTGAGCTCTTGTTCTCCTTCATCGAATCCAGTGGCTGGTTGAGTTTCCTCTACCATACCGCCTGTGATAGATGTAATCACAATTGTACTTCCAGATTTCAGCACATTTGAACCCAGAATATCGTTTTCAGTGGCGCCTGTGACAGATCTAAGCGGTCTAGAGATACCGCCCTCGCTAATGCTGACGTCCCTAAATTCTGTAAAAGATCGCAGACATGGTCTGAGACCCAACCACAAGTGTCTTTGAATGGACAAATCTGGAGCGATTCGGGCCAAAATTTCGGCAGGGAAACTCACAGGACGTACTTCTAACGGTTCTGACATCGTCTAAAACTCCCTTAGACGGTTGAGTACCAGTATGGAAATCCTACAATGCGATTTATTTGTTACATCAAAATTTCGAAGGTTGTGAAGAGATTCAAGTAATTTTTCACTTGTCAAGTTAGTACTCATACACGTACACCCAAGCTTAAAGCGGAAACAGGGCATACCAGCAGTAAGGACTGGATCTGCAACAAATCTGGAGAAACCATTGAATAGCAGAAACTTTACACATCAAAAACCCAGGTTTTTTCTCACATTTTAGCTCATCTGTAATCCACAAGAAAGTCCTAGAGATGGCAATTGTCTTTCCAAGAGCTTTAGCGCTTTAAGGATGATTACCTAGGCATCCTTGCGAGAGGGAATTAATCGTGGTTTAAGAGAGACGTGTATTGAGGCTACTATTCAAATGAAATTGCCGAATGTTTTTATTTTCCCAAGTTGCGAAAATTCATACAATTCTTAAAAAACATATAAAAAAATCAAAATTACTATGGAAGATGCATTACATGACCGTGGAAAACTCTCCCGCTTTAAGCAAAAAATGTCGAGATCTTCCCCCTCTTAATGCCCGGTCACGAAGGCTTCACATCCACTTGGCCTGAAATCCTTGGAGAGGAGCATGCGATAGGTAATACGGTCAAGTTGAATTATTACGTGACCATAATGACAATATTACAAAGGCTTGAACAGACGGATTCGGCTTCCATGGAAGGCGTAGATCAAAGTGATTAGTGTCATGGAATCGCAAAATTGCCAAAATTACCACTGGTAGGAAGGATACCGTAAGGAAAAAGTTTTTAGCGCTTATTTCAGAAAGCAACGGGCGAGGGAGAAATACAGTATAATGATAAATGTATAAACAAAGACGATACTCGGCGACAGAATTGTTGTATAAAAACTCTCTACCTGTGTTGGGAATGCTAGTAAAACTTTTGATATCACGTGATTGAAATGACAGAATTGTATCAGATGATCTAACGGGAAACTCTAATCCGACTCAAAAGAAAGCCGTGAGAGTCCAAATACTCCCAGTAGTGACCTTAAGATGATCACATTACTACTGGACGACCATCAGTGGTATGTTAGACGTCCTGAATTAAAATTGTATTTTTTCGTTGCAGAGTAATAACAGATCGACGAAAACGATATTACAAGAATTGTCCAGAAGATGGTGATATGACCACTTTTTGAGACGCCATATTCTCAAAATAATCACAGAGATATAAATACATAATATCTGATATTCACAATTGAGGAAGCTAAGCAAGTGACCAAGTAGGAAGACTATTAACTGCTGGTCCTTACCATCCTCAATAAAATCTCTCGTGTGGTGTTTGTGAATTTTTGTAACTCATAGGAACGAACAGAGAGTCCGCTAATCAATAAAAGTAGCATAAAGGTCAATTGAAGCATTTTAGCGTTCAGACGAATCCTGATTTCTGTAAGTATTGTTTGGCGCCATTAAACCTTATAGATAGTGAAATATATCGTACACAATGACATGAACATCAGCAACGACAGTCAGATGTAGATAAGACCATCTCTTGAACTAACAAGAGTCGTCAAGTCCCAAGTCACGTAGACGGTATAAGAACACCATAGAATATATGTTGGTAACCGTATTTGGATCACTCAATTATGATTTAGTAACGTTCACGAAACGTGTTCCCAACGCCGGCGAAACGTTCGCTGCCGATAGGTTTGAAACACATATCGGAGGGAAAGGTTTGAACCAGGCAGTGGCATTAGCAAAATTGAGATCACCGACGTCGAATATCAAGGTCGAAATGATTGGAAGCGTGGGCAAAGATGCCTTCGGAGAGGAAATTTTGCAGTGTTTACAAGAAAATGGTGTCTGCGTCGAGAAAATTAGAACATTGACGGAGGTCAAGACTGGAGTTGCAACAATTTTGGTGGAAGAAAACAGTGGTCAAAATAGGATTTTGATAGCAGCAGGGGCCAACGGATGTACGGATTATGTACCAGAAACTCTCGAGAAGTTGTTTCCTTCAGATAATCTGCCCAGCTTGGATTACGTTATTTTCCAGAACGAGATTCCTGGGACAATTCCGACTATCCAGTGGCTCAACGCACACAGACCTGGTCATAAAATTGTGTACAACCCTTCACCTTTCAAGGAGACTGATAAGCAAATATGGGAATTGGTTGATGTGCTGGTGGTGAACGAAATTGAAGCGCTTCAAATTGTTAGTTCCGTTTACAGTGTGCGAGACGCAGAACATATGGCCCTGAAAGCCTCCAAAAATGCCATTATGGGATACAAATCGATAGCAAATGCTTTAACTGGAGACTTGCTCACCAATGGAGACGACAGCGGTGTTATAATAACTTTGGGTGAGCTTGGTGTAGTTTTTAAGACGAAAAAGGACAAAGAGGCCAGCCATTTGGAAGCAGCGAAAGTTGCCAAGGTGGTTGACACGACCGGAGCCGGTGATACCTTTTTGGGTGCAGTAGTTACACAGCTTTGCTCGGGAGAGTCGATGCGAGACGCTGTCGCATTTGCCGTTAAGGCAAGCGCCATTGGCATTCAGCGTAGTGGCGCGGCAGAGAGCATACCTCTCTTTAATGAAATACTTTAGAAATGCAAACAAATTGATTTTATACATGCTGGGGCTTAGACCCTTAGAGACTCGCTGGCCCTGTCGCTACCATCACCAGTATCTTCACTATCTGACGTGCCGAAACTCATTGCAGGAGATTTGAGACACTCCTTCGAATTATCTCGAATTAATCGAAGTTTCTTTCGATTGACGTCGCCTTCATTTAAAGATATCCTCCTTACTTCGTTGATCTCTAACGCTGGACCCTCTGAAACGCTTGTTAGATTATCGTCTTTGACCTGACAGCTTTCTTCTTCCATGTCAAAATTATCTGCGTCGATTTCGTCTTCTGTCAAATTTTCCAGATGGAACGACTTCTGTCTGTCATTGAACTCTTCAAGCTTCAAGTCGTTATCTCTGCGGGCATGGCTAATAATTTCCTCGAAGTGCCTCCCACCACAAACCTTATTTGCAGGATTACGACGGCGATAACATAATAGGTAAGCCGCACCGGAGACAGATTGCTCGGGACTCGTTTCACTGACCCGAGAGTCGTCGAAGTAGTACCAATTATCATCAGCAAAATTTTTCACGTACGCTGTGTAGTGACCACCTCCCATACCACCATAATGATTATCAACTGCAATCAAGTCATATATGTTGGAATCTGAAACTTCTTTAGAAGCTAAAAAGGGCGAGATATCAAATCCTGAGATGGGGAACTCCACTAAGTCATTAATTTTATCGCTAAATGAGTTTCTATTCTGAAAGCGCTTTAGATGTATGAGAAGGATATCAGGTGTACTCCATAACTCAATTCTTTTTAAAGCCTGGCGGTGTTCTTTACAATTGGGACAGTACCAAGAATCAGTTGCCCCCAAAACTTCTGGCTGAGAAAACAAGCCAAGACATTCATCGAGTTTGATCTCTTTTCTTTCATTCCCGCCCCGTTGATTTCTGAAAGCTTCCAGCTTTGCATTCGGTAAAAGGGCTGGCCTGTCCCATGTGGACAGATTGGCATCAGAGAAAATCTCCGCAGCATTTTCATTCCATTCACAAATTATGACAGAACGTGACTTGATAAGCTGCTCTCGAGGGTACTCTAATATTTGGCCATTTTTGCCCTCCTCCGAAATATTGCTATTTTTCGAGGTAATTCCATTTTCGAGACCAACACTTTGATCAGTATCGACGTCCATGTCAGAGTGGATTGGCTCAGAATTTTCCTCAGAGTCTTTTCGCTGAGACAAAATCGACACATCCTCAATCCGCGCCAACGATGCTAATTCCTTCAGCTCTTCGCCTTCTGACTCACTCAAGCCTTTGTAATTATAGATATCACGGACAATATTGCTCAAGGACGAAAAAATCTCAGTGGCAGCCGAAATATCAGCACGAGGACTTGGAGTCCAGACCGAATTCGGCAGAGAACCGTTTCGTTCGCCATTTTGGCCAGCAACTGATTCAGTATTGTGATTTAAAACTTTAATATTGAAGAAAGCATTAAGGTCTTCATGTGGCACGCAATAAGAAATATCGCTTTCGAAGTGAGAAAGGTCAATACCGGCATACTTGAACTTTAAAAACGGAAGTTCCTCCGCAGAGGTTTTACAATTCTTGCTCAACAAAGGAAATTCAGCAAAACCTCCGCTTAGGTAGCAATATGCCTTTTCGAGCTTGCTTCTTATAGCACCGTAGGAGAAAACTTCTTCTTGATTTAGAGTTATGAAGAAGGGAAATCCGAAGAGCTTTGCCGTCGTAAATCCTTTTTCGATTCTTGAGTTCAAAACAGGAACAACTATTTCGCCTTGTTGACGTGGAACCTCATAGAAAACTGACGTGTCACTTTCAGAAATTAACTCGCTCAACGGCAGAAACTTGGAACCCGAATCACTGGTTTCGAAATTACTGTAAAATTGATGACCATAAATGTCGACTCCGATCAAATCTTTAGCTTCCATGTTTGCACAATTGGCGATATAATGTTTAAGATCCTCATATGTTGAAGTTCTTGATAGCTGCACCTCTAATGTACACGGAGGTGAATTTTTGGGAAACAAGAGAACCTTTGATGTCCAATGGCTTTCAACAGGAAGTGGCAGTGTCAAATCGTTGTACGGGTCAAAAGTTATTGAGATCTTCTTGCACTCGGGACAGATTAACGTCGATTTGTACATGCCTACAAAAAGATCAGTGATGATTGAATCATTGCGCAGCTTGTGCTTTTGCCATGTACTTTCTGCAAGGTTCTTGATCACATCTAGATCGTGCACATCATCCGAGGCTTTCAGTTCAGGCTTTTCCACATAGGGCTTGGCTTTTATCCTATTCAAATCTTCATGTAGACCGTCAAGTAAAAATGCTAAAAACTCCTGGGAGTCTTGCTGTAAATAGCCGGAAAACAACGAGTTATAACGCCCAATTGCCGTTTGAAAGCTCCTAGGAACATATGAAGTCAACGAGTTTGTCTCACTAAAAAGCTTGCAAACCAAGGTGCCAAAGGCCTGCGCAATGTGTCCCGAGTAACCCAACGGGTTTTGCGGATTGAGTTCTTCTTCGAAACATCGATACAGGAAGTAATCTTTGACCTCGGGAATGTGGACCAAGCACTGAATTGCAGAATTCATGTAGCAGCTGTTCCCCAAGTTAGAAAGCCCTGTGATACCTTTGGAAGGGGTGAGTGGGTGGTAAAAAAAGTAGTTGGATGGCCAGTGATGGGTCTTGTTGCGTACCTTATACTCCACAACCAAATCAACAACCTGAAATTTGACATCTTTCACTCGTATTCTAAACATTTCAGTAGTGATCCTCCGCTTTAAAGGCATTTCTGCGAAATCCAGAAGACTCATCCTATACTGAGACATCTTCATCTGCTCTTTGACGGATTGGCTATTTTCTTTGACGTACCAGACCCTGCTTTCGTGAACGGTTGGATTGAAACTAGCCTCATTGGCAGCGAAAATCTCCAAACAGCGCTCATAAACATCTTCTATGACATTTAACTTGCTTTTCGTGAAAAATAAAGGTCGCATTTCTGATTGATACCTCCGCCTTTCGTCTTTTTTCTCTGTCAATAAATAGACTCTGAACAAGCTCCGTTGATATTCAGCATGCAAAGTTCCTTGCTCATCAGCAACTAGAACTGTTTCAATTGGTTTCGAGCCATACGATAGTCCATACCATTCCATGAATTTTTCAAAAACAGACTTCGGCACCGCTTGGTAAGCAATCGAGTGGTGGTCCTCGAGGATCCCATTATTGAAATCTTTACAAATGGAGAGGGTATCGATTGGACCCATGTCCTGCAAACTTTTAAGATTCGGATCCCAGAATTTCTCATGCCATGAAGACGGAATGACAAATACCGGATCACCTTCTTTAGCAATTTCGTAACTTTTCTCATTTAAATTCGAAATTAAGGCTTTCTGTTCTTCAATGCTAGGCAGCGCATCGACGGCCATATTATCACTATCCATCCCAACTTCATTCTTTCCAATCTCCACACTCCTACCAACATCTATAGAATCATTGACAGAAATGGTTTCACTGTTCTCGTCAGCTGTCGATTTTACGTCACTTGAATTTTCATTGGTAAGCTCCATCGACAGAGATTTTTCCTAAAGTTATGCTGGGGGAATAAACCTTTTACAAAACCTTCCACCCAAAACAAAACATGCAATTTCAAAAGCTGTCCGTTTAAAGCCGTATCAGATTAAAGTTTGCAAACTTCGTGTGGTCTAATTGCCTCCTACTTGAGGTATACTTTAACTTTATCGATTTTTCCAGATTTTGCAGAGCTGCTAGTCTTGATACCTTTTTTTTTGCCACATTGATGTCACTGAAAACGCTGAAGGATCAAAGCTGGTCGAGAATGATTAACACCGGTCTCGATCCACATGAAAAGGACCAGTAATCGCAGTTCATAGGCTACATTTTTCGTTAATATGGCGCTGTCTTCGTGATGGACGTATGCCATCTTTATCCAAATTTATAATATTTAAAAATTAACATCATGAGGCACCATGAAGCACAGAATTCATAATACCGAAACCTAAGGTGATAACGGAAATGAAGGCCAAGAAAGAGGATGGCACACCCCTTGTGATGAAAGTGTTGACATTTAAATAGCGGTTACCAACTTCGTCTGTCATTGAAATGGCCGTGACATTCGGGAAACCCGAAGAAGCCAGACCCATACCGCAAGAGGATAAAAGTGCACAGCCAAAAACCAAGATTGGCGCCGCTTTTGCGTTTGGCAGCTTATCACCAATTTCCTGCATGAGTGGGATAATAATGATGGCTGAAACGGTGTGGGACACGAAAGTACCCACGACTAGCATGATAACACCAAAAATGATCAAAACTGCGTAGAGCGGATAATCCATGATTCTTTTCTCGAGCGCCGTAGCGATGGTCGTCAACAAGCCAGAAGAAGAGACCGCTCCACCTAATGCAATACCACCCATCGCCAAGATGACGATGGACCAGGGGAAGTTGTTGATGTCTTGAGTCGTCAGTAAACCGGTACCGAAAAAGAGAATGATGGGCAGGATAGCGATCTGACCGGACGAGCCAAACACGTTTTGAAGTTTTGACAAAACGCACCACAAGATGATAGTTCCGAGACAGACGAAAATGATATAGTACTGCTTCAATGTGAACCGTTCTTTAATGGGAGAATACTTTTTCAACTGAGTTTTTTTAATGTCGAAAGTGAGAATGAGTAGAACCCAAATCAGCAACATGGAGAGAATCCCAGACGGTAGGGCAATTGCGAAAAATTGACCCCATCCGACGCCGTAAGGTTTCAAGTAGTTCATGGAAATGATATTCTGAGGAGACGAGATTGGAGAAGCCATTCCTCCCACGTTTGCAGACATGGCAACACCTAAGACTAAAGCTCTTGCAAAGGGAGAATTGGTGTCCAATGATTTCAACAATGGTTGAATCAAAGAGTAAGTGAGAACAGGCGCGGCAACGTTTGAGATCCACATAGACAAGAAGAAGACGACTCCCATAACCATCAGAAGAACGTTCGCCGGTTTTGTGCCTGCAAAGGCTAGTAAATAGGATGCTAGCACCTTCGCAATGTTGTACTTCGATAGAGCGGCGGCTAACGTGAAACCGGCAAGTAAAACCATGATAGTCGAAGACCACATTAGAGAAAGAACTTGGCTCGAAGCGGCGGAGGCCGTCATAACATGCCCATGTGAGTCTCTCAAAACGCGGAAAAGAACAACCAGTAGAGGTACTAAAAAGGCCGTGACGAACAATGGGATAGCTTCAGTTGCCCATAAAAATGCAACACATGCAACAAGCGCCATGCATCGATGTTCTACCTGATCTGTGAAGGTAGTAACACCTAATAAAATTGCGGTGAGCGCTATGATTAGGAAAATCTTGAGTGACTTAATAGTGAAAAACAATTTTGGAATGCTGATTTTGTCGATGACGAAATATTTGAAATTGATAGGTCTCCTTAGTTTCCAACTGTAATATTCGAGGTTTGTATTGTCCAAATTGGTAATATCACCGTTAGCACTTGGCCTACCGGCTGAAGCAAAAGTTGTGTCGTGGGATTCGAGTCCAAGCATGTCCTTCCATACCGTGTTTCTTTCCCAAACTATGAAATCTCTCAGATAAGACCTGAGCTCATCTTTTGCCGCAGAGATGTCTTTGTTTGTAGTTACAGCAAAGAAATCTATCAACCGCATTATTTTGAAATTCAACACTTCCAAGGTCGGTGCTTGAAACACATAAACGTCTTTGAAAAACTCGCCCGATTCAATCAACTCGCCCCTTATGTCCGTTTCAAAGTTCTTATCGAATTTTTTGGTAATTTTCAAAAAACCAATGCGATTTAATTCAATGAACGATTTCAGCTGGGCCAAATCCACATAGAGATCTATTATATTTTTCTTTAAGATGGCCCGTTTTTGAGACTTGATATTAAAATCGGAATAGGTCAAGAGCGCCGTGTTTTCTTCGCCTCCTTCGCCATCAAAATCTTCCTCTTCATCATCCTCTTCGTCCGAACCATGCTCGTAAGCGGTTTCTGTATCCCCACGCAATAGAGCTGGGTTACCAGACACCGCAGTACTAGACCTACGGCGTAAATGTGCGGATGATCCCTCGTGTCTCAAGGCACCTACTTTCTCGAGATCCCCTACTAAAGTGTCAAAACGAGAGTATAGCTGCACTTCGAGCGTTTTGTAAAAATCATCGATCTTAGTCCTCTCATCTACAAGACGACTCAAAAATGTGTCCTGTGGACTGAACAACGTCGGGTCACTCGATACCGAGCTCCGCCGATCAAAATCGACAAGAGACTGTAGTTTGTTTTTGGATTTTTTCCTCATGTCGCTGAGCTCGACTGTTTCAACGTTGAAGTCATCTTCGGGTGGACTTTTGGTACCATTTTTATCGCTCTTGAAAGGTGATTTCTCTTTCCATTTTTTGAAACTCAACTTTTTGGAAGACCCCGTTTTCAGATCTTCCCCAATGACCACGCCCTGTTGAACGCTGTTTTCGTTCAAGGACCTCAAATCTTGAGATTGGAGGTTATAGATCAGCTTCTTAAGCTGCGAGTAATTCAAATAGTGCTCCTGCCATCCCGGTACGGAGTTGTACTTCAACGAATGCGAAAACTTCATCTAGGTGTTTTGGTAGACCCTGACAACACAGTCCACGAAGGGGTAAAAATCGCCGCGCCCAAGAAGAAGAAGCCAAGAATCCTTGTGATGATCTTGGCGCACGATGCTCTCAAAAACCCTAATTATCTTGCGACACAAAACGTGGGTCAATCAAATATATTTTTTGAGACCGTAGTCGTTTTTTCCACATTTAAAGAGCTCCGTCGAACCATGCACAATCCATCCGACAAGCGAATTTTCGGATTTTCTTCTTTTTTTTTTTTTTTTTTCTTCCTGCCACCGGAAAAGAAACTAAATCTAAGTTTCAATTATTAGGATCCCACACGTGGGAAAATTGATTTTTTGGAGTCACGATTAATTTCTTGTGATCGTTCATAATCATCTCTCTTCATTTTTTTTCGGTCGAGGGCAAATTAAATCACATCAGACGAGAGATGCCGTAATAATCACGTGATTGATTCTTTTTTTCCTGTAACAATGCTCGGCGCTTAAATGGTTCTCTCATATAGTCAAACCGTCTCTAATTTGCCCCTATCAGTCCCGTAGGGGATGGAGAGACTTGAACATGCTTAGTTCTCCTCAAGGATTTTCTTGTTGATGACACCGTCTTTCAGATCAACTTCACATGAGGCAAAGTTAGGTGCTCCCTCTCAAAGTCCCCATGTGAAGAAACATTGTGGGCGTGTCAGGGGTTCCCGACTTTTTCCATGGGTGACAAAAACGCAGCCCTTTTATACCTTTTATTTCCTAGCCGCCGCCATCCCTGAAAAATTTTTGAGGTGTAGGGAGGTGAGACAGTTTTAGCCGCGGGGGTCGCAGGGCATGACGTGAAGGGCAGATATTTCGTTCTGATGAGAAAAGCAAAACTTCATGGCAATGAGGCAAGCAAAATCAGTCGTACTATGCCAGCTTCACTTCTGCGACCATTAAAAGACTCCTAGGTTCAGCGGCTAAAAGCGATGATGGTGTTTGTTCGAAGCGTAGATAAAAGTCTAGAGAACCTCTACAATTTCAATAGTGGCTTCTATGGCCAAGTTGGTAAGGCGCCACACTAGTAATGTGGAGATCATCAGTTCAAATCTGGTTGGAAGCAGCTTTTTTAACTTTTTACTAATCATTCCGGACGTCGCGGAGGATTCCGACGGATTATCCAGATTTTGAAAATTTTTTCAATTCCGATGGAATCTTGAGTCATGATCTGTAGGCGATGAGTTCCTTTAAAAGAATAGCCAAACGATTAAAAACCTGAAGGTTTGCTGGAATTAAGCGAGGGGTTTTGGTCTGTATTGTCGCTTGCATAACTGCTCGCAGTCTCATAATTCTTTGAAAAAAATGCTTTCGGCAAGACACAATTTGAAGAGACACCTGGCGACGCAGGCGTCCAGAGTCGTTTTCCCCGAAGTTCCGCCGAGTTTACAGGCCAAAGTTCCACCTTATGCCAAATTGATCGAGAAATTGAGCAAAGTGCGTGAAATTACCAATGATTCGCCATTGACATTAGCAGAGAAAATCCTATATTCGCATTTGGTCGACCCAGAAGAATCCTTGTTTTCTTCCAACTTGCATGATATCCGCGGCTTGCAGTATCTAAAACTCAATCCAGACAGGGTTGCCATGCAGGATGCTTCTGCACAAATGGCACTTTTGCAGTTCATGACAACTGGTCTGGCACAAACAGCTGTACCAGCTTCGATCCACTGTGACCATTTGATTGTGGGTAAACAAGGCGAAACCAAAGATCTGGCCTCATCTATCACATCCAACAAGGAAGTATTTGATTTTCTGCAAAGTTGTGCGGACAAATACGGTATGCAGTTTTGGGGGCCTGGTTCTGGTATCATTCATCAAATCGTTTTGGAAAATTTCTCGGCACCGGGACTCATGATGCTTGGCACTGACTCACACACCCCTAACGCCGGTGGTCTAGGTGCCATAGCGATAGGTGTTGGTGGCGCTGATGCCGTTGATGCCCTCACGAACACTCCTTGGGAACTCAAAGCCCCTAAGATTCTGGGCGTCAAATTGATCGGCGAGCTTCAAGGCTGGGCTTCTCCAAAGGACGTGATTACAAAGCTCGCTGGTATTTTGACCGTCAGAGGTGGAACCGGGTATGTCGTCGAGTACTTCGGAGACGGTGTCGAACGGTTGTCTTGCACGGGTATGGCCACTATTTGTAACATGGGCGCAGAAATTGGCGCTACTACTTCGACTTTCCCCTACCAGGATGCGCACAGACGTTATCTACAAGCCACTGGCAGAGCCTCACTCGCCGAGGCCGCTGACGTGGCCCTCAACAAGTATAACTTCTTGAGAGCTGACAAAGGCGCAGAGTATGACAAGGTCATCGAAATCAACTTAACTGAACTTGAACCTCATGTCAACGGTCCATTTACTCCTGATTTGTCCACCCCAATCTCACAATATGGCAAGAAAGCACAACAAGAAGACTGGCCCCAGAGAATATCTGCCGGATTGATTGGATCTTGTACCAATTCTTCTTACCAAGATATGACTCGTGCTGCTAACCTAGTGTCCCAAGCGTCCAAAGCCGGTCTCAAGCCCAAAATTCCTTTCTTCGTGACACCTGGTTCCGAACAAATTAGAGCCACTTTGGAAAGGGATGGCTTGATTGAAACCTTTGAACAAAATGGCGCAATTGTTTTAGCAAATGCATGCGGACCTTGCATTGGCCAATGGGATAGACAAGATGTTCCCAAGACCTCAAAGGAAGTTAACTCTATATTCACCTCATTCAACAGAAATTTCAAAGCGAGAAACGATGGAAATAGAAACACAATGAACTTTTTGACTTCTCCGGACATCGTTACGGCTATGATCTATTCTGGAGATGCCAACTTCAATCCTGTTACAGATAACATCAAGCTTGAAGATGGATCCTTATTCAAGTTTGACGCTCCCACCGGTTCAGAACTTCCAGGTAAAGGCTTTTTAGCTGGTAGAAAGGAATACTATCCAATCGAGGACCCCAAGCCAAACGCCTCCGTTGAGGTTAAGGTTTCGCCAACGTCAGACCGCCTACAATTGCTCGAACCTTTCGAACCATGGAATGGAAGCGAATTGAAAACTAACGTCCTGTTGAAGGTCGAGGGGAAGTGTACCACGGATCACATTTCTGCCGCTGGTACTTGGCTCAAGTATAAGGGTCATCTTGAAAACATATCCTATAATACCTTGATTGGAGCCCAAAACAAAGAAACCGGAGAGGTTAATAAAGCCTACGACTTTGATGGGAAGGCATACGGCATCCCAGAATTGATGATGAAATGGAAGGAAGAGGTCAGACCTTGGACGGTCGTGGCTGAACACAACTATGGTGAGGGTTCTGCTAGAGAACATGCTGCTCTGTCCCCCCGTTTTCTAGGTGGTGAAATTATTTTAGTGAAGTCTTTCGCCAGAATTCACGAAACTAACTTGAAGAAACAAGGCATGCTGCCGCTAACTTTTGCCGAGGAAAGCGACTACGATAAGATTTCATCTGGAGATGTTCTCGAGACGGTTGGCCTCAAGGATCTAATTGCGAAAGGCGGAGACAATGGGGGTTACCTCGATGTCAAGGTCACTAAGCCGTCAGGCGAGACCTTCGCGATTAAGACGAAGCATACTATGTCTAAAGACCAAATTGAATTTTTCAAGGCCGGTTCCGCAATCAATTACATTGGTCAACAATCCAAGAGATCATGAATTGTGGAACTCTGTATACAAGCTTATTTATTGTCACAGCATGCACTTTGAGTGCACCAAATTAATGTTTTAAAAACTATCTCCTGATAAATTATTTTAAAGATCATTTTATCTATCGTTCTTTGGGTAGCAATTGGGAGCTCAAATTGTGGGATCTCTCACGATCATCACGATAGAGAGTATGGACCCGCCATAGCTCATAGAGAATAAATTCCTGTAATAGAGGCAATGCCTTTATATTCGTAGAATCCACGTCCATAGACGTTGAGATGTTGAAGATGGAGTCACGTTTTGTCTCATGCTCAGGGCTCTCGCCCGCATAGTATGGTACCTGCAAAAATTGAATCAATGCCACAATTTTCGTCATCCTGCTATATTTTTCAACATTTATGATTTTGTTTGGTCGGAAGGAACTTGGGTTTCGGTAGCTACTGCTGCCTTCTTTGAAAATTGTCATATCATGCATGAATAATGCAAAAAACGGGACACAAGGCACAAGGGCCTTGTTGAGCCCTCCTTCTTCCGAGAAATTCATCGTTAGATGCTGCAATTTCTTGCGATAGGTTTTATAGTTTTTTTCAGGCGTTATGACTGCTGACAACTGCTCATAAAGATCAACGAATTTTTTGTCCAGCAGTTCCCACAAGTTACTCAGTCTGCTTATAGCATGAGATTGTAAGGCTGATAAAATCGAGGCAAAAGTGTTGTAATTTCTAAAGTACATTGCTGACAATGCGACATTGAGCCATGCTTTGAGAGTTTTAATTCGATTTTTCATTGTCAAACCTGGCATTAAAATGGACTCCTTGACGTAGTCACAGAAAAGATTAGTGAAATCAACCAGTATCTCAACATTAGGAGAAGCACTTCTCTGATATTTGCTAGAAGAGCGCCCTGCGTCCAAAAGGTCGTGAATTCCTACCGACAGGAAGAGAAATGACTCTATTAATGTAAGTTGCTTCGCTACCTCAAAAGGATTGAATTCGATGAATCGAACATCATTGTGGATCAAATTGGCAGAAACTTTGAATTTGAAAAGACCACGCCATCTCGATACCATTTGTTTCAAAGTCCAATTCGCCCCGTCAAATGCATCCAATCCGGTGATTTGATCTGTCATTGACTTGCGAAAAGCCATTACCAATCTCTCCATATCTGCGAGGTTTCTTTTAGTGATCAGTGATGACGTTCCTAAATGCAAGAGGGGAAGTGGTAAAGAAATTGAACTTGTATTAGCTGAAGGCAATTTTGTGAGCTCGTATTTGTCGATGAACTCCTCGTCAACTGACAAAATGCTAGATCTGTTGCTCTTCAGGGAAGAAGCTACTGAAATTAACGTGTTGGTCTTTGCTCCCGTAATGCTGCGTTCAGATAGCTGCTTTGGCATTTTAGTTTCAGACATGGTGTACGCTGCGATGTTAATTTTCGCTGCGAGTCCAATAAGAGATCTCGATTCCAATGGTAAATGCGTGGAAACAGCTTCATTGAAAAAATTGATGAGTGCCGGTAATAAGTTCTTATCATTTCTAAAATCCCAAAAGCCTTCCAGCCATGTTTGGATAAGTTTGCAAATAAGGCGTCTTCTGGTTCTGATCCTAGACGATCTGGAGGAGAACTGACCATTTCGTTCTTTGTTTTCAGTCATGGATGATTTGTCAAACGTGTCAAATCTCACAATTAGCTCCTCCATCAACTCCGTACTTGTAGAGTAGGCCGCGCGGGTCAGCAGAAAGGTTGCAACCAGAAATTCGCTTGGTTTGTTAAGCTCGTCGGTTAACATGAAAACTAGCGCTCTAAAAGAAGCACCTTTGACCGAACCATTTTCGAAGAATAGCTCAGAAGACATTCTCTCTCGATCGTTGATAGCGTCATGCTCGAATGCGGCAGTACCTGCTTCAGCATCAAATCGAAACTTGTCGAAAGAGGCGTCTTCAAGAAATGAACCCGATTCTGGTAAAAATTCCTGAAGAAATTGAGATCCCGATGCTGAAATACCCATGCCGTCTTCTCCAGCCCTTATAGTGGAGAAACGTGAGAGCCGGTTTTCGGCGTGTCTCTTGACGTTTTTACGCTCCGATTTGCTATAGGAAATCCCTTTCCACAACCCTATTGAGCATTTCCTTATAAAGAGTTCTGGTGTCACTTTAATCAGATCGAAGTCTCGATAAGTGCGGTCCTTCCCCAATTGAAAGTCTCCTATCACTTTTAGTATATCGTAACAACCGGAAATCGCAGAACCGATCAAAACGGTCATTTGGGAAATAATTTTAATTAAATGTGCTCCCTCATTACTAAACTGGAAAACTTCGTCTGTTATGGAGAGCCCACTGACCTTTTGAGAAAAGCCTGTGTCCTCATAAACCATTTGGGTGACGTAAACTTTGATACATGAGACTAGTTCAGACACCAGAGAAAGTAGAGGGTCTAAGCATAGGTCAAGACTGTCCCCGCGATAGTTCGGATGCTTGGTTTGAACGATCATACTGCAGCATTTGCTGATGTAAAGTAGCTCACGCAAGAGGATCACAACTTGATGGACAATAGTTTCCAAAATTTCACATCCAGATGGATTGTGCTCAACCATATCCAATCTTCCCATGAGCAGGGCGCTATACGTAAAAAGGAGCCCGTGGACTTCTGTCACCCTCCTCAAGGCAAACGGTGGAGTTGAAAGAGCCGGCACAGGTTCTGACTTTTTTTCAATTTGTGATAAACCACTAATTTCGAAACCAGATGTGCCTTCTTCGTTGTCCAATTGATATCTGGTATTTGCCAATGAAGCCCTGAGATTTTTCATCGATTGTGCCTCCGAAGCCCAAGCATCGAAAAAACAGCATCCTTGGTGTAGGACATTGTATACAAGACCTTCTAGAGTGTTCATTTTCGTATCATCAATTGAATGCTTATAGGAATCCGCCTTTATCATGACGCTGTACCACTCCGCCAGCATTTTTTTACGCGTCCTGCGAATGGTCGGACAGTTTTTCACCAGTTCATTTGATCTTGAAACACAGTCTGTCGCTTCTAACAGACTTTTAACTCCATTACGGATTTGGTTTACAAGCTGAAGTGCTTTACTTGTCAAGGAAGGATGTGGGAACTGCATATCTTGTCGGAGTAAAAGAAATTTGGCACACGCTGCAAATAATTTTAGTAGCGGTCTTCTTGACTGAGATCCAACTAGGGCATTTTCGTCGCCATTGTTGGACGATTTTATTGAGTCAGAAAAATAATTGAATGGAACCCAACCTCTCTTATGATTTTTGATCAAAGTTACTTCGCCCCACCCGGAATCGTCGACCGTATGAACAAAGGCAAAATCTTTTTTTTCAAAGGACAAGCAAATCTCTGCATCTTCCTTGTTTTTCAGAGAATTTGAATTAAAAGAGTGAATAGCGATGATGAATAGATATCCTAAACTGTCATCGTCCAAATCCAAATCTGAACTTTTTTTCATAGTGTTCTTTCGTTCAACGGGTTTACCGTTAGCAATTCCCTCATCGGTTATGATAGAGTTCCGATCCAGCATTCGAGACATATGATCTTTGCTGGGCGAAAACCTTTTTGAAGATTTTGAAGGACTTGCAGAAGCACTGCGCGGGTTGATTTTTGAGGACAAAATGCTCAATCTTGACATCGAGGCTTCCAAGGGGTTTTTTAACGCTTTTTGAATAGACTCCGTAGCAGAATTTGATCGAACTATCACGTTGTCGCCTTCCGCAAGCCCTTCGTCTTTATTCCCAGTCCACAACTCATCAGTAGTGCCCAAATTTTGGACGAACGTAAAGTCATCAGGTTCATGACCATCTTGCGTGCCGCCTTGATAAGTATTGAGCTTTGGCGTATTTTCGTCGAAAATTGGTGACGGGGTGACAATTGGCGTTACGTCTACATCTTCCCAGTTCATTTGCGGCCTGGCGTAAGAGGTTACACTCTCGTGGAACCTCAACATATTAGATGGTGGTGCTGCTGCCTCAGCATCACCACCATCAGAATGGGCTGTTGTGAAAGATGCATTTGAAAAAGATCTCGCGACAGATTCGCTTGAGGAAAGTCCAACGTCTTCGGCCATTCTTCCATTACTGTCAGCCATTTCTCTATCATAGTCGCTGATATCATCGGACACATCGTTTAAGCCATCTTTTTTTTGAAATCTATCAGAATATAAGGGAAGCGTTGGAGTTACGCCATAAAAAGACGAGGTCCTAAAACCATTCTGGTTTCCTTTCTGTTCGAAAAGGGGAGTTGTATTGGAGTCCATAAATCCTGCTCTTTCCCAAAGCAATTGCCCAAAAAGTCACAAGGATGGGTAACAGAAGAGCTTCAAGTTCACTGAGATGGAAGTGTTGGTCCTTCGTTTCGAGATTTTCGCGATGAGCTTAGCATAGATTACTGTGAAAATATATTTGTTTCCACGTTAGAGAAATTGGAATTGTCAAGAACGCGAGTCGCGAAACGACTTAAATATATTTTTAAAAATCAAAAACCAAAGATCTAGGATTGTGAATCAAGATATAGAAGCCCTTCCTCTGTTGAGATGCGGACAATTTTACATGGATGTGGTGATATTTGATGCTTATATATAACTTTCTTTGCCAACTTGTGGCAGTTTTTAACCGGGGACGAAACTTTAACTAATAGGAAAAAGGGAGCGATAACATGCCTCTAAAATGATATGGATTTACATCTAATTCGGTATAGCTTTGAAACTCACCTACTCCGTGTCTCACATGTTTTTTGACGATACCGTCATAGCTACCAAGACTTGCAGACAGTAGAGCATTCTATATGAAAGAGTTTGAGAAAAATAAATTCTCGAACATGTAAGTCTTAGTGGTTGAGGCAAGCTTATGTTGAAGTGTAGATTGTTCGTATTCATCCAGCAGTAACGATCGTCTTCTGATAGCAGAATTTTAATATCTGCCGAGTTTACGTGCCCATTTTTTGAATTAATTGAAGACCAGTCAAACGTTCTTCGTAAAGCGCGGCAAGACGTGATACTTTGTTCCCAGACTTTATGTCTGAATAAGCGGTACCAATAGAATTTTTGGAACCGGATTGATCTGCCTTTTTCTTCTCTCGCAGATCTTTATCGAAATGCTGTATCTTTTCATTATTATCCAGAATGAGTTTATTCATGTGTTCCGCAAGCAACAGTGCATTGTCAAATGAGGGCTTTGCAGAGGATTTCATAATGGTATTTCCAGTGAAATTCTTTAAATCGGTTTCTCTGGCGGGTATGTCACTAGGGGCCAATGATGCTGTGCTTGTCGCGCCCGTGGTTGTATTTTCGTCAAATATAGATGACATATTGCTAGCTTCGCTCTTCACGCGCACCTGGCCTCTCGTTTCATGAATTATATTGGTATGATTTGGCAAGGTATTTGTTATTGACGGCCTCTGCGGAAGTGGAAGCGGTTTTTCGACCTTGACTGTAGGCACAGAATTTGTCGACTCCGAATTGGACTTCTTGGAAGATAGGCAACTTTCTGTATCAGATCTGCGATCCTCGAGCGCGTCCCAAGTCTCGCTAAAAATCCCAGCGCGGTCAATCTCTTCAGTAAGTTTCGAAAAATGAGTTAGAACATTTTTAACGTATCGGTAGCCGACAGCTAGTCTGTCTCCGCTGTTAATGGAGACCTTTTCTTGACATAATGTGGGTGTAAGACATTTGCTCAAAGATTTATAGTCATGTCTTGAGGTTTCGGTGTTCATTAGTAATGCGGAAAAAAGCTTAAATACGCTTTTCGTCAACTCATAATAGCCGTTGTACATCATCATGCTCACGAAGGTGTTGTAAGTATATTCATAGGAATCATTAATTGGTAGCGGTATGAGGTCAATGGGGAATATGGGTTTCGTTTTATTTTTCAAAAAGTGCAGGAAGGTTGAACCGAGAGAATAAATGTCCCATTGGGAAAGGTCAACGTAATTATTCCTGCGTATCACACCCAAAAGAATGTTCACTTTTTGATATGAGCCCGGTCTCTGAAATACCAATTCGGTCAAAGGCGCATCCATACGCAGACGGCGAAATATTTTGTCAAACACGAGCTGTCTGTATTGACGTTGCTCGAATGATTTGGGGTCCAGACCTGATTCAATCCCGAGTTCTACGTCCCCTGTCACTTCCAAATCAAACAGATAGACATTCAGCGAAATTCGCAATCCTCTGATATCGACGAAGGCGGCGAGCTCTGCCAGATTTGAAACATGAATCAACGATTCCAATTTGGACTTGTTGCCTAGAAATTTTATGTTCAACGCATTAGCCAAAACCTGTGATACCGTGCGTACGAAAAACGACTCATGGACAACGTAGATATTCCTTATTTTATCTCGCCGTTCTTTGGGAATTTTCGAAAACATCTTCACCCCGAAGACCCAACTCAGTTTGTTCTGCATAAACCCTGAACTAAATACAATTAATGAGCATGGTGTCTCCGGCAACTGAATGATCAATTCATCCATAAGTTGGTCAATTACATCGTTGTAAACTTCTTTACTATCAAATACCTCGGGTGAAGGCAGATACGTCGAATCGAAGACATGGATCGGATGACCATGGGCAGGATCTAACGTGAGACACTCATAGAAAATTTTGTTCAAACTCATGTTCAACGCAGCCATTTCTCGCCACACATCGAAGTGTTCAGAAGTCGGTAAAAATGTTATCAACCTAACGATGCGTCTCAAGCACTCTCTCTTGATGTGGTTTCGAATTGTGAACAATTGATCAAATGTAGTCAAGCCGAGTCTTCAGATAGAATGATGAACAAGTAAATAAAGCATTGTTTACAATATCAAAAAAATTAAAGACTCCTCATAGGGGGCTCGAACCCCTGACATTTCGGTTCCCTGCAAGCATGCTTAAAAGCCGAACGCTCTACCAACTGAGCTAACAAGGACGAGTCTCCGATGGAATACGTGTTTATATGATACACAAGCAACGACTCTGAGCGTAACCTACTCTAAGCATATATTATCTATGGAAGGAGGCTATTTTGGTGATTGACAATGCAGTTTTTGGTAGTGTGAACTTTTTATGACGAGATGGGGGCTTCTTAGGATGGGTCTGTTAATGATAGTTTGTTTTTTGCCGTTTGGACAACTGCTTCTGTTGCGGATCCATGGATAACTTTTTGATGTTTTCATGAACGTTTTGAGTGGTGAGATTCGATATACCGGTTTTAGCCTTATAGGCCTCGCGTTCCGCAACATAGTTAGGATCACTGAGCAAGATTTGTAGGTGGCGATCGAAGTCATTTTCCAAGACCATTTTACCCGTGATTGGACACTCTATAAGATTTGTTGCAGTTCCTTCCGGCTCAAGAGATCTCCTAGTTCCCTTCAACCGTGTCTCTCCTGCGGCTTTGATTTTAATTTTGTTTTTCTTTTTGGACTGGGGCTTACTTGGAGTCTCGATCTCAAGCGATTCTGATTCGAAAAGCAGCTGCGCAGAGCTGAACACGTCGGTTGGACTTTGAATGAGTGACAACTGACTGATTTTCTTGAAGTCTAGTGGCTCGCTGGCAGCAGGTGACGATTCGTCAAAAACCACTTTGCCCACGAGCGTGAAGTTTTCCCAATTGCACGCAGAGAACTTAATCTTGAGTCTATCAGAGGCCTTTTTCAATTCTATTTGTTGCTCTTGAGCGTATTCCTCGTATCTGGCTCGCTGGAAACTTCGGGTCAGCACAGTTTTTTGAAAATTCCTGTCAAGATCCGTCAGATGCTTGAAATCGCCCTCCAGGACTTTCTGGTATTGTATTATGAGTCCCATAAACGTCTCATTCAGGACATGGTTTCCTTTCAAAAACCCAAACGTTTCGTCGTCTTTATAACGTTCTGTTATCAAGCTTAGATAGTTGTTCTTCGCATTTATCGCACAAAACAAAGCAGTAGTTTTCAGAATTTCCAAATCAAATGCAGCCAGTTCAGCTTTATGTGCACTGAAAACAAACGGTACGGGCGTCTCAGGTGCTTCACGTACACAATCGCGATTGTTGTCTTCATCTATTGCCAGCTGAGCGGGGGGCTCAGAAACCTCTGAATCAGCATCTCTACCCGTGGTATTCACATCAGACGAATTTCCAAACATATAACCCAGCAGATGCTCGTAATATGGTCGAAATTCACTTTCTTCACCAATGAAAGGAAACTGCGTTAGCGAAAGCTTTTGTTCAAATTCGCGACCATTTCGAAAGACGTAATCAACGGTTTTCCATATAGCTTCTTTTAAGCTATCCTCATCGGGTATCTGCACCTTAGAAGGTACTTCAAGCGACTTCAATATTTCCCTGGTTTCCATAGCTTTTCGTTGATCCAAGGTTTGTTGATAGGATAAATATCTATACAGACAGAAATTTCTAAACTACGAAAACCTTGGAATTGAACAACCTATAAAACTCGGTCCTCGGAACTCAGTTTGACCTCAAATAATGGCTACCCAGTTCGAGGACTTGTTAAAAGTGGATGGGATAGTACAAGGAATCGCGGATTTCCTGGGTACAAATGATTACTTGAGTTTTCGACGAGTTAATAAATTGGTTTATGAGAAACAGCTAAATGGAAAATGGGATATTACATATTGGACCAGAAAATTGATTCGAATGGGCATTGAGCCGTCTGAAGAAGACGAAGAGGACGAGATTTCATTGCTTACAGATGATTCAGATGCTATGAGTTTCTTTGACGATGTCAAGACTTTTAAGCCTAAAAAAAGCAGACAGTGCTATAAGACTGCATTCAAATGTTACCAGAGATTTATCGACAAGCTTTTCAATTACGATATGAGCAATTTCTTTCCTGTGGAATATTCAGATCCTTTAAGCCAAGCAAAGGTTTTGAACGGAATTTCTAGATATAATAGAAGCAACGTCAATGAGTATGGGAAATTCAAGAAGGTACAGGAAAATCTGCAGGTTCTACGAGAGTTATTCGTGAACACGCTTTTGAAAGAACTGGATTTAGTGTTTGGAAGACGGGAACTCGAAACTTCTGCAAAATTGATCAAAGCTTTGCTGGTATCGCATGAGGAGCAAACTGCCGTGGATTTCTTCAAATCTAGAAGTGATTTCGCCAAGGAAGTCACGTTGCCGGAAAAGCTGTTTAGCATTGAGTCTAAATCTCTTGACGACGAAGCGTTAAGTTGTGCTCTCTCTATCATGCTCAAATTTTTCAACGACAAGATAAAATTAGTTGATATCTTGTTTGGTAACCAGTATCCTGTTATTGTCAGTTACCTAGAGGGCGTTATCGCATATAACGTGTCAACGTACTTTGCAGAGCAGGTATCGAACTCGGAAAATCAAGATACGGAGACAGAGTCTTGGAGACTCTTGAATTTGCCTCAAATTTATACCACTTTGACCGATGCTCTGAGTAAAGATCTGGACAAGAGTGAAAATGGAGGACCTCACTTGAACAAAATGGTTCAGGAGTTTTTCAACCTTTATTTAGAAAACAAGATTGTTTTATTTCTCAGCGTGTCAGTTCAGAGTTTCAACGAAAGGACCAGGGACAAGCTGCGCGAATACCAGAGACAATCGGAGCTCAAAGAAAAAGAGCAGAACGAACAAATCTACAATACTTTGAAGGGAAGAGCCACGAATGAACAGCTCATAGGAGAGAAAAACGATTTTCTTACGTCTTTCACTAAGATGTTCAGAATGTCTAGCTCGAAATCCGGTAAAGACGAGCAGCTCAAATTTGCTGTCAGTTTGAATGTTATGAACAGCAACCTGAGAAATATCCAGTCCCTTGTTAGTCTGGCATTGTGTTGCGAAATAACAGAAGATTGCCGAAATTGTGTTGAACAAATGTGCATTTTCCTCTCGGATACCAGCGTAATTGAACTGGTAAAATCTCACTGCCAACAGCTTTTCAAATATCTCATTTTCCAGCTCTCCGAAAATCATCTACAAACAGGTTTCACTAAAGCCATCGAGTATCTTAAGAAATACAATGGCAATGAAATTAATAGCTTGAGCTTAGAGATGCAAGATTTTGACACACAAGTAGAACCACTTGTAAAATTCGCAGAGCTTATTAATATTGGGGACATTATTTTGCAAATGACTACCATTTTTTATAATAATGAACTGATTCACAAGGGCATCATGAACAAAAATAAGGACTTTCTCAATGATGTTGTACAAGTGAAAAAAAACTTCGAGCTCGCACTAGATGATTACGTTGCGGAGGGTCTTAATGTCGGAATCAATAAGCTTATGAATGAAGTACTATTTGTATTCAGCACGCTTCAACTTCCAAGCGATTACAACCCAGATTCCAAACAGGGCGTTGTTACTGAAATGAAACCCACGAAAGCGGCTGTAAAAAATATAGAACTTCTCACAAACCATTGCTTCCTTCTCACAGGTGCAACTGACAAAGGCACGGTAGATGTCTTTCAACAAGAAGTTGGCGAAAGGTTTTTTGACGAAGTTGTCAAAAACATCAAAAAGAACCTCATTTCAACAGAGGGCGCCATCTTTTTGATTTGCGATCTCAATTTGTACTATGAGTTTTTTACCAAGAGACTTAAACAAAAAAGCATAGTGCCCCTCTTTGCTGGTCTCAAAGCTGTGGGCCAGCTATTTCTCGTGTCTCCTCATGACTCCAAGGAACTAGGTAAAATGATATGCGATCTCGAGAAATTTCAGGGAGTTTTTACTCAGGAGGAAATTTATGAGTTTGTTCAGAGAAGGACTGATTGGGTTAAAGTCAGAAGAGACGTAGAGAAGGTCATGTATGGTTTGGGGGTCAGCGACTGCGCAATTATATAGCCTTCTTGTAAAATCCATGACAGAACATTTTCAATTAATTAAATTAGCTCGAGTCTCTCGCGAAACTGGAATATAAAACTTTGACATCGCGGGAATTGGCGCAATGTATGCAATTTGCAAGGTCATGCTGAGTGAATTGATTCAGAGTCTCGTTGTAAACGTTGCCGACCAGTTTCAACACTTTCAGCGTGGTAATTTTCTTGATCAATGTAATGACTTGAACAGAAAGAGTAAGTTTCAAATTTCTTTCATTATTCGTGATGCAGAGTTCTTGCAATCGTGTAAAACCGGGATCTGACAAAAATTTTCGAAACCGCTCGCTGGCGACAAAAGAATCTGAGTATGTTAGTCTAAGCGATGTGACCTTGTCCTTGCCGAAGGACTCCAAATTGAATGGAAAGCACCAGGTACAATTTTCAAGCTGTAGGGAGGTTAAAAGAGGACACACCGTTGAATCCTCGTCGAAAGTTTCGATGTGGAAATCTGCGAGCTCTAAATGCCGTAAAGACGGTAAACAACGGACGTGGCACATGCTAAAAATGGATGATTTCTTCTGTGCAGCGACTTTCAACTCCTTCAGCTTGTCCGCGGTGTTACAGTATTTGAAAAAACTGGTAGACCCGGAAGTTGTTAATTGCAAACTTCGCAAATTACTCATTCTACTTTCAGCAGCATCGTGAGAGAAGAGTCGTTCGAAGGGAAAAGTCCATTCGTTTTTGGAACACGCCGTGGTGATTCGGAGCTTTTCAATAAGTTGGGCATCTGATATCGGAACGGTCAACGCTCCGCAATCTTGCCAAGTATCCAACAACTCTTCCCACCCTATCTTAACCTTCTCAAAAAAATACGGCAGTAGTGTCCACCTTATGCGTTTGTTGGCCAAAACTAAACTTTTCATGTCTTCATGACACAAGTGTTCTAAGATTTTGAGAATGATCTCATGGGGCGTCCTTTGCAAGAAGCTATCTAGTTTCAGACTTTGGTCATTTTGCTTATCAGACGTCCTAAGGACACACTTTTTTCGTACGTTTCTCACTGAATTGTCTTCCCATACACGTTTTTCTCCAACGCTGCACATGGAACACACCGATTCAGGGCTTTTCAAGTGTCTATGTCTGCGTTATCCTTATGTGAGAGTGGCATATCCTCGTGCCATCTCGACGATCTTGAAGTCTTGACTAGATCACTCCAGACGCGGCGCTTGGTTGATCGATTTAACCCGTCTCAACAGGTCAGAATCGAGTTACAGCAATGTCTTGAGACCTCAGATAGCTGAAAATGCATATTACCAGCCATTTTGACCACAAGCAAACTTATTGATTTGCGTGTCTGTTCGAAAAAATTGGGCACTCGGTCAAAGTCCTGGACTAATTGTGTATCATTCGAACGAGTTCCAGGTACTCTCCGAACTTATGCATCTCTTCTTCGAGTCGCGATTCGTTTCCCTCTCTTTCGTAATTCACCAACTGTGTCACAACTGCAGTTTCTTGGTAACTTTTCGTTTTACAGGCTGCGTTATTCGAACTATCGTCGTCTGTCGACTCAACCACGTCAGCAAGCACAATCTTTGAATCTTCAAAAAATTTCAATTTCTTTCCGATGATCTTTCTGCCTCTGATAGACGTCACCAGGTTATCATTGGTTTTCCTCAAATCTTCCTGATCGTCCATGAAATGGGCTTGAAACTCGGTTGTCGAGCCATTGAACCGAATTTTGCAAGGAACAAGACTCACTTCATACTCAGGTTCCTTATTCTTAGCACCATTAGCGGTTTCAATGTCCATTGTTAGCGTTATTGCTAGTCGAAACGCGTCAGTATATGAAATGTTACGCGATGACCTGTGGTCTTACAAGACCTTCAGCAGTATCTTTTTACGGGAATCAAAATGAGAAGATAAATATAGCAAAACTGAACTTATCGAACTATGAGTCGTACCTCGAGTTGAACTATCAGTTAAACCACAAATAAGGGACGATATGGTTCAACCAAATCCTTACATTTTGGGAAGATTTTTGGACCCCTTATTTGCCTTTGCAGTAGGGACGATTAGTTATTATTCGTACGAACGAAAAGTCGGTAGAGAACCTGGTCATACCCTCAACGAATTGATTTCAAAACGATGGAATAGAATGAATCAGAAGGCGGATTCGTAGATTTGAAGGGACCCCTGGAAATTGGAGCTTATGAGTCGCAATCCACCATGGTATGAGGCAATGGTCGTATGAGTAAAAGATGCCAAGAACAACGACGGTTTAAACGCTTGACTATGACAGTTTGATTGTCGCAACTGAGACAAACCACTGAGTCGTATTTAAATCGCGCTGGAAGCTAAAGTGACGATACTGTGGTCTTTGTCGCGCTCATCTCATAAACATATTCTTGAATCTCAAGAAGATAAATCACAAATACTTTATTCATATATACAAGTTCAAGTTCTGTTTGAAGAAAACAATACTGCCATTACCACACACCCTTCTTGACACCTGGGAGATCACCACTTCTGGCTTTTTCCCTAAACTGAGTTCTGCAAAGCCGGAAATCGCTCAGCACAAATCTAGAGTGTCCCGTTTCAGTGCATCTGTTTTTCACCTGTGTCATTCTTGTATAATTTGGCATAACGCTGAGTTGAAGTTGCGCCTCTAACCGTGCACGCGGTGGTAGAGTCGTGTTTCTAGCAATGTATTTCAAAGCTCGCGTAGTAACTTCATTTTCCGCAGCCTGCTGTCTTTTGAAATTGTCTCTAATCACTCTGGCATTCAAATACGTCGAAGGAAGTTTGACCTTGATTGGAAATCTAAATTTACCCATATCTGAAAGACGCCTAGTCGCTATTTCGCGATGAATCTAATCGACTTTTGAAGCTTCGATCTTGTCCATAGTAATTCTAAAAATTTCAAGCTATCACTTCTTACTAAATATACGATATCGACCTCTCATGAGATATCAAGAGACACGCATGCCCAATTGAAGCGTCTTTTACCACTATTTAGGCATTCGGGTGTTTACCAACATATCAGTTAATGAATGTATAAATAAAGACTGGAAAATTTTGACGGTTTTGCCATGTTTTTGACTCGGGTTTTCGTGAAGTTCACAACATCTATGAAGCGGGGCTCTCGTTGGTTAAAAACTGCGCAAATCGGCTTGTCTCATGTATACCACACTCAGTCTTGGTTTGCCCCTTCCAGCGTCCTGCGCGCTCGTCTTCCCCGTCAGCTACAGGCTGCGTAGAATGATAATCTCCGATGGATTTGTAGCCCAGGTCTAGTAGCTCGTTATATGGAACACTATGCGTGTCGATGTACTGTTTCACTTGCTGGAAGTCCCAGTTTGCGAGCGGGTTGATCTTAACGATACCGTTGAGCTCGTCAACCTCAACAAAATGCAGTGCCGAACGGGCACCGCCTTGTGACTTGCGTCGACCGGTCAGCACCGCAGTAACTTTGAGACTCTCATACGCCCGACGCGCGGGCTCAACTTTGACCAAGAAATCGTATTTGTCGTCCTCTTTCTCCCATAGAAAATCACCGTGTTTCGCCGCGAATTCTGCCTCTGACGAAACACCTTCGGGTGTGAATACCGCGATGGCCGAGTTCCGAGGCTTATAGTACCGCTCTTCGACTCTTTTGAGCAGATCTAAAGTCTGTGGGAAATGGTGCAATGTGTCGATGAAAATCAACGGCACCACTTGCCGACCCGTACTGTCTAGTCTCGCGAGCATGTCGATCGTAGCCAAGCCTGTCAGCCCACAGGCCGTCGTTTGGTATAAGTGCGGAAACGTCGCAAGGGCCCACTTCAAAATCTCTTCGGGCGAATCCATGCGCGAAAGCGCATGGTTCCAGTGCTGTAGTTGTTCCTCCGTCACGGAGATGTCATTACGCAACTTGTATATTTTGGTGGCCATGGTCTTAGGTCCTGGGGTAGCTAAATGGATCTTTGAAGCTTGAAAAGTGTCTTGACAAGTATCCAGCAGCTGTACTAGTTTTCATAACCGCACAGCACCCTGCAACGATCCAGTACTGTTTGTCAGCGCACTACCACCACCAGGAACCCACCACCGCGATCCAAACGCCGCAGGTTCCCTTCCCCTCAAGCCATAGTGGATAACAATCCGGTGATCACGTGAAATCACGCTTATCTCACTCAATTTTGAAGTTATTGAGCCAATTGCTCGATAAAGGCTACAATGATTTACTAGTCCGATGGTCTGTACTTATGTTTCCGAACATGCTTCCTTTTGTACCCAAGGGGTGTCTTAGCCTGTTCTCTTCAGTCTTTCACCAGTTTCACTACGGTGAGTTTTTCACGAACAGGGTCTATCTTGATCTTTAACTGGTAAAAACACCTTCAATAGCTCTGAAAATCAGCAATAAAAAAGCCTGAATTGGCCCAGATGCAACGTCCTGAAGACCTTGATAAGCTTCAAAATGACCTTTCCGTCGCGGAACAACAGGTAGCTTCCGTGATAGAGTCGTTCATCGAGTTGGGGATTTCGATTTACGATTTTCCGGGCACTCCGGAAGCGACACAGGGAATGGTGACGAATTTGCGCCGAAACGTAGACCGTTTGCACCAAATAAACCGGCAGAGTAACGACCCGACATCGCAACTTAACAAGGTCAGTATACCGATGGACGTGATGCAGTACATCGAGGACGGACGTAACCCTGACGTTTACACACGAGACTTCGTTGAGGCGATACGACGGTCAAACCAGTACCAGAGAGCCAAGATGCATGGACTCAAGCAGCTCAGGGATAAATTGGCCGAGAAAGTGATCGAGGAGTTCCCAGACATGGAGGAAACCGTCCAGGATATCATACGACGGACAGATCCGTGAGTGTAGATCATGACATACGTTGTGGGTTCAAATTTTTAAGAAAGCTTGACAGAGGTTCTTTAGGTAGCGATGAGCTGAGGAAAGAAGCGGGAATCGACAAGAACAAGACTATCATGGGTAAGAAGAAGGTCAAGAACGCGGTGGGTGTAGAAAGTCTGGCGTCCAGGAGCGTTCCGATTTTGGAAATTGAGTTTTCCGAGCCGCTATTCGCTTTTGCATGCCATCCAGAAAATCCTATTTTGGCGTGCGGGCTGGCCAGTGGGCACGTTTTCTGTTACAAATACGACGCAGATTTGCTGGAAGAGCATTTGAAAGTGCAAGAAACGAATTCTAGAGGGTCAAAAGCGGATCTGGATACCAACAAAGCTACTCAACCTTGGGTAGCTCTGAACGTAGAGCCCGATGCACGCAATGAGACCAGCGGAGTCGACCTGCTGTGGAAGACGAAGCGGCATAAGGGCAGTGTGCGGTCGATTTTTTTCGAGGCAGATGGTAGTTTCATGTATTCAGTGGGCAGCGACGGGGTACTCAAGAAGGCCAACACGGAGAACGGTAAAGTGGTGAAAAAAATAGATCTCACGGAAACCATAAGTGGGAAATGTACCAAGGGTTACAAGTCGAGCACGCATTCTATAGCGTTAATTGGAGACGAAGGCGGGAACGTGACGGTTCTGGACACGGAAACGCTGGCGATTAAGAACGTTATTCGCGGCATACATAACGGTGACGCCATCAACGACATCTTCCAATTTTCAAAAAGGTCTGCGCACAAATTCATCTCGCTGGGGCAGACCACGCTCGCATATTGGGATTCGCGTGAATCTAACGAACAGGACTTCCAGATAGTTCCTGGCGACACCGAGGCCAAACGGAAGGTACTCTTGAGCGATGACCAAGAGGATGAAATCCTGTGTGGAACGTTTGTCAATCCAGAGGATGGCGAGAGTTTAGTTTGTGGTTTGGGAGAGGGAGTACTCACAGTATGGAAGCCGAAAAAAAACGATCTCGCCGATCAAATAACCAGAATCAAAGTCAAGAAAAACGAGAGCTTGGACTGTGTTGTGCCCACTTTGCAGGACGATAATTGTGTTTGGGCAGGATGCTCGGATGGCCAAGTTTACAAAGTAAACGTCAAGAATTCAAAAGTTGTTGAATTTCGGAAACATTGCAGTGATGACGAAGTGGTCTTCCTAGATCTGGACTACGACTATCGACTTGTTTCTGGAGGAATGGACGTGGTCAAAATATGGCAACTGAACCGCGAGGAGTTATCGGACCAAGCGGAAGCGGAGTCGCAAGATGAGAGCTCAGGTACTGACACCTCTGACAAGGAGTCCGAAGAGGCCTATTCTGATTCCGAAGACTCAAGCAATGAATCTGCGTCGTCAGGCGAGGCTAGCTCGATGGACGATGAGGTTTGGGACAAGCTGGAGGATGGTAACGATGCGAACTCTGGCGCGAACTCTGACTCAAGTTCAGAAGGTCAATCTATTGGATTAAGCAGAGAGGAGTTGATTAACGAGTTAGATAAAGACATCTATGGCGAAGAAAGTGCCGTTGACGTCGCTCCTTCTGCGAAGAGGAGAAAAACCAACGAAATCGACCCTAAATCTGCAGCAAAGCTCAGCAAGAAGCAAAAACGAAAACAAGAACAGCTTACTGCTAAACAGCTCCGAAATTTACAAAAACACGAACACGGCATCAAAAGATTTGACGATTTGTGAACCATTCTATGCCAATCGTTTCATTTGGGTAATAAGTACTGACAAATGTGTATAAAACGCCAGAATAATCTTTAATTCCACCATAGAGCTTGATGTGGGTTTGTACTATAGTTATAGCTAGCATTCAAGGCAATTTTAAACAAAAAATGGTCTCTAGCGGGATCGAACCGCTGATCCCCGCGTTATTAGCACGGTGCCTTAACCAACTGGGCCAAGAGACCACTTCTTGAGAATTTAGATCTTAATTAGCTTTATTATAGTTAGTTGAAAGTCATTTTTTCACAAGGCAATACCGGCTCTCTTCATGGAAAGGATTGCCTGATGATTTCGCTTGAAGTTGGCTAGCACTTATACTTCGAGAGACTCAAAGTAAGTTAACGTGATCTCAACGTGATCTGCTCCTTTCGCTGTACATACGCTGATCTACTGAAGCTGCTAGGTCTCGAGGTTTTTGCGATTTTTTGCCTTACTGATCTAGCTTTCCGATCGCTATCATTCTCGTCCGCTTGCATTTCGAGAATATTTTGCCAGTGGAGACGTTCTCGATACCATTGCTACTTTTGAAGTTGATGATTTGAAGAGCAAACGAATTTTTGGGGGTTAGGAAGTGGATTTTTGGTTAGTCTATTACGTTAGATTCCAATTTTTCCATTATTTCTGCTACTTGGGTGAGACATGAATTCTTCTCAGATTGAGCATTCTGTTTTATATAAATGGAGCAGCTGTGACTCCAAATTACGGGCTCCCGATGTCAAGAGCCGGCTTGATATCCGTAAGATACATGTCTACGATTTTGACAATACGTTATTCAATTCACCGGCTCCGAATCCCAGTTTATTATCGAGCTACCTCATAAACATACTGACAGATCCGCATAAGCTTAGTAACGGTGGGTGGTGGAGCGAACCGCGGTTTTTACGCGAATTGATTCGGGAGTGGACCGTTAACAAAGCTTCTGCGACCGATTTAAAAAAACTGGATCAAATTGACGCTGCGTATTGGAATCGAGACATTGTAGAACTTTCAAGAATTTCCCGTGAAGAACCTGGCGTAGTGTCTATATTGATGACCGGCAGGAAAGAACAGTACTTTAAAGAGGTTATTGGTGGCATCCTGGATCAACCCGTGTTTGGCGCTGATAAACTTCAATTCAATGCTGTTTTCCTCAAGAAGCCGGGATATCACACAACCATGGCCTATAAGACTGCGTGTTTGACAGATCTACTGGAGCATTACGACAGATGCGAAGAGATCACCATCTATGACGATAGGATTCGCCAACTACGCGGATTTCAACAATTTTTGAATGAATTCGTTGAGGCTGTACGACCTTCCTTGCTATACAATTTGATATACGTCAGCGGGATCGTCAAGTACTTGGACCCTGCGAAAGAAAGAGGCATCATCACATGCATATTTGAAGAGCACAACGAGGCAGTAAGCGATCATGTCAAGAGAGGAATCCACTCACCCACCTTTACTGGCGGTAAAATGGATGTACGTGAAAAACGTCTTGGAGCGGCATATATCTTGACGCCCTTGGCTCGAAAGCACGTCGTCCAATTTGTGGTAGACAGATGTAGCCACCTGATTGAGAACCATGACATATCTCACTTGATGTTTTCTCCCCGTACTATTCCGTGCACAGGCCATGGCGCTATTACAAGCAGAAGGATTGCCACGAAAATCTTGCTAGGATTGAGCGATGATCCCCCTGACGAACTGATCGATAAAACCATGGAATTGATGAACGACGGGAAAGAGAGTTCCAGAATAAAATTCCGTGTCGTAGGATTTGGATTCGCCAAAAGTCATGGAATTTACGCCCTTAAGGTTATACCCATTCCCTCATCTCGATTCATATTCTCTGAGTTTCCTGACCTCCTACTAGTTGTAGCATCAATTGAAAACACCGATTATGATACGGTCGAGATATGTGAGAGCTCACTCTATTCCTGGAGCGAGCTTGAAGAAAGCATTACTATAGACACAGATTTTGGATACGATTTCATTTTATCTGCAGTTCCTCATAAAAGAGCCAAGAAGCGGAAACAGTAGACCACTTTTAATAAACACGAATTTATTTATTTGCATAACGAATCTCGTAATCGCATAATGGATCAAAGAGAAATAATATGAGCGAGCTGCACTACTAGCAGTGATAGCCATCTTTTGAATATTGAGTCGATAACAAAAAGATCAATGTTTCAATGCTTTGAAGGTAAAACGAGTTGATCAAAGAATATGATGAGCTCCGCAATTTAGGGAGCAATCGACACATTGATTTGTGTGGGATTTAGGTAGTTTCCAAACATTTTATTATTATTATGCATTTGATGCACGCGTGATATCCTAAATAAAGGCTAACTAGGTGCGTTAAGAAAGATGGTTTTGATAGCGTCATCTTATGCAACGAAATGACACCAGTAATTTCTTCTGATTAAACGACTTAACGGTGTCAATTATTCAAGGCAAATATGCCTAAATTATGTCAAAAATGACATACTGTGAATCGGAATAACCTAGTAAAAAACCAGGCAGAGGACTGTTGAAACGGCTACGAAGCTTTTCAACTTTAATGAACCTTTCTTTTAAATGGGAAGTTTCAATTCAACATCATCATCACCGTGAGTATGGGTGGTAGCTGTTGTTATTGCGTCTGGAGTATCCCCCACGGTTTCCACGAAAACCATTCCGATCACGGTTACGGAATCCCGATCTAAATCCGCCGCGATCACCACGCTCAGATCTGTCACCTCGGTCACCTCTATCGCCGCGGTCGCCGCGGTCTCCACGATCTCCACGATCCCTCCTGTTGTCACGATCACCACGATCGGAGCGATCCCTGCCGTCGCGGTCTCCACGATCAGAACGATCCCTGCTGTCACCACCGAATCTATTGCCGCGGGCAGACCCGCTTGGAGGTGATCCTCTTCTATCGGAGATACTTTCTTCATTTTTCGAATCATCAAACTTCTCCTCGGATCCGATTGTTGGAACATCGGAACCGGAGGCGTCATTCGCTGGCGTTTCAGTTTGAGAGGGCATGCCAGGCATTCCACTAGCATTACCCATATTAGGCATCATTCCAGACATCATTTGCTGCATCTGTTGCATTTGCTGCATTTGCTGCTGGTACATTTGAGAGTAGTCCACCCCAGTCTGTTGCTGCATCTGGGTATAGTATTCTTGCATTTTCGTGTAGTAATCGGACATTGCTTGAGGGTTAAACATTGGATTGAAACTACCCATCATTGGATTTTGGAACATGTTGAATTGAGAAGGATTGAAAGACGCCTGGGCTTTTTGTTGCTGTTGTTGCTGTTTCTGTAAATGCCTTGGTTCAGCCCTCTTGATCTCAATTCTTTTACCCTTGAATTCAATGAACTTGTTCTCACAAACCCTGTCAACAGCGTCAGGTGTGTCATACGTAATGAAGCCAAATCCCCTTGATCTACCAGTATCTTTGTCCAGCATAAGCTGCGCGTCAATAATTGTCCCCCATTGAGAAAAGAATTCCTCGAATTCTTTAGGTCTAACATCGGGACCAATTCCACCAACAAAGATTTTACCTGTTTTATCTTGCTCTTCGCGTGGAATAGCTCTCTTGGGATCAATAACCTTACCGTCAAGAATATGTTGTGTTTTTACAACATCGTCGACGCTAGAAGCGTCAGCAAAGGTCAAAAATCCAAATCCCCTTGATCTACCAGTAGCGTTGTCTCTCATGATCTTTAAGTCGGTAACTGTACCATATTTGGAAAAGTAATCTCTCAAGTTATCCTCAGTGGTTTCCCAGTTCAAACCACCAATAAACATTTTACAAATATCCCTAGAAAGGTCGGCTTTTCTCTGGTCCGCGGCTGCTTGTGCTGCTGCTGCCGCTGAATTGGCATTTTGTTGATTGAATTGAGGCATGCTCTGCTGCAGCTGCTGCAATTGCTGCCATTGTTGCATATTCGGCATTCCTGGCATAGCTGGCATGGCCGGCATTGCGGAGTTCGAGGTACTGGGTGTGTTGTTACCACCTGTCGCAGTAGCGGCAGCAACAGCAGGTGCTGTGGCTCCGGAATCGTCTCGCGAAGGTGTAGAACCGGTTGCAGCTTGCTGCAATTGGCTTAAGTTTGAGGACAAAGCCTGCAATGCGGCAAGCTGGTCAAGTTGACTTGTTGATCCTGTCGTGCCGGAGCTAGGTTGAGTTTTAGAAGCGTCCGAACCGCCAGCACCTGAATTGTCAACAGGCGCAACTGGCGCCGAAGTTTCAGAACCAGCATTGCCCGTGGCGGCAGCAGCCTCGAGTTTCGATCCGGCATCAGCCGTCTCGTTCGTCGTGGTTGCAGCCGTCGTTGACGTCGTCGTCGTCGCGTTGGAGTCGTCTCCGTAGATGTCGTTAAAGTCCTCGTCGTCCGAAAAACTCATGTTGGGTCCAGATCTGTACTAGTGTGAATTCTCTGGAGTTGTCTTCAGCTACTATCGTCGCCCCAACAGTAGATACGATACTAATACTAATTAGTATAAAGAGGCTAGTTATAGTAAGCCTGCACAAGCCAAATCAAGCTGTAAATCAAGTAGTCTAAAAAGCTAAACGATTACACTATCCACTGGTCGATATGTTGATTATTTCTCCTTCCTAGCTTCCTAGAATCGAAATTCCTCCGTTTTTTTCGGTTATCCCTACTGTTTCTTTTTAAGTCCTATGATATTCTTATAGACACCAAAATTACCCGATAGTCACTTTGGAAACCTGGTTTCTCTCTAGCTTTTATACTTGAAGTCTGTTGACACCAAAGTTAGCCAGTGTTTGGTAAAGGGGAGAAAATGACATGTGCTGAATACTCTCCTTATATAGTCTAATTTCTGAAAACTGGAAAATGCGGTAACTATTTACGAAACGAAAATTTCATCGATGGAAGGCTGCGATGAGCTGAAATTAAGCCAGTTGAGCTTGAATTTGACAAGAAAGAAAACTAGCGGTGAAAGCGTTCTGGTAGCGCGGAAGATAGACTTTTTGGCTAAATATTTGAATTTTTTGGAAGTCAGACAGAACAGTTGGGACTGTTTTCGGATCCTAAAACGAGGACTTTCGGGTGAAAAGCGTTATAGTTTGTTATTCTATTCTGGATTAGAAACTCAAGGCTAGTATAGAGAAGACCTAAAAATGGGTAAAACGTACCTTCTATTCATGGTGCAAGTGCACCTCAATTTCAGACGGGCGGAATTAGAGTCCTTGGCGGATTTGTTCGGGGTCGAAGTGGGTAATTGGGATCAATATGACGAGAACTCACCATTTCTTAAAGTAGAACTGGCAAACGATGAGCAGGCTCGGGCCTGGATACGAAGATCAGTTTTAACTAGGGCAATATACGAATTTTGGGGCGAAGGTGAGTGTTATTCGAAGCTGCATGAAAACGTTCAAGGCAATGTCTCTTTCGACGCCTATAAGTTGGCTTACAGAAACGGCAGCTTTAAATTTGAATTCGATAGCTTTGGTGGGAGCTCCTCTGGTAAATTGGATCGCGTTGCGTGCATTGAGTCATTCAGGTACCTTGACTTTCAAGGCAAGATTCGACTGCGGAATCCCGACCAAGTTTTTACTGTCATTGAAGAATACGAGCCAATTAACGACAATGTTGCAGGTGAAGTCCCGAAAAGAATCTTTTTTGGTCGACTGATTCAAGAGAGTGATCGTTTGCGAGGAGCTCTTGAAAAATATGACCTGAAAAAAAGACCTTACAAAGGCACTACCAGTTTCGAAGCCGAACTATCGCTTGTAAGCGCCAATATTGCGCAAGTGCAACCTGGTTCCATCATGTACGACCCCTTTGCAGGTACTGGTTCCTTCTTAGTGGCTGGCGGGCACTTCGGTGCTATGGTACTGGGCTCTGATATCGATGGGAGAATGATTAGAGGGAAAGGCTCACAAACCATTAAAGCCAATTTCAAAAAATATGGAGAGTCATTGCAATTTTTGGATGTCTTGACCATGGATTTTACTCACAATTCTCTAAGGAAAAATCTGACGCTCGATACCATCTTATGTGATCCGCCGTATGGCATAAGAGAGAGTATCAAGGTTTTGGGTGCCCGAGATCCAGAGCGATTCGCTGGTAAAGAAAATGTCGAAATCGACGGCCAAAAGGCTTATTTGAGTCGCGATTATATCCCTACCAAGAGACCTTACTCTCTAGACGCGCTTCTTGACGATTTATTACAATTTGCATCTGAACGTCTTCCGCTAAATGGAAGGCTTGCATTCTGGATGCCAGTGGCCAATGACGAAAACATTCAAACCGTTATTCCCTTGCATGCAAACCTTGAGCTAAAATACAATTGTGTTCAGGAATTTAACAAATGGTCTCGAAGACTTCTTGTCTATGTAAATAGGGGACCAGCGTACAATGGTCCCACAAACGCGGGCCACGAGCGATCCCAAACGACATTTAGAGATCGCTACTTTAGCGGCTTCAACTGAATAAACTCTGGGATCGACGTGTTTTAAATATCCGGTTACTACAGTTAAATAATCATCATAACCCGTGATGGAAATGACTGTAAAGGCATTCATTTCCCATCACAAACCACTTATCCTGTGGCCAAAGACCTCACACGTACAAATCTTTTCCGTCTTATATACTCGTTCTAGGTCCAAGTCGATCGAATGCAAACCACCAAAAAACCCTGAAAACCGGATCTCTTAAGGCGCAGGTGTTACAAGCAGCAACCGACGTTGCTGCGTCTATCAGTCTGTTTGAAGGGTTTTGAGATGTCTATTGTTTCACTCTTCTGAGTGTGTTTACGACGCGTCAGCCTTGACGCATTAGCGCCGATCGACAAACCCTCACTTGAGCCACCGGAAATCGACCTCTTTTCGATCTCATCACCTTTATTGCTTTCCGGCGGCTCCTCGATGCGATTGAGTTCTTCTACAGGGTGACACTCACTGTCATCGTAACAACCGTTTTCTATCAAATCTTTGATAATGATGTTGAAACTTTTGTCTACGACTTGATGCCATTTACAGCTAACTTCGAAATTGCCAGCGATACTGACGCCCAGCTGCGTTTCTGCTTTATCTACAAAGGCCAGTACATCCTCGTGCGTCACTTCCCGGGCCTGGTAAAGATCGATTTTGTTGCCAACAAGATAAAATCTAAGCTTCTCCCGGTGAGGACAATTTTCGAGCACTTCTTGGAACCAATAATTGCAGCAGTTTCGGAAACTGTCATAGCTGGTGATGTCGTAGCTTAAGAGAACGCCATTGGATCCCTTGTACAATGACGGTATCATTGCGTTTCTGTAGCGTTCCTGGCCGGCAGTGTCCCACATTATTACCTTGAAGTACCTATTGTCGATATTGACTAGATTTGTCCTTATATCGACGCCTATCGTGGTTCTCGTGTCTATTATGATTTCGTTAGGATCGATTCTTTCTGTTTTTGGTTCACAGACGGATTCTTGGGCTAATTGGAGTTCTTGATCCAATGGTCCGTTAAAAAGCTTATCGTAATCGTTCAGACTGTACCGTTTACGTTTCTCGATTTTTTTAAGCTGCTGAATCCGTTTATCATTGCCATTTCCTCTCAAATTCGTTTTGCTAGCACTGGAAACCAGCTCCAATTGTGCTCGCGTCGGAAGTTCGTTGCAATAACTCAGGATCATGGCCGTCTTGCCCACAGCCGCATCTCCAATTAATATTAGTTTAATGGATGCTGAATCCGTCAGTGAATCGAAAGAGGTGACACGAAAATCATTATTTGGTACTTTGTAAAACGACCCTGTAGCGTTCGTTCTTTGGGATTGGGACCTCCCCAATCCCAAACCCTGCGTCGATGACGGTCTTTGTAAGGGCTTATTTGACGCCCCAGAACTCGAATTTTGGTCAAAATTGAATTCGGGAATTGACGGTGTTATAGGTGATGCCGGAGCTGAAAAGTTCAGGGAATATCTCTTTCGTTTACCACTGGACATTTGGCCTTCTTGGCGCGCTGGTTTGTGTCGGAATGCTCATTACAGAGTCTAGATATTTAAATTTTTCAACGTTGATAACTAAAACCGACTGTCATTATCGGTGCTGATAACGGTTATTAAAGAAGTGAAAGAATGCAAGTCGGCTCATGCTTTCAAGTGAAAATTTCTTGACCTTGGTTGCGTAGTTAAATTTCTTGTTATTGTATTAGTTTGCTGGTTTTTTCAGATAAACTGTAGCCTCATTCCTTGTAAACTAATTAATTTTTATAGAAATTGATGGTATTCTATCATGATGGGTACGCTTTAGAAGGCAGGACGAGCCATGTATCGCTTTTCGACGTAGTCCATTTATCTCTATAAGTCTTGATTATGGAATCACCCATGGGAGGCCGAATTCCGCTTGGTAACAACCATGGCGACGTTTTCCAATGACACCTCTGATTCGATGTATTCGACAAGTGAAACATTGTAACCCTCGTCTCGCAGTAATTGAGCACGTCCCTCATCGATTATACGACGAGCCATCTGGCCCAGTTTTTCGCGGTCTACAACGGGCAAACCGGTGAAATGATTATTGACGTCGGAGTCGGTCATGCCTGGCCGCCTGCCGCAGACGGCCCATGTCGCGATTTTTTTGAGAGCAAGGAAAAAATCCTGGTAGTTAACGTCGTGGTCGCGGATGAGAGACTCGATGTAACTGGGGTTCGCGTACCGAGCTGGATCGCACACGTGCCTGCAACACATGGCAATCACCATGCCCTGCAAGTGTCGATCTTTCGTATGCAGGACGCTACTGTTGAGAACGCACCGGATGGTCAGGTCTGTGGCTACGCCGCACAGATGTTTCGATATGACCACATATTTGTTATTCTTGTTTGGACTCACAAGTGCGTCCAAATACAGGTCCTTGATATCGATTTTTTTCCGCGTGATGCAGGGGTAGGTGTTGGAGTCCGGTCGTGAGGCCGTGGCGGTAGCAGCAGAGTCCGCGTCGCACAATTCGTCGACATCGTCGCGGATTTTTTTGTCAAATTTCATTCGATTGGACGCACGGTCAATGAAAACGTAGCTGGGCATTACAGCGGGACGCGTGGCAGCCTGACTCGCGTTGAGCAAGTGTAAAACGACGCTCTGGTTCAGGTACCGCGATAGCTCTGCACGGCCACATCCGAACTCCATGTAAGTGACTGAGTCGTTGGGGTTTGCCGGGAACATGCCATGGTCCTGCACGTGCTGTATGAGCGACGATTGTTGGCGCGCGTGCTTCCGGGATCCGAGCAATTGCGGGAACCGTCGCAGCTCGACGGGCTCGTTGGATTTGATCTCGGTGGGCAGCGGCCTTTGTTCGAAAAACGACTTGTATATCTCTTGGACGATAGGAATAGCTGCGAGAATTGTCGCGTCGCCCACGCTGGCGCCCACGACTGCAGCGGGCGGGCCGCAGTTATAGTCACACCTGTACCAGGCACCCTGCGCATCACGCGACCTCTTCTCGTGGGCCGCGCCGCATTTACGCGCGTGCCGCGTCAATTCTTTCTCCCAGACGGAATGGCGAGGGTCGACTGGGCACGGGACCCTGCGGCCGCGGGCCGCGGGTTCGGCGGTCTGCAGCGGGTCGTCCGTGGCGAGGGCGCTAAGGTGTTCGCTGCAGTAGGGCAAGTTCGCGCTCCTCGTCATGCCGCAGCGCCGCTTTTTCTTGGCGAGGTAGAATCCGCATCTGAGACGCGTTGTGCAGGGCGACGTGACGGCTGGAGACATGCCGTTGCCGAGCTGTCCGAGCGTGCGATGGCCTCGCAGATGACTTTTTCAGTTTAGCTCGGGAGGCGGACCGTGTCCAGTGACATAGAGCGGACCGCGACCCGCACCCCGACCCACACCGCGACCCGGACCGCGACCCGCACCCCGACCCACATCCCGACCCGCACCCCGTACAAAACGCTCTCCTTCCACCCGCACCAACCCCCCCATCCCCCCTTTGCCCCATCGCAAAAGAAACCATGCCGCATATGATCTCATACCCTCCCCCTTCCGCTTCTCCCTAGAGTGCCCCGCTCAAACGGAAACAGCAAACGACTATATAAGCGGCTCCGCGTTCGGACCCCGTCCGGACGAATGACGCCCGTTCAAAGCCTTGACAACGTGCCCCGACACAACGTGCCTCGTAGCCGCAGTATATCTTGTCGTACCGCTGGCCGGTCGTCGAGCCCTCTCGTTCCCAGTCTACCTTCTCGTAAACATCCCTTCGAGTCTTTTTGACATCAACTCTCAATACAGAACACATACGCCATCTCTTTTCCAAATGCCCCACAATACACAAGAGCAGGAGCCGCTTAAGGTCGCAGTCCTGGGCGCCGCCGGCGGCATCGGACAATCCCTGTCTTTACTTCTCAAAACTTGGCTCGGCCCCGTGGCGGCCGCGGCCGCGGGTGCGGCCGCACCCGCGGCCGCACCCCGCACAGGGGTCATCAAGATCGCAATGTACGACGTTAACCGGGACGCAGTCCGCGGCGCAGCCGCGGACCTTTCCCACATCGATACCCCGGTCGCCGTCTCGGCGCACGCCGGAGACGACATCGGAGATGCACTCAGGGGCGCGGAGCTCGTGGTGATCCCCGCGGGCGTGCCGCGGCGGCCCGGAATGACGCGTGACGATCTGTTCGCGGTTAACGCGCGCATCGTCGCGACGCTCGCAGACGCCATCGCAGCGCATTGCGATCTCTCCCGCACGTTCGTGCTGCTGATCTCCAACCCGGTGAACTCGCTCGTGCCTGTGCTGCAGGAACGGCTCGTGCATGCGTCGGGCAGATCCCCGCATGACGTCGCGCAGCGCGTCTTTGGGCTCACGCAGCTCGACGCGGTACGCGCGTCGACATTCCTGCACGAAGCCGTGCCCCAATGGACACCCGAAATGCCCTCTGTGCCTGTTGTGGGCGGCCACTCGGGCGAGACCATTGTGCCGCTGTTCTCGCTGGCGACGCGCGCTGCAGACACCATAACGGCCGAGGCGCGTGAGCGGCTCGTGCACCGCGTGCAGTACGGCGGCGACGAAGTGGTCGAGGCCAAGAACGGCGCGGGCAGCGCCACGTTGTCGATGGCGTATGCCGCGGCTCGCATCACCTGCAAGTTTGCAGATCTGCTGCTGGGGCTCGTCCCAGAGCTGCACGACACGCTCTACGTGCGTGTTCGCGTGCCGGGCCAGCTTCTGGCGCCCGGCGCACAGGATCTGCTCGAAACCTTGGCGGGTATCACTGCCGGCGGCAACGGCGCCGCAGGCACCGCAGGCACCGCTGCAGGCACAGTCGCGTACTTCTCGGTGCCGATCACGGTAGGCACGCGCGGTATCGTAAGCGTCGACGCGCTGCCGCTGCAGCGCGCCGACGAGTTCGAGCGCAAGGCGCTGGCGGTGTGCCTCGGCCAGCTCGGCGGCAATATCAAGAAGGGCCAGAACTTTGTCGCGAACCTCGGCGGCAGCCCTGCCGCCACGGCCCGCACCAGCACGGTCTGAGGCGGTCTGGGGCTTGTGGCTGGTGCCTTCTTTTTTCTCTAGTTTATTGGGTCTATTTATGGGTGTTCTGGTATGCGCTGCGGGCGCGGTCTATAGCTTTAGCTGTGTAGAGAACGATTTAGCTGCTACAGGAGGAGATATGTCGCCACGCACGACCGGCCCGGGTTCCGGATTCCGGATTCGGGATACAACTCCGATGGCTATCGCCACATACGAAACGCCTCCCGGAGTCAACAGGACCCCGCCCGGGGAGAACCCATCAGAGCCCTACTCCGCAGTAACCCAAGCATGAAAAACAGTACCGATACCAACCTGCCTCCGCCTCCGGCGTACCAGGAAGCGCCCGCGGCGGCCTACGAACAGACCGAGGCCTCCCGCAACTTTATCCCCGACGACTTCAAGTTTTCCACCGCGGTGGCCTCGTGCGAGCCCCAGATCAGACGCTGGTTCATGCGCAAAGTCTACACGCTGCTGTCGTGCCAGCTCGTCGCGTCGTTCTCCATGTGCCTGCTCGTGGCGCGCTCCGAGCGTCTGCAGCGGTTCGTCGCGTCGCACCAGTGGATCATGATCCTCGCAATAGTGGGCGCGCTGGTCACGTGCGTGTGGCTTGCCATGGCTCCTCGCCAAGAAGAGCCGGACGACGCCGCGGACCCGGCTTCCGCCGCACTCATGGGCGTGCCCTCTGACACCCGCTCCGCACCCTGGTACTGTCTCACGTACCGGGGCCAGTTGGCGCTGCTTGCCGTGTTCACCGCGTGCGAAGCTTACTCGCTGTCGCTCGTTACGCTGGTGTACGACCCGCAGACCGTGCTGCGGGCGCTTTTGGTCACCGTTGTCGTCGTGGTCGGCATTTCCCTCGTGGCCATGTCCGAGCGCTTCGAGCTCGCCACGTCATCTCTCACGAACGTGTACTACTGGCTCAATCTAGCGCTGTGGCTGCTCATCGGCATTGGAATTTCGTCCATTTTCTTCGGCATGGGCTCTGCAGTCGACCTGTTTTACAGCTGGGGCGGCGCCACGCTGTTCACGGTTTACCTGTTCGTCGACACCCAGCTCATTTTCCGCAAGGTGTATCCGGACGAAGAAGTGAGATGCGCCATGGTGCTCTACGTGGACATCATCAACCTGTTCCTGTACATCCTGCGCATAATGTCGCGCAACCGCGACGACTAGGGCCCTTTTAGTAGTAGCCACGTACTTTTTTTTTCGATGGAGTTAACGTTGTTGTATTAAAAACCTTGAGTACATATACATCAAACGCAAAGGGTTATTTAAATGTAGCCGATTCTGTTGGCGATGTCCAAAGCGTCGTAGTCGGCAGTCAATCTGACGTAAGCCTTCTTGGTACCGTTTGGTCTCACCAAAGTGTTGACGGAGGAGACCTCGACCTCGTACAAGTCCTTGACGGCCTTCTTGATTTGGTGCTTGTTGGCCTTCAAAGACACTTGGAAAACTAAAGTGTTACCGTCTTCAACCTTCTTCATGGCAGTCTCGGAGGTGATTGGTTGCTCAATGACCTTGTAAGAGTCCAATCTGGTGTAGTGAGGAACAGACTTGGTAGCGTATCTTGGACGTCTGGCCAACTTCAACGTCTTTGGTAAACGGAAGGTGGCAGAGGTTCTCACCTTGGTAGCCTTCTTACCGTTGGTGCCCTTAACGACAGCCTTCTTAGCAGCAGTAGCCTTAGCTGTAATGAGTATTGTTAGTAAAAGGGTCCAATGCACAGATAGATAGCGTCTTGAAGACTGGAAGACGAATGACGAGATAAAGCAGAATATTGCAAGACGTGGGCATTATGGCACCGAGCGTCCAAATCACTCCAGGTTTCCGGCCCACATGTCCCTCTTTTCTTTGCCCAGATCTCGCAAGGTATTGACCCATTACGCTTTAATTCCGTGAACACACGCCTTTCGAGTGAACCCCCGAAGTCTCATATTTCCAATAAAACGTCGTACAAGGCCTAACCTTTTCCTGTCCGTTCTTCCGCAACCTAGCTTTCCGCAGTTCTCAACGGCCTTTAATTCACCTTCTCACATACCAGATGGAGCCATTTCTGTTTGATCTATATGCAAATTTCAGCTGTATTGATGCGTGTTACCACTGTTTTAAGTTTTATCGAAAATGAAAACTCGCCTACTCGGCATTGCACAGTGATCCCAAGCGTTCCGACCACAGGAACCCTAGACGGGCCCAGCCTACCGCCTCCAACCGCTCTCCCTACAGTAGGCGGAGCAAGCTACCAGGAGCTCGGCTGCACGCCAGCAGGAAGCAATGGCACAGCCCCCCTACTGGGCCGGCGATCGCCCTAGGAGGTCTGGCGCTAGCTCACCTCACCGTACGCTCCGTTCCTCTGGCGCCGCTGGAAAAGCGCAGCGTTAGGTTCCGCGCAGTGGTTTTTTGAAAATAATCATAGGACGCAATGAAAAAAGCACAAACACCCGTAAACCGAAAAAGCTATTTTAACACACCCACACATTATGAAAAGCAGTCACATTTTACAAGAGCGTTTATGGTTTAAATCAGTACCATCTATACAATGGCGAAGAGCTAAAGCGACATTGGCCTTGACACTACGATTTTTAGAAAACCTAGAGTAGCTGTGGATGTGAGCACTCATTTTGCTAGATGGTAAACGCTACCTTGTGATATCAAAATAAGACTAAATTTAAAGTTCAACAGGAACAAAGCGCTAAGCTTAAAGCGTAAAACGATGCTATATACAAGGATTAAGCTGACAGGACGCCATCAAATAAAAACTTCACAACCTTCTTGGTCTTGGAGCTCTGACACCACCGAATTTCAAAGGTGTCGCGTCGCTTACGCGCACCACGTTCTTGCGTACTGCGGTCCCTTCTTTACCGTTCAAAGCCGCGGCAAAGGCTTCCCTGCCCTTACCAAAGTCCTTGAGAACGATTTCAATGCTACGGTCCAAAAGTCGTTTTTCCTGTAACATCTGGAAAAGTCGCGCCGATGTTTGAAACGCGGCTTCGTACTCGCCGCGAGCGGCCTTTCTGAACCCGAGATTGCCCGTCGAAACCCTGAACTTTACCTTCTGAGGTAATTGCAGGTAGTATAGGAACTTGTCGTTGTAGGAGGCCTCCGGGTTGTTCCGGAGGAAGTTCAGATCCTCTACGACGGCGGAGTACGTGAAATGTGTGTTGTTCTTGGTAAACAGACAGTTGAGCACGTACTTGACCGTGTGCTCGTTGGGTCTCCGAGAAGCTTTACTCTTGGCGTCTCTGCCGACGTCTGTCGGCGTGATGACGTTCGACATGGGGTTCATGGCAGCAGCTTTGTTGGCGACATCTGTAAAAGAGATGCCGGTTGATTCGTTCAGCTTGCGGGCTGCTGTGGAAAAGGACTTGGTCACCCACCTCGAGATCATCCTGTACTATCGACCTGCGATGCAACGGTACGACCGAACTGTTGGTTTTAAGCCTGAGGTTTCCCGGTCGATACCAATTTAGGCCAGTAATTTCTCGAATGCTTGAAATTTCAATATTTTTCATACTGTGTTACGGCAAGAAAATGGTCTTTATTACCAAGATCCGTAACGTCAACCATGAAAGAGCCATAAGGCCGTTAGGCTGCGTCCATAAAGCAGAATAAGTAGCTATGAATTTCTCATTGGGTTCAAATTAAACAACGGTTTGCCATGTCTCGGATTCCTTTTACGAGAAATGCATTGGCCACCGCGCGGAAGCAGGAGGAAGGAATCCAAGCACAACATAGACGGCATATTTGAAGCAAACTGGGGTCCTGTGAACCCACAAATATGAGCTCTCTAAAGTCTCCTATGATGATGTTTTCTTTTATTGTATCTTTTATTGTATCCGATCACGTGACCTCTTCGACAGATCCCGTAGCCATGCTCGGCAACGTAAAGCGGTAGCGGGTCGCGGCGAAAGAGACGTCGCAGACCTCATAGTTATCTAAAGATGTTTTGCGAGCACAAGCTAATATAAACCGAATATTTAATAATCTGATGACTCGCGCGCAAACCTTTCGAAAGTCAAAAAGTTTCGTATCCTGCGGGGTACTACGCTAGTATGGAAGCCCATCTGCACAAAACCAGTTTTTGTCTTACATTGGAAAGCGAACTGATATAGAGTCGAGCCACCCGCAAAATCTGCACCAAGATCTCGAGTTCCTCTCCCGCCTGATTAGATGAACATGTCACGTGATCAGAATACGTCATTCCTCGAAACTGTTGCAAAGACAGTGGTAATGATTTGCATATCGCTTATGAGCATGATCGAAGGCCGAGAACCTTTAGAGAGAATGTCACACGTAGATTTTGCTGATTTTAATAGGACTTTGGTGTCAGGTTTTTCGTTGATAGCAGTCACGTGCTATGTGCGACAGGGTCAATATGTCTATAGAGCGAAAGCGTGCGACGCTAAAACCGACAAGACTCACGATGCAGTTCTGGCTGTGCGAGATTGAATCTCTAAGAACCTATTAGATATAGTTGCTAGCGGGAAGAAGTTATGATATATGAGGACTTGTTTTCTAAATGTCACTTTTGCCTTCATACTTGTGAACACCAAAGACCAAAACAGGACTGACAAGTAATGAAAAATACCCTTATTTAGTGCCAGAAGATTACCGGCGAGTGTTAACCTATTCAACACATCCAGTCCTCGTCTTCGTTGTTGGCGCATAAGCTTTATCAACCACAGACATGGCCAAAATCAAATCACCCTGTACGGACCATGATCTACCACCCTATTCTACACACGAGTAACACGATCGAGGATCCCCTTTAGTTTTGTTTACTAGTAAGCCCAAGCGTTGTGTTTTGGTTGGAAAGTCTGCTACTAATAATTGCCTCCTTGGCATTTTTGGTTCGTGTCTTTTTCCCTTTGAACTTTACACTCTACGTTGGAAACAAGCCAAAATTCGACTCATTACTCGGAGCTCCATTTGCCATATGGCAGAATGTGGGTCAAGGTTTCATCAGCCTTCAACGGGCCCTTGCCCTCAGGAGACATTGATTGAATTCAATAGTTAATATCACGTGATATAATCACAAATAACGAGTATTCCACTTATACCCCTATTACCCGGAGCAAGATAGATACCGTCTCGGAGGAAACCGTGGGAAATTCCAAAAACAACCAGCAGTTAGAGGCGTATCGAAATTCCAGTTAGCGGGCTCTCCCTCTAATTGAAACTTATAAAGGTATTGAGCCAGAAGGGGCCCTTGAGCATCACGGCAAGATGTCGGCAAAATACGATCAATTTATTGCTAATGATGTGACTTCAAACCGCTCCAATGTTGCGCGACAGATGTTGATTAAAGAATATAAAAAACTAGGGCACGGAGCGTTTGGTACCGTAGTACAAGCGTATCTTACGCCCGACAATCACAAATGGTACGGTCCGTTTGCCATCAAAAAGGTACCGGCGCAAACAGAGTATAAATCGCGTGAATTGGAAATCTTGCGGGTCGCAGACCATCCAAATGTGGTCAAATTAGAGTATTTTTTCACGCATGTGTCGCCTTCCGACAACAAACTGTACCAGCATCTTGCCATGGAATGCCTTCCGGAAACACTGCAGTTAGAAATCCACCGGTACACTTCGAACAAATTCGAGCTACCTTTGAAGCACGTCAAACTTTACACTTATCAAATTGCGCGCGGAATGCTGTATTTGCATGCGCTTGGTATCTGTCACCGTGACATCAAGCCGTCGAACGTATTGGTAGACCCGAACACCGGTGTTCTCAAGATCTGCGACTTTGGCTCCGCCAAGAAACTCGAACCCACGCAACCTTCGATCAGCTATATCTGCTCCCGTTTTTACAGGGCACCAGAATTGATCGTCGGTTGCACACAGTATACCACCCAAATTGACATTTGGGGGCTTGGGTGCGTGATGGGAGAAATGCTTATAGGGAAAGCCGTTTTCCAAGGGCAAGAGCCGCTATTGCAACTACGTGAGATTTCCAAGCTTTTGGGACCCCCAGACAAGAAGTTTCTGTTCTTTTCCAACCCTTCCTATGATGGTCCACTGTTTTCCAAGCCCCTCTTTACGGGAACGCCTGCTCAAAGGTTCGAAAAACATTTCGGGAACGCCGGACCGGAGGGCATTGATTTGCTGATGAAAGTTCTCGTTTACGAACCCGAAAGTAGATTATCGCCTAGGCGAATAATGGCACACAGTTTTTTTGACGATTTAAGAAAAGAACGTTATTTCTTCCCTAGGGGCCATACGCAACCGAAATATATGCCTAGTCTCTTCGAGTTTTCGCAATTTGAGTTGCAGATCCTCGGGGAGCTGGCTTCCCAGGTGACGCCGCAAGAGTGACAGCATCTGCTCACTAGGTCACGTCGAAAAGCTGTAATTAATTCTTTTCGGCCGTGTACATCCCATGAACTGAACGTTTTCCCATGCCCCGCTATCCGCAAATCTGTCCTGTTTTCTCGTAGACCGAGAAGGCCTATGCTCAGAGAGTAGTCCCTAGACCCACGAATGCGCTGTAGCAGCTCTGAGGGTCTGTTTCTTAACTCGTATTCCCTACTTCATATTATAGAGGAATCTTTGAATGTATATTTAGAAATACCTGACCTTCAATAACAAGAAACCTTACAGAGTCAAAGAATAAGAATATTCATCTTCGACGTTTTGCGCTATCCACAAAAGCACACAGCTGATGACCACGCAAAAATTTCCGACAACGTTATTGATACCCATGCCTAATGTTGGGTATGATGTGAAGTCTTTAACCAAGAATTTTATCACCAGAACAACTATGGAGCCTGAAAGTCCACCGGCCAAAAGGGCAAACCCAAGGAAAAGAACCACTCTAGCCTGCCATGCAAGCGACGAGGAGCCACTGAAAGATCCCGATGCAAGTGCGTCTTGTATTAGTCTATTTTTTTCAATCGAGCTCACAATGATCATTCCAAGCGTGCTGCAGATAATGGGGATCCAGTCCACGAAAGTAACATGCACTAAAGAAGCATTGGCTTTCTTCGAATAGATAGCACTGTCTAGAAAAAGCCATGCACCCAATGCGTAAAGCGCTCCTGCCGTATAAATGCCAATAGTTCTTGCTCCCGCAGAGCTGGGTAGCTTAAAGGGGAGTCTGAAAAGCCTGTTGTTTTCGGCGTCCATTATCGGGAGAAGGCTAGGCTGCTTGTAATTGCTGTACTTGCTCAAAAACAGGCTAACACTGGGGAACAAGGCTGGCACTCCTTGTCTAACCTATCTAACGATTACAACCGCTTCAGTCCTGTCCACTCTACCAGAATCCAGATCCTAATTTCAGTTTTCCATATCGAACGTCGTAACCGTGAGAAGGGATATTTGATGCGAATTGCCTGATCACGAGATCGAACAATCATATTAAACCGGTTTTATCTACTGTAACTGCTTCAAAGAAGGGTGATAAGTGAATAAATACCCGTAGCTAGACAATGAGTCACCTGAGCGGTGAGCAAATAGTGATTCAGAATCATTTTAATGAATCGCAAGTATCTGTCGCTTTTTACGTTATTCAGTCCTCAGTGGGTAACGCCAGTGCTACATATAGAACTTTAAAAGCCAAATCACACGCTCCTATGTAGATGAAATCGATCATCTTCGCTTTTAGAAACCTTTCCAATGGTTTTGAATCATTATATGTCAATAATGTCGTACCCTCTTAAAACATAGAGATTCAGTAGTTTCGACGTACGATCATGGATAAAAACCACTCGGATTTTGGTAGATATCAAATACCGAGTACTTCTTTCTCAAAAAGTCATTAGGATCTTTTTATACACCGCTTTGTCCTTATCAGTTAGATTAGTCTGCGCAAAGTATTTGCCAAGATTTTATAGCCACACGATTCATGGTCTTCCCTAAACCTCCTCGAGCTCAAAATTTGCTCACATACTGATTCTCGACCAAAATTGTGTGTTGATCCCCAAAGATTCATACTGATATGCTCCCCATCGCTCATTTTTTTGTCGAGCATAAATTTTCCCAACTACTGCTAGTGTCAAGCTGTGCTCGTTATATTCACATTTTCATAATTGCCGACTGTTGAGATACTTAGAAATTATATCTACCGAAAATTTAAAAGCATCGAAATTCAACGTAACTGTATAAATGATGATGCCATGAATCCAATCCACTCACACGATAAGTATGGTTCACTACAGACAAGCGCACATTGCCGCTCGTCTGTATTGGAAAGCAGCTTTAAATCATTCAACTTTATTGATGTTACTAGCATCGGTAGTCGACGATTTTTCAAAGTGGCCTCTCAGTTCCTAGTTGTTCTTCACAGCAAAATAATGTTAGAAGGACCTGGCGAGAAGGTGATGTCGTTCAATTGCATTATCACGTGATTGACATGACAGAATAAAATTAGAGAAATGGACAGACGGTTCGCATTCCACGAAAGAACTAGAAGCTAAAACAGGTCTATTGACAGTTCTAGAACCTTCAGAACATGTTAATCAGATCATATGTGGTATGATGAACGACGTATGATGAGAATTCACCGTCTAGTATGAAGAAAGTAAGGGATTCTAAACTTAGAACAGTGTTACGAAATTGTGTAAAAGGGGGAGTTTCGATCAGTCATAAACTGGCCAGATCTTCAAGATAATTACAGAGAGATACAAGTACTCAATTCCTTATCAGCTTTATTATTTAGATCGACTCTGAACGAATTAAATGAGCAGTTCAGAAATCTATCAACGACCGACAACGAAAAACCTCATCAAATAAACCTGGTGTCGAGATCACGTGTCTATTTGACTATGATAAACTTATGCTCTCAAAACTTTTCACGCCTCATTCTCTGTACAACTCTTGTGATGCTATATCCATTATCGTCTGCTACCTCTGGTGAGAGACGTCGTCAAACAAATTCCACATGACACATACCACATACCTGAAGTGGTCGAATTTAAACAGGGTAAGGACTCTTTAGCAATCGCTGGGAACATTTGGAGCTCCGTGCCTTTCTGGGTCGAATCGAGTTTCAAGCGGGTTATTCTGTCATTTTAATCACGTGACAACACCTACCAATTATTTATATGACGGTATTAGCGATCGCAAGCTCTTGCTATCGTAATATGGCTATTAACTCAAATTTAAAAACAAAACGTGTATGAATTCATTTATCTAGTCAGTTTTGCCTCTTCTAAGGGCTAGATTATAACATCCCCAAACCCACACTTCGATATCTCCTACGGGGTACACGGCGTCATAGAGAGCCAAGTTTTATGGACGCCACTTATCATTCTCTTCCGAGAGTATAAATATCGGCAATGGAACGCAAAAAATAATGCTTAGATGCAGATTCTGAAATATTTATTAGAGACCTTTATTACTAGTGAGTTACATTAAGTGGACTAACCTAATTTCAGCTTTCGTTTAACACGAGCATATATATCCATATTAATACCTTCTAAAAACGTTAAGAAAACGACTTTCTGGGACTAAAAAATCATCTAGCTTTTCACCACCTGCTAGGGATAGTTTTCCTAAAATCTGATTGACTTCTGTCCTTATTTCATCTCATTATTGAATTTAAATCGCCGTTTAACAGCGAATAAAGATTTCTGAGCCCTTCAAAAGCCGCCAGTTTTCCCACATATTGAATTATTTTATCGAGCTGCATTGATTTAATCAGGCTCTATTTAGTTTTTCTCTTTGCATCTTTCATATACCTTCACGATTTAGTCGCTGGGGATTCATGGCAGGTTATTAAGAATATTGAAAAATTTTATAAGCTCATCGCATCGCAGCAGAGATCAACCTAGAAAAGAGTAGGGAAGCTAAAGAAAAGAGATGCCGCGAAAGAAGTCAGCTGCTAAAAAAGCCAGAGAAGCGGCAGCTAAAACCTCTGGTGGAAAAACTGGAAACTCAGAGCTTACAGGAGCCAAGAAAATTCCAGAGAACGTTGGTCGCGATGAGACCAGCGAAATCAAGGCTTTGAGCTCGCTTGAACCTGAGTCTTCGGAAGAAGATGAGTCTCCTTCGGAAGAAGAGGATGATTATGGTGAGTTGATTACTACAGAAGTCGAAAGCGGGATTAACAGCGTGTTAGAAGCCATCAGAAACGAAGATAAAGAGAAACTACTGAACCCGAACGTGCGATTCTTCGAAGACCTTAATAACGGGGGCGAATCACAAATTAAGTCTTCTAAACATAAGCCTATTTATTTAAAGGACTATCACCGCATGAACCTTCTTTCGGGCGGTGCAGTTGAGGACGAAGAGCTGGGGCAAGAGCTAAAAACGGTTGACGGCGAACAGTCTTACGCAGCGAAACAGAAAAAGGAGACAGCTGAGCTTTTGGACGAAATCAAGAATCAATTCAGCGACGACGATGCCAACAGTGAGGATGGAGTCGACGATTTCCTGGTTAAAAAAGAGCAGGCACCCACGCAAGTCGGCAGACGTTTAAGGCCGTTGCCAAATCCAGATGCCAACGAAGAAGCGTTCCTTACGGAGTTCGTCGACCGCCATGCATGGATCCCCAAACCAGGTGACAAGGAAATGAATCTGGATGGACCTGGGTTGGAAGAAGACGATGAGAAATTTGATGAGGCTGCCGAGAGGTTTGAAAATGCATACAACTTCAGATATGAAGATCCCAACGCCGCAGAGATTGTCTCGTATGCGCGTAACCAGGCTACGCTCAGAAGGACTGGCGAAAATTCCCGTAAGAGGAAGAGAAACGAGGAGAAGAACGAGAAGCTAATCGAGACTAAAGAGAAAGAAATCGCGGTCAAAAAGAAGAAGAAGGAAAAGATCAATCAATTGACGGACGTGCTCGAGCAGATTAAGAAAGAATACGGGGCAGATATTGACGAAGACTTGGTACAAAAAATAACGGATTCCTTGATGAATGGCGAGTTTGAAAACGGCCAGTGGGACACGGTGCTTAATGAGTTATTCAATGATGACTTCTACAGTAAGGACGGTAAACCAACTTGGGACGAAGACGATGAAATAATGGGTGAATTTTATGGCGAGCAGTCAAAGACTCAGAACGCTGAAACGACGTCACAACAAGATGCACAATACGATGAGGAAGGGGAAGACGAATCAACTAAGAAGTCAAGGAAGGAAAGGTTAACAGACAGAAAGCTTCAGAAGAAAGAGAAACGGAAAGTCACAGATATGATTGAAAATGCCGTTGAAGAGAAGAAGAGTGTAATTTTAGAAGAAGTCGAAGATGAGAGAAGAGGACGTTCCCAGACCAAAGATGAACAGGAAATAAAATTCAGATACAGAGAAGTTTCGCCAGAAGCCTTTGGTCTTACAACAAGAGAGATCTTCACCGCTGACGATGCTGATCTGAATGAGTTCATTGGCCTGAAGAAGTTCGCGCCTTACAGAGCTTCAGAGTTGAAAGCCAAAGATCGCCGCAAAGTGATGAAGTCTAGACGCATGAGAGAATGGAGAAAGAAAGTGTTCGGTAACGAAAGGGGCATGGAAGACCAAGAGCTTGCGTCAGCCTCGGGAGACTCGATAGGATCAAGTCAAAAGCCAAGCAAGAGATCCAAGGCTAGAAGCCTAAAACAGAAAGAAAATAAATAATTTAGACGAGTTTTTTAAACATTAAAAGTTCCCTCCGAGGGTCTTAATCTTGATATGCTTGTATTTATTGTCTTGAACTTAAAATTAAGGTTTACACGGGGAAAATTTCGGCTAACATGGATTTGCTCAATTGTACCGAGACATTTTCGTGGGAAAGCTTAGCACAGACTTGTTAGACTTTTGACGGTAATCAAATTGCTTATCCTGACGCATCCTTCTAGGCCTGAAAGAATTTATGATTGATTTTGTTCCACTTTCTGCAGCCTCATTAAGCGTCGTAGGTGCTGCTATGTGATTCAGCCACCATGAAGCGAGCCACGCACAAGCGATAGCAATGAACACCATCACACCTAATATTCCAAAAAACCATCCGAGACCGCTGTCACCGTTGCCCGGCACTTTTACGTTCATCCCGAATAGTCCCGGTATCAGATTCAACGGAACTAAAACAGTACCAATTAAGGTCACCTTTCCCAGCATTTCAGTTGTCTTGTTATTAGAGTTGAAGGACTCGACCTGAAGCTGGGCTAAGTAGTTGGAATGAGACCGTGAGAAAATTTTCTCATAGGATAACAGATTTTGAAACATTGTCAGGACGTGGTCTTGAATATCGCCTAAATATAAGGCAATATCGGCCCTCGGTTGAGCTCGAGAAGAAAAACTAGTGGGGACTTCTTTGTTCCTACTCATATCAGGACCAAATTGGTTTTGCTGAGAAAACTGCAGATTGGCAATGTTCAGATGCGAAGTTAAGGCAGGACCAATCGCACTCAACTCATCTTGGCATCTTTTGGCAAACATTTTAATAACATCCGCTTTACCACTCAACAGACGCATGAGAGTCATGGTTTTGCGCCTACCTTCACCAATCCTTTGCAACATTGCTGCAAAGTCCATGTCCCGTGCCATGAACACCGAGTCCTCAATGGCATCCGCCTCATATTCAATGGCGTGGATAACAGGCGCAAAACTGTCTGTGATATCATCAATCAATGCATAACATAGCCAATCAGAGGTGACATCAACATAATCACGTAGTTGTCTCACACGACGTCTGACGTTAGAGCAATGATCTATGGGTCCGAAATGAAAGGTTAGAACTCCCTCTTTAAAAACCACAATGTAAACGTTGATGGGCTCCAAAAATTCCTCAGATTCTTTGTCGCTTTCAAATGTGTGGAAACACACGAAATAGTAAGATTTGAATAACTCGACTTTCTCACGCGCTTCTTGCATTCTTATATCCTCAGCAGTCAAAGGATGCAAACCAAACGCCTTGGAGATGCATCTCATTTCATCGTCCGTAGGACATGCGCAATCAAGCCACCAGGTAGGCGATCCGTCTCTGAAGAGGCCTCTGAAGGTCTGTCCAGGTTTGACCAGTGATGGGATGTCAGGTGAATGGATCGTTTCTTCGTTGTCAGAGCAAAAGAAAGAGAACCTGTCGGGTAAAAAGTACTCCGCCCGTTGATCTTGGATACCTAGCTCGTTATACTCTGATTCATCGGTTTCAACTTTGTTATCACCGAAGAAAATTCCAGCGTTAGGAGATGTTGTCCTATCCTGAGATCTCCGAGCAGCTTGTGGTCGCACTTTGGGCGTATATTTGAGTGCCGCACTTGAAGCGGTGGTTGAAGTCGAGCTTGACGAGCCTTCTTTGTTGGCGTAAGTTGCAGACGCTTTGGCAGGTACTGCATCAATTAAAGCATTCGCATTCGTGGAAGCAGACTCGCCATTGTTTAGCGCGAATTCTTCTAATTCGTCGAAGTCAATGTTGTTGATCCTTTTGTGTTCCAAGCGTTGCATTGGAAAACACACATCTTCCTCCGTTTCTTGACTTTCCCTGGACAAATGTGAGTTATCAGATTCCAAAGAAGCTCTAGAAAGACGACGCCTTACTTCCCTCGGTGCTGATTCACTTTGGGATGACTTCGCGGAAAAAGTCTTACCCAACATTTGCATGGGTCCAGTGGAAGAAGCGCTAGACATTCTTCTCGTTTTTTTGTGCACGGGAACTTCCATGTGCACGCTTCCCCGCGGTAGTCCCGAAGTGGCAGGAGCAGGCGCTTTGCTACTTTGCCTACCTTTTGAATGCGTTTCTTCTCTTTTTGCATTAGTGACTTTGTAAATTGGGCCGCTTCTACCCGCCTTCATAGGAGAGGCTTTGTCCTGGATGGTCTGACCGCTATAGATCTCGTCACGAACACTGTTGGTTGCTCCAGACGCGGAGGCCATTGCGGCAAGCTGACTTCTGGCGACTGCATCGACATCAGAAAGTTGTCTTGCGGGAAGCGAGTCAGGATGCTGCCTATGGTCATAAAGCTCGTTGTGCTCTTCGGTATCCATCGAAGCTAATGATACATTAGGTGAAGCTGTAGGGGACAAATCTTCGTGAGAAGTGGAAGATTCAGCATCAGAACTCATGCTGACCGATTGTTTTGAGAAAATCCTGGAATTTAAAACACCTCAACGAGACTATCCAAAGTTTGATACAACTTCTCGTAGAATCTGTTAGATTTTAAATTTAGCGGTAAGCTCCGCGTATCATAAGCTCAACACTGCCAAAAACTTGATGATTATTAACAACGCTTCTAAAAGACAGTCCAGAATCGCGGCCAACTATTTTAAACTAACAGCAAGCACTCAAACTGTTCAAATCCACGAACTAAAAGAGCAGCTCGTTTTGACCCAAAAAAGGAGTAAAAATCCAATTTGAAGTCTCTTTCGCAGCTAGAAAGTCTTTCAATTTTGAAAAAGAAAGATGATCACCTCCTTAATCTGACCAGCAGTATCCCCGCGACTCGTGCTTCAAGTGAACTTGGGTTAGGAGATGAGATGAGGTGTCGGGGAACTTGATAGCTAAATTTTCATTTTTAGATTTTCCACGTGCATGGGAAATTTTCGACTCGAGGTCGCTATCAACGGAAACGAGTACCAAATGAGTAAGCAGACTTATGCCTATGAGTAGAATCCTTGTGTAAGCCACGTCAGCGGCTTCGATGAGACCCTGAATAGTGAACTCGGGAAACAGTGATTTACTTGCCATTGGTGAAAAATACTAGCGAGACTTTCGCTTTTGCGGGGCATTTTTGGTGCCTTTTTTCCAAAGTTCACCGTGGTGCCCGGTACACTCTCAATCTCTCTTGGAATCGCTATGAGAGCCGCTCGTGACCCTCGGAGAGGGACTGAAAAGGTTGTGGACGTAATCTCCCATGTTGAAGTTGGGCGTTTTGAGGAGGTGCGCCGACCGGAATTCTTGAGATGGGGTACCCGGAACGACAAGGTTGGCGCCCACGGAAGAGGATGGAAGACCTCCTTGGCTCATTTTGCGCTTCTGTGGAGATGGAGACATGTACAATGCCACGGTCGGAGTGTCAACCAGCTCATTGAAATGGGATTGAGATGCCTGGGCCCCCGTAGAGCTCGAGATGCCCGCAGCCGCGTGCGAGGGAACTTTAAAGCTCGAATGCGGCGAACTTGGGTGCGGTTTCACTTGCGACGAAAACGATGGAGTAGTAGGGACCCGGATCTTGGCATTTGAACCTCCTATAGATGAATTGTACCCAGGAGTTTTGCCCGCGTAGGGACTGGTGGCAAGGTACATCAGCAAATCGGCCCCTACCTCGTTTTCCGCAGACGAAATACGCGGTGTTCGTGGCACAGGCAACTCGTCGGCGTCTGTCCTTTCGATCTTTGTACTTTGCCGCCTGCTACGGGTTGCGGGCGGCGTCGATGGCTTGCGACTCGAGTTTAAGGGTGACTGATGAGTTTCGTGTCGCTCTTTGGTCCAAGTCTCGTCTTCGCGGGGGGTTTTCAAGGGAGAAACGCGTGGTGGTTCATTGGGTAATTTATTTATACCGAATTTGACGGGAGAAAGTCGCGAACGGTTCTTGCTAGTTTCCCGAGAATTCTTTTTAGGCGTCGCAACCTTACTCAATTCTAGTTTCAATTGTCGCGTCATTCGAGCCAGTTCTGCTCGCTCTAGAATTTTGCTTGCTATTTCTTGCTCCTTCTGAGGTGATAATTGAGGCTTACTCATGGTTTGAGCCTTTGATAGCGTCTTGTGGACCGAGTTATCCAGGTGAGTTTACCTTTCTTCATGGTGAAGTCTAATTTTGAATTTGAATATTAAGAATACTTTGCCCTAACAGGAAAACGCGTTAAAATATTATCCGCACCGGAAGAAAAACGGGCAATATCAGGATGTTTAAGTCAGTTTTGGCGCAAAGTAGGAAGTTGGGACCAATATACAGGAAGAGAGCTGCAGGGGCTTCTTTAAATGGCGTTCCTTCGATTTCTCTACGTCATTTTTGGCCTAATTTAACGTTGGCTCAAGATGCCAAGGGAATGGCGGGCAAAATGTCTCCCGAATCACCAGAACAAGCTCCAGGAGCCAAAAAAGCTATCGGACAGATTAAAGTGGACAAACCTATGCTAATGATCGCGTTTACGTGCAAAAAATGTAACACAAGGTCATCGCATTCCATGTCAAAACAGGCTTACACGAATGGCACCGTTTTGATACAGTGTCCGGGCTGCAAGGGGCGGCACCTGATAGCGGACCACCTCAAGATATTCTCTGATGACCATGTTACGATTCAAGATATTTTGAAGGCCAAAGGTGAGTCCGTTTCGCAGACGACAGATGACTTGGCGTTCGAGGATATTCCGGACAATTTGAAGAGCCTTATAGGGCACCACGCCAAAGACGCTCCCAGGGGTGCAGCAGAGAAGTCATGCGATCACGAAAAGCACATTTTGCCAGAAAAATAGAGCTATACCGAGGCTTTTTTTTGATTTGTTTTCTATGGACAACTCGCCTGTTGATTGCCGGAGAGCTTCAAGAATACGCGGGAAACGTTCAAACCACAATGAGACGCTGCAATGATTGTTAGTACGAGGGTTTTGGTTGGCCGTTGCATGTTGAAATAGTTTTGTCCGAAAGCACGTGACGCTTTTCTCGCTCTCTTCGTCATCTACTTAGTCAAATCATGCAATTTGAAGGAAACATCAAGACTCATTCTGTACTTAAGGTTGGAAACTCCTGAGATCTTGAGATCGACGCCTCAACAATACTAGGGTGATAGTGTTAAGGCCATTTACTTCGAATGAAAAGACTTCAACTTTTTGGTGCAAATAGAAGCGAGGGCAGCTGGCATTTCTTTTCCGAGCGACAAGACAAAAGAGGGAGAAGTTTGGAGAATGAGAGCGACATATCGGAATATCCTCAAAATCATCTGATGAATCTTCCACCGAACGTTTTGCATGAAATTCTGGGAAATCTGGACGTCGCAGATCTACTCAATTTGTGCGTTGTGAACTCTCATCTATATGAAGTAATAAGCGACAAATTCTTATACCAAAAAGTGGTTTTAAAAAGCAAGTTGTCATTGCTCAAATTTAACGCGCTGGTGCACAGCGAATCGCATACTCTCGATCCACTCAAGAATCATCACAGAAAGAAGAGTGCAGGACAAAACGTGCGATTTCTGATTCGGTGCATTGAGTTCAGAGATCCCATCTACCAGGATTCGCTACTGAAGTACAGTAAATTCTACAACAACGACAACATTTCGACAATAGGTGGAACATTTTCCTTTTCGGCTCCCAGCTTTTCTGACAGTTCCCGCGCTTACGGCAGCACACCCATTAGTCGAGAAAATACCGGTGGAAGTGCGAGCTCCGCTAGTGGGGGATTCGACAATCTCGATAATGTTTCATTAATGGGGAACACAAAGACCCAACAAATCTCATCAGGCGGCTGGTTTGGTACGAAAAGCAACAGCAGAAGAAAAATGGAGCATGCTAACGTCGTCGTGGCTAAAGCCGAGGCCAAATACGTCGACTACACGTATATTGAGCTCATGCTGGATATTATAGACTTTTGCCCAAACTTAATCCATGTTATACTGAGTGACGTTCAGTTAGGCTTTAAGATCCCTTTATGGTACTCTTCACTTAATGATGGTTCAAGGGACTTTTACAAAAAGATCATCAAGGGGCAACAGTCCATGACAAGGGCTGACTTGAAATGCTTTCAATTTTCAAGTGAATGGATAAATAAGTACCAAGAAGATTTCTACGCGTTGCCGAGGTTGAAGATTATGGAGATTAAGGCTCGAAAGGGCGACAAAGCACTCCCCTTGAGGCCCAACATGCTTTGCTGCTTTGGAGTATTTGATGAACTTCGGCTGTCTAATATGATCATAGACAGAGAATCTCTCGATACACCGCTTGAGTACTTACCCCTTTTAATGAAGAGAAACATGGAGGGGTTTTTGGATGTTAGCCTGCCGATTAGATCTTTATCGCTGGATGGCTGCGAAATCGTTCCGTCAAGTGGAATAATGAAGCTAATATGCTCTTATTTTAACATTGTCAAGATACTTCAATTATTGAAAATTAAAAGCAAGTTTGATCTGCTACTGAGCAACTGTTTCCCGAGTCTTTCTGATCTAACAATCGATTGCCACAGTAAGTGTTTTGAAGAGCAGCGACTGGTTGACGAAGAATATTATTGGGAGGAAACTGCCTTAGAGCAGGACGATAACACGTCCATAGCACGTACACTCATTGAACATGAAGTAACCAAGGTTTTAGCCGCACCACCGCCAACGACACCTATCATATCAACAATGAATTCTGGATCTATCCTCCGCGTAAATGCCTCTAATGGCAAAAAGCCTGGCATGATCACACATTCTCAGTGCAATTACTTTAACAGCATGAATATTCCCAAATTTCACTACTTATTTCATTATTCCAAATCGGTCTGGGATAAACTACCTTTCTGTAATATTAACCTGAAAATCGTTAATGTACCGTTCACCAATGTTTTTCCGCTACCACCTCAAAGTTTTTGTGGGGATCTTTTGGACTATGAAGGAGATGATCAGAGAACGCTATGTGGGAATGTTACGACATCCGGAGAAGGAGACTTCGAAAAGATTTACTGGTGGGATAGTGTTGTCCAAGACCACTTGCGGGATCTATCAGCTCCATTTATAGACGAAGACATGGAATCTGAGGGGTCAAATATATTTGAGTCTGCGCTTGTGAATAACTTCGAAAATCCCTTACTTTTTAAGGACATTCCAAACGTCAATGTTTGGTATTTTCTACAATCACTATCAAAATTTAAATCAGTGGAAATCACAATGCTACGAAAATGGCTATTTTGCACTCCTCGATCTCGCTACGATTGGGAATTACTATTAAAGCCAATTCTCAATGGTAAAATACCCGTCAAAGTAAGGGATAACGGTGGTCTAACGTTGTATAAATATGGAGCAGCCTAACGATTTGCCATCCGAAGCAAGTCTCTTATCGGCATCCGACAGCTAAATGGAAGTGCTGAATGCAACAAATCCCACGAAAATGGAAATGAACCCTACAAGGAGCAACCAGAAGTTGACTTTCAATTCTGAGGAATGGTTTTTGTCCTGATTTTTGTCTTTGCTCCTGTCACTGTTGGAGGACGAAGCTCCGGTCGGCTGAGTTGTCGATGACAAAGACTTCTTAGCTGATGTCGATGACTTCTGCGTTCCAGACGACTGGTTTGACTTTAAGTCAATACTGTTGATAACTTCAATCCGATGTGGACCTTTCAATTCATTACCATCAACATCATGAATTGAAAACTTCGAAGTCAATTCATTCTCAGTCAAGTAAATGTATTTGCCCCGCCTAACTGTCACTCCGTTTTCTATTAGATGGTCAGTTATACCCTCGGGAACCTTTGTGTCAACTTTTAAATTCTCGTAAGCTTCTTCGCATTCGGGCATCTCCGCCATGAAGACTTGCAGTTGCTCGAAGGCTTGTTGGAGACTATCTGCACGAACATCCGTGTACTTTTCCCTTAACGCATCATAATCGGGGAGTAGTTTTACAGAACCATTGTCTTCAACTTGTACAAGGCCATATTCATTGGGCTCCAAGGTGTATTCATATACAAGCCCACCACAGAACACATCAATCATCTTAGATGAGAAGAGTGCGGCCACTTCTCCAAATTTTCTGGGCTTGACAGCATTGCATCCAAACTCGGAGAAAAACACTGGCTTCGAGTATTTTGCATAGGCTTTTGAAAGCTCGTCGTAGCCAGAACTCTCAAACGTCTGATCACCACACCATTGATATGAATTGACACCATAAAAATCAACTTCAGAGTCTGGATTGTTTTCGTCATAGCATTGCAGATAGTCGGATAAAGAGAGTCGAAATTTCAAGTCATCGGCGGCCGAATACCCAATGGGAATGATGCGAGACATGTGCTGTTTGATGTAGGTCTTCATGTCCTTCACAATCGATCTAATATACGGTGGCGACCGTCTTGCAGAAAGACCGTCATTGATAATTTCATTACCAGCAAAAAAGCCCAGCGTGTTGTTGTACTGACCGAAATGATCGATGACCTTAAATACGTGCTCCATGTAGTCGGCATTGTACGACACCCAGGGCTCGTAGCGATTCAAATGTTGATTATCTAAAGGAGAATTGACGTCTAAAATCAAGTATATGCCAGCCACTGCCAGCATGGTCATGCATGCGTCATGATCCAAGTCAGGACTAACTGAATAGACTCTGACGGTGTTGACTCCAAGCTTCTGGAAAAGGTAGATATCACGGGCACATATTTCAGGATCTGACAGCGGATCTTTATCAGCAGCCACTTTAGAAGATCCACCAGGTTGGTAGTCAACTCCCTTGATGAAAAACGGCTCTTTTGTTTCCGTGTTCATGAAATGTCTGCCAGCAATTTCTATTGGCGCTATATGCGCCATTGCATAGGCTATAAGCAAGTACAATACTTTCAAATACATCTGTAAATGGGACTCGCGATTACTGAAATAAAGGCTCTATCAAAAACTGAGTTTGTTTTAAGACAAGATCAAAATATGAGGACTATTGAAAGATTGTGTAACAGTTTGGGATTTTGTAGTCCTTTCGACGTTTTGTGCGCCGTCATGTTTTTTTGATGGTACAAACTTATGTGCTTGGCAAAACGACTACGACTGACACTGACAGCAATTGCCGAATGCGACTCAAATTAACCCCTTCAGGCTCAAAGCCATTACTAGCAGAGTACTATTTCTCATGAGTACTTAAAGTACGAAAAAACTGTGATCGTCGAAAGTCGGGTATATAAAACCTTGATCCATAAGAGTTTGACAACATACTCTCACGTCTTCTTCGTCCAGATTCAGCGATTGCGAGATGAACTTGGAGTGCACTGCAAAATCGTTGGCGTCTTTCCCTGCACATTGCATTTTGCAAAAATCAAGAATTTTTTGGAGGGAAGACTTGCCATCGTTGGCCGAATCGTCCTGTACAAAAAGACTCTGTTGCTGTCCATCCATCTTTTGACCGCCCAGCGGTTGGTAGGCCGGTGTATTCAGCTTACCATTGGCGATAGCATGCCATTTTATCGCTTCTAGATGATGTGTAATGATTTCATTAAAGTTTTCAACTTGCTTGATCACGGCGAACTGAACGTTCTTTTTGCCTCCAAATTCCCTTAGGGCTCCATAAACTTTGACGTAGCCTCCGACGCGGTATGCTTGTGCTACTTGCGAACTATAGGGGCCCTTATCGTTATCGTTTTGTTGTCCAGCATTTGCCATATCCGTTGTATCGTCACTCCATTTGCGGACTTCAATCTGTCCAGTTCCATCTTCAATTGTCAGTGTAATGTTTGCGGTGTGATCTACTACATTACGAACCACGCCTACGAAGGAAACGTGATGTAGTTCCAAATTGTGAATTACAAATGGTCCATCCTGCACCATTTGTTTCGATTCAAGCACTTGCTTGATTGTAACAGGCGTCAAAGTCGACTGCGAACTCGATTCACCAGCAGAATCACCTCGACTGGACTTCTGTGTGCTCTCAAATCCACCACCGGTCACCGTAGAGTATTCGTTATAAGGTTGATAAGCTGTTGAACAATGAGAATTTTAAAGTTAGTAAAATAGATCAATAACTCCGGAAAAAGAGGAAACTGGAGAATTATATATCGCCAAACACATACACGCCATGCTAATATGCCAAAATCTTGCCAAAGTTTGTGTACCTTAGCTTTCACTTCTCGCCACCGTAGGACCTAAATGAACTATTGTTCAGCCTGAGAAACGCGTGAAGTTTCGTGTTCTTTATTTTCGTGCGTAGGGATGGCACGTGACTGTTAGAATTTTTCAAGTTTCCATGAGATGGAGATGAGATGAGATGAGCTGTCATCGAAATGGATGGGTATTGACTTGGGAATTTTGTGAAAGGCAGGCTGTTTCTGAACAACATGTCGGCTGTTCTACACTCACATTTGCTATTGGCATCACCAGCGGATTCATTGGATGCTTTGAAATCTGTTATTGATGGAAAACTGCTCAACTTTAGCCGGAATATTCTTGCCGGAGAATCTTACAGAAATATAGATCACATACTCGGAAGAGAGAATTTCCTCGCAAAAAGCGTCGTTTCAAGCCAGAAACAAGAACCAGACTATATTTTCAAGCAGCTTCTTGATGAATTTGTTTCTGTTTTCTCGGCTGACAATGAGTTAATGCTCATTCTGGCTATTTCTTTGCTACAAACATTTATCCAGAACAACTTTACAGGACCATCCACACCGTATGACGGACACGAGAGTTTTTTGTCCTGTTTGGGTGTCGAAGATCAATTCAAAGAAATTTCTTTGCGTCTTTTGAGCGTTTCGGGCCAACCAGTGTACGAATTATGCGACAGACCAGAATATCTTGCCATAGCATTGGGTCTTTTTGAAAAACTGACGAACTCGAAATCGCTTATTTTAAATGAATTCTTGGCTGAGGATGAGTCCGAGGTGGTGGAGATTTCTGCATCGGAAACGTCTGTACTGCGGGCTGCTTCTCTTTGGTGGAGATCGCGTGCATTGCTAACTCAGCTAGCACTTTTACCTCAAGTCACAGGTTCCCAACCGATTCTTGCTTCTTCCATTTTGGATTCCCCCGATCTTGTTCTGGCCATAGCGAAGGAGTTTCCATCTAGCTCCGACGCCAAACTCCAGAGGGACTTAGCCATAATATTTTATTTGGAAAGGGCCAGATGCTCACTTGCACTTGGAACAGAAAACCTATGTCACTCATCACTTTTGAAGGCACAAAAGTTGACCGGGCTTCAGTTTATTCTGACCGGTGCGAGAGCTAAGAGAACCAAGTATCAAGAAAAGGTCCATTCAGAACTTATCATTTTGGCTTCTTCTTCTGGCGAGTTCAAAGCAGAAGATAACCAAGTGGATAATCCTGTTACTTTTGACTTACAATCTGAATATTTACTTGAGAAACCACAGTACGAGGATATCGGCATGGAGCCACTGAACGAGCAGATTATCAAAAGACAGAAGCACGAGGCCGCCGAAATGGGTTTCAACGATGAATTTTTACCTGTAGCGGAGAGGCAAGAAGAAATTCCAATTGTTCTTAAAGAATTAGACCCAAATGATCAGCCCCAGTTACATGAATATGATAGTATTCAACTCTTATTGCGTCTTTACACGATACGACAAACGAGTCCTGCTGGGGATCTTTTGGTACAAGAGGAGCTTTTGGCTTTGTTGAGCAGAATTTTGCACCAGAAAGGGCATGCCAATTGGACTGTGTTTTCAAGAAGTTTATGGGAAAGGTCGATGATAGAAACGAATAGAGCAAAGACGATAGAGAGAGGTATTATTCAGATGCAATCGTTGGTCGAGGAACTCGGATTAATGATTGACAGCAAGTTCATTCCTCAAGGCACTGACGAATCAACTGCGAACCCTTCAAAGAGGCTTCAATACGTACATCAACTTCCACTTTTACCACGCTGGTCTCTGGACATTGAACTCGCTGAGAAGTACATGTCAATCGGTGTTCTAATGTCAGCTGTCGAAATTTACGAAAGATTGTCTTGTTGGTGCGAGGCTGCATTATGCTACGCTGCCGTGGGTCAAGAAAAGCGTGCAGAAGAGATTTTATTGTCGCGGATTGAACAAAATCCAAATGACTGTCGGGCCTATTCGATTCTCGGTGACGTAAGGCAAGATCCACAGCTTTGGCTCAAGAGTTGGGAAATCGGGCGATACGTCAACGCGAAAAACTCTCTTGCAAGTTATTATTACAACCCTCCCACTTCCTCGGGACTTGCTAAAGATCTGCCACAAGCGCTAGGTCATCTTAATGACTCGTTGAGGGCCTACCCACTGTCATTCGAAACCTGGTATTTTTACGGCTGTATGGGCCTTGAAGATGGAAACATGAATTTAGCTGCTGAAGCGTTCTCGCGCTGTACAGCACTTGACGACCGGCATTCGCAGGCCTGGTCCAATTTGGCTGCGGCTTATTTTGAGCTCGGAAAATTGAAAGAGGCTCATAACTGCTTAAAAAAGGCTGTCAGATCAGATTCGGATAACAAGTGGAGGATTTGGGAAAATCTGATGCTCGTTTCTTTGAAACTTAACGAGTGGAATGATGTTCTGATGTGTTGCAAACGGCTTGTGAATATGCGTCGCAACAACTTGGGCGAAAAAGCCATAGACCTTCCGATCATTGAGAAACTTGTAGAGCTCTTGATCGATTCAGATTACTCAGAGAATCTCAATTACTTCCAAAATTCCTGTATTGAACTTATCTGTGTGACTTTACCCACTATCATCACGACTGACTATCGGTGTTGGAAGTTGATTGCGCGTGTTGAACTATGGAGAAGAAGGCCATGGGCATCGTTGGATTGTCAAGAGAAAGCATTTAGGGCCATTTCACATGATCCTAATATGGAGGTTGACGAGCAGGTTTGGAATGAAACAGTCGATGCTTGCGAGGATCTCATTGCTGCATACGAGTCTCTCGGTGAAATGGAGGGGAAACACGGCGCGGGAGATTTAGTTTGCAGGGATTGGAAATACAAGGCCAGGAATGTCATCAAGTCCTTGATGGGAAGGGGAAAAAGTACGATGGAAGATTCTGATGGATGGTTTAGACTCCAGGATATGAGAGACCAACTTTGAGTGAGCGGAGTCGAATTGCTCCTGGTAGCGAATAACCACTATTACATATTAATGCGATAAAAATTATTTGATGTTAATTTCTGTAAGATTTTTTTGATGTACGTACAAGGACCATTTGCAACTCTTCATCAAATGTGGATCGGTATCCAAGTTACCGTACGCGTCTATTCAAAAGGTGCTGATATGTCGTGCTGTTTTTGTGAGAAAAGATGTTGAAAAAGCGTGAAAAGCTCATTTAGTTTAGTTGTGACATTTGCTTGAAATTCCTGCTGCTCTTGTCGTAGTAGTTGCAACTCATTGCGTATAATTACCAATGATTCAGTGTGAGATTGTTCCAAATTGCCAGGCACTTCCGAATTCTTCTTTAAATCAGTTTGTAATTTGCTGATCATTTTCAGTATGAGCTGTTTTTGTATCAAATCATCAGCGTTGTTACGTGTACCTGAGGCAGCACTAATAGAAGCGTTTGAATTCAGTGAACCATTTGAAGACGCTACCGACGGTCGTCGATTTTCCACAGGCGTGGTATTTGTCGGTTTTTGACTTTGTTCTTGTAAAAGTTTCATTTGCGTGTGGGGAAATACTGTAATTGAATCTAGAGGTGGTGGCTGAGTGCCATTTCTTTCTGGCAGGGGCTCAAGAGCTTCGGTAGTTTCATGGGAGGCCCAGTTCAAGATTGGAATAGATGAGACGTAATTCTTAGGTTTTTGAACTTTTCTAGGCGTCGTTCTGCATACCGCTACGTCATTGGTGCCTCTGCTACTCTCCTCGGCCAGTTTTCGCAGCAGAGATTCGTCTCCTATGGGCAAATTCTCATCTCTAATTAACATGTCACGCAATTTGTCAAAGCGACTCTTCAGAGTACGGATTTGCTTATAACTAGCCCCAGTTTTCAGGTTGAATTTTATTAAAACTTCTTTCCATGTATTCATTCTATGGCTGTAGGATTTCAAGTGAGGTTGATAAACATCCATCAATTCCAGCAGCACCTCGTCTGGGTTACTCATCTTTTAACAAATAACTTTAGGTAGCGTAATATTGTCCCGTCAAACATTGAGAAAAACCTCTATCACCAACTCCGTAAAGCCAAAATAGCCATAAAGGTCTTCAACTTTTTCGATCCTTGAAGGATGTGCCTCTTATCATCTCCTATGATTTTGATTTCCATCTCCGAGAAAAACAAAAAAACGTCAGAGAGCATTGATAGCTTGATTCCCTGAAAGCGGAATAGCACCGAAAACTTGAAGACTATAGCAATATCCGGTAGAAACGATAGCATGCAACGTTCCGATCGAAGTATAGTGACAACTTTTACTTTCAGATAAAATTTGCTTCAAAAACCGGCGAAAACGGCTCAAAATTGGCCAAAATGGACCAAATCGAGACATATCTTCTCATACAACTAAACAGCACTTTATTTGAAATCTAATCGCTGCTTTGATCTAAAAGTTTCAAATTGTTGGGACTTGACATATATGTGGGAAGTTTGGAATATTAATATTAAGACCGGACTGGTCGTAAGATCGCCCGGGGATTACCATGGCATTGTAAATCTTTGCTTTAGGTTAATGAGCTATCTTACTCAGTAAAGTTGTTGGTTGCCCTCAGATTCAACTGGTTTTTCACTTCAAACTTGGCAGAACGAAGGCTGTACAACAGGGCAAAGAACGTTTCATACTGGTGATATTGATTGGAGCCACATATTAGCTTCTCACCTGTCTCTATCTTCCGCAAGTACCGGAGTACCTTTGGAACACTTTAGCCGCCGAGTTCACCCGATACTAGGCCCTTTCTTACATGTACAAAATCTAATATCATTAAATACGAATAGCCGCCGAAGTCTAACAGACAGACCAAGAAATGCATTTTTTAGGTATTGGCTGAGCTTCACAGTAGTTAGGTTAAAGTCGGTGGGGCCAACGATGATCCCTGTTCGGCGTATCTCGCTTTAAATTGGAAGGTCGGTCCAATATGATAGTCCTGCCTCCTCTTGCGTTAAGTAGGTGTCTCTGTTGTTATCTGCGCTACGATGCCGAAACATATGCGAAACCAGACGGATTGTGTCACAGCTCTACGACTATTGGCCTTGAAGTAAATGAAAAGATCCCCTGTGTGCCTTGATTATCTGAGTAAAAATCTTTAATCCCTCTATTCCAAACGACTAGACGCGCAGTGTGAAACGATCAACCGGGAGCACTTCGTGTCAATGTTAATACAGTTGTTGCTTAAAGGATGAATGATATGTAACAAAAAGAGGTCTCATTTCTTGCAAGATGAACTCTAGATACTACAGTTCCAATACAAGTGTGTTAAAGGCGAAATCCAGCTCCCTGCTTTTAACTCCTGCTTTCAGCCCCCTGCTTTTAGCTCCTTCCATGTTATTTTAGCTTTCCACATGATTACGGTTAGTTGGGTTTAATGAATTGTAGAAAAATTTGATAGAGGGAACCCTCAACTACAACATAGAGATAATGAAGCTAAGGATCCCTACTGTAGCTCACGGGTTGCGTCTTCAAAGTAGAAGAGCGTCTGGAATATCGTATCCGAGGTTTTTGGAACAGCAACTTCAACAATTGCAGTTTTCAGCTTCGAAGAACTACTATTCTACTCAATCGGTGGAAGGCAGATACAAAGAAAAACTTCTACAGAAAGCCAAACGAGAAGGATTAGCATCTGTAGCTGAGCTTAAAGATAGACTCAAGGAAGAGATCGAAGTGAAAAAGAAAGAACTGAACAAGATCGATCCCCTCAAAGAACTTGAAGATTACGAACAACGCATGAAAATGTCAGAAAATAACATCAAAGCAGCCAAATCGAGGGGCCCCATTGATCCCAATCAAGCGGTGTTGCCTTTCAAAACACTGGATACGTTTTTGAAAGTCGATAAACTCAGAGATCTCTCACCGCAAGAAATTGAATTTCTGTGGAGGGCCAGATGGACCAACAAAAATTTGGCCCTGAACGCTGTTGTTCCACAGGCAATCTTTGCTAAAATGCTCAAGAACGTTCGGTCTTCGCCTGCGTTTGTCTTGCCCTTACCAAGACAGATCAAGACCTCTGAGGAAGGTACCCAAAATGAGCAAGGTCTCGAGCTCCATTACATCCAGTGGCAAATAATGAGTGCAAATACCATCCACTGCATGATGACCAGCCTTGCTGAGTTCAAACTTCACAAGGAGTTTGCCAAGCCACATACAACTTTCCAGTTTCACCAAGAGCTCGTCAGCGACAAGGGCATTGTGCTAATGAACGGCCAAATCGAGCAAGACAGCAATGTATCCTTACAAGATGCTCAACTTCTTTTGCTCAACGTTCAAAGATTTTACGGCGCTATGGGCGAGAATACAGCTATTGCGAAACAAAGAGTACAACTGTTACATGACTTTACGAAAGGAAGTCCAAATTTCTCCGTTGATCTATTGATCAAGCTGGCACAGTCAATGGAAAATTGATGTTTCGGTTATTGTCGTGGACCTATAGAAAAAATTCATTATGTATATAATACAGAGGCTTGAGTCTCCAAAGCCATTGCCTTCATTATCATCTCATTGGGCATCAAGACAAGTGATTGTTTTAACGATCATGAAAAAAAAAGAACTGAATCTGACTTGAGTCACCACTCAAATCCAGAGAGTACTACTGCCAATAAAGACCTGTTAGGGCTCTATTATTCAATGGTGCGCGTCGCTTTCTTGGGCCCTTTTGGTACCTATTCTCACCAAGCAGCTCTCCAGCAATTCCCATCTGAAAATACTACATTCATCCCACAAAATACCATTTCTGACTGTTTTGCACAACTCTCAAGCGACGACTCTATTGAATATGCAGTTGTCCCACTGGAGAACTCCACAAATGGACAGGTAGTCTTTACTTATGATCTTTTGCGAGACGCTTTGGTTGAAAGCCAGGATAGTGAAACTTCGCTGACAACTTCGAATATCGAAATCGTTGCGGAACAATATGTATCAATTGATCTTTGTCTCATTGCGCCAGCTGAAATTGATCTTTTTTCGTCTGATCGACCCAAGATTGGGCGCGTTTACTCGCATCCGCAGGTTTGGGGTCAAGCAGCCCAGTATTTAAAGAAACTGGAGGAAAAAGTAGGCCCTTTGGACAAAGTCGATGCTTCATCGACGTCGGGAGCGCTGAAACTGTGCTGTGATAGTTACAGAAACAATACAGAATTTATGGATTTGGCAATCGCCGGGAGAGCCGCGGCTGCGGCCCATGGCGGTATCATTATCGATGCTCCAATAAATGATAAAAAGGGCAATACTACGAGGTTTCTCGTCTTGGCTAGGAAATCTCTCAACCGAGTACTTTTACAGCCTCTGCCACCTGTTGATGGTGAGCAGCAGAAAATCACACTTATAGCTTTCACCGCTGAGCCAGACAAACCAGGCAGCTTGGTTGACGTTCTAACTGTTTTCAAAGAACACGGTTTGAATATGTGTTCAATCGCGTCCAGGCCTTTCCACCCCCAGGTGAACAACGGCAAGACCACCCCCACGAACTCTCAGCAAGAGCTACAGCACAAATGGCAGTACATTTTTTTCGTCGAAATCTGCGATAGAGAAGAAAACGACTGGAATTCGATTTCTCGTTACATTGCAGAGCTCACTTGCAGCTACCGTATATGGGGAACATTCTACAGGAGTGGAGGTTACTACAAATGAACGCTCATAAAACTTTCTAAACCTGGCATTACTGTACTTAGTTAAAACTCCAGCTTACATTCAAACTCTCATTAGAATGAGCTACCTTCCATATTTCGCAAATTGCCACGGTTGATTATCAAGCGGACATGCATTTCGCGTCTGTAACCATTTATTTATGCAGTGAAGGTGGAACGCATGATTGCACGTGCCCCAAGCCGCCACACATTCGTTATCCGTGTCCGTCATGGCTGTGGGCTGACATTGAATACAAGGTTCCATGATATGATTTCTGCAAATGGCACAATTCTCAACGGCTATATCCCACGACCAAAATGCCACCGCAGTCCATTTTTTAACCTCAAATTTTTTTTTAGGAGCCGGTTGTTCCACCTCAGGAGATGCATCTACTTCCATATGGTCCTCAGCCATGTCTGGTGTGTTAAGTGATCAGTTAGCCAACTAATGACCCTAATGATGGTGATGAATCTGCTATATTAGTTTCTTCCCAGCTTTGGTATTAGTTCCAACTAGAATTAGGCAAATCACTATGAACGACATGGTTTTGTACGATAGATCACACCTCACCAGCTCTCCCGATCAGAACAAGTGATTCTAGTTTTGGCAGAAGTATTTGAATGCCTTGCAAGTTCAGATTTAATTTTCCGTTTGATTGATTATGCAGAGTTCTTGTTCTCTCGTCTGCTTCGAACACTTTATCCTCAAACTTCTTTTCAAGACATCCATTCGATCCCCACATTAAATTCGCGTGATTATCCACATTCTGCTGATTTCATTAAGGCTTTCCAGTGTGACTATGTGGAAGTTTTTCTCATTATCTTTAACCTCCGAAGTATTGGTACCTTAGCATAAACTTTATTGAGATAGACAATGATTTTTCAGCTTAATGAAAATATGGGATTTTTAGATGAACTTCCCCCTCAACAAATCTTTCTAGGGATTAGACATAACACGCGTTGACTTAATTAATCAGCTGGTCTATGATTATCAGATTTAAACTGGTCGTTTGTGCCATAGTATGTTTCTCTGCTATGGTTTAGAAGTCTGACGACAGCGAGAGCGTTTTTCTCATTATAAGAATCAAGGTCTTGTCCTAGCCACAGCTCAAAACTAAAGACGCGAGCCCTTAAAAATAACACAATGACTGAATTAACTTACGAACGAGGTGTAATCAGCAAAAGCTCAGCTACTATCGCATTCTAGTACGGCCTGTGCGTGGTAATATGCTAGGAGCAATCGACTTTATTACAGAGTCACATGATATCGACGTCAGATTTGAAAACTCTTAACGAAGCTCTAGCTCTCGCCGAAGGCAGAATTCGCCAATTGAAAGGCGCTCATATTAAAGCATTTACGGCAAATGGGCTTGGAGCCCGTTGTGCATCGAACAGTGCTTGGCAGGTATTTCTCTAATCTATCGTTAATTTTGATGTCCGAACAATTCCCAGTTCGCGTAATTAAAGAAGTCCAGCTACTACGAGAGTAAAAGAATAATGAAATTTGATGAACGCGAAAGTCATCTTTTTTTTGAATGGCGCCCTTCAGGACGCTCAACAGCGTCTGTTCACCTACGGATTAATATAAAAATGCCCTCCGTACAAGTAAATCTGCAGCGCCATATGACCTACTCTTGACCATTTCCCCTTCAATAACACCTGATTTCGTTTATCAAAATCTCCGGGCTCTTAGTGCTTACAAGAATCAAATCTCTTACCTTGCCTAAGATGATGGCTATATATGTGATCGCTATATACGTCAACGGAAATATAACCAATGAAGTTAGATGATGACCAAAGCAAGGTGAACCTCACACCGCGACTTTTAGTTCCACACGTTCGGTTCCGCATCGGCAACTCTGTCCGAGGTCAATCGGTTGAAGACTATTTGAGGACGGTCCTTCTTATCTCCGAGTAATTTCAAGCCATTTAAATTGCTTTGGTGACACATCATGGCGACGGAAAGGTCAAATGAGATAGCGGCTCTATATCCTCCACCGCCGCCTTACATTAAGTATTTTACGGAGGAAAACGTGCAAAAAATGTCCAGGGTTACATCAGAAGGTGAGAAAAGGGAAGCTGAGGGCGTTGAGGGCGATCTAAGCTATCTTGTCCCTCCCAGTATCCCAGAATCTGGTCATTATAGGGCTTTTGGAAGTATATGGCACATCAAAGACGAATTGCCGGACTTGATCAAATCCGGCATGACGCAGCTGTATGATTCCGAGCAAGCCGGCGCGTCAAGCAGCTACCAGGACAGAATCAAGGAACTTCACAGGCTGCTCAAATCGTTGCTCTTAAATTTTCTCGAGCTCACCGGGATTCTTAGCATCAACCCAGAAAAATTCCCCGAGAAGGTTGACCACATTCGCACCATCCTCATCAACATACATCACCTGCTGAACGAATACAGACCGCATCAGTCGCGGGAGTCGCTGATAATGCTCTTGGAAGAACAACTAGAATACAAGAAGCGCGAGATTCGAGAAATAAAGTCGGTGTGCGACAATGTCCGCTCGCAGCTCGACAAGCTGCTGCCAAATTCGGCGCCTGCGACTCAGGGCCAGGATCAAGAGAATCAAAGGGACGCGATGGGATTGTAAGCGCTCCAGGAAAGTGAGTCACGTGATCTTCTTTTTTGGAAATGATCTCGTAATCACATGACAGCAACGTAAAAACACCACCCGGGTACCCGCTTTCAATACGTCATTACTGGACAGCTGCATTACGTTCTCCACTGTTCCCGCTCGCATTTCGTGTCGTTTGATTTGGGCATCTTTCTCTCGGATAATATCGGATGCCGATCAAAGTCAGGCCGCAGAAGATAATCCGGCTCGTGCATACAGGCCGAACTAATTTTTCGTGTCCGACAAAAGAAAGGAAAGAACGCATAGCCTTCGGAAAAATTTGCAGAGTTTTTCCGGATTCGGCTAAACATCTTGCTCAGAAAACCAGCGAGAGACACCAGGTACGAGTGATCTTGGTCGTCAGCGCGTGAGCTATATCGGAACGTGGTGCACATGCCGTTTGATGGGGCTGATATCGTGCGAGTGGGTATAAGTGGGTATGCTCGACGAACTCGAGGTTGGTAAGCTCGAGTGCGTCCTTCAAATTTTCTTTTTTCGAGTTTTTCCGAGACAGCTAAGGCCTGACGTTTTCTTTTTACGGGTGTTGGTGTCTGTCGTATATATGACCAGCGGGCAGCGTTACTGAGATCAACAAGAGATCTGGAAGAGAGTTACGCAAAAGTTGGCTGGAAGTTTATCGCGTTCTTCTGAGTGGAATTGAGAAGCTCTCCAGAACATTTGGAGATTAAGCTTATTGAGATCAAGCTCATTAATTTTAGTTGAGGCAGGTGAGTCACAAATTCAACTAGATCTTATTTGACGCTTAGCTTACAGGATAATTGAATCGAGGTAGTTCCTGTAAGCTATTTGTTGAGCGATTTTTCGAATTCAACATGGACGGATTTGACGAACCTCTGGGGGCGACTTCGAATTCGACGTCGACGAATTCGCTGTTTTCGCTAAACAAGAGAGACAGTTATTCGAGCATCTTAGATCAATATGGTGAGGAAGCCGAAAATGAAGAAACCAGGACAGAATGTGTTATGCCTGATCCAACGGTTCTGACTTTGAACTGTGCCAATCGCGGACGTAGAACTTCGGTCTTTGCAGATGCACCCATCTTGGACAAAACGGTCATTGTGCTCGTTGGTCTCCCCGCGAGCGGTAAATCAACCATTTCAAACCATTTGCAACACTATTTGAAACAGACGCCTGCTACGGCGCACCTGCGCTGCAAAATCTTCAACGCCGGTCAAGTGCGTCGAAAGCTCAGTTGTAGAGGGCGGCCAATGATGTTGGCGAACAACTCGTCTGAAGATTTGTTCAATCCGAAAAATACGATGAAAAAGGAAAAATACGCCAAGATCACACTAGAGCAGCTATTCGGTGAGTTAGATCGCGATCTGTGCGATGTTGCAATTTTCGACGCTACAAACTCTACCGAGGCCAGACGCGCGTTTCTGTTTCACGAAATTCGGTCTTACAACGCGCGTTTAACCGGCGAATTCCGAATAACACCAATGGTGCTTCAGGTGGGTTGTGTAAACGAGAACTTCGTGAAGTTCAACATACACAACAAGACCTTCAATCAAGATTATTTCGACAAGCCATATGACTTTGCTGTACGTGACTTTGCTCGACGGCTCACACATTATAGCTCGCAATTTGTGGCATTTGACAAGCTGGAATTTGATCGCCACGTTGCGGAGGGGAAACTTGTCAATGAAGACACAGGTCTTTTCTGGTTCAATATTGTTAATGCTGGTTTATTGACCAATGTCGAACGTAGTCACTTCCCACCAAAATGTGCGTCAATAGTCAAGAATACTGTCTCGACTATCGAAGCTTTCGTTACGGGATATGCGAAGATATATGGACATCAGTACATTGAACAAGTTAAATCGTTCGCCAACGGCCTATCTACTTTAAAAGCTAGCCAGGACGTCTCACAAACGAAACGCGTTCCCTACTCTTTGATTTTGAGTGAGATTCTCGACCACGACTACTTCGAGCAGCTGATGAAGACTGCTTGCTAATGATTTTTACGATTTTAAATTGGTTATGACCTCTCCACGGCTTGGATTTTATGTAAACTATGCTACCTCTGTATAATACGATAAACAGGATAGACGTATAATGCCTTATTAGTTTTGCCTAAAAGTTCAACCCCGGAAGACCTGAAGCTAGCGGGTATTGTCCCGGGAAATTACTTGAACCATTCATACCTGAAATAGGTAGGCTTCCAGTAGAATCACCAGAGGCAGGTGGAAGCGCAACCCCGTCTTCCGTTTTCGGCCTTATAGCATTGATGTTGTTATTAATACCAAAATACCAAGCGTTCGCCTTTTTATTGTTGTAAGTTGGATCATCAAACGCATTAGGATCAAGCGGCCGAGATCTGGTCCAAAATCGTATGGTCCTGTCCTTAGAGGCGCTGGCCAATATATGTCCCACGGGGCTGTACGACAGGGATGTTATGCATTTATCATGGGCATACGGAATATCGTGGAAACATCCAGATGCAGTGCTTTGGGGCTTTTGTAAAAGATCAAAATGCTTCATTGACCCATCGTAACAGCCAACGGTGAACATAGATTCGTTTATTGGGTGCCACGTCAAACACATGTAATCGGACTCGTCCTTGTAAACGGCAAGCTCTTTCATGTTCTTCCTAATATCAAAGATCCTGCAGCTTTTATCCTTAGAAATCACAGCAAGCATGTTACCTTTGGTAGGTTGGAACTTGGTGTTGATTATCGTGTGTTTACAGCCCAAAATGGTTGAGACACATTGACCCAATCTTGGATCCCAAAGTTTTATGAGATTGTCCTTAGAACCAGATACAATCAGTCCCATTTGTGGATGCCAATCACAGCTCCGTACGTCCCAATGATGCCCGGAAAGAATTCGTTCCTGCTGCCCATTACTAAAATTCCAGATCTTTAGTATATTGTCGTCAGAGCATGTAACAAATTTAGAGTCCGAGGGACTGAATGCAATGCTTCGCACACACTGCGTGTGCGCTTCGTCCAGAACTTTGACCATATTGAAATTGGGTTGCCAAATCTTGATAGTTCCATCAGCGTCGCCGCTAATCAACCAGTCACCAGCGCGAGAGTACTGCATTACCGAGACGGCACTATCATGTGCTTGCATTATGCTCTCAAAGTTGAAAGTAGATCCGTTCCAAAGCGAAAATTCTCCACTGTAGGTAGCCACAACTAATCTTCGACCCTCTGGTGTCCATTCGATCGCCGGTATTACATGCTTTACCTTGTTAGAACTCAAATGCGTGAATTTCGTCGGTGTGTTTATTACACGATCAATGTGTGAATAAACGTTCGGTGGCAAAATATAAGCAGTGTAAGTCGTTTCGGGTTCCACGTAAAGTTTTGGTAGTCCATGTCTTTCCTGAAAGAAAAGTCTGTTAAATGGCGAACTCATATCAACGGTGCGTCGTTGAGTCACATATTTCTTATCAACACCAGGCCCATTGGCCATGACAGCCCCGTTCATGGTCTTAGATCGATAATATGGGTTCTATTAGGTTGGTAGCTGGTTGATTTTTAAATATTTTGGTTAGGTCTCTCTACTTAGAGTTGTCATGAAATTTTGACATAAGATCATTATAAGAGAAATAATAGAAGAAGTCAAACGAAAGCCAGTAAATCCAGTTAAGGTACCAGATGATTGAATTAGAGAATAGCCGCTGTTAGCGGTTTTTCCTTGAATTTTTAGATTGAAAACGCCTGAGATTAGTACGGTTTTCATCAATAATAATAATTTCTTAGGTATCTGGAGTTGTTAATGCTTTATAAGACGTTTTCGATTCCAGAGACCTTTTTGTAAAAGCCACTTGGTAGCAGAAAATTATTTGAATATAGTCATATTTTGGTCATAGTAAGTGCAAGTCGTCTAGCTTTCAAGATGAAAGCGTTTTTAATTTCGTCACCGTCATAAATATTCATCATGTCCTTTGATGAGCTTAGGATACATGAACCACATGATATTCACCAGTGCAACCATGCACCAACAAAGTAGCGGGAACACTCCAAATCCCAGCGCGCTAGTCACCAGACCAATTGCATACGGTAATGCGGCTGCTCCACACCCTCCTAAAGCCACAGCGATACCAACTCCACTGACGTGAAGGTTTTTAGGCAATACCTGGAGAGCAACGACACTGGCATTGGGAAAAAGCGGTCCGATGAATACACCGGCGAAGAATACAACAATTGCTATCACAACGAAATAAAAAGTGGATTGAGAATCGATGAGACTTAATAGCAGAAATAGCGTGTAAAACACACCTGTCATACCTGCATAAAATCGAGACGCCCGGTATTCGTTGCGGAAACTTCTCCTGGTCACGAAACCCAGGACTAGTCGGCCGACGGTCAGACCTAGCCAGAACGCCGCTGTTACGTATGACATGGGCACGTAGCTGCCATGTTTGACTTCCATGAGATAAGTCAAGATCCACGCACCAGTAGACACTTCGGATCCCAAGTAAACGAACAAAAACATGGCGTATAGGAAAATCGCCGGTTTTTTAAGTAAGGTGAAGAAACTAGGGTGTTCTTCGTCGCCATCGGACTTGGAAATGGAGCAAATATAATTGTACTTGTTAGCAGTCTCGGTTTTGAACGCAAACGCCGCCAAAACAAACCCTGCAAGTGATAAGCCGAGCGGGAACAAGAAAACCAAGTTCCATTGCCCAAATTCGACAAAATATGATACCGTGGGTGGAGTCACCATAGCTGCGGCACCGTAAACTCCATGCAAAATGCCCATGCATTCATTCTTGTGAACTTCTAAATTCCCAAACAAGACGTTACATGCAGAGTCCAAAATCCCAATACTGAGCCCCAGGGGCACAAAACACGCCAGGTAAACGTAGAAGGAGCCAGGTCGCATGGTCAGAATTGTAAAACAGACAATGCACATGCCCGATGCGATCAGCACCGCACCTTGTGCACCGACTCGTCTATAAACGCGTTCGTTCAGTAACGACGCCAACGTGTATCCACAAACTTGCAGAATAAATGTATTGGCCACTTGAACTTTTGTCACGCCGTAGTGTTCCGTCAGCCCCGGGAGAAGTGCACCGTTACACTCGTCATTCATCCCAAATACCATAAACAGCAGTAAACTCGCCAAGATCTGAAATCTTACCAGCGGTACTTTCTGATAATTCAATGGATATAGATTAATGGTTTCTCCATTGTACAGGACATCTTCCACGTCAAGACTGGATTTACTAGTATCTTCTTCATCTAATAGGTTCTGCATCTCGATTTCTGAGCCATCTTTACCCAAATTCAAGTGCGACGTGTCTGACATATTCCACTGCTTTTATAGTCTTTTTTATGGTCCTTTTAGAGCGACTAATGTCAAAACGTCGTGGCCTTCTATACTGTTATAACGATTGTTCGATGTCTGGGCAACTTTCACCTTGTTCAAGATCGACAATCAATTTATCACCACATCGGTCATTAGAGAAGTCTGTAGTTCGAAACCAACGGAACCGATATTGATATTGATATCAAAAAGAAATTTATTGGATGTCCGTTAACATTACCACAGACATTGCAAGAGTTACCTCTACTTTAGCAATAGCGTTTGCCCATAGTGCGGAAAATGACTATTTGACTAAAAAATTTTGGAACATGCCAGCGTCCCAGACCCTGTCCAGAAGTGAAATCAATAAGTCCTTTGTTGAATACTGCGAATATTTCGTTGCTAATGGTGGTCAACTTTTGGAATCTGGTGATTTCGACAGCGTCGCGATTATCGTACCTCCAGAATCGAATCCTGTTGATCTAGAAGAAACGAATGATGAGAAATTTAATGCCCAATTCATTCACACAAACGAAAAGATCAAGCAAGATTTGGGTTTGGGAGTTCGCATTCCTTACTATTATCTTTTCATGATCGGTAAAAACCTGGACCAACCGCACGTTAAGGGTAATGTCAGAGCTATAGTGGAGTATCTAAAGCTGGAAGCCGATAAGAAAGGTGCTGCTGTGGTGCTGGACGCTCTTAATGGTCACGCGAAAAGCGTGTACGAATATTTCGGGTTTCTTGATTATCATGAATTTCGGTATGGCGTTGGTGAAGTCGAGGCGAATGGTGAACTCAGTGAAACCGGTCCTGGGTTTGTCGCTAATATCATGGCATACTACAAGGATGGAGATTTGCGGAGAATGATTGCCAAAAGTTGATAATTACAAGACAGCAGAGATGAAGAGAGACGACGACGAAGAATGAATCTAGTACTTATAGTAGAAATAGAAGAATCTGTAAATGATATCAGTATATAATGTTGGCCTTGGAGTCACGTGATCACCATGATGATACCAAATTCAATCAACTTGACATGGTAATGACATCAATGAATTAGACTAAACAGATGAGGGCCTGATGAGCGGGTCCTTTTTCCAGAAAACTAACTCCGAACCTTTAACGGATGTCTCGAGTCACTCAAGCATTAGAAACTCGCATTCGACGTCTCGAAGCAGCTTCCAAAAGCATTTCCAGTCGATGAACCCAAGCCCGAGCTTTTTCAGCGGAGCGTCCCCGAAGTTTGGTAAGATTCCACGTAATTCAAGCGTGGGTGCGCCCTTTTCTACCATGAATAGTCTCCATGAAAGCTGTGAAAACGATCGAGATAGTTCTCGAAGTGGCATTTACGTGAAAAACAGGCCCCGCGTTGCTTCAAAAGGCGTCAGGGCTTCGGGGCTTACATGCAGACTTCAAGTTAACAAGGAACTTTCGAGCGTTGACAAGATCAATGATCCAGCTGCACAGCGAATTGTAGTGGCGGGTAAAATGCATTTGGGAGTCTACCACTTTCGAGAAGACGACTGCTCTCTGAGGCTGGTACATGATTTTGTGAACACGAACGGATCATTGCATGGCAAAAAGCCTAGCCAATTGAAAAGATCCGCTGCTCACAAGATAAGTACAATTTCAGATGTGAAGACTGGTTTTAGTGACCGTAAGAATTTCATAGCCATATGCGGAACTTCGACTTCCATTTCGATCTACGACATCAACAAGATGCAAACAGCGGAAAGTCCCATATACTCCATACTGTCCGAGCATGCACGCTCGATAAACAGTATTGACTTTAATATGACCCAGAACAATCTTTTGGTAAGCAGCGGCCAAGATGGGTTCATCAAAGTTTGGGATCTGCGCTCTCAACAATCCAAGAAGAACAAGAGCGATTTGAGCATCAACACGGGCTCAGATGCAGTGCGAGATGTCAAATGGATGCCCAGTTACGATTTCTCCTCTTTTGAAGAAAGTGCTGATGTTTCAAATAGAAGTCACAAACTCGCTTCTATACACGATTCTGGTTTACTGTTGACCTTTGACATTCGTCAACCCTCTCAAACGGAATGGAAAATAAATGCACATTCCGGTCCAGGATTGTGTTTGAACTGGCATCCGAATCTAGATTTCATTATGACCGGAGGGCGAGACGGCAAATGTTGCGGATGGAATGTGGGCGACAGGTCTTTCAACATGATGAGCAATATGAACCAAGGTAGCATATTGACCCCAGGATTTTCAATCAGCTCAGCAGCTACGTCAACAATTTTCCCAGATATTGTCATTAATACTGGTCATCCGTTGACCAAGCTCAAAATTCGTCCGAAGGCCGAGAAAGATCCCTTTAACTCTCTGGTCGCAACATCGTCTCTTGGTGAAGACTCTGATGTATCAGTTTATGCCTTGTCTCGCGAATTTATTCCGAAACATGTTCTGTTAACATCAGCACCGTCGTGTGGGTTTGTATGGTGGAACAGCAACACCATTTTCGATATAGACAGGCAAAATGCTATTACAGGATGGCAGCTTGATAAGGAACCTACTCTGCTTGAAAATCTGCCCAAAAATGTAGTGAAATGGAGGGACATCGAAGGTGATGGACTACTCTTCCTAGGGCAGACGAAAGGTCACTACGAAAGCGCATTTCATGAAGAAGTGACCCCTTCTTACGTGACGAAAAGCCCACAAGCCCGCTTAAATTCTTCTACAATGGGTAGCATTTTCGGAAATGGACTGGGCAAAAGTCATGGTTCCAGCTCTAATTTGTTTTCTGCGCATAACACTGTTGACAGTGAACGTTTTCCCTCCATAAGGGGAGTGACAGGTTCTTTCAGCAAAAAGGCAAATGGACAAACAGTTGGGCCCGGCTCACACCATAACTCAGTCGTATCAGCCAATTTTTCCACACGCTCTGAAGTTCCTCCACTCGAGGTCAGAAAATCGCCCGTATTGGTTTCGCTCGATCTCCCTCAGGTTTTAAACAGCATTCGCACTTCGAACTTGAGAATCAATAAAATAAACAGCAAATTTGAAGAAGTTGCCATTCTCAGAGAATCACCAGTCGAGGTATTTAAATTTCTGGCTCGAGAACTTAAATTCTCTTACATGCAGGAAAGGACGAGGTCTGATACAAAGGCTGGTGCTGATACGAACGCAAGTATGAGCGAAAAGGAGTTCAAAAGTGTGCTTATGGACAAAATCGGTTTCACAGAACACAATACATGGTCGAAATTCATGCGGAGCGAGTCGCATTCAGTTTCAGCAAATTTAGAGTCACAGATTGAAACGGAGAGCGTTGGCGAATCCTGTCATGATCCTGTAATTGAAGACACAGCTTCCTCTTCTCCCAAAGTCACTATGCCGTCCACCAAAGCAGACTGGGAAGAGTTAGATGTTCGGAAGAAGCTTGACCATCTGATTGAACTAATCTCTATGTGTGATCATAATGCGGGCACATATGCATACGTCGAAGATATGATGAACTACAAAGTCTGGGTATTAATACGCGACTCTTTGGTATGGAATTTGAAACAGTTGGCCAAAGTTGGTGCTGGTGGTGAAATCGAGGATTCGAGAGTCTTACGTCATGGCGACGGAACTATCGTTAGGAAGGATGGCAAACGTCAAGATTCTATGACTTCCGAATATAGCAGCTTTAGTGTAAGTGAGCTGGGCTCATCTCTAGATACCGCAACTCCGCCGAAAATGATCTCCTCTTTATTGAGCGGCCGCTCCAGCAATAGGGAATCCTCAAGTAATTTAAAGGGCATGCTACGAGGAGACGCAAAAGAGGTCGGACATAGTACTGGAGCTGCCGAAACGCACCAAGTAGATCGGGTATCCAAAGTTTCAAATGGTTCAAACCCCAAATTGGCTGAACTTAGGAGGGAGAAGTCACTGCGACTCAGTGAAGATGAAAGCGCCATTGATGACGATGATGATGGGAGCGCACAGGCACCCACTCTTGAGAGCTATAACCCGCCTCAAGGTAGCGCTGTGGGTGAACGAAAGTCCTCATATGCTTCAGAAACTCAGAGAAGGATTTCTTTTATCGATAATTTCCTGACAAACATGAGGTCACCAAAAAGGCATTCGGAGGCTTGCAGCAGCGACAACAAATTAAATTCCGTGAGCAGTAAGAGGTCCTCTCAACTCAGCCATGGATTCTCTCCTTCGGGCAAAGGGAGTCTTGATCTCAGCTCCAAAACGGGCCGCAGAAGTTCTCGAGAAAACTTTAGTCCTCTTCTTGAAAGCCCGACCGATTTCGAGGGTCTCGCTGCGGCAGGAGCGACTTTGAACACGAATAATCTGAAGCATACGTCTCAAATTGCAGCCATGTTCAAAAATGCTAGTCGGAAGATGCCTCAGAAGATGGATGTTCCATGGTCAGCAGCCACTGTCATACAGCAAATTTACCGGCAATCTGTGGAAGCTGGTAACATCTTACTTACTGTTAGCATACTCATGCTATTTCAAACAACGTTTCATATAACGTCGGCCACTGTTGTGAAGGAGACCTTGGCGGAATTCATAAGCATACTTCACAGATACGAGCTTTTCGAAATCACCGCCGACTTAATTAAGTACTCTCCCTGGGAAGATATATCCGGGTTGGCAGGAGGACAGTCCAGCGTGCGGCTTTACTGCGAACGTTGTAAGAAATTGATTGTGAACGAGCGATCCAAAGAAAGGTTCACCGAAGAATGGCAGAAGACCGGTAATAAAACTGTAATGCATAAATTCGGTTATTGGTATTGTGATAACTGCCGCAAACCCAGCACTCTATGTGTAGTCTGCGAACGACCCGTGAAAAAAATGACTATCTGTTCATTGAATTGTGGTCATCTGGGACATTTCAGCTGCTTCCAAGATTGGTTTATCAAAGAGAACCTAAACGTTTGTCCATGTGGCTGTGAGGGAGAGTTGTTCCGGCGTACCCAAGACTAGTTAACCTCTAGCGTTATAAATATTTATCGAGGAACAGAGAAACTGCATCCCAATAGCCATCCTGAACAATTGTATCATTATGGTGCCCGAGTCGGAACTCTATGAGTGACTTGTGTTCTGAGGGGTATAATGCGTAAAGTCTTTCCATGTGCTGTGGAGGCACGATCTCGTCTTTCCTCCCAGAGAGGAAAAGACCAGGTAATGTGGGATCTATCTTCTTGATTTCCTGTTCCGAATTCCATACTTCATGACAGAAACTGGCAAAATATCTGAGGAAAGGGAAAACATGCGGTATTACCTTCCTGATAGACAAAAAAGTGTTTTCAAGAATGAGCGCATCGCACAGGTGTGGATACTTGCGGGCAATATAAATGGCATTTGCGCCTCCCAATGATCTTCCAAACAGTACGAGCTTTTGAGTCTTGTAAAAATCGTCCTGTTGCAAAAAGCTCATGACGCAGTCTGCATCGAGTTTCAACCCTGTCTCCGAGGGGTTGCCCTCTGAATAGCCGTAGCCTCGATAAGAGTAAATAAACACACTGCAGTTGAAACGGCGGTAAATAAACTCTACTACTGGCAAGAAGTAGCCCATGTTTCCGGCATTAGGGCACAAGATGAGCCAAGTAGACGTGGAGTTTTCATTGCGAATGTCAAACGCGCGTATCTGGACTCCATCTTGAGTCATAAGCTTCCGCTCAACGAAAGGGAGATTATAGTGATCAGGTGTATCCACATGATTTCGGGCACCTTGCGCCCAACTGGGATACACCAACTTGTTTTGATACGCATATAGCGTCGCCATAGAGATAGCCGACAAGCTAAAGACACCACCAACGAGCATTTTCAGGAATCTGAGCATATTCGACTTCTCTTCTTCCAGTCCCTGTATCGGTTATTTAATCCAAGTTGGTAAATAAGGTGTGGTTCTCGTACAAGCGCGCAGATACCGGGAAGCAGATGAATCAGGGGGCCGAGATCCAGTGGAAAGATCTTAACGGATGGATCCAAAGGGATTTCGACGGTGGAAAAAAACGACAATTTTGTCACGTGACTTTTCTCTCCGATCTTTTGTTTTTGTACCAGCACCACCAAACTTGCTTCTTCTTATCAACTTCGTACTTTGGGGACAGAAGTCGCCATCGATACTTCGCTCCAATAATCCGAACAGCGCTGGCAGCGGCACCTTATTCCTCCTGCTGGTGCTCGCCTGCAAGGGCTCTCTCTCTCAACCAGAGCACAAAACCAAACATCGATCATTAGCCACGGTTAGCCGCCGAACCCCCTACAGCCCCAAAATCAGGCTCCAGTTGACGGCGCAGTAGCACACAAACAACACACTGAACTGCATTTTTGGCTGTTCTTAAAAGAACTGGGTGGCAGTTGCTGGTGCGTGTGTGTGCGAGACGTCCCCATGCTCTTGGTGGCAACGGCCTATGTTTACCGTTTCAAGTTTCAGCTCTTGAGCTTGTACATATGTCTTCTATACTATAGTCTGTTCAGTGTCTTTCTGCATAGGCTCTAACTTGTTAACTCTCAATCCTAAAAGTTGTGCCCAGAAAAACAAGTCTTTCGTTAGATTTCTTCTCTATTTATACAATTTTTTTCAGTAGCACAAATCGCTTGAGCGCTTTGTTTTCCCGCATGACGTCAGATATCTTTTTACCCCAACTTTTTCTCGCAACCTTAAGAATTCTCTGTATGACCACCGAATTTTACCCTAGCCAATTAGCCGCCCTTGAAAACTACGCTATTTTTATCGTCGATACAGAGAGGATTGTTAATACCGTATGTCCAAGGTAGAAAGAAGATATGAATGTAAACATGGCAGCTTAATAAAACTTATCAGTGTCTTCCCCAGCGCTATAACTCTGGAGCCGCTGAAGTTGCTGAGAGAAAGAACTAAAAAAGGATTTTCGTACAATATGACACCTAGTATCGTACAAAAGTACTAGTAAGAGATAGTCACGTGTATAGTGCGTGTGTAGTGATTTATTTGTCACTAATCACGAATTTGTTTTTTGAGATAAACTTAAGGGCAGAATTGATTAAGTAAGCTATCTTCAAGAGTTACGATCAGCTCCTTTAAGTTTTTGGAAAGCGAAAATGAAAAATTTTTAACTGAGGATGGAGGAAAGCCAAGAAAACTCCAAGGAATCAGTTACAGGAAAGAGTATGTCCCATTTTGAAGCATTGTTGCCAGCTTGTAGAGCGTCCGGTGAAACCTGAGTGCAGCAATTTGCCCCATGGCGTTTGCCTCTGCTTGTTATGTTTTTCTCATGAATCGTTTTACTGACCGGCGTCCCTACGCTTTGATAGATGTCCGTGGAAGAAGTTACGCAGCAAACCGGTGATTTGAACATTGAAGAACAGCCAACTGTGTTTTCGTCGGAAAAAGAATTTGAACTGAAACACCCTTTGAACTCCAAATGGACCTTGTGGTACACTAAGCCGCCTGTGGATAAATCTGAGTCCTGGTCGGACTTGCTTCGTCCAGTCACGTCGTTTACGACAGTAGAAGAGTTTTGGGCCATACATAACGCAATCCCAAAGCCCCGCTACCTACCTTTCAAGTCTGACTACCACTTGTTTCGCGAAGACATCAGGCCCGAGTGGGAAGATGCTACGAACGCGCAAGGTGGTAAGTGGACATACCAATTCAAGGGCAAGACACCAGAAATTGACGATTTGTGGATGAGGTCATTGCTCGCCGTCATTGGCGAAACCATCGACGAAGACGAGTCCGAGATCAACGGTGTCGTCATAAACATCAGAAAGAACGGTTACAAGATCGCCATCTGGACCAAGTCTGCGGACAACGAGGAAGCCTTGACCAGAATTGGTAGCAAATTCAAGACCGTTCTCAAGCTAGGCGAAGACTCGCCTTTAGAATTCTTCCCCCACTCCACCGCCTCCGAAAAACATCCGCAGCCATCGTTAATTTTGTAAATTACAAAAGAAGTTTAAAGCTCCATACTAAATAAATAGCTTGTCATCTTGTTTACGTCAGCCTCGTTCTGTCTATTGTCATGTCTATGTGATGTCTATGGAGTCTTGGTACTCAGTTCCATGGACCCTTGCAGAAAAAAGCCAAATGTCAGAACCGTGTACAAGAGCATGAGAATAGAACCTTTGAAATAATTGGATTTACCCTCGGCGTAGAGGTAGGTGAACAGAAACACGCTCAACATGCACGCTAGCATGTCCCAACTGGGGAAAACCATAGAAAACATTTGGTCCCTGATGCTAATTAACTCTGACGCTTCATGGCTGTAGTAAAGCATAGAAAAGAGCACCAAGGCCGGAACCTGAAGAAGACACACCTGCAAAGCGTACGCGCTACCAATTTCCATTGATAACGCGACATTGCCGTGCATTGCGAATGAGATGGCATTGAGAAATTCCGTTGTATTTGGAACAAGCGCAAAAATCGTGAGACCCAAGAACTTAGGATTAAGCGACGGGAATTGCTTTAGGACGTTATCAACGCAATCTACCAGGATTTCTGCTATTATTGCGTAAAGCAAAGTGGCGACGAGCAGTATTATGGCGGACTTATTTCTTGTCCAATTAGGGGCATCGTGGCCTCCTGCTTGTTCTCCTTCTTCGGGAAGCTCGGTAGACTGAGTGCCCGAGATAGCTTGTTTCTCTGGAATCTGCCAGATCATGGCCGCATGAGTGCGTAATGTAAACCATAAGCCCATAATGTAGGCAAAGAAAAGTATCACAGCACAGAAAATCGACATAGGCTTAATGACATTCGTGAAGAGTTGATTAACTTTTAAAGGTGGTTGCCTGAAATAGCATTGCTGTTTCTTGTTTCCTTTGAGATCTGTGCATTCCATGATGTATCCACCATATAATTGATAAATGACGGTAGGAATAAACATTACCATCATGGAAAATATAAGCATGGCCGATGATACACCAGCACTTGCTGGATTATAGCGCTGAGTCTTACGGTTCAGTGCTCCACCACACATCGAAAGTCCGGGCAAAAGTAAAACCGCGCCCATAATGGAGCCTATCATGGAACCTTCCACAAGAAGACCTTTCCCTTGTCTCAATGCCACGCAGTATAAAAAGATCTCAACTATAGTAGAAAAAAATGCGTTTATAACAGCACCGAGACCCATTGACGTTTGTGCCGAAATGGACGCAACCGCCTGGCCAATGTAAAATGCAAGTGGGATGATAGAAAGTAGGCACAAGCAAAAAATCGCGCTCTCACTTATCTTGAAGAAGGACTGTAGCAGATAGAAATCAACAATGGTGAAAACGACAACCGCCAATAAGTTCATGACTATGACATTAGTACCGTCAACGGTGAATTTATAATAATGCAAACCTGCGCAACGGAAGGTGCAAAGAAGAACAGCCTTGTCGGTGGCATCGCATGGTGTCTGCGATAGTTGCTTGAATTCCAAAGCCAGAGGATGACGACGACAGTGGTACATCAAGTTCCATAGGATGCTACTCATGGGAATGGTAAAGACTCCTAAAAATGACAGAATTGCCAATGTCAGAAGCACGGGCTGGACGAGAAGATAGAGAATAAAATAAAAAGCTAGTCGACCGAGTGACCATTTCCCGCGACCGAAAAGCCGCCTTTGCTGTTCGTTGTCAACAGCACCGTACGAGCGATGCAAGGAGTGGGGTCTGTGGTAGAAAAGCTTATTGCTGTAACTTGTGACCCAGCTGTAAAATTGTTGGACTGAAATACCCTCGTTTCGGTCCTCGTGCAGATACTGCTGGTCGTTCACAAGCATGACGACCTTGCCAAAGGGCCAGATCAAATAGCGACCAAGTTTGACTAACACAAGCCCGTATTCGAGAGAATGAACAGTGAACAGCCCGAAAACCACGACCAAAAGGGCACAGAACGAAAGAAAGCAGAAAAGCGGGACTCCGATGAGTAGAGACCAAACGACATTGGACGCATGCACTTTCCAGTCGATGTTTTTGTACTTGGTTTCATGAATGTCTTGGGCCGCAGCTTTCTGCACCGACCGATGTTTCTTGTACAACGCCGGCTTCCATATCCTTATACCAAAGGGATGAGTTTCATTAATGGCGTCTTGTTTGTCTCTCAGCGTGTAAGATTCGACGGATGCTAAGGAATTTTGATCTTCCGGATCCTCCGTTGTCACGGAATCGCCACCGTGGTCACTTTCACCCAAATTTGTCGCCGTTGAGTGTTTATGTCTCAGAGAAGTCGGCCTCCCAGAGGTAGGGGTGCCCGTGTTATGGGGATTTTTTTTGCTCGAGGTTGCGAATTTCAAGCCCTCTTGAAGCCCCTCCAGAAATCGGATATCGCGCTCGATCTCGTTTATGCCATCGTCGACACTGAAAACTTTCTTGATAGGCTCATTGCTGCTGTACGTGGGCTTCAGATCCATATCCCTTGGCATATCCCTGGGAACGCTATGCTCTTTTGGCATAGTTTACCTTGTAAATGATGGGTTTCTGTCGCCGAAAACTCAGGAAAACCGGGAGACGATGCTCTGCGTTCAGTCAAAAAAAAGGAGTCGTTTACGGATAGCGAACGGTTGTCCAAATGGGGGGTATCTGTTTTGGGTTTCTTGTCTTAACGCAGAGCCCCTCGGTTATCAGAACTCTTGGCAGACCGTCTTACAGAATGTTTACGATCTCAGTTTTTCATGTGATAGGTATTAAGCGATCCCTAATTTTAATTAGAACAAACCACGTGAATTGAACACGTGACTATTAGTCACCTCTTACGTACATGTCAATTGTCACGTGACTGATTTAGTCATTTATTACGTACTAAATGATATCTCTTCGTACGTATATTATTAACTGTCGCTTTGTACGTATGAATCACGTTCTAGTCGCTTGGAACGATGAAGTGATAATCGTTTTCAATGATCTTCTCTATCTTGGTGTACGATTCATTTTTTTTTATCTCAGCTTATTTCGTCAAAGATGCCACTTGCCACGCCTCGCCTTGACTTTTTCAGCTCAAGGATTTCACATCGAAATTTAGCATTCTCTTCTTCAACAAACAAGCGTTTACTACTGCAACTACCACTACACAACTGAACATTTCGTTAGCCCAACTATCAGCATGAGAGTAGGAACAAGACTATTGTTTCTAGTTTCTTCTCTCAGCGCAGTTTTAGCCGCTACGCTGTCAACGATCATTGTGACGAGCACGAACCCAGCTGGCGTTGTGGTCACGTTGACAAGTATATCCACAGTGACTCCAGCTGCTGCTGCTGCTGCTGCAACAACAGGCCCCACTGTTGTCACTACTACGAATGCTGCTGGAGCTGTGATCACAAGCACTGTTACTCCCGCAACGGGTAACGTTGTTACCACGACAGACGCGGCCGGCAACGTAATCACCACGACCGCTGCCGGAGTCACTGCTACCGGCACTACACCCGCCGCCAGTGTGATCACCACGACAAATGCAGCAGGTGCCGTAATAACAAGCACCCTGGCTCCTTCCTCATCTTACAGTGTGATCACGACCACTAATGCTGCCGGTGCGGTTATCACGTCTACCGTGACCGGTCCTGCTTCCGGCTCTGCATCAAGCACGGCCTCGGTTGTTACCACGACGAACGCTGCAGGTGCAGTGATTGTGTCCACTATTTCCGGCTCTAGTTCGAGTTCCAGCAGTGCCAGTGCAAGTTCCGTTTCAAGTGTCTCGTCGTCGTCGTCCTCCCTCACGACTGCTGCTGCTGTTGTGGCGAACCCGAACGGCAGGCCCGACCCATCCACGTCTCAGACACAACTTCCACTAAGTCCCGTAACCACGCTCTCCGTTGCGTCTTTTGTTACTATCACTGAGGGCACCACGACGTACACTACGACCAGAGGCCCAACGGTCATTTGGGTAACCTTGACTAGAAGTGGTCAGGTTTTGACCGTCTCGACGACGTTTGCACAAAGGTTTGCCAGTCAATTCTCAACGACAGCGCAACCTTCTTCAGGTTCTATCGGCTTGGGCACGATTAGTGGTGAGGTTGGATACGTGAAGTCCACGCAGTATTTGACAATCACCAACGGGGGCAATTCAAACAGAATTTCGATGGCATCGGGCTTTTTGGCTTTCCTTTTATGGCTGATTTAGAGACAAAAGACAAGGTAAATGAATAGGTTTATAAACTACAATTAGAACAAAAATTTGATTCAAGTTTCTATCAAGCATTTTCCACCTAGCCGTAGACCTTCTCCACAGCTTTTTCAAAAATATCCAGGCCGCTGTTCAAGTCCTCGTCTGGAATGGTCAAAGCTGGCACAAATCTGACCGTGGACTTACCGGCTGTAATTATCAAGAGTCCGAGATTGCGAGCTTCGTTGATCACGTCCTTAGGTGCTTCTGTGAACTCTGCACCAACGATAAGGCCTTGGCCTCTGACGTCAGTGATTTGAGCCGGGAATTTCTGTTGCAATTTTTTGAGACGGTGGGAAAGAAGTTCACCTTTTCTTGTGACTTCGGCAAGAAACTTGTCCTCACCGATCACATCCAAAACATAGTTGCTGATGGCACAGCCCAATGGGTTCCCGCCGTAAGTGGTACCGTGGTCTCCAACTTGAAGAGCGTTGTTGATTTTTTCATTCACCAGCGTACCGGCAATGGGGAAACCGTTGCCCAGGGCCTTCGCAGTCGTGAAAATATCGGGATGAGCAGCTGGAGGCAAGTGTGAATGTGCCCATAGTTTACCGGTTCTTCCCATACCACACTGGATTTCGTCGTAGATCAAGACCACATTGTTGTCATTGCAAATTTGTCTGAGGCCCAAAAGCTTTTCTGCAGGCACTGGAAACACACCACCTTCACCCTGGACGGGTTCGATGATGAGACCTGCAACTTTGTCCTTTTTCGCACTAATGTAACTGCTTAGCGTAGTCAATTCGTCATGAACGTTCAAAAATTCCGTGCCTGGAACCAAGTCTCCAAAAGGTGCCCTATATTTTGGATTGCTTGTCACAGATAGTGCGCCCATGGTTCTGCCATGGAAGGAGTTTTCAAAAGCCAGAATTGCTTGTTTCGTGGGACTAGAATTGATACCGTGCTTTTTGGCAAATTTCAACGCTGCTTCATTGGCCTCGGTACCTGAATTACAAAGAAAAACCTTGGCGCAGTCATGTTGCCCACCAAACTCCTTAGTTTTTTCGACTATTTTCTCGCTCAGTTCCAAACATTCTGGATTAAAATACAAATTACTCGAATGGATTAATTTACCGGCTTGATCGCACATAATCTTGGCAACTTCCGGGTTCGCATGGCCTAGCGCTGTCACTGCAATACCAGCTGTAAAATCAATGTATTCCTTCTTGTGCAAATCGTCGAAAAGACGAGCATTTTGGCCTCTGGTGATCAAAAGATCATCGGGCCTTGCATAAGTCGTTACTTGAAATCCCTGCTTGCCCAGAACATGAGATAACTTCTGGCTGATACGTGAACTAGGTCTCAATTTGAGCATCTTCAGTGTCAGATTGGTCAACTATATCCCCGACTAGACGTCAAAAGTTCTTTCTCTTTATATATATCTATGAACCACCGATTAATGTCGTTATCGCATCGGAATTTTTTGACTCATAGTCAGGCTGCATAGTGAAGACCATAACGAAGATCTGTTGGAAAAGAGATCAGCTGACGGCACAAATAGAGAAATAACTACTGAAAGACCAAGGCGGAGCCAAATTTCGATATTTTGGCCATTGTAGTCGCTTCTACATCAATCAATTAGTATACATTACCAATTTCACTATCGTAAATGGCGAACGGTGAACTTAAATTAGAAAGCCATGCCTTCATTTGTTCCAGGACAGATATCTGACGTCTCCCGATGACCTCTTGCAAATCACGGCAAAGGAGAATATTACCAAAGCCATTGCGACGCAAATAAATCCGCCAATCAAATAGACGACGCCCAAAAAACTGTTTTTCGCTCCAATACTGGATCCGTGGGTCATGAAAATGGCCTTTCTGCCACCAAACTCCGTCACGGGCCAATTGAGCCCTATATCTACCTCGTAGTTGCCTGCCGGTAAAGACGAGTTGTCGTTTCTCCTGATAAGTCTTTGAAACGTAGGGAAGGCAGGCGTTCTCATCCAATTTTGGAATTCTTCCCAATTATGGATATCAGGCACATTAGTGGAGTTGTAGCCGTTTGGATAACGTTTGATCCAGTTTGGAGGTGGTGCGAGCAAGGTGTAGTTGAGCTTCGTGCGTCTGAATCTGTCCTTGTCCGTGGACCACGAAATTCCTTCATTCGTTAGAGGGTACGACTCAGTGCCGTCGAAACCCGAGAGCTGCATGGGGAAAGTATCGTTGAACATGGCGTTGGCGATGAGTCCACATGGGTAGTACTGTTTACCCTCGCCGTTGGACACAAGAGGTTTGCAATTGATGCCAACTACGTCTTTCAAATCGCTGATCGTGGTGTTTTGTCCATGTATTTGATCCTCGCTGAACGACAACACGTACCGCCTGTGATTTCCATAAAACTTTTCGATCCAATAGCTCAAATACACAGATTTAGGCAGATCGTAAGGCGTGGTGAATCTTATTTGGCAGGCACCATCTGTGGCACTCACATTGGATCCGTCGCCGGGAACGTATCTCCATGTTGGGGCCACATTATAGGTTTTATTTTTATGGAAAGACCAGCTGTAATCGCTGCTATTCATCGTTTCCCAATCCGAGGAAGCTTTGGTCGAGCACCCATCATAGTATATCAATACTTGGTCAACTTTGGATGAGATCGTCACCATGCCTGCGCCAAAACATACGAAAATGACCGCCAGAAACAGGTATAAAGGCACCACTCTTTTTGGTGTTACCACCGGATTGAGGGCTGCAATACGTTGTTGTGTAAATGGGGTTTCTTTGGGTCTTTTGCTCTTCTCTTTCTTTGGTCCCGTCTCCTCTTCCTCAAATTCTGAAGCATCTAAATCGTCGTCCTCTTCCTTATGAGGTTCCCGCTCTTTCTTACCGAATACGGCTCCCATATTTTTTAATGATATGCTCTGCATTGTTAGATTGCTGGCAAGCACAACACTTGGGAGGAAAACTATGGCGGGGACTGGTCTGGTGAATTCTAGCTTGTAACTTCTGATATCTTGCTTGACCTGCATTGAGAAACTTGGCATTTGTTGATCACGTAGTACGGAACGATTCCTTAGCTGAGTAAATCATTTCAAAGCTCACAATATCATGACAAGGCAATTCCAAAGTATGAAACAGGCCCGACGTAATGTTTGCAGAGCTCATCATTCAACCAAAAGCCATTTCACCTTGGAATTCTCGATTATGGTGCTTGGTCACGTGACTTAATCAAATTTCTTGCCAACTCCTCAAACTGGCACTTGACTATAAATCCAAGGTCACTAATCTATCACATTTTGAGTTATATAATGATGCGGGCTTCCTATTTTAACCGTCACGTCTACTGATTCATGCGAAGAAGTATGTACGAAAATGCGTCAGTCAGCGTTTAATAATAATAATCGATTCTGTCCACTAAAGTCAGCCCAAGACCAAGAATGCTCGACACAAATTTATTAAAAACAGTTCAGATACTGTGTCAATGACTACACGTGGACTTGTAGCTCTCAAGGTAGTTTTTTGCCTGCCAGTTAACACAAATCTCATAATAGAAGTTTACCATATTACTCTACAGATAGATATGAGACATATATCAAGGTCGCTATTAAACGGAAAGAATATTACGAATATGCTACAAATATCCGCATAATGAATCAAGGTCATAACCGTTCAAGTCATACCTTGTCCGATATAGTGTAACGGCTATCACATCACGCTTTCACCGTGGAGACCGGGGTTCGACTCCCCGTATCGGAGTTTTGTTTTTTAATTGGTCGTCCGCGTCGTTCGTTCTCTGACGACCATTTAGTAGACACCTGAATTTAACAGGGCAACGGTATCTTGTTTAACACGCTATATTACATCATCTCTCCCGTTTCAGGAGTTATCGTTCGTAATTGATAAAGTCCATTCGTTGTGCACAGAATGAAGCTGTGCGAGGTCTTGTCTCCAATTTTGCGCACACGGTTAATTCGTACAAATCCGGGCATATAAATTGAACATCGGCATGAGCCTGTCTGTGGCAAATGGGCTGAACCTAATGGCCCCCAGCTGCATTCCCAGACCTGAACTTGATGGGCATTTGCAATAGCCAAGATACATCCGCGCTCAGCGGCTTGCAGGAGTTCATCTGCCATTTTTCTTGCAGATACTTGTAAACCAGACCTGTTGTGATCAGCAAAGTACACATTTTGGTAAATGTCACTGGATATGATAGGGAAAGGTAGATCCTGTTCAATTTCGTTTGCACAAAATTGTAGCAAAAGCTCTGGCGAGATTATCCCATCAGAAGCACAACTTTGTAAGACTTGAGGACCAAAACTATGCAAAAGTCCCGAGAAAAGTAAACTCGTCGAAGGTTTCAGCGGTTGTACGGCTTGACCAGTGTCACCATCGATTTGCTGGATACGAAATTTACCGCTTCTTCCCTTAGAGAGACGAAAATGAGAGACCGCATTGCCAAAAATATAAATCTCGTTACCCATTTGGCAAAAGCTATCAAAACCTCCGGAGCCTTTCGCCTTGCAACAATATTTCAAAACCATTTCTTCAATAGTGACTATAAAAACGTGGTCGTCTTTCGACTCTTGGCCTGCGAATATGACCAACAGTTTGTCGTCAAAAGGATCATGTAGCCTTCCCACGGTTTTGACAGTTCCTGATCCTCTAAACTTGAACCTGGATTTGACCATCATAGATTTTAAATCGAAAATGATTGCTTGCGATTGGAACAAGCTGTCGCGACAGATCGCTACAACGTATTGAGGGTTCGAGAGCGGCGTTAGGTGATGGAATACAGTCTCTTTTTCTCGATATTGTTTAATCCAGTAGCTCTCCTGTGGGATATGATCCAGTGAGCTCAGCTTCAAGCGAAAGACAATGATTTGGCCTGTTGTTGCCAAAGCAGCGAAATGTGTGTCATCAATTTGTGAAAGTTCTTGGATCCCGAACTCAAGATTTATGGCTCTGAACTCGTGGACATCGAAAAGGTAGACCCGTTTGCTATCATAAGCCAGCCATAACTTGCAGTTATAGGGATTGGATATGGGCTGGCAAATTTTGATGGGCTCGACCGCTTTACCTTTCTTAACTTTGATAGTGAGTTCGGTTCTGGTATCTGAAAAAAGCCCGAATTCAAACTCGCCGTCATAAGAGGACACAGCCACTAGCCATTCAGATTCACTTATGGGAAGTACAACCACGTCAAATGGGTTTTGGGTGTCAATTCGAAATGGTGACAACCATTTCCCGCCTTGAAATACGTGAAGCTGCTGCCTTTGCACTAAAATAACTAGGATTCCCTGCTTGTTGCTGATATACGCAGCAGCAACAACGCTATTCTTTACGTTATTGGAATCATAAATGGAAATCAAAGCTTCTCTCTTCCCATCATCTGCTATCAGAGTTATTTCGCCATTTTCACGCAGGCCAACATAAGAACGGGGTTGGTTGGTTAAGGCAGAAATATAGACAAATCTCGTACCTTTAATGCGTTCGTAAAGAAGTGGATAACGATTTAATTCTTTGATAGGAAGTTCTAAGGTTTTCCCGTTATCCAATGACCAAGAGTAGAAAGCGTCGCTGAAAAGATATAGATGGCGTCCATATGCTGTCATCGTTTGTATATCTTTCACTCCAGTATCCCAAGCCTTGATAAGTTCAATTGAGTTCTGATCCAGCCCCTCACTTATTAATTCTATGAATCCTAGTCCCCTTCCGTATCCGCCGCAGGCCGCGAAGCAGCTTCCAAAATTGTTCAGAGAACTAATATTTTGCAAATCCAAATATGACTTCATCTCACATCTCATAATCAAAAGAAGTTCATCTGTTGCATAGCGAAAGACCAAGAGACCTTCCGAACTCGCGAATAATAAAAATGTATCCTTGGATATCTTTAACACTGCGTTTAAGGTGTTAATAGGAGTTTTCGAAAGGATAGCGTTGTGCGCTTGCGTCCAAACAACGCGCGGATCACTTTTCTTGAGCACAAGGTTGGTTCGAAGAATGTGGCCTGAATCACTCATGAGGGTGATAATTGTAGTGTCGTAGTCTAGCAAGCCCGAGCAGTAAACAAGTTTTGTAATAAAATTCATATCAAGAAACTTTGATAGGTTCTCATTCGGAAGATCCAGGACTTGATCTGATATGATGATGGTACGGTCCCTTGTTACTATGACCAAGCCTGTTTTATCTTCGAACGCTCCAACAGCCAAAACGCGATCATCGAGATCAAGAGCGGCAAAATATGGGAGAAAGAATGAACAATTTGTAAGGGTGCTTAAATCACAAGACACATAAATGCTATGACTTCTGGCGCTATACGTCACTTTGATCCATGTTTTGGGTTTTGATTTCAATCGGCAGATCAGAAGTATTTCATCAGCACTAGATATAGCTTCTGTTGATTTTAGTCTCCATCTTCGTTTCGCCAAATTTCTCAAATCATAGTTCAAAATAGAATTTCCTCGCGTAGGGATGAGGAGCGTTCGATTTGCTGAATCAACCGTAGCAAGCCCACAACGATTTAAAAGAATGTAATCACTTATGCATGTTCTCGAAACGAACTCGAATGAGCTCGCATTTATCAATATCATCTCGTTCGTCGAGCACAAGGCAATCAGAAACTCTATACTATTTATTTGGAAATTTATGACATCGAATGCTTTATCCAAATTGCATTGTTCACATTTTTCAAGCTTCATCATGTTTTGTCCATAGCAGTAAATTCTACTGCTAAAACACACGTAAATCATTCCACTGGTTTCTGAACGAATTGCAGTAATAAACCGACCATCTTGAATCGGAATTTGACTTCCATCGCCGTCTTTTGACGAATTATCATGGAACGTCGTCATGGAACTCAGTTGAAACGTAGAAGTGGAAGTACTCATCGCATCAGAGGAAAAAGACACGCTATGGATTCTCGCAAATTGAAATTCGTTACGTAACCAATGAACCCCTCAATGGAGCCCTATCAATGAGAAACATTAAGGTGAATCCTCTTTTTGATGAGTTAAGAATGTTGACTTATTTTTTCCAATTAACTAACTTTCTTGCGAAATACAATGTGAATCTATTATCTACTGATTACCTACTAATTACCGAAAATATGTTGTAGCATAGCCACCGCTTCGTATCTTGACTCATCGTCTTGTAATGCGCTTGACGTGCACTTCAAGCTGATGAGAGAAATAAGTTAAGACGTATTCTGAATGTTCATAAGCTCCAATAACAGATAATAGAGTTATGTCACATTACTTGCACTTCAAATACCAAAATTGCCATTTCTTATGTTGTTGTGAAGGCGCTTTCTCTCCTGGTTTTTGGTAAAGTTTCCACCGTGCAATTTGCTACCAACAGGCGGATTAGGAGCGCTGTAGAATGCTGTAGAAGGCGTTTGGTAAGGTTTCGCTATATGCTGGTAGTTGGTCTCTCTCCCATTGTGAGGACTGTGTATTTCCGGTGAAACGAAGCCATTGTTTGGAGCTGCAGGCGAGGCAAAATGGCCATGTTGCGGGGCGGCGGGCGATGTGAAATGGCCATGTGGTGGAGGTGGGGCTGGGTAGTTGCCATGGATCGGTTGCCGATAGCTGGGGGAGACAAAACCAGGTGGTGTAAGATTTTGATGAGGTGCGTGTGATTCCGTTAAGATAGGCGAATATGAAAGCTGGTTCGTGGGTGGAGACGATAGGCCATTTGGATTGGCATACGCGTTGGGCGGGCCATTGGCTAGAGGACCAGATGGATTTGCCAAAAATTGAGAAGCCCCAGGAGGAGTGAGTGTTGTGGAGTTGTAGAATTGGGGGCGAGCGGCAAATTGAGGCTGTCGCGAGCTGGCGGGAGAGCCAGATTGAGCGTATGCTAAATTCGGCGGGTGTTTGAATGCACTCCCTTGAGCAGAATTGCGGTCGTGAGGCACTTGGCCCATCGCAGCTTCCCTATGCGATTCAACCTGCATACTTTGGGGTGGATTTTCTTCCATACCCCGTGAGAATTGCGAGGTTTGTGGCGGTGAGTGTACGACATTTCGAGCTTCGAACCGAGCCCTCGGTGGCATCACCTGAGGAGCAGTATAAACTCGCGGTACTTCCACTGCTTGACTGTGAATATCCTGTTTTGTTGCGTTTCCATTACCAGCGTTCCATCCTAATTGAGCACGTCCATCAATTCTGGTATTTTGTACAAGTTGTGGGTGATCTCGGCGGTACTTTTGTTCGTTTAAAGTCACTGGAGCCGCAGTTTGTTGATGATTTCCGGTGGGCCTATGTTCGGCCTCCGCAGTCATTGGTGCTACAGATTGTTGACTGTGCTCAACACGGGGAGCAGGCCTATTCGTAGACTCAGCTGCACTCAAAGGCTCTCGGTTTTCGTGCGAGTGACTACTAGAATATGGGTAGAGCGCCATACCCGTCGTAGGAGCGGGAGAGGGTAGAGGAGAAGTGGTGCGAACAGATTCTGTGGTTCCATTGTTGCTCAACTTCAAAGGCTGAACAACACTTGAGGCAGCACTTTCGTTCAAATTTCCTGGGGCCTCGTCGAAATCAGGACGCTGTTTGTATTTGTCAAACATGGTCAAGGATTCAAAAGTTTCGCTTTCATCCTCTTCCGCCTCGTTCACTGGTGGAATTGGCAATTCTTTTTCTTTATTCGACGCTTCTTGGGCAAGTTCGTTGACCATTCTGTTAATGTCCTCAATAGTGTCACTTGAACGCTTTTCTGCCCTCTGGGGATAATCATTGGGTCCGCTTTCGGAGCTATACGACTTGACTGGGCTCAGTTGGGGCAAGCTGATGGTAAACTCTTCGGACTCAACAGGTGGCAGCTTGAAGTTATCAGGATTGAGAATGCTGTACTGACTGAGTATGCGACTGCTATTTTTCTTTGTCGCCTGTTTCTCTGAGGTATTTTTGGTTCTCGTCTCATCGGTCTTAGATGAATCAGTAGTGTCTTTAGATCCTTTCGATGATTGAGAAGTACTTCCTGAAGAACTCCGATTGCCATTTTTCTTCCTCGAATGCAGTGGATTCCATTTGGAGAATTTTTGTTCAATTATTTGCAAATTAACATTGGGTTTGGTTTTCTCTTTATTAAAATGCTGTGGGTTTATGACTGTGTGGTAGCCAGCTGGAGCCTCATGTTTGACTTCTGGGCCGGATTGACTAACGTAAGGTCGCGATTGAAAGTTGGAAGCTACGTCCCGCGAGACTTCTTGAGAATGAGTTTCCACGTCGTAAGATGTTTTTGATTCCTCCACAAACTTCAAATCATCCATTTTTTTGCATTTCTGAGCATTCAAGATCAAGTCACATTCCTCAAGAATGACCCATTTTTTAAAACCATCAAATTCGAATTCTAATATCAAAGATCTTCCAAAAGTTTTACGCTTCTCCGAAGTTTGTTCGTATGAAAGGGTGGAGAGCCAAGCCCAAATGAAGTAATCATCAATTTCGACGCGCTTGACTTCGACAAAACTCGTCCGCTTTTCGGACATGGATTTCACGCACCTTCTTTTCGCCCAACCAGCTTGGAAAGTTGAATGTTTGGTTGACATCTCTTTCATGAGTCTCTTCGATTCTTGTGACATCTTATGGCTAATAACCTCGATATTGCGGTTTTTTTTGAACAGAGACTTTAGTAAGGCGTAGTCCTCGCGTGCTTCAAAAGCATCGTAATTAGTGAAATCAAGAAGCTCGTTGCACCTTTCAATCAACTGCCATGGTTTTCTGGAAAACTCGTGCGTCATAAGACTGACAATGGGCACCGTAAGGATTGTGTCTGAAGAGTAAGCGGTTGAACCTTTAGGCGGGTACTCGTTATTGAATAAAACATTTTTCAGTGTCAGTGGGATGTCCGCCGTCTCCAAATCATCTGGGACAAAGCTTCTGATGAACGCAAGTAAAAGATGAAACATAGCGTCAGATGCCGGGATCCATTGATCTAAGCCATCGCGAAACGAATTACTGATTTTGGACGGTTCAGATTGGTGATCAAAGCCGTAGTAACCTGATCCCGCCACTTTTCGACCAAACCCCCAGATTGCAAACATCTTTGAGATCTTGCGGGCGCTCATTTTGTTGTTTTTCGAATTGGACGCAATTGCCACAATAAGGTCGAAGAAGTCGTACACAATAGAGGCGTGCTCGGGGGAGGAAAGACATTTTGGCATGAAATCCAGAAACGCTCGAGGAGGATACCCGTTTTCGTTTTCAAGCGCCGAGAATGTATCAAATGCATTCCATCCAATGACCTCTTCGCTCGGCAGTCGGCACCAGATATACTTCAACGCTTGGTAGAGGGTCCAAGGTTCAGTGCGTTGAATTAACCTTTTCTGTTTTTCAGCAGGTATCGCGGTTCCGTTCCCCAGTGGGAATATTTGATTCAGAAACTTCAAAAGCTTTTCATTTGACTGTTGCGGCCTGAAAGGCAGCAATAAGTACTCGATATCTCTGCCTCTGGCCTTGATCTCGAGCGTAATGTTGTGGATCAAATCCTTTACTTTTTCTCTTGTAAACTCATGAAAGAATTCGAACTCTTCCTCGTTTCCGTCTGTAGATGCTCTCTGAGGTGATCTCTCCAGAGATTTATTCGCATCATTAGGGTCAGGTGGCGTGGGTAAAGGTTTAGAATCCTTCATATTCGCCACATTCACAAATTCTCCTAGCGAATATACCTCCGTTGTCCCCCGCGAAGACCGCTGCTTAAAATACTGATGGATGTTGATATTTATGATGATCTCGCATCGCCGAGTTTACAGAGTTTCGTTAAACGTGAACTTGATCTATTCATAACTACGCAGTCACGTGACGCTTTAGGGCTCTCTAGTAAGTCGCTGATAGACCTCTCTTACGCCAGTAGTCACTAACAGCATGCCATTCACCTCTCACTCTTCTGATGCCGTTTACCACGCTCTTGGGTGGCGTTTCGATAATTTTGTGACCCATTTTTTCTAGGGATGAAATAGCTTCTTTGCCCATCATGTGAAAGCTTTCCGCTTCGATATGTTCTGGGATCAGTTGATGATGTACTCTTGGGTAAGCTATGGTCTCCAAGAGGGGCATATCGTACCAGTACGTGCGTACAAGGGCTTGGAGAAGACTCGTTGTTATCCTTGAGCCTCCAGCGGCACCGATTACCAGATCTACCATTTCGAGCTCATCGAGCACAACGGTGGGAGCAGCCGACGAAAGAGGTCTCTTGCCTGGTTCGACAAAGTTGAACGCAGACGGAGCTAGTTCGAATGCATTTTTTCTCCCTGGTTGGGAAAAATCGTCCATCTCATTGTTCAAAATTATACCAGTTGCAGGATCATGCACCAACGACCCAAATAATAGATTTACAGTAGATGTGATGGTCACCGCGCTTCCAAATTTGTCTACAACGCTGAAATGGGTTGTACCATGCGGTTCCGTTAGCTCGTAAGCGGGTGCGTATTCTGTCCAGTTTGCTAGAGTCCTTAGAACGCCGTCTTGGGGCTTCATTTTACTCACGGCATGATCGGTCCACGAAGAATTCAAAACAGCCAGAACGCGTTCTGGTATCTCGCTGCATTTGGAAAAATCTCCCAATCGACTTCTGGAGCTTGCCATCCACTTCATAGCTTCAATAAGTTGAAACGTTTGGTCCCGTTGGAAGTCGCCGCCCTGATGATTTGGGAAATGGTCCAAAATCTGTAGTGCTGAAAGCAGGGCTGGTCCGGAGCTCGAGCCCGCACTGGTGTAGACTGTTATGTCGTTGTTGGGCAAATTTTGCCAGCCATGTCTCAATCGCTTGGAGAGCGGCTGTGACACGTTCACGAAATAGTTAGCAAAATCTTGCTCCGTCGCAATTCCGCCGGTCTCCCGGATTTTGCCAATTAAAGATTTAACGATCCAGTGATCAGGGTCGTAGAAAGGTGCAGCGCTCCCATTCGCCGCTAATTCTCGAAGTACTCTTGCGAGCGCAGGCCGCCTCAGTTTTTCACCCAGGGTTTTCACGCGGGTTTGTGCTCTATTAAGCAGGAAAGACCAGTCCGAACTGTTATTCAAAAAATAAGGTTCGTACATTTTCAGAGTTGCAGCTGTAAGTTCGTCAACTGGCCAGCCCGTAGTGCCCAGCTCCGCCACGGGCTCTAATAGGTCCCGCCAGGCAACTTTCCCAGAACCTCTCGATGCATAAAGTTCGTGAAGACCCTTGAGTTCACCTGGAATTGCGACAGCCAGACCTCCTACTTGAGATGCGTTGGGCTTCATATCAAACATGTGCTTGTGAGCCAGAGCAGGTGCCTGTTCGCGGAAGTCGATAAAAAGCGGCTCTGGTCTCTCCGCAGCTTTGTGACCGCCAACAAATACTGCGTATCCACCGCCACCGATACCACTAGAGAAGAAATTCTTCATGCCTAAACAGAGCGCCACCGTTACCGCGGCGTCAGCTGCATTGGCTCCGTCGTACTTTTGTAAAACATGTTCTACCGCGAGTCGGCTACAATACTCAGAGTCTGAGCTTATCGCACCATTGCGTCCCTTTTTCAACACAAACGACGAGTTAGGTTCTAATGTTGGTGACCTGGGCAAAGGTTTGATGTCGATATTGTGGTCTGAATCCTGCACAAAATAGTGCTGTTCACAAGCTACAGAGGCCAGCAAAATCGCATATGTCCAAATTGCTCGAAGCCATATCATTCTTTCTCGATACAAATCCTCGCTTTTGTAGCTTTAAATCTTACGAATGGTTTGTTTTAGTTAGCTCAAGTGGCTTATCAATAGCCAAAGGCCAATCTGATTAACCCATTGATAAGATCTGTCATCATCGAATGAGGATCACGTGACTTCGAGACGTTCAACAGAAACCGTACGCTACCTCGATGAGCAACTCGCTCAACAGCTGGAGACGCAAATAAAGGAATGGTTATAGATTTAGTATTTCTTTCCAAATTTTAGCTATAAACAGGTAAGTTCAAAGTTCGAATATTTCAAACCGGTCATGATAATTTTTTTTCGACTTATGTACACGTTTACTCGATAATACGAGTCACCAAACCGGTGCCGACGGTCTTACCACCTTCTCTAATGTTGAAACGTTGACCGGCCTCGAGTGGGGTTGGATGAACCAATTCACACTCCATTTCAATGTTGTCGCCTGGCATGACTTGCATGGAGTGATCCTCGACAGATTCGGGGAATTTCAAAACGACGGTGACGTCGGCAGTACGAACGAACATCTGAGGTCTATAGTTTTCACCAAAACCAGAGTGTCTGCCACCTTCTTCCTTGGACAAGATGTACAGAGAGGCAAGGAACTTAGTGTGAGCCTTGACAGTGCCGGTCTTGGCCAACACCATACCTCTCTTGAGCTGGTCTCTTCTGACACCACGTAGTAGAATACCGGCGTTGTCACCTGCCATAGCCTGGTCCAGTTCCTTTCTGAACATCTCGATACCAGTGACAGTAGTCTTCAAGGGAGTGGCGTTGTGGCCAACGATCTCGACTTCTTCACCTTTCTTCAAGTTGCCTCTCTCGACACGGCCCGTGACCACGGTACCTCTTCCAGAAATGGAGAAAATGTCTTCAACGGGCATCAAAAAAGGTTTTTCAAGGTCTCTTTGAGGAGTTGGGATGTGTGCGTCGACTTCGTCTAAAAGCTTCATGATGGCCTGTTCACCAATCTCTGGTTGACGCCCTTCCAAAGCGCAGAGCGCAGACCCCATGACGACAGGCGTGTTGTCACCATCGAAGCCGTATTGCGTTAGCAATTCGCGCATTTCCATTTCAACCAGTTCCAACATTTCCGGATCGTCGACGGTGTCGACTTTGTTCACAAATACAACGATGTCCTGCACACCAACTTGTCTGGCAAGCAACAAATGTTCTCTGGTCTGGGGCATCTGACCGTCCGTGGCGGCCACCACGATGATGGCACCGTCCATTTGGGCGGCACCGGTGATCATGTTCTTGATGTAGTCAGCGTGGCCCGGACAGTCAACGTGCGAGTAATGTCTTTTGTCGGTTTCGTATTCAACGTGCGCCGTAGAGATGGTGATACCTCTGGCTCTTTCTTCTGGGGCCTTGTCGATCGAGGAGTAGTCCAAAAAGTCGGCACCACCTTTCGAGGCCAAAGTCTTGGTGATCGCGGCGGTCAAAGTCGTCTTACCGTGATCAACGTGACCGATGGTACCGATGTTCAGATGCGGTTTGGTCCGGTCAAAAGACGCCGCATACGCACGCATGGCGCTGCCAGAAAACTGCCTGGCGAAGGGCCTGGCCAATCTCACTGAAATGCGTGGCACAAGAAACATTGTGGGTCTCGAGAGCTGGCGTTAGTGCTTAAGATAAACGATCTCAAATGGTCATAATGGCTTGTTATCGTGTGCAGCATCTCCTTTATATAATTGCAAAAATTTTCCATGATTCGTGGAAAGTGATATTGATGGTGTGCGACAGCGCCCACAGACCTTTAACCCTCGAAAGTCGCCCAGATTCCGGTGCCAGGTTCCACCACTTGATGTTGGCATTTGAGCCAGGTTATCCAGCAACAATACCGTGGGGGTTTTTTCAAATGGGATTCATTTCCCTAGCAGAATTGTTGCTGCCGGTGATGCTTTTGCGTAATAAAAAGTCCGATCATGGCCGAAAAAATAGCATTCGTGCATTGTGGTGGAAGCCGCACTTATTGCTGTGTTTCTTGTGTTTTTTCGAGTTTCTTGTGGTTTTGTCGGTATTGGTTCAATTCACGTTTTGTCTCATTAACTAACATTGAGCGCCAGTTAATGAATCATGCTTTAAAAACAAAATTACCAAACGACCCGAGAGCACACAGAGGCAGGATCAGTTTGTGAAAGACGGACCAAGGCACATGAAATTAAGATGCCAACCCTTCTGAGTCCACCTGCATGTGTTGGGCGCAAATCCACCGCTGATCTGACACGGGAGTCACGTGACCTCTTGTTTTGCCTGAGTCGCGCATGGCACGTTCAGAAACAAACGTCGGTGCCCGTCTCCAGCACTGCAGAAAACCAGCGGCGCATCGAGTCCCCCCAAAGCGCCATCACCGAGACTCCATCACGCGCTCGCAATGGCCAGGTACTGCGATTACTGCCATTCGTACCTGACCCACGACACCCCCAGCGTCCGCAAGAGCCACGTCGTGGGCAAAAACCACCTCCGGCTCGTCGCCGACTACTACTGCAACAAAGCCCGTCAGACACGCCAACCGCTGCTGCAGCGCAAGCGCAGCACCCGCAAACAGCGGCTACGGGACCGACGCACAGGGACCGCTGCGGCAGCAGCGGTCCCCCCGCGCCGCATCCCGCTCCACTGCGACTCTAACCGAACCAAAAGGCTTCTGCAGAGCCAGACCACTGCGTACGAACACCACTCCACCGCTCCGCCGCCGCTCGTGACGCTGTACCGGGGGTCTCCTGGTTTCGCGAAGGTGTTTGTACCCGAGTGCCGGCTTGACACCGCGCAGTCCGCGCAGCAAGACCGGCTCCCGCAGCGGGCCAACCGCCGCGCCGCAGACCCCGCGACAACGACCGCGGCGGAACCCGCGCGGTCACGTGACCGCCAACCCAACCCCCATCCCCACTCCGCGCTACCGCCGCCTCGGGTTCTGGCCCGCTGGGCCACGGCCCCGCCCCTGGTGTACGCGGACGACACCCCGGCCCACACAACGGTGCGCGACATCACCCGCCGCCTCGGCCGCCGGTGAAAACCTCGCAAATACTGTATATTATTAAAATTACGCTATAGTAGTCGTCGCATTACGTAAAAGTTTCTCGTTACCAAACATTATTCATTACACCGATCCGCATTACCGTCTGCGCGCCTCAGGTCTTCTCCGTGAGCTTCTGTTTCTCCTCGTCGTCGCCGTTGCCGTCGTCGCCGTCAGGGTCCCGCCGCAGTAGCATCGCAATCAACGACAGCAGCCACCCGGCCACAAGCATGCCTACCATGCTCACCACGAACCACGTGACCAGATACCCTACGACGTCTTCGATATTATCTCCGTCGGCATCTCCGACGGAGTCTCCGAGACTTTCTCCGCCACTACTTCCGCGGAAAAGCGCAAGCGTCCGGTGAGAGCCGGAGTCGTGCCGCTCGCTGCACAACGTATAAGGAGCCAAAGGAGCCATCGTGTATATAGTATTAGTCTAGCAGTGTTTGCAGGGGTAAACAGGTCAAAATGCCCAAGCAATCAATGAATAGTCACCGCGGCCTACTCTAATATATACGTCTGTACCCGATCACTTTCCCCTACCCTTCGGATAAACTATGATTACGATTAATAATGTTGTATCAACTGGATCGGCCCTTGCTTAACGAATGCGCGGGCTAGGGCCGCTAGAGCCGTGCACACTCGCAGCACAGTGTTCTTCTTGCAGCCCAAAATCCCTCATTAGTTAAACGCAAAACTCAAGCGCGCGAAAGCGGCCGAGCCGTTCTGGGCACGGGTCTGGAAGGGGAGCGGAAATAAAGCACCTAGAAAAATGCGCGGGAGTAGTAACTAGTGGCAGCGGGAACCACTATATGCCGCGTTGGGTAACCGATTTGAGCCGGAGTGGAACGAGGCCCAGGGCCAGGAAAGGGTTCTCGGAAGGGCTTCCGCGGGAAGCGCGGAGGGAGCGGGAGGGAGGAAAGGGCGGGAAGGGGTGTGGGTGTAGGGGTGGGGAATGACGTCGATGTTTGGGTGCATGCAGGGGTGTAGCCGCTGCCCCCGGGGCAGCGGCCGCGGGGCCCTTAAGGGGCTGAAACTAAGAGGAACGAGATGGAAGGTGATGGAAGGTGTTGAAGGTAGTCGGGGTGCCTGCAGGGTGCCTAAAGGCACCCTGCAGGCACATGGCCTTGTTTACTGCTCCAACGGTATTTCAGTTCTATGGTAGTCCCTGGTTGAGGCGTTGTTTGTCGCAACGGGGCGCGGCGGGGACACCCAACTTGTAGCCTTGGCCGATATCTGACTTTTTTGGCCATTTCCGTGTCTGGCGGTTGTGTAAGTCTTGGTTCGGAGCGTTAGCCACACGAACGAGGCGCCGGAAACATTGAGGTTTCTGGACTGTTGTCTTCGGTACAGATCTCTCTGTAATTGTCTTGACAAGTTGCAGTATCACGTGACCGAAATGACCGAAAAAGTTGTTGGAAGGATGAACGCACGGTGCATGATCGAGAGGAAGTCGTAGGAACCGAACGACGACTCACCGTCAATCTTGAAGAAAGTAACGGATCCGAGGTCGGAACAATTTTAAGAATACACAGTCTCTGCGGTATTATTTAGGTCATCTATCGACTACTGACAACCATGATGCTCAATATAAACCGTAAATTTCAGTTCCCGTCGTGCATCATGCCAATGGTGGCTTGATTTCGTGCCACCATGCCTCTACGACCATTATTGCGGTCTCTTGGACTTCCAGGGCTTTCTTAAGGATGCTAACTGCCTGCTCCATCTCTCTGTTTTATTTGTTGAGGTTTATCATTGTCGGTGGTTGATAGATTTCTGAACTGTTCATTTAATTCCTTCATAATTGATCTAAATAATAAAGCTGGTAAGGAATTGAGTACTTGTATCTCTCTGGAGTTATCTTGAAGATATGGCCACTGTATGACTGATCAAAACTCCCCCTTTTACACAATTTCGTAACACTGTTCTAACTTTAGAATCCCTTACTTTGTTCAAACTAGACGGTGAATTCTCACCATACGTCATTCATCATACCACATATGATCTGATCACGATGTTCTGAAGATTCTAGAACTGCCAATGGACCTGTTTTGGCTTCCAGTTCTTCCACAGAATGCCAACCATCTGTCCATCTCTCCAATTTTATTCTGTCGCTTCGGTCACGTGATGATGTAATTGAACGATATCATCTTCTCGCCAGCTGCTTCCAACATTATTATGTCATATTTATGACGTGGCACTAATAATCAATCATGCAGCTTGACGACATTCGCTGTAGACTCCCTTCCAACTGTTATTGCACAAAAAATGTTTCTGGAAACTTTCCGTCAAAAGATCTCAGAACATCATGCGGCTTATTGCTGTGTGCCAGATGAACTCTTCATGCCCACTTTGATCTTATACTTTGCGAGGCAGTCCCTTGAAGCAATGTAATGATTTGACAACGCTAGCAAACTTCGAAGTAGATTGGCCTTCACCCAGCAGTCCTTCAGTATCTTGCGCTATCAAATAGCCTCGTAGAATGTATTGGAAAAGCGACGCGCCAAAATATCCAAACCCACTAAACACAGCTGTCCATTTATACGCCTCAGAACCCCTGCCCTCGACAAGCTTGAGTCCAATGACAGGTGTTACGAGTCCGGCTACAGCGACCGAAATCCAAAACAAAGAAAATGCCGACGTCATCCGGCGTAATCCTACTACTCGAGCGGTGACCGACCCAATTGTAGCCCAGATTGTGCCCATGAAAACGCCTTGCAGGAGACCGAATGCAATAACAGTCGCAAAATTGCGGCACGGAATCCACATACTCCAGCATAAAATTGCCATAAACAAATGAACCCAGACTCCTATTGTCAAGGTTCCCCAGCGATCAGACATGTATCCCACAACAGGCCTTCCAACAGCCCATCCAATACTGGTAACACATTCAACATAAGATCCCTGCCTCGGCGAGTAACCCAGACTAACAGTGAACGCGGAAAGCGAATAAAGAACCACCACATACCCTAGCATAGTGAAAAAGGCCCATCCCAGAAGTAGCCACAAGCCGGCATTGCTTAAAAATTCTCTGTCGCAGAACTGTGAAAACTTCACTCTCTGGCGGCTCGTTCTACGAGGAATGCGCGACAAGGGCAGTGCTATACTATTCAAAGTCATACAAATGACGAACTGCGCGATTAGAGCCCATTTGATGTTTTTCGCTTCGATTATCGCTTGAATACCGAGGTTAAAAATGATTCCACCGACACCACTTCCGCTGGCTGCTATGCCCATAGCGAGTGCTCTCTTCTTTTCAAACCAATGTGGAAGCAATATAAGGCTTGGAATATATATGAAAGCAAGTCCGAACGAAAGAAGGACACCTTGAGTCAAGTATATTTGCCAAAGCTTGACAGAAAATGCTGCTAGCATGAGAGAAACGCCCTGAAAAACTGCCCCCATTGCAATAACAAATTGAACTCCAAACCGATGGTAAAGATATATAACCGCCGGTGCGAACATGAGACCAGATCCGAAAGTTATGCCACCAATGGCGGCAAAATCTAATTTATTTGCGCCCTTGAAAACGTCATCGTTGAGATAGTGCTCGAGATATATGGAATAACTGGCATTAGCGCCCCAACAGGTCATTGAATATATAAAGCACGCCAGGACGACGCACCAACCGAATCCGCCATCGGGTATGTCTGAATTTTTTTCCAAAAGATCTTTTTCGTCTGACATTTTTATGATCCCTTCAAGATATTCTTTGTGACGTATAACAAAACGATTATTTTTCAGGGCAAAGGCTGCGAATCAAAACCCTGCAGACTCTATTAGGCTCTTTGAATGCACTTATAAACTATCGACATCTGTTACGGACCATCCAAGACATCTTGGGAGTAAAGCTATGTTCCGGACTTAAGTGGCATTACCGGAGTTAAGTTGTGACACGGACTTAAGGGATATTTTGGAGGGAGTCTACAGTGGCTGAACAGCAATTTAATTTATTACCTTGAACAATGTGATGAAGCTGCTTAGTCGAAGTTGTATGTTCGTAGTCGCGAAATACTTGAAAGAAGTGGTCCAGTTTCAGTATCACGTGACCATGATGACAGAATAAATTACGAGGCAGACGCTCAAACGTTTACAGGGATGGTCATGATATAACCCACGAGAGATAAGATGAATGATGTGTGGTATGAGTTCACAGTTCGTCATTTCGCAAGTAACGGATTCTAAAGTTGAAATGGTCCTACAAGAACTGTGTAAAAAGAGACGGTTTGACCAGCTGTATACTAGTTAAATTCTCAAGTTGATCTCGGAGAGAAATTGGCAGCCAACACCTGATCTACGCTGCTCTTAAGATCAACTATGAACGACCTAAACGAACAATTCGGATATGGTCGATCGCTGACGACTGCAATAAGATTGACATCAGTGTATCCCATGACGAACCAAGCCACGGGAAGCACCAAAACATTTGCTTTCATATGATCGCATTTGGAGATGCAGAACTTGTGATTGACGCGGTGGACCCACGTACAAAATGACAGAACCAATGCGTCTGCCACTACTAGCATCCACGTGGGATGAGAGTAGACGGCATTTTTGATGCTGTGCACTCCGTTCAAACCACAGCCTTCTTTCGACAGGATAAATTGTCAACTACGTGAGTCCTTGTGTTGCCTTGTTTTCCTTAATTAGATCATCAAAGGTCATTCTGTCATCTTCGTCACGTGACTCTCACCAAAATCAAGCTTTTCCAACTCCTGTACAGACTAATTATACAGAGGTCAGTTGGAAGCTTCAGCCAGGTCACAGGCGCATATCCACGAACCTGCTAGCGAACCCTTCGACGACTCTATCGAATAAAGCACAACCGCTGCCACAACTATTGAACTCTCTATACACCTTGCTCACTAAATCTACGATAACCTGCTTCAATCTGCTTTCCACGTACCCACCTATATAATCTCTACGTATCACCTATTTGCTGACCCTCTGAATTATGGACCCAAGCATAGCGACCCTCGTCAGCCAATCAGAGGCCAGAAAGTTTCAGTACAAAAATACCTGTGTCCGTGTGCAGCGACATAGAGCACGTGACTATATACACATCATACATGTGAGGGAAACGGCGCCGCAAGGTCCACACCCTGTCATAAGAAGAACGAACTAAGGCCCGCAGTCGCAATTTGCACACTTGAATCTTGCCCTTCGTTTGGTTGACGCCCGCTGGCCGTTTGGGCCTGTTATCGTTTCGAACGTGGTCGAGCACCGGCCACCTGTCCTACCGTATTCAACGATCTCCATAGCCAACTCCTATGCGAAAGAAAAATTTGGGCCGGTCTCCGTCCGTTCAAGAAACCCATTACACGAACGTAAACAGCTCAGGCTACTCCTCCACGTCTCCCCTACCGCGTTACCATGTTTCTCAGAGCCTTCCAGCACGTCGCTCCCCGCATTTCAGCTCGTACGTTTACCACCACGCGTGTTTCTGCCAATGTTATCCAGGACCTTTACCTGCGCGAGCTAAAGAGTGCTAAATTGCAACCTATCACAGCCAAGGACGCAGAGGGCAGCGTCAAGCCTTGGGCTGCGCCCAAGGCTCCCTCTGCACCTGCGGTTGAGGCTCAGGGTGCTGATGCGCTACAAGCGTACGCGCAAGAGGACGTCGAAGTCGCGCAACCCAAGCAGGAATCCAGCACCGACGCGGCTGAACAAGACTGGCTCGTGCTAGAGGAAGCCGAGGACGACCACCAGGGCCACCATTGAGTCATTTGCCCGCCCATCCCGCATCCTTCTGCCGTCTATATTCATGAAATCACGAGCTCACAGCAGCACACCCACACTCACACATGGTTGTATACTATATACGAACTCTGGAAATTCAAAGATCCAAACCGCTTTCGAAGAAAGAGGGCGGAACATCGAGCACGACCATGAGAGGCGGGTCCATAGCGAGGTTTTCCCGCGTGCACGACGCTGCTCAGTATGTGAACGATCAATTGCGTGCGCGCAATTTGGTGGCCGACTCGCAACGGCTGTGTTTTGCGAGCGTCGACGACACGCAGCTTGGATCGCAGCTGGCTCGCATCCAAAACGACAAACTCGTGATAAATACGATCCACAAGTTGTTACAAGCGCTTGCAGATGCGGAGTCGGCGATCGAAGAAGTGTCGCACGGAGAGTCCCAGACTCCGATACCAGCCGTAGCAGCAGCAGCAGCGCCTGCTGCTGCTGCTAGTGTGCCTCGTGTTGCACGGCGCGTGTCGAAACCACGGCCGCGACAGACGATTGCTGCAGCGCGTCGTCAGCAATTGGCATTGGAACAGCTGAGGGCCCGTGTCGCAGATCCCGACCGGGACAGGACCTGGTGGTGTGCAGAATCGAGTCTCGCAAGACCAGACGAAACGGAGCTTGATGCGGATCACGTGACCTCCGCTCCGTCACCGCTACCCCAGGCGGAGTCCCGCCTGCTGCGACGAGTGCTGGAACGCGAGCATCTGTCAGAACTGGCGCTGCGCAATTTGGCGACGTTCTTACACGACGCCAATGGGTTTCTGTATACACGATGCGTACACCAATGCGAGCGCGAGTTGCCGAAACGCATCGATCTGGCGTCTGAAGACACGGACGGGATCGCCGACGTCTCAGAGACCACGGACGCGGTGACGCTGCGGCTCCAGGAACTCGTCAACGACTGGCACGATATCGCAGCACTGCTGTGACTATGGACATGTCACTGTACACGGCAACCAAGATCAGATGGACTCAAGTTACCGGTCTCGGCGACTTTCTTGCGGCGTGAGGACCGTCATCACATGGGTGTGAACTTTCCATGCCTACCAATGACTTTACAGGCTAAGAGAAGTCTCACAAGGTGCCCTTCCAATGGCTGGGTCACGTGACTCACGCCTCTTCGTTATCTTCATTCTGGGCCATTTAGCTCTTACCACTGCCGAGGCTCTGCTGGCGGGAGATTCACCCGGCTCTGGAGCCACGATTGTACCTTGACAAATCTCGAGTTCTTAACACGTGACTTGAGCTCTGGGCATATATCACTCTTCACGAGCTCACGACCCTAGGGCAAATGCATGAAAATAAATAAAAATTTTCTCCTTTTTGCCACCATCCCATCACCTAGCTTGAAGTGCATCTTTGATCTGTAAGGACCCTCTCGCCACTTTTAACACAAAAGTCACTACACTCAATTCAATAATGTCTACAGAAGTTCCTACTTTCAAATTGGTCTTGGTCGGTGACGGTGGTACCGGTAAGACCACTTTTGTCAAGAGACATTTGACCGGTGAATTCGAAAAGAAATACATCGCTACGATCGGTGTCGAAGTGCACCCTCTTGCGTTCTACACAAACTTTGGTGAAATCAAGTTCGACGTGTGGGATACCGCCGGTCAAGAAAAATTTGGTGGTTTGAGAGACGGCTACTACATTAACGCTCAATGCGGAATCATCATGTTCGACGTTACGTCGCGTATCACCTACAAGAACGTGCCAAACTGGCACAGGGACTTGGTGCGTGTGTGTGAAAACATCCCAATCGTGCTATGTGGTAACAAAGTGGACGTGAAAGAGAGAAAGGTCAAGGCCAAGACCATCACTTTTCACAGAAAGAAGAATTTGCAATATTACGATATTTCTGCCAAGTCCAACTACAACTTTGAGAAGCCTTTCTTGTGGCTTGCAAGAAAGCTTGCGGGCAACCCACAACTGGAATTTGTTGCTTCACCTGCGCTCGCACCTCCAGAAGTGCAAGTCGACGAGCAATTGATGCAACAGTACCAGCAAGAAATGGAGCAGGCCACTGCTTTGCCATTGCCCGACGAAGACGACGCCGACTTGTAAGGCATATGAGAGGGAGAGACAGCTACGGAGTCGCTGTATGTAGGTATATACGTACAGGTTGAAAATCAGAACAGAAATCAGAAACGCGAGTTTGCCTTTCAACACGCTCCTGCGGTGGACGCTCGTTGCTGTATACGCATATATAACCATCGAAATGCTTATTTGATGGGGTTATTCTACCATTAGCGGATTTTTCATAATCTGAAAATCAAGTGTCGCATCTAAATTAACTGCCAAACACACCGAAACCAGAGCCATGTCGCTGACATACGATGCCAACTCGAAGCTGCTAGCATTGGAGGATGCCTCGTTTGACGAACTTATGAACCTGTCACAGATCAACAAGCTCACACAGAACCTGGTGGGTGAATCGAACCCCAACTTTACACCTCAACCGCGTGAGACATCGACCGTAATGATCAAGAAACTGTTCGAGACTGGTCTCCAGCAGACCAAGCAGCACAAGTTCCCCGAGGCTCTCAAGTCCATATCGCTTGCGCTCGAGATGTCGCAGCGTAAGAGAGCTCCTTGGGAAGCCTTTGCTGTGCAACTTCAAGAGGTTCAATTTATGCTGAAAAACAGAGTAGATCTGTGCCTCGTACAAGGCCGTTTCGTTGACGCGCTGCAAGACCTGGAGTTTTTACAAAACACGGGACTCACTACGTCTGACGTCTTCATCCGCAAGACGGACGCGCTCATCAAGCTCCAACAGTTTGAGCTTGCAAAGGTTGAGTGCGAAAGGGGGCTCAGTTTGGACCCGAGCAACGTGAAGCTGAAGGCATTGCACATGGAAAGTACTCGTAGATTAGCGGAATACAACGGTGATCAGTAATCAAGCATCTCTGGCACCATCTTAGGGCTTTGGTTAGGGCCTTTGATTATGAAAGCATGTGATACTCGTATGCTATGACTCATCATATGCTCAGATTCTAAAAATTTTCCTAGACAGGGCGATGAGTTTGTCAGTTGACTTGTCAGGCCCATTTAAATAGCTCATTTTCAACCGATTGATCAACCAGTCGGCGAGTCCGACCAGGCAGCATTCTTATATTCGCATTTTTTTGGCCTTTCAGTACTTTTTGACTTTTTTTCCAGGCTCATTTTAGCTTCATTTTGACTTCCTAGCACCTCAAGACATATATCATGTCTTCAGAACTCAATGCCACTATTGCGTCCTTCTGCGATAGGTTAAAGAGACGGCAGATCACAGGCTCGTACCATGTTGCATTGGAGACATTGCAGCTTCTTAAACGGTTTATTTCTGCCGCAAGATGGTCTCACACCAACGAGTTGATCGCGCAACTTCGAGATCTCGGCAGTAGGCTCGAGAAAGCGCATCCGACCGAGTTTACGTGCGGGAACATTATCAGAAGAGTTCTAGCATTCATCAGAGACGAATTGGAAGAGGACTTAGAGATGTCTAAGACGCCGACACCTGCAGAGCCGATGATTTCGTCCATGTTCAATCTTCTACAACGTCCCGCCGTGCCAGAGAAGAGGAAATCCGTGGTGCATTCCAAGACAGATTTGAGACAGGCCGTGATTCAGGGCATCAAAGATATCATAGATGAAGTCACGAACATCGACGACGGAATCCAACAGATCGCTATAGACCTTATCCATGACCGCGAAATCCTGTTGACACCGACGCCAGATTCTAAGACCGTACTCAAATTTCTCATCAAGGCCCGTCAACGGAACAACAGAAATTTTACCGTTCTGGTGACGGAGGGTTTCCCAAATAACACACAGGCGGCACACGAGTTCGCGAAAAAACTGTCGCAGCACGATATAGAGACCACCGTTATTCCAGACACGGCTGTGTTCGCTTTGATGAGTCGAGTCGGGAAAGTTATCTTAGGCGCAAAGGCGGTTTTCACCAACGGCGGGACTGTGTCCTCGACTGCGGGCGTGTCGTCCGTGTGCGAATGCGCACGTGAATTCAAGACACCCGTGTTTGCTGTAGCTGGTCTATACAAGCTGTCGCCATTGTACCCGTTCAACATCGAGAAGCTCGTTGAAGTGGGTGGATCCCAGCGCGTCTTGTCCACGATGGATTACGAAGGCGCAGGAAGTCATAATCGACTTGACACCGTGAACCCCGTCGCCGATTACGTACCTCCGGAAAACATTGACATTTACATTTCGAACATCGGTGGGTTTGCACCAAGTTTTATCTATCGAGTCGTTTGGGACAATTACAAACAGGAGGACGTTAATTTGGAGAATTGACCTACGTGGCCTCTCCCCTTAAACCTCCAGTTCAATAGCATTTTGCAGCCTTCATCAATGAAAAATGATTTCAATTGATTCTCATCGCTCTTAACTTCCAGAACCTGTAACATTGACTCCTGCCCTCTGCCTTGCTCGGTGGTACTCTTTCAATGATACCATCTTGAGCTGGATATTCAAGTTCACTGCTCTTGCTCTGCTCCTGCAGCGAAATTGAATAATGGGCTAAATTAAATTCCTAGACTTCTTTTGAGTACGACTCTATTAACAGGATCAACCTGTCCATAATAAAGCATCGTAATTAGAACGTCTCAAATCTTCAATTTCCTCAAAAAGCTAGTTGCTCTTAAATACTTGGATGCGTGTCTTGTCAGTTGACCATTCAGTCATGGCCGCTGTCACTGTCATTAATATAAGAGAGGTCTATAAAATAAGGTCGCCAACTCATTGAAAAACTCAACTTTTCAACAGAACCAAGAACCTAAGTAACTTTCACCAGCATGAAGAGTCTCTTAGTCTTTGGGGGCAATGGATTTCTAGGAAAGCGAATCTGTCAAACTGCTATTGAGCATGGATTTAAAGTTACGTCGTTGACAAGGTCTGGGAAACCCCCGAGACCGATGATTTCTAGCGAGAAAGATTGGATCTCGGAAGTGAATTGGCGTCAATGCGATGTGTTTGATGTCAACGGTTACAATGAGTACCTACAGGATGCTACCAATGTGGTGCATTCAATTGGAATCCTGCTGGAAGACTCAAGTTATAAGCAAAAACTGAAGAGTAACGAACCTTTTAAGATGAGTTCGCCGCAATGGGGCAATAATCCTTTGAAAAAGGACAGCAAGTTTACCTACGAGATGATGAACAAACAGAGCGCGCTTAAGATTGCAGAGGAGCTTGCCAAAATTCCGGTGGCCGCTGAAAAACGAACATTCACATATATTTCTGCTGATCGTGGGTTTCCTTTGGTTTATTCTGGCTATATCACGTCTAAAAGAGAAGCCGAAATGGGACTCATGCGGTTAGAGGAAAAACTACGTCCTATTATCATGCGGCCTGGGTTTATGTTTGATGAAGTTGTAGCGGCCAGCAAAGGTGGGAAGGATCTCAGAACTGCTTTTAAGACCGTTTTTGATACTTTTAATTTCGCCAACAGACTGATACTTCGCAACAAACTGGGATTTGTTAACGAATTGATAAGACCTACGGTCTCTACTCAGCAAGTAAGTCGTGCCGTGATCGCTAAAATTGAAGATCCAACGTTTTCTGGTGTTTGTCCATTGGACGAAATTCTTGATGTATAATGCGTTTTATTTACAGAATTGATGGTTAGAAAGAAGTCAAAATCGCTCGTTCATCAGCGGCGTAGAAAAGCCTGATATGCTTCTTGGTTAATTTGTACGTTGCCCACGCTCTTCATGTGTCTTTTGCCCTCTTTCTGTTTCTCAAGAAGCTTCTTTCTTCGTGAAACGTCTGAAGCATGTAACTTGGCAAGAACGTCTTTCCTTCTAGCTTTGATAGTTTCACGAGCAACAACCTTGTTACAAGCTTTGGCCTGTATAACAACTTCAAAAAGTTGAGATTTTACGAACTCTTTGAATTTCTTGACCCATTCTCGACCTACTTTTTCCACTTGGGACCTATGCATGACCTGCGCCAAGGCATCGACACCTTTCCCGTTGAGTAAAAGCTCAAGCTTAACAATATCGGATGGCTTATATCCGATGTCCTCGTAATCCAGCGAAGCGTAACCTTTCGTAAGAGACTTTAACTTGCCAAAAAAATCATCCACGAGATGCGCTAGTGGTAATTGGTATTTCAACATCACTTGGCCCGTTATGTCCAAGTAGGTGAGTTCGACTTGAATGCCTCTATTATTTTCACAGAGCTTGATGACATTTCCGACATACTCTTGGGGCAGAGTCATTATCGCTTCGACAAATGGTTCTTGAAGAGAGTGTATCTTGCTTTTGCGAAGCGAAAGATCCGGAAAATCGTCCGGGTTCGTGATTATCTGTTGGGAACCGTCGTTGAATTTTAGCACATAAGGCACGGTGGGCTGCGTAATGATTAATTTAGATCCGTATTCTTTTTCCAGTCTCTCTCGAAAAACGGACGCGTGTAGCGATCCGAGAAATCCTAACCTCCAGCCCTGGCCCAGGGCGTTAGAAGTTTCTCTCTGAAGCGAAACAGAACGGTCATTAAGCACCAATCTACCCAGATCGTCGTCTAATCCTTTAAAGTCGACACCATCTGCGGGGAACGCACCGACAAAAACCATTGGTTTCGGTTCTTCGAACCCGGGCAGAACTTCAGTCACTTGTTCGCGACCGGTATGCATCAAAGTGTCACCAATTTTAGCATCTTTGGAATCTTTTAACCCGAGCACTAAGTAACCCACTTGGCCAGTTCCTAAAGAATTCATTGGTGTGCGATCTGGAAACATTATACCCAGCTCTTTGATTTCATACTTTTTTTGGGTCTGAGCACTCGTTATCTTGTCGCCCTTTTTAGCCTTCCCATCAACTATATGGACCAACATTACGACTCCCAGATAAGAATCATACCAGGAATCAACCAGAAGCGCTCGAAAGGGCTTATCTTGCTTCCCAGCTGGTGGAGGAATTCTGTCGATGATAGCCGGTAAAAGATGCTCCTTAACGTTCAGGCCGGTTTTGGCACTAACTTTAATAATTTCGTCTTTTGGCAATTCAAACGTCGAATCTATCTGACTTTCAGCTTGTGGAATATTAGCAATTTCCAAATCTATCTTGTTTATCACCGGAATTAGCTTCAAATTCATCGAATACGCCAAATAGAAATTCGCTACGGTTTGAGCCTGTACGCCTTGTGAGGCATCTACAAGCAAAAGCGCACCACCACACGACGCATAAGACCGCGAAACTTCAGCTCTAAAGTCAACGTGACCAGGCGTATCGACCAGATGCAACAAATAATCCTTATCGACTCGTTTATCATGGTAAAACATCGTGCACGTTTGAGCTTTTATAGTGATACCACGTTCTCGCTCGACTTCCAACTTGTCCAAAACTTGCTTGTTCGAACCCGCTTCAATAACGCCCGTAAGCTCCAACAATCGATCGCTTAAAGTTGATTTCCCATGATCAACATGCGCTACAATTGAGAAATTTCGATAGTTTTCAATGGGTATTTGTTCAATTCTTTTCTGCAAAAAATCGAGTTCTTTAGCTGTTGAAGAAGTGTTTCGTACAAACGAAACTCGTAGTTTCGATTTAACCCCCCTATTCGAACGGAAAAGAGCTTCCTGAAGGATTCTCATTGAATCACATGTGTTTTCGAAATATGGGTGATGAGCTTGTATCAATTTCGCATTTCTCGAAAATTGAAATATCAACTCCGAAACCAAAGCGGAAAAGACGTTTACAGTGGGTGTAAATAATGGTCAAATGAAGCTGAAACTGGCACTAAATGCTTCAGAATCCCAAGAAGACTATAAACTACTGAAATCTGCGCTTTCAACGGTAGCTTCGCTGCGAAGAACGGCCGTGTTACGGTTCACAAGTGAGAGATTGGTCATAATATCAACACCTGGTTTGCCTTCCAATAGTTCAAGTATTCTTGGTGATACGGGACAACTCTGGTGTACAATTCCTCGAGATATCTTTACGCTCTACAACGTAGTGAGTGCGAGAGACCTGAACACCATCGCGATGGAGTGCAGTTGCGACGCGCTGCTAAACGTTTTCAAAAAGTACGACGCCGTTATAAGCCAAGGAACTAACGGCACTATGACAATAAAACTGCAGAGTATGCCAGAGTGGAATGTTACACCATTGTTATCCGGAGACGTCGGTGGTAAGAATGGAGCTAACGGTGGTGGCAGCAGTAGTTCGAAACCAAATCCGGTATGCGCTTTGGGCATAACTTTTGAAGAGGTTGTACATCGTGCAACAGGTGGAAGAATGGGCACTACAAGTATTAGCAATACCGGAACTTCTAAGTTTATTGCGCATTCTTTCAAAATCCCTGCGAAACTATTGTTCAAGGCGCAAGATTCACGCATACAGGAGCCCATGGTCAATTATTCGCAACTTCTGATGTACCGGTTGCCTGCGCCACAAGGAGAGTGGGGCCGCGGATTTTCAAATTTTATTCGGCGAATCGAGAGATACACCACGGTGCAAAATGTGAAATTGAGTGGTAAGGGAGGACATGGAGAATCTGCGGATAGACAACGTGATTTTGGACTAGCACTTATTGTCAATGAACTCGATTGGTATCTTGAAATTTGTTGGAATGGGCCGCTTGAAGTGGTTCCTCAGCCGCAAAATGGGGAATCTGAGGCGCATAGTCAACCTGAATTTACCAGTATCGACGATACGAGCCCCTTGACGGCTCTCAACGATTCGGAACCGGGAACTGAAGACAATTCAGTCTACGAGGTCGTTTTAAAACGCAAGGATTGGAAAGTCTGTGGCAAATTATACGAAGGTTTTGAAGACGTTGTGCTTGCCATATCTCATGATGAGTCGTGTGTATTCCATTGCTCTTTGAGCCGAAATAGCGTAGACGATGAAGGGCAGGAAAAGAATCGAGAACAAGGGCAGGTGATATACTATATGGCTAGAGCAAGAAGAAGTGGATGAATTGTCAATGGCGGCTTGTCCACAGAAGAGGCTGTACATATATGGGCATGTAAGATTGGAAATTAAGATTTATATATCTATTACTAGCAGGAATCGCAGCATGGGGCGGTATGTCTATTAAGATATAAGAAAATACGCATATACGTGATTCCAGCAAATCATGAATTACATCAGATTGTTTGTCTGTAACGTCTGCTGAGAGTTAACTTTGGCAAATTCATCGACAAATTGAGCCAAAAGCTTCACGCTTTGTAAGCTGACGGCATTATAAATGGAGGCCCTAAACCCACCAACAGAACGATGACCCTTCAATCCAGTTAGATTTCTGGATGCGGCTTCTTGTTGAAATTTATCGTCTAGGCCAGCTTTCTTGAGAGTGAAAACTACGTTCATACGGGATCTGCAATCTTTCGCCACAGGCAAATCGTAGAAATCAGAGTGCTTGTCTAAAGTGGAGTAAAGAAGCTTTGTTTTCTCATTGTTCAATTCATTTTGAGCTTCCAAGCCACCCTTTTGAATCAAATTTCTCAGCACAAGGTCAATGATATGCAAGGTGAAAATGGGGATAGTGTTATAAGCTGAGTCATTCTTGACAACAGTAGGGAAGTGAGTCGCAATGGGTGAAAGCGGGATACCCATCTCACGTAACTGATTGTCGGAGACTTTGGAAATATCCTCCAGAATGGACTTCTTGATAATATACAAAGTCAGACCGGCCAACCCAATATTTTTCTGAGCCCCCGCCATGATCAACCCATAATTTGCTACATTGATAGGACGAGACAAAATGTCACTCGACAAGTCGGCGACGATTTCGACACCGGATTCGACAAGACCCTGGGGCAAAGTGGGCCATTCGACACCATGTACAGTTTCGTTTTCGCACAAATACACGTAAGAATACTCCTTCGACTTAATTTTGTCCATGTAGCTCGATTCTTGGGGTAAAATACCGTACTTGCCCTGGTTCAAATCCTTCGCATTCACAAGCACCTCAGCATCGGTACCCAGTCTTGCAGCTTCCTGAAACGCCTTCTCAGCCCAAGATCCAGTCACTATGTAGCCACCAGGTGCTTTTTTCCCATGCTTTCCTGCGTATGCTGCTTGCAAATTGGTAGCAGCGCAGGCAAAGCCAGTGGTTCCACCCCCTTGAAGGAAAAAAACTTCGTGAGTGGAAGGAACGTTTAAAAGTTGTTTGAGATTCGCCTTAGTGTTCTCAATGACTTGAGCCGCATCTTTTGATCGATGTGAAATTTCACCAATTCCAAGCCCACCGTTCTTATAATTGACTAAATCTTGAGCAGCTTGTTGCAGCACGGAAGTAGGTAGCAAAGCGGGACCTGCGCCAAAATAGTTTGGCTCTTCTCTATCCAATGACATTTCTGATACAATTGATGTTATGGAAGCTCTCTAACAAGCTTGATTCTGATCTTCTCTATGACAGCATATAATTTAATTATGGCGATGACTCGTAATTTTTCATCACGACTATATCAAAATCGTGACCGATGCCTTGATAATAGGAAGCGATGAAGCGATGAAACAATAAGTAGGTGACATCCCACATCCCAGTGGTTCACATAGTTCAGGTAGTATCATTCACAATCATCGACTTTTGAGACTATACCATACCGAAGGAAAGAGCTTCAAATAACCACTTTCAATGCTTACTACTCGCTCCTTAGTTATTATTCCTTTCTTACATTCAGATTACCTAAGCAATGTTTTTTAAAATCTGCTGAAAATTAGGGCTTTAAGTCGCCATATACTCATACGACTGTTTAATTCCTACAGCCCACACATTTATTTCAAGATCCTCACACCCTTGAAAACTTGAATATGTATGGGTGTTTAATTGAAAGATTTTTCAAACGCTTGAAAACTTTTCAATGTGCTTTTTCACGAGGATTTCCTCATGGGGACACGGGCCACGGGGACGGCGAGGTGGCAGTGGCAATGTCGTAAGAGGTATGATGATTTTGATACTCTTGAATTGGATGTTCCACTACTTCCAACTATTCACGCAAGAGCATCAAACACATCGAAATGGTACGTTATAGAACGAGATTTTAGAAGATTTGGGAAGGATGAGGAATGAAGAGATTGGGATAGCCAGAAAGTAGCGTTGTTAGCCATGTGGGCAGCTTGAAATTGCCATAGACAGGATATGATATTTTTCAAATTCGTTAAAGTTTGGGACTTTTGTTGAGTAAGAACAGCACCGTAGAGAGTATTGGTGGGAATATTGGTAACCCTGAGTGGCATACAAGAGGGGAGCCATGACAGAGGACGCAGATATGCGGACATGAGATTGAAAATGGCCACAGATGCGCATAGAGCTAGAATACACGAACCTTCCAAGGATAACAACGATCTATAAAATTCACTATCGCAACCAGGGCGGCCGAAATCTTCCTGTTGCACTTCGAAACATATACTAACTTCATTTTACAGGGTAAAGTTCACGGTTCCCTAGCTCGTGCTGGTAAGGTTAAGTCTCAAACCCCAAAGGTTGAGAAGCAAGAAAAGCCAAAGCAACCAAAGGGTCGCGCTTACAAGAGACTTTTGTACACCAGAAGATTCGTTAACGTCACTTTGACCAACGGTAAGAGAAGAATGAACCCATCTCCAGCTTCTCAGTAAGTTACTGGTCTATAGCCACATTATATTAAATATATGCTTAGCTTTTATTAAGTGAGGTTTTGCACAAGGCCACTTTTTCTGTCAGAGAAGCAGCCTTTTGATTGAAAGCATCGTGTTGTCCGTCGGAAGTTAAGTTTTCACGTTACTTTAAGAATCTTGGCTCTAATATCAAGCTCATCACCAACTCCTGGGCATAGTTATCGCCCAACAATGACAGACACACAGTCCAGCAAAGAAGACTTCAGGAAGTTATTGGCTAGCGTCAGATCAGATTTCATTGATTCTTATGGAACGAGAGAGAAATTGCATACGTTAAAAGCACCTCCAAGCTTAGCCAAAGCAGATCCATCCGATGAGCTGGAAAAATTGGCAAAAATGATAAAAGCCCACGCTACAAAAGTTGGAATTGTGTGTAATCCTGGTAAGTTTGACACGAACGTTTCTGTTGCTTTGAAGGAGTTTCAACTTTTCTCAAATGCCATATTTTATCTTCTCAGCTTGACATCGCTTTTTTATCAAGGCAAACATGCTGACTACCTTGTCGATGATCTTGATGCTTCGATTCTAGGACTTCTCAATGGTGTTCAAGATTTATGTACAGACGTTACATCACTTTTGGACGGTAAGGGACTCGGATCAACGACGCCAACCGAGGCCGATACAAGACTCACCGGAGTTGGCAAAATATGGAGTACTTGTGATAATCTCGAACAGATTGCCATCAAGGGCAACTTCGGTTTGCTAAATGGCCGTATTTCCGTCAGTCTGAAATTGATTAACGATTCTCTTTCAGAAGTCGACGAATGGCTCATGGAACCAGAATTGTGTGAAGAGGATCCTTTTGGACTTTGTGATGAGTCTGACGATGAGCTAGCCGCTGAGAAAGTGGAAGAACAAACAGAGGTACCTCAAGGTATGATTGATTTTGTTCAAATTTGGCAGAAAAGGCTCAAATTGATCAAGCTTTTACTGTCCTCATTTTCCAAATCGATTTCTTCGAATGATTACAAGAATAAACAATCTGACGCATCCAAGCTCTCCAAGCTGAATGTTTTGCATAAATCTGTTGTTGAACAAATCGATGAACTCATCTCGACGGTTTTCATGTCGGGATCAAGTTTCGACGCTGAAGACGAGGAAATTAAGGAAATCACCGACAACTTAGTGACATCTCTCAAACGAATAGTCAATATCATCAAGGTCCTGAATAAGAACGATGAGAAACGTGGGAAATGGGTCGAAGTTTGGGAAACAAACTTCTTTGCTCAAGTGTAAATTTAAATATATTGGGAATCAATATCCTGACAGCGCCCTGAGCTTTGCATGCAATTTATGTCATCTGCTAACAGTGATACACATTTTAATTATTATTACCAGTCGTCCCCATTATCATAATCATCGCCGCCTTGGGCAACTTTGCTTTTTCTTTGATTCAAAGCCGCGGCTAGAGCATCTGCGAGAGATCCTCCGGCTCCACCTGCGCCGTTTACAGCAGGAGGTGCACTGGACGAGGATGTGGTGGATGGTTCTCCTCTCGCCTCTTGTAGTAATGCCGAGGGCTTGTCCAGTTGACTTTTATCAACTTTGCGCAATGACGTTATTCCACCGGCTCCCCTGATTGATGCCAGTAAAGCGTCCCGTCCCGCGTCTCCGGTTGCTTCCGACGATCTACCGCCCGTTGCCTGAGCGGGCGAAGTAGCGCTCTGCGGTACGGCCAAGAACGGTGGAGGAGGCGGAGGTGCCGCAGCGGTGGAACTCGCAGGTGCTACCGCAGCAAGAGGTGGTGGAGGCGGTGGAGGAGCAGCATTTCCAGTTGCCATTGGAGGAGGCATTGAGAAACTTGTCGGTGGTGGAGATGCAAACGCCGATGGGACATCGTTTTGTGGGAACGAGGTATGAGGATGAGGAGGAGGTGGAGGTGGTGGAATTGCCTGGGAACCGTTGGGCATGGCTGGCGCCATTGGATTTAATGCAGGATGGGCATTCGGAGCAGGTGGTGGTTGAGGTACCGATCTTTGAGGTACGGACGGTCTCGATGACCGTGGTGGCGGTGGCGGAGCGGCGCCTCGCCTTGGAGGAGGTGGTGGGCCTGGGCGACCCGTAGTGTGAGTCATAATGGGAGGCGCTACTGGAGGGCCACGCGTTGTGCTCCTGCGTGGTGGTGGAGGTGGAGCAGCACCTCTTCGAGGTGGTGGAAGCGGTGCTGGATTTCTAGGTGGAATGCTAGGCAAGGGTCTTCCGTTGTCAAATCTCGGCTGTGCATTCCCCGCGTTTGATGGATGCGGAAAAGTTGGCGGTGGTGCCGATGTTTGGGGAGGTAGCGGAATCGGGAAAGGATTTTGAGACGTTTGATTTGTCTGTGGAATGGGGAATGGGAAAGAGTTATTGCTGTGAGCTCCGGCAGGCTGTGGTACAGGGTTCGACGCAGTTGAATCCGAAGTAGCATAATGTGCAGGAGGAGGAGGTAATCTGTATTTTGTATGGCCGCCATCCTGGGCTGGAGAGACGGGCGCAACAGGAGGAGCTGGCGCTGCAGGCGGAGCGGGAGTCGCGGGCGCGGGCGGCAAATCATGCTTGGGCCTGTCATGCGCGACCGGCGCCGGCGTGTTAGAAAAGGAAGTGAACGCGGAGTTGGTGTCGCTGAAAGACGACGAATCGTCGTTGGCATTGAAAGGTGACGGAGAGTATGCTGGAGCGGCGGCGCCCGGAGGCGGAGGTGGTGGGGCCTTTTTCGTGGTTGGAGGAGGCGCATTTTCGTATTTGTACCTTTGGCGTTGGTCCGCTATGAGGGACTCACCCCTCGGACCATGTACAACGGTCTGTTGTTCTTCTGTTTCTATTTTCTTGGCGAGGGCTATGGCATTTTTATTCGTGATGGTCTTTTTGGACCCGTATTTCTCTCGTTTTTGGACCCTCTTGAGAAAATGGGACGCTTCGTCCAAATCTTCGAAAAGAAGTCCCGCGTAGCAGTCTTCCGTCTCAAAAGTGTGGAAGAAAGTACGATCCTGGTGGTATTCGAAATTTGCGTAGAGTTCCTGGTCCCAAATAACGGAGCGGTGACCGTGGATGTCGACCAATTTCAGGAAAAACGTGTGGCCCACGATGTCGTCTACCAGAACGATGGCGCCCGAAAGCCCCGTGTATTGCCAGCTCTGGGCATCTGGGTAGGCGATGTAAAGCCTGGCCACGGCGACATCGATAATCTTGTTGGAGGCCTTGGGAAGCGCTCTTTTTATTTTTTCTTTGTCGCTGGAGTTGAGTAAACCCATTACGCTTCGAGGACGGCAGGGGAAGGCCGCAGCGGAGTCACAGAGTCTTGTGGTGGGATCTCTGACAGGGTCGCTGTCTTGGCCGATTAATTTCACCAGACGGGCGCACCGCGGGCGAAAAAAAAGCACCTGCCCCTTTTCGCCGGGGCCGACGAGGTCACGTGCCCGTGCAGCGTGACGAGCCACCCTCCGGTCACGTGACGCCGTCTCCCAGATTAGCCGCCGACACCGGAATCCTCCCGCGGACGCGCGTATGGACGCGCGTATGGGCGCGCTTGGGCGCGCCCATACGCACTACCCGCCGGTTCTCCGCCGTCCACTTCCGCCTGCTCTTGTGTTGTTGGCAGGTAAACTCCCAGTTGCCCCCCTGAAAGCGAGGGCGGCTCGCGTGCCCCTTATATAGGCGCGCTCGGCGGGTGTCCGTTATAAGTGATGACCACCGCTCGCACGTGCCACTTGTCGTCCAAGCGCACAGAACCCAGTCACCTCCTACGACCAACACCCCAACACCCCAACACCCCAACACCCAAACCCCCTTGTTTCCCATTTCGCCCGGACCCCCCCACCACCCCTGCACCCTTTCCATTTGGTCCGCGCCGTTGCTATCCATTTCGTCCGGGCCCTGACCGTCTCCGCTCGACCGCGAGGGTCCCGACCCCGCGTTCGTGCATAACGCTTGCGCCGCAGCCGAGTCGAGAGCATGGCCCGTATATCAGCGGTTCCAGCCCCGGAGCGCCAAGGGACTCGCCGGCGACGCAATTCCGCTCCAGACAACACTCCATACCGGACTAGCTATTGTTGCTAAACACAGACACCGGTCAGAACAGCACGCACAAAGCTAGATCAACACAGTCAAACCAACTTCCGGCTGCCCACGGAATACTGCCCCCCTTTCTCATCACCGTCGTCGGGTCTCCCTCGAAGAACAACAATTACGTACCAACGGCGCAGCGGCCTTTGTACATACACTTATATAAACCGGTGATCTTTGGCCCGGAGGCGGAGGGGAGCCGAAGGGCACCCGAGGAGCATCCGAGGAGAACGATTCTGCTTTCACAGTTATGTCCAAGCGCAAGTACGGGAGCCCCAAGGCCCCGAAGGCGGAGGGCCTTTTACTTTCCAAACACATGCGGTATTCGCAGGCGTGCGACCGGTGCCGGCTGAAAAAAGTACGCTGCGACGGCGTCAAGCCCGTCTGCGGGGCTTGCCGCAAAGTCGGCTTCCAGTGTCGCACCAGCGACAAACTTACCCGGCGCGGGTTCCCGCGCGGATACACGGAGATGCTTGAGAAGGAGGTGGTGCGGCTGCAGCAGCAGCTCGGCGGCAAGGGGACCGGGATCGGGGCCGAGGTCGGGGCCGAGACCGGGGCCGAGGCCGGCGATGACGTCGGCGGCTCGGCGGCAGCATTGGCTGCGACGGTGACCGTGACGGACCACGACGGCGCTAGCGCGGACCGGCGTAGCCGCGGAAGTGACGCGTCGGCGGCTACGCCGGCCGAGGGCCAACTCGTGTTCGTAAACGACTCGTTCCATCTGTATCGCAACTACGTCGCACCCGATGGCACGTACCTGGGCAACGCGACCTGGAGCAAGATCACACGCCAGCGCCGGGACGGCAGCGGCCGCGTCGACGCAGGCGTTGACGCCTGGCTGTGCGAGTTTTTGACGGCGCGGTTCCAGGTCTCGCACGGGTCGCTGCCGGCAGCGCTGCTGGGCAAGTACCGTGGCGACGTAAATACGACGCGGCGTCGCGTCAAGCGGTGCGTCGCGCACTTCTTCAAGTGCACCATGTCGCTCGTGCCAGTGCTCTACGCGGACGCGTGGAGGCAGCAGCTGTTTGCAGCGGTCGCCGGGACGGCGACGCCGACGGCGACGCCGACGGCCCCGGCGCTTCTGGCGCTCCTGTTCATCCTGCAGTGGCAATGGCGCTGTTTCGACTCCAGAAAACTGTTCGTGGCCACGAAATTCGTGTGTCTGAACTCGTCGCACCGGCTGCAGAGCCTGCAATGTCTCTTGCTCGCGGCTTACTACTTCCTGGGTGCGCCGCTTGCACGCGGCGCACCGCCCGCGTACTCGGTCTCTGACGCATGCGAATTGCTGCGGCTCGCGTTCGCCTCGGTTCTCGACTTAGGGCTGTTCATCAACAGCCACAAGCTGGTCCCGCTGGCGGAGACCACCACCACGGGCGGCGCGGATTTGCAACCCGAAGAACGGCTCGTCACGTTCTGGTGCTTCCAGTTCCTCGACTCTTGGTCCACGCTGCTCGCAGGCACCCCCAAGTACAATTTCATCATGGACGAGTTTCAGCCGCCCTCGTTGGCGTCGCTGCACAACGCCAAACTCAAGCCTTTTGAGATTCTGCTTAATTTCGTGGTCGGTTCTCTCGACGGCTGCAATTTGCTGTATTCCGTCGCGCAGGAAAACACGCACGCGCTGCAGCAGCTCATCGAGGCTTTCAAAAGCGTGCTTGTCAAGTACAACTTGTACCACCAGTTGCAGGACCACGAACCTTATTCCCTGCCCAGCATCGTCACCGAGTTTGACACTCCGCAGTCGTCAGAGGTCCAGTTGACCCTGTATTACCTGATCATGAAATTGCTCACGCAAACCAAAAGCCCAGCGCCGCAAACAGAACACGCGCCTCCGCCCGAAGACACCGCCTACGAGATTCTAACACTCTACTATCTCGTTCTAGTCAACAAGATTGACCCCAAGGCCCAATTACCCCAGCAATTACAAATTTCCCATTTCATGCCCTGTAACAGCGTCGACGTTATTCGAAAGTGTCTGGAAACCCTCTTCGCGTGGGCCACCTCCGTGCAACACACAGACTCGCAACTGAATCTGCGATTCGAAAAGTACCAATCAATCGTCAGCGCATGGTGCAAATTGTGGTACCAGGATGAACCCCACGACGATTTGCTGAACAGGCTTCGTACCGTGTTCAAGTTCAATTTGACCCTACCACCAGGCAGGTTGGGGTTCATCTATGATAAGACCGATTACTTGAATTCGCTGTCCGTCACCACCGAAATGCCCATTGGCAAAGTGCTGTTCCCAGATTTTCAACCTCAGAGCTTGCCTGACGGTTTCAACATTTTTGCCAACGACACGGTCGCACCGTCGTCGCTGCCTCTGCCATCAAGTGCCAGCCTTCTGTTCGGTACAGATAACGGACAAGAAGAAGACGATGGATATGCAGAGGACGACGATGACGATGAGGAATTCCCCTTGGAAATCCCCTTCACCAGGAAAAAACATCCGGCGTCGAAATCGCATCCAATACCGAAAAATCCAATGCTGATGCGAAGAGCAGGGTCTCTTTTCGAACATCGGAATTCGGGTCCCGTAACGAAACGTGCACCAGTTGCACGGGCCAACTCCGATTTTGTCATGCCGGATGAGAATCCAAGTCTTTTGAGCAATCCTGAACCAAGTACCAGCATCGAATTGCCTGACGATAAGCAAACTGAAAGCCATAAGAATCCAACCGATCATTACGCTCTAGTCCAAGGCGAAAAGCCTTCCCCACAAGAAGTGGGCACACCACGTTCATTTGTCGAAATGTTAAATTTACCCATCACTGATGACAAAGAAAAGCTTGCCTCATCAAACGTGGATTTGAAAGGATTTCGAAAGGAAGTGCATAATACTTCTAATCAGATCAATAAATAGTCATGTTTTATTTTACAAGGTTAATCCAAATAGTTTCCTCAATGAGAGACTAAATTTTGGACAAAAATTGTTATCGTCTCGTCAGGTAGTTCTTATATATTGAAACAAAGATGCCCGAGCCCATGAGAAAGACAGAATGCGAAGGAGAAATAAGATAAAAGTATCGTCAAGGAGTACTCCGAAGAATGTCAAGGTCGATTCATCCTCTGTTTTTGCAGAAGAACCGGAAGAAGAGGATGTCTCGTTGAAGGTTAAACTTCGCCAGAGAAGCAAGCCTCAGAATTACCATGAAGCTGAGAGTAAGATATATCCGCCGCTGTCGCCTGTTCAACCCACGGAAGTCATGGGAGAAGATTTCAAGATTATGAACCTTGACGATATAGAAGAACTCGATCGTAATCATCATGATAATGACGACAGCCATCAAATATTATCAAACGAAGAGAGTTCCTCTTCGATCCTCGTTCCATCGTACACTGCAATCGAGGCTTCCAGGAAGCAGAGAGCTTACTTGCGCCAGCGGAATGGTCAAACGTCTACGGGTTTTTATTCTGCGAAGCCTGACGTCGAATATAATGAAAAAGAATACGTGAAACTACTGAATCAGGACGACAAAGAAGAGCTTTCGGATATATTGGGCAAGGAGGCTCTTGCGGGTCGGTCACAGGATGAAGAAGATCTCTACGTAGACCTTGGTGATTTCGAGGACGAGAATTTGACTCTCAGCGCAAAGCAGAAGGCTATAACCAAAATGGAAAGAAAAAAAGCCATACAACTTGCATTGGAAGAAGACTCCGGGTTTCTTGATTCTGACTGGGAAGCTCACCAGCTGCACAAGACTGCTACGACTCAAAAGCTTACCCCCCGACCACCACCCACCAAGAAACCTTTAAACCTTGATGAAATGATCGAGCAACTAAGCGATCTATCTTTGCAGAATGAAAAGCAGACTAAAATTTTGACCTCTCAAATTAAAATATTAAGCAATGAAAAACAGACTCTGTTGTCGAGGAGGGCCGATCTGTTAAAACAGCTTGATACCTTAATTTCATGATTGTCTACGTCTAATTAATATATCTGTAGCGCTACGGTTTAGTCAGTAATATTATTTGTTTTGAAGCAAAATTATACAGCTTGGGTGCAAATTTTGGATGGAGTTAGATGCATTTTGAGGCTGGTTGTGGAATAAAATGTCTAATCTTTGACTCAAGAGCTCTTGATGTGGTATATATACATATCTGTTAAGTAACGTATTTTATCACATATTGAAAAACAAAGTTGATGAAAACAATTATTCCCAAAGATTCGAATCAAAATCGCGTCAAGGCCATAGATGAACACCTTCAGGTAAGTTTCGCGAAAATGCATTGATCAATGGTAGTGATACTAACAGATTGCCCTGTTTTCAGAAAAGCTCGTGCCTCCTTGAGGGCTCAAGCGTTGAGAAAATTGGCTCTAACGGCTTCTTCCAATTCGGATGTGGATTCGATCACCAAATTGGTTTCAACGCTTCCTGTGGCTTACGCCGCGCAATCTTCAAAGCTGTATACAATTCCCTTAACTTTAAATGAGCTGGAGATTATTCTTGGCCTTTGTCATATCAGGACTACCGAAGTATCTCAGGTAGTGGGCGTCTTAGAAAAGTGCATTGCACCGTATTGCATGGAAGTATCCAGACAGAAGTACACCGAATATGTGATCAGTAAGTATCGAGAATCTGGCTTAAAGTATCCGGGTGAGGTACTCACTTTTGAGATGGTAAGGTTTTTGATTCGCGTTCACACATCGATTCCGAAGTTGCAAGAAAGAGTTGAATTCTTGTTGAACCGGTACTTGAACCAAGTCTCCGATGAAACGTCTCTTACTTCGATCTTATCACTGGTTGGATTCCTTGAAGCCTTCAATCATGAGCAAAACCTTCGATTACTGAAATCGACATTGACTCAATTGCACACCCGCGTGACACCGGAGTTCTTATGCGCATTGGAACGAGCAGTACACAGCTCTGCGGCAAGTGATGTCTTGATTGAATATTTTGATAGTGGTAGAGAAGTTTGTGCGATCTTGATCCTGAAACTCATACAACAGCTGCAAGTTAGCTATGTCCTCAATTTGATAGACGTTCCAAAGGACAAATCGCTTTTCGATCTTCTTCTGAGGGCAAAAGCGACTTCAGTTAAAGAACAGGAGAGTTCGCATTCGGATGAAGTGGAAGACAAGCTTGTGGAACAATTGACGTTTGTGCACAAAATGTGTGATTACTCGTTCCAACAAATGAATGCACTCGAGGATGGTGCCAACTACGTCCAATTTTCGAGTCAAAACAGGGTCAATCTCGCTTTTGATGCGAAATCTTCAATGTTAGAGATCCTCAGTTTAACACCTTTCATTGGATATCGAACAGACGAGTTTGTCGATATAGTTAAGGACAACGTCGCCGATACTATAGAGGAAGGATTTGTTTCTAACAAATTGTTAGTCTCTGCAATCATAGCTTCGGCATCCATTCTGAACTATTTCTCCGACGAAGTCTCTGCGGAACTACTACGTCTGTTCCCCATTCTCGTCTCTTCTGAACTTGCTTCAAAAGACCTGGTGAAATCCACGTCTGCTCAGTTCGGTTTAGGTCTCCTGCCCTTGAAAGAAGATGCCGTGGTGAGTGCGATTTACTCCATCAATAACCTTTTGGCTTTTGCGCAGGATGGTTCCCCAATTCCTGTCATCAAAGAGCATAGAGCACATACTTTGAACGGCGCCGATGGTCAACTCGACAAGCTTTTTTCAACAAGAACCCATAGAACAAACACTATCGGAACATTACAATCGCTTGTGAAGTTCAAAAAATTCGAAGCAGACAAGACTAGCTCAAGTGTCGCCAATCAGGATGCCGTAACTAATCAAACTTCTGAAACAAGTACAGAGTACTATCATAAAATGCTCTTTGAGAACGTAGTCATAGCAACGACTACAATCGCTTCAAATTATGATGACCAATCTATAATGGCCCTGTCGATTACTATTCTGAAGCAAAAGTATCGTTCCGTTTCTGAGAAACTTGATCATATCATAATGAAGGGCCTTGCACATATGTCACTTTTTGTTGGACAGTCCGAGTTTTCATTGCTTATGAAATTCTTTAAAACTGTTATGAACAGTGCTCTCGAGAAGAAAGATTCACTTCTTCTGGAAAGTGTGACACGCGCCTTGTGTCTCATTTCAAAGAAATTGTTAAAAACTCAAGCTGAAAGCACATTATACAAGATTTACCTTCAAGATTTATTGGAATCTGTGATTTCGCGCGGCGACGTTGATCGCTTAGAACATCATAGATCCCACGTTGAAATTTCAAAAGTTGCAGATCAGATTGCAGCGTATATCAAACCGTTGTCAATGGTCCTTCCAACGCCGGATTCGCCTCCTTTAGATTTGGCGCTGGATGAAACCACAACTAATATGATGAGGAACTTCTGGTTTAACATAGTGATTCATGGTTTTCATCAAAAATCGCCTTTGGCAACTAACCATTACGAACATCTCAAGCGCATCGCATATAACTCTCCTCCCTTGGCCTCAGATTTTCCGTTTATCAACAGGGAAACTTCACTTGAGATGAACACAATTTTGAGGCGAGGTTCCTCCAACCATAACTTAAGAGATCAGAAGGCAATTTTGTCGAGTCAGCTTTCCTTGAGTGCAGTATCTGCGCGGACGCTTTCTACACCAAAAGTCATGTTTTTGGCGGCCACAATATTCATGGAAAGCTTGAGGTGCGAGGCAGGCGATTGCTCGAAGATTTTACTCTACTTGTCTGATCCTACCATATCAGACAGCGGTATTGAAAAATTTATCGGTACAATTAGCGTATCCATGATTCACAAATACGCCAAACTAATCATTCAGGGAGATCCTAAAATATTCTCCGCCGAAATGGTTGCCCAGCGCTTGACGAGTATTCTTCTACTTCTCATTCATCGAGAGTTGATTTTACAAGATGCCGCTTTTCAGTGTTGCGACGCTTTCATTGCAGAAATTCCCTCCAGTCTCTGTCACCACAGCTCACTGTACACTTTATTGGATTTGTTGTCAATGCTTTTCGAAAGCGTCGTGCAGCTAGAAACCAGAAAATTTGAGCCACAGTTCGAGTTTGTTTTAAAACACTCGAAAAGAAGAGTACTTCTTCCTGATTCTTATCAGTGGAGATGTGCAACACTAGAGCGCCTTCAAAAGTTCTCGAAAAAATGGGTTCGATCAATTTTGAATATAGCGAATCAGGATTGCAAAATTTTGCTTCAATCTTATATTTCTGAACTCAGCGCTTTTCAGCGGTTGGACAAAGTTGAGTTCGGTGTTTCATTCGCACTTGAACTGGCAGGCACCATACTTCCTGTGGATCGAGAATTATCGACCATGCCGAAACATGGATATGGACAACCCAACACGATTTCTGGTTTTCTCTCGCAGCACGCTTGGAGATCTAGATTTTTAATTGAGAGAAACTTCATTACATCTCCAGAGTCTGTACAGAAGGATTGCCTGGCCCTAAAAGGAGAGATAGAGGACAACCTGGCCAACAGGCAGGATGTGAGCGATAAAATTGTGGCCCACTATCTTGACTTGGTGGCTACGCTTTTGATATCCGGAAAAGGGGAATCTGCCTCTTTGGTTTACGATATCGTGAATGTTCCCTTCAGTATTTTTACGTCGGGTGTTATGAAGGTCGCTATCAATGTCTGGCTATCGGTTATAAAGGAGCGAAACGATGTTTCATATCTCCTTCTGTCTGAAATCGGGCGCAGCTGGATGGGCTCTATTGACAAGGGTGTGGGCCTCTTTTCACGGGATCATGACCTCATTAAAGAGGAATTCAGTTACATGGAGTATGCTCCATATGATAAGAAGCAAATTAACAGGGCCGCTCATGAGGCAAGTAAAGCGATACAGCCTCACACTCAGATCATCAAATTTTTCACCTCCCACTTTGAAGCTACGATGTTTGTGAGCTTGCATCTGCTACAGATATTCACGAAGCTATGCTTGTACGGTTTGAAAAGCCTTGACCGCGCCAGTCTACATCCATTTGCTAGAACTGGTCGAACGGAATTACTGAACTTTGCCTTGCTTATTTTCTCTGCCAATTTGAAATATCACACCAGCTATGCGACCCCCGTAGCGCATGCTTTGGTTGAGGGCGCTCTAAAATGGTTTGAAAGACCGCTAATGTGGCCGTTCGGATCAAATGAACTTAAAATCAGAGCGGACCTGTCTCTTCTCATTGATTTATACAAGGGTCTAAGCAGAAAACAACATTTGAGAAGCATATGCCGATACGAGCTTCCACTCCTGGAATATCTTCTTCTTAGTGAAATCACGCATATTGAAACTTGGTTAAATCCGTTGGCGCGACCACTTGAAAAACACAAAATTTCCATTGAGTTAATAGTCACAGCTTTCAAAAAATGTCCATCATTGGCTGTCAACTTGATAGACAGATACCCTTCCAAGCTGTCCGAAGAAAAGCTTAGAAGTCTAGTGAGAAATGATCCAATCCGCTGCGTAACGTCAGAAGCGCTTCTAATGCATCTTCTTGAAACAGATGGAGACTTACATTTTGTCCTTTATTGGCGACCAGTTAGCCCTCTCAAGTCCATTAATTTATTCTTGCCAAAGTGGGCAAACAATCCTTTTATCGCACAGTTCAATGTAAGTGCCTTAGAATCGCACGACGTCAATCTGACATTTTTTTACGTTCCCCAAATCGTTCAGTGTTTGAGATTTGATCCCTTGGGCTATGTCGAGCGATTTATTATCGATACTGCCAAGATCAGCGTATTGTTCTCGCATCAAATCATTTGGAATATGCTGGCCAACAGTTTTAAAGACGACGAAGGCGAGATTCCCGACGATTTGAAGCCTACTTTAGACCGCATTCGGGATAAGATGATATCAACATTCACAAGTCAGCAGAAAGACTTTTTCAACAGAGAGTTTGATTTCTTCAATGAAGTGACAGGGATCTCTGGAAAATTGAAGCCTTTCATAAAGAAATCGAAAGCCGAGAAGAAACTTAAAATAGACGAGGAAATGCAAAAAATTGCAATTCGTAAGGATGTTTACCTTCCCTCGTATCCTGAAGCGGTTGTAGTCGACATAGATCGCCATAGCGGTAAGCCACTACAAAGTCATGCCAAGGCGCCTTTCATGGCTACCTTCAAAATAAAGCAGACGCGCAAAAATGTTGAAACCCATAAGAAGGAAACAATCGAGAAATGGCAGGCTGCCATCTTCAAAGTTGGTGATGATTGTAGGCAAGACGTATTGGCTTTACAGCTCATCTCGGTTTTTAGAGCGGTGTGGTCTGGTATCGGCTTGGATATCTTTGTTTTTCCATACAGAGTGACAGCCACGGCACCTGGATGCGGTGTTATCGACGTCTTACCAAACTCGATATCTCGAGACATGTTGGGGAGAGAAGCCGTGAACGGCCTTTACGAGTACTTCGTAACCAAATTTGGTCATGAAAATACGATAGAGTTTCAAAACGCAAGAAACAATTTTGTGAAGTCACTCGCAGGTTACTCAGTAATTTCATACCTTCTTCAGTTTAAGGACAGGCACAACGGAAATATCATGTACGATGATCAAGGAAATTGTTTGCATGTCGACTTTGGCTTTATCTTCGACATTGTGCCTGGTGGTGTCAAGTTCGAAGCCGTGCCATTCAAGCTCACCAAGGAAATGGTTCGCGTCATGGGCGGCTCGCCGGACACGCCGGCCTTCCGCGACTTCCAAGAAATCTGTGTTAAGGCCTACCTGGCTGCCCGTCCACACATGGATCTGATAATTGAATGTGTTAAGCCAATGTTGAGCAGCGGTTTGCCGTGCTTCAAGGGCCATAAGACAATCAAAAACTTAGAGGCACGTTTCGTACCTCAGAAATCTGATCACCAAGCTGCCGAGCACATGATGGGCTTGATCAAAAGGTCCTACGAAAGCATTTTCACCAAAGGTTACGATGAGTTTCAGAGACTAACTAACGGAATTCCTTATTAGAATTCGCATTTCTAGAGACAATAAAATGGAAACAGAAGCGGCCAATGGTCCTGACAATTCAGTCCAATTTAATCCAATTTCAATACCGAACATTTCACAAGATGCATTTAATTAATACCTCTAAATATCGAAGAAGCATCTGGTTAAAGTAATTTTCCCGCATTGTCTCTTACCAGCTTCCGTTATAACTTAAATAATCTTAGTGAATCGTTCCCTGATCCACTTCTTGACACGCACCCTGACCTATACCCTTACGTGTACCTTGTTGTGTACCGTGAGTCGCAAATTAGCCATTACTTCCGTAAATGGCACTTGTGGCTTCGGCGCCGAGTACGGCTTTCACTTTTAGTTTTTTTTGCCTTCGCCGTCACAGAATCCCAAACCCGACTCGGAGCCGAAGCGTTGTCGGCTCCGAGCAAGGGCTCCTATACTGGTGATCATGATCATGCAGCGAGGCCCTTTCTACCCTATATAAATACAGGGGAAACAGAATTAAGACGTAACAGTAACGGCTAGTCAAGGCAAGTCAAGAGAAGGCGGCTGATTACGACGACGCTAAATAATGTTGTCGGCTCGTAGCATTGTTCAAAGACCTGTGGCTCGTGGGTTGGCTACAGTGTCTAAACTCACTAGAGACTCTAAGGTCCACCAAAATTTGCTTGAAGACCACTCATTCATCAACTACAAGCAGAACTTGGAAAATGTTGATATCGTTAGAAAGAGACTGGGAAGACCTTTGACTTATGCTGAAAAGATCTTGTACGGTCATTTGGATGACCCTCACAACCAGGAAATTGAGAGAGGTGTTAGTTACTTGAAATTGAGACCAGATCGTGTGGCATGTCAGGATGCAACCGCGCAAATGGCTATTTTGCAATTCATGAGTGCTGGCCTACCACAAGTCGCCAGACCAGTCACAGTCCACTGTGACCATTTGATTCAAGCTCAAGTTGGTGGAGAGAAGGATTTGAAGAGAGCCATTGATCTCAACAAAGAAGTTTACGACTTTTTGGCTACCGCTACTGCCAAGTACAACATGGGTTTCTGGAAGCCCGGTTCCGGTATCATTCACCAAATCGTTCTAGAAAACTACGCTTTTCCAGGTGCTTTGATCATTGGTACCGACTCTCACACTCCAAACGCGGGTGGTTTGGGTCAATTGGCCATTGGTGTCGGTGGTGCAGATGCCGTCGATGTCATGTCCAACCTTCCTTGGGAATTGAAGGCCCCAAAGATTCTTGGTGTCAAATTGACCGGTAAGATGAACGGCTGGACCTCTCCCAAGGATATCATTCTAAAATTGGCTGGTATCACTACCGTCAAGGGTGGTACTGGTAAGATTGTCGAGTACTTCGGTGAGGGTGTCAACACCTTCTCTGCTACCGGTATGGGTACCATCTGTAATATGGGTGCTGAAATCGGTGCAACCACTTCCGTTTTTCCCTTCAATGAATCTATGGTTGAATTCTTGAAGGCGACCAAGCGTGGTGAAATTGCTGACTTTGCTAAGCTATACCACAATGATCTATTGTCCGCAGACAAGGGTGCCGAATACGATGAATTGATCGAGATCGATTTGAACACTTTGGAACCTTACATCAACGGTCCTTTCACTCCAGATTTGGCCACCCCGATTTCGAAGATGAAGGATGTTGCTGTCAAGAACAACTGGCCACTGGATGTCAAGGTCGGTTTGATCGGTTCTTGTACGAACTCTTCTTATGAGGACATGTCGCGTGCTGCATCCATTGTTGAAAATGCTGCTGCTCATGGCTTGAAATCTAAGACCATCTTCACTGTGACTCCAGGTTCTGAACAAATTAGAGCTACTATTGCACGTGATGGTCAGTTGGACACTTTCAAGCAATTTGGTGGTATCGTTTTGGCTAACGCTTGCGGTCCATGCATTGGTCAATGGGACCGTCAGGACATCAAGAAGGGTGACAAAAACACCATTGTCTCTTCCTACAACAGAAACTTCACCTCCAGAAACGACGGTAACCCAGAGACTCATTCTTTCGTCGCTTCCCCAGAGATTGTTACTGCGTTCGCGATTGCTGGTGACTTGAGATTCAACCCATTGACCGACAAATTGAAGGACAAGGACGGCAATGAGTTTCTATTGGAACCCCCAACCGGTGTCGGTCTTCCTGTCAAGGGATACGACCCAGGTAGCAACACTTACCAGGCCCCACCTGCTGATCGTTCCTCCGTCTCGGTCAAGGTGTCTCCAACCTCGGACCGTTTGCAATTGTTGAAACCTTTCAAACCTTGGGATGGTAAGGACCCTAAGGACATGCCAATTTTGATCAAGTCTTTGGGTAAGACCACCACGGACCATATCTCTATGGCTGGTCCATGGTTGAAATACCGTGGTCACCTTGAAAACATCTCCAACAACTACATGATTGGCGCTATCAACGCAGAAAACAAAAAGGCCAACAGCGTCAAAAACCACTACACGGGTGAGTACGCTGGCGTGCCAGAGACCGCTAGAGCCTACAGAGACAAGGGTATCAAATGGGTTGTTATTGGTGGCGAAAACTTCGGTGAAGGTTCTTCTCGTGAACATGCCGCTTTGGAACCTAGATTCTTGGGTGGTTTTGCTATCATCACCAAGTCCTTTGCTCGTATCCATGAAACCAACTTGAAGAAGCAGGGTCTTCTACCTTTGAACTTTGCTAACCCAGAGGCTTACGACAAAATCAACCCAGACGACACTGTTGACATTCTAGGACTAGACGGACTAGCTCCAGGAAAGAACGTGACTCTAAGAGTGCACCCCAAGTCCGGAGAGGCCTGGGAGACGCCTTTGACTCACACTTTCAACAAGGAACAGATCGAGTGGTTCAAGGCTGGCTCTGCTTTGAACAAATTGGCCCAGGGTAAGAAATAATTGTCTTATGACCGTCTCAATCAAATCACTCCGTTATGATATTTGAATATTTATTATTAATCTTCGATGCCCATGCTTATTTATTGGTAAATTAAACTTTTTAGATCATAATGTTACCTTACATGACCTGTAGCGACGCCTACGGTTGGGAAATCTATTCGTTAAAATGAACTCAACCCTGTTTGAGATGCAAAAAATGGTCTCTAGCGGGATCGAACCGCTGATCCCCGCGTTATTAGCACGGTGCCTTAACCAACTGGGCCAAGAGACCAAGATACACTTTTTGTGGATCACACATCTTTATAAGTTGTGCTAATACGAATCCCTCTTCCATCGTCAATTTTGACTATTAGTGTGTCTGTTGCATCTATCGCTGAAATCGAGAAAAACGATTTTCGGCCGTACATTGCTGCCTAGCACGACAAGAAAAGAGGCAGCAACACTAGGAGCCCATCTCTCGCAAGGCACCATATACTTGATGAAAATAGCTTCCACTATTTTCAACTATCATTAACTCTTAGTCAATGAGTTTACTAGAATGAAGTCAGAGTGACTTTTATATAGCTTTATAAGCGTAGTCTTTGGATTAACTGCCCAAGCCCACTTTTACAATGTTTATCGGGCTAAATAATTCGTGAAATCTTTGATGCATCGAATGTGTCAAAAGCAGCAAATATGACTCATTTTTCAGGTAACTTAAATTCTTATTAGTTTTTCTTGGCTTATCTTTTACTATTGGCAAGTATTTAAGCGTTATGAAATTTTAGTAGGGAAAGGTTCTTGAGCTTCTCAGAAAACTCAGAATAAGACAGATGGCCGATATTGCAATTTGCAAGAACGGGTTCAGTCCCTATATAGACAGCACTACAAATGCACTGAATCCGTGCTTTGTGTCCCTAGTGTCTATAGGGCACGCCGGTTTTTTCAGTATAGTAGGCGTAATCCAACTTTGGAATTTGTATAGGGAAGAAAGAATACCTCCCAACTTCAAATATGCATCGTTATGGAAAGCTACGTCTACGAAGCAGTTTCTACATCTAACAAGTGTATTCCTACAGTCGGCTCTTTTACTTGGCTCTCTGGCGGTAACTCCGACGCAATCTCCGCAGATTCTCAAATGGAGTTGGTTGAGCCAACTGTTGCATGTCACACTTATTTCACTGCCGGTACAGTATTTGCAGTATTTTAGGTCTACGGTGGCCGTCGGTGGCCAATTATTTTACTACGTTACCCAGGGACTGCTGTACTTTTATCTGATAGGCCAGAGAATCGGGCATCATCCTGACGAAGCTTTCAATTTTGTTCCGCGCATCCAGGGAGCGTTTTTGGAAGTGGCTCTTCTTTTGAACTCAATGACCATTTTCCTATACGATTTAATCAGTTATGAGCCCTCCCGTGAGTTGACAGCTTACTATGAAGAACATGACCTGATACCAGATTGCAATATTATATCGAATTTAACATTCACATGGATGAATCCTTTAATTAGGCAAGTGCATCGGGATGGGAAAATAAAGGACCCGCACAAGATGCCTTTACCACCAACCAACATTGACGTTCGCCAAAAAGCTGCGCTTCTAGAATCAAAATGGGAGCAAGAAAAATGGAGAGGTCGCAACTCTCTTTTCTGGGCCATCTTCGCTTCGTTTGGTAAAACCATTATGCTAGGTTTGTCACTTGAAATTCTAAAGGATTTCGCTGTTATTTTACAGCCCCAGCTGCTCAGAATATTCATCGAACAATTCAGTGAGGACTATCGCTCAAAATATCCGGCGTTAAATGGTGTTTTCGTTGCTGTTTCCCTCTTCTTAGTGAAAATATTTTCAACCTGTCTTTCCAATCAGTTTTTCATCATGATATTCCAGGCAGGAATGGGTATTAGAGGAAGCTTGATGGCTATGGTGTATCGTAAATCTTTAACACTATCTGTTGACGCCAGAAACAATAAGGCCAGTGGTGATATCCTGAATTTGATGGCAGTGGACGTTTTACGTATCCAAAGATTTTTTGAAACTTCACAAGACCTCATTGGCGCTCCAATCGCGCTAGTTACTACTCTCATATCTCTCTACACATTTCTCGGTTTCGCCACAATTGGCGGTCTGTTAACAATGGCGGTTATGATTCCAGTGAACACTTATCTTTCCAAAAAAATTAGAAACTTAATCAAGACTCAAATGGAATACAAAGACGCTAGAATAAAAACTGTGACCGAAATTTTGAACTCTGTCAAAAGTATCAAATTATACGCATGGGAAAAACCAATGTTAGAACGTCTGAACCATGTTAGAAATGATTTGGAACTTTCTAGTATGAGGAAAATTGGCATTGTAGATAATTTGATTACATTTGCATGGAATCTGGTTCCCGTGATGGTGGCATGCTCAACATTTGCGATCTTCTCGGTAACAATGGATGTTCCACTTTCTCCTCAAATCGTTTTCCCATCGTTGACACTTTTCAACATTCTAAATGAATGCGTATATTCTATTCCAACAACCATAACGAATTTCATTGAAACAAGTGTGTCTGTAGGAAGACTCAAGGACCTTTTATTGGCGACTGATACAGACCAGTCGTTCATCGAATACAGGGAGTCCTCCAAGGATTCCAAAGAGCCCGCATTGGAGATTTCTAATGCCACTTTCCTTTGGAGAACACAAGAAACTGAGAAAGAGTCCAGTCAACATGATGAGGAGGCAGAAGTAGAAACGCCACGCATAGCTCTCAAAGATATTGACCATTTCGAAGCTCGTAAAGGAGACATCACATGTATTGTTGGAAGGGTAGGCTCCGGAAAATCGTCATTCTTGAGTGCTTTACTTGGACATTTACCTTGCGTCAGTGGGGCACGGAAGCAGCTCCCACCGAAATTTATAATGCGCGCGAGTTCTATCGCCTACTGTCCGCAGCAACCCTGGGTCATGAATGCCACTGTTAAAGAAAATGTTCTATTTGGTCATCGCTTTGACGAGACCTATTATCGTGCAACATTGGATGCTTGTCAACTCGGGCAGGACTTGAAGATTTTGCCGGATGGAGATGAAACCGTGGTTGGCGAGAAAGGAATATCCTTATCTGGTGGTCAGAAAGCCAGGCTGTCGCTTGCCAGAGCGGTATATTCGAGATCGGATGTATATCTACTGGATGACATTCTAAGCGCCGTCGACGCTCAAGTCAGCAAGAGTATCATCGACAATGTTTTGGATAGAACTAATGGTCTTCTCAAAAACAAAACCATCATTTTATCAACTAATTCGATCACAGTTTTGAAACATTGCCAAAGCATATATGCTCTGCAACATGGAGAAATTGTTGAAACTGGTTCCTTCGAGGATGTTATGAAAAGAGGAAAAGAATCGGTCCTTAAAGTACTGATTGAGGAGTTCGACTCGGATACATCTTCGCCTGCTTTGAATACAGAAGAAGCGTCGAAAGAGCAAGAGGTTATATCTCTGGTAAACGAAGAGACGCTGATAGATGAGGACATCGCTGAGTCCGTTAACTCACTAGAAGTTGTGAATAGACAGCTAGGTGTGATTGTTTCAAGAAGAGCTTCTCTCGCAACCCTCAGACCACATCCTATCACTGATATGAATAAGGATACGAGGAAAACAGCTCAAGAAGCCGAAAAAACACAAGAGGGTCGGGTCAAAACTGCAGTCTACATCTCCTACATTAAGGCTTGTGGACCTATTGGTGTTGCTTTGTTTTTCGCGTTTCTCGGCCTAGAAAGATTCTTCGAAGTTAGTGAGAGCTTCTGGTTGAAGCACTGGTCCGAGAAAAACGAAAAAACTGGCTACAACAAAGATGTTGTGTTCTACGTTGGTATTTATGCCCTCATTGCGATAGCATCAGCTCTCTTTAATGTTTTGCGTTATATTATTTTGCTGCTGTATTGCTCTCTTCGTGCTTCTCGCAAACTTCACGACAATATGGCGCAATCTGTTCTGCGGAGCCCGATGTCATTCTTCGAAACCACGCCAGTAGGTCGCATTATCAATCGGTTCTCAAGCGACGTTAATTCCGTCGATGATGGGTTACACTTCATTTTCTCCTTCTTTTTCTACTCATTACTGGACTACGTGGTTGTGATTGTGCTCATAGGCTATAACATGCCTTGGTTTTTGGTCATAAATGCTGGATTGCTGCTGTTGTATCTTTACTACCAAACATATTATATCACGCTCAGCAGAGAGTTAAAACGACTAATGAGCACCACATTCTCTCCAATAATGTCAACGCTGAGCGAAACTTTAGCCGGTCACACAGTCATTAACGCATATGATCATTTCAGAAGGTTCGAATATTTGAATTTTGAAAATGTCCAGTTCAACATCAACTGCGTTTACAACTTCAGGTCCACGAATAGGTGGCTTTCAGTTCGTCTTGAATCCATTGGTGCTTTCATTATTCTTTCTACCGCCCTCCTTTCCCTGGCTACTATTACAACGTCACGTCCTATGACTGCAGGATTGGTGGGGCTTCTGATGAGCTACGCCATTGAGGTGACCACCGATTTAATGTGGATTGTCAGAATGTCTGTGCAAATTGAGACAAACATTGTTTCCGTCGAACGTATTATTGAATACTGCGACCTCCCTTCAGAGGCGCCGGCAGTGATTGAGTCATGCCGACCACCAAAAAATTGGCCATCGTCGGGACTTATTGAATTTAAAGGCTACTCAACGACATACCGTCCTAATCTGCCACCTGTTCTGAAAAAGATCAACCTCACCGTGAAACCTCAAGAGAAAATTGGTATTGTGGGAAGAACGGGTGCTGGTAAGTCGACTCTATCGCTGGCGCTTTTTAGACTTTTGGAACCCTCTGAGGGCACCATTGTTATCGATGGTATCGATATTGCGAAGCTAGGTCTGTCTGATTTACGAAGCCACCTCGCAATCATTCCTCAAGATGCGCAAGCCTTCGAAGGCACTATAAGAAGCAATTTAGACCCCTTCGAACAGTTTAGCGATGAAGAAATATGGAAAGTGCTCGAGCTTTCTCACCTAAAGCCTCATATAGCCAAAATGGCCGCTGACTCTGAAAGTGTTGAAGGCGGGGACATGCTAAAAATCAAAATCACCGAAAATGGTGGAAACTTGTCGGTTGGTCAACGCCAACTTTTGTGTCTTTCGAGGGCATTACTCAATCAGTCCAAAATATTGGTGCTGGACGAAGCTACAGCGGCTGTCGATCTAGAAACTGACAAGCTCATTCAAGAAACTATTCGATCTGCCTTCCAAGAGCGCACAATTTTAACAATTGCACATCGGATTGACTCAGTCATGGACTCAGATCGTATAATGGTCTTAGATCAAGGTGAAGTCAAAGAGTTTGACGCGCCTGCCGTCCTTCTAAAAGACCGTAACACAATTTTCTACAATCTTTGTGAAAAGGGAGGTTACCTGAAATAGAGCAAGTACCCTAATGCTTTGAGTAGATATATGAAGAATAATCTAATCCAAAATTTATCCTTAGAAAAGACTGAACCGTTCCACCTGACCCGATTCTCGAGTTGATCTGCAAAATTTCCAACGTTGATTTGAATATGTACAGAAACTCTAATAACTCTTCGTCTGCGCTTAAGGTTTCCGGCCTTGGAAAACCTTTTCGAACGCTTGCTCGAAATCGCTGATAATATCGTCAATAAATTCAGTGCCCACGGAACAACGAATCAAGTCTTTAGTAACACCAGAAGCCAGCTTCTCTTCCTCAGTCAATTGCTGATGCGTAGTGAAGTAAGGTGCGATAACTAAGGTTTTAGAATCACCAACGTTAGCCAAATTAGAAGCGATTTTCAAGGAATCGACGACTTGGGCGCCCGAAGCCTTGAAAGGATCAGTCTCTCCGCCTGCATTAGGCAAATCTTTAACGCCAAAAGAAAGCACGCCTCCAAAACCGTTTTGCAAGTATTTCTTAGCGTTTTCATGGTAAGCGTGAGAAGCAAGACCTGGATAAGATACCCAAGAGACGAAGGGCGACGATTCTAGCCATTGTGCCAACTTCAAAGCATTTTGACCGTGTCTTTCAGCCCTCAGGGACAGAGTCTCGATTCCTTGGAGGATCTGGAACGATGCAAATGGACTCAAAGCGGGACCCAGATCTCTCAAAAGCTCGACACGGACATGGCCGATGTACGCCAGCGATCCCAAGGCGTCGTTGAAAATGAGGCCATGATAACCCTCCGATGGCTTCGAGAATTGTGGGAACTTCTCCGGGTACTCTTTCCATGGGAATTTACCAGAATCGACAATAGCACCGGCAATGGTGGTACCGTGTCCACCAATCCATTTGGTAGCAGAATGGGTCACAATATCTGCACCAAATTTGATCGGTTGGGCGAAAAATCCACCTGCACCAAATGTGTTGTCGACAACAACAGGGATTCCGTGTTTGTGAGCAACAGCAACAATCTTCTCGAAGTCTGGAACGTTGTACTTGGGGTTCCCAATAGTCTCCAGATACACGGCTTTGGTCTTTTCGTCAAAGTACTTCTCGAAGTCTTCAGGATTGTCACCGTTGACGAATCTCGTCTCGATGCCTAATCTCTTAAAGGCCACTTTGAACTGATTGTACGTGCCTCCGTACAGGAACGAAGTCGAGACGATATTGTCACCGGCGTGGGCAAGCCCCGTAATTGCAAGGGTCTGGGCGGCCTGACCCGACGAAACCACGAGAGCAGCGGCACCACCTTCAAGGGCGGCGATTCTCTTTTCAAGCACATCGTTTGTGGGGTTCACAATACGTGAGTACATGTAGCCCGGGGTTTCTAGCCCAAACAGTTGAGCCCCGTGTTTGGAATCATTGAAAACGTACGACGTAGTAGCGTAAATTGGCACGGCTCTTGGATTGTGTGCATTTTCTTTAAAATCTTCCTGGCCGGCGTGCAATTGCAAAGTATCGAAATGAGAAGGCATGACTAAGTGAATCTATGCAATCGAGCTATTGTAGTGGGGAAAGAAAGTACAAACAAGTGAGGCAAACGTCAAAATCAACCTGCGCTCCACCATTGTTGCTCGACTTTTATACTTTCCAAGTTCAATTGGCCTAGTTTGACCTTAAACACTGCCAACTGTGGTGTTTTCCCCCGCTTAATTAGTCAACAAACCACCGCCAGTCAGCGCATACAAACGCTGCAGAAACCCGTGACATTTGTCACAGCCTGTGGGTGTTAATATCGCAGCGTCGATACGCTTAGACTCGTGGAAGCAGCGGAAATTGGGTCTCTCATTGACACTGTAGTAGGGCATCACCTGATATTCGGAGGTTACCTTCCGTAAGCCCACAGCCACAGTTATGGCGGGATGAGTCAGATAAAGGCTTGTCGTTTATGATTATTTATCGTAGAAGAATAAGCGTCGGCTAGGATTCGAACGGAGGCCAATTTTTTTGGAACAAATAATAAAAATATATTGAGAGCTGAGGGATTCGAACCCGCGCATCCGAAGATATCAGGGTTTCTGATAGTGTGAAATATCCTAAACCTGACGCCTTAACCACTCGGCCAAACTCCCATTTGTTGGGATGTAAAGAAGGCTCTGGCTGTATAGCTAGATAAGTAGTGATTAGATTACTAGTGATGGACGTCGCATTTTGGCGGTGTTTGCTGTGGGTGGAAGTTAATTGGGCAAGAACTGTGTTTATCACATGCCATATGACCTTTTGAGACTCGTGCTCTACTGGTACCATATGTTGGACAATAATATGACACATATATCACGTGACTTTATGAATTGAAATTGTATATCAAGCTTGGGATCTTTCGACAAGATCCGGAGGCGGATACACTTCGGCGTTCTGACAAACACTCTTCCTCGGTCTGGTACCTTCGTCATTAGGTTTGCATGACTTTCATTTACCATTTTTTTTATGTTTTGCAACAGACGTCTGAACTCTGATACGAAAATTGTATTGTGGCTTAAAAACTACACCGACACACTGGAAATATTTAGCAAATGCTCTTTAAGTGTATTGCATCCGTTACACAGATTTACGCCTAGTTGCCCTGCGTTGAGATAATTTTTTGGACTAATTTCGCAGCTCCCAGCGTTTCCTCGTCATAAAATCTTCTTCCGTGCAACGTCAACCCGACTGGAGATCCGTCGAAAACGTCAGCGTCATACAAGCTGTATTCGTATGCCTCCACTTCATTGCGAGGTCTAAAATGCTTGTCTACCGTATCGATCGCTTGATCTGTCACTACACCGGTTGGGAACGAAACACCTGGAAGATCCAGAATATTGTACAGAGCGGTGTAACCCCAATATTTAATTTTGTCAGGTACAGCGGCCGGTGCAAAATACGCCGGGGTCAGAATGAAATCAACATCTGCTTCGTTCATGGCTTCAGCAAATTGTTGACGATAACTGTCACGCTTGTAAATCAATTGCAATAATTCTAGGCCGGTGAAATCTTTGTCGCCTTCTCCGAAACGCATGTGATGTTCACTCAAGGGCCTCAAGGGCTCACCAGATTCTTCAAATCTCGTCCTATGATTCAAATTACCGTCGACGTTGTAAGCCGCGTAGCAAATTTCCAAGCCCTTCAAAGTCTCGAAAGGAACAAACTCGATACATTTGGCAACGCCAGCTTGTTCCAATTTCGACTTCGCCATTTCCAAAGCCCTCATAATTGGCGGTGAAGGAGCAACGACTCCATCATCAAAAACTATGCCTATTTTCAAGTCTTTAGGCTTCAAAGATACACTTGAATTCCAAGGCGCCCGCGTGAGATAGTTGTCCTTGAGCCAGGGTTCTGCACCCAGAAATGTCTTCATGAAAAGCTCGAGATCGTCAGCAGAATTGGCAAGCGGACCCACGGAACATAGAACAAAATCGTTTGCCATATCACGGTAACTCGCGTAAGCACCTTGCAGAGATACCCGCTTGTTTGTGGGCTTAAAGCCCCAGATATTACAGAAAGCAGCAGGCGCCCGAATGCTGCCACCAATATCACTTCCTAGCCCAAGAGGGGATCCTAGCAAAGAGATGAGCGCTCCTTCTCCAGAAGTAGATCCCCCTGGTGATAATGCGGTGTTGTAAGGATTGCGACAACGGCCAATAATATTGTTGGACGAGTCTAAATGCATTAAGGATTGTGGTTGAGTTGTTCGAATATAAAAAACGGCTCCTGCGTTTCTGAAAATTGATGTGACAAGTGAATCCTCTTCCGTTACATTATCTATCATGGAAACAAATCCAGCGTTTGTTGTTTTGCCCTTATAGCCATAATGTTCCTTCAACGAGACAGGTAAACCATGCATGGGTCCCACTGTTTTACCATGCTTTGCATAATAATCGTCTAATTCCTTCGCTCTTTTTAGAGCCTCTTCTGGGAAAAACTGCATTGCACAATTGGTGATTTGCTGGGCAATGGCAGCTTGCTTGATGAATGCGGAAATGACTTGCGTGGCGGTCAATTCGCCAACTGCTATTTCACTGACAATTTCCACCGCTTCTAACCCAACAATTGCCAGCTCCTCCTTTGATAAAAGTCCCGATTTGCTGGCCACTTCATGTGCTTGTTTAAAAGCCACATTATCAAAATCATCAGGAATCTCTAAACCAGCGCCTATCGTTCCTGCCCGAAGCTTCACTTGATGGGGGATGCTGTCATTCAGTTCTTTACGGTATTTCTCGATTTTAGGTGCATATGTGCTCTCAAACTTGATTAAGTCTGGCTTGTATTTGAGCGGCTTATCATAATATAGATTTTCTAGGATTGATGACTGTGCCATGGTGAGTTTTACACGATACGGGTTGCAATATCTTGTAGTTGATTTGCACCGACCGCGCTGATAGCTTGCATTTATATACCGCAGCGGTTTTCGAGAAAAGCACGATTCGTTACGTCTTGGAAGCTCTTATCGTGATAAGCGCGATTAGAAACCTGATAAGACATCATCGCGATTAATTGTCTCAATCGGGCAACTAGCGCGATTAATTTCTTTAGTAAGGTATCAAGCGCCAAGAAACACGCACTTTAGATGCTGCTACCACAGTTAAAGCAACCAGTGTAGTAAGGCAGCCTTAGGACTTAGAAAGAACAATCGTGGTGTTTTTGAAATGCACAGGTGGTCATAGATCAAAAATGCTCTAAATCAAACCGTGATCATGATCTTTATTGATAGTGAGCATGCTGCGATGCATTTCTATATTATAATCTCTTCATTATTTAAATATTACACAAAAGCTCGCGTGGCGTAATGGCAACGCGTCTGACTTCTAATCAGAAGATTGTGGGTTCGACCCCCACCGTGAGTGTTTTTTGGTTTTCGTGCAGAAGATCTTGCCGGCTGCATGACTGAGAATTAAGAAACGAGTATTCAGATAAAAGATTAATTAGTTCGAGTATCCAAGAGCCCTAAATGCATACTTAAGTTGACATTGGTTGAATTAACTTTTTGTCAAGAGACTGATTCTATCAATTTTATAGTCCATCACGAATTCTACGGTGGGAGTATTAAATAAAACAGGCGGTGGCAGGTTTTCTAATATGTCACCGATATCGTGATCCTGATCGAAAAGGCCAACTTCATTAATGACAAACGAATTCGAACTTTTGTATTTGAAGGTAGACGGTATTTTCGATACTTTTGTAAAGCCTGAAGGAAAGAGATCGCTCGTGCCGTCAAGAGTTTGGTCAATGATCTTCGAAGATTCCTGGACGTTGGAGTAAAACAGCCGATTGGGATTCGATGTTTTGGCTTCCACTAGTTGCTCCATCCTGCTCGATACAGCATCCCGGACTTTGAACATAAAGCGGTTTTCCTCACTCAATGATTGTATATTTGTCCTAGAGTCGCTGAGACTGGGATAATGACGCCATTCGATGAGGGTGTTTCTGAAAGATTCGATAAAATCTTCTTTCACGTTTGACGCTATTCTCGAATTGAAACGATAATCTGCCACATCCGGTGGCAGCGGATTCTCAATTGCGAAAAAATTGTGGAAGCAACATATTCTTCTCTCCATAAATGCCAAGAGCCGAACCGAAAATTCTGCGAATGTGACCAATTCCCGTTCAAGATTCTGGAGAACCGATTTCAATGAAAAAGGATAAAGAGCAACGGGACCGTAGAGTTGACGGTGAACGACAAACGTAATGGATGGAAGTAGGTTACACAAGTACGCTGGAATGCTGTGGAAAAATGTGTAAAAAACCCTTTGAACGCCTGTCATAGAAGCATCAATGGAAAACGCCCCTGGCGGTATCAACAAAACCCACCTGCGAAAAACCTCGTACGCGACGTCTGGTAAAAAGGGTATTGCTCCTTCTTTGCCAGGAAGCAGGTTGGTAAGGTAAACCAAGAAACTGTATGTTTCTTCGAAATGATAGAGCAACTCATGATCTTGAGAACTCTCAATGAAAGGCTTGAACTCTTGAAACACTTCTATCAGCTCATGGAGCGGGCCTGATGAGTAGATCGGTATGTGTAGAAAGTCCAGCATGTATGGAAACGTTTTCCACACGTACTGCACTGTTCTAGCAATATTTTGGCGCCCGTCATGTTTGTAGATTTCGAGACACATGTCTATCATGGCGATATGATGTTTGTCGTCACGCTGAAAATTTGTATAAACCTCAATATTTTGCAAGCAGTAGGATGCTAACAACAATCGAGATCCCATGAACTCATTGGCAATCACGGTTCGCGATGTCAAGAACAAAAGAATAATTTCTCTGACATACGATATGAGTGACATTTTTAATCTTGTGGCAATCGTGCTCAAGGCCATCATTTCCCTTTGAAGAAGATCATACTGATCACAGTGTTGTTCGGGACTTGGAAATTTCATTTGCAACTGGATTTTTCGCTTAAAAGAATGGATGATGGCATGAACAGCAAGCGCCATCAAACATACCGACGACATGTACCAGTCTTGCATCGCATTTTGTGCAAGCCGCGAAAATAAAGCCTCTGCATTTCGTACACCCTTCATACCAACAATGGGAGTCCAAAGGGAAGCCGCCAGCACAGTGCGATGTGGAATCATCGGAATTTCATGGCCCCTCATATCGAAGAAACCACCAGGGTTTACAATCTGCGGTGCAGCAACGACATCGACATCATTCTTGTTCTTGCGAGCTTCATTCATTTCCAAGTCACGTTTCTGGGCTATCAGCCTTTCAACCCTAGTGAACTCGTCTTTCGCCAATTCAAGGTACGAACATCTCGTTTCTGAACGACGTCTTTTCCGATTTCGACAATTAATACATTCTGGTAAGGTTTCGTCACACTTAATTCTCCTTTTTTTGCACTCACGACATCCCAGCTTCGAGTTGCGATGCTTCCTTCTAATAGGTCTAGTTGCTGGCTGTGAGCTTCTTGTACTATCAGATGACCCGACACCATCATAAAACAATTCGCAGTTGGCCAAATCCAAGTCAATTACATCGCTCTCAAGATCGAAACCATCCTCCATGTTAAGCAGAGAGGATTGTAGCTTTCATCTGTTTTGTTCGTCACCAATTGCTCGATTAACAATACCCAATTTTTCAGATCGACAGGTGATGATCATTTCATAGTGAAAAATCGGGAATCATCTCAACGATGTCGAAACAGAACAAAGAAATAAAGCCCTGGAAAACGCTAGTATTTATATATTTGTATCGATTGAATGGGCATGCCACGGATCCAAGAAACAAAATCCGATTTCTCCTGGAACGATAGCTTCATTGCTCGTGGAATTGTGTAGAAGATGAGATAGAGGACATGAGCCCGACTAACGAATATACCGAAGGCCGCTTGTTCGGCAGTTGCTCGGTGTGCTTAGGCGTATGAGTTGTCTCCGTCTTCCGGTTTTATTCTGGCATGTGCCCATACGTTTTCAAGTCCATTTTTGAAAATGTCGACATTATAGTCAACGACTGTTAGACAGCTGTCAACGTCAGTGTCGTCAGGTCTTATGAGTGCCACGAGGGCCAGCCCACGGATCATTTGACGCAGATAAATCACGACACCGTTGTTCAGTGCTGATACGCTTTTCAATTCGCGCGATGTGTCCTTTTTGGCCTGATCTTTGTAAAGATCGTGCAAATCGATGGTGACATCAACGAACTCTGCACAGGTCTCATAGGTAACAATGTCGACAGGCGCAGAGTCTGTAGAAACGTAGATCTTGGAGTTGACGTCAAACAGGAAACATTTTTCGATTTTGGAATGCTGTACCAGATTATCGAGCATGTTTTCCAGAAAGGGCAGCTCGGGAATAAGCTTTTGTACTATACGTGAAAACGCTTCGTAAATGGAATGATCGAAAATAGACGTCAAGTAAAACGAGACTTGCACACCATCCAGTCCTAACTCGAGCAATTCTTCACCTGTACGTTGCATGATATCACGCTGCGTATCCACTTTGAAATCTTCGCTCAACCCGTCTACTTTGTGAATCAATACTTCGATATTAATATTCGGATTCACCTTGTGTGCATATTCTATGATTATAGCGAAATTCGTTAACGCGTTCATATACTCATCCTGTGCGTCAATGACATATACCAGCGCACCAACACTCTTGAACAGCCTTTCAGAGTCATATGTCGGCTCGAAATAGTTCAACTGCCCCGGAAGCTCCATAACGGCCAAATCTATGAGGGTCGAAAAATGCTCTGTGGTCGGATTTGTGGTGGATTCCAAATACAACGTATCCAATGGTTGCATATTGTGGAAAACCACTTTACATATCGACGATTTGCCCCCTCTATGGTATAAATTCGTTAGTTTTTCAATTCTCTCAGTTCATATTCAAAACTCAGAAAAAATTGTCCAAATTTAAAGTTTGAAAGACCTGTAATCATACCGCCTTAACCCCATGAGTAAAACCGTAGCCTTTGAGTCCCTCGCATCATGATTCATGCTGTGTCTGTGTCCGAGATGTATTTGTCTTGGATTCTCCTTGGTGGTTATCGTGAAAACTAACCCAGTGGATTTGATTCAAGAACTTGACAGGTTTCTGCAATCACGTGAACTTAGCATCATCCAGTCACTTGAATAGAAACACTGTCAATAACCTGTGCAATTGGCTATCCATCGATTCGAATCCCTTGAAGGAGTAGCAGTTTAAACAAAAAGGGCTCATCAGATTGGTTTGAGTGAACTAATTTGACCTCATTGACGAAAAAAGCCGCTCGAAATTTGCACATCAGCCCATCGCGTTAGAAGCTTTTATAGCCAATTGCTCGTTCAAGACCAATCGCCAGCGTAACAATGGTTCAGGACGCATTTGCACAGAAGAAAGAACATATTTTGCAAGAAATTTCGAGTTCTGAATCGGATCTTTCTCCCAAGGGCTCTATCGATGAGCCATGTATTCCTATCATTGAGCTCATAAATTCTCATCCTGACATGGTTACTACCTCTTCGTGTTCTGGTAGAGTTAGTGTGTTCATTGAGGGCAATAAAGTGCGTGATGGGTCTCACAAGAGTGGCGGGAAAGGTGACGGTGGGAAATGGCTGTTCGTGACGCACGAGTCTTCGAAAGTCAATGGATGGATTGAAAAGTTTAAAGATATGATTGAATTCAAGCCTGAGGAGGAGTGCGATCTTGATTCAACTGTGCAGTATGTTCTTTACAAATTTGAGCCCTTGATTTTGCATGTTAAATGTCGAAATTTCGAGACCGCGGCCAAACTCTTTAACATCGCAATGTCGTGCGGTTTCCGTGAGAGTGGGGTAGGCAGTAACAACATAGTTGCCATGCGGATAAACATCAAACTCGATATCCCGATTGGATACAAGGCTCCAGGAGACCCTCAAAATGTGTTACGGTTTTTCGTATCTAAGAGATATATCACCATCATCGATCAACTCTCGACGAGAAAGTTTGGGGAAAACGCCATCAAATTGCGCGAGCTACACAATCGCATCGAGGTGGCTTTCAATCCAGCAAAGGATCAACCATCAGTTCCGCAGCCGCAAACTGAGTCGAAAGAAGCGCGAAGAGAGCGAAAACGCAATGCGGGACTCTTGAGACAAAAAGCCCTTTTGGAAGCGCAAGAAGCTGCCAACGAGTTACACGAGAACGCTCAATTATGAGATGAGAAAATTGCGTTTATTAACATAGTGTAGTGGAAATACTTGATGGTAGAGGTTTTCTAAAGTACAAGCTATTGAGTAAATGATGCTTCGCATGATATTTTAGAGTGTCAAAATGCCAAATTAAATGAAGAGAAGAAAAGTTGTTTCTCCTTTAACTAAGTTCTTGTTGTGAGGGAGAAACAGGATAGATTTACAAAATTTCAGCCTTCTCCTCTTTGATTAGATGATTTCCGTCGTTTCATGACAAGTAATGGGATAATAACCGTGGTTTATAAATTTAATTGCCGGGCCTGCCAATACTCTAGTCCTCATCCGACTCGGGTCCCATTAATGCATCAAACATGTTTGTCGCAGTCTTTGGAGCTGGAGCTTCCTCTTTATTAGAACTCTGAGCATGCCTCAAAGAGGTAGACCTTGTAGAAATGAAATTATCTTTCGACATCGAGGGTAGATCTCTTCTAGACCCATTCCTTGGACCCATATTTGAGTTGTTTCTCCTAGAATTGGATCTGGATCCACTCTTGAGTCTGCGCTCTCTTTCTTCATGAGCCTTTTTGGCAGCTTCTTCTTCGTGAATTTGTTGAATGGTCTTTGGGCCCTCGTCGCGCTTGGCGTTGTTCCAATGCTTCTTTTCTCTGAGTTCTTTCATGTCAACAAGCTTAAATTTGATTCTACTCGATAAATCGCCGCTTTGTGTAATCTTGTCCAACATGAAGAACAACTGATCTAACACAGTCGAACCTTCAAGGGCACCATTGGGCTGAACTAATTTGTCGCCTTCGAACTGTTCACCGACAGTTCCTAACAATTCGATGACGGACTCCAAAGTCTCTTCACTTGGGCTGTCAGCCAAATCCTTCATTAACCTTCGGAAACACTCAAACATCATTTTAGCGGTCAACAGATTAGAGCGGTAAAGGAAACCAATAAATCTTACCAAACCTAGACCTCTTCTCTTGGCTGCTGCCATAACATAGTATTCATCTGACATCATTTCTGGCTCGAGAGGAGAACCGTCCTCCTTGGTAGGGAGCTTGTCAGTCCAACCTTTTTGAAATTCGGTGTGACATCTATCCACCAAATAATGCAAAACTAGCTTAGGACCTGCTTTACCTTCGTTGTTCTCGTCGATGATCTCAGGGTCCATATCTTTGACGACCTTACCACACAGTTGTGCGTACATGGAAGACCAGTGAGGTTCATCAGTTGCTTTGTTGAAAATTTCCTCAATGACAACCCTGAGAGTCTCACCTTCTTTCTCCCATTTGGATTGATCTGCTATTTGAATGATTTCTTCCGAAATAGTGTCGAATTTCTCTAAAGTCAACTTGTTTAGCAAGGACTTCATCTTTCTTTCAGCCTCATCCTTCTCCAATAGCTCTGTTACACCGTCAGGAGCAAATTTCTTTTCAGTCTTCTTTTGCCTAGATTTTGGAACCCATCTATTGGCGCTTGCGACAAGTGGAGCAACGTCTTCCTTGGCCTTCTCGGCCTCCTCTTCAGCCATTCTTTCACGGTCCTTTCTTGAAGTATATGCCCTGCCTGATTTTCTGTCATCTCCCATTCTCTTGGACTTTCTTTTAGAAGAGGACCTAGAGTTAGATCTGCCTTCCATTCCTCTCAAAGAACCGCTCTTCTTGAAGCCAGAGCCTGGACCGAACTTAGAGTCTTTACCCTTGCCACCAACTCGGCCAGTTTCAGGCGGAATCACAATCTTGGATGCAATTTCGGTCTTCCACTCAGCATCAGCACGGACATTGACCTTGTTCTGAAACTGTAGCAAGAAAGTGGGGCCGTACGTATACTTTATCTTCTCGCGCCTGTATCTTGGGTCTGGTGCTTCAACGCCTTCCGGGTATTTGTGAGAATAGACATCTTCAACGACAGGGATCTCTTGAAGTTTCTTCAACAATTCAGTCATGGTGAGCTTACCATCGTCAATATCTTGGTCTTCAGTTTCTTCGTCACTTTTCTTAGCTTCGTCGGCGAGATCCGTCTCAGTAGTAGCGGTTTCATCAACAGACTCGACCGGTCCTTCTGGCGTCTGTTCAGAAGCGACTTGGTCGGTTTCCTCAACCTTGCCAACAGCTGGTTCTTCTTGATCCAACTCTTGTCTCGCGGCGGGCTCCTCACCAGACACAGCGGTCGAGCTCGCAGTTTCCTGTTTAGATTCTGTAGCAACCTTAGCTTCGGCTTGCTTTTTAAGTTTGAGCTTTTCGGCAAACGTTAAAGGCTTGGATGAATCGCTATCATCCTTCTCTTCTTCTTCGGGCAAGATGGGTGGCTTAACGGCGACTTCAACATTGTGAGATTCGTCATCGATCTTCTTCTCCTCCGTCTTAACTGGAACTTCAACAGGTTCCTTAGGAGTAGTGTCCTCGTTATCTTTTGGAGTTTCAGTGGTTGGAGAGGGAAAAGACTTTTGCCCTTCCTCTCCATCGGCAGCAGGCGCTTGAGCAGCCGCCTCAGATGGCACTTCGGGTTCGGCTTTAGCAACGACTGGTGCAGCCGAAGCGGAAGGCTTCTCGATTGGCTCCGCTGTGGCGGCTGGGGATTCAATACCGGCTTTTTGTTTGGCCAAAAGCTCTTTCCGCTTTCTAACTTGCTCTAAGAAACTCATCTTAAGAATTTCTTCTTGAGAAGGTACAGAATTGGATGCTTTAGGCTCTTCAGTAACAGGAGCAGGAACGGCAGCTGGTACTGCAACCTCCGCTACAGGAGACTTAGCCGCCTCTTTTGGCACTTCTTTAACAGAAGCGCCTCCCGTAGAAGCTAAATGCTGGCTGTGAATAGCGTTCAAATCAACATGCTCTCCGGATCGGTTTGTAATTTCAATTTTTTTTGCCACTGGGGTAGAGGAAAGTGATGGGTTGGACGAACTTGGGGACATTGTGTTGGACGTGGCACTCGATATCACAGGAGAAACTGGAGCCTGTGGAGGCTGGTAACCCTGTGCGACTTGAGGCATGTATCCAAATCCGTAAGACGGATAAAATTGAGGCTGTCCTGGAATTCCGTACGATCCATACGCCCACTGCATCGCATTCGCGCCCCCGTTACGGTTGCCCTTGTTTTGGTATCCATTTTTGTTGTAACGGTTATTCTGGTAATTTCCGTTATATTGCTTAGAATTTGATCTCTGCGTTTTCTGGTAACCCTGTCTCTGGTCATTACCACGGGGATATCTCTGGTGCTGGTGCTGGGAACGATCCTGCTGTTGTTGCTGTTGCTGTTGCTGCGGCTGCGGCTGCTGCATCGGCCTCTCTACCCCTTCCAACTTTTCAGTTGCTTGCTGTTCACTCATTGCAAGCTCGATGTCGGGACAAATTTCACTCTATCAGCTGCGTTTTTTTGTGCAAAAACGTCAAATGCCTTCAATAAAACTCCCAGACGTGACTGCCCTCGCCCAATTGCCACTCTCCTTACAGAATGGCCTCTCGATGGCTTTGGTTTTTAGCTCAGGAAGGTGGCTCTTGAAACAGATAAAATTTTTTTTTCAAACTGTAGGCGAAAAATTTTCAGAGGTTCCGTTGATGATGATCATCGGTTTGGAGTTGAATTACGGCGTTAAGATACATGTAGACTAAGTACGATGAAATAGACAAGGACATTGAAACGTTACCAGACACCAAAATATGACTAATTGACCATGGAAAGGTGTCAAAAAGTCTCGACGGTGGTTAAAGGGATCATTTTCGATCCTTTGCGAAGTCGAAACTGCCAATTTTAGGTTCAAATGCAATTAAATTCCGACTTGGCCATGTGTTCGAGACTGGTCAGACCCTAAACGCTGATTCAAACGTTCATTCTTGTAACCTTGACCTCTTTTGTATCGTACCTCACTTGAAAAGTTTAGCGACGGAAATGGCAGTTTCGTCGTTTCTGTTCATGACCTTGGCAACAGCAAGCTCAAAGTCTTCTTGAGTGACGTGAATTCGCCTCTCGCGCAACGCGTACATACCGGCCTCTGTGCATACACCTTTCACGTCTGCACCGGAGCAGCCGTTCATTTTCTCTGCGATTTTCTTGAGGTTTATGCCGCGCGTTAGATTCATTTTCCGAGAATGAATACGTAAAATCTCGGTACGTGAAGCGACCGTTGGTGGTGGGAATTCGATCTTACGGTCGATTCTACCAGGACGTAGAAGCGCGGGATCTAAAATATCGAGTCTGTTTGTGGCCATGATGATCTTGATATTTTTGGAAGTTTCGAACCCGTCCAGTTGATTCAATAGTTCTAACATGGTTCTTTGCACTTCTGAGTCACCTCCAGAACTTCCTTCGACTCGACTGGACCCAATCGAGTCGATTTCATCCATGAAAATGATAGAAGGCGCATGCTCTCTGGCCATGATGAACAGTTCCCGAACCATTCGCGAACCCTCACCGATATATTTTTGGACCAACTCGGCACCGCTCACACGGATAAACTTGCAATCCGTATGGTGCGCCACAGCACGTGCAAGTAAAGTTTTACCCGTGCCGGGAGGCCCATAGAGGATGACACCCTTGGGCTGCGCTATTCCGAGACTTTCAAACAGTTCTGGGTGCTTGACGGGCAGTTCAATGACTTCTTTGATCTCTTTAATTTGTTTCGTGAGCCCACCTACCATGTCGTACGTAGAATCTGGCACTTTCTCGACCATCATCAGCGACACCAATGGGTCCACTTTGTTTTCCAGGATCTTGTGCAATGTGTAAGAGTCACTCTTGAGACATACTCGTTGCGATGGTTTGAGATCTTTGACGTTGATATCCTTTGCGATGTCCACAATGTATTTGCCCTCGGGCTGAATCTTGACCAACACCTTCTTGTCCGAAACGACCTTGACCACTTCTCCCACATAAGACCCAGGCTCTTGTAGCAGTCTCAACTCGTCTTTGATAAATCTTACTTTGTCATTCAGGGCGTTTCTTTGCGCCTCCAGCCGCCTCAAGTTCTGCGTTTTGGTTCTAATATTGAGCTCCACTTCCTGAATTTTTTGCTCAAAATACGGCTTGATACCACTTTCGTGGGTGTTCAAGGGTAAACTGCTTACTGCGGCAGTGCTCATGGTGCGAAAAGTAGTCCTATATCCTTCAATCGATCAGCCTTCCGCCTGTGAAACTGTGTTTGCCACCGGCGTAAGTTACTCTTACAGGTTACCTTTTTTCCAGAAACCCAAATTCCATTCCAGGTATATGTATAGTGATGTCATTATGTACGAGACATTTAGTCACTTCTGGTGCCTATCTCATAATGACCGACGCCTGGAATTAGGTTTTAAAGACTCTCGGTTTCTCAGGAATATGCCTACTGAGGCTCAATGATCGCTACTGGTATGTCCTTTCTCCTGCGGGTTTCCTGCGGGTTTTCTGTTTCTCATCAGCCAAAACGGCGTTAGTATGGTTTCCTTCCTCTGGAGAAACTAGTTCATCAATTTTGAGCTGAACACGAAAATAGTACGAAAAGCAGACAACATCCAGGTCTAGGGCATCGAAAAAGATATAACTAATTGTAGGATGAACACAGTGCAGCGCAAACTTGATTCATGGGCTCAGATCCTACAGAAAATAGCTGGGAAAGAGATAAATCACTGTGTACGTAAGCACCTAATGGCGCATTGGTTTTCTTGACATCTCGCTCATATATGAAAAAGTAGAGGATTCAGCAGTTAACGTCGTACAAAATACCGTGTCGTCATGCTGCAGACCGCCCTTGTCACGTCAGGCGCCACGGTTCCGTTCCCTCAACTGATTTCGACGGTACTGGACCCGCTTGTCCTTACCAAACTGCGAGAACTGGGTTTCTCGAGGCTTATCGTACAGTACGGAAAAGGTTTCCGCCGCGAGTTTCAAGAGATGCTAGCAAATGCTTCGCAGGCGAGCAATGTTGCAGACACATTCTTGGAATGCGCTGCACTGCAACGTGATGCAGTGGACGTCGCGCAGTGTGAAGGACTTCAAATCATAGGGTTTGCGTTGTCGGGGAAAATAGAGCAGATCATTGTACACGAAGCACAGCTGATCATATCGCATGCCGGTACCGGGTCGATTTTGGATGCGCTACGTGCACATAAACGGCTCGTGGTCGTGGTCAACACCTCGCTTATGGATAACCACCAGGCAGAAATTGCCGACAAGTTTGCTGCAGAGGGATACCTAGTGTCTGCGACCGCCACGGTCGAGAGCGTCACGCAGTGTCTGGAGCGGGTGTGTCATAGCGACGCGCCGCTGCGTTCGTTCCGGTCAGAGCGCAGCGCGCCTTTCCAACAACTGCTGACGGAGTTGGCGTTCCGGTAGCACTACGATGATAAGCTTATGTAATCGAATATCATTTACGACGAAAAACATCGGGGAGCCCCAGCCAGGCTCTGAATCCTGCTCAAACTTGACCTGGTTGGCAGATAGTCGGCTGTCCTGGGGGCGTCATGCGATTCATTGCTAGAATATCATTTATTCTGGTCGTCAGGTCTTGTCCACATTACGTGGCTTTTCCTGCCTGCGTTTCGAAAAAAATTGATTTCGCCCAGGATCGAACTGGGGACGTTCTGCGTGTTAAGCAGATGCCATAACCAACTAGACCACGAAACCGATTTCTTAAAAGCTGCACGTTTCCGTGTCGCTATGCACATTGCAGGTCGGTTCCTAAACGACTGCAGGCACGGGTGTCGTTGCGTCGAGGCAACGACGCCACTATTGCTAAGCCTTATTAAACAAAGAAGACTCCAGGGTCATTTTCGTGTCAGAAAAGCTAGTGGTGTAGTTAGACGTCTTTACCCCTACAACGGCCGTTTTACGGCCGAATCCCGGGCGGAACTAGATCCACGGCTTAGTAGTTTCTTCGTTTTACACACCGTGTTCTAGTCCTCCGTTCAAAGGCACCCCACCCCTCCCCTACGTAATCTTCGCAAAGTGATAATACATATGAAAATACTAATCAAAATCTTGATAATCAAGAGCTTGATAAGAGCGTTGAGTGCAATTGTTATCGCCTCTGTATCTAATCATTGCTGACTTAGATAGCTTGATGTGTAGTAATGTGTTGTAGTAATGTATAGTTCCCCCCGGGCTTAGCTGCGGCAGCTCATCTTGGGATTGTCGCTCAGACATGTTTCATTCTTCTTTGTCATCCGTAGTCATTTGAGGCTGTGACCATGAAAGCAGTCACTGCATCTTGTCGTTATCAGACACCATGCAATACTTAGAGAAAACTGCAATGCAGTACTGAGGCCGGGTTTAACCTGGATGAAACGTGTTAGTCATTCTAGATCCACGGACCAAAGCTTTAAAAGCATCGCGCTCGTATACGGAACGGACACGGAATGTACCCGGAACGTCCCCGGACACCCTGGCCATTGAATCCAAGCCCCGGTTAAGGACGCGGATTTCTAAGAGTATAACACGGAGCCTCTTTTTTTTGGATCTGGGGAAACGAAACGGAACGACGCAACGAGCCCCTTCGCCTTAAAAAGAGTTAATACAGAAGAGAGATGGATTCACCCCGCTGGAAACCTGTCCAGTCAGAAACAGGAAATAGAACTGTCAAACGGTGCAGAAGATCGTCCGCTATGGTACCAGCTGCTACAATAGTCAGTAAGACGAAACGGGAGCTCGAGATGGAGCCCCGGTCTTCGCACGCAACTCGCGCAGACCTCGCCTACCACAAGACTCCGTGGCTCACGGACATCCCTGCCGTGACACAGACGTCTCACGGTGAGTCTTACAGTTTCTATTCGGCTCCAGCACACGCTCAGCTGTCCCCGGTGCAAGTGCGACGTTTGTCGTCAGAACAGTTGTTCAACGAGATGGAAAAGGAACAGGATGCGATCGTGTTGCGGCTTTTGCGCGAAATCGAGTACCTCAAGGACGAGAACACTCGGCTTCGTAACCACGCCAGCGAAAACCGATTGTCGCGCCCGACAAGCCCCAATTGGTCTTCCAGTATGAGCACTTTATGCGTCAATTGCGACGCGACTAGGCCCACCATGCCCCAACGGAAACTTTCTTCGACCTCCTCGAGCGACAGTACCCATTCCAGACGAAATTCTTCGATCACACCTATTGATACCGTGACACCGACTCTGCATCTCCAGCGGAAACGCAATTCTGCCACTTCCAATGATCATCCTGCCTCAGAAGATTTGAACGATATGAGCAATTCCTTGAACGATCACATCCACACCCACGGACCTCGAGGTTACGTGAGAAGACGTTCTTCATCGCGTTTGGCCGTGGTAGAACCGACGACGTCTCAGCGAGCTGCAGACTAAAAAGAGCTCATCCACGCCACAAATTCGTACTTTGCATTACAGGGGTACTTCTATTTGCTAGGGCTACCACCTGTTTTCCCTTCTGACCTTCCTCATCGCCTTCCCCATTTACTTGATTTTTGACACCTCATTTAGAGCTTTATACATATGGTCACTGCGTTGTTTACAGATTTTATGAACATCGTCTAACTAGTTGATACTTAAATGATTATTTGATAAAAAACGGCTTCTGTTCTAACTTTTGTGTGCTTGTTCTTTCTCGGTTCTCGATGAGGAGGAACGCTAATTTCAGATCAACTAATTAACATCTACAACATTCAAGACACGAACAAACCAGACTACGCTATCAAACAGTTGCACCAGATAGCCACATATTTGCTTCGCAAAGGCCAAAATTGGGAAGCCTATCGACTTGAATATGAACTACACAATAAACCAGATTTTAGATACAACGATTGCACGGATGATCTGGGGAAGTAGTTTATATTAGAACGAGCCACAATACAAAATGATTCCCTTCGAGAACAAAAGCGTGCAATTACATAATGCACCAAGATGATAGAGACTAGAATCTCAGTGCTTTTCGAGGTTTTGTCTCTGATTATACAATTTTTTCTTCGAGTGCTGTACAGGAACAGGAAGAAGTTTGACGAGATCTTGAGGACTTACCATAATGGTGCGGATTAAACACCATGAAGGACCTGAGGTTCACGTTTTTGGACACTATAAACACTATTCAATCCTTGTCTGTTGGTTTGCGGTTCGTCAATTGCAAATTTAGCCGTTTCGAGACCCCAGATATGTCTTACTCGTTAAGGAAGTGACAATGACGGTGACAGTGTCAGCGACAGTGAAGTGGTTGAAAAACTCTAAAAACTAAATGGCTGAAACGGATATGGTCATGACTTTAGTTGGGAAATGAAACTAATGTCTGTGTAATCCGTTCTCATGCATACTTTGGTGATTTCTCGCCAACGACATATAAAATACCCAAAGCTTTGGATGTGTTTGAGCTGCTAGAGACCTGTCATATTTTACCAAAATACCTTAACCCTTGCTCTGGTTAATCACACTCGTTTTAATCTTGTCTGAGAATTTCGCTAAGGATTGGAAATGGTTTGTCTAGCACCGTTTATGTGGGCTTTCCTTGGCACAAGAGTTTTGGCATTGTCTAGCATTGTCATTACTTCAAAGGCAACAAGCACTTCCTATGTTTGCAAGCAATGTGACTTGATCGCTGCATCCAGTACGCTGTCGACAACAACTATAACGAGTATCGACATCAGCACTTCTTATGTGTGCCCACAATGCACGACAAATTTTTTGACTGTGAGCAACTCAGAGTCTAGTACTAGCAGTACCTTCACTGGTGCCACTGAATCGACTCTCACCCTCACTACTTGTGATCACCCCGAGAGGTGTCATCCATTCTCCACAACCTCAAGCTCGCCAACGACTTCAAGTGCTTCCACTTCAAGCTCCTCCACAACTTCGACCTTGTTCACTTCTGAAACCGCAGCAACGACCTCAATTTCGTCGACTACTTTGAGCTCATCCACTTCGAGCTCATCCACTTCGAGCTCATCCACTTCGAGCTCATCCACTTCGAGCTCATCCACTTCGAGCTCATCCACTTCGAGCTCATCTACTTCGAGCTCTTCCACAACCACTGGCTCATCCACTACGTCCACCTTACCAACGACCTCGACCTTGTTAACAACTCTAAGCTCGTCGTCAACTCCAAGCTCGTCGACAACCGCTAGCTCGTCGACAACTCCAAGCTCGTCGACAACTCCAAGCTCGTCGACAACTCCAAGCTCGTCGACAACTCCAAGCTCGTCGACAACTCCAAGCTCGTCGTCAACCGCTAGCTCGTCGACAACTCCAAGCTCGTCGACAACTCCAAGCTCGTCGACAACTCCAAGCTCGTCGACAACTCCAAGCTCGTCGTCAACCGCTAGCTCGTCGACAACTCCAAGCTCGTCCACCATCTTGGTTTCATCGACAAGCGCTAGCTTGTCCACGTCTTTGAGCTCGTCTTTGATATCGAACACACCCACGACTTTGACCACTTACCCAGTTTCGAGTTCGTCTTCAAGCCTTCTCCCATCTTCGACCACTTCCACGTCTTTGATCTCATCAGCGACTTCAAGTTCATCTACAAGTTCAAGCTCGTCCACCACGTTAGTTTCATTAACGACATCGACTCCTGCAAGTACCCCTCCAGCTTCATTAGTCACGACTTCCTCGTTCACTACAATTGCTCCAACAACCTATGATGTGCCCAGCTCTCCAGGACCTGTGCTTTCTTCTGGCACTGGCAGCACCGAAAAAGGGTTCACCACAACGCTTACTACCTGCGATCATCCAGATATATGTGAAAAATCAGCAGTTACCAGTTCTCTGACGTCCAACGAACTGACACTATCCTATTCAACACAAGTCGAATTGTCTTTCTCTTCTCTTGAGCCCAGCTCTCAGGCGACTCCAGAATTTTCAGACACTTCAACTTTATTTCAGAGCTCAAGAACTACATTGACTGCTTCCATTACGCCCAGCGTTTCTGTGACGATCAGTTTTTCGACAATGAATGTTTCAGGAACGGAATCCTCCAAGACCGACGAGACGACACGGTCGTCTAGCACTGCCCTTGCCTCGACTTTTAAATCAATCGCTCCTTCGACAGATGCCAGTAACTTCTGGTTCTCTATGTCTTCCGACGTGACTTCTACTCAGGGCCCAGAAACTGTCACCGACTCTGTTTTAGAGGCAGAAACCACTACAAACTCTGCTGACAGTTCTTTGATGTCGTTGTCGTCTACGTTCGCTGTGTCGCCTACGTCTTCATTCGATACTGTCGCACCACAGTCATATTCCACTTCATCTCAGCCGACCCTCACTACGACGCTTCAAAATCCACCTTCTCCAACCGTTCTTTCCATAATTTCAACCGGCATTGCGGCCAAACAAAGACTATCGCTCTCCTATTTAATGCTGGTACCTCTAATTCTGCTCTAAACACCGCGAAGAGTACGAAACCGACCTACTGTGCCAATTCAACCAAATCGAAGAAAATCGTGCCAAAACCTCCAAAAATGCGCCATTTTAACCAGGAAAAATTCTAGACTAATTTTTCAGGAACCTCTAATCGATGCCGAGCGTATACTTAAAAGGAGACCTTTTAAAGCTCAGTGTGACATTGTTTGGTTACTTCATGGTTCACCTCATCTTCACCTGCTATGGCTATTTTTCTTACTTTTTGCTGGCGCTAAATTGCAAGGTTTTTCTTTTTTACCCTGAAAAATTTTCAAGCTCATCGCATCGCTGAAAAATGAATTAAAGACAGGTAACAATTGAATAGTTCCCGCCTAACTGCTAGACCTGATTGATCCGTTGATTACCAAGAGCAGAGGAATTGTGCCAGGAATATAGGAAAATGGGTAAAAGCGTGGTAAAGAAGGACAAGAAACAAGCCTCTAAAGTTAAATCTTCTGGCTCCAAAGAGGCTGCGAAAAAGTCTGTTTCTAAGAAGGAAACGAAAGAAGTGAGTTCTTCTAGCTCGTCAGAGTCTTCTTCCGACAGTGAGTCGTCATCGTCAGAGTCGTCATCTTCGTCATCTTCGGATTCCGAATCTTCCTCGTCGGACTCTGAGTCTAGCTCGTCAGACTCCTCCGATAGCGAGGATGAAGAAGAGCAAAAATCTAAAAAAGTGAAGGAAGCCAAGAAGGCTAAGGAATCCTCCAGCGAGTCCGATTCTTCGAGCGATTCTGACTCTTCTAGTGAGAGTGAGAGTGAGGGCGAGGAAGAGAAGCCAAAGAGCAGCAAGGCCCAAACGGAAGCTGAGTCCTCGTCTAGCGACTCCTCATCCGACGACAGTGACAGTGACAGCGAGAGCGACAGCGAAGAACAAAAAACCGAGACTCAAGAGAAAAAGGCTGCTTCGTCTTCCAGCTCCTCAAGCTCGTCGTCTGCGAGCAGCAGCGACTCGGAATCCTCGAGCGGTTCTGACTCCAGCAGCTCCTCTGGCTCCGAATCCTCCAGCGAGGACGAAGAAGAGGAAGAAAAGCCTAAGAAGCGTAAGAACGAGGACGTCGAAGAACCTGTCAAAACCAAAAAGGCTAAAGTGGAGACTACTGGCGAACCTGCTACCATTTTCGTGGGCAGATTGTCCTGGAGTATTGACGACGAGTGGCTAAAGACCGAATTCGACCACATTGGTGGCGTCGTTTCCGCCAGGGTCATCTACGAACGTGGCACCGACAGATCCCGTGGTTACGGTTACGTTGACTTTGAGGACAAGGCTTATGCCGAGAAGGCCGTCAAAGAGATGCACGGTAAAGAAATTGATGGGAGACCTATTAACTGTGATATGTCCACCAGCAAACCTGCTGGCAACCCAAGAAACGACCGTGCTAAGAAATATGGAGACGTTCAATCTGAAGCCTCCGACACGTTATTTTTGGGCAACTTGTCGTTCAACGCCGACAGAGACAACATTTTCGAAACCTTTGGTGAACACGGTGAGGTCATCTCTGTGCGTTTGCCAACGCACCCAGAGACCAACCAGCCAAAGGGGTTCGGTTACGTCCAATACTCTTCTGTAGACGACGCAAAGAAGGCCCTTGAGGCTTTGCAAGGACACTACATCGACAACAGACCTGTCAGACTCGACTTCTCCACACCCAAGCAAAACAACAACGGTGGTGGCAATGGAGGCAACCGCGGTGGAAGCCGTGGTGGAAGAGGTGGCTTCGGCGGTGGCAGAGGTGGCTTTGGCGGTGACAGAGACTCTTACAAAAACACCGGTTCTGGCGCTAACAACGCTCCACTGGGAAAACCAAGACAATCTGCTTCTTTCCAGGGCCAAAAAAAGAAGTTCGATTAAGCTGTGCAAGTAAATAACCAATTCTATGTGTATAGTAGATTTTAACCTTCAAAAACATCAACCATTTTGTACTGGAGACGCCACGGTGTTCATATAAACAGACCCCTCCGAAGAGTCCAGTACAGTTTGCCAGGCTCAAGATCGCTGGTGCTAACTTATGTCCCAACTCAAAAATACTTCAAATTTGACGAATAAAATTGCAAAATAATCGCCAGGGTTCAACTCAATAGATGTAAGCATCCAGATCAGCTAAAATTTGAACAATCTCTGACCAGTAGCTCCAGCCAAAGTTTTGTAAGCGTATAGCTGGTCGATTTATCACGTGCGTAAATCATATTTCTTTTAAAAAGCGATTATGCACTTCCATTCTTTGCCAAGAAAAATTGGCTATCGGAGAGATTGACGTGCACCCACCAATAAAACCTCGCTGGAAGTGAGAAAAGTGACGTTGTAACAGCATAACGGGAGGCAAAAGAACCTAAGGTTGATTCCCAGTGCTGAAAAAAGGCATATTTTTTGCGTGGAACGGTATTCTCAGCGTTTTTCTCGTCTAAGAAAGCTGCTCAGCCACGAGCTACGGGCAGATTGAAAAAATGGGGCTATTGACCAGATTGAAGGTGAATACGGGCAAGAAGAAGGATGACGGTGATCAGAAACAGGAGAGCGTGTCGACATCTATACTAAGACTCAGGGGAAGCTCGAAGTTTCGACGCGGGACCCCTCCACGTGACTTTTACGTCGAACTCGATGAACCACATACGGTATGGAAACCCAACGACTACGTGAGTGGACAAGTGGTTTTAGTGCTGAAAGAGGATGTGCTCAATGTGGCCGTGTCGCTGGCTCTAGTCGGTGAATTACGGGTGAAGACGGGCATAACGGCGACCAACAAGCTCCGGTTTTCGGAAAGGTTATTTGAGAAAATTAAGACGATTTACGGCCGCGAAGAGGTTGAGAATCAAGCGTTGGACCAGGGGAAGGTCGTGAACGGGCTCACAAAGGGCGAACATCGGTTTCCCTTCCGGCTCCGCGTCCCATCGAAAAATATTTTTACGTCGATTTCGTTTGAGCGAGGCTCAGTATCTTACGACATAACTTGTGACCTCAAGTCTTTGCAACCTGACCCACACGACAAAATCCTGGCGCACTGCCAAAAGCGCATATCTATCATGGTTCCCGTGGACGTTGCGCCAATGCCCAAACCCAACACGAAGACCATAGTACTTCAATCGCCATCGACACTCAAACAACCTAGACATCAAAGTAGCGAGAACGAAGTCACTTCAACAAATACGCGGAGAACTTCCGGGTCACTGCCGTCCAGCTCGACTATGGGGACGTCAGGCTCTTTGAAAACTGTTACCATAAGCGCAGACATACCTGCTACCGGGTTCGTGATGGGCGAAATAATTCCCATAAAGCTTCGCCTGGAACACTACAAGGAATACGCACATTCTGCTGGCATTATAGCGACTCTGGTTCGTATTTGCAGGGTCGGTGGCGCGGGCCATCTGAAAGAGATTCCTTTCGAAACTTACAGAAAAGATATTTGTCAGACGGTGGCTCCGATTTGCGTTGACTCGCAAACTCACGAATTTTGCAGTACGCTTTCTTTGAAAGTGCCTTCAGATGCGTTCCCAACTCTGGTATTACCGAACCGACAGTTTTCGTTCCAGTACTACGTGGAAATCCTAGTCAACCTGTCTAAGAAAAATCTCGTGTATACCGAGTCAAACAGATTGATTGACACGGGGTTGAATTCCGAGATGTTCAATTCGGGCAAGACGGGCGATGTCATTACAGCTTTGCGACGCGAGATCACTTCTGTGACGATGACTGGGGCAGGCGCCAATAAATGCAACGACGAAGAGTCTATGATTTTCTACAAAGACCTCATCAACGTCGACAAACTCAAAAGGCTCAGAAACGTGGCCGGGATGTCTATCGAAGTTGTGATAGGTACCAAGAGATCAGAATTACCATCTCAAGAACCTTTAAACGAACGAGAACAAACGGAACAAACAGACTTTACCGAGACCCAAGGCGTCCAGAACTACACAGATTACCTTTTCCCAAACATCTCGAGTTTTGAAGTACCGAAGGGCAAAGATGGGGATATTCCAGCTGAAGCTATGTATTTCCCACTGCCCGAGTACACTCCAAACGCGGAAATTCATGTTGTGCATGACAAGGACGAATTAGAACAAATGCGGCTCAGGGAAAAGGAAAGCGAACCCGCATTTTACAACTAAGACAACTTACCAGACGGTACCAGACGGTTAATCCCGTCTAGAGACGACTATAAATCATTAAGCTTACAGCGCTTTGCGGCTGGCTGGTCCAGCCTACTCGTCAAGACGTTGAAGACCATCACGGGAAACGAATTGAAATTTTCATCAAGACAATCGAAGCATCTGTATGTAATCCACCATCGAGGAAGCATTTATAATACCATCTTTAATACCACAGTTGAATACTTTTCAGTGATTTGTTTTATATTCGATGAACGTTGCCGATAGAAGACGGATTCTGGGGCCTTTAAACGCAAAACCGCTGCAATTTGCAAGCGCTGACGGTAATTTACAAGACGCCCACTTACAAGAGACTCAAAGTGGTGATGAGACGCTATATATTCAACAAGGCATTGTGACGAATGCCAACGGATCTGCATATTTAGAGATTGCATCTCCAACCAAAAATGACCAACATATCTTACTTTTGGCCAGTGTTTACGGTCCTCGACCAACGCGAGGAACGTTTAGCGCAAGGGCAGCGCTTTCGATACAGTTCAAAGAGAACACTTTGGAGCAATTCACAGCAGGAGAAGTGAAAGAGCTCTGCAACTTTCTGGCAAGTGTATTCAGAGCCGTTATAAACTTGAATAGGTACCCAAAATCGGGCATCGACATTTTCCTGAATTTAATTCAATATGTGGGACCTTCTGGAACATCATCACTCGAAGCAATTATTCCAGCTTGCATCAACGCCATTATGCTTGCTTTGATCGATGCTGGGATCGAGACTTTGGACACAGTCAGCGCAGGATCTTACAAGGGCACAGTGATATCTTTCATCAGAAATGGAGACGAGATTGTGGGGTTCTGGGCAGACAATGACTTTGACAACAACGGCAGTTACGCCGTGACGGTTGATAAGTGCAGGCGACATTATATACAGAACCGCAATGCCATGCTCGATTACATAGTGAAGACAAAATAGAAAAAAAGATCAGAAATGCTCAACTCAACTCAACTCATGCTCGCCAAAGTGTCTCTAATTTCGCAAGCGCGACGGGAAATGACGTCAACATCGTAATTGACTTCTTTCAGAAATTTTGTAGAGAGATCGACACCGGTTCCGAATTTGACAAGTTGTTTCAGACATTTTTGAGAACATGGCTTGTTTCTCCCTGGCGCCAGTTTGTGAGAAGTTGATGCCTGCGATTCCTGCAAGAAGGTTAATAGATCTTTTGCCAATGATGCTGGAGTTGAAGCATCGATTTGGGGAAAAGACAGTTTAAAAGGTTTCGATATCATTAATACGTTGTGTGATCCTTTACTATGGTACCTCACCTCGTATATGCCTTCTTCATAAAACATCTTCGAGAAGTCGAACTGCACCTTGCCCTCAACAAATTGAACTGTTTTCCTGAAGGATAAAACTGACTCATCCGCATTGTTGCGTAGGGAGTAAACGTTCCTTTGAGTAGCGGTCCAGCGACCATTGGAAGATATTCTGGTTCTATGACGGTCATCTCCTGTTTCCAACACTCGATATATTCCAAGCCAGTCGTCGTTGTTATAGAATTTAGGAGACAGTTTCCAAGTAACGATGATTGGGCCTGGTATCGTGAGAGCGTTTGAAGATTGACCGGCTACTTCAATTTCGCAGTTTGGAGCAAGATTGGTTGTGACGTTCTGCAAGGCAATTTCAACTATCTCTTCCCATTGAGACTCATCTGTGTGCGATCCGTCATCGTCAGTTAAAACGTCATTTGACAAGACGGATTCCGTGAGCTTTGTTTCAACTTTTTCCAGTATTTCGGAAAATCTTCGAAGAGCTTTGAAACCCATTAACGTTTTCTTGACTCCACTCTGTCTCTCAGAAGGACCATAAACCTTTTCGATATGAGGCTCCTCTATAAATTTAACCAGAAAGATATTTGTCAGGGTCCAAATGCCAGCGATAACAATACTTTCTAATGAGAAATCAGTGATTAAAACGGCACCCCAAGCACCTGCAACTCCCAAAAATCTTTCTGGGTTGCTGAGATAACGATAGATACCTTGACTAGTCAGACGTGGGGTATTGATGTAATTGGGAAGAAAAAAGTCACCGTAAAACCAGCCGAATTCTGATATTGCTCCGAGAATCTCATCGTCGCACCATTTTTGCAGAGAGCACAGAAGAAAGCCAAAAATAACTTGAGTGTAATCTCTGGACTTGTATAGCCTAAATTGGAACCATGTTTGTAGGATGAGGAAGACATAAGACATTGTAGTGCAAAAATTGTAAATGAATTGCCATTGCTGATACGAGTAAAGCTGAGTGTAACCATTCTCCAGGAAAAGCTTCGTGAACCACTTGGAGGTCGATTGCTTGTATAGAATAAAGGACAAAATCGAAAACGTCAGGAGCTTGACAGCACTCGTTGCAAGAAACAAAGAATTGGCCGAAGGTTGAATAACAAAGACAACACCTATTGCCCCGAGTGCTGTTAACACAGTAAAATAGTCGGAAATCCTCAAAAAATCGAAGTTCATAAACCAAAGTCCCTTCGTTATCAAAGGTTTGGCATAATTCTGGTTTTCTTTTCTCAAGAGATCGTCAATTTGCCGGTTACTGTCGCTTGCATCTTCTGAACCATAAATTTTCTCAATATGGGGGTTCTCACAATACTTGAGGAACAGGAATTGTAGTAAATGACCCCACAAAGAAATGAGAAGGACCTTGTAATCACCGGAAATCAGGCTCAATCCGTAGTAACCAAGGTAGCCAATAGAATACATGGGATGAGGTGAAATGTTAAAAACACCATCGAATACCAACTTCGAATCTTGAAAGAAAAAAAATACGCCCCAGTACCATGCATAGTCTTTAACCACACGATGCGCATCCAGTTTGACCCAAATGTTGAAAACTATCATAGCCACTCCGAGAAACATCTTAACATTGTAGCTGGCAAAAAGAGAACTCGGCATGGAAAGACAAACGAAAAGGATGTAAGTGGTGAAATCTTGCATCAAAATAAGATCAACAATTTGACGGAACAAAAGCCATACGTTGAACTCTTCCGGATAGGACTCAATTTTGTACGAGGAAGGCATTTTGGTATTAATTTCAAATTGGCAAAATTTGGCAAGCCATCCAGAGTTCTTCTTTGAAAAAAGCGCACGGTCTTTAGCATAATTGGTCAACACTTCATATTTCGACTGGAAATGCAAGACTATACCTATCCCCAAATTGTAACACAACCTCCAAAAAATGTACTGCCAAAGGAAAAACTTTTTAGTAAAAGGAACACCTAGTTTGTGAGCCATGTAGTAGCACAACAAGGCGTTCCCAATCAAAGTTAAGCTGATACAACACTCCAAAAACGATTTTTTCAATGTGGGATCGAAAAGCGATCTCACCATATCGTGAGTTTTGGCCGGCGTAAATGACACATTGCTGGATCTAGTTCTAGCCTGCGGCTCAGCTACGATCGAAACTCTTTTACCAGAGCCCATTCTCCTATTTTTGTAAATGTCAATGCTGATTCACTCTTACAAATCAATTGCACCACTATCAATGCAAATTAACAATGAATTCGTCACTGAGGATTCAAGCTTTGTAGATGTAACGCCGACTCGTAGTAACCCAACCTAGCAATTGTTCTCGACTCAAAGACAGCGCAATAGCTACGTTAATGTTGATCAAGAAGCCTTAGTTTTGATCTTATTTTTCAGTGATCTTTCACATGTTAATCTTCTTTCCATGTGAAAATAAAAAGCAGTTAGTGGCGAAATTGAAGCAATGATCAACATATAAAGAAAGGCCGAGGTGACGTTGAAGTCGAAAAGGCTTGCAGCAAGCAGTTGGAAGGGATGTGTTGATGAATGAGAGAAAGTTTGCCTGGTTGAATTGATGGTTCTTTGTCGAAGGTTTTTGAACAACCGTCTCAGATTTTCTTGTTTCGTGATAGCTTCTTGTAAATTGTTGTTCGCAGCAGACTCCAGGCGATTTACATGCCCAAATTTGTAGTTTCTTGCTCAGATTCTAATTTTTTATGGTCAAGTGGGCTGGGAGCCGCTTCGTAAACCGCCATGAGAGGAATACCGTCTCCAGCAGGTAAATTGCCAGAACACTCTCCGCGAAGCTCAAGATAGTAACAGCGCGTTAGTAAATCCTCGTCAGCGGCCCAGTTGTCATCAATGAGTAAGGTCAACGAGTGACAATTCTGGAAATGCCGCCTTGGAAGATGATGCTCAACGAAGCTGGATTCGTCCTGTATGTATTCTTCTGAGCCCGGATCCGCGAGCCCAACGTTTTGCGGATTTTCAAAGTGATGCGTAGGTTTCATATCTTTGACAGTGTCAAAATCGATGTTCTTCCGGAAGTTTTTGTAAAGTTTGATTGTCTTTGGTGAACCTAGTAAGTCGTCTTCTGCTTGATTGCATCTTATGATCACTGAAAAAATGCGACAATTGCTCGTAAAGGGGATATGCACTAGAACCTGGCAATCTGCGTCACTTTCAATATAACTAGAAACGTTGAACTTTTGTTCTTGTGATTTTAGAAGACATTCTGCCACTGTACCGGAGTTTCCCTTGCCGACGCAATTCAAACACACCGTTTTGGCAGTGTCAATGAAATCGTATAACGATTGGCTAGCGTTCGTTTCTGGTGGTGGTGGCGAGCACTCATGGTGCTCCTGTTCACAGCTGTGGGACATGATCCCTGGCAATGTGTTTTTGTTAGAACGAGCGTCAACCGTCAATTTTTTCACTGCAATGGTGATGTTGATATCCGGAGTACCACCAATGAAGCATGGCCGTTGTTGAATTGCGCAGTGCTGAAGTGCTGGTTCGCAGTATCGGCTCTCTGTACTACCCTCCACGGCGTGTTTATTGTTCTGTGGCTCTTGCTCTGAACGTACCATAGTTGCTAGATGGAACCCAGATCAAAGCCAGACGTCAGGTGCAAAGCTGTTAGCGTAAGTGATGAGATAGAAGGTAGCGCCTTGTCCTTTTTTTGGCGGGAGTAACGCTTTTGACATATGCACTATACTGGGGTGAGCAAAGACACTCACGTTTAGCGACGACAAGGCCGATAAGCAAAAATCTCGGATGCCCATTAAGTGTATCCGCAAATCTCTCTCAGGTGAACTCTAGTTCGCAACGGATTTTGTTCTTCACATATTAAGAATTGTATCACATCACGGGGGGTCGAGGATTGTTCTTTCATGTCTTCTCAACGACTTCAAGGTAACTTCACGGCAGATCTCACATCACGTTTAACAAAACGAATGACGTCGCGCTCTTTAAATTTGCCCCGCGTCATCCGGTTTGTCAAACATACTACAGTACCATTACCAAGATACCAACCCTCTCCTTCTCTATCACTCCTTCATGCCTTTGGCACTGTTTGTTTACATTTTTGCATGACCCTCGGCGGCTAAATTAATGACGTTTTGAAAAACAAAGTGAGAAAAAATAAGATTTGCTTGAAAGAAAAGCTAGAAAATTTGTAATCTATATAAAGGATAGGATTTGGCCCTATGGGCCGTTTCATTTTCACTGCGTTTTGAGAAGCAAATAAAGAAAACAAAGCCAATAATTAGAAATAGTACACTAAATGAGCGAACGTCAGAGCATAGCTAGCTATATAAAAATCTGCAATGACGGTAGATAGAACTCGTTTGGTTATGCTAGGTTGCCGCTTATATGTGGCGGTCAGAAGTTTAGTGAGGTTGTTTCGGAGGGAAGAGGGAAAAGTGAGAAGGGCATTGAACACAGATTAATGATGGAGTCTTTAATGGAAAAATCGAGGCAGATGCATGCTTCAAGAGGAGATGCTGTTAGGGGAACCGAATGTGTGGCGAAATTGAATGGCATAATATTCAGAAGCAATATCGAGTGACTTCGAAACGAGAGAGTCAGAAAAATGCTATGTTATGCAGACAATTACATTTCGACAAAACCGCAGAGCAGATGTGAACAAGTTGCCATTAAAATGGGCCTCTTTAAGATTATACTTGTCGCGGTTTTGGCTTTAAGCCAGTGGACTTCTTCATTTGTCAAGGACACCACAAATCATTCGCAAACTCGTTCTGGAGTACTGGACTAACAACTGTTCGCCTTTTGCATCGAATTTGTAATATCCCCTGTAACGTCTGCGACGCGTTTACTTCAGCTGTCACTTGTTTCGCTATCATATGTCCGTTCCAAAATTAGGATTAGGCAAAAAATTGACACTTTCCTGCTCATTACTCAGTGCCAACACTCGGAAACGAACACTTCAACATGCACACAGCAGAATATCTCGACACGTACCCTACTGATATCGGATCTGTCCTTGCAGGTGGCTACAACCACCCTCTTCTCAGAGAATGGCAGAACGAAAGGCAACTCACCAAGAATATGCTGATCTTCCCACTCTTCATATCTGATAACGACGATGAAGAGACCCCTATTGAGTCCCTACCCAATATAAAACGGTTTGGCATCAACAAGCTTGCCGCATACGTGAAGCCCTTGGTCCAGAAGGGCTTGAGGTCTGTGATTCTGTTCGGTGTGCCTATGGCCGAAGGTTGCAAAGATGCAGTTGGCACTGCTGCCGACGATCCTGATGGACCAGTGATTCAGGCTATCAAGCTCTTGCGCCGTGAATTCCCAGACCTTTACATTATTTGCGATGTTTGTTTGTGTGAATTTACGTCTCATGGTCACTGTGGAGTGCTGTACGAAGACGGAACCATCAACAGAGAACAATCTGTACGCAGGATTGCAGCTGTAGCAGTCAACTACGCAAAAGCAGGTGCCCATTCTGTGGCACCGAGTGACATGATTGACGGTCGTATTCGTGATATCAAGTTGGGTCTAATAAAAGCCGGATTGGCTCACAAGACCTTTGTTATGAGTTACGCTGCCAAATTCAGTGGGAATTTATATGGACCTTTCCGCGATGCGGCATGTTCAGCGCCATCGCATGGTGACAGAAAATGTTACCAACTACCATCTGGCGGTAAAGGGCTTGCTCGCAGAGCTTTGAAAAGAGATCTGGTGGAAGGTGCAGACGGAATTATTGTCAAACCATCGACTTTCTACCTTGATATCATGGCCGATGCTTCCCAAATTGCCCGTGACGTTCCAGTGTGTGCTTATCATGTATCAGGTGAATATGCCATGCTGCATGCAGCAGCTGAAAAGGGCGTCGTTGATTTGAAAACCATTGCGTTTGAGTCTCATTATGGATTTTTGAGAGCAGGCGCTAGACTCATTATTTCGTATCTGACGCCTGAGTTTCTCGACTGGCTAGACCAGTGAAACTGCGCTTCTTTCCTATTCAATTCTTATTATTTGTACATAATGAATGCAAAGTTGTCCCGGTTTACGCCAGCAGTGGTGCTTCGTGTGGTCGTTCTTCCTCTACCGCGGGTTCCTCACGTTCCGGCTGGGGCTCTGGAAGTCCTTCTACCGAAGGCATTTCAGGCTGTTTCGTGGGTCCTTCTACTGACGGCATTTCGGATTGTTTCACTGATCCATTAACCTCTCTATCTAGCTGTTTGAGCTCTCTCTCTAACTCATCTTCATAACTTCCCACAATGCTGCTCGACAACACTTGATCTATTTCATCCTGATACGCAATTTGGTCTTGAACTTGGTCCATGAGGTCATCTACCCCCGTAAATTCTTTATTCAATTTGGTCAAAATTTCATTACCTTGTCGAAGTCCTATTATAAACTGCTGTTCTACAAGCTTAAACTCCACGGTCGCGACCATATTTTCCAGATTTATCAATTGATCAGAGGCTTGCTCTAAAAGCCGTCTCTGATAATGGATCTTTTTAAGTAAGAGTCGTGCTCGTGGGTTCTTATTGCTTGCCTTGGGGTCTGCTTTGATAATATTTCTTAATTGCAAGTCCTCACTCGCGATCAGCGACTCGGTTCTTCTGGCATACTTGTGAATTTCGTCCTTGGATATTTTCAACTGGAGAATAGCTCTATCAGCTTTGGTGACCTCGATTTTACTTCCCCTTTGGCCCATTTCTTGTGTCTGGCTGGGGGACTGAACAGGTATTAAGTTGGCGATGATTATTTCACCATTGATAGATGAGCCGATAACAAAGATAAAGTAGAGACAAAACAAAGATGAAGAAACCTGTGAGGTGGAGCTAGAACTGCTTTTAACTAGCAAAATAATGGTTAAGAAGGACAAGAAGTAATCTACACTAGCTTTTCCCGTCACAAAAGTGAATCGATTTCGAGTAATTTGAGTATTTGAGGGTTTTCGGGATACGAGAGATTATGTTGTAAAAGATGTTGAATAAATTTCAATTGCTCACGATTGTGACGAATTTAAGTCTGGTAAAAGTTAGGGAACTAGTAATTGTGCCGCACTTCTGCTCACCAACTTGTTTGCCAAGAGAATTGGCTCGATAGGCCTACAAAAGGCCTCGCCTACAGAACGCTAGTGATAAGCAACGTCAGCGATCGGTTCATGAAATTTATCTTTCTTTTAGTGCTGATGGCATGTGTGTTGGTGTGATATACTGCTCCAAATCAGTAAAACTTGAAAAATCCTTTTAGATCGTAGCTGATTGCCCGGGCCTAAAGCATTTCAAGGCAATTCATACTTCGCGTATCCAAAAATTGGATTCTTTGCTAATTACATGCCACTCCCTGCTTGGGAGAATCACACAGATCCTGGGACAAGCAAGATGAACACTGTACGATGAAAATGCGATGGAGTACAATTTGGTTAGAATATGACCCCAAGAGCTGTCTTCTTACATACAAGGTGAACATTTCATTTGGCATACTTCATTTCACGTCATATCTGAGACCATAGGAACCGATTCTGAGATTCTTGTAATAATCGAGCGGGTCAGATTAATGATTTTCAATTGCCAAACCAGAAGTAAATATGCCTTGAGATGCCAAGACTGTTCTGAGCTTTTCGTGTTGCATCTGTTAATTCAACATGATTCATCAATCCACATACGTGCATGTGGTCCCATCATTTTCACATCTTCAAATCAAGCAATACTACAACTTACTAAAGAACAAAGAAATTCCCACCAGGGGCAATTAGAGAAGATTACTTCGGGAAAATCGAAGCACTGACCATTCCTAGGGAAGTGCTCAATCCGCAATGAGTCAATAAGCCAATAATTTCAGAAAGCTCGTTTCACATTAATATTGAATATTTGCGTCATTTGGACGGCTCAGAATTTCGAAAAAAAGCCGACTAAAATCGCAAGAAAGGGCAGCACATGAAACATTACCCACAGGCTAACATTACGTCTTGATTTTCTTTCTTCTCGTGCTTCTTGTCTGTTATCACATCATCACAGTGTGCTGACATTTTTTCCATCGTTGAAGCCACATCAAAAAGTTAGATTTTACAAGATATCACCATAGTTAACTTTGAACAATTACTAACACCCACAACGCAAGCAAACAAAGCCCAGAAGGCCCATAATGTCACAATATGATTCTCGCAGCAATGTCGCGGACCTGGTGGGGAACACCCCTATGGTTGAGTTGACCAAGTTGCCACAAGCTCTAGGTGTCAAACCAAGAGTTTTTGCCAAGTTGGAATTTTACAATCCCGGAGGTTCTATCAAAGATAGAATCGCCAAATCGATGATCGAATATGCGGAATCGAAGGGGGAAATCCATCCCTCAAGAACCACGCTTATCGAACCAACTTCTGGTAACACAGGTATTGGTCTGGCTCTAATGGGTGCCGTGAAAGGCTACCGTACGATTATTACGCTACCTGAGAAGATGTCGAACGAGAAAGTATCTGTATTGAAGGCGCTGGGTGCTGAGATTGTTAGAACTCCAACTGCTGCTGCGTGGGATTCCCCAGAGTCCCACATTGGTGTCGCTAAAAAACTCGAGAAAGAAATTCCAGGCGCAGTGATTTTGGACCAATACAACAACATTAGAAACCCTGAAGCTCACTACTACGGTACGGGTCGTGAAATCAAGGAACAACTTGACAACTACAAGCTGTTCGACAAATTGCAGGCGGTTTTTGCAGGTGCTGGTACCGGTGGTACAATCAGTGGCATTGCCAAATTTTTGAAGGAACAAAACTCTGACATTAAAATCGTCGGTGCTGATCCCGTCGGGTCCATTTTGGCACAACCAGAATCCTTGAACGAGACAGACTCGAACGAGTATAAAGTTGAAGGTATTGGCTACGATTTTGTACCAAGCGTTTTGGACCGCTCTTTGGTCGACGAGTGGATCAAGACCGACGACCACGACTCCTTCAAATATGCCAGACAGTTGATTGCTAATGAGGGCGTTCTTATTGGTGGTTCTAGTGGTAGTTCCTTTTCCGCTTTGATGGAATATTGTGCTGCTCACCCAGAACTCACCAAGAATGACGTCGTGGTGGTTATCTTCCCAGACTCTATCAGATCTTATTTGACCAAGTTTGTTGATGATGAATGGTTGAAGAAGAATGGGCTTTGGGATGAAGCGATTGGCGCGCCTCTCAAGGGTCAGAAAAAGGATATTTTCAACGGGGCTACTGTCAAAGACTTACACCTCAAACCTGTTGTATCTGTCCGTGAGAATGCTTCAATTTCGGAAGTTGTCAAGATTCTTACGGACAACGGTTTTGACCAATTGCCGGTTCTTACTGAAGAGGGTAAACTTCGTGGTCTCGTCACACTTTCGCAACTATTGAAAAAGCTTTCTTCTGGAGACGATGCCAAGACTATTGACTCTCTCTTCTTCGATTTCAGAAAGCTTAACAATTTTAACGACGTTTCGTCGTACAATGACAATAAGTCTGGTAAGAAGAAGTTCGTCGAATTCACTTTAAACACTCCATTGGCAGATCTCAACCAATTTTTCGAAAAGAATTCCTCTGCCGTTATCACGGAAGGTTTGAAACCTCTCCATATCGTGACGAAAATGGATTTGTTGAGCTATTTGGCTTGACCCACTGCTTTGAATCCAAAGGCCAGATTTTCATCTTGAGTTATAGAATAGAATGCTTCACAAAGGTTATCTAATTCGCTGCGCTCTACATAACGTACCTAATAAGCCTAACCTTAAATTACATCATATTCTTCATTTGTTGGGTTTATTCATACCCAAAACCGTCATCAAAGGTCCCAATTGTTCTGGTCCCAATTCAATTCCGGCCTTTTCCAGTTCTTCTCTAAACTCGACCATCTTCTGTCTAACGTCTTTATCAGTAAGAATCTTAATCATTTGCCATGGTCCTGGAGCAGTTTCCTCGTTGACCAAACCTTTAGAATACAACAATTCACTGATGGAGTTCAGCTTCGAAAACACTTTAGGGTTGGCCTGAATACTGTCTAGTAATTTCTGAATCTTAATATGAGCTTCGATTTGTTCGTTAGAGTTTCTGTTATCCCAAGATTGAGCGTAACGTCTTGTTTGAAAAGTGGTCAAAACCGCCCAACGAGGGGCCACAGTTGTTCCGGCATATCTTGCCAAACAAGCAACTGGTTTTGTGGACCTGATGAACATCTTGCTGATGCGAATAATGTTTTTTAGCTGTTCTAGTTATCTCGGTAGAATGCATTGTGTAGAAGCTTAAGCTAAGAACTACAAAGACAATACTTCAATATCAACTAATTAAGTAAATTTGAGGCAAATACTTTACTTACAACTATATCCGAGTCAAATTACTTGCAAAGCGTTAGGTGGGCTATAAAGACACATGTTTTTATATAAGTGGTTATTTCAGATGGGGTTACAAGTTATTATCGTGATCACGTTTAGGAGAATTTCCAGCGGTTTCCGCATACTTCGCAGGTGCAAAATGTGGTGAGTGGCTCATCAGCAGATCTGGTCTGTAGCTGGTAGTAAGAAACCTTTTTTTCTTTACATTTCCCGCAAGTAAACCTATCTGTCACGGAACGTTCCAATGTAGCGCCTTGAGCGTTGAACAAATTTTGTCTGGAAATTTCTTCTAGTTTCTTCTTCAAGTGGGCTGGTGCCAGTTCTTTTGGATCGCAGTTCACTAAGTATTCCGGCGTTACATCGCCGTTATTGATTTTATGCTTTAGATCTGGATTGTTTCTGGAGATGATGTTCGAGTAAATGACACGGTACTTGTCCTTGTACGCCTTTTCGTTTTCATCGCAATTGCTGGCCGCATTGATGGCTTTTTCGATAGAAATGGCAGTGGTTAAAATCGACTGTGGTGGATGTTCACTGTCTTTGGCCAGAGCATCGTAAAATGCTTTTACCATGGTGTCTCTCAACTTATGATTGTAAACAGTAGTTAAAACACCATCATTTTTGGCGCTCCGAGGTTTGCTAGAAACGTACTTCTCATGTTTAAAGGGCTCAGAACTGTTTCCGGACCTTGCACTTATTCCTACTGTTCCGGCCGAAGTTCCCACAGAACTTTTCGCAGAAACTCGCATTTTTTTTTCTTTAGATATCGCATCCCTCCATTGACCTATCATTTTCTTGACCAGCTTGGCGATATTAGCATTACTAGATTTCTTGAACTGATTCACACACACACCCACCTTCGTCTCTCTGAGGAGCTTTTCGGTCGGTTGAAGTTCCTTATCTAGGATAGTTAAAATTTCCAGAACAACCGCATCATTAGCTTTGTTCTTTTCCAGGTTCTTAACGTGTGTTTGAACCTCTTTACTGTCCATCTTTACTTCAGTTATTGATGCTCTGACGGTGAGCTGAAATTTTTCAGTTCGTCATTGTCTAGTTGATACTTGAATATCATCAGGATCATCAAAATTTAGGTTAGTTGGCAACAATTTTGAGCCAAATAGAGGTCCAGGAACTAGTATTGGATCACTTTGACCTTTAGAACCGGATATTTTATCACTCAAGCCTGAAAGCCCCGTTTTTCTCACCAAATTTGGACTATTTTGACGCATTTCACAGTTGAATTAGCATATTTGAGAACACGCCTTAACAGAGAGTATTTCGAAGCCTGTGTACTACCCGAAGATGAATAGATCAGTACAAAATAATCCGCCATCACGGATAGTCTATTTGGGCTCCATTCCTTACGACCAAACAGAGGAACAAATTCTGGATCTTTGCTCTAATGTCGGGCCCGTAACGAACTTAAAGATGATGTTTGATCAGCAAACCGGTAAATCAAAAGGTTACGCATTCATCGAGTATAGAGACCTAGACTCCAGTGCGAGCGCGGTGCGAAATTTGAACGGATACCAGTTGGGCAATCGACATTTGAAATGCGGATACTACGGCGGCGGCGATATGGGCGGGCCCACGGCTGCGAACAATACGGACATTTCGGACAATAGCATCAACAATAGCAACATTGTGTTTGCAGGACTGCCCCAGGGTGTAGATGTTAATATCAACATGACGACACCTGCGATGATGATATCCAGCGAACTGTCGAAACATTCTAAAGAGCAACAGCTGGATCTTTTACGCACACTACAAAGCATGGCTCGCTCCGACGGCGAAGCTTTTTGCAGTCTTCTACAACAATGTCCCCAGTTGACGTTTGTCGTCGCTGAACTTCTACTAACGAATGGATTGAGTACCGTAGACGATCTCACACAACTTGCAGTTCAAGAAACCAGTGCGACCCCCCAAGCTGCCCCACAGGATCCCAAAATACGTGCACAACAGCGAGAACTGTTGCAACAAGTTTTGCAGCTTACAGACAGTGAAATATCAGTTCTTCCAGACGACGAAAAAATGTCTTTATGGGATCTCAAACAGAAGGCAATGCGCGGTGAATTTGGAATTTTGTGATGCTCACAACAAGCAAGCATTCTAGTCAGACTCTGAATTCATCTGGATCACGAAGTTGTATATAGGTATCGATAGAAGTCTGTTTGGAAGGGTACACGTGACCTATATATAAGAGGTGCTGAAATTCGTGAAGAGCTTTACATTGAACCCACGACCAGAAACGTTTAAAAGCTGGCCATTGAGAGCTCTATGAACTCCGTTAGCATGTCAGATCCAAGGAGAAGAAGCACAAGACATTTGTTGACGCCAGATAATCTCTCGAGCGCGATTCAAATCACGAATCTACCTCAAAATTGGACTCAGGAAACAGTGACGTCAGTCATCGCAGGATCAGGCCCCATAGTTGCAGTTTCTACCAGAACGGATCCTCGTAATGGTAAGATAATAGGCGTCATTGTCGAGTACGCGACCAGTAAAGATTGTAAAAGAGCGCTCGAGACCATTCAAAAGATAAAGAAGTTTCCCTGCGATATGGAACGAACCATTCCAGCCGGTTATAGAGACTCTACCAAAAATCAGAGATCCGTTTTGGATTTACAAAGAGAAAAATTTCCTTGGGAATCTGGACTTGAATTACCGTTCGAACTTGTATCCGAAGTACCTCTACCACGGCGTCCAACGAATCCGGTTCCAGTCTCTGGAGGTGACGACAGCAGCACGTCGCCAACCACAGCAGCAGTTGCGTTCCCCGATATTTTGAGCAAAGCTTCGCAACATTTACCTGCGTTACGGCCAAATGCGATGGCAACACCAGACTCAGTTTCGATAAATCTCAGCAAAATTGCGCCGTTGCAATTGTTGGAGATGATCTCGAATTTGAAGATTTTAGCGAACCAAGATGCGCAGAGGAGTCAACTGGAGAATTTTCTAGGATCCAACGTCGACGTGTCCATAGCTGTCACCCAAGCTTTGTTAGAAATGGGGTTCATTAATTACCCCGTGGTGACCAAAGTTTTGACAGAGCAACAAACGGTTAAAAATTCGCCTCAGGTCTCTACGGATTCCGCACCTTTATACAGCAATGGGAATACGCCCAATGCGACACCAGTGCCGACAGGAAATGTCCCACTCAATTCGTTTAGTGGACCGGCTCCAGTAGTCGATAACCTACAACAGCAACAACAACCACAGCAACCATTCAATTATCCACAACCGGCTGCTCCACAAGCCCCCGTGATACCACCCATGTCAGCTCCAATAATGGGTTCACAACCACAGCTCAATTACGCAAAGCTATCCACCCTCCCGCAACAACAACAAGATATGATAAAGCAGGTCATAACATTGCCAATGGATCAAATTAGTCTGTTACCACCTGAGCAAGTCGCCATGGTCGACAATTTCAAAAAAGAGTATTTACTTTGAGCATGAAATGTACTCGGATGTTAAAAAGCATCATCTCTGTATAGATTAATCGTCAGATAATGCACATAATAAACACAATTAATGGCGGCAGATGGTTTTCTTGGTGCTATTCGCTCTACATCTGTTCATTTCTGTAGCTTTTCGATTTTTAAAAAAAATGGTTGCTAAGAGATTCGAACTCTTGCATCTTACGATACCTGAGTGTTCCACTGTTAAACAGCGTTAAGAAGCGAACTTCTTGAATCAGGCGCCTTAGACCGCTCGGCCAAACAACCAATTGTTGATTTAAGACTTGATTTTTATATAACAAGGGATGTCCAGTCACATTACGAGGGAAGACAGCTTAATTGGAAGGACCCAGCTGTAAGGATTAATTCAATTGGGCCCAGATGCTTTCGACTGCCGCTAGATACTCCTAACTACTTCTAGCTGCTCACTTTATTACCTCGTTAACTTTATACTGGCATTTGCCGACTCACGTATTGCGTACTAGTTAGCTGTAAAACCCTACAACGACGCAAATGTATGTAAATATGAGCTATCATCGAAGGAGATCTTGGATAAATAAGGTAGTAAACACTAAAACCTCACAAAACTCGTGTTTGACGTCCAAAACTGTTTATAACCCCTAAAATTTCTTCAGACACTCAAAACAATTCAATATACCCATTAATGCAAATAGTTAATCAGATTTCTCACCTGCAGCAACCAAAATAGGTCTAACATAACTAGATTTTCAGGACATACTGAAAAGACTTGCCAAAATCTGGGCCCAATGAGTTGGACTCCGTTTGACCAAGGCTTGCTATATGTCTTTTCAGGTTTCATAGGTTTATATAGTAATATAATGACTCTTACCATGACTCTTCAGAAAATGAAATATCACGGAAGGTGAAAAATTGTACTAGTTGGTTTAAAGACAGTCACTTGAAGAAAGTCCCCTTACAAAGCTTTTAGAAGACCTTATCCATGTCCAGAACGATCTTTAACAACGTGGAATTACTTCCACCGGATGCGCTTTTCAACATCAAGAAAAGACTAACGGATGACTCAAGACCTGTCAAAGTTGACCTTGGCATTGGTGCTTATAGAGACGATTCAGGTAAACCATGGGTTTTACCAAGTGTTCGCGAAGCTGAAAGATTGGTTCGGGAAGATCCTAGTTACAACCATGAATATCTCAGTATTACCGGTTTTACTGGCCTTACAGACGGTGCTGCCAAAGTTTTGTTGGGTGAAGAAAGTGCCGCTTTGAAAGAGGGTAGAGTCGCATCTGTCCAATCGTTGTCTGGAACAGGTGCTTTACATCTTGCTGCCAAGTTTTTGAGCAAGACTTGCCCCGAGAAAAGCGTTTACTTGTCGGAACCTACTTGGGCCAACCATAAAGCCATTTTCGAGTCTCAAGGCCTACAAACGGCTACTTACCCATACTGGAACGCTGCAACCAAGTCCTTGGACCTTGAAAAGTACTTAGAGGCGATTTATTCAGCCTCCAGAGGGTCCATCTTTGTTCTTCACGCCTGTGCTCACAATCCTACCGGGTTGGACCCCACCGAACAGCAGTGGACTAAGATATTGGACGCAATGGCCGCCAATGATCACATTGTATTGTTTGATTCCGCTTACCAAGGATTTGCATCGGGTAATTTGGACAAAGACGCCTTTGCCGTACGTCTAGGACTACAAAAATTGGCAACCGTGTCTCCCATATTAGTGTGCCAGTCGTTTGCGAAAAACGTTGGAATGTACGGTGAACGTGTTGGTGCTTTCCACGTTGTATTACCAGTACCAGAAACTGGAGTTGAGGTGCAAAACGTAAAAGCTGCTGTCACTTCTCAATTGGCTAAAATAACACGTAGCGAACTTTCGAACCCCCCTGCCTATGGTGCCAAGGTCGTGTCACAAGTATTAAACAACAAGGAACTGAGGGCACAATGGTACAGGGACATGGAGACTATGTCCTCTAGAATTCAGAAAATGAGACATGCTTTGAGGGACCATTTGGTCGCTTTAAAAACACCTGGAAATTGGGATCACATTGTACAGCAAATCGGTATGTTTTCTTACACTGGTCTCAGCTCTGAAATGGTCCAGCGTTTAGAGAAAGAGCATGCCGTTTATTTGGTCAGCTCTGGTAGGGCTTCCATTGCCGGTCTCAACAGCGGAAACGTGGAACATGTGGCAAGAGCCATCCACGAAGTGGTCACTTACTATTCCAATTCCAAATTCTAAGTGAATCAAACCTTTATATTATATATCTATTTGGAGGAGGAAACTGAACCTAGAAGCTTATGTTCTCTTATGAACAAGCTGCAAACTAGACCGCTCAAAGCTGCCACGACAGCAAATGCAAGTGCAGTCTCACTGCTAAACATGAATGACTTATGCGCAAGTTTTGACAATCTTTCATCAAAAGAGATATCAAAAAGGTTATCATTGACTATTTCCGAGCACCATCTAAGCAGCTTCTGGGAACCGTATCTTTCCAGTAGTTCATCATCCTTGAGTATTAAACGATCTAGCTTGTGATTCAACCCCCACTGGTATAGAGCACCCGCAAGAGAAACACCTAACGTTGATCCAGTGGCTCTGAATGCATATTGGATCGAGGTGACTTGAGCTTGGTGCTGAAAATCAACGCTAGCTATCAGCGCCAAAAGTGTCACTGTTAGCATACTTGCGTAACCCAGCCCTGGTAAGAACATGAGAACGTAATCAAGGGCTCCATGAGGTTTGCTCGAGAAGGAAGAGGAAAAAATAATGATAATTCCGAGAACATAGATGGATTGAAGTACCATGTTGAAATTCCAGTATTGGCCTGTGCGACGCATATAAAGACCAGATCCAAGAGAACCTATCGAAATTCCAGCAAAATTGGAGATGCTTCTTATGCCGATATTCCAAGAATCAAAACGGTAGACGCTTTGCCAAAACACCGGAACGAAGTACATCATGGCGAAAGTCGCCATTGTGCAGAACCAGTTTGTGAGCGAAGATGCTAGAACGGTACGGTTTTCCCACAAGAGGTGTAATGGGATAATTGGGTTGGATGTAGCCATTTCTGCCTTTACAAAAAGTGGGAAAAGTACCGCAAGAGCGCACACGGAGACGTAAAAGGACGGTGAACTTAAGAGTTGGCTTACATCACTCACTTTAGTGATTACAACCATTAGAATTAGCATGCACATAACCAAGTAAAAACTGCCCTTGAAATCGATTTTGGCCGCTATTTGACCAGCATTCAAATTGTTGCCCTGATCTCTTTCCAAGAAAACAGTGCCACGTCCTGGCGAGTTTGATGGCAATTTGAGGACTGTAAACACCAAAAATCCACTCACAATAGCCGCTGGAACTTGGATCAGAAATGCCCATCGCCAGCCTATCGATTGCTGGAAAACAGCGCCCAAGACGCTTCCCGAGGCACAACCGACACTGAAGCAAATGTTTCCGAGGCCTTGGTAGACACCGCGACGTCTTAAAGGTACAATATCGCTAACAGCGATGGTGCTGAGTGCTGTAAGTCCACCTCCACCAATTCCAGCGATAAATCGTCCCGCGGCAAGAGTCCAGATGTCATTGGTCCACGGAGACCCACAACAGAAGCATCCAAATGCGAATACCAAGTTGGACCATACAAGCATGGCCTTGCGACCGAAAATGTCGGAAAGCTTGCCGTAAAGTGGTTGGAAAGCACTACAGGACAAAAGATACGAAGTGGCGATCCAGGACATCTGAGAAGAAGCATCGAGCTCGGATGCAATGGTGGGCATCAACGTTGCCACCAGAGTCATATCCATGGCGGACAAAAACGAGCCCGTGAACAATGCAAAGATGATGGCAAACACTCTTGAGGACGATAGAACTGATTTACTTTTCAACTGTTCCTGGCGATCGACTTCATCAACATGATCGTTAATGATCGGCGATATTGCTGGAGCCAGTAAAGGGTCCGTCTCACGATCCATCAATGATACAACGACGCAGCGACGAGGGGATCAGATTGTTTTTCTTGCACAAGTTCGTCCAGATACAGTCAAACGATTAAAATTCAGGTTTGAGTCTTAAATATCTTTTCAATGGTTGCAACCAAATGGTATAATCCGATTGATAACGTTTTTGCGAGATAGTCAAAGATCGATCAAACATTGAAAGTTGACTTGTATAGGGCTTTGAACTCGAACTCTTAGCCTGAATACAACGGTAGTGTGAGTAAACAGTCAAATGTCTTGATTTTGAATAGTTCAGGTTTTCTGAGAACCTTCTGAGTATCCTTCGAGCAGAGTATGGCGTTGTTGGAGAAACGGTTCAGAAACGCCACCAGCGTATTGAGTGCTTCGTTATGCCTCTAAAAGAATTCTCTTGATCCCAAATCTTTCTTGGATACTTCAAATGTTCCATATATTAAGACCAAGTGTTCTGGACTATAAAAGCATGCGTGTAGAGGGCAGAATTAAAAAAGGCTCATAGCGCCTGAACGCGGTGTCAAGCAAGAAATAATGCAGTAAAAGTATGTCCATTAAAGGACTTCTGGCGTGCGTGTGCCTCGGCGGTGTTTCTCTTGAAAGATGCCCAATTTCCATCGTGAGGAGACTCCGATTTCCCAAACACTCCTACACTAATCGGAACTAAGTGCCAAATCGTATCTTTCCACTTAATATTCATTTTTATGCTTTTCCACGCTGCCTGTTCACTAATCGTTTTCGCTCGCCCGTGTTGGATTCTTATGCATTTAAGAACTTGCCCAATTACCACCGTAAAAGGACGCAGATTTCACTACTAAATATCAGAAAATGTCCAGAATAATCTAAAACGATTTCCAGTCGTATGTGCTCGGTCTAATGGTCCTTGTCAAGCTGTTCTACTCTACTGTTTCAATTTGTCACGTTTTGCTTTGTTTGGATAGTAATGTCCTCAATTCTTATCATAAAAGAGCCCAATTTCCAGCTTTAGACATCCAAAATTTCATACATTAATTTGAAAAATATTTCTGCCTCTTTTTATTCGGCAGAATACCTTCTTTTGTGGTGTTTCATCTTCTGCATGGCTTGTCCTTTTCGAGATTGACATTATATCGAAATAATGATAATCTATCTCTAGAAACTCAACAAACAATCACCAAAGACTGAGAACGAACACCTTATAAAGAGCTTCACGAGGGGTACGGGGTACATAAAGTAAGATTCGGGACAGATTAAAAGAGAGAAAAGCCTTTCAAATACATCATGAACATACGAGACCGCACAACAGAATTCCAACATTCGGTTCATACATACGTTAAAAAACAGAAAGGGCATCAAACGAGACAACAACGTCGAACTCCTGGACAAAAATCCGAGTTTCAGCAAAAGGCGTCCGTAATAGCACATGATATCGCGTCCACTGCGCAATTGCTGGGCAAATTGGCAGAACTGGCGAAAAAAAAGCCCATGTTTAACGATAATCCAGTCGAAATTGCAGAACTTACGTTTGTGATAAAACGTAAGATTTATGTTATTGAACAAAGTCTGATAGAGCTCAGTAAGCTCGGGAACAACGGATCTGTGACATTACCCATGCAACACTCCAAGAATGTGATGAACCTCTTGAACACTAAGATGAAAAACATCAGTGGGGACTTCAAGAGCGTACTGGAACAACGGCAGCGATTGGAACTCGCCAACAAAGATCGATGGGAAAAACTGAGTGCGCTGTCCGAGGATGCCACCGCGGGCCATACCCAACAAACGGTAGCACCGCAGAGTTACAACAGTGCCAATCCGTTTATGTCGTCGGTAGTAGAAGAATCTGCGTCGGGGGAACAATTGGCTATGCCCCAGGACTCGTCATTGCTATTGATGGAAGAACAGAATGCATCATCCGCGTATCTGCAGGAAAGAAACCGGGCTGTCGAAACCATCGAATCGACGATCCAAGAAGTCGGGAATTTATTTCAACAATTGGCGCATATGGTTCAGGAACAAGGTGAAGTGATCCAACGAATCGATGCAAACGTTGAAGACATCGATTTGAACGTGTCAGGAGCACAGCGGGAATTGCTCAAATATTTTGATCGTGTGAGCAGTAACCGGTGGCTTGCGGCCAAAATTTTCGCCGTTTTGTTTGTGTTCTTTTTGGTATGGGTCCTGGTTAATTGAAAAAAGGTGCTTCATGTGTATACTACTCTCTACATCTATTAGATAAACCTTACCGTCACGGTACGGAACGTGTAGAAATAAACCCGGAACTGAGCCAGCAGCAACCAAGCGGTGGGATAACGATACCTCGCAGTATCTCGTGGCACCTGGCGTCGCCTGACGCTGCCAGGCCAAGACTCCCGAAGGAATCGAAATTGGGACTTTTACTCTTCCCCGCAAATTACAGACCCATTTCTGCCTGTAATTCCCGCAATGCTCTTTCGTCCTCGTCCTCTTCTTCTTCTTCTTCCTCGGGGGTTGCACGTTCGTGCTCGCCAGTCTGGTGCTCGGCAAGCGAGTCCATTGGAACCGAGGGCAACCTTTGCGGCTGTACCACTTCCTGTTTGACCGATTCTTGTGCAAGGGCTTGCAATTCTTCGTCCAATTCGTCCTCGTCGACGTCTGCACCTGCGTAAAGCGGGCGTGAAATGGCATCAGAAATCTCTTCGCCGAGCTCCACTTGTTCACGGATTTCGTCCATGGTTTCATCCACTTTATCGATGTCCATACCCTTGTGAATGGATTTCATCGCCGAAGCGCCTTGTTTCATTGCGCGCATCGTTTCAAGGTTCAAATTTGCAGATTCGATCGAATGCAACTGTTGTTCCATCGAATCTATTTGAGCCTCTATCTTGGCGAGTTGAGACTCGTACGTCTTCTTACGCTTGAGGGCATTTTTCGCACCGGTCTTGTTGCTCTTGCCCAACAACTGGCGCGCGATTTGCTCTTGCGAACTCACTTGCGTTTGCAAATGCGCTTGTTTCTTGTTCAAAAGTGTGATATGTTCCCGAAGGTCCAAGATCGCTTTCTTAGGCGCATCTTTGCCTTTGGTCGCAGTGCCACCGCCAAACAGATAAGACCACATCCGTTGGAACGCTTTGTAACTATGCGATGAGTCCAGTGGCTCGCGCCTTAAAGAGTTGTGATGGTGGTGTTGAGTTGGGTTTCTCAGGGAGTTTTGCCAATGGTAGATTGTCTATGGTCGGAGGTTTTCCGTACCCTATGATACTATCACGTGTTTTGCACGACTTGACAAGCTTTGGCAGAGTTTAACAAGCTTTGGACATACTGATTCTTTTGAAAATCCTCCCGCCGTTAGAGCTGGCTTTTGCGGGCCCTGTGGCTTTTTTCTGCAGTTTCAGGTCTTTCAGGGCGCCTGGGGTGTTCGAGGTGGTTTCCTACGGATTTTGCGCCTTTGTGGGTGTGTTTCAACGATAAACTGCTCTAGAAAGGCTTCTAAAGCCCTTTTAATGCGACACGGAGCGCTTTTCAGGGTGTTTTGTTGACGGAAGATGTCGCTTAGACTTTATATACGTTTGTCACGTGACCTCGGTAAACGGTGTTGTCGGCGAGCTGGTGAGTGTATTGTGAGCTTTGATCTTAGTATTTCGCTCTCTGAAGGACCTCTTTTGGTGTGTTTTGTAGTACTGTGCGCTTCGCTGTGTATTGTGTATCAAAATCACCGGTATTTCAATATGTACAAGGTCAGTGAGCTGTTCGCCCCCACCTTTCAGCGTACTCTTTAGAGTGCCCTGAGCCGCATAGATTAACGTGGGCATTTTTTACTGTGAGTGTATACTCTCGTTTGTTAGCGTTACGTGTGTTATGTGTACTTCAGATCGCTTATTATGAGAAGGCCCGCGACCGCGCAAATCGATTCGAGTTCAGGCAACTGGTACCATTCGACCAATACTGGTTTAAGAAAGCATAATAAGTTTTAAGGTTTATCATTGTCGGTGGCCGATAAGTTCTTGAATTGTTCGCTCAAGTCGGTCATAATTGATCTTAATAATGAGGTAAGTTAGAGATTGAGTATTTATATCTCTCCGTATTTATCTCGAGAAAATGAATAGTCTAGTCCTGATCATATCGTCGCCTTTTATACTATTCTTGTGTCGAGGTAAACCGGTGTCGGTCGTTGATAGATTTCGGAACTCCTCATTTAATTCGTTCGTAGTTGATCTTAAAAATAAAACTGATAAGGTGTTGAGTACAAATATCTCTCCGTGGCTATCTTGAGACCATGACCACTACAATCCTGGCCATATCAGCTCCTTTTATACAATTCCTGTAACATTGTCCCAATTTCGGAATGCGTTACTTTCTCTAACATTGACGGTGAGTCATCATTACGTCACCTATTAGGTCACTCTTGGTGTTATTACGGGGTGTGACAACACCATGACCATCACTGGAATCGTTTGAGCTTCCAATGCCCCTACGAAACGCTAATCGTTCTTTCGATCTTCCTACGTTATTCTGTCGTCGCGGTCACGTGAGAGCTTAAAGTGGACGACATCACCTCCTCACTTTCGCCGTTCAACAAGGTGATCTGCTGCCTGCGCTGATATTTCTCAAACGGTGCTGCCATTAAAGCCAGCTTTATGGCCAACCCCGGCAGTGTTAACCGTTGCGAAGGCCCTTCAACGACTTCGCACCTCGTCTCCTTCTGTACGTCACATGCGATACCATTTCCATTCATGGTATGATACTCCTGTAATCGACAATAATAGTATGCCCTGTCTCCGCGAGCTCGCCCTAACACACCTGATGAGTTATACCCTATGGATGGTCTTCGCCCACCCCCAATTCTGTCATGGTGATCACGTGATACCTACAACCCCAGATCACGAACTATCAATTCCGAGGATGTGAAAAGAGAGCAATATCCAATGATGCCAGCTCTCAAACTCTAGTAGTATCGCGGGCTCTCCATCGATTATGCTCTAGTGCTCTCTAGACTCCAGTCGAGCCTGTCGTGCGGATCACGTGACTTTATCCAACCGCTTCACAGCACTAACCACCTATGTCAAACTCAATATCTTTACAAGCAACCCATAAATTGAAATGCAGGGATTCTCAATTCGGTCCAAGCAGTTAATACACCAGATATTGCTATTGTTGGAAGGAGCTAGCAAGAAGCATCATCAAGGTGCATTATCCAGAACTCACGAGCACGTGATCATGATGACAGAATAAGACATAGCTCATTATTGATTCGCACGCGTATCTACAGAAAGGTCTCGAACCACAAGAGATGTCGATGATGAGCAACGAGATTGCCGCCTCATCTCAAAAACTGTCGAAAAGCAAGAAGATTTTTGATAACTATTATTCCAGAGTTAAGATATCAAATGAACAGATATCATTGTGTAAAGGAGAAGATACGATGAAAGTTAGAGTGGACATGGTGCCAATTTAGCCACGGAGGTATGTCAATACTCAATACCTAACTTGCTTCTTATCAAACTCAACTATGAACGAACTAAGCGAACAATTTAAGAACCTGCCTACCACCGAGGCTGGTAAACCTCAAGAATTTTTCATTACTTTGCGGTCTTCCGTACACCTTCCTGCAGCTTTTTAACTGCTGAGAGAGTTTTTCATCTACCGCAAGCTTGTTCAGGTGCCTAGCCGTTTCCTCTTTTTCCGACATAACGAAGATGTAGCCTACTCCAAAAGCTCACACTGCAATGTGCACAGCTGAGCCGTTTTGCTAATGCACCGTTGCGCGCTTCCTCTCTTTCACATCTTCTGGTAGCTTTTCGGAAAAATCTCCTCTGAATTGGCTAATCACCTGCCGTTGTCAGCCTGATGAGCTTGGCTTGTCTACAGAGAGAGCAGTCCACATAGAATAGAAGAAAGATGCCGTTTAAGGATGCCGCTTGGGGACCTAAGGGCCCTTTGTGTATCCATCTATTTTTTGATCGTGTATCTGGTATAAGACATTATTTAGATACTTTTCTAGATACTTACCTCTACATACTCCTACCTATACAAGATTGAAACTTGGCAAGACCGGAGAAATGCTGAAAAACAGCAAAAGAGATATCACTGCACCGCAACAGTGCTTACTCATGTTTAACAAATTTGTATATCTACCTGTGTACCTTGTTTATACTGTGTGTATATTATTTAATTATCTGTATATATATATATATATATATATATCTTTCCATCTTTCCATCCTTAACAACACCACCAAAACATAAGAACAAGCTACGCAGCTCCAAGCTACCAAGCCCAAACAATCGTCGCCGTAGGGTGCAAGACACACGACTCATATCCACCAATGGGCGTTTCGGCGCGTATATTAGGGCGCATTTGCCAGTGCCCGCCTAGTTCCTCCCGCAACCCCGTGCATCATCTTCGTCAGAATCGTCATTGTCATCTTCACTGACGTCGTCCTCACCAAAGGCATACCAGATCAGTCCTTCAGTACAACTTGTTTTCGCTCCAGGGGAACTTGATGTCAGATTTTGATCTACTTTCGAAACGAGAACCGCTGAATTTCGACAGAAGCAGCGAACCGGAGCAAGGCTGGAGCAAGACTAGAGCAACTCTAACAAATGAGAACACCTTGGCGACTTCGGCTTCACCCAGTTTGGTCACCAGATTTAGCCGCCGACGTGAACCGGAGCGGGGTTCTCCGAGGGACATCACGTGACACCTGGCAGCCGTTAACTACGACAGCACTCCGCACGTGACACGGTTGCTCCGCGCCGTTGGTCGTGGCATGGCTTTAATTGAACGCGGAGAGCGCCAAGCGACTTTGCTACTGCAGAGAGGCCGTCGTCCATCAACGGCTTTCTGCCAAGTCCCTTTTCGCCTCGTCTCCCCTCCAAATACACGCCCCGCAGTCCATGGGCGCAGAACCGTCCGGATCGCATCAACAGCGCATCATCACGTCCGAGCAATGGGTGTTCGATCGCGCTCCGCGCGACGAACACCCGCCCGAGGGCAAGGCGCGCCGTACGCCGCTCACAAAGGAGGAACGTGACCATCGGCGACGGCAGCGCGAGCTGGAAAACGAGCAACTCCAGAACGAATACAATGCGGTGCGCCAGGAAAACGCCAAGCTTAAGAGTGTCGTCGCCCGTCTGCGGCAGGATATCGATGCGTACGCGCGTCTGCTCGCACCTGAAGCAGAGCCGGGTGCAGCGTCTGGTGCTGTGCCCGGAACGGCGCCCGGGGCCCCAACCAGGGTGCCGTTGGAGGCCGAGTCCATGGCGGAGTCATGCGATACGGCCAGCGCTCGCGATTCTCCTACGCTCGATCTTTTCCCAAGCGACACCAGCGCAGCGGGTGTCTCCATGCGTGCAGCACAGCGCGTTGGACAGTGCACCGCGTTGCGCGCTGACGGGTTTCCCCCGCTCAATTCGCTGCTAGTGAGCAGTTCGAAACGACGTAAACGCGACAGCCGCGAAGCCACCGAAACATCGGACAAGACGGTCGGCGTCGCCCCCACGGCTGTGGGACCCGAAGAAATCGCACTTATGCGACGTCTCAAGGACGTGCTGGCCGAGATGGAGTAGTCAATGGTCACGTGGTGTGACACGTCACGTGCCTGTTTTTTCCGCAACCGTGCCGTTGCCCGGCCTAAACACTCCAAACCAAGCTCCTGTAGTCGGATCCGACTCCGGCTGCGCAAGTTCCCCCGATCCGCGAACCTGACAACACCGGTATAAAACAGTTGCACACGAAGGAAGCGGTTTAAGATATACACCGCTGCTAACGAGGCAACAGCAAAGCGCATTTACGGAAGAACTCAAGATCCCTCAAACACAATGCTCACGCTGGTCGGACTGAACACTAGAAGTGCCCTTTGGAGCTCCCCAATCCAGCATGCGGCTCGCCGGTGCGCGGCTCGCCTTGTACCTCGTCGCAACATGACGACGATCAAGACCTCTGTCGACGAAGCAGAACAAGTTCTGGTCGCACAGCGTAAGCATAGGCCCGTTTCGCCCCATCTCACCATCTACCAGCCTCAACTCACATGGTACTTGTCGTCTCTGCACCGTGTCACCGGTGTTTTCCTCGGCTTTGGCTTCTTTGGGGTCGTGATCGCGTTCGGCGTGTCCACGCTCTTTGGCTTGGGTCTCACTACGGACAAACTCGCGCAATACTACCATGAAAAGGTGCCCAAATGGGCAGACATCACGCTCAAGGGTTCCGGTGCTTACTTGTTGGCATTCCACTTTAGCAACGGTATCAGGCACTTGATCTGGGACGCCGGTAAAGCCTTGTCGCTCAAGGGAGTCTACTCTACCGGCTATGCCGTGCTAGCGTTCACTGCGGTCGTTGGTACCTATCTTTTCGCCCAGTAAACCGGGCGAACTCGGATTTTTTCGACAACTGGCATTGAAAACCCCTCTATTTATACTAAACAAAGACTTGATGTTCGTATTGGCTTCGCTACGTGTCGCTACGTGTCGCTAAGTTTCACATCTTTGGCTTTTCTATAGGTTTCAGAACATATATATTAGCTTACTGAAATTTATATTCTTGAAAGACAGGGCATCTCAAAGGAACCTTAAAAATCTGACGCTCATTTGGACAGAAACGGCATCCAGAAACCCAGTTAATTAACGGGAGTCTGCTAACCGTGACAAAGAAAATTTCAGCTTTTGAAAGAGCCCCCAAACGTCCCTTTGGCGTTCTGTTAACGTTCGGTTTTGGTCTCATATCGTTTACAGGGGTACAATGGCTTCTTATGTGCCATTTCTGGGTCGTTTGACCCTTACAGACTACGTTATTATCGTCTTGGTGTACGTGGAGAAGCTTCTTTCTTTGATTCCTTACCTTATCCCACGAATGTGGAGTGAATCTGCCGTGTTCGTGCTGAACCTTGTGTTTAAACGTCCTGCGACCCCGTACGAGAACGCAGCTCGTTTGCTCCGCGATGCTAAAGACATCCATGAAATGGGTCAAGTTTTCGGCGTCGATATCGAAGATCACATCGTGCGCACGGAAGACGACTATCTCCTGACCGTGCACCGCATCGCACCTTTGCCAGAAACCAGTAATGGACAAGTGGTGTATTTGCACCATGGTTTGCTTATGTGCTCTGATATTTGGCTGTGTAACACTGAGCGTGAGCGAAACTTGCCCCTAGTGTTGCATGATCTTGGATTCGACGTCTGGATGGGTAACAATCGCGGTAACAAGTACTCGACACAACATTTGCATCGTCGACCTGCGTCGCACGAATTTTGGGATTTTTCCATCGACGAATTTGCCTTTTTCGACATCCCTAACTCAATCGAGTTTATTCTTCAGCATGCGGGCGTCGAACGGCTCATTTGTATTGGATTCTCACAAGGTTCTGCGCAAACGTTTGCGTCGTTGAGCGTACGCGAGGACCTTAACGACAAGATCAGTTTATTCGTGGCCATTTCGCCTGCCATGACACCTCGCGGACTGCATAACCGAATATTCGATTCTTTGCTCAAATCCAGTCCCGCACTCATGTACTTGTTTTTCGGGAATCGCATCTTACTGCCCTCAGCAAGCCTTTGGCAAAAAACCCTGCATCCAACCATTTTTAATACAATCATCGACCTTTCCAACCGCATCCTGTTCAATTGGCGCTCTCTCAACATATCTCCGCAGCAGAAGCTGGCTTCGTATGCGAAATTGTATTCCACCACCAGTGTCAAATGCGTAGTTCATTGGTTTCAGATCCTGCATGCTCAAAGCTTCCAGATGTTTGAAGAAAACGATATCATGCTCAATTCTTGGAATACCACCAGAAGCTACATGATTACCACATTCCCGACCAGAACTAGTATTCGAATCCCAGTTCTTTTGCTCTACGGGGGATCGGATTCTTTGGTCGATATAAATGTCATGAAGGCCAATTTACCTGCTACACAGGTTTTCGATGTTGAAATCCCTGGACACGAGCATCTAGACCTCATATGGGGTTACGACGTATCCGAGGTCGTTATCCCAAATTTGCTAAGATTCATACGCTTCTTCCACGAGGTCCAATGTCTCGAAGACGACACCACTTTGGGTGGTTCTTTCCCAGATCCTTTGGCACTCCAAGCAAGCCTGGCAAAGCCCTAATATTATTTCTACTAATTCGTCCCGTGCACGGGCTATAACTTAGAGGTATCGCCATTACGGCCCCGATGCCTTTACTTATTATATTTCATATGCCATTATATACTGGAGTTGGTCTTCCAGTAAGCTCATCTTAAAAGTGAAAAAAGTCAACCTACTTTAGAACTTGACATTAGTATATCGACAAAATATAAAACGACATAAACAGGGTCAATATGCAGAAAACCAATGCGTCTCATGGTCGTCCGAGATCAGGCAATCAACCCAAATCAAACAAACCTAATGATGGCCATAGAGGCGGATTTAAAGCAAGCAAAAAAAGCTTTAGAAAAAGGCCATCTCATTTTCCACATAGTCCGGCAAGTAACGGGCCAAATGGGAGAGCTACAAGCGTTCCATTGGATGATATGGCTAAAGACAATGGTAACGGACATAATGGCGATCGCAAGCGACAGAAAGTGGGGAACAGCAGGTACAGTGGGTCCACATTTGCAGAGACCGGTAATAGCAGGTATTCGAATCCACCAACTAAAAAGTTGAAGCATGCAGATGACAAAAAAAATAGGGTCAAAGCTGCTGCAGGGGGTCATTCCAGGTACAACCCGGGTTCTACAACGGTTAAAGTGGCGCCTGTGACGATCGTAGTACGAGAACGTACGTCGTCCGTGTATGAACGTATTCAACAAGTTGGTGAGGGTACATATGGGAAAGTTTACAAAGCAAAAAACACATTTACCAACGAGCTCGTGGCTCTTAAAAGACTGCGACTTGAAGGCGAACGAGAAGGTTTCCCGATCACCTCGATTCGAGAAATTAAGCTTTTGCAAAGTTTCGACCATCCCAATGTCAGTACGTTGTCTGAGATAATGGTCGAGTCGCAGAAAACCGTTTACATGATCTTTGAGTATGCGGACAACGATCTTTCAGGTCTATTGATGAATGAACAAATCGAACTTACCGCTGCAAATTGCAAGCATCTTTTCAAAAGCCTTATTGAGGGCATTAATTATCTGCATTCCAACGGCATTTTGCACAGGGACATCAAGGGCTCCAACATACTGATAGATAACCGGGGACACCTACGCATCACGGATTTCGGACTTGCTCGTAAAATGAAAGAGGAACCGGATTACACGAACAGGGTCATTACTCTGTGGTACAGACCGCCAGAGCTTTTATTGGGCACCACGAAATACGGACCCGAGGTCGATATGTGGGGGTGTGGTTGTCTCTTAGTGGAATTATTCCAAAAAACTGCATTATTTCAAGGTACCAACGAGTTGGAGCAATTACAAGCCATCTTGGCTCTAATGGGCACACCAACTTTAGAACAATGGCCCAATTTATTCGAGATGCCCTGGTTCTTCATGATGATCCCACAACAGTCTTGCCAATACCCTTCAATTTTTGAAGAGCGAGTGGCACCTATACTTCCCTCGCGTGCCTGTTTCGATCTCGCGAGATCGTTGCTGCTTTTCAACCAAGCCAAACGTCTCAACGCTTCTGACGCCTTAAAGCATCCATATTTCCAAGAGGACCCAAAACCAGAACCTCTCGATCTCACTGGTTTCACGGGCTGGCACGAATTCGAAGCCAAAAGACATAGAAGGAAAGAGCGTGAAGAACAGAAAAGACGTGAGAAATCCGAATCAGTATCCACATAATTTTGTAGTGAAGTGCATTTAAATTAAAAGAAGAAAAAAGAGCCTAATTAATTGCTACATAAATGGCACACCTTCCTACCAAATCCGCCGGATTACCTGTTCTTTCCTAACATTTCCTCTTCAAAACACCAATTACCCCCGATGAACCAGGATGCATGGATTTTACCCAATTGACCGACTAAATGATCATTACAATGGCGAGACATCACCTCCAATTGGTCAGTAGTATTTTGGAGGTTTGACTGCAACACTTTCAATTGCTGAGCAAGTCTAGCATACTGTCTCTTCTTTGTTTCGTTCATCGCTGATGAGCTTCAGATTGTTGATGTTGATTAATTGAGAGATCATCCTTTTCGAAAAATGACAATACTCCATCGCAGGATTACAAAAAGATAAGCAATCGGTATATATGAGTGGTGATCAATTACTAGATGATCCAGCCGGATTGATCAGGGAGACAAGGCAAAATTTCTCTATTTCTGGAGACCTCAATTCGCTTTCAAGCATTGAAAAGTCGTTAAAACAACTACGAGAATTCGTGCAAGAACAATTGGAACAAAAAACCGGGGAGGTGGATCATTTGGCGTCAATGGCCAGCAAATCCGAGTCCAGGATCAGTTTACTTGATTCTGAATTGGCTGAAGTGGCCGGTACAGAGCTAAATGGGGGTAAAAAGGAAGAGTTAGATGAAATCAAGAAAGAATTGGAAAAGTTGGAAGTCAAGTTACGGGCTTCAAAAACGGAATTGGATGCCAAAATGCAGGAATTGGTTAAGGAAGATACGCAGAGGGTTGAGATTGGAAACTCTAGTGACAACGCCGATGTTCGACTGGAAATCTTGAAATTGCAATTGTACAGATCTTTAGGCGTGAATTTGGATATAAAGAACCGACAGGCTCTGATACAGAGACCCGATGGGCAAGGAACCGACGGGGTCGATTTTTTACCGCTGGACGGTGAATTGAGTGAGTTTTTCAAAACCAAATTTGTATGGGACAGAATATGACGATCTCCTCAAGAACTCATTGATAACGTATTGCACTATTTACAAGGTTAGAAAAGCTAAAACCTTAGAAAAACTCGGGATTGCGTCTTTGCGACATTTTCGTCCATTTAGGAAGTTTGTGAATTCCCTTACGATAACCTTTGGACCGTTTGTTGAAGAAAGTGTACTTGTCCTTATACGACATTTGCTTTTCTGATGGGAAAAAAGATGGTTTCCCAAGGACTCGAAGTTGTTTTACATTCGGTTTCAACAACTTCGGAGCGGCAACAGCATCCTGGAACGCCAGGCCTTTTGATTCGTTCCTCATAATGTGCAAACCCAAATTAACGGTTTTCAGTACATTGTCAACTTGTTGCAATCTGTGTCTCTGCCTCTGCTTTTGCGGGCGGGAAAGCCTCCACGGTATTTTCCAAAGTAGGCCACCTAGCAAAGTGTTTGAGGATTTAAATGGGCCAAACATGATTGGAATAGTTTGCTGGATCGGGTCGAAGTCGACAGCTTTCAGTTCACCCCGGTAACTCAAATTTTCCAGCGTTTATTTCTGGTCATGTTGTACGTTGTGACCAAAATTCACTACCATCACTCTAAAAGGTGGTAGCCTATCCCGTCAAGGAGCGGCTTTACTGGATCTGGGCTGTGATTTTGGGAGTTCTGAGCGAGCTGAATTGAGATGCTTACACGAATTCTCCTTTTTCTTTTCGAAGAACGATCAAAATACATCAAAATTGAACGGCAAAAATGAGAAAGTTACTTCTACGCACCTGGAATTTTGTCAACTTCTTCTGAGACCGATTTGCCAATCTGTTAGGCTTCTCAATTTTTTTCGCTTTCATTCTCAAACTCCTGGGTACTGTTTGGCATTGAAAAGTGACACCACATTGATACACGTTGATGACACGTTCAAAATTGCAAAGAACACAGAAATCAAACACCGTCGTGCATCCCGAGCCAACTAGCAATGCCTAGGTCTCGTTTGCCGAGACTACTTGCTATAAGGTCCAAAACCCAATTAGCAGAACTGTTACAGATTTTAGCTTCAAAAAATACTTACAGGCCTTGACACGTTGCTGCTACTAATAACTCCAACTAGCCTGCCTGAAGTGGACCTGAATGGCCTCGCCAGCTGACGAAGCAGAGACGATTGGGCACTGCTACGTATATAGTGATTTCCAGTGCGTTGCCATGCCGTCTTTACGAATCCTCAATTCAACTCCCAGTATATGGGCAATGATGAAGCCACCTTGTCTCTTGCATTTGCTCTTCAACTGAATCATCTTCTATCCATTCAATCTAGCAGAGTAGTCGCATTTACGTCGCGTTAGTTGTTAAAGTCATATTTTACGAATCAATTCGATTCGATCCGATTTCAGTAGCACTATCGACGGTTCGCGTCCGTCCACTGAATTACTAGTTTCGTCCTCAGTGCTGGCTCTCGTCTCGTACCCAATAGTACCTTCTCAAAGAGCAAGTTCATCACTGTGAGTAAATCAAGGACCCATTCTGCACCATGAGTGAACAACCCAAAACGGGATCATCTCATAGACTACCCATTTGGGTTCTTAGTCCGCGAGAAGAGAAGGAAGCTCGCCAAAATTTGAAAAAAACGGCGTTTAGCAAGTGTGATGAGTATGTTAAAGCCATGGTGGAGTGTTCCAAGAAGCATGGACTTAAAGTATTCCCAACTTGTGAGCCTGAACGTGACAAAATGGCTGAATGCATATTGTTTTATCAAGACGACAAGTATCTTGACGAAGAACGCGACAAGATTGTTCAACGTAAGTTCGATGCACTAGAGGAGCAAATCAAGAGAAAATAAAATCCAAAATGAGCAGAGAAAGACGATATGAGACGATGGAATGGTGAAGGCCCCTGTATATATGGAATATGTCGCGCAGTTTTCCTGCTTAATGTCAAAAATTTTAGGTCGAACCCTAGCTGCAGATTATGTCGCTAAACGAAACGAAGGTTTGGTAAACTTTAAAACAGGTCAAGTAGATCCTGGGTATTTGTAGATTGACTCCCATTTTTTTTGTTTAGCGTGAGATTATTCATGCCTTGCTCGATCTGGTTAGATTTTGGTTGTTGCGAAGAGTCGAGATGAAACAGGTCTTTTAATTCGTTGAGGGCGGTTCCATTGGTATCGTTACTCGTAGTGTTTGATGACAGAAAATCTGTATCCATATCCAGCAGATTATCCTCATTCATGTTCTTTAGAATCTCACCTTGCGCCAAGGACTCGAGCTCGTGCATTTGCTTGCCCTTCAATTTACCTTCTGAGCGCACCGCCTGTCGGTGCATCGCAGCGGCAGGTTTGAAATAGACAGAACTTAATAGTGAAAGTTCTGAAAGTAACGTTTCTAGTAGTTCAGGGGAAAATGTGTCCAACGTTGTTGGAATTTCCGGTAGCACAGAATGGCACAGTTCATTGATCAAGGTGTCATCCGCGTCTTCTAGTGATAAGCATCGCCAGTACATGATCGCCATATCCCTTACGTCTATGTCCTGAGTGCTATGAGTAGCAAGATCCAGTACGTTTTGAAGAAGTTGGCCAGATATACTTTGATGCAGACGAACAACCGTGATCAATAACGACATCTGCGACAGAGACTCCTCTTGAGTAAAAGTTTCAATGAATGGGTTCAATTTGGACTCGATGTTGGTAAACTTGGCTGGAAATTGTCCAAGGAGCCACAAATAATTACATTTGGCGTAATCGCTTTGAGGCGAACCAGTGTCTGTCGCATCCCATGCATCTACTACCAAGCATACTTGTTTGATAAGTTGCTCGTCTTGTTCACCGGTATGTCTGAGAAGATTGCACATACTAATAAGGCAGTCATTTTGGAACTCTACGCGAGTCTCAAATAACTCTAACAGGATGTCTAAGACTTTGGAGACAAACTTGATTTGGGAATATTTGACCGCGAGTTGCGATAGCGCAAGGATTGCACGAGAGACAAATTCGGGTTCGTATTCATGCGCATACTCTTTCAATTCCGAAAGAAGCAACGTACACTGTTTCAAATTGGCAGGGTCCACCAATCTTACCAATATCTCGATCTTCTCGAGTTTCAGGTACAATGGATCGTTAAATTTCACGTAGAAAATTCGCAATTCGCGCGATAGAATGGCAGGATATTTTTCCAGGATGATTCGCATGTTTCTGAGAGCAACGTATTGCATTTCTGGAGGAGTTGACATCAGAGAAACTAGACCCGAGGCTATCTTAGCGAAGATGGGGGATTGGGTATCGACATGGATGATGGGTAAATTCAAAAGTACCACTTTAATGGTGGCCAAGACTACAGCTGCGTTAACGTGTTGTAAATGAGGCGTGACTCTGTCTATGATTTCTTGCGCTTCGATGGCATCACGCGCAGTGTAATCGGCCAAAGCTCCTAAAATGGTGGCACGCGCCCATTCGGTACATTCATTGAGGGCAAGCAAAAATTGAGAGATGTGGTCTTTGATCAATTCCGGTAGGGGCACCACCGTGGGGTCCGTTTCATGAATATCTGTCAAAGCAGCAATGGCATTGGCGACCACCAGAGGATTCGAGTCCTCTAGCGCGGCGGTCAGATCCTCGAGGACACCGAGCTCTTTGCAAAGCTCTGCATTCAGTGCAAAAAGCTTTGCCACACATATAACCGCGGTTTTGCGTACGTATGGATTTTCGTCCTGTAGCGTTTTGCGTAATGGGATTTCGATGTATTCGAGGATCTTTTCCACTCGAATCATCGACATGGTTCGGATCGCCATGCATCTGATGAGCGGGTTGGGGTCTGTCGCATCACTGACAAATGTGTTGACCGCCAGAATGCACAATTCAGGATGAGACTCGGCATAGTTCATCACGTACAAATACACGAGTTTTTTCTGCTCCACGTCAGAGGTGGCAATATTCTTCAAGACATCGGGGAAAAGTGACGACACGTCTTTGCCCACGGTCATTTGCTGGATTGTCTTCTTGATGGCATCTTTGCGAGTTTGAGGGTATTGTGAAACAAGGCCGTTTCTCAATTCGAAAATCTCGCCCTTCTTGGAGATCTTTGGCGCCACTCGAGTCGCATTTTGAATGAATTTCTTGAGCTTTTTATCCATTTGAATTGCCAACGACCAGGCTCACACAGGGGATGCTCGCTGTCGTTGTGATCTTGCATCGTCTATTATGAATGGAGAGGGACAAACATGGAGCTGCATTCGATGTTCCGTACAATGTGATGTCTGAGTCGTGGAACGACCCGGTCGCCACAGGCCGGACAAGTCTCAATGGTGTTCCGTTCTTTTCAGTCGCCGGCCTGGCCTTGCCACGATCTTCACCTGATCCTGCTTGTGACGTAGCGTATAATTTCAGTCCCACCTCGCCAAATATTAGATTGCCGAAAGTGTAGTAGGGGAAAGACACGGGTTCTGTATATTATTGACGTTTCCAGAGAGACTGCCGTTCAATCGGGGCCTTTAAAAGGTTCAATAAACACTCTTCCAATCGTGACGTCGACTTTAATTCTCGCCATCTCAAAGTCATTTAAGGTTTCAAAAACTTTAAACCAAGGCCAAGCACCCACGACAAGGGCCAAACGTCTCGTCTTTTCATACCATCAAAAGTTATAAACGAATCAGGCAGCCACCACGTTGTAGTCTGTCTATTTAAAAACTAAAAATCTAGATACCCGCGCTTCTCCTGTTAGCCCTGGTCCATGAGCGGCTGTTGTTGTCTTTATCAAAGGAGCAAGGGAGCGCCTTTTATAGTTTTTTTCAGGGGAAACCCCCCCTCAGCGTGAACCCGCCACAAAAACGAACCACACCCCCTGTCCTCTTGTTTACATCTCGCGGTTTGGCACCTCGGCGGCTACTGCCCATTCCGTATGCTGCGATATAACGCACATGACTTGGGCATTTGGAACGGCGATTGCTGCACAACGTTCCACGTCCAAAACGACATTCGAAAAACCCCCACTCTTGTCCGCCGAGAGACTTGCCGCGCAACAATGTCTGGGTGCGCTGCAGACCCAAAAAGTAACTCTGGGGTCCGGGTGTAAGCAGTCACACGGGCAATGTACCGAAAAATTCGCGTGCACCCGGACATTTCGAGGCGTAGAAACCAGAACGCCGCGTTAGGTAAGCGAAAAAGGCCCTCGGTGGCCGTACAAGCGGAGCTGTTCAAGCCTACTCGCATGGCGACCCACCCACGCAAACACACCGATCGCGCATCGCCGCTGACGCTGAATTTTTTTCCAGTATGGACCCGCGAGCACAGCGGAGAAAAAAAAGTGAACTTCTACTTGACTACAATCGCTCTTAGATTTCTTTAATCTCATCTTCCCACAAGCTAACCAATGTCTGCATCTGCTGAAGTTCTAGTTCTAAGAGGTACTCTAGAGGGCCACAACGGCTGGGTCACTTCCCTGTCGACTTCCCCAGCTCAACCAAACTTGTTGTTGTCTGGTTCCCGTGACAAGACCTTGATCACCTGGAAGTTGACCGGCGACGACCAACAATACGGTGTCCCAGTCAAGTCCTTCAGAGGCCACTCTCACATTGTCCAAGACTGTACCGTCACCCCAGACGGTGAATACGCTTTGTCCGCTTCGTGGGACAAGACCGTTAGACTATGGGAATTGGCTTCCGGTAAGTGTATCCAGAGATTCGTTGGTCACAAGTCCGACGTTTTGTCCGTCGCCATCGACAGACGCGCTTCTCAGATCGTGTCTGCGTCCCGTGACAAGACTGTCAAGGTCTGGAACACTCTAGGTGAGTGTATGGTCACTTTGTTGGGCCACAACGACTGGGTCTCCCAAGTCAGAGTTGCTCCCAACGAAAACTCCGAGGATGAGACCGTCACCGTCATTTCTGCCGGTATGGACAAGGTCGTCAAGGTATGTTTTACACGTTTTTTGTCGCACGGATGGTCGCTGCCGTTGCCGCCGCGCCTGCTCCACGCGCTCCACACATGATGCTATCTATATTTGCTACTTCGGACGGGCCTTGCCGGCCCGAATGAGACTTACCAATATCACCAAGATCTCTGATGTGGAGCCCTGAGGAGCGGCGCGGCTCGTAAGCAACGACGAGGCGCCGTGCATCTCCATAATTTCCCGCGCGCACCCGATACTAACAGCATTTGAACCCAGGTCTGGAACTTGCACTCTTTCCAAATCGAAGCCGACTTCATCGGCCACAACAACTACGTCAACACCGTCACCGCTTCTCCTGACGGAACCCTTGTGGCCTCTGCCGGCAAGGACGGCCAAATCATGCTCTGGAACTTGGCCGAGAAGAGCGCCCTGTACACTTTGAACGCCCAAGACGAAGTTTTCGCCGTCGCCTTCTCTCCAAACAGATACTGGTTGACCGCGGCCACCGCCTCTGGCATCAAGATCTTCAACTTGGAAGAAAGACAAGTTGTCGACGAATTGAGACCGGAATTTGCCGGTTACACCAAGGCTGCCGACCCACACGCGGTCTCTTTGGCTTGGTCCGCTGACGGCCAAACTTTGTTTGCCGGTTACACCGACAACGTCATCAGAGTCTGGCAAGTCATGACCGCCAACTAAGCGGTGTGCGCGAAGTCGGTATTATTTCATAATCTAGTTGTATAGTCAAAAGAATATTGTCTCCAGCAGGGAAGCTACTCATTTGGAACCCGCGACATATCGTTTTCCACGTGCATCGTCCCCCACGAAACCCAGACCCCCTGACGTCACTGTACACCCACACCCCATCCCCGCATTTTGCATAGCCGCCGTCCCCTCTTCGGAATCCTCCTCGGAATCCCGCTCGGAATCCCGCTCGGAACCCCGCTCGGGGTCACCTCTTGCTTCCCCGCTTTCTCGTGACCCTGGTCAGCCGCCCGCCCCACATCCCCGCTTCCCCGCAGGGTTCCGACTCTCAGGGGGTCTGCCGGGGTGTCCAAGGAGTCAGCCCTCTATCCGCCTAGGTCTGGGCGGGTCCCGCCCAGACCCTGGCTAGGTCCTGCCTGGGTCCCGCCCAGACCCTGGCTAGGTCCTGCCCGGGCCCTGCCTGGGCCCTGCCCGGGCTCTGCCCAGCCGTTGCGGGCCGGGGGGAGTGAGCCTGGCTTGGCTCGCCGTGCCCCGCCAGGCGCTCTGACGTGGTGCAAGGACGCCCCCCCTGCGGGGTAAACCCCTACCGAGTAGTCCGTATAAGAACCCCGACCCGCCGCCCATGGCGTCTGTTCTTCTACGCGCCACTCTTCTGAACCACAACTTCAACTCGCCATGGCAGGACTATTTGACGCTTTTGAAGTCTACAACCGTAAGAAACACTCTTCGAACCCGACCATGTTCGGGGGAAACCATTCCAACATAGGAACTAATAACACCGGGTACATGTTTGCCCACGAGTACCAGAAGCCCAAGGACAAAGATTTACAGGTCAAAGAGGCTCTGATACAGTCGGGTGAGGCGCCCGTTCCGGGCGCCTCACCCGACGCCGGGGCAATCCCGAATCCGAACCTCATCGACATCTCGAACATGTCACAGGCGGAATTCGAGCGCGTGTACCGCGGAATGCGCAAGGGCGAGCCCAACAATAGGGTCAACTTTTGATATGTATCGCGAAGGTGTATAGGTAATTATGTTAGGTTTGTTTTCTGGGCGAGATTGTGAAAATACCGGAAAAGCAGGCTGTGAAAAGGTTCCGGGCAGAAACAAGCACACGGCGATATGCTCACGTTCGAGGCTCTTCCTGGCTTTTTCGAAGCGTTCCCTGTGGCCGGTGCCGGCGCGGTCGACGCCGGGCTCGGCCTACACACCCAAAGATGCGGCTCGTTCGCCAACTGGCGCGATCTGTACGCGCGGATCCCGCCAGACACGGACCAGGAACGGTACAAACTGGTCGCGTTGGCGCGCCATGGCCAGGGTTACCACAATGCGGCGATTCTGCGCTACGGAATGGAGCAGTGGAACGCGTACTGGGCGTTTTTGGACGGTGACGGCGAAACGCAGTGGCTCGACTCGCATCTCACGCCCCTGGGGCGGAACCAAGTGCGCAACGCCTCGCGTGCGCACCTGGAGCCGCTCGCCAAAGAGTTGCAGCAACTGCCACGGTTTTTCTGCTCGCCCATGCGGCGATGCATCGAAACTCTGACGGAAGAATGGACGTCGCTCGTGCGCGACGCAGGGCCCGTCCGAATCGAGATCCTAGAACAGCTACGAGAGAGACTCGGCGAGCACACGTGCGACAAGCGCGTCGGACACTCGGTGACGGTTCAGGAGTACCAAGGAGCGCAGATCGGGCGCGGATCGCTGCAGTTGGAGTACGAGCCCAATTATTCCGAACCCGACGCATTGTGGCGCAAGGATCATCGCGAAACGGACGCAGAGATGGACGTGCGTATTGACGCTGCCCTCCAGCAGGTGTTGGCCAACGCGGACCGTTTCATCTCGATCACATCGCATTCGGGAACGACCCAGGCGCTGTTGCGCGTCTTCAAGCACCCGGCAGTCACAAATTTGCCGACAGGGGGGATTGTGTTTTGCGTGGTTCGTGTTCGCGGGCAAGACACCACTGCTGCCGCGATCAGAGTCGCGGCGGGAACCACGACGGGACCCACTCCCGGTATCAAACCCCAGCTTTGAGCGCGCCCAGAGTTGGCTCCGCCGTTGAATAAGCTTGAGGATCACGTGACCCGTCCAATCTTTTTCGTAAGAAGGTACTCAAGGACCATATTCGTAAACTATGACCGGCTCACAAATCCGTGTGGCGTGATACCCAGGCATGCCGTACAGTATGACCCGTGCTTTTTCCTTTTCCCACCTGACTCACACGGGTTCAAGATCTGGAAAATTTTTCAGAAAAGAATGAATCATCCCTGCGATGAGTCTTGGCTGAAAACCATTTTGAACATATAAAGCTAACCAAGTGTCTGGTTGAACCCGTCCAGTTCCAGTCCGAGAGTATTGACGCGAAAATATGATCAGGCAGGCATCGTCAAAAGCAGCGCTCAGGCGAGGTGCGATGTTCGCATGCACGAAGAAACAGGCCGCTGTCGGCACGGCTGTCGGCACGCTACGTCTTTACAGCGCCGCTGCGTCGCAGGCCGCGACCGGTGAAAGGCCGAAACCCGCTCCTAGCTTTAATGCAGAGACACAAGCGAAGCCGGTGAAGGGCAAATTGGCCGCTGAACGTGACATTGCGTCGGCTGAAATGGACGCTTCGTTCATCGGACTCTCCGGTGGTCAAATTTTCCACGAAATGATGAGACGTCACGACGTAGACACGGTGTTTGGATACCCTGGTGGTGCGATCTTGGCCGTGTACGACGCCATTTACAACAGCAAATACTTCAATTTCGTGCTACCCAAGCACGAGCAAGGTGCCGGCCACATGGCCGAGGGTTATGCGCGCGCCAGCGGTAAGCCCGGTGTGGTGCTTGTCACGTCGGGGCCTGGTGCCACGAACGTTGTGACTCCCATGGCCGACGCTCTTGCAGACGGCGTACCCATGGTTGTTTTCACGGGTCAGGTGGCCACGTCTTCGATCGGTACGGACGCTTTCCAAGAAGCAGATGTGATTGGTATTTCGCGGTCTTGCACCAAATGGAACGTGATGGTCAAAACAATTGAAGAGCTACCACGTCGTATAAATGAAGCCTTTGAGATTGCCACCAGTGGTCGTCCAGGTCCTGTCTTGGTCGACCTGCCAAAAGATGTCACTTCGGCCATATTGAGATATCCTATCCCAGTCAAGTCCACTTTGCCCTCCGATGCGCTTGCGCAGTTGACCAAGGGCGCCGTCGACGGTTTCACCATGGCCAACATCAACAGATCTGCGGAATTGATCAACATGGCCAAGAAGCCTTTGCTCTACGTCGGAGGTGGTATCTTGAGCAGCGAAAAGGGTCCCAAGCTTTTGAAAGCACTCAGCGAGCGTGCGCAGATCCCAGTCACGACCACATTGCAAGGCTTGGGTGCGTTTGACCAAAGAGACCCCAAGTCGCTAGACATGCTGGGTATGCACGGATCCGCCGTGGCCAATTTGTCGGTTCAAAACGCAGACTTGATCATTGCACTGGGTGCAAGATTCGACGACAGAGTGACAGGCAGTATCGCCAAGTTTGCGCCAGAGGCCCGTCAAGCCGCCATGGAAGACAGAGGCGGTATCATTCACTTTGAAATCTCGCCCAAGAACATCAACAAAGTCGTCGAAGCCCAAGTCGCGGTCGAAGGTGACGTTTCGTGCAATTTGGAAAAATTGATTCCCTTGATCAACCAGGTGCCGGAAAGACCAGAATGGTTTAACAAGATCAACGAATGGAAAAAGGAGTATCCTTACGATTACCAAAGGGAAAGTCATGGATCCAAGATCAAGCCTCAAACCGTCATTGCTAGACTTTCCGAAATCGCCAACGGTACCGGCAAGGACGTCATTGTCACAACCGGTGTAGGTCAACATCAAATGTGGGCCGCTCAACACTGGCAATGGCTGCACCCACGTACTTTCATCACCTCCGGTGGGTTGGGTACGATGGGTTTCGGTCTTCCAGCGGCCATTGGTGCCCAGGTCGCTAAGCCTGACGCCATTGTTATCGACATCGATGGTGACGCCTCTTTCAACATGACCTTGACCGAGCTTTCGAGTGCCGTCCAAGCCGGCGCTCCAATCAAAGTCTTGATTCTCAACAACGAAGAACAAGGTATGGTTACACAATGGCAATCTCTTTTCTACGAGCACCGTTATTCCCACACGCATCAACTGAACCCAGATTTCATTAAACTCGCGGATGCCATGGGCGTCAAAGGTATGAGATTGTCGGATCAAGCCGATATGGAGGCTACTCTGAAGGAGTTTGTCTCCTACGAAGGTCCTGTCTTGCTAGAGGTCCATGTCGAGAAAAAAGTGCCCGTTCTACCAATGGTGCCCGGTGGGAAGGGTCTGCATGAATTTATCTTTTTCGACCCTGAAGTCGAAAAAGAACAAGCCGAATTGCGTCGTCAACGCACGGGAGGCAGGCATTAATCATGGTTTCAACTTTTTTTCCTTCGCCTCTTTCATTGATCTGCTCAATAAGCATCCAACTCAGAGATTGGTCACAATTACACACTAAGCCCCTCTGTGACACTGTAGTCTTACTCGAGAAACGAATATATCAAAAATTATCTGTAAATTATGTGAACGATTTCCTTCTACTGACACTCTGAGCCCCGATATCTAACTCCCAGGTACAAACTACCCCGACAGCCCTTGCAGTGGCTCATTAGACGATGATTCGTTCGAGAATCGTGACCGTTCTCGTAGCTCCAAGCCCAATACTCGAAAGATACTCATTTGCTCATGTAACTGTCGACGAATCACTTATATTTCGATAGGGGCATGTAACAAGATTTAAAGCTGGCAAGCCTAGTTGATTTATAAAGACATCAACACTAGCCTAAAACAACAGCAATGGCCATTTTGAAGCGGGGTGCACGCTCCAAAGCTGTAGAACAACCTGCCAAAAGATCTGGTCAAATAAAGAAGGCAACTTTTGACGCTGGAAAGAAGAAAGAAGTCGGTGTTTCGGACTTAACTTTATTGTCAACGATATCAGATGAAGCCATAAATGATAACTTAAAGAAACGTTTTCAGAACGGAAGCATTTACACTTACATTGGACATGTGTTGATCAGTGTGAATCCATTTCGAGATCTTGGAATTTACACGGAACAGGTTCTAAACAGTTATAAGGGCAAAAATAGATTAGAAGTTCCACCACACGTTTTCGCGATTGCCGAGTCTATGTATTACAACATGAAAGCTTACAACGAGAACCAGTGTGTGATCATATCCGGAGAATCTGGTGCCGGGAAAACGGAAGCAGCGAAACGTATAATGCAATATATTGCCGCAGCGTCAGAAACGCATTCAGACTCGATTGGCAAAATTAAAGACATGGTTCTTGCGACAAATCCACTGTTAGAATCGTTTGGTTGCGCCAAGACTTTGAGAAATAATAACTCTTCGAGACACGGGAAATACCTGGAGATCAGATTTAACGCACAATTTGAACCCTGTGCCGGTAATATCACCAATTATCTTTTAGAAAAGCAAAGAGTCGTGAGTCAGATCAAAAACGAACGGAATTTCCATATTTTTTACCAGTTCACTAAGGGCGCTTCCGACAGTTATAGACAGACTTTTGGAGTTCAGAAACCTGAACAATACATCTATACCTCTGCAGCAGGTTGTACCTCCGTTGAAACGATCGATGATCTGAAGGACTTCGCCGATACCATCAAAGCCATGGAAGTTATTGGGATTTCGCAAGAAGAGCAAGATCAGATTTTTAGATTACTTGCGGCGATCCTTTGGATAGGTAACGTAACGTTTGTCGAAAACGACGAAGGCAATTCACAAATTAGAGACACTTCCGTCACAGATTTCGTTGCTTACTTGCTGCAGGTTGATTCCCAGTTATTAATAAAGTCCTTGGTGGAGAGAGTAATTGAGACCAACCACGGTATGAGAAGAGGATCCGTCTATCACGTACCTTTGAATGTCGTACAAGCAACTGCTGTGAGAGATGCTTTGGCCAAAGCTATATACAGCAACTTATTTGACTGGGTCGTCCAAAGGGTAAATGTGTCTTTGCAAGCTTTTGCAGGAGCAGACAAATCTATCGGTATCCTGGATATTTACGGGTTCGAAATTTTCGAGCACAACTCCTTCGAGCAAATATGCATCAATTATGTCAACGAGAAACTACAACAGATTTTCATCCAGCTCACTTTGAAATCCGAGCAAGAAGAATATGCAAGGGAACAGATTCAATGGACTCCCATCAAATATTTTGACAACAAAGTTGTTTGCGAATTGATAGAGGCCAAGAGGCCACCCGGTATTATAGCCGCGTTGAACGATTCGGTGGCAACCGCGCATGCCGACTCCAATGCAGCTGATCAAGCATTCGCTCAAAGACTAAACTTGTTCTCGACAAATCCTCATTTCGACTTGCGCTCTAATAAATTCGTCATTAAGCATTACGCGGGAGACGTGATGTACGATATTGATGGTATGACCGACAAGAACAAAGACCAATTACAAAAGGATTTAGTAGAGCTTATAGGAACAACTTCTAACGGTTTCTTGAACTCTATTTTCCCAACTGAAATCGACAAGGATTCCAAAAGGAGACCGCCCTCAGCAGGCGACAAGATTGTGAAAAGTGCCAATGAGCTTGTTGATACTTTGTCAAAGGCGCGTCCTTCCTACATTAGAACAATAAAGCCAAACCAAACCAAATCGCCTCAAGACTATGACGACAAGCAAGTCTTGCATCAGGTCAAATACCTCGGTCTGCAGGAAAATGTTCGAATTAGAAGAGCCGGTTTTGCCTACAGACAGACGTTTGACAAGTTTGTGGAGAGATTTTATTTACTTTCACCCCGTTGTTCATATGCTGGAGACTACACGTGGCAAGGTGATACTCTCGAGGCTGTCAAAATGATTCTCAAAGATGCATCTATCCCAACAGCTGAGTATCAGCTTGGCGTGAGTAAAGTCTTCATTAAGACGCCGGAAACTTTGTTTGCCTTAGAGCACATGCGCGACAAATTCTGGTACAACATGGCTGCAAGGATTCAAAGGGCCTGGAGAAGGTTTTTGCAAAGAAGAATTGATGCAGCTTGTCGCATTCAAAGAACTATCCGGGAAAGAAAGGGTGGAAACAAATACGAGAAGTTGCGCGATTATGGTGCTAAAGTTCTCGGAAATAGAAAGGAGCGGCGTGCTATGTCTTTGCTGGGTTACCGCGCTTTTATGGGTGACTATCTTTCGTGCAACGAGCGCAAGTCGAAAGGTGCATTCTTGAAGAAACAGGCTGGCATCAACGAACGTGTCGTTTTCTCCATACATGGGGAAGCACTCCATTCGAAATTTGGCCGATCAGCCTTGAGACTGAAGAAGACTTTTATACTGACTTCTTCAACCCTCTATGTCATTGGTCAGAATTTAGTCCAAAACAAATTAACTTACAGCGTTGATCATAAAGTGAACGTGAAGCAAATTAAGTTTGTAAGTTTGACAAATCTTCAAGACGATTGGCTTGGAATTTTCGTCGCCAATTCCACACTGCCAGATCCCTTGATTAACACTTCTTTCAAAACGGAGCTCATAACTCATTTGAAGAAACTTAACAGTGGCATCGAAGTAAAGGTCGGTCCTGAAATTGAGTATCAGAAAAAGCCTGGGAAAGTGCACAGGGTTAAAGGCCAGATAAGCGAGTCAGCTCCAAAGTATGGCGATATTTACAAATCAAGCACAATCTCAGTTCGTAGGGGCCGTCCAGCAAATTCTAAATCCAATCCAAAACCTCGGAAGAAGAGTTTTTTTAGTGACACATCTTCACCAGTTAGCAGTCGCCCATTAAGCAATACTGTGAATAGCGTCCAACCTTCAGCTGCGGCTCGCACAGTTTCACCTCAGCAAGTAGCACAGAAAAAGCGTGCGCCACCAGTCCCCATGAAGAAGAGGAGTCCAAACCAACCTGAAGCTAATCATGCTAGTAGTATAGCTGCGCATGCTGCCCAGGCAGCCTACCATCCATCGGTGACTGCCAATACACACCAGAATCCAGCAGTATCGAATGCAGTGCCTGTTCAGCAAAGCCCAACAGCTACGATGACGCAGACCCCCGCTAAATCCAACGGCTCCAAAGCTGCTCCGCCTCCTCCTCCGCCTCCACCTCCTCCTGCGACGAAACCCTCAGAGCCAAAATTTGTAGCTGCATATGATTTCCCTGGATCTGGTGCTGCCTCTGAGCTTCCTCTAAAAAAAGGTGATGTCGTTCATATATCTAGAGATGAGCCCAGCGGGTGGTCTTTGGGCAAAACGTTAGACGGCACTAGGGAAGGGTGGGTACCTACGGCTTATATTACCAAGTACACGGGTGATACTGTTAATTCGACACCGTTACCGGCCTCGACATCCTCTAGCACCACTGCAATGAACTCTGTCGGGCCAAGCGCGGAAGGCTTCACCAACGGTCTCGCGTCTGCTCTTGCGGCTAGGGCAAACAAAGTAAGACTCGACAGCGATGATGAAAAAGATGATGTCTCTGAAGAAGATGATTGGTAGTGGGACGTTCACAACTACGGAGTTTTGCTTTAACCAATACGAACATACAACAAAGACATAAGTAAACCATAGATAATCCTACTTTTAATCAAAGAATGACATTCTTGACCAATAATGAAAGAGCCACACCAATGAGTGCAAATTGAATAAAAAGCTTTGCCTTCCATAAAGTCTTGCCATCACGACCTAATTTTGGCTTTGGTTCGGCTGCAAGTCTCATTATGCCGAGCTTCTTATTGCCGAAGGGAGGTCCCAAAAGTTTAGCAATCTTTTCTGTGAAATAGGGCTGATAAATCACAGTTCTTTCATGAGTGAAAGCATGAACAGTCCATTTACCGTGATAATTACCATAACCAGAGCGACGGATACCGCCAAAGGGTGCGTCCTTGGCACTAACATGAATCATTGTGTCTCCAATCATGCAACCGCCAGACCTTATCCTGCGCATAATGTGGTCGATTTCCTGGTTGTCAGTGGAAAAGATATATAGGGCCAAAGGATAGTCATGGTCCTTCAGGACAAGGTCGATGGCATCATCCAGATTATGGTATTTGACGAAGGGCATAACCGGAGCAAAATTCTCATTCTTCATGAGTGGATCATTCCATTCAACGTCAAAAACCAAAGTTGGAGGAATGACACGGTCTTCTCCACGATAGCCTGGCACACAAGTATCGAATTTTTTGCCTCGGGTACTGTCAAGGGTCTCTCTAGTCTTTTCGTAGCCACGCTGTGTAATCATGTGCGTGAAATCAGTCTTGTCGTTGAAATCAGGCCACATCTCTTGTAAAACTTCTTTGCTAATCTTGACCGCAGCATCGTATTGGGATTCATGAACCAAAACAAAATCAGATGCAACGCATACTTGGCCCGCACTGGCAAAAGAGCTGAAAAATGTACGCCTCAGTGCCTTCCGCAACTTATCCTGGGACAAATTCTCAGTAATGAAAACGGGTGATTTCCCACCGAGCTCCAAAACACATGGAGTTAAACTCTTGGCGGCCTCTTGTGCGACAATTGAACCCACCGTAGTCGATCCAGTGTAGAAAATCTTGTCAAAGGAATCGCTCTTCAACAAAGCACTGGTTTCCGGAACGGCACCTTGCACGACTTCAACTAGACCAGGCTCTAGACAGTTTTTCAAGATCCGTTCTAAAACTATCCCAGTCTCAGGCGTCAGCTCGCTTGGTTTCCAAACCACGGTATTCCCACCTGCAATGGCACCTGCTATGGGATTCATCGCCAAATTCACGGGGAAATTGCTGGGTGAAATAACCAGGACCGTGCCAAGAGCAATACGTTGCAATTTGACTTTGCTTAGTCCAAAAATCGGTGACGATTCCTTAATTTTCTCATCTTTGATCAAGTCGGGCAAAATTTCAATCAACTTCAAAAGATCGCCATAGAGTGGAACAAGCTCTAAACACACAGATTCAAACGGAGTCCTATTGAAATCTTTCTGCATGGCTAGCACAATCTCTTCTTCATTGTCCTTTAACGCATAGTAGAGTTTATTCAATTGAGAAATCCGGAATCTCAAATCTTCCTTTTGACCATTTTTCAACTGTGCCAACTCAAATTGTCTTTTGGTAAAGCTCTGCTTGGCACGATTAATCTTCTTCTTGATTTCCCCTATCTCAGTGTACTTCAATGCCATCCTTTCGATTGTTTTCTGTCTTTTGATTTTAAGGAACTAGGTTTCTTCCAAGCCCTTTAAAGTTTCCTTTGGTTCCCTTAAAAATTCTTTGATTTTTCATAATTTTCATCATCAACAAGTCCGATATCAACAACAATGGCGATCACAGGACTCGCCATTAGCCCTGAAATAGCCCAATTGTTGACGAATGCTGCTAGGAGATTTTCCAGGTATATCTCCTTGTATGTGGACGTCTTGAACAAGTATATTGGTTACCAACGTCGAGTCTCGACGCTGCGATTCGAAAGAGCCACTTTGATCAAATATGTCAAGAAATTAAGGTTTTTGAATGAACATCTGATTGACGTTGAGTTCTCGGAATGGATTGGTAACGATCTAGCGTCAACGGCGGCTTCATTGGGCACCTATCTCATAAGATGTCTTGAAATCTTAGATTTGTTGAACTTCTACCTCACACAGAGCCTGCGCAACGAGACGATCTCAAAGACGTTGAACGAGAATCTGGTGTTCTCGGGCGAATGCATTGTGGTGATGGAAACCACGTATCAGCATTATGTGAAATTCACCCAATGGATGTTGGAGTCACTCGGGTTGGAAGATCAAGATTTAACCATTGAAGTGATTCAATTTGCTAGGAAATGCGCCAAAGAGGATGAAGTGGACTTGGAGAAGACCGACGATATCTTGCTGCAAGAGGTGGATCGTGTGAGGGACGCGGACGAGTACCACGAACTGTTGAAAGAGTGGGATCAGGTTCTATTGGACAGACTGCAATTGCTTCGCGAGGATTTCGACGCAGAGTCCGATCGTTGGCAAACGTTTTTCGAGGCTCGTAGATAGGCGCGCTACGTGATTTCATCCCCCTGTTCTGCGTCATCCGGTAGTTGTGACTGCCGCAATCGTTCCCGCACCAATTGATCCCGTCTTGGTTTGGCCAACACGCCCAGTGTCATTCGATAATCGTCCAGAGAATCCATTTTTTTGGCAAAATAGATATATAGTTGATTCAAAGTCATTCGGGTCGGATGACCACAGTAGTTGTTGTTGCCCAGTCGTATATTCTCTATGATTTTAACGGCTTGTCTGCGCGTTATATCCTCTGGTAACCCATATTTGGTCGGATTATCCCGAACGTCATTGATCCTATTGATGATATGCATTCTTTTGGCAAAAAATGTGCGTTCCGACGCACTGGCTCTCCAACTGGCACCAAATCGCCGTTCCAATGATACAACCGAAGGCAGTCCCGTAAGACCTTCGTAGTATTCTCGAGCTAAGTCTGTGACACTTCTTATGGCTCTGTTCAGCTTATAAGAGCTTGGGTCGTTACCATTCTGATTTCCATTCTGACTCCCATTCTGCTCCCCATTCTGGTCCCCAAGCTGGTCCTCCCCAGTATCTCGCCTCGACTCTGGTAACTGTAATGACTCTTCTGCCTTAATAGGACCAGGTCTCAACGCAAGCGTTTGTTGCCACAAATTTTCCCAATGACGTTCTCGTTGAGCTGCAAAATTCGCCGCAAGTAATTGAGACTCATTGAAACCAGCCGCGTCCTCTGCACTCACATTTTCAGCACTATGATCCAGGAAAGAGACCCGCTCTCCTGTGACAACCCCAGTAAACTCTCTGAACACTTCCTTCAACGCAAACACATCCTTTGAACATTTTTCCACATGCTTAAATGCACTGGTCACTTTCTTGCACAGGCTCACATAGTAATCTTCTTGCTCTTTCTCCAATCTTTCCATTCGTTCCGTTAACATTTCGTTCTGTTCTTGGATCTTGCTCAATTTTTCGAGAAGCAGCGATTGAAACGCTCGGTTTTCGAGGTTCCCGAAACTTGAACCGGGACTAGATTCCTGAACGGCTTCTTCGCCTTCCAACTCGAGTCCATTGTTTGTTTCTGTCATGCCTGTGATTCCAATCGATGGTGATGAGCTTAAAGATAAGAGATTAATTTGTGACAGATTTCCATTAAAGGGCGCGAACCCTGATGATTAGGGGTATAAAACGCCTTTGGACTATTTATGCTATATATGCTAGTATCTTGGCAATTGCAGACGGCCGCTCTCTTATACAAATGACGGAACGTCCGAGTAGATCTTGTTCCATGGGTATATACCAGAATTTCTAGCAGGGAGTAAATAAAAAGGCCTCGAATCAAAGATTGTGGTAGCAATTACACAATTAAGGCCTCCCATCCACGTTCAATCAAAGTCCTTGCTCTACTATTGCCTTTTTAGCTCCCTTTCCAAGAGTTCCAATTGTTCTTGCAATTTCTCATCATCTTGACCTGTAGCCTTCTTATCCAGATTAATGGGCAACAATCTAGTGCCAATATTATCGTCCAGATGTTTAATTTCACGTCTTAGATCCACAGAGGCCCTTTCTAAGCTGCTATAAAACGCTTTTACATGGGATTCGAACTGAGGTTTCATAGCTTCGTTTCCGCTCTTTAAACCGGCTAAAGTCCCAATAACTTGTGAGGCATTCGATAATATGATTACCAGCTCTTTGTCAATGTCATTTAGAGCCTCTAATCGCTCATTTATGTACTCTGGTTGGGGCATATCCCGGGTTCTAGTAGTTGATGATTTAGGTCTCAATATACAATTACCTTCATCGATTTTTCTGCTTTAACCTTATCCATAAAGAAGAAACAGAACAAAACGACTGCCAATGGCCATTGAATTAGGTCTCTCACGCGTACAAAACCTGCTGCGATCTCTCGGTAATCCCCAGAACAAATTGCGGGTCTTACATGTCGCTGGAACGAATGGGAAGGGTTCCGTTTGTACATATTTACAATCGATTTTACAAACTCAGAAAACTGCTCTTGTGGGCAAATTTACATCTCCACATTTGATCCATATCACCGAATCTATTAGCGTCAACGATCAGGCTATTCCATTACCGGTTTTCCATTCAATTCGCAACAGGTTAGAGTCGATAAATCAAGAGTTACAATTGAAATGCACCGAATTTGAGCTTTTAACATGTACAGCTTTTGAATATTTCTGGCAAAAAAAGTGTCAATGGTGTGTGCTAGAGGTTGGGTTAGGTGGGAGACTTGACGCAACGAATTGCGTCCAGGGACACCGGAAAATATGTGGGATAACTAAGATTGGGAAAGATCACGAAAGCTTTTTGGGGGATACAATAGAAAAGATCGCCTATGAAAAGGCCGGAATTATTGTCGAGGGGGTTCCTTTCGTCGCAGTGGACGGAACCAATGACCCTCAAGTTCTGAAAGTTATTGAAACTAAGGCACATATGACTGCGACGCACGTCAGCGTTGTGAATTCCAATGAGACGGCTCCAGATGTGATACGCACTGAAACGTGGGGAGAAATACCACGAAGTTGTATACCGCTCAATGGTGCGTATCAGACTGCCAATGCAAGTGTCGCACTCGCCATGCTTGAATATTTACATCAAAAGGGACTCGTTACGCTTGATAGACAACAGATTGTTGACGGATTGCACAACGTGCAATGGCCCGGACGGCTTCAAACGTTACAATATAGCGTCTGTCCAGAGCATAACTTACAAATCTTACTCGACGGTGCACATAACGGTGCCGCGGCGTTGGAACTTTCTGCTTACCTTCAAACGCAGGTCAGGACCGTAAACGACCGGGGCAAAACCAACCCGATTACTTTTGTACTTGCAGTAACGAACGGTAAAGACGTCACATCGCTTCTGACACCACTCGTGACTCCCGACGATACCGTTATCGTAACGCAATTCGAAGCGGTAGACAAGATGCCCTGGATAGCATCGATGCAGCCTGAAGAACTAGCCACAACAGTTGAAAAACACACGCATAATGTTCTTGTCGAACCGAAACTTGACGACGCTTTGAAACGTGCTCACATGCTCAATCGCGGCCCTGTAGTTGTTTGTGGGTCCTTGTACCTGTGTGGACAACTCCTAAGAAACGTTTCGGGTACTCCGTGATCGTTACTTCACTTGCTTCTTACGTGGCGAGCGTTGCAATGCGGAGTGAATGGTTGCCTGCCCCTTGGTGTGCTCATTTTTAGACTTTTTGGTGACATGTTCGTCATCACCTCCAAAGGAACCCTCCCTTTTCACTCTCTTGGCCGATGAACCCTCATGATACTCGTCTTTGCCACCTCCCAGTGCTCCCCCCTCAGGTATGACAAGCTCACCTTTCTTGTTGACACCCGATGGGACATTGGGATCAGCCTTAATTTCACTTTTCTGTTTCTTGTGCAAAGGTTCCCGCTCTTCCACGGGTTTTTTGAGCAATTCCTCTTCTTCTTTCTTCACGGGTTCAATTAAGTAAGACCCATTGTTACTGACTTTGTTAACATCGGAGTTAGCCTGCCACCATTCAACAACGTCCTCATAGCACCTAGCCTTTAAAGTTTCAATCAGCGTTTTATCGGCCCACTCATGCTTTGAATCATCCATCCATGCATCCCATTCTTTCGACCCGGGCGTAAATATCACAGGCATACGGAAGTGTAACCATTTCATGTTGGGAGGAGCAGGGCTCGTTATTATGGTAAAGGAGTAAAAATCCTCGTGCGGAACGCGATCCCAAAGTCCTGCTAGAAACATGACTTGTCGATCTTTCCTGGTCACATAATAAGGGACTTTGGTCTTATTTTTCGTTATCCATTCATAGTAACCGCTCACCGGAACAACACATCGTTTGCGCTGGCAAGGTACTTTCCACATTTTACTTGTTCCCAAACTCTCAGTCCGAGCATTGAACGTTTTGTAGAGTTTTGCTTGGGATACGTCCTTTGTCCATTGTGGTACAAGCCCCCATTTCATGTACCTAAGTTCATGGCCAGTCGTGTAAACTGGGGCATCCTGCGTGGGTGCCACATTAAAAGACGGTTCATGTCCTGATATGTTGTCTCTAGAAAGCTGAACTTCAAAGTTCATTTGATGCAGTCGTTGATTGAGTTCTTCTCCGCTATAATTCAAAGCGTATCGACCACACATTGCGATTAGTGGCTTTTGAAGGTTAAACAGGTGGTGATGAGATGGTGAAGAGAGTTGGTTCCCTTAAATGGCGATGAGCCCTTCGTCGATAGTGATTTTAACTCACATTATGAGCCCAACAACGCTTAGACTCCAGCTGCTGCTAGTGCCCTTAAGCAAGCCATGGTCACCTGAAATTCTTCATAAATGCCTCCAGCTTTTTCCCCAGTGCTTTTTTTATGGATTTTTTTGATGTATGAAGCTGTAACTGTGGAAAATTGACTGCAGAGTGTTGGTTTGAGGGCTGATGAGCCGTAGAGAATCTTTCCGGAATTTCACTAGGATTCGTGAACTATTCTCAGCTCTCTCAGCTTTTCAAATGAACTTGAAGTTGGCAACGAACTGAAACTTTGTAAAAATCTATGTGGAGGCACGTCGGTTGAGAGCTTAAAGACTTGAAATCTCTGCTTGAAATCCCGATATTTGCTTCGACCTTTTACGCATGAGCTTGGTTTTCATACATCTGGGCTATTGTCTGGCGTACCGTTCATGCCGTTCAATCGGACAACACAGTGGTTTCAAGGTGCTTCAGATGTTGATCAAAACGAGGCAATCTTGTAATATTGAGAGCCCACTCAGCAAACATCGCTAATCAATCATTCAAAATGTATCGCATAAAGTGTCAGAACTTGACAAATTATATCTCGTAAGCCTATTGGTCCCAAAAAACGCTCAAATTCTTCTGAAATCATGCTCAACAGCGTGAGAGAGATAAAATACACATATGCGATGACAATTAACTCATGGTTTGTCATAATTTGTCAAATCCAATGCTACTGTTTTTAATGCAATTTCATAGAAAAGCGCCTTCCGCTCGAAGCGCATCAATGAAGTAAGCGTAAATTATCTGTAGTTGTTTGGAATTAGTGTCTATCATTTGATTCATTTTCCATTATCTGAAATCATTTGCAATGATTATGGAGATATAGACCCCTGTCCTGTTCCTTTACATAGCTTAAAGCGATCTTTGATACTGGGAGGCTTCTTCTTATGTATTGAAATTCAAGATTAACAAAACTGACGAAATCACTATTTAAACAACAATCAAAAGTAAGCTCAAATTGGATCTAAATTGGGTTTGTAGGACCGATCCAAACCTTCCCTGAAAGTAAATTCAATGCTCAAAAGAAGCTTTACTTTAAGAGCTCGCGGTGGCACCTTTTTGCCGCGCCAAACAATGACTAGAACAAGAGCAATTAGTATGGCAAGTTTCCCGGGTCAAAAGCAAAATACAAAGCTTACAAGCTGGTTAATAGGAATAAGTGGATTTGGAGCATTGTCTCTAGGAATTTTTTACTTCTATTGGCCTCGTCACAATTTCCCAAGTCCCGTTGCCAAAAAGCTGCGACAGGCTTTATGGGAAGAGAGTGAAAAATCGGACCACGACTACCAAGGTGCGCTAAGGTACTATTTGGAAGCGCTTCAAGAATGTGACAATTCAGGTGTGAGTTCTATAAGTGATGAATACACAGGTGTGGAACTCAAAATAGCTGAAATGTACGAAAGACTCGGAATGCAAAAAGAAGCGCATAACGTCTACATTGAGTTGTTGTACAGATACTACGATGCCCTTCAGGATACTAACAGTGTTCCTAACAACTTGAGACCGCATTTGATCCAAAAAGATCTGCGCGTGTTGATAAAATCGATTGAGATGAACCAGGACGTCGAATTGGGTAAACGTAACCTTTTGACCCATTTGCTAATGGCTCAGGAAGAAGTGCTTAGTAGATCACCAGAGCTCAAGAAGTTTTTCGATCGTCGCAAACAGCGTACGCTGAAGCTTTTCCAGGGCAAAGCTACGGGCGTCGAACCAATCGATTTTCAAGCTTTGGTCAATGAGAACACTATCAAGCTAGACGAAGACTCACACATGATACTGGATTTAGCAAAGGATAGTAGCGCCTGGGAACCTTTTAAAGACGAATTTTTCACCGCGAGAGACCTCTACACCGCGTACTGTTTGTCTACGAAAGATATTGCATCTGCATTGAGTTGTAAATTGACTACAGTCGAATGGATGGTGATGGCAGACATGCCACCGGGTCAGATTCTCCTATCACAAGCGAATTTGGGCTCCTTATTGTACCTTCAGGCAGAAACGTTCGAGTCTCAAATTTACAGGTTAAACCAAAAACGTGAAGAAGAACCAGGACTCAAGACAGATGACAATATCATAAAGACTTTAAGAACTTTGCATCGCAACCGTGACTCTTGCTTCGACATGGCTACGAAATGCTACGACAGCGTCATCAAATTTTCCAAGAGAAACAATAAGCTCAGATTTAACGCCAAGGATTTAATGGATCACTCAGCAGCTCACGCCATTGCCCTGTCAACCTATGGAATGGGAGTCATAAACCTGCACAATGGTACTCTCCCCAGAGCCGAACGACTGCTGAAGGACTCCATCAGCATGGCTCAGGAAACTGATTTTCAAGAACTCTACAAGGAAGCAAACCAAGAATTGAAAAAGGTGTATCTTGCCAAAGAAACTACAGCAAAAACCAGCAAGACTGATGAGGGCGCTACCAAGTAGCAAGGTAAATGTGAGATTGATCTGGTGTGATGCTACTCGATGACTTTGATAGCCATCTTCATCGACGAAATATGTTGATAGTCTTTAAGCCTATATTACGATTTAATACATCTCTTGAATCCAAAGAAAGGCCTACTAATTAATGCTGAAAACCCTTGTACCGTGGAATAAAGCCTCTTCACGAGGTCTTTCTACCTTCAAGAGGTTTGCCACTGCGGCTTCGAAAGTACGAGAAGGACAGCTACGGCTATCGTTCGATGACCAAGAGTACTGGAGGAAATTCAATAGCGAGAGTTTCTCGTTAGAAGAATCGAAAGAGAAGGGAATATTTCGTGGACAAAATGCTGATGGTAATTTTCAGACTGGATTATTCCAAAATCCGTATTTGACTTCTCCCGTGGGACTTCGGAAGTTCAGTGTCAAGTCACTAGCGCTTGCCGGTGATTTGGTCGATGAGATGAGATCGAACAAGACTACTCAGGGTTATTTGCAGTATATTAAGAAACTGGACCGATTGAGTGATACCTTGTGTCGGGTTATAGACCTATGTGAGTTTATTCGAGCGTCACATCCTGACTCACAGTTTGTCAAAGCTGCTCAGCAATGCCATGAAGAAATGTATGAGTTTATGAATTACCTGAACACCGACAAGAGCCTATGCGAAATTTTGAAACATGTGCTCGGCACTGAAGCGATTCGAAATCAGCTTCCAGCGGAAGATATCAAAGTGGGCCATATCTTGTTAGAAGATTTCGAAAAATCCGGGATCGACATGTCTTCTGAAGTTGGAGAACAATTTATCAGTTTATCGCAGGAGATAAGTCTTGTTGGCCAAGATTTTATTAATAACACTGAATATGTGCGGTCCAATTTTATCAAGATTCCATGTCAGAAACTCGAACAAAGCGGTGTCAGCGGTCTCTTATTGCAGCAATTATCCAAAGATCTCAAAGGACAAAACTATAAAGTGCCCACGTATGGATTTGCAGCTTACTCGATTTTGAGAGGTTGCTCCGATGAAAGTATCCGCATGAAAATATGGACAGCCATGCATAGCTGCTCTGAGAAACAGATTGGAAGGCTAACCAAGCTTGTTCAACTAAGAGCTATGTTGGCCAAGATAATGGGGAAGAACAGCTTTGCACAGTATCAACTCGAGGGGAAAATGGCTAAGAATCCTAAATACGTTTTGGGTTTCATTCAATCCCTCGTGGCGAATACTAGACCCAAAGCAGCAGAAGAATTGACTACGATTGCCAATTTAAAGGCCAAACATCTTTCTTTACCTAATCCGCAAACTACCAGTGAAATTCTCAATACAGTACGTCCTTGGGATCGGGATTTCTACAACACTTTGAATTCGGTACGTCAACAGCGTAAACCGCTATCAGATGAAAAGATATCGTCATACTTTTCCCTAGGAACAGTGATGGAAGGTCTGTCGCATCTTTTCCACAGCATTTACGGCATAAAATTCGTCCCCGTAGCGGCTAAGACTGGAGAAACATGGTCCTCTGACGTGCGACGTATCAATGTCGTGAGCGACTCTGAAGGGCTCATTGGTGTGGTTTATTGTGACTTATTTGAAAGAGAGGGCAAAACTTCAAGCCCAGCTCATTTCACGGTGTGCTGCTCTCGCCAGATATACGAGGGTGAGACGGATCTTTCCAACATTCAGACCGGCTTTTCGAAAGAATCTGGTACCGTTTTTCAATTGCCCGTGATAAGTCTGGTGTGTAATTTCAGGCCCTCGACCGCTTCAAAGGATGGAAATCTGTATTTGTTGCAGCTTTCAGATGTGGAGACTTTGTTTCATGAAATGGGTCATGCAATGCACTCGATGCTCGGACGCACACCTCTACAAAACATAAGTGGCACGAGATGCGCTACGGATTTTGTCGAATTACCGAGTATCTTGATGGAACATTTTGCTCGAGACATCCGTGTGCTTTCGCGGATTGGGAGCCATTACGAGACTCGCGACAAAGTTCCAGAAGATCTACTTACGCTGTGCTTATCTGAATCGTCGTATTTGCAAAACACGGAAACCTTTTCACAGGCCAAAATGGCACTTCTGGATCAAGAGCTACACTCGCAAAAGATTCTCCAAAACGTGCTCGAGGTTGACGTCGTGGCACTCTACCACAGGCTGGAAAAAGACTTGCAAGTGCTCGTCGACGATAAGAGCAATTGGTGTGGAAGATTTGGACATCTTTTCGGTTACGGTTCGTCGTACTATAGCTACTTGTTTGACAGAGCTATTGCTAGCAAAGTCTGGGAGCACATGTTTGCAGCAGACCCGTACAGCCGCGCCAGTGGGGAGAAGTTTAAAGACAGTGTCTTGAAATGGGGAGGATTGAGAGATCCATGGGAATGCATCGCAGACGCTTTGCAGCTACAAGAGCTGTCAAAGGGTGACGAAAATGCCATGAGGTTCATAGGCGAGGCCAAAGATCTATGAACGGCGTTGTCACTTATTCCACTTGTAAATATATAAAATGAATAAACGTCGCAGCTGGATCATAGCACGACAGCGTAAAAGGGTATTCGGAAGCCGACACTTCAGGAAGCAAACTCGTTGGCGACAACAGTTAGAGTTCCAGCAGGACCAAAAGCCTGTTGCATCTAGATGATCTCACGGTGTCAGTCTCTGCTGCTATTAACAAGGTAGTGACATGGCGATCACCGGACTTTTTGGTTAGATATAGACTCAAAAGAACTCAATTTTTTCAAGAGTCGGCCTTGTTGGCGCAATCGGTAGCGCGTATGACTCTTAATCATAAGGTTAGGGGTTCGAGCCCCCTACAGGGCTTCTATTTTTTTGACTTTCCAAAATATTTTATTAGGTTTAAAGACTATTTACTATCGCCTGCTTTTAAAGACAATCGGATGGAGATGCTTTACAAAGGCTGGACTTGTTAAGTCAATGTCAAGTGAATCAACAATATTTATCATAGATGTTGCTAAATCCGTAGTGACATCTGGGTTTCTGGACCGCATTGTCACGTACGTTGAACATACGTTATTCCTGAAGGTTAAGAAACAGCGAAAAACAGATTGGGCCGGTATTCTCCTGTGCAACTGTCCTGTGACCAAGAATGATCATGATACCGAGAACGTATACGAACTTTTACCGCTTATGGCGCCAATTTCCACGACGGCGGTGGTTTCTGGTTTACAAGAGTTACAAGGTCTGCGCGAGCGATGCGAGAATGAAAAACAGACCCCACAGTCGATGATACAATGCTTACTCGTTGGATCAGTGATTTTACGCGACAAATTTAAGAATCGCAAAGTTTTTAAGCAGATTGTTGTGTTTACAGATAATATGGACGGACTGGATTTGAGTGACGAAGAATTGTCGCTTATTGAGCAGGAGCTAGACGCACGAATTATTTTGGTCACTGACGGATCTGGTGAAACGAAATCTGTCTCGGTGAAGTCGGAAGATGTTCCCATATGGGATAAATGCGTACAGCGAATTCCAGGTTCATTGAAGTTTCATATTGACGATCTTTTGCAAGCGATAGACCAGTCTGTAGCCACAGTAAAGCCAGTACGTGTTTTCCGCGGTGATTTGAGGCTTGGTGCTTCGCCATTCAGCCCGAAAGACGCAGAACAGGACCACTTGTCACTCTGTATACAAGTGGAAGGGTACCCAGCGACCAAAACTGTATCGAGCTTAAACAGAAAGATCGTCGCCAAGGAGAAGGACAATGTGTATCGGGAGGTCAAATCTGTTGTAGAATACAGTATTGAAGCGGAGGACGACGGGGAAACCGAGGACGTCACCGTTGCGAACGAATTTATTACCAAGGCCTATCGATATGGTACGGACTACGTTGTCCTTCCGCCAACACTTGAGCCGCAACGTGTCTACCGTACAGAGCCCGGTCTTGACATTCGCGGCTTTTTGGACGTTACCAACATGCCAAGGCACTATCTCAACTCAGAATCGACGTTCATAGTCGCAGCAATTAAAGACGGGACACGCGCAGACCGATTGGCGATATCCGCTTTAGTCGATTCGATGGTCAAACTCAACTTGCTTGCCGTCGCGAGATATGTGCAGAAGCACAACAGTGAAGTGCAGATGTGCGTCCTGTGCCCCTTGGTAGTTCCACGTAAAAGATCTTCTTCTGAGGATCAAGACCCAGATGTACGTGCCCTGGTTCTCAGTCGGCTGCCCTTTGCAGAGGACGAGAGGTTTTCCGACTACCCAAAACTAAACCAGCAGAACTCAGAGGAAAACGCAGAGCTCGATGCTTTGATGTCCGACCTTGTTGATTCTATGGAAATGAAGCCTGCGTCACGGGCCAATTGGTGCTCTACGTCGCAATATGTGCCCATTGACACCCTAGAATCGGACCGCTCGACGTTGCCACTTCCGTCGCCCGCGCTTGACAAAGCCTTTGCTGGCGATCGTCTGGCAATACCGGCGATAGGCGTCCACCACCAGCAGCAAATACTACTCGATTACATGCACCAGGTGGTTGTCAACGGTCGACAAGATTTTCAAATCCCAGAGCTGCCGTCGAGTATTAGTGACAAGTTGCGACCTATGTCGACACCAGACGCAAGTCTCCTACAAAAATTGCAGAAACTACTCGACATCAAACCTAACGTCAAACCCAACGTTGTGGCTCTTAACGAAGAAGAAGACGAAGATTTTGAAGAGATTCCTACTCTAGAGGCTCTTCTCGCCAGAGGACGAAAAGAACATTGAAGCCCGGACAGAACTCCATAAAATGACAATAACATAAAGCTGCTGGCCTGCTCAACCCGAACAGGGCGTTGGTCCATACTTGACTCGATGTATGTTGAATCCTGGCATTCCATGTCGAGTTATGTCAGTCCGATCCAGTCCGCTGAATTTGGTCCACCCGCCGGGTTCGAACACCAGATTCGAGCCTTTTCGTCATTAATTACATAGGGGCCAATCCTCTTCTCACTTCCCAAATCGTCCTTTGTTTCCTTGAAAGGAGTGATCTCTAGATTCCATTCCCCTTATAAAAGGACCAGATCTTTCGAGCTTTTAGCCCCCAATTGACATCTCTTGTAGATCACCAACTCATCTTTGTCAAGATTCAGTTGTTGTTTGAGTGGAATTAATATACCTGTTGACCTGAAAGTACGTGAGATGAGTTTCAAGATTGAGCAAGTACCTACAAAACCGTTCAATGACCAGAAACCGGGCACCTCGGGGCTTAGGAAAAAGACGAAAGTGTTTGAAAATGAGCCTCATTACACGGAAAATTTCATTCAGGCGATCCTGGAGGCGATTCCAGAAGGTTGTGAAGGTGCGACCCTAGTTGTAGGTGGTGATGGGAGGTACTACAACGACGTTGTACTTCAGAAAATCGCCGCAATTTCTGCTGCAAACGGTGTTCGGAAGCTAATTGTGGGCCAGAATGGTATTTTGTCGACGCCTGCGGCTTCAAACGTGATTAGAACGTACGAAGAAAAATGTACCGGTGGAATCATTTTGACCGCGTCACATAACCCTGGTGGGCCTCAAAACGATTTCGGTATCAAGTACAACTTGAGTAACGGTGGACCAGCGCCTGAGACGGTAACCAATGCGATTTTCGAGTGCTCGAAACGGTTACAGAGCTACAAGATCATCAAGGACCTGCCTAAGATAGATTTGTCGACCCTTGGCACTGATCAAAAATTTGGGCCGCTCTTGGTCGACGTTATTGACTCCACCGCCGCTTACGTCAGTATGTTGAAGGAAATTTTTGATTTTGATTTAATCAAAAAATTCCTCGTCCACCAGAAGGCCACTTCTGGTTTCAAAGTTCTTTTCGATTCCCTAAATGGCGTGACTGGGCCATACGGGAAGGCGATCTTTGTTAATGAGCTTGGGTTAGACGAAAAAGAAGCTTTGCAGAACTACGTTCCTGAGCCTGATTTTGGTGGTTTACATCCGGATCCCAATCTGACCTACGCTCGCTCATTGGTCGAAAGAGTCGACCGAGAGCAAATCGCGTTTGGTGCAGCGTCCGACGGTGATGGTGATCGTAACATGATCTACGGCTGTGGACCTGCTTTTGTCTCTCCTGGTGACTCCGTAGCGATTATCGCTGAGTACGCCGCAGAAATCCCGTATTTCAAGAAACAGGGTATTCACGGCCTTGCGCGGTCTTTCCCGACGTCAGCTGCGATCGACCGCGTTGCCAAAGCCCACAATCTCAACTGTTACGAGGTGCCAACGGGCTGGAAATTCTTCTGTGCCCTTTTTGACGCCAAGAAGTTGTCCATTTGTGGCGAGGAGTCATTTGGAACCGGCTCGAATCACGTCAGAGAGAAGGATGGTGTGTGGGCAGTTGTTGCGTGGTTGAACATTCTTGCCATTTATGCAGAAAAGCACCCAAATAGCGACGTGTCCATAAAAGTGATCCAGGACGAATTTTGGAAAAAATACGGTCGTACCTTCTTCACGCGCTATGACTTTGAACAAGTGCCAAGCGATGCTGCCAACGAAGTGGTGTCTAATTTGGCCGAATTTGTGGCACGCGAAAAAGAAGTCGTCGGCAAACCGTTCCCTACCAATTCGAACGAAACCGTTACCGAGGTGGGCGATTTCAGCTATACTGATCTGGACTCTTCTGTGTCAACCAACCAGGGGCTTTACGCAAGATTATCCAACGGTTGCAAGTTCGTCGTAAGACTCTCGGGAACTGGTTCGTCGGGTGCTACGATTCGTCTCTACGTCGAAAAGTACACGGACGATGCTTCCAAATACCAGCTAACCGCAGACGAATTTTTGAAGGATGACATCAAGAGTGTCGTGCAGTTCCTAAATTTCAAGGGCATCCTAGGTACCGATGTTCCAACTGTCCGCACATGATTTTCATCTACTATGATTTTTGTAAATCCATATATATTTTACCGGCTACTTTCCAGTAGCGAAGGTCGCATACAGTACAATCAATATCCATTGAGCAATCCACCATTGTCATGTTCTTTGTCACTACGATCGGCGGCCTATCAGAGTTTCTGGTCTCCTTTGAAATAAATAAATAAATAAATGCTCCTTGAGGGTTCGAACCAAGGCCTTTTCGTTTTGATCACATAATTTTTGTATTTCCGGGTAACTTCGAAACTCGAGCTTGTTACGGGAACCAAAATCCTGACCTTGTGAAGGCATCGGCCTACTATCAATCAAGAACTAGTCGGCAAGAGAGTAGGCTCGTGGGTTTGGTAAAGACACTATGTACTCTTGGAAGCTCTCCAAATTCAAGTTTGGTCGCTCGAAGGAGCCGAAAGATACGGACAAAGATCGAGAACGTGAGAAGGAACAGAAGGAAAAGGAGAAACATGGAGCATTCGGATTGAAGGGAACCCAAAAGATTCAAACGCAGTACGCGGAATCACCCCGCAAATCATTGGATCGGAAAGAAACGATCGTCGCGTCTCCTTCGTCGATAGCTCCAGTGAGACTTTCGACAGAAATACACAAGAGTACGACGAATTCGTCAGCGTCGACTTTTAAAGAGAGCGGCACTGACATCGAACCTAGTGAAGAGCAAGCCAGTAATACCAGTTCTATCTCGACGAGGACCAGGGCTGTGAAACTGTCTGGTATCATGACTATCAAAGTTTACGGAGGCGACGATTTCCGGCTTCCATTCCCAATAACTTCGAATGGCCAAATTTTGACCAAACTCTTGAGTTCTGGAGTCACGAATAAAGCAGCTAACGACGTCAATCTGGAAGAACTAGTATCGTCATTGTCTCAAATTGGGCTCAGCGACAGCCAGGACGACGACAATTTGATAGATGGAGACGTCGCGACGCATTACATTCCTTCAACTATTACACTTCCCGGATCGCCAGACCTAAATCCGCTCCTGTATTTTACGATCGAATTCGACAACACGGTTGCGACAATCGAACCTGAATCGGGTACAATTTGCAAACCGACGCTCAACAAAATCTCAACTTTCGATGTGACTCGCAAATTACCGTTTTTAAAAATCGAGGCATTTGCGCGAATTCCGTCCATACTTCTGCCTTCCAAGACGTGGCAGCAATTGCACTCGTCAGACCCGCAATTGGCCATTCTTTTGGACAAGATCAACTCTAATCAGGATATCCAGTTGGGATCTTGTAGTTTACCACTGAAGCTCGATTTTGACTCTGCGACAAGTTTCCGCCTGTACAATCACCAATGGATTGAGTTCGATCACGACTGTGGTAAACTGAATGTCACGGTTGATTTTAAGCCAGCAACGAACAGGGCCTTGACCATCGACGATTTCGATTTACTCAAAGTGATTGGCAAAGGGTCGTTCGGTAAAGTCATGCAAGTCAGGAAAAAGGACACCAGCAAAGTTTACGCGCTCAAGGCCATTCGAAAATCATATATTGTTTCAAAATCAGAAGTGACACACACACTAGCGGAACGAACCGTTCTTGCTCGAGTCGAAAACCCCTTTATTGTACCGCTCAAATTTTCATTCCAATCCCCCGATAAATTGTACTTGGTTTTAGCATTCATCAACGGTGGAGAGTTGTTCTATCATCTACAGCGAGAGGGTAGATTTAATTTATCACGCGCGCGGTTCTACGCCGCCGAACTTCTGTGTGCTCTAGAGACCCTGCATAGTCTCAACGTGATTTACCGTGATCTCAAACCGGAAAATATTCTGCTCGATTATCAGGGTCATATCGCGCTGTGCGATTTCGGGTTGTGCAAACTCGATATGAAGGGTCAGGATAAAACCAATACTTTTTGTGGAACACCCGAATATTTGGCTCCTGAGCTCCTGCTGGGACAAGGTTACTCTAAAGTGGTCGATTGGTGGACGCTGGGCGTTTTGTTGTACGAAATGCTAACAGGTCTTCCCCCCTACTACGACGAAAACGTCCCCAAAATGTACAAGAAGATTTTACAAGAACCTTTACGTTTTCCAGATGGTTTCGATAACGACGCAAAGGATCTTCTCATTGGTCTACTGAGCCGTGACCCGAAGAGAAGATTAGGATACCGCGGTGCCGACGTGATCAAATCCCATGCATTTTTCAGTCAACTAAGCTGGAAACGTCTGTGGGTCAAAGGTTATATTCCGCCTTACAAGCCTCCTGTCTTGAATTCTCTCGATACCAGCAATTTTGATCAAGAATTTACACGTGAGCTGCCTGTTGACAGTGTTGTCAACGATTTTCTCACTGAAAGCGTTCAGCAACAATTCGGTGGTTGGACTTACGTGGGTTCAGAACAACTCGGAAGCTCTATGGCCCCCGGCAGAAGCATTAAATAGTTGAACTATACAAATAAAAAATATGATCATATTGTGGTTCACAAGGCTGAGAGCTTGTGGATGGCAAGGTCGGTGCCTTATAATCCAGATTTTGTCTCATGGTTTAACTGTACGGCGATTTGGTTTCGTACCTGATAACGTCTTGTAAGGTCTAAAAATTTTTGATTAGCGATGAGATGAGATGAGCTTTTTAACATCACCAAAAAGATAGATAGACCAAGGGTGATTTGGCTCGGTGATTGATCGTTTGGTCCTGTTGAAATGATGGCAGTTGATAATGCCGCTAAGAGGTCTTCGAACGAGTTACCAGTGGCCAAAGAAACGAAAAAAAGGCGAGTAGAATTTGTGGATGCACAAGATGGTCAAAAGATGAGAAACTCAGAAGAAAACGCTGGGTTCTCAATGAAATTGTACAGCAAATATGTTAAAAATGCGCTGGAAGATTTAGATGGGGTATGTTTTTGATGTAGCGACTTTTTATTCCATTTCGTGGTAACTAACAAGTTTTCAGAACGACGCATCTCAGATAGATACTTTGGCAAGCCAGTTGTCGCTTGGAGCATCTGATCCTCTAAGAATATCGCCTGAGAACTTTACGGTTCTATTGCGTGTACTTTCGAATAATATCAGCAAAATTGATACTCCAACGTGTACGTCGTTGATCCATTCTGTGATAAGCTTTGAGAAGTGGTGGGAATTGCCTGCAACTGCTCTAAGTACGTACATATTTTTCGTCAAGATTTTGTGCTCGAGTTTGCCTAAATGGTGGCAAGAGGTGTCTTACCTCCTGATATCGAATTTCGTGCTCCCACCTGAAAAGACCCAACAACACCATGAAATGCTTAGATATTTTCTGCGAACCACTCCATCGTCCACTGCTTTCATCAATTCGGATATTACCAAATTGTTTCCAAATAAAAATGATACCAAGAGGAACCTTTTAAACTACACGTCTAATCTTCTCATTCTTACAGATTACTGTAAAGAATTGCGATTTCAATGCTGGTCTTTGATTGTGGAAAAAGTCATTTCCATAGATGTCGAGTTGCAGAACGAATTGGATGAACTTGACGATGATTTGGAAGAAGATATTGACGATGAATTGGATGACGCGGAAAGTGCCCAGGAGGATGCAGTGCAAATTATGAATGTTCCAAATTCTGATGACGAAGATGAATCCGATAGAGAAGCCGACGAAATATTCGAAGGTGAAGAAGAGTATAACGTTGAGATCTCGCAAAATATCAAGGAATTGTCATTCAAATTAGATGCCATATTGGCGCTCATTACGAAAAAGCTATCTCAGTCTTTGACACCTGAAAGTTTGGATAGTGGCGATGGCGTGGCCATTTTCAATACATTGGTCAGTTTGTTTCGGTCTCACATTTTACCAACTTACTATACCAAATCTATTCAGTATATCATGTTCCATGTTTCTCAGCAACAGCCCGAACTTATGGACGCATTCCTGGTCACTTTGATTGACATTGCATTTACCACCACCGAAATCATTGAGAAACGGATTAAAGCGCTTCAATATATCGGATCATTCATAGCTCGCGCAAAGAAGCTAACCAATACTCAGATCATATTTGTTGCCAGTTATCTAACCTCATGGCTTAACAGGTATGTGCTCGAGAGGGAAGAGGAGGTTACTCAGCATGGTGGAGTTGAAAGGTTCAAACATTTCTACGCCGCTTTTCAAGCTCTCTGTTACATATTCTGTTTCCGACATGCAGTCTTTCGCAATGGCGATAAATGGGAGTGCGATCTAGACAAATTCTTTCAGTGGATGGTTTTATCGAAATTCAATCCCTTGAAATATTGTAATGAGAATGTTATGATGATGTTCGCGCGCATAGCCCAGCATGAGGGACTTGTCTACTGCTTCAGCATTATCGAAAATAACAATAACGAGAGACTGAGAGGAATCACTGGTAAAGCCAAAACGGAGGGTTCATCCAGCTCCATGAGTAACTGGACATTGGCAACTCGTCAACAGTTCATTGATCTTCAAAGCTATTTTCCCTACGACCCCCTTTTCCTTAAAACCTACAAAAGGATGATGAGAGAGTACTACATCGAATGGAGTGATGTTAGTCGTGAATATGAAAGTGACGAGAGTGAAGAACTGGACGACATAAATAAAGAGTCATAAAACCATTACATAGTTTGATCTTTATATTGCATTTGAATAAAGTTTTATCACATAAAAGAAACCCGCGGGAACATCGCAAATCGACATTAATTACCCCTACAGCTAGTTGGAAGTTTAAACAGAACTTCGTGCTTTTTTTAACCTTATATGCAAAATTTATATGCCAATCCCTACCCACGCGAGACGATTTCCAAGACCTTTGAAAAATCGCCTTTTAATCATTTTACTCTATTCTATTCATTTTACCAAAATTTTTAGTTGAGATTTCCAGCAGAGGCTCCTAGTGTTGAGCGATCATTTTCAGTTACCGAACGCCCGACGTTACTTGGATCTGCTAGTGAGGCAGAATTACTTCCTTCATTGGGGGTGTCTGTCCCGCTGCCATTTGAAGAGGCACCGACGGACGACGAGCCGACTTCTTGGCACCAATACCTGTGATAATTCCAAGATTGTAGTTGGCACTCCCTTGAGCAATACTTGGTCCTCTTACATCTCCTGCATTTTGCGAACCTTTTTGGATAGTCTTCCCATTTGCCGCATGCAAAATTGGCGCACTGTCGAACTCCTGTTGCTTCATTTTTACGACAAGAGTTTCTCATTATTACCGAGCTCCAATAAGTCATATCTCTTTCGCTTTCTTTCTTAACCGTGAAACGCTCTACAAGAGGAAACAGGTTTAGGTATCGTCTGCTTAAAATTCGGTTCCAAGTGGCGGAATCTAGTGTTTTCGAAATTGTGTTGTAGTTCCAAAATTCCTGGAACGATCGTTTCAAATTTCTCGCGTCAACGATACGTGGTGTACAGTCCTCATCATCTTTAGACATTTCAGCCGTTTTCTTATTCTGCGTTGTAGTTCTAACCTCATTGCAAAAGTGTAACAGTTCCAGCGTGAATGAATCTCCGGCCACCAAACCGCTGTACCGTGGATCCACTTTCTGGGCGTTTGCATCCGGCGCATTCACGTCCTGCGTGTTCACGCTCTGTGTGTTTACGTCCTCTAAACACTCATGTGTTTCGTCTCCACTTATTCTTAACGGTGACATGTCCAAATTTGCCGATTGATCTTGTCTGGCCCTATCTAGCAAACCTCTTAATGAAAGAGACTCGACCAAATGAACTTTTTGTAGATTGCTCTTCATGTGTGTATATTTGGAAATGAATGCGAGCAGCTGGAGTGACCATATGACATCGTCAGATTTAGGGATCATTTTACCTTGCACAAACTGTCGCGGAATCGACACCACGATATCTTTTGAGTCATGAGCAGACGAAACTGACTTTTCAGGTAACACGGTATCCCAAATATCTTCAAAAGTCATTTCCAGACTCGTCGCGTTTGGTTTGGTTAAATGGTATGCTTTTTCTAGAATATTTGTGGGCGATCTGCTAGTCATTGCCAAAGAAACATTTCGTGGATCTCTCGTGCCAGTGGATGATGCCGAACTGCCCGCAGCAGCGGAAGTAGCAAAATCAAACTCAATAGGTGCATTCTTGAAGAAATCGTAATTTTTCTGGTAAAGCAAGTAATTATCAAGAACTGTTGCCAAAATTGGGACAACACCCGACGCAACGACTTGCTTCCGGATTTTCTCAGTTCCACGGGTCCCCGTTAAAATCAAGCATTGGAATGCAAGCGTCCATTTCCATGCAATCATGGCTAATTCTCTTTCACGTTTAACTTTTTCCATAACCGAAGTACCGCCTTTTGCCTCAAGGTCTTGCAATTTTTGGGGAGAAATGTAGCATTCATTCAAAATCGAAACTAATCGCACCAACGCTCCATCGTTCGCTACTGTTTCCCTTACCTTTGCAGAATTAGACGTCAAGTATGTCAAATGGTTCAGGGAATTAATTAATGGAATTTCAGAGTTACAATCCAACGCCCTTCGGTCGTAAATGGCAGATGTTATAGTAATATTCGACCTGTTCAATAACACAGATCTATGATTACAGTCTCGCATCAATGCCTACTTCTTTTTTGTCGGTTGTTTGCCACCAGTTTGATGGTTGGTGATGATTATGACGGTCAAGGTTCATCATCTTGATTGTCGTGAAAAATTAGACCTCGATGAGTAGTCGATAAATCAAGACTTAAGTCAGTCAACCTAACAGAAAACATCTCTGGTTTATCAAGGGGACCCAATGTTTGAAATTAAACTCAATGACAAGATGAAGCAGCTTCTGAAGCAGTTAAATGATAGAAAAGACGTCGAAAAAAGCTTGAAAACCGGTTGTATTTCGATGCATTTAATGTTAGACTTGTGCAAGTCTCAGTGGAGTGGAATCGAGCTGGAAAAGGTGATTTGTCCCTTAGAATTTCAGTTCAAAGAGCAACGTCAGAGAACTTCGCAGTATACTCCGGAATTTAGAGAGAAAATGCAACAACTTCGGTTAGTACAGGAAGAAGCAGAATATCAAGCAATGTTGAAAAGAGACGGGTTTGCGACGACCACGCGGGATAAAGAGGAACTGACACCTGCACAAATGAATAAGCAAATTAGAGAACAAGTGACGACAATGGTCAACGTTCTGGTTTCGGTAGCATCTGTTGTTTTTGCCGCGTGGTATTGGTCAAACTCCTCGGCACGGATGAAAATACATCATCGGATTCTCCTGTGTCTTTTCACTGGGATCTTGGTGCTGGTCGCTGAAGTGGTGGTCTACAATAGCTATTTGCAAAAGCTTGAAGACGCGAAATTGCGTGAAAGAGCGAAAAAAGAGCGGAAAGAAGTGGTCAAGACACTTGCAGCGTGATTCAGCTTCTTTCAATGACCGATATGGCTTGTGGTGGGTCTGGAAGTGTGTCCAGGTTTGCATAATTTTTCTTAGTGGGGAAGAAATGCGACTTGGCGAAATGGAAGACATGACGACGCACTGATAATTGGTTTCTGACGGCTCTCACCATCGTCGTGAAGAAACTCCATCTCAACAAAATGATGAAAAACTCTAAAAAGCTGAAATCGGGCCACAAGGTGTTTGAAAACTCTATTACCCCATCTTGATGAACTTGCCATAGCATGTAGTCAGAGAGTCGAGTATGGCCGCTAGTTCTAATCAAGAGATCGCATTTGTCGCTGTACTCATTGAAGAACATTTCTTTGGTGAGACTCGCGGCGGTTATGTCGCTGGTAGATTCATCGAAGTATTTGCACTTTTCAGCGCTGTTGTAGATTGCATGGTATATGTCATTTCGGGAAGTGTACGGGAAACAAATGTACAGAGTCATTTCTTGCCCTTCCTCGGTCATACGTTCGACACGCGTGATTTTGTCGTCCAAGTGCTTGGAGATCAAAGATCTTTCACCGACAACGCGCAATCTGAGCCCGTACAATTCATTCTTGTGATCCTGTGCGCGACGTGCCACTTCGTCGAGCTTTTCGGCCAACAACCTCGTGAGGGTGTCGACTTCTTCCTGGGGACGATTAAAATTCTCGATAGAAAATGCATAAGCAGAAATTACCTGAATGCCGAGTTTTTTGCATGCACTGAGCAACTCCAAAAGTGTCACAGCGCCTGCTTCGTGCCCTCTTTTGATGGGCAGTCCCATCGATTTGGCATATCTTCTATTACCATCCATAATGAACGACACATGTTGTGGCAAAGGTCCCATCTTAAGAACGTTAATGAGGCACGTTTCAATACTGGCGAGGGTCCAATGCACCAATTTTATAGCCAAAATGCGCTTAAAAAGCTGTGTTTTTCGATACCGCAGGTATGGTTTGATTTCGCCCCTTTTGAAGGGGTTCGGGAACTTGGGCGGTTCGCGTTTCACATGTTCTTTTGTCTTTTGGATTTCGGTTTCGATGGCCGCGAGGACCTTATCTGGGTTGTTTGATTCGACCATTTGATAGCTGCTAATACGGGGGATTAATTCAATCTAAAGTGGGACTCAAAAGCAGACTTCCAAGGGTCGATGTCTCGATTCTCGTGATGTGTAAGAAGTCAAACTGAAGTAAGCCCTTACGAAAAGCAGATTTTATAGTGAATTAAATGCACAAACTATAGAAGTGATATAAAAGGTCCGGTAGAGTGATATACGTCAAGCTGGATTGTCCTAGTGGGGAGCCTTCTTCTGCTGTAAGTTTCAAGTGTTGAACAGTCTTTTCTCTGTAGCGTAAACCAACTTCATGGTTTGTTCCATGAAAGTCAAACAGAGGATCGTGTGAGGAGCAATTCTAAACAATTGAGCTTCAAAACCTTTGTACAACGCGGAGACACCTTCAATCTTGACAGTCTTGATAAAACAGTCAATGGGGCCCTTATAAAGGTTGCCCTTTTGATTATAAACTCTTGTTAAGATGACATCCCATGGGTTCATCACGACACCGACACCGATACCAGAAAGGGTACTTGCCGTGAGATGAAGCCCAGCACCTTCTTTCATGATATCGTGCCGTAGCAGGAAACTCTTGGCTGTGTTGTAAATGGGCAATTGCACAGAAGAACCGGCACCGGTTCTCAGAATGGCAGCATCGACACCTCTAAATAGGCCTTTGATTCCCTCGGCTTTGTAGATAGTCGAAAGCCCATTCCATGCGGACGTGTAGTGGGATTGCTGGCCGATTTGGATCGCTGGTGAGTAGGACTGCATTCTGGTTTTCACCAAAAATAGTGGAGATCCCATGATAGCACCGATAATACCGGACGTGGCACCAGAAACGACGTTGATGGCAACGTTTTGCACTCTGTGTGGATCCTGGGAGGGGTAAAAAGTAGTGTTGAGTAACGACCTGATAGGTTCGTAAAACCCAAGTCTCGAACCGTTCAAACCTATTTGGTAGATGTAAGCACACGAAAGGCCTCTTTGAATACCACGAATACCTTCGTTTTTGAAAATTAGTCTAACACCTTGCAAGGGATTCTTGTAAACACGATTGGTCTTGGCCTCCAATTCACCTTGCAATTGCATCCTCGTCTTGACCAATTCAATAGGATTTGTTACGGTCACTGCGATACACGCAGCCATACCACCGGCAATGAAAGATCCAGCCTTGCTGACTTTCTGCGCAGCCGGTTTATCAGCATCGGTAACCGAGGTCTGAACTTCTTTAGACATATTGCCGCTCAATCAGCAGTGCTAAACAAGACTTTACAAGTCAGATTGAATCATAAGAAGATTCTTTTCTATAGCTCAGATTTTCCAGTCAGCTGTTGCGTGGACAGAGAAAGCCGATACCGGTTTTTTTCACGAACCTCGAACGCCGGCACCGGTATATTGACTAACGCGCGAACGGGAACGTCATCGAAGGCGTATCCGTTGGTGATTGTTCGAGACACTACATCAGGGCTGTTCGGAGACGGCATGGTGTCGATGCTCGAGCAAGTCGTTGTTTCCAGGAACGACGTTGTTTGGTTTTTTAAATCGCATCTCAGGCTGGCGAGCAAATCAGAAGTAAAATCAGCCCACGGTCACCAACCGTGGTCATTCGTCCCATTCTTCACCATTCATTGCCATTTGTGACTAGCTGTTTCTCAAATTTGCATATGGACGCTCAAATTTGACACCGTTAGCTCTTCGAAAGGCCTGGGGACTTCATTTGTAGCCGGAGAAACCAGTAACGCCAATGTTTCCAGAAAGTAATGTCTACATTCGAATGATGTCTCGTCAAGTACCACATCCTTGTCTTTCAGCCGTTTATACAAGAGTCCATTACCCTCTTAACAACTGACGCGTCAACGCTATTTATTACGCGTCTTGAAACAAGTGGACTGAACTCGTTTAACTGAAACATGAGAAACTGAAACAGAGGACTTGAGCATTGGAGAGGTCAGCATCGGTCTGGTCACAATGCAGTGTTAAGCCGTAACGAAACAAAAACGATTTCATAAATGAAGGACGACCGATGAGACGCTAGGAGACCGCAGGTGAAGGGCCAAGCGCGGTAAGTGGTACACAGCACTCCAAGTTCCCAATTGAACAAAATCAAGGAATTGGACAATGTGACATCATATGCACGGGGAAATAGGCATCCTCGGGCAGTTTTGACAGTTCTGTCGGTTTCCACATTGATGTTGCGGTCGATGGTCTGTTTTCATGGTGGTGATCTTCTAGTGAAAAAAACGGACCTCGACCGGTAAAGGAAACATTTTGAGGAAGTCAAAGGGCGACAATTGTGTAGGATTCCCTGAAATTGAGTCTACTGAGTAGATTCTGCGGTCCGCAAAACACTCAGGCGAAGAAAACCTTAGTTTGAATAGATTTTCTACGTCGATTTTTCATCAAATTGAGACTAAGTCTTCGAGCAGGATCTGCTTTCCGTCTATTTCCGTTACCATTGCAAGTTAGGACCATGTCTGACTTTGTACGCTCTACGGCGTCTAAATATAAGTTTGGTGCTCATTTGTCGACAGCAGGGGGCATTTCGAACAGTGTTACGAATGCGCATAAGCTAGGATGCAATTCGTTTGCCATGTTTTTGAAATCACCTAGAAGATGGGTCTCACCGGATTACACGCAGGAAGAAATCGACAAGTTCAAGAAATATTGCACAAAACTGGGTTACGATCCACTCAGGGACATTTTACCACATGGCCAATATTTCATCAATTTGGCCAATCCTGACCTGGAAAAAGCCGAGAAAAGTTATGCGAGTTTTTTGGATGATTTGAAGCGGTGCGAACAACTGGGCGTGGGGCTTTACAACTTCCACCCCGGTTCCTCGCTCAAGGGCGACCACGAAGAACAATTGTCGCAACTTGCAGCTTACTTGAACAAAGCACACCAGGAAACGAAATTCGTGAAAATTGTGCTTGAAAATATGGCGGGTACCGGTTCGCTTGTTGGCAGCGATCTCGCAGATCTCAAGACCGTGATAGACAAAGTTGAGGACAAAACCAGAATCGGTGTCTGCGTGGACACGTGCCACACGTTTGCCGCAGGGTACGATATAAGCACCGAGACGGCGTATGACAAATTCTGGAAAGATTTCGACGACATCATTGGGTTCAAATATTTGTCCGCAGTGCATCTCAACGACTCCAAGGCACCTTTAGCTGCGAATCGGGACTTACATGAAAAATTGGGCCAAGGTTTTTTGAATCTTGAAGTGTTCAAACTTATTGCCAGCTCTGATTTCCTAACCGGAATCCCAATTGTCCTTGAAACACCTCAGGAGCAAGACGTCGGTTACGGCCATGAAGTCAAATTGCTAGAATGGCTTGAAACATATGATGACAATAAAGATAAAGAAGAGTTTACCAAGAAATTGGAGGAGCTGCAGGCCAAAGGTGAGAAATCCAGGAAAGAACATCTGGCGAAATTCGAAAAGAAAAAAACCATTAAACGCAAAGCTGCCGCAACAAATTCCAAAGGCGAGGACATTGCAGAACGGATATCTCGCAGCAGAGTCAAGAAACCCAAGATGTGAGCCGGAGGTGGTTGAAATATGGATGAAGAATCTAGGTCACGTTGTACGCGATTGCTCGTTATCTCAGGTTTGGCGGAATGTTTCGTGTAATTGGGTAATAGTTACTCCTCCGAAGACCTCTCAGTGAGATCGTTTCCTAATCTCGACGCCAGATTCGGGACGGAGAATGCCATTTCATGGTTAATTTGTTTCATCATAACTGTGGTTTGTGTTTATCGTTATATACGATGATCTCTTCTGTCACTTCAAGCAGGTAGCTTCCATGAGTGACTAAGAAACCCTTGGCCAATGCTACTTATTGATGCTGGAAGTCTTTTGAACCTCCTCTTGTTCGAAGGGATATACGGCGATTTTCGTTAAGTTGCGGAAGGTGTTATCACGTGACGAAAACGACAGAATAACCCACTCAGGCTTGAACAGATGATTTGAGTAAAGTAATCAGCGAGCCATGGGTTCAATGTCACGGTGTAACCACGAGCAGTATGATGGATCCATAAGTTAAAAGTTGTCAACACTTATCCGGAAGTAACAGACGATAAATGGATATGATATTGCGACAATATACAAAAGACCAGCATTAGAGATCATGTTGACACGAAGGTACATGGAGCCAATACCTCGATATACTTGACAAAGAAGGAAGTGGCCTATCTGAAGGCTATCTACCGAGGCTGATGATACTCATTTTACGTAGAGTATTGGTATTGACGGAAGTGCTTTGTTTAGCTGTGTAGTCGCTTGTGAATTTTGAGAGAACTTGTTGAAATGCTGAGTTATTTTGAGAAGCTCAGTTGCACACGGAAAGCAAGTACGAGGTGAAAACAGACGCTGTAAAAGTGGAAGAATTCAAAACCTAAACGAAAACCTGGAGCAACGGAAAATACACCTTTTTATCAAACTCTAGCGTTCGTTTGCGAAGATATTTAAGATGTAATGCTCTTATTCACAATGCAAAATATTTTGGGCGCTGACGCAATGCCAGATATTGAGAAGAGTGCCCCTTTGACTTCGATCTCATGCTCGTAACAATCGTTCGGAATCGTATGGCTATGTTGTAGAATTGACAGACTCACTGGATACCCATATACGTAATAAGTGATAAATAATCAGAAGACCATGTGATTGATTCGTAACATATGATTTGTATTCTGTAGCACTTTCGTCGATTGAAAGCTATTCGTATGTAATGTTTGTTTTGGTCGAACAAATTAAGGCTCAGCCGTATATTAGTAACGAAACCAGCAACTCACGCATTGGCAGCTCATTGATAAGACTTAAAAGTCAGTCCCTGTTTGCATTCGTTGCCCTAACCTCAGCTCAAATAGAGCACACTACAATGGGAGGGCGCCAGGGCCAAAACCTATTCACGGAAGCGGCCATTAGAGCGCCTAAGCTGCCTCAAAATGAGTTCCCTGTTGATTCTACGAAAGGAGACTCAACGGTCACCGAAAGAGCCAAAACGCCGCCTCAGATATGCACAAGTCATTTTTCAGGACCGGAGATCCAGATGTTACCTACTCCGATCGTTTATACACCTTGTTCTCCGCAAATAGCGTCTCCACAAGACCCTAATTTGCCGCAAGTTCGCGACACACCGAGTGCTGGGAAGAAAAGGTATCATGGTCTAACACCGGCCCCAATCACCTTGAAAGAGGATTTGGGAATTTCGAATGCCGCGGGTGTCAAAGTTAAACCCAGAATGGTGTCGGATTTTGCACCCCAAAGCGCTTTGTCGCCTTCGACGTTGTCGACGCTTTCCCAAAGAGTAACGTCTTTAAGTGCTGTGGATGAACGTTTAGAACCTGTATCAGAGACGTCGTCCACGGATCAAGCAACAATTGCTCAAGTCATCATTGATTCTCGGGACCAAGGCATCCAGCAAATCACGGCGTTCCCTTTATCTGACTTAAAGCGGGCACTTTGTTTGCGTGAAACGCGCCAAATTGGCAGCGGAAATTTTAGTGATGTGTTTTTGTTCGAGTTAGTAGACCAAAGCAGTCCAGAATTCAACCAAGTCGCCGTCAAGCGCGTTAAATATCCGGAGACTCTCACGACATCTACATCGCCCAAATCGCCCAAATTTCGAGACATGCTGTCGCGGGTCGAGAGCTCGTTGAAAAGAGAACTCGAAGTACTGTCCCAGATTTCGCATCCCTGCATTGTAAAACTGATGGCCATAAATGACAAGGAGTTTTTGATAAATGAAAGGCCATTGAGTTCGAGAAACCTGGCCAATGGACTGCCTCCATGCGATATGATAATGTCGTATTGTGCTGGTGGAGATTTGTTTGAGGTTGCCGCTCACAGTGAGCTACCGCAATGGCTTATACAAAGAGTTTTCAGCGAATTGGTACTCGCAGTAAAGTATTTGCATCAAAACAACATTGTACATCGAGACATTAAACTCGAGAACGTGTTGTTACGTTTCCCAATCGATCATATTTTGACTATGGGAGAATCTTCGGACGTCTTGTGCAACGAACATGTCATAGAGCTCGCAGATTTCGGCCTATGTAGGCGCATGGACCCCGGTGAAATGTGTACAACCAGATGTGGTTCCGAGGATTATGTTTCGCCAGAAATTCTGATGGGAGTTCCCTACGATGGGAAACTGAGTGACAGTTGGGCCTTGGGTGTGGTACTTTTTGCACTTTTAGAAGATCGACTGCCATTTGATCCTTTGCCCACATCTGCACGCAGTTCTCGTCAACGAAGAAGGTCGACGGTACACCGGATATCTTGTTACGAGTGGCAATGGTTGAAATTCGTCGATGAGGCGCATCCGGCAAAAGAAATCGTTGCCAACTGTTTGCAAAGGAAAACAACGCGTTGGGATGTAATGAAAATCTCAGAAACACCCTATGTCAGTCAAGAAATCAGGCGTCTCAAATTTCTGTAATATATTCTCCAGCATGCCTTTTTCACGTTAAATAACTAATGTCATATTTCATCTTACCTTTTGCATTTGGAAGTCACACCGTTAGAGGACGTAGCAACAGTTCTGTCATAATATTTAAAAAGGTCTCTAAGCTGAAAGATGAATTAAGACTAGCATAAATATGTGTTGTTGCTTACTTTCGAGACTTGCCAAGTCAATGCAAATTTTCACTACAAAGATTAAGTCTCACTCGTTTTGGGCCGAAAAAATGGCTAAAACTTGTCAAAATTCAACCTAATCTTTGACAATTTGTGCATATGATCACCGGTAGGTACTCTAGCTCTTGTATTAATAGTTGTTGAAGTTAGAAGTGTCAGTCTAGAGAATCCAGGTCCAACATCAACACATCATTAGACACGTCTTCCTTTCGAACATGAGCTCATAAGCTAGCCACTTCACCATCACCATTCCAATTGGATAGTTCCAGCCCCTGAAGAATCCCAATTCCCTAAATATTACGTACGCGATGTCAGTTCAAGAGAATGACAATGAAGTCATCTTAGTGCACCCAGAAAACAGCAAGACAACTACTAAAATCCTGAAATACGGTGCTACTGTTTTCTCATGGACCTTAAACGGAGAAGAGCAGTTATGGTTGTCTAGGGGAGCCAAGATGGATGGATCCAAGCCTGTTCGTGGTGGAATTCCGCTCGTTTTCCCAGTTTTCGGTAAAAACAACTCCGATGAGCATTTGAGCAAATTGCCACAGCACGGTCTGGCTCGGAACTCGACTTGGGAGTTTTTGGGTCAAGTTAGTGCAAATCCACCGGTAGTGCAATTTGGACTAGGTCCCGAGTTTGCCAATGAAGAGCTTACCAAATTGTGGCCCTTTGATTATTCGTTAGTTCTCACCGTTGAATTAGGGAAAGAACATTTAAAGACGGCCATTGAAGTGGCCAATACGTCCAGAAACGAGACTCTCAAATTCAATTGGTTGTTCCACACGTATTTGAAGATCCCCGACATAGAAGAAACCATGGTTTCCAATTTAAGTGGGTCCAAATTGTATGATCAAATGTTGCAACAATCCTACGTCGACAGACAACCTGTTGTGTCGTTCCATGAAGAATTGGACAGAATTTATCAACAAGTCGACTCCGAGCGGATCATTCAAGTCGTGGACAAGGGTCATCCAATCCACACCGTTCAGAGACACAATTTGCCCGATGCGGTCGTGTGGAACCCATGGGTGGAAAAATCCAAAGGTATGGCCGACTTCGAACCAAAGGATGGTTTCAAAGAAATGGTTTGCGTAGAACCGGGCTATGTGCACGATTTTGTCGTCTTGCAACCGGGCCAAACCTGGAACGCACACCAAGTCTTGTCGAAGGCTGACCTCCAATATCAAATAGTATAGGGGAAGATGGACGACTTTCCATTACAGGTAAATTTTCTTTAGACATAACGCACTATGTAAAACGTCGTAAACGTCGCAACAACTAAGCGGCTTCTTCTTCGGACTTGGCTAGATCTGCTTCTTCTTCAAGCTCATCGAGCCCTTCCAGACCTTGACCGCCGCTCTGCAGCAGTTCATTGAGCTTATCCATTTGGGAGCCTTGACCTCCAGCGCCGGCCTGCGCTTGCAACATCTGTTGCATAGCGGCCATTTGTGCTGGATCGAAATCACCACCTGCTCCACCTGGGAAACCCGCACCGCCAGCACCGCCTGCTGCGCCTTGGAAACCGAAATCTTCACTCTCGTGTTCCTCTTGTTCGTCTTCGTCAACCCACTTGTTGAAATCCGTCTTGATGTAGTGGTATTTGAGTTTTTCCTTCGTGAGTCTGGGCCAGTATTCCGCGTCAAGGTCCTTTTTCACAAGCTTGAGGAAATAGTCTCTTCCGTTCGCAATTTTGTGCAAAGATTTGGCCGGATCGATCTCCTTGTAAAAATCTAAACGCAATTGGTACTTGTGCTCTTCTTCGTCACCAACATGGCCCGGAGACTTGGCACTGAACTCTAAGTAGCCAGGTTGTAAATCCAATTTTGGGTCTTCACAGTCGGAGATCATCAAAGTGACCAAAAGGTAGTTCTTTTCAGGATCGGAGTCGCTGGATCTCTGCGCCCAAAGGATCTCTGGATTGAGTTTCGTATTCATTGTGTGGAGAGCTTCTTTCAAACTGAGCTTTGGTTTCCAAACTTGGGTTTCCAAGTTCTTCCAGTGTTGAGTTCACCTGACTTCCCTTATATACTAATTCCATAGAAAGTTGACTTAATTTTCCAGAACATTCGAGAAAGACAAAGATAAATCTGAGGGAAACACTAAATAACGTCCTCAAACAAGCGGGAAGACACCGGCAATGAAACCAGGAGTGTCAGCTGTACCTTATACTTCCATTTGGGGGTATGTCAATTGAATCTTCAAAAATTTTGGACGAGACCGGAGTCGAACCGATGACCTCTCCCATGCTAAGGGAGCGCGCTACCAACTACGCCACACGCCCAGTTGCTGATAAATTGAGCACATGACTCAATTTATATAGTTTTTTGTTGGTCATTATTTACGTGTGGCTTTCTTAATATATGTCATCTTGTACGCATCGTCTTCATCGCCCCATAAGGTATCCTGGGGAAGGTTACTAGAAAATGCACCTTGTAACAAGACCAGAGTGCTAACCCAGAGAGACAAACTGTGGATCTACGGAAGATATAGGATATTGTAGAGGTTTTTTTACTGGTTTAAGGCGTATTGAGCCTTTTGAGAGTTTTTAAGGTCTAATTTCGGTTAGTTTTGGTTTGGTTTTGGCTTGGCTTGGCTCTCGACCTGAAAGGATGGAGGTTTTTAGAAACGCAGTTGGTGATCCTGTTTTCCAACCGCCAGTCAATGACCATGGGGACTCCGAAGCTATCAGCCTGGTGTTTTTGATCAGTTTGTCTGTGACATTTGCCCTGCTGATGGTGATTTTGGTGATAATAGCCGTTTACGTGACGTTCTGCAGTGCAGATGAGTCCGAATACGATGAAGAAGCCAGTGCTGCTGGGGTACCCAACATTTTCCGCAAAAAACGCAGCGGCGTGTTGTTGGACGGGTCGTTTTTGGTACCGGGCAAGTTCGACGACGAACAGGAACTTGAGGAACAAGAAAATCGGGAATTTGAACACATGTCAAGGTTCGAAATCGAGCTGTATACGCGATGTAAAGAGTTCCAGAAGATGTGTCCACCTAATGTGCATGAGTTTGGTACGTTTACGAACGCGAACGACAAACAATTTATACGTGACCGGGGCATCCAGAGTTACTATTTCTTACCCTCGATCAACGACAACGTCGATAAATTCGGGAATTTCTTGCCCAGCTTTGTTGTTCAAGATAAACTTGACGTGTGTTTCACGAAACATAATAAGAGCTCTTCGACGATCATGAATTATCCTCTGCCTTACAACAAGAAAGACGCAGTATATTTCGAGGTCAAAGTTTTCAAATTGCGCGCAAGACCCAATTCTATTTTCAGTTGTGGACTAGTAACGTGTCCGTATCCGTACTTCAGGATGCCTGGGATGGCACAATTCTCGATTGCATACGAATCAACTGGCAAATTGCGCATAAATAATCCATTCCACGCGAATCGGTTACTCCCGAAACTTCAAGAGGGCGACGTGATTGGATTTGGTTACAAATATCGCACGGGAACCATACTTATAACCCATAATGGGAAAAAACTCATGGATCTGACGCATAACGTAGGTATTGATATGTTTGTCAGTCTTGGCGCAATGAGCGCCGCGTATACGAGGACTTATACGCGTGAGGGGTTACTTGAGGACCCGGAAAACGTTTCTCTAAGGGAAGAGTTACTGGCTAGCGACCTGGATGTAAACCTTCCCGCTCCTATCAACGAGTTCCTCGAAGAAGTACACGACCCGAAAGATACCGAGATCGCTTCGGATGAGATAGAATTGCATGTCAACTTGGGGCAGCGCGGGTTTGTCTACGTCGAAGCTAACGTCAAGAAGTATGCGTTTGGAAGTACTTTCGGCGAAATAGGCGTTCCACCTGCTTACAATGGCGACGACATCAAGAAAGATATAATTTTGCAAAAAGGAGAAGAGTTCCCACCGGAGTATCCGAGCGAGGAAATGGGGCTTATGGGTCCACCGGTAGAAGCACGTGTAGGTCAGTCGACGATGGTTGACAATTACGAAAGATCCTCGTCGGCCTTTGACAGAGACAACAACTTGTCGGAAGGCACTGAAGACACGCAGTTGCAAAAGGCGGGCCGTTCTAGGAAAAAGAATAAGAAAGAGGCGACGTGCGAAAAAATGATGAGCGTCGCACATATATAAATAGATATGTATTTATAGGGTTGGGTAGGAAGTATGGCATACAATATGCATTATTATTCGTGTACACAGGATATCATTAAACACACACTAGCGCCGCTTGTTCTTATTCTTTTTCTTATTCTTCTTCGAGCTCGTCGAGGCACCGGTCTGTGATACTTCTTCTACAGCTTCCGGAACGACGGCATTCACCAGCAACGTACTCATCCCACGCACATCCTTGACTTTCTTCTTGTTTCTCTGTTTCTCGATTTTTCCGCTCGTCACAGACACGCCTCGAGGTCCCAAAGCACTCAGGAGTCTGGAAACGTCTTTCAATTTACAAGTACTGTACTTGAAAGTAGTCCCCAAATGGGGATTGTGAGTTTTAAAATGGACCTTAGAGTGACCATCTCCGTTCTTGTAGTTGATCGAAACTAACGATTCTGATGGATTGGCTTCTAGTAAGGACACAGAATTCAAAATGAATGTGTCCAAAGGTTTTGTCGACATGTTGGGTTTGGTTGACTGATTGTAGAGGTTTCCGTTCTTGATGTGTTTCTTGATCTTTTTCACGACTTGTTTCTCGAACTGTTCCTGGAAGTGTTTCTTGAACTGATTAGTGAACTGTTTCCTTAACTTGTCCTTCAGCCTAGTTCTTCAACTCGATGCTCAACCTGTTTTTCAACCTGTTCCTCCACCTGTTCCTCTAGGTGTCTCTCGGCCTAATTCTTGTTGTGTTGTCGATATATCTTTCTATTTTCCGCCTCTCAGTTTTCCAATTTTCCACCTCTTGCTAAATTAAGGTCAACATATGAGTCTTCACCGTCCAGAACCAAACTCAATCCCATAAGAGGAGCAACCCATTATCGATGGTCTTGAAGCCAATTAACTAGTAGATATGTACAGTGGGAAGGCGAATTTCATTTTAACAGATAGCTCGACGGACGAGCTTGAGATGTCGAAAACGGCAAGCACTACGGACTCTACAAGTGATGATACAAAAAACGATGAGAAACCCGAGAAGGCCCATGATAAGCCGTATGGCAAACCCTATGCGAAGGGGAACAGCAAACAATACTCAGCGGATATTTCGCCCCTAAAGTTCAAGATGTGTCGACCTGGTACGTCAAACGAGGGTGAATTGGGTGTAGTGAGCAATTCGGTGACAAAAGGTGATACGGAAAAACTGGGTATAGAAATGCTTGGCACAGACTCGCCGCTTGTCGCAGACAAGTACTTGCAATCGAGTTTTCTCGGATCGATTAACCGAGAACAATTCGAAAAGTATTTGAAAGAACCCGAATACGTGCGGATTTTCAAGAAAAAACGTAACATTAAGCAATTTCGGCGGATGTTTCTGGCGCAGGAGTTACGATTTGAAAACGATTTGTCTGTTGGTGCGGCGCTCGGTGTGCCACCTTCGGCAAATGTCGGGGCGTCGAATGCATCTACTACGACGCTTAACAGTATGGGGGAAAGCATAGGTCGTGCACTCTGGGCAATGAAATTCAGTCGGGATGGCAAGTTTATGGCCACGGCTGGTAAAGATTGTACGTTGCGGATATGGAAAGTGATATCGTCGCCGATGGAGCGTGCAGAATTGAGTACAGTGAGCACTAAATTACAAAACAAGCAAACACCGCTTTACGGTAGTCCAGAAGAATTGAATCCCAAACCTGGTGAAGTACGGGACGAATATCTTGACCTCTACGCTCCGGTTTTCCATCCGCTTCCATATCGGACTTTTGCATCACATACGCAAGATATTTTGGACTTGGACTGGTCGAAAAATGATTTCATTCTGACAGCATCAATGGATAAAGACGTTCGTCTTTGGCACTGCGATCGGCCCACGTCACTTAAAAAATTTCCACATCCGGATTTTGTCACTAGCGTCCGATTTCATCCCAGCGACGATCGGTTTTTCCTAAGTGGGTGTCTAGATCACACTTGCAGATTATGGTCCATATTAGAGAACCGAGTCGCTTTTGAGTACTACTGTGGTGATCTTATCACCGCATTAGATGTGTCTTGCGTCGATGGCAGATACACCGCAGTGGGGACGTTCAATGGGTACGTTTCCATTCTAACGACGCATGGACTTGACGTTGTCAGTTCCTTCCACGTCTTGGATAAAGCCAAGGGCTCTGGTGCCAAAAGAGCTACGGAGCATGGCCCCAAGATTACGGGTTTGGAGTTTTTCAAGAGCGATGCCGATGGCAGTTTAAAACTCATGGTGACCTCCAACGACTCCAGCATACGCATATTCAGCATAAAAGACTTAAAACTATTAGAAGTGTTGCGCGGCTTCGAAAACGCCTCCTCCCAGATCAGTGCACATCTCTTGAAACCCAGAGGCAACACAGAAATTGTCATTGCGCCCAGCGAAAATCACTGGGTCTACTGTTGGAAACTGCGATCCACATCTGAAGATGGGATTAAAAAACCGTCCAGTTCCAACAAAAGCAATGTGAAGAGAAGTGGTTCATTGAGGGGTCTTCTGGGAAGACGGTTGAGCCTGAGCAGTGTGCACTCGGGAGAAAAACGTCACTCTAAACTTTTCGGTCATGGCAAACATGAACAACAAGACAATGAGGGACATCAAAAGGTCAACAGCGACCATGCGATTAAAAATTTTGCATATATTGCATTCCATGCACATAAAGTGCCCGTCACTGTAACTGCTGTGGCGTCATCGGGAACAGCGAAGACTTTAGCATTATCAAACGATTTCATTTGTGAATTGACCATGGCATTCAGCGAAAGTGAAGACGATGTGGCTGTGATGAGAGCAGCAAAAGAGCATAAAAATAAAAACCAAAAAGGTCAAAACTCTGCGAAAAAAGGGCTTATCGAAGCTCGGATGCCTTCAATGAGAGACGCGATTGGTACAATCCTAGTTTCCAGCGATACTTCAGGTGTTATAAGGGTTTTCCGCACGGATCTTTCCAGTAATGTGCGTAAAAGAGTTCTTAAAGCTTTGGAAAATAAATCAACGTTAGGCAGCTATTTGCTTGAGTCACTGGTTCACCTTGACCCGCTCCTGCCAAATGGCGTATTGGGGAACACGGTCAGGGCCGCGACAAATACGCTGGCCAAAAGCAGGGCTTTCAACAGCACCACATCTATACGATCATTGGGCAGCTTGAGTTCTCTCTCGGAAAATAAGAAAATGGATATTCCATCCGAATGTGACATTTGCGGTGGTACCGCTTTGGTTCCTGGGAGACCAAGACGAGACAATGGTAAGCCCATTATATATTGCTCAGACTGTGGCAATCAAGTAAATAGATTCAGGTAAGAACCGAAGCGAATTCGCGGGGATATAGAAATAAGGATGTTCATTGGAGAATATGTTACATATTGGCCTATTTACTGGCCTTTTGAGTTCGTCACCTTTTGTTCTTGCCAACTTTGCCTTTTGGAGCCTTTTTCTTGGCGGCTTTGGCACTTGCAGCGGCCGTTGCGAGCTGCTCTTGCGTCTTGGGACGCACTTTGAAGAACCCATCCAGGCGGCCCTGTACGCCTGTCTTCAAACCTTTACGAAGCCTCTGAATACCTGTGCGAACCCGTTCCTCGTTAAATCCTTTTTCTTTAACCATAAACTCTACTAAGGCATCTTCTTGAGGCTCCGTCCATTTCAAATTTATGTCACTGGCATCCAGGACGTCTGGCTTCAAAAACAGGTCGCGGGCCTCCTTATAGGCCCAATTTTCAGGAATTTTCCATTTGGCGTTAGATTCGCCCGACTCTATAAACGCGACAATGTTTTCAAGTGATTTGTGTTCTTTGATCAGCTTCAAAGCAGTCACGGGACCAACGCCACGAATACTTTCACAATAATCGCATCCAAGCATAATACCAAGGTCGATGAATTGTTCAATTGTCAAATTTAGTCCTTCCAACACCATTTCGACGTTAATCTCTTGAATTGGCTCCTTTTTAGCTTCAGAGAAAGTCAAATGTCGCAGTAAGAATGGAGTACGGTAGCAAAGCGTATCCATATCTTCACTGGCCGCTGCATATACTTTCCCAGCTTTTGCAAGTTCCGCACATTGTGCTTCTGCCTCACAGGGTGCCACGATATACGGGATTCCCATTAGACCCAACAATTTTTTGGCCTCGTCATTATGCTCGGGCAGCACCTTCACTAATCTGCGCTCGTGCTTCAATTTCTCAGCTTCTTCGATCGCTTCTTCTAACTTCTTCTCAGTATCGGCACGCCGTGTGCTTCTCTTAGCCAACTCGTGTGCCTTAAGCACTGGAGGCTTACCGTCGAACACGTAACATGGCTTAATCCCGTTATCAATCATCCGCAGCGTACGATAGAAAATACCCATCAAGTGGGACGTCGTTTCGCCTGTTTCACTTGCCAATTGAACTCCATCTTGCTGCCTCACCGCGATTAAAAACTGATATAACGACATGGACGCATCGATCGCTACTTTACGCCCAAAAAAGTGTTTGATCTCGCTCTTTCGAATAGCACCCGGAACTTGTTCCGATATGATGGCATTGAGTCCTTTGATACCCATTCCAACTGGTAATATGAGGGCAAAATTGGGTTATTACAGAGTCTTTTAAAGGCGGTTTCTTGACGCGTAAACGCGAGATGAGATTACTTTAATTTTTCTGAAACTCAAGATCACTTTGCCCTAAACTGACATCCCCATCATCAACGGGTAAAAGACCAATTTATCAAAGAATATGGACTTTTTTAGACATGATCCAGAAAGTTTGAATTGATTTGCGTTTTCTGCATGGTTTAAGCTTGTATTTTGAAACTCATCCTGAAATTTCGTTCAAATATGGCCAAAAAAAAACTGCCAAAAATGAACATATTACTGAACTTATTGACATAAACTTGAATTGTTTACAACTTTCAATTTATGTTTTACCTCACCTTTAGTGCGGTTAATTTTTGAGTTGTGATATTTTGATTGCTAAGTCTCCCCGTTCTGTTACGAGACGGCCATTAAACAGCTTCATTTAAACGAATAGGAAATATTCCCAGGCTCTGAACTGTTTTTTGAAGGTTTCTTTAGAAGCTTAAGGGAGGATTTGTCTTACTTCCATCAGTTGCTGTTTTGGTATCAATTTGGTACCGCTATTCAGGTGCTAAAGTTCGTTTCGTGAGACCTGGTTACTGGACATGACATTGAATGGATGATAACTCAAGGCTCGTCATTAAAGTGCCATTGAATCATTTAGCAGTCCCGCAAAAACTTCTTCGTAAGTGTAACAAAGGAGGGTATAGAAAGTATAAAGTTAGGTATTTCGATGTTATCAATCTATCAAGTAGCCATTTGAACACATATCATCACTGAGCCCCTGCTTAACCATTTTGAAGCAGCAGGAATGGCGTATGACATAGTAAACGTAATTTGCAGCGATGATCTCAGTGGCCCAAGATCGGTCTAATTGTCATTTTACTTTGCCGGCCAAGGCAGAAAGATCAAGCTTATAAATTTTTATTATTTCCGATAGATTAAAGCATAAAAGATACTTTGAGTATCTCTGAGCTGATCGCGTGGATACTTTCACTTAACGTTCTGCAAATCGTTATATAGTCCAATCATAAATCTTTGTAGACTGTAGGCGACTTGTTCTTGTTAATGTCTGGGGAGCACTCTGCCTATCTTGCTACCATTGGCAGACAATTATTCGAGAGTAAACAAGCCCGTCCGAAAGGCAAACTTTATTCCGGCAGCGGTACAACAATAGGATGGCCCTCTTTACAATAACATTTCGTGTGTTGGATATTGTTCTAGTTTCAATCTTTTTCAAAGCCCTTCGTCAGGCAGGGCTTCGCCAATTTTGGGTACTTTTCTAGCAGCAGGAGAATCCTTGTTCTATCGGATAACTTTAGCTAAAGAGAAGCCTGAAGCCAAGAGGCGTTCCTTCTTGCCAGATTCGCACAGGTTGGAGTTCAGCTTATGTGAAAACTTGATCTTACCAATCGTTATCGAAGAAACGTCGTTTGCTCATATTCTAAATCCGTTGACTCGGGTGTCAAGTCACGGAGTTATTAACTCAACGAACCTTTTCTCAGATAGCTCTCAACAATTATATAGTCTCAATTGCAAAAGATCATTCAAATACATGATAAGTACTCTAGAGATACAATACTACGATCGCATGGGACATTTCATCGCTACCACTTGGACAATCGTCTTTCGTTCTCGATCAACAAAACTATCCTTAGGAAATTGTCTCGCTGTGAATCCTTACTTGACACTTGTACCAAGATCGAAAGATACCAAAGGGTTACTTCTTTGTCCACCGTGGCCTCATATTATGCAATTCGAGATATATAAAAGAAAGTGAAATAAAGTCGGAAAATTGAAAATTTTAAAAGCTCGAGATAAATAAAATGAACTTGAGACAGCGTTCGAATGACGAATTGAAATGTCCACGGGACATTTTCCGGAGTAGATTAATTTATGAAATTTTTGTTCATAAGTTTTCTACTGGATTTTCGTTGTTGGCCCTGAGTATGGGAATTTGGTGTTATGTCGTTGGTGGTCCAGTCGCATCTGCTGTTTTGATGGCTTCTCTGGTTTTGGGTGGAGTCTTTCTATCTGTGCTGCTAATAGCTTTTAGCGTTTTCTCTGATACGCCTTGGTACTTCAAGGTTCTTATTGCAGTGGCGTTGTATGCGAAGCGTACATCGATAAGAAATGCTGTTGACGAGAAATTGGCGTGGGGGGATGGTTTCAACGGGAAATTAGGGTGGGATGTAGGAACGGTAAGAGATTACATGCGTGAAATTTTGATCGCGAATCCCGGCGACGATCAGGCGAAATGGGATTCTATTGCGGCCAATATGAATTCTGTCATTTACGTCAAGAGTTGGTGGGCTACACCTTACTTTTTTTACGACGGTTACAATTGTCAGTCGTGGTTTGACAGCAGGTATGTGGGCCCGTTTTTGAAAGACGAGGACCGATTTCCACCCATCCTGAGACCCTTTATAAGTGCGGCAGTTAAAAGCTATGTGCGAAATTCTGAAGAACAATTGCAACGACTCGCGGAAGATGTTGTCTCTGAGACTGCATCTGTGGATGACTCTTACCCAAAGTGACTGGTATGCGGCAGCGGTTCCAAGGCATAGCGGTCGTCGACGGTTGGTGATATGCATTGTTTTGGCGAAGAGCGATATTTAGGCTATGTAAGTGCTTGAAAGTGCCAAGCAACTGTACAGGTGACATTACTCGCGACAGTTGGATGTATACAATGAAAAATCTGAACTGCTTGAGATGTTCATGAGCGTGTAGTTTGTTAACATTTAATGTCAAGGACGGGTGTTGTGATTTTGGGTCGGTAAAAAGAGAGACAGGTGAAGAAAAACAAACAAACAAACATTAGATGAAAGATAGGACAAAAGCGGGCCCAAGTGGACGGTTAGTCCTGATCTAGGTGGGGTTGACTAAGGCCTACAGAGCTGTTCAACAAGTTAATCACGGAAGGTCTTGATGATCACGTGACCTCGTGCACCAGCTAAATATTAAGCTACTGGAATCAAGACGATGCCGGTTGTATGAGAAAACTCACAGGTGCGATGCTGTAGTGGGGAATGTGGCACGCTAAATTTGAGCGAAAGAGTATAACTTTGATCATGGTTATGAGTGGGATTGCGCAATGATACCACGTGATCTTGATGTCAGAATGAGTCAAGATGATCGCGCAACCAGGCGGCGGGTGACGAAAGGATATAGGGGACGCGCTTGCGCGATTTTTCAGCGTAGATAGACTTCTTGGCGTCTGTAATTTTTCCATGGCTTGCAGTACTGGTCATTTTGTTTTACGTAGGAAGGAGCTGGCGAGAAGATGATATCGTTCCATTGCATCATCACGTGATCGACATGACAGAATAAAATTAGAGAAATGGACAGACGGTTTGCATTCTGTGGAAGAACTGCAAGCCGAAACAGGTCCATTGGCAGTTCTAGAATCTTCAGAACATGGTAATCAGAATATCCGAGGTATGAGGGATGACGTGCGATGAGAGTTCACTGTCTAGTGTGGAGAAAGTAACGGCTTCTAAGGTTAGAACAGTGTCAAGAAAATTGCACAAAAGGAGACGTTTTGATCAGTCATACAGTGGCCATATCTTCAAGATAACCATAGAGAGATATAAGTACTCAATTCCTTATCAGCTTTATTATTTAGACCAACTATGATTGAACTAAATGAGCAGTTCAGAAATCTATCAACCACCGACAACGATAAACCTCAACATTTCACAATCATTACAAACCCATTTTCGTCGGTCCCTGCGTGATAGCAATTGGCGAGATCACCTCAAGCATCGATCACACAACTGGGATCCGATTTTGGGTGTCTTGCGCGTAGAAAACGATATACCGTCACATGACCACAAAACTCCGAATAATATCCGCTCCATCTCCGGTAAACGCCGCGTTTGTGGCAGGATGTCTGGGTTTACGTACCAAGTGACATAACAATCACGTGGCCTTCCACAACACCCACACACAACGGAAAACGCCTTTTTCCGATATCTCCGTCTTTGTGGCACGACCCCCACGCCATCCCACGCTCAGTTACCCTCCCTGAAAATTTTTCGCCACCTTCCCTCGTCAACAACGAACTTGCTCCCTCCAAACCCCCCGTTCTCGTGAAAAGAGAATAAACAACTAGTCATTAGTGATTTGGCCAAGATCACTACCTCCGAATACTACACTTGTTACGAGAACCCTCATCTTGTCACTTGCCAAACACCGAACCACCGCACGTCTAACGAAACAAGAATCAACTGACAAAGTTAACTTAAAACCAGATGAGCCTGTACGAGTATAAACACGGAATCATCAACAAGGATCTCGCAGCTGGAGCAGAGTCAGGAGCGCGTCGACAGTTCCCAACGTTGGAGGCATGGTACGATGTGGTCAACGATTACGAGTTTCAGGCGCGATGCCCGGTTATTTTGAAGAATTCGCATCGGAACAAGCATTTTACGTTTGCGTGCCACTTAAAGACGTGTCCTTTCAAAGTGTTGTTGAGTTACTCGGGCCACCATAAGGATGGCAGCGACGACGAAGGCGAGACCCCACCGCCAGAGGGTGTACGTGAGGAGGCGGGACACGGGCACGAGCACGCGGGTCACGAGGGCCACGAAGGTCACGAGGGCCACGAGGGCCATGAGGGCCACGGACACGAGGATCACGCCCACGACTCGGTCAAACGTGAGGACCACGATCGCCACCACGAGCACCAGGCTGGAACGCCTAAGTTCAACGACGAAGTTAGTGCTGCGATCGCGGCCGCTGTCGCGGCCGTCGCGGACGGGAACCCTCATGTTGGGTCCGTGCGCGGTCCCTTCACGGTGACCAAGATCGACCCTTACCACAACCACCCTCTGGAATCCAATTTGAGTCTAGCTAAGTTCGTGCTGACCAAGATCCCACGTATTTTGCAAAACGATCTCAAATTCGATTCCATCCTTGAATCTCTGTGCAACGACGACGACAACACGGTCGCCAAGTTCCGCGTCTCGCAATACGTTGAAGAATCCGGAATTCTCGACATTCTCAAGGAACGGTACGGACTTTCTGACGCAGATCTCGATAAAACGCTGCTTTCGCACATCGCACGTAGAATCACCACTTACAAGGCCCGTTTCGTGCTGAAAAAAAAGAAAGCCGGCTCTTACGGCGTCCCCAGCAGTCCAATGTCCGCTGCTGCGGCAGCAGCAGCGGCAATCAGCGCCAACGGAAGCCATTCGCCCATGGGAGGACTTCTTCACCATGACGTCAAGAAAAGAGGCTTGCAAGACCTCAAGGACGAACATCACCCCCATGACGAAGAACTCGAAGGCCGGAAACGGTCCCGCGCCAACAAGATCTCTACTGCGGTCAAAATGGGCACCCGTTCGTCTTTGGTCAGCGACCCGGCTCTCGGATCTCTCGAGGACGCCCACGACGCGGACGACAACAAACTACCGCAAGACGTTGCTGAACAATTGCGTTTATTGAGTTCCCATTTGAAAGAAGTCGAACAACAGCAGGAACAACAACAACAGCAACAGCAGGAACACCACCACAACCAGCAACAACACCACAACTCGCACGACCAGCAACTCCAGCACCATCTTCACAAGAACGGCGTCAAAGAGGACATCACGGACGAGAATATCCAGCCTGAACTGCGTGGTCAGTAATTGCTACTCTTTTGTTCAACGTCCTCGTGACGCGATTTTCGCAAGACGAAAACCGTGCTTTTTCATATGATTCGGGTTTCCCGGTATTGTGGTGAACACGCTTTACCGGCGGTCCTTCTACTTGTCTACTAAGCTCGATTATGAACGGTACTGTATGTGTATTTTGTATTATACGTCTTTTATGTAAATGGTTACATGGCGCTATGGTTGAAATTTGATTTTTCAGCTTCTTGACGCTGGCAAAAGCTGGGCATCGCATGTCAAAAAAGTGCCAAAATTGGAACTTTTGGCGAAGAGATCCTTTGTTTAACACTCGAGTTCCAATATGTGGAGGGTCAATCAAGCACGTACTCTTTCCAAGGTTCGTTTTCTGCCCATTTTTGCAGTTTCGAGACGCTTTTTGAGTGCAACAACTGTTTTCCAAAAGAAGGGCAAAGAAAATGGGTCAGAGCAGGACTCAAGCCCAGATGTTGTGTCCAATTTGCAATCAAAAATTTCTCCAGCAAATCAAGTGCCTTGGTATCTTCAAGTCGTGGAAAAACCGCCTCAATCAGGTCCTCAAACGCAGTTGCAAACTATCCAGTTGCCTCAGGGATCTCCAGATTCCTTGAAAACAATCACAGAGTTTTTGCGTGACAAGCTTGCACTGGAAAACATTTTGGTGTTCGATTTGCGTCAGGATAAAGAGTCCTTCACCACCGCGTGCAGCCGAATCGGCGATTTTATGGTCCTTGCTACTGGAAAGTCCGGCAAACATTGTCACAAGAGCTTTGTAGAAGTAAACACGCTGTTGAAGAATATTTTCATGACGGTGGGGGACGTGGAAGGTAATATTAGTGCAAAAGAACTTCGGAAACGGCAAAGGCGGCTCGCAAGACGCTCAAATTTGAACAGATCTGCCCAAGCGACCCTATCGCGTCAAAGCGCACTCTCTGATTGCTGGTATATGATTGATTGCCATGTGGACGGCATTTTTGTCAATATTCTGACCGAAAACCGGAGACATGAGCTCAATTTGGAAGAACTTTACGCACCGGAGAGCGACAGGCACTTGTACGAGCGTGGTCCTGATGCAGAGGCCAGTGAACAGCTAGACGATGACGATAACGTCTTGGCCGGACTTAGAAGACTTGCTTCGCGACATCAGCAACGATTTTACTCGACTTCTGCTTCTCAGGACCATTCTGTTTACAAATCGCTGCTACAACAAGATTTCAAACGTGCATCCCAACACATTTCGAGTCCGTCACTTGGATCGCTTAAATCGGTCACGCAGGCTTTGGAAACTATACAGGAAGGAACGGAGATTGATGTGAACAATTGGAGACGAATTTTCGATCGTTGTTGGCCATTGTACGTGTCCAAAGCGGAACAAGACGAGTATTGGTCCCAAAGACTATACTTCTTCAAATTATTAAACTGTGCTGCCCCGAAACGGGCCTCCGTGCGAGCATTCTTGACAGATTACTTAGTTTTGAAAGCTGCGCAAGGTGGACAACTATCGCGAAATGATCTATGCGAATTTTTGCAATCCGTGGTGGCCACGTTGAAGGATGATAAGACTACCGATTACTGGGATCTTGTCGCTTACAATAAGCTTGTTGTCGACGCAATCAAATTGTACCAAGTTAACAACCCGGAAGTGATCAGGAACGAACAAGTCGTATGTGGGCTCATAGACACGATGCGATACACTAATTCCAAGACCACAGTGTGCTTGCATGCGGTTTACGAGCTCATAGACTTTATAAGCGAGGAGTTTCAAGCGCGTGTTCCGGACTCAGTCGTGAAAAACATATTGACGTTGCTGGCGCAAAGACATGATTGGAACAAATTGTTCAGTTTCTGGGCAAAATGCCAGGGCAAGACGGCGGACTTGCGTCCTTGGCCGATTTTCCTCGATACGTTTACAAATTTTGCCGATCGACAATGGATGCAATATCTGATCAATGAGGGCCATTTACTATGGATCAAACGCAATGGCGTGAAGATCACACCGGAATTGCGTACATCGCTGGCACGACTGTTTTCACTAGCAGAACCCTCGGGTGTTGCGTACAAAGATTTGTACAATTATCTCGTTGACAACGCCACGACCGCATAATGCTTTTGCTTCCCTACACTGTACATAGCCAATTCCTTGTCACTACAACTCGCGTAGGTTTTTGTTAAGATACTCTGCGAAGAGACACACGACACGATTCCTTTCAATACTTCTAAGCCTGTTGAGTGCGACAAACTGCCGCCGTATACGTTGCAATTGCGCGACAGACGCACCTTCGGCAGGTAACTCTACAAAGACGCAATTGGGGTCGTTGACGTCCGTGGTTTCCGATACGAATACACGCGTAGGACCCGAAACCACATTGATTTGCAACGCAGCGGCAATTTTCTTGACCACGGCTGAAGTTTCCGCATCAAGCATTTGCACGGAATTGACTGCTGAAGCGGGTCTTAAGATGGTCGAGTTGTTTGGTTTTATAGCGTTCAAAAGGCGTAACGTTTCGCGATCATTGCCGTCACGGTACAATTGTGGGAAAATGACCCGGAAAACTTGTTCACGTAGTGCAAAAAGCGAGTCTTCGGGTGCAAGTACAGGTATAAGCGGTGAATCCCATCGAGTCTGCGAATTTGGTTCTTCGTATCGCTGGATGAGTTGGGCCAATAGATCTTCGTCCCAGGGCACGCCGGCCGTCTCCGGGTGGTCGGCGTCACCCGTAGGCGACACATCACCCGATTTATTCCACCGTGCAAGCGTCTCCCCTGCACACATAACGTGAACCAAACAATAAGTTGTGGCAACATTTTTCACTTCACAATGCAACTGGTAGCGGAATCCCTTGATATAGTTGAGCGAATCGACTACAACTATTCGCGTGCGTGACAAATCTCGTTTCACTGCGGACAGGATCTTTGATCTCAAGCGTCTTTCGTCCTGCGACGTTCGATACTCATCATGTCTAATACCCAACGTTTCGTCAGAATGGTAAACGACAGAGTATTTTGAGAGCGCTGGCTCTTGCGAGATCTTGTCCTGAAGCGCAGAAACCAGCTGGCGAGCCTGAGTGGTTTTACCGCAAGCCGGGAACCCAGTTAACAAGATCAAGGGCATCTCTCTTCTTATAGTTTTTGTCGAACTTCAATTTTTCAGCTAGCTCATCGCATCGCCAAAAATTTTTCACTATTTCAACACTAGAAAAACTCCGAACCTCGAACTTTGAAACGGCTCAAACACATCAATGCGTCGATTTTATTCTAGTTTTGTGCCCCGAATCAAATTCCCCGAGTATAATATACCTTTGACCGATTTTAAAGGACATCAACAGCGAGCCATCCACCGATTTTATGAGCTTTTACCGCAATTGAACTTGTTGTTAGAATTGAGAGACAGTAGGGCTCCTGTGAGTACACGAAATGCATTATTTGATGCGTTGATGGTGAGCAATGGTGCGCAGCAACGGCTTCAGCGACTTGTTGTGTATACGAAAGTGGATCAGTGTTCACCAGCGACGTTAAACAGACTTCGACATTGGCATACGCAGATGGGGGATCAGTTTATGGCGTTGGATTGTCGACACGCAGGTCAGGTGCGGAACTTGACCAGGATCTTGGAACACAACTACGACGCGGTTGCTGCGGGCGGTTCTGTCGGTGCGACAGCGCTTCCGCTTGGTTATAGAATGCTTGCAGTGGGAATGCCGAACGTGGGTAAATCCACACTGCTCAACACGCTTCGTTACGTGTCGAACCACGCCCAGGGCAACCGCAAAGTTGCTAAGACCGGAGGCCAGGCCGGCGTTACCCGTAAAGTAAGCGAATGCGTTCGTATTGGCAACCATCGTGCGGGCTTGTTCCTATACGACGCTCCTGGTGTCTCATTACCAGCGCGCGTCGCAACTCGCCAACGCATGCTCGCACTCAGTCTGTGCGGCTGCGTCAAGAGCAATCGCGTCGATCCGGTCATCCAAGCCGACTACCTGTTGTACTTGCTCAACCTACAGGCTCCCGAGTCGTATACACACCTCACGGGCGGAAAACGCACAAACGACGTGAATCGAGTGCTTGCAGGCATTAAGCGCTCCCACCGCATTATCAGTGACACCGGTGCTGCAGTATATTGGCTTGAAAAATGGCGTCAAACCGCTCCAAACACACCGAGAATCTCGTTCGACATCGAACCTTTACTGAACGACCAAGAATTCGATTACCGCAGGCTAGTCGACACGGAACGATCCCTCATAGACCCCTGGTTGCGCGGGCGCACCGATCAAACCCGGTCCCGAAATCACCACAAGGCCCATAATAGCAATCAACTATTTGGCCTTTAAAGTCCCTCAAAGTTCCCAAACTTGGGGGACCTTCGTTCAAAGAGCTATCAACACTTTTTTCCACCTCACTTTCGGTTTGGCACTCCGAGCGAAATTTTTCATCCACCGAGGAGGAAATCGTATATATAAGAGAATAATTGACGATTTGGACCCTCGTTTGGAACTAGGAACCGATAAAAAACGCCTTAGGAGAAAGACGGACTTAACCTGGGCTTGTTTAGGCATCGACGGTATCGAGCATTGCAAGAGCCATGCCGATCAAGCATATGCCAATCCAGCCTAATCTGGCGCCATTGTGCGCGGGCGGGCCCAACAATGTGACGATTGCACCGAACTTGAAAAATGGATCGCGAGATGGTAAACGAAGGACGAGCAGTGGGATCGTGATACGGACCTCGAAACAATGGGTATTACCACCGCGACCAAAACCGGGACGTAAACCTACTGCTACGACGCCGGTGCGTGGTACTGGAGGGGTCGCGTCTAGTGGGAGCGGGAATGTCGTTACGAACGGCAATGGGTTGGCCAGTGGGACAAGTGCCAATTTGACAACATCTCACTCGTCTCAGGGCTCCCAAGGTGCTGCTAGCGCCTGTGCAAGCAAGTCCACAACACCGGGGGTCGTAACCCCTGGAGTTACTACGACTTCTCCCGTTATCGTCTCCACGTCACCAGCGACGAAAAGGGACCTTGAACCCCAGGAGTTGCACAAAGTTGACGATAAGATGCAGGGAGTTGTCCCTGCCGCGATGACGGTAACGCCTACTGTGTCCGCTGTGTCTGCTGTACTGGGAACAACTGTAGCCGACGTCAAAGCGAAGAAAGCTGCCAAGAAACCGTCCAAAACAGTACTGAAAAAAGAGATTCAACAACTCAAACTGGAAAACTACAAACTCAAACAGGATCTTAGTCAGTTAGTTGGCACGTTGCAAGAGCTGAAACAGAAATGGACTCTCAAATCTGCGGCAAGTGTCTCAGAAACGCCTGCTGATATCAAAATGCAACCCACGGCGCAACTTCCATCTCCTGAAACCAAGAAAAGATCCTTTTTGGACTCATCAGACTCATGTTATTCGACAGACGCATTTCTGAAATTCGAAGACGAAGACGACGACGATTGTCGTCATAGTGGTGTCATTTCAACGGTCAGTATGCGACAAGCACATTCCTTCTCATCTGTTTACAGTACGAGAACTACGCTTACCGACGACGAGGATACGGGGTTCTCATCATCGACTCCCAGTTCGTTGTTTTCTGCCGGATTACAGCGGTCACTCACCAACAACAGTTTTGCCGGCTCTACATCACACCATGCGGGTCACAGCAGTGGCATTAGCCCGATGGGTACAACGTGTTTGAAACCTTACAGTTCTGCCGCGGACGCCATGAAATTTCTGGACGATTACGAATTTAATGAGTTTTACGGCAAACATAAGCAGACTCTTGAAAATGACACTGTGGATAACGTCAGTGGAGACACTCACAGCGAAACACCACCACATTTGGAAAAACCCGCAAATGTGGCACCCACGTTATCTGCGTCTGCCGTTTTGAACGGAACGTTACTACATCATCCGGCAGACTTGCATTTGGATGTCATCAAAGAAGAAGATTTTGGATTCAATTTCGAAAGGAATTTTAACGAAGACGATCTCAGTATACTAAACTTCCTAGAGTCTCACGTTGGTGGAGTAAACCAAGCTGTGAGAGATCAGTCCGAAAAAAAAAGTGAAGTCACCGCCGTGACAGACAACCAACCTTCTTGGTTCGTAAAACAAGAAGATGCGTCTCCTACTGCCATTTTCGAGGGACTCAAATCCGATAGTGAAAACACGAAAACAGAACTCTACATGCCACCTTCACTTGAAGAACTCATGGACGAACAAGACCTAGATCGTTCTGAAAAATTCTTCGACTCTGGACTTCGCAACGAAACCGATTTGAACGTTCTTGAGATAGGAAGCTTTGAGGCCAACTAATTCACCAACAACCCACTCATCACCTTTTAATGACCTTTACGATATGATTTACGAAAACATTTATATTCCAACGACCACGCTCCAAATCCAATTGGCCAGCTGCATACATGCTATTTATCCTGAATTGATGACTTTGAGATGAGAATTTGACGATAATGATGAATGTACCGAAAAGTTAAACCATTAATCCCCCAAATATCCGCATATTAAAAGCTTTTATTTATTCACATTCCCTTTCATGAGTATTAACGAAGATAAGTTATTTATACATAAACAAAATGCAATTAACCGGCAAACCTATCTAATCGGTTTCAAGAAAATGTGGACTGATTACCATCCAATTTCAGACAATCTGGTACCATTAGCTTTGTTAATACTATCAATGCTGATACCTGCCATTAAATCACCCAAGTCCGTCGAAACTTCTAGTAACTTGACAGGATCTTGGTAATGAGTCGTAGCTTGAACAACGGCTCTGGCGAGTTTTTCTGGGTTAGAAGCCTTGAAAATACCAGAACCCACAAAGACACCGTCACAACCCAATTGCATGAGCAACGCAGCGTCAGCTGGCGTAGCGACACCGCCTGCAGCAAAATTGACCACGGGCAATTTACCTTGTTTCACAGTATCTTTCAAAAGTTCCACTGGAACTCTCAATTCTTGTGCTTTGGTTTCGAAATCCTGGTCTGTGACCAAGTTTTCGGAAGCCCATGCGATCTCTTCACGAATCTTGGTAATGTGGTTAACCGCTTCACTGACGTCTCCGGTACCAGCCTCACCTTTAGTTCTAATCATGGCGGCACCTTCGTTAATACGTCTTAGTGCTTCGCCCAAATTCTTAGCACCACACACATACGGAACTTTAAACGCACTTTTGTTAATATGATGCACTTTGTCGGCTGGTGTTAACACTTCACTTTCGTCTATATAGTCGATCTCAAGTGCTTCCAAAATTTGGGCTTCAACGCTGTGTCCAATTCTGACTTTGGCCATCACTGGAATCGAAACACTTGCCATGATCTCTTTGATCATCTTAGGATCCGACATCCGGCACACTTGACCCGATTTCCGCATATCGGCAGGTATACGTTCCAAAGCCATCACGGCACAAGCACCGGCTCTCTCAGCAATAATGGCTTGTTCAGCGTTCACCACATCCATAATAACACCACCTTTCAACATTTGCGCCAAACCAGCTTTAACTTTGAAATCTGACATCGTGTACTGTCTGCTCAATAGATCTGTCTACTCTACTATCTAAACTCTAGCTACTACCATCACTCTTCTTCAGCTCTCCTCTCCCGCACCCAATATATACGGCTCTAATTAGATCCCACTATGGATAGATCTCAACATCCAGTGAGTATTGAACCTGATCCTTTAACGCATATTTGCACTCAACAAGGTAACTCTCACCTTGACCGAAAAAAGTCGCCTGAGATGAACTCGCGGGTGTCAAAATCTGGAGAGTGACTCTTGAAATTATGACTCTTCGTAGAATGACTCGCGCAAATTAAGTAAAAGCCTCGTTCTAGTAGAAATAAAACCAACGGCATTATCAACCTAACGGCCTTTTAGCTAGTCAAATCGACTATCACCATGAAGATTGTTGGTGTTCTTGCTCTACAGGGTGCTTTTATAGAACATGTTCAATATGTCCAACAGTGTATTGAAAAAAGTGGGTACGCTTTAGAGGTGAAAACTGTCAGGACTCCCTCGGAATTAAGCAGTTGTGACGCTTTAATAATTCCCGGCGGGGAATCAACAGCCATATCTCAAATTGCCGAACGAAACGAGCTTCTGGGGCCCTTGCAAAAATTCGTTCAACAACCTGAAAAAGCCGTCTGGGGTACTTGTGCTGGTCTAATATTCTTAGCGTCCGAACTTACCAATGAAGCGAATTTGGTAAGAAACTTGGGTTGCTTGAAAGTCGCTGTAAAACGTAACGCTTTCGGTAGACAATCCCATTCGTTTGTCGCGGATTTGGACTTCTCTTCGTTTTTACCTGGCGGTGAAGCGTTCCCCACAGTATTCATTCGAGCACCTGTCGTTGAAAAAATTCTAGGCGACGACGTCCAAGTATTGCATTCCATTCAAAGTCCCTCCGGTGGTGACCTTGTCGTGGCGGTGAGACAGGGCAACGTTCTGGGCACTTCTTTCCACCCGGAACTCGCAGATGATATTCGATTTCACGACTGGTTCCTGAAGGAATTCGTCATATAATTTCAACAGTCAGGGGCGTGGTCAAATGCGTTGAATTGATAATCTGGATTCGTCCGTTGTCGTATAGCGCATGAGGGACTCGTATTTGACCAACGATTTGGTTTACATTGACCAATTTTAAATAATTTAATCCTGAAAACGTGTCCCAAATCAATGCCCGGTATTTGACTGTAGCAGCATCAGCATTTCGCATCCGTTTAATTCTTACGTTCTTGACCGTTCCCGTGCCCTCCTCCCATGACTCCTCACCAAGGAACGACACCCCGTCCTGAAACCACCATATCAACCTGTGGATATGGCGTAAAATAAAAAAACGACACGCACTTGGTAATATCAAATAATTCAAATCCACGGTGTCAACAGTATCAATCTCAAGTTGAACCAATTTCTCCCATCGCGATAAATCTGCAAAATTTCGTGTGTGTCCCAGTTCCACCATTTCACGAACCCGTATCCTTTTAACCCGCCTTTTCACTACATAGCCTACAACTTGTCCAGGATAATCACGAGAACCATGGAAATTCAAGACCCGCTCAAACAGTGGATCACCTATTATCTCCAAATCTTGTAGACTCTTGAAATCATCCAGTTTGGAAATGACATTTGCAACTGCCGAACCTTCAGCTTCCCGAGAAACATCCGCATTCTGTTCTAAATCTTCATCATCACCAAATACAACCCTGGTAACCGTCTCTATGAACCCAGAAGTCGATAACTTAGTCAACACCTCCGGAACACCACTCTGCGCAAGTCGTTCGACATTTATCGTCATACAAGTATCAATGTCATCCTGAATCCACATACGATATTCCTCGACAGTATACCATGCTTGTAACACCCCACCCCGACTAAACAACGCAACACACAACTCACCATCAACATCAATCCATTCTAAACCACCAGATTCATCTTGTAAATCGGAATTGACTCGTAAAAAATCCATCAAAATCGGATCGTAACGTAGAATCGAAGCATATAATGACCAAACCCGTTGGAATCCATCGATATAACCGAAATTGATCACATATTTTTGGGCCTTTGTCCATAATTCTTGGGTTTTCGAATCCATCAGCTCGTCGCTCTTAAATTGGTCAAAATCATTGCTGAAAAGCTCATAATTAGAGGGAGGTTTAAGCCGGGAGAACTGTCCATCTAAATGCCAATAGACTTGTCTCCTGAGTCGCAGGGGCAATTCAAGAAACCGAACGATATCTAAACTCATCGGCTCTCATATCGTTAACTCATTTATAGATGCCTAAATATCGAAAATCTTAACTTGACCGTCTAACAACAACCGGGGTCCATGCTCAGTGAGCTAAAAATCGCACTTAAGAAGTGGGAACGTGACTTTGAGCGTGGTAATGGAAAGCCTCCAACCCATGAAGATATTAAGTCATTTCCAGAGATTAAACAGAAGTATAAGCAGTATGCTTTGTTGAAGAATGAAAGGCGCGGTTCGCTGAAAAAAGCTGAAGAAACCCCGAGAAGAGGTGATGGCGGAATTCTTGAACTTGGTCCAACGCCTCAGATTTATGGGAAAGCTATTAGCGTTTTTGATATGAATATGAGCCCCAAATCGGATGCTGCGTTAGAACATAATGATGTCGATGAGGAAGCGATTCCAGTGAGGCGAAACCTTAACCTTGGTTTGCAAGAAAGTCCCAAATTAAATGCCAAATTGAATGCCAAATTCCCAGAATATTCTCCTGTTAAACTTGATGTTTCTTTGAAGATGCATATAACACCAAGAAAGGATTCCAAAGCAGGTGGGGACATTATATCTCCGATCAACAAACATCACCAAAAGTCACTTGCCACTTTGGCGCGAGAACATAAGGAAATTATGGAGGAAGTGAAAAATTGGAGCGATGATGAGGTTGTGTCTGGCAAGATTAGAGACGTATTTGCCGAAGATCAGGAAACCGAGAGTGAAGTGGAGGAGGAGCCGCAAGATCAAGAAAGCTTCAGAAAAAAACGCTCCAGGCGGCATATACTACGTCCAGCAAAGCAGTTGCAGAAGTTGCAATCTGAAACTGAACCACATCTACCTGACCTGCACGAGACAATGGCACAATTGAAAAATGGTGCCACCACTGTATTAACTACGCCTGCGTCAACTACCACACCACTCTCATCTCGCAAGTCCAATAGAAAATCAAAATACAATTTGGTGAGTAACAATTTCCGGCGCCTCAAATTACCCAAAGGCAAAGGCAAAGGCAATAGGCGGTTTGGTCGTAGGCGTTGAACGCCCCAAGATTTTCTTACCTTTACAAACATCTAATTTACAAGTAAATGCAGCATACCTTCAATTCTTTGTGCTTCTTCACCACGGTGTACTTCTTGTTTAACTTTATCTCTAAGTGCCACTACCATTTCTTCCAACACTGGCGATTTCGCTATTAAATCACTGTAAAGTTCCAGGACAACGGCTATCCAATCTGCGACAACGTTAGCACTTCTTACATCTTCTATTCCTTTGTGACACCAATTCAATAGAGGTTCCAACGACGCTTCGTCTCGACCATACAACGCTACTCTAATTTTGCCACGTTTGCGCAACTCATGAAGCGCAGTTAGAGTTAATTCTTTGGCAGTTCCCGGTACAAAGGCACTATCAAGTGCCTCGGCCCACCTAAATTGATTGATATGACGCTCAAATGCACGCAACTTTCGCTGAGGGCGTGCTTTGTCATTATGAATAATATGTTCCTGATCACCCGCGTATTCTGACCCACGCATCATACGCTGGAAGTTAGAACCCTTAGTTTTATGTTGTTGCACGTCAATTTTAGGCGATTGCGTGTTCTTCTTTTTGGTACGGATGGCAAGTAGTCCTGATGACAACCCTGCCACCATATGCTTATTACCTTGTGCATCGCCAGGTGATAATGCGCAACTTAGCACAGGTGCTGAAAATTTCCAACCAAATTTGACCTTGTAGCCATCCAAACAATCGAAAACTTTGACATGACCATCAAGCGACGAAGTGAGCAACGCTGACCGCATTGGAGCACTATCCCCCATATCAACGTGATCGAGGGAGGTCACAGTCTTGGCAAAATTACCACGCTCGACTAAAGTTCTCTGTGAGGTCAAATCCCATACTTTAAACTGGGATCCACCGCATGAAACCAGCTGCGTCGGAGACACAGCCTTGATATCTTCAACGGGTAAACCATGCGTTAATACGGTAGCCGTGTTTTTGGTTCTGGTATCGTGCAACCGCACGAGTCCGTCGTAAGAACCCGTGACGACAAGATGAGGCGCTTGAGGGATAAAACAGACACTTCTCACATAATCGGTGGCCCCAGTGAGCTCTACCTGTGGTTCATAGCTCTGTGTGATATCCCAAACGCGAACGATTCTGTCGTCACTGGCGGATACCAAAGTTCTGACGTCTCCAGGGTGGAATTTGGCCACGTGTGTTGGATGCGATGATGCTGCCACGGAAAGAAGCAATGTACGTGGATTGTAAGAATCGTAGACTGTCACCATCCCCGTAGCGTCACCCATGGCCAGTAACTTACCATCTTCACGAAACGATGCAGAATAGACTACATCTTTGAATCTGGAAAAAGTCTTGATGACTTGTCTAGTTCGCGAAGAAAAAAGCTGTACGCGCGTCGACGAAGCTATGGCAAAATCGTGCGGCTGTGCTGGATTGAACTCGATGCTTGTCACACTGTTGTGTTCTTTAACTAGTTGGGTAGCGCCATAGGATCTCCAATATCGTTGTTCCGGTGTCGTTTGCTCTGGAAGAACCGGGGCACGTACAACATTGAGTTTGGGTTTCGCGGAAGACATCAATGAATTCTGGAAATGAACGCCTAAGGCCTTGATTCCGGTTGGTCAAAAATCTGTTTCGAGCCTGCGATGAGCTTGATTTCCATCAAATTTTTCATTCAAAATAGAAAATCATTATTTACGAAGGGTTTCTCGATCTTGAAATCAGGAAACTCAGATTCACCTAAGGACTTAGAAATTCGATCAACTGAAGGGTAGGGACTTTGGGCTATATTGACACCCACTGTTAGCTAGCAATTGGAGGCTATATCAAGTGTAGAACCAGCAAAAATGCCATCTCTCGAACTTCAGAGAGTTTTGGGACCAATTCCGTCGACTCAGAGGAATTTCTCGAGCAAACTTTCATTCAACGTAGATGCCAATTGTATTGCCTTTGGATGTGGTAAATCTGCGTTTATTCGGTCTTTGGACGGTGATGTATGCGTCCAGTTTACAGGACACGGTGCGAATGTGAGCGTGGTTAAATTCGCTCCATGCAAAGGGTCCAATTATGTATGTTCTGGTGATGAACAAGGAAAAGTTATGGTTTGGAGTTGGACTCCAGAAGAAGGTGCTACGCTGAAAAATGAGTTTCAAGTTTTGGCTGGTGCAGTGAGCGATATAAGCTGGGATGTGGAGGGGAAAAGATTGTGCGTTGTAGGCGACGGACGTGACAATTTCGGAGCATTCATTTCGTGGGACACTGGCAATTCGTTGGGAGAAGTAGGTGGCCATTCCAAGAAAGTGAACGCTTGTCACATTAAACAAAGTCGTCCAATGAGGTGTTTTACGGTGGGAGATGACGGTGCCGTGGTTTTTTATCAAGGACCGCCTTTCAGATTTGCTGGCAGTGATCGTACGCATCACGAACAGGGCAAATTCATTCGTGACGTGGCATTTTCGCCGGGTATTGGTACCTACGCTGTTACGGTAGGAAGCGATCGTCGTATTTGCTGTTTTGACGGTAAGACGGGAGAATTCCTGAAGCATGTAGAGGACCCCGAAGATCCCGTTGATGGTGGAATATTTGCCGTGGATTGGTTGCAACATGGTGACGAATCAACCAAATTTGTAACTGCCAGTGCCGACGCTGCGATCCGCGTGTGGGACATCAAAACGGGCAAAGTGATTCAAAAATGGGTTCTCTCACGTGAATTGGCCAACCAACAAGTCGGGATAGTAGCAGCGGGGCCCGACACTGTGGTATCGGTCTCATTGGATGGTGCGTTGAACGTTTTCCAAGTGGGACAAGAAATGTCAGTTCAACGCATCGAGGGGCACAACAAGGGCATTACTGCGATCGCTACGAACCCGCTAGTCTCAGGTTCTTACGATGGTAGGCTCGTCAAGTGGGATGACACCACTAAAAACCCAAAAATGACGAATTCCCATTCTAATTTGATTGTCACTATTGATACAGGCGACTCAGTCTCCTCGGTTTCGTGGGACGACACTCTGCAGGTCAATGGAAGTGTCAAACACGAATTTCCGTGTCAACCGATGGTCGCGTCTTCCAACCAATCTGCAATTGCAGTTGCGACGGTTGATAACGAGATTCAACTGTTCCATGCCACCACAGGCGAACTCATTGCCTCCACCAGTGTACTAGGAGCTGTCTCCGCCATTTCATTAGGGAACGAGCTGGTGGCAGTAGGATACGACAAGACCAATATGATCGAAATTTTCAAAGCCTCGAATCTTTCCCCTCAGTTTAAATTCGAACACAAACTTCAAGCCACACCCTCATGCTTGTCATTCTCCCCTTCAGAGGCTTACCTCGCTGCTGGGGACGTTATGGGTAAGATTATTCTTTATGACGTTTCGTCCAAGACCGTGAAAACTACTCGTTGGTCTTTCCACACTGGCCGTATAAACTCAATGGCATGGAGACCAGTTACGGGCATAGATGAAGAAGAGGACTACGTTGCTACAGCGTCCTTGGACACGAATCTGTTTGTGTATTCCGTCAAAAGACCCATGAAGATAATAAAACAATTGAACGTTCATAAGGACGGAATTTCGGCGACAGCGTGGTCAGATCAACGCCATCTTTTCAGTGCAGGTGCTGACGCCTGCATTAAAGAGTGGGAATTTGACTTGAACTAGAAACAAGACGTATATTCATGATAAACGGTGATTTTCTCAAATTTCAAATAGTTTTTCATGAGAAATCCTATCTATTATATATAACAAAGACTTATCATAACAGCCACTAATCCATCAAGAAATTGAAAACAACGCGATAATGGGGAGCCCACAAGGTCTGAATGATGATTCAGAGAGTGAGTCTGCAGCCGAGAGAAGGTCTGCTTCTTTGAGTGGAAGAGCCAACTACCAGATTGAGGATGATGGGGTTGAAATCAAAGATGATGATGACGACGAAGATTACAAGGAAGATGCGCCAGACGACGAAGAATTGAACATTGAAGATGGAGATGATGAGGATTACGAGGAAGGGAAACAAAAAAATGCCGCCGAGTCGCCACAGAACAATAGTAATCAGAAATCTGCACAAACGCATGGTCGGCGTGGTAGACCGCCAAAAAGAAAAACTGTTGCAGAAGCGTCAGCAACTTCCAGAGAAGTTTCCAGTACGAATTCTGTGTCTGTTGGACCGGCTAACATCAAGAAACCTCGATTAGGGTTCCCAGTCGACGACGACGGGAATGCGTTGCCCGTGGTGAACGACGAGTTTGCACTGCCTGACGATGTAGAAGGCGAGGCCAAAATTACGAAAGATGGGGATCTATTGGGCGGTAGACAGTTTTTAGTCAGAACGTTCACCGTGTACACCAGGGGCCCACGAAAGTTCATGCTTTCAACGGAACCTGCGCGTGCAGTCGGGTTCAGAGACTCGTACCTGTTTTTCCAGTACCATCCCAACCTTTACAAGTTCGTTATTTCGCAAGACGAGAGGAACGACTTGATAGACCGTGGGATCTTGCCTTACTCATACCGGAGTAGGACGATTGCACTGGTTGCGGCTAGAAGTGTTTTTAAAGAATTTGGGGCCAAAATTATTGCCGATGGTAGGTATATCATTGACGATTACTACGCGACCAGGCTACGGGAAGAAGGTCGTGTTATCGAAGGTGCTTATGCGCGTGAGCCCGTGAATAAAGGCGATAATAAAAATGGGCTTGGACTGGGTGCTCAAGCCAGCACTGCAAATCCCGCTAGAAATGCAGTCGAATTTTTCGACAAGAAGAATCACAATATTCCTCCTGGAAACAACATATCCTCAACAAACTGGCTTTACCAACACGCAGCTGTTTGTAGTAGGTTTAACAGTGATCTATTTTACGATCGTGAACGAGTTTTACTCATAGAACATCTGGGACTGAGAGATCCTTACACAAACACCTTACACATTCCGCAATCGACCCAACCAACCAAAGTTATCAACTACCAGCGGTCCACAAGCCATGATAAAAGCCAGAAAATCGTTTACGAAACTATCATAACGGATAGTGACCTAACGAAGCGTAGAACGGGGCTACAAGAAGTTCCGCTCGAAGTTTTCGAAGACGTAGTCGACGAAAACTTAAAGGAGGCTATTCTGGCCCAACAACGGTTTGAAAGCTCCAAATAAAAGATCTATACCGGTGGTCATAGGTGGGTTTACTCGTGGTATAGGTGTATGTAACCATATACGGAGACATTAAACCTTTAATGTCAAGTTTCTACTAAAAAGGATTTCCCGGACCTCTACACTTTGAAAATAATACTTAACCTCCAAAGACGATTGCCGGCCATCGAGTAAAAGAGTGAAGCATCTAATCGCAGTGAATCGTTAGCTGAGGGTTTTAGAATTTTTTGAAACGGACGGCCGCAAGGATTTTTAGAGCTGATTGAAATTGATTATTTCGCCACCTATTCAGCTCACAATATTTGAAGATGTCGATACTGTTTCGATCTGGACTGAGATCATTTAGGTCATCAAGGTTTTCAAGACTTGATTACAATTCTTTGCTACGTCCGGGTGTGCAGAACTTGTCTCGAAGGGTTGATTTATTCCACACGGGAATACGGCTACAGAATAAGAATGAGAAAGACAACGAAGGAAGCGAGAACCAAGGCGACTCGGGGGATCGAGACCTCGAAGAGCTCAAAAGGAAGATAGAGGATTACATCAAAGACTCGAAAACTAATAGCTCCATGGGTAAGAATGAGCAGAAGAAGAAAATAGATGACGGATTTGCACGTCTTGAAGAACTAATGAACAAGCAACAGAACAAAGTGAGAAAAGACGCAGAAGCAGGAGAGGGTAGCGGCGAGGGTCACAAGGAGCAGAAAGATGAGAAAGACGAAAAAACGGAAGCAGAAGAATTCAATAAGAAAATGAACGACAGGAAGAAGGCAGAAGAAGAGAGATTATCCAAGATACTAAATGATCCTAACGCAAAGGTCTTTGCCATGGATTGGGGTGATTTGACGGTTGTTTTGCTTCTTGCATTTATTCTTGGATTTTCTTTGTTGTCAGGCAGTTCAGAACAAACCCGGGAAGTAACATGGCAAGAATTTAGATCTCGTTTGCTCGAAAGGGGTTATGTGTCCAAGCTCATCGTGGTAAACAAGTCGTTGGTCAAAGTGGTTCTCAATGAAAATGGGAAAAATCAGCCTGAAAACAATGGTCATGACTACTACTTTTTCACAATTGGTTCGATTGAAAGTTTCGAGCGGAAATTAGCCAAGGCTCAGGACGAATTGGAAATCGCTAAAGACTTCCGTCTTCCTGTCCTTTATATACAGGAAGGTAACTGGGGCAGAGCCATGTTTCAAATATTACCCACTGCACTTATGATTGCTGGTCTCGTGTGGATCACAAAGAGATCGGCTGGTAACGCATCAGGCGGTGGACCCGGTGGTATTTTCAGCGTCGGGAAATCTAAAGCGAAAAGATTTAACAAGGATGTTGCTGTTAAAGTGAGTTTTAAAGATGTTGCCGGTTGCGACGAAGCTAAAGAAGAAATCATGGAATTCGTAAGCTTTTTGAAGGAACCCTCACGTTACGAAAAAATGGGGGCTCAAATACCGAGAGGTGCTATTTTATCAGGACCACCGGGAACTGGTAAAACGCTATTGGCGAAAGCTACTGCTGGTGAAGCAGGCGTACCCTTTTTCTCTGTATCGGGATCAGAATTTGTTGAAATGTTTGTGGGAGTGGGTGCTTCTAGAGTGAGAGATCTGTTCAAGACCGCTAGAGAAAATGCGCCCGCTATTATTTTCGTGGATGAGATCGATGCTATCGGTAAAGCTCGACAGAAGGGAAATTTTTCTGGTGCTAACGATGAAAGAGAAAATACTTTAAACCAACTCTTGGTTGAAATGGATGGCTTCACTCCTGCCGACCATATCGTTGTACTTGCAGGTACCAACCGTGCCGATGTGCTCGACCAAGCATTAATGAGACCTGGTCGTTTTGACAGACATATCAACATAGACAAACCAGAGCTCGAGGGCCGGAAGGAGATCTTTCAAGTGCATTTGAAACAAATCAAGTTGGCAGGCGATATAAACGATCTGAAAAACCGGTTGGCTGCTTTAACTCCCGGGTTCTCGGGTGCCGACATCTCGAACGTATGCAATGAAGCCGCTTTGACGGCCGCTAGAAATGAATGCCATCACGTTAAACTCGAGCACTTTGAACAAGCGATTGAGAGAGTCATTGGAGGCGTCGAAAGAAAATCTAAGCTTTTGTCCCCAGAAGAGAAGAAAGTCGTTGCATATCACGAAGCAGGTCACGCCGTTTGCGGCTGGTTCTTGGAATTTGCCGATCCACTTTTGAAGGTGAGTATCATACCGCGTGGTCAAGGCGCCCTAGGGTATGCGCAGTATTTACCTGCAGACATGTATTTACTCAGCGAGCAGCAGCTGCTGGATAGAATGACAATGGCTTTGGCCGGTCGTGTATCGGAGGAGCTTCATTTCTCTTCCGTGACGAGCGGTGCGTCTGATGATTTTCAAAAAGTCACTCGTATGGCGTCGGCGATGGTCACTGAATTAGGGATGAGTGACAAAATCGGGTACGTGAATTTCCAGAAAAAAAGCGAAACCGATCTTACCAAGCCATTTTCTGAGGAAACTGGCACCGTGGTTGATTCTGAGATATACAGAATCGTCCAAGAATGTCACGACAGATGTCTCAAGTTACTTCAAGAAAAAAGCGAAGACGTGGAAAAGATTGCTCAGCTCCTGCTGAAAAAGGAAGTCTTAACCAGAGAAGACATGATTTCACTGCTCGGTAAGCGCCCATTCCCTGAGCGCAACGATGCCTTTGACAAATATTTGAATGAGCAAGAAACTCAAAGGCTAAAGAAAGAAGAAGAAAAAAGCTCAGACGACAAATGAATGGAGGGCATCAATTAAATGCTTTCTCATGCTATACATGTACATAGTAATTTCGAACGCGCATAGAGATGATTTCGTTAGGCCAAGAACTGCGAATTTAAAATAGCGAAAAGAGGGCCAATTATTAGAAATATGAACCAAAAAGCGGCAAATTTTGAGTCAAAAGTCCACTTGAACTGCTGAAACTCAAGCCTAATGCAACGATTAAGGAACGCTTAACCGCTATTCGATCGGTGGTTCATTATCGTTAGTTTTACGGAATCCCAACAGTTTTTACAGTTAGATCACATGATCACTATAAAGTTCGGTGATTTTTTCCCAAAAGGGTTCAAGGTTTTGAAATTAGATGAACATAGAAAAGCCGATGGGATGAGAAGTTGTCGGGAAAACCAACTTTGCCAAGATTGAAGTGTATAAATATCGAGTATAATCGTATCATTTTTCCTATGGGACGTTAAATCTGCGACAAGATATTCAAAGACCGAGATTTGGTGCCATGCAAGAGCCGTTTAGTAGCGAAACAACTGCTCTTATAAGCTCCGATACCAGCGACATTAATTCCAAAGATGCACTGGAAGAAAGATACCATCAGTTTAATTTATCGCTGCCAAAGTTACCCATAGTCACATCTCTTTGGTTAGGCAGCTTTTTGGTCGCTTTGGATGGAACCATAGTGGCCAATACGATGAATCGCATTGCAGAAGAATTTGAAGAGTCCGACAAGCAACAATGGATAGCTACAAGTTTCCTGTTGACTAATACAGCATTCCAACCGCTTTATGGGAAACTCTCGGACATTACTGGTCGAAGATTCGCGTTGATAACTGCCCAGTTTTTTTTCGGACTTGGATGCCTGCTGACCTGTTTTTCTCGCACTTTGACCGAATTCGCCATTGCCAGAGCCGTGTGCGGTGTAGGAGGTGGTGGTATAAGTGCTATGAGCAGTATAACCGTGAGCGATATATGTACTGCCAAGGAAAGGGGTGTTTACCAAGGTTATGCGAATCTCGTTTTCGGAACAGGTCAACTGTTAGGTGCTCCATTGGGTGGAGTAGCCATCACTATTGTTGGATGGAGAGCCGTTTTCGCCGTGCAAGTACCTCTTGTAGCAGTTTGCATGATTTTGGGTCAACGAAATGTCAAAGTCAAACTTTCGCACATTCCACCTCCAGAAGAGCGATTTACGCTAAAGAATCTGTCACGCTTGGATTTACTAGGGTCTATCGCGTTAGTCATTTCCATAAGTGGTCTACTATTCATATGCTCTACTGATGTCAACAAAGTGCTGCTAACTTTGATAACTTGCATTTCGTTTGCAGTTTTCATCGTTAATGAGGTCTATTGGGCTCCGGAAAGGATAATGCCATTTGAGCTACTCAAGGGCACATTTGGACTTGCCTCTTTGGCGACCGTTGCATCCTCTTTTCTGGTTTTTGGTGACATTTTCCGTTCGCCAATTTACCTCCAAACAGTGCAAAACATTTCTCCGAGCAGAAGTGGTGTCTTTATATTATTTGGATCAATTGGCTGTGCTACTGCATCTTTAGTTACAGGCTGGACTTTGAGGCATACGAAGGGTAATATGGGGTTGTGCGCGTACAGAATTGTCCTGATGGCAGTATGCTTACAACTAGCTGGACTTGTTCTCACATCACTGGTCATCTCGTTCGTCGCACCCAACCAAACCTTGTATTCTGTCTTGACCAATGGTAGCGCTCTTAGCTCTGAATACTATCTTGAATCGTCAAGAATTGGTTGGAAATTGGTTTATGTCGTGGGCCTAGTCTTAAACTCGTACGGATATGGGGGACTTTTGGTGTCTACTTTGGTGAGCATTGTCTTCTCAATTGACAAATCCCAACAAGCGACAGTGACAGGAATATTTTATCTTTGGAGATCGCTTGGGAATGTCTTAGGTACTTCATTAACGCTTTCATTGTATCAAAATGCTCTCAAATCTAAACTGTGGACCTACATGAGTAACCATGGTCTTTTGAGTCAATACGAGTATCTCCTTCACGATACCAGTTATCTCAGAAAACATTTCGACAGCGATCAATTAGCAGGGCTTCTCGACATGTACAGGGATGCGTTCCTGCTTTCATATATTCCGAATGCTGCGATAGCATTAGTCGCCGTTATATTGAGCTGGAGTTTGGTCCGCGTGTATAAGAGGTCTTTGAAATATCAATCTTAGGTATCATGTCAGTTAATAAACTCTCGTTAATGTCAAATTCACAGATTTGAGCTAAGTTCAAACCGACTTCGTGGCATTCTTCTTCTAATCCATCGAGATCATAAAACGCTTCGTAGGAGTACCCAAGAAACCGCAAGATCAAAACGTTTAACAGACGGCTAGAAATGTACCGCTTGGCGTAAAATAAACTGATAGCAAACCACATTGCCTGGCAGCTTTTGTCGATGGGAACGCCGGCGTATCCAGTGCACAATCCTGGAACTACAAGTGTTTTCACACTTGTTGGAATACTGTTAAGGGCACTCCACATGGCATCGAAAACTGGTCTGTGGGAAGGTCTGGAACCCTCTTCGTTAAAGCAGACTTTGGCAGAAGGTTCAACAACTGTAGGAACATGAATAATGTACTCAAATCCGCCTTTTGCCCAGAGCTGTAGTGGAACAGGGGTTGCGACCATAACAGGTCTATAAACCTCTTGCAGGGTTTGCCGGAAAAACCGTTCGAAGGGTAAACCTCCAAAGAATTCTCTAAGAGCCAAATCAAATCCACCACCCAGGAATCCTAACGAATTGCCCGGTGAAACTATCGCTGCTGGTGTTGCGATTTCATCAAATTTGAAATCTTGTAGTGTTCCCTCCGAGACGAGTGGCTTCGTCTCCGAAGCCAGTGGTATTTGCGCGAGAACTTGTCTCCAAAGTTTGGTCAATTCGCAATTGCGGTCCAGAAGCACTATTCTAGGTACCATTTCTGATTTTCGGAGTTATCCAAGTTGCTAAAGTTGCCAATCAAGAACATCCTGAAGGCTGACATAAAGGATCGTATAAAAAGCCGAATCCACCGGTCAGCTCAGTCTACTAACCGAACCCTGGCAACAGAGTCCTGACAATGGGATCCTCTCACCATTACTGTGTAAATCCCTGATTTTCTTTTTGTCAGATTCATTTCTCTCAGATGTTCGACAACTCCGCGAAAACAGAAAATGCCGACCTTCCACCCAACGCTCAACGACCCCAGGGGCATTTAATAGTCATTTCACAGTCATTCCATAGTCTTTGGTTCATGAAATCCCTTGCGATGTCGGACAACAGCCTTTCCATGCACAATTCACGCACGAGCTATGCATAGAACATAAATTGGTGCCTATGAATAAAAGAGTGCCTGAATATGCAAAACCATTGGCAACCGATCTTCTAGAAGAAAAAGACACGACTCAAGCTGACTCTGGGGAATTGGTGAAAAAGTCAAGGTAAAAAAAAATTGAAAAAAGAAATCAGGGCCAACTCATCGATGAATTCCCGGCAAAACTGGACCAAGCCGAAACCGCTTAACAAGTTCGACAAGCTGAAATTGAGTTGGTTGTATAAGTAGTGGGTCAATTGGTGTAGCTAATTTAGTTTGCTCGAATGTCAGTTGTGCGTCGGTTGTCGAGCAAAGCGTCGTCAATTTACAACATTCCTCGGGCACCTCCTGACCGGATCTTGGGACTTACAGAGAGGTTCAATAGCGATCAGAACCCGCTTAAAGTCAATCTTACCGTGGGCATATACAAGGACGAAAATGGACAGGTGACAACGCTTCCAAGTGTTGCTCGCGCACAGACCGTTTTGGACCAACACGAAGAACTGAACACCGATTTATCGTATTTACCCATTTCCGGGAGCGCAGACTTCCAATCCAATGTGTTGCAGTTTCTGTTCCGAGAATCTGCTCCCCAGGGCGCTCAGTATCTTGATGAAGATCGTATAAGTTTTATTCAAACACTTTCCGGCACCGGTGCTCTTGCCGTGGCATCCAAACTGTTATCACTGTTCGTGACGAAAACCGCATGGGTTCCAGATCCATCGTGGGCCAATCACTGTAACGTTTTGCAAAACAATGGATTTAAAGATATCCGTCCGTACCCTTACTTGAAAAACGGTAGTTTGAACGTTGAACAATGGTTGCAAGAACTTCAAAATGCGCCTGTCGCCAGTAGCCAATCAAACCCGCAATGCATCATCCTACACGCTTGCTGTCATAATCCGTCTGGCATCGATCCTTCCAGTGAGCAGTGGACCGAGATTTTGGATACCATCCATGATCTGAACCTAATACCTATAATAGATATGGCATATCAAGGAATGGATACTGGTGATTTGTACAAGGACGCCTACTTACTCAGAATGAGCCTTGATTCCCAGCGATATTGTTGGCCTAACGGACTTTTCCTATGCCAATCGTTTGCTAAGAATATGGGACTATATGGCGAACGTGTCGGCTCACTGTCGGTAGTCACTCCTCCAGATATGACTTTAAAACCAAATATCGATTCGCAACTGAAGAAAATCGTGAGAGGTTTTTACTCGTCTCCTCCTGGTTACGGTTCAAGGGTCGCTAACGTTGTTTTATCGACGTCAGAGCTGAAAACCCAATGGTTCGAAGATGTTAAGAAAATGCATTCTCGTTTACAGAGCGTTAGAACAAAAATGGCTGAAAGATTGAACTGGAATTGTTTTAGTGAGATAAATGGACAACATGGCATGTTTCTTTACACTGGGCTCTCTCCATCACAGGTCGGCATTCTCAGAGAAAACCACTCTGTGTATCTAAACTCAGACGGTCGCCTTTCCCTGAGTGGGCTCAATTCAAGCAATATAGATTATGTCTGTGATTGCATGCAAAAAGTTACAGATGGGGCGTGAAAGGGTGATTTTGAAGCAAAGTCCTATAAATCTATCTTGCAAAATTCCATTAAGACGAAAATAACCAGGTATTGATCGGCAAGCATCACAGCTGACAAGCAGACGTTTGACGCTCTCACATGAAAGTATCCTCCAAACAATTGCATGATCTTGAAATGACACGACCTTAGCTGCCTTTGCCCAATTGACAAACGTCCTTTATAACTGCATTAGAAAGTAATTAACTATTTATTTCTTCCAAAAATCTTCTTAAGCTTCTTGCCAAGACTGACCTTTTTCTTGGCACCTGGCTCTGAGTTTCTGGCAGGAAGTGTATCACTGAAGAATCGATCTGCCCTATTTTTCTTTTCCGTCACCGGGGATTGTTCGCTGGCCACGCTGGTTGCCCTTAAGGACAGGTGACTTATCTTTTTAACAGGTGTATTTTGTTGCGAAGTCGGTGCACTAGCAGATTGTAAGAACTGTGGTTGTGGCGGTTCTAGATTAATTTTATTCTTTTTCTTGAAAAGCTTAGAGGCTCCGTTAGCGGGTTGGGGAGCTGGAGCGGAATTGAAATTAGCAGGAGTGCCTAGGAGTTCATCATCTGAATCGGAGTCCTGAAATCGGGAAGTGAAGTTAGCATTAGAGGTTGGCTCCAATATGGGCTGAGGTGGTTGAACCGCGGTTTTGACTGGAGTACCCGGCTGTTGGCCGTGGAAATTGTTGCTAAGTGCGCTTTTCTCATACATTATATCTGTCACCTCATCTCTCAGCGAGAGTTTCTTAAATCCGATATTGCTTTCGGTGGGTCTTTGTTTCTCAAAACTCGACCGTTTAGCAGGCTCTTTTGGGTATAGAGGAGCGCTTGAAACAGCCGGATTAGCAGGCGGCTTCACAGCAGCAATCCGCTTTGAATGAACGTCGGGTCTTCTGCTAGATCTAGCTGGAGGCTGCGTCTGTTGTGGAGTAAAGTCCATCGTGTTGCGCTTGGCCTTTGGAGCAGCAGCTACTGGAATGTTATTCCCGGGTTTCCCGTTTAGCATCGATGACGGACGAGGCTTCCGCATGGATGACCTACGCGAAGGCGGTTCAGAGTACAGCTGCGCATTCAGCCGCGTATTTTCTGCTGTAGTCAACGAGATATAAGCGTCTTGTGCCTTCGAGGCCCTGTGTACGCCTTCATAATTTGCCTGCGCGGAGTTCTGGCTGGTAGTTTTTTTCAATGCAGATTTTTTGGGCGAGGGCACTTTGGTCAATGAAGAAGTCGATTCTCCAAAGGAAGAAGTTATTGGCTCTCTTTCCACGACTGCCTCCTGTGCAGTTTTTGCATTGTCACTCGATCGTTTATTCAAATAATTGTTCGCAGATCTAATGTACTGCGCCATGCTACTTCCCGATGATGAGTTAAAAGCTTCGTTCTCTTTCTCAACGTTTTCCTTGTTCGAAGTGGATTGCTCATTAACGAGAACTTTGGATGCGTCTTCTCCGTTTAAATTCAAATCCTGTTTTCCCTCGTTATTCGTTTGTTTGTCGACGTCTACGTCTGCTGGAGATATAAGCACCACTGGTGGAGTATGTTGCTCGACGCTCAGCGGAGAAGACTTCAATTTAATAATTGGTTTAGTCTCCGATGCCACTGACCCGGTCTTATGGCTCACGGGAGATGCCGATGTCACAATTGAACTCGCCCGATCCTGCGTTTGGGTCTCATCTTGCTGAAGTTGTTCGGCAGTCTCTTCAACGACAGCCTCCTGGGCAACTGGCCTCGAAGCTTTTTTGGGTTCTGAAGCCCCTCTTGATTGCACCGCAGGGGCCGCTGGAGGCCCACTGACGCGTCTTTGGGATTTTAACGCAGTAGCAGGTGATCTAGGTCCCAAAAAATCGCTTTTCAAATCCAATCCGCTGTTCATGGAAGCGGACCTCGAGAATCCCCTTGAGTTGCGTGAACCAGTTGCCCGGGTCACTTCGCTTATGGGAACCTCGATCGTCACAAGCCCATTAGGTCCAGGAACGTATTTTTTCACAGTCACAGCTCTGGCCGGTACAGGTGCTCCACCAAACGCATGGAACGTATCTTCTGCGTCGAAAAACTCGGCATCTTCTATACCATTTTGTCTTCTTCTCGCGGAATTCGACTGCAAACTCGACGCGCGTCTCGAATCTCTCAATGATCTTAAACTAGGAGTTCGACTATTCGGTCCCCTGGTTATAGAACTGGTCCTCATCATCGAATTTGACCGTGAAACCCCGCCGTATCTTGGCAATTTCTCGGCATCTACTTTCGTCCCTTTGGCATCCAGGGCTCTTCCAATGGCCGAGGCAGCGGCCAAAGCCCCGGAATCAATCGCCCTGCTTTCGCGCGATCTTCTCGAATGGAACATCTGCGTTCAATTAGCCCCCAAACCTATCCTATCACTCACGTAATGCTAGGGCGTTGTTGGTTGGGCTTCTTAAATTGAAACTTTTTGCTGCTTAAGGTTATTGAAATTGATAATCATTATTGACGGAATACAAACTTTCTACTCAAATCACGTGATTTTTGCTAAAACAGACCAAGATCCTATCCCAGTATCAACTGTGAGCCCCAGTAGGTTATTTTTAATCCCGGCGGACGTGTGACTAGCCCTGAGTAACACCAGAATATCGTGGATCAACCATATTGTCAGCTGTTCATTTTATTAATTTGTTATTTTATCCCACACTGTCTCTCAGTTTATAAGTTTGACGAAAGCCCTGCGCTTGCTTACTCGACGGTGACAGATTTAGCTAGATTTCTTGGGAAGTCAACGTCAATTCCTTTATTGACGGCAAGCCAGTAAGAAGTGAGTTGCAATGGGATAATATTGAGCAAACCTTGCAAACAGTCTACCGTTAATGGAACCTCCAAAGTCAATAATTTGTCGTTTGTAGCTTTTGAAGACCAAACGTCGTCGTTCTTGTTACAAATGACAATGGGACGACCTTTACGGGTCAGCACTTGCTCGATCGACGAAACAACTTTGGGGAACAAGGAGTCCCTAGTGCCAAACGCAATGATTGGCAGATCCTCATCAACAAGTGCTAAGACACCATGCTTCAATTCACCTGCAAGTACACCTTCAGAGTGCATGTAAGAAATTTCTTTGATTTTTAAAGCACCCTCCAACGCCGAGGCAAATTGGTAACCTCTTCCGAGCAACAACAACGATCTCTGATCTTTCAATTCGTTGTCACACAGCTCTTTGATGCGGGGTTCCATGGTCAACACTTCCTTGATATGGCCTGGAATGTCCTTCAGACCCTGGATAATCTCTTTTCTTCTCTCAATCATCGACACTCTGTCTTCGGACAACGAAAGAGCAAACATGACCAAAGCAATGTACTGAGAAGTGTACGCTTTAGTAGACGCCACTCCAATTTCGGGACCTGCGTTGATGTGGACACCACAGTGAGTAACACGCGAGATCGACGACCCGACACTGTTCACGATCCCGACCGTGAGCGCGCCACGTTCAATACAATATTTCAACGCCAGCATCACATCGGCAGTTTCACCACTTTGGGAAACGAAAATACACACATCATCTCTGAAAACGGGTGTCTTTCTATCCAAGAAATCGGAAGCGAGTTCGACACTCACGGGAATTTCGGATAATTCTTCGAAAATGGCTCTTGTTGCGAGACAAGAATGGTAGGAAGTACCGCACGCGATCATAATGAGTCTACGTGCTCTTCTTATCACAGGAAGCCAAGACTTCAGACCTCCCAACATGACACTGTTTTGTTCAAAATCAATTCTACCTCTCATGGTATTCAAAGTGGATTCTGGTTGTTCAAAGATTTCCTTTTGCATGAAATGCGTGTAAGGACCTTTCATAATTTGTGCCAATTCCATTTCCAGAGTTTGAATGGATCTGGTCGCTGGAGCACCTACTTCTCTTCTGGACCTATGAATATGGATTTCACCGTCGTAAATGTGGGCAATATCGTCGTCTTCCAAGAACAAAACCTTCTTGGTATGTTTCACCACAGACGCAGCGTCAGACGACACGAAGAACTCAACAGGGTTAGGTGCACCATCCTCGGACAGAAATGCGCGGGATTGCGACCGTCTCAAAGCGGACTCGTTGGCGGCAATAGGCAACAAGTTGCGCGTCTCTTGACGAGTACTGTTCAAAGGAATATCGGGCAAAATTTCATCATCTGGAAATTCAACGTCCACGAAATCAACACGCAGCTTACGCTCGGATTTAACCCCAATAAGCAAAGGAGACCCATTTCTCGTGGCAATAACCTCGTTGGGATAATGGGAAGACCTGCACAACAATCCGTACGAACCCTCAAGCTCAAGTAAGACAAGCTTTGTAAGTTCATGGAAGTCGAGTTCGGTACCGTTCTTGAGGTTTGTGTCGTACAGATGCTTGAACAATTTGGCAATGCACTCGGTGTCGGTGTCGGATTCAAACGTGTAGCCTTTGTTCAGCAACAACTGCTTGAGTTCCCGAAAGTTGGTGATGATCCCGTTGTGCACAATGACAAAATCGTGTTGTCGGTCAGATCTTTGGGGATGGCAATTGATCTGTTTGGGTTCACCGTGCGTCGCCCACCGGGTGTGGGCGATCCCACAGTGCGAGACAAAAGTCACATCGCGGTTTGGATCTTGCGCCGTGATTTCTTTCTGCAGCGCGCTGACTTTACCGATCTGTTTGTAGATCACAGTCGAATCCGGTTCGTCGCCGTCGATGGCAATACCCGTCGAATCGTATCCTCTGTACTCGAGCCTTTGTAACCCTTCGACCAACGTGTCAATAACGTCACCACGCGACTTTTCCACCAAATAGTTACAGTAACCGAAGATGCCACACATGATGATGCAGTGATTCAACCAATCCGCTTACCTGACTGTCTAACTAACTCAACCACTTGATCCACTGACGGCTTAAATATGGTGAAACCTGGGTACCTGTGACTTGTTCGAGATGACGCGTCTATATATAAACACAAATTTTTATCACCAATGGTATATATATGTCACGCTTTGATCATGAAACCAGGCCACGACAGCTGGAAAGAAGCACAGAAACAGCGATTACAGCTTGAAATACGGCCAGTTGGGTGCCAAATATACGAGAAAACCGCTCTTTATATATATGTATGTATATCTAGCTTTATTTCACAATGACGAGCCAACTGGAGAAACTGGCGAAACTAGCAGGCTGGCGAAACTGGCAAAGCTGGCAAAGTTGGCAAAGCTGACCATGCATTTCACTTTGGAGAGTGAGTGACGGGACGTGAGTGACGGGACGTGAGTGACGTGTGCAAACACTAGTCTTTAGATATCTTAGGAATGTAGGCAGTGTTCAGGATGTGGTATTTCGACGTTTAGGCAAGAATGTCAGAATTGTATGGTGCTACGGGGAAAAGAGAGCCCTGCCACGTAGTCGCTGCATACGCACTGCTCCTCGATCGCACTGCTACAAGACTAAGCATACCAGAATGGTGGACTCTTCCCGGGCTAGAGACAAATCACGAACAGCACACGAATTCAAGCTATCGGACCCCTCGTAAGAAGCTACTCAAGCTCAATCACGATGGACCCCCCTCCTCTGCTGACGTAAATGCTACCAACTTTCTTCCTTCAAATCTACCGAGATGATCAAACTACGGTTTCAGACGACTGATCTACCGGCTCAATTAGGCCAGAACCGAGTGGCTGGGATGAAATTACGGAAACGACTTGGGTCAGGTGAATGCTTCCTTCCCTCATTCTCCGCGTAAGAGCGGGGCCATGCACTTCACCGTTGCTGGACTCGTTTCACGATCCGTTCGAAACGGCGATATACTGTATCAAATCCACCGCTGGGACGAATTCGGGGTTTGGCGAATCTGGCATTGTCTCACGCACCGAAGCCATGATTTTTGGCCCAAGCTCGATCGTTGAATATACCTTAAGAATTTTACCCTACCGGGTAATCACTCTTCTCACGGACTAAGAATGCCCACTTGTCGTTGAAAGCGATAAAGTGAAGTGGGTAACATTGGGTATTACGTCAACAATGACAGCAAATGCACGAGATATCGTTTCAAACGGTTATCTCGAGATCGCCACTTTTTGGAGTTTCGTATAAAAGTATGCCCTGCACTTAACTCGTAAGCAACGATACCAATTTTGGATAGGGTGAGTAGCAAGTGAGTCGTCGCTATGTACGTATATGAGTACCCGGTGAGTAACAAAGGTGCTGGGCAAGCGACGGAACTGAGAAAAGACTATCGCCGTGGAACGATAAGGAAATCTCTGCAAGCAACAGAACATCCTCAAACAGCTCGAGACCTTGACATGTTAACGAGACGGCGCACAAGAGATAACTTGCAAGGGTGTCGAGTTTCATGGGTTGTCGTACGGAAGGATTCGGAGCAGTCTCCAACGAGTATAGTACAGTATAATAGTACGTAGATATTGGACTGCTGTACCAGTAGGCTTGGCGTGAGCTCGCCCTCAATTCGGCCACCCCGGGGACACACACCGGATGCGCATCCAGGAGAACTACAAATCGCCAAAGTTGTCATAAACTTGTCGCCAATTGGTGAAGAAACCTTTGAAAAACTTGACCGCTAGACCAATGTCTTTGGAACCCGTGGCGGCCCGGATACTGTGCATTGACAATTGTGCAATGCCCAAATCAACGGTCCTGGCACCTGTCTGAGAGGCCACGATTGGTCCAATCGTACCTCCAGACCGAGAATTGTTCTTGATTTGGAAATACTGGACTTTGTCGCCATTCATACGTGCCAATTCTTCGACCAACGCGATTCCCACTACGTCTGTAGCCATGTGTGCATTCGGATCCAATGACAAGGTGATTCCCACATTGGGTTTTGGTTTATGGTGTTCCAAGTAAACGTTGTCGAAATTTGGGTTTGCCAGGTGGTTAACATCTGCAGATAGGAATATCGAATTCGCAAACGTAGAGCGCAACAGTGCGCCGTCTGTATAGTAAATTGACAACACGCGTTGCACGACGCTCTCTAGCAATCCACCTTTGGCGCCTTGCCTCGTTAGCGACCCGACTTCTTCATTATCGAATAGACCCACGATATTGAACCCATCCGAGGGAATTGGACCCTCGTTCGTAAAATCGATCAAAGATTGGATCGCAGAAAAACTGCACAAGCGGTCGTCAAGGCGCGGCGCAAATATGAACTCGTTTTTCAGGCCTCCAACGGTACCTCTTTGAACGTCAAACAATTCCAAGTCTAATTGGATCAATTGGCTCACTTTCACATCTGCCAAAGATGCCACGTATCTGAGTAATTTGATTGAATGTTTACCATACAGCGGTGACCTACATTCGTCCTCGTCGCCTTCGTCAGCGTCGTCACTAGACCCATATCCAATCACTGGCACGGCTTGATCTTCTTTGTCAAAGGGTCCATCTGCTACAGAGCCGAAATGGGGTGCAAGGGACGGAATGCGTCCGATTGGGTGCGACTTGGAACTAATTAAGCGAGCCTCGATCTTGCCCGTGGATTTATCCTTCACTAGGATACGACCGGCAATACCCAGGTCTCTGTCGAACCACAACCAATTCAAAGTTCCACCATATGGTGCAACACCCAACAGATGGTAACCTTCGACATCTTTCTTGATGGACGCAGGCTTCAGTTTGGCAGTTAACGCATCAACGTGTGCTCCAATGGCACCAACACCGTTCTGATACTTCCAGTCCTCACCAATTGTAAACGCAACCAAATTGGTTCCATTTCTCACCGTATAATACTTGCCCCCTTTAACTCCGGACCAACTATTCTTCTCACTCAAATATGTGAACCCAGCCTTGTCCAATTCCTGTGAAAAATGGTCAATGACATGGTATGTCGTAGGGCAATCAGATGTAAAATCCAAATACTTTTCGGTGAGTTTTTGAAAGTAATCTTGCGCCTCGGGACCGGATTTCCTTACATTTTGGATCTTGGTGGAAGATTGATCCGTTTTAGCTTGTTGAATAGCCAAAAGTTCCAATGTTTTCCGAAGCTGGGTAAGAGCTTCTTGTGTAGCGTTGGACATGTTTGAACGGGCTTGTGTCTGACACTCAAGTCTGCGGAATATGGAAAGAATGTGCGTGGTGCCACCGGTGTGTTTATTATTCGCTGCTTTTTTGGAACTTGTTTATATATGTCACCGGAGTTGCAGCCACCAAACGAGGTTCACGAATGCAATGCAGTGGCAATGCAATGGCGATGCAATGACCGATACAGGGGCAATGTCTCTATGCCCAACACTTCTCCAAAATTTCACCGTTGTCCATTGTTATGGTTCCTTTTCTTGACCTAATTTCGCAAGTTTCGCCCAAATTGGCTCAAATACGATAACTTGGTGGATCAAGGTGTTATTATCACCGCGGCATATTATGCGTCTTAGGTGATTGAACACGGCATTATCCTTCACTCGGCAATATCTCATTAGTCTCGTTGTTCATCCTGCGATTCCAGTAAGTTTCCTCCGAAAAGCTGTCGCCAAAGTTCCCAATTCGCGTCGACATAAGGGCTTTGGGATGTGATTACATTCATTCGATTCCCACAGTGCGCTTACTCTCACAGTCTACTAGTTTCCAATGGTTTCAACGCTTTCTATGTCTTCCTCCAACTGTCAATGTCACCCAAATCACACGATCAAGGGCTCATTATAAAGCTCTGATACGCTCTACACGTATTAACCTATATAGTTGCACGAAAACGCCTTCGTCGCGGTACTATTCTCAGTTGTCCTTCTTTTCGTTTTTCACGGCTTCACCATATGTTGTTAATTCTTGAACTTCGAAATTTTCGCGTTTCTTCATTTATAACATCAACCCCATCAACACCATCAATACCAGTAGCACATCAACACAGGATGTCGATGGCTAGACAGGCGGCTTTGGCAGCCAGTGGTCAATCGGACCATTTGGAGCGAGTCGTACAATCTGTTACGGATGCTACAAAACGTCTTTCGCAAATTTCCAGTAGCACAACAAACACCACAACAAACTCGTCGAAACGGCGATCCAGAGATACAATCGGGCCCTGGAAGTTGGGCAAGACGTTGGGTAAAGGGTCGTCTGGTCGGGTACGTTTAGCGAAAAATATGGAGACTGGGAAACTCGCCGCAGTGAAAATCGTGCCCAAAACGAAATCTGCGCGTCCCAATACGTTACCTTACGGCATTGAGCGTGAAATCATCATTATGAAACTTATTTCGCATTCGAATGTGATGGGATTGTACGAAGTATGGGAAAATCGGTTTGAGTTGTTTTTGGTGCTGGAATACGTTGACGGAGGTGAATTGTTTGATTATCTTGTTTCGCGTGGCAGACTACCCGAACGCGAAGCAATTCATTACTTTCGACAAATTATCGAGGGTATGGCGTTCTGTCACAGTTTTAACATCTGTCATCGAGACTTGAAGCCTGAAAACTTGTTGTTGGATAAGAAAAATGGGCACATCAAAATCGCAGATTTCGGTATGGCTGCACTTCAAACTTCCAATAAGCTCTTAGAGACTTCGTGTGGGTCGCCGCACTACGCTTCTCCCGAGATTGTCATGGGCAAGACGTATCACGGTGGGCCCAGCGACGTTTGGTCATGCGGAATTGTTCTTTTCGCTTTGTTAACGGGGCATTTACCATTCAACGACGACAATATAAAACGGTTGTTGTTGAAAGTTCAGTCTGGTAGGTACAAAATGCCCCAAAATATATCACCAGAAGCGAAAAACTTGATTTCACGGATATTGATTGTCGATCCAATAAAGCGAATTACAGTGGATCAAATTTTAGCGCATCCTTTGCTCACCAAATATGGTAGCAAAACGAAACCCGAGTCCAGCAAATCTAAGAACAATAGACCCTCAAACATTTCACTTACGAAAAAAGAGGATATAGACGATACAATTTTACAAAATTTGCAAATACTGTGGCATGGTGCATCAAAGGACCACATCGTGAGTCAACTACTCAAAGAAGAATTGACAGACGAGAAAATGTTCTATTCTTTACTGATTGAGTATCAACAACGACAGAAAAAACAAAAGAATTCTAACAATTTGCCCACCGATGCGCCCAAATTATTGCAAAAGTCACAATTCAGTGTTCCCTCTATCAAATCTCAACATTCTCCTAGAAAAGAGCATGTAGCTTCCTCTTCTCGACTGTTCAGTTCCAGCTCCAGGCAATTGAGCCATAAAAGAATGATCAAGAAGAATATGCGTGCGTCTCCCTCGAGCAGGTCCGTGACCTCTATGAAATCTTCTGCGTCCAAAAAATCGCTGAAGTCCTCTTCGTCTAAACGATCCATCAAATCTTCAACTGCTCACAAAACAGGTCTAACAAACCACGATGGATCTGCTCTCCAACCTTCAGAAACTTCTTTTTACTCTTTGAAATCCATTTCCAAAAGATCTGTCAATCTGAAAGATTATCTCCACGAGGACGGTCAAAACAGTAGCGTGCCACAGCGTTCTGAATTTGAAGTTTTATGTGATGAACTTCTATTTGGAGGTGGTCTAGATGGGATCAAAGAGGAAGAAGACGAAGAAGTTCTACATGATTTGTTACAGGAGCAAACGCTTCAATCAGCAGCTGCTGCCAAAGAGAATGTCAAACCCGAGATCAAAAAGGAGGAAAAGCCTGTTTCAAGTAAGATTGCCCCTCTCCAACCTGCATCTCCAAAGGTGGAGATGAGACAGCGCAACCAACCAATACGCATAACGTCTGAACCCTTCGCGAAGATGTCGCCGGATGCAAGATCTTCGCTAGATCCAAGGAGGAACGTTTCGCAACCCAATTCTCTCGAAATGCTCTTGAGCAAATACACTTACAGAGCATCTTTGAATTCGGCCACAAACTTGAAATCGGTCAAGAGTCGTCGCGACTTGCACCATGAGTTGTCACCTCAGGATGGAGCCAGAAACCGAGATTCTCCTGTTAATGAAACTTCTGCCAACTATGATGTGGGCAATCTCACAAGCATGTTGGCGCAGTCCAGCACAATAAAGGGTGCTGAAATGCATTCTCGCTCTCATTCGACTCTTGACTCAAACCATCCTCATCGCAAGCCGCTCACATCGATGCCATCGGTAGGTTTCAGTGCCTCTTCCACTTTCAAAAATTTGAATCAATTCATAATTGCGGATTCGTCTCAAGATAGCTCGGAGGTCATCAATAGGAAGCGCGCCGGTAGCGAAAGGCAAACTTTGGCGCCCGGACCTCGGGGTGTCGTTTCGAGGAAAGTTAGTCAAGCCAGCAGTGGTGGAGGTCACTCTGAAGAATTCTCGGATATGACATATGCAATGGAAATTCCAACACAAATCTTGACCGCGCAGGCCGTACAGATTTCCAATGGTAGTTCTGTCGAGCAGCTGGAATTGCTCAAAAACCGACACTACCAAAAAAATGCGAAAGAGGACGAGGTCAACATCTTTGAAGATGCTCCAGATGACACTTTTTCTGTGGCGACGAGTTCCTCCGATAGCGAGTCGCAACCTCATGTTCATAGAAAGGCGACTTCCCTTGACTCGCTAAGCAATAACAACGTGCTTACTAAACCGACAGATGTGCGTGTTTCTCTCTATGTGAATAACGTAGCATCGACAGTTGGTTTACCGCGGGAGACGACAGAGGAAATTATATCAAAAATGAAGCTTTCGCCAGAGAAGGTTGGAGCAACTGCGCCAAAGAGAAACTCTCAGGCGCATAGCGCCGTTACCATTTCGAAGAGTATGGTTTCGATGTTTAAAGATTTCGAAGATACGAAATACGGCAAAGATGATTCCGTGGACGATAGCCTGGAGCTCAAGTATCCCGAGGGCGGTGCCGAGAAGGAGAATCGGGTCACCATGCTCTTTGATGATGAAGCTGGCAACGTTTTCAAAGCTTCGCCTACCAAACCGAATAAAACAAGTCAACCTTCCGCGGTAGAACCGATCCGAAGCGATGCGAGCGAGAACCTAGGATTCAAGAAAAATAGGCTTTCGACAGTCGTCGAATGCGAAAAACAAGAGTCGCACGCACCGGTTCCAGTTTTGCAGCGGCCTGCTCCTCCCGCGCCAAGTTCCCAGAAACCAAGTTGGTTTAGAAAACTGTTCGATAAGGTGGTGCATGCGCAGAACAGAGACATACTGCAGCAAGAGCATCTCACCAAGTCCAAGTTCGAAGACGTACAGATCGTGATGCTACGTGAGTTCTATAAGTTTAAAATTGACTTCAAGCTCAAGCGGTTGGACAAGAAGAACGGGGTAAGCAGCGCCGTTTACAATTGCGAGTTCGAACAGGGACATTTCAAGTTCAAGATCAACATGAGGGGCAATTCTGCGGGTACAGAGGTGGTCGTGAAAAAGAAGGGGCTGCAAAACCGGGAGCCGTTTACGCGATTTAACTCGGACATTGCGCGGGTCCTTCGCGAAGAACTGTCGTCGTGACACAAACTTTTGACCCCAGGAAACCTCCAGTATAGACCTCTACGTAACGTACAAAGTGCCTCGAGGAAACCGCTGGCGCCGCAAAAACAGGCCCGCCCGGGTCACGTGACGCGCTGACGTAATCTCGTACAAAGCTACACACCCGCACACCCGCCGCTCACCGCGCCGTGTCCACCACGTACCGCCCCAGGATCTCGCCCGCGTTCATCAGCTCGTACACCTCGGGCAACTCCGACAGCCCGACCACCTTGATCGGCGCCTTGACGAGCCCGCGCCCGAAAAAGTCCAGCGCCTCCCGCGTGTCTGCGCGGTTGCCCACGTACGACCCGCGGATGTTGATCGACTTGACCACATGCGAGAACACCTCCGACCGCACGTACGCGTTCGCAGGCATGCCAACCAGCACCACCGTGCCTGTCGCCCGTACATACTGCGTCGACAGCTGGATAGCCGACTCCGAGACGGAGACGTTGACGACTCCGTGCGGACCACCGCGCGTAGCGTCTTGTACGGCTGCCACAATGTCGCCGCAACTCCGAAAGTCGATAAACGTCTCGCCGCCCAGCTTGTGGAACAGCTCCTCCTTGCCCTCGCCGCCGTCTATGCCGATCACCCGTAGCCCCATGGCGCGCGCGTACTGCACCGCGAGCGAGCCGAGCCCGCCGCAGGCACCGGAGATGCACACCCATTGGCCCGGCATGAGCGCGGCGGACTTAAGCGCCTTGTACGCGGTAACGCCGGCGCACAGGATCGGCGCGGCCTCGGCGAGGTCCGTGCCTGCAGGGATGCGAGCCGCCTGCACTGCGTCTGCAGTTGCATACTGCTGGAAAGATCCGTCGTGCGTGTACCCAGACAGGTCCGCGTGTTCGCAGCTGGGCTCGTGGCCGACTTCGCACAGCTCGCAGGACATGCACGAGCCGTTGAGCCATTTTATGCCGGCGAGATCGCCGAGGCTCCAGCCCTTGACGTTGTCGCCCATGGCGACAACGACTCCGGCGCCTTCGTGGCCGCCGACCAAAGGAAGCTTGACGGGCAAGGGCCAGTCGCCCTTCCAGGCGTGCAAGTCGGTGTGACAGACACCGGAGTACTTGACGTTGATGAGAAGCTCGTTGGGTTTGGGTTTGGGCACGGGCAGGTCCTTGTAGGTGAGCGGGCCGCCGTGCTCGTAGAAGATCACGCCCTTCTGGGTGGTTGGGATGTGCGCGGCGGTGGCTAGCCGGCGCAGGGCGCCGGCGTAGCCGCCGGCGTAGCCGCGGAGCGCTGTGCTGTTTCTGGTAAGGGAGGCCAGCATCTGTGTGTGTGGTGTAGGGGTGATGTCTATAAAGTGCTTGCCGGACGCAAGGAGAAGACAGGGCCCCCGCCGGCGGCGCGTGCCCGCTATATACGGCCGGCGCTGCGGACGGCCGGAACGAGCAGGCAGGCGCCGGCGGAGTCACACCGGGCGGAGTCACGGTGGAGCGGAGAGGTGGTGCGATGCGGGCCGGTTGGCGGGGCAACGGCCGTTGCGTGGCCGGCGCTTCCCGAGGGGTGCACGGGTGTGCGCCGCGCGGGGAGCCCCTCGGGGAGCCCCTCGGGGGAGAGGGGCAAGGGCGGGGGCGAAGAGGGGCGCCACGTGGGGGTGCGGGTGTTGGTGTGCGGGTGTTGGGGCGGCGAAAGAAACGCGGGCACTCCGCACGAACCCCCGCACGTGACCCGCGCCCTGCGCACTCCGCACGAGCCCGCCCGCGGCCGGTCACGTGGCTCGCCTCGCCCGCTCGCCTCGCCCGCTCACCGCGCCCTCTGCTTCTTCCACTTGAACGCCACCCGCCCCGCGTGGTCCGTCACTTTCTTCTTGGCTCCCTTCTTCATCGCGTCCCGCTGCACCTCCATCCGCTGCAACACCCCTGCAAGCTGCTGCTCGCGCTCCTGCTGCTGCCGTAGCTGCCGCAGCCGTTTCACCCGCCTCTTCTCCACCGTCTCTGCCGAAAACCCGACCCGCGCCGCGTCCGCGTCCAGAGCCCGCGCCGCCAACTGGTCGCGCGAGACCCGGTTCTCGCGCCTCTGCAACATCTCGGGCGTCGTGTCGAAATGCTTGCACGCGTCGAACGACTCCAGCGCGTCTCGGTCCTCCACGAAAACGGTGTGTTGGCCGCGCGCCCGGAACAGAGTCGCCTGCGTGTCCCGCTCCAGCTGCTGCCGCTGCCGCTGCAACAGCGTGCGCACGTAGTTCGCGTCCTGCGACTTGAGCAACTTCACCTGGTCCGTTGTCAACGACGAGTCCTCGTCCTCACCCCGCCGCGACGTTTCCAGCCGTCCACGCGCGTCCACGGACCGCGTGTGCATCCCATGGTAGTACTCGTCCGGGTTGCGCTCCTGGGCTTTCCCGCGCAACACTTTCAGTGTCGCCTGTTTCCGGTGGAAATCCTGCGCCCGCTTGACATAGTCCTTGTGTTTCTCCAAAAACCCAAGCCGTGCCCGCGACGCCACCTGCGACCGCTCCCGGTGCTGTTTCTTCTGCACGTTATGCACTAGCTTTGCCATCTTGTATCTCGCGCGATGACTTGCACTTACCAGGGCATCGCATCGATTCCCAGAGTGTTGAACCTTCAAATTTTTCACCGGTCGCGGATATCGATTCGTGAGGAGTGAGGCCGTGCCGTTACCCGGATAACCCTGCCCTCCGCTGTGTAATGTCCTACGAACGAGGTCCTAAACATCTTCGTCTGAGATCAATTCGAATCTGCATCGGTGCATCGGCCAATGCTTGAACAGCCGCAAGTGTGCCCCGCGCTGCCGAGCTTCGCGGTGGCGCTGTCTGCCGCACTGGTTGGCCGCAAGAACCTCGTCTGTCTCGCAGACGACGCTTCCACAGTCGTTGAAACGCTCCAGAAACAAGACTTGCCGTTCGCCGTGTGGGAGAATTACGAAACCGTAAGTGGAACGCCCTTGCCTGCTGACTCTCAAGTCCTGGTACTTCCGAACGCCGACAGAATGCTCCAGCTGGACCAGGACCGACTGGCCAAATACTTGCAAGAAGCGCGCGCTACCCGCGCGCCCTTTTTCGTCGCCATCGCAACCGTCTCGCAAGAATTCGTCCCCTACCGCCATTTCACGTCCTACCTAAAACGCCAATTTTGGTTTGCATGCGCTGCGCCCGACGCAAACGACACCACAGACGTGATCCCCGACAGGTCGCTGCCCGCACTGCTGCAGCGGCGCGCCGCCGCCGCCGCCGTTCACGTGCACACCCTCATACGCAGAAACATCCTGGACGTCATTATCCATATCCGCGTGCACAGGCTCGCACAGCAGGCCTCCGGCGGCGGCTGTTCCACAGTCGCGCTGCGCAATGTGTACGAGCTATGCCAGGTACTCGAGTCCGGTTTCGGTCGGTCCTACGTTGTCCCCGCCACGGTCAAACTCGCGGCCTTCTTGTATTTCCCGTTCCACATCGACCTCATCGACGACCCGGCAGAAGACATCTCACTGCTGTACGGCAGCGACCCGCACCTGGTCGCAGAAGTCCTCGACAAGCTGCAGCGGTTCTCCATCCAAAGAACTCACGAAACCCAATATCCATTCTACTTGCAGTATTTGTTACTCCAGGACGTGCTTGCCAATGTCGTGCCTGCCATCTGACTTCCATGCATGCTTATGTAAGCTCGCGTGTACTTCCATGCATGGAAGTTCGGAATTTTCTTTTTAGGTTTTTCCATTTTTCCGCTGGCAAGACGAAAACAGTAACAACGACAATGGCAAACGGTCACACATAGCAGAGCAGCAGCCAATAAAATGGTTGTTAGGACAAAAGGCGTCTTCGGCGTTAATGTGTCGTTGGAGGTTGTCTAAAAAAAGATTTCCTGTGAGTGCGAGGATCAAATGCATCCTGGACAGGGTCCTGAGAAAACGTATAAAACACAGGTAAAGCACTGGTAAATCGAAGGATTGAGTTTTAATTCTCTAATACGCATCCCACAATTCCAATTGAACATGAAATTCACTACTGCATTCACCCCGGTTTTGTTGGCTTTGGCCCAAACCATTGTTGCCGATTCTGAAAGTTTTTATCCACTGGTGATCCACTCAGGCTCCAGTTTGCAGTACGCTACCGCGTACGTGGACAACGGCAAGCTTTACTTGGGTAACCCGGGGTCCTCGAACTCGTTGACGTTTACCGTCACGGACGCGGGAAAGTTGAAAATCAGCGATGGCAAGTACGCGGTTGTCAGTAGCGACGGGTCCATCACAGAAGGGTCCCAGGACGACGGCTCCACTGGATTCTCGCTTTCTGATGGCCATTTGGAGTATAACAATGCTCAGAGTTTTGTTGCGGTGCCTTCTGGGTCTGCCTATGTGTTCTCGACGCAGGGAACCGCTTCGGACGATATAGGTGTTGCCATTCGTGCTCAATTAGCGTCCGGCTCTACGGCAAGCGACTTTCCATCTTCTGCATCGCAGAGCCAACCAGAGACCTCCTCGACCGCGGCTGCCATTTCTCAGATCGGTGATGGTCAAATTCAGGCTAGCTCTGCTTCGCCAAAGTCCTCTGCGGCTGCCATTTCTCAGATCAGCGACGGTCAGGTCCAAGCCACATCTGCTTCGCCAAAGTCCTCTGCGGCTGCAATCTCTCAAATCAGCGACGGTCAGATCCAGGCTACCTCTGCTGCTCCCAAGTCTACTGCTGCTGCCGTCTCTCAAATCGGCGACGGCCAAATCCAGGCTGCTAGCACTTCCCCATCAATCCAAGTTCAAAGCGAAAACAATGCCCCACGAGCCGTCGCGGGTATTGGTGCCGGTATCGCAGCTGCCGCTTTGCTGATCTAGGCGAACCCAATTAATTAATCACAAGACACAATGGTCTCACCATCACTACGTACTTCATTAACCCCTGTCTCAGTGAGCAGCTTCAATACATAATCTCATGATAATTTGACTCCATCAATTCTTGCTTCGAGTATACCCCCATTGAGCCTCCAGGTCGTGTTTACAATCTGTATTGTCAACGCGACGCAACCCACAACACTTCACGTCGTCAACAACTTCTGTGGCAGTTCTCGATTTTTGTGTTATTTACGGTACGACAGGTTGACGTTGACAGTCGATCTCATTGCATGTGTGACATCTGAGCCCAGTTCCTTTTATCACCAGTGGATCCATTCGATCAAACACATAAGCGCTTGTACACTGTTACATCAAATTTGCTATGAGGAATCTTTCACAAACAGTCATAGCTCTCGGCTTTCTTTTGAGGTTGTTTGGACTCGGTCTAGCAGATTCAAGTGTTTTCAATCTCACTGCCATTCGAGCTGGATCGCTACTGCAATATGCGAGTGTCTTTGCCAGCAGTAGCAAATTGTACTTGGGCGTTTGTGATTCACCTTTGCAGGCAACGATCACTTCACAAGGCCAATTGCGCTTTGCTGATGATTCATATGCAATTGTATGTGACAATGGAACCATTGTACAAGGAAATCGCGATCAAGGATCGTTTGAATTCACAATTTCTAGTGGGTTTGTGAACTACAAAGGATCTAGTGGTTTCACTGCTGTGGCGCTTCAAGGTGAGAGTGCGAACCCACAAGGCAAATGGATTTTTGCGACAAAAGGTACAAGCTTGCAAGATCTCAGCATTTTGATCAGAGCCACCGTGCTCAACGGTGGAGTGGCTCCTGATTTCGATTCCATCGCTACTCCGACCAGTTTAACTTTGACCCAACCTTCGAGTCTCAGCTCGATGACAACCTCAACCGCGAAAAATCCGTGGAATTATATGCCCTCGACTTTTCTTACGCCTGTATCGTCGACTTCTTACACGATTACGAGTTTAACACCACCACCACAGACAGTAGTGGCGCCTGTCTCGTTTGTCACTTTCGAAGTATCCCAGCAACCGCACACGCGGGGCAGTTCTCGGGACAATTCCGACGCTTCTCAACTACCTATTTCAGCATCAATAAGCACTTCGCTACACAGTATCAGATCCATGTCAATTACCTCCTGGTGCCAGTCTTCACAACAAAATCCAATATATTCCAGAGCTCCCAATGAAACCATACCAACTTTCCCAAGTTTAGTTCATCCAATGGAAACATCCATTTTGACAAACACAAGCAAATTCGATACCCATTTGCTATCCGGCGCCAGGTCCACGAATTCTACATCAACCTCTCTCCTGAATAGCTGTTTGCCAGTTGTTGTAACGCGGTCCAATGCAAGCTTGACAGAGGCTTTTTCAACTGCAGATACACACGCCAGATCTATGAGGAATTTCACTGTGCCTATTCATCTGTTAGTAACCTCCTCTGAAATGATGCTTTCGACTCAGCAGCCCACATTGCAAGCAGGGACCCCAACTAGTGTCACTTTTCCACCGCCTATGAATCTCTCTGTAAACACATCAAGAGCTGATAGCTTACCAACCACGGCAAGCACATCATCGATTGCCACTCGGGTATCGTCATCGCAGTTTTTTTCGTCAAACAGTGTCAGTCAATTCAGAGGTTCAAATATCGGTATTAGGATCGGTCTCAACAACTACATCAGTGGGCTCGTCTTGATAGCAATGTTGCTATAGGACCTCGTTGGCACACAATGACGACCTTAATGGTAGCTAAAGAAAGAATCAATTTGCTAATCCACGAATCGACACATTAGATTGGTTTCCCATGGCTACTCTATTGCAATTAGCTCATTGATTTTGAACACCATATGAGCATCAGTGCAAGCAGAAATCCCGCAGAATTCTCTAGCTTCATCTCATTCAGTCAGAGAACAGGAATTCTCCTCTTCGTGGGGGCATTAAAAATGGGCTTGCAAAACAATTTAAATACGTCCATAATTCGACCCCCGTAGAACAAAAAATCGCGCTTTTTTCCACTTCAGGAGTCAATTGGTATCCGAGCATTGAGATAAGACCAGTATCGGATCTGAAGGGGAGTACAATGTCTGCTTTTGACTGCAATAGAGCCACCATTGATGAAATCGATGAGTCTCATATTTGACGATATCGTACTTCATATAGTGCCATTGGATATCTCACACTCTACGAATGCCCATTCTCAAATATCAAGAAACCATCATATGCATCATCTCATCGGCGGACCAACTCATCAACGGAGACACCCAGTCAAGCCATGTCAGAACGGAAAGCTATCAACAAGTATTACCCGCCTAATTACAACCCATTGGAGGCCGAAAGGGCGGCGCGGAAGTTTTCCAAAAAATTAAAAACAATGAATAAAGATGCTGTAACGATTCGACTGATGACCCCGTTCAGTATGCGATGCGTCAAATGCAGTGAGTTCATACCAAAGAGTCGCAAATTTAATGGCAAAAAGGAATCGCTGCCTGAGAAATATTTGGACACTGTTAAAGTCTATCGACTCAGTATCAAATGTCCTCGTTGCAACAGTTTGATTTCGTTCCGTACCGACCCCAAGACTGGTGACTATGTTATGGAAGTTGGAGGAGTACGAAATTTCGTACGTGAACCCACGGCGGACGGTGTTCCTACGGATGAAACACTGGACGAAACTTTGGAACGACTTGAAAAGGAGCAACAACGACAAAACGAAATGTTGAAAAACGAACCTGCTGAAGATCGATTGCAACAGTTGGAAGCGCGGTTGTCCAAATTGCAAAAAGAACAGCAAGACTATGAGGAATTGGAAAATTTACGTCGACAAAATGTCCTGAAAATGCAACGTGCCGAGAGTGCCGCAAGCGTCGCGACCGACGCGACCGACGCTGCTACCCACGACGAAATAACGCCCGAAGAGTTTGAAAAGAGACGGTTACAACTTGTGTCTCGCGAGACAGATCCAGGCGCTTTGAATAAGCCATTGCCGACAGTGCACCGGACCAAGCCCAAAATACGAACAAACAAGCTTGGTGTAGTAGTCAAGAAGCGCTTATAGACATGAAAGGTAGTGTGTTTGTATAGTTTTCTGGTTTTTCTGGCAGCTCATCTCCAAGATTTTCGTTCATGAACACACTAAGTGGAAAACAAGGCTCGCTAAAAAATCCACTAGAGGGCACCACCAAACGGACTACCAAAATACCAAGAAAAGGGCCATTTCTCGATGTTTTTCAGTGCAAAACCCAAGACTCCACCGTTAGATTACCCATACACATGCCAGCAGGCGTCACCGACGACCCAGTCGAAGTTCAAACATGAATACAACAAGGCATCGTTCACGTGTGTTAAATGGGGCGCAGGTGGACCCGAAACCAAGGCCCGAGTGCTGATAGTGCATGGTTTCGGCGAACACACGCAGTTGTATGCACGGTTCATGGATCAATTGAGTAGCGTTGGAGTTGAATCGTTCGTTTACGACCAACGTGGATCCGGTGAGACCGCGGGCACGCGTGCCCGCGGTCTCACGAACGAATTCCATACGTTCGACGATCTGGACCATTTCATTGACTGGAATCTACACGACAAGGCTTCGCAGGTGCCATTGTTTCTGTTCGGTCATTCCATGGGCGGCGGGATTTCGCTGAACTACGGGTGCGACGGCAAATTCCGCGACCAAATCGCAGGCATAATGGTAACGGGACCGTTGATCCTGATGCATCGGCACTCCGCTCCGAGCGCGGTGGTCGACTTTCTGTCGCCGTTGCTGGCTGCGGCGTTGCCGGGGCTTCGAATCGACACGGCGCTGGATATCGATGCCACGACCTCGGATCCCGCGTTCCGCGAGTATCTGGAACACGATCCACTCACGGTTCCGCTGCTGGGATCACTGCGCCAGATTTACGACTTTTTGTCACGCGGGAAACGTCTGGTGCGCGACAAGCAACGTACGGCGCGGTTCCAAACCCCAGTCTTGTTGATGCACGGGGAACGGGATCAGATTACGGATCCGGCCGGGTCTCGTCAATTCTACGAGCTATGTGGGTCGCGTGACAAGACTATAAAGACCTACAAGGACGCCTGCCATTCGTTGTGCCTTGAGCGTGACGAGACGTTCCAAAGAATGTCTACCGATGCCACCGAATGGCTAAGAGCGCGTTGTGACGGAGACGTCGCGGAGACGTAAGCCGCCGAGCTCCAGGTCACATGCCTTCTCTTCTTACCCGCCCTTGCGCTGCGCTACCTCACCGCCTCGCTATCTCTTTCCCTTTGCTGTTTCGCTCTTACTCGTTTGCTACTCATTTGCTACCTTGTCCCCCGCCCTACTGCCCCTGTGCCTACCAGCTGCGAGCCTGGACGCCCCGCCGCCCCCGCCGCCCCCGCCGCTGACGCCCGCCTGCTGACGCCCGCCAGCGGCCCCCTGCCGCTACCCCCGCCCCCTTGCGTCGTGCCTGCGTAGTCCCGCAACTCCCGCCGCCGCTACGGTCCCCCCTGGGCAGCCTAAGGGCTGCTCAGGGGCTGCCCCTAGGCTGCCCCTGCGGAGCCCCGCGGTTGTCCCAGGCCCCTTGGCGGGCCCCTTGGCAGCCCTTGGCAGACGTGGTGACTGCCCCTACCCGCCCGCCCGTCTAGGCTCCGCCTACGCTCCGCCTGGCCTGCCTCGGCTAACGCCGTCGGAGATGTACGGGCTGCGCATTTACAGGCACCACCCAGACGCGGTATGCATGCATCGAACACTCCAGGCACAGAATTCCCTGTGGGAGCTGCAGGAACGGCCTGCATCGCATGCGTTGCCTGCAGTCCGCGATAACTCGCAAAATCGTGTGAGTTTTAAAAGACGTGCGATGTGAGCACAGGAATCATTGCATATATTAGCCGGTTGGGTTCAACGAGCTACAAGTTACAGCAGTGGAAGTCCTTTGGATAATCAGTAAGATCCGAAACTAGGAACCAGGTTCCAAAAGCAACTACAACAGAGTGTCGATACAAAAAGCAACCAAGCCGGTTAATGGAAGTAGACACCGAATCCAACAGGAAGACCGGCAAAAGCGGTTTGAGCGACACCACGAGCGACGTGTGTGAATGTGACGACAGTCTGGACATTTTCGAGCGGTGCGTTCAGGATCCGTGTTCTGACGCCTGGGAGGGGCTCGACGAAGAAGCGTCCGACTGTGACGATGAAGACGTGCTGTTGGAAGGCGTACAGGCGCAGTATGCGCGTGCTGTGCCTGTGCAAGCTAGACAGCAAACCAGCGGTAATTCTGAAAACACCGATATGCCGCGTTGCAGTACGTGCCATCGGCTGCGGCGCTGGAAAAAGTGCGCCGACTGCGACGAACCCATGCTCCGGTGTTCGCGCACCAGCAGTTTCATGGTACAATTGTCGCGCCAGGCGTCGCGACAATCCATGCCCGACGCGCCCGACAATGCGCTACCCTCACCAACCCACCACAACCTAGACGCTTCCGTTTCGAGTCGGTCCCGGTCCCGGTCGTCATTCAGCGGCTCTGCTGCGATTCCGACTCATTTATACTGTCTGGAACGATTCGTCAGCTCAGAACTCGATTCTGCCACAGCTGAATTCTTCGAGCCTGCCGAGCCGACCGTTAGTCGTGAACCTCACGACGAAACGCCCCAGGTGGCCCGTAGCCCAGAATTGCCCTTCAATGCGTCTCAGGACTCGTGCCGCTCCAAATCAAGTTGCAGTTCCCCTTCCAATTCCGACACCTCACCTTACCCCGGTCTTTCAAATGCCGCGGCGCCGTCCTCCAAAAATTCTACATACAGCATTCCCAGCCTCATTCACAGGCGAAAATCGCGTGTTTCCTCCATAGAGGTGTCCTTGCTGAATTCAATGACGTAGCGCCCCGCGCGCCCCGTGCAGCCTCCTCCTAGACCCAGTTTTTGCTAATCTACAGTCTTACAGACATCCTACGAACGGGTCTCGATAACTAGCATTGTGTTAATCTATAAAGCTACATTACACTGTCTCCACAGTCACTGTGGTCGATTCTCAACTCGATTCACTACTACTAAAACTTCTAATACTACAACGAGTTAAGCACCTGGTCGCATCTTCCCACGGCGTTCTCGGTGTTCTTCTTGGTACAGCTCATCATCATCATCTCAGAATACTGAAAAACTTCAACACCAACTGAAATTTTCACCACTGCAAAACTGCCCAAATCGCACTTTCTAGATCGCAAAAAAGTGTATAAAATAAGACCTGTGTTTGCCATTACAGATCACATTTGTTATTTCATGGCATCACGGAAGCTGACTACCCCTGTTTGACGCTTTCGAATTATCCTTTTAGCGCAATTTTTTGTATCTCTGAACTCGATTTATTCGCACTTTTAGCGATAGAGAAAGCGATGGCCAGTGAAAACGAGCATTTCACAAGCCAAACCGTCGATTCCAAGATTAATGGCAATGATGTCCATAATGAAGAGTTCTATACGTATTCGGATGATGACTTGATCGAAGATTTCACGCAAGAACATGAAGAATTGGGCAATACAGCGATCAGAACGGAATCCGAGTATGCATGCGCATACTGTGGGATTGACTCTCCGAAGTGCGTGGCAAAATGTAACACGTGCAACAAATGGTTCTGCAACTCCAGAAATGGTACTTCTAGCTCCCACATTATCAACCATTTGGTACTATCTCACCACAATGTGGTGTCTTTGCATCCAGAATCTGACTTGGGTGACACAGTGCTAGAATGCTACAATTGCGGTTGCAAAAACGCATTTGTTTTGGGGTTCGTTTCAGCGAAAACTGAGGCCGTTGTCGTGCTATTGTGCCGTTTACCCTGTGCCCAGACTAAGAATATCAACTGGGACACCGATCAATGGCAGTCGCTTATTGAAAACCGCCAGTTTTTGTCATGGGTTGCCGAGGAGCCCGGTGAAGACGAATTGCTCAAGGCCAGAATCATAACACCAGCCCAAATATCTAAACTCGAAGCCAAGTGGAGATCGAACAAAGATGCCACTATAAATGACATCGAATCTCAAGACGAACAGGAACAAGTCACTCACGTGCTCATGCGTTACACAGACGCGTATCAGTACCAACGGTCTTTCGGACCTCTTGTGAAACTCGAAGCAGATTACGACAAGCAATTGAAAGAATCTCAGGCTCTGGAACATATTTCAGTATCTTGGTCTCTTGGCATGAACAAGAGACATTTGGCATCGTTTGCACTGTCGACTTTCGAGTCGAACGGCTTAAAAGTCGCCGTGGGTGATGAAATGATTCTACGTTACTCGGGTCTACAGTTTCCAGAATGGGAAGGTCGTGGATATATTGTCCCTTTGCCCAATAGCTTCCAAGATGAATTTACTTTGGAATTGAAGGCCAGTAAAAACGCACCACCCACAAATATGACTACTGGGTTCACAGCAGAATTCGTTTGGAAAGGTACTTCTTATGACAGAATGCAAGAAGCCATGAAGAAATTTGCAGTGGTTAAAAAATCGATTTCCGGCTTTCTTTATTACAAGATCCTAGGGCATGAGGTTCCAGATCTCGAATTTGACGTAAATCTGCCAGAACAATTCTCAATTCCTCATTTCGCTCAGTTGAACGTTTCTCAGGCAAACGCCGTCAGACATGTTCTTCAAAGACCCTTGTCGCTCATTCAAGGTCCACCAGGAACAGGTAAAACTGTCACTTCTGCTACCATTGTCTACCATTTGTCAAGGTTGCACAAGGAGCGTATTTTAGTTTGCGCGCCATCAAATGTTGCCGTTGACCACTTGGCTTCGAAGCTACGTGACTTGGGATTGAAAGTCGTCAGACTAACGGCTAAAAGTAGAGAGGATGTGGAAAGTTCTGTTTCCGATTTGGGGTTGCATAATTTGGTTTCGAGATCTGCCAAAGGTGAATTGAAGAAACTGCTCAAAATTAAAGAAGAATCGGGTGAGCTATCATCGATCGAAACCAAGAAGTTTGTTAAGCAGGTGAAAAAATCAGAGGTTGAAATTTTGAAAAAAGCTGATGTCGTCTGTTGTACATGCGTCGGAGCTGGAGACAGAAGACTTGAAGCAAAGTTTAGGACCGTTTTGATCGACGAAAGTACTCAGGCTTCAGAGCCCGAGTGCTTAATCCCCATTGTGAAAGGTGCCAAGCAAGTTATCTTGGTTGGCGATCATCAGCAGCTGGGCCCGGTTATTCTTGACAGAAAAGCAGCTGACGCAGGATTGAGACAGTCCTTGTTCGAAAGGCTCATCTCTTTGGGTCATACTCCTATTCGTCTTGAAGTTCAGTACCGTATGAACCCTCACCTAAGTGAGTTTCCAAGTAACATGTTTTATGAGGGAAGTTTGCAAAACGGTGTCACGATTGAACAGCGCACCATTGCGAAGAGTACTTTCCCTTGGCCAATCCACGATGTACCAATGATGTTTTGGTCTAACTACGGTCGGGAGGAGATTTCCGGTAACGGAACATCTTATTTGAACAGAATCGAGGCTATGAACTGCGAGCGCGTGATAACTAGATTGTTTCGAGACGGGGTTAATCCTGAACAAATTGGTGTTATCACCCCATATGAAGGGCAGAGGGCCTACATTGTGCAATACATGCAGATGAACGGTTCACTGGACAAAGAATTGTACATGAATGTGGAGGTTGCCTCCGTGGACGCGTTTCAAGGCCGGGAGAAAGATTACATCATTTTATCATGTGTCCGTGCTAATGAACAACAAGCAATTGGATTTTTAAGTGACCCAAGGCGTTTGAATGTTGCCCTCACGCGTGCTAAATATGGACTTGTTATTTTAGGAAACCCTAAATCCTTGTCCAGGAATAGCCTTTGGAGCCACCTTCTCATACATTTTAGAGAACAGGGATGTCTAGTTGAGGGTTCGCTTGACAATCTTCAGCTATGTACCGTACAACTCACCAAAACAAGAACCACTCCAAATGAAAGAAGGATGATATCACAGCGATTAGATCTCAGCCAAGCAGGAAGTTTCAATCAAATGGGCTTCGACGACGTTGATACGCAAAGTTTGATTTCCTTTGGAGGTCCTGAAAATTTTGGTTCAAATGGATTCGAGGCATTGCATAAAGAACAAGACACAAAAATTGTGAACTCCAGCATCTGGCAGGCAGAGGCGTTTCAACAAAGATTTGGTGGAAAAGAACAACCAGGTGCTAATGTCTACAGTGAAAAGTTTGGATTGGACTCTAGTCTTGCAAGAGGACTTCAAAATAACAATGGGGCCTTTTCGAAGTACGATTATAAGGGCCCAGATGGTGACGATCGGATGAAGGGTTTGCATTCCTTCCGTGAATTGAATATATCAGGTTAAAAACTAATCCAAAATAACAAGTTGCTAATACTGATGATATCCCTCGGATATTAGCGAGTCCCATGGCGCAAAAGCCCACATCGAATTTCAGGCGCGTTTCCTGAAGATTCGCAAAAGTTTTGAAGAGCCTTTATCAGAGTTCGAAGAGACAGTTCCTGCTCTTTTGACAAAAGATGTAAACCTTCCATTCTTAGAGCCCTCTGACTTTCTCACCTCTGTGAATGCAGTCGCGCGAGTCTCGTGTATCACATCTGACTGACTAAAGCCTTGATTGGTGGTTCTTGGAGAAGAAATCAAGGGAAGATTGTTGGCTGTATCGGAGAAGAACTTTTTGAGTCCCCCTTCCTTGGCCATCGTGCCATTGATGTCATTGATAATATTTTTTTTCTCATCCAAATACAAGCTTTCGACAAGATAAGTAGCAAACTCAGCTTTACCGAGAATAATATCGTTAGGAAATTCATAGCCAGATAAGACATTGGTTAGGTGCTCCAGTTTATTATAGAGCAAGCACGATTCCTGCTCAATTTGCTCCATATGACTTTCGTATTTTGTCTGGGTTTCCATATTAAGCTCGCTTTCCAAATTATCGGGGGTCCCGAGATACTTCATGAGATCATCTCCAAATATCTCCGCATTGTTTTCTGTCATTTTTTCAAATTCCAGTTCACCAATGTTGACTTTTAGCTGAGGACTGTATTGTCCTTGAGACGTATTACAAACTGGAATGATCGACAATTGTTTTTTAGACGCCAGTATGTCGTCCTTTCTCATCCTAGAGTGTGCAAGTACGCTTATGAGCTCAGTTTCGCGTAAGTATTTATCAATGAGAAAAGGGTTTGTTGGGAGCTCTTTCAGTATTTTTTTATTCATGAGTAACTCTGGCCTGCTGACTGTGCTACTGAGTTTGAGCAGCTTTGGAGTGAAGTCAAGCTTTTTTTCCGTAACTTTGTCAATGTAGTCCAAGAACTCCGCTTCATGTTTTCTTATGAAATCGTTCATGTCTTCCATGTAGGGTTCCTTTTTGCCAAAGAATGTAATGGTCGATAGGTTTAGCAACATTTTGCTGAGTAAGATCAACGTTCTTCTGGGACGAGCGTTAGGGTGGTCTTCGACCAAATCAAACAGCTTTGGGTTGAGAATCACTGGGCAAAAAAAGCGTAAAAAGAGGAAGCCAGATATACAATTGAGTGTGCTTCTAACATCTGTCGTATGGCAAATTATTTCGAGATTCTTTCTGATGATCTTTAGATGAAGTTTGATTTCAGGAGGAAGATCGTTGCTAGTTGAACAGATGGATTTCCAGATTTTTTCAGCAAGCGCCATCAACTCTGTAGCGTTAGATTTTATGATCTGCACCTTGACAAATTCATCGGTTTCCTCGATCCGAGAAGGATCCAGTTCATAAAACACGTCTTCATCCACAATGCGACGAAGAATGCCACCTAGCGTTCGTTCCAAGTATTCGCTTCCAACTCTGTAAAAATACTTCTCGATGGATTTCGTGAGAATCGAGTTACCTCTAAACAGTGAATTGAAAATGTGTGTGGAAGGAAGTTTCTTATTGTTGTTTCTTAGGATGGAACCATCAGCTTCGGCTATTTCTTTCGCACTCAACGCCTGAAGCCATTCATCGATTCTTCCGATAGCTTGAAAGATGTCCAGTAATACCACAGAGAGATCCTCGAGCTTCAAATATTCGGAAAGAGACCTATCGTAAACATATTCTCGAACTTTGGATAGATCTGCGCTTAGCAACATGGTTTCAAACTTGGAAAAATTGATAGATGGCAAAACGGTATTTAAACTTGATGTGGCTTTGATACAAATAGTTCCGAGTTGAAAGTTCTCGTGTTCGAAATGAAAAACTGGGAACCTTGTTTCGGCACCGAGAGACATATCGTTCAACATACCTTGTGTGACGTGAATTTCTCCCAGAATCTGAGTGGTCTTTGAAGAGGGTACTTTTTGCATTACTCTAATGCACAAATCAGGAACTCCTACTGAAAAATTGAAGTCAAACTCTTCCCGCCAGAATGGGGTGTTAGTTCCGGAGACAAGTGACGTTTTCGCCCAAGTAATCCCCCAAATCAATACTTTCACGTAAAGAGCACTGTTGTCTGGACGACCACGGCCCTGTTCTTCAAAAAGATTAATGCCACCGAAATCTGCTTCTAAAATTGACAATTTAAAGCGGTTAGAAATTCTGAGCTCATTTGATTTATCCGATCCGAACAAAGAAGCCATTTCAGCTCGAGAAAATGATTGCAATGCAACGAGCCAATCTTCCAAATCAATTCTTAATGGAAACTGTAAATATATCCGGTCGCAGCTCTCGCCCGCACTGCTCCTAATAAGAGACGTTTTGCGAGACACTTTGAGGCGTCTTCGCAGTTCTGGAATGAAACCTACGTATAGTGTGTTTTCGTTTTTGAAAATGGATGAGTTGACGATTTGTATCTCGGATCTCAATAACTGCGGCATCGCCAGCGAATAAAGCAGCGAACCATCGATTTGGGAAATAAGATCCAAACGTCCATTGGATTTTAAGGTGCCCATTGCAGAAAACCAACCCTCTGTAGTCTTTTCGTCGAGCTTTACGTCATGCGGTGGTTCCTGTTTCAAATCTAGTATATTCACATTTCGGTTACGTGGAATTGGACCATACACGTTCAGTTGACATACCAGCATGTCAATTGGCTTTTCTTGACTCGGGAAAATGGTTTGAAAGACACAAATCTTATTAAAGATGCCTGCTGGTTTCAGACTTTGCCAAAATATCAAACTTGCCAAAAGACTTATGAAGATCGATCTATCTTTGGATCGTAGATAAATTGTCGCTTGTTTCGTCGAAACTCTCAAGGTGGATGACCCACCCCCTTCGTCTGCCATCAATTGCAACTCACAACCTTGTAAATGTTTCAAAATCGTCCCACTATTATTCATCGTAGTTTGTAAGGTTTCTTGCATGTCTTGTACGTCACGAGTACTTGGCGCTTGGCACAATTTACCTTGGTTGTTAATTTGCAATAAATGTGCACGCCAATCGTTCAACGAAATATCGCTGCACCATTCCAAAATGCCTTCGAATACACCTCGTTTCGAAATTATTTGCTTGATCAATTCCGATTTTTGAACACCTGCAGATCGTCGACCATCAACTTTTCCACTAATAAGACTTTTGTCATCATTCTTGTTATCGATAAGCGTAGGGCTCGATATACCAACTGCCATAGATATGGGCTGCTTGGCTACCTTTTAAGTTTAGTTTAAGTTTGAGGTTTCTAGTAGTTTTCCATAGATATGTTTCATTTTTCATTACCATATCGACATACTCGGCCGTCGAGAAAACCGGTGATATAAGATTCATGGATCAAGTCATCGACGAATACGCTCATGGCGCAGGCTTAGTTATGTGGTAGAAATGTACTTAAAGTTTAAAGGCTTGTGGTGCTTCGCCTTCTGGACCGATGTACTTGGGGTCTCTCCAAGGCCCTACATCGGAAAGATAAAGACCGCCTTCTTTTTCACTGACTTCAGATTGACCACCGAATTTGACAGGCAAATTCTCAGCTGGAATTTGCTTGAGAAGCTCTTTCTGGTATGAGGAGCCTAGAATGAAAATCTTCGACACAGTGACGGGATCTAGGAAAGGTTTGAAAAGTCGGAACGCCGTGGAGAATCCAAACGGCGCATTGATTAGGTAAAATTTACCCATACGTTCTGGGTAGTAATTCTGACCAATGTAAGAAGCCTCCCTGACATAGCTCAAAACTTGAGCTGCAGCAGAAATCGAAATTCCTTTCAAATCCAAAACAGTACACGAAGTTTCGACCAAATGACCCGCTTTCCTGGAACACGCAGGTAATCTGTATTTGACAAAAGACTCGTACTCCCAGACCAAATTCTTTAACATACGTTCTTGTGTCGTGATCTTGTACATTTCGGTCAAATTGACTGACCCCAATTCTTCAAAATACAATGGTCTGCCCTCTTTGTCCGTCTTGTGGTAGTATTGTGGGTAAAACTTGGCTACCAAAGGTTTCTCCTCGTATTTGAAGTCTTCAAAAATGGTGTCGACACCGAATTCCTTCCTCCATTTTTCGCAATTTTCGAACATAAGTTTAGCGGCCGCTACGTCGAATTTCCGGGCTCTTAAAAACCGTAACAACGTCGACTCGTCCAAACGCTGGGAAAACCCAGCTGCTTCCAAACCTTCCTTCAATTCTTGCAAACTTTTTTGTTGCGGCTCTGTCAGATTCCCTGGTGTCCCCGATAAAGAGCCAGGAGCACAAGTTTGAGGATACGAATCAAGAAGCTCCTTCTCCTATTTACATTGTTAGTCAAACCTTCTTGTTAATAAACCTTAAACAGTTAGTCAATCACGTACTGATACCATCTTTCTTCACCGTATGATCACCGTCCTTTAAGTATATTGATGCTTCGTGCTAAAGGTGGTTAATCCACTGTTAGAGCACTTTTTCAAGACTTTATCACTAAGGTAGGGTAAATATATATTGCAATTCGAATCATCATTCTCATCCATCGATTTTGATCAACGAGATTTGATGGTTTAAGATAGAACAGAGGGTCAATGGGGGGCGATTCGGACCCTTTTGGAGGTGCACAATTGGGTGTAAGTTTATTGTTCAGTGGGCAACGAACTTCTGAGAAAAATCTGCTTTCTTTTACGGCCAGTAACGGTCGATTAATATCGTTAAAACGGAAACGCATCGAGAGCGTAAAAGACGTTTCTTGGAACAGTGAGGAGTCGTATGGAATCAATGTGAATGAGCTTTTAGATCGAATAGAATGGGGCGGCAGTGGTGTGACGTTGGAACGCAGAAAAAAGAACCACAAGTCGACATCGAAAAGGCTATGGACTGAAACATGGAAACCCAAGTCATTTCTGGATCTGGTGGGCAACGAAAGGGCCAATAGAATGATTCTCAAATGGCTGAGACAGTGGTCTCCGCTTGTGTTTGGAGAAAAAATGGGTAAAGCCCCAGCAGACGCGAAAGAAATGGATCGAATGCAACTTGAGGTCTCAGATCCATTGGGCAGGCCCGCAAAGCGGATCCTCTTGATAAGTGGGCCTCCAGGTATAGGGAAGACGTCTGTCGCGCATATCGTGGCCCAGCAGGCTGGTTACGCGGTGATTGAGATAAATGCAAGTGATGAACGGGCTGGAGAACGCGTCAAGGATAAAGTTCACAATTCGCTTTTCAACAACACGTTTGACGATAGACCGGTCCTGCTTATTGCAGATGAAATTGATGGCAGTACGGAAGGTGGTCTTGTCAAAGTTCTCATCGATATTGTCAACAAAGACTACAGGGTGACACGCGAGCTGATTATGCTGAGCTCCAAACAAGGCAAAAAACGCAATCTCTCGGATAAATTGCTGACCCGACCAATTGTGGCTATCTGCAATAACCTTTACGCCAGCTCTTTGGAGAAATTGAGACCTCATTGCGAATCTGTTACACTGCGAAAGCCATCTGATAGTTCGCTTCAAGAGAGACTTGAACACGTTTGCGCGAAGGAGCGGCTTCTCGTCGACAAGAAATTTTTAAAAGAGTTGAGCGAATCTGTTCAAGGCGACATTAGAAGCTGTCTGAACAATTTGCAGTTCTTAAACTTGGGACACGGCCCATCCTCATCAGCATCATCAATGCAGGCGTCAGAAACTGCTAAGGACAGATGCGTAAGCTGGTACAAGATATGTAATCAGGTGTTTCGGAAAGGGTCCCACGCAGACAGCAAGACTCAAATGAGAGCTTTACTGAGTGCTGCAGAAAGTAATGGATCATATCAGAAGATCGTACAGGGTTGTTTTACTGCATATCCTTCTGTCAAATATTCTGATTTCAAGGTCTCAAAATCTGGCATTATTGCAGACTGGCTTTTTTACCATGAGCTCATGTTCAAATCCCTATTTGAGCATGAAGGAGAGTTATTGAGATATAATTCCATTACACCGCTGGCGTTTTTCTCTTTATTTGGCGACGGTGCTAACAAAGAGGATATCAAGATTGGATCGGCTGAATACGATGTCAGGGAGGCAACTAGAGGAAACGAAAGTATTCTTCACAGGATGTATCGAAGTGCTCCAACTGAATGTAAAGTGCATTCAAGCCGGGAATCATTTGCTTTAGAAGTTCTTCCTTTGCTCGACTGTTTGATTAGTGTGGATGTCAACCGAGTGAGTGGGACAGATACGAAAAGGAAAATTATAGAAAATGTCGCTAATGCAGTTTCTGCGTTTGGCGTTGAGTTCAGGGAATCCAAAGAGCCGGAAACAAACGGTGAGATCATCCTAGACCCACCGTTTCACCAATTGACGATCCTGGACGATAAGCGATCCATGGAAGTGAAGAAAAGACGAGTTGCAATCTTTAATGTCATCTTTGGTAAATTGGAGGAAGAGAGGATCAAGAAAAGAGCGCATGATAAAATAAGTCGGATCACTGAAACTGATCAGGAAAGAAAGAAACAGAAAACGAGTTCCTCCAAGCCGGTAGATTTCTTCAAATCTCAGTACGCATCTGTCAAAAACGCAAGTTCCGCTGAGAAACATCACACTCTGACAGACGGTGACGAAGAAGCTTTTAGAGTATGGGTGAGATACAAAGAAGGGTTTTCCAACGCAGTTAGAAAGACTCTTACGTGGAATAGCCTATGGGAATAGACTGTGGTTATCTCTACGAAGAATAATACCAGAGATGTGATTGAACTTGAAAGCCTGATAATCCACCCAACAATCTCATCGTTTACAATCTTTTTCATCCCACTAGCATATTAAGACTACCGTGTCATATTATAGAAGTGTTTTCTCTCTTAGCCAAACTTTATAAGAAGCTGTTAAAGTCATACAATTCCGACCAACATCTTCAGCTGAGACCGTATCCACCCTTAATGCCCAAGAAGGCTTCACAATATAATAGCCAGTCGGAATTCACTAAATCTTCCTTGATTTCAGGCTTTAAATATCCGAAAGCTGCGCTTTCGAGACCATTGCGAGGATCTTACGAATACTTGCCTATCCCTGAGACTCATCTTCACGATAAAGTGATCACCATCGATAAATTTCTCGATTTCAAAGCATGTCAATGCCTTGTAACCACTTTTGAAGGATCCGGGTTGATGGGCAAATTCCATACCAAGGGAACCAAGGATTACGCTAAGCGTTCGAATAAAAGATTCAGTTGCCACGATCAAGAATTTGCTCAACTTCTATGGGTCAAGCTGTCCGATTGTTTACTGCAAGAACCACATATTGCAAATGAACTTGGTTTCAATAAAGCTCAAGGTTTGAATCCGCAATTGCGAGTTTACTGCTACGATAAAGACGATCATTTTGACAAACATTACGACGATTCCGTACAAGTCCATAACGTGGGCACTACCCAATGGACTTTACTAATCTATTTAACCGGAGGGGACCCTCTTTCAGGGGGAAATACGATATTTTACGATGAATTTACTAAAGCTCCAACGGGGTTCCATCCTACGCAGGGTTTGGCATTGCTTCACAAGCATGGCAATGATTGCTTGCTACATGAAGCTCAGAGAGTTATCAAAGGACAAAAATGGGTTCTTAGAAGTGACGTGATATTTTGATGATCTGATGTTTCACTTGTGTATATATTAGAGAAGTCTTCGACTTGAAAACTTCTAGTAGATCGTCATATGCAGGGAAGATAAAGACTCTCAGAATGGAAGGTCTTGATCTGTTACAAGAATTGTTCCCAGAGACTCCTGTCGGGAAGTTGAAGGCCGCCTTAGAGAGCTCTGGCTCTGATGTTGAAACAGCTACTGCTATAGTATTGAGTGAAAATCGGATTGCGGAAAGCATGCAGGCAAAGCAAGTGACAAGACGATTGGGTGATGGAGCTGAATTGGGTCTGACGGACAATACCCCAGCTTCCACGACAGTCACTAATTTAAAGCAAAAACTGCATCGCCCTGTCCATAAGTTTGATAAATTCCAAAACGTCGATGATGTCAATTTTGTAAATGATGGTGATAATGGTAACGCGTGGCAATCGTCTACTTCATCTGTTGGCCATATAGCCAGGATTCTTCATATTTCCGAAGCAACTGCTCTTACCGCTTATTATTCTAACTCAATGAACGCTGGAAAAGCAGCGATAGACTTGATTTTACGGTCAGATCGATACAGTGCGAAGGATTCACGAAATCAGGCTGAACCAGAACAGCCTGTTAAAACTTCAAGAGCTCACCGTGGTGGTTGTGTTCAAGCACGAGGTTTGATGCATTACCAGGAAGAAAAACCATTGCCTCACAAACCGGTCGTTAGTCGACAAACTTCTTCGATCATGGCGCATTCAAGTAGTAAATATACAGAAAATGGCCCTGAAGCCCTGGAACTCCAAAATTTGATCGCAAGTAACCCAAATCTGAGCCGAGTTTCGAAACAATTTTGGCAAGCCGCTCTTCAGCATTACGGCGGTAACGTTTATGATACCGTTTTACTTGGAGATTTCATTCTCGAGCAGAAATGCAGTCAATTCACTTTTCAAGAGACCCCCAAGCGACAAGAAATCCTTCCATCAGAAGCCGTCTCGCAAACCAGACGCAATGGGTCTCGTGGACTTGGTACGCAAATGCAAAATGTCAGTTTAAGCAGGGATTTGAAAGTACTCTCAGACCCTTCACCAGAATCATTTGTAAGTCAGGATAGTTACAATCGTGCCAAAAGCATTGTCGAAAATACCTTAGTCGCTTTTCGAGCTGATTTGCATGGTTTCCTAATAGAAGAAGCACTCGCGGTCTGCAAAGAGTGTCTTCGAATATGGTGGACCGAGGAATTCGCACTAAAAGAGCGAAATGGGAGACATTTAAACCGGAAACAAGCTTCTAACATTCCACCATTTACGGTAATTACAGGACGAGGACTACACAGCGCGGGAGGTTATTCGAAAGTGCGGAAAAAGGTACAACTTTATCTCGACAGTAATGCATATATATACGATGAAGAGCCATCATTCTTTATCGTAACTGGCCGCAAGAGGAAGAATTTTTGAGAATCTAAATCTTAGACTCTAGGTATCGATCAATAGTCTGGACGTAGTTGTAAATTTAATGATTTGGAGGTTTAAATGACTTTCGCAAGTGCCCGTTTAATATTAACATTTATGCTTACCAAAACATCGAATGTTGAGACATGGATAAACACAACGCTGTAATTAACACCCAACTTCATCAAATTGAGCATTTTCACATTGAAATAAGATGACTAGTGCAAGAAGCCGTTTTCATAATACCTTCTCAACTTCTAAATTCTGAAAAACGCCAATGAGGCCCGAACTTGCAAACTAAACGTTGACTTCGATCATTAACAGATGCTTGACACGAACAGCTTGGAAAGGATGCTAAACCATATCCATAGTCAAAGAACCTGTCAAGGCTTCATGTCACCACGCTTTTCCGATTGGAGAAGATGTAGGCGGCTCAGGGTTGAAAAAGAAACCGACCCTGAGATATTTTCTTCAGGTCGGACTTCCTTCGTATCCGTATGTTATGACCAGAGTAATGACGACTCCTTCATATGTTAGCCAACGCTTCCAGAAATCAATGAAGAATCAATCCAACTGTGACACACTTGCGAATGCATTTTCTTATGAGACTCGACTAACTCTCCAGTGACGGAAGAGAGGATTTTTTTATAGACTTAGATAACTTCATCTTACAAGGATCCATGGAATTACAATCACTATGTACGGAAAGCTTTTGGCGACTTCAAGATGAGGAATCGCTTTTTCGAGTCAATTTTTTCGTCAAACCCCGAACCGCTTGTTGTGCCTTGAGGTTTGTATCATAACAAGGTACGAGTTCGGGTACGGAATGGGTAACTTCTTGATAATACGGTTTATACAACATGATAAATAAAATTGGAAACCTCTAAAGAGAAGCAGGCCGTGAATCATTAGGCGACTTGTTAGAGTTCTGGAGTGCTAGAGTTTCGAGAAACATGGATTACATGAATTTAGGGGTGAGATCCCGGAAAACGGGTCTTCAGGTCAAAGAAAACATCGAGAAAGATGAGTTCTCCATGGAGAACGTAGACGATTTCTTCAAAGAAGATGAAAGTACAATTAGTTTGCGCAGGCGCAGTCGGAAATCATCGCTTTTCCAAGTTGGCTTTTTTGATAATAGAGAGTTGCTTCCATCGCTACCAAGCCGTCCTGCATCTGAGACATTAAAGTGGAGCAATGCTGATGGATCTATCGATGTTATACCGCAGGAACCAGATGAGGACGAAGTTTTGGAGGACGCGAAACGAGAGTATGGTGAAGTACAACAATCTGAATGGCCTCAGAGCCCTGCAAATGTTTCGCTACAGACACCACCAGGATCTCACCTACCATCAATGGCCGAGGAGGAAGAAGACGGTGCTAATGAGCCTTATCGAACGAGATCTAAGTTTCTTTCCAGGCGGGATGACACTTATCGAGATATCCCTGATCTTGTTGAAGATGACGAATATTCAAGGGCAGATACAACGCTCAACACGTCAGATAACGCTCTGCTTCGAGAGGAGTTAGGCGGTGACGATTACGAAAATGAAAGCGAAAGTGATGCCGACTATATTGAGGGTATGTCCCTCCTGCAGGAAAATTCAGACATGAATGCTAGGAGTGATGAAAGTATGAGCGATACAACAATGTCAGATGATTCTGCCTATAAACCCTTGACCTTGAATCGCTCTAAGATCTTCCCAGCTTCGAAAACCACAAGTAATTACGTTAGCCAAAGCTCTTCTGAAAGTGAATCAGATAGGGATTTCATCAGAAGTCAAGCTCAAGAATTCGAAGCAGATGGCCCAGGAGAACATTCTGCGGGTCTTAGACGGTCAAAGAGGGTAAAGATAGCACCATTAGAGTATTGGAGGAATGAAAAAGTCGTCTATAAAAGAAAGTCAGCGAAGCCCGTCCTGGACATCGACAAAGTAATAACTTATGAAGATGAAGAAGATGAAGCTGAAAAAGACGAGTTGACTGCTAAGAAAAGAAAATCGTATAACTACAATCCTAGTGGGCGTCCTCGCGGCAGGCCTCGAAAGTCGAGAAACAGAGAGGTAGTCACAAGCAATGTAAAGCTCGATATGAAAGATCTTGAGAGTTTGACGGGTAAAAAGTTAGAAAACGCGGATTGGCTGGAAGGAGGTTCTTTGCATTCAAATGTAAGGAATTCGAGAGGCGAAATAGGTAAAGTGTGCTTAGCGTTTGCTCCGAACAAATCCAAATATCAACAGGTAAGGCGCTCTGAGACGAACAACTTCCTGATGTCGATTCTGTTCGACGATCAAAAAGACGTTTTCGCGAGTGGCTTCATTACGTTACCTCCGGAAGGAATCAAGGCTCCGACTGGTGCAGCAGATACAACTTTGGTGTTTTGTCTGATCCAGGGGGTTATAGAATTTCAGATCGAGGAAACAAAATTCATTGGAACGCCGGGAACTTCCTGCCGAATTCCCGCGTTTAACAAATATGCCTTGAAAAATATGATGTCAGCGGAGGCGAAAATATTCTTCGTTCAAATTGCGTTACCATCGGGGCAGTCGAAACTCATGGGGTCTGAGAAATCCGAGGCCGGGAATAATGACGGTACGTCTGAAGATCACAATTATTTAACAAGCGATATGAGTTTAGTTCGAAGTTAAAAAAGTTTACTATTTGTTCAAATTCATCAATCTCTGATTAGATGCATCTAATGCGAAATAATCTATAATCTTTAGTGTTACATGTGCACTCTGTTTCAAGTCAATAACTTCAAGAGTGCGGTCAAACCAGTTAACCTTCCTCGCGATCTCTTTTACACCATTTATAATAACATCATTTTCTTCGGATAATTTCACTCACCCAATTTAGCGTTCTTCATCAGTCTCTTCATCATCATTCTCCATTTTCTCCGCCAGTCTTTTCATTCGAGCGAGCTTCACCAACGGAGCTAGAGAACTATTAGGATCAGCATACGTTTCCACGAATGGATCCTTCAAGAGTTCGTCAGCGGCAGCTCTTTCATCAGGATTTACTTGAAGACACCAATTCAGGAAGCTTTTCAAATTACTACTGAGGCTCTCGGGGTCCTTCAGATTTGGTGTTCCGTTCGTTGCGATGAGATACAACGCTCTAAGCGGTGTTTCATTTAGGTAGGGGGGTTCGCCCTCGATCATCTCTATGATCATTATTCCCAACGACCAGATATCCACTTTCGGTCCATATTCCTTTCGCGAAACGACCTCAGGGGCCATCCAATAAGGTGTCCCCACCATTGTCGTTCTCTTCAGATTAATCTCATTAATCTGTGCACAGAATCCGAAATCAGTAAGCTTGATGTTGCCGCTCAAAGAAAGAAGAATATTATCAGATTTGATGTCCCGATGTATAACTCCCTTGGAATGCAGAAATTGGAGACCCTTTAACGTTTCCCTACAAACCGCGCCTATCTGCCCTTCTGTCAATATGCAATGTGTGACGACATCAGTCAAAGAACCTCCCTCCATGTACTCCATCACAACCCAAAGGTCACCCTTCAGCAGATAAGAATCAATAAAATTGACGATATTTTCGTGCTTACTGGCCTTCATAACCAAAATCTCATTAATTATGAGTTCTTTCTTTGGTTGTTTCTCAAGGCTCATTTGTTTGATAGCAACCGAAGCGTTGGTTCCCACCTCATACGCTGTGTATACACCTCCGGAGGCACCCTGGCCTATTTTGACTAAGTCCTTGTAAATGACACTAGGATCGCCCTCAGTGCAAATTTCACCAAGTTTAGCGTATAATTGTTGTATCTTCCTTCTTCTATCCTCCCTCTTCTTTTCTGCAGAATTCTGAACTTCTTTGCCGGTGTCAGCTGTGCTTTTGCTCTCATCTTTAGAAATTGGCGGAGGAGGAGGAGCGGCTCTAACAGGCGAAGACACCTTGTTAACGCTTGCATCTCGCTTCACATTTGCCCCAGATGAAGTCGGCAAAGCGGGTAAGGATTGCTTCTCTTTTGAAACAGTACCCTTTCTTGAAAGAGATCTGAATCCTGAGGTCAAACTACCCGCGCGTTTGATATTTGGGCTGGAATTTGATGGTGAAGAAAAAGCTAATGGTGAGCTGACATCATCTTTCAAGCTGGTTGGCGGCTTTGGAGCAGGGCGGCTGGGTAAATACTTCTCGTTTTGATTTACTTGCGGAGATCTTGAATTTTCTGCGAAGTTCAGAGGTGATCTTAAAGTATCATTCAGGAATTCATTTTCTCCTTGTGCCAAGGAGGTCGAAGAATCACTAGTTCCAATCGCAGGTAATCCACCCTCCAACTTAGGTACGGACGAAGACGCAGGTGTTGCGAATGAAGAAGAGCTTGAGAAATTCTTTGCATAATTTCCGACATTGAAGGTTTTAAAAACCTTGTCTTCGCCATTGTTTTCAGTCACGTCCTGATAGAACCTAACAATATCAATAACTGCTTGAGGATGTTGCTGCTGCTCCTTCTTCGATATACCGCTGGATGCTAGCATTTTTTCCCATTCTTCAGGCAGCCCTGTGTACTCACCAGTTTTGCTATCAACACCGACGTGATGAACATGCTTCGCGTTGTATGGGGAAGAGATTTTAACGCCCCCACTAGATCTACGCTTCTCACTTTGAGAACTCCTTTTCATATTTTGCATGAACGATGAAAATACGCCCTTCACCTTGCTGCTACCACCACTTCTTCTCTTCTTATTCTCCTCTGCATTTTTTACAGAAATTTCAGTTGGAGTACTTGAAAAGAGCTTAGAGGAGGAAAAAGGCGATGATACCTGTTTAAAAGGTGACTTCGGAGTCTGCGCCAGGGGAGAAGACCCTAAAGTTGGTTGCCAGGCAGGGAAAGCCTCTTTGTTCCTAACAGCAAAAGCCGAAGGTAATCCTGACTTGGGAGTCGAAAATTGTCCGCTCTCATTTGAATTCTCGGCTAATGAAGACTGTTTCTTGAATGTATTGTTTGCTCCTGAAATAACGTTCGGTATAGAATCCAGTACAGTGCCCTCATCACGGGAGACAGGCTGTTGATCCTCCTGATGGTGCACAGGACTTGTAGAGGTTTCTCTTACATTATAGAGCTGACTGTCGTGTTGCAAAGCGCGATAGTCTGTCTCCGTACTGGGACCATTACTCACAGGAGTAACAGCAGATAGACTTACTGTCCGTGATTGGTCACGCTGATAATGGTCAGAAACCCGTATGGTGGAATTCGTCTTGTCGCCGATAGTGGATTGTTCTTGGTCACGTTGTATATGCGAGTTGGCGGCGTTTTCTGACCTCGAAAGCTCATTCTCCATGATTCGCTGAGAATCTTCATTCATGATGCCATCTGTTCTCTCAGAAGAGCTCGTACTAAGTGCAGACGATGAAGAAACTCTAGTGAATTGAATCGGCTCATCCAAAGACGTCGACCTTATAATCCTGTTTACACCGTCCAAATCAGAGATTTTGGGCTTTCCTGGATCCATGGACCTATATCCAGGTGGACTTTTGATTTCTTGCTCACCTTTACTTTGTAGGCCATTTACATCCAAAGTCCCCGTTGCTCTAGGAAGGCCTAATCTTTCTTCACCGTCTTCATCGCTTGCAAGAGCTTTTTTATTCCCGCTATCAATTATACCATTCTCCTCAATTAACTGGTATTCTTCTTGCCCACCAGCATCAGAGTCCATCGTTATAGGCCTCTTGCGTTGTCTTTACGTGCTATGAGTAAATGATTGCCGAAATGCCTGATTGTACTTTGTTGATAAGCGAACGTTAAACAAAGGCGGAGCAAAGATTTTGAATTGTCTTACAACGTTACCAGTCGCGTGATCTCCTGCTTGCAAATAATTCGAGGACGTTCGTCTGACAGTTGATAATCTTAAGTGTCACCTTTCTCGTCACCAGATCGAGATCAACGCTGCGAAATTTTTGATTTCGAAACATTAATTTTTTTCAACCAAACAGAACCTATGAACCTATACACATGGACTGAGCTAACGAAAAGCTATCAGTAAGAAATAATGCCTCATGATCTCAAGAGAGTAAAAATGCGTTGCCGCCTTCTTTCATTGCTTGAATTATTCGAGAACGCATCACCGATTTAGAGCTGTATTTCGGAAGTTTTAAGTAATTGGCACATGTCATGACGCTTGGCAAATAATGATCTGGTTGCATGCCTTCATCGGCATGTTTCATAACGACTGTAAACTTGGGATTCAAACTTTCAAATCCACCAATAGGCAATTTTGGCGATCCAGTCAAAAATTGTAAGAAAAGACGCCGTTCCTCAGGAATAAAATCGGATAAAATTGAGACAAAATCATGTATTGATACCGAGTCCATGGTGTAACCGTGATCAGCATTAATGTAGGAGTATAGGGTTTCCGTTGTCCAGTCTTCTTCAATCATTCCAAACAAATTGGTCAATTCCGCCGGACTAAATATTAGTAGCGAAGCGTAAGGGAATGCGCGAGAGAAACCATCGATAAAACTTTGAATCTGCTTTTGAACTCCGGATCCCAACAATTGATCTAGTAGTTTTTCAAGGTATACTTCTAAATTTTCCGACGTGACCACGATGTTTTTCCCACCGGTAACTAGTTCAATATCATAACCTGATAGGTAAAATGTTAAAGCCAGATTCTCTACCTCGCTGGCGTTCTTTTGATCCAAAAGATATGCAATGGACTTTTCAATCTGAGGATCGACCAAATGCAAGAGGTCCAAACAGACGGCTCTGTTAGTAAGATCGACTTTGTCACCCCTAGCAGAGGTATGAGCCAGCTGGAAAAAGGCTTCGCTGAATCGAAAGTCTAGAATTCGATTATCGAGCATTGATCTCGAAACAAAGTTACCCAAGTGTTCAAATAGTTCTAAAATTTTCGGGCTGTCTGCATTGTTTGCTAAAGGCGCTGGGAACAATAAACTTGTCTCAAAATTATCGCTTCCCGATAGACCGTAGTCGTTCCTTCTCCACATCAAGTGTGATTTTTTAGCAAATTCCTTTGAGATTGTGGCATAAAACTCAAGAGTCGGACCCAGCCCCGACCCGACCTCATTTTGATATTCGACCTCCAACATATTGGGCGTTGATCCATATTTTGCCAATATCTTAAGAGCACTCAAAAAGGCATTTTCTCTCGAAATGCGTAGCTTGTGTCTTCCTGGGCGCCCAAGTTGTTGTAAAGTGGTCTCCCCGGATGCTTTGTCATCGCCCGTACGTTGTCGCCAAAGCTGTATGAGTCTCCCGTATCCAAACGAGGTGCTTTGAAGGAAAAACATTCTCGTTTCGATAGGAAATAGAAATGAATAATATTTGGTAACGTACAAGGTCCATGGTGGAAGTATTCCACCGGCAACAATCAACGGTTCCTCAAGTTGCCTTGATAGTTTGGCACTCAATTTTGAATTTATGAATAAATCAGCCGGCAGATCCTTGCGTCTGCAAAAACTCAATAACCCCAGTACGTCTTTTAGTGGTGTAGGAACATTCACCTCGGAGATGTCGTTTGCATATATTTGCGAGCTTTCTTCGACGCTCGACTTCAAGTCAGTGATGCGGTAGGTGATCACCTGAGTTTCGCCCCATTTTTGAGAGATATCTTCATTTTTGCAGAGAAACGACTTGAATACGGCGCTAAAAATTGTCTCAGATAAACGCTGGGGCTTACCATCGACGAAAAACTCAAACTCCTTATCTTTCCATTCTTCAGCATTAAACTTCCTATTGGAGCTGGAAGCTATGGTAAGGGAAGTGAGGAGTTGAGACTGCAAAATTCGATGCCTGAGAAAATCATTCAATGCGCGAAAAGATGCAACGCAGTGAATGCAAATGACAACAGAATGCAAATTAGCGGGTGGGGAATATTCATCTCCTGTTTTTTCAAACTCCAGCCTTATCTTTACCTGCTTGCCCAAAGACGCAGCACGCCCTTCTTCACTTGGCAGTCCACATTCCGTTATTGGAAGTGTTTCGAGGCGTGTTATTGCTGACTGCAAGGCCTCAACTAACATCGGAAGCCCTTTGCCAAAGCCTTCTTGAAATTCTTTTTGACAATTTGGATAACGCGAAATGACTGCCCACATGGCGCTTACCATACCCGTTGATACTAGCTCAAAACTAGATATTGTGAATGTTTCTGAAAATAGCAATGATTTGACATCTGCCCAAAGGTTTGCCCAGTTCTGGGAAGAATAATTCACTAATGATACTTCTTTCATGTGATTAATCCACTCCTCAACATCTAAAATCTCTCTAGCTTTCGATACAGTGTTGTCCCTTAGAGACATTATCTGGGCGGTAAGGTCACTTATTTTCCAGAAAATGTAGAACCCAGCCATCTTCCGAAATACTTTGAATACAAGCTTCCGGGGTGTGACTTGAGGTGGGATGTCAGTGGCATTAAACGACATCGCATCCCCATCGTCACTGTCGCTCGCTGAATCAACGTCATCTTTTTCTTCAAACTTATCTTTGGCCGCATTTTCCTGTCTAGCTTCAGATCCCGCGATGAAATCTGAAAGGGATTTCAAGACATCAAAAACGCCCTCTCTTTTAAAGGCAGGGAAGAATCTTGCCGAGAACTTGGTTGCTGACTGCAACACAAGACAAAGTATGCCCAGTAGAAGAAATCCAGCATCGTAATCGTGACCATTGCTAGATTCATAAATGCTTTTGTTTTGAGCAAGAGTTGATGCAAGCATACCAACTAAATTATCATCCAACACTGAGGCTTTTGCAGGCTCCAACGAAGAGCATATTCTCAGAAGTGCGAGTAACACATATTTTCTTATTTCGAAATCAATAGAATTGGTGTAAATTTCCACTAAAACTGGCGTCACTTGTGCTGCCAAGTTTTCGATATACCCAATCAAATTTGACACATCAGGCTTCTTGAAGTTGTCAGTTGTCAACAGTTGAAAATCCTCCACCGGTAAGAGCAAAACCAAAAAGCGCGAAACACTCGTAAGCAATGGCTTGGGAACAAACATCAACGTCTCGTGTAAGGCCGAGTCTGACGTTTTCCTGAACTGGTTAATGCAGCCCTCCAACATTAGCGGTACCTTTTCAGAGAAAATAATGTCAGTTGATAGCTTGCTGCTATTCAGCACCAATTGAGAAAGAATATCCAACGCCTTGAGCTTAGAATCAAGCTCAAATTCCGAAATTGAAACGATATGCATTAAGCGCTGCATGACTTCTAGATCAAAAAACGATTCTAAAGCTTGACCCATATCAGCTACACCTTGACATATCCCATAAACGGCGTCTAGGGACCTGTTTGAAATCACTTGGTCTGATGAATTGATAAAAACCGTCTTCAAAAGCGGGAAAACCTCTTGCATTTCATCATAGTCTTCATCTTTAGCCCTTGCACATGAATTTGCCACTATCGCAACAACTTTTCTTTGTGCATGCGTAGTGAAAAAATCCATGTACTGCATGCAAGCAACCAGACAACCCGATTCTAAAATATCCTGCCCGTTAATCCTCGAAATGAATTCAAGGGTTTCTAAAACCTGTTCGGCTAAATCAATGTAGTTTATTTCTAGAAGCTTATCTCTAAGGACATCGATGGCGTTGTCATCAACGGCAACAGCGATCATTTCCGGGTTGACTTCGAAAATGTTGTAGAGACAACGACACCCCGCAAGTTGCAGCTCGAGCTCCTCCTGAAGCTGCGGATTGGACAGTAGCCTTAAAACAGTGGCCAACAGATCATCCTGCGGTATTACACGCTCCGCTGTCAGTGGATTCAGCATGAGAAGTTGTTCCGATATGTTGCGTAGGCTTTCCAACGCCAGATAAGTGTCCTGTTCCGCCTTTTCAATGTTTCCGATAAGCTTCATCATGCCATTGGCGGTAGACCTCGACCGTCCAGCGTCAGGAACAAAATTCAGCATCTCTGGTAACAACTCTGCAAAATTGAGCCGTCCAGAGACGTTAATGCCATTATTTCGGTAATCATGCCGCAATCCTTCCTCTGATGGATAAGCTAAAGAATGCAGGAGCTCATGCAAAGTGGAGGGTCTGCCGGAATCAAGACGATGCCTAGATATGTTTCGTGCACCGTTCCCATGGACTTGATGCTCTGCATTCCGGAAACTCATCCTAGTTTCGTCACTCCCCACAGTCTCGTTTGCTTCCTCTCCATCGTATGTCTCCTCTTCTAGTTCATCTTCTTCACCGTAAGAGTAACTCTGGTACTCGGAGTCATCCATTTCATCATGATAAATGCCATTAACCTCCTCCTCAATAAAAAAATCTCCATCTTCATCGTATGAGTGGTCCGGAGACGCGTCACTAGGCATGATTATCAACTCAGAGAACCCATCTAGCCTTTCCAAATATCGTGTAAAACCCTTGAACAAAGTTCAAGTTCGCCACTGTTTGAAAGTCCTACTGCCGTGCAAAAAGATTCGAGCCCTGTGAAAAAGAGAAAATGGCCCGCGGAAAAGAAAATTTTTTAGACCTCATCGCATCTCATCGTCTCATCGATCCATTAAAAGGTAAAATTGACAGTGGTGATAACTGGCTTACTAGTAGTTTATCTTAGTTTCACCCAATATTAGTTATCGAAATGCCGAGATCTAAACGCTCAAAGCTCGTTACACTTGCGCAAACCGACAAGAAAGGTAGAGAAAACAAAGAAAGAATCTTCGATGAAGTCAGAGAGTCACTGGACACTTACAGATTCGTATGGGCATTGAAACTGGATGACGTGCGCACACCGGTTTTACAAGAAATAAGAACAGCATGGACAGGCTCGAAGCTTATTTTGGGTAAGCGGAAAGTGCTTGAGAAGGCTCTAGGGGAGAAAAGAGAGAACGAATATAAAGAGAATTTGGCCGGATTGACTAAAGTGTGCACCGGTGTTACCGGATTACTGTTCACGAATGAAGACGAAGAAACCGTCAAGGGTTATTTTCTGTCGTATGCACGGTCGGACTACTGCAGGCCCAAATCGAAGGCACCATTGACATTTGAGTTACCAGCGGGTATCGTTTACTCGCGTGGTGGCCAGATCTCCGAAAGTGATGATGTTCCTATGGTTCACTCGCTGGATCCAACTATGCGTAACAAATTCAAAATTCCAACGAAGATAAAAAGCGGTAAGATCACGATAGAGAATCCGTTCCGGGTATGCACTGAGGGCGATGTTTTGGATGTGCGTCAAGCTTTGATTTTGAAACAATTCGGCGTAGCCGCGGCCCAGTTCAAAGTTGGTATCATTGCTTTCTACGACAACGAATCTTCTAAAGTCGAGATTTTGAACATAAACACCGAGATTGCATGATCCATAAGAAATTAAAAGCTTGTATATTATCTTTCTGAAGACAACTCTCTCCAGTACTGCTCCAGCACGTCTAATTCCTCGCACGAAGATGGCAAGCTTGGCACAAATTGAATTTCTATGGATTTAGTCTGTTCCACCCGACATGCAACGCTGAAAATTAGATGTGCAAGTCTCAACTGTGACGAGTCGAGACCCTCCTCAATTGGATAACCCAAAATCTCATCTAATCCAAAAATTACCAATCTATTAAATTCCATTTCATCTCTAGCACTCTCAAACTTGTTAAGGAACATATACAAGTACTGTAACTTGCTCAAAAACATCACTTTAATATTTCGCCTGCTGTTAATTGTCGCAATGACTGATGACATTACTCCCGGCGAACTGCTGAGGCCTTCCTCAAAATACCTTCGCGAAGCGTCACCAAGCGCAAAAATTAAAGTCTTCCATGTCTGCCGATCCTCTACAATTAGGTGAGCCAGCACATTTTCCATAGGGAAATCCACTCAGCAGGCTTCTACACGCCTTGTGAGCTTTGAAGAGAGGCCGTGGCGATGCCTTCAAATTTCAAGTACTTCTGACCTGTTCGTTGTATATGATAAGTAAAAATTTGCTAGATTCTATATTACCGCGACAGTGAGAATCGGGATTCAGAATATCGAAAGTTGAACCAGCAAACATGTTCAGCTGGGGGCTAGCGACAGTGTCACGGGTTTCGTGTCGAACCAAACAGTTATTTTGGAAAAGATGGAATAGTGCCTTGTTGCAAGGAGACCTTCAAAAGATTGCTGAATCCAAAAATTTGGAGAAATTAGATCAGAAACAAGATATCAGCGAGGATCAATTGTCGGTTCTACGTCAGAGAGAATTCAATCATCAAGTAGTGGAGTCATTGAGAAAGCTTAGCAGGACGCCAATTGATGAATTGGGGGGTTTGAACGAAGCTCTCAATATTCCTCTGACAGAGAAAGAACAGCAGCTGGATGAACAATTGACCCTGTTTTTGAAACAGTTTTCCCAGGAAAACAAGGTAATAGAGGGGAAAACTGATGATATTACGACAAAGCCATTTTCGCTAGGGCGCGGCAAACTGTCTTTTCCCTACTTGGTGCCCACACCGAGAAATAAGCCATATTCTCGGCAAGAACTCTTTCTACGGCAAATGAAGCATGCTCAAAGAACGGCAAAATTGGGAGCAGACATCAAGGATGTTTATTTCCCTCACAACGACTTGTTTAAACCAACCACTGTCAACAAGTTATCAATATCGAAGCTAGCAAGTGCTGGTGTTCACCTGGGACAATCAACGTCTCTGTGGAGACCCTCGACCCAGCCTTTCATTTATGGGGAGTATAAGGGAATTCACATCATCGATCTAAACAAAACTTTATCGCATTTGAAACGAGCAGCGAAGGTCGTGGAGGGAGTCGCCGAGAGAGGCGGCATAATTTTGTTTTTAGGGACAAGAGAGGGCCAGAAGAGACCTTTACAACTTGCTGCTCAAAGAGTCAATGGCTATTATGTGTCAACCAGATGGATTCCAGGTACATTAACAAACCCCACTGAGATCTCCAGCGTTTGGGAAAGACACGAAGTGGATTGTGCTGGAAACCCGACCGGAAGACCGTTGACTCCTGAAGAAGAGAGAGGTATTGTCAAACCTGATCTTCTTGTTGTGTTGAACCCAACAGAAAACAGAATTGCGTTAAGAGAAGCAATGCAAGCCAGAGTGCCAACTATCGCAATTATAGACACAGACTCTGAGCCCTCGCTAGTCTCATATCCTATCCCTGGTAACGACGACTCAACGCGATCCGTCAGCTTGATTTTGAGTGTTTTGGCTAAAGCTGGCGAGCTTGGGTTGAAGTCGGCCCTCGCAGGAACAAAAGGCAATTGAAATCTCATCTTGTAAATAAAAAAGTAATCCAAAAGATACTCTAGGTTTCGTGAGATGCCCTGGTTTAACGTCTGTAAAGTCTGAATGAAAATGACTTGAAAAAAGAAGGGAAGCTTATATAAACTTACATGTCTTTCTTCAAAGGCTGCGTAGTAGCTTTGTCCTCTTTATTTTGGGGATCGTTGTTGTCTTCTTCAGACTCGCTGTCGCTACGCTCATCTTTCTGGATGCCCTTGAAAAGAAGGCGATACAAGATTCTCATAATCAAGAAAAGCCAATAGATGTTAACGAGCTGAAGTGCTAAGATCAGAATAAAGACAATTGGTAATGAGATCCAGCATTTGTATTGCTGAGTAGCAAAATTGAGAACATAGTTGCCGGATGTTCGAAATTCAGTTAGGACTGACCATAAAATTTTGATGTTAACCCAGTGACGCAAGTATATCCATGAAAACACGAACAAAACGAAAACTGGAGGCGTTAACGCAGAGTCCAAGTAGTTGAGGGTCTTCGACAGTGACAAGCAAAAGTCAGAGACATCCATGGTGATGTAAACAGCAAGCCCCATTTTAGTGAAATGGAAGACGTAAGATAGCCAAATGAGTGCCAGTGTCACCACATGATGGAAAACCAATTCCTGGAAGTCCTTTCTGGGTTTCTCGAGCTGTAAGACCAGAATGCATGCTTGTTGGGTCCAAAATGCAGCTTGCCCAAGGTAAAACACTTTGTAAAGGAAAGGATTCGTCAAATCTGGATAAGTTTTGTACATGGGCTCTGTTGCGAACAGCCAAAGATCGGTATGGTACATGATGTAGAGACCAAAGGGCCCAGAGATACCGTAGTAAAAGATCGAGTAGGTCTGCTCCATCATTCTCTTGACTCTATGCTGACTGGTGATACCAAGCTTATGGGTTAAAGGACGCAATATAACTTCCATCATGAACTCGCGTAAGAAGGTAAAGAAAATCATGTAGAAGAACACAAAGCCAAGATCCTTAATTCCCTTTGCGTACATGTCGGTGTCACCTACTTGATAAGAAATGGCCACGAACATATGGAGTGGGTTAGATGCAGTTCGATTGCCTGACGTGAAGTAAGCCAAATATACAATCAATAGGATAACAAGGGACGTCAACCACGTATGACGATAGCTCATCTCTCTATAGGTAAGTACCAGTTTTTTTAACAGATCAGCATCTCCTTTCGAGGCTTCTGAAAGGGCCTTCATGCGTGCAGCTGCCGCACTTCTTGATTCCCGGCTCTCTGACATCGTAGAAAGCCCAGGGACGGTTGTGTCCCCGAGATTAATTGCCCCCACAGAAGATGTTCTCCTTTTTCTGACATCTGGAGCCTTCAAACGTGACGACATCGCGAATACACTTGCACTAGTACTGTTTTCTTTGTTGATTCAAATGAAGAACTCTTCCCGTGGCTTATGCGAAAACGGGTCACGAAACTGATATGGATGCGTATTAGATGATAGACTGGTTGACTGGAAAGTTAAGCCTACCAAGGAACTGACGAAATAAATCGAGGCATCAAACAAAACTCAGAGTTGATTAGCCACGAAGCGTTCGCCAGATGGATTTGGAATATCAGATTAAGGCGGCTATCCTTAAGGCCACGAATGAGCGGCTGAGATCTGACAACTGGCAGTTGATCATCGACGCCTGTGATTTGGTCCGAGAAGACCCTGAAGACGGTGGTGAATATGCCATGGAAGTCATTGAAGGCCAGCTGGAACAAAAAGATGCCAATATAAATTTGCGGACCTTGCCACTCATAGTGGCTCTAGCGGAAAATTGCGGCTCAAGGTTACAACAGGCCATATGTTCAAAGCATTTTACAGGTGTTCTGCGGTCGATCGTTGAAGACAAGAAGAAACACACTCTTGTGCGACAACGTGTTGCCAAGATGGTTGCGCAACTAGCTGAATCTTTGAAGAACGATCCGTCTTTGAAGTCGATACGGGATTTGAATTCGTCTATTCGAACCGCATATCCCGCGCTGTTGGAACAGCCCAACATTCCTGGAAAAAAGGACTTGAGCAGCGAAAGTAGAGAACGAGAGGAAAGAGAGCTTGAGCAAGCTTTGAAAGCTTCTCTTCAAGATTTTGAGCTGTCTCCTAAGGAAGAGAGCAAGGAAGAGAGCAAGGAAAAGACTCATAGTTCACCCAATTTTGAGGGCCAATATCAATCGCAACCGCCTATTCAAAGAGTCAGGGCACTTTACGACTTGGTTGCAAGGGAGCCGGATGAGCTCTCTTTCAAGAGAGGCGACGTGATTATGGTTGTGGAACAAGTTTACTGTGACTGGTGGAGGGGCAGCCTGCGCGGAAAAATAGGCATCTTCCCATTGAATTACGTTTCCGAAATTTCTGAACCTAATAATGAACAATTACGTCAAGAAGCAGAAGAAGAACAGAAATGTTTTGAACAAAAATCTAACATCGATCGGCTACAGAAGACAATGCAAGCGGCAGGTGGGAACTTTGAAGTAACTCAGGATCCCGAAGTTAACAGGATATACGGTAATGTGACACCGTTAAGACCTCAGATTACGAAATTGCTGGGCAAATATGCGCAAAGAAGAGACGACCTTGCATCGTTGAGGCAACTATTATCAGAAGCAGAGGCATCTTACAATCAGATGTTAGATCGCGCTTATGCGCCATTGTCGCCTAAAATAGAAACGTCTCCTTATCGTCCTTCAGCTCCAAGAGCTCCTGATCAACGCTGGCAGTTGGGAGGCCCTGGCTATTGAATACTTTTCAAGGATACATCTTCGTGGTGAACATAGGCTTTGTTTGCTATCAATAAAACACGATTTCAGAACAATTTTAACGCTTTTCCTCAAAAAGTCAGATACTGATTCTTGGGCTTTATCATAACTGTTCTTGATCTTGCATTTATGACCCGAAATGTAGACAAATCGAGATTTTTCGAAGGCAAGGGTTCATGAGAGCTTGACACACTGGTATCAACGGTTGGACCACGGTGAGCACTATATGCAGTTACGCTTTCGCTGCTGAACAACGGCTCGAAAAATTGATTGTAGCAAAAAGTACTTCGAGGTCTAGTGGTCAGATACATTTCAAATAGTTCACTTAATTTTGAAAGATGTATATACTTTCTCGAGCGTTGAAAAAAAATTTCTATGGAGAGTGCTTTATCCGAGCTTTGTTCGAGAAGGTTTATAGATTGTACGCACCGAGCGGAAATTAGCCTACGTCTTGATCTGATCCCTACCCTGGTAATATCAACTATTTCAGAATTTTGAAAAATCAAAACGAGGTGCCCCTTTAACATATAGCTTTGATCGAAAGGAAAAGATATATAGATAGATTATGACGGACCAACTGGACGCAATTGTCTCCGACATCGTGAGTAACAGTCCTTCTGGAGAAATTTCCGAGGTTGTGAAAGACCTCAAAGTGATCATTGGTGAAAGTGGAGAAGAGGCCATTAAAGCAGCTGTTGAGAAGTATAACATTGCCAATTGGATCCCCATAAAGTTGGGCAGTGAGTCAGTGATAGTTTCCGATTTCAATAAAAGTGGTACAAAGTTTTACGATCCGAAATCATCGCAGTTGTTTTCGGTTGATCACTTGAAGAGATTGGCTCTTGACGTTCAGCCTTGTGACAAAGAATTAAAAGCTAACGAGTTAGCTATTTACAATGATCTCGACAGCTACGTGAAGAATAGCTTTGCCAATGAAACATCGTGCGCTGTCTACCCTGGAGAAAGCGCTAATGAAATTGTGCTAATTATAGTAGGCACGAAATACAGCCCTGCTAACTTTTGGAATGGTCAATGGAAATCTTTTTACAGATTTAACACGCAATCAAAGCAATTAAGTGGATCAATTCATGTTCGTATACACTATTTCGAGGAAGGTAACGTCAACTTCTCAAACGACAAAGACGTGAAGGCTGAAAACGTTGACGATGTGGCTTCGGCAATCAAAGATCTGGAAGATAACTGGGAGCAAGAAATGGAGAAAGATTTCTTTAACTTAAACGAAAAAGAGTTTAAACTTCTCAGGAGGCGACTCCCAGTCACTAGGTCGAAGATCAATTGGGGTAAAGGCATCGGCAATTACCGCATCGGAAAAGACTCCGCGGCATCGCAATGAATAGGAATTGAAGGCACCGTTTGTCTTAGTCAATTAGAACACCTTAAAAAGACCATAAGTCAAGAAAAATATGGCCAGCGCCACACCAACCATCTTCCATATGTTATTTCCGGCTTTCATTGATCTCGCCAACCTACTCGATGAATTTCTGAGGTTTGAGTACATCGAGCCAAAAGAATTCTGTATTTCATCCATCATTGACAGGTCAGCACGGGCCTGTGAATCAATCTCTTGATTCACGTTCCTGAACGTGCTCAGCTTAGAGGCCAGCTCATCTAGCCGTGCGTTGTTCTAAGATGAGATTAGTTTCATGCTTGAAAAAATGACTTAGCAGCATTCATAATATCCATACATCGTTTTCTATTTGCGTATATCGAGAAGTCGACATGTTGCTTTCCGCGAAACGAATTGTCAAGACTGGATTGATTCTAGTACACATATATCCTCATTTTCACTAACGTTATAAGTGATATCTGGTTCAAGAGGAGAGAGTCATACATATTTGCTTGTTGGAAACAGTGTCAGAGTAGATCTTGGTGTAATAAGTGCTTTAATTTTCATTAAGTTTCAACTTTAGGCGACCTTTTTCATCATACTAGAAGTTTCCCGAGGCAAGTCTTGCTGCTTACATCCAACTGTTCTACGTGTTCTTTTCCCTGGCAAATATTTTAACAAACGCTCAGTGCCGGTCGATTTCTTCTAAACTTCGACCGTTCTGATCATCGTCAGTCACTTTACTCAGTTATGAGTTTGATTGCATCTTACGGGACCCCATAATGAGACTAGGCGTGTCTCAGGTAGCCTCGCTCTCAACCGCAAATTATATCATCACTTAAAGCAACTGAAACAGGAAAGCTGCGTCAATTGAAAGAGCGTATGCTATTACTGAGTTCTGAAAATCCTTTTCCAGTTGCCCTCGGTTCACAACAGTTCGCTTTCTTTACGCCTGTTCCCACTATTCACCATCAAGAGCATTGCGAAGAGAAAAGCTATAAGGATGCTTATATAGTGTTTTTTTTCATATCTAACTTCGATCGAAGCTCTTTTCCGAAAAGTTTCCCTGTTTTCGATCAAACACCCTTACATACTCCAATTCTATTGAAATTTTTCTTTTTACGCCCATACACCGCGTTCACAATTCACAAATTTATACACATTCAGCGAAAATTGCAAGGCCAACAACCCAAACATATACATGCTATCTTCTGTTGTTGATATCATAGTTCACGAATTTCCTGTAGAATGGTTCCGACGCAAACTGTAATCAATTCTTTCCAGTATACTTTGTTACAACGTTATCACTCTCGAATTTGCTGCGAAACATTCACCAAAAGACTAGGTAGTAATGTCCACTGAATCTACTGTCAAGAACTCTCACTGGAGATTGGTTGAGGTTGGCCGTGTTGTTTTGGTCAAGAAGGGTCCTTCTGCCGGCAAGTTGGCCACCATCGTTGAGATCATCGACCAAAGAAGAGTATGTGCTAGATTGTCTACAGAATTGGAGAAAAGATTGAATGTCTGGAGCTTTTGAGATACTTCCACAGGAGTAATCAGAGAGAACAAAGAAGTCTACGAAGCGCCTGTTTGAACCAGCTGGATCACACATGTCGTTCTCGAAGTCTTTGCATACAGGCTGGCAACTGAAGTTTCTCAATCGCATTGTTTTAAAATACTAATTACTAACTTTGATAACAGGCTTTGATTGATGGTCCAGAATCCGGTGTCCCACGTCAGGCTGTTAACTTGGGTCACGTTGTCTTGACTCCATTGACCTTCAGCTTGCCAAGAGGTTCCAAGACTGGTGTTGTCTCTAAGAAGTGGGTCGCTGCTGGTGTCAATGACAAATGGGCTGCCTCTTCTTGGGCTAAGAAGATTGCTCAACGTGAGACTCGTTCCTCTCTATCTGACTTCGAGAGATTCCAAGTCATGGTTTTGAAGAAGCAGAGAAGATACGCTGTCAGGAAGGCTGTCGCCAAGGCCTAAATCTGACACGCCATGTCTTGCGCATAATTTTTCCTCACATCACATCTTTACCAAGGCACGAAATATATATTATTTCAATAACATAATGTATATCTAAAACCTTTCCGCTTTAGTTTGACAAAACTTTCTTCAACCTACATTACTTTCATGCGCTCATTTAATTAAATCAGATCTTACAACCGCTATCACAAAGACATTTTTGGCATTTTTGGAGAAGCCTTCAGTTGACGAAATGCAGTCAAGAATGTCAGGGTATTCATGATTCTCGCAGGGAATCATATATACATGGCGAACGTAGCTCTTCTTGGGTTCCAAAGCTCCATACCTTTGTCTCGATGTCAAAAACTCGAATAATCTGTCAAACTCGGCAAAGTTTTGATCGTCGCCTTTAGCTTTCAACCGAAAAGCGAGGAAAATGCGACTGTTGGACATCTGAATGAGATACTTGTCGCCTTCAGCAGCGCTCAGGCGACCCTCTACTCTTAACTTGGCATCCCCCACGACTTCGCTGACAACCTTCTGCTCAACGTGCTCAGATGAACCAATATAATACAATTCCGACTTGAAGTGACATGCAATATCGGAGTAATCGACGGTAATTTCGAAGAGAAGCTTTTCATGGTTTGATACTTGGGGATGAATGGCAGCATCACTTTGACTTGCTGATTCCGGAGTAGGATCTTCAGAATGACCACCGAAGGATCCTTCTTCGTCTATCGAATTATTCAGGTCTTTGCGCTTAGCTGCTATTATATCCTTATTAAATATAATGTCCTCGGGTTCATTTTCATTTTCAATTGGATCCTCTATTAGTTCATCACCCTTATGTGTTTTGTGATACCGAGGCTTGTTGGGCCTTTCCACAATCAGTTGATCCATGGCCTTAGTATCGACCGCTTCACGAAATTCTTGAAGGTCTGGATTGACCAAGTCATTGACTGGCATCGTTACAAGCTTATCAAGCCCCAGCTGCCGTTGAATAACAAGCTTCTTCAGTTCATAATTTTTAGGATCTTTGAGATTTGAAAACAAGACTCGCACTTTTTCCCTATAGAGAGCCTGTTGTTTCACATCCCCCTCGAAATGTTTGTAGATTTCCTCTTCCAAATTTCTTGCCATTTCCGCTCCCAAAGAGTCAACCGTTTCGGACTCAGATAATACAAAGTCGCTGGTTGCCAGCACATCTGGTATGATATGCTTCGCAAAAAGGCCCTCCAACATTCCCGTAGCTGATTCTCGCAATTTGATTGCCTGCAATTCGCTAGAACTCTTTCTCTTGGGTGGAACTTTCCTCTTTTTTACCGCCCTTATTTCTGTCACTTCGGGAGCCTGAAATGACTCGCCGTCATCCTCTTGCCAGTCTTGGTCCTTCGCTTTACTGGCCAAATACTGTTTAGGATCAATGCTATGTTTCAAATTTGGGTAGTTGTCAGGTTCGCAAACATCACAAAAATAGTTTGGGGAATCAGGCATCTCATCCTTCCCAGTCATACATCTGATATGCTGCCATGTGTCACAGCGATCACACTGCACCATGTCTCCATGCGGATCCGATTCTTCGTCGTAATTCCTGTCTGTGGTCCCACAGACAAGACATCTGACCACCTCTTTTACGGGTTCATCAACATCCAACAACGCCTGCTGGGCCTTCTTACTCATGTATTCCAATTCAGCCCTCTCTCGGTCCTGTAAATACCTATTCGTCCCCTTATTACTCCTTGAAGATTTCCTGATCATTGGTTCCATTTCTTACCCGTTCGGTCATTGACCTTAGGTATTGGTCTCAGGGTTTGGACGCTTTGTCCACTAGCCTTGAAAAATAAATAAAGTTTCCAAAGCTCATTTCTCACGTCTTGCCTAAGCTCCGTGATGACTTCAACAACAACATCGATGAGAAAAGGAAAAAAGACAAAAAAGGAGAATTAAATCTCTCGTTTACAAATATTCGCTTGTCTGTACCGAAACGGCAGCGCCTCTTTGGAAACTACTGTTCGCACAGACTACAGCCAGACAAAGCTCTACAATACACTCGCTCATTCATACGAAGAGCTTGACGTCCCTACTTCTCAAATTTCACATTTTGTGCAGATTCCAGTAAGAGCTTTACCTATAATGTCAGCGTTGTTTAGCAGAGTTTTTTTGTCAAATAGACCTGCGGGTGTTAAGATCGCCAACTTGGAAACTAGCCTAAGTCCAGCGGTCACAATAAGAAGGCTTAAGGCTTACAAACCAACCTTGGCCGACTGTTTACACTATGGATTTTTGAGCAGTATCTTGTTTTTCGCTTTTATCATGAATCCTGCCTCCTGGATTTCCAAGGTTGCGTTTTACACATTTCTAGGTGTTCTTTTCATTATCCCCGCTACGTCTCAATTTTTCTTCAATGCTTTGCCTATTCTGACGTGGTTGTCACTATATTTCACTTCATCTTCCTTCCCGGCGGCAATGCGGCCTCCTATAAGCGTACAAATCCTGCCCGCTATCGAGACTATTCTGTATGGTGATAATTTGAGTGATATTTTAGCTGCTTCTACCAACAAACCCTTGGACTTCTTGGGTTTGATTCCCTACGGACTATTCCATTTTGGTGCCCCTTTTGTTGTCGCCATCATCTTATTTTTGTGTGGGCCTCCAACTATCTTGCGAGGGTACGCATTCGCATTCGGCTATATGAACCTCGTTGGCGTGATAATGCAAAATTTGTTCCCTGCGGCTCCCCCATGGTATAAGATAATATATGGTTTAAACCCGGCTAACTACACTATGAAGGGCTCCCCCGGTGGCTTGGGCCGTATTGACAAGTACCTGGGGATAAACCTTTACACTCCTTTATTCACCAACTCCGCCGTCATTTTCGGCGCGCTTCCATCTCTCCACTCTGGCTGTGCGACCATGGAGGCCTTGTTCTTCTCCTATGTCTTCCCGAAGCTGACACCTCTGTTTATCTTCTACGTTTGCTGGCTTTGGTGGTCTACAATGTATCTGACACATCACTACTTTGTGGACTTGATGGCTGGGTCTGTCCTCTCCTACGCGATTTTTCAATACACGAAATATCATCACTTGCCATTGGCTGATGGGTCTCTCTTTTCGCGCTGGTCTTATCCCGAGATTAAGACTTTCAACATTGTTCAAGCAGATCCACTTGGATCGAATGCGAATGACATCGAAAGTTTGCCGGTGCCGTTGGTCCTTGGAACAGATTTTGAATTGGATGACATGGTCAACAGTGACTCTCCTTCCATTTTCGACAATGAAAGATCTATTTCAAGATCCTCTGCGGCCTCAAACACCTCCTTGGAAGTTCAGGAGGAGAGTTATTCATCTCCGCGACTTGGTAAGCAACGAGTAGATTGATGAAGTGGCTTTTTTTAAGTTTTGGGTAATTTTTTGGTAAATAGTCATACAGGTTGAATGTAATAGATTTTAAATGCTTGCAACTCTTAAAGCACGCACGACTTCGCAAACTCTTCATATAGTGCGATTGTCCGTTCGCCTTTTAATATACCGTTTGTTTATTAGATGCTATAACCTATGTACAAGTAAATGTTGAATTGAAAGCTATCTGAATGTGCTAATACCATCACTTTTCAGTTTTTCCAGGAGCGAGTTGTAACTTGCGGCTTTGTCAATGGACGATGCAACATCAAGCTGCTTTTCCATGCCTACTTTAACAATCGAAGACCGAATAACTCTGGGGTCCCTTTGAAGTGTTCTTAAAATTTCGGATTGTACAGCAGCTGACGAATCAAAAAGCATCAAAAAGTGATACCCTTGAAAGTGCTGTTCTTGGTCTTTTTTCATAATCTTCGGTAGAAGTTTGTTACCCGCGGGTATGATCCTTCTAACGACCCCTCTGTTCTGGATAATTAGTCTGCCGATCGTTGTAGCAAGCTCCTTTGCTTCTGCATTGGCTTTCAAAGGGTTAACAACTCTTACTATACCCAAAAGTTCGTAAAGCATGGCGATAATAAATTGAACACCTCTGATATCTCTTGCAAACCTATGGCTTAGTAGTAGCGCTGAATTTCACCAGTTAAAATTTTAAAAACAGTTTTGCCGGGTAAATCGATAAGAAGAGAAGAGGGAGCGTCAATATTCTGTCGAGTTTCGACAGTTTCCACACAAGAAAAGGAACAACACAACGGAAGAGAACGAGCGAGGCGATGAATCTGTTCGAATGGGCGTTTGGAAAAAGCTTGACGCCACAGGAAAGATTGAAAAAGGTATGTTTTTTTGGAGATGGGGGTGCAAGGCGTTCACCAATTCAAGATACTGACATGGAAACAATCAGAATCAACGTGCTCTAGAAAGAACCCAGAGAGAGTTAGAAAGAGAGCGGAGAAAGCTTGAAAGCCAAGAGAAAAAGATTGTTGCAGACATAAAAAAGTCAGCGAAAAATAATCAACTTAGTGCTGCTAAAATCCAAGCCAAAGATCTCGTGAGAACCAGAAAATACATCGACAAATTTAATAACATGAAAACACAATTACAGGCTATCTCTCTTCGCATTCAGGCAGTGCGAAGCAGTGACCAGATGACAAACTCTATGAGAGAAGCTACCGGACTGTTGGCATCAATGAATCGATCGATGAACTTGCCCCAACTTCAGCGTATTTCAGCAGAGTTCGAAAAGCAAAGTGATTTGATGGACCAGCGTCAAGAGTTTATGGACGAAGCTATAGATGATGTCATGGGCGATGAGCTAGAAGAGGATGATGAGGCCGATGAAATCGTCGCTAAAGTATTAGATGAGATTGGCGTCGATTTGAATGCTAAAATGCAGAGCGCACCCCAAAATGCTGTTGAAGCATCAGCTTCTGAATCACCTAATCGCGTTCCTGAAGCAATTGGTTCTGGACCCTCAAATTTGGACGATGAACTGCAGGCCAGGTTGAACAGTCTGAAACGCTAAGTGTATCAATTCATAAAAGATATAACGAGCGAACATATCTATAAAGTCGATTCAATATCTCAAATGAGCCCTTTTTTGCGAAGGTAATCGTAAATCTGTATGGCGCATTCTTCGACGGTCTGTCTGTCAGTTCTAAGGTGTATTTCAGCATTATCGGGCTCCTCGTACGGAGCCGATATACCAGTAAATTCCTTGATAATACCTTCCCTCGCCTTTTTGTAAAGTCCTTTAGGATCCCGCTCTTCAGCTGTTTGAAGAGGAACATCCACAAAAACCTCAATGAAATCCAGATTCCCTTCCTTGTGAATGGATCTGGCCTTACTTCGATCAGCCTTGTAGGGCGAGATGAATGAAGTAATCGCTATAGTGCACGAGTCGGCAAAGAGTTTGGAAACCTCGGATATCCTGCGAATGTTTTCATTTCTATCTTTCTCGGAAAAGCCCAAGTCTTTATTCAAACCAAATCTAACATTGTCACCATCGAGCCTATAAGCGGCAATATTTTCTTTGAGAAATAGCTGCTCGAGAGCGCAAGCAATCGTACTGCTCAGAATTAGTTTCAGCCCGGAAAGATTCTTTGAATGATTGGCATACATACCTTTTACCAGAAGCGCTAAGACCTGTCAACCAAATCGTCGCGCCCGACTGTTTTCTAAGCTGTTTACGCTCTTCAAAAGTCAGATTTGGATGCCAAGTAATATTTGTAGCCATTTCTGAAGATCTAGTTACTTCCAATGAGCATATTATCCAACTCCTGATCTGCAAGTCGCTTACCTTTAAATAAGAGGGTAGACATTTCCAAATAATCCATTGACGTCGCAATGCGAACCACCACAGTATTAGGAATAAAGGCTCACGTGATATGATCAGACTTTGCCAGTTAAGCGGATTACCTCTACAAACGCTTTAGGCCACTCAAGTGATGAACAGGTCGTAACAACAATTAGCAACTGCCTCGTAGCTGATCGCACGCAAAATATGCTAGTAAGCGCATTGGTGTGTCTTTCAACAACCTACAGTTTGGCTTGAATGAGCTCGTCATATGTACTCGACTTGCTTGTCGAAATTTAGCCATTTTTACTACATATATAAAAAAAAATAGAAAATTAATTCAAAAAAATTGTAATATAGAACTGTCACGTGCATATCTTGTTTTTTTTAGTTGTTGAGTACATTTGTTAGCTTTTAGCGTTGAAAAATAAATTGATTGTAAATGTTATTTTCAGGTGTGCATTTTCCGAAACGAAAATCATTATTGGTGTAACGTATTTGCTTTTTGCAAAAGGATGTGTTTTTAGGTAGTCAACTGTAGGATACTTTGCTGAGGTCGCCGCACTGTAGCGTGGCGTTTAAAAATTCGTTTCCGGTGTAGTTGACAAGAATCTAATTGCGCAAATCAGCGAATTCTTTCAATATACCAAGTAGTAATCCAACTTGCTTGTAAATTTCCCAATCACGTTAGCCTTGAGGGTTTATATGGATTGCCAATATCCGTTTGTCCAGGAAGAAGCACAAGGTCCCACTCACATATTCACTTAAGCATAACTAGTGCTCAAATTCGATAAGTCAAGCAAAAAATCGAGGTCCCTGAAACTAGAGTATGCCACATTTTGTGAATATATTATGAGCGTCGGCCTGGATTGGGAATGAGGAACCTCGAAGGAACAAGCGCTTAGCCCTTTGCGCTACTCTCTAAAATTATAAAGTAAGTCAGTGGTTATTTCAATTCCTTGGCCGCTACTTGAAAAGATAACATGGCTTTACTTCGTCAAGAAGAATCGCTACATGAAATTGATTTGTGTTGGTATGGATTGGAAAAGCCTAATAAGGCAGTTATGCTCTGGAGAGCTTGCATTATCATATTCTCACTTTCTTGAGCTTTTCAATCCCTCTTCTAGATTTTGATCAACTCTCTTCAGGCGTATATTAGATTGACCAAGCACATCCTAACGAAGCGTAAATGATGTGTTACCGCCCTAAAGTGTTTTGAAAGCTAATAGAAGTAGTTTCACACATAATCAACACGCAGCATGCCTAATTACACTGTGGCCAGAATGTTTATTCAGGGACCCGCTAAAATTGATGAGTTTCTCTACGATTCAACTTCGCAAACCTCAAGTGCTCGAAATTTACATTGCTTAATTATACAATCCAAATTTAACATGATTTAGCAGCTCTCGAGCATAAAATACACAACGGAAAAGAAGTACATAAAATTGTAGAAATTTTAAAATTTTGGCCGTCGAGTTGAACTATTGATTGTCTACAAGTAATTGCTGTCCGCGATAGTTTAGTGGCTAGAATTCGAGCTTGTCGCGCTCGGGACCGGGGTTCAATTCCCCGTCGCGGAGTTTTTTTTGCTCTGAGTTTTGGGAAGTCATGGATTTCTTTAATGAGCTTTAAAAGATGTAAACGGCTGCTAAGTCCTTTTTGAAATATAGGTCTTTTTATCCAGACAATTTTTTTCAGGATCGAAATTTATCCTTGCTTTTGCTGAAATCTACTCAACCGAAAATAACATTAAATTATATCAAAAGAGTACCTCAATGTATCACGTGACCACACGCGAACTGAGATAATATCTTGATGGTGATGACTTGCAAGTTATAACCATAGTGTTCAAACCAGGCGATAATCTCGGCGATTCTGCCATGTTAACAGAAACTGATGAAGTCTTCCTTTACAATTTAACTCTGAGTCGCCAGAACAATTTCAATAACTCTTGTATTGGTCATTTCCTCGACTACAAACCTCATCATTTTGCGAGAAACAATGAGAAGATCAAGAAGAGGAAGAAACGTAACCGTGAGTTCCAGTTATGTGTGGCAACGGAAACTCACATAGAGCTTTATGATCTAGAGGATGGGCTTTTGAATAAGTTATGCACAGTACCAATTTTCGCGACATTAACGGCTATGGAAAAGCTGCCGATTGACGGTGATTGCGCCTTTCTAAGCCTGGTCACTGATTCGGGAAACCTTACGATTTGTCGTTTTGCGCTTAATTCAGGGAAAATAAGACTAATAACTTTTCACAACGAGCCTTTAGGTCGAAGCGGCCTACGAAGACTCGCTCCACAAAGAGGAATTGTTGCAGATCAGCAGGGACGCTGTCTTCTACTCTCAGCTTTAGAGCGTGATAAACTATGCTTTCAAACGCAGTTTGTCGATGGCCACCTTCAGCTTTCTTCTTCTCTTCAATTGTCGGAGCCCGAGCTCATCACCCTCCAGACAGTCTGTTGTGACGTCTCGTTTGACAATCCTAAATTCGCCTCTTTACAAATAAATCTGATCGATAAGTCCCGCCAATTGACATTTTACGTGCTAGACTTAGGACTTAATCAGTTGTCGAGGCACAGGGAATTCACGCTACCTGGGGATGTTAATTTTCTTATGCCTTTACCAAGCCTGGAAAAATATTCCATCAACACCCGAGGGTCTGGCGAGGGTTTAATTGAAGATGAAGAGATAAATCCATTCGTCTTGTTGGGATTTGATAATAGCATTTCTATAAGAGATTGTCGAGGACTCTACAATACAAAGGTAAACCTGCCGCGCCGAGAAGGACGCAATGCCACTACTGTAATAATCACGGGGCAGGTGCACACCATGAAAAACGAGTTCTTGGTTTTGTTGCAGAGCGACTTGGGGGACCTCTACAAGGTTAAGATCTCTCCCGACAACGACCACGGGAATGTCCCTGCTGTTTCCATCATGTATTTCGACACCATACCTGCTGCGCAGGGTCTACACATATTAAAGAACGGTTACATGTTTTCCAACTCAGAATTAGAGCAAAGCTACCTTTTTCAGTTTGAAAGCTTGGGTAATGATAGCGACCCCTCCAAGATTTTAACCTCCAAACTGCCAGATGCTCATCTTTCTTTCAGAGCATCGCATTGTCTTGAAAATATTTCAATTGTTGATGAACTACGGGGCTTAAACCCAACGCTTTCAGGTGTACCGCTTGAGGCTGTGCCGTTTAACCTTTTAGTTCAAAACAGATATTCTAAGAGTGCCTTGAAATCAAATGTTGACTTTCAAGAACTTGTGTCTTCACCTCTCCCGGATAATGCCACTAATATATGGACAATAAAGCTCTCTACAGATCTGAGGCATCGCCTACTTTTCCTGGCATTTTTTGAAAGTGTTTTGATTTTAAAAATTGAGAACGGATCCTTGGAAGAGCTCAATAACAGCGACAATGTATTCGTTCAACAAGGCGACAACACGATATATGTGGGGTCTATGGGGCATAATTCTTTAATTCAAGTGTGTGAAAATGTTATGCTGCAGATCGTTGCAGAAAATGATGGTTCTTACAAACGCCGACTAAAGTGGTACCCTCCGGCGGGTATCCGGATTGTCAAGGCGGCTTGCAATGCATCCCAACTTGTCCTAGCTTTGTCTAGTAACGAAATTGTCTATTTTGAACTGAACCAATTTGAGGACATCGATGTCCTCAGTGAATACCAGCGCAAGGCCGAATTCGATGAAGCTGTGGTCACAGTGCATTTGGCTGGAGGGAATCGCTGTAATTTTTTGGCTCTCGGGCTGGAAGATTCCTCTCTTAGAATATTAAGTTTGAAAAGGTCAGATCAAGAGTCGTTCCTCGAAACAATATCAATGCAAATCCTACTGGCACCTCCTAACGACGTCAAAATGCTAGAAGACAACGCTGGGATCTTTTTACACGTCGGACTTTCCAACGGTGTTTACGTTTGTCTGCAGGTAGACCGCTTAGATGGACGATTATTTCATAATCGCACTAAATACTTGGGCTCAAAGCCCGTTGAAATATCGTTGCAGGGAAAGGTTACCTTAGATCGTAAAAGGAATGCTTTGGAAAATGGAGAGGATGATGAAGATTTATTAAACACAGAACTGCTAGGGGACTCAACTACTACTTGTGTTGTCCTGCGATGTAACCAGTCTTGGGCGAGCTATTGGACTGATGGAATGCTTATAGTGAGGCCTCTAGTATCCTCTATCAAAGGCTCGATCATCAAATTTGCTCCCTTTGAATCTGAGGAGATTACCTTCAATGGTAGTTGCTGCATAACTACATCCGGCGCGCTCATCATTGGGCGCCTTAAAGACTTCCCCAGCACTGACGAGTGGTTTACATCAGAAACGATCCCTAACCCAGGTGACGAACGAGAAAATAGACCCAACGAGTTTCCGAATTCGGCATATCGCAGTAGAAGAGTGATCGTAGACAAAGGCCACTCTAAGCTCGCTTTTCTAATTGACAATCATGTAACAAAAAATGAATCACGATTCTCAGTTCATCATTCATCAAAACGTTACTTGAGTCAAGACGAAAAGCTCCCTTATGCCATAATGGAGAATAGCCGATGCATCGATGCCTGCGTTGCAACATTTGGAAACAATAAAAGCTACATCGTTACAACTGATGCAGGCAAAAAGATCAAATGTTTCGAAGTAGAGCTCAAGAAAGATGATACTCAAAGGTATTTTAAGCTGACTTATTTGCATGATACGCCAGTTGATGAAGTAATTCATTCCATAATTACTTTCAAGGATAAAGTTTTGGTGGCTTTGGGGGCGAATCTTGTTCTCTTTGGTCTCGGCAAAAAACAACTCTTGAAAAGGTCAATTTCGCCACTACCCCCCTCAATCACGAAGATCACTTCTTTAAGCCACTGGCAGGGCAAGAGACTAGCAGTTGGTGATGCAAAAGAGTCTGTGATGTTCTTTTTGTTTTCTGAATCCACCTCCGTGTTCCTTCCACTGGCTGACGACACCACGAAGAGACATGTAACGTCCATACAGTTCGTGGATCAGGTTACTGTAATTGGCGGAGATCGCTTCGGTAACGTATGGATGCTTCGACTGCCGCGAGAGTGGAGTAAAATCATCGATGAAAATTTGCCATACTTTATGAGCAAATTTTATCGTGGGGCAACAGGCCCATCTACAACCATTCAAGAATGTCCTCTAAAGCTAGAACTTGCTTGCCACTTCTTCATCAATGATGTGCCCCTGAGTTTTTCTGTGATTGAGAACCTCAATATGTCAGGGCGAGCTGCCGTCATTTACACTGGGCTTCAGGGAACAGTTGGCTCTCTCACACCTTTAGTGACGATGAAAGAAGTGGAATTCTACCAAAAACTGGAAGAAGGTCTACGCAGTGTTGAGGATCTTTCTTCCGAGGAGGGAAAAGCTGACGAAAGTGAACTTGCTGGCGACGCCGATAATTTTATTGATGTTGCAAAGAATAAATCACCCCTGAGACCATCAGTGGAGGGCGCTTTTAGTATTGTGGGAAGAGATCATTTGATGTATCGAAGTTATTATGCGCCTGTCAGGCACGTCATTGATGGTGATTTCTGCGAAAGCTTTTTCAGCTTATTTTCCGACGAGCAGACTGCATTGACTCAAAAAATTGGGTTCGCCAGTACAGCCTTAGTAAAAGATAGAATTGCCGAAATTAGAAGGAGCTATCTATAATTTTCTACCGATCGGGGTATCGTCACTGTGCTCGCATAGAGACTGCTCCTCGAAACCATTCTTCATGTATCTTCCCATCACGAAGACCATTCATTAAGACCTCAACTGCTTGGGGCGTAACCTTGCCAAACCACAATCCATCGACGCCAGTGTATCCACCATCGTTGGATTTATATTGCTTATAATATAATAAATTTCCAGCAAACTTATGCCCCCCGATATGAGATATTATACCGAGATCAACATCAGGGTCAACAGAATCGGTGCGTCTCAATTCTTCAATCAGTCGAGGCGCGATAACGCCACATCTAATGTCTCGCTGATAATGGCCACACACAAGAATCAAATCTCGGGTATACGGCCGGCCTTGAAATTTCGTCTTTGCAGCATCTGAAGATAGATCAGAATTAGCAAGAAAATGTGTAAATATCTCAATCTCCGTCTTGTCAATTTCATACATAACCATGTCTGGCACTACCAAAAATTTTGCCCTGCCCTTTTCGACCTCGTTTTCGAACTGAAGACCTCTTTCACCACTTATTGCATTGATTAGAACACCACCACTCGAACAGTCTCGTAAATGTCTTTTAATTTTCCCCAATGTACTATATGGCCAAGTGTAATCCAGCTCAATCTTCGAATGCCAGTCACGTTTCCACACTGGTTCTGCACTTTGAACATTGGGAGGGGACATTAAAAGAACATGCTTTTGATAGGCCGGAGGTTTTCTTGGTAGTGCTGAATCGTATTCCAGTTTCTTATCAGATGGTAGTCTCTCATTTAAACCCTGAGCGTAACACTGACAATCTTGCAGTAAGCTTTCTGGGATCTCATTTCGAACCATTGCATAGTGACCATGCGGTTTAACGACAGGATCCAAACTGGTCCTTAGTCTCAGCAGTCTGTTAAGCATGTAGTGACCTTCAGAAACGAAGGATGAAACTGAACTTGAGCAAAGATAATCAGGTCTAAATATTATCGATATTTAAAGTCCACTTATCTCCGCCTCAGATAATAAACTATTAATGGATGATTTTTATTCTGAAAGAGAGGAGTGCGATGAGCTACAATCAAACAGTAAATATGGAGAAGTTGTGTGGCATATGTAGCACGAAAGAAGCGCGATACAAGTGTCCGAAATGTGGGATCAGATATTGTTCCCTTGGTTGTTTTAAAGACGAGGTTAAACACTCTCATACAGACATCGATGCTAAGAAAGAAGAAGATGTGATCAAAGAAGAAGTCAAAACGACCAATGGCATTAAATCTTTGAAATTTGATTCAATCTATCAAAACTCAAAACAATTACAGGACCTTCTGCAGTACAAGACTGTCAAATTTCACTTATACAAAGTTTACAAAATTTTGAATGTGAGAGCGGGAGCATTAGGAACTTCTGATCTCAGTTCATCGGCAGAATTGAAACGCCAACTGGCTGTGGACTACCTCAATACTTTACGTGAAGGTGGAGTTCATCATAATGAAGCTGTGGAAGACTTTTGTCAATTATGTCTCAAGCTTCTGAGCGAAGATTAGAAGTGTGTTGTAGGCTTCTAGGCTGCTTAAATTTGCAGATTGTCAAACACTGTGGCTCTCTGGGATAGATTTTGCTTTGTTAGAGTCAGCTGAGTGAAGTTTGAGATCCTCGAATTTCAATGAACAATGTGACGAGATGCAGCGACTGAATGCGTCTGATTTAGCTGCAGTGTGTCGCGGTCACAGTATCCTCTATGCTTTTAAATTGAGACCAACGACATTGACTGGTCATGGTTGAGCTTTTGTATGATTCAGGCTTTTCGGTTGGGTAACTTTTAGATCACCACGCTCTTGCAACCTCGAAGACACAACATCACTCAGATCTTGACTTATAATGCAAAACTTGGGTGTATAAAACCATTAGAGAACATCTCTCGAATGTGCATACAATGGCAAGGACTGCATCTCATTACACCAAAAGTGTTTACTTCTCCTAACAATGGTTTCTTGGAAACCAACCCATTCTGTCGATCGTGTAAATTTGAGGCGTTACAGATATCAACTACTGTGAAAGGGATTGGAGTCGCACGAATATGCAGAATTTGTATAAGCCAAATTATGATGTCTCTAGAAAAGCCAGCCCCCAGTTGTCAGTCATGCCCTTGAAAACAATTCTGAAGTGACTATAGAAACTCTTGGGCGCCTTTCTCGTCATCTAGCTAACAGGCGAGTATCATACGCGGGAATTGATAGAGAAATAGATTAGTATTCTTTTGAATAATTAATGTGCGCTATTTAGACAATTTTCGCTTTCGAGGTCATCCTCGCATGCGACCATGGTGATACATTGATAGAAAAAGTTTCAGTCGGCAGCACAGCAGGTTAAATAGTATCAAAAGCGGTTAAGTTGAACCTTTTGTATTACTACCGATCTTTTGCCAATGGCTTCGCAAAATTTTTTGTCATTCTCCTCCTCGGTCCCACGTCCCTACTATTCTGGGGGACTTGAAGGTTACATGCAGTTGCACAAGCTTAAAGCCGGAGTGGACTGGACAGGAGTTGTGAACGTTCCTGACTTCTTTCGAATCGTTTTCTGTTCGAAAAAAAGACCGACGAGCCAAATTGGAAATTCAGCGGAGCAATTTGCTGAGGAATTATTAGAGGAGGAAAAGAATTTAGACTCTAGATGGGAGTGCTAAACACGATAAACGTGTTCGAATATTTTAAAGGACATCAAGTTCAAAAACTGATGAAAACTGTGGAAAACAGGCCAGGGCGAGTTTTCAAGAACCGAAATTGAGGAAAAGGGAACACGAAATCGAGTGGGTCGAGGCTTGTGTGAAATAGGAATAGGGAATAGAGGGTATGGCAAAGATATGATGAAGTCAGTTGAAAGAAGCAATCCATATTCAAACAGACTCTTGGTCGCCAGGTTGTTGAGATCTTCTGATTTTGAAGAACTTAATACCGCTCTGGTGGGATTCCGGTGGGTGCACGTCTGGAACAGGAGCAGCGGAGGCTCTGTTCTGCTCGAGATCGTCGTTGATGTGATAGGACTCGGCGATGTCACCGTTGTTGATGGCTTCTTGCTTGCCCTGGTACATGAGGGCTTGCTCCTTGTACTTCTGCATTTCGACGTACTCCTTGTGGGATTGGTAAGCTCTTTTGATGAAGGAGGCGCCCGTGGAAAAGAAAAGGTAGATGGAGCAAGCGACACTGGCCCAACCAATACCGAAAAGCGTAGCGCTGACGTTGGAAGAAAGTTTGGCGGAATGGAATGCGTTGCGAGCCATCACTGCGGCGGCGGTTTGAAGACTGACCGCGGCGAGGTCGAAGAGCGCGCCGACCGCGACCAAAAGGAAGACGACTTTGTTGAAGGCATAGGAGCACCATGAAAGGATGTAGAGCAAGAAAGCAATGCCTAAGAAAGCAAGTGCGATCCAAAAGAAACAGAACGAGAAACGTGTGAGGTAGTAGAAAGTGTTTCTGTTGGTCACGAAATCGGAAGGCACGTTAACGGTGGTACCGAAATTGTCGACTGGAGAAATTGGGTCTGCGGGAGCAAGACTGTCGCAATGAGTGTTGCCGTTGGAGTCGATGTTGCACACGCCCCAGAAAGTCCACCGGGAAACCGCAGGAGCGCCCGAGATGCCCGAGGTGTCACCTTGGACCCAGTAGTACCGATCGATAGGGTAACTTTCGATTGCGCCCGAGAGCACAATGAGAATGAGAAGTAGCGTAGTTCCTGCTAGAAATAGCAGCGTAACGAGCCTGTTAGTCCAGCCAAAAACGCCCATTTTGTATGTGGTGTACGGGTTTCTTGCAACTAAAAATCTGCCTTTTTGTTTCGAGTCTATTTCAGATCTAGAGGGGTACTCTTTTTTGTCGATGTCGTTGTCGTTGTCGCAGTGAACGTCCAAGTGCAAATATTGCCAGCTGTACTCAGGAGTCTCTGTCTTCCTTTTCTGTCACCTGTGAGTCTGTGCGAGTGTCTGTTGCGCGTGCTCAAAGATCTGCTCTAGTCTGGTAACCTTGTTTGATCAAGATTCTGATTCTGGCTTGTTAGATTCTTTCCGAAAGATATATATTCTTGGAAAAAGCCGAAACCTTGCTTCGATGCTTCCTTTTTTGCTAATGTTCCCTTCTACCCTGCAGCAAGGTTGGGCCCATATGTAGATGCGCCCGTACGGCGACTCCGCCCTTTTATTGACGTTTTGCAAATATTTGCCTTTTACCGCATGTGGACCTCGAGCTGAGCGTAGAGAAGTCCCTGTGTACGACCTGTGTGGGGGCCTTGTAATTTTGCTGTATTGGAAGGACGGTCAGGGCGGGTGACGTCAGCTGCACCGAAGAGCAAGGTGCATGGGTGTATGCATGATGCATGCATGCATGCGTCATGCATGGAACGCAAAGGTGCGTGGGTGCAGATGAAGTACTCATGTACGGGATGGATGTCTCCGTCAGGTGTGATGGTGTCTGGGCTTGCGAATGTGGATTAGCCGCGCATGTCACATGACGTCATTTCTCTCTTTCTCTCAGGGCTCGTGGGTGTTACTCTGAGCTACCGGAGTCTCAGTTTCTTAAGCTTGGACGGGTCGCTGGTAGCGTCCTGACCGGATGGTGTCGGCTGCTGGCCGGTTCTTAAGCCCACTGGCGTTGTTGTCGTGGACGTTGTCGCGGACGTAGCTGTCTGTGCGTCGGTGGAGAGTTTACGTTGCAGACACCAGGTTCGGATGTCCTCCGCAGAAGCTCCGCGCTCGACAAGGGCCAGTACGTCGCCTACGCAATCGAGGTACCCCGTATGGCGGCTGAGCGTTGCACGCTCAGCCGACAACTTGTACAAACTCGTGATTGCGTTCGCGGCGATCTTGAATTCCTGCGTGGCGTGCTTGTTAAGCTCATCAAGCGCGCGTTCCGGCGGCAGGCTCTTCTCGAGCGACTTGAACTCGTCCATGCTGGGTCTCCGTGTGCAATCTGGACGCTTATCGCCACTTCTGTTTGTCGATGCGCTTGCGCTTCAGATTTGATTTCCGTAACATCAAGTGCTTTTTTTTTATCGTTTTTTCTTCTTTCTCACTAGAAGGGCGCTATATAAATCGGGTGATGTTAGAGCACTGGAGCCGAAGTCCAATCGCGAAAACCGGAATGGCAAGTGGGTTTAGTAAGAGCGCAATTGGGGTTGTCGATGATATGTCTACTTGAAGCGAATGATTTCCATGCAAACAGCGCTTTAAAGCGCGGGTTTCAGTGTTTTCAAGACTGTCTGCCCACCAATAAAAGGTCGAAACATGAATCGAAAGAAGAACGCCCTCAACCGCTACCGGAACCGCAAGCCGTGCCGCATGCGGTGCCGATGGATCATGAATCACACTCCGTGCAGTCCACTGTAGACTCGATTGCAAGCTGCGCGGCGTCCGTTCCATATTTCGAAATCGAAGACTATATACGTGAGGGTTACGGGTCCACGCTAATAAACGACGGCTACAATAGTCGACACAGCTTGAACGACATTGCGCCCGTGAATTACTCACTGTACGACGCAGATGCAGAAGAACTCGACGAAGATATAGAGATGGAGATGGACGTAGATGTGGTACCGGCAACAGACCGAGCATTTTGTATGTGAGACGCAGACCACCTCATAGACAACGATACAATCATATAGATAACAGGGTTATAGGCTTGCATTGAAATACTTGAAGACCACACGCATATAACATGTCCTCGTTTTTTATTGTTTCAACTGCGGTCTGGAGTTGCAAAAAAATCTCTCGGGGGCGATTCGAACGCCCGATCTCAAGATTACAATTAAATCACATTACAGTCTTGCGCCTTAAACCAACTTGGCTACCGAGAGTACAACTGACATAAGAAAGAAACTGCGCGGATGAAGAGCAGTGAACTTCCAAGGAAATAATGTGCACCGCGAGTTTCGTTTTGGAAAGTATGGGAGTGGTAGCAGTGAAACTCTGGAAACATTTCATCTGAGCGTTCTTTACCCTTCCTTTGCGCTTTGTTGGACAATATTAGTTGCAGTGGGAGTGCTGCTTTTAATTTGAAGTCTTGTAAAAGTACAATAACATTTGTTGTCAAAATCAGCTTTTCCTGTCGAGAGCAAATTATGCAATCAACATAGACTCTACAGAGCTTTGTTCTCTACATGATGACTTTCTATACCGTGATATCGCTAGTTGGACTTTTTCTTTCTCATTATAGCTTCCTACGCCTTGGTTGGCATCTCTGTCGATGGCATTTCTAACGTTTTCTTAATTAAAGCACTTACTTGTGAAAACGATTTAAGTCGGTTCCGTGAACATGGGGCCTCGAGGACGCCTGATCTTGATCGAGGGACTTGACCGTACGGGCAAGTCCACACAGGCGGAACTTTTGGCATGTGAATTGGGCTCCAATTCCGTGCTCTTAAAGTTTCCAGACAGAACTACGCCAGTTGGGCAATTAATTGATGACTATTTGAAAAACCGTCATAACCCGCTTCCCGACCAAGCAATTCATCTCTTGTTCTCTGCTAACCGATGGGAAGCCGCACGAAGAATTGAAAGTGCGTTGTTTGCTGGGAAACACGTCATTTTGGATAGGTATGTATATTCTGGAGCTGCTTACTCGTGTGCGAAAAATGTGCCCGGCATGGACATGAAATGGTGCCTCGACCCGGAAAGGGGGCTCATCAAACCGGATTTTACGATTTTCTTTATGAACAATGGCCACGAGAGTGAGCAAAGAGCTGGCTTTGGTGATGAACGATACGAAACTGTTCAGTTTCAGGACCGCGTCAAGCACACGTTCCTGGAGCTTTTCGAAACCTGGGAAAATGCGTCGTACCGTGAAAATAATATGCGATTCTTGAACGTCGCAAATAAGTCCATTACTGAAGTGGCCCTGGAGGTCAAACAAATCGCCGAAAAGTGTATTCGCCAGGGTCAAGATGAAATCTTGCGCTTTTAACTGAGTCGATCCAAGTATGTCAATCGCTCCAGCAACACGTCCTTGGAGGCTTCCTGCAACTCTCCTCCTATTATCATTTCATCCAAAATCATATACGCCTTATAGAAGTTGAATACAATGTCCAACTCGCACACGTTGCCAAAAAAAGCGTCCAGAACCTCTACGAAAAGGTGAATATGCGATAAGTAAATGAGTTCTTCATCCCGGAGATCAACACCCATGACAAAATAAAGCCCTGCGTATCGTTTGTAGATCAATTTCGTAGACTCAGAAAACTCAACGAAGTTGCTCTGATGTTTAAGGTCTCGGGATGATACTAATTTGTATATCTGGGCTATGGTTGCATGGCCATCCTTAGAGTCTCCGAGAAAAGGTTGGAAAAATCTCGCCAACCTTACAATTCCTTGCTTGTTCAAGCAAATCAGATATTGAATAGCCATTCCGGGGATTTTCGAATATGTCATATCAAAGGTATACCAAAATCAATGGTCTATCTTTTTCAAATAATATGAAATTCAAGAAAATCTGACGAAGATCACCCTTCCACATTGACTCAAGCCCTTAGATGAGCTTAGCAAGCGACGGTGGTCTGCTATTTGAATCGTTAAAGGTTTCGCTGTTTGATGATATCCGAGGCAATTTTATCCGGCTTCCAAGTCGCATTATAAGGGCTTTGGAAACTACTGGCAAACCAGCACAAGAGTTCGGTGCTCTTATCAAACACAAAGGAGGTCAGTTTTACGCTGGATGGGATGGATTAGAGACCCATGGCGTACATGATGAGTCTCAAACGGTACAAATAAACCCGGTTTTGGCGCAGCTTAACGGTTTGATAGATGGGACCCTCATTGATCTAACAATCAAGAATTACGACGCATCGCGGACGGCACTCGAAGTTTACGTTGATCCAGCGTCCAGCGACGATTGGGAGGTCATTGAGGGCAATGCGCAGTTCTTACAAGATAATTTACTCTATCAAACTAGAATTGTCACCCAGGGTGCTAAATTGGCATGTTTTATTAACAATGTTCAGGCCCGATTCACAGTTCAAAAAATCATTCCCGAGGCGTTGCAATCGGCCAAAATAGCAGCGGATACTTTGATTATGGTGGCCCCGCGCCAGAACCGGAAACGTCTCGTTGAAGATACGGATTTTCAATCGACAACATTACCGGTGTCTTCGAAAAATGTCGTATTGCGAAATCTGCTCTGGGCATATGATCTCGAAGGGCTAGAGGTACGCGTCCCAGTCAATGTGACGCTGCATTCTACCTTTGCCATTGTTTCTGCGAATAAGAACCCTGTAGATCATCCTTCGCAGAAGCACTCCGATGACGAGTCGAAGAGAGCACGTTCGGCCGAAAAAATTGTGGTAAGGTACGAAAAGGACACTCGGATTCCGCAAGGTCATATTGTGCTATCTCGCTACGCGAGTGAGGCTCTTGGAATAGACGCTTGTAATGGCGAGTTTATCAAGTTAGAATCACTTGGGAAGGATATGATGATAAATGATATTCCTACGGTTGTTGTTCGTGAAGCGAGGGAGACAAGCGAGGAAGGTGACACTTTAGTAAGAATCAAGAAGATTTTAGGAACTTCAGTATTGACAAACGGACTTGTATTGCCTTCCGAAGATGTTTTTATCGAATTGCTCGATGAGCATGGGAGGGCTATACCATTTTTTGATGTGAACCAAAAGGGCTGCAAATGGAAGTTGGCAAAATTGAAATCTAACTTAGCGGAGTCTTTTTGTCAATTTGTCGTCGAGAAACCAGCCACAGCAGTGGCTCAAGAAGAGCTTTTAAAAGATATTGCCAAAACACTGACCCTTTCATTTCAACCGTCCCCATGTACTTTGCTTTATGGGCCAAGTGGGGTCGGAAAAACAAGGTTAGTAGAATCTCTACGATACGATCTTCAGCGGGGCAGTATTAAGCACGTCAGATATGTCGATTGTGAGCAATTTCAGGAAAGTCTTGATTTTTCGAAAATGAAGAACACTTTGTTTAGGCTCATTACATCATGCTATTGGTACAAGCCGTCTGTCCTTATCCTGGACAACGCAGAAGCGATTTTCCCTTACGATAAAGAAGATGAAGAGGGTCCGGGGTATTCTTCCTCAGGGAAAACTTCTACCAAGCTCTGTCTTTTGTTCATGATTGAGCTAGAAAAGGTGAGACAAAAAAATGCTGACATACTAAGCGTTCTTCTTACAGCGAAAAGCAAAGAATCCCTAAATCAAACTCTTTTTTCTAAGCATTCGATTGGTAAATCATGGAAACTTGGATCACCGGACAGAGACCAGCGAGCGAGCATCCTAGACTATTATTTGCAGGCCCGATCGCTGAAACTGTCTCCGGACCTGGAACTTTCAACGCTTGCTTTGGAAACTGAGGGTTATTCTCCCAGAGACCTATCGCTTCTTAGTGATAAGTTACTTTTTGAGCATCTGAGTCGATACGAGGAGTCAATTGACGAATTGTCGTTGCAAACTTTTGAAGAAGCCATCAAGGACTTCGTACCGTCTTCTTTACGCGGAATAAAGTTGCAGAAAAGCACTGGAGTGAAGTGGAGTGATATTGGCGGTTTGAGGGGAGTAAAAGACATTCTACTTGAAACCTTAGAATGGCCGACTAAATATGCTCCAATCTTTGCAAAATGCCCATTAAGATTACGATCTGGTATCCTGCTGTATGGGTATCCGGGCTGCGGGAAAACCTTGCTCGCTAGCGCTGTGGCACAACAGTGTGGTCTTAATTTCATTTCTGTCAAAGGTCCAGAGATTTTGAACAAATACATTGGAGCAAGCGAACAAAGTGTCAGAGAAATATTCGAGCGCGCGCAAGCGGCTAAACCTTGCATACTTTTCTTTGACGAGTTTGACTCCATAGCACCTAAAAGAGGACACGATTCGATTGGAGTGACAGACCGAGTCGTTAACCAGATGTTGACTCAAATGGATGGTGCTGAGGGTTTAGACGGGGTTTACGTCTTGGCTGCCACGAGTCGGCCGGATCTCATAGACTCTGCACTTCTGCGACCGGGAAGACTTGACAAAAGTCTTTTGTGCGGCTTACCCGATGAGGCTGACAGACTATCTATCATCCAGGCGGTAGTAGCCAGTGGGAAATTGATATTGGAGGAAGATTGCAATCTCGATGTCATTGCTGAGAAAACAAACGGGTTTTCCGGAGCAGATTTGCAAGCACTTTGCTACAATGCGAGTCTCAAAGCTATAAACCGTACACTGGTTGATACTTCTCTTACTTCGGACAATGAAAACTTAACGGTTAATGAACCGTCTGTCATTGTCCTAAGCAAAGACAAAAAAATTCCAGCACTTGCAATTGAGAGACTCAACCACAAATTTAAACTTGGTTACACAGATTCAAGCGTAATGGCACGACCAGATGTGATCATTCAGCTCGCTGACTTCGAAAACGCCGCGACAGAAACTAAACCAAGTATTTCGTACGAGGAAGTCAACAAGCTGTCCAATATATACAGAAAATTCGCGAATGAGAGGGATGGGAACATGCCAAACGGAGAGGCATCTAATGAGGTCGGTGGCCGATCTACACTCATGTAGCCTTATCAGATTCTGTTCTGTTAAGAGAGCGGACTTCTTTCTTTGTCCACGTGACATAATCGTAATTAAGCAAACAAGCCCAATATAATGTCGAACATGCAAAGCAAATTGAAGGTTAACAGGTATCAACTAAAACTGGAAAAAGTGCATGGCCAAATTGAACGAAAGGGATGATAGTAGATTCGGTCAGTTCGAAAGGAACAAGAGAGACTACTCCGACTCTTCCTCAGTGGCAAGCGGCTAATGATGTTTCACCGCCTGGGTCTGGCAGAAGCCTAAGGGAGCAGAGCTTTTCGAGAAAGCCGATATCAAGCAAGCCACCTAAAAGTCACGATCCTCAACGAAGCTCGTCAGTCAAGTCGTTAAATCCTTTACGGAAGATTTTCAGACGGTCTCAGTCACACCATGAACCAAATGCGCGCAATAATTATCGGTCAGAGTCACCGGGTTCGAATTCTAGTCGTGAGAAGAAAATACGGGCCCGTGGAAGCTCTTTTTTACACAAATCTCCACATGTAGCAGCACCACCACCCGAACTCATCCAGTCCAAATCTTCGTCTGCTCTTAACAACGTTGTGTCTCACAATGTGAATCCGTTCATTATACCCAAGGGTCAAGGCTTCGACCAGCCATTTTCACCGCTCGGGACAGGTGTTGCTGTGGCGGCTCCACGCCAAAGTTTCCACTATTCGCCAAACCCACTTTCGCGGAAAACCTCCTCCAACGAATCTAATATGGTTTACAACCCGTATGGGACGTTGTCGAAGTCCAGCTCGGCGGGGTCACATCATGACCTGGCTTTCTACCTACAGGACGGGAAGAACGAGCTACCGCTGTTACCAACGCCTTTGGAGGACCCGAACAATTATTTGCCGGATGGGTTGAAGCAGACCAGCGTTCAGCTCGCCGATAATTTTTGCTACCCGGAACGCAATTCCGGCGACGACATAGCGCTTGGGTCCGGTGGCTCAAGTGAGGTTCGCACTGTTAGATCTGCGTTTCACAAGAAGGACATTTTCGCCCTGAAGAAATTCAAGCTTTTGCACAACGAGGAACCGCAGCATTTTTACAAGCGTTGCTCTAAAGAATTTGTCTTGGCTAAGACCCTGAGCCATAATGTGCACATTGCGAACACTTTTTATCTGGTGAAAGTCTCGACAACAACTTTCATGACAAGAGGCTGGGCTTTTGTAATGGAATATTGCTCCGGCGGCGACCTGTACTCTTTAATCTCGAGGCCGGACTGGAAAAAAAAACCTCTCAAGACCAAATTCTCCCTATGGAAGCAAGTTGCAGAAGGTGTGCGGTTCATGCATTCTCAAGGAATTGTGCACAGAGACATTAAGCCCGAGAACGTGCTTATGACCGAGGACGGAATCGCGAAACTGACCGATTTTGGAATTTCGGATTGGTCTCACGAAGATCCTCAAGACTTAAGTAGCCCCATCAGACTCTTTGACTGGTATGTCGGGTCTCCGCCATATTCACCGCCAGAAGTGATGGTGATGAACGATGACAACGCCACGAAGCAAGAACAGAAACCCTATGACGCTCAAAAAATGGACTGTTGGGCGTTGGGAATGTTGATGTTTGTACTGGTATACCAATCAACTCCGTTTTTCGAGGCGTACAAGTCGGATTCTAAGTTCCGCAACTACGTGTTATCGTATAACAATTTCATCGAGCACATAAACCCGCAGTTCCGCAAACCCAAAACCTATCGTGGAGGACCTGGCAGTGAGTTTCAGTACGGACGTGAGTTCCAAGATACAGAGGCTTCGCGTATAGCGTGGCGGCTGGCCGACCCGGATACGGCGACCCGGTACACGATGCAAGATCTCGTGAACGACCCATGGTGGCAGACGATCGAGATTCCAAGTGAAAACGAGAAAGTGACACTGCCCAAGGCCCCAGAGTTGAGGCGAACAAGCTACGACTCGGACAATTCGACGTCTTCGGAGAAAAACGAGGCAACTCATTCGTCGAATCCGTTTTTGAAGAAGCAGCTCAAAAACAAGAGCAAATCGATGCTTTCAATTGCGGAGGATTCGTTCCAACCGCTGACGAGTTCAGGTTCCGACAAACTTCCGACTTTGAATGAGGAAAAAACGAGGGAGGACGGCTCGGGCGCTCCCAAAGACGAGGCACACGATTGCGTATCCAATGGCTCCCTCGAGAGCTTGAGGGGCCGGCTGCGCGATGAGTTGACGCTGGATGAGGACAAGAAGCTGGACCAAGGCCAGAAAAACGACGAGTTTTCCGACGCAGTAGAAAATCAAACACAGGACACCACAAGAGAACAGAGACCAGAATCGGCTGCGTGACGCAAGCACGGCAAAACCATGACTCGGTTTACTGCCCGAGCTGAAACTCCACTGACGCCCGTGAAACCCACCGGCTAAACATTTGGCCAAAACAAAAAAAAGATAAAAGAAGGTTACAAAATCCATTGCCCGCGAGCGCATTCCCGCGCGCTGCCGGCTTACGAACCAAGAGAAGGTTACTACATACAGAGTTACAGGACTATTCCTCTCCAAGAAAGCGTATGCATGTGTGTGTGTGTTAATAAAAAGCATCCCAATAGAAGTACATCCTCAAGGTCTTGAGAGTCGAGATCATCGCTTATAGAGACCCGAGCACGTGATCAACGTTTAAAATGACTAAAAATCGCGTTTAAGTCAAATCACATGACCAATCACTTGCCACGAAACTCTTTTCAAACACCCAGACATCTTGTAAAATTTTTTCGCGTCGTGGATTCTGGTTACCCGGCCTCACCCTGTTTTGTTGCAAACTTCCCCGTGGCTCGTGAAAATAGCGTGATTTTCAAGTATATAAACATAAGGAGCAGGTGGAGAAAGACTTTACACGTGTTTATCACGTTTCAAAGCCCACGAGGAACCATAACTGGAGCAAGCACGCGACATCCACGGGATCTGGAGTTACCACGAGACATCAAAACATAGTGACGATGGCCAAGAGACTTTTGCCAGAAGACGTGCAGCAAGAGAACGAATTGCTTAAACGGCAGAGAGCGCAGCAGGCGGAGGCTGCAGAACAGAGCAACATCGATGCGCAGCTGTTGCAGGAGAAACCCGACGCTGAGGGAGCCTCGGGAGATGAGGCCGAGGGTCTTGCCGCGGATGATGACGACGAGGAGAAATACCACAGCAAGTATCATGAGCAAGACCACGACGGGACAGCAGCGGCCGCAGCTGCGGCCGCTGCGGTTTACGGCGGGCTGATGAGCGCGGACGAGGCCGCGAGACACCAGCAACACGGGCAGGGCCACGACGCGGCGCTGGCTACGGACCACGCCAGTCACGAGGGCGATGAATCGCAACTGGAGCTCGACGCAGACTCAGATGACCGCAAGCGTGGTATTGGAAGGCGCGGTCGTAAGGCCGCGCCTGTTACCGGGTCCGCGGAATGGAGGCAACAGCGCAAGGATTCGCACAAAGAAGTAGAACGTCGCAGGCGTGAGAACATCAACACTGCGATTGTGCGGCTCAGCGACTTGTTGCCCGTGAAGGAATCGAGCAAAGCGACCGTGCTTGCACGTGCTGCAGAGTATATCCAAAAGCTACGTGACACGGAGAACGCGAACATTGAGAAATGGACGCTGCAGAAGCTGCTGAGTGAGCAACAGGTGAGCACGCTCACCAAGGCCAACGAAACCATGCAACTCGAGCTGGGTAACGCTTTCAAACAGATCGATATCCTAAAACGTCAGCTCAAAAACGCGGGCGTGCCGCTCGACCCGGAGATCTCTGGACTCGAGGCCGGCAACACCGAGGACAAATGATGAACGACAAAGGCTGGGATTCACTCTTCCTCAACGGATGGGAACTGGGTTGTAATTTTTTATGTATAAATGCTATAATCACTGAGACTTGAATGTGGCGGCAACGGTGCAGTGTTTCGCTGTGGTTCTGTAATGGAATTGCAGCGGTTCTTCTCTTCTTTTGATCTCAAAGTTTCTACGAAGTACCAAAGTTTTTTCAGGTTACTCCGGAAAGTCTTGGCATTTTTTTCCTATTTTCTAACGGGTCAAGAATGAGAAAATCGAAAACGCGCAGTGAAAATCAAATCGTCTACGAGACTTTCCACAACTTCAGCTCACCAAATCAAGCCAGCAAGGGCATCTACACCCGTTTCCTAGTCTGCCGATTACCACGCGAACAACTGGCGGTGACTGAATTGAGAGTTACTGAGTCTACTACCTGGCAGGGTCACGGTTCTATCATTGAGGTGAATAAGCTTCTAGCATTCAGCGTGGAGCGGTATCAAGAACAAAAAAAATTGATAAGGGCCACGATAAGTGGGGAGCTGTTGATGCATTTTGGCCGTGCGTGACGTTTTTCTAGCCTAATTTGATTTTTTCGTGCGGGTTTTATCCTATCACGAGTGGCTTGGCAAAAACCCGGTGCTAGGGCAACGAACGGTGTGTGCAGCATAGACAAAAAAATTGAATTCAGAGAAAGTGATCAAAACTTCACTCAGTGTCCAGAGTGATTTCGAACGCGTCTCTGAGGCTTTTAGCTAATTCTCGCCGAGTTTCCCGCTCTTTTTCTCTAATCATCTCTGCGACGTCGTCTTTATTGTATTATTCACGCTATGCTAAGTCGGTCGCTGTTTTCTTTGGGCAGGACTTTAAGGATGAACCTGCGACCGCGACGTGGGTCTAAGAAGGGTCTTTTGGTTCGCGGTATTCTGGTTTCTGTGTTTCTTTTGGCATTGTATTCACACCTGCCGCTTTACGGCGTGAAGGACTTGGGAAACCAACTGGACTGGCTGCTGTCCGACTTGTCGAGTCACGATGGTGAGCCACTAGAGCCTTTACACAACATATCTGCTCTTTATCACAAATTCAGGTACGATACGACCATGAGTTTTGTCGACGAGTATCGACTGCCATCACATCTGCTGACACCACAAGTTGGCGCTGGTCGCGAACAGAAATGGGAGTCGATAGACGAGGTGCAATTCTACGACGCAGATCCAAGACTGATCATGAGTGTGTACTCTGGAATCTGGAGCGGTAAAAATCCTGAGGGCTACGGCGATGCAGATAAGCCAATTCCCTTTTCGTGGTATGATTGGGCCGATTTCCATAACTTCAACAAATTGATAGCTCTCCAAGAGACGCGAGTCAATTGCAGTTTTTTCTTTGAACCGGTCATTTCTAAAGATCTTTTGAATAGCGTCGAGCAGGAGCTAGATGAACGTCTTTTCGACTACAAAAGAGGGGACTACGACGATGAGATTGGCCCCATTGCCCCAGACAAAGCAGTCTTTGAGAACCTCACTAATTATTGCATCGAAGACGCTTCGGCGGGGGACTCGTTGCCACGAAAATTTTCTCCAGGCGTTGCCGTCACTGCTTTACGCGAGTCGGTGCGAACGGAGGTATATGCGTTTCAGGCTCGTGGCCATCTTTTGAATGCACTCGCAAACCCATTGTCACTTACGGTCCTCAGTTCTGATTCGGATGCGTATCGCTTCTTCGTGACTCAAGATTCGAAACAGAACATTATAGAGTCAGGTCTTCTTGAGAAATACTTGAACTCATATCCGCGAGATAAAAAGAACGCTCTCGATCATATCGCTAGGTTCACAGATTTTGTTTCGTCGCCGCTGGCCGAGTCGAAACGTGTGGACATCGAAGAGCTTGATTCAGATGAAAAGAATGCCTATGAAAAGGATTTAATACATTTGAAAGAGTCTGATTTTGAATTTGATGCGTTGGCCAAAATTGAGGAATTAGAGGCGAAGCCCAATCTGAATCCACATGAGCTGAACTATTTGCAAAGTTTGAAATTTACAACTCAGACGCATTGGGCATTTGCTCCAAAGCATTTCCGAGAAGTCGACGATGTCAAAGGGTTTGCCTCCCTTGGAAGGCATCATGACCGCAGATTTTTTAACGGAGCTGTAATACAAAACGTACATGAGGCCCAAATACGGTTGAACTCTTTGATCAGAAACTTTCAGAAATTTGCGAAGGCCAACGGCTTGATTTCTTGGTTAGCTCACGGGACCTTATATGGCTACCTCTACAATGGCCAAATGTTTCCTTGGGACAATGACTTTGACGTGCAGATGCCTATTAGACACCTGAATTTGATGGCACAGTATTTCAATCAAACTCTTGTTGTTGAGGACCCTGCTGAGGGCAATGGCCGTTTTCTGCTAGACATAACAAGTTCAATCACAGTGAGAATAAATGGTAATGGAAACAACAATATTGATGCTAGATTCATTGATCTTGACTCGGGTCTTTACATCGATATTACCGGATTGAGCGTCTCGTCTGCAATGGTTTCAAAGAAGCTCAACGTGTATTTTAGTGAACATGAAGACGAGTTCAGATCCGAAATACGGCATAGGGACCCAAATTTGGTCAAGGATTTGACGGACCTCTCATTGCAGTCACTTCGCAGCGAGGTTATCAATACCGGAGGTGAGTCGTCATGGGAAAGTCAACAAGTTGATTCCCTCATAAAGGCTTCCCAAAGAACGCTTGTGACCTCAGAATCTGCCTCCAAAGCATATTCAGAGGAACAGCGCTATAGTTTAAACCACGATTTGAAGCTTTACAACTGCAGAAACACCCATTTCTACACATTTGAGATGTTGTCACCTTTAATCAACACAAAATTTCACTCAGTCACCGCGTTGGTTCCTCGGAGGTACATTCAGGTTCTGAGAAATGAGTATATGGTTCCACGAAAATATGGTTTCATGGCTTACCACAGGAATGCATTCATCCCAGAACTTCGCTTTTGGGTCAACAGCGCTATTTTGAAAGGCGTCATGAACAAAAGGGCCTCAAGTTTAGAGCTTGAAGTAATAGATTCTCCAGTCAATAGTCTGAAACTCGACGAAGTGGGGAAATTTTACAGGAATCTAGCTCGTAGTGGGCAATCTGAGGTACTATCTGCTCTTTACAATTCGCGCGAACTGAGCACCTATCGGCTCAAAGAGATAGACCTTCAATTCAATGATGAACTGGGGAGTGATGAAAACGTCAAACTTCTGGGAGCGCTAAGAAACTCAATTGGGACTAACATATCATCGAGCTTCAAGGATCCCTATCTGCACTTCACAGAAAAACGACGACTGGAAGCTCTTCTGAAGGACAGTGAGAAAAATGAAGCCAAAATAATCGATGAACACATCGCAAATGAGATGAATTTGTGGGCCGAAGCCTTACATGATCAAGTGCTACCTTACTACCGGTGTTCACCACATGGCCAAGACGATCAGTTAGATTTCAATCATCAAGGTGCGCCTATTTCCATAAATGGCAACCCAAAAAGGAACAATGTTTTTGCTAAAGATCCGCTATGAGTACATAGGCCTCTAGTTTTCAAAATTATACGCGCGGGGGAACTCACTTGTACACATGCTTTTTGTAGCTTAATTTTCTGCAATAATGATACTCAGTTCATAACATTGAGAAACACAAGCTTTGGGGCACTAAGCGTTAGAAAACGAGCGCCGAGTGACCCTGAAAACAGTGCAAGTGTCCATGAGCGAGGACCGCTGCTATCACTTCATAAATTGTGGTTTTGGGCGCCGTACTTGAAAATCGACATTTCGCACAAGTACACCTTCGTAACCTTTGCTTAAATTCCCCAATAGTGAGACACTTTTGTTTGACAAATCAAGAGATTCCTCTTGGTCTCCATATTTCCCATTAAATTTATAAATTCCTGAGCTTCCAGCAAAAGCGGTAATACCGTCTTCCACACCACACCGGTTGGCTAAAACTAAGATCGCTTCCTTTTTTTCGAACAACCAGGACTTATCGGTACTAGCTCCCAAGTAAGACGTTCTGCCACTTTTAAATTTTTGGATGACAGGAACCAACAGACGCTCACTGAACCACGACTTTCGTAATTTGCATGCTAAGAAAGGCAAAAAACGTAGGAGCCAGTAATTTACGTTGGAAACATCAGGTTGATCAAGTTCTTCGTAGTTAGTGTCTCTCATTTGAAGCCTGTGGTCTTGCTCGCTCTCCAAGGGCTTACATGCCGGAATCTCTGTGGCCGTATCTGCGCCTTCGATATCGATTTGGTATTTTCCTTGGGATCCGCAAGACGGGAGACCTTGTTCTTTTAGAGCCTTTGTAAGTCTTTCTTTCTTCTGCTTTGAGTCTTCGTCCTGATTTGTGACTGAAGAGGAGTGTAACCAGGCCATTGGACACACGATGAGTTCCGAATCATTCTCAACTTGGAAACTCGAAAATTCCATGTCGTGGAAGGGAGCCTCAAACTTGTAAGGACTGAGATCCATGCAAATGCCAATTGAAGTCTTCAGTTTTACATCGTGCATTTCGCCCGTCTGAAGGTCCCGGCCCTTTTTCTTAAAGGGAAGCTCAAAAGTTTGGAAACCAGCAGGATTCTCCAAGCATTGCCAGTTCTCGTCTGTATGATATAGGAAAGATTTGCGGTAATTGAATGCTATTTCGCCCGAGGAATCGACAACAATAGCCGAGTTGAAGCATTTATCATTGATTGAGCGGTCATTAGGAGACACAACTTTCTCTGGGTAGCCCATAATCGTGTAGCATTTCAATTGTTTCGAAATGTGACGAGACAACTCGTAAGCGGGCCCCTCAGTTACCTGGTACAGGTAAGGCTCGATGTGCTTTGAAGAATGGAAGGAGTAGCCTGACAGCGCAAATTCTGGGAAAACAACAATATCTGGAGGATGTGGCTTGATGATGGAAATCAGATGCTTTGCACGGGAAATGGTTTCGTCAAGACACCCAATCTGAGGATTGAGTTGGACCACCGCAATACGTAATTTGACATTGAGCTTAGATAGATTCATTTGTATCAGTTCGTTGATGATGCGTGGTAAAGTGAAGTATGGAAACAGCAAGCTGTCTAGTCAGCTTAACGATCCTAGAGGTGATGATAAGATCTAAACAGAATTTTTACAAGAACAACCGGAGACAATAATCCTCCAGAGAATTGGAAAGGGCTGCTCAACGAAAACGCAGGCAGTGGCCCCAATTTCAAAGAAAATTTGAATGCAGATAATCAACACCTTGTAAGCGCTGTGGATTTTTTAAAACTTCAGTTGTCTAAGAACCGACTTTGGCTCAGCGACACTCATCTACAGTGACGGTACACTACATTGATATTTCGAAGGTCAATTCTTTGTATCAAAAAAAATATATAAACGGGTTACAGCAGACAGAATACCGCTTAAAACACGCTTCTGCCCCTTTTTGTCATCCCACAACGCCCGCGATTTCATCTTTAATCACTTAAATCTTTTCATCTCAAATAAACATGAGAACATTATGAGAGTGACATGAACTAACGCACTAAACTGCTCTTAGAGTTGATAAGCAAGATTTGGCTTAATACATTTCTAACTAGGTTTCTCTGAACTCAGGCTTCGATATATGATGATGCTATATGTGCGTCTATCTTGAGATATCTACTTGACGGTGTATGTATTAGCACTTAATGGTCCTGATACATTACCATTCTATTTCGATATGCGCGCTTCTAAAAATATAAAGGTTTTTCCGTTTTACCCTCGGTTTTTGTTTCTCCGAGCCCGGTAAAACACAAAAATAAATTCTTTCGGACATTAAATTTTTTTCCGAAGTCTTGTCCGTTTTTTCTTGGCAGAAGGTAACAGCGAGCAACCGGCACCTATGGCGGGCAGCACGTGGATTTATAAACCCAATTAGAAGTTCCTGATATATATTAGAAAGCCCCGGTTCCCACGTTTGGGAATCAGGGCAGACTTATGCCACCGTGCAATGGATCATGAAAGGGCACCTCAAGTACGCGAAACTCGGAGGTGAAACTTAAGGAAAGCACGGATGTCGACCAAATACTTAGCCGGTAGGTGGTCGGCAATTACCAAAGCTAGAGACGAGAGCTTGACATGAAACATAGAGATATTGTGCTTAAAACAGAACCTATAAAGAAGGTACTTTTATTATTAGGTGGCTCAGACATCATGTAGAGTGTCATTGAAAATGCTGTTAGACCGCTGTTCACCCAATTTGAAAAATTGATGTCCAATTTCAGCGAAACTGGAATTACTAGGCGGATCTTGGTGTCCGGCATGTGTATGCCAGTCGTAATTGCCCTCGGCTAGTTTTACATTAAGGTCCCATAGAGCATTTGCGTGTTGGAGATGAACACCCTCGAGTTTTTCGACGATTTTTTTGTATGAGATCGCAGTGCGATCCAGCAAATTAGACCATACAACATTTTCCAACTTGGATTGGAAAACGTCCTTTTGAATGGCAGGCAATGTTCTGTTACGCAAAAGTTCTTGCGTATTGCGCAGTTTTTGATCATACGTCAAATCTTTGTCGGTCATTATCTCCAGCTCTTTGTATCGCAATACTGCTGTTTGGAAACTGTTTGAGATGTATCTAAATGCATAGGCAGCATCTGAATCGGGCGCCAGAGCAAGATTGGTGAGCAGGCTCCGAGCCTCCGTGCTCTGGAGTTTCGAGAGACAGTCTGTGTTGACTTTAACGGGGGTTTTGTCCTTGTATGAGCCCGCGAATTCGGCCCTTGCCGCCTTCTCGACCGCTTCCTTCTTGATCCAAACCCGGAATTCAGGCATAAACAAATTATCTGCGTATTCCATAAACTGGAACGCTTCTGGTAAAGCATATTCTCTTCGCAAAACGTCTATAATCGTGTTGGGAACGAAGGCAGGAACCCCGTGAAAATAAGTCAATCGAAGCGGGGAGAGCTCTCCGAAGGTGTAGAAGTGATCGTTTCTACAATTGAAAGCGCCGATGTGTTTGTTAATGTTGTATCGATCTGCGGCTCTCAAATGCTGAAAATCCGTAGCCTTTTCGCGGACACCATTGGCGTATTGACGAAGTTCTTGTTCGAGATTCGCCGTGAGCGCGTTTTGATCGCGCAATTGTTCGAGTAAGGGATCAAGTTCCAAATCATTTACACCTGCAACCAAGTTTGGATCTTCATAAAAAGTGAAGGCAGATCTTTGCTCTTCAAAATCTTTGGCCACTGCGTTCAGATGGTCTTTGACGCCGTCCGATGATACGGAAAGCGCAGTTATGTCGACATAAAGGCCCGAATCCACGTCGATGAAGCGAGCGTCGATGTTGTTGCGTCCATTGCCGTTGATGCGATTTGTGATAGAACTGGTGACGTCAAGGAAATAGCGACCGCGACCGAATTCCGGGTCCTCGACAATTAAGGTTTGATTGAAGTTTTCGGCCAGATAATGCAGATGGGATATCGGCATTTGGACGTCGTGATCTGCATCCCAGGGGAAAGCCTGTCCATTGTAGAGCCAGCCGTAAAGGGTCCCGTGTGCGAGCCAAGTGGCGACACCGCTGGAGTGCGCGAACCCGAGCCAAGCCTTGACGAGCGCGTCCAGGCGGGCCCGCAGTTCCTCGTAGTCCAAAGCGCCACGGAAAAACCGGGCATCGAAATGGTGACCCAAGTGCACGTAATCGACGACCTCGGACGCTTCGCGGAAAAATTTCGGGAACAACGCCGGATGCGTGTTGAGAGAATATTGAAGGCTATGCATGTAGTGTTGCTGGTGGGGTGAAAGGGACGGGGCGGTTTGGAGTTGCTGCAACCGTTGGCGCGCGTTGAATTCAAAGTCCGAATGTTCCAGCTCGCGCAACCCGGTCTCGCTGTCCAGAGCTGAGCCCGCAGGTGGCGTGAGGACAAGGCCGCCGCCAAGGGCTGCCTGTTGCAAAGAATCTTGCGAAAGCACGCTGTGGAGTTGGCGATGAGCCTTTCGGTCGTCGAAAACGAAATCGGACTTGAGCAATTGCTCGAGAGACACCCGGTGCCGGTCCAGGTGGGACTTGAGCAGACCGTTGAAGAGCACATTGTGGGGCATCTCGCGGCCCGCGGCGTAGTTTGCAGCGTCGTTGGCAGGGTTTGCAACGGGGACGCGCAGGTATCGGCCGTTGCGCCGCAAGAAAGTCAGTGAGATCGGCAACTCGAGTCCTAGAAGCATGTGGGTGCGTGCTTGCAGGCCGTAGACCTCGGGCCGCGCGTCTGGAACCACGTTTACGAAGGCGAACCCGGGCAAAAACGGATTTGCGCGCTCGTCGCGGCAATACTGGTCTTTTTCGTCGTTGGCCGGCTGGCGGCGGCCGCCGCCCACCAGCCCGCGCATCCGGTCCTCGCCGAACAAGCGGTAGCCGACTTGACGCTCGTACTCGAGGAGTTGGTTTGTCGGGAAGTACCTGCGCACGGCGAAGTCGCAGTTGGGTTTTTGGTCCTGGGGCAGATCGATGAGCCCCGTCAGCATGGAACAGTCGGCCCAGTCGTACCAGCTGAAGGGCACGCGCAGCGCGGCGAGTTCCGCCGCGGCCGCGGTCACGTTGTCTGCGTTTGCTGCCGCCTGTGAGAGCGCGTCCGCGATGTGGTCGTAGTACACGGTCCCCGCGAGTCTGGGGTCGCTGTTGTAGATGCGAAGCGGCGGGTCCCCCAGCGGGTCCCCCGGCGGGTCCTCCGGCGCGCCCAGCAGCTCCTCGACGCTCTCGACGCGCCGCCGGATGCGCGGCACAAGCGTGTCACGTGCGCGACACGGCACCACGTCGTCCAGCGTCGTGTTCAGGCGCCACTGCGCGTACAGCGCCGCGAGCGCCTCGAGCTCGCGGCTGCTGCCGTCGGGGCCGGCGGCCGCCGCTCCGGCGGCCGCAGCTCGGCCCATGATGCGGGCCAGCTCGCGCGCCGGCAAGGTCACGTGCCCGCCCGCCCGCAGGCCGGGTAACGCCGCCGCCGCGCCGCGCGACATCCACGTGACCCGTCCCCCCTTCCGGCTCCCGCCGGCTTCTCCGCCGGCTCCTCCGCCCCAGCCGCCGCCCCAGCCGCCGCCGAGCCCGGCGCGGTACGCGTTCCACGCGGCCGCGACCACGTACACGACCTCGACCGCGGCGAGCCCGAGCAACACGGCGGCCCTGAGCTTGTGTTTGGACAGTCTTGCCATTTTCCACCGCGCGTAGCCACTACGTCGTAACAGGAACAATGAAACTCAGCCAAATCAGATAGTCCAGTGTCCTTGGTCCTCTCACTAGTGTCTGCCTGAGTGACAATGAGCGTCTGATGTCCGACAAGAATCTGTTCCGAGAGACAGTTGTTTGTTTCGAGACACATTTCAAAACGGTGTTAAAAATCGTTCCGAGAAGTTTGCAGGCGGCCGCCTGCGGCCGCAGGCGGCCGCTTAGCCATGGCCCGCAAAGAACCAGGGGGGAACCTTTTGGGTAAGCAGCAGGCCCCTTTTTGGGCCGACGGACCGTTTGCTGCTTTGCTTAAAACAAGGGAATGGCTGCGTTTCAGGGACGTTGAAGAATGCAGGGATGTGCATTGCGGCGGGGTGCCTGCATGTGCCTGGGAGATCTCGCGCGTGCCTACGAGATGCATAATATGTCGTATCGTGCCTGCAGGACCCTGTGCCTGGATCGCAACGGGGATAAGCGGAGAAGCGGAGCAGTTGCATTCAGCCGAGGAGACCCAGACACCAGATTCCGTGCCACGTGACGTATCTCTCCGCCGCTTCTGGGAATGGGTCGAGCATAGGCTGGAGGTCGCGGTTTCGCGTCTAAGCCCTCTATGCGCATTCGTGGCATCGAGGAATTCAGGTGCTACCAGTCTGGTGTATGCTTTGCTGGAAGGAGATAGCGAGATGGGATGTGGCCAAGTTGGGGTATCACGTGGTCACGACGACGGATTGAAACCAGGCAGAGAGAGATAAGTACTCAACAGCTTACCAGCGTTATTGTTTAGATAAGCAAGGCAAAAACAAACGACTGCCGCCGATAGGACACCTCGATACAAAGATTGTGTTAAGGGAGATGATATGACGAGAAATATGGTGGTTATGATTTCAAGATAATCACGAAGAGGTACAAGTACTCACCAGCTCACCCGCGATGGAAGTCGGAAGCGGAGGATCCATACGCCTCTTTGCAATCAAATCGAAAAAGCTAGTCTTGGCCCAGCTAATGAGCCCTTTTGTGTACATACGATGCTGAGAAACCGGTTGCAGAATCGATCGAAGCTGGATCTCTGCAAGAAGAAGATCAAGCTCTATGCCTAATCTACTAAACCGTTAAAGACGAGTTTCCCCTCGATAGAGAATGTCTCAGATATCGATTGGACCGGAAGAGACCACTTTCAATGCGAAGCGTGCTTGAAAGCGGAGGGAAAACGACATAACCATCGTACCGGATCAAGGGATAAATACTGGGAAAGATATGGAAAAGGTACCCAAAGAAAAGATAGTAAGCTCAATGTATGTTTTTACTACCAAGAAACGGTAGAAGAAAGTGCAGATGCGTAGCTAGAGGAGGTCAGCAAGGGCCGGAAACACACGATCCGGACGCGGAAACATACACAGTCGCACAGGAAGCACTGATGACGGATCATCCATCGCGTTAGGTAGCGGATGCAGTATTAAACAATTAGATATCACATCCGCATACCTTTATGCACCACTGAAAGAAGAACTTTACATCAGAGCTTCTCCTCACTATCGGCCTAGCAACAAGGTATCCAGACTCGACAAATCACTGTATAGACTCAGACAATCATCCAATTGATACGGCGTCATAAAAGATTTTCTTGTCTCAAAAGGCGGATTGACAGGAGGGAGATGTGGCCATGGGTACTTGTGAAAAGACACAACAACGACATATTAGTGGTAAATTTCTTTGTTGACGACACGCTCGTTATGACTAACAACGATCAGAGGTACGAAGAAAGTAACGGATTCTAAAGTTAAAACAGTGTTACGAAAATTGTATAAAAGGAGACGTTTTGATCAGTCATACAGTGGCCATATCTTCAGGAAAACCACGGAGAAATATAAGTATTCAATTCCTTATCAGCTTTATTATTTAGATCAACCGTGAACGAATTAAATGAGCAGTTCAGAAACCTATCAACCACCAAAAACGGTAAACCTCAACAAAAAGTACTCGCGCCATCGCTTTAGAGATGTCTCTTTAGGTACTCAACAAAATACAGGTGTCGATACCGCCCTTGAACTCTTTCAATGAATTTAGCGACGTTCTGCGATTTGAAGCTTTCAAAAGAATCGCACACTTTCTGATATATATAATGAAAATTTGTTATTAAATATTATAGCATACATTGTTTATACAATTATAAATATTAATTTATTAAGTTAACTAATAATAATGCTCAATTTACAGGATTTTCCTGATGCTGATGGTACTATTAATCATTCATTTAGAAATGGTTATCCTCAACTGATAAAAAAATGTTAAATTTATTAGATAATATAATGGCATCAAGTATCATTTTTGATGATTAAAGGGAAGGAACCCGGCAAAAATAGTTCTTACGTTATATAATACTTCATAATAATATGTTGTTGGAAGGAGCTGGCGAGAAGATGATATCGTCCAATTGCATCATCACGTGATCGATATGACAGAATAAAATTAGAGGATTGGACAAAGGATTGGCATTCCGCGAAAGAGCTGGAAGCTAAAACAGGTCCATTGAAAGTTCTAGAATCATCAGAACATTGTAATCAGATCATATGTGGTATGATAAATGACGTATGATGAAAATTCACCGTCTAGATTGAAGAAAGTAACGGATTCCAAATTTGGATCAATGTTACAGAAATTGTATAAAAGGAGCTGATATGAACAGGATTGTAAGTGGTCGTGGTTGTAAGATAGCCACGGAGAGACATAAGTACTCAATTCCTAATCCGCTTTATTATTTAGATCAATTATGAACGAATTAAATGAACAATTTAGAAACCTATCAACCTCCGACAAGGAAAAACCTCAGCATATGTATTATCTATAATCATATACTGATCACCAAGCCTGGGATTTTGACGATGCTCTAGGTAATACTCGACGCGTGACACCTCGTCCGGTTCGAGGAAACAAAATGATTTCGTGATTTTCTCTTTCCAATTCCAAAGGCGTTTACAACCACCCAGGATCACGTCGTTCCGTACGACTACGCTCTCTGAAAATTTTCCCACTCATCGCATCCATCGCATCCATCGCATCTATTGCCCACATCCATCTCCCTACACATGTCTGTTGTCGGCTCGCTCATATTCTGCGTTCAGTGCGGCAATTTGCTCGACAATGCGTCTGCCCTCGACGCGCCTCACATTGCTTGCGGCCAATGCGGTGCAGAGTACCCGCGCTCCAAATTTTCGCACTTGAAAGTCGTCACCGCAACGGCTCAAGACGCTTTCCCATCTGCATTACGCTCCAAGAAATCCGCAGTCAAGACTTCCTTGGCACGTAACGAACTCGAAGACGGTGCCACCATCAAGGAGAAATGTCCGCAGTGCGGTAACGACGAAATGCATTATCACACATTACAGCTTCGATCCGCAGACGAAGGTGCTACCGTGTTTTACACCTGTACCGCGTGCGGGTACCGGTTCCGTACCAACAATTGAGGGCTACAAAGAGATGTTCCCCATTCAGCATTCCACATGTCGCCTCTGCATCACCGAAACACGAGGTACAAGCCCATGCCGATCCTACGGGGCCCGGTCTCTTATATAGCCCGTTGATAGACAATGATATAGGCGATGAGCTAGGTGTTTTTGTACGAAGGTGGCAAAATTTTTTGAAATATTAACTGGTCTTTCCTAGCAAATGCAAGCTCGTGGGCGCGCTTCTCAACAACACTGTTAGCCAACTCAAAGCCGCCAGCTAAGCATTCTAGCTCTCACTACCAACAGCAATGGCACAAGCGCAAGCAACGGGGTTCGAAATGCCCGATATGTCGGGCGCGATTGTAGCGCAAGACGAAATGGGACGCCCGTTCATCATTGTCAAGGATCAAGGCAACAAGAAAAGACAGCAGGGTCTAGAGGCCAAAAAATCGCACATTTTGGCGGCCAGATCCGTCGCGTCCATCATCAAGACGTCGCTCGGGCCTCGTGGACTCGACAAGATCTTGATCTCGCCGGACGGCGAGATCACGATCACTAACGACGGAGCGACCATCCTATCCCAAATGGAACTAGACAATGAGATTGCCAAATTGTTGGTCCAACTGTCCAAGTCTCAGGACGATGAGATTGGTGACGGAACGACCGGGGTTGTCGTACTGGCAAGTGCGCTATTGGACCAGGCCATGGAACTCATCGAGAAAGGCATTCATCCAATCAAGATCGCCAACGGGTTTGACGAGGCGGCCAAAGTCGCAGTAGCCCATCTGGACAAAGCGGCAGACGACATCGCGTGTGGCGATAGGGCCGCGTTTCACGATTATCTGTTCCAAGCGGCGAAAACGTCCCTTGGGTCGAAGATCGTATCGAAGGATCACGACAAGTTCGCGCACATGGCCGTTGACGCGGTGACCAGCGTGATGGACTTGGAGCGCAAGGACGTTGATTTCGATCTTATCAAGATCGAGGGCCGTCTTGGTGGTTCGCTTCAGGATTCCAAGCTCATTAGAGGTGTCGTTCTCGACAAAGACTTCTCGCATCCACAGATGGCCAAGACCGTTGCGGCAAAAGACGGGTCCGAGGGCGTCAAGTTAGCCATATTGACATGCCCCTTTGAACCACCAAAGCCCAAGACCAAGCACAAACTTGACATTTCCACCGTTGAAGAATATCAGAAATTGCAAACCTACGAACAGGACAAATTCAAAGAAATGATTCAATTCGTGAAACAGGCCGGCGCAGACGTGGTCATTTGCCAATGGGGGTTCGACGACGAAGCCAACCATTTGCTTTTGCAAAACGAATTGCCTGCTGTTAGATGGGTCGGAGGTCAAGAGCTAGAACTTATAGCGATCGCTACCAAGGGCCGCATTGTTCCTCGTTTTCAAGACCTCTCGAGAGACAAACTGGGTACCTGCGGTAAGATCTATGAACTAGAGTTTGGTACGACAAAGGACCGTATGCTCGCCATCGAAGATTGTTCCAATTCCAAGACCGTCACTTGCTTCTTGCGTGGTTCGAACAAGATGATCGTCGACGAGGCCAAGAGAGCTTTACACGACTCTTTGTGTGTAGTTCGGAATTTGGTCAAGGACTCGAGAATCGTCTACGGTGGTGGCGCTGCCGAGATTACCATGTCCATTGCCGTCTCCGAAGAAGCCGACAAACAACAGGGAATCGACCAATACGCGTTCCGTGGGTTCTCACAAGCGCTTGATTGCATTCCTATGACCTTGGCGGAAAACTCGGGTCTCGACCCAATTGAAACTTTGTCCTTGTTAAAGAGCAATCAAATCAAGGACAAATCTTCAAGTTTAGGTGTCGACTGTTTGGGCAACAACACGAACAGCATGAAGGAGCTGTTCGTTGTGGATCCTTTGATCGGGAAGAAACAACAGATTCTGCTCGCTACTCAATTGTGCCGCATGATACTCAAGATCGACAACGTCATTATCAGCGGTAAAGACGAGTATTGAATTCATCACATACAAGCATTCCATATCATGTAAAAAAAGCCAAAAACTAATGCAAGTGTTCTATCTTGATGATAAACGATTTCTCATGTGAATACGTTACGCGTCTATTTATTTTTGCTATCGTTTTGTTACTCTTAAACCATATTAAACAGACTGAAGTTTCTGACAATGGATGGTCCGTATTCTTCGTAGTCTTTTTTAGTATGACAGTAACTCTTGAACTCCGGTGTTTGGGCAAGCAAAGAACCTCCAAACCATACCGCATTTCTCTGCCTTCTATGGGAAATCACTTCAACATCAACACCGGTAGATTTGGTACCACTCAAAAGCTCACTCTGTGCTATTCTGCTGTTCACGATAGATTTCAAGTCTCTTTGCAAACGACGCCCGAAATCTTTGAACATGGTGGAACCTCCAGAGAGAACAATGTTGTTATACAGCCCTTTACGGACGTCGATTGGACACGCCTGGATCGTTTGATCTACCACCGTAGGCAATGGTGTCAAAAAATCGGAAGTGGCAATTTCCATGTTGAAGAAAATTTCTGGAGCCAAAAACCTTTCATACCCAACGTCCACGACCTTTCTGCTCGTTTTTTCATTGTTTTCAACTATGAATTGCGCAAATTTTTGAGGATCTCTATCGAATTTGTTAAACTCTTGAACAATATCTTTGCACACGTAACAGTACTCCTGTTTGATGCGTTCTGCGGTTCTCAAAGAAGTGTCTGCTTCACCACGCTCCCTCAACATCGACTGGATAAATAGCGTGATGTCTCTACCTGCTATAGGTATGTTCTTGATCGCTGATCCAATCACGTAACCTTCTGCAACCGGGATGACGTGCGTGACACCGTCTCCTGAGTCGATCACAGTACCCGTGAGGGACCTGTCCGTGACTTTTGGTGACGTCCACGACGCAGCCAATGCTAACACGGCTTGAACCGCAATGTAAAGCCCCGCACAGTTGAAACTTTCGAAAAAAATCTCAGCGACTTGTTCCCTGTTTTCAGGTGGATTCAGCGGTGGTTCTGTCATTAAAAAGAAGTGATCTTCGGGTTCAGTTCTGAGATATTTGAAAATCGAATTTTCCCAAAATCTTTCCATGTGATCCCAGTTTTCCACTTGTCCATGACGGATGGGATAACTCAGAGAGTACGAGGGTCCTTGCGATGCGGCCAATGCTTCGTTTCCTATGTAAAAATCCAAATCTTCTGTACCTCTTTTGCCTGCCAAATTGTTCGACAAAAGACTTGACGCTGCCAAATCATTGAAGGACGTTGCTGACGTCGAATTTCCGAAGAACGCATTGCCTCCAGTCGAGGTGCTTTGACTTCCACCGAGACCCGTACTGGCTTTCTTTGTTGTCGAAGGTTGGGCAGTGGCGATGGCAGTTGGGAAAATCCACGACGGAGAATCATTACCGGCAAAACCCAACTTCGTGAGTCCGGTACCATTGTCCATAACAATGGCAGGATTGTTTAAGTACGACATTGTCCGGTCCTGAAAACGTGGGGACGTTAGGTCTATTACCGTGCGTTACCTGCTCAACCTGTTGTAGGTTAGATCGCGGTTTACCTTCTTATTGAAAAGGGGTTCCACCAATACTTCGAAAACTTCAATATATCATATCGAACGCTAATGAGTCGCAAGTGAGTTTCCGTATACAAAGATAGGAATACAACAAGATTCAAAGTTAAACAGTAAACTGGTAAGATAATAGTTGGGAAACTTGGTTGAAGTGGAACTATACCACGAGAGGAAGGAGACTTCATCCATCGATCGGTATTTCATGTTGAAGAGACGCCCTGATATATGGAACAGGAACAAACTGGCCGCAAATGGGCGGTCTGGGGGCAATTCGGGGAAGGATGCAATAGCAGCCGTTGGGGCAGGAACCAGTGCGGCGTCTGCCATTACAATGGCTGATTCGGAGACATCAGACACAGTTTCGGTAAATGGAAGGGCCGGTGGATCGAGAACTGGCAGTAAGGTGGACTCTGACGCGGCTTCCACGGCGTTTGGGCTTATCTTTAACAAGCTCAAGAGCAGTAATGCGCAAGAACGAGGAGCCGCGTCCTTCGAGCTCAAAAACAGCCTTGTCTCAATGGCACGCGAGCTGTCTACAGAACAGTTCCAGCGGTTCAGCAATGATATCAACAACAAGATTTTCGAGCTCATACACGGAGCGAGTGCGAGCGAAAAATACGGAGGGATTTTGGCGGTCGACGTTCTCATAGATTTTTATGCTCAATCGGACGAACTGCCGAATCAGACGTCACGACTCGCAAATTATCTGCGAGTGTTGGTTCCTTCGAGCGATGTCGGAGTGATGGCTGCAGCCGCGGCGACTCTGGGCAAACTCGCGTCGCCTGGAGGCACTTTGACATCAGATTTCGTTGAATTCGAGGTAAAAACGTGCATAGAGTGGCTGACTACTTCTCCCGAGAACTCGTCTTCAAACTCCAAGCAGGAGTATCGAAAACACGCGTCTTTACTCATCATCACCGCCATTGCGCACAGTTCGCCGTATTTACTGTACCCTTACATCAATTCTATCCTCGACAACATCTGGCGTGCTTTGAGAGATGGAAAACTTGCCATTCGCGTGGACGCTGCCGATATGCTAGGAAGCTGTTTAAGCATTATTCAGGATAGAGACTCCAAACTAACCAAAAAATGGTTTCAACGATTACTCCAGGGTTGCGCTTATGGGCTCCAATTGAACACCAACGAATCTATACACGGGACCTTACTGGTGTATCGCCAACTATTGACGTTAAGAGGCACGCATTTACAAGAGCAATTTGATGAAATATATGACACAACGATGAGGTACAAGGACCATAGATACAGCGTTATCCGGAAGGAAATTTATTCGATCTTGCCCCTACTGGCCGCTGCGTATCCGGAATTATTTAATGAAAAGTACCTCGATTACACGATGATTCATTATTTGACTCTGTTGAAAAATATGCATACGACGCCCTCAAACAGTTCAGACAAAGCGGCTATTCTAGTATCTATCGGTGATATTGCATTCCAGGAGAACTCAAATATTGCTCCATACATGGATTCTATCCTAGATAATCTAAGAGATGGACTGATGACTAAGTTCAAAGTACGGAGAGAATTCGAGAAAGAAATATTTTACTGCATTGCGAAATTGGCCTGTGCTGTTGGTCCAATTTTAGCTAAGCATCTGAATCAGGATTTGTTGGGACTCATGCTCGCTTGCCCCTTATCGGATTACATGCAAGAGACACTAATAACAATCACCGAAAATGTACCCGCCCTGGCACCCGTGGTCAACGAAAAAGTCCTCGATTTGATCTGCTTTGTTTTATCGGGCGACAAGTTCAGATCACCGGGGTCACCCGTACCTCTAAAAGAACTCGACGCCGCAAAGGCACGCAGTTATAGAGATCAAATCTTCATGCAAAAGACCGGCGAAACAAACGATGAGACTTTAGATGCCCAGATGCTCACACAAGCTTTGAAAATGTTGCATACCATAACTTACAAGTATTCTTTGGCCGACTTCGTAAGGCTCATCACCATTTCGTATGTCGAGCACGAAAATCCACAAGTCAGGAAGCTTGCCGCGTTGACGTCGTGCGACCTTTTCGAGAAAGACTCGATATGCAAGCAAACCTCCCTCCACGCTCTCAACACTGTGTCTGAAGTACTGAGTAAGCTGCTCACGATCGCGATTACAGACCCCGTCGTTGAGATTCGTTTCGAGATATTACGGCATTTGGACAAAAACTTCTATCCTCAGCTGTCTCAACCCGATAATGTACGGCTTTTATTCATGGCTCTCAACGATGAGGTGTTTGCTATTCAAATGGAGGCAATGAAAACCATAGGCTGCCTTTCTGCCGTTAATCCAGCTTACATCGTACCTTCGTTGAGAAAAACGCTATTGCAGTTGCTCACTCAGCTCAACTATTCCGGAATGGCAAGGAAAAAAGAAGAGAGCGCAGCTTTGATCACAGCATTGATTAGTTCGAGCAAGGATGTAAGCAAACCTTATATCGAGCCCATATTAGATGTGTTACTTCCAAAATGTCAGGATACTTCTTCTGCCGTCGCGTCGACTTCACTGAAAGCGATCGGTGAGCTTTCAGAAGTAGGAGGTGAGGAAATGATTGCTTTTCTTGATCAATTAATGCCGCTGATTATTGACACATTCCAAGATCAATCAAATTCATTCAAGAGAGATGCTGCGCTCAAAACTTTGGGCCAGCTGGCCGCTTCGTCCGGATATGTCATACAACCACTCTTGGATTATCCACAATTGCTCGGGGTCCTGATAAATATTTTGAAATCTGAAAGCTCTCAGAATGTTCGGCGCCAAACCGTACGCCTGATCGGTGTACTGGGAGCCTTAGATCCTTACAAGCACAGAGAAATTGAAAGAACGTCCAATACTAAAATATCCCTTGAGCAAAATGCCCCTCCTATTGATGTAGCTCTATTGATGCAAGGAACTTCTCCTTCGAACGAAGAGTACTATCCAACAGTTGTTATTGCAACCCTAATGAAGATTTTAAAAGATCCTTCGCTATCAAATCATCACACGTCAGTGATACAAGCCGTAATGCACATTTTCCATACTTTAGGATTAAGATGTGTTTCCTTTTTGAAGCAAATTATACCTGGGATCATCAATGTGATGCACTCGTGTCCACCTTCTCTCCTGGAGTTTTATTTCCAACAGCTAAGCCTGTTGGTAACAATTGTGAAGCAACATATCAGACCTTACGTTAGTGAAATCTTTGACGTCATTGAGGAGTTTTTCCCGATAACCAAGCTTCAAGTGACCATCATAACACTTCTCGAATCAATCTCGAAGAGTTTGGAAGGTGAGTTCAAGAATCACATGCCCACCACTTTGATGCTTTTTCTGGATGTGCTCGAGAAAGACAAGTCAAACAAAAAGGTTGTTTCGGTCAAAATATTGAAGGCCTTGATTGTATTTGATTCGAATTTGGAGGAATTTGCGCATTTGATTGTACCATCTATCATCAAGATGGCAGAATACGGTCCGGGCTCTCTCAATAAAGTAGCGATAGTCACTTTGGGCAGGCTCGCCAAGAGTATCAATTTGTCAGAAATGTCATCCCGCATAGTTCAAGCTCTAATCAGGGTCTTGAAAAGTGGTAATACTGAGCTCATAAAAGCTACAATGAATACGTTGAGCTTATTGCTTCTCCAGCTGGGAACTGACTTCACGGTTTTCGTCCCTGTTGTTAACAAGACGCTAGTAAGAAACCATATCCAACACTCGGTTTACGATCAGTTAGTCAGTAAGTTACTGAGCAGGGAGCCCCTGCCTACAAATGTTGTAGTCGACAGAGATTATGAGGCACCAACAAAAGTTGCTGACGATGGAGATCTCCCATCTAAAAAGTTACCGGTCAACCAGCTAGTCCTAAAGAATGCTTGGGATTGCAGTCAACAAAGAACGAGAGAAGACTGGCAGGAATGGATACGTCGTTTGTCCATTCAGCTCCTTAAAGAATCACCTTCTCACGCCTTGCGAGCTTGTTCCGGTTTAGCGGGGATCTATTACCCTTTGGCTAGGGAGCTTTTCAATGCCTCCTTTGCTAGTTGCTGGACAGAGCTGTATACGCAGTATCAAGAGGATTTTGTACAGTCATTATGTCTGGCGCTATCCTCGCCCAACAATCCTCCCGAGATCCATCAAACGCTTCTCAATCTCGTTGAGTTCATGGAGCATGATGACAAGCCTTTACCAATACCCATACCTACTCTTGGCGAATATGCGCAAAGATGCCACGCGTATGCAAAGTCCTTGCATTACAAGGAGCTTGCTTTCATTCAAGAACCAAGTGCGTCTACAATTGAATCTCTCATCAGCATTAACAATCAACTGCATCAAACCGATGCGGCAATAGGTATATTGAAGCACGCACAGCAGCATCACGATCTTCAACTAAAGGAAACGTGGTATGAGAAGCTGCAAAGGTGGGAAGACGCTCTAAGTGCATATAATAGACGGGAAGAAGCTGGTGAAAATACGATTGAGGTTACGATGGGTAAGATGAGATCTTTACATGCGCTTGGGGAATGGGATCAACTTTCGGAGCTTGCGGCGCAAAGGTGGGCATCCGCTAAAATTGACATTAAGCGCGCGATAGCACCATTAGCTGCTGGTGCAGCTTGGGGTTTGGGACAGTGGGAGAGAATTGAGCAATATATTGATGTGATGAAAGAGCAGTCGCCGGACAAGGCGTTCTTCGATGCGATATTGTGCTTGCATAGGAATAACTTTGAAAAAGCGGAAAGGCATATCTTTGAAGCCAGAGACTTGCTGGTAACCGAAATTTCGGCTTTAATAAATGAAAGTTATAACCGAGCATATAGTGTCGTTGTTCGGTCGCAAATGATTTCTGAGCTTGAGGAAGTTGTGCAGTACAAGAAACTACCGCAGGCTTCAGAAAAGAAGGCAATGATAAGAAAGACATGGCACAAGAGATTATTAGGGTGCCAAAAGAATGTTGATGTATGGCAAAGGATTCTGCGAGTGAGGTCTTTAGTGGTAAAGCCAAAACAAGACATGCAAATCTGGATCAAGTTTGCTAATCTGTGCCGGAAATCTGGTAGGATGGGATTGGCGCAGAAAGCGCTAAACTCGCTCCTCGAAGAAGGTGGAGATCCGGATTATCCGAACACGGCCAGAGCTCCTCCTCCAGTCGTTTACGCTCAGTTGAAGTATATGTGGGCAACTGGATCCCAGAGGGATGCGTTGCGGCATCTGATTAGCTTCACCTCCAGAGTCGCTCATGATTTAGGCCTCGATCCAAGCAACATGATCGCTCAAAACGTTTCTCAAACGGGACCTTATTCCGCGCACCACATCGACGACTACACCAAGTTGTTAGCTCGATGCTTTTTGAAACAGGGTGAATGGCGTGTTCAACTACAACCCAATTGGAGGAAGGAAAATCCGGATACAGTTTTGGGCTCTTACTTGCTTGCGACCCATTTTGACAATACATGGTACAAGGCCTGGCACAATTGGGCGTTGGCAAACTTTGATGTCATTTCTTTGGCAACTGCTAGGGCAAAGAATAACACTTCGGATATGAGCAACGGGCACGACAGAATTGAAGAAATTGCCGAAAATGACGAGGGGAAGCATGACAACTCAAGTTCCCACGATCCAATTGTTATGGGGGTCGATTCGGCTCAAGCGGCAAGCGTGCATTATCCTGCAGAACTTATCCAGCGCCATGTCGTTCCAGCCATCAAAGGGTTCTTTCACTCAATATCATTATCGGGCTCTAATTCTCTGCAAGACACTTTGAGACTTCTCACATTGTGGTTCACTTTTGGTGGTATTCCAGAAGCAGCGCAGGCAATGCACGAGGGTTTCAATTGGATCAAAATTGACAACTGGCTTGAAGTAGTTCCACAACTGATCACGCGTATTCATCAACCCAACCAGACAGTGAGTAAATCTTTACTGTCGCTCCTCTCAGATTTAGGCAGAGCCCACCCTCAGGCTTTGGTGTATCCCCTTACCGTTGCCATCAAGTCTGAATCCGTATCAAGACAAAAAGCGGCCTTGTCGATCATTGAGAAAATGAGAATTCATAGCTCAGTCCTTGTCGATCAGGCTGAGCTGGTCAGTCATGAGCTTATCAGAGTTGCAGTCTTATGGCATGAGCTTTGGTACGAGGGTCTTGAAGATGCCAGTCGTCAGTTTTTCGGCGAACACAATACTGAGAAAATGTTCTCGACTCTCGAACCCCTCCATGAAATGTTGAAGAGAGGTCCCGAAACTCTCAGAGAACTGTCTTTCCAAAACTCATACGGACGAGATTTGAATGATGCGTATGAATGGGTAATGAACTACAAAAGAAGCAAGGATATTACAAATCTAAATCAAGCATGGGACATTTACTATAACGTATTCCGTCGCATAACGAGACAGTTGCCCCAACTTCAGACTTTAGAGTTGCAACATGTGTCGCCAAAACTTATGGCAGCACACGATCTTTCTTTGGCTGTCCCTGGCACGTACCAACCGGGCAAGGAAGTCGTCAAAATATCATACTTCGAGCCTATTTTTTACATTATATCTTCCAAGCAAAGGCCAAGAAAGCTGTCGGTGAAAGGGTGTGATGGCAAAGATTACCAATATCTTTTGAAAGGGCATGAAGATATTCGACAGGATAATCTAGTCATGCAATTATTTGGTCTTGTCAATACGCTGTTGCAAAATGATCCTGAGTGTTTTCGGAGGCATCTCGACATTCAACGGTACGCAACAATTCCCCTATCTCCAAAATCTGGGCTTCTCGGATGGGTTTACAACAGTGATACGTTCCATGTTCTCATTCGTGAACACCGCGAAGCTAGAAAAATACCACTTAATATAGAGCACAGGATTATGCTGCAGATGGCCCCCGACTACGACACACTTACACTTCTGCAGAAAGTAGAAGTTTTCACATATGCCCTCGACAACACCAAGGGAGAAGATTTGTACAAGGTGTTGTGGTTGAAAAGTAGATCTTCAGAATCTTGGCTTGAGCGGCGTACGACGTACAACAGATCGCTTGCAGTCATGTCTATGGTTGGTTACATCTTAGGTCTCGGAGATCGTCATCCAAGCAATCTCATGCTCGATCGTATCACTGGGAAAGTTGTTCACATTGATTTTGGTGATTGTTTTGAGGCTGCAATCTTGAGAGAAAAATATCCCGAAAAGGTTCCTTTCCGCCTCACAAGGATGCTTACTTATGCTATGGAGGTCAGCGGAATTGAAGGTAGTTTCCGCATTACTTGTGAAAACGTGATGCGTGTTTTAAGAGACAACAAAGAGTCTTTGATGGCAATATTGGAAGCCTTCGCATACGATCCATTAATCAATTGGGGGTTCGATCTGCCTACTCAAGCCATTGCAGAGCAAACAGGAATAGAACTTCCTTTAACGAGTCCCGGCGAATTGCTCAGAAGAGGTGCGATTTCCGTAGAGGAAGCAGCCAAACTTGCTCTGAAACAAAAGGCAGAAGTTCGAAACGCAAGAGCCACTCTCGTATTGAGAAGAATCACAGACAAACTAACAGGTAACGATTTCCCTAGATCCCGTGAGCTCAATGTTCCGGATCAAGTCGAAAAACTGATTCAACAGGCAACGTCGGTGGAAAACCTCTGTCAACATTATATCGGTTGGTGCTCCTTTTGGTGAGGGCATTCAGCACGCAAGTTTTACTGGGCGTTAATTTGTAAAGTATCTCTTCTTCAACTCGTCAACCGTGTGTAACCATTTGTCTATTATCCTGTGCTCGCCAGAATCTGACGCTATCAACTCGCAATTTTCAGTAAATTCACTCTTGCTCAGAATCTTGGATATGCCAAGTTCCCTTTTGGCCTGCTCATTCTTCTGAAGCAGAGATTTGTCGTCTTCACCATATAGAACCGAAAGCATGTGAAGAGTTCCAATTATATATCCAACTTTTATTCCCAGTGTAGAACCTTCAGGAAAAGAGGCGTTGAACCCAGTTTGAAGGTTTTCCTCTTTAGAAGATGTGATTCCGTCCAAATAGCCACGCTTGGAATGGCTATATCTAAGCTTTTTAACTTCCGGAGATTCGTTCTGGGCATGCGATGAGGTGTCATCGTAAAAGTCATCGGTCCAGATGTCATTGACGGAGGTCATGGTTCAAGAATGTAAGCGACAGTTTCCAGAGTAGAGTATTGATGTGATAATGGTTGACAGCTATGAATCATCAAGCTACTTGATATATGAGTACATTTGGGAAGCTTCCTCCAGAGGTCATCTGTGATGGATATTACGATAGTGTCGTTACAAGTGATGTTATCGATGAGCAAATTAAACTGAAGACGCTTACAGCGTAAAGCTCGCGTCTATGCTCTCTTTGGAAATAGCAGAACAATTCAAAATGCTGCTGAATACAAACTCGGACAGGGTTCTCAATGAATGATTGAGTTTATAAATATGACCACGTGATTCCTTTAGTCCCGTGACTTTTATTACTATAATCTTCTCATAGTCCTGTACGTTTCTTAGTGAGATTTAAATCCACTCTATGGCGTGAATCAGTTTCTTTTTTTTGTCTAAAACGCTCCACATGGTTTCCTTTTTGATTCATATCAATTTTGGTTTTACCAGAGAAGTTAATTGTTCACTTCAAGCAGGAAAACACGAGTACCTTAGTACCAGGCGAACAAAAATGAACTATATTGAAGTTGAAAAACCGACTGTGAATAGCGAACTTTCAAGCATAAACCCCGTGCTTGGTTTTTAGGATGTCTGACTATACACAATCACACGATCACTAAAGAATCCGGACCACGTGATGAGGATGACAGATTCTTCAAAGGTTGTAACAAAACACCGTGGAAGTGAAGACAAGTGTTGACCAACATTTTAACACGTATGAATGCTCAGAAATGATCTTCGTTGCTTTCTAAAAGGCTGTCTTCCTCTGAATTATACATAAAAACTCTCGGGGACGTGGCCCTTAGCCGTTCTTTAATTGGAAAGGGCTCTTTTAAAGTAAAGCATTGCAATACGTGGCAATTTAGTACTCAGTAACTGTTGGAAGGAGCTGGCAAGAAGATGATATCGTTCGATTGCACTATCACGTGATCGATATGACAGAATAAAATTAGAGGACTGGACAGACGGTAGGCATTCCGCGAAAGAGCTAGAAGCTAAAACAGGTCCATTGACAGTTCTAGAATCATCAGAACATCGTGATCAGGTCATATGTGGTATGATGAATCACGTATGGTGAGAATTCACCGTCTAGTTTGAAGAAAGTAACGGATTCCAAATTGGGAACAATATTACAAGAATTGTATAAAAGGAGCTGATATGACCAGAATCGTAGTGTTCATGGTCGTAAGATAGCCACTGAGAGATACAAGTACTCAATTCCTTATCAGCTTTGTTATTTAGATCAATTATGAACGAATTAAATGAACAGTTCAGAAATCTATCAACCACCGACAATGATAAACCTCAACATATTTGTCAGGGAAAACTTACGATAGGAGATATCGTAAAGCTACATTAAGGGTTAGGTCACATCACGTCATTAAATGACAGAATGCCAGCAGAAAAGCTCGGACAGGTTGAGCCATGAGGAAGCTGCGAGCTCCAGTAATCTCAGTGATAGTCATTCAACTACAATATCATCAAAACAAGGACTTATATGTATAATTCAAGCATGAGGCGAAGTCTTCAGTCTGTTCTTCACCAGAAATTAACAGGCGATAAAAGTAAAGTGTACTACAAGGGGATACAACGATTTTCAAAGGATTGAATTCGTCAAGGTAATTACGGAAAAAAATTAGTACTCAATATCTAATTTGATTGAAAGGAAGCTACACGTAGACTGACGCATTTAGAAAACCATGTTTCCACGAAGCGGGTCAACGTCAGTGGCTTTGCTTCGCTGCTATGCATGCTGATCACTACACTGACCTACGATGGCACAAGATCATTTTGTATTATTCTGTCGTAACAATCACGTGACAAATAAAACTTTTATACTTTGAGCCTCATATTTTCCAAAAGTCCAGCGGCTCCATTGCCAGATCCTCTGCTGTCCAATTTGTACGGAATTGCAAGTAACGTGGTCCGACCTGCCCAAAATTTTGCAATAAGAGTACAATTATGTTACAATCGTTTTGATGCTCAGCAAGCACGTTAAACCAGGCCAAGCAATATTTCGACAGATTGAGAGGATTCGAATCTCCGCTATATCACGCAGATCTGCTTGCATAACATGCTGGTATACACCACGACAGGTTTCTTTTATTTAGATTTCACATTATCCAGTAATTAAAGAAAATAGTCTTTTTTACGCAAAATGGTCACTATTGGACCATATCACAGCCATGTATTTCTATAATATGCAAACCAACAAAAGGGTTTCTTTTATTCCCTTTCACTCACCCGCATCGGATCATTACGGTCGTTCTCTGTCTAAATGCATGAATTATCAAAGTTGCCACGTGATTTTCTTGGATTAAAGATCAACTAACCATCTCATGAGATTCTGAATGTATTGAATCACACTTGACAAGCATTAGAAGGCGCCATTTCTTTGTGTGAATCGTATATGAGCTCAGAAGGTCCATTTGCCAAGAGGGCCAAACTCAATTCGTCAACTGGTAGTGCGGAGTCCAAGCCTTGGGTCGAAAAATATCGTCCTAGGAAGCTAGAAGATGTTGCGGCTCAAGATCATACAATTACTGTTTTGAAGAAGACATTACAGTCTGCAAATCTTCCGCATATGCTTTTTTATGGTCCACCGGGTACAGGTAAGACATCAACAATTCTCGCCCTAACCAAAGAGCTTTACGGGCCAGAACTCGCCAAGACAAGAGTCTTGGAGCTAAATGCATCCGATGAACGTGGTATTGCCATTGTGAGAGAGAAGGTCAAGAATTTTGCACGTTTGACAGTGTCTAAGCCTTCGAAAAAGGATCTTGAACAGTATCCTTGTCCGCCTTATAAAGTCATTATCCTAGATGAGGCAGATTCCATGACCGCGGATGCCCAGAGTGCACTTCGTCGAACCATGGAAAATTATTCTAACGTTACCAGATTCTGCCTTATTTGTAATTATGTGACCAGAATCATTGACCCGTTAGCTTCGAGATGCTCAAAGTTTAGATTCAAAGCTTTGGATTCGAACAACGCATTGGCTCGTGTCACTCAGGTTGCCACGCAGGAAAATTTGATTTACGAAAAAGGCGTGTTGGAGAAAATACTGGATCTTTCGCAAGGTGACCTTAGAAGAGCCATCATGTTGCTACAATCGTCTTCCAAAATTGTCAAACATTTGGAAACCCCCGAGATAACGGCTCTTACCGTCGATGAGTTAGCAGGAACCATACCAGAAGATTTGATGGAAAATTTGGTATCGATTATATCTGGGGCAGACTTAAGCCGCATTTCGGAGTACATAAATGGGTTGATGAGAAGTGGATGGAGTGGAGCAGCTGTGGTTAACCAGTTACACGAATATTACATCAGTCATAAAGAACTCTCAACAGCTTTCAAGAACCAAGCTGCGTGGAATCTTTTTGATACGGATTCAAAATTAACAAACGGTACAAACGAGCACTTACAATTGCTGAACCTGGCGTTTGGGATCGCAGAGCTACATAGAAAGGAAATTTAGTCTTAAAGATTTGTAATGGAAACCACTCCCGTTTGCTCTGTGTTGTGCTCCGGTAATGTGAGTTCATTTCACTTTTGTTGCATGTTGCTCTGGACATTTTGAGGAGGAGGGCGCGCGGATGCGTTTGGAGTTGGATTATAATTGAAATTGGGGAACCCTGCTCCTGGGGGTGCAAAATATCCGTGAGGAGGTAGCACTCCATTCATTTGCAAAGGGATATCTGGGATCATTCCTGGAGGTGCGCCCTGCATGGAAACAAACCCAGGTGGTGGCACGCCAGGTGCCCCTGCCACGTAGGGTGGTTGACGTGGTTGTCGCGTTCCGCGACCCATTCGATTCCCATCCTGTCCAGCTATCTCGTTCTGAAAGACTTGTTGGGGAATTTGGACTCCCGGTGGGGCTTGAAAAGGTGAAAACCCTGGAGGTGGGGGTATGTTCATGGAAGGCTGACCCATAGTATGAAGCATGTTGAGCGGAACACCCATAGGGAAATTTTGAAAATTACCTTGGGACTTGCCTCCTGACACTCTTGACAAGCCTGGAGGTCCGGGTGGACCTGGTGGACCCGGTGGTACTTGTGTTTTTTGAGATCCCGGTAAAGAAATGGAGACTGAGCCAGGTCCTGGAACTTGGGCTCCCGTGTGCCTTGCGTTAGTAGCTGAAGATGCGGCTAAGTTTCCTTCATTGAGAGCAGGTTTACTTCCGAAAGAAGATGTTAGTTCAGGCGTTTGGAGGTCATCGAAAGCCTTTCCTTTGTTGAGCAAATTTTGGAAGAATGAAGTGTTGGTTTGCTCTTTTGGGGGTACTGGAGTGCCCGATTTGTTAGACTCAGTACCACTATTGGACGTTTCAGCTGTAATTTTATTTGAATTCTGAGCGTTAGACTGCTCAGGTCTGTCGAAAAAGGAGAGAATCCTTGAACCAGACGTTAAGGGTTCCTCTTTTTCCCTAGGTGTCAAGGGCTTGTTGATGGGGGTCTCATTTATATTCGGGGTTGAAGATGATGCGGAATTGAAGAACGAAGAAAACCTCGAATGTGAGCATTTTGAAGTGTCAGAACGATTGTCTGAAGGTTCTAGCTCTTCAAAGTTGGAGCTACCTTCTTTTTTCAAATTGAAAAAATCCGAGAAAGAGCTTCCATTAGTATGCGCAAGAGACGGTCTGGAAGGTTCTGTCTCTTCTTTAAGTGCAATTCCTTTCTTCTTACGCTCTAATTCTCGCATTTTTGCTTTCCAGTTTTCGAAATCAGATATGGTATTGCCAGTGGGCTTAATTTCTTCTTCAAGTGCAAGCAAATCGTCATTATTAACTTTTATGTCTTTTTCCTCAACGAAATGTTTGTCATTCTTAGAAAATCGGCTCCCACGCCTTGAACTTCTTGAGTTTCTGTGCTTTCTTTTGTCAAGCGCAACGGGTTCCCCGCTGTCGCTGGACACCCTAGCCGAATTTTCTGCTCGCCTGACATCTGGATGCCGGCTCGTAAGACGCCAGAATCCCTTTTTTGGCAATGACGCGGTGATTGTTGCTGTCAATTCTGGAGTAACGCTTTTGCTTAAGTTTTGCAGTTCTTCAATGCTGTAAATATACGCTTTCGTAGAGTCAACAGGCTTGTATGTCGAGCTGTAAAGCTCTTGTCCAGCTTCATCACCTATCGTACCATTGCGTGTGTTTTCCGTGGCAGTCGTTTCTCCCTTTAATCTCTGCATAAACGCATTGACATCGTCTGAAACTACCAAGTTCTTATTGGATCCACCAGATCCGGCGCCACTGGAACCCTTTGTAGCGGAAATGATTGCAGGATCGTTGATTTCAATGGACATATGTGTTGTTTAGGTTTATCCTCGTGATTTCGACCAAATTTAGCCCTAAAAAGCGTTTGAAAAGCTGAAAAAAAGCTTAATGAATAAAGTCAACGCACTCTAACTCGTGGCGTACAAATTTAAAGAATTCAAAGGGTCCGTGCGATCATAAATTCACTTAGAATTTTGATAAAAGGGGTCCTTAATGGTTTTACTAGAAAATTTTGCCTCTATTATCAATATCGAATCGCTTACGTACACAGTGATATCATACGTTCTTGTATATATACTGACACTCTCACTGGGAAAATGATAGGATATGATATGATATGATCATGAGACAGCACTACTAATCCGCTGACAGGATCATACTCGGCCGACATACTCCCGGATGAATTTTTCATGATCATATCTCTAATGCTGATGACTTTAATGCACTTTCTTTTATCTGGAGACAAAAGAGAAAAATATTAGGAACCAACTTCCAATTTTAGCGAAAATTTGCCACATGGGTAGAGCGTTAATCCCTTTCGCGCCTTTCTGGGTCCGTTTTTCAGGTAGTGATGTTATTGATGAAACTGACGAAATATTTTTCAAAAGTCTTCTCATCCATTGTCGCCAGCGCCTGGACAAAATCCAAAGACAATTCTGGAGGAAATTGGATTTGAGGTAGATAAATTTCGTTTAGGAATCGTAAACATTCGTTTTGATTAACGTCGCCATGAATGGAACGTAGGGCGCTCAGAACTCGCGACAGGTCACACGCAACGACTCGACAGCTACCATCTTGAATGTTGAATCCGTACTCTGCTTTGAACGGTATCTCGAATACCAATGGCACGACTTTGGCGATGAAATATTCACTTAAACCTTCGATTTTATCAAATGTTGGTGGACATCCAGAGTCTGGCAATTGCGAATCACTGCAGGATCCCGTGCCGAAAATCTTGACGAAACTTACCAAAACACTTAATGAGAGTTTCATGGATGAGGTTTCGTGAATATCTTCCGTGGTGTAGGTTACCAGGTCCTCAAGTATTGTAGGCAACAGGTTTTTGTTCGTTTCTGTCACGAAGAGAGGTGCCATACTGTTGGAAATTAAAGATTGCAAGAAATTGTAATACGCCTTTTTCAGGGACACTTTCTCCCTAATTGTATCCGTTATCACCACGTTTTTCCCGTTTGATGCTCTGGGTTCACCCACGATAGCTGCGGACGCTGCCACAACATTTGGAGTCTCTGAGGCCAAGAGTAACGTGTCAAAGACTTTTTTGATCACTGGGCCCAAAAGATTGTTCAGCAATTGAAAACAGGCGTCTTTGTTGGCGAACATATGCACAATTTGACCTAAGAAGCCCAAGAAATCGGTCAATTCAATTACTTTCATTTCGCAATTTAGGAAAATTGAAATGAGCCTGCTCGCAAATGGTAGAATCTCGTCGCTCAAAATTGGGATCAAACGTGCAAACGAAAATCTGGCAGCATCGCGAATGACTTCGTGTCTGTTGAAATAGGAAAGCGTTACCAAAATGACCTCAGCAACATTGTAAAATTTTTCGATCAATGACCGTTGGAAAAGTGCACCGCTGACGTTGGCGTTGTTCACTTGACTCTCAGGTACTATACCAAAGTGGACACCGCGTGTAATAGTTCCGACCGCCATGAGAACATGATGCGTTTGAAGCACAACGTCGGGTGACTTAATTGGAGCAGAAATGCAGTTCTCGAGATCGGAAAAAAGTGGAACTAAAGTAGCATCCAAGAGTTCATAGGTTGTGAGTTCGCTAGAACCTATTAGGATCCCGACACCTTCAAATAAGTAGAGTTGATTGTCAAACGTTGTGTCAATATCGCCAGTGCCTGGGTTTTGATCAGCAGCTTTGATAGGCAAGAGTTGAAGAACCTTAGACAAAAGGTCTGACAAAATGGAATTTTCCAATTTGGGCTTGGTGCATTTCACAAATCGCGAGAAAAGATACCAAGACCTTAACCGGACTCTCTCTTTGGCGCTGAACATCCCAAAAGGACTGCAAAAAATGCTCAAAATGTTACTTTCGGAAGTTTGAACATTGGTTAGAAATATGTGATGTCTAACAATTAATTCAAAAAAGGAAATCTGTATTAGCGCGTTTTCAATTTGGAAGATTTTGGGATCATTCAAAAAAGTGGATAGAAATTTGCAGAACACATTATGTGGTTCCGATGTGAAAATGTCCTTCTTGCTAAGACCAAATAAATTATTCCGGATGCTCTCTGCGAGGTTATGCATTTGAAACAACGCCAATTCCAAGTCTCTCCAATCGTTACTAGTTTGGAGACTGCTTATGTTGTTAGAAATGCTTTGTAAGAAAATGCTGGGGTTTATAATCACTATGCTGTCTTGAAAAACTTTTAATTTTGATCTTATTGTCTCGTTAAATTCGTCAAGCTCATCTATAGAGTCTTCGTCACAAGTTTCGTCAATGCGCATTTTTTTGAAACAAACCGCAGTTAATGCAATGAGAAAGTCTTGGTGTTCTTGGTCTAATGGTATACGCTTTGAATTCAAAGCGATGGCGCTTCCGGGTTTACCGCCTATTGCAAACGCTTTTTTCAAAAAAATGAGATACTGGGAAATGCAGGGGAAACACTGTTGTGTGACAGAGTCGTATTCATGTTCCAGGAATTTTAAAATGAGCGGAGATACATGTGTTATGATTTCATGATCGGCTGCGGCGGCGATTTCTTGGAGTTTGGCATCGCCGCTACTATCGTTGCATTGCTCGATGATGATGGATAGTTCTAGCCCGACGGAAGTGGCAAGTCGAGCAAGTTGTTCTTGTATTTCCACAGCGTCATTGCCAATTTCTGCCACTTTTTCCGTCAGGTTAAGCATGGACAAAAGGGCGAGTTTCTCGTCAGGTTTCATCTTTTTGGAAACGATTTCGCACAAACATTGTGCACATGCGATTTTGGAGTCACGATAGTCCAAAAATTGGATAATGTGATTGATGTATTCCGGGTTTACGACCAAGTTTATATCTATCCATGAAATGTAGGACCCGATGCATGAAAGTGACAAATTTGCAGAATGATATGACGATTGCTGTAATCCATACGATTTCAGCACGTTGAGCCACAAATTTGCAAGCAATTGTACGTCGCCAACGCGCATTTCATCTTTCAAAAGATTGTTTTTGTTCTGAATATCCTTGGATCTCACAAACGTTTGATCGGCGATTTCAGTGTTGATGAAAAGACAGATCTTGAGGTAAAAATCCAGTCCCAATTGTGAAAAATTGGTCCCCGCGGCACTTGCAAGTACAGGCTCGATTTTCAACACGCTTGCCAACTCTTGAAAAAAATGAGGCCATCTATTGCCATTGGAGCTACCGTACATGCAATAAAAAAGTCGCGACGCAAATTCCGCAATTTTGTTACGCACATATTCGGGATCTCGTACATCTGCTGCGACTTTCTGTGCCAATATCCCGAGACATGCTTGCTTCATAAACTGGAGTTGGGGCTCGCCACTTTGAATCACAAGATCACTGAGCGCTTGCAACGCCACGAATTTCGAAATTTCCGTGCTGTTTGCATCTTCCAGCAACGACGAAAACACCTGTGCGGCCGTCTCGCTGGCTTTTGCTTGTTCTAAAAACTCAAGCGCTTGTTTCTTGAGTTCCACGTCTGTTGTTGCCGAATTCGCAACCTCAACTGCTCGCTGGATTTGCTGGATCATACTTTTTTCGAGCTCTGCCTGTTCACGCCGTCTTAATTTTCAAGACTGTGCACCTGAGTACCTCCTGTTGTTCCTTCCCTCGTCCCCGAAACTATCAAATGATGAGTCAAATTTCGCCCGCAAATTCACCAAATCTTGCTCCTTTTTCGAGTTTAAACCTGCCTAAGACTCCGTGCAAAAGTCTAGACGCTAAATTCTCACCAATTTTAGCTCCCAACCGAGCTTTATGCCTCTTATATCAGCCAAAGAATCGGTGTTGAAACCTACGATCTTATATCACTACTCATCAGTGTGAAAACTTTTTTTTCACTTAGGCGTAACGCTTTGTGGAGAAAATGATAATCTTGAACCGCCAAAATTAGATGTGCGGGTAATAAATCAGGTCTTAGTCACGTGATTCTATATAAGTCGTTTTGTACGCTTTGATCGCGTGATTCTTTGTTGTGTCACGTGATAGTTGGTTCGCATTTTACCAACGAGAATCCATTACCCACTAGCGCTACTCACTACCCGCTACCCATTTCCCACCAGTCATTCCCATTTACTTATTTCCCACTAGTCATTACCGTTTGCTCGTCGAGCTTATTGTGAGTGACCATTTAAGTAACTCATTGCACACGTCATCGACGACATTCCAACAACACTGAATTATTGTAGCAGTTTGAAAAGCAGTTGGCACCTGATTTGTAGTTGACGTTTGTCTTGCGAATTTTGCCGATTTTCTGCGCTTTCTGGTTTTTCCCTGGCGGCTGGGTAGGTCGAGATGGAAATGGCTTTGCTTGGGAAGACTTAGGACCTGGTATTTTCTTGCCCGTTGGAGAGAAACATTACGCGCCTATCAATACGCTTTACGTGGTTAAGGCTATATATGACTGGCGGAGGAATCTCCGCTTAGGATTTACCTTGCAAATGCATCTTCAACTTCGCAAAAGCGCGACCCCGTTGTGAAATCAAATTCTTCTGTTCTTTGGCCATCTCTGCATAGGTCTCTCCGCTGCCCTCATTGGGCTGGAAAATACAATCCCAACCAAACGTACGAGACCCACGCGGCGTGTTCACGATCGTACCGGCAGTGATACCCTGGAACGTGTGGAATTCGCCCTTGTTGTCCGCATACACAACCGTGGTCACCGCTTTCGCGCCTCGGTTCTCAAATCCGTTCAACATCTGTGCGACTTTTTCGACTCCCATGCTCTTCACAAACCATTTGATGTATGCACCTGGGAGCCCATTGAACTCATCGAAGCACAACGCCGTGTCCTCAACAAACACCGCTTGACCCGTTGGCAATTTCTGTACGGCTTCTTTGCACTTGGTCAGTGCGATTTCTTCGAGATTTGCGCCTTGAACTTCTTCTAGATCCAAGTTCATGTTTCTGATCGTAAACGAGGGCTTCTGAGCTCCATCGTTCGCCAAAAGCATACGAACTTCGTTCAGCTTGTTTACATTTCCCGTAATGAAGACTATCTCATTGGAAGCCATCCTGAACTGCGAGGTTTCTCGTTTTCCCTGTCTTTTGCTCCTCACTAAAGTGTCGATGATATGCTATTGACTTTATATCTGGGAACTTTTATAGTAATGAAACAGTTAAACAAATTTATTAAACCATGGAAACTAAACATCGCTAACAATGGCGAGTCATTTGGCCATGGGAGGTATCCAAAGTCTAGTATTTCGAATTTTGGTTAATATACAGTGTTGTTTGATAGAAGTTGTCGAACAGAGTTTATCCGGGCATGTTGTTCCGGCTAGGGGTTTTTCCGACCAGAGTTTTTCCGACTAGGGTTTCTTCGGACTTTCAGCTGGGAGCGTACTCAAGCTCAGTACTGTTCTCATATTCGAACATGTCAAGCGCGACAATGGCAGATTCACGAACCACATCGTCTTTGTCCTGTAAATGTTTTTGTAGCACTGGTAGAACGTCGTCTGTGGCAATGGATCCAAGAGCCTCGGCAGCCTCATGTCTGACCATGGGAGCCTCGTTCTTACGACCTAGCACCTCAATTAACGTTGGAACGACAACTGGGTTACCGATCTGGCCAAATACGTAAGCAAGTTCGTGTTTGAACAACGCAGATGGATCGTCGAACCCCGAAGCGAGCGCAAGACACGCTGCATCGGTACCGACATCTCTGAGTCTGAACATGGCCCGGTACCGCTCGAACAGAGGTCTTTTCTGGTCGTTCAAGATCCGTTGAAGCTCCTCGACGTCGTATTCTTTGGCAAGTGCAAGTGGTGGTGCAGGGTCAATACTAGAGTAAAGCGATTCTTGCAAAGCTTCAGACTTAGCCAAACCGCTGTGTTGCCATTTGATACGTTCGATGGCAAGTTCACAGGTCTGACGGATCTCTAGCAATGGGTCCTTTTCGAAAAATTGTTCCAGCACCGGTAGTGACTCCGCGTCACCTAACGCACCGAGCGCTTCTGCCGCTTCGTGCCGCACCATGCATTGTTGAGCCTCGTCTGCAAGCACGGCACGCAAAATGGGCGCTCCAACCATGTTTTTAGTCTGACCCAGCACGTAAGCGACCTCATGTTTAAGCAATTCGCTCGTATCGCCAAACGCTTCGCTGATATACTGCGTCGCTTTGTCTGCTTGGCCTTGGTCCTGTTTGAACTCTTCTGCAACACCCTTCAAGTTGAACAACGCGCGAAACCGGTTAGCCAGCTTACTGTTTCCAGATTTGTTTACCAAAATGTCACGTAGTTGCTCGAGCGTACAGTTATCGACATCTTCCTCGAAATGCTTTTCGAAATTCGTAGACATGATCACAATTCACACTCTTTTCACCGGTTTTTTGGCACTTACTACTTAAAGAATGGGATGTTCACTTGGAACCACTGCTTATGAACAGTTTTCGCGGTTATATACGCTCGTACCTGATTCCAAAGATCAGGCTCTTTCCTCATCTCATCAGCTCATCGCATGTCATCTCATCAAAAATTTTTCAGTCACTGCATACTAAACTGACACCGTGCAAGCCAACGCGAGTCGATAAGCAGAATAAGCATCATTAACAAGGTAAGAAAGGCGTCTGAGGACCTATTGAGTACTTTTTTGAATTTTCAAGACATGAGTGATAATGCCCATGTTAAACCGGCAAAATCGAGTCAACATTCGGACCATAAAAGCCGATGATTTACTTCTACACGATTCCAGGAGCCAAAACGGAGAAAAACCTGTAAAAGGCCATTTGATACTTTCTCTGAATTATTTGAATTTTGGTGGTGGTTCCTCTGTTTTTCCGCAAAATTTAGCGCATACATGATAGTAATATGCAGCTATAGATTAAAAATATATTTGAATTGAAAGCATTTGAGTTTTCTAGCCAGTGAAAGCATCTTTCAAGTGTAACATAAAGGTATAAAGGCGTCGTTGTCAACTTTGGAATCATTTCAACGATCCGTTTCTGATATATTGACGGTTTTAAAATTCTCACGTGACTTCTTGATTAAATCGGTGCTCTTCATTATAGATTAACCTTTAGACTACCTCATTCTGCTTAACCAGCGGTTCTAGCAGGTTCTATAGCCCCTAAATTTAATACAATGACTACACTATTATTACCTCTGGTGTCGACAGGTAATGTTCCCCAACTTTCCACGGATCTTTTGCTGCATTCGCTGAGTCCCCGGTTCAAATTCGTTCAAGAACTGACCAGTTTGCATCTTTACCCATTTGTTGGTCCCCTAGATCACGTACCGGGCCAGAAAGCAGCCCTGTACGATTCCGTAACAGACAAAAGGTATACGACTGCTTTAGAGCTTTTTTACGACCAACAGCGCGATCTTTACGTTGTACAACAGAGATCGCCAGTTCTTCAACATTATGAGAACAATTTCTGTAAAGAAGTCGTCGCTCCGCTTGTCAAACAATTACGGGTGCAGCATGTTATAGTGTTGGATTCTACTGAGGGTGTTGAGGAAGCCCTTGCACGCCGAAACTTACCTGACCCAACCAGTTATCGTTATTCCGTGGGCACTTGCGATTTGTCCGAATTCGAAAACGTTGCCCAGGAATTCCAGGACAGACTGCACATTGATGAGAAATCGAACACTTCTCTAAATACTACGCTGTTTCGATTTTCGGAAACCAGTTTCCAAAACGGCATCACCACCGAGCAATTTGTATTTAAACTGTGCTACCATCTCACGCACGCGGCGTCGTTACATGCGGTACTAACAAAAATTACATACGTGAACGTGCTGGTCCAGGAAGGTGACAACTCTGAAGATGCGGCCGCCGCGTGTCAGAACTTGCACAGACTCGCACCCGAGATCCCTTCCGTTTCTGAACTCCACGCTCCTGCCTCTTGGAGCGGGGTTTATGGCGTCCGGGACGCTCCTACTGCGTTTGACGAAGGTTTGTATATTTGATTAGCCCTGTATGTAGCGTGCAATATTTTCTGCGGTGCGGCTGCTCGCGGATTTGGCAACTTGTTCGAGAGCTCGTTCATACCGCTCCTGTAGTGCGGGCGCCGATTGCGCGTTGACCTCACCCCCGAGTCTCTCATCACCTGCAAACGTATACTCGCGTTCAGGTGCTTCTTCTTCGTCTCGCAATACAATCCCATCGTCTTCATCGGGCTCTAGATCGCTCAAAACGTCTGCGCTATCGTCGTCATTGCGACTCGTTTTCGCCGCTCCAGTCTCTCCCTCTTGGAGCCCCAAATCTTTCATGAGATGCGTAAGCGATTTTTTCTTGTTCTCTGCCTCTTTTTCTTGCTTCTGTTTCAGGATCCGCTCCCTTTCCGCCTTGTAATACGTCTCATATTCGTCAACTTTGTTGTCGACTGCTTGCAAAAATTCGTCGAATCCCTCACCGGTGAAACTGGAGACACCCACCATATCAAGCTGTGAGTAAAACTCTTCTAGCATCAATGACATCGAGTTCACAAGCGAACCCATGTATCCAGACCCCATGCTCGTCTCACCGTTCGATTCTTGATCTGCGCGCAATGCTGCTTGAAACGCTTCGAAATCAGTCATCCATTCGCGTGCAAAATCGGCTTTGCAGACATCCGTCTTGTTGAAAACGACAATCATCGGCAGCTTGGTCTTGTACAGGATCGAACATGCATACAACATGTTGCTCATGAACGTCGTGGGTGAAGAGTTTCTTGGTGTATCGACGATATAAGCTATCACAGTAGGGAAAGTCGATGCAAACGATTCCGTAATGATCGATCCGGAAGCACTCCACACAAAGCATTCAATTTGACCCGGCGTGTCTATTATGCAATGTTCGAACTTGTCCTTTTTCTGTTCAACTAATCTAATCACCTGGTCAATTTTGGTGCTGAACAAATTGAGACTTGTCACGATGGCTCCGTTGGGACCCAAATTATAGTTCTGCATCACTTTCTTGTAATTCACTGCGTCACGAATATCGATATTGGCTCCATAGGGCACTTTCAACACTGCTGGATCCAATTGAACAACGTAAGGTGGCATTTTCTCCGCGTGAAGTTTCGAATTTAGTCGTTGCATAAATGTCGTCTTGCCGGAACCGGCCATACCAATGCAAATCACCGTTTTGAGAGGCATATCGGGCGTATTTTGTCGGGGGCAACAGCTAGTTAGAGCTGCTCAAAGCTGGTGATGAGCTTCTTTAATTTTTCAGCTTTGTAAGAGACTGGAGGTAGGTAAAGTCACGTGACTTGAGTACAGAATATGTCCAGCACGTGACCACGTAAGGCTGGTAAAGAACGACCATTTGGGAGGTTTTAAGACGAGTCTGACGCCCAATGGTGACCATCTTTACATACAGAATCGCACTTCAATGTGTTGAGGGAAAAAGGCGTTTTAAGCGTACAATTTGAGTACTCTTTGTTCGATTTTGTCGAAACAGGACTCGTGCTGAGCGATGGCAAGGTCGTTGGCCAAATTCTTCATGACGCCGTCGGCTGCAGGCGCGCCGGGCATGGACTCGAGCTGCTGTTGTTGCTGTTGGAGCATGCCCATGGCATCGACGTCCTGGTTTCCGAACAAAAGGTTGTAGACCGGGTTTAGCCCCACAACTGAGATGAAGTACCAAGAAATGGCACTGACCCAGCGGGGGTCGAGGTCTGCAGTCAGAATACCGCTCTGTAGCATTTCTTTGAACTTAATGGTCAATGGGAACGGTAGTTTCATGAGCACGAAGCCAGCGAAAAAATGGTTCACCCACCACATGATCAACGTTTGCGGGATGTAATTTGCAAGATTGCCCTTGGCCATACCCATCATTGCGTCCGACATATTTGGGTCTGTCAACGGGTTGCCAGTCGTCTCAGCATCGTCGCCACCGGCCTTTTTCGCTACGTATTTGCCCGACGCAAGTACTTGCGACAAATACTCCTGACGGTCCCGGAACGACTCGAATTTCAAGTTTGTTCCATTCGCAATCAAGGCCTGTGTCTTTCCCATGTATTGTTGCTCCGTAATCTTGTTTCTAGGACCGGTTTTAACCTTTAAATTCAAGTTCATCATAATGTCTTGCCGGAGAACCCCGATCAAGATCATTACCACGGAAATTGGAAGTAAGACCCAGTACTTGAACCTAGGATCCAGCGTCAACTCAACAGCGGCTCCAGCCGACCCAATGCCTGCTGTGGCCCACAAAGATGCCAATTCCATTGGGTTGTTTGGTATAAACCTTCGTTTGATTGAGGTTGGTTCAAAATCTTGTAGTTCTTGACATATTAAGAGCTTGTATTTCCATACGTATAGAAAAGACTGGACGAACAGAAAAGACATGAAACCCAGGAACCAGAAGCCTTTGAGCGTCTCTGAGGGTCATAATCATTACCTTTAGTGTGATATTATACTACATAAATTCGGCGTCGCGTGAACGCCGTTCAACCGGCGTTCACACGACTCTCGGGCGATGAGTTCTACGCTTGTAAAGCATGCAAGAACTTCGGTAGCTGAAACTTGTCTTTGGCGTGCGAATCCTCCAAAATAAGATGCGGATGCGTCTCCGCAAGCTGTAGGATCATCTTGGCGAACTCAGAGTTGGCCCAGGAGAACCAGGGTCTCGTGAAATGGGATCCATCTTCGTGGAAAGCCTGTATGGACTCGTGGATAAGACCTAATCCTGCCGTGTTTTCAAGCAAAGCTTTCAAGGCAGACTCAATTTCGGCATCTGATGTGGACGTGCGGATCAAAACAATCAGGCTCATGGGCCATGCGTTGTGGATGCCTATGTGCGGTCCGCCAATGCCTTGGAAATGGGTTCCTTGGATATAGTACGGGTTGCCATCTTTGCTTGTAATCATCTTGCGTGTGTTCTGGTATATTTTGTCTGTGCGTTCCAGAAACCCCAGTTCTGGAAGCGACAACAACGACGGGATATTCGCGTCGTCCATCAGTAGATGACTGCCGTACCCGTCGACCTCGTAGGCGAATACGGTACCGAATTTAGGGTGTTCCACAACGGCGTGCTCCATGATTCCCTTGTGTATACTGTCTGCGAAACTGTTGGCACGGTCGATCAGTTGCGTGAGTCGCACGTTGAACTTGTGTTGTACGCCCTGTGGCAACTCTCCAAACGAGTCCTGATAATCTTGCAAAATTTCGACCGTTTTGGCCAGCTCTACTGCCATCTGCGCGTTCGCGGGCACTAAAAATTGGAAAACGGTAGCGTCGTCACTGGGTCTGAACGCGCTCCTCACCAACCCAGTGCCACCCTTGACAGGATTGCCTGTGCCAGCCAGCGGCAGGGTCTCAGAAGCGACGTTGGTCTGTCTCTGGAATGTATAATAAAAGGGATTCACTACGCCCGTTTCGTCAAACGTGGACACGGATTCCATTCTGAGAACCACAAGTAAGTTTTCCAACGCCAATATCCAGTCCTCATTCAAGAATCTGAATCGATCCTCAGGCCGCGCGTTCTCGTAAAACTCGCGTGAAATTGTCAAGAAAGATGCTAGGGAGTCCAGTTCGTACTTACATTCAAACACTTGTCTCCAGTCTGGACGCGGATAAACGCTGTCAATGCTTCCTTGACCTCTCACTACGGGTGAGTAAACCGGTGGATGAAATGCATTGCAGTAAGGGTTTGACTGTACAAGTTGAGCCTGGGAGTTGATGGCGCCTTGAATCATTTCGCGGATGGAAGTGTCCTCTTTGATGAAAGGTTGATATACGGAAAGTTGACGAGCCGAGTCTCGCAACCATTCGGCATGGATATCCCCTGTTACTACAAAGGTCTCCGGCAAAGAATTTCTGAACGACGAATGCCGGGAGCGGTGGTTGTTTAGCTTCATATTTTGATTACCCGTAACATGCCACAGGATAGTCGTATCCAAGGTGTTGGGAAATGCGTTTTCGAAAAGACGCGCCAAATTAGGGTCCTTAAACATCGCTAGAAACTCATCCAAGAATCTTTCCACTAATTTAGACCTAAAAGTTCGACATTTCTCTGGCGGTCTCTGATATGGTAGAAGTCTCGATGAGATTTCAGATCCGGAATCTTTGGTATGCGGTTTCGAGGCATACTGTGCAAAATTGGGGCACGATTTGGCAATTGTCTGGAAACCCGACTCCAGTGCAAGATCCGTTCTGTCAATTCTACCGTATTGTCGGTTTTCTGTCTTGTCTTTAACCAGCTCATCAGCCACTCTTAAGCTCAACTCCTCATTCTGCTTCCCGTCTCCAAAGAAAAGGCCATACGTGAGATATACCACGCCAACCGCGAGAATTAAATGCAAGATCCGATGATTCTTCTTCCTCATCGCTCTTTTCACTGCGTTCTATAACCGTTGTCACTTGGTTCTTTTTAAGGTATCTTTGCTTGAACTTGGAATTAACCCATAGTGTCAAGTGATGATCCCAGTGAACGACAAATTGAACCTTAATAGGTGCCCCATTGATGTCAGGTATTGTTGTCGACAGTTTTGTAGCTATTTTGTAGCCATTTGGCGCTCAAATAAATATGATTTGCGTATTTCCAGCTGGTCTTGAGCGAGATCTGACGTTTTGGGCTTTTCAGAAATGTTTTATGTGTGTGAATCAGAACGGCTGCAAGCTGTGAGGGTACTTTTAGGGCGCCTGGAACTCGCCTTGAGGTCGAGGGAGGTTCGAAGTGAAGAAGTCTCGCAAACGCCTGGGTTTTCGACCCGATTGCCAAGCGCGGATACCTGGTGTGAAATTTTAAAGATCGGCGTGTCACCAGAAGGATTTGTGTAATTAATCGAGGCAGTGCAGTATATTTCTTGGGACCTGATAAAGACGAATTCCATTGCCGTGAGCTGGTGTTCGCCCGTCGTACAGATATGAACAGGGCGAAACGCGACTTTCACGAAAACACAAGCTACAGGGCACACAGCGCTCTGCAACCAAAAACAATAAACCACCGCACCCTTCGTCTTGGTACCACTTCAATTGCACTTCACCGCCTTGGTTTGGCTTCTCCTGCTAGGGAAAATAACATCCAATCCGATTCAGGTGTTAGTTGCGGGTTGGACAGCGAACAACGAGCCAAACTGATCAGAAGTTCACGCACATGCATTTTGGCAGGGTTTTTCTGGGTTTCGGAGGACTGCTTGGCGATTTGAAGCAGTTTTTCGTAATTGACACGCTCAAACATCTTGGTCGATTCTTGTACAAGAGCCTGCATGTACGACACAACGTGTGAATTGCTGCCTGCCAGTTTCAACGCAACTGACACGGGCTGGAGTTTGGGTTCAGTCTTGTTTTGGCTTTGCTTGAGGTACTCGATGAGTGCTGAGACGCTGACATCGGACCCGACTTGCAAAAACGTACAATTGAGATTTTCCGAAGCAGGAACGGCATCCGTGTGCGTAGATCCGAGAGCACGGTTCAGGAGTCGCGTATTGACGAGATTAGCAAGAAACAAGGGCTGTTCCACGGCGCGCGCACGGTACATGCGATGCGTTTGCGCACAAAAATCTCGCCAACATAGATCGTAGCTGTAGTTCCAAGTATCGTCGTTGTCTCGTTGCCAACGGAACAACACGAACCCGTTGTATTGACGCAGATATTCATAGTACCTGTGCATAGTCATAAGGTCTGCCACGGCGGGGGGCAGGACTGGTTTTCGATGCGCGCGGACAGCGCGGCCCGCGCTTGGAGACGCAGTACTGGACAATCGAACGGCGGAGAAATGAGTACGCAGCGGTGACATGTAATGGGAAGGTGGGGCAGCGTCGCAGGCGGGAATTGATGATTGATGAGCCTATTTGGACCGGTATGAATCGATATCAAGGTCTCAAGCATTGATAGATTTTAGTGATGAATTGGCGATGAGCATAGTTTCGTACGTAGTTACTGCTCTTGTCCAAACCTGAATATACCATCAATGAGTTTGGGGAGTACTTCTCACATCTCCAACAATATCATAACCGACCGCTCAACTATCAAAGTCATGCCTCAGCCTTACTCGAGCTTCTGCATTTCTATTGGGCTTGCTTTGAGTTATCTAAGCGCTACATAGGCCATCTTGTCTTTGCTTACACCTGTATCTCAAACCGCTGTGATGCTTTAGAAATCTCAAGTCCGCCTCTTTGGCCAAGTGGTAAGGCATCGCACTCGTAATGCGGGGATCGTGGGTTCAATTCCCACAGGAGGCATATTTTTTCCATTTGGCGTAAAGACATTATCGAGGGATAGCCACAATTTTACACTAAGGCTAGTGGGACGTTTGAACGCTAACGATGTGATCAGGGCACTGTACGCCGCTTACAGCTGTGCATGATTTTTTCGAACTGGGCAATTTGAGTTGCAATGGATCTTAGCTTCTTACACTTGACAGAAATATAGCAGGATATAATATGTGCAGGTTGTATTCTATGTGTAATTTGTATCTGTTATGTGATAGTATATGTATTGACATATGTAATGCGTGTTATGTATCTATTGTATGTGATTATCTTATATTATTTTAGATGGTATATGTATTATGGTACATTTATTATGATCAATGCGCCATATAATGTATAGGCTCTGTTATGCGAGTATCCATAGGTGTGTATATCACATAAAATTTATATATTCATATGCTATTTGGTAGGTGTTACCTTTATATGTATGTATTATCTGGGTGGTATCATATATATATATATTATCTGGTATATGTTTATAATCTGTAGTATATAGCAGATGGACATATAGATATATATAACAAGCGTGTATAAACACAGGTGGAGTATTTTCACAAGGTTATTACCGTGATGTTTGTACAGTTTTGCTTAAATCCTAGACAGTGTCAATTAGGCAGTATCAATCACCCTGTAAACAGTCAAATCTTATCACAAATATTCCTCTCTTCGAAGCCTAGTGTTTCTTACAGTCTTGAAGTATGAAACATCGGCCACTAATGCGACGATGTACTTTCACGGAAGATCGAGAATCTCAATACAGTGATGCGGTGGGCGATGAAAACCCCAGAACGCACATCACAAGGCTACAACAAAAAGTCTTCAGCTACCTATCTAAGTTCAACTAGTAAAGATTCAAAAATGATGCAAGAGGGAGATTTACGCGCTTCGACTGCCTCTCGTATATCAATTTATCAATTGCTTGGTTTTACTTGTAATGCCTTTTTCCTGTTGATAGGCTTTCATGTTTGGCAAGAGTAAAGTGACATTGAAATGGGAAAATCAAAACACATCAGATAAGTCTTAGGAGACCAAAAAAGCCATGATCTACGCCCTGTACGCACCCTGTACGCACCCTATACTCTACTAATATACTGCATATAATTACTATGTACCCCATTCCTGTATGTCAATTCCATATATCGATTTGACATGTTAATCCTCTTCTGTGCCCTGTAGCTGGCGGACCTTGGTTGCGAAAATTCGACAAAAAATGGCCTGAAATCCATTACAAACGTTGAGCAAGAGTAGCCCCAGTCAAGAGGCTTACCTTGCTCTCTTTCGACCATTGTGTCAAGCTTTCTTGGTAGTGGAACGTTCGCGATGAGCCTAGAAAAAATTTGAATAGTGAAAAACTGTCAAAATGAGAGATGAGATGACCAATTTTCAGTCTTGTGATAGACACCTGAAGGCCGATTTTTGGACTTGGAAACCATTTGAGGTGATTTCCAGTATCGAGTTTAATCAGCTATGAGCAAGCAAGACGAGTTTTTCAAGCCTGTGGGTGAATCTGTTCAGGAAATTGCAGCGGAAAACGAGCCCGTTGCCGAGGCCAGCGGCGTGGGTTCTGATGGCGTCCGTCCCACCGGAGCCGCTGACGCCGAAGGCCATCCAGTTCAAGAAATTGAATCCCTTTGTATGAACTGTCACGAAAACGGCACGACCAGACTACTTTTGACATCGATCCCATATTTCCGCGAAGTTGTGCTCATGTCGTTCGAGTGCCCCCACTGTGGGTTCAAGAACTCCGAGATCCAGTCTGCGTCACAAATCCAGGAGAAGGGATCCCGTTACATGCTCAAGATCGAGCAAAAAGACGATTACAACCGACAAGTAATCAAATCCGAGACGGCTGCGTGTCGTTTCAACGAGTTGGATATCGAAATACCACCCAAGAGAGGACAACTCACAACCGTCGAGGGTTTGCTTTCGGAAATGATCCAGGATCTTGAATCAGACCAACCCGTTAGAAAGCACGTCGACGAAGCCCTGTACGAACAAATCGAACAATTCATCGCAAAGGTTACTTCCTATATCAAGTGCGAACCGGGCACGACCCCTCTCACATTCACGCTCGACGACCCAGCCGGAAATTCTTGGATTGAATACAAACCTGGCGAGCCAGCGCACAAATGGTCGCACACCGAGTACGTGCGTTCTGACGAGGATAACGTACAAGTCGGGCTTATCACACGAGACCAACTCGAGCAACGTCGCGAGGAACAACGTGCCAAGATCGCTGATAAGCAAAGAAACGAATCCGAGGCTAAAAAGCAGACTTTCTTGTCGGATGCCACGGATATCGAGAATTTCAACAACGAAGTACAAACTTTCAGAGCTTCTTGCCCTTCCTGTTTGCAAGAAGTCGAGACCCACATGAAGCCCGTCAATATCCCACATTTCAAAGAAGTAATTATCATGTCCACGGTATGCGATCATTGCGGTTACAAATCCAACGAGGTGAAAACCGGAGGTGCCATTCCGGCTCAAGGCAGAAAAGTAACGCTTTACTGTGACGATCCTGCGGACTTGTCGCGTGATATTTTGAAGAGCGAGACCTGTTCCATGACCATACCGGAGTTGCATTTGGACATCCAAGAAGGCACATTGGGAGGTCGGTTCACGACTTTGGAAGGCCTACTTCGCCAAGTGTGCGAAGAACTTGAAACGCGAGTTTTCACGCAGACGTCAGACTCAATGGACGCAGAAACCAAGGCCCGTTGGGAATCTTTTTTCAGTAAACTCAAGGACGCCGCTGACGGTAAAGTCAAGTTTACTGTCATTATGACAGATCCATTGGCAGGCTCCTATATCCAGAACGTATATGCCCCTGATCCTGATCCAAACATGACAATCGAGGATTTTGAGAGAACCAAAGAACAAAACGACGATCTGGGTCTAGGTGGTATTCAAACGCAACAGACAAACCACCAGACCAAAGAACAGACGGTTTAAGGCTGAGTGACATTAAAATCTAATAGACAAACCACGGTTCAGCGCAAATAAAAGTGCTGTCTATTGAGCTTCCGCCTTTAATGCGACCCTGTTCCACCCCCATGATAAATAATAATTTGCCTCGTTATTAATATAGTCACCACTTTAAATCATTCCTTAACTACTTATACAATTCGCTAGAAAGTGACACCTCGAGAACGAAATTCACCAAATCCTCGTCAGATTATGACTACATGTATCAACTATTACACCTCATAATTGACTTCCTTCTGTCGTTTTCGCTGATTCGACGGTAACCTTTTAATTAGATAAAGCTTCTCAAGGTCTTGAAAAATGAAGATATCATCATTACTTACTGAATTTAACATGAACAATAATTGATAGATTTCACTATATACATACCACTTACAAGACCATCAACACGGCCAAAATGCCAGAACTTTCTGGTTTCGAGAAATATTTTTATTTTAGAAGTAAATTGGACATCCATTCGTGCTTTTTCATAGGTATACAGTTGAATGAGATTCCAGCGTCGAGAACGCTGTCATTCGCCCTACGCCAAGCGATTGCTAAGTTTCCTGAGTTGCACTCGAATGTGACGGTGGACAAAAAACCTGCTATCGTTTCTATTAGAGGGCCACTGCAATTTGAAGATGTAGTGGTGGAAACCGAGTACCAAACAGTTGGCCAAGAAGAAACCAACGAGATCTTTGATAAGGTGTCATTTGAATACGGTGTTGATAGACCGCTATGGAAGATTCTCGTTGTGAGACATAGCAACCAATTACTCTTGTGCATGGATCATGTCCTGTTCGATGGGATATCTGGTGTCAATATCTGGACTGAAATTCTGAACGAATTGAACTCGAGCAATATTCAACCTGGTGCTACCGAGCGAATTGTTTTTAATGGTGAGAGTGCTGCCCCAAGTGTAAGAAGTCACCCTTATGCTCAATTCGCCATGCCCCTTGTGTGGAAGTTGAAGTACTGGTTTGTCTTGGCATTGAGTTATTCCGATTCATTTTACCACGCTCTACACGGCACCTCTGCGGGACAGATACAATTCCCTAAGTACAAAATGCAAGGAGGGTTGCTGTCGGAAACGCAAAAGATCAGAAACGATAATTGTCGTTTTAAAGTCAGTCTCACACCCGTCGAATTGCAAGCAGTCCAGCAAAAATGTCGAGACGAAAACGTATCGCTGACCTGCTGCCTTGCTGCCATGCTAAGTGCAGCTTTGAATCATGTAGACGTTTCCAGTCGTCAGGGTACCACCGTCAAAGTAGATATTCCAATTAACACACGGCCGCTACTGGCTGAGACTTTGAATCTGGACCCAAGCGATATCAAAGTGGGCAATTTTGTGAAACCTGCAGAACTGAAATTCGAACTTAATCAAGGTACTGTCGATCGGTGGGCCACTGCACGCACGTTTGCCGCGCAGTTGAAGAAAGAAAGACGGAACTTGGACCCGCTCTACGCGGTCAAATTGATGGACGCCCTGGACGTTGCCAAATACATTGAAACCCAGAAAAAAACTGAGTATCCAGCCGGAACATTTGAAATTACTAACGTGGGCTTACAGTCATTCGGAACATCCCCCGAGGACAAGTTCCAGGTGATAGATGCACTTTTCGACGAGCCTCAGGGCTTGTCAGACGTCTTTACGCTCGCCACGGTCTCTACTCCCACCGGGGGACTCAATTGTTCTCTAAGCTACCCTCAAGTGCTATCCAACGATCTCAGACCGGCATTTGAGGCCTTCTACAATGAGCTAAAGGGTCTGATCTAGCTATGAACTGGTGATGTGACAAGTTCGTCCAACGTGATATCAAATCATGCTCAATCGAGAGGCGGATCCGTCACCGATCCAGCGCCTTGGATAGACGATAAATCCAAAATGAGATCTACATCGTTTCCTGACAAGTCAACTGCGGGTTAGATAGACTAAGTTTAACTAAAATGTGTCAACTCTGTGAATATCGTGAAAAAAATCTTCATCGGGTTCGTTCGCAGTGCTTGCTTAGATCAACTTCTACTCGGTCAAGACTCATTGAAGACTCAGTAGGTGATATCTACAAGAACCGAGTGATAGCGTTACGGGCGCGATGAGAAAGCTCAAAAGGCTTCGCAAAATGGCCCTCGTGGTGGGGCTAATAATGCTGTTACTTTGCCTGGCTTTCCACAGCATCACTCCTTTTGAAACCAAAGAAACCAGCCCAAAGAATGTTGCCAAGACCTCGAAATCCCTTGAGATGATCAGAAATGTCGATAGAGCCGTCTTAGAATCTTTTTTCGATGAGTGGAAGTTTGGTCTGAAAATGCTGGAAAAGCCCTCGGCACTTAACGACCAGTATCGTCTTTCGAACCTGATAATGGATGCAGTGGTGGACAGTGAGAATTCGCAATTGGTGGATATGTCGGATCGAGAATCGATTCAGGGATTTGTGAAAAGTATCAAGAGTTACAAATTCGATCCAAGGCTGACATTTTCGCTCTTTTATCGCAAAATGTCGGAGCTAGGAACCAACGATAAGGTGGGCTTCAGTTGGCAAGATTGGAAAAAATTCGACTTGACGCTCTCGCAGGATGGTCACAGTGAGGCTGGTTCTCACAGGATATCTTGCCAAGACATATTTGAAGAGGAGGTACTTCCTCAGGTTGACGAAATACAGCAATTGGGCGAGACGAGCGGGTTACGCAAGCGAAATATGTTCGATCCGAATAGTTCAGGAAAAGTGAAGGTAGCCACCATAGAGGACGTTTGCAAAGACGACAAGGACTCCGAAGGGATACTTGGGTTTACGGTGAAGAAAATTGTAACTCATTGCAATGCGAAATCGTTGCAGTTGCAATCTGCAGGGTTTCTAATGTCCGGCCACACACATCCGTCTTCGCTCTTTTTCCTGCTGGATGGGAAGCGGCATATTCACGTGGACGTGAAGCAGGCTCAAAAATCGAACGGTATGCTACAGAATGGATACCTTGACTCATTCGTTGAGATGGACTCTTCTATGTCTTTTGATGCCACCTTTGATGCTTCAAAAGAGCTGGGATTCCTACAGTCGAAAATCAACTTTACACAACCTTCTCTTGAATTGCAGACAACGGATTTCAAGGACTTGCCGCTTACAGCATTTCAATTAGACGAAAAAGCTGTTCAGAACAAAATTGCAACATTAACTAGTAGAGATCGATTGACAAACAGCGAACAAGGCTACCTCAACTTTTTGAAAAATGATGCATTTTTGATCCAAGAAAGCACTTTTAAGTACTTCCAAGAGACTTCGAACTTACTTGCGCGACCGGACATTTACCAGGACAACATGGACGCAAGGTTTTTTTCAGGTTATGTCACGTCTAAATGGGATAGAATGCGAACGCTGAATGCTCTTATTAGAGGATGGCTGGAATTTTCTTCGCAGATTAACATTTCGTCTTGGATTTCGCAGGAATCATTGCGTGGTCATATGTATACAGGATCTCAATTGCCCTGGAGTACACTTCACGACGTTCACATGCCCATAAAGGATTTACATTATCTCGCCGAAAAATTCAATCAGACGCTGGTCGTTCAGTCCGCTACAATTGGCTATGGTAGATATTTCATTGATATACATCCCTTCATTTCAAGCCGGGAAAAAGGTTCCGGTGCAAATGTGGTCGACGCCAGGTTCATCGACGTTGATACGGGGTTCTTCGTCAACATCAAAGGGTTAGGATTAGACGGAGAAGTGGACGTTATATTACAAGAAATGAAGACTAATCCTGAGCCGAACACGATGGACAAAAATCAGCGTAAAATGTCCGTAATGGCACGGAACGGAAGACATTACCAGCTTTCAGATTTGCTGCCATTAAGGCCGTCCCGATTTCATGGCTTGCCCGTTCATATCCCAAGCAGGTCTCTGAGTCTATTACAAGAAGAATATGAGCTAGGGCCTTATTTTTTTGGCCCTAAGCTCAACGTTCACAAGCAGAGAGTTATACCTGCTCTCAATGGATGGGTAGAATTGTCGACTATGAAAAGGATTTGGGGTATTAAAATGACACAAACCAGTCACGAAATGTCGCGGCGTCAACTGCACAGGTTTGCTCAGAAACTTCTGGACGGTTTCCCTGATTTTTATGAGGACCTTGTGTATTGGATAAATTCAAGGAAGATCTTCGAGCATCGTTTGAAGGAAATTAGTTTAGAATTTTCGGACCTTGAAATGGATTTGAAAACTCGTCTGTTGCAGGAGTTGACTGCCTTTCCCAAAGAACTTGAAAGCCCATTTGCCGACCCGTTTACCTTTAAGTTACAAGAAGACAGGTGGTATCAAACCTTGGACTTTTTGAGAATTGGAATGGGATCTGACTATCAAAGGAAATTGGTTCACGACATCTTATATTCTAAAATCAACACTCTCACAGAAAAAGACTCTTTTATTTTCAATGGGTACTTGACGTCTTCAGATTTAGTTCGTCATGGCGCGGCAATTGATGGTTTATCACCCGACTGGAGCATACCATCGGTTTTTAAGATGAACATAGAAACGACGACTCCATTAGGAAATTCTGGGAAAATATTCATCAAGGATTATATGCAATATTAATTAAATGCTTCGTGAAGGAGTTGTTATATAGCCGAATTCATGTATTACGAAGTACAACCCTTCAGAGGGTGAAACTTTCTTCATGAAAGTGCAGGCCGCCATCTGTTGCCCAACGCTTTGTATTTTCTACCAGTCCATGAGGACCTGCAGCGACGACCCAGACGTGTGACAAATCTTTTGCTCCAGGTCTAAACCGTTCTTCGTAAGAGCAATCGTTTGTTATGGAAGGTCCAATACATTCCCTCTCTAGGCACCACTGGTAGTCTGCGTTTGTCAAATTGGGCCTGCCAAAGAACACTTTCACGCCTGCTGGAATTTTCAATGTATTGGAGTTCGCCATTTGTTCGCCATCCTCAATGTCACTATCAATTTGATCAACTGGGGCCGTAACAACCGAAGGCTTCCGGAACACGCTGCTATCGATAGCTCCTGCCGACAGCATATCGAATTTGGTTTTTCTCCTCAAGTTTCCAACACTGTAAATTTGCGTGAAATCGATCTCATCTGCTTCATTACTCTTGCCATGATTTTCCAAAGAGTTTTCGAACGAAGTTGGCATCGTTGATGTTGTACCGTATTTGCTTTCTGATCGGGACGAGCCTAAGAGGGGGCTCCTTTCTCTCGTATCGGCGTTGTTTTCCAAGTTATTTTCAAAATCGATGTAGTCAATTTGAAGATCCTGTTCACCGCCCACTGGCTGAGTGATGTAGATTTCTAAGCCATCGAAATTGTTTTTAAAATGATTGAGAAGCGTCAAATCTTTGAAATCTCGAGTAACCCATATGAGTCTGACAGTGACACCGTTGAAATTGAGGATTCGCAGAAGCGGTAGCCCAAATGAGATTGCACTTCCACCAACGACCATGAATGCTCTTCTTGCCGAGACGATAAACCGTAACTGGGAATTATGGCGCAAAGTGACTTCTGGAGATGACAAAAGTTGCGTTTTGGTCGGCACTTGTAAAAAATCAATGCGAGGCTCGAATACACCAGTGACTAGAAGCTTCATACCGCTGCGAAGTTGGAATTTACCACACCGCACTATGAGCTTAACAGTGTCATCTGTAGGTAACGACGCAATCGTGTAGGGGTGCTGAAACGGTACCAATTGGTGAAAAATGCGACTGAAAATAGATCTCTCATTAAACCTACTGACGCGAATATGCGAGGAAGGTAGAATTGGTTTTTTGACGAGATCCTTTAGAGGAAACTCAACAATGGCGAGCGTTGACGAGATTTGTAAAACGGAGACCATAGTTTTAGCCGTGTGCCAAACTCGATACACGATTTGGGCAAGTAAAATCGTGGCGTTCATGGCCGTGTAGTATGGAATGGGCGGACGTGCGTGGAAATGCAGTAGGACAACGGTAAAAACCGTCGACAAATAATGCACGTAATAAAAAGCCCGATAGTTACGTCTTCGGGTCTGTGAAACAGACGTCACAGCTATCAACAAAAACAATGTCAGAGCGACAACCCCCCAATAGTTGGCCGGTTTTTTCATCTTAGTTAAAAAAACGCCCGTTTCAAGGAAATACCAGCTATACAACGCCGTGTGAATCACTGAAATGAGCACTACGACTCGGGAAAGCCATTTATGCAGTGGAACAAGCGTCAAATAGAGCGTATGTGGCAGAGGAGAAGGCCGTAACGTCAAAAACAGTAATGGTGGCATCAAAGCGACCGCAATGCGGCCCAGACGTTTCGTGATTTGTGCGAGGTCACCGTCGGCACGGAACAATGAGCAAAAAGCCGTGATAGCGAGCCAGAAGCAAGCGATTTTTAAACTTTGATTATGGTACAATCGGGACCCATGAATATGCCGATATCGCCGTAAAACGTCATGTCGCAGGTAATGTCTCAGCCGGAAAACCCAGCGTTGTAATCTTAAATAATTCCAGGCCGGAACCACGACGCAGACTGCAATGCAAGCGAGCCAAAATGCACCGATTGCAGATCGATGAATTTTGGTCCGGCGAGCAACTCGATCAGCCACATCCGAATCTTCTGACGCAGCGTCGATCCGAAGCCCGTCCCAAACCCAGGGCCCACGTGCTTGTTCCAGCAGGTGGTTCAAACTCATTTGATTCGACTTCTCGGTGGGTTCCAAAATAATTGTAATGCGACAAATCAAAAGCGGGGAAAAGCGGGGAAAAATATGTAGCGGTGATTCCAAATGCGCGTCTAGTTATGCGATCCTCATCTGCCTACGGGACACCTCTATATATCTGAATTCAGCCATCTCTTGTAGCCACGAGTTTCTCTCAAAGTTCAGTTTCCTGGGTGCAGTTTGAGCTGGATGCCAAGAAATCAAATTCAAATCAAGTCATGTGACTAAAACGTATACAGCTCCACACCCATACATTTCACAAATTTAAATATCCGAGTGACTGCTTTATGCGCCCTTGCACCTTAAAAATGTTTCAAGAAAAAAACCAAGTGAAATCTTCGGGCTTGACAATTTTTGCAGCTTGTGCGTCGCTTGGGTTCGCGAGGGTTGCCTCCCCAGAGATGTGGTCAGACACGAGGTAGTAAGCCTAGGCGGGGCAGGGGAAGGCTAGACAGAGCCGTGAAACGCCTGCAAAGAACCCTCCTCCCTAGAGAAGGCTGAAGGAGCGCCCGTGGTGAGCGCTGTGGCCCTGGTCGGATGAGAGTTTTGTCTAGCAGTTGCCCACGCCAGACGGAAGCCAGCCTAGCCTAGGGAGGGCGTGTAGTCTGCTCGCTGCCATATTCTCTGTCTAGCTCCCAGGGCCCCTGCCTAGCTTACCGACAACGGTCTGACTCCTGGGCGGAGAATGGGACTTGCCCGGTGCAACGAAGTCCTGCCTGGAGGCTTCTACCGGGCAAAAAGTGTAACAGGCCCATTGGGTCAAAATTTTTGAAATTTTGAGATAGTTAATCTATCAAGAACGTCGTAGTAGTAATACACTCCAGAAGAGATAGCAAGAGCAAGATGTCTTTACCAGCTACTTTTGACTTGACTCCAGAGGACGCCCAATTGTTGTTGGCTGCTAACAGTCACCTTGGTTCGAAGAACGTTCAGGTATGTGAATAATTATGATGTGGGAGATATAGTGGGCGGTGTGCGTATAAAGCATGGGAAGCGTGTGAATCAGAGCTTTGCGAGTGACAGTTGGAATTGATTGCTTGACAAGGTTTGCAAACGACCGCTTCTCGAGACTTGCACTGCTCGCGCCCGTAACTCAATTTAACAAACACTAACAACATTGCAGGTGCACCAAGAAGGTTACGTTTTCAAGACGAGACCAGATGGTGTCAACGTCATCAACGTTGGCAAGACCTGGGAAAAGATCGTTTTGGCCGCTAGAATTATTGCCTCTATCCCAAACCCAGAGGATGTCGTTGCCATCTCTTCCAGAACTTACGGCCAAAGAGCGGTTCTGAAGTTCTCCGCTCACACTGGTGCTACTCCAATCGCCGGTAGATTCACCCCAGGTTCTTTCACCAACTACATCACTCGTTCCTTCAAGGAACCAAGATTGGTGATTGTTACCGACCCAAGATCCGACGCTCAAGCCATCAAGGAATCTTCTTACGTTAACATCCCAGTCATCGCTTTGACCGACTTGGACTCTCCTTCCGAATACGTTGATGTCGCCATCCCATGTAACAACAAGGGTAAGCACTCTATTGGTTTGATCTGGTACTTGTTGGCCAGAGAAGTCTTGAGACTAAGAGGTTCTCTAGTCGACAGAACCCAACCATGGTCTATCATGCCCGACTTGTACTTCTACAGAGACCCTGAAGAAATCGAGCAACAAACCGCCGAAGAGGCCACCGGTGCCACTGAGGAAGAAGCCAAGGAGGAAACCGCTGCCGAGGAACAAACCGAAGCTGCCGACTGGGCTGAAGGTAACACTGAGGAAGTTGCCTCTTGGTAAGTCATCTCCGGAGCTTGAATCTTTAATTTTGGCCTGCTCTTTCATCCTCATTCCAAAAAAGGTTTGTTCATTAGTATAATCTTATCTCTGCCCTTTTTGTCAAATTATATAAATATAATATGATGAATATTGTCTAACGTTCAGTCATCACCAAGATAATGATCCACATTATGGCATTTAAGCCAATTCCTCCGGGAAAGAGGTCAAAAACATGAGCTTTCAGTGATAAAATACTTGAAAAAATCCTTGAGTACCAATCTAAATTAATTACCAGATAAAATTCCCTCAAAATCTTCGATAAGACCTCTACCTTGCTGTAATTGATTAAATGACAGTATCAAGATTGTCCCTTTAAGATCTCATTGACGAGAACTATCTATCAAGAACAGCACGTGACCTACATTTCCATTGATATTAAAAAAAAATGAACAAGCCTGGTGATTGGAAACGTACAAACTAGGCTTATAAACAGCTTGCAAGGGAGGCTCTAAAGCATTTAAACTCGTGTGTGCAACGATATGTCTGTGTCAAAGACTCAGCTTTTGAAATTGGCCGAAATTTCAGCGAAGATTTTTGACCAGAATTTCAATCCTAGCTGTAATAGGACCGGCAGTAAGATTCTGTCCAAGAGACTCAAAGGTAGCTCGGTGGCAGGCTACTACGGGAACCCGGACTTTTTGAAATTCAAGCATCTTAAGACGTTGTACTCAGAGTTCAATTTTGTGGACAAGGATGAGGAGTATAGGTTGATGATGATCGAAGCCAAGAGAAGAAGAGGCAAAGGTGCGCCAGCAAAGAAGAAAGAGGCCAGTAAAGACAAGGGCAAGACCAAGAAGCGGAAATAGGCGTGCGAGAGTCGTGAAAATGCTGAATACTTGTATATACAGTTTGTACATTAGCTAATGCATTATGAAAGAGTTTCGTCATGGAAGTGTCGTCTTCAAAAGGTTCCACAGATCACGCGGTGTTTCGGGCCTCGTGGGCAATGAAAAATACAGTGTCTGGTACATTCTCCGTCTTTGGACGAGAATTGGCAGTCCGACGATACATCGGGCCAAAGTAGTCGACGAAATGTATGTGTTCGTCGTGTAACTCATTAGCGCTGAAAACGGCTTGAACATGCTGCGCAAGCTCAATGATTTATTTTCCAAGCGAAACATGCGTCCGTCGTTGCCCAATTGGTGAAAATAAATGCCGCCGGGTATTCTTCTAGGATCTTTCAAACGCAACAATAGTGCGAACAGCGGGAAATGATTCAACATGGCCATTGTGGATTCCAGTGTAACTTCCAGCGTTAATATGACTATTCTGAGTAAAGTGAAAAATGCGTAGAAGATCGCGACAGTTGGTAACAAGAACACGTTGACCGTGAAGAACAGAGTGCCCATCAGCAATTGATCCAGCTGAAACATGTTTCCATCGACACGTTTCCTTAAAACGTTACGTTTTTTCCCGCAAAATAAGTAGAACAGTGTGAGCATCAGATTCAGTTGCCAATTGTAGATCCTGGCACTTATGAAATAGAACAGCGAAATATGCATTGATAGCAGTGAAACCAAATCCGCGATAAGTGACAACGCGAAATTGGCTCCGAACAAGGAACAAATGCCAGATATGACATCTACCATGAATTCAACGCTGGGATAACGGATGATAGTGCTAATGTAGGTTTCGTGCGAGAAATCGATAATCCATTGGAACAATTCGCTTAAGAATTTGGCCAATTCACCATTGAGTTTTATACCGAACGGATTGTCACCCAAGAATACAGTCATGAACCGTACTTTTTTGTAAAGAAATTCCTCTAAGGAGCGACTTACGGCCGCAGAAATTTTGAACCGGTTGTCGCGGAGCAAAGCTCCTATGATTAGACCGAAACAAATATCGTTCACAACTAACCAAAGAGTATTGTAAAATCGAATGTAATCCGGGTACATTTCGCACAGAAAGGTACGAGAAGAATTTGTCTCCAACGGACGCAGCGGAGGCGAAGTAGTTGCACTCTTCCTACCATAAATTCGTAAAAACTGGATTGGCAAATAACAAACTTGCTGACATCGCAAATCCATTTGTTGTGCAGTGACAGAGACATTTACGAGGGGTACAGGGCCTTTGTTAAGCAGTGACGATACACCACTGGCTATGAAATGCAATGTGACAGTGAAGTAAATCACCAAATAATGCAAAATGGAAATCAATCGCGAAGTGCCCAAATTTCTAAGCCAATTTCGTAACCTTGATCTAGACGATGATATCTTTTCAGATTTCAACCTCAATTCTTCATGAACACGATAGAAGTGCTCCAATTTTCGATGGTACAAGTTAATCTCATTAAGACTGTCTCTGAAGGAACTAGGTGGCCCCCCACGCTCTCGAAACCCTGCCATATGCTTGCTTTTGGATTCAAACAGCTGCGATGTGTCTCTGTCAGGTAGTATCAGGGATATAGGTTTCAAAGAATAAAACTGCATGAGATTCAAATTGGGAGGTCTAAACATGACCACGCTGTAGTCATCAGTGTCAAGATGACACTCAAATTCACCATTCGTCTTTAAAACGCCTATATTTCGGTAGGGTTGACTTATCTTATTCGATACTTCTAATGAAGCTAGCAATAGAACCAGTAGGTCGCTTTGACCGCAACAAAGCCCTATAACTACGCAATCTTGAGCTCGGAGTTTTGTTAAAGTATTGGGCCAAAAAATGTAGATCATCTTATTGTCATGGCTTTTACCTTATCATGAATTCATCTTGTCAAGATTTTGACATTTTCCATTATCAATTATATCAGGTGGATCATCTTGAACACCTTGAAAATAGCAATTGACAGGTCGTAAGCAGAGGATCCAGGAAAAGCCCTCATTGGTCTCATGGTATCTTTGAGAAGCTTGACGCATCAAGACCGGAAAAAAAACTCAAATAGGGACGATTCTTCTCGCCAACCGCTTCAGATCAAGGTTGATGCTCCTGATGCTGATGAGGTGAAGGGACCACAGGAAACGAGAGAAAAATCTGATGAAAGTAAAGATGACAAAGATGACACATCGACCAGGAGTTTCGAACTTGAAACTGAAACGGATCCAGGATTTTTGAGACCGGGAAGACCCAAATTGAGTGTAATTACGAAGGGTTTTGGTCAAAGTGCGTCAGGGTCCGGAAATCCAGATAAAAGACAACATTCAGCAACCAGTTTTGCCAGTCACATAAAGGGATTGATTAGTCCCAGTTTGTCGTTCTCCAATGATACTAGTATAGAAGGAAACCGTGCTAGCCTCGTTCCGACAGACCAACTTTCAGCCATTAGTAGTCGGGCGGGGAGTGGGAGCGAAAACAGGGCCGACTCCGTGAATGCGACTCAGATCGTATCATTGATTGACGAAGAAGATATGGAAGAGTTTAAGCTGCTACAGGACGATTTCAAAGCTGCCATTGAGTCTGGTGAGAAAACGTGGCTTCCGAAGCAGGCAACGGCAGAGAAAAGACAAAGTGAAATTGAAGGAGGGGTTTTATCGAATCTTGAAAACGAAGAAGAACAACAAGACGAAGACGAAACCGTTCAAATTCGTAATCAGGACCCCGGTGGTAGTCGCCATAGCCGAATCGAGTCACGTGACGGGGAAGAAGAAGACGAGGACGTTAAAGAAGTACAGATAGAGACTTCTCAAACCATTAATGAAGATTTAAATGGTGCCACGCCTCCGCTAGAGCGGAAAATTTTGTCCTCAGCAGGGTTTGCACTGTACGGGAAATCTTTGGGACGTATACCACCTGACTACGAGTTACGAAGGAAAATAGCTACACTGCTACTCAATAAATGGGAACCGTACATCATCTCTTTACTAAATTGGGCTTTGGTTATCTATCTGTGCCAACGATTTTTTTACGGTGGAACAGATATTCAAAACGGTAAATTTCACACGTTAAAAAATGACGCCTTTTTGATTGTATTCAATACGCTGTTCACTTTGGAAGTTTTCGCCAAATGCGTTGCATTTGGTCTGTGGGACGATTCCCAAATGTTTTACGCCAATAATAAGAAGTATAGAACGATATGGGAGATTTCAGGCATTGCCAAAATATACCAATTTGTTGAGGAAAGATACGGCAAAAAGTTGGTTGAACGAATATTTCCTTTCAAGATTGATGACGAAGATGATAATCAGAAGATTATCAACAACAAAAGATTACGCACATCTTTGACCATTGCAGATCTTTCTAAACTGGGTGAATCCGAAATTTCAACGCCTCGAGCATTCGCTAGAAGTAGTTGGAATAGAGTCGATCTGTTCTCTGCCATTTGTTTTTGGATCGCTTTGGCATTATCCTTTCGTAACTATGATTATATCAGAGGCATACGAATATTCAAAGCGCTCAGTGTGGTTAGGATTTTACGACTAACTACTTCCGATACGAAACGTTCTTCGATTTTAAGGTGCTTGAAATATGGGTTACCTCAACTCATCAATGTCGGATTCATGCTGTTATATTTCTGGGTGTTATTTGGCATCTTGGGAGTTCAAAGTTTTGGAGGTTCACTCAGAAGGAATTGCGTTTGGGTTAATCCTGAGGATTCATCCGAAAGCTACGATAATCAATTCCAATTTTGCGGCGGATACTTGGATCCTATTACAAAGACAAGACGAAATTACCTTTACAGCAACGGCAATGAGGGACCGTTAGCAAAAGGATTTTTATGTCCTCAAAATTCCAAGTGCATTTCGGGACAAAATCCCTATCAGGGAACGGTTAGCTTTGACAATATTATCAATTCCATGGAACTCGTTTTTGTCATAATGAGTGCAAACACTTTCACAGACATAATGTATTACACCATGGACTCTGACAACATGGCTGCCTGCATATTCTTCATCTCTTCCATTTTGTTTCTCAATATCTGGTTAATTAACTTGCTTATTGCCGTCTTGGTCTCGTCGCTGGAAAGAGCGAATGAGTCCTTTAACAGAAAGGAGGAACTGGGCCAGTCTGACCTTATTGCGTCGATCATTAGAAGCACCCGAAATTATATCAGGCGCAAAGCCACGCAAGATTATGCTCCCAAGTGGAACAAAAAATGTATCAAGTTCTTCACCAAATGTGAACAGCTTTTCAATGTTCTTATTTTCGCCGACGTTATCATGCAGGCCACGGTAACTTCAAGTGTTACCGAAAACTGGAAGCAGGTCGTGCTCAATTTTGATCAAGGCACATCCATAGCTTTGTTATGCGAGTCATTGATTCGTCTCATTTTGCATAGTGCTTGTCTTTGGAAATTTTTGGCAAACCCATCGTATGTCTTCGATTTCCTAAATTCCATTATCTGTTTGGTAGTGACTGTTCCTCATATAAGGGCAAGTCTGGGCCAAAACTTCTATTGGTTAAATGTCTTCCTAGTTGTGAGATTTTACCGTGTCATCAAGTCTATGAAGATCACAAGAAATCTATGGAAGCGTGTTTTGGGAAATGCTGTTATGATAGCCAACCTCACCGGATTTTATTTCTTGTTTCTCTTTCTCGTTACAATAATTGTATCACTCTTTTTCGAGGGCGTGGTTTCGACGGATGAGATGAGTGATTCTCCCTTCGCAATGTATACAATTCCAAACAGTTTTCTGACACTCTTTATCATTGCTTCGACTGAAAACTGGACGGAATCGTTGTACGAATTACAGCAAAATGCCCCTAACATCTCGTCACAATTTTTCGGCTCAGCTCTGCTCATCATATGGTTTTTCATGGCCAATTTTGTTATGCTCAATATTTTCATTGGTTTGATCGCAGAAAGCTTGGACGTTAAGGAAGAGGATAAACGTCCTCTGCAAATACAACATTATTTGAGGCATGTCTATCCTCAAAGAATCAAAGATTATACGAGCACAACATTAGCGAGCCGCCTGAAAAAGAAGCTTTTAGGAAGAAGCTCCCGGCTTGATACGCAAGACTTCAGGCAGTTTCTCTTCCGAGGAACAGCCATTTTAAGTATTGCGCAACAATATGAACAGTTTCAAAAGAGGGACCTTGACCTTGAGGATAAGGCCAAATCGAAAAGGTTAAGGCGGTTTAGCTTACAGAGAATGCTGTCAAGAATACTACCAAAAAAATTACCAGGGATATCGAATCTCAGGCGTCTCAAAAACAACCCGTTTCGCAAAAAACCAGAAGTCGTTTATTCAGAGATTTCGGATCCCAGTGGCTCTTCGAAGAAATATGTCTTACAATTGAACGAATTTGAGGACGAAAAACTCGCCTACTTGAGAGAGCATCCGACTTTCAATAATTCTTATTTCATTTTCCCTCCAAGCCACATCTTTAGGAAATTCTGTCAAAGTCTCGTTAATCCAAGCGTGGGCAAAAGGACAGACGGAAGAACGTTTTTCAACAACAATGATGAATTTTACGGAGAGTCCGTTCGCTTTCAACATTTCAGAAGAGATGTTTTCACGGGGCTCATCTCCATTGCAACAATTATAATGGTGGTGTTGTCATGCTACATAACACCACTTTATCGGATGAAGCACCTGAATAGTAGCAGGGAACTATGGACTTTACCAATGAACAGTGAAGCTGCATTTGTATTAATTTTCTCACTGGAATTCATTATTAAAACTGTCGCTGACGGGCTAGTGCATACACCTAACGCTTATATCAGAAACCCGTGGAATTGCATAGATTTGATTGTTTTGTTTTCTCTATGGATCAATTTCCTGGCAGCGTTGAAGAACAATAACAGTCTATCCAGAATTTTCCGTGGACTAACTGCTTTGAGAGCTCTAAGGTGCCTTACAATAAGTAAAACAGCCCGATCGACTTTCAATCAAATCCTTTTCGATGGAATAGGAAAGATTGTAGGTGCTGCTGTCGTTTCCCTCAGTCTTTTATTCCCATTTACAGTCTGGGGCATGGGCCTCTTCAGTGGACGTTTGGGGACATGCAATGACAGCTTGGACCTCGACCTCTGTTACAATGAATATACGAACACGGTTTTCCAGTGGGATGTTCTGATGCCCAGGGTGTATTCCGAGCCTCTTTTGTACTTAAATTCCTTTTCAAGTGCTCTGAGGTCTTTGTATGAAATCATTTCCCTTGAAGGGTGGGTGGATCTTCTAAGCAATAGCATGAGTAGCACCGGGGTCGGTACCGTTCCAGAACCCATGGCGTCCCCACAGAATGCTCTATTCTTCGTGCTGTTCAACTTTTCGAGTATGGTGTTCATACTGACTTTGTTCGTTTCTTTTATCATAAGCAACCACGCGAGGACCACAGGTAGCGCTTATTTCACAATACAAGAAAAATCTTGGCTAGAAGTGCAAAAGCTATTTTCTCAAGCGAGACCCGAATCATCTCCAGACGCTTTAACGATGAGCCCACCGCGTTCCTTCTTTTATCGCCTGGCAGTCGAGAAAACTAATTTCTTTTACGCTTCCTTCTTGCAATTGGTACTTTACCTGCATATTTTTACTCTTCTCCTTGGGAGCTACCAGGAACAAGCCAATGTTAGGAACTACCAAAACGTTTACTTCATGCTTTCATCAACAGTATTTCTTCTTCAAGAGAGCTTTTATTTATATGGCAAGGGCGTCAGGTTGTGGTTTGCCCAGAGGTGGGCGGTTTTCAAATTCTTCATTGTTACGACATCTTTCGCACTGAACGTAGCCAACCTCTGTCTCAACCGGACCATCTATGGCTTTACAAATGTTCATGGAATTTTCCAATTGAGCATTTTTCTGTTTGTGATACCTCAAAATGATATTCTCAGTGAGCTCATAAATACCGCCATGGCAAGTTTTCCCTCCATTCTTTCTCTGATTTATACTTGGGGCATTTTGTTCTTGGTCTATGCCATTGCAATGAATCAGATTTTTGGGCTCACGAAACTGGGACCAAATACCACTGACAATATTAATTTTCGCACTGTTACTAAAAGCCTGATTGTTTTGTTCAGATGCAGTTTTGGAGAAGGCTGGAATTATATCATGGATGATTTGACTTTAAATTCACCGTTCTGTTCCAATGACACGGACAGTAGCCATTCTGATTGTGGATCGAAAACATACGCATACGTTTTGATGATGTCCTGGAATATTCTCTCGATGTACATTTTCTTGAACATGTTTGTCTCTCTAGTTCTAGAGAGTTTCAGTTATCTTTACCACAGCAGTGCTGGCGCGAGTTCCGTGGCAAGCAGAGAGAGCATTAGAAAATTTAAAAATGCCTGGAAGAAATTTGATCCCGACGGAGTCGGTGAAATTGAAGAAGACTTTTTACCAAAACTGATGCATTCATTTGACGGTCCTCTATCATTCAAAATTTGGGATGGAAGATTATCGGTGAAAAATCTGGTCAAGAACTATATGAAGGTGAATCCCACGGATCCTTACGATGTTCGAGTGGATCTCGAAGGCTTGAACACCGAGTTGAACTCCATTGACCGGGATAAAATTATTGAAAGAAAACAACAATACCGGAAATTTGTTCAAGAGGCTCGCTATGTCAGCGCTTTTAGCAATGGCATCAAATTTTCGCGCATTATTCAACAGATACCTCTTTATACCGTCTACAATCCACAGGAATGCCTAGGCATCGATGATTATGTGCGGAGACTCTACGTTATGGGAAAAGTTGATAAATTTTTGAGCAACGAGAGAAACGTGGACGTTCTGGAAATGACAGTTACCAGATGGAAATATCTATCTCATAAGTTGATTTCGCAAAAGAGTGGAGTTGCTCATGGGCGTGAGGAAAGCACCAAAAGATCAGAGAATGTGTTCTCCGATGACAATAGAATTGATATTCCTAACATAACTGTTGAGTCCGACATAGAACGGAGCGTTGTTTTCAGACCACCGGGTACACCTCGAGTGGATTACGGCATCAATACGTTTAGTTGGTCTCCTAGCAGAGGGCTTGGGACTAAAAACTTCGACAGTCCTTCAGACGCTGAGCCGAAAGACATTGCACGAAACATATTAGATTGAAACGTTTAATTTTCAAGAAGTTTCGATTAAGCTTTTTTACATTTATAGAGGTCCTTTAAACTACACGCCTTTCCCGTTAGAAGATAGAATTTCATCCAACACATTAGAACCCACAGCTTCAGCGAATTCTTGGTCTGTCAAGTTGGATTTTGGTCCATGGAAATACTTCTTCTTATAGGCAAGGTAATACACCAAGGCCAATATCCAGATACCAGGACCAATGACACAGGCGTAGTTCATCGTATCCTTTTCAACTCCGTGTTGAGTCGCAGGGAACATAACCAAGATGATAATGAAGTATTGGAACAAGATGCTGACCCAGTTAACAATTGGAGACCAGAATTTACCGAGATAAAATGGACCTGGCCGGAAGATATCTTTACCAAAAGTTAATCTCAAAACACTTGGAGTGCTCCAAGCAAGATAGTTTCCAGCAACTGCCAAACTGAACAGAGCGCTTGCAGCGGCGTTGTCGATCAAACACAATAGACCAAGCACCAAAGAACAAGCACCGGCGAAACCGACAGCGATCATCGGAACAGAAGTAGCTTTGTGGACTTTCTTGATGTAGAACGAGAAAGGAAGACCATCATCACGCGCGAATGCCCAAATTTGTCTAGAGACGGCGGTCATGATAGAAGCTCCCATCAGGAATTGACAGTACGCGATCAAGGACATGAATGCAATGGCCCATTTCTTGCCCAAACTGTCGTAAATGACTTGAGCCAACGCAAATCCAGTTGGCGAGGACAAGATGGCGTTCAAATCCTGCGAAGCGCAAGCCATTAGAACAATATTGATCAACCAACCCAAAACCCAGCACGCCAAGATGGAACCGATGATACCAATTGGGACAGCCTTTTTGGCATCCTTGGCCTCTTCAGACTGATGAACACACGAGTCAAATGCGCCGATGGTCCACACGCAACCCATCAAACCTGTTAAACAGAATTGCCAGCCGTTGTTCCAATCACTCAAATTTTCGAAGTTCCCAAAGATGTAGGAGGCATCGTTAAAGCCTCCTCTGTTGATCTTGGTACCAATTGGCAGAGCAATGAAGAGAAGCAAGATGATGAAACAATTGGAGACAATCGACACAGTTTGCAAACGGGAAATGACAGATGAAGCCAAACAAGTGCAAAGCGTCATGGCCACAACGCTTGCGGCGAAAACACCGTACAAAGCACCTCTGCTTGGTTCGTAATTTCCGTCTTTCGACAAAACAACTGCAGCCATGATTTCTTCAGCCAAACCGTAGTCGATGGAACATACACCAGAGACCAGCGCCAGTGAATTAGAACAACCAATGACAAAGGAGATCACCTCTTTATAACCTTCCGGAGCATAGTACCATGTCCAATAGTACAAACCGCCTGCGGTGGGAATGGCGCTGGCATTTTCCGCCATTGTAATACCGACCAAAAGGATGAAAAACCCGGCAACGAACCAACCCCAAACGAACGAGACTGATCCACCGGCAATGGCGCCGCCCATAATAGAAGCAATCGAGGGAAGTAGACCCATGATAGAAAATGCGATACCAAAAACTTGTACCGTGGAAAATTGACGCTTCAATTCCTGCTTGTAGCCGATCTCGGCAAGCAATTGATTATCGTCGGTGGCCGATGTAGCATTGATGTAATTGACTTGTCCGGCACCGGTGCGAGACCGAATTGATCTAAGACTACCGATATTTTTGATATCGATAGCCTCGCCTTGACTATTCGACCCGCTGGTTGTGATAATGTCTTGGTTCTTCTCCGACATATTTGAGTCTTCGAAACTGCGCCTGGGGACAGCTGCAAGAACAAGCTTGGCGTTCAACCTCCGAGAACTATACCCATGATTTAAATACGATGCGACTTTCCCCTGATCTTCGATTACTTTCAGAGATTGTAATAGATTGGCGGGTTTGTCCATCTCATCCCATCCCGCGCGGTTCTCTCACTCCACATCAATGCCCTTTCTGCTGCTATAGTATTATCGCCTAGGAAACTCCTGGGAACAGTCGTTGTAAGGTGGATGTATGATTAACGTTCCGCTTATCATGGCACATTAGGTTGCAAACCAATTGTGCCGCTTCTTTCTCTAAGATTATCGAACTATTTGATAAGGGTTTGCCTATCTATCAGCAGATTGCTGATTCGTTGATAAGACCATAAATAGATAAGAAAATCTCGAAAAAGAAATGAGCCCGTGCGGAAAAACCTTATCTGTCAATGCTAAGTTTCGAACGGAAAACCTGGAGTAGAGATGCATGACGTCATAATTTACCGATCTCGGACCGCTAGGCCAAACAGGGAATAAAGCTGAAAATTTTGAATGTTGAAAATGAACTTATACTAAATACGACGGCTTACAGGAGTCGAACGGACACCTCGAAGAGAGCTTGACCGTCAGGCCAAGTTGGGTGCATTTGTAAAATGAGGAATTTTAAAACGAGGGGACCCCTTAAAACGTGCATTTCTCGTCCTGGAAGTCGAAAGCGAGCACTGCAAGAGCGTGAAGACATTGTAAATCATTGCGCAACGGAACGTATTTCTAAGTACAAATTTTGGCGTCATTTCGCTGAATCTTGAGTGTAATACAGTCCATAATGGGTGCTTCCACGTGACATATCATAATACACGAAGTGATTACATGGATATATAGCCATGTACGGCATCTGGTACAAAATTTTCTCCCTGTAAATGCATGCAGAGACAATAAAAAGGATAATACAAGAATTAGGAAACAATCCTAACTGTTTAGGAAGATAGTGGTCAGAATTGCGCTTGAGGGCGAAATCGGAAGTTAAATTCGTTTTCTCTGGGCTTGAAAATATACGTCAAAGCGCATTTTTAGTTTTGAAAAAGGAGTCGAATTGCTCAAGAATCGATTGAAAAAAGAATGGATACGCTGCTGGACTTCTCCACCGAGCTGGATATAGCGGCGCTCGATCAAGTGGTTGATACGTTTTACAAAGGTACTGGCTTGCAGCAGAAACAGGCCCAAGAAGTTCTCACGAAGTTTCAGGACAATCCAGACGCGTGGCAGCGTGCTGACAAGATTCTGCAATTTTCGCAAAACCCACAAACTAAGTTCATCGGACTCTCGATCTTGGATAAACTGATTACTTCCAAATGGAAATTGCTACCGATTGAGCATCGGGTGGGGATTCGTAACTTCATTGTGGGTATGATTGTGACGTTGTGTCAGGATGACGGTGTTTTCCGCAGTCAGAAAAATCTCATCAACAAATCCGATTTGACGTTGGTGCAAATCTTAAAGCAAGAATGGCCTCAGAATTGGCCAGAGTTCATTCCAGAGCTTGTGCAAAGCTCACAATCCTCAATCAACGTATGTGAAAACAATATGGTGATTTTGAAATTGCTTTCAGAAGAAGTTTTCGATTTTTCTGCCGAACAAATGACACAGGCCAAAGCCTTACACTTGAAGACGTCCATGTCCAAGGAGTTCGAGCAAATTTTCAAATTATGTTTCCAAGTGTTGGATTCGGGGTCTACCACCTCTCTTATAAAAGCTGCGTTGGATTCCTTGCTGAGATATTTGCATTGGATTCCATATCATTATATTTACAACACCAATCTTCTCGAGCTTTTGAGCACCAAATTCATTATGTCGCCAGAATTGAGATCCGTCACCCTCAAATGTCTCACGGAAGTTTCCAACTTGAATATTCCCGAAAACGATCCCAAGGTCGCCGAACAAACGGTGATTTTTTTCCAAAACACCCTTCAACAAATTGCCCAAAATGTGGTTCAAGTTACTACAGACCTTAGGACCACTTACGCTTCGGCGAACAGCAAGGACCAATCATTCTTGCAAGATTTCGCTATGCTGCTAACCACCTACCTCGCCCGTCATCGGGCTTTGCTCGAGAGCGATGAAAGACTCAGAGAATTGCTTTTGAGCGCTCATCAATACTTAATTCAATTGTCCAAAATCGATGAAAGAGAACTTTTCAAAACGACTCTGGACTACTGGCACAATCTAGTCGCGGCGCTGTTTCAAGAAGTGCAAAAACTGCCCGTGGCCGAGCTCAATCCTTTATTACAACTATCAGTGGGATCTCAATCTATTACTTCTTCTGGTGGTGCACCAAATCCCGAGTTTCTTAAAGGATTTCCTCTCAAGAAGCACATATACGACGGAATTTGTACACAACTTAGATGGGTTATCATAGAATCAATGGTCAGACCAGAAGAAGTTTTGGTTGTTGAGAACGATGAGGGAGAGATTGTGAGAGAATTTGTAAAAGAGTCCGATACCATTCAACTTTATAAATCGGAGAGAGAAGTTTTAGTCTACCTGACCCATTTAGACGTGGTCGACACCGAGGACATCATGATTAATAAGTTGTCCAAACAAATTGATGGCTCTGAATGGTCCTGGCATAACATTAACACGCTTTGTTGGGCCATTGGATCTATCTCTGGTACTATGAATGAAGAGACAGAAAAGAGATTTGTTGTAACCGTTATTAAAGACCTCTTGGCATTAACAGAAAAAAAGCGTGGTAAGGATAACAAAGCGGTTGTTGCGTCTAATATCATGTACGTGGTGGGTCAATATCCGCGTTTCCTCAAGGCCCATTGGAAATTTCTGAAGACCGTTATACTGAAGCTCTTTGAATTTATGCATGAAACTCACGAAGGTGTTCAAGACATGGCTTGCGATACCTTCATAAAGATTGTCAAGAAATGCAAACATCACTTTGTCGTTCAACAACCTACCGAACAAGAACCTTTCATTCAAACGATCATTAGAGAAATTCAAAGCACAACGGCTGATTTACAACCACAACAGGTTCACACCTTTTACAAAGCTTGCGGCTTAATTATATCAGATGAACGCAATCAAGCTGAGAGAGACCGTCTTTTAGCAGATTTGATGCAATTGCCAAACATGGCTTGGGATGCAATCGTCGAACAATCGTCTGCCAATCCAGACTTGTTACTGGATGCTGAAACTGTTAAGATTATTGCAAACATCTTGAAGACTAATGTTGCTGTATGTTCTACGATGGGGGCTGATTTTTACTCTCAGCTAGGTCATATCTATTACAATATGCTTCAACTTTACAGAGCCGTCTCTTCTATGATCTCTGTACAAGTAGCCAGCGAGGGTTTGATTGCGACCAAGACGCCCAAAGTACGGGGTTTGAGAACGATCAAGAAGGAAATTCTGAAACTTGTGGAATACTATATCTCGCATGCTAGAAATTTGGAGGACGTTGTCAAAGTTTTAGTGGAGCCACTACTAAACGCTGTTTTGGAGGATTACATGAATAACGTCCCCGATGCAAGAGACGCGGAAGTTTTGAACTGTATGACAACAGTCGTTCATAAAGTTGGCCACATGATTCCTAGTGGAGTTATCCTCATACTCCAGAGTGTATTCGAATGCACGCTGGACATGATAAACAAAGACTTCACTGAGTATCCGGAACACAGAGTCGAGTTTTACAGGCTATTGAGGGAAATCAACAGCAGATGTTTTGATGCGTTGTTGCAATTGCCGCCTGCAGCTTTCAAGCTTTTCGTCGATGCTACATGCTGGGCATTTAAACATAATAACAGGGACATTGAGGTCAACGGTCTTCAAATTGCGTTAGATCTAATCAAGAATATCGAGAAGTTGGGCACAAACGCATTCTCTAATTCCTTCTACGAGAATTTCTACTTTACCTTCATCAGTGAGACTTTTTACGTGCTTACTGATTCCGATCACAAGTCTGGTTTCTCGAAACAGTCGATGTTACTGATGAAATTGATCTCACTTGTCCAAGAGAACAAAATTCCGGTTCCGCTTTACAAGCCTGGAGAAGCACCTGAAGGTACTACTAATCAGCTCTTCCTCGCGAATTACATGGCTAGTATGTTAAGTTCCGCATTCCCTCACTTGACTCAGGAACAGGTCTCTAGCTTCATCGGCGCATTGGTGAAGCAATATCAAGATCTTTCCAAATTTTCCGGGCTTCTAAGAGATTTCTTGGTCCAAATAAAAGAAATTGGCGGTGATCCAACCGACTATTTATTCACCGAAGATAAAGAAAAGGCATTAGAGGAAAAGCTAAGAGCTGACAAAGAGAGGGCCGCGATGGTGGGTGGCTTGTTAAAACCATCGGAGCTCGAGGATTAAAGCATTTTGCCGAGATCAATCACATTTTAATAACTTACGTAGTTTGCATCAGGCGGAATTTTGGTTGTCGCAACGGGCGACAATGTTTGTTTAAGCTTGCAAAAGATCATACTTGATACAATTAGCAGCAATTAATTTAAATTTACAATTTGAATTACAATGAAACAGTATGTGTTTTAAAAGTTGCTCATCTAATTCTTTTACAAAGATGTATGTACATGTAGTCAGTCAGAGCACGACTCCGGCTGCGCGATGCTAGTAAGAATGCATTGTGGGAGAGGTAGCCCAAATCCGCAACCCAATCAAAAAACTGGGGCTTTTTTGATAGCGTCTTGAATCCTGACGAAAGCACCAGTAGGACCCGCTACGGACCCTTTCACGATTATGACACTATTTTCGTCGTCAATTTTGAGAATTTTAGAGTTTTGAATGGTGACTTGTTGCACCCCCATATGACCGGGCATTTTTTTACCGGGCAGAACTCTACCTGGAGTTTGATTTTGACCGTAAGAACCACCGTGTCTGTGCATAATGGAAACACCGTGCGATGCTTTCAAACCTTTGAAATTGTGCCGTTTCATGACACCAGCAAAACCTTTACCCTTAGATATCGACCTGAGATCCACGAATTGACCTGGTTGGAAAAAAGAAGGTTTTATCAGCGTTCCAACGGGCAATAAGCCTTTGGCAGTCTTGACTCTAAATTCAACGACTTTTTCCTTGGGATTGACCAATTTAGACGCAAAGTGACCCAACATTTGGCGTGAAACTTTGTGGGGAGCCTTGGCTCCGTATCCAACTTGACAAGCAAAATATCCATTTTCTTGTGCAGTTCTATGCATCATCACTTCAACGTTATTCAATTCTAAAACCGTAGCAGCTACACGCATCCCACTGGTTTCATCGAAATAGGGCATCATTCCTCTCTTGACGGTCAATGCACCACATCTGTTGGGTAATCTTTTCCGTTTCAAGGCTTCTTCTGGCGAATGATTGATCGCCGGCGCAACCGTTACCGGCGTTTTAACCACACTGGGAGCAACCAAACGTGCGTGTTGAGACGCGTTTCGCGCTTGAACTTTGAAAATCCGCGCTACCAATGCGTTCATAGTATCTAAACCCACGATCAAACCCCAAAAGCGCTGGCAATTCGGTCCCTGGAACGGTAAGGAATCGAGTTTTTTCCGAGTTGCCAGTTTTGAAAATTTTCGAATTTCATCAACTTCGATCTTATATCTATGTACACGTGATCTGACCATCATCATCGACAAAGCTACAACCCGACAAGCCGGTAACATCCTCATTTAATCTTCTTATCCTTTAGAGTAATGGTTTCGTCGTTGATGTAAATACCTTTACCCTTGTAAGGTTCTGGAGGATGGAATTTGCGTAAGTTGGCCGCGTACAAGTAAACTTGCTGCTTGTTACAACCTTCAATGATAAGTGAAGTGGGAACTGGTGCTTGCACCATAACACCTTGAGGAACGGGCAGTCCTTGCATGATCGAGGCACCAACTTTGAGACTCACGAACCTGCCGTTTTGCTCGAGTTGTGCTCTGTACCCGGTTCCGACAAAACGTAGCACTGCCATGTGACCTTCGTTGACACCCACGACATGGTTGTGCAAATGACTGCGCACGGTGCCCCACATGGATTTTTGGCCCTTATCGGTGTCGTCCTGGACCGAGACCGAAACTCTGTCGGTGGTGGTGTCGTGATGAATATGCACGTAGTCGGGCACTTCCATCGACAAGACACCGCGTGGACCCTCGACAGTGACCACTTGTGATAATTTCAAAGATTTGGGGCCCTTTCTTATAATTCTGGCGGGCACTTTGGGCAACACATTGATCTTGGTCTCGCGCGTTACATATACTGGCGAAGACCCAATGTGTGACAATGCAATTCGACTGGTGAAGAATGTCCTGCGTCCAACCACGGCGCCCATTGTTCCTATGTCAGTTCTTGCGTATCGATACCACATCGCTACCGTACCGATGTGACCGTTTCTACAACGGTTAACCTAGTTCTCAGTGCTAGTCCCGGCAATGACAAAATTTTCGATCCTGGCAGAAGCTACGGGACTACGAACGTGTCCAGTGACGGATATCTTCAAAACTTGTGAGAACATTACCAAAAAAGCTTGAAAGAAGACTTAATGAAGCCCAATTTTCGACTTTGAAGTCTTTAATTTTGAGTCTCGGTAGCTTACCAAATACCAATCTGGTGCTTGCCTTGTCCGTGCTTGTTCTGGTTTGCACTGTTCTTCGTACTGAAGAGATCATTCTGACACGAAAGGTTGAAAAATTTGAAAAGTTCGCCCATCTTGAAAGCATGGGCCATCTCATCGCACAGGAAGTAGAAGTGTCGACTCAACGTCTTCGTGGCCATCTCTTCTAGTTTTGGGCAGGTCAGTGTTCCCGTTGCGAAGTCAACCGCTTGTGTGAAAACCAGATAACGAAAGCATTCCTGTAGTGCGAAAATGGTCAGAAAGTTAAAGCATCATGAGCAGAAACTGCTGAAGAAAGTGGATTTCTTGGACTGGAAACAGGACCAAGGTCATCGTGATACGCAGGTTATGCGTACGTATCACATCCAAAATCGGGAAGATTATCACAAGTACAATAAAATTTGCGGGAATGTGCGTCGACTGGCGCATAAGCTGTCGCTGTTGCCTCCATCAGACGGGTTTCGTATCAAGCACGAGGGCCTTCTGCTTGAAAAACTGTACGCAATGGGCATCTTGGCTACCAAGTCGAAAATCTCAGATCTGGAAAACAAAGTTACCGTTAGTGCCATTTGTAGGAGACGTTTGCCCGTGATCATGCATCGTATGAAAATGGCAGAGACGATATCAGACGCTGTCAAATTCATCGAACAAGGCCACGTCAGGGTAGGGCCACATTTGATATCAGATCCGGCATATCTTGTCACCAGGAACATGGAAGACTATGTCACATGGGTGGATAGTTCGAAGATCAGAAAGACGATTCTGAGATACAGAAACCAAATTGACGACTTTGATTATGCATAGCTGGGCTTATGACGGTAAAAAGGCCGCGGGTGTGTATAGAGGAATCCGTTATGTTACAGTAGGTATATTTTAATTTTTAGTACTTTTTTTGGTAATGTTGAAGTGAAAGGGTTTCGCAGGGCGAGGTATAGTGTGTGCCCGTTGTGACTTACGCAATGCAGCATGGCTTAGCAGAATATGTGAATAGAAAGTGTGAAATATGCGACCGAAAACAAAAATCAAAACGAGAAGCTCGGAAAAAGGGCAAGTAAATGTGAAACGTATTAGACGTTGTTGTAATTGTGGGAAGATCCCAATTGTTTTCTGAGGTCGTCTTGAGATCCACTGAGGGGCAAGATGGCACTCATGTTCGGCCGCTGATAGGCATCGTGATCATCCAGAATTCCACTGACGCGCTGATGAGCCAGTTGAGCCTGATGCTGTTGCATCGTATGCTGAGACGTCATACTGTTATTTCGCGAGTTTGCAGCGCTGTAGTTTCGGAACGAACCAGCAGGTTTGTATAGCTTAGAATGTGAAAGTTCAGCAGGGTTTGTCATTACAACACTTTGTCTCAAATGGTGCGGTAGAACCTGAGAACCTTGAGAGTACGATTGGGTCGAATGATTTATCGCAAACCCATCCTGCGTCGGTGACGTTTGGTTGTAAAAGAGTTCGGGGTGATCAATTGGATTGGCAGACCTTCCATCACCCATTATCGCGTTGATTGCGCCGTTCCCGTTACCTCTGAAAGAGGTCAAAGATGAAGTGGTGGCGGAGAAGGGTAAATGTGACGGCGTTGGAAGCTCTCGAATGTTTTCCAGCGCTTGTGGATGGTAATACTGTTGTGGAAGATGCAAACGTTGTTGTTGCATGTGCATATGCTGTGGGAATGCAGGTTGCCTGGAGTATGCGCCCTGTGGATAAGTAAGGTTCGGCTGCTGCGGAATATATTGCATATTTTGATTCTGTTCAAGATGTTGTGGCTCGATTGCTTGACTGTGGTCGGTGACCGGTGGCATCTCCGAGTAAATTGAAGAGGCTATACGATGGTCGGGAGGCTCGTCAGCTGGTAATCTCAAGTTTGAAGCATCCGCATAAATTCCGGATTTGTCTTCAGCAGGTATGGGCGATTGTGCATCGGTGTTTGAAGCCGCCATTGCATTGATCTGGTGTAATGCATCTGCTGGTAGATCTTCGACAGGAACCTCATGCTTGGATGAAATTTCCGCGTCGCCTGTCTTTTTCTTAACAACAGTCCCATTTCTGTCCAGATACACTTCGTATATGCTTTTCATTCGCTTAATATTTTCCTCCTCTTTGTTATTGAAATTGCCAACGTATTCATTTTCTGGGAAGCCCTCAGGAAGAAATGGATTTTGAACCCCGTTTGGTGCATTGTCCAAATCGATGCTCGCGGTATCATCTTTGCTTTCTTGAGTTGGCTCATCTGGACTGTACCCACTAAACGAGCGTACATAGCCTTGCTCCACATTTGTGCGAACGTCCTTCACAGGGCTGGCCTCGAACTCAAAACTAGCCGATCTTCTTAATGGGCCAGTAGATTCCGCGGCACCGGATGGTTCTCGGAACTGATGATTAGCGGGAGATGCTTTCTCTGGGCTGGGATTGCTGAAAGAGGAAGTTTCCACGGATAGTAAATTACTACTGGTAAAAGATTTTTTGTGAAGTGGCGCGGCGGGGCGAACTTTGTTCATTGGGACGGAAGGTTGTGTTAGTGAAAGCTCACTTGCACTTCTCGATGCTAACCGGTAGCCACTGAAATCGTTTGCATCCAAACTTCTTGCAAACTCACGTAAATCTTCACGGCCCGTTCCATGTGGTAGTTGAAACGCTTCTGCTGGAGTACCTGTACGCATACTATTAGGTCCCAGCGATGGGACACCAACACCACCATACTCGTAAGGAATTTTTGGCTCGAACCCGTCGAAATTACTTCCAGACGAGTTTCCGCGAGGAAACGAATCCTTCAACTCGTAATGCGGACCCATGGAAGGGAAAAAATCTCCGTCACCATCGTAGTCCGGATCGTTATCTTCCAGAGCTTCTTTTTTGCCCTTTTTCCACACCATATACAGCACGATTGATAGCGCGATCGCGACCAAACAAACCGGGACCACAACCGCGACTATAACGGCCGTGTTAGTCTGATGTGTGTTCCCAGCCGGGAGTTCGCAGGAAGACCCTTTGCATGCACTGGTTGTTGCGCTCTTCTGAGAAGATGACGCGCTCGAAGAGGACGATTTGGAGTTGTCGGCTCGAACATGAAGCCTGTGAGTAACGTCGTAGCGTCCGCGCATTTTTGGGAATCGCGCTTTGCAAGTCAAACAGAAACAAAAGCCCAAGTGAATTGTGGCCCACAACAACCTCTACCTCCAGATCACACGCCAAGAGTCAATGGTCAATTAGAAGTGATCCAAAGCTTGAAAAGGATCTCGAAAAAGGTGATGCAAACAAATATCGGCAGACTTCAGGTAGTTACGCGAAAAATTATTCCTTTTTTCCATCGCCATATTCAATTCTCTAAACGGAAAAGTAAATATTCTCCGAGTAACCCGAGAATAGAAACCATCCGCCTTTGTTGGTTGCTGGCACGTTTACGGCATTGTTGCGTCGCGAAACGGACACATCGATCGCAGCGCGTTTTCCGCTCTCCAACTGATCTAACTGTCTGTACTTACTTACGGTATTGAGGAAAGCGATTCTTGTTTTCGAAGTTGATGTTGCCCGCATGTTTGGATATTTTGACATCTTGAGTCTTACGTAAAGCAATGTAAAAACCTGAAAGGAAGTTAGCAGTGGGGGAATAAGAGTATCTGATGTTTAACATTACTTCCAATAAATCAAGTCAATGATCTCATTGGCTTGTACTGGATGAGATGTTCGGTTTCTCGATGTCAACTGGTCCACAGTTGACATCGAAATGCCTGAAAGTTGAAAAAAAAGTTCCAAAAAATACGAAGCTTTCTACCTTAACCCTGGCGGGAGACAGCACCCGGATGGTTCTGGTAAAAGGCAAGAACCATGTTCGTTGTACATAGGCACAGTCCACTGACTGACACCCTTTTGATGCTGATCTCTGCACTTGGCGGGTTTGAGGAGCGCTTAGTGTAATAAGCAAGAGACATAGTTGGATTTTGTGTCATTTGTCCTTTATATAGTTTGAGAAATCTGGTGTATGGGTGCTCATTGGGAAGGGTAACATTTGAATGACTTCGTGAAATGAGATATACATTTCGTTTTAAATGATGCATTTTAAATCAATGGAAGACATAGAGATGAGCTATTAGAAGCTCGTGAAGCCGGTCGCCAAACTGACGAGAATTGGTGATATTATGGGCAATGGAAAGCTTATTAAGAATGTGTTGACTCACATGAAACGCACGGGCAACTTCGTCGGGACCGCCCCCGCTCTAGGCGAGCAATCTTCTCATAGGAATGAATCAGATTTGTCCAAAGAGAAAGAGTACAGTCGAGTCCTCAAATATTCGAGCTATGACCCGTCTTTGACCAAAGAAGATTTCGTTAGACTGATACCACACGTGAGATTTTCAGACGCAAGAGAACCCCATCCTTTGGCGGAGTTTGATGTGTGGAAAGTGAGAGATCCCAGATACTTCCAGTTCCGTGACAGTTACCATCTAATATTCAAAGATTTCAACATGCTCAACAATTACAGGAAAAGCGTGCGTTTAAGCAGGATTGACGGTCTACGCGCTGTTTTTAGTGTAAGGGACAAATCTGTGAAACCGGAAGATAGCATTGCTGCGTATGTGTCAAACTTGCTGGCAGCGTTTGACTCGTCGGAAAGCTATTTCCGAGCGTTGAAACACTGCAGGTTTGTGAAGCCCGACGCGAACAAATCGCTGGAACAGATGGCCGAAGAATTGGCAAACGCCGAGAAAAAATCTCTATTGATATGGAATATACCTCCGACGCTGCGTGCATGCGACGTGCTCGAAAAATTTTGGTTCTATGACATCAAACATTGGTTTAAACTGTATTGGGATCCACATACGGGACGGAACCTTTCGTTCTTAGCGTTCAATTCAGAGTTGGACTGCACTAGGTTCCGGCAGAATTTCCACGGTGCGTATTTCTCTGAGAGCGAAGAGTGTAAATTGCTCGTAGAGGCATTGAAGTAAGAACTGTGGAGTTGTTGCAATCATTCGACCAATGGCGAGAAATGTCCCTTTTGGTTATCATTTTGGAGACTATTACAAATTCCGTGTGGCGACACGTATTTATTGAACCATGGTATTCTAAATTTAATGGAGATTAGGAAAAAGTCGTTGGCATCTGGTGCATTTTCTATGCAAAATTTGTGATAATGATTTTGAAACCCATGACTTCCGTTAAGGTGCGAAAGGGATACGGCACCCAAATGGCTATAGCTCAATTTCTGAAGCTCCAGTTTACTCTGTTAAACGTCGAGAGAAACCCTTCTCGACTTGTGAACTCTAAATGGAAGTTGAAACTCCTTGATTATGTCATTTGCCTAAAAACAGGGGCTCTTTCGAACATCTTGCCGAGGACAGCCCAGCACTGCGTAGACCGATTTTGTCACTCAAGTGCGTATAATCTTATTATTTTGCGTAAGCATAACTTGTCTTTATCCTGCTTTCCTAAAATCCAAACAGTACGTCTGCACTATGAAAATGGACTATATGTTACATAGTCATGCTTCTTAACCCAGTAGGCATATATCTTACAACTGTCTCCAACTGGCCCTTACTACTTCCCATCTTTTCTTGGGTGCACCAGATTGTGGCGGCGAACCTGTTGGTAAACTCTCGCTTACCGTATAGACTTTATTTTCCCTCTCTAACATGACATATTTTTCCCATATGCCGCTGTCTCTCCAAACCAAAACTAATGAGTCCTCCTCGCCGTCGTGACACCATCCTATCTTGCACCTGTCGTTGTTAAAAGCCTTGTCATTAATATCGTTTTTCCCGCGCACCGCAGAGTCCAGATGCCGAGAACACATGGACCAGGTCGATGCCAAATATTTAGGTTTCCACAACAGGGGAACATCTTTGAGCATATGAGTCTTGTTCTTGTTGTCACCGTCGTCGTCACTAATTTGGAAAATGTGTAAAGTCTGTTTGTCGCTCACAACCGCAAGACGATTGCCACGCAAACTCCATGCCATTTCGTATATATCTGCGCGATCCAATCCTCGCCGTAATTCTTTGAGTAAAGTCCCATTTTGGGTGCTGAAGATGCGAACGATAGTACCCTGTACGGAACAAGTCGCGACCATGTTCCCGTTAGGGCTCAATTTGATGCGCCGAATGGGAGTCTTGTGAGCTTTAATGATCGAGGTTGGAAGTTGGACACTGGTGTCTTCTTGAATTTCGCTTGATTGCAAATGCGACAGGTCTGCAATCTGCACTTGACCAGGATTGCGACCCGATGGAAACGCCAGGATTCCACGCATGACAGTTGCGTCACTTCCCGCAGGAGCGTTCGCAGACGAAGATCTTCTGCGGGGACTTTGGCAAACGACAAAATCGGCACTTGCGCCCGCGCACGTGTCGAGCAAAGAAACGAGTCTCCGGGGTTTGGAACCAAAGGTGTAAATTTCAATGGCACTGTCTAGAACGACAATGATATTGACACGGGACAGGAAAATGTCCTGGATCTGGGACATGAACCCCAGTGTAATGGACTCCGTCTGTTGTAGATCATCCCACACGACAAGCTTGTTCTGCGGATATTTGGGCCTTCTGCCCCCACCGACGAGCGCCAAATAGTTAGTGCGGTAAAGCATGCACGTGAGCCCGATCCCGCATGCGTTCGCATTCGAAAACTGCTTACTCAGCTTGCAATCGAGTGGATCCGCATTGTAAATCAAAAACCCGGTTTGAGAAGAACAACTGAAACACGTATAATCCTGGTTGAAGTTCACGTTCAAAAACCTGGCACCAGTTACGTCCTTGTATTCAACGATTGGCGTTCGAGTATTCATGCAGGGTTTGGAAACGGGTCCCAATGCGCGTGATGGGGCAACTCTGCTCTCGGTATGTTCTCCTATCGTTGGACAAATGTCGTTATGTTTTGTATGAGAAATCAACGATGGAGATACCTTAACGAGGGCAATGTCGTGTTGTACGTAGTGAGCTTTCTTAGCATTATAGCGGCACAGAACTAACGAGTCACTGCCAGTGTCAAATTTTTGCAAGCCTATCAGTAGTGGAAAGTATGCATGAGTGCCTTTTTGGCCTGCCTTGCCCAATGGATGTCATACCCAGCTGTTATAATGTCAGTTTAGTGCGAAGTGATATAGGTCGCGTGATATAACTATTGCGCGCCAAGCGTTCTCTTTGGCTGTAGTAGATGTTCCATTAGTGTGTGGCCACCCTTGTAGAAGTCTCCTATCTTGTGGATTGGCCTAGCTCGCTTGTTCGCTCACATACGTGTGTTTTCACGTGACCAAGCTGCCCAGAAAGCCATGAAAGCTCGAATCAACCTGGGAATCGGTGCAGTAGAAGGGCCCCGAAACGCACCGAAGTCGTTATGTATGGTTCAAGGAGAGTCGTATTTTTGATCTACTAAAATGTCCAACGATGGGTGATATTATTTGGCTGATACAAGCACGTGACCACGATGTCAGAATGAGAATCGAAATGATGGTCTGAAACGTTTAAGAGAAAACGATGTCAGCCAAAGTGGAGTCCTTTCAAGAAGGTCCCGAAAATACACCTCAACACTGAAATTAAACCAGCTATGGAGTCAAAGAATAGTGACGCATGGCATAAACACTTCGGCTTGTATATCATCAAAAGTGACATGCGACGAATTACATTGTTCGTACAATACAACAACATGTTACCAGTTGTGAATAAGGCGTAAGAAGGCTCAATACCGATGTATTGTATTGTTGAGGCCGTTAATCATTAAATAGAGCTAAAGAGTCCGTAGGCGACCAGCCTCTGTCACCTAAATATTACATCGCTTGACCCGAATTGTTCGCCTTCCGTTCGTGATTTTCTTAATTGTAAAAATGCATCGAGTATTGAGAGCTTATCACCCTGTCGCTGTTGCGATGCGGTAATAATAAATTTGGTGGGATAGAGAAGCGCCACGGTGTACAATCCTTATTTTTTAGTATGAGACCTTAGTGACGAGGGTAATCTGCTGATCCTGGGCATCGACCTTCTCAACACACTCACACTCTTCAGTTCGTCTTCGCTGACTGAATTAGTGTTCATCTTAAAATCGAAAATCAATTTTCACTGTCTATCAGACCAGCGAATATGAGAGGCCCTCAGTGGGTTTCCTCATGGTGCTCTCTGTGGACAATTTGCTTATGGTGCTTCCTGGGCCCTCTCTTGGCCTCCTTATCTTGGCGCATGAGCAATTCGTTGCAACATTTGCAACTTCATTACCATTGCAGGACTTTAATTGCCTTGAATAGTTTCCAGGTGCCTGTTGTTTTCCATTTCTGCGGAAGATTTCGAATTTGCGCCATGTGACGTGGTTGGTATCAACACAGAATTCTCCATACCTGTGAGTCGGCTTTAGGACTTGTTTAAGATCCAGGCATGGAAGAATCTTTTTGAGAATTATCCAATCCTTGCCCGTTGTTTTGTAAATCAAACGTATTGCCTGATTTTCGTTTTTTAAATATTCAACCCCAAGCGACTTCTCAACCAGCTTTTTGACTTTATAAATGTAAACAAAGAGGTTCCTTTGCTTGTTCAAGTCTATGCTCTGCCATTTACTCGTAAGTGGGCTCAGGGGTCGTGTGTTTTCAAAATTCATTGTGGCTTCGCGAGAAACTAAATGTTACTCGTTCGAAATTCTGAGAGGAGAAGTCACTGACGGCAGGCTAGAAAGTCCACAGAGGTACCCACAACTACCCAATGCGTCCCTTTTTCAACCTCTTGGTTCTCTAATGCGATGTACTGAAGATATGAGATTTTCACATTTAACATTCTCTTGATAATTCAATCAAGACAGAATGTTTTCCAACTGGAAAGAAACAGCCATCGATTTTGTTGGTATTGTCGGGACCTCTACTAAGTTACCAATTTCTCTTGCCCTTTCAAATGGTTCCCTGACCTGATGAGGAGATGACTTACTTACCGAGCCAGTGCCTCGGTACAGGCAATTACTGATTTTCCCTACTATTAAAATGTTCGCAAGGATTCCCACTCTGGGTAATCTTCCTTTAGCGGTACATTTATACTGAGGTTGACCGGCGTCGGTCATCGCCAGGTTGCTGAATTATTCATTTTGTTCATAGGTTTCCAGATTGTAAAGTTCTCGAGTACTGACAACGTCCGTATTCCAAGACTAACTTGAAAATATTACCTGTGTAAACCTCGTTGTATCATATATGGCCAAAGGTCGAAACTTTTCTCCCGACAATCAGCCGGATAATAGCGTGATCTCGGTCTTGCAATTACTCCGTGACCATCACTGGAATCGATTAACCTTCCAAGTCTTGCTAAAGAATGCGAACCATTCGTTCAATTCTTTCATGATGTTCCGTCATCGCGGTCACGTGATAGCTACTACCCACAAAGCAAACCTGGCAATATCACCTCCTAGCTATCTCTTCCCAATATCTGAAGAAAGCCCTTCTTCGTTAACATCACGACTGATAGGCTGTTCCTAGCTCGAACGTTATCCTAAAGGTTGCTTAAAAGTGATCCTAATATGCTGCACGTGACCACATAGTTCGCACAACACACAAAAGGATAGAGCGAGAGGCTGCAAACCAGCCCATGGGGAAATCGCAGGGGCAGGTATATAGTTGGTCCGCTCCATTTGTTTGGCATATTCTTCACCAGGTACATCACTTTAAGAAACGATGACTGTGAAATGATATCACGTGACCTCAATGAAAGACGATATAGCCAGTCTTGGAGAGGATAAGTTGATCAAGAAGTGGTAAGTACTCGATGCGGGATATCTCTTAGGTAAATAAAAACATGAACAACCGATTGAACATTTCGGAAGAAGCCGGCAAGCAAAAGTAAGATATGATATTTTCATATTTTTTTTGGAATTTCTCACTTTTATATAAAGTAATTGACCCATCAAAGCCCTGGTAACATGACTTGACCGAACCTCTAAAGGACACTGACTAAAACCTGCCCTGTGAATCCCCCACATGGTTACTATGAATTCCGTTTCGTGCCTTGATTTGCCGGCAACCGTTCAAGATTTGTCGCGATCACGTGACCACTCTCGACGACCACAAGATATCGCTTTGAAATAAACTGACGCGATACTCAGAAAACTTACCTTCTTACCACTCGCTTTATCAACCAACAAAATCAACCACCTGACTGATTATATAGTTAGTCTACCTTCGCTTCTATAGTTTGCTCGCTTTTAAAGTGCTTGACTTTGACAAGCGCCCTAAGTTTCATATATAACCACACACTTCGCGCAGGTTACACCTCCGCAATACCGATAAGGGAGTTACACTACCGGTTGAATTCCGGCGCCTTTGGGGGACTATGTCCAATACGCCCGACAAAAGTTGTGGGAAATGTACCAAAAAACAGGTTCGTGGGCAAAACAGAATCCAAACGGTGAAGATTCAGGCCGCTAGCACGCCAAAACGGTCTACGGAGAAAAGCGAAACCATTCGTGGCGGCGGCAACGTTGCCGCCGCCGATCGATTCATTCCGAAAAAAGCGTCACAACAGGCCTATAGAGCCATGGAACGGCTCAAGACCATTGATTTCGAAACCTGCCAACTCTCGGAACAATCGCTGTCGCCCACGCATCTGAGCTCACCGGACTTTTTCGTCAGTCTGCGGTCTACCCGGCATTACAACTCCATCACGGCGACAGCAGCGCCGGAGACTCCAGACACAAGTTCCAAGCAAGCCGAGGATTGTCCGTCTCGCCAAAAAATCCATAGGTGTTACATTGCAGACGCTTTGGGGTTTCAATCGGCCGGAAGAGTGTACCAGTTTTCACCTTCTGTGTCTCGCAAACTACAAAACGCACCGACAGCGGGAACAGAGGGTCAGATGCGCGAAATCGCGCTCAATCATCTCACAATTGACCCTTTAGTGTCTTTACTTCCACCACGACAAGCCGCTGCCTATTTGACGTCCCAGGCATTTTCAGGCAGTCTTGGCACACGGAGCATGGTTCCAGTCAATGCGCGACTTGCCAGACGTCCCAAATCGCATGCGCCATACCGCGTTCTGGATGCACCGTCGTTGCGAAACGACTTTTATTCAAATCTGGTTTCGTGGTCTCCAATAACCCACAGCATTGTCGTTGGACTGGGCAGCGCTGTTTACATTTGGTCCGACACGAGAGGTGCCATCAACGTTTTGCATTATTCGTATTTGCATTCTCGCAACGATTTAGTCACCTGTGTTTCATTTTCGCCCTATGATGAGCTTTTAGTCGTGGGCACTAAACAGGGACGCTTGATGTTGTTCGATCAACAGCTTGATATCAATGCCACCGGCGCCACGTCAAAGCCTTTGTGCTTCTCTGGTGACAAAACCATCAAAGGTATCTGCTGCATCGAATGGTTTGAAATCGGGGACAAGAGTGCGCTGCTGGTCGGTGGAGAGACAGGTGATGTCCATGTGGTTGAGGTTCAACCCAATTTTGAAGACACCGGCGTCAGAGCTGGCGCCAGCACTGGCGCAAACACCGATGGTTCCGCGTACAGGACAGGAAGACCCTCAGGTCTTGACGGATTGAATTCCGGATACAGCCATGGGAATGACTACGATCGCAGCCAAGATTTGGAACCGGAAGAATCATTTCCTAGTGAGGTTGAAGCCTCGACAGAGTCAGTCAACTATAAAAGAAATACGGGCGGCGTGATAATAAAGTGGACATTAGCTACAATATCCAGGTTCAAAGCCCAGACTCAACAAGTGTGCGGTATTTTAAATAAACGAGAGATACTCTTTATCCCCACGCTGATTAAAACCTGTTTTACTAACTTAATTACCAGGACTTTCCCTGAATGAACAAACGCGTCAGCTAGCAATTGGTGGGAACGATAATACATGTACCATTTGGGACATTCAAAATCTGTGTTCACCGGTTTTACAGTTTGTCTTGCCGCACAAAGCGGCTGTCAAAGCCGTGGCGTTCTGTCCTTGGTCCAAATCACTTCTGGCTACCGGAGGCGGCAGTAAGGATCGTACCATGCGGTTTTGGCACACACAATCCGGCACTTTACTACAAGAAATTAAAGCTCCAGGTCAAATTACGTCTCTCATATGGTCCGTGACCCACGCTCAAATTGTCGCTACGTTTGGATTTGGGGACATTGAAAAGCCAGCTTTGATTACAGTGTACACCTACCCTTCGCTAGAACCCGTAATGGAAGTACGTTCGGCGACCGCGTTGCGAGTTCTGAGTGCAGTATCATCGCCAGATTTCAGTTCCATTTGCGTGGCCACTAATGACGAAACCATTCGGTTCTATAAATTATGGGGTTCTGCCAAATCTAGAATACAAGAAGCACACCGTAAGGGCATTTATGGCAGCGATTTGATAGAGTTTCACGAGGGAATTCACGACAGCGACAGCATCATAAGATGAAAACAGAAGAGGCTGTTACCAAGAAAACGTCTAATATCAAAACCGTGTAAACTCCTTAAGGCTAAAATAATAACAACAATAATTGGCTTAACTGCTAAGTATCTAGCTTGTCACTCTCACGATGTGAACCCAAAGGCTTACTTCTCTCGAAAAGTTGATCACGTGCTCCGATCAACTCCCTCTAATTGTGAGGCATCCTCAAATCTTGAAATATCAACATTAGGGAATGAGATCATTTGAGGCCTTTGAAAACCACGATAAACGCGCTTTAAGGGTCGTGATGGGAACTGAATAATTGAAAACACATTAATAGGCGCTAAAAATTTGTCAGATGAGCGAAACACGGGTTTTTGGGCATAAGAAATCTCTATTGGGCGACCTAATGGCGAGGAAATATGAGAAATCTGTTGAGCCGACATTGGCATCGGAAAGCGGGAGAGGCTCTGGTGATACGGTTTCGAATCGAGAACTGATACACGGAGTGGCGAGCTCGCTTTTTGAAGCGACTTTGACCAGGTTCAGGGCCAGTAAGACGGCTGACGAGATATCCATTGAAGAAGATTTTGAAAGATACGCTACCGCAGCACAGTCTGAGAGTTCTGACAGTTTTTGGAAAGATGAGAATTTCAGGCAGGACTACGAGTCAAGTGTTACGGGGGAAGCTAAGGATGTGACCCCAAAGAAGTCTGCTATCCCAAGGGCCGTTGAAGAGACGCAAGAGCACTTTGTCGATATTTTGCTGGACAAAATGATTTCACGTATTTTGCCCGAGGAATTCCCAGAAAGAGAACATTTTACGCAAAGGGTTAATGATCCAACGAGACGGCGCAGAGATAAGCTGTCAGCGACGATTTTTGCGAACAATTTGAAAGTTCTGACGGCCAAGATGGGATCTGTGTTCGAATTTCAGGACAGCGTCATACGACTATTAGCATGGAGGAACCCGTCTGGAACGGTTACCATGCTTATTGTGGTGACCATAGTGTGTTTCGATCCCATTTTTCTCACAATTTTACCTCTGCTTTTCGTCTTGTATGGTTTGATGATCCAGGGATACACTCAGCGACATTCTTTGAGAAGACGTGCGTATCTGTCACGTAACGTGTACGGGAAATCGCTTTTGGTCTCTCTCGCCAGCGGAGGCAAACGTACCAGTTGGGGTTACGGCGATTCTGTCCACGAGTATGATTATCGTACCGGAGCAGACGATATCAACGCGATACGTGCTAATCAAATAAAACAAAGTATGGAATTTGTGGTCAATTTGAGAGATTTGCAAAATTCTATGACCATGCTCGTGTTGCTCTCGAATAGTTTAGAAAAATTCATTTACGGAACTGCTGGGTTCAAAGAAGAGCACAGGTCTACAGCTTTATTTTTGGTCGGACTCATAGCTATTATCCCTTTGTGGATTGCTGGGAGATTCATAAATTGGAGTGTTGTCTCCAGCCTGAGCGTATGGGCTGTTATGTTAGCCATTCACCCCAAACTTCGCCCTAAGCTAACCAAAATCGTTAAACAGGAACAGATTGAGATGGGTAAAGAAGTGCTCAGCAGGACTGAGCGCTATGGGATTATTCTTGATGAACCGCCCGAGGAAAGATTTGTGGAAATTTTCGAAATTTACAAGCAAGGAATAACCCCCCACGTATGGGACTTTTATTTGTATTCGCCTTGTATCTTCGATCCTTCAGATTCCTTCCGCAAAGCCAAAAAGCCACCTCCTGGTACCCAGGATTTGGACTCCGTCTTTGCGCCTGCTACTTGGTCGTATGAGCGAAATACCGGTTGGGAAATTGATTGCAATATCGCGAAGTGGGCTCTTGAGTGGGGTAAAGATTTGAAAGTCGATGAAGACTTTTTCCTCGTTGACGATTCTTTCAAAAGAAGAAGGCTCAAACGGAAGGTGGTTAGGTATGCAAGACCCGCTCGTAAGCCTTCTTACAGAATGTGAAAGTAAAATCTATGAAATTTTCGAAGCTATTTAGAAATAGATGCTGAGGCCAAAGTGGGTTGACGAATATAATAACAAATAAGTTCCTTTTCAACAAAGAACATAACTAAATTACAGTGGTTTAGGATCGTTGAGTTTTCGCTGTCCCTAAGCCGGAACACCTTCAGACTCCGACCTTGAATATGAATTAACAACTCTTTTCCAGCTCTTTCTATTATCTTGTATCGGTACCTTCTGCCAATTCAGATAAATCATCATGAGAAGAAGTACGGCGGCAAAGACACACGACGGAGCCAGCATATGCAAAAAATTCCTGGCAGAGACATTTTGTTCGTAAGGACAGGATGCATAGGGACCTCCTACCACCCAGCAATCCGGGACAGCAATAGAGTTCAGATCTATCCAGATGTCCATATCGGGAGATTCCAATGTACTCAAGTATATCTCGACAGCTCTTTGTTGAAGGGGCGATTTGGGCACAGATAAATCGAAATTTTGAGGACATTTCCTATCAGTGTCATCATCGTTCAACTCGAAGTAGTCTGATTCGGAAGTACTCAGTGACCAGGCAAAGGGTTTATTTAGCAATCGGCATAACCCATCTTTGCTTACATAGCAGTTCCCGGTCCTCCAGTAACTGCTTGCGTTTAAAGCCTGGAAATGCAGAATCGCACAACGATATGCAATTAGCGAAGTCGAGTTACTTTTTGAGCTCTCATCTTCTTCTGGTTGTCCAATTTGCCATGACCATAGTAATGCACTTTCTAAAAGGCTGTCCATGCCTGGAAGCGTTGGAGAATCAAATTCATTGGTTATAATGGGTGAAAATCCACATCTAACGTATTCAAAAATGTCTTTAGGATTGAATTCATTCTCCAAAAATCGCCATTGAAACTGAGCGGTCCTTGCCAGGGCGCTCTGAGTCGCTAGTGGGCAAACAACGGAAGAATTGTCGGTCAGATACGTCAAAATATTCGAATCAAATATCAAAGAAGAATTCAGGACCTTATCAGTATCGTCATCAACCGCAGTTATCATTAATCGTTTCTGCTGTTCAAACAAAAAATTCTGCATCCGAGGCCAGCCGAAAGAGCTTATATTTCCCTCAAAATCAAACGCATTCCCCTCTCGTCGGTCTTCCATCAAATTCTGCGGCATGTATATCCTGCTCAATGGTATGCTTTGCTCCAAATATGCCGTCATATTCAAGTCGGGCACCGCCTGCGAATTCCGTCGTTCGTCGGTTCTTAACATCAAATTCAAGATATTGGCATCAAGATAATTATTGGTCGAGCTCATATAAGTCTCTAACGTCACCAAAACGTCTCGCAATGTCATGTTCGTGTTCATCACTGAAATCTCGTTATCTTGTTCTTCCAGGCTCACGTCAACGACAAGAGTCTGTATTCCAGCGTCTAAAACCCCACTTAACACCTGTAGAGCCTGTGTAATATTGTCCCAACTCGAATTAAACACCGTGCTTACCTTAATCCCAACAAATGGGATCTGATCTATCGAAACATTGGCCATAATGTCCCTCTGAGATCTCAAAGCCACTTGTGATTGATAAGACACACTGGGCCAGAATGACCCGGCCACGATTCCGACATACACGAAGATTCCTATCAAAATGTTCAAAACCACATCCATATAACACTGAAAAGCTCTCTTTTGGCTCAGAATCGGCCTGTTGAAAAGGTTGATTGTTCCATAAAGGAAGGATGGTGGTGAAATTTCATGATATTTGTAAAAAGTGATTTACATCATCAACAAACTTGAAAGTTCAAGATGAATTGATAACCAATCAAGAACCTAAAAAGACCATCAAGGAGCTCAGTTTAGTGATTTTTTCGCCAGGGAAACGATTCTACGCGCTTGGATTCTTTTATAGTGGTGGTTTTTGTCTAATGAAGTATGCCCAAAGAAGGAGATATTTCCAGCGAAAAGTTCCACCAGGAACTTGAACAGGATATCAAACGAAACGTGGAGTTTGGGTTCTTATTCAACCTTTTGAGTTGGCCAGCTGTTGCAATTATCACGAGTATTGTGTTCTACAGATTTAATAAGAACGTGGTGCCGTTTGCTTTTATTGATGAGGTTTTCCACTTGGGTCAAACTGTGCAGTATATAAATGGCAACTGGAAGTCGTGGGATCCGAAAATCACTACTCCGCCGGGGCTGTATGTGTTGGGTTGGATTCAGTACAAATTGTTGCACGGTTTCGTTGCCTGGAGTCCATTGACCGCTCTAAGGCTTCTCAATCTGTTTGGTGGGCTAATCGTATGGCCATGGGTTGTGCTGCGGCCGCTTTTCCTATTCAGTGCTGTGAAATTTTGGCCCATAAATTTGATGTGTTTCCCACTGCTTTTCACGTTCTATTTCTTGTATTATACCGACGTTTGGTCAACGATTTTCATCGTAGAATCGTTAACACTAGCAATCACTTTGCCCTTTGGCGAAAGAAAGAGTATTTGGGCCAGTGCACTGTGTGGACTCGTGAGTTGTCTTTTCAGACAGACTAACATAGTTTGGAATTTGTTTGTTATGATAATTGTCATCGAGAGGAGAGCTTTGATTCAACGCGATTTCAATAACGTGCATTTCAACAACTATTTGAAATTAATCATTCACTCTCTAGAGAATTTTCATCAGCTCGTTTTACCCTATGCGCTGAACTTTATGCTGTTTTTGGCCTTTCTGGCGTATAATCGGTCCATTACACTGGGGGACAAAAGTAATCATACCGCCGGAATTCATCTCGTGCAGTTTTTCTATTGCATTGCCTTCATTGCCATTTTTAGTGCACCAATTTGGATTTCCAGACGATTCGTCCGCGGCTATCTTCGCTATACTTTGGATCATCCTTTGGGATTAGTATTTCAATGGCTTGGCATGGTCATTTTGATAAGGTACTTTACGCGTGCTCATCCATTTCTTTTGGCTGATAATCGTCACTACACTTTCTACTTGTTCAAGAAAATCATTACAAGGAATAAGTTCTTCAAATATCTCGTCATGCCTGCGTCCTATCATTTTTCGATTTACTCTTACATGTCAGTGATGCATTCCAATATCATCCACTTCCATCCTATTTTACCTATTGAAATCAAATCTCCAGTTGATTTACCAGTTCAACTCACCCACATTTCTTGGACCGCATTGCTCGTTTGCACATTCATCACAGTGGTGCCATCGCCCCTATTTGAGCCGCGCTATTACATCCTGCCTTACATTTTTTGGAGAATATTTGTTTCAGGGTCTCCAGAATCCTATTTAGCAGACCGTATCGTTGAATTGACTGGCGTACATAGACTCTCAAGGGAGTTTCTATGGTTTGCTTTGATAAATGTGTTTACGTTAACCGTGTTCGCTTTCAAGCCTATCGTTTGGCAAACCGAATCCTTTCCTCAAAGAATAATATGGTGATCCGTTTGAACTCCAACGTGTGATATAAAAGTGGTATATAAAAAGCGTTTGCGGACTGTTATGGAACACTGACTTGATGATATTTAACTACCGCAAAAATTGCGTGAACAGAAATATACCCACTAGTAGATTGTCATTATAAAGCGACACTTTCAAACTCTTCTTCCAGTTTTGCAACGTCCTTTGGCGTTTCCTTGTTGCCTAGCTTGTCGCCTGATTCTTTGTCGTCGTTAAAGTCCAATACTTCTGCATTGACTTCCGCAGTAGCAGGTGCCTCGGTTTCTTGCAGGTCTTCAAAAGCTTTTGAGGGAAGAATCGCTTCTTTTGGCTCTTCGCCTTCCAACTTGGGCGCTTTCTCCGCACCGCTGCTTGCAACCTTCTTTGGTTCGGGCTCCGAAGCTGCTGGCAGCGCGCTTTCGGTGACGGTGTTTTCCGTTTGAGCTTCATTTTCAATTTCAGCTGTTTCTTCTTTCACTAGAGTGTCCTTGTTGTCTTTGAAGTCAGGATCCGCGACGGCCGAAGAAGTTTGACTTGACACTTGTCCTAAGTCCAAATTAGAGCCATCAATGAGACTTCTCATCGGCTGCGAAGACTTGTTCTGCACCTGCTCATTGTGACCCAAATCTGTCCTTTTAGCTTTCGCCCACGCTCTTTGTTTAAGAACTTCCAAATAATCCATAATCCGGTTTCCAGCGTTTTTGTCCCTAAAAACCAATTCACCTTCTCCTCCGAAAAAATCGTCATCCTCGTCTACCAGATACCAGTTCCCCTTTTCCAAATCATTGGCAAAACTTAAGAGGAAATCACCCCAGTTCTTGGCCACAACGTATTTCGTGTCGAAATCCCTACCAAAGAGAATTACCTGAGCGTAAGAACCTCGTGGACCAGGTGCCAAATCGATGGCAACGTGATTACCGGCATTATCGGTAACAAGTGGAATCCATCCTGGATGCGCATAAACCGGTTGAATGGCATCTCTCGGCACGGAACCTTGCGTCGGGATTTGTTTCATTTTGAACTGCGCATTGTGATTGACAGAAATGTCTCTTTGCAAGTTGGGGTTCATCGAAGAATAATCCTGAGTCTCCAATTTGCCGTAACCCTTTGATCTTAGTACCTGAGGCGTTACCGATTTGTTGGGCACCTCAATTTTTACAGCGTCGTTTGATGCGGTGCCGGCTGCGGCAGCAGCTGATGATCCCGATGAACCTTCAATTCCACGCTCTTGATCTGCTGCAGCGGCTCTAGCTGCTGCAGCGCGATGGCGGCTCATGTTTTCGGCCACGTTACGCCAAGTCTGCGTCATTTGAACTATCTGATCAAGCGGCATGAGCGTAAGCCCATAAAGTAAACCAGAAGTACCGGCAAGCGTGCCCAAATCCTCCTGTCCATCATGGGACCGAAGAGACGCCCGTACCGAGGCTGGGAACATTATATTCAAATCTTTTTCAGCATTGTTGATGTCGTTTCTCGTGCACGGATCGCTCAAAGTCGCGAACAAATCTGGGTTATGTTCACTGGCCCACGAGTCCACGTGGCGCCAGGCAAGCAGAGTCTCACTGACACCCTCGTTCCCGCCGAGATCTCCGCCCTCGATCGATTCCGTCAATTGGATTTGAGACGAAGACGCGGGAACGCTCGACGCACCACCTCTAAGCGCAATGCCACCGGCACCGCTGCTCTTGTTCGGATTGTACTCCGCGTAATGGTCATTCGTGCTGAACGAATATACCAGTTCTTTCCACTTCTTCTTAACTCCTTCCATCTCGATCCAATTCACTCTTTAATTGCCCTTTCCGGTGTCTCTCTTCGTAGCTCAGACACTCAAAACAATCGTCTAGTGTTAAAGAATCCAGTTATTCGGTCAAAGTTCCCACTAAAGTGACTCAATAACGCACAATCGCCTCTTTTATTCAACCGCTTTTGCTCTTGGTCACCAGTGCGTCGAGGACCAGAAATACAAGGAAGGAATTCTTCATTCGCAAAGTGTTGATGTCATGTAGTACGAAAGACTTGTCAAACGTCAAAAACAAGAAACTCGATCTATATCTGTAAACTTGACAGAAATTAACAACAAGTCAAAGAAAAACCAGCTTTAAAGAAGCCCAGAAGTCGATTTATTAGCTAGATTTTAGCATCAAACCGTTATAAGGAGTAAAGGTCTGATTGACGTTTGATTTTTGGCAAAAAAATTGGTCGAAAAGTATTAGAATTTGCCTATTATAATACCCAATCGAGCAAAACGTAAACACAGAGCATCTTTGTCCTGGATTGCAACTGATCGACGAGTTTTACAATTTGTGAGATAAAGGAACAGTCGGGAACTGGTACCAAGAGCGCCTAGAGGAAAAGCTACCACGCCAGTAATGTCATCACCATCTTTCCAGCCTTTGCATCAAAATTCGAACGTGAACACAAACGGACTTCACAGATCGATGTTCAAGAAACCGCAGGCCGCTGAGCTGAAAAGCAAAAGTAAATTTGCGTCACCTACAGACGAACTTTTGTCACCTTGTTCTCAAAAATTGAACGATCATAAATCGAAGCTGTTTTCCTCGAAAGCCAATCCAACCAAATTGAATTTTGCCAGTCAGAGGGACGACGACGATGACGAGGATTGAGAACAGCTTTTGAAGAGCCCAGGAAGAGCCCACAAATTCACCATACCCAAGACTGTACTGAACAGAGCGCGCTCGTCTTTCCGGCAAATTTTTGCACGAGTTAGAATAGCTATACACAGGAACATAAACTAGAATAGGTTTGAAGAGGTTAAAAACACATACATCTTGTGTCCGCACCTTGTAGTGAAAGTCAGGTTACTTTCTTTGTCTTGCGTCTGCGACAGTGTTCAGCAACAACGCCTCATTGTCAAGAATGACCCGGTTAGGAGATTTACTCAAGATGTCTGCGATTTCACGCGCGGTGTCAAGACGTTTCAGCTCCACATAATCCTTTGATTTCTTAATCGCTTCACCGATCAATTCGGCAGCCTTAGCTTCACCTTGAGCTTTCACGACCATACCTTGTTTCTCCTGGCGTGCTCTGTCAACCAAAAACGCGGCTCTCTGCGCGTCCTGCTGCGCAATTTGCTTGGCTTCCACAGCATTCGTAAACTCCGGCGAAAACGTCATAAATATGATCGAGACGTCGTCCAGCAAAATATTAAACTTAGAAGCACGACGCATCAAATTTTCACGTACAAGTCGAGACACCTTTTCTCTCTGCGTGATCAATTGTGACGCGTTGAACTGCGCGACAACAGCTTTCAACACCTCATTGACAATACTGGGCAAAACTCTTTCGTCGTAATCCTGACCCAACGTCCGGTAAATAGTCGGTAATTCCGTCACGTCGGGCCGAGATAAAACCCTGCACGTTATATTCACCATTTGAAGGTCCTTAGTCCCCGTGAGCGACGCAACACTGCGAGGCCTAGCACGCACGTCGTAGACCACTGGAGTCTCAAACCACGGAATTGCGAAGTGAGTACCTTCGTTCAAAATCGTGCTTTGAACACCGTGCAAACGCGAATAGAGAATCCCACGATGGCCACCATCCACATTGAACAACGAGGCGTTCAAAGCCATCGCACCACCTCCCAATAGGATAAGTCCACCCAAACCTGCAAACGCTCCACGTGGAGCTTGCCCACCACCACGGCGACCCCCGGCTTGCTGGGCCCGGGCCAGTTGCTGTTGAAATGTCTTTGCGAACCGTTGGAATTCGCCAGGAGATCTGTTCATCGATGAATGAGGATTTAGTGGGCTTTCAATAGTTTCACTAGTTTTACTGTAGCTCGTTACCAGTATGAGTTTATACTGGGTTCAGCAAGGGTCGCCACCATGCTTTTCATGGTTTAAGATGAGAAAAGAGGGCACGTGACGATTTAAAGAGGTAAGAGGGTCACGAGCCAAGATGAGTACGAGTGAAAATCGACACGTAGCTACGTTTGACGAGAATAAAATGACTTTTATGATGAATTGACTGTATCGGGCCTGTCGAAAGGTTTGATTTGACAGTTTTCTGGCTGAAAATGGACCAAAATTGGGTTAGGAAGCGGAAAGGATGCGGAGGGGCAGGCTGAAAGTCTCAGGCTGGGTGTTGTAACGTCCAGACGGCGGACTCGCCTGGAAAAACCACACTCGCTAGGGGCAAGCACTGTACTCGGGGTTGTCTCCCGATAGAGAACGGTGAGATAGCTTGGCAATGCGAGATGAACAGCTTTTAGAGCAGGCCGCATTTGAAGCGTTGACCGGCGTCCATTTGGAAGAATATCAGGTACCGAATGTAGTCTGGTATTGAGAGATGCACTTTGGGTAGTGTTGTTCGAATCGCGAGCGGTTTACCTGAAATTCCAAGCGGGGCATAAGGACAACGAAAAGAAGGCATAAGGGTCGCCAAAAGAACTCAAGTTACAGGACAAAAGTAACGCGTACATCCAGATCAAGAATAAACACCTTTATCTGTCCTCCCCCGCTCCAAATTGCCTCATACATGGCATTCAACGGGTAGCTCCCTGAGATGACAACATACCTCATAATTTGGTCAAACATAACACTAAAAGGACCCCAAAGATCGCAGTAGGATTCTCAAAGGCACCAAAGTTACTTAGCATCAGCTTTTACCTGAAAAAACTCCTCCTTTGTCTTGTTTCTGCGTTAGTTCTTAATTATATACATATATTAACACTTCATTAGGCGATGAGTCGAAAAATTCCATCTCTTTAAGACCACTACAAGACCAGTAAAGCAATATGAAGGAAGAGTATCCGATCCATGAGGCCGCACGAGACGGCAACCTTGCCAAAGTACAAGAATTGTTACATGTCCAGCCCAAATACTGCCTCATCCAGGACCTAGACGGGAGATATCCACTCCACTGGGCAATTTCATTCCAACATGTCAAAATCGTGGAGTTACTGCTGTCTTTCATGAAAGACGTAGATTTAGACCATCTTGCGGATGACGCCGGTTGGACTCCGGTACATATTACGAGTGCCGTGGGGAACAAAGAAATTTTGGCAATGTTATTGAATCATAGTGTGAAACCGGACCCTAACGTGAAAACCAACCAGGGCGTTACAGCGTTACATTTGGCATGTTCTAAACAACATTTGGACATTGCCGAGGTCTTGATTGAGCATGGAGCATCTACTAGATGTAAAGATTCTAGACAGCAACTACCACTTCACAGAGCTGCAAGTGTTGGCAGTTTACCACTAACGAAACTTTTATGCGACAACAATTCACCAGTGAACTCTAAAGACATACAGGGCTGGACCCCACTCTTCCATGCTCTTGCAGAGGGTCAAGGAGACGTTGCAGTTATGTTAGTGACAGATTACGGTGCAGATTACGATTCGGTGCAAGACAACACAGACAAAAAACCATTAGATGTTGTTGTCGATGATAAGGTCAAGCAATTTTTCTTGAAAAACGTTCAATGATGCAAAATGTTTAATGCTATAACAACTTAATTTTGAACAGGATGGTTTATCTTTGGCCAATCGTTTATCTTCAACGCCCCATGCATGGCCAGCTGTAACGATTTATAAGTAACACTGGCGGCCGCTCAAGTGTCACCTTTGATCTCTAGTTGAGTACGAGTTTTACATCCATTAATTTCATAGTTTGTCCATTGGAGTTTTGTTTCAAGGTCTTCATTGGGGACCGATCCTACTAAGAGAAGTCCACGAGCCCGGATTTGACTTATTAATTCATTGCTCATTCTTAACAAATTGAAAGGAATGACAATTCCAAGCAAATTGTTGTGACATGCAAACTGGGTAGCTTCACGAATGCAACGAGCGCATGGGTCAGAATAATCGATTTTCGTTGGGTCCAATGACAAGTTCGATAGATGGTGGGGTGTATCCTTCAGAAATTTGTCTCCGACGCTTCTCCATCCACTCACTTGGAAAAGAACAGGGAAATTGGGTTGTTTCCAGTTAAGGATCGAGCATACTTCTGGATTACAGGATGTGAAAACAATAGACGTGGTTTTACCCTCACGGAAAAGCCTTCTAACATGCGTGAAAAGCGTAAGTAAAATGTCATCGATGAATTTGTTAAGATCGACCAATGAAGACAATGTGAGCGGAATACTCTCGATTTCGCAACAAGTCGGATACCGAACCTCAATTTCCAAATGTACGTCCGCTGGTAACTTGGCTAGTATTGCACTCAGGTAAAAAACTCTTGAATCTAACAATTCAAGCAACTGTTGCTCATTTTGGATATCTGGTAAATCCGATAGTGAGTAACCTAACAGCTGTTCAAGCTGGATAGAATTCAAATCGGTAAGCTTTAATTTGGCCCCATTGATATTTACAGTTTGTTCTGATGACACTATCAACAGTCCATCATTAGATGGTCCTGCCGAGAGCTTCAAGTAGGAGCCACTGAGAGAAGAAGAAGTGACAAACTGGTTTCTGGAACTGCCCATGTCATTGCCAGCGGTCGATTTCCAATAAGTCTCGTATTTGCTCACTTCAAGTGGTTTCCCAGCGTAGGGGAATATGACTCTAAAATCGATTGCCAATTCACCGACATTTTTGACACGAGAATCGAATAAAGCTAAAGATAGCTGACCTCTGTTCGAAGAATCGATCTCTTTGCTTTGAAACAGCTGTGGTAACGCGGTGGTCTTGGCGATAAGCCGGGTGCCAAAGGATGGAAAAATCTCGAAATCGACTGAAAAGTTGGATATGGAATCGACTTGAAACACAACTATGCGTTCGTCATCTTCGTCAATGGGTAAAATAACGTTACGCGGAATTATATCTGCCACATTTGACGTTAGCGTAATTCTGCCAGGCGTTGACAGAACAGATTCGTCGTCTTTGTTGAGCACGACGGATCCGAGACCTGATTTTAAAATGATTTCAACAAATATCTTCTTTTCAAGGAAATTATGGCCATATTTCCGTAGCGGTATTATCGGGGGAGGTAGAGTAAAATCGGGGATTTCGATGAGAGAACCAGAAGCGCTTAGGTCGTCATCTACTTGAAAAGGAGAGCCGATGGTGACGTGTGGTTTATCTTTAATCTGGCCCTGAGGTAGCGACACGTAACGTCGCAATAAGTTGATAACCCCGAGATGACCTTCCCATAATGCATGGAACAACGGCGATAAATTGTCATCATCGTAAATGTCCATGATTGCTCCATTATTGAGAAGTTGCTCAACGGTGCTAGCGTGTCCTTCTTGAACGGCATAAAAAATCGGAGTCCATTTGTTGAAACCATCGACTCCGTTGGTATCTGCACCATGCGAGATTAGTAAATTGACCAAGTCCGCATTGGCACCGTTTTTGGCCACAATGTGTAACGGACATAAACCTTGTGAGTCTTGTGTCGTACTAAGATCCGCTTGGCCAAGGCTCAGTAACATATCTGCCGCGTCGTAGTTGTTATGGGCGCACGCCACGTTCAATGGATTGAATTGTGGCTTTGAGTCCTCGTCGAAACTCGGTAGTGGTGCTGCGTGTGCCTCGAAAAGTAAAGCCCTACAGACGTCGATTTTGTTGGCACCAATTGCCAGCACCAAGGAAGTCTTAGAGTCATTATCAAGAACGTCGACAGAGTCGAGCAGACTGGCACGAATCAATGTCGTTACAAAACTGATTTTGCCAAGTTCACTTGCGTAGTGTAGTGGGATACGACCATGGCTATCCTGAGCGTTGAGCAGTTTTCTGAGGACGTCGCGCGACAATTGACCTTCTTGAACTTGTCGTAGGGCTTCGTCCAGAACAAATAACCGCGATTCCGTGGCGCACATGGCCGCTTCATGGAAAATGTTTCTGCGGGCGAACACCATGTCGTGTTCGTCGGCCGCCAACGAAAGATCGATGTTGGCAACTGCGTGATGCATGAAAACGCACACCGATTCGTCGTCGACGCTGCTGGAGACCAACAACGTAAAGATCTTGGTGATCGCGTCCCTCACCACGACCGTTCTGTCCACAGTTTCATCACCAAAATTAGTCTCCACGAAAGATTGCACCCTTTGATCGGCGAAACTGCGTAAATGGTCGAATCTCGGTTGTTGGTCTTTCAATTTCGCAATGGAAAGTAGTTCCAAAAACCAAATTTCGATTTCCGTGTCAATATCGTAGAGTCTGGCCGGTAATGCGACTGAAATGGATCCAGACACAGAGCCAGTGCTTCTCACTACGTCTCGCACGGCTTCGGGCCTGGCCCACTCGAGTTCGGGCCGCGAGGCAGGCCGAACTGGCGCAGCGGGACCGACAAAAGTCGCCACCGAGGCAGAAGCCGAAGAATCGCGATGGAAGAACGAAGCCCGCTCGTCGCTGGAGATATCGTTCAGCTCCATGAGCATGGCGAGAGCTGCGTCGTTGAGACGTGAGATTTCGTTACGAGAGAACACCGGTTGCACGGACACTACCGTGGCAAGGTAGAAGTCCTTCGTGTGAGAATGGGACCGCTTATCCCATTTTTTCAGTACCTTTGAAAACCCGGTACGGTTCAATTCAACAAATTGCTCTAAATGTGCCAGATCTCGCTCAAATTTCTTGATCCCGTCACGCAAATTTCGGTACGAAACGGCTTGTTTTGACGCCAGTTTCCCGCGCTTGACGCCGTCCTCGTACCACGAGTGTAAAACATCGAATTTGATTCTCAAGTCGGACTCTTTTCCCAAGTAGTATTCGTTCACCTTTTCCAATTCACGTTCCAGTCGGAAGAAAAACGACGCCTTGTGCTCTTGCAGTACGCGGTAAACGCCCGAGTCGGGCACAGGTGAGACGTTTCCGTCGGCTGCGACGTCGCAGCCGACGTCGCACCCGGCGCTCTTCGACGCTGTCGCACCCGGCGTTGCCGTCGCTGGTAACGCCACCGGCACGGAAAGCTGTTTAATCAGCTTTTTCAAAGACTTGTACGCGATGAAATGGCCATTGTACTCAGGCAGTTCCAGCTGTCTGCTTTCCAAAAACTTGCCAAACTTCATGCTTTTCGCGTAGTTCGCTGTATACCCTTGCGAGTGCCAATGGTCTCGAGCTTCCGGATTATCGTCGCGTACTTCGGGCGCTTCAGATGGTCCGAAACACTAAAGTTAACGTAGTGGTGATGTTCTTTAAACCAAGGATTTCGGTTTTCTGGTGTCCTTCTTCAAGCGCAGATCGACACTCTTCTGTAGGCAGTTACAAAGCGATCGCTGGCTATGAGCGCTTGGCCACCTTCTAGGCTTTGGAGCTTTGTTACCTGTAATGGCGTTTCTAGCTTTGGGTCTGCCAGGCGGTTCACTATAGGGCATCTCTAGTAGTCGAGTATTAGGAAAATAATGAGAATTGAGAAGGGCACGTGGAAAAGAGGTTTTGAAGGAAATTGGATAGCCACGTGCACGTGAAGGGGAAAAATGACATCGCGACAAACGAAACATGTCTGGGTTTAGATGTATCATCTCGAACGGGTCAAAAAGATGGACGAGACCGGAGTCGAACCGATGACCTCTCCCATGCGAAGGGAGCGCGCTACCAACTGCGCCACACGCCCGAATTAGAGGAATTCAAGGAAAAGAACGATGCAAGGCAATGGTAGTATGCACTGAAGACGCGGTGTGACGATATACAGTAGTGACCAGTCAAGGGTGGATGCCAACGGTGCTGGCACAGCGATCATCAGTGACTCAGCGGCTTGTACGCCGCATCTCTTCGTCTTAGTTTCGTTTTGTAGTTTGCCAAGTACTTTAGATTAGGACCCTCCGATAGAAAAAACGCGTAAAGAAAAGACGCGTCAAGACGGCCCCGAGCGAAGCAAGCGCCAAAGTACCAGTCAAAGCCGGCATGACGCTCAGAAAGAGCCTGTTCCAGCATTTGACGTTCGTAGTGGTAGCAAAGAGCGAATCAGAAACCTGGGTTCGCCGTGCTGTGGAGACCTTGCGCGAGAATCAAGCACACGAATGCATTGTACATGTTGAAAGCGGAATTGCAAAGTTGCCGCTACCAGAGGCCAAAAGAAAGCTGTTACAGACGTTCGGCCACGATGTGCACTGCATTATTGCCCAAAATTCGGATTTTTGGTTTTACGAAACTGCTGCTTTTGATCTTCTCATCCCCGTGGTGAAACCGGAGTGGGTCCATGCGTGTGCGACCACGGGCCGAATCACACGTGCAAGTTGCTTCTCACCAGATCCACGCCACGTTCTCAAGAATTGCCAGATATACCTGTCAAGACACGCCTTTAAAGCTGCTGAATACGCTTTCTACAGCGGAATGATCACGTCGTTGGGAGGCGCTTGCATCGATTATCTTTCGAGCAAAACTACCCACATCGTTACCATAGACGTCCGGGACCCGGCCATATTGGCCGTTGCCCCGATTACGCAACTCAACATCAAATATGTCTTGCCAACTTGGATCATGGAATCATTCCAGTCGGAGACGGAACCCAGCGAAGAAAAACATCTTCTCAATACGTCGGCCACGCAGCTAGAGTGCAGTCGCAAGTTTCACGATCTTTTACAAGAGCTCGACACTGCCGATGTCCGTGTTACAGCAGGTGAGCGACCTCCATATCTTGCATCCTATACTTTCTACCTTTCGCTAGATCTCGCGCTACCTGCAAGTTGCTACACTTTCCTAATTAATACCATCAAGACGGCTGGAGGTGACGTTCAAAGACACTCAGCTGCCGGTGACCTTTCACGTAGCGATGGAGATTGTCTGCTCATCCAAAATTCTACATGTTCAGAGTATCAGACGGGGCGACGCGAGAAGTTACAAATGGGCAACTTCAATTGGTTCTTTGCCATGTGGTCAACGCAGTGTTACATAGCAGCAGACGCTAAATTGCTGTTCCAACCGCAGGGTGCGCCTGTATTCAACAATGACGAGCTTGTGCTTGCATATACCAATTTCCTGGGCCAACAGAGAAATTACATCCAAAAACTAGTTTCCGCTCTTGGAGGCATCAGTACCACTGAGTTTACTAGGAAAAACACACACCTGGTGACGGGACTGCGCTGTGGCCAGAAATACGATGCCGCTCTCAGGTGGAAAGACACTTGCGTCGTTGTCAATCATGTATGGCTCGAGGACTGTCTAAAACAAGGTCAGAAACTCGACCCAAATCTACCGACATACCAGCAAATACCGGCATTTAATCTTCTTTCAAAACGCTTGGGCCAAAGTTCTGCTAGGGACAATTTTGAGATCAGCTCCAGCGTTGATGAAGATATGGCTGAAACTGTTGTCACCCAAAATGCCAATACCAACTCTGAACAGGTCCCTCCTGCTAACGAGGTTGACGAAGACATTGAAATGTATAGTAATTTTTTCGGTGAGCCTTCGGAGCTCGAGGACGACGATCGCGATCAATTGTCGCCTACTCTATCTCCCGTGGTAAGTTCGCCGACTAAGATTCCAGAGTTCAGCGATGAGCCATTGGAGAAGAAAGAACTTTCCATGCGGCAACCATCGGATCTTGAAACGGGACGAACGCTAATTGGCATAGCTGAAATGAAAATGGAATTGACTACACCGGCCGTGGAAGCATCCGCGCCCGAAGCAGCGCCCGAGGCGGAAAATACGGCGCCATTGTCTCCCGAGACACAGGTACATGAATTACAAGCAAGCGCGGGCCACCTGGTACAAGCGACTCCATCACCGCTGCCTCCAGGCTCCTCTCAGTTGATGTCCAGTAGCAGTTCGCGAAGGGCGAAGGAAAAGGCAACGTTAAAGCTACATACGGACATGGAAGCTTTGAACGAGTTTGAAAAGAATCTTCGCAAGAAGCGAACCGCCAATCTTTTGCCAGAGGAAGTACGGAAACTCAAGAAACTGAAAGAAGTCGAAGACAAGGTTAAGGAATTACTTGAAAACTTGAGTCCCGAAACGACATCCAAAGTCCGGCATAAACGACTTTATAACATGCGCGCTGTGTGCACCGGATGTTGTGACCAATTGGACGACCTTGATCTCGCCATCCTGACCAAACTAGGTGTCGAAATATCCACGGAACCAGCTGCAAATTCCAATACCATAATTGCACCTAAAAAGATGAGAACCGCGAAATTTCTTATAAGCTTAAGTTTTCATCCTCTGACCTACGCGCTCTTGCCAAACTTCATCACCGATCTCCTAGAGGTGGTTCGTGGCCATTCTACCAAGAGTATATCGCTTCCCATCGAACAATACTTTATCCCAGACATAGACCCAGACGTTCTGTCAAAGACCCATCTACAATCCAAACTCTTTGGCAGAGCAGGAATCACTACTATAAACCTAACGTCCGATATACCAGGTGGTCAAGACGTGATTTCTTCCATCTTAACGGCTCATGGTGCTAAAACTATCAATGTACTACCGGCGAAATTCCAATCTACCGACATAAAGCCCAACGAAACCAGAAAAGACGCTCCAACCTACTTTTTGATCGCTTCAAAGGCTTCGCAAGCCAAGAAATTTGCGAAGTCATGCCGTGACTTAAACGAATCTGGTTCTGTTCTCGTTGTTGAATGGAACTGGTGTGTTGAGTCCATTTTCAGTCTAAAAGCCGATACAAAGCGCTCTAAATACATCGTTCACCAATCCTGAATGCGGCACCGGCGCTCGTATGCACTTTTTAGCGTTTTTGCATGCTATGCCGCGTGTGTTGCCCTTGTTTGCAGTCAACAGGCACATGCCGAGCCTTCATCTGAAATCCAAGTATGCGTGGAAACGGAAAAGTGCCACAACATCGAGCTCTGCCATCAGAAGCTCATTTCGAGTCGTAAAGGCCATGTCATCAAGAGGAACCAGCGGTACACCCAGCGCATTGAGCGAGTAACGTTCGTTCAGTATTAACGGTGATTTTCTCGTTTGAAGAATGCGAAGTTTACAGGCACATGATGATAATCGCTCAGGTGCTCGAGGTTGAAGATCGAGAAGTCAAAGATTTAAGAAGGACATTCTAAAGGAAAGCAAGTAACGATTTGCCTAGACATTTTAGAGACACTAAAGACTCAAAGTTCAAATAACAGGATGCTTTCAGAAGAAACCCGGACTATCATCAAGGCCACAGTGCCAGCGCTAGAACAACATGGCACCGAGATTACTTCGACTTTTTACCAAAACATGCTTAACGACCACAAGGAACTCTTGAACATTTTCAACAGGGCCAACCAAACAAAAGGTTTGCAATCTACCGCATTGGCAACCACTGTGTTGGCAGCTGCTAAAAACATCGACAATTTGGCGGCGCTTTTGCCTCATGTTAGGCAAATCGGACATAAGCATCGGGCTTTGCAAGTCAAGCCCGAACACTATCCAATCGTCGGAGAATACTTGTTGAAAGCCATCAAGCAAGTCCTTGGTGATGCTGCAAACCAAACCATCTTGGATGCTTGGGCCGAAGCTTACGGTGTCATTGCGCAAATTTTCATCGATGTTGAAGCTGAATTGTACGCCAAAGAGGCCTGGGACGGATGGAAATCCTTCCGGGTCGTCAAGCGGGAAGACGTTGGTGGATCTGTTCTTGAGTTTACCGTCCAGCCTATCGACGAAGCCTCTACGCCAGCCATTGTGCCCGGTCAATACATTACCGTCAAGGCTCACCCTACGGCTCAAGACAACCAATACGATGCGCTACGTCACTACTCCATCTGCTCGTCGTCTGGTAAGGAAGGTTTAAAGTTTGCAGTGAAAAAAGCCCATAGCGACGACCACGATGGGCTAGTTTCTACTTATTTGCACGAAAACGTGAAAGTTGGTGACACTGTCGAGCTGAGTGCACCTGCTGGAGATTTCAACTTGAATGAGAGTCTCATTGAACAAAACGATATCCCATTAGTTTTCTTGAGTTCTGGTGTTGGATCTACGCCATTACTTGCGATGCTTGAGAAACAGATCGCAACCAACAAGTCAAGACCTATTGTCTGGATTGAAACCGCTTACAATGCTGCCAACCAACCATTTGCGGCGCAAATTAAGAAACTTTCAGATGGGGTTCAAGACATGAAGGTGTTCACTGTGCACACCGAATCGACGTCTCGTATCGACGACGCCTATTTAGCCAAGGTTATGCCTTCAAATTCAGACGTATACGTCTCTGGTTCCATCGGTTTTGTCGAAGACATGATCGACAGCTTGAATAAGTTGAACCATCGCGAAGAGTTGATCCACTACGAGCCTTTCGGTCAAAAAATGGCCACTGTGAAGGTTTAAACGAGATTTAAAGGTCTCACAAACGGTTTTCCGAGAATTATGCCTACTATTTACAATTTCTCATTTCTTGAATATAACATGAATACGACATACGTTGAAGCCTAAATGGCTGTTGAAAGTTATGAAACGCTGATCTAGACATTAAGCCCCGTCCAGTCCTTGATCGTGCGCATTGAACAGGTCAGTGATGAAGATACGGTAGAAGTAATTTTTTCGGCTCCGTTTATCGATTTTGTCATAAGGTCGTGGACCCTCACGTAGACTGCTCTTTGCCCATCGGCAAACCGTGGAAAAACACCCTTTTCGAGCCCGTAAAGCAAATCCATGGTGTTTCCAAAAGTCACGGGCAAAACGTAAGAGCAGCATGCAGCACCAAACGCAATTGGGGCAGTCAAACGGAAAAGTATATTCTTGTTTCTGGTCAAAATGGAACCCGACATTGCAGCAACTAGCGAGTATGTTAATCCTGGTAGTAACTCTTCTCTTGGGTCAGAATGCAAATTGGCTATCGTGGTTGTGATTCTCCTTTCCTCCCTGTAATACTTGCTTGACGCTTTATCAAGCGCATCGCACGCCCTGGCGACTTGAAAATTGATATTGGTCCTCCAATTCTCAAATAGCCCAAGCATATAAGTGGGTGTTCTCACTGAAATGCCGTCCCACAATCTGTTATCGCCCACAATCTGCGATACACGACTACCATTTGGACTCATAGCTGCTTCTTTCGCCGCCGACGAAACGACCGTTCCTGACTCTGGTGGTATCACATGCTCCTTGACCGTATCAATGTCTCGGTAGAATACAGGCGCCATTCTTCTTCAAATCAAACTCAAGTAAACCAAATCACCAAAAGGCACTGTCTTACTTGTCTAACAACTTTCATCGTTACCGGCTTGCGATTGGAAACCTTAAGTTTCTGGTTGTCATTATCTACGAAGGGCTCATACTAAGCAGAATCAACTACCTATTATATACCAGTCAAAACCTAACAATAATAGCTAAATGCTTCAAAAACGCTACATGTCCAGCTTAATGCAAATGCATACGGTAGATTGCGAGTAAATCGGTTAAAATACCTGAAATCCAAGATGTTATTCCTTTTTGTGTTTTTCCAAAAAGCTTACCTTGAAAGTAACAGCGGCGAGACTCACATAATTGAAGAAAACATGATCGCGTTTGCCTCGTCCACGAGTTTTCTGTAGTTTTCGTCATTGGCATAGCGGTTTCGACCGCCTATGTGCCAGGTTGCCAACGGAATGTCACCGACTCCGCCGAGTAAACCTAGATTTTCACTTGTTCTGATCGGTGCTTCTGAGAAAATCGTTCCGGTTCCGCCGGCCCCGCTGGCCCCACCGGAGACCACGGAATCCTCAATCTTGGCAGCTCTTTTTTGCAATTGGTTCACTTGATTGCCTAACTTTTTGACGTCTCGTGCGTTGTTGGCCTCCACTTTGGGCATGTAGTAGGTCCTCAGGTACATGGTAGGAACTGCGGCTCCGCAAAGCACTCCGTAGAACAAAAGTTTCATTCGAGGCCTGAGAGCCAGCTTATGCGCTTCATCATAGATGGTAGAATTAATTTTCATCAGTTGTTTTGTTGTTTGGTCAAAATGTCTTTTAGTTGGTCATATGTTTTGTGATGTTTTGTAATGTCTCTTCCAACACCAGATCCTCTCCTTATACACTCTTTTCAAGCAAAGAGCAATCAGTACTGGCAACTGCGCATCCCGTTTGACCACATAGCTCACAGGACCAATGTACGTTGTTATCGCAGTCTCCAACCAGCTCCAACTTCTGGTGTTACATCCTACCACCCTATCCCATACAGGGAAGCATACCAGCGTGCCAACAGCAACTTTTCCCGTCGTCTCATGGTCAGCCTGCTCACATTACATGACAGTGGAAAACTGCCCCTTGCAAAAAAGGAAAAGCACCCCTTTAGCACGAGACCCCCACATTTTTTTCGGAATCAAAATAAGGTCTTAGCGAAAGCTGTAGCAACCTACTTCCCGAATGTATCCTACGATGAAATCACCATGCTGATGCCATGGGCAACGTTTCTGTTGGGCATGAGCAACTCTATTTGTTAAATCCGAGCTTTTTGAAAAACCCTGAGAGTTTACCCGACTTCTTGTTTTTCACGGTCTCAGGTTGAGAAGATGTGCTCTTTCTCGTTTCACGACTGTAGGCGGAACTTCTGCGCGAAAGATTTGTGTGCGGGGTAGGAGTGGTAGCTGACTTAGTCTTTCGCACCATTGACTTATCTTCAGTAATAGAATTCTCTGGATCTATTAAGGACTTGACTTTGTAAATTCCACCACGATCGTCCATAAATTGAATTCGAGAGCATCTCCTGCTTGACTTTCCAGAACCACGCGAGCTCGCCTTAGAGGAAAGCGCTGTCATGTGTGTTGGAACAGGTCTTAAGTAACCAAGACGCTCAAATTCATCGAATTGGTGGTCGGTATCGAAGCTTGCGGGGAAATAGGCATTAATACTTGAAGCATCTGCATCGTTTGCATTCTTGCTATCATTATTTGCGTTCTTTTCGAACGGGTTCTTCAAAGTTCTCTTGATTATTCGATCGACACCGGCTAGCAGTTCCTCGTAAGGTAGCGTCGTAAGTTTTTTGGCCTCGTCGCTAACAGTTTGATCTGGACCCTCTTTCAATTTCTTTGGCTCTATGAATTCATAAGGTACCACTAAAGTTGGAGTCCAATAATGTCTCATAACAAAAAAGGGTAGTTTAACATTCGAATTTTTAAATTTGATTTGCAAATTTGTGCTTACAGTGCTCACGATTTGAAGATCTGGTTTGTACAGCGCCAATGCTGACGTCCAAGCACTTGTGGTTGACTTGTCTTTAATCAATTCCACAGATATTTTAATGCATTTTTTGACGCATCGAGTGGCATAGTAGTTCAGTAAGTCGGTGCAATGATGTCGTGCAACGCGGTCCAGGTCTTGCCTCAGAGTAGTCAACTCGGCATCTCGGTTTGAGTATCGGTTATATGCATTTGAGGCTTGCTTTCCAAAATCGAACTCATCTAACGAGGTACCCGAGGGTCGTATTGGTACCTTGAGCAATTCCTCGTACGGACACACGCAGCTCACAATCACTAAATGATCTCCATCTTTGGCCATGTTTTCGACAAACCAATCCACCGAAGACCAGGTGTGCTCTCTTCCAGAAATATAGCACATCACGGTACGCACGGCTTCCGGAATATCATCACCGTAGCGTTCGTGTAGGCACTTTTCGAAGTTACGGTTGACTTTGGTGAGGGCAAGCGCTTGATGGCGAACACAGGGACGAGATGGATACATTGTTAGACTCCAATTTGCAGGACTAGTAAGGTTTTTAGAGTTTTGAGAATCAATTAGTACGTCTGCTTGTTTACCGAAATCGAATTGTTCCATATTGTAATTGGTTCGGGATTGAGACTCATATTTTTGCTCTAATGCCAAAACTTCAGCATCGCTCATGCCAGCCAAAGTTTTTCGCCTTTGAGTTTCGGGTTGTTTGCTTACTGGATACTCACCCCGCATGACTTTATCTTCCGGTTCATTTAGGTTCGAAAACGCAGATGTGGTATAGCCCTTGGAAGACCCCGAATTTTCCTGCGTGTTCTTCGCAGTTCGCAAGTCCAGGACGCGCTCCATCTCTGGATCACTGTCGCTCAAGTCGATGCTATCAATTTCGTCCCTTAATGCAGAAAGACCGCTTCCGGTCTTGAGCGAAGATCTGCGGGGTCGGCTGGAAGTCCAACCGTCAACGGGGCCCCCAGGTGCAGATTTCAGTCGCGTGATAGACGCGTTACTCGAAGAGTTACTACCGCTGTTGGCTTCTGTCAGACTTCGACCAAGTTCCGGTCCTTGGACCCCCAGCTCGGATCTCGCGCGGGTCACACGGCTGGCGTTGTTCAGGTAAGACGCCGACGACGAACCTGAAGTTTCAAAGGGCGACAAGCTGCGGCGAGACGGTGCAAAATACGAGTCCCTCGGAGACCCCATCATACCGTCGGAGTTCGACACTGTGGGGCTGAGCAGCCGCGGGGATTGCGACGAAAATGCGCTCAGTAAACGTGCTTTTTGCATTCGCTGTTCCAACTGTTCCTCGCAAAGTCCAGCGGAAAGATCATCGAACGAAACATGATTCACATACGCGGATTTGCTCGACATCGAAGAATAAAAATGACGCTTCGTTCCGACGAAATAGGTGCTGAGAAGCCAATCACCGACAAGAACTCACAGGCAAAGCTTTGAAAATCTGGTATATCCCGCCCTCTTAAATATCTGGATTTACCTGAGATACCCTCGTGATTTTAATACCAAAAACCACTACGTTTTGGCCCTTGTATTCTTCGAATTTCAACGACGCACGGGCTTGTCATAGTTCGAAAATAAAGGTCAAAAGGGTCCCTTTCCCCTCTGGAGTATTGATGATTCGGGATAATATCAACGGTTCCGTGAATAGTGACAACAGTCGTCGTATTTATAATCATTCTGTACGACGACCCCCTCGATCTGTCTATTAACGCCAAACGGGGCCAATAACAGCGGCTAAAGAAAGGTGATAGAGAAGTAGAGTGCAAGCGGCTCATTATTTGTCTATCCACTTTGTAGTTCGGTATTTGTGAACCTAGTCACCGAGGAACACCCAGATTAGCAGGATTCACCGTTTTTCCCAGAAAATTAGCGTTGTTTTGAACTGAGCGGCTGTGGAAAACGTTTTGAGGGGTAAAGGTTCAAATTACTCGATATTAATACCATTCCGATCGCCATTTTGCAAGTTTTCACGCAATGGGACTCCAAATAGTGACATTGCAGGAGTTTTGTGACCATTATCGACTCTCTGGTGAGATTTTGACCAATTTGATGCCTGGGAACAACATACATGTAGTTGACAAGAAACGGTTCGAACAAGTGCAAAATAAATATAAAACAGGAAAGTTGACGAAGCCTGAGAGATTTGAATCCGCAAAGCGTGTTAAACGTGACCCAGGTGTACTAGATTACTCTCTGGGCGAGCAAACTCTTGTCGAGCAAATATTCGTCGAACAGGACGTTCCGGATTCGAAGGACGACACTTGTATCTCTATTCTGGCTTCTGAGACTTTACAAGAAGATCCAGCCAAGATTGAGTTTCATAAAGCACAATATTTTGTTCAAGACGACATCTTGATGTCGGACGACGATGTAATTAACAGCGGTTCACCGCCGTTTGAAACGCTGGCTGATACAAGAGATTTAGCCATTACATCGAGTCCTCGCTAATTAAGTGTTAATAATACAAAGGCATCTGTGTTAATGTGTAGCGAACGCTTCTTTCAATAATCATCGTTGTCCAGGTTCAGGAGCTTTTTCTTCAACTCCAACACATCGTCCTTCAGGGAGTCACGTTCTTGCTTGATAATGAACAGTTCGGCCTTAAGATCTTTGATCTTGAGACGCCATGGAGCGTCACGCATCTCGCTATTAGGATCTGGTGTGCCAGTGACGCTGGTGTTTCCAACGGAGTCGTCATTGGAAGTGAGACTCGTATCGGCACGCTGAACATTCTTGTATCGCCATTCTTCGAGCTCATCGGCCAAGCGTTTCTTCTCTTGTTTCATTTTGTGAAGTTCTTCCTGACAGACTGCCAACGCGCGATTAGCGTTATCCACAGAGTTCAAACTGTTTTTGTAATGTTCTTCCAGCTTCGTGTGGTCAGCGGCCAAGTTCCCGCGATCCGTTTCCATTTTCTCTAACGTTGCTTGTAACTCTTTCTTTTCGCCCATAAGCGTATCGATTTTCGATGTCAGGTTGGATACCAACTTTTCACGGCTCTCCTCGGCTTCTCTCGACGCAGAGCTTGGCAGACCGTTCTCTTTCCAGTAACCTAGGAGTTCACCCAGCCCAGCAGTGTAAGTCTTCAACTCTGAACGGAAAAGACGGTTTTCTTCCACTTGTGCGGTTCTTGAACTCTCCATTTCTTTCTGTAAAAGTTCGTAATTGTGTTTCAAAGAATCATATCGAGCCTTCAGACTTTCATTATCATCATACTCTTCAAGTTTTGCGCTTTGAGCCTTGATGATATCGTGAAGACGAGCGACATCGACGAACTTGTTAGAGAGAAGTCCCTCGAGCTCCGAGATTCGGCTTTTGCTCTCAGTCTTGTCTGCAACCACCATATCGTAATTGGTTTGCAATGTATGCTTGCTAGACGCATTTTCCTCAGATCGAAGAGCTGCGTTCTCTGACTCTAGTTCCTTTATGCGATTACTTGCCGAAACGGCTTTGGTCTCTGCCTCTGCCTTTAAATTTTGCAATTCTTGCTTCAGTTCGTCAATGGTCGCTTTCAAAAGTAATTTGGAATTCTGTTCCTGTGGATATAACATATCAGCCCTCTTATAAGGACCAGGCGTGATCGATTCGTTGATGTTTTCTATGGTTGCTTGTGGTGAAGAGGTTGCCGCAGCTGGACTGCTAGTTTCCACGATCTCATCATTTGGTGTCTTTTCAATCACTTTGGTATTTGCTACTTGATGTTTAAACGTTAAGTTTTGCGGTACAGCAATACTCTGATCAGTCTCGTCATGATCTTCCTGATATGAGGGTTGCTCAGAATCATTGTTTGAAGAGAGTGATATTACTCTTGGTGGAGGGCTTTTCGCTGCTAAATTGACATCGGAAAGCTTTGGAATTGGAGAAACGGGCTTCTTAATTTCTTGCGTGAGTTGATCGGCTGCACCATGAAAGTCGGGCTGGTTGCGTGGAGTAGTGGGTTCTTCTCCTCCAGAAACAGATCGTTTGGAAAACTCATCCTGATGAGTCTTTGGAGTCGTATACCTCTCTGGGTTGGGAGTCAAAATGTTTTGGTTTTCCGCAATATCCTGACGTTTAGCAGATCTGGAAGAAGCATCTGCCGTGGCACCTTCGTAAATGCCTGGACACAGTTCTTTGAGGTTTGAAAGGTCAAGAGTGTAGAGTATTGTTCCACACCCAGTGTCAGTATTTGACGTATGCATATCATCAGGAGCTATCTTGGCATAATCAAACTTGTCACCGCCCATGACAAGGATCTTTTTGTTACCCAGCACTGTCAAGGAATGGCCCGAGCGACCTTGCGGAATTCCAACTTTGAAATGCGGAAGTTTGAACCATTTCCAAGTCCTTAAGTTCAAGAAGTAAACACAGTTGAGATAACTGTCTTGTTCGTCTTTACCGCCCATGACGCACATCAACTCGCCGAGCAAAACGGCAGAATGTTCCTGGACGGGTGGAGGCTTTTCACCAGCGGTTTCAATATGTTGCCAATTGTTCAAATTGGGATCGAAGACGTAAACGTCATTGATGAGCCCCTGGTGCGTATCACCTCCAAATACCCATAGTTTATAATCATACGCGACCATGACGTGGTTCGTTAGTGGTGGCGGAGTTAGACTGTTGGGTTTAATAAATTGCCATTGCGAATTGGGTCTTCTGAACGAAGACAGGTCAAACACCGCCAAATCATTGAAATAAGTGTCATCGAATTGGCCTCCAAAAACGTAAAGTTTGGTCTTCATTTGCGTGGTGGCAATCACGGCAATCTTGTGACCATACCGCCCCAAAGGACGCGGTCCAACTGGTTGTGGAATGGTCCATTTGTAAGAATTAATGTTGAACAAATAAATGTCATCGTCCATTAGACCCTCGCTGTTGACTTTATGAGTGTCACCACCAAAAACGACAAATGCATTGCCACATAGCGTCGCGGCATGACCAACGCGTGGTGGAGGTGTTGTATCGCTGATATCTACGGTTCTAGCCGCAAATGTGTGCCCATCACCACGCGCTTGTATGATCCAAGTGTCGCCGTAGACGGATTGGTCGTGGAGACCTCCAATAACGAATATTTGACCCATATCCGATACCTGCGCTGATGCAACGTGTCTGTAACGGGGGAAAGGGGTATTGGCCAATTTGGTACGGGCCCAGGGAGTGAATTCGGCAGCTTGCAGCGCAGATGCACTTGACACGTTTCTCAATTGAGAAGATCCCACAGGAGGAAGTACTCTGGAAGATCTCGCTTGTGGTATTTGGTTATTTTGCCCTGGAGCCTGAGAAAACCCTTCTTGACCGGATCGTTGTACTGGTGGCGACGTTGAGGGACGCGTAAAATTCGCTGGTACACCCGAGTTTATGGGGCTAGAAGGTTCAGGTTTTTTCTGATCTGGTTTAGCCTTGTCTTTGCCAAGCTTTTTACCAAACTTAAACGGCGCCATCGTGATCAAACTGTTTCAATGTGCCTTCTTTTATAAGTTGTTTTGATTTGACGATTTTCAAAACCTCATTGTGCTTGTTTCGTGATATGAAAAATGAGGGAAGACCACAGGCGATGATGAGCAGTGGTGTCGAAAGAGAGGAGCATACAGATGATGCTATGAAGAAGATTTTGACTTAATGGTACAAAACTGGCTAAACTCTGCCTCCGATTTTGACCTGGAAAAAATCCGATTAACGTCGACCAGAAATGATTGAGTTGAGTTAAGATATCACGAATGAGATAAATTGTCACCGATTTGACTCTGAAGAGCTAAGTAAAGTCTTGTAAATTATCATTCTTAATGCTTGCTGTCATGAAACGTAAATGTCTGACATATTGTGTTGCAAAAGCTGCATCACTGCACTACTGCGAATGTATCTCATGGTGTTTACGATGACATGACACTGTGAAACTGTAATGACCAAGTCGCTCAGAACCAAATAACATTAAGATTACATAGTCTATGAGGCTAACTGTTATCGATTCATCGCAGTATATAGCGCAACAATGTTTCAGAGCTCGGTTTCAAGTTGTTTCAAAATGGCCATTGACACTGCTGAACCTAGGAGACCACAGGAAGACCAGAATAAAGCCTAACGGACCTATCGTTCACGTTTCGATACCGGCGTCTCATAATCTTGCTTACAGGACCACTTGGCTCACCAATCAAACGTATATATAGACACAAGTGCACACCGAACACCACAACTCATCGAGAAAGTATCGTAGAAGGTTGGTTTTTGACCCACACGGTGCTGCATTACCATACTACACGATATATTGACGTTTTGCTAAAAACTCACTCATGAAGCTATCATGAAGCTATCTCTTCTGTTCCATCAACTTCTCTTTGCTATATCCGCATAACAAGTAAGAATCTTGACGTTTTCCAGCTAATTGAACTCTAAAGAAACAAGCATGTGCAGAGACCCAAAATGAGAACATTGGAAGAGTTTCTCGACAGTACAGATCGAGAGATGCAAATAGATACTGGGGTGAGAACGGGAGCACTTCAATCCCCTCTTGAAAATTCACCGCCTTTTCCCACTGCACAAACAGCGCAGAGACGGTCCTGGACCGTTTCACATACGACACCAAGCCGAGCCAGTGAAAGGGATCATCCGTTGAAAGATACGCCACCTGGAGTAGTTAGTGGGTCAGGCGGATCTGGTGGTCCTGCGGTCAAATTTGGTCGTTCCAATACACTTAAACGGAAGTCACTTCTACAGCCCATCATTTCACCTTCACCGCACAACAAACCACAGGAACATAAAGTTCAGTTGAGAGCAAGATCCGGTAGTAATGCCTCGAGGAGGTCGCGTACCAGTAGCTTACACTCAGATGAACTGCCGTCAGAACCAGATGTGAGCACACTTTTACAAGTCTTGGCCAGTAAGGAACAAGAATTGCTTGAGGCCAAGCGCAGGATCGAAGAATTGAAGAAATCGCTCTTTCAAGAGGAACACGGTGTCCAAGCAAGGCAGAGAGAACTTCAAGATCTTAAACGGCGTGTAAGTCTCGCTTTGATAGAAAACGAGGCTAAAGTTCCGACACCTAAGGCGCCACTACCAGCAGATTCGAGTGAATCTGGTAAGATTGCAACTCAAGGTACGCCCAATGATGATAGCGCGCAAAAGGAATCTGTATGGTCTAAACCGTTGTCGCTTTTCAATCAATTTGATCAACTAATACAGCATGAACTTGAAAAGAAGCTTCACTGGGACGACGTTGAAGGGGGAAGCAACTCTCCACAAAAAGATTCGGCCAGTGGAAATAACGCCCAACCGCAAGTGCCCGATGACGTTATGGGCAACGTCTCTACTTCGCTATGGAATTTTGTCACCGACATGAAGGCTGGCCTGCTCGGAATAGAAGAGGAAACGACAAATTCAAGCACAGAATCCAAGAGACAGGATGCAAAAGGACAGCAAGGTCCCTCGAGCAACCATTTGAAGTTCGTAAACAGCGGCGATAGTCAAAAAGACCAGCGGCAGGACCGGTCATCGTCAGCAGAGGTCGAGCTGATAGAGTTCAGGAAAGGCAGTTCCAAATCCAGATCCAAATAGCCATTGCGTTTACAAATAGCGTACTGGAAATCTGGATCAAAACATATAGTAAAAACGTGTCCATCAATCAAGTATCATTAGAACCTGCGTCGTTAGCTAGAGAAAATTACATCTTGATCTATACATGCAGAGAAGTGTGTCGTGAAAATCGTGAAACAAGGCATACGTGAGTGAATTCAACGCCGAGGCTGGACAGCATCTTGCACGGGGAAATATTCGGAGCCAATGGTTTCACCAGTAGTAGGAGAGTAAAGTGTGGTGTAATTTTCATGCGATTGGTCGGTTTTTTGGAGCGTGACAACGCCGTCACTGATCTTGCGCATCAAGCCCAAGAACTGTGACTGCTGGAATTTAGGGTTTTCCTGATGGGATTCCAGACAGCCACGAACCTCGGCAGCAGCCATTTGGAATCGGGTCTGTTCTTCGTCTGGTGCTCCAGCGTCGAAGCTTGTGTGATCTTCGTTCTGTACGACATCAACTGTGCTTAAGTCCGTTTCCAAAAACTCACGTTCAAGCAATTCCATTTCAGCGTCGATTTCGGCGTAGTTGACAGTTTGCTGATGCAGGTTGCCCAGGGCTGCCATGGGCCGCTGGGCGCCGATTGTAGAGCCAAATGAGGCTCTCATGTTACGTTGCGGTTTTTCATAATCCTCGTACAAACGCATGTACTCGCTGCTGAAACCCAGCCTATCTTCGATCTGCATCGCAGCAAACTGACGGGTCCAGGAGTCACCAGCTGTAGCGGCCGCTGGACCACCAGAAACGGGACCTGAAGATGCTGTCGTAGATGATGACATATTATTGGAGAGATGTTGAGGTGTGACTCCAGCCATGAATGGATTCGAGTTCGTTTCGCGTTGAGCAAACTGGTGCTGGACTGTGGATGCTAGCTGTCCAGACGAAGGACCAGCAACAGTTGTTGCTGGCCTATGGTGGCGAAAGCCGGTGGCCCGAAACTGATCTGTTTTCCCCACAAGCTGTTTCAGCGGGTTACTCTGACAAATGGCAGACATCACTGTTGGAGGATCCTAAAGTAGAGTATTCTTGATGTATAAAAGTGTCTGTATGGGTTACTACTGAGAGTCTATCAGAGTAACTTTGATCTATACTTCAAACTTGTTCAGCTTCTATGTTTCTAGCTCATCTCAAAACTAGTATGACTCCAAATATATATGCGCCTAAAAGAAAAATTTCAGTGGGGAGATAGTTTCCGAAAATTTTCTTTTGGCATCGCTTATTGTTCCGAGTCCGTCAAGAGTTACTTCGGACTAATGGCGTGTTTGGGGTTTTCTTTTCTTTTCCCGCCGGATTTTATCTTTTCTTTTGTGTCACAATTTGCCAAGTTTTTCCGAGCCGGAAGGTGAAGTCTGCATATGGAAGGAAGACCCTTAGCCGAATTGGGAAGCCATGCTACCCAGTATGGAAGGAGAGAATGTAAGCGCCTAGCGGGGGTGTGGGTGTAGGAGTTGGTAATGGGAATTTGGGAGTGCAAAGTAGAAGAGAAAATTGACGCTAGAAACTGAGAGTTGACAGTGGGGTACTTCATGGCGACCTCCATTTGCCGTTCTATGAGATTCCCCGCGCGTTACGTTTTCTGCTTACACAGGGGCGCTCTCTCTTTTGCTTACCTTTTGAAAATCTCGTTTACAGTCACGTGCCCGTGGGAATATATACCTCGACCTGGATCCCGGACTTAAAGTTACCTGGTGAATTTCAAAACGATATTTGTCTATAGACCATTGCACAACAGCTGCACTTCTTTCATGCAAAATCGAAAACCTCGCGCCTAAGCTTGCCAAACTGTCCCTCTGGGAGTGGTGTTCCTTACCCGGGCGCAACAATTCTAGAAGCAGCACGTGATTTTTCGGACCATCATGGTCTTCAAGCCAGTGTTGGAACATTTCATTAGCAGCAGTCTTTCTCTCATTTTTATCTATTGAACTAATCTATTCGAGGTAGGTCCAAGCTAACTGGCTTTGCATGTCTCACAGCTCGATGGTGTACATGACAAAAGGCTCATAGTCTGTATCGACAATCGCTGCGTACTCGTGGAGAGAAGCGTCATTCTGCTTAATCTTGCCGCTCTTGTCTTTCGAGAACGCGTTTCCGCCCAAATAGCCGAACTCCTTCACGAGCTCGGTCTTGCATTTGGACAAGTTCTTTGGAGGCACGGCAATAATCTTGGTGTTGAAGTGAGGAGGAAGTCCGTACCGCAGCACACTCTCCACGAAAACGCGCAGCGCCTTGACGTGGAACCAATTAATGAACACGTCCGAGTAAGCGGTCTTGGCAAGACGTACGAGTTGAACCCGCAAAGAGTGCTCAAGGCTAGCCGCGGAATCGTGCTCTTTCTTCAACTGATCGATGAGTTCCTCCGAGTAGTTGAACTCACGTGGAACGTATCTTTTCTCTCTGCACGCAGAAACAAACTGGTTCACGGACTTCTTGAACATGTGCACATTGTAGAGGGCGTACTCGTCGTCTTCCTTAAGAACAGACGCAGAACTAGGCACCACGTTCTTAGCGAGCGTTTCGTAGGTTTTGCAAAAATCTTCCTTCAGAGATTGAGGCACTGCAACTAACACCGTCGTCAGGTACTCGGAGTTCAAAATGAAATCCTCGGGTTTGACTATATCGTGCAGCGACCGCACGGAAAGATCACCAGTTTTTTTCCTCTCAGCAGCGGCAAGATTGGTCTTAGCGTTACTGTAGTCCGTACTGGTAGCTCTTACGTCTGCGTCCAACTGGAACGATTCTTCCGAAATGTCACTTATAAGCTCTTTAATAGACTTGTCAAGCTTAAACTTGCGTGTCTGCCATTGGAAATGTTCCAGGTACTCCGGAATGGGCACGTTTTGCACCGAAACCGTCTTATACGCGTTTGTCTGCGATTCGCTCAAACTCGCCAAAATCTCACTAATCTTCCCTATCGAAGTACCCACTTGGGAGTCGATTTTACTCAATTCCTCGGATTGCTGCACCAATGTGTCCAAGGACCCAATCTTAAACTCGGGGATCTCAAACTTCGATACGAACGCTTTGCCCTCGATGAGCCCATTTTGAAGCCAGGTTTCGGTGTCTTTGCTCTGCGCGACCGCAGGTCTCGCGTTCAAAGGCAAAGACAAAAGCAGGAACTCCCTTGCCGTATGTAACGTTGTTGCCATCAATTCTAAGGACTATCTGGTCTATCTGGTCGACACCAAATCTAATACCTTCTTACCAAAATGTTGATATTTGATTTTCAGCGTGGACCCCTTTGAAGTATTTCAACTTTGGCCAAATTTTACAACCCAAATGTGACTTCCTACGAAACGGAAGCTGGATCGGTGGATCGTCATTCAATCAGTTTATAACACATTTATATAAGTATTAGACCATTAACAGCTCGACTTTCAAGACACTAATGGTAGGCACAAGTCGTAGTTGAAATAGTAATAGATATGGTCGTAGCAGCGTTTAAAACGCGGGAAAAGCGTCAAAAATCAAGTAAGAATTGGATTATTTGGCTCAGTTGGTTTATTTCAAGACCTTACCATCGGCAATTTCTCTGGATTCACCGTTGACGACAACGGGCTTGTCCCAAGCCCACATGTTGTTGATGAACTCTTTGTCTTCTTCTTTGGTTGGGTCCAACTTGCTGAACTCGTAAGATTCCCAGTCAGGAGCCACGTTGAACGCGGGAACCGCGTCTTGGCCTCTAACCATGACGGCACCAACGATACCGTTGTTGTTGTTTTCACCGTAGACAACTAGACAGCCGAACATGTACTTGATGGAGCCGGTTAGTCTGTTGAAGAACCCACCGACCAAGTTGTTGGACATGAAGGTCAAGGTCAACTCGTCGTTGTACTTGTAGTCGACTTTCCAGATGGAGTATTCCTCAGGGTTGTAGTGGTCCCAGAACCAAGGCAAGGCAACGGGTCTGGTGTCCTCGTTGGAGTATTTTCTCTTCCAGTCGTCAAGCACGAAAGTTGGTTTGCCCAAGGCCTCGAGTGGGTGCTTTGGCTTCTTTTGTTGCTCGGCAGGTTGCTCGGCAGGCTTTTCAGCGGCCTTTGGAGCTGGGGTCTCCTTCTTAGCTTGCTTCGCAGGCTTTTCCTTCTTTGGGGGGGCCGCTTCAACTGATTTCTCCAAAAAGGCGGACTTGTTGATGAAAGGAGCCAAGATTGGGTGCGCAATTACGGTGTTGAACCATCTCATGAGCTTTGGGTGCTTGTCGGTGTAGTCCTTGCCGTACACCATAGTGAAAAGAAGCGCAAAGAAAGCAGCGGCGAAAAGGTCTGCAACGGTAACGGACTCAGTGGCCAAGTAAGTGTACTCGGAAAGTCTGTCCTCGAGAACAGCGACGCGCTTTTGGAACGCAGCGACGCCTTCGTCAAGCAATTTCTTGTTGAACGGAGCTTTGCCGATTAAGATGAGAGCGAACTTTGCGAAAGTGTCGATCAATTCCGAGTTGGTGAAAGAAAGCTGTCTCAAGACCTGGGCTTGCTCCTCGGCGTTAGCACCGAGCAAGACGGACTTGGTCTTTTCATCTTCAATGAGGTTGGTCACTAGACAAGGTTAGTAAAACATCGGAAGACACACGCGCAAACGCACGCGCTCTGTAATCCATTGGCTCAGAGTAAGTTTGTATCGACACGCTGCGGGGTACCACACCCCATTCAGACAGGGATAACTGTTCATAATAAAAAGATTTCTCATCATGCAATGGCGCACAGAGCGGTGGTGCGCGTGCGAGCGCAAAAAAAAAGAATAAAAAGCATACAGTAAACGATGATGGCAATGGCCTCGGTGAGTTTGAACCCATTGCGTCCGATAAAAACAGGCACCTGGTTCAGAGGGAATTTTTGTTCAAAGTTTGGGAACTCGTCTTTGTCGATGGTTTCAATGTCGAGCTTGAAATGGCTAGCGAGCGCATTTGGAACCACGGATCTGCCTAAAGGCTTCACGATAAGTTTTCCTTGCGACATTCTGACGAATAACGAGTTTGTTGAAGGGGTTCGACACAGGCTTGGTCACTGCGATCGCGTGTGCTAAGAGCACCGTGCTCATCGCGCCCATCGCGTGGTTCTTATAAGTGAAAATTTATCTGTTGGACGCGCGTGGGCTCGAGGGGGTTACCCGGTCTTTGGACTCGCCTAATAGCACCTGTAGGGCCCAAGCTGGGTTTTGAGAGAGAAAGCGGGTCGGTTTGCCACGCTGAGTGCACATTGAAATGTCGACCAAGCAAAGCAACACAGAGCAGTGCGTCTGCGGGTTAACACTTCTTGTACGTTGCGGAAATTGGTGATATGCTGAGAATTGGGCCGAGAGCCGGTCACGTGCCATTACCCGGTTTTATCGTATCATATGATGCGGTGGTGTAACTATGTACGGATGAGTAGAAATGGGTATTGCATCATATGCGACAGCGCAAGCCGAGACCAGAAACAACTCCGAACGGAGGACGCTCTCTATGGGAGGGCTCAACGCATCTCTCCTTCACACACAGCTAGCTAGATGAAAACTGGCACAGCGGTCACGTGTTCCATCATCTCGTCCTGGACTGAGCACAGTCCGTACGCAGCGACAGCCGCCCAGCAGCCACTCTTTCAAACCACCAGGGCCTGCGGATCCGGTGGCGGTGCTCTAAGCACTGGCGCCGGGGCCCGCCGAGCTGCGCGAGACGAAAGTGACAGAAACCCGCGGTAGATTGGGGGGTCTGGTCACGTGCTTTCATACCTTTTTACGAAATTATATTAGGTCACGTGACTGTCGCTCCTGGAGCCACCTGGCTTAAACGGCAAGTTCCTCGGTCGGCACTACTCCGCACTGCTCTTCTCCGCCGCATCGCGGTACACCTCCTACGCGTTTCACCTTCTTTTCGTCTCCTCTGCCGTTTGGTTTCTTTTCGGTTTCTAGCTCTTCACCTACGAAGAGAAAAATTTTAGGCGATGAGCATCGGTCCCAGGCGGTCGACAAGAGCATCCCAGGACTAAGCGACTCGAACTACGACTGGTCTTCGGCACCCGATCCATGAGTAACAGTCTGGAAGAGCGCGTGAAGCTTAATTCCAATGCTTTCGAGGGTCTGCTCTCGCTTATACCTGCAAAATACTACTACGACGACAAGACGCAGGAGCAATGGAAAGCCAGGAAAAAGTCGAAAGCGGATGCCAAGCGCGATAAACGGCGTAAGCTCGACCCGGCGCAGCAGAATCAGGAGTCCGCGTCTGCGCTGGAGGTCATGAAAATGCGTGAAAAGACCGCCAAACCGGTAGTTTTGCCCGGGGCCGCGCGTGCACGCGCAGACGCCAGGGAAAGCGATGGCGAATCTGGCTTGGAGTCCGGCCTGGAGTCCAGCCCGCAGCGCGAGAGCTCTGAGGGCTCTTCGGGCGCTGCTGAGGCGGGCGCTGCTGGAGCCGGCGCTGCTGAAGCCGGCGCTCCCGAGCCGGACGCATCTCACAGCGGCGATGAAGTTGAGAGTCTCGATTTTATCTTTGACGACGAGGGCAACGAAGTGCGCGCAGAGGAGCCCGCCACAGCGCCTGCCAATCCCCCTGCTGAGCCCGTCCTCGAAGCTCCTGCTGCAGTGCAGCAAAACAAGCAGAAAAACCTAGATAGACTACGCGAAAAATTGCAGGAAAAACTGCGCATGATGAAAGAGAAGCGCAAGGCCCCCGGAAGCCAGGCGGATGGAGCGCCTTTGTCAAGAGACGCCATTTTGGCGCAGCGCAAGAGAAGGCAGGCTTTAAAACGTAAGAGAGCCGACGACGAAAAACAAAACGAGGAACAAAATAGCGATGATAGCGATTCCAATTCCGACAGCGACGACGACATGGGTGCCTCTGGGAAGCCCGTGGACGACGAAGACCTTGCTCGGGGCGTCATGTTCCAAAGCATCGAGTTTGAAGACGGAGATCGGACCACATCAGATCTGCAGCGTCTTCGCAAGAGCGGGAAAAAGAAGGGCCCCGCCAAGAACGACATAAAAGCGCATTTAAAGCTTGCCGAAGCGAGAAGAGCCAAGCTTGAAGGTAGAGAAGAACTGGAACAGATCCAAACCAAAGAGAAAGAAAAATGGCAAAGAGCAATGCTACAGGCTGAAGGTCAAAAATTCAGAGACGACGAAAAATTACTGCGTAAGGCCTTGAAGCGCAAAGAGAACAAAAAGAGAAAGTCTGCCCAAGAATGGCGCGATAGGGAGCAGAACGTTGCGACCCAAATCTCAGAAAGACAGAAAAGACGTGAGGAAAATTTACAAATACGCAGAGACAACAAGGGCAAGAAGAGAAATTCACGGGAAAAAATGAAGAGAGGTTTTAAAGGTCCAAACCCGTCCAAGAAAAGGGCAGGCTTCGAAGGTCGTCTTAAGAGCGGTAAGAAAAAATAATAATGGAAACTTTGATGGATGAACTTAACATATCTATACCAGTTCCAGTAACTAACTTAGCTTGTATATCAAGACGTTTTCCAATAGCGCACTGGTGATGGTTTAGAGTGTCAGCGGTTTCAATCAATATACCTCTGTACGAAATCGAAATTTGAAAAATTACATGGGCAAAGTGCATGAGATGAGCTATTGGATCGCTAGCTTTACCAAGCTTTAATCCCGGCTTTTATGTTGAAACGCTCTTTGAAATCGGTAGTGAGGTCAACGGGACGACATGTTAGTGGTTCTAGGGCCCGGATAAGGCCAGATGTAGCCAAGTTCCGTCCAAAAAACGATGATTTACGGGCTAATGATGGTAAAGAAATCAACATCAAAGCAGAATCTCAAGAAAAGGTTTTACGAGATTTGAAAAAACTTGGATTTCAGACGATAAATATCAAGGACAGTGCAGAAAACGCGTTTTTGGATTATTTGGAAGAGTCAAAATCCCCTTTCAAGAAAAGTGCCAAGAATTTAAACAAGTTGAAGTCAGAATTGAACAATTCAGATGAGAACGCAAAGGACAGAATTGCAGCTGTGTTTGATTTCCTCTTGAAAGAAATGGAGGGCGAGGTTCGACGGTTCAGTTCTATGACGCCAGAACAAGTCGAGAGGATTTCTTTTAAAACTAGCGGTCGTGACGGAATAGATTCTGAAAACGATTTGGAAAAAGCGCTCACTAGCGACATAATGGCAGCATATACGTCGCAAGAGAAATACTCTCTACTCACGTACACGGAAAACGTTTTTCGAATTTTGGCCGATCTCAACTCACGTAACGCTGCGGCAACTGACGTCGTAAGCATAGAGCAATTGGTCCAGGTTTTCGAGCTTTCTAAGCTTCTCCCAATTTCTGATTATCGCTTGCGGGGGATTTTTCTGTCAGGTCATTTGCTTTATTCTCTTAAAACGTTGAGAATGGACCCTGTGAACGAATCCTTCTACATTGACGCTCTCGTTTATTATGGTATCTACAAAGAGGCGCTAAGTCTTTTCCAAACCAATTGCCCAAGGGTGCATCAGCGTTGGTGGTTTGAAATGGGTATGATGGTCCATTTGCGAGCTAATCACCTGCAGCAGTTTGATAGACTTTTTGAACTCACGGAAAGGCAGTTTGGCTCCGATTACATCAGTCCTAAGGTTCTACGTCTTGGAATTAGGAGAAAACTATATGTGAGAGACTACTCTGGAGCAGAAAAGCTGACGCAACTTTTTATCAAAATTGTTCGACTTTGCGGCATTACCAATGAAGATCAAGACGCGATGCAAGCATCGAGAAGCAGGGATTTCGAAAATGAAGAAGATGCAAATGCTTTTTTAAATGAGAAGAACCCACCATCTTTCAATGATTTTATTGCCATTATACAATACCATTTGCATCGTAAAAGGATAGATAGTGGATTGAAACTTCTGGCTCAACTTATCGAAATGCCAGGTTTCCAGAATGAAGCCCAAGTGTCTCTCGTTATGAAGCTGAAACTCTTTCTATTGAGAGATTTCGAAATCTTTAAACAGGAAATCAAACCTCATATGTCTAAAAGCGACTGTGACGTTCACCTAGCTAAGCTGAAGGAACATTTTGATGCTTTGGTGAATGATAAAAATGCTGCAGCGGTCAAAAATAATTTCAATCACTTACTTTTTGACAGCGTGGTTTCCCTTTCATCTAATCCTACTTTGGTTAATACTGTCGAAGAATTCATAACTAGGACTTGGTTCTCACCTCTTACCGAACCCGACAAATCGAAAAAGCTTCGTGGCATTTTAGATGTTTTGCTCCGACAAGGAAAGGAAGAGAAAGCGCTTAAGATCCTTGAGCATATGGAACAAGCGACTTCACGGAGTAATGGCTCTTCAAGCCAACAAGCAAATGCGCATCATTACGCAGTATTTTTCAACTATTATGCGGACCTTACGAAGGATAGAAAGGGCAAAGCTTTAGAAGAATTGTTCGGCAAAGTCAAGTCTTTATTGGACCGCATGCATGCGTTTGATATTTTCTACAATGCTGTTTTCCTAACGTCGCTTCTCAGGTTTTATCGCACCGTTTATGACTTTAACAATTGCTCAGCAATTGTAAATCCGCTTATAGACTCGAAACTAGCCAAATTTGAATTGCCGCACGTTGACAAGGGCTTGAAATCGTTTTTCGAGAGACGCAATATTAATTTAGCGCTGTACAAGGAAATTTGGCGCTGCTTGCATGCGTATCATATAGTATTCGGAGACAGATTTGGTATTGAAGGAAATAGCTCAAACGCCGCCGGTTGGCGTTACAGAATAAATGACATCAGGAATGCTACTCAGGTTCATCCGAGCTTCACTGTCAGATTTTTGTTCAAATGCATGGTGGAAGAAGACAATATATTGCCGGACATGGGATTTTACCATTTGATTATAAAAACGATAATAGCCAGTCGAGACTGGGCATTTTTGCCCGCTATTCTCAAATACATGAGCCAAGTTCACGGAGTGTCAAGCAATGCTAAACTGATGAGGTATATCGATTTGGGTTTGAAGCGCGAGTATATCGCTTTGGAGCGTGACAGACTCGAGCAAAACTTGGTCGTCCGAGGCAATGACCCAAAATACAGTTTGGCGAATCGGGCAAGAAGGCATATCGAGGCCAAGATAAAGGAAGGGACCATACTACAGGAAACGGCGGCTGGAGACGTCAGTATCAACGATCGTATCATTAAAAATATCCTGCAGTATCTAAATTCCTTGGAGGCGGGCAAAAGTGACGTTAAAGAGTCAGAGACCTACTTGGGTTTATAAAAATCAACTGTAAATATTAGAATCTATTTTTTACCCAGTTTGAGCCATTTGGGTGTTTTCCCAGATGTCAAAGGTTTTGACTGTTTTGTTGGTTTCTGCTCGTCACTCTTGAGGTCTTGGCTATCTGCGGTCGGTTCTAAATTTGTAAGATCTGAAGCGGAATCTAATAGTTCCTTCTTCAGATAGGGACCAGAGGCTAGGGACTCAAAGACCAACAGTGTCTTTGAGCTAAATTGCAGGTCGTCAACTAGTCTAGCGTTATCCTTACGGATTAATTTATGCGGATGCGAGTGGAACAAACGAAAATCGATATCAGGGTCTCGTAACGAATTCTTTATTATCATGTAAACGTCAGCGATTGTATCATTGGCGGAAAACGACGCCTCGATGTGGGTACGATCTGGTAGCCTAACACGAACATTGCAGACTTCCACCGGTTTCGCTACGTCTTGTTGCTGTTTCTCTCGAAGCCGCTTGGTTAGGAACCCGTTTGTGGGTCTGGCGTTTCGCGAAAGCATATCCTGGTATTTTCTAGCTTGTTCTAATGACATTTCGTAATCGGTATCTTCCGGCTGTGCAAGATGTAAGCCTGAAAATTCTGCAGGTGGAATCAATGCGTGTGGTTTGCGTGAGAGCTCAGGGACAGATTTGTTCACGGGATCAACGGGCTTGTCTTGTGCGATGGGTTGCTGCTTGGGCGATTCTTGTTCATGTTTAATTGTTTTCGAATCTGGTAGAGCGGCCAAAGCAACTGATGCGGCTGACGCGGCTGATTCTGACCTTACTGGTGTCCCAGTAAACATCAATCTCGCACTGACGTCGCCGATAATACCCAACATGGAAAAGGTCGTTGTACCGAAATCTTTAGACTCAACAATGGTACTAAAAATTTGCAATTTGGCCGTCTGTACATCAATCTCCATTTCTATGTCATCTACCACACAATTTAATGCCTCCAAAATCGTTTGAGATCCTTTAACAGTCACCACTCTACTACCAACACCTACAATCTGGAATTTAACTCGAAATTGTGAAACCGCCTTCTCGGATCTCACCTGTAACGCTAATTTCACACCGTTCGGTAAATTCAACAATCGCCATGGCAGTTCTAACGGCAGTTCTTTCCCATTATGTATCAAACTCCAAATCGAATCGCTTCCTAACTTAAAATTTGCTACACTTTTCACCAAAACTTCCTTTAAATTCGACCCACCATCTACTTTGCATTTATACGTCTTGAACTGGTATTCTATAGTGACACTAGACATGGTTTCGGTCCTTTTATAGCTTTTCTCCAAAACCTCGAATTTTCCATATATTTAAAGATTCCATCCAAGCCTTCCTTTAATCTATTTATTATACCTTAACGTTTAGTAGCACCAAAGAACAAGAACCAAAAATCCCATGAGTGAGACCGTTGAGAAGGCAGGAGAGACCAAATTAGTCGCGGACACTGATCCTAATCATTTGAAGGAAAATTATGGGTATAAAGCTGCATTTCAGACGTGGAGACATGCTTCAAATGCGCGAGAAAATGAGTCGAAATTGTTGTCATCTGCCCTAAGGTGGTTCCCAAATGGGGATAAAACGCGGTTCTGTGAGATTTTAGACGTTGATATTGATGGAAAGAATCATATTCATGAATTTTATATCGAAAACAAGGAAGTGGCGTCGAACAAGACGCAATGTAGGGATATGGTAATGGTTCACGGATATGGGGCGGCGTTAGGACTTTTCATGCGTAATTTCGACGAATTAAGCGAGGTCGCGGGAATTAGGATCCATGCGATCGATATGCTTGGTTACGGGTTGTCTTCAAGGCCAAAATTTCCCGGGACCGGATTTTTATCAAGTCTTGTAAAGCGTGGTAACGTCGCACCTGCTGAAGTGACGCAGGCAGAAGATTTCTTTGTTGACTCGATTGAAGCCTGGAGGAAAAAACGGAATTTGAAAAAATTCGTGCTGGTGGGTCATTCATTAGGTGGGTACCTTAGCTGTTGCTATGCGCTTAAGTATCCCGATAAAGTTGAAAAATTGATTCTGGTAAGTCCCGTGGGAGTCGAAACGTCTATTTACGATTTGACTCGAAAACACTCTAAAGAACATGTTCACGCGGCGGAATTGGGTCCCGACGTGTCTAAGGAGATAACCAATAGTGGCGAAACGCCCAGTACCGATAAACGCGTGGCAAATTCGTCGACGACAACGACGCCGACTTCGTCGCCACCGAAATCCTCGTCGTTGCATGTGCCCGACGACTCCGGTAACGTGGAGCGGATTCCAAATATGCCCAAGATATTCACCTACATGTGGACTTACAACATTTCACCCTTTTCGTTCCTACGGGCTTTGGGTCCAATCGGCCCTTTGGCGTCCTCGAGGTGGTCATTTCGCAGATTTTCGTTTGCGGAAAACTCGCAAGAACTCTTGCGATTCCATGAATATTGCTACAGTAGTTTTACTGCGACTGGCAGCGGCGAATACGCCTTGACCAGAATTTTGGCACCCGGTGTCTTGGCGCGGCTGCCTCTTTTGAGTAGGGTGCCGGGCAAATTGCAATGTCCCTCTCTTTGGATGTACGGTAGCAATGACTGGATGAGTAAAGAAGCCGGCAGCGTTATTGTTAGAGAATTGAACAAGCAATCCGGCTCTTCACCGGCAGAATATTCCATAATTCCAGATGCAGGTCACCATCTTTACTTAGACAATCCATCAGCCTTCAACTCAAGATTGAAACGGTTCTTAGGCGTATGACATTGATTTTATTACTATTCAGATTCTATAAGATACTAGTTATTATAAAATGTGGCGATCCGGTTTCAGTGTTCTATAAAATCCGTTGCCACGGTTACTAAATGTTCCGTGCATGTTCGATGCATGAAGTTATTTTCCGTAATATCTGGATATCGGAAGAACCTAAATCGATCATTGATCAAGAAACAAGTCAAGGCAGGAGACCTTGGGCCCAGAATGCTTCAGGACCCCTCGATTAGGCTCCGCAGTGCTATCATTGATGGGAATTTACTAATTGCAAAGAGACTTCTTTCCCGATTCCCAGATTACTTGTATGACATCGACCCTGAAAACGGATGGACTTTACTACACTATGCGTCCTTTTATGGTAGATATCTAGTCTGTGTTCACCTCATACAGCTAGGGATCGATAATTCAGAGATCCAACGGACTTTCCAGAACGATACTGCAATCCATCTTGCGCTTCAAAATGGGCATGAACAGACTACACATCTCCTTTTGCAACATTTCCCGCAATGCCTCGACTTGAAAGGTCACGCAGGCTCCACACCCGTGGGCGTTGCATGCGTTACCGATCAATATCGCTGTCTGAATCTTTTACTGGGCCTTGGAGCCGACTTGAAGTTGCGAGACGACGAAGGTGATACACCGTTGCATACTTGCTTAAAGTACGGAAGCGTTAATTGCTTGCGACTGCTGGTTCTCGAGGGGAACCTTGTTGACGATACGTTGCGGAATAAAAGCCATTGGACGCCTATGGATGTTGCACAGACGTTCGACATTGCAAGGCAATTCCAGAAGGCCCTGATAGAGGTCCATTCTCACACGGTACCGAAGAAACCAAGTTTCCAGTCCATGATGTCACCTCAAACAGTTTTCAAATCGACTTTTGAGACAACTGGGTCTCCCATATCGGCTTCGTCGCCCATGGGCCGTTCTTTTACGTCCCAATTACCGCCTCTTCCCAAGATATCTACCAGCCGCAGGACGTCGCTTGGTAGTCAAACCGTGCGGTCTCCGAGAACCTCGTTTCCGCAACAAAACTCGAGTGGCAGCAATCCATCAGCCCCATCACCGACATCGCGATTACCTTCGAAATCTACTACCTCAAATACGTTCCAATCGTCGTCGTCCGCATCGCTTAATCGCAGGGAAAGCTCTCAAAGCGTCAATAGCGAAAGGACACGAAGTTGCGGTCAAAATGAGACTCTAAGGCATTTCCCAACCACAAGTACCACTGAGAGCATAAATGAGAATAGCGCAGTGAGTTTGAAAAGTGGTGGTGAGAGTTCAATTAGACATACGACTCGATCATCTGGCGACGCAGGCAGCGCCAAACTCGAACCAACTACGGGCTCCTCAAGGGAAGGAGAACTGCAAGCAATCTCTGGACCACCTGAAAACGATAGAAGGACAAAAATCTCGCTACTTAACATCCCGATTTCTAAAGTTCGGTAGACGAATGTTCAAAGTATTTATCATAATGAAGTCTACAATATGGATTAAACACACTATTGCAGAACGGACAATTAAGATCACCCGCGCCAGGTTTTTGACCTATATACTCTTCAAAGGTCATTGCATTCTTACATTTCCCACATAATACTACCCTCTCTTTCATGTCGTCATCTTTACCTAAGTCATACCTTTCTATTCGATGATCTTCCAGGTTCTCATGACAAGCATAACAGGCATAGAATTTCCTGCAGCATTTCAATTTAAAGCAGATAATGTCAACTTCTGAATGCCAATGAATGCAGCGTGATTCATCGTCAACAATTTGCCCGTTTATTTCGGTCATATTTTCAAATTTTTTGATATTAATGTATCACCAAAGAGAGAACTTGGAAAATGAACCTCTTATTTCAAGAATAAATATATATATATAATCATCGAATATCATGTACATGTATAATAATTATGAAGAGCTCCTTCAGGCCTGAGTAACAAATTTTTCACCCTTTTCGATGTTCTTCTTCAAGGTTTCCTTACATTTGGCTAGCAATTCTTCCTCCTCCGAAGAGATTTCGCCGACTGGGAAAATCTTTTCTACACCTTGAGGTCCTAATAGAACTTTAGATGCAAAGAAGTCGATACCCTCGCTTTTGTAAAGTGGAGAATCGACAAAACTTGGCTGAATAACGTCTCTTTCGCCTTCCAAACCGGCCAAGACCGCGTTGGCAAATTTGGCACCGGCTTGCGCCATCGACAAAGTAGCAGAGCCAGCTCCATTCTTGGCTTTGACGACTTCATCACCACCAAATTGAATTCTGTGAATCAAAGCGTCTCTAGTCTCTTTGTCCAACATCTTGTGCTTGGTTTGGGAAAGCAATGGAATAATGGTGATACCGGAATGACCACCAACGACAGTAACGTGCTCCGTGGTTGGGTCAGTATTCTCAACCTGAGAAATGAATCTGGAAGCTCTGATGACGTCCAGCGTGGTGACACCGAAAAGCTTCTTTGGGTTGTAAACGCCCTTGGATTTCAACACTTCGGCAACAATTGGCACGGTAGAGTTGACAGGGTTCGAGATGACAAGCACAGCAGCCTCTGGAGCACTTTCGGCAACCGCAGCTGCCAAGTCACGTACAATACTGGCGTTAATGGAGAAAAGATCGTCTCTAGTCATGCCAGGTTTTCTTGGTACACCGGCTGGAATCAAAACAACGTCAGTTTTGTCCAAAGCCTGTTTCAGACCGTCCTTTTCTTCTGGAGTGAAACCCTTGACCACAGAGTTAGTTGGGATATGCGACAAGTCAGCGGCGACACCGTGCGCACCCTTCAAGTCGTACAGTCTGAGGTCTGTGACCTTGTGGTTCAATTTCAACAACAGCGACAATGGCTGTCCAATACCGCCACCGGCACCCAGCACTGTGACTTTGTAAGGGTTGATTCTAGACGTAGAGAAGGCACGTCTGGCGACTCTGGAAAGCATTTTGCGGGAAGATTACTATTGGGTGAATTGAGCTATTTGACCTCTGAAAATTCGAGGAAGATTAAAACGTAACACCAGAGTGCGATTATCACGAGTGTATGAAGTCCAGAAGCTCTTAAAACTTGGGTTTTTAGGATCAATAGATAGTTTCTGCCGCGACTCGATATCCTCTCTCCGGGGCGGTTTGGGCTATCCCTATATATACCAACTTGTGGATCACTATGAACGGTCGCTCGCCTTCGCTTCTCGGAGCCGACTCCGGCCATCCTTATGAGAATCCCAAAGCGCAGCTATAAAAGCGACTCTGCACTTCCGAACCTGGTATCGACCAATTCGATCATAGAGACCGTAAACAGCATACGGACACCTCTTTCCCTCGTCTGAGCTGTGTTTGATGTCCGTGGCCGCTCAAAATGTACGAAAATATGTAGTATTCCACATAGCGACACCGATTTTCAGGTAAACAGTGAACTCGAGCTACTTCAGTAGGCCCTGGCGAGACTTCAACGAGATATATTCTGACTCTCAGTCGATTTAATTGTGAGCTGCGAGATGCGTCGCTTGAGTTCCAAGCACTTAGTACGAGCAGCTTTATTGCCTTCAACTGACGCTGACACTTTCAGTTCTCAGTTGTTCCAGAGTCGCAAGATGTAGAGAGACAAAGAATGATACGAGAGAATTTCTTGCGACTAAGTACCAATGGACATGACAGGTCTGTGTTTCTTGACTTCGTTGTTTTAAAGTTTCTCCGTACATTGTGATATCCGTGCACCTCAATTCACGACTGGACACGACTCTCACAAAACCAGTAATTTGAACAAGTGCTACTCAAATTTATACCTGCTGAAATATAGTCAGGTTCCTGCGCTACTCAATTTCTTCTCCTAGCGCGGCCTTGGCTTATTCAGGACACTTATGGTCTTCGTCGCATTTACGTCGCATATTCAATCGCTTTTTACGAACCAAATTGGATATATCTAGAAGCACTATTGGCGGGTAATATCACGTGACTAATAGTCAATCTCATCTCAACATAGCGACGCAGCGCAGATTGGCTCAATGTCGAGAGAACCAGAAACACGCTACGCTATGATTGAGTATCGTTATTACCGTTATATTCATTGAAAGGGGCACTATTTAATTAGACATCAACTTGGGTCTTCGCTACTATGTTCCATTAACTTTTGCAATGCTGTAGCAGTGGGCTGGTTCCTGAGGCAAACCTCAAATTACTGTAGTCCGCCGGAGGAGGACCCCGAGACGGAAAAAGCTTGGGTGCAATTGTGAGCTTTCCTTGTAGGTGCTAGCAAGACATGCAAGTAGCGTTGTAGTGCAGCTTCCGAGTCCAAAATCTAAACGCTTACGGCGCCGTCCATCGCCGTAACGTTCAGTTTTGCACTGCTCACAGCCTTCAACTCTCAATTCGTTTGTGCGCGTTGCTCGTCAACCTGTTCGAACATCTTATCAACGCTCGAACCCACGTACAACTTCAGTTGGCTTCGAGTCGAAGGGATAAGTTTGCACCTAACTTTGACATCTTCTCCAAGTTCTTCACTTTTCCTTTCGTATGCCTGAAACCGATGACATCCACCAAAAGCAAAGTAAAAAGTCTTGCCTTGATCTCTGACACACATCACATCGATCGGAGGCAGTTCTCCATTCATCTCGGTTGCCTCTTCAAGTGTACACGTCCTACTCGCAGTAGGACGTCCCCCCATCGTAGCTAGCATGGCGTCAATCTTTTCGTAGTCCAACACAGGCGCTATGGGCCGTCTAATCTGGGACAATGGAATATGGGCAATTTTGGCTAGGCCTCCAGTTTGAATAGACATGATGTTGACTTGTCGATTTTCTTTTCTCAAATGGTTTTTATTATGACGAATTTGATCTGTTTCACCTCGGTCTCAACAACCATTGTTCCGGTTCCGCGGTGCCTCTTATACTGTCTCTTCGACAGTTGGGTGTCTTTCGTCGATTAGCAATCAACATCATCATGTCGACATCTAGAACAAGTAAGGCTAAAACGTAAGCAGTGATGGTCACGTTATTAGTCACGAATCATGCTCATTCGATCAAGTCTAGTACATCTAGTTCTTAACCTCATATCATGCCACTCTTCTTGAGATTCTGGTTGATAATCAAGTCAGCCACTGCGGTTAAAACAAATTTCATGCTTCTCGTGTCTGTAGCACAAGTTCGATGAACGTAGATGGGTCGTTTAGATTTATTCAAACTCAAAAAAATGTTTTCGAAATACGCTAAACCGGCTTCTGCATCGTTTACACGGCCTTGGTAATCCGGAAAATATTTTCTTATGGGAGAACTGGTCAGTTTGGCTTTGAAAATGTCGATTTTGTTCAAAAACAAAATGAACGGGGTATCGACGAACCATTTGGAATTGAGTAAAGTCTGGAAAAGCATGATAGATTCGTGCATTCGGTTCACGCGGTCGTCTTCGAACAGCATTTGATCGTACTCGCTTACCGCTAGGACGAAAAGCACTGCCGTGATGCCTTGAAAGCAATGAATCCATTTGCGTCTTTCTGACCGCTGACCGCCAGCGTCAAGGACTTTGAATTTACTCGAGCCGATATTAAAACTTGTCTCGGTGATTCCCGTGGTTTTGATGCGGCCCTTAAGGATATCCTCATCGGAGCAAATATAGTCTGGTTGTGCGAATTTCTTGATGTTATCGAAATAGTAAGCGGCGGATCCCTCCAGTTGGAATTCGTTGGAGCGTGCATAACATTGCCGAATTCCACGATCGTGGGCCCACAATTGCGATATCGCTTCTGCTACTTGTTCACAACTGTAATTGCGCGCGGCCAAATTTGCATTTTGCTGCTGTAAAAAATGACTCCCGCCCCCGTTCAAGGTCCCAGCTTCGGCCAACCCTTCCGAAATCTCTTGAATTGTCAATGCATCCGGGTCATTACCCTCGCTTGCACCCGGTAACAAATGTTCATTCAAGGACGCCCTTTCAAACGCTTCAACTCGACCCGTGCTTTGTACACGCCGTTTATTTTCGCTTCTTTCCGAATATTTGAGCACGTAGTCGTTTAAAAACCCAGATCCGCCCGCAATACTAGCATCGATAAGCTCCAAAGGTCTGGACCGCATCAAAATCCGCTTGTATTCGAACAACGTTCTGTTTGCCTGTGGGTCATCACAATCAAGCGGAATGTTCATACGACGCGCCTGAATAACAAGAATCTTGAGCGATTGTATGGCATCTGCCCAAATGACTTGTTTGTACTGACATCGTTCTTGGTCACTGAACCCACCCTGGTGCATCAATCGTAATTGTTTCAAAACGGTAGATTTCCCAGATTCACCAGCACCCAACAACAGCAGTTTCACCTCGTTCCGTTCTTTCTGTCGCTGCAATTGCAGCGACTGTTCGATCGCCGCATTGGCTCGTTTGCTTTGTAGAAATGGATCGTTTTCATCTTGAGATGTCGAAACGCTTAAAGTGCAACCCATGGTCGCAACGTGTGTCTCGTGTTCGTTCTACAAAGCCCTAGAAGCACAACACAGTTATGTCGCCCTCTTTTCAATGGTCAACGCTCTTTGACATCTTTCTATTGACGTGATATGCTTCTTGACCTCAACACCGTTTTGAGGTTAGCCTTAGCCCTTGATCCCCATGTTGCCTAGAAATGACATTCCTTGAAACGACAATTCTTTGAAACTCCAAATTCCAGGAAGTGCTCAATCCCGTTGAAACATTCCAATCCGTCGCATAGAATACTATTCCTGCCAATGAACTCATGAGTTGCTCAAACGCGCTTACCTCTCGCCCAAATACTCTCATTGAAGATTACCTTGATGACTTTAACGCCGAAATCGCTATTTCGTAATCTGTGACTATCCATGTTTGAATACACGTGACTAGATCACTCTAAACGTATGAGTCATAAATGAGTCGTCAATGGTTAGCGTCAAGGTCAAGCATGCGACAAACAGCGATACGGTTGGAAACCGGCCGTCAATTGCCAATCGTATCACACAAATGCTCAAAATTCAATAAGATTTCCTTCAACCATTGTTTTAAGTAACTACCAATTTCCAATAATGCCGCACATTCTTAAAACGATTCGCATTAGATATCGACATTAGCTCGAGGCTGGAATTTTTACAAAGAGTCGACAAGAGACTTTGGTATGGATTTCGACCCTCTTGAGTATCTGCTTAATGGTAGTTTTACCTGTAGCGACTGTGGGAAACCATAATTCTCGTACACAATAATTATTGTGTATTCAAAATCACGGAGCCTGCTCTTAGCATGTTTTGTGCGCGTAAGAATCCGCTACGAGATCTAGTAACGCCTTTATGCAAGTGAAACCTCTCCTAGCGATTTCATGGTTAAGTGGGTAATACGCGGAATCTGTCAGACTCAAAGTCGTGACAAGGGACTGCTTTTAGCGGATTTGTCTTTAGCGCTGATGTGGATTGTGTTGAGCGGTATGAGCGTGGATTCAAATAGGAATTGAGTAGCATTTCGGTTCGTTTAGGAAGCTTTTGAGAGCTTTCAAGAGTCGGCAGGCGTTCATTTTGGCTTTTGTGTGGCTTTTTCATGAGCTTGTATATATTCGAGCTCAAGATTATATATAGATATATATCTTAACGATTTCATGAAAATCATCCGGACCGAAATTCAGCTTGTATCGGATCAAAGCTGGAATTTGAGAAGCTGAAACGGCCTAAGTTCGTCTGATTAGTGTTAGTATAACTATGACTGGTGAGGAAACAAAGTGTCCTGTTGATCATGATGCTCGTGAAGCATGGATCAAGCATAGTGGTGGAATTCCCCCAAATCATCCGAAAGTGGGAAGCGAAGAGGATGGTTCTCAGTGTCCTGTGAACCACGAGGCTCGTCAAGTTTGGTTACAGAAGGCCGATGGATCGAAAATGGTGCAAGATGTAGAATGTTCATCGGATCAAATGGGCAACACGCCCCAGTACAGTACGAATGTCGCTTTGCCCACAGAACGTGAAATATCGTCGATTCCACGAAGTGGAACCGACCAACATTGGGTTTATCCGTCGCAGAAACAATTTTACGAAGCCATGGTACGTAAAAATTGGAATCCAGACCCCGAAGATATGAAAGTCGTGATCCCTATCCACAATTCTGTTAACGAGCGAGTTTGGAACTATATCAAGCTTTGGGAAGGTGATGAAAGCGCCCGCGAGTGTGGTGGGATACAATTGGCGAGCTTTAAGGGTGATTCCAAGAAATTAACGCCCAGAGCTTGGTTCAGAAGCGCGATCTTAGGATATGCTAAGCCTTTTGATCGTCACGATTGGACCATCAACAGGTGTGGCACAAATGTCGACTACGTTATAGATTTTTACAGTGGGGACAATTCTGCTGTGGGATCAGACGTATATTTGGACGTGCGTCCCAAACTGAACAGTTTCGAAGGTGTCAAAATGAGAATCAAGCGGTCTTTGGGGTGGTAACCTACTATATTCAAATCTTGTAAATACTCGGGACAACATACACTAATCACCCTCTTTCAGCAAGTACGCAAATCGTAATGAATTTATTTGAACTTACTTAAAAGCTTGTATATACAGGGAGCATGCAAATCCAGCGACACCTCGTCCTTTAATGTACACTCACAATGTGCCTCGCCTAGGCTCTTCCAGGCGCAAAACTATTACCAATCTGCTGCATGTTTTCACCAACTTTGACATTAGTTTCGAAATATTTGGCCACACATCTGTCAATACAAGATGATTCTCCCTTGTTCAAATCACCCTCGCTGTAAGAAGCTTGGATACATTTCTTATGACAGTTGTCCACGAGTTTGTTGAACATGTCCGTAACGAGATCCAATTCTGCCTCGGCAGTTGATATTTTTTGTTGCCCTGACACTTGTGGTTGTCCTCCGAATCCTAGAAAAGACATTATTGGGTGAGATATACTGTGGTTATTAGGTGTATTTGTTGGAAGTAACTGGTAGCTAACGTCGGTTTTTTTTCATCTTGCTATGTCTTGAAGTTTGATGAGCAAGGCATCATAATAAACGTTGAGTATAGTCGAGAGAAATTCAAGTCAACGAGAAACTAGCGGTTCCAACGTTGATTGAAGGTTACATGATATTGTAGCTTCTAAAACATTTATTGAGCTTCAAATAATTTACCTCTGTAGAATTGGCACAGTGTTGGTTTTCGAAATTTTGAGTTCTGAGATGTAATTAATTTCCAATCCACTGACTTTTGATAGAAGTCGAGAGATTAGCGGTGCGTTTACCATCCTTTAACACTCGACTACTCGACTACTGTGTAGAAGGTTAAAGGATGATTCTCAGCCCGAACTACGTCTTACAGCTAAGTTTGGAGCAGGTTGATCAATCAGAAAAGAACTTATAATCAATTAATGCTACTTGAATGCTGTCTTGAGTGTTACATATGCTAGTGGCTCGCCGGAAAAGCTCGTCTTTTGGCACCGATGGATGCGGCACGGGGCTGGGTTTGAGCAAGGCTTGAGCAACAACAGCCTTTGCTAGTGTTATAATTATTTGGTGGCCCTCAAGTGGGCGCTGAGGTAATGCTAATTGTCGTCCTTGTCAACGTCATCGTCTTCGTCGTCTTCATCATCGTCATCTTCGTCGTCCTCGTCATCTTCGTCCTCGTCGTCTTCGTCCTCGTCATCTTCGTCCTCGTCGTCATCCTCTTCGTTGCCATCTGCTCGAGCATTGGCTTCGCTTCCTAGATTTCCACGAATATCAGCAATACGTTTCACGACAATGTCAACGATATCGTTCCATTCCCGCATTCCACCCATTCCAATGTCACCACAGATAAGCACTTTCTCTACAGGCTTAAGCACGTCCACGAAAGGTGAGTCCTCTCGAAGCATAGCTAGATGCTTTTTGGTGACTGGGTGAATGTACATAAACGTGTTCATAGCAGGTGCGACTAAAACAGGAGTCGAGGGTGTCCAACTACGCAACAAAGACGTTAGCAAATTGTCACAAATGCCATTTGCGATTTTGGCAAGTGTGTTGGCCGAGAGAGGAGCGATGACGCATATATCAGCCCAACGCCGCAATTCTGTATGTACCACTGGATCCCCCATCCTTTTGAAACCGAACCATTCGTCCTCGTCACGCCATATTTTGACATCGGTTGAGATTTTAGTCCCACGCAAGAAATGCTCGGCTCTTTTCGTCAAAACCAGTTGTATAGAGACTTTGTCTGAACCGTAAATTTTGAAAAGCTTGTCGATCATCATGGGCACTTTGACGGTAGCAACCGAGCCGGTCGCGCCGATAAGAATATGAATTTTCCCGTCGTCCTGTTTTTGAAAAAATTCCGTGAATGGGAGTCGTTGCGCAAGAAGCATGTCGACAATAGCTTTGTTACCTTGGTAAAAATGCTTACGGCTAGCCTGCTGGGCCGCGCTGCTATTCGCAGATGACAAGTTTTGTGTGGAATGATCACTTTCGTGCCCAGTGCTGGGTTGCATTACAACGAAATCGCCCGGCATGTGGACTGAATTTGCGGAGGATGTGGGCTCAGAACCTACTTCTGGGCGCGCAGTGCAGGCATTCTCCGGTGGTGGTGCTGTTCCATTTTGAAGGTTTACTGCGCCTGAAGAGGGCCTAGCGGATATGGATCCACGATGCGAGATTTTATCTGCAAAATTTCCCACCGTGAACGACACAGCCGTACCGGCGACAGAAGGATATCCAGAGACCAAAGCTGATCCCAAACTACCAGTGAGGGGCCCACTAGTGGCAGGTCCACTGGCACTTCGAGTGGTGACGTTGGCATTGTTCTCGTTGTTCGTAGTTGCAGAATCGTTGGCGCCGTTCGAAGTGACCACACGCAGCTTATGCGAATTCACATACCGGTTTTCGTCAACGGGACGGTAAGCCGGTACGCTGTCTCGACTGCTCGCACGAGAGAGTTGAGGTGCAGACTCTCTGCCCACACCATTTCCTATGGGCGATGCTGTAGATTTCAAAAGCGGTTCAGATTCCTCATTTTTTTTCCCCGGATCCTGATCGCCTTCGTTTTGACCCGGGTAGTTCCCCGTTTCTTGCAGCCTAAACACGCCTTTCTTAGCCTCTCCCGAAACTTTGAGCTCAGTTCTCAAACTTTCACCTGTCCCGGGCATCAAATTCCCCTGTAAAAACTGTTGTTACTGCTGTTTTAAAGAATCAAACTTGTGGTTGGAAGTGGTCTAACTCAAGTGGCATTCATTTGTCTCGGTTTTTAAAACATCAATTGTACCTTTGTACGTTCGTGACATCTCACGACAGATGTCACCTGTTGAAGCTCAAAAGAACGACCCAATTAAGCTTTTCATACGTGATGTGTAATTTTCCAGCAGTTGGGTGCTGAAATCTCGTCTTGCTGGAAACCAAATGTTGAATTCGGCCGAATTCTTTTTTCTAGAAAATTTCGTTATTCAAAAATTATCCGATAATTTTGGACACTAGACCTATGCCATGCGTTCCCCCTAGGAATGAATTGAAACAATTTATAGATCATTTACAAGGGTTTATTCATTGATAGATGGGCTTCGGCTCCAATGTGGTGCCGTGTGGTGTCTGGGTGTTGTGATTTTATAGCTTTTAATGTAGCCCATATGTATGTACGTATGAATAAAAAGAGGTGGTATGTAGATATCAATGGCTTCAGTTATATTTGAGATGCTGCTGTGAAGGAAGGAATATTGTAGAGCTTGGGGCTTCTCTTGCCTAGCATGCAATTTTTGTTAAAACTAATTGGCGACAAATTTTCATGTTCATGAGCTTTCAATTGACATTGAGTGCAAGTTCGATAAAGCCTTATACACTACATTAAATTAGGACTATAGAGTTCGGTTTTAGGCTTCGAGAGCCGCAGAACACCGCAGCAGCATTTTTGGATGGCACCGTTCGTCAAATGCCACAGGTCTTTGGATTACACATTGTTGTCATTTTGGTCAGCATATCTTCGTCACGCGCCCAAGAGGCTGACAACGCCGTGTTCATAGAGGGAAGGCTGTCTTGCGCCCGTCGACGTGTACCATACCGTTCACGCATGCGTTTCGACAAACTTCCGCACCTCATCTACGACCTTTTCGCGTGAACGGTCCAAAAGTAGCACCACCAGCCCATCGCTGCTAATTTCATACTTGATGAATCCCTCGTTAGGTATACATATAGCAGCGTCAAATGCATCGAACCACTCGTTCAGTTCTTCCAAAGCGTCTACGTCAAACGGAAGAATCAACTCATCAACAAACTCATGTGTAGCCTTCGCGTCGTTTTTCGTTTCATCCTTTGAACCGCCAGCATTTGGTAGCGCATCTTCAAGAAGCACTAGCATACGGTAAGATTTGTCATCGGCCATCCTGTTCTCGCAGATCAACTCGAAGTGAGAAGCTCATCGCATCTCAAGTCTTCCAAGAACTTCAATTTTCAATCATAGGAAAAAGAGGTAGTGACAGATCATGTGCTGAAGTCAAGATAATGGTGAAAAATGTAATGGTGGAATCTATTATGAAAATTTAGTGTATATGCTTCTCCTATATATCAGGTATGCTAATGGTGTCGCGGTTTTCGTCAGACGCGTAGTTGGTTTGACCCAATTGGGAGTGATTCTGTCCATTAAATTGATGTTGACCGTCTGGAAATTCTGCTTGTCTGTCTTCCTCTAGCTGTTGTAGATACAGACTGTGATTCACAAGATTCAGATACGCGTACATGAAATTGCTCAATTGTACTTGTTGTCTGAGTTCTCTTTTGGCATCGCTGAGTTTGAGATGACTGAGGCGATAAATGGCTCTTTCCACGTTGATGGGAAGACGTTGATCTATCATGATCACGGTAGAGATAGTGAGCGGTGGAAGAGGAAACCCAAATGCGCTGTCAGTGAACTTCATGGGCGCATTCGGTTTCCCCGGTTTCTTAACGTCGCTAAATGCAAGTTTTCGAGCCGGCAATATCTCATCAGCTGTTGTAGCCGTTTCTAGTGCTTTTTCTGGTGGTGATGCGGGCTCCAGATTTGTGAGTTGCTCCGATTTAGAGACACCATTGGCGGGCAGTGCTTTGTCGGACAGTTGTACATGCGGAACTTGTTGCGTTTCAGACACGGTTTCCTCTAGACCTGCATGCACCGACGAGTTGGTCGCTGTTGTCCTTTTCTTTGGAGTCACGTTAAGATGGGGTTTGAGAGTCGTTTGTGTATCTGTTTTCGTAGTTTCCGCCTCCTGCGAGCCTCGTTGTGGTAGGGCCTCCGCCTCCGTCTTGTGCCCAGTACTTCTTTCAGGCGTAAAATTCGTCTCAGAGAATATGTTTTTTGTCTCGTTATGTTTCACATCTCCCGCTTCGTGGTCCCTTGTGCTTTCGGTAGCGTGCGATGAGCTGCTGCCCGTCCTCTTTTTGAATAAGTTAATGAATTTGTCGCGTTTCGGTTTCTTTATCGGTGACGGTTGCTCATGCATATCTGATGAAGTGGCTGTTTGTTTCTCGCCAGTGTTTTTGTCCTCGTTAGAATCAATTGAGTAATGACGATGTCTCGAGTGATTGACCTTTTTGCCCGGCAAAGTGGCAACTTTAGAGTCCTTTGCTACATTCAAAAAATCATTGGAAACAGAATGCGCCCGAGGCCTAGTTTCGTGCGAATCCGTTTCTTGGTTTTGTAACTGTTTCTTGTTAAACCAGTTCCAACCACCTTTGCGCTTTTTGGGTTTTTCGTCGCTTGGTGTCTTCGACCCTTCGTCACTAGAGCGACGCATTTCCGTGTTTTCATGTTGAACAGTGTTCCCAGATAATTTAGTATCCTGTAAGCGTCGAGAGGGCTTAAGATGCGAGGTCCTGGTCGCGTCAAGATCCAAAGGTTTATCCTTGTGTCCCATTGAAGACTTCGTTATGGAAGGACTGGCAAGCGAGCCATCTTGGACGGAGAGCTCTGACATGTTGTCCAAACTTGCACTTCTGTAATGATCATAGATGTCATTGACGTCGTTGACTGATGATGGTGAGTCCAAAGGTGCCTCTGGTGTATGCTCGGAGTTGGGCTGCGGAGTCGCCGCGGATAGCTGTGACGCGGAAGAAGGTTGATGTGCGTGCTCTTTGGAAGAATGGGAGGAACTTTTATCAGAACTGCGAATTCGATAAGTATTGAATTTGCTTCGCCGTAAAGAAGATCGCTCAGGAATCGTGAGACCACCTTTAGCCATCATCGTAGATGCAAATGCAGAATCTCCTGCCTCTGATGAACATTCCGAACTATCTCCAAGCCACGCTTCATTTTCGTAAGGTCCAGCCATTCCTAATGTCCTCGCTAGCGTTACTGCATCCCCATCAGTTAAACCGGCTTTGTTGGAGACTTTTGTAAGTTCTTCCGTGATATCTCTTAGAGAGATCACTCTATGGGGCTCTTTAAGTCCCGAGCCCCGCTTATCAGTTTTGTCATGCAATGATTCATCATTATTGGGCTCGTCTGAGAGATGGGCCATATCATGCAACTCTTCAAATTCTGAATAGGATTTACGCAGCCTCGACGGCCTTCTAACCAATGAGCTGTTTTTGTTTATGCTCTTCCCCAAACCTGGATTCCTTGCTAAAGATTGATTTTGATGTTCCTTGGTGCCCGTCCGAGAAAGTTCTTCTTGCTCTAGTTGTAGATTCTGTAGTGTGTCTTGAACCAGCTCAAGATAATTTTCAGGCCTTATATTAGGATGCTGATTTGCTGGAACCCACAAGAGATTTTGAGTTACACTTTCTTCCGAATCATAATCGTCACTCGAGGCTCTTGATTTGGCGGAATGTATTCCTCCTCTTCGCACACCGCTCAATTTTCTTGCCGACACTTTTTCGTCCCCACTTTTCGTCAACTTGTCGTGCGGCTCTTCCAATATTTCAGGAGGATCTTGCAAGTATTCAGTGCTAGTAATGTTAATGCTATCATCGAAAAATGAATTTCCTTCGTCTTCAAACTCCTCCGCATCATTGAAATGTTGCATTTCATCATGCGTTTGACCACCATATGGACTCTGGATTCGGTACTCTAACTCAGGGTCTATCAATAGATCCATTGACCCTATGGACAATCTCTTCAGATTTTTCACATTCTGCAATTCATTGTCCAGCGACTGCGCTGCTATTAGAACATCGCTTTTTCGCTTTTCTTTGTAACTACGAGAAGAGTTACGACGTCCCTTGCTCGCATTGTTGTGCGCCAAACCCGCGGGATCCAGATCTACTGGATTTCCTTCACTCCTGCTCATGACTCTGGCCTTTTCAGAACAATTGCCAACACGATGATCTGACTTAAAATGGCACCGCAGAGCTATCGGTAAAGGTTCCTCCTCTGCTGGTATAAGTGTAAGCAAACAGTGGCAATACGTGACGGTCCCTGGTGTCGAATTAGATTGGCAGCCTTTCAGGTGGCTGTTGACGGAATTCTTCTGGTGACCGTCAAAGTCTAAATACGTTAACGCGTAATTTTTCAGTCGATACAATCACACGGTACGTGTTCAACGGCATGACGAGGACATGGGACTAGCTCTATAGAAGCCATATCAAGGTCTCAGGACTGACCGTCTTGCGTAGAGGGTCCAACTGATCAGATGCTATATAGTGTTCAAAGTCTGTTGGAGGAGGGCTTTTGTCTGGTCAAAACAGGACATAAATCCGACTAGTAAAAGAGCCAAATAGCACCATTTCCAAACGCGACTTGTCACCATCACTAGTGCGTTGGGTCGCTTTCTAGCCAAAAGGATATGTTCTTCCAAACCGGAGCCCCGTGGGAAACCCATGTAGTTTGCGAAACTATGCAAAACAATGCAACACCACAGGTTTTTACCAGTAGCCATGAAAACAATGTTCGTGAATATGCCAAATATGACCGTGTAAGACACTTGGAATACAGCCGAAGTCAAGACTTGTGTCCAGGAGTACAGCCCAGTTGAGATAAGTTCAAAAGCGTGGTGAATATGTGCGAGACCGAAAAAAAAAGGAGTTATCCATATCGCGGATCGATGTTCCGAATCACTCACCTGTGTAGTCAGGTAATTGTTCAGGACCATGCTGGTGTAGAACAGCTCTTCAGTGACTGGCGCGAAAACGTAGTTTCGGAATCCCCATATGTTTGTAACTTCATTGTAAACGGTGGAAAACATCTCCGACAGAGACTCTCCAGGCGTCAACACGTAGCATAGTAAGTTATCCAGGAGTGGCCCGCAGTAGAGGGTGCAGATGATCTGTATACCGTGCGCTAAGTCGCGGAAAAAGGTCGAAAGGTCAAATCGACAGCAATGCCCATTGACATAAAGTCCCGGTACTACACCCAAATTGATCAGGCTGTCCAGAAACGAAACTTCGCCCTTAGATATTAGAGAATGAACCCATGGAATAATCGCGAGGTTTATCAATGATATGATCGTAATTCGCCGGATTCGCGATTTGATGACCCTCACGTCGTCACGACGCTTCTTGAGCTTATTTAAGCCACGAAACGATAAGTGAAGCGCTGCGACATATGAAAATGAGACATATAGAGACAGAAGGTGTCCCACAGAGATCATTTCACGCCGTTCCTCTGATATAGGTGCGTCTCGGGACTCTTGGTAAAATCGTTGTGCCATGAAAAATAACATAACAGGACTCGAAGTAGTGAGTGAGACAAAGTGCAGGAGGGGAATTCTGGCAGGTTTTAGTGGGGATCATGCAAACGACCATTGTGTGGCTGTTCAGACGCAGAAACTTGCGACGCCCGGGGTCAGTTGTTAAAATCCTGTTATAGACTGTTCCAAATGGCGACATAATCAATCTGAAACACATCCAAGTGGAACCTCGTAAATATTTTCTTATAGTGGCAGTTTTTCCCGCGTCTTGAGGATTATCGCCCGCCATCGTATGCTTTCAGCCCTGTTTTTGCTCGTTTCGCAGCTCGACTAGCTTTTTCAGAAACTTGATCTCGAGTCCCATGAGAAACGCAGATATCTTGTGCGAGCCCGCGTCTCCATCCGCTTCCGACCCAGAATTTTTCTTATTCCGTCTCGCAGCGTCTCTGAGATGGGTTTTGATCTCGAGCGAACATGTCGTGAAGTTCGAACTGCCGCACGGCGCCGTCGCAACTTGCAAACTCTCGACATGTCTCTTCGCCATGATTTCGAAACCGTTCACAAGCAAAGAGACGTCGCGCTTGGAGACTGCCATACCGGGGTCCAGCGGCAGACCTGTGCAGAATGTACATAAAATCGCCAGCACCGTTGTCCAAATCATTGCGAAAACCCTCATTGCTGACCTTGAGCTGTTGTAACCCTCCCACTGTATACAGAAACCGTGTCTGAAAAAGGTTTTGTTGAGTATTTCTCAGTATGCGCGTCGCAATGTGGCACATGTTCACAATGACAGTTGAAGACACAGAGCATACCCCGAAGCTATCGTCACTATAACAGACCGTTATCAACTTTTCCACCTCAGTTTTGAACTTCTCTAAGCTGCTCATGGCCCAGTTCCGCTCTCGAGTCTTTAAACACACACCCAAAATGGCTCGCCAACGCATACACAACTAAGCTATCAATACATAAGAGCTACACGGCTATTTTTTCAAACTTAGCTGTTTGTTGGGAAAATATTGACTAGTGGAAAAGAGATGCCAATCCGGTCGCCTGCCCGCTCTTTATATAGTCGAAAACTCAAGAATTTTAGGGGAAGACGCTCTTAGCCGCCGTCATGTCTTACGAACGATGACATATAAGCCGCTACATAAACTATTTTAAACATTCGATTTATTAACATCTGGGCGTGTGGTCTAGTGGTATGATTCTCGCTTTGGGCGAAGATTGAGTTAAACTTGGTCTTATATCACAAGCATGCGAGAGGCCCTGGGTTCAATTCCCAGCTCGCCCCGATTTTCCTTTTTTATTGATACATACCTCCGCGTCATCTATTACGGATTTCTCTTGAAGTGAAGGACTTACTGTTAAGAACTGGAGAAGAGGCCGAGTTGGAATACGAGGGGAACTTGCGAATTACAGGGATTGCAACTCAATTGGTGTGGTTTACGTTTTTCAAGCTCAACAACCCACAACTGAATTAGACGGGACCTGCTAACCCCATTTTTTTCGTCATGAAGCGCAATGTTTTTAAAGCTGCAATGTGCTGCGATGCACGCATGCTCGCCAGCAATCGATTGGCTACCACTCAAGCCGTCAGACTTCTGTCTTCGAGCCCTAGGCTTTTGGATGATACGACGCACTTCGGATCTAAGACGGTGCTGAAGAACGAGAAGGAAAAGCTCGTCGGAGGTGTGTTCTCAAGCGTCGCAGCAAAATACGACATCATGAACGATGTTATGTCGCTAGGCATCCACAGGTTGTGGAAGGACCACTTCATCAATAAGCTAGATGCTGGCAAAAGACCTAACTCGAAGGAACCTCTACACTTCATTGACGTGGCAGGTGGTTCCGGCGACATTGCGTTCGGACTGCTCGATCACGCAGAGACCAAATTCCACGACAAGGAGTCAACCATGCATGTGGTGGACATCAATCCTGATATGCTTAAAGAGGGTGAAAAAAGGGCAATGAATCAGGGCAAATATTTCAACGACCCCAGGGTCAAATTTTTGGTCCAAAACGGCGAAACGTTAGACCAGATAGAATCCAATTCCAAAGACGTTTACACCGTTTCATTTGGTATCAGAAATTTTACTGATATTCAGGCGGGTCTAAATACTGCGTATCGTGTGTTGAAACCCGGCGGAATCTTTTTTTGTTTGGAGTTTTCAAAGGTCGACAATGCCATCGTCGATACCATTTACCAACAGTGGTCCAAAGTGCTGCCCGTGATGGGTTCGATAGTGGCTAACGACTATGATTCTTACGAATACTTGGTCGAATCTATCCAAAGGTTCCCTGAGCCTGACCAATTTCAAGCAATGATCGAAAAAGCTGGCTTTGAGTCGGCTGGGTATGAAAGGCTAAGTTTCGGGGTATGCGCCATTCACTGGGGCATCAAGGTCTGAAAATTAAGCACACTTTCGAAAAAATGCCAAATTCTTACTTTCTTGTCGTCGTATCTATAAAGGAGAAAACATTATATTTCTGCACATAAAACTAAATGATCAATCAATCAAGCTTCCAGATTTCTGATACGCACCGGAACGTCTAAATGCGCAGTTCCGACCTGCCCCTCAAACTTAATGTTTACCCGAATGCAGTACATCCTTGATATCAAACAGCTCTCGAAAGATGGTATGAGCGTCTCGTGCATGTCTTCAACTAAAGCGAGCTTTACCGTGATTGAACGTTGGAACCCACCGTTCTCACCCTTGATCCACTCATGTAAGAGCTGCCTTTTCACTCGCTCAGAACTCGACGTATGTGAGCTGAGTGAAGAAGAGGATCCGCTGAGGGTTGACGTCAATATGCCACCGCCACTACCGTTTTTAGATGAAGCGGTTTGAATGCTGTCCTCTTCCGCAGCGAGGGCCTGCGATTGCTTCTTGAAAACATTGTGCAATACCTGCACATTAGAATTGAGGAATGACAAGCTTTCTATGTCGGTCAGCATTTGTTGCGAGATGAAGTCGGAGAACTTTAGTTCATGCTGCGTTGGAAAGACTCTCGATGCATTAAATAACTCGTTCAATCTCGTGCTATTTTCGTAAAACTTTGCTTGCAATGCTATAATTTCAGTTTTAAACTTTCTGAATATGGATTTAACCTCATTGAGCTTCTCAGGCACCAGTAAAATATCGGGACTCAGCTTGATGGGGATCGAATTGATAGAACGAGCGGTGAGACATAAAAGCTCTGTCGTCACTCCTACCACTTCGGGCGGATCGTGTGGCTCTAAATTATTAGCTTGAAGACATTTCAGCTGTATTCTTAGTTCCGTCAACAATTGAAGATCATCAGGAGACAGAGAGTCCCGCAAACTAAGCCAATTTTCCTGATTGTGCTGGCTTCTAGCATCTAATGTGTTGGACTTTTTCAGCAACGAGGGCTTGATATAAGGTAGTCCCGCTTTCGGAATTTCCGTTGACAAAACGATAACTCCTGATTTCGTTTGAGAAACTCCGACATTAGACGCTGGTTGGGAGGCTCCAAGACCGCTGAAAATACCCTTCTTCAGTTTAGAAGAGGACTTACTCTTCGTCCTGAAGTTATAGTTGAATTGAGTCTCGATACTTGCTTGTTTTCTATCCCCCATTTTACCATTTCGAATCGGAAAAGAAGAGTGAGCTGAATCTTCTCGATTACTCACATAAAGCTGATTCAATTTCAATCTTAAGATATCCGCAGCGTCGACCTCCGTTTCGTCATCAATGGAACCCCTCAAGTCAGAATTGTGAATATCTGAGCTTGTGATGTTTTCGTTTCTTTCTAAACGCCCGAATACCTTCTCAAGTGCATTGATGCGATCCTGGATCAGGTTTGTAAAATCTTTGACCTGCTTAGAGGCCTTGGACTCTCCCGAAAGTGGTCGACAAAATCCAAATGGGATGAACCTCAGGTTGTATTCTGCTTCCCTCATGATATGGAGTGACCGGGTTTTTGGATCTTTGCCAACAATCTTGGCATCTAAAGTGTAATTGATGGAAATCTCTTCTCCAGATAGATCGTTTGTCAAGATCGGGGAACCTTTGGTTCCAAAATGTCCATAACCCAGCATTGAATTCACTTTTATTCCGGAATATTTGCCCCCAAATCTGGTCCTATCAATGCCATAACTCGGTGGAACCAGACAATGAGTAAACTGCTCATGCTTACAGGATATATCCAGTAATTGACTAGGCAGCTTGAAAAGGAAATATTTCTTGTATTTGACGTCAGGCTCAAGTATTCTATTGTTGTTCAAACCAATGACACAGTTTTCGTAGTCTAATTGTCCACATTTATAATCCACACCGTTAGCGACTTCTATAGTGGAATAAGACCAACTTGCACTCAAATCGACCATTCTCAGAAACCTCTTGACAGTTCTTTTTCCGCAATCCCTGTCGACCACGGAGGCGTATCCTTCCAATGTCACATAAAACATTTCAAACTTCAAAGGTCTTGATGATCTATTTGTGATAATGATGTAACCGTTGATAATGTCTCCCGAAGTGTATTCTCTCAAGATTGATTCTTCTTCAGGTTTTTGGTTCGGATCGACAGCATGCTTCGTGATTCGTATCGATATGTCAATCGGAGTGGTCAACTTGGGTAAAGTGTAAAGTTTGTCAATATTGATATTGTCTGAGTCGTGTACATCATCCTGGATCGGTTCCTGTACGGTACTAAAGGTCTCTAAGCCCGGAAAAGATACTCTTTGATGAGTATTCATAAATGCGTCTGCCGAACCCGAGCGGTGGATCGACGTAGAACCACCTTCAGCCAACTGTTCCGTAGTCGATCCATTACGACCATCTAGCGGCAAAGAAGCAGCTTGATCTTGTATCTCTTGGTAAGTCGGCGGGTAATCATGCAGATCGGGATTAATATTTCCCTGTGGAATGTGTCTGTGCAAAGCGTTGTACATCTCGAAAGAGGGCAAAACGTCGATCATTATATTTTCCTTGGGTTTATCCCCATCTTTGCTTTTGTCACAGGCTTTTAATTCGTTACTGCTCGAAAGCGAGTCCAGATTTGGTCTCGATGCGGAGGGAGATCTGCGATCCTTGGACGGCGACCTGGCCTGTCTCAATCTTAAAAGGCTCGTTGAAGACCCACTCTTGAAGAAAAGCGATGGAGAGGATGATCTAGCTTGCGTCTCCCTTGACTCTGACCTTGTAATATCATCTCTTCTTGATTGTCGGCGATTACTCATGACCTAGAGTAATTTCAGACAATACACCTTGTAGTGGTCCAAATCACAGCTGGCTTCGGAATTAAGCTCGATGAACCAAAGCTGCGAAACAACTCAACTGTCTGAAGATGCCAAACTAGTCAAAACAATTGCACGATAGATTTTTCAAGGTGTCCTTTTTCACCGATTGTTTCTACAACACTTCGAACAAAAAAGTTTTCTAATATCGATGAGTCTTAATTTACTACAAACAAGCATACGAGACCTGTAGGAAGAGAGAGTTGACATGATGGTCATCGTTGGCACACTGTGGAAACCGATTTGTTAGTTTATATAAATGTCATTTAAACCCCGACGGGAATCTGATGGAAATCAGATGACTTATTAAATTGGACGCAGAGGCTATCGTTAATTGTACATGTAGCTGCTATGGGCGATGTTGTTCATGATGCGAAGATCGACGTAGTCGGATTTGGCCATTCCTTTCGTAGAATTCCATAGAGTGTCAAATTCGCGAGAATCTAGAATGTATTGACGTTCTGTAACCCATAGATGCTCTTTGGATTTCTTATGCCTTTCCCGGTCGTTTTCCATGCGATGCAGGATAACACCGCTGGAATTCGCGGTGGCTGCACTAGCGGTCGTCGAGGCACCCCCAGTACTCGTTGCGGGCGCGGTAGAAATACCACACACGAGATGACGACGGTAGTATTCTTGCAGTTGGATAGCGTGCTTGCGTCGATCAACGAGCAGCATACAGGTTGTGGAAAACGCAGTTTCGTAGTCCGTTGCAAGCGGCGGCGAAAACCAAGGCAGTTCCGGACCCTTGGGGTCGATTTGTTGCAAAATCTCGTCACGAGTCAGATCCAGTTTCTGGAGCTGTGGATCGTTCTCCGGCACAACGCTGCACAGCGAGTTCAAACGCTTGGAAATAGCGACACACGCGTCTAGGTTTGTGAGAGATTTCCAGTCGTGCGCCGGCAGCACGAGTTGTACGATTTCGTCCAGGCGGCCAAGGAACTGCGTATACAGCACTTTCGCCGGTGTATTTCGTTCTCCGTCGATTTCGGACCTGCAACGAGGCCAAAGTGCCTCGACAAGTTTCTGCCAGTATATCAAAACATTCAGCCGGTCAAGCGAATCCATTTTGAGTGCAGAATCCAACAGACACTGCTGAAAATCTTCATAGTGATGTTCGTAGTTTCTCACGTAGAACTGAACCGGATCATTCTGTTGCTGGCTCGCATTGGACCCTTGCGAAGTGTCTTTGACCGCGTGTAGATTCTTGTGAAGGTTTTTCACGACTTGAAGAAACTGCAATCGGGCCTGGAAAGCGTCCATCACGTTGTGTTTCGAGCCGTTTCGATGGTGCGATGAGCTGGGTTTCTATGCGTTTCCCATCTTGAATTTTTCACTTTCCTTCTACATGAGCTGTCATACAAAATCAGAACAGAGCCAAAACCACAACGTTGGGCCACCCCGTAGTGCCACTCCGTAGTCCAAACAGAGGCACTTCACCGAGTCCACCACGGCTCCCCGCTATGTAACTGTAACCCTGTGTTCCCATTATATACAATTGATAAATTCCCCGTGCCTCGATGCGTATGCGAACGCAATATATGCGCGTCGGTGCGAGTCCTGTCAGCTGCGGGCCAAGTCCGTCGAGGACGCAGTCGACGACGCCCGGTACAAGGCGTCGTTCGGCTCAGATGTCGCCAGCTTGTCCGTTGACAGAAGCCGTACTGAACGAGCAACATCGCCGGCCGTCTGGAGCGGATGAAGCTGGGTCTGCGGGAGCGTAGAGGTCATGAACGCGGGAAAACCGGACACGAACGGCGCCGTTGAGTGAAGCCATGGTTGCAGTTGCACATATGGCAAGCCCGTGGCTGTAGTGGCGACGCCGCTGCCGGTAGACGACATTCTGGGCAATGGAGATGTATCACCCGCGACGGCGGGCGCTGCCGCGCCCGTCGTTGTCCCGCGTGCATTGCCCGAGACCATTTCTGGTAACGCCATAGATATGATGTCGCGTCCTCCTGGCACGCTGGGGCGGTTGACTGGGATTCCAGTGGGAGGCATGCCCGTGAGCGTTATCACATCGGGCGTGGCCGTAACATGTGACACATGTTCTGCTATCGCCGCACCTAATGCTTTTGGATTTGAGAGGTCGTAGTCGACCGCGGCGGCGGCCGCCGGTCGCTTAGTCGATTTCGACTTGGCTTTACTACCGGGTTTCCGACCGGATCCCGGTTTCCTGCCCTGAGCGAGCGTTTTGCCCTTTCCAGGTTTCCTGCCGCTGCCGGGTTTTCTTCCCTGCGCCAGAGTTTTCGCCATGGATAGAAGAGATGAGATAGCTTGGAAAGAGAAGGACCAGAAACAAGCACGCTGCGCAACGGAAGTTTGCCAGCCCGGTGCTCAAATCAACTGTGCCGTGGGATTCGACTGTCTTTGCAGATGCTCTTTCAATGAAAAGAGTGGTGAACGTCGGACTGACTACTCGATGGCCTCTGGAAAAAAATAAGAACCTGGTTACATAATACGCACCGGCAACAGAAAAGGCGGGCAGAGGGCGAAATTGGTGTTTATTGCAGGGAAGATGTGGGAGCAGACATTGAGATGGCAGCGCAAAGCTTGAGAGCAGATAAGCGGTGTTTTTCTGTTTTTTCTGCGCCGTTATAGCACTTTTTTTCGCTATCCTAGCTGTCATTGACACTGTCATGCCCAGGAGAAAGAGAGGCAAGATAAGAAGTATATAGAAGTCGGTATAGAAATCAAGACGAGGGGCGACGCGGAGGAAAGTGTCAATGGCAGACGATGTGGACGGTGTGTACGTTGTAGGCGTTGTAAGTGGTGTAGAAAGTCGGAAAAATCAGGTTTTACATAGGGTTGTACAGGTCCTTAGAGCAGGCTCACAGCGCGAGCGGGTTCGCTTTCAGATATTCCTGAAGCGTCCTGGGCTTGGAGCGCACGTGGTTCAGCGCAAACTGGACCTCTTCGTCCTGGGCGGGCCCGTAGTAATTGTAGTCTCTGAAGTACTTCATCATGCTCGTCACCAGAACCGAATTGAAAGGAGGCGGCGCCTTGAAGGCATCGTCGGCCAGTTGCTCGTACTCGACGTGCTTGCCCGTGGCCGCGCCCACGATCTCAGCGAACTGTGCGGGCGTGTACACGCCGCTGACGCCCGCGATGTGCTTGCCCGCGAAAAAGTCAGGGTCCGCGATGAGCGACGCGACAAACTTGCCCGAGTCGTCGACGTCGACCAGCGGAAGCGGGGTGTCCTTGTTGAACAGGTTTCTGATGAGAAAGCGGCCGTCGTCCGCCGGCTGGGGCCGGAACGGGCGCGCGAAGTTCTGCATGAACGACGCCGGCCAGTAGAACGCGCTCTTGATGGGCAGTGTCTTGATGTAATCCTCCACAGCGACTTTGGTCTCGAAGCTTGTCACCTGCGTGACCTTCCCGTGCGTCACTTTCGTCGGCGACGGAACACTGCTCCATACCAGGAACGCGGCGCCAGCCTCGACGGCCTTATCCGCGATGAGCTTGCCCAGGCGGGTCTCCTCTTCGTAGTCCTCGAACACCGTCACCGTGTTCGCGAACACGGTGTGCGAGCCCTCGAGCGCGGCCGCGACCGAGCCCGCGTCGTCCAGCCTGGTCTCTACGACCTCCACACCCTTGCTTGCCAGCGCCTTGGCCGCGTCGGACGACGCATTGCGTGTGACGGCCCGAATCTTGAACTCTTTGGAGAGCGTCGCGTCCTCCAGGACGCTGTTCACGACGGAACCGCCTTGATGGCCCGTCGCAGCGAAAACAACTAGAATTTTAGACATATACCACTTAGTTTGGATCTTGCTTCACAGCAGAGGTGCTGGCACCGGAATGCACAGACTCTCTCAGCCTCTAGTCTTCGTCCGACTCATATACGCTCGAGAAATGGTGCGCTCTCTTCAGATCTGAATCTCCTCGAGCTTGCTTACTCCTGCGGGGTTACCAATCGCCTGACTAATTGCCATCTAACGTTTCTCTCGAGTAGGGGTTCCTTGTATGTAACCTGCTCCCAAATACCGTCTTGTACCCGTGCTGCATGGAACGCGGAGAACGGGATCGGCTACAAGACGGGTTTAGCTCTAACAAAAGCCAAGAAAAGCAGGCGTCCCCTGTTAACGGAGTTGTATCACCCCGGAAAACGGGTGTCGCTGCGCTGGGCACTAGAGTGCAATCCTCCGCCACCACAGGGGTCAGTTGCGACCCGAGGAAAGCCGGTATGACCAGCAAAGTCGAGACAGTACCTCGCAAGCACCCGAGAGCACCCAGGAGAGGTCCGCGTCGGTTATTGTGCAAATATCGAGATATCTTTGTGCTGTATGCCACTCACCTCGATTAAAGCATCCGCTGCTGGCGTTCTCCACGGCCAAGCCTTGCGAAGCGTCGCGAAAGCGCTACGAGGCGTAAGTAACTTTGTATAATGTGCGTGTCGCCACAAAACTACTAAGAAGAAAAAGAAAACTTGCTCGACGACTAGCGCTGCTTTTTCCACTGCCGCCACGCGAAACTCTATCTACCCGTAGCCTAAGTTTGTCAAAGTTTCGTCGAGATGTGAGCCCTTCGTATATAATGACATCAACAGATCACGTGCTGCCTTTCCAACACGGACTTCGCGGCGTTACTGACCAGGGAGTACCGGACGACTCTGATGTACAGACGCGAAGTGGTGGTTATATGCGCTAGCAGTGATCATAGCTATGTCCCGCAGTTAACACCAAGTTAAGGCGCCGATATAGATCTCCCATCTGATAACTACGAGGAGTGAAAGTCGAGTACACACGTACAAAGTGACGATCCAGCCTGTGAGTAGTTTGTGGGTAGTCGTACAAAGTGATTTCTCCTGGCCATATCTGGTCACATGTCACGAATCGCGTTCGTGAAAAGGGACCTTAGTCAAATCTGATAGCACAATTGACGGTAGGATTTGATGCATGATCGTTCCAAGTGCTTCGAGGAGCACCAGCATAACAAGAGTTATATGTAAAAGACGGGCAGGAGCATATACGATTTAGAGACTAGTGTCAATTACAGAAAACAGAGAGAAAAAAGATGTTAGTTTAAATTATCAGTTTTTATAAGCGTACGTATTTTAGACGTCGCCCAAGTCCAGTGGGGTATTTTCCAGGAATTCTAGCAACGTTTTTGGCTCGGAGGTCGCATGCTCTAGTGCAAATTTAACCTCTTCGGGTTGCGTTGGTCCGTAGTAACTGTATTCCCGGAAATGCTGCATCATGCTGACCAATTCTGGGTATAACGCTTTGAACTCTTCGTCAGTGACTTGCTCGTACTCGACGTGCTTGCCCGTCGCCTCGCCAACGGTCTCTGCAAACTGTACCGGTGTGTACACGCCGCTGACGCCCGCAATGTGCTTACCTGCGAAAAATTCTGGGTCTGCGAGTACCGGCGCGACAAACTTGCCCGAGTCCCTTGGATCGATCAGCGGGAGCATCGTGTCCCTGTTCCATAGATTCCGAAGGACATAACGGCCGTCGCCAGCGGGTTGGGGCCGGTATGGGCCCCAAAGATTCTGCATGAAGATCGCTGGCCAGTAGAAAGCGCTCTTAATGGGCAACGTCTTGATATAATCCTCCACAGCAACTTTGGTCTCGAATCTTATCACTTGCGCGTTCTTTCCCTGCGAAATTTTCGCGGGCGACGGAAGACCGCTCCACACTAGGAAAACGGCGCCGGCTTTGACCGCTTGGTCTGCGATCAGGTTGCCCTGAAGGGTCTCCGCCTCGTCGTCATCGAAAACTGACACCGTGTTTGAAAACACGGTGTGTGCGTTCTTCAGCGCGGCTGCGACTGCTCTTTCGTCGTCGTAGCTGGCCTCTACAACCTCCACGCCTTTGTTCCTCAGCAATTGGGCCGCGCCCGACGACGCGTCGCGCGTGACGGCCCGCACCTGGTATTTCTTCGAAAGCGTCGCGTCTTCCAGAACGCTGTCGACTACAGAACCGCCTTGGTTCCCCGTCGCTCCAAATACAACTAAAATCTTAGGCATCTCTGTTAGGCTTTTGGGTTTGAACGTTGGCGCACACCAGCCAGCGCCGGTCAGTCTATCGAGTCAACTCCCTGCTCCTTATGTACGCTTGCACATCCTCGATCGTCTGTTTCTGGTGGTTCTGAAATGGACCTAGGTATTCTTCCCAGGACGGTTTACTGCGGCTTACGACCGAGCTCCGTCTTTAATCCGCCCACAAGCCACCTCAGCGGTTCCTCACTGAACGAAGATCCGGACTTCACCCGGCGCCTTCCCGATGGACTGGTTGATAGCCATGACCAGAGAACGGGCGTAAAGGGCGAAACCGCAAAGCTTGCAAAAGCGTTGGATGTGTGCTATTAAGCTTGTCCAAATGCGCGTGTCCTCATGTGAAGAACGAGAGACCTCGTGGGAAGCGTGTGCACCTTATCGGACTCTGGTCATTGTATCTCGTCGTAGTATCTCTTCGTATTATCTCGCTGTCAAAAGCCCGCCAAAGTTCGTCAAAGTTCGTCAAAGTTGGGACCCTTCGTTAACAGCGATATCAACAAATCACGTGCCGTTCTTTTTTCTCTCAACATCCTTGATGTAACCTACAACAAATCGTTAATTCATTAGATATGATCAACCACCTAATACTTGATCTGTGTGAGGACGATAGACAAGAACGTGCCATATCTCACAAGGCGTGTGTCGCTTCAAGCAGAAGAATGAGTATCCAAATTCATGTAAAATCGGGTCAAAACAAATGGGACGTGACGATCGAACGGGAACAGACGATCGCTGAGCTCAAAAAGGCGATTGCACAAGTGTCAGAGATCCCGGTTGAAAACCAAAGACTGATCTTTTCTGGGAAAATTCTGAAAGACGATCAAACCGTGGAATCGTACAAGATCGACAACGACCATGCTATCCATCTGGTGAAGTCTGGTGGCAACAAAGCGGCTGCGAACAGTCAAGCGAGCACGGCCGCCACCCAGAGTGCGGATCCTGCAGCTTCTGTGCCAACAAATTTGTCGGCGGGCCAAACGGGCGGGTTCAATCCACTTTCGGACCTCACCGGTGCGCGCTACGCAGGTTACGGGCTGAACTTGCCCTCGGCAGACACGTTTGGGCCTGACGGCGGGATGACAAACGCACCAAACCCAAATGAGGTGCTTCGCATGCTTGAAAATCCGATCATGCAGTCTCAGATGAACGAAATGCTCAGCAACCCGCAAATGATCGATTTTTTGATCCAACAGAGCCCTCACCTGCAGAACATGGGCCCTCAGGCACGCCAGCTCCTACAGAGCCCCTTTTTCAGACAAATGATGACCAACCCGGACATGATACGCCAGAGCATGCAGTTTGCCGACATGTTTGGTGGTGGCGACGGAGCCGAAGCGGCCTCGGCGTTCCCAGCACCAGGTACCGCCTCAACCACAGCAGCAGCACAAGAACCCGCGGCAGATGCGACCTCGACTCGCGATACGTCGTCGACTCCAGCTGCCGGATCGCAACAGAATCTTCTTTCGAACCCGTTTGCGTCTCTGCTGAATCCACAGGCCGCTGCAGGCCAGGCGAATCCCTTTGCATCACTTTTCGGCGCCGCTCAAGCCGGGAATCAACAGACTCCGGCTTTTGACCCGGCCCTCTTGTCCTCCATCCTGGGAGGTCAACCACCGGCACCACAACAGCCTCAGGACACCAGGCCACCAGAGGAGCGTTACGAAGCTCAATTGCGGCAACTGAATGACATGGGGTTCTTCGAATTTGACAGAAACGTCGCTGCTCTTAGACGCAGTGGGGGTTCTGTACCGGGCGCCGTCGATGCCCTTCTCAGCGGTGACGTCTAAATCCAAATTAATCATCAATTTGGTAAGGCAGCAGCAGCATCGAGCTTTTAAATACGACATCGGGCTATTCAGATGGTTGGTCAATGCTACTGTATATATCACTTGATTAACAGTGCCAGAAGCCTCTACTCAGTTGTTACTCATTTCCGTGTAAAGATATCTATCTTAAATAGAACGCCATGTTGTACGTCAAGAATAACAAGAAGTAGAGGAAGGTTGAGACAAGTAATCTAATACACGAAGGCACCGGGTTTGGTCTTGGGCAGCAGTAGTTAGTTTGTATCGATTCATGTCGACGAACAATGCTAAGGCAGAGCCCTTGGAAGAGCCTCAGTTAAAGCCTGTAAGGCTTAAAAAACTACCTACATTGGACGAAGTTTCGGCAGCGACAATCGACAATCCTTTGCAAAGTATACTGGGTAAAGCAATTGCAGTGCAATTGAAGGCCATGAATAAAAATACTTGCATGTCTCAGTTTGCGTTCGAAAATGTAATTAACCTTGTTGAAGAGAATCTGTCCGATATGTTAATGGATCTTCACAAGATGGCCAATATTCAAAGACGACATCGAATTTCAAAAAAGGACCTTGTACTCATTTTACAAGGCTACGATCTTAGCAGTTCGGATCTAATGCTTGAGCTCGAACGGTCCAACTTTGTCAGGTCGCAACATGCGGCGGATGTTCAAAAATTGGGGGACAGCACGGCTGCTGTCGAAATTCAAAGGCATAAGTTTAATTCGGAAAGTCCAGATGCGGCTAAAGCTGAGCAGGATTTGAGTGTGATAGAGAATGACATCTTAGGACTTGTTCCACCTTCGAAGCGGCGCCGCAAGTACGTACCGAAATGGCTACCAGAGTTTCCTCCAGATCACACTTATAGGTTCACTGCGATGTATAATCGGCCCATAACAGATGAACGGCAAATGCGGAAACAACTGGTAGAAGAAGCTAAGAGCTCAGAAAAGGCGCTGCTACATTTGGTGCAATTGGGCGAAGGCGACGATCACAAGGCTGAAGTAGATGAAGCGCAAATTTTGGAACAGAGCCGACGGGAAACGGAAATCGTTTTCCTGCAAGACAACAAACGCAAGAACTTTATCAAAATCAATGATCCTCAGGAGCTGATGAACACGTCAATGACGGAGAATTTCAACGTCGAACAATATGCCAGAAACCGTATTGGGCTAGTGCGAAAAAAGATACAAGATTATGAAAATCGACAGCTCAGGTTGCAAGAGGATCCCTTTGTCAAAGCTTCCGTTTTAGTTTCACCGTTTGCACCGGACCCGAAAAATTGTAAACAGGTGCAAAAGGAGATCAAAACCATGCTGAACAGGAGTTACACCGGATTCCTTGAGTCTATACCAATTCTAAAAAAGAGGCGAGAAGAGGAGAAAGAACAAGCAGAAAAAAAGAGGCGTGAAAAACTTGAAGAGGTTCGTAAAAACCAGGAAGAGAAACGCCGTTCTGGTGAGGAAATCGATGTTTTAGATCTGAACAATTTGAGAGACGACATGTTTTTCGATGAAATGGACAGTAGCGAAAGTGAAAATGAAAACAATCGTAAACAGGACGTTCAACAAGATGGACGTAAAGATGTAAAAGAACAGTTGCGTGGACATGCTGACGACAGGCCTGCTCAAGAACTTGAGGTGAAAAACGAGGATTTTATAGAAGATCAAATTGACACGTCACAGCAAGAGGCACAAGCAGATTCTATGATGGTTGCTGAATTCCAAAATGATCTTAACTCCACAGCATCTCAAAGCGCAGGTCCCCTGAGGGCGGTAGATTCTAATGAAGGTCATGAAAATAACGAGCCCGATCTTTTTTCGGAAAGACAATCAACTATGGAAGAAGCTTTACCGATATATCCAGAGAAACGCGGAAACGATTAAACTCGCGGCAGGCATAGGATTACTCAAGAGAACTGAAGTGTCACTTTGAAAATTTCCAAAGAAGACTGTCCCACTGAGATAATCTGTTGCTGGGCGGACCTTTGAAGGTCATATTCTACATGAGCTATACTATAAAACCAAGCATTGTAATGACCACGATATGATTAAAATATTTCGATGGATGATGGTCAAGTTCCCAAGCCTTAGTAGAGAATTCTAGCTGTTGATTTAAGATATAGAAGGGTTTAACTTGATGTCCGATGAACCTAGCTCATCGGAAGAAAAAAAATTTTATCGAAGATGAGCTATCTTAGCGGACAGATGATAACATATAAGAAGCATCAGATTGATGACAACTCCCATTCGACTGCCAAGTAATCTCCCATATCCTGTGACCATAGCGCAGCTATGTGTTTCGACGGGTAATTCCGTTGAAAAGGGTCAACGACTTTTTGTCTACAAGTATTGGGAATTGCAGGATATCGTGACAGCTCCAGATGAAGAAAATAGCAAGAAAAAACGAAGAGTTGACTTAGTAGGTACGTTTGATTCTCCAGTTAGTGGAACTTTGGTTTCGCTGAATGTTGCCGTCGGTGACGAATTCGTGAACCAGTCTCATATAATAGCAGAAGTGCAACAACCTTGTTCTCACGATGTAACATATGGCGGGCTGTGTGTTGTATGTGGGAAAGCTGTTGAGGAAGAGGAAGATCAAAATGCGGGAGAGGGCTCTTCGTATAACACAAAACTTACTATGGCGCACAATAACACGAATATCTTGGTTTCAGAGCGTCAGGCGGCGACGATAGGAAGAACGGCTCAAAAGCAGTTGAGAAAGCTTAAGAAACTAGTACTTGTTGTAGATTTGGACCAGACTGTTATTCATTGCGGTGTCGATCCTACGATTCAGGAATGGTCGCAGGATCCGTCGAATCCGAATTTTGATGCTTTGAAAGATATCAAGTCGTTTTCACTTGACGAAGAAGTCATTGTGTCACCTTTTTATATGGGTCCAAAACCACCGGTGCGCAAATGCAAATACTACGTCAAACTACGGCCTGGACTTAAGGAATTTTTTGATCAAGTTTCCCCGCATTTTGAGCTGCATATCTACACTATGGCGACGAGAGCGTACGCTTTGGAAATTGCCAAAATAATAGATCCAGCTGGCGAGCTTTTTGGGGATCGGATTTTATCTCGGAACGAAAACGGATCCTTGACGCATAAATCTCTAGAAAGACTATTCCCAATGGATCAATCCATGGTTGTTATCATCGATGATAGAGGAGATGTTTGGAACTGGAGTCCAAACCTTATCAAAGTTGTGCCCTATGACTTTTTCGTTGGTGTGGGGGACATCAACTCCAATTTCTTGCCTAGGCAGCAAAGCTCAATGCTTCATTTGGGCAGAAGACATCGGAAAAAGTCAGAAGAAGAAGAGCTTCTAACAGACATCCTCGATAATGAGAAGAAGCTTCAAGAGAAAATCGACCAGGAGGTCAAGAAGCAAGAGGAAAAATTGAATAAAATTAGAGATGAAAGCCAACCCGAGAGACCCATACAGAAGGAAGACCTAACAAAAAAACTCGAGCATAACGCATCATTAGAAGTTCAGCAACAAAACAGGCCACTTGCCGAATTACAAAGGCATCTGCATAACCAAAAACTACTCATAGACGACGACGACGAACTCCCGCACTTGTCTAAAATATTATTGCACGTCCATCAGGAATACTACCGAGTGCTAGAATCCGCGTCGGCCTCAGAAGAACCTGACATCAAGATTCTCATGCCTCAAATTAAGGGAAAGGTCTTCGCCGATTGTCATTTTGTATTTTCAGGTCTCATTCCACTAGGCACCGACATCCGCACCGCTGACATTGTTCTCTGGACTAGCATGTTTGGTGCAGCTACTTCTTCAGGCATAGATGACCAGACAACCCACGTTATCACCAAGACGCCTGGAACTCTCAAAGCGCGTCTTGCCAAGGGTTTCAATCCACAAATCAAAGTCATACATCCAGATTGGATTTTTGAGTGTCTTGTCAAATGGGAGCGGGTTGACGAAAGACCTTATGAGTTGCTTGTAGAACAAGAAGCAAGCGAAGAAGAATTATCTACTTTCAAGAAACGACTCGAAGATAAAAAAAAGATTGATCTCTTAGCTGAACAAGGTGCTACGAACGATGAACGTTCCAAAGCCAACATGGTTCTCTTAGAAGGAAATGACTCCTGGTTAGATGACGACGAAGATGAGATGGATGAATTTTTGAACGAAGACGATGACGAAACGAAAGCTGAACTTTCTCATGACACACAAAACTCGCAGCTTGATGCTAGCCATGATGACGATGCATCGACTGCAAAAGATGTTCCAACTACGGACTTCTTCCCAATCAAGAGAAGATTATCTACTGAGTTAGAACCTTCACCAAAACGGCCCCATATCGAGTTTCAAGGCCCTTCAACCGATGGAGGCGAGGATGAAGACTTAGAAGCGGAGCTCCTGCTTGAGCTGGGAGACTAGCAACTATGTAACGTTACCATGATTTGCATTCATTTATTCTATTTAAGCTCAGGCTACCGTGGGCTATGATTCATGCTTACCCTTATAGGCATCTTGAAAGTTGGGTTATTCGAGGGTCCATGAACTCATCAAAAATCGAGACTGTGACTACCAATGAAAGATTTAAGAGCGACCTTTGGGCTGCCAGCCGCTCTGAAATCCAAAGTTAACTTATGGCTTGAACAAGATCAAAATGCCGATACTTCTTTAGAGATTAAACAGCTCATCACCAGTGAAAATTGGCCTGAGCTTCACAAGAGACTTGATAATCGAATTTCATTTGGTACCGCCGGGCTCAGAGCTCGAATGGAGGCTGGATTCAGCCGTATGAACCTGTTAACTGTGCTTCAAGCGTCTCAAGGCTTAGCAGCTTACATCAAAGAACAATTTCCGATTGATGCCAGTGTTGTTATTGGCCATGATCATAGATATCATTCCAAAGAATTTGCAGAAATAACGGCAGCGGCGTTCATCCAGCTGGGTATTAAGGTTCTGTATTTGTGTTGGTCGTCAGATGAGAATGAGAATCGGCTGGTGCATACTCCCATGGTGCCCTTTTCGATTGGATTATTTGGCGCGTCTGCAGGTGTTATGATTACTGCCAGCCATAATCCAAAAGATGACAACGGTTACAAAGTCTACTATTCAAATGGGTGTCAGATCATACCTCCCCATGACAAATTAATTGCGGACAAGATTCTTTCGAACCTCGAGCCCAGGACTGGAATCTGGGATTATCAAAAGATCATCCAGGAGGCTCATACCGCCGGAAAGCTTTCTGACGTTCGACAACAGGCTCAGAGCGCTTATATGGAGAGGTTGGCGTCCAAACTTCTCTACGAGCGGGTTGTGCCAGGCACGGGCAAACCGTGGTTTGTATACACACCTATGCATGGCGTTGGAAGCTCAATTTTCGAGCAAGCCACCCAAAGTGCTCTTGGGTTGCGGGAAGGGCAGGATTTTCTTACCGTCGAGGCACAGAAAATACCCGATCCTTCATTTCCAACAGTTAGTTTCCCTAATCCAGAGGAAAAGGGCGCTCTTGACATGGCACTAGATTTGGCCAAGAAAAAGGGTATTTCACTTGTGATTGCAAATGATCCGGATGCTGATAGGTTTTCTGCCGCCGTTTTAAATGGTCACGAGTGGCATCAGTTGAGTGGGAACGAACTCGGTTTCCTGTTCACCTTTTTCCTTTGGGAGGTACAGCAGCAAAGCATTTCGGTGACCTCCAAGCCTTTCTGCGTGCTCAACTCTACGGTTTCATCGCAAATGATAAAGTCCATGGCACAAATGGAGGGCTTCCACTATGAGGAAACATTAACCGGGTTCAAGTGGCTGGGGAATCGGAGCCGTCAACTGGAAGAACAAGGATATTTCGTCTCGTTCGCCTTTGAAGAAGCTATAGGTTTCATGTTTCCCAGTATTGAGAACGATAAGGATGGAATTAGCGCCGCGCTCGTGTTCCTGCAAATGTACTCTCATTATTTGAAAAAGGGCAAAACACCGCTGGATATGTTGAAGATAGGCTTTCAAAAATATGGAGTTTTCAAAGAATACAACGGTTATTACGTGGTTCCAGAACCAGCTGCAACAGACAAAGTCTTTGCCGATATTCGTGCGTCGTTTGTATCTGCGGACGGTACTTATTGCCAAAATCTAGGAACGGAGTTTGCCGTCACATACTACAGAGATTTGACCACAGGTTTCCAATCGGACACCAGCAACTTTGTACCTGTCCTTCCTGTTGATCCCTCATCCCAAATGTTGACACTCGTTGTTGTTCCTACTCGGAAGAGCTCAGATGGCTCCGAAACCGTACGGTTTACCATCCGCGGTTCTGGTACCGAGCCCAAATTGAAAGTCTACATCGAGGCACAATCAGACACTGCGCAAAATGCAAGTCATTTGGCGAAACTACTTTGGGACGTGCTTCGCAGAGAGTGGTTCCGCCCGGAAGTGAATGGACTGACTACTCAGTTCTAGATCACGTGACTTAGATAACCCATTGCCTAAGGCTCGTTAATGTATGCGCCTTATGATCAAATAAGCATGCTTATGAGTCTCATTGACCGTTCTGAAAATGCTTCAACGCACAACTGATGAGAATTTTCCAATTTCAATCAAGTGGAAACTGAATTATGACCATCGACACTTTAAAAAGTTTACTATAAAAGGGAGCGCTTCTAATTTGTTGGATGGTGAAGTTCCCCAATTCTGCCAGCACGCAATTATAACTGTCATCTGTCTCTCTTTCATTCAACCTGCGTTATAATTTCCTGCCCATGATGTTATTTGTCAAAGCAAGAAATCTCACATTATCCAAGTTGTAAATCAACTCATCGAGCAGAGATGGATCAGATGAAACAACAATCTATCGAGCAAGTGTTGCGAAAAACCCCAGAAACTGTTTGTTATCAGCGGTGGGCAAGGCACGGAACTCGAAAAAAGGAGCATTGATGCCGAGCACCCGGCTTGGTCTGCTGCTCCATTTATTAATACCAAGCTATGGACAAATGAGTTCTTGGGGGACAAAATCTTCGTGAACAAAATGCCCGAAGAGTTCATTTTTGCTGGATATAAAATGCTAACGACAATGGCATACCAAGCGAGATTTTAGTCAATTGTCGAGAATACGCATATCCAGACGCTGGCGGGTTATAATACACTCCCCACAAATATTGTTGCGTTTTGCTGAGAGTGTGTAGGAGACGACCGATAACTCGTCGGGTCCATTGGTTGCTGGGGCGCGCATTGCTGCCAAGAATTTTCTGGAGACTATTGCGAGCAACCTGAGTTCATTGATTATATGAACTATTTCAAACCTCAGCTTAACAACTTCAAAGAAAACGATAAACTGGATTTAATCGGCTTCGAAACAATCCCAACATTTACGCACTACACACTTTCTCGTCGGCTGACATCTCTATCATAGCCGAGCCCTTCTACGCCAGTCTCTCAAGGCATGACAACGGCGCCTTGCCGGACGGATCCGCTGTCGACGAAGTCGCCTGTCTCGTCAAGATGCTAGGCAACAAACCGAATCTGAACTTAATTATGATCGGAGAGAACGGCGAGGACGCTAGTCGCTCTGCAGACATTGTCCGTAAATTGCATAACGAGCTGCCTCATCTAAGTTTGATTGCGTATCCTAACAGTGGGGAAATTTATTAAACAGACAGGAAAGTATGGCTCTCGCCTGTAAATCAAACAGGTTTATGGGGCCAAATTGTCACTGCATACCTGTAGCGGTGTTAGTGCTATCGGCGGCTGTTGCCGGACGTCACCAGCCGATATCCGCGGATTTTCGAGCGCCGTTTCGAGACACGCTGGCAACTAAATATTTAGGCTAACTTTGATATGGAAAAGGTGCTACTTTGGAGGTGTTTTTGAACTGCTATAGAAATGAACTTTCAATTGAATTCAATGAATTTGATGGATATAGATTCAAACCATTATATATTGTTCTATGCCTTTGGGTGGAGCTTGGGATTAAATATATTAGCTCTTGATTGGTGGTAGTGGTGATGGTGGACCCCTCTTTATCAAGCGATGTACGTATAAAGTTACAATTTGAACCTTAAAGAACTTTGAGAGATTAAGCTCAACATTCATACCCACAAACTACTTACTTAAAAGCCGATACAAACGCTAACATTCAAGGCCAGGTCGGTCCTAGATTTTGCCGATAGCAGTTGTTGGGATGCCTTTCCGTTATTTCAAGAAGGAGAAAGGTTTAGAGCTGCCAATGTATGAATCCTTAAGACCGTTTTTTGGTGTGTTGTTAAACCAGATTTGATGTACTAACAAAGATCAACAGAGCCTCGCTTCGCAACTCTAGATTATCGGCCAAAAGAACTGGCAAGAAAATTCCATGGTTGTGGGTTCAATTTCCGCAATGGGGTCCCAAAGTATTGCTTTATTCAGTGTTTTTCGTCGTTCTTTTCAAATGCATAAATGGTATCGTAGGGTCTTTCAGACACGGCGACACTATAAGTCTCCAGGATCGAGAATATTACGATAACGATTTCAAAGAAATCGACATTGACGTGGTGCGAAAATTTGATACAGGTGCAGAGCACTATTTGATCAGTCAAGGTGGGGCCGAGGCTTTGACCGCGCAAGATAAAGAAAAATATGAGAAAGAAGTTGAGATGTTACTATCATCTACGGTTGATGAATATGATTTGCGAGAATACGGTGGAAGCTCTCAAGGGGCCAAAAACCGCGAACATGTGCTGGTTTTGGTGCCTTTGAGACATGCAGAGAATGTGCTGCCTCTGATGTTCAAAAATCTAATGAACTTAACGTATCCGCATGAGCTTATTGACCTTGGGTTTTTGGTGAGTGACTGTTCAGATGGCGATCATACTTTGGAAGCGTTGATCGAGTATTCCAAAGAATTGCAGAACGGCACTTTATCGGAGCTTTTCCAAGAACAAGAAAATGCCTTGAAACAATCCAAAAACAAAGGAGGGTCTGATTTGTTTTTGAAGTATATGAATCAGGAGTATCTGAACACCGTGGAGTCAGCTTTTAGTCCACCCTTCCACGAAAACTACGATAAACCCTTCCGCTCCGTGCAAATATTTCAAAAGGATTTTGGCCAAAATATCGGTCAAGGCTTTTCTGATCGTCATGCTGTGAAAGTACAAGGTGTCAGAAGGAAACTGATGGGTCGTGCGAGAAATTGGCTGACCGCCAACGCCTTGAAACCTTACCATTCTTGGGTTTATTGGCGAGATGCCGACGTGGAGCTCTGTCCAGGCTCTGTGATTGAAGATTTAATGGCGATAGATTACGACGTTGCAGTCCCCAACGTTTGGAGACCTCTTCCAGAATTCCTCGACGGGAAGCAACCTTACGATCTTAACTCATGGGTAGAATCGAAAGAGGCGCTAGAATTAGCAAAGACATTAGACGAGGATGACGTTATCGTGGAGGGTTATGCTGAGTATCCAACTTGGCGAGTACATTTAGCTTATCTCAGGGATGACAACGGTAATGCAAACGAAGTTCTTGACTTGGATGGTGTAGGAGGCGTTTCAATTTTGGCGAAGGCAAAACTTTTCAGAAATGGTGTTCAATTTCCTGCATTTACTTTCGAAAATCATGCAGAGACCGAGGCGTTTGGGAAAATGGCCAAAAAAATGGGTTACAGGGTGGCCGGGCTACCTCACTATACCTTATGGCACATATATGAACCGAGCGATGATGATCTCTTGGCGATTGCAGAAAAAGAGAGGGAATCCAGAAGATCCAATTGATACTCAATCAATGGGCTGTTTTAGCATTGGATGCCATACTCGATTTTTTTATTTTGAGAAAGAGATATAAAGGGTATCTGTATTACTATTTCGCATTGCCAAAAGAGACTATTTTGATGCATTATTTCAACAGTTTAAATGTAAGTATTAATTAGTTCAGGAATTATCATCAATGAAGGTGTTAAGCAGTCAAATTGGCCGGTGAACATTTTTACTTTAAGCGTCTTTCTCCAAGTGATTCTCTAGTTTAGTCGCCAGCATATTCTTACGTCTAGCTTGATAAATGTTTTCCAACATGAATGTCCCACTTATGAATACGCCAATACTTGCCAGTCCAATGCCCACATACAATGCTGCTCTATAGCCTTTCAATAAATCGTTTCCACTCTTATTTATTTGGCGTTCAGCTGTGCCGCCGATGCCCAAACAAAGTGACATAGAATAATTAATCATTGTGCTTACAAGCGATCCTGCCATACCCTGATGCTCTGACGGTAACTCATCGCTAAGTGTTATAGAGGCAGCTGGGAACGAGAAATCCATCCCAAAGCTTAGAATAATCATAGTCCCCATGGTTATCCTGAAATAGGTTTGATGCACTGGAGTTACGGCAAGCATAATACAACCGCAGTCAAACGCCACCATTGAAAAAAATAGAAGGATCGACGGATGCATTCTATGAATAGTTTTCCCAACTGTTAATGCAGCTATAATTCCCCAAATAACGAACATGAAATACGTTCCACCAGCCCATAATGGCGTGTAATGCCTTAAATTTAAGACAAAACACATGTAGTAGAAAGTCCATATGCCGAAAGATCCCCAACCAAAGAAAATTGAGGACAAAATCATCAAAAGTCGACGATTGAACATGGCAGCGCGTGGAATGAGAGGTTCTTTGGCAAACCTAACTTCGTACACGAAGAACGCGAGCAAAATAAATAAAGAAATGACCAGCAGAGCAATCACATATGAAGTGCCCCAGCCTTCAATAGGACCCTGATTCCATGCAAAATTGAGTAGAATCAAACCGGTAACTCCCAACGCTGATCCCACCCAGTCCATTTTAAAATTGTGAGAATTTATTGGCACATTATCTGGAATTACCCACCAGGCAATAACGCCATTTACGAACGCCAGAACAGCATACGCATAGAAAGTCCAAGCCCAATTTTTGGTTTTAGTTCCAATGAGACCCGAGAAAAGAACGCCGAACGTTGCTCCAATTGGAGCACAAGCACCTATCATGCTAATCACCATATTTTTGACCTTGGTATTGGGCACATATATAGTGCCAACAAGGCCCATGATATTAGGTAACACAAAAGCGATACCCAAACCTTGGAAAGCCCTGGCGACGATGAAAAAGTCCACACTTGAAGTGTAGGAGGAAAACCCACATATCAATGACCAAATAGTCGCTACGACATAACCTCCCAAAAGTGTTTTCTTGAGACCGTAAATGTCACCAAATTTCCCACTTACCAAGATAAAAGACCCCGAAACAAGTGGAAAAGAAGCCATTAGCCAGGTTTGTTTTGAAGACGATGATTTGAACTCATCGGATATCGCATTAAAAAGAGGATTAGTTTGAGTACTTGCAGCCTGGTTCAAAAGCTGAGATATCATGCAAGAAATTACAAACAGAATTTCCCTCCATCGACTAGAAAAGTACTCGGGGTTCTGTAAATTCGAATTTTGATATCTCTTCGCATTTTTCTCAACACCAAAATCGTTACCAGCATTATTGTCACAGTCTTCACGGTCTGACGAAGAATGACACCTTCTTGAAGTCTCAGTCCACGTGTCGTCCCTGCTTTTTTGTGGGTCGATAATCATCAATATCTGATACAAAAAGCGCGCGCTTGGGTTTAGAAGTGGTAGACATGTATTAGTTCAACATCTCCACATGGCTGTAATCTTCGATTAACGATGTCAAAAACGTCGATGATGATCGCTATTTGAAGAACCTGGCCCTGTTGAATCGCCAAGCTTCTCGCAGCCTAGGAGGGCCTCCAAAGGAGCTTTTTTTGAGTGCATATGCCACTAAAACTTAACCTTCTAAATGTGCTTTATGTACCAGGCGAGTAATCGCGATCCTGTAATTGCGCGTCTTCTTCTCCATCCACGCCTAAGATGTTCGCCGCGTACATGAAGGTTGAATGCTGTAACTGAGCCAAATATTGCGCCATCACGTCTGACCCGGGAATGGCTTTTGGGTGACGATTGCGACGTGATACCGTGTCTGATTTCGCGCTCCCATTCTTTGCTTGGATCGCACTGTTTTTGCTGTCTCTTCGACTGTTCGAGGCAGCAAAGTACTGCCGAGAAACAGTAGAAGGCGCTAAAGGAGGCGCATATTCCAGTGAAGAGTTTGTTACTGGTGCGTTTATTTTTTGTTGACTTTGAGATTTGTCATTTTGTCCTCTCTTCTTGGAGAGCTCTTTTGACCTGTCATCAGATGCAGACAAGCCGTTCTTATTTTCGGTCAAGTTGGCTTTATCTTGCGTAGCCCTTATCAATGGTCCAACCTCTGACGACGGCGAAGACTCCGAGCGATTATCAGAAGGATCATTTGAAAACTCGTCAGATAAATTCTTGCCCACCGAGGTTTGCGAAGAATCTTGCAATAATGTTATACCCAAACCACTTTGATTTTCGTTATTGGCGTCCGACAAAAGCAAAAGCTCACTTTCCTCTATTCTCTGTTCTTCATCGGAGTCTCTGCCCTCAATGTTTCCATTCATGGTGATCCCAAAAGCATCTGTTTTGAAGGACTTGATGTGATCTTCACTTGCGAATTCAGAATCCTTATCATGATTGAAGCGTTCATTAAAAGCTTGCTGTTTCTGCAGCCTAATATTATGGCTTGTCTTTTTGATCTTTTTGAAAAACTTGGAGTTTTTATTAGCCACCAAGTTCTTGTTAACGTTGCCACACCTATCTTTCCCGTAACCTATTATAAGTCCTTCGTATCTACCATTGAAACGCTTGGAAAAGTTTTCTTTGTTGTTTGTATCGTTTGCGTCTTCGACCAACCTAATGGCATTCGTGATATTCATGAAATTAACCCAGCAGCAATGTCCGTCATCTAAAAAGTTTATCTGTTCAATCTCCCCATATGTCGAAAAATCCATTCTCAAATCATCTTTGCTAGGCAAACGGTATTGATCCTTACAGCCTTTGAACTGAGGGTCTTTGATGTACTTCTCTTTGAAGGCAACCTCAGGTAAACTCACATAAACGTTTCGACTTGCGCCTACCGTCACCGCCAGGGCAATCGATTGCGGTAGATCACCTGGATGGTGACCCCAACCAACTTTCAAAATATTTCCATGCAAAACGATAGGTTCAATAGATGAATTGGCGAAAAACTGCACAGCAGCGGCAGTTTCAATAAAAGTGATAAAACAAATGCGCTTAGATTCAATGAATTTGATACTTTGCAAAAGCCCACCCCGCACGACATTGCAAACGTCCTCGGCCTTGGAACGTGGGCTGATGTTCCCAATGTAAACCGTTCTATTTCCTATTCCACCACCCATGACGGTAGCCACTTGGGCGGTAGCATTAAACTGCTGCTGCAGAGTGTCTCTCAGGGGCTTACCGACGTCAAAGAAATATGGGTAGTTTGGCGGAGCATACGATTGATTATTATTCTCTTGGGAAGCCAGAGAAACCAAAGTTTCGCATGACACCGATGCGTTTCTACTTTCAACATACACCTCCTGAGGTGCTGTACTCGTAAAATCTTGGTTCACGCTGTCAGTCGACGCGCTGTTGCTGCCGACGGCTTTGGCGACTGAAAACTGAGGCAGATGATGTGAATGCTCTTCAACATCGGGGGGACCGTAATCTTTGGGATTTATAACAACAGCTTGCAATTCTAGCGAGACATTGTGAAACTTATCGTTCACTAACGAGAAATCGCTTTCGAAGCTAACTTCAGGGCTAGGTTCATTGGCACATTCTCCGTCCAGCATTGTGTTGGACATGAGCTGGTTTTTAGTAGTTTTATGGCTATGGTTTACGAAGAAAATTCTCCGTAGGCCGAGCTTACTGCGTTGAGTCTTGAGGTGGTCCATAATTTCGATGGCCATACCGATGCTGATGAAATGGAAAATCGCGTAATGCTCACCGAAATGTTTGCTAGAATGGCTAGTATTTACCACATCAACTGCCTCCACAACATACCGTGAGTTTGACGCACTCAGAAAATCGAATTTTGAGCACAGCTCATTTTTTGTCACCACTTTATCAAATTCCACCGCCAAAGACCTTGTCGCGCCTCTCCTCAAAACTTCAATTTTCACATCTCGCAAAGAGAGCCCCGAATTGATCTTTTCGACAGATATAAAGTTCAGCGTTAAAAGTTTAGAGTCAAGCTCCTTCTTAAATTCTGAGAGTTTTTGAAGGATGCTGTTGTAAAAATCCAAACATGCATCTCGCGTCAAGAAATTGACCAAAATGGATTTCTTTTCCCCAGTCTCAACAATGTACGCACTTTCCACGCGGCTTGCTCTGTTGAAATGAGACAGAAATTGATGTAACGTGATAGCAGAGTTCATGTTATCGAAAAGAAGGGAGCGCGTACGGTGTTCGTCGTCGCCTTTATTCGGCAGAGCTGGTAAAAAATGAAGAGAATAGGGTTCAGATCGACTTTTAACGCTTCCCTTTGATTTGAAAGACGATGATTTGCCCCGGTCATGCCATTTTCCGCCGGATGGAGGCATGGCTAGGGCGGGAGCTGATGTATAATGGCCGCCTCGCATCATCTGCGGCGTGCTGCCTTGTGGATGCATTGGAGAAGAAATGAAGGGCGAGCCCATAAGCAAATGCGACGGAAGTAGCGAGGAGCCATATGCTGTGTCAAAAGGCGTTTGAGGCGGTGGAGGCATTGGCGACCCGGTATAATACGTGGGCCGCACACCTGGATTTTGTGGGACACCAAATGGTACGAAACCGTACGGTGCGCGCTGGCCCTCAGAATCTCTGCTCATGTTGCTCATACCTATCTGCTCTTGTGACCCTTGTCCAGATGACTGGTGACCCATTCGTGATTGTTGTGGTTGTTGCGGTGGTTGTTGATTGTTGCGTCTCACGCGTCCGTTTCGCGGTGTATTGCTCGTCATATCTATACGCTGGTGGCTTTCAGGTTTGCACGAATCCTTAACTTTATTCGCTTTATTTTTAGAGGTGAAACCTGGAAAATTCTGCGGCGTTATTGATGAATCTCGCCCTCGCCTCTAGGCTTTTACGTTTGTTTTCGGGTGCCAATTCGGTCTTTCAACTTCGTTACAACTTGTCTGTTAAACTGGCAAATTTCTCTCTGGTGCCGTGCCACTCGCCTATTCAATGGTTCAACCGCTCAAAACTCGAAACCTGGCTTACCACCACGTCTTGATTCCCCTTTCCTTTAAAGGGCCAGAAAACTTTTCAACTTTCCACTGATCTCTCCGTATGGAATTCTTTTGTTTCGCGCTGCTTTTCTGTTTTTGGAAGCGAAGATCACGTGCGTGGGATATAAAATTTCCTTTCCGGGTTACGTAATCCGTATAATAAGCTTTGGTGGATAAGTGCAATAGTGGAGACATGAGAAGAGCTTAAGGCCGTTTACTTGGTACTCGTCGGGGAGGATTCTGATGTGGGGAATATTATCGTAGTGTCAGTGACAGAGTGACTCGGGTTAGAATCCGGCGTTTTGCCAACTGTAGAGGTCTTGAAGAGTCGAATCGTCGGACGATGTTTTGTTTTGACTGGGTTTTGATCTTTCGGACTGAGGCGTGATGGCGGCGGCTCCGCTGGTTGAATGCCACCTTCGTCTAGGTCCACGATGTGAACGCGTGGGCATTACTAGTGCGTTGTCGTCGTAATTGCCAAATAGTGAGTTTTGATCGCCCTCTGCATAAGGGTCATGTGATGACGGTTTAGTGGTATTGCCTCCGGCTTGCGGCTGTTCAAATTGGTCTCTTAGCAACCTCTCTGCATGAGTGGTGCTCTTGAAGGCATGCGCGTCTGCTTCGGGCGACCATGCGAGCAATGGTGCTAGTCCTAGCGAAGCGTCGACAGCGAACCCAGCTACAGGGAGTGAGTTTTGCTTTACTGTTGGTTGTGTTCGCAGATTACCTGATCCTCCTGCGGCAGCGTTCTGGTTAGAAAATGCCAGATTCAGCTGCGAAGTCGATGCACCTTCAGGCATATGATAGTAATCTTTCAAAAAGTCGCCGTTGCTTGGAACTCTGAACAGACCGTCTGACATAAGCGAGTTTGCAGCGAATGGATCGTTGGCTCCGAAATTGGGCGCCGATGCCCCTCCTGTTCCAACATTCGTGTTTGTATTCTCGGTGTTGAAAAACGTCGACAAGTCGCCATTGCTGAATGGATTACTTGTCAAGACGGAGTCAAGGTTGAACGCCTCTGCCAAGAAATTGTGAGTGGGCCGTTGCGCACCAGTTTTCTGCCGAGAGTGTCCTACTGTACCATCATGGGTGTCGCAGTGAGGCATATGCATGTGACTCTCGGAATCCCCTTCCGTTTTGATCCTCTTTTCGTGCGGGCTCACGCTGTCAGAACTAACAGGTGTAAGTTTGGGCGCCTCAACAAATTCGTTGTTGTCCTCGTTTTTCCTTTTCTGAGGTATGGTTGTGGTGGGACGCCCCATTAGTTTATTATAATAATTGAGTCTGCGTTGGAGTAGCTCATCGAGTTTTTTAGCATCTTTTTGAGGTTGTTGCAGAAGTAATAGCATAGTCATGTCCAATAAGATTAGACTGTGCCACGAAATACACCCTGGCAGCTCTAGCGTTTTTTCAAGTTCAAGTTCTTTTATCAAATTCATCAGTAATGCCTTATTATCTTGGAAAAGTACACCACCCTTAGTGTATTCCAAAATTCCCTTGACATTCAGCAAAGCAAATCGACATTTAATGCGTGGAATATTCACAGCAAGAGGTAAATAGACGGTTTTGATTGACGCCAAAACGTACAGCAAAGTTGTGGTCGCTTGCTGCAAAAGAACATAAGAAGACGACGACCTCTCTGCATTATCCGGTGTGTTTGTGCCCCTTTTTCTTCCCTGTGAAATATCAGCATTTGGTTTTGGCTCCTCATTTAGCAAAGGCTTGGTAGCGAGTACCGGTAAGTGCACAATGCACTTCAACATAAAATATAACACCATGAGGATTTTACTTTCTCGCAAATTGTCCTTATTCAGTTGTTCGTTCCAGTTTTTCTTCCTAGACATCTCTTCAAGATTGATGGTACCATTTACATCGAGTTCGAACCTCAGTTGTTCCGGTAGATTGCGACGCCAGTTGTCTAAGGCATTCTCATGGATGAGGGCGACTTGAACAACAACGGAAGGCGTCATACCACGCTTAAAAATAGAATCAACAACATTGCCCACCACCTTTGAAAACCGAATGAGAGCTAACGAGAGTTGAGAAACTTCGCCCTCAAGCCTAAAGCCCCCCGTTGAAAACTCGCGCGTCTGGCTGTCATTTTCACCAAACGGTAGCGCACATTCAATTTCATGGTCTTTCAAGAGTCTTGGAACTCCGAGCTGTAATGAAGCAAAAACGTCCAAATAGTAAATTCCCCAAAACAAAATCCGCCTTTCGGCCTGTTCTGATTTGCTCATCGTAGAGCCATCTGTACCTAGGACTGCACTAGGGCAGCGATGTAAACGTAGCTGCTGAGCCATAGAAACAATTTTCCCTCTAAGCTCGTAAACGGAAGACACGCTACCAACGTTCAAGGCATAAAAGAGCTGTAAGGACATGAACTGCAGCGAATGTATCGAAGTCGTCGTTACTGAAAAGTAAGGGTTCAACCGGAGTACCGATAGCACATGATTATAGTGTGTCATAAAGCGCACAAACTTAGATGTGGACGACAACTGTTGTTCTTTTATCTTGGTCATTAGTCCCAATTGGCAAACCATTATCAGAATGCATGCAAATATCTTGTAAGAAATCGATTTGTTTCTCTGTGAAAACGAGGAGTCATCGCTACGGAAGAAATGTTTACCTTCGGATAGGTTTTGTTTAAATTTCTCGTAGTAGCTGAAGAACTCATTCTCGTTAAGAATGGAGATGACTGGATGACACTTTGAAAAATAAACGCCCACAAGTTCATCTATCTCCTGAAGGGAAAGCATACCTGCTGAAGCTTGTATGTTGAAGTCGAATTTACAGGCATTGGTGAAAAACAGCATAGGATCGTCCATCTCCCAAAGACTTTTTGTTCTCAACTCTGTGAAAATGTCGTTGGTGGGAATCATTGTTTCAGCAGACTCTTTAAGAGACGCCAGTAATGATGCGGCATATATGCATTGCTTCGATGCCAGTCCGTGCACTTGTCCTATCCTTGCAAGCAATTGAGGTGTAAATAATATTTCCTCTGTGGAACGCGGAACCGAGAGAGCGACTAAAGTTGCCAGTTGAACAGATTGCTCGTGGTTCGCCATCGAGCTCAAAGCTTTTGCAGTTGGAAGCCCGGGTGCTTCGTGTTGTTCAAATGAAATAGAAGTGGGATCCTGTAAAGTAGTGCTCACGGGCTTTTCGTGTAGATGTGCATGCGCTGAGAGATTACACCCGACGCCGTTACATCGCGGTCCCTGTGGCTGTGCAGATTCTCTCGAGGCCATTTTGTTTAAAAGGTACACATTTGTCGAGCTGACACGAAGGGAACCGCCGTTGGAAGAGCTGAGATGTTGTAAGAGTTGATCATCTTCATTAACCGAGGGTTCGGTGGGCCCGCCGCTAGAAGATGAAAACTTGGATAAAAGTTGCATTTGCTCATCTTTCAAGTCGCACAGTCCAGCGAGCCGTCTGTTCTCAGCTTCCAGTTCCCGTACCCTTTCTTCCAAAGTTTCTGTATAACCTCGTGGGAACGCTTTACGGGAAAGTTTATCGCTTATTTTACACTCGAACCCCACAGCAGCGCACTGAGAACACTGTGGGCGTCTACCATCGCAACGCGTCTTTTTGGACCGACATCTATCACACGCCTGTGCGACTCTGTAATTAGAAGCCGGTGTCCCTGATGGTGAAGCCGTGGAGCCCGGAACGAAATTAGCATTGCTGGCTGCAGGAGACTGAGACATTGACGACGGTTGGCTCAAATGGGAATGATTGTTCCCCAACGCATATGAGCCGAGACTCCTGATGAACTTGGGCTTTGGACCCTCTTTATTTTGGTTTTCCATCGGCCTCTGACCCAAGCGTTATCCCTGTAATTAAAGTTTTCAGGACATTAATCCCCAGATAACTTTTATTTTTTTCCAGCATTTCGTGTGGGTTTCTCCATGAGCCGTTTACTGCTGCATATAGGTGATGATCACTATAACGACAGAAAAATATGGTGGAGTATTGACGAGTGACCAAACAGGTGACCAGAAAAATGACCAAACAGTGAATAGACACATATTGACCCAAGTTTTAGCAATCTAAACTTGCTTGTATCGAGTGAAAATGTGATAAAGCTTGTTCCTTGTAAAAAGTCCCCCCCCCGTTAGCGCTGGATGGATGTGTTTCCCTCGGAAATTGTAGATCCGAACCCTTTGGGGGCTACTGGGAGTATTGTTTGAAAGCTGTCGGTGATTTCAGAATTTCTTGAGGTTGTTCACCGCTACAACATTCTTCGTCTGCGTTTGGTCACTAACCATGTCTTTTTGGATAGTGATGCCCTTTGACCAGGGGCACGACCACGTTGGCAGAGACCCATAACAAATATGTAAGAGTTCTATACCTCTGCTAATATCCCCTTTTCTGAGCACAGTCCCTGCAACCTTGTGAATGCTCTTTGCTTCTGTGTGTGCTGCCGCTAGGCGTTTTGTCATACCCGAATGCGTTGTACAACCAGTCGGTGATTACATGTCGATATCACACTCTGGGCATTGAGTTAATGAACTATGGACTCACTGAGATTTGAATAGGTACTCTGGGCCTGTACTCTAGACTTGTTGCACCTATGGATATACACTTGACGCGAGCGACGTCAGTATCAAAAACAATAAAATCTAAAAATCACTGCAGTACTCTCTCCCCATTCCCTCTCCATTCACATCTATTGACCGCTCTAAAGAATTATTTTCCCCAGTGCAAGTTTCATTTGCCGCCGAAGTCCCCTTTTATAAAAACATCTTAAATCACTCGGTACGCACATAGCCGCGCAACTGTTTAAGCTATAACCAGATTTCGTAAAAACTGTGATATCACGATGGGCACCAATTCCAAAAATATTCTCTTCCACTTCTAAGAAGGAACCGACTCATCTCACCGAAAGGCTTCTGAAACCAGACTTGAAAAAGTTACTAGTGTCTAATCTAGTGTGTCTTCAGCAGAAAGTTGTTGGACCAGAATACCGTAGGACGAACGTCAATTTTCGTCAATACGAGACCACTGTTACGCTTCCCCAGTAAACACGAAGTCCTGTGACCTTTGTGCGGCTGACGAAAATACCCTGGGCCATTCCGAGTCAATGAGGGTCTCTCGCAAACTTACTAACCGTGAGGGTGGCTGCACCCTCGTTTGGTATTCGTAATATCTACAGCTGTTCAACAAACGAGAAACGAAACAATAACCTGGCATTCGAAGCTCACACAAGATTTGCTGGACTATAGCCAAAAATCCAAGATCAAGAATAGGACTGGGCCCAAGCTAAATCACCATATCTCAATCTCCGAACTTCTTTTCGATGTTGACAACCCAACTCTACTACAAAGAAAGTGATACACCCTGCAATGATTACAAACGACAAAGACCGAGTAACTGAAAGTATTACCAGCTATCAATCAGTTCGTAGCTCGCTCACGCGATGAATGTTGAAATTTTCCCAACAAATCGCTCTGCTTTTTCAGCTTATATATGAAAAATTCAAGGTTAAATCTCATATATAGCTCATCTCGGAGAAAAGCAGAAGGTTGAAATTCAGGAAAAGCAGCTAAAGAAAGACTCCTATACGGACTCCGTAATTCATTTTAAGGTCCAAATGAGTGCTACAACGACTTTGAGACAGCGAAAGGATGCTAACACAAGCGAAACCGCGACAAGGGACGGGGAAACCACTGTTGGAAAAGTGAAAAAACTTATATATCATTACAGTGAGCTTCCGGAATGGCAAAAGGACAACGATAAGATATTGAACGGATACGTGCGTGAAACTCAGTCTATGGTCAAATGTCTTAAATCGTTGACGTATTTTCACAACGAAAGTGTGAACATTTACACGCACCTGATTCCTAGCGCTACATACCTCGTTTTGCTCATGTTTTTCACAGACGTGATTTTGATTCCTCATTTCCCCACAACGACGATGTCTGACTATATCATGATCAACTTCTACCTTTTGGGCGCCTTCGTGTGTCTCATGTGCAGCACCTGCTTCCACTGTCTCAAACAGCATTCTGAAGCTCACAGCAATATTTGGAGCAAAGTTGATTACATGGGCATTATCGTGCAAATTTCGTGCTCCACGGTTTCGCTGCTCTACTATGGATATCACGACCATCTTTTTTACTTCAAGGTATTCACCATCATTACCGTGGTGCTGGGGTCGTGCTGCTCGGCGTTTGTCCTGAATGACAGATTTAATGCGAAAAACTGGAGAATCTGCAGGGCGGCTTTCTTCGTGTGCTTTGCTTTCAGCGGAATTGTGCCTGTCCTGGCAGGCATCGCTAAATTCGGACTTGCAGAATCGTTGCAGCGGGTTCAAGTCAAGTACGTTACGTTGGAGGCGCTTTTCTATCTGTCAGGGGCACTAGTATATGGATTCAGAATTCCAGAAACATTCGCTCCAGGGAAGTTCGACTTTGTTGGCCATAGTCATCAAATTTTCCATGTACTAGTAGTTGCGGGCTCTATCTGCCATTTCAGAGCAGTAATGGGTTCCTACTTTTTCATGCATACGGGAAAACTTGGTTCCCATCTGTTGACTTTGGGCTAATCTGTACGAGAGCTTATATACACCAAAAAAAGAAGATTAACGTGTTTATGGGACTTTCACCATCTCACTGTGCCCCTGAAGCATCACAGATACTACATGGATGCTGTAATTTACAAAGCACGCTTCATTTCTTCAAATCTACTCGTTATTTGGCAATTTTACGCCTTTCGAAAGCTAAGAATCAGCGTATCCTAACTATTCTGAACTGATGATTTCAGTGCGCTCGTTTTCCAATCCATTCGCTTTTTTACATCCTATGTATTCTAGTGAGAACAACCACCTTGAAAAGTCAAATGCTTTGCCTGACCATTAATCTTCAAGAACGACAACCTCCAGGGAAAGGCACCATGAAAATCGTCTCGCGACTGATCATGGCTTTTGCAGCTCTATGGCTAGTATATTTGTGCTCTTCCAGTAGGATCACTAGCCGAAATGCGAGCTTGTTTAAGGCTCAATTTGGTAATCTTCAAATGAGCTCGTTCAATTTAGTTATTGCCCATCCTGACGATGAAGTCATGTTTTTCGCACCAACGCTACTTCAAATCGATAGATACTTGGATCAAGACATTCAATTACGAGTGATATGTTTAACAAGTGGGAATGCTGAGGGATTAGGGCCTGTCCGCTCTGCTGAGCTGAAGAGATCGGTTCATATCCTGCTTCCAGATCGCTCAGTTCACGTGACCGTAGCCGACTTGGAAGACAGCATGCAAGTCAATTGGGATATTGAAGATGCTTCCCAGATTATAGCTAATCAAATCACCGATAACGCTCCTGTTATTGTCACCTTTGATTCTATTGGTGTATCGGGCCATGTGAATCATATCTCGTGTTTTGACGCTGTCAACCGGTTTGCAAAAACTCATAAACCTGTTGCCACTTATGCATTAAAAAGTCAGAAGTCTCGCTTGCTAAAATTTACTGGTCTAGTAAGACCAATTTTGTCTGCTTGGCTGCGTAGAGAAAACCAAGAGTATTTTAGCACTTATCCACAATACATCCACTCTTTGGCCGCCATGATAAGCGGCCACGAGTCGCAGATGGCATGGTTTAGGTACGGATGGTGGATTTTAAGCCAATTCGTGTTTTCGAATCAAGTAGTTCCCAGCGTGGCTAAAGTCATTAATGTTGTTGACTGATGCATTGTATATTTATGTACAGAACTCGGTAATACTACCAAAGTTTCCCAAGAAGCATATCGTCTTCTTCCTCTTCATCGTAGGATCTTTGAATGGACGCGTGTTCTTGAATTTTTCGTTCGATCTTCCGAATATAGATGCTTTTCCTTGCCTCGAAATAGTCTCTTAATAAAAGTTCATTTTGCCGGCTAAAGGACCATTCTTTGATAAATTGTGAGGCTTTGAGATTGCTCTGCCGGGAAACCATGCTTTTTATTATAAGTTTTTGCCATTTTTGTAGTAAAGAAGCTTCGCCAGCTGAAAGTTGAGGACGCATGTATAAAGGTGAGAGACAGGTTTCCAGGATATTCATAGCTTCCTTATAATCTCCCGTGAGTTTTAAAATTTTGAACTTTTCGGTAAATAGCACTGTGTCCATTTGGAGGGGCCTTCTACGGGTCTTATGCCAATCTATCATGATTTCCCAACAATCCTTAAATATCTTTGCCTTAGGATCTGCTGGTCTGTCCCAAGATATGGCATTCCATTGGAAAAGGCGCCGCCAAAATAGTGGAGAGAGCTCCAGTTGAGGAAATTGCTTGATAAAAGCGTCTAAAAGTCTCAAAGCAGATGTCAGCTCATTTTGACTCGCAAATGAGGACAATATGGCAATTAAGATGTCAGAATTGGGAGGAACTCTTTCTCTGACAGCGTTAGGCCATTTATGATCGCACTGGACCCCCCACGAATCATAAACATGTTGTTCGAGCAAATGCAGCTGGCCTGTGAATCCTAGTGCGTAGATCAGCGAAGATTCCAATCTCGTATCGGTCAGACTTTGCCAGACGCTGTTTGGGTTTCGAATGTCATTCAACAGTTGTAAAAGAACTTTTCGATCGAACGCCTTGTAACTGTTTGGGCGCTGCACGCGCCGCGTAGCAGGCCTAGTGGCATCTTTCAAACGCACTCGATTAACTTTCCAATTGCGTGGAAGAGCGCCACATCTACATTGAAGAAAATGAGATGCACTCTTTGTATCTCTCGGGAGCTCTCCATCGTTGCAGTCTAATATAAACTGTAGAACAATTTGTGCTCTCTTCAACTGATCCACCCTCAGAAAATATCTAATGAATTCATTAAGGTCGTGTAATTGCAAAGGTGTCATGCAGGAGGGGTTTACAGTGTTGCGATAGATTTCAAACAGTTGAAAAGCAGCTTCGTTGAAACTGGCTCCCGTTAGAAATTTTGCGAATTGATCGTCAGTTTTCCGAGTGAGAATTCGGTTGACAAACGTTGAAAACTCAAGAGGAGAGAGCATATCACGAGCAAAAATCTCTGATATAGAGGTACTGTCCATTTTATGACGATTGAAAAATTCCGCTAGCAGTCCCGCGTAATCTCCAGCTGTGAGAAGAGCTCTGATTGAGCCCAAAGCACGTTGCCGCTCTGTGGTACCACTTTCTGAAAAGCTCGTGTGAACTGCTTGTTGATTCTTGGTTCTTTCCGCCAGAACCTCTTTGATGCATCTACTTCGGCTGGTAGTTGATTTTTCCAAAACTTTTGGAAGTGCTTCATTCATTTGAAAACTACTATGCTGTGCTTGAGCGGATGAAGAATTGATCGCGAGTGTGCTCCCAAACTTTCTCAAAATCAATTGAGTAGCATGATTCTTTCTGGCGATCATCATCCTGACCTTGGGATCTGATCGCATCTAGTTCATCAGGTAGTAGCTATCATCAAATTTTTCGACTATATGATGATCTTTAAGTTGATCACGTGACTGGTGACAGATTCTTCATGATTTCAATCTGATCATTACCTATGGGACTGCAATTCACAATACTGCTTGTTCATGGCTATCCAGTCGATGTTTTGGCATTTTCGGTACTTAAAATGATGATTTTTATTATTTCGTTGCCCTTTCTCTCGTAAGCATGAGCATTTATTCTCCAAACTTTGAAAACCAACTCTCGTCCTGCGGTCACAGCGAGAGAAAACTACTTGAGACTTTCATTCATCACTAGGGAACTAACAGGTAGATTCACATGAGATAGGCATTCACGCTGTTCAAAGACGCCCTAGAGGGATTGATATTTCTTCCATGTAAAACTTTGATCATTTTAATCAAATGCCTTTTAATTAAAGCCTTGTGCACCTCTTGTTCTGTACTCAATTCCCATTCTGGAGTGTAATACTTCGCTAGAACAGCTAAAATGACGCTAACAGACATGTCCTTCCCATTGTCACAGCAGACTAGAACGGGCAATTTGCCGTGCAAATGCTTGTAAATCAATGGACAAATCTCAACGAGAGCCAAGCGTAGTTCTCGCGAACTCTTCTTAGAACCACTTGAAAGGTTGTAAATTCTGGTAAACTTTCCCCCTGTGACATCGTCATCGTCTGTACTAACTCTTTCAGAAAGCATCACTACCAGGGAAAACCGCAACTGCAATTGCTTTTGTAAGCTGGTAGCAAGCGTTGCCGTCCCTTGCACACACCCTAAGTAAACATGTTCAGTTATTTTGTCAACAACAAAAAACTTATCGATATCGTCCCCCGGTTTATCAAAATCCGAACTCAGCTTCACGACTGAGGCCAATGACTCCTGAAGAGCTTGATCGGACTTCTGCATATCACTAAAAATGGAAAGGTTCTCCCAGAAAAGTCTTGGCGCTAAGCCTTGAGCCCAAAGTTCATGGTCATCGGCTGCACCTTGCACGTATGTGAAGCCGTGGCGTTTGTCCATACCATCTTGACACTGATAGCTAACAGTACAAAGAATTATGGGCAAATAACTGGCGTCTGCTGGTAATTCCCATTTTGAACTCACAGTTTCTCCGGTGAAAATGTCGTGCTGAGCTTCTAGAATGGAGCTTCCGGGATACACCCAGAACGGACGCAAAAGTTTACCCTTCAGCAAACCATGTAGCTCCCTGCCGTCTATAACAAGCAGTTCTTTCAATTTGGAAACCAGTTCCGGAAGTTTGGCATCGATACGTTCCTTTTCCAAGGCAGAGACAGTTCCAGGCGGGCAAAAAAGATATTCCGCTGAGGTCCCAATGTATTCTAGCATGATGATATTAAGCACAGCACACCAAATTGGGATTGTTTTGCTTAGAGCATCTGGAATTTTTTTGCCTCTTCTCGTACTATCCACTATGATTATGCCTCCCTTATCTCTCAACGTAGGCAATAAATGTAAATTGAGCCTGCGAACGCTAAAATCCCATTGATTTGTATGGCCGTCAGTTGATTTGAAATAACTCGTCTGGTTGTAACTGTCCGGACTACAGTACCAAAGTCCGCATCTCTCATTGGGCACAACAGGGAAATCTGGAAACGTGGATCGTACTTTTCCACTCAAGAATCGATGATCTAGCAAAATGCTTTGTAGACGGTTTTTCAGCGAAGTTTGCTCCTTTCGAAGAGCTTTGTTCAATCCTTTGTAAAATTCAGCATCCATAAATATTGAAGTTAGGGTACGGTGGCGATGATTTGTTACCTTTTGGGGATGTCTTGTTCCACAGTTGATATTCCTTGTATATCAGTTTTTCACTATGAGAAATAGAAGTTAATCTTAAGGACGACCTAACTGAAAATACCGAACAACTGAAACCTGGTGTTATGCAATCTTAGCATTCCTTTTATTGACTTGGTCACAGCCGGCTTGTCAGGCGTCATTCGTGACTACTTGCTCAACGACTAGAGCGTAATTCAACTTGACTTTTCTTGCATCTGTAAGTTTAGAGGATCGTAGCTAAAGGAAATGTAGAAATATTGTCTACCATTTGTAAAGTGAGTTTTTGTCTAAGGACAATTCTATCGTCAAATTTTGGTTGCTAGCTTCTTGGTAGTTTTGTCCTTGTTAGCTATTCTTCCTTTACTATTTCTTGTTGATTTTATTTATTCCCAATGAAGGTGAGCATTTACAAGTAATAATCAAATTATCGAATTCTTGAGCTTATTGAGCTACAGCGATGACCTGTTGGTATGTTAAGAATTCTGGAAAGTAGTTTTTAATAATTTATTATTCACAAAGAGAATATGTGGCGATGAACTGTAGTTAACGACCTTGTGAAAAAGGGTTCAGCCAATAAACATAGAATCAACAGGTCTAGAAACAATTTACACTGAATTGGATGACACAATTCCAATCTGCCCTTTGAGCCTAATATATTATACTCACTGTAAAGCGTTTATGAGACTTTCCATTTATAAGGATCTACACCGGAAACCAATTTTTGATATATCGACAAGTTGACCATTAGTAGTCTTGACTCTAACAACACCAATAAAGACGATATGGAATATGCAAGTGATGTGATCCAGGATGCCAGGAAAAAAGAGGAACTTTCCAAATACCAAAAATATGAAATTCATGAAGGTATACTATTTTGCATTGAGCTTTCTCGGGCAATGTTCGAAGAATCCCCGGATGTTGGTAAACCGCAGTTGGTTGAAATTCTCGAAACGTTACTAGAAGTAATGTCACAAGTTATCATTACGCTTCCGAGTACTGGTATTGGCTGCTATTTTTTCCGCTGCGAGAACAAAGGAGCGAGAAATGGCATATACGAATATCTGCCCTTGCGAGACGTCAATGCAAAAGCTTTGAAAACTTTAAGCGATTTACTTGACGATATCCAAACGGGAATTATGACACTTGAATCAGAATTTCCTCTGGCCAATGGAAAGACTGGATATTTGGAAGATGTTTTTACCGTCATGCAAGAACAATTTCTCGCTGACGTCGCAGGTCAGAAAGCTTTTAACAATAAAAAGATTTTCCTGTTTACAGATAACGACACACCACCGGAATGTACAGATGCGAGAGCTACGTCGAGAATTCGGAAAGTCGTAGATGATCTGGATGACTATCATATCAATTTCGTGCCGTTTTTTTTGGGGAGCAAAGCCAAACCATTTGATCAATCTTTCTACCATGATATTTTGAGACTGGGATCTCGAGCTCAGCCCTCTGAAGACTTACCGAACGCGAGTGCTCCTGTGATACCCCCGCTAAATGTGCGCGATATGAAAAGTCGTGCTCTCAGAAAGAAGGAAATTAAGCGGATCAGATTTCAATGCCCATTCATTTTAGATGAGAAATCTGACTTTCTCGTGTCCCTCAAGGGTTACACTATTGTTTCTCATGAAAAGCCAGGAACGAAATATCAACTGGTGTACGATCATGAAGGTATGCGGAAAAAGGCACATTCAACGCGTAAATATCTTGACAACACTACCGGCGAGGACGTCACTGAGAGCACCACCAGAGTCTATAAATTTGGCGAGACCGATATTGAGTTAAGCTCCGAACAGATGCAAGAAATAAGCGAGACGTATTCCAAACACGAGTCCTTTTTGAAATTGATAGGCTTTCGATCTTCTACAGACTGTTTGTTTTACTACAGCTCTATTTCTAGTAGCTCATTTGTGGTACCAGATGAAACCAAATTTGAAGGCTCCATACGTACTATGGCCTCCATGTTCCGAATAATGAGACAGAAACAACAAGCGGCTATAGTTTGGGGGAAATTGAAATCCAACTCTTCACCAGGTTTGTATGCTTTAGCCACAACCGATGATTTTGACAGGAATGAGGGCTTTTACTTGACAAGATTACCTTTCATTGACGAAATAAGAAAATTTCCTAGCTCGCTTCCCACCAAAGATCTTTTGACCACCGATGAATATAATCAAATGTGCAAGATAACTGAAACTATTGTGAGCTACTATGTTTTAAGGCGACGCTATAAAGCATCCGAATTTCAAAATCCCAACTTACAGAACCATTTCAATCTTCTTCACGATTATTTGCTTCAAGTTGAGGACGTTAAGAATCAAGACGAAGAAGAACAATTGCTAGAGAAAGATGACACCCTTAAAAAACTATATCAAATACGCCAAAAGATTTTAGATTCCTCTGAAGCAAAGGACTCGACCAAAGCACGCTTGAGTCAATATGTTAAAGCTTGGAATAGCGTTTACAATAGGGAGTTCAATTTGGAAAGTAATTTCCAGTCAGAAAAAGGATCGAAAAGACCAAAAAAATGAGGTTTTTTGCCTGTCAGATTAATGCATGTCTAATTCCAACTCACACATCATGGCCAAATGATCACTTCCATATTCTCCCTCATGTGGTTGTCCGTGGCTTGGCATCTCACAGGCTGGTGGCATTCTCAAAAGCCTTCGAATAGTAACCCCATTTTCCCGCCTGAAGTTGCCAAGCTCGTCAGGTTTTCTTTTATCGCTAAAATCCCAGGTCTGGATGAAAAAAATGTAATCCAGTAGTCCCCGCCAAGTCTCAGCCCAGTTCGAGATTTCAGGTTCGTGCCTTTTGTTATCAACACCTGCATTCTCGGGGTGTGCTGATTTATAGCCCACGGAATAGACCGAAATGGCCCTAGCAGGCAGAGCGTTGTGAATTTTCTCCATGTCAGACAGTAGTTGTAGTTGCTCTTGATTTGCATCGAATTGCTGCGGAACGGGAGTTGCGGGCTGATCGCCGTATTTTTCTATGTTTCCGCCTTCTTCCTCGTCACAATCTTCCCCATTGCGTCTTTTCGAAAAAGTGTAAGAAGTGCTACAAGCAATGACAGTTTTAGCTCTATCCTCATAAGAAATGGGCTTCGAAGTCATTGACAAATATGGAGCATCAAATGGCTGAGAGTTGAAATCGCCACAAATGAATGGATACCATTTTTGATCTTGACGATCCGCGCCATCTTGCAAGACCATAACGCGACGTGAAAACTCTTTCATTTTTTTCAAGAGAACGTAGCATTGTCTTGTTCGTTCAAACGTTCCAAATGGATGCCAAAATAAATGAGTGGTTCCGACCAAAATTCCTTTGCTGCTTGAACCAGGAAAACGGCTTGTTACTCTGTCTGAAAATTTCAAAGCCAGAATTAAGCCCACATTGTTAGTCGTAGTGCGTGGCTCTATGCTGTCAGATGCTTCCTTATCATATTCGATTAGCATTCTATCGGCCATGCTAAAAAGCTCTCTTTTCCAAGCAATGGTTACACCGTGATTTTTCGTGCCATGACGGTGAAATTGCAAATCATAGCCCAAGCCGTGCAAATTTTTTTTCCAAAATGATTGATATTGTATGAAATCTATCTCTTGCAGGCACAATATGTCGGCGCTATAATATTCGAATTCCTTTAGCAGGACTTGAGATCTTTTGAACCATTTCAGCGCATTCCCGCTATTTGGGAAAAGTTTGCGTCTAATAAGCGCCTGCGCCAAGCAGTTATATGTCATTAGCTTAAACTTGAACCCTTTCACTTCACACTGGCTGTCCACCTCCAAAAGCGGCCTTCGAATGAATTGAAGATCTGGCGGACAATCCGGATCCAGTCCTCGAGCTATCATAGCCTCTTTTTTAGCTTTGCGCTCGGCCTGTCGCTTTGCACGCACTTGGGCAATGTGTTCAGCACTCACAACTTTGAAGTTTGAATCATTTTTGCCTTTTGAGTGTTTCGGTGACACCTCATCATGACTATGCTTTTTTCTGTCGTTCTCGATGTGTGTGTTAATTTGTGCCGCCAATTTTTCTGTTTCCATTTTTCCTATTTGAAGGTCCAGAGGAAGGCCAAGAACGAGACACCTAAAGGCTTTTAATCTCACGCTTCTAAGTTCCTTAAACTAATTCAAGTAGGTTTTATTCACCTATTTTTTGTCATTTGAATGTTGATCTTTTTATGCATTTTGTACGAAAATTCTGTTAATTCAATGCAGATATGGAAAATTTTGAACATTTAACAGCCCTATCGAAGGCCTTCTCCATCCTCAATGGTTTTCTTCAGAATAACCTTGGCGAGATCCACTATTGGCTTACCAAAGTCGCTGAAGGCTGTCATCAGCAGTCTGGGTTTGGGTAAAACCGGTTCCACCGTTTACCGGAGGGTTACTCCTTCAGTAGCAGGTTCCATAGCCAAAGTCAAACAAATCGTCAAAGTCGACGTTAGTGAGCATGCTTTGAACAAAGAGCAGCAAAGACAATTGAGAAAGTCAAATCCAGGCTTTGTCGTTGAAAAAAGGGTGTAACAATATCTCGTTTTACTGGATTTCGACTGTCGCCTTAGGTGTCATCTCCTGTACATAAAGTAGGAAATAAAATGCATTAAATCATGGTCATGTTAATCTCTTTCAGTAATCGCCGAAAGAGCTGTGTTAATTCCGCAGATTTCTGGTAGTAGAATATTTTTGGTGGTGATCGAATCATCGCAGCCATCGTCGTCCATGGCCAAAGAAAACGAATCTACCATTTTGAAGACATCGTTTCTGTCCATGGCTTTGCCGTCGAAACTGAGATCAATGCTGTCGTCCCCTTCATATGCTTGTTGCGCGAACCGCTCGGCAATGGTTTTCGGTTTGGGTTTAGAAGATTTTTTTGGATGGTGCAAAAATCGATCAATGGCACTTGGTAATTCACTGAGTGATGCTACGGAGCAGTCTTCATTGTCAGCGACTCTTATGGGCTGTGAGAACAAATAAGAATCCCTTTTGGAGTCTAAAAGCTTTGATACAAACGTTTTTGCAGACCCCTGGGAATAATCTGCAGCGAGTAGTGGGGTTTCGAGCCTGTAATAAACACGTTCTTTTCCCTTGACAGGACAATTCACAAGAGGCTGTGCTTTGATGCGCTTGTAGTCGAGCTTCCTGGGGTAAATGTCGTGTTTGGTCTTGTGGCCAGCCAAATGCGTCGGTATTTCGTGAACATCATGCACGTTAATCACTGTAACCGGCTTCGCCGAATCTCGGTTGTTTTTGGCATTTGTTGGTCCGCTGCTTGACCGATCATTTTTCACCGGAGAATTGGACCCGCTGTTGCGGCCATTAACCAATTTCCTTTGATTATTCTTATATTTCGAATACTGCGGCCGCTCGACGTCTGGCATAGGAAAAAAGTTCATTCCACCCACTGGGTGATTTAACATTCTTATTCTGGGATCGTTCATGTGTTGCGGTGGCATAAGTATCGGCACATTGGCAATATATCCCATCATTGGTGAACCATTAATATGCATGATTATCTCGTCTCTTCGATCGTTTCCTTCCAGTCGCCTGGTAGCACCCTTTGGCATCATCATTTTCGCTGAGTGACCCCGTCCTAATTGCTTGTGACTGTCTAGATTTCGGCTCTAAACCTTGGGAAGCTGTCGATGTTCGAATCTTGTGTTTGTTTGTGTTTCCTCTTTTAGTAAAGACATTACTAGAGGCGATGAGCTAAAATCATTGTCGTCCAAAACTAGAGTAATCAACAAACAGGACAGACCATCTTCAACAAGCAACATACCACCAATATCAACCAACACTCATCTTTGACGCTCTTATTATATACAAGATTTGTAAAGAAAATGCAATTACTAAGAAGCAATTTCAAGTTCTATCAGGCCGTCAAGACAATCTAATTTAGAAATGGTGCAATGAGGAATTATATCGCCGATTATTGGGGTCGAGTCCTTCGATAGGTTAAGTTTTAATATACCTTTAGCTGCAGAAAGATGTGGTAAAACACATCGAACAGAGCCCATATCGGGTACAGCGGTTACCATCGCTGGAACTGTGAAATTTGGATCTTTTTCCATTAATGATCGTAAAAATTTCAAAGTCCAATAGGCTTGGCATTGGCGTGACAAGTTTTTGAGAATGACGTCTCTAGATTGAATTTGAGCAGCAATTTTATCAATTTGTTTTCTATCGAACTTGAATGTTGATCTTTCGAGGTGATGGTAAATTTGTAAATGGTTGACCAGATCGGCAAATCGTCTCATGGGGGACGTGACCGTGAGATATTCATTGGCACCAATCATATCATGTTGCGAGGGATTACCTGCGTAGAAGCTTGAATTAAGTAACGCAGAAACTTTAGTAATTTCTTTGACGCCCGGGAGCTCACCAAACTTTGACTTGCGTTGCATGGCTCTGTAGGCTTCTTGCGCCTTAGCCTTGAGAGGTAGTTCTTTGTAGCATCTGAAAATGCCGGGTATTTCATTTTTAGCGAAGAACTTGCCAGCTAATGTATTGGCCAGAATCATCATTTCAGAGACCAAAATGGTTGACTTAGTTTCCCGCTGGTCGGAAAAATTGATTTGATTAGGCTCACATACGTCGTTCGAGTTTAGGCTCACGAAGCCATTATTGAAGCCTTCGCCAAAAATTATTGCATTGTGGTCTTTGACTCGGCGAGACCTCAAAAGAAGCGCCATTTGGTACAGCATGAATAGCTCTTTCTCCTGTATGTTAGAAGACGAATGTTTTGACTTGTCCAAGACCTGATCCACGTCGTTGTAAGTAAATTTCGGGAAATTAGACACAAGCCCTAGCCTTATCTTGAAGCTGTCAGCGTCAACATTGATATCATCTTTATTAGCCCTGACGTTAACAGAAAATGAAATCGTTTTAGTTCTGACTCCGTCTTGGCCCATATCCGCAGCGCGACAAAATTTGGTCGGGAGCATTGGCAGCACTGTATCTGGCAGGTATGTTGTAAAGCCCCTTTGGAACGCAACATTGAATACGTCGTTGAACCCGAGGCTTGACGACGCATTTTCGAAAAGCGAGACAGGATCAGCGATATGAATGTGTAGGGCATATAAATTTTCCTCAAGCCACTCGATAGAAATGCCGTCATCTATTTCGTGAGCTGTCTCTGCGTCAATGCAGTAAACGTTCATATTACCAAAATCATGCCGGCCAGAATCTTCAGTGAGAACCGGCTCGACGATATTAAGCAATCTCTCCTCTAGAGCAGCCCTATTAGAAGCAATCGGCAGAGCTAGATCATTGTTTAAAAGAAGAGGATTGATGGTCATATCGGGTATCAGAAGTTTCAGCAGGTCATGACACAAATCTCTTGAGACGTCTCGATCCTTGAATCTTTCAACATGCCGAAAAATCTTTGAAATTATGACAGTGATTTGGCCGCTGTTGTTGAAATTGTTTCCGGCGTAGTCCTTCAACAGCCTCACAATCTCTGGGAAGTCCTGTAACGCGGCTTTAAAATTTGAATCATTTACGAAAGATGCAAATTTTTTGATGCGCGCATAGTCTTTAGCCTCAAGCTTGGCGATCGCTCTTTCGTAAAATAGATGATGTGATTCTAGCGGTAAAACGGTGACAGAAATCGGGGTCAACATGGCACGGTGCACATGGATCTTACCCCACAAGTTGTCCTCTTGCTGTTGAATCAAAGCCCAATAAGTTGCAAGAAACTCGGCAGCACTTATCCTGCCAAAGGCTTCGTCGCCAAAGTTTTGGTCGCCTAAGGCGTAAAAATTTCCGCTCAAACCAGCCTTCTGGAAAACCTGCGGTATGTACTCCTCTGGCGACAACGATCTGCAACTAGGGAGATCTAATTCCATAACTAGTTTGCACAAAGTGAAGAGAGATACTTGCCAAGGACCAGAAGATTTTTGAAGGTATCTGTGTAGGAGTTCGAGCTTCCGAGTTATGAGGGGCATATTGTTCCATGCAGCCTGTGTAATTTCATATGGAACATATGATGTGAACATTTGGCGCGCTACTACTGGCAGAATGTAAGAGCGTTCAGGTGAATTTTTCACGGTTCCAATGCGATTCATTTCGGCGACTGTCGTTTCTTCTTGAACCAGGTCGCTCACAGCACGACGGTGGAATGAAGGCATTCTCAGTAAAACCATATTTCTCGTCCCAAATTTCATATGACCGTCAATTGTTGCAAATGTATATCGCGGATCGGCAATGTCAGTGGGTACTTCGACACACATGCAGAGTTGGGATGGATTTGATCGGAGCAGAACAACATCACCCACGTCCAGCGGTGAGCGCAATAACCGCGTAGGATCCAAGAAAAAAGTGTTTGTATCTTTATTAAACGCTGTTGGGTCCAAGCCGGCTACCAAATGTTCCTTTTCATTTGGAGTCAGAGCCAGCGGATCAATGTTCAGAAAGTTCCTAAGTTCCTGATCAGCAGTACCAAAATTTTGACTAAACCATTTCTTCGAGGGTTTGAAATATTGCTGGAAGTAGCGACTATTCAGACCCTCTTGTATTTCTTCCAGACTCTTGATGTCCACCGGAGGTTCGATACCTGTAGTGCTTCTAGAGATTGTCTTTTTGATCGCTTGCACATCTTTTGAAGGGGAACCTGAGCCCGCAGCTCGTCTCAATGTTCTGACACTTGTGTGAAAGTGCCTTTTCATGCGCTTTTACGGCCGATTAGCTCTGCGCTGGGGTGTTGATGAACTATATGATCATCAGAGCTTCGCAGAAGACCTCTGCGCATTTCCTCTTATATCAATTTGCCTAGGACAAAATGGTCATGTGATTATCACACTGACACTTGCTAAATGTCAATGTGATAAATGGAGATTCATTGTCCTCAGTTGTCACATCCGCACTTTGACATCTTGATGCTTGGTATGTTGAGTCTGATTCATTGTGCCCGCCGTTGAAGTTTTGGCATGTTCTCTGCAAGCTTGACGCAGTCCTGAGGCTTTGAGACAAAAACGACGAAATCACTGAATTTATAGAGATGACACCAACCGCTCCAAAAAAAATGCTAATACCAATTAGGAAATGAGCTTCTTTTGTTCTTCTGGTGTATAATTTTTGGATTTATCAATTGTCCTTCTTTATTGAAGTCAAAAAGAGTTTACCCACCAAACAGTCAGACCGTTTCGCTTGGTATATCAGTCAAAATTACCCCGGTTGCTTGCTACCTGTCGAAAGTCTTCATATGCTTTCCATGGACAACCTTCATGGTCTCTGGCGCATATATCAAAACTCCGACGTGTCGCTTTGGTTGACATCAAGCGAGAACAAGTGCTTGTAAAATAGCTATATTAAAGGAAGACACTCATGGAGTTCCAATCTAACAAAAACGCTAGAACATATGAGAAATTATTTTAATGACTTGAAATGAACTGTGACGATTTCCTAAGGTAGCTCTGCAGAAATTTGCCAGATAAAGACTTGAATTTCAACTCTGTCATCGCTTACACATTTAATGAAACCTCGCGGCGACAGTCTCTTTTCCTGATAAACAAAATAAACCTTCAAAGCACCTACTTGAAGAGATATGTACTCGTTTTACATTTACGCTGCGGGCCAATGTCCTTTTCAGACCTTGACTTCATCATGGCTTCACCGCTTGCGAGCCCTAAGGTCTCTTATATGAAAACTGACTTTGCAAACGCATGTTATAAAAAAAATTTTCAGACAGGAACAACTTAACTTGATAGTTACTTCCAGACTCCCACTTCCCGTAAAGTGAATGCCCGCCAACTGTCTTCCATTGGTTCAAATCTTAGTAATCTTTTCCACAATAGCATAACATTTGCCCACGCAAACAGCGAGTCCAGGAGGACTCCTGCAATACATCCAAATGATGAAAAACCTAACAACAACAACTTGAATTTCTTCAACCGAAAACCATAGGAGGAAACAAACTTTGACAGCTTTTTAACACTGATATGGATGTCTTGCGTGAACGACTTTAGTGCTGGTGTGTATTATGTGTTTAGTTTGCATGAACCCTCTTGTAGAGGCTAGGCCCTCGTAAGCTTGTAGAGCAAGATGTCACAGTTGTCTTGTTCAGGGCTCTGATTCGAACCATGGAAAGTCCGTTTGTGTATGTATGTTTGTATATCTCCGTAGGTTCAGCCTCATCTCTTGAAATCATCAAAATTGTCAACTCTTGGCAACTTAACACAACTGTAATCGACCCAAATGGACTCTCCGGCAATCTGTGAGACCTGTCTGGGGGAGTCGGATCGAATTACCGAAGCTGAAAATGGTGCACAGTGCAAGATTTGTACGCTGCCGTTCACGGTATACCATTTTCGAGATAAATCTACCGACACTGTGGTGCGCACGCTCATATGTCTCAACTGTTCAAAACAACGCAATGTGTGTCAGTGCTGTCTGCTAGATCTACAGTGGCATATCCCCGTTGAGGTTAGAGATCGGATCGTGTCGCTACTAAAGGGGTCGGAGGTGGCTACAGAAGAGGCTCGAAATGAGATGATGAAACGATTTATAGCCCTGAAAAATGGCGACCAGCATAAGCTTGGTGGTGCTCGCATTACCAGCGATGCTGCAGCGACCGACAGTGCTCTTGAACAAATGAAAGCTACTTTGAAGAGATTGGGGGCAGACAAGAGTGATATTAGCGGGCAGAAAAGAGGAACCCCCTCGCGAGCTGACTCAGAAGACGTTAATGTGATGTCTGTACTCAAAAAACTACCCATAGAAGGAATATTGGAACCGGCGCCCAGTTTTTTCCTTTACAACATAGACCCTAAGCTTCCGGAATGGGCAGTTGTCGACGCCATTTCTAGTATCGTGCAGACACCACATTGGCGAGAGACGAGCTCAAACTCAGTGGTCGTGAATCACACGGCTCAATGTGGTGGTATTAGATTCAAGACTCAAGACCTTGCCAACATATTTTTTGAAAACGTTCCGAGCTTCCAAACGCCTTTGGGTTCCAAGAAGGGTATACTCGTTGTCCAAAATTCAAGAATCCACGTTGTCGCATGGCCACAATTTCATCGGGGCGCCTTGGGTAGTAATTATGCCGAATGCCGGAAATTAGCTTCAAGTTTGGCCAAATTAGTGCAGAAGGATCTACAACGTCCAGAAACCGAGGCCGGAGAATTGAAATCAACTGGCGGAACTAACACTAAATCACATAAAGTGACCAAGAAACAGCATATTAAAAAAGACACCAAGAAACGACGCAACAAGCGCTTTACTCTTGAGCTATGATCATTTATCAAGAGGGTCAGAATTAAATGGATTATCTGTGTTATTTTAGTTACAGAATATGAACTCAAGATGACAATCATTTACTATAAATAATGGGACAAATTTGATGACGATTTCATGCCCGGGAATGGTCGAAGACGAAGGATCGAAGACCAGCTGGCATTATCAAGGTGTCTGAACTCAATGACAATTTACTTAAATCGAGAAACAAATCGATTACAAAACAAGGCAAAATTCAGCAGGCTGCTTGCTTCCTCATGCCCACTGGAGGTGAGCCATTGAGACCAATGTCGAGTCGTTCCGACTTTGAGTCGGCCTTCGAGGCCCGTTGAATTAATCAGGTCGTACGGATTACAGTATATCAATAGTAAGTACATCGCTTGTAGATCTCAAGAACTTCTCTAATTGATAAGCGACCGATATCCATGTCGACCTATGAAGGTAAGTATAACGTTCGATAGACCTTGCATAGGCTACGTAGTTGAAGTTTCTAGTATTCTAACAATTGAGCTCAATGCTTTTAGAGGAACACAATACCTCGGCGAATAATGCCTCGAGAAACACTATCAGAGATCACTTTCGAGAGGCTTTTCAAGAGGGTGGAGACTCAGGAAATTTGTTAGAACTGCTGTCTCAGATGATGCCACAAGCACTACAGGAAGAGTTGTTGAACGGACCCGAAAAAGGATGTCCTGAATATTATATTGAATCATTACCGAGGGTTCCCAAAGAGAAATTAAAACCAGAGGAATCTTGTAGCATCTGTTGTTGTAATTATCGTGACGACAACTATCCGCTAGTGGTTTTTCTTCCACACTGTAGTCACAGGTTTGATTTTGAGTGCTTAGCCGTATGGTTATCGAAAAGCACGACATGCCCACTATGCCGGGATGACGTGATAGCTCACAGACAAGAGATAGATATTACTCAGGTAGAGCTCGAGGAAGACTGGGGTATGTATGGCTAAGAGTGGGCGTTTTAGTTTTGAATTTATACCGTATATATACAAGGCGGGAAATGAGTAAAAATCCTTACTGAAAATCACAAATGCTTCCTGAACGCCTCGTCGTCGAGAAGTTCTAGCACTTTTTGCCCCACAGCTTCATCGACGGAAAGTGACTCGGAAGGTTTGCTCAATAACCCACTAGGTTTGATATCCTGACACAACCGAATACCCTCTTTTTGAAACAAGTTGCACTTCATACCGACACCTGGAATAGCATGTTTTGTAATATAACTGAGCCAAAGTTCCACGACCTCAGGGTTCGTATCCCACACGCGAATCAAACGCTTGTGAGTGTGCCTTTCGAAATTTTCTTTCGACTTCGCCTGTGCAAATGGCGACCGTATCACAGTCCACCTCTCTCGTCTTGTGGGTAAAGGTTTGGGGCCCGTCATTGGCATTCCAAGGTAAAATCCTGCTCTCAAGATGAAATCTGAAAAAAAATCTAGGTTCTCGTTATCGTAGGATCGCAATTGCAAATCTGCGATAAGATCTCCATGCTTGATAGGTATTTTCAGTGGTGCGTGATAAATCGCTGTCACGTTAATGGGCAACGCATCTTCAGGTTTAGAGGCTGCTGAAGTTTTGGACAGGTTTTTAGCCTCAGAAGAGCTGAATCTAACGAAATTTCGCTCACTAAAAAGACCTAATCTCTTGAACATCTTGTGAAACTTGATTCCAGATGATTTCAGGACCCTAGGTTGGCCCTCACGTTCCCAGAATGCTTCTTTTCAGACCTTCTTTAGCACTAGTTACAGTTGGTAAATTTTTAAAAAATTTAACCATTGACTTTCGCTATTATCATCACATGGCTGAACACCAGTAGGATAAGCCTTAGTAGACGATCATAGCTCTTGGGACAAAATTCTGGTGAAAATGTGGCCTTGCTAAGATGTTCGTCAGCTTCAAGGGTTTCTCAGCAATTTCGAGCAACTTAATACCATGATTTTATTAGGATCAGAAGTTTAAAAAATCGAAAACTTGGAATTATTTAAATCCCAAAATTCTGGGGTGATGAATCAAAATCGGAGTTTATACAAATTGTTGCCAATTTCATCCATCTTGGGTCCTTTAAGCGCTATGTTTAAGTACTTTCATCATGGATTTATGGAGTGTCATTTTGACAAAATGGAAAATTTGAGATCTTGAATCGTAGCTCATCGCATAACTGTACTATATTATAGAGCCACGAACAATACCATAAGTAAGCTAGAAATGGGAAAAAGTAGCAAAGATAAGCGAGATCTGTACTATCGAAAGGCTAAGGAACTTGGTTACCGAGCCCGGTCCGCGTTCAAACTCCTACAATTAGACAAAGAATTCCAATTTTTAGATGGAGTAACAAGAGTTGTTGACTTGTGTGCAGCACCGGGATCATGGTCCCAAGTGCTATCCAAGCGACTTTTTGAGGATGCAGATAGCGTCGAAAACTCTGAGAAAAAAATTGTGGCAGTGGATCTGCAACCCATGTTCCCTATAGATAATGTGACGACTTTGCAGGCAGATATTACGCACCCAAAGACATTAAACAAGATCATGGAACTTTTTGAGGGCCAAAAGGCAGATTTTGTGTGCAGTGACGGTGCTCCGGATGTAACGGGCTTGCATGACCTAGATGAATACGTGCAGCAACAATTGATTCTGAGCGCTTTGCAATTGACGACATGTTTACTTCGCGAAGGCGGTGTTTTCGTTGCCAAAATTTTCCGCGGCCGCGACATCGATATGCTATATTCACAGCTCGGATTTCTGTTTGAGCGTGTAGTATGTGCGAAGCCCCGTTCTTCTCGGGGCACATCTCTAGAAAGTTTTATCGTGTGCATCGGCTACAAACCACCTAAACATTGGGTGCCAAAACTTGACGTTAATACGTCTGTTGAAACTTTTTTCGAAGGTTGCGGTATCGGAAGACTTAGTCTCGAAGATAAGTTAGCAGGTTATTCTGAGGAGCCTAGGAGCATCGCAGAATTCATATCTTGCGGCGGACTCGATAGCTTCGACTCCGATGCCACTTACCACGATGTTCCCAGCAATAAACCTGCTTTGGATCCAGTACAGCCGCCCACGAACCCTCCCTACAAGCGTGCCTTAGAGCTAAAGCGACAAGGAAAACTGGCAAGAACTTAGAAGATTTCCTACTAAGAGACAGAACAGTAGTATTAACTCAGTTGCTAAGCGGTTTGGGTCCGCATTCACCAGTATCTATATATCAAATATATGATATGACTGCAACAGCTGACGGAATTCAGGCCTTTGGTTCCTCGACTTCCTTTTGGACATCAGGCTTCAAAGTTGGGAACAAGAGCACTTCTCTGATGGTGTTAGAATCTGTTAGGAACATGGCTAATCTATCAATACCGCAGCCCCAGCCACCAGTTGGAGGAAGACCATACTCGAGGGCGTTGCAGAATGTCTCATCAATCATTTGAGCTTCGTCGTCACCTTGGTCCTTTTGCCTGGCTTGCTCCTCGAAACGAGCTCTTTGGTCGAATGGATCGTTCAATTCCGTGTAAGCGTTGCAAATTTCCTTAGTAGCGACGAAAACTTCGAAACGTTCACAAAGACCAGGCATGTCTCTGGAGTATTTGGCCAATGGGGACATCATTTGTGGGTGACCGAAAATGAAGGTTGGGTTGATGCAACTGTCTTCCAAGTCACCGACAAGCTTGTCTAGCATCCGCGCGTTTGTTAAAGGGGGAGAGCATTCCAAGTTAGCTTTGGCCAACAAATTCTTCAAAAACTCACCTGTCTCAGAGGTGTGTAGTTCGTCGCCTGGTGGGAACTTGATGTTATGTCTCTTTTCTAGTTCCTCGATCATGTTGATTCTCTTCCAGGGTCTGGCAAAGTTCAACTCCATCTCCTTGGATGGGTCATGAGGGTCAGGGTGGTACTTGATGGTGTAAGATCCCGTAATCGCCTTGACCATTTCAGAGAATAATTCCTCGGTCATATCCATCAAATCGTAAACGTCGGCATAGGCTTGGTAAAACTCACAAGTGGTGAATTCAGGGTTGTGAGTCATATCAATACCTTCGTTTCTGAATTGTCTGCCAATTTCATAAACTCTGTTCAAGCCACCGACGACCAGCTCTTTCAAAAACAATTCAGGAGCAATTCTCATGTACATGTCCATGTTCAAGTCATTGTGGTGAGTAACAAAAGGCTTGGCAGTGGCACCACCGGCGATCACGTTCATCATTGGAGTCTCAACCTCAATGAAATCTCTCTGGTCGAGAAACTGCCTGATGTGTGAGATAATCTTGGAACGCGTAATGAAACGAGGTCTGGCATCTTTGTTCATGATCAAATCTAGATAACGCTTTCTGTATCTGGTTTCCTGATCCTTAAAACCGAAGTGGTCCGCTGGCAAGATGTGCAAACATGGAGTCAGCAATTGGACGCGCGAGACGAAAACAGAGATCTCACCTTCACCACCCTTCTTTGGTTGCGTTCTTCCGACGTAACCTTCGACACCAATGATATCACCTCTTTTGATCAAATCGTGGTCACGTTCGTAGGCCTCCTCAGAGTGGTAGTCTTGCAATTGCGCCATGACTTGAACATCGACACCGTCACCGTGCAAAACGAAGAATTTCAGCTTAGAACCAGATTCTCTCTTGGCGTGAACCCTCCCGGCAATAGAGACTTTTTCGTTTGGAAGCGTCTCACCTCTCTTCAAATGAGCGTACTTCTTCAAGAAATCGGCCAGAGTAATTGAAACGTTAAACTTGTGAGGATATGGATTTGGAGATAGCGTTTTTCTCAGTTCGTTAATTTGACGAGATCTGGCTTCAAAATATTGCGAAGGGTCCAAATCGGCAAAGGCGTCATCTTTCTTCTTAGATTGGGGCTTTGGTTGCGTAGTGGCTTTCTTAGCAGCCTTTTTGGCTTCCGTCTGTCTCTGTTTAATACGTTTCTTTAATTCAGATTTAGACACCATTTCACCGGTAACGTCGTCCAGGTGGAGGTTGGCAACACCTTCCGTAACAGCTTTAGCAGTTTCTTCACTTGACATCTTGATTATATGAAATTCAAAGGTCCACTAACGCTCGAAACGCTTTAATTGGCTGATTTCTTCTCCACTATTTAACTATTCTTCCAATGACTCTAAGTTCATCTAATTTCTTAAAAATTTTTTCATTATCTTCTATATCACCATCAAACTGTCTGTCTTGGTCAAAGTGATTAACACTATAAATATAGTACAGTATAGTCTTCAAGGTGACTCATATATATGGCATCAGTAGAATCGGCTTTGGTATCAATAGAATAGTAAAATTGATTAAGACATTAAGGTTTTATTTAAAATGATGATTTTCATTAACGTCGTTTAAGGGTAAAGAGTGGGCTCGAAAAAACATCAACTTTTGGACATTTTAGCACCAGAATGCAGAAATTCTTTTATGCCAGCCTGCATTACGGATTTGAGCTTCATGTGCAGCGGCTTCCTGTTTCATTAGAGTTTCGTCGTAAATTTCGCGATATTTATCGAGGTCGATGCTGTCCAGAGGATTTGCCATCCGTTTTTCTCTTTTCCAGATCTTGTACCCGAAATAGAACGCTAGCCAGATCGGGCATCCGAGGTAGTTCTCGAAAAATGAAAGCGCACTGAGTTTGCCGTCGTTGTCTATGGGAGCAATGGCCACCCAGAATTGCGCGATCAATACAATCACGTTGAAGGCAAGCCCATAAACTGACCCCCAAAACCCAGTGTTGGCTTTGTATCCCAGCTCGCCCATAGAACGATTTTGATGTTTCATGGCGAGTCTGAATCTGATATGGCTGATGAAGATCGAGGACCAAGTGAAAATTTCACTCAACCCTGCGATCGCCGCTAACCATGTAAATGCTTGTTCTTCTTGGTTTGAAGCGGCAACAAATGCAATGAGACCAAAAAAAGAGCAAGCGATCAAAGCAACCAGCGGTCTGCCTGCACGATCGACGTAGAAGAAAATTTTGGGTGCGAAACCTTGCCCTCCGAGAGAATGCATTAGTCTGCTGGATGAATACACAGCCGAGTTGGCCACCGAGATGACCGAGACTAGAATTACAGCATTTATAATGTGTGGAACCACTTTGACACCGTGGAGCGACGCAGCCAAAACATACGGAGACGCGTGCGAGGCAGAAGATCCGCCAGATCCCATTAGTTCATCGCTGTTGTAAGGTACCAAAAAACCGATCAAGACCATTGTGAGCATGTAGATCAACAAAATACGGTAAAGACATTTCTTTGTAGCCGATGGGACAGCCCGCTTTGGGTTCGCTTGTTCGCTGACGGTCAAAGCAAACAGTTCCGTGCCTCCGTAAGAGAAGTACCCTGTGACTAGTACGTATGCAACTCCCTTGAACCTAGAAGCAGCATTGGTCCCGCTAAAAGCTCCCGGTGTGTGCCAATATTTGCCTCCGATGTACCCATCGTTACCGGCACCACCACAATTGATGATGATGGCCAATATCACGAATCCAGCAATCATGAGCACCTTACACAAATTGAAGATAAACTCAGTCTCACCATAACCGCGGGCTCCGAAAAAGTGAATTGACAAGACAAAAACATAGAAAATGGCCACGAAAACGTCTGGGTTGATTGTGTCAGTCCAGTATTTGATTGTTAATGTTGCAGTGATCAATTCAAGCGGCAGAACGGTTAGCCATTGCAAAAGAGACAAATATGTCGTTGCAAAGGCGAATGCAGGCGTGATGAAAATGGCAGAATAGGCGTTATAATTGCCCGGCAATCGGGGATACGCGACTGCCATCTCGCCCGCGGCTTCCATCATCGCGTATGTCACAATTGACACCAAAGTGTACCCTATGAGAAGCCCTCCGGGACCCCCAAAATGCAAACTCTTCCCGTTCGCAACCAAAAGCCCAGTGCCAATACCAGTACCCAACGACATGAGTGAGACGTGCCTGGGTTTCAGGGTCTGCTTCAGATGAGACTTCTCGAGCTCATGGACCGTAACTCCGGATTCCAATTCCTCTGTTACTACGTCGCATTCGGCTCTCTTGAAGCTATCGCAGAAATTCCTCCAAGCACCAGTCGCCCGACTTTGAGACCCAAATTTCGATTCCAAAGAGTTTTGATTTTGATTTTGCTTTTTTTCATTCGAAGCGTTGTCCGACGAAAAGGCACTGAACTCGAAGTTCAGGTCCGATTCGCTTTTTTTAATGTCATGCGACGACATTTTTTTGTCGTTGCTCGCTGAATCAATTGGCGAAACGTTCAAATTTTAACGGATCTTTGAGGTCTTTATTAATAAAGAAACCAAGTTTCGAAATTCATAGCGCTTTGAGTCATAGACTCAAGGCATTAATGGATTGGCACCGCTCAGTCTTCTAGTGCCTTTCCATGGTTCTTTTTTTTATTGCTCTTTCTTTTTGGTGCACCTGTCCAGGGAAAATGCCTTATGCATCACCGCGAAGGAAGAAAGACGAAGCCGAAATCTATGCATGGAACGCTGCAAGGTTAACGGTAAAAAGAAAAGCGTGCATATTCAGTATGAGAGATCGAAGCAGGCGCTCATTCAAGCCATATTTTGCATGCGCGGAGAAGAGAGAAGAGGTGGAGAAGAGGAGGGAAGACTCTTCGTGTCCGTTGGGTACCTGTCGGGTTACCTTTTTGTTTACCTTTCTTCTTTGACGGCGGCATGTAAAATGACAGCTTCGATGTGTGCTGTCTAATGGCCGGAGGCCCTTCACACCAGAGTAATTTTGTCATTCAATAACTGCGTCAGCGTTTGTTCGGTGTACTTCACTCTGTTTTACATGTTCTTTGTAGAGGTTCGTATCGGAGTACGTTCCGTCAACCTCTCAAGTTCGGGCATCCTTCGAAGAAGCTGTGTGCCGATGGTGCCCTCCTGTTATCATGCCCGTCTTATTCACTACTATAAACATTCGTAAAGGCATTTAAAACCAAGCTAATAAGACTCGTTACTGCGCCACTGTGCAAGTCACCACTTTGAATCCGCATTTTTTTCAATCCACGCTTTCAAATGTCCCCAATCGATTTCTTTGTTCTTCAAACTAGGCACTGAGTAGTGATCTACCGGGAACGTCTTCCTGACAGCGACAAGAGTAGGAATTTGATGCACCTGTTCGCACATGTTAGTATCGAGAACCCTGCTGAAATTTTCTGATAAAAACTTACTCCAAATCGAAGCATGGAATCTCTTGTCTCCAAGTAGTCCGTTTCAACATCTGCAATGTTGATCTTTTTATCCGTTTCCAGTAAGACAATCCTGTTAAGAGCACCTGTCAGTTTATTGCAAACGTCGTTGCCCCTGACCGTGAAATTCAAAATTAGTGGGGCCCGGTTGTTGAACATGAGCAACTCGTTCAATTCATCACCGCTTCGAACGGGCAAGAAGCACTGGTTCCCGTTTTGAGACGATGCTCCGTACGAGTCTTTGATCGACCGGTCTTTCTGAGTAAAAGGATACAGAATCTTGCTAAACCAACTGGAACTCCTGCATGGCACCGCGCGAAACGCTGTACAAGCTAGAGGCTTGGAAACTGGGGTCAAACTTAGAAGAGTAGACATTATTATTCCTAAATCTTTCGGTTTTCTCGGTATCTGTATGTAATTAGTCAACCCTGACTTTTTTAATAACATAAGAGAACTTGAATCCTTTAAGGACCTCTAAAAACCTGACTCCAGATACGAGTAATGGGGAGCCATAGACCGAGACTAATCATTCTGGTGAGACATGGTGAGAGTGTTTCCAACAAGGATAAAACTGTGAATCAACACATGCCGAATCATTTGATACCGCTAACCGAAAATGGATGGCGGGAGGCACATCACGCTGGAGCGCACCTGCTGAGCCTATTGAACGTCGACAATAACGAAGTTGTCAAGACCTTATGTGACAAGTATGATCACACGTCAGAAGACGTTAAACACCTCAAACAGAACTACAAGAGACTTGACACTGACATCGATACTAAGATTGCCTTTTACACTTCACCTTACAGGCGTACTCGTGAAACGTTGCGTGCTTTGCTGGATGTGATCGACGAGTACAACGAGATAAACTGCGGGCTTTCTTATCGACTCGCAGAGCCATACCAGCCCACTGGGAACAAACGCTCGGCCCATTGGTCGCTCAAAGATTTCCCACACGGATTTTACAAGAACGAAGAGTTTCAGCAGAAAACGGAACGCCAGATCAAGAGCTCCCAGCAATACATTCATTACTGCGTGAAAGACGAGCCCCGGATCCGAGAACAAGATTTTGGCAATTTCCAAGAGGTGTCTGCGATGCGAGAAGTGATGAACAAAAGATCTCACTACGGTCATTTCTTCTTCCGGTTCCCGCAAGGCGAGAGTGCCGCAGACGTCTACGACAGATGCGCTACTTTCCAAGAGACGCTTTTTCGTCACACCAAGCCTCAGTCCAAAGGATGCGATGTGGTGGTGCTCGTTACGCACGGCATCTACTTGCGTGTATTCCTGATGAAATGGTTCCGATTTACCTACGAGGAGTTCGAATCCTTCACGAACGTGCCCAACGGCTCGCTCGTGGTAATGGAACTCGATCCAGAGGTTGACCGCTACGTGTTGCGCACCACTCTTCCCAAGTGGTGTTAGTCGTTCTGCATAGCGCACTTCTGCAGGACGAGCAGCCAGGAGAACGAAGTAGACTTACCATGCACCGAATGTTCCGGGCGAGGACTGTCGCTGACGAACCCCCGCACTCGGATATTAAGTCACGTGATCCGGTCCCTTCTCTGTCCACACAACGTAAAGCGGCTCTGTCGCGCAGAGATTCTAGTAAACGCAGTAACAGACACTGCACCCCGAGTGGGCCCGCATACATCGCATCAAAGCACAAGTTGGCACGTAAATAACCAAAAAGAAACCGAGAAAAGAAAATTAAAATGTCACCGATCCAGGCGTGCTCGTCGCTTCACAAAGGACTAAAGTTTACCTTCAAACAGCGTCAACCTAACACCACTTCAACCCCTAACGCTACGCGCACTTCGCGAGCCATTTTATGCCCCGATGATGGGCTTCAAAGTACTGTGGTGATGAGTGTCTCTTTGTACGATACCTCGTGAGTTTCAAGCTGTGGCTGCCATGAGCTTCCTGTTGCGAAAACCGGCTGCTCGGACCGTCACTGGGTATTAGGAAGCCCGCGCTTCAAAGAATGAGGTGGTGTGGAAAACGCACATGGTTCTCAAAGCCTGAAATGATATAAAAGTGCAGAGTATAAGTGGGGGCTCGAAGCTTTATTGGAAATAATTTCTGGTACCATCGCGAATCAAACAGCAATCACATTAGTTAAAAAATGGCCAGAACTTTCTTCATTGGTGGTAACTTCAAATTGAACGGCTCCAAGCAGTCTATCACTGAGATCGTCGACAGACTAAACGACGCTTCTATCCCACAAAACGTTGAGGTGGTTATCTGCCCACCAGCCCCATACTTGGGTTTGGCTGCCTCTCTAGTCAAGAAGTCTCAAGTCACCGTTGGTGCCCAAAACGCCTACCTAAAGGGTTCCGGTGCTTACACTGGTGAAAACTCCGTCGAGCAAATCAAGGACGTTGGTGCCAAGTGGGTCATCTTGGGTCACTCCGAGAGAAGAACTTACTTCCACGAAGATGACAAGCTCGTCGCCGAAAAGACCAAGTACGCTTTGGACCAAGGTGTCGGTGTCATCTTGTGTATCGGTGAGACTCTTGAGGAGAAGAAGGCCGGTGTCACTTTGAAGGTTGTCGACACTCAGCTAACTGCTGTCTTGGACCAAGTCAAGGACTGGAGCAACGTTGTTGTTGCTTACGAGCCAGTCTGGGCCATCGGTACCGGTCTAGCTGCTACCCCAGAGGACGCTCAAGAGATCCACGCTCACATCAGAAAATTCCTCGCTGAAAAGCTCGGTGCTGGTGTCGCTGACAAGATCAGAATCTTGTACGGTGGTTCCGCTAACGGTAAGAACGCTGTCACTTTCAAGGACAAGCCAGACGTTGACGGTTTCCTAGTCGGTGGTGCTTCTTTGAAGCCAGAGTTTGTCGACATCATCAACTCTAGAAACTAAGCGTATCTGGAAGGTTATGTAACGAATCTAGTGTATACGAAATAAACGAAATGAGCGCAGCGTGCATCATCACACAATGATCCCGTACCAGCGTGCGCGCCGGTGCTTCTGGGCCAGTTCTCGCCATTGTACCACAAACTCGTCTACCACAGGGTACAGGAGCTTGCCCGTCAGACTCAGCGTGCGAATCCGCGCCAAACTCTCGATGTAAAGGATGTTGGACCGCGACCACGTGACCACATCCAGAAACCGAAGCCAGTACGCAATGATACAGCAAGTACCGGGTCCATTCAACAGCACCAAATGTGGTCCGCCCACGAGCGTTGCGTGCAGTTTCGTCAGCGTGAAAACGCTCTGCAACGTGCTCGCGAACACCGTGCACAGTGCGCGCAGCTTTCCAGATCCAACTTCGCGCGCCTTGCGAAACCGCACGTACTCGGCGTGCGGATGTTCCAACGACGCCCTGCTAAAGCTCTCAAATCTTTGCCTGCTGGCTTGGTCGCTGTAACCGACAACAACATGCGACCCAGTTCCCAGTAACGTATCACGGTACAACTCAAGTATTCTAAGCATCTCGCCCGTATGGCCTCCGGACCCAAGGAAAACGAACACTTTCTGGGCACCGCAGGGCTCTGCGGCAGCAGCAGCGGCTGCTGTCGCTGCTGCCGCCTCTGTCTTCTCCCCTTTCCCGTCCTCCCGCCTAAAGATCGGCACCACTAGCACTGCTCGCACGACCAGCGTTTGCGCGACCACCAGAAGCGCTAACCAAACCAATACCGCGGCGTTTACCGCCATTTCTTCTTCTATCTGCTGCTATTTCGGGCTCTAGCAAATTAAGTTTCAGCCGCTCGATGATCGGCCCGCCAATCGCTCGCGAAATGTCTCTTTTTCGGTACCTTTTCGCTGCTTTTTCGCTGCCTTTTCGCAGCTTGTAGATCTTCTGCAGTCGAAACACGAAAAACTAGGAGAATTAAAGGTCACTTTACGCGACGGCGATCACGATCGTAGGAATGTATAAAAGGCTATATCAGGTTGAAACGAGATGAGCTATATAAAGCTGGATCAAGCCGAGACCACCAAGTGAACAGCAGATTGCTGATTTAAAGCTCACGATATCGACAAAAGCCAGACATGAGAAGAACACCCAGCAGCGACAGAAAGAGACATTCTATGTTTTTGACGTCTGCAAGCTTGGATCTAGCCGCGATGTACTCGAGCAAGAACAACCGATCGGCAGACACATTGGTCGCAGAAAGAAAAACTGAAAAGCCCGTGCCGACCCGCAAATCCACTGTGTCGAGAGGCAAGAGCATGCTGCGCAGAAGCGCAGTGCTGCTGGACGACAACATGGTCCGGGAATACAATTTGGCGGTGCGAGCACTCGATACGGGTGCGCCAGTACGCGGGCCTACGAGACCGCAGACAAGAGCGTCGCAGACGCCGGTGATCAAAGAACACGAGCCACCGTCGTGCAGGGGACACAAGAGCAGCGTCTCGACGTCGTCCAGCCTGTCGTCTAGCATGTCGTCGCTTTTTTCGCGGGACAGCAGTTTCTCGATCCACGATCTCATGTACCAGGACTTCCTGGAAAACCAGTCGAGCGAAAAACCACAACGCGGTGCGAACGTGTACGTGGTGGACGTCCAGGCGATTGCGCAGGCGCAAGACGTGGACATCTGGAGCGAACCTGCCGCTTTGGTGGACGCTCGCACGCGACTCGAATTCTGATTGGCTGGCGACCGCGAATCACGATAGACGACCTGCTGGACAACCATCCCTGCGAAAAGCGCCGTTTGAGTATCACTGCGTACGAATATGACCTTTTAAGGGGACCCTTTTAAATGCTGAGATTACGTGATCATTTCGGAGTTTTCACCGCTCAGAAGCGAAACACCATTACCCTTGCACCTGGTGATGTCCAGGTGCCCCTGCATTTTAGAGACAGAAGCTTCCTTTCTAGAACTTGCTGGAAGGGTGCCCCTTGCTGATCGGAAGGGAGCGGGATAAGACTCGCACAAAGTGCCGCGGTCTTCTAAGAAACTCTCCGAATTTCTACGAACACTATGATCGCCGTAACAGGAGGGTCAGGAAAATTGTGCCCCTGAGGGATGGATCTTCTGGCAGAGGTGGAATTTTGGTATAAAAAGGGCTTCCAGCTGCGAGACCTTATTCTTTACTTTCCCTCTCATCAACGCACATATCTACTGTCAGTGTTAACTTACTTCCAAAAAGTCCTCTGAAAATTATCCCAAACATGTCTTTCAATTCGCCCTTTTTCGATTTCTTCGATACTGTCTCCGGTGAAGTCGACAACTTCAATCGTCTTTTAGGCTACTCGCCTTATGCGTCGCGTCAGCCAGGCCAAAAAGCGTTGACCAAAGCAGATCGGAAATCGAATCAGAACCAAGCTGTGACTCCGTACGGAGGGGGGCTCGGCGGCGGGTGGAGCCGTTGGTTCAACGACGACTCGCTGGTGCCTTTCGGTGGCAGTGTCGGGCTCGTACCCCCGGTCGACATCCTGGAGCACGCCAAGGACTACGAGTTGCACATCACGTTGCCCGGCGTCAAAGACAAGAAAGACGTCAACCTTGAATACCACCAGGAACACAACGAGGTGGTCATTTCGGGCGAGATCCCGGCCTCTACGACCGAGAAGACGCAGGACACGGTGCGGGTCCAGGAACGGTCCTCTGGCAAATTCCGCAGAGTCATCTCTCTGCCAGACAAGCCCGGAATCGACATCGACAACATTAAGGCGAATTACAAAGGCGGAATATTGACTTTGAAGGTTCCAAAACTGGAACCCGAGGACAACGATAAAAACGCCGTTCGCAAGATCGAAATTTCGTCTCAGGATTCCTGGGGCGACTCCAAGTTGTAAATCGCTTGAAGAAGTGAGACGTTTTTTTATGCTGTTGCTCGTAGTTATTTAGATTTCGAGAAAGTCGCTAGGCCCTTGTTTGCGCAAATAGCACATATGTATGAACTTTATGAATCATGAATATCAGTTGTTTTGAAGTCTTCTGTTTGAGTTTATCGTGGGTTCTGTTTCTTATACAAGAATCAACACTCATGAAAAAGTTGGGTTTCTTGGTACATCTTTGAATCTGTTAGAAAACAGAAACAAACAAGCGCCGAGAGTTTGAGGAGCTATAGCCGTATATAAATTGGGTCTTGGAGCTTAAGAAGGTTGCTTTTTTCATTGCTGATAGTTGACAATTTCGCCTTAAACGGTTTCGTTTTATGTTCGACAGTTGATTTAGACTGTTAATGGATCAGCGTCGAGAATTATATCCAAGCTCCAATTGTTAGCGCGATAATGAAACCGTATCAAAACAAGCCATTCAAGAGGCCGAGACCTCTGAGCTCGTTGGGCGAAGCTCCTTCTCAAGTGATGAACCCAAAATTGGATTCAAACAGGGGCAATGGTGGTGCTACGAAAGAACAATCAGTGACACACCAGAATCCTTCGACGGCTTTCTACACTATGACATACCGGAAAAAAAGCATGAAAAAGAACAAGACGTGGGATGGGGATGGATACGGCATTGAGAGCTCGCCTGGTGTCTTGAAATTTTACAGTGATGCCGGTAAGAAACTCGGAACGGCGGCGATCAAAGATCGAGACATTCTATTTGACACGGTGTTCCCCAGCAGTGGCCAAGAGTTCCAATTGGATTATTGCATCACCAGCACGGACGAATTACAAGCAGTTCAGCAAATATTAAAAGTTGCCGGTCCGCTGGCGGCAGCTCAGTGCGGAAAAAAGGACGAACTGCCGAGTTTGAAATCTCAAAGGCCTTCCAGTCGATGCGTCCCTACGACACTTGGTTCCTCTGTGACTTCCAGTAAGCCGCCAATTTTTCCTCGATTCAAGAGTGCAATGAAGGGGTCGGAAAATGGAGCTCGGAAGAATGCAGCATCGTCTGGAAAATATCTGCCTTTGCATGATCCTTCAACTGTCGAAAATGCACTTGTGATGAACAAACTGGGAACTGCACTGGTCGACGTTGTAGTAGATCCGCTTTTGTCTAGGTTCTTGCGACCTCATCAGAGAATAGGCGTCAAATTCCTCTACGATTGTGTCATGCAATTATCAAGGCCGGATGGTCTGGAAGATGACGCGACGGAGGGCCGAATATTAGGGCTGGACAGTGATTTGCAGGGCTGTATTTTGGCGGATGAGATGGGACTGGGTAAAACATTGATGGCAATCACGCTCATCTGGACCCTACTGAAGCAGGCACCTCGACCCACTAGCCCACTTACGCAAAAGGGTTACACAACGCATGGAGTGGTCGATAAAGTGTTAATTGTATGTCCTGTTACATTGATTTCAAATTGGAAGAATGAATTTTCTAAATGGCTGAATTTGAATCGGATTGGAGTATTGACGCTCAGCTCAAAGAATACCACAGATAAGGATAAGAGTGATGTCAGAAACTTCTTTAAAATACCGAGAACTTTTCAAGTACTCATTTTGGGCTATGAAAAACTGCACAGCGTTTATTCCGAGCTCGAGGAGTCCAGATCTGATATTGGGCTACTTATATGCGATGAGGGACATCGACTGAAAAATAGTCAATCGAAAACGCTCATTGCACTGACTAACTTAGACGTTTCGCGCAAGGTACTTTTATCCGGAACGCCAATTCAGAACGATTTGACCGAATTTTATACTATCATCAACTTCGTGAACCCTGGCGTCCTGGGCTCTTTCTCGAACTTCAAGAGAAAATTTATCAATTCTATTTATCTTGCGCGAGACGTGAAAAATCGTCTCAATCCTTATATACTTGAACGTGGGGATGAGCGGTCAAAAGAGCTTCTAGACATTACCAAAAAATTCATTCTGCGAAGAACGCAGGATATTCTCGAAAAATATTTACCGCCCAAAACCGACGCTGTTGTCTTCTGTAAGCCACAGAAAGCACAGATCCAGGCATTTCAAGCGGCTTTCGCTCAAAGTAACTTTGATTTCGACCAAATTACCTTCAAATCGTCGCTCGCACTGATAACGCTATTCAAGAAAATCTGCAATTTCCCAAGTCTCATTTCCAGCAGTCACCTGCCAAGAGGGCCGCAGATGATTGGTTCTTCTCGAAAAGATGAATCGGGCAAGTTTCGGGTCCTAACTGCACTCATAAGCGAGATTTCGAAAATTAAACCTGATGAGAAGGTCGTTATTGTCTCAAACTACACTCAGACTCTCGATGTGATTCAAAGCTGGCTAACTTCGGAGGGCTTCACCTTCCTGCGTTTGGATGGTGCCACGCCAAATAAGCTTCGGCAGCAAATGGTTGACAGTTTCAACAATACCCCCGTCTTTTGTTTTCTGTTAAGCGCAAAATCGGGTGGTGTGGGTTTGAATTTGACCGGCGCTTCTAGATTGATCTTATTCGATAATGATTGGAATCCTTCAGTTGATCTCCAAGCTATGTCAAGAATTCACAGGGATGGCCAGAAAAAGCATTGCTACATTTATCGCCTTTTAACAACTGGGTGTATCGATGAAAAGATCTTTCAAAGGCAGCTCATGAAACACAATTTGAGTAAAAAGTTCCTGGGCGATGGGACTAGCGGTGCTGGAGAAAGTGACGATAATGTTTTTGAAATCGAAGATCTCAAGGATCTCTTCACCGTCCATGAAACAACAGTGTGCAATACGCATGAGCTTATATGCTCTTGTGATGGCTCCGATACAGTAAACGTTGAAGACTTTAAGACTGCATCTGTGATTGAACTGCAAGAAGAAAAACCTTATTTCCAACTCGACGGATGGACTAGCGCGTTAGAATTGCAACAAAATTTAGAAAACTCAGAGGCATCTAACCTGAAAAAGATGTCTGCCATCTTGGGATCGCTGTTGAAAAGCTATATACACATCAATCCCAAAAAGGTCAAGGTCGATGGTGACCAAATATTGAACTCAGCAATGGAAAGTTCTGATCAAGACATAACTTTCGTTTTACTGAAAAACTCTAATGCGGGCAAAAAATCAGATGTTAGCGCTGAGATATGAGTGAGCCTGAAGATGTCTGGTAAAGACATGATATTCTTTCACCTAGACTGATTTTGGCGCATTCGGGCTTCTGCTGCCCTAGCTCGTTGTTCTCGCATTATTTTCATTCTTTGATCGTCATTTAAAGAATTCATATTCTGCTGCAAAGATGAAAGATTCCCTGCGAGAACTTTGCCTGGACCTTTTCGAGCCTGATCTTCAGCAAGTCGTTTTTCTTTTGCGGCTTGAAGTTCGGCTTGTACTGCTTCTATTCTTTCTCGTTCGCTCTGCTCCTCTCTTGCTTGGGCCTCTTTTTCAATATCCTCTCTGCTCAATGGCGGGCCAACATGAGCTTCGTTCCAGTTGGCGTATTTTTCCCCTAGTTTTCCTCGTGCAACTTGAAAGGCTTGTCTAACTTCCATCTTTCTTGTTAGATCCCATGCTGTTTTATCAAGCTGGTTCTTGATAGCTGGGTCACTTTTCAAATTCGTGAGCAGTATCGAAACCATATTCTTCAGGCCCTGTTGAGATGCAAAATGTAGCATGGTAGGTGTCTGGATATATTCAGAAGTTGGTTCGAGCTTGAAGTTAACGTCGAGTTTATGCTTTCGCAAGTAAGCGATGAGGAGAGGAGCTTTTGACTTTTTCAGATAAGTTACAAGTTCCCTAGTGTGAATCACACCCGGATTTTCTGGTTCAACTTGCTTGGGGACTGGTGTTGACGATTTTGATGCCTTTGGTTCTTTGTTTTCGGGCTGCTTCGAAGCAAATTGAGGTTTAGCCTCGACTGATAAATATGAGAGCTGGCACCATGCTCTCTTAAGTTCATTGGTTGTTGGACGCTTTGTAGTAAAGGGAAATGACTTAACACGTTCATCATCTTTAGTAAGGCCACTTTGCTCATTTATAAACATCTTCCTGTCGTTACTACTTTTCGCCCTTATGAAGATGCTCTCACATTTCTCAAGGAACTTTCTCCAAGACTGCAAAAGATTTTGGACATCATTCCGAAGAGCAGCTTCATTGTATCTTCGAAGCGATGACCCAGCCGAATTCGCTTTACCCTTGGCGTTATCCATTGCCGATTGAGACCCACCTTGTTTCCGACGTGTCGTGTATCTGTGAAACGTTTTATGCTCAACGAATTGGACGGCTTGTTCCTGAAAGCTCAGGTCGGTCTTCGTTGCATTGCCCTTGACATTTAGCCTCTGATGAGATACAATAGCACCGGCAAAATGACCGCCGCCAATCATAAAAACCGCAGAAATGCGGTCTTGTGCTGATGCCTGACTTTTCCAGTCTCTTAGAGTGTCCAAAGGTCTCTCGATGGTTTCTTTACTGAATATCGCTTTGAAAATTCCAAAAACCTCTGTGTCAGGTAAAGTAGACGATTTTAAAAAAAACTGAGGGGATCGGGTATGCAAATGGCTCAGAGAAGTCCCCTCTCCAGTCTCTTGTTCGCAGATTTGCATGGAAGCAAGTTGTTCATCGAAACGGGCCGTGAGTTCGTCTTTGTCCTCCTTATACAGATCATCACCGTCTTCACTGTCATCACTTTCATCACCAGATCCTGAAAGACTTTCCACGTCATCTTGATCCATTATTTGGTCAAATTCTGCTGCGCCTACGGGCTCTAGCCTGTTCAAATGTCGTTTGATGTTAAACCGGTGCCAGTCCGATTTGTAGTGATCTTTTCTGTCCTCTTCGCCATCAATTGAGGCGCTGCATTTACTGCAAGTCACAGAAGAACCAACTCCAATGTCATTAGACGCATGGGTTTTTTTACCCTCTGCACTTGGTGAACTAATAACGGTCTTTTTGACATCGACTTCATTAGCACCGTAGTCAAAGATCATCAATTCCAGAGAATCTAAAATCCTCTGCGACAAATCGTAAACGTATAAGTCATCTCTCTTGGTACTACCGACAGACATCTAGATCGACCAAATGCCCCTAACAAGCGCTTCAGAGATGATAAACTGAATAGATAATCATGTCAAAAGTCTTGCGTTTTAATATCTTGAAAAATTTACGTACGTTAAAATATATGAGAATATCTTGAATCTCCGTAAATTAGCCATGTGAACTCCAATGATCATCGTATACTCGTTATTATATTTATAGCAAGCTCGTCGAGCTTTTGAAATGGTTTACGGCATTCCCCGATCGTGCCTTCTAATAGATATATGCGTCGTTTTGATGATAAGAATACGGAATGAAATTGAACTTCTTGAAATCCCTCGCTCCATATATCGACACTGGCATTTCGAAGTGTCTTAAGCGGACCCAATTCTGTGACATTCTTGTAGAAAATGTTTGATCTTCTCTGGGTCCATGAAAGGATGTGTACCGTGGCCGAAATTGACAATGTAGTTTTTCTTTCCTCCTCCAAAACCTGAAATCATTTCTTCGACTCTCTTTGTGATGATCTCGTCGGTTCCGTAGATGACACCTGGGTCTAGGTTGCCTTGCAATGTCACACGGCCGTTGCTGATTTTGACGGCTTCTTTTGGGTCCCAAAGCCAGTCTAGTGAGACCGCGCTGTAACCAGAGTCGCAAAGAGCATCAAGGGCGTACCAAGAACCCTTGGCAAAAATGGTTATTGGGATGTGTTCGATAATACCAAGTTCTCTGAGACGCGCAGGTAATTTGGCGCTAATTTGTCTTACGTATGGGAGACAAAATTCGTCAAAATCGCGGCTACTTAGCTCTCCACCCCAACTTTCGAAAACCTGAAGCATCTGGGCACCTGCAACAACTTGTTGCGCCAAAAACTCGACTGCGACGTCAGTGGTTTTTTGTAATAGTTTGTGAATCACATTTGGGGACTCGTTCAACCATTGTTTGGCAAACCTAAAGAGGCGAGATCCACCGCCTTCGGTCATGTAAACGAGCAAAGTCCAAGGTCCACCGCAAAAGCCAAGCAAAGGAACTTGACCATCGAGTTTCATTCTGGTCACCGTGATCGCTTTAAAGGCCCATGCTAGTTCTTTCAAGACGTCGACTTCGTAGTCCAAAACCTTTTGGGCATCTTCTAAAGTTCTGAGAGGTTCTGGAAAATGTGGACCTTTGCCCTCAACCATTTCGACTTTCATGCCCATTGCCTGGGGAATGACAAGAATATCGCTGAAAATGATGGCAGCGTCCAAAAGCCCCGCGTATCTCCTGACGGGTTGAATCGTGATCTCGCTGGCAATCTCAGCGTCCCTACAGGTCTCGAAAAAGTCTCGTCCGTTTTTAACTTCGTGGTACTCTGGCAAATACCGTCCTGCTTGACGCATTATCCAACAAGGAGGCCTTTCAACGGCCTCTCCGCGAGCAGCTCTCAAAATAAGGTCATTTTTGAGTTTAGGAAACTCCAAACGTTGGCTCAATTGCATCATCGATACGCCATGGACTGGTATGTCTTTTGGGCCCGAAGGTTGCTATTTTTTTCAGTTCGTTTACACTGTTAAGAAATCTATCTTAAACGCTAGAAATGAGGAAAAGTCGGTGACAATCGGTATATCAGTCGCCGACTACGCGGCGGAAACGTGACTAGAGATGAATAGGATACAGTGCAAGGAATTCAATTTTTAGCCCTCTAATGGGCATCATCTTGTTGTCAAGGGCATCCTTGAAGTAATTATTACACCCGTGTAAAGTGATTGGGTATCAATGAGTAAGTGACGAAGTTTTAGATTACGAACCGATACTTAAACCTTGTCTGACAGGGCAGTGGTTGAGTAATCTGGTTACTTAGGTCGATCTATTACTCGACTACCGTGATTGATTTACCAGGCCCTTCGTGGTTTTAGTAGTCAGTCGTGTTACAATTTCGAGTCCACGATCACTGCTGGCAGCCATCATTCCTCTGCTGGATTCTTGAACCGTTCCTAGGAATCTGAGTAACGACTTGGTACGAGATGTCAACTCAGTGGCTCTTATATCCTCATTGAGAGCCCATATAAATTCAAAACTGGATCTGCCGTAAAAAGCGCTCTAGTCATATGCTATGTTATTACTAGAAATTCATGTTTGATCGTCAGTTATAAAGCACTTTCCTGGAGTAGGGACCCTTGAATTTACAGTAGCTGTAACCTTCATTGTCGTGTGGAGCACGACAGAACAATATTTCTGGTTGTTTTGAAACAATTGTTGAAGTTCCTCGTACTTCTGAGTTACTCTCACCATGGTCCGACGCTGACGTTAACTACTGAGTACGCGTAAGTATGAAGCAATCCTAGCAACTTACTTGTCTCTGATGGGTCAACCAGGGTTGTCGTTGTGTCATGTAATTCATTGATCGGTTGTGGTTTATCAGGATGCTCCTCACGAGTGCTTGAATATTGTTACAACTTCAATGGCAACTAAATTATATGTTTTCAAATTCGACTTTGAAATTCAATTAATGGGGAAAAATAGAAGGATTTCTTGACGACAACGTAGAAAGAAGAGAATAGATTGAAGTGAGCATGCCTGAATGTTATAAATATCGGTGATGTACTGTTTGTACTGTCAATAGCTTCATCGAGGCGTCTCCATAGCATTCTTGCAATTCATCGAAATTTTGACGGGAAAAGACTCCGAAGACCCTTTGAGGTGTTAAATCCACTGTTATCAGAACGTATTATGAAATCATAAGCCATTCAAAAGATCATCAACAGCTCTGGAAACCATAGAAACTGATTTGGAATTGTGGTCACGTGATTTCGAAGTTTTGACCCCATGGCCACTCATCGATAAATTAATGTAACTTCGAAAGTACCAATTCGAGAGCTACAGTTCAGGATCGAAGAAGCGGCTGACCATGTTGGCACAGCTATTAAGGCCGATTTTCCGGTTCAGAAAGACCTCTGTTAGCATTCTATTCGTTCTGAACGTCGTTTTCGTTGCGTCGTTGTACTATTGGGATAATACAAGATACACGAGAAGTGTTCCTAACGAGAACGACGAATACGCAGACGTGCTAGAATCCACATGGGCACATTTACAAGTCATATCTGAGCGTCCACATGCGTTTACATCTCCTCAAAACGATGTGGTTCATGACTACTTGAAAAAGGAGATTGAAACCTTGGTAGGCAACACTTCTTTCATTGAAACCTGGGACGATCGCGAACACGATACAAAGGCTCTTTTCAAGCAACAAAACGTGTTCAATGCGTCCTCTACGACCTCTAGAGTGGTTTACTACGAATCCTCTAATCTTTTGGTCAAAATAAAAGGTATAAACGAAAGCTTACCTGGACTTCTCGTGTCTGCGCACTTCGATTCCGTTCCCACTGGGTTTGGTGCGACAGACGATGGAATGGGTATCGTGACTCTTTTGGGGCTACTAAAACTTTGCACTCAGCAACAGCCTGACCGAACTATGGTTTTTAATTTCAATAATAATGAGGAGTTCGGATTGATGGGTGCTACGTTGTTCATGCAACACGAGTGGAGTAAACTGGTACAGTTCGTTTTGAACTTGGAAGGTGCAGGAGCGGGCGGCAAAGCAGTTTTATTCAGGACTTCAGATGTGGGTACCGCGTCTGCCTATCGGCGGGCAGTCGAAGATCAGCCTTTCGGTAATTCCATCTATCAACAAGGATTCTATGACAGATACATCAGCAGCGAAACGGATTACAAAGTTTATGAGGAAAACGGATTACGTGGCTGGGATATCGCTTTCTACAAACCTCGCTCTATCTATCACACAGCGCGTGACTCAATACAATACACCAGTAAGGCGTCTCTGTGGCATATGCTCCATACGTCCATCCAACTTTGCCAATTTCTAACATTTGAAGATGTTTCGGACCTAGATGAAGAGACTTCGATTCCCGCTGTTTATTTTGATATAATCGGCTTAAAATTCATCTCGTTTAGCGCCAAGTCATTGTGCCTCTTCAATTGCGCCATCCTGCTTCTATTCCCCGTTGTAATTTTGGCTTTACAAATTGTTATCAAGAAAAACAAGCCAAAGAATATACCTTCGTTGGCTGCGTGGATAAGGCTCCCACTTTCTGCTTGTTTGTCATACGTTGTGATCACTTTTACTCGCTCATTCATGTACCATAGAAACGCCTTGATTTACAACCGGGATTTCGTTAGCCCTACGCTTATGTTCGCCAGCGAATTTCTATTGGTGAATTATTTTGTACTTTCGCTTTTGCAGGTATGGAGACCTGAGCAGCGTTTAAAAACATCCGTTTTCCTCGAAGCGTCTGGTTTGCTATGGGTACTTTTACTTACAGTTACTTGGAAGCTTTATGCTTCAAAATACACTAGCACGGGTGTGTATCTTGCGACTCTGATGTACCTCTTGATATCCTTGGGTACCGTTCTTGATCAGTGCTTATTGATATTCAAATCAGAAACCTCCACTAGATATCCCAAGAATGACATTGCCTCTGATGAAGAGCAGGACACTTCGTCCGAAATAGTGAGTACTTCCTCATCGGAGCCACTACCGGAAAACGTGGAACAAGAAGAAAACGAAAGATCACCCCTCATCCGTAATTCAAACGACCAGCGTCAAATCCCCTCGTCTCGATCGAATACGTCAGGCTCGCTGAAAATTGTTACCGGGGCCGCGAGCAAGCTTGGCCATTATGAATGGAGTGTTCAGTTCATTTTGGTAGTTCCTATACTCACATTGTGCACTTTTCTCGTTACAAGCCAAGTACTAGGTGCCATTAATCAGACCTGCCAAGAAGGATTCAAGTCTGCCTGGAACATTTCCATGGTTTCGATGTTGGGTGGACTGTTCTTGGTGGTACCTGTATTACCTTTTGTTGACAAAATAAATGCCCTGCTTTCGACAGTGCTCATTGGTGTCTTTGCCATAACGTTTGCTCTTTCAAGTCTCCGTGCCCCATTCACGGAAGAAAGCCCCTTGAAGCTTCGCTTTTCGCAAGAAGTAGATGTGGGATCAACTTCTCAAGACGCTATGGTGTACTTGTGGGGCAGACAGGGAACCTTGCTTGAGTCCACTTTAAATGATATACCAACTATTAAAAATGACCCCGCCAAGGGCTATCATTGTGAAAGACAAGGCGATGGGCAAGAGAAATGCTCTTACCTTGGTCTCGACCCATATCCAATCGATGCCCCTAGCGATTGGAAGTATTCCGATATAATGAATGTGAACATAACTGAAAGCAACCACAACTCTTTGGAACGCTCTCCTTACGAACCCATTTACGCAGAGCTGGAAATAACGTCTCTTGGAAGTCGTACCTGCTTCCTGAACTTTAATTTCTCCAACTCTGACGAGGACTCACAGAACTCTCCTTTAAAGCAGGTTACGATTCGCCATGATCGTAGGAAGAAGAGCAGTTCGACGTTATTGCCTGGGAGACAGGGTTTGGGTACTGCCAGTGATGACTTCCGGTGGGGGTCCGGAATTGATGAATTGCAATTGCTAAAGCTCGACTTTCAACAACCGTATCGTATTCGGCTTGAATGGATGCCCAGAGTGGATGATAAGACGGATGATCCAGAAATGAATTCGCTCGGAATGAATATCAAATGCTACTGGGGAGAATATGACAGCGATTCTAAGATTGGATCGAAATTGAGACGTAAAGTCCCCGCGTTTGATGAACTTTTAATATACTCGCCAAGAGAAGTGACATATGCGAATAGAGAGCCTGGTGTCGTTGTCATGAAAGACTATATCAAATTATAAAAGTCAAGGTGTTTAACTGTGCAGTGAATGTAATATTAATAATAAGCGTTATTGGGCATTAAAGTGATATTTCAGCAAAGGATTTGTTGTATATGGTTTCGTTAATTAGAGCGTAGCTGCTCTAAAGCGATTGAGCATGTGCGTTTATCGAGAAAGCGTGTCCCGTCGGACTTGGTAAAGCGGGAAATGGGACATAGGTTGCGGGCCCTGGCTGACGAAGTATGGTGTTCCATTCCCATTGTACATCTGTGGTACCATCGGCATCATCACGGGGGCATAACCACGAGGACTTTCGTATGGATGGAACTTCATCTGTCCGATGGCTGGCGGTTGTTGCAACGGAGTTGTCTTCGGCACCGCGGCCAAGACATGTACATTTGGATAGCTCTTTACATAGCTGAAGGAAGGTGTATTCTTTTCAACAGTCGAATAATTCGCTTCTTCCGTCGAAGGGTTTGGCTGACGTGGCTCTGATGTAAAGAACATATCATCATACTGCAATATAAGATCAAGACTGATATCCATCGGTAGATTAGGACTCAAACTCTCCCTGACAGGACCCACATTAGAAGCCATTGCTTGGCATAAATCCTTCACCTTTGCTACATGAACCATGTCGTTTTCTTTGAAGAGTAAAGCTTGACATTGAGACACTGCGTTCGCAGCACTTTGGTACCTGGAGGCGGAAACGTGGACTTGCGACAAACCAAGCCACGAGTACGCGGCGAATATTCTGTAATATCTGTTGAGAAATTGAGGGTAGAAGGTGCCCTTATTGCAACAGGATAAAGCCTGGGAGAAGGCGATTTCTGCGTCATATAGCTGGCGCATTTTCAAATAAAGACACCCAATGGCTATCCACAACGCAGCGGATTTGGGTCGTAGATTCATGGCACTTTGATAAAAGGCAAAACTGCTGTTCAAGTCATTGAGAGCATCGTAGAAACGTCCAATTTTCCAATGGAAAAGGTACACGAAGCTAGAGCTTTTATTTGTAGTGAAGTCTTTTTCATTCAGCAGCTGAGGCAAGAAAGCCCGTAGTTTGTCCTTGTCTCCTAGAGCCAGCAGGAGATCTGCTGTTGTACAAAACAAAAGAGACGCGTGAGCACTGCGCGGTAAAGACTGCAGTGCACTATGGCACACTGCCAGCGCCTGTTCTTTGTTACCCATTTGGAACTCGACGGCGGCCAGAAAAGAGTAAAGATATGCCATTCGCTTGATACCCAATTCGATGGGGAGTGAGCCCAAAATCGAGTTCATAATGGAGAGACATGCGTAGGACTCGCTTCTAGATTCCGGGTACCGGGCGAACCGTTTGTAGAGTTGTGCAAGCAGCAAACGTGCTTTGAGTTCGCTTTCGGGCTCGTTGCAGGCCCGTGCGATTTCAACAGCTCTTACAAAAATCGGTGCCAGTTCCCGAAGCAAAAGTTCTGGGTTTTCATCAGATTTCAACAGCATGATGCGCGATTGTAAAATCGCGGCCTGTGCATCGGTTCGTTTCTGCGCTTCGAGGGTCTCGATGGCTTTTGCGTTGGCGTAGAGTGCTTCGTCAGCGCGCTGTAGCTTATAATAAGACTCTGCCATTTGGAGCCATATGCGATAGTCAAGAGCTTCCTGACGTGCCAGCGGCGATTCTAGAAGTACGTTCAACGCCGATTGTTCATTCCCGCCCTCTTGGCCCACTGCTCGTGCAAGCGCAATCAAAACCGTCACATCACCTGGAAGTTTCTCGACTGCCCTTCTAAAATGTTCGATCGCGGCCTTATTAAGCCCCATCGTCCAAGCTATCCGTCCACATATCGCATACGACTCTCCTAATGCTCCCTCGAAGCTTTGCAACGCTCGACTGCCGTCTTCCGCGCCTGGCACACCGCGCACGAGATTCTTGCCCAAGCTCTTGGAATCGCGCCGCTTATTCTGTCTAACACGCTTACCAGTAGCCATATCAACGCAGTTCTGGTCTCGTTAAACACCTAGACTACAAAAACCTGAACTCAAGATTATTTTCCCAAATTCCTACTTACTGCGGTTTGACCGAACACCACACAGCAAATTCTTTCTACACTTTTGCCCAGCAGTGCCTGTTTTCTGTTCATCCGGTGCATTTTTCCTGTGTACATGTCGGTTGACGCGGGGGTAACAGTCAAGAATGACGCACTCTCCTAAGACAACCGGTGACCGGATTGGCTTGAAACTAGGCAGACGCCGTATATATGATCTAAAAGCTGGCCTTTTTTTTGCGTGCGAAATACTGCTAATGTGGCTTTTGAGATCAGGAAGAGCTGCACGCTTACCGTCTGCCGATTGCCTTTGATTGACTGCACTATTGGAAAGGGAAGACGTAAATGTAGATAATGTAGGGTCATAACCAGAAGCTGTAGGAATTGGCGCAACGTCGTACCTGGAAACCGCTTCTTGTGCCTAGATAGTGCCTATATGTGCCTTATTAATTGCCTAGATAGTGCCTATATTGTGTGCCTAACGCCGGCCCGTTTTTGCGCTTATGGCCGAGAAAAGAAATGAAAGTTTCCATTGCTATGTGGAGATGCCGCTCAGGGGCGAAGATTTTCGGAACGTGGGGCCTGAGGTTGCAGCATCTCTCGGGATATGACTTGCCTGTATGTGCCTGTATGTGCCTTCGAGCTGCCTTATCGTCTGGCACTTCGAATGGTTACGTCGACATATCTAGGTGTTTATCAACAATCGCACTGCGCAAACCGACGATAAACCGAGGCTAGCTAAGGTTGCTCGTAGCGCCGGCTGTTCCTACGAATGTAATTATGACGGTTTTCTTCAGAGCAGATCATAACAAAAGCGTTTATGGATACAAATGGTTTGGATCGCTGGCCAAACGTATACGGTAAGTACATATGAGAAATCATGGCGGATCAGAGCAGATCCTCTCTATAAAGTGACGGTGACGACGCCTGTCGTCGTATGCAAGCGGTTGTAGCATTGTGTGTGCGTGTGTCTGTTTGTTTGTTCGGTTCATAATCACAATAGACCCAGCGAGTTGGCCAAGCCTCCCGAAAAGGCAAGCGACCACGTGAGGGACATGCCATTGTCTAGATACGAGGTGTCGAAGTCTTCCGCGGAAAAGGCCTCGTAGGAGCTTGCTGGGTCGAAAAGTGCCTTGTTGAGCAGCAAGAGACCCTTCCAGCCCCCTTGGACGTTGTCGATTATGCCAGCTATCTTCTCGTTCCACTCCTGACCGACAAATGTAGGCCCACGAATTTCGGAGGAGACTGGCGTAATCGGTAGCATGTGGATACCGTTCTTGTACTCGGTGTTGGTGCCAAAGTAAGTAGTGTAGTCTATTATATTGTCGAAGAGAATGCCCGCGACTTTGTTTCCAATAATTTGGGCAGGTTCCACGGTGTTGTCATCGGAATACAGATAGTAATCGTTCATAGATCTCTTCATGATGGCGATCATCACGTCTGCGCGACGCTCCATCGAGGCATCGCCGATGACAGCGCCCCACATCTTCATGCCGTACGCGAAATTGTAGTCTTCGGACGAGGATTCTTGGTTTTTACCGTTAGGGTTGGCAAACAGACCCGCGGCCCACGAGTGACCGTTGAACCAGTCAAACATTCTTGATACTGGGAAATACGTGTCGTCAGCACTAGGGTTAGCCACGTCTCGGATTAGCGCATTGACCCAGTCCTTGTGGTCGCGGGCCCACGTACCGCCGAGCTGGGCGTCTACGTAACCGACAGCCGCCGCCGCATGCACAATGTAGCCGTAGTGGAAGTGGTGGTCATTGTAATAGGTGTTGCCGAAGTCGTAGCCAGTCGCGGTGGAAGCCCAGTCACCGGAAGAAACGACACCGCCAAATTTGGTGTCATAGTAGAGTGGATAAAGCTGTTGGTTCAAAAACAAGTGATCGAATGCGTCCTGTAAGTTTTCTAACGCAGCCTTTGCGACGCCTTGGTCCTGCAAGATTTCTTGAACTGTCAGTAAAATGTAAGCATATTTGTCGATGACTTTACCCAGATAGTAAGTGTTTAGGCCCGAGACAGAATCCCAAACGTTGATGTTCAGTTCTCCATTGGCGACTTTGGAAAGTTGGTCCAATTGATCTGCACTGTAGGACAACCCTGTTGAACCAAGCTGTGATGACCAAGGAAGCCAGCCAATTTCGGTATTGATAGTTTCCGTAAAGGACAAAGTGTTGGTCAAAAGACCCTGCATTGTACCCTTAGTGGTCGATTGCAAAGTGATTCCGGTCAAAGCGGCCTGTGTATCGGATGTGAAAGCGGGCGTTTGGTGTGGTAGTGCGAAAAGCATGGTCTTTCCTGACGCGGAACGACCACTGGTAGAGTACTGAAACTCGTACGAGGCGGTTTCTCCATCAGAGGTACCCGCCAATGTGTAGGAAGTGGCATACATTCCGGCAGCGTAATCGTAGTAAACTTCCAAAGCCTCCTCGTCGGGCGCAACGGCAGATTGAATAATCAAGCCATCCAGGGCGACATTTCCAACAATTTGATTTGATCCAGAGAACGATAATTGGAAAGAGTTCGTCGAATAACCGTCGGGGACGGTAACGTAGAGCAGCCATGTAGCACCAGTGTTCAAGCTGACTCTGTATTTCAAGATACCTTGCGCGAGTAAATCAGAAGAAGTAGCGTCGATGGATAGGATGGCCGCGGAGGTCGAGATGACGGGCACGAGCGAACCATAGTAAACACCGGTGACAAAACCCATTCCCTGCACCAGAGGTAACAAAAGAGTGTTACTGGCAGACCCGTCATTGATGGAGACTTCGCAAGACGAAACGGTCATATTGCTCACATACATGTTGAAATTTGACGAGCCAAAGGATTTTGCCGAGTAAACGAGTGAAGCAATGCCCAGTGGGTTGACGAGGTATTCCGAGTTACCGGAGGAATCGTAATTTCCGAAACTGTACTGGGACTCGGTGCTATGAGACACTGCGAAACCGTAAACGGAGGGGGAATGGTACTTCCAGACAGAGTAGGGATAGACAAATGCGGCGCTAGATTGGTCGCCGACCATTAGGTTGGTGTAGAACTTGTTAGTTTCGTAAGGAGAGCCGTTGTTGGAGACGCCCGCGGCCAATTCCATTGGGTTTGCGTTTCTGCTGTACACGGTGGGTGGTTCCTGTGTGTCAATGGAGTCGAAGAGGCGGACCGTGGAGGGAGTGACCTGGATAAGAGAGACGGTGGGGGTGGACGCCGAGGAGGAGGGCGCCGAGGAGGACAAAGCAGTGCTCGCGACATTTGTCGATACCGATTCGCTGGTAGTGCCGGAGCTGCTGTTGCCGGAGCTGGCGTGCAACGTGTAAGTAGCGGTCACCGACGTGGACGATAGAACTGTGATGTTGCCGCTCACGGATGTGATGGCCGAGACCATGGTAGTGGTGTGCAGTGTGCCGCTGGCGGGAGAAGAGGGCGACGTGGCCATGGCCGCGACGGAAGTCGGCGTGGAAATGGTGCGAGGACCCGTCAGGGACGAAACAACGATCGAGGTTGACAGCGCGCTCGAGCTCAAGGATTGGGTCACGAGCGGCTGTTCGGACCTGGACGAAATCGCGGTCACGTAGGAGCCGGTTTGGGACTGCGACGTGGCGACCGACGGTGGAGCCGAGAAAACGACGCTAGTCGAGGTCGAGGCGGTGCTTGGTAGGAGGTTTGTAACGGGCGTGACGGGCGTTGCCGCCGAGACAGGCGAAGCCGCGGAAGCCGCCGACGCGGCTGGCCCGCTGGGGCGAGCCGAGGGCGCCTGGGGGGCCCAGAACGCGTCTGACGTTGTCGCAGACCCGTCTGGCAGAGGCGGGTCCGCGGAAGCAGCCGCGGAAGCAGCCGCGGAAGCAGCCGCGGAAGCAGCCGCGGAAGCCCCGCTCACCGTGTACGGCTCCGTCGCCGACACTCGTACAGGGCGACCGAGCTCGACGTACACTTCGCCGATCTCGACGGTCGTGGTGTTCAGGTGGAGCAGCGAGTCCGTCTCGCGCACCACGTCAGAGGCGTTGGCGTAGAAGGCCGCGTGCACGTGCGGCGCGATCTGCGCCACAGCGCCCAGCGCTATCACGAGGTTTCTCAGCATGGGAGAAGTAAGGACGAAAGCTGGAAGGCTGGAGTTTGCGCTGAAGCTGTTTGCAGCGGTTACAGGCCTGGATCAGCGTTCTCGACACTTCAAACACTAGACAGAACACGCTTATATAGTGCGCACCTGAAACGCACTGTCCGTATATTGATGCTGCGGAACCGCGCTGGTTGTGCTTGTTGGCCGCTGTTTACCGCCCAGGCCCACTGCGCTCAGCCAAGCGGGCGCCAATTAGCGGCGACCAAGCAGGACGCCGGTTACCCGGATCCAACCCGGACACCAATTTCTTTGCGACCCAGCCGGCCCCCTAATTCCGTGCAGAGTGCTCGCCTGCCCGCGAGCGCCGAGTCCCTCGGCGCTTCCGCGGCGCGCCGCGGCGCGCCGCGGCGCACCGACACGCCGATCGCAGGCGCGGCCTGCGTGCCTGCAGGCGCCGCCTGCATGGTGTCGCTGTGACGCTTTGCCAACCCGGGGCGGATCGCAGGCGTTGCTTTGTAATCACACGGCCCGTTGCACGTGGCGACCGCGCAATCCCGCGGGTCGCCAACCCACCTCCGGGGCGGCGGCCGGCAACAATGCACAGATCTCCGCTGCAGCCCTGCGTCTGTCGGCCGGCACGCGCATGCACAGAAACCTGCGCCTGCAGCGGAAGACGCCCGAAGACGGCGGAAAACGCCGGGCTGCATACGACAACGCCGCACGGCGCCGGCTCGGCGCCGACACTGCGCCCGAGAATCGCAAGGGGCAATAGGAAACCGCGCCGGCAGCGCACCTGGCGTTTCCGCATTTGCGCGTCCCGGCGTTGCGGGCCCGTCTGCGCAGCGCCGCCGCGGGCGGCAAGGGAGCCCAGCACGCGTGGCCCAACCAGCTCTGCAATTGACAACCGTGCTGGTGAACGGTCGAAAACTTATAAGACAAGCGCGGTGCCCAGGCCAAGAGAATGTACGACGCAGCTGGCACGGTCAAAAGGCCTTTTCAACGCACGAGAGCCAACCGCTGCGTGCAGTCCCGAGAGACGAACGGATCCCCAAACACAGATGGCACCTGTCTTTCGCTTCCGCAGACCGCCCCTGCAATTTAGTTCCTCTGAAGAGGCGCTCGCGCTTACGCCCACGGACGAGCTCGCGGACGTAGCCTCGGGGCTCCTGTACACGGGCGGTCTGGGTGGACTCGGCGCCGACCCGCTCATGTTTGTCCACAGGGGCTCCGTGGCCGCGGGCTCCCTGCACACGGGCGCGGCGGCGCCGGCGGCGGCGCCGCCGACGCCCGTCGAAGCGCCGGGCTCGACCGCGTCGGCGTTCCCGTTCGCGCTGTTCGACGACGAGTTTGCGGCGCGCGCCGCGGACCCCCCAGACACCCACGCAGACGGCCGCGCAGGCGCGCTCGGGGCCGCCAGCCCCGCGGCGCCGTCTGAGTCGCCGGAACCGCCGTCGCCGCCCGTCGCGAAAACGACGCGGTCACGTGCCTCGTTCAAGTACGAGTGTCCCGAGTGCGGCAAGAAATTCCAGCGGCCCTCCTCGCTGCAGACACACAAGAACATACACACGGGCAAGAGGCCCTACGCGTGCCCGTTCGAGGACTGCGGCAAGGTGTTCAACGTCCGGTCCAACATGCTGCGGCATTACAAGCTGCATTTCAAGGCACACGACGCGCCGGACGAAGTGCCGCACGAAGTGCCGCACGACGCCCCGCTGCGTCTGGCGCCGTGCCTGGCGCCGTGCCTGGCGCACGCCCACCGCCCGCATCCGGACAAACACCAGCATTACCAGCATCCACAGGCGCTGCGCAGCATTACGTAACGCCGAGCGGCCCCTTTCGCGTTGCTCTCGTCGTGCTCCCGTCGTGCTCCCCCCACCAGCGCTGGCGCTGCCGTCGTATACGAATGTAATTACGTAATCGCAAGACATACCCCGAGGGGTGAGACGGAAGAGGCGGCGATAACTGGATACGCGTTCCGCGGGCCGCGGTACAGATGTGGCGGGTGACGTAAGCAATGCAGAGCCCCTGCGCAGGCACGCAGGCAACGCGGAGTAGGCCGGTATGCAACCCGTAGCAACGTCTACGGCACCACCTGCGACAGTTCCCGCCGATCGAACAGCAACTGCAGGCAATTCTGCTCTTCGTCGCCCCACACGCGCTCCAAGAACCGGCGCATCTTGATGAAGCTCTGGTTGTGGAAGCTCTCGCCGAAGTTCACGGTGTAGCGTAGCACCGCGGCCCGGTCCGCGATCGTAGTCGCGAAACAGCCCGCCACGACGAGCGACCACGGCAAAATGCCCCAGATGCTGCTGGTCAGCGGGATCTGCGCAAACGCGGCCAAGATCTCGCGCAGGGTGTCGTGGACGGCGGGGTCACGTGCCTCGAGCTTTTCGTAGTCTATCACCTTGGACACCAGCAAGTAGGTCGATTTGGTGACGATCTTGGCCACCAGCGAGTTCAGTTTCGCGGTCTCCAGCTTCTGCGCGCTCGACCGGGCCGCCTGCGGCGGCAGAACCGGGTTCGTGTAGAACAGGCACGTGGTTCGCAGCTGCCGCGCCCGCTGCATCCAAACGGACCCCGGCTGCAGCGGCATCGGCATGCGCGCTATGTACGAGGCCTTTGCGAGGATCTCGAACGCGTCGAGCGCAGAGCCCAAAACCGGGTTGTTCATCCACTCGAACTCGCAGTGGTACAGGGGACACTTGAGCACGTGACTCAGCTCTTTGAAGATATCGAACGGGCTCGGCAGCCGCGAGACGTCCGTCGCAAACAGAATCGCGACCGAGTAGTTGTAGATGAAGCTCTCGATGTACATTCTTTCGTGCGGCTGTAGCACCAACTCGCGTTTCAACCGGTCCTGCGCCGGGTCGCCCATGAATTCGTTCTCAATCGTGTACACCAGATTCTGGAACATGATCGCGGCACTCGAGCGGCGTTTCTGGCTCTCAAAATAGGTGTTCTTGATGATCACGTACGACCGAGACAGACACTTGACGCATTCGTCGACGCAGCCCAGAAACGTGCTTTTGTTGCGCAAGCACATCAGCTGGAACGACGCTAGAAGCCACAATTCCACTCCTCGCAGCGCATTCTCGCTCAAGTACTTGTCTATCAGCATCTGGCAATTGTCGTACAGCTCCTTCGAGAGCGTCGAGTACCGCGGCCTGTCGAACCATTCCAAATACGTGGCGCCGCAGCATAAAAACACTTCCTTCATGATGGCGTTGTTTTCGACCTGCGGGATGAACGTTGCACATGTTGTCAGCAGCGGGTGCGTATCTTGCGGGCCCAGCTTCGGGATGAACTTTCTAATGCACACGTAGAATAAAAACGCCTCGTCGTTTTGGTCCATGCTCGAATCCAGCGCCCCGCCGGATTCCAGTTTTTCGATGATTCCTTGGTACCGAAGCGTCGCAGAGTTCTTGACATCGTCCAAGAAACTGTAATTCGACCGAAACACTTCTTTTGGGTCCAGAGCAGACTGTTCCTGCGTCGTCGGCACGTCGGGAGTGTCCCTCCTTGTAAAAGTGATATCCGCAAGAAGACCACCTTCCAAAAACCGGTACGGCTCGATTTGCAGGTCCAGAGGTTCTTTAATCGGCTCCGGATTGTGTTCCTTAGTTTCAGGCTCCACGAACTGTGCAGAATCTTTAAGTTTTCCGCAAATGCTTTCACACTGACTTGTCGACGTATCCATCATTGTTACTGATCGTTTCGACATTTGTATCTCATCATCGAAAACACGGACAAAAGTCAAATCATTCGCACCAAGCGATTCACCATCGTCACTCGTACGCTCCACACCACTCTCAACAGGCCAACGACATGCCAGAAAATTTCTAGCACAACCTGTACATCGAGGTTTTACCTCATCGCATTTCTTCCTTCTTTGACGGCAAGTTAAGCATCCTTTCTTCGACCTCTTCTCGGTTTTCTTTGCAATCTCTTCACCATATATCCTATTGGCACGAGACCTATATCGTACTTTGACCATGTGTATCTGTGATAGCGTATCTATATTTTCATCTTTGACTTTCCATCAGTTCTTTGATTCTGGTTCCTTCTTATCTTGTTTTTTTGCTTATCTAGCTGATAAGCTCAAGAAGCGCAGATCGGTGATGATCTATCTGACAGAGTAACAGTTGTGACAAGCTTAAAGTTCAAGCAGTTTACGCTATTTATGCAATTACAGAGCGAGATGACAAGTTTGTTGTGGGATATAAGACCACGCCGGAATCAGGTTGATAATCAGCAGGAGTTAACACTTCAGAATACGCCTGTGAAAGCTCTTGCAGCGGCTAGCTTTTCTATCAAAGAGTCGATGGCCTCGAAATTCACATCATCTTGCGCGAAATGTAGATGTTTTTCTGACTTCACATGCTGCGACAAACTCTCATACTTGACGCGACAGTTTTCACAATAACCGGAGCCCATGCGAGCATCCTGTCGCTTGACGACAGTTTTTTTTTCCTTCGATTTTTCGTCTTTTGGTGCGTCGTTGGTTTCGTCTGCGTTAAGTACCGCGGGAGAAACAGTCATGGGTACGCTTTCTCTGGTTGTGGTCGCTGTGGGTTTGGATGGCTGTAGTTTCTTGTCGACCACCAAGCGGTTTAAACTTTTCATGCTTTTGTTCGTTACAGATGCCTTCGTAGGTCCCAGGCCGTTTCCGACGGATGCGGACCCCTCATTCGATTGAGTCACACCGCTGGCTTTGATTTCCTGTGGAATGCGCGATTTTTTTCGACACAAATCGTCTGCGAGTTCCTCTGTTTCTTGTCTCATAAGTGTGGGTGCGATATTGATGTTTGCGAGCGCAGGCGTCTTCCAGGCGGTTTTAAAAGGTGGCTTCAATGACGTGGATGCAAAACTATTAGATGGGGAAGCCTCCTGTTTCTGACCAAGGGGTTCAATGGATTCGTCAGCTTTACCTTCTTCCAAATTCAATTGGCCCAAAATGTGGTGGTAGCATTTCTTGGAGTTTGGATGGTTGTGTGGGAGCAACAGGATTTCTGATTCCTTCACTGTGGACACCTGACGTGGTTGTGCGCTCTCTTGGTAGATGAGACGCAAATGCAAAGCGTATTCCTCGTTGTACTTATCTCTCCGATACCGTTTGATGATTCGCTTGGAACTTGCCTCATTGCAATGGCCATCGCCCACAAATGGGCACCTCCCGAAAGTTCCCGGCTTCAAATCTGGATACGGAAGTTTGTCCGAACACGAAAGCTCGTGCGGTCTCCATTCTGCTGTGATGAGTGGCGCCCACACTTGCCACAGGTCGTACAAGTAAACGTGTGGATATTTGAAATAATGTACATCATCGCGTCTGGCACGCGGGTCTCTGTCTGAGGGCCCATACAGCTTTTCGTTCTGCAACAGGTTCGACAGTGTCGGATGCGCCTGTTGCGCCGAAGTCTCTAGCGCTTCCAAATCGACGTCCAGATTCTTCAAAAACCTCAGAGCCTTGTCATAATTCCATATCTTCATATATCTCCTGTGTGCGCGCACCAGAACGTCCGTGTCGGGCAACGACTCATGATCTTTGATCGTGCGTCTGGTGATCACGACCGTGACGCTGGTATCGAAAAAGGATGTGATTGTCGCGCCTAAAGACGAAAAGCCTTGTCGCAGAATATCCCGTCTACGTTCGAACTTGTGTTTTGGCTCTGTTACTTCCGTATTGTCGAAATATATCTTCGTATCCTTGCGCAAGATTTTCCTCCAATTTGCTTGCCATTCTGCCAAATCGCGCGGCGTAACTTTGCTTTGTTCGGCTACAGCCTTCTTAAAGTCGTTTTGCTTGTTCGTTTGCACCGCACCTTCGATATTTCTTCGCGATATTTGGCCAGTCTCCACTGTTTTCGCCCTTTTCAATTGTTGTTGCTCGAGCCTCTCGACCGTCTTTCGCTTCACCGCTTCGACATTTCTCTTTGCATTCGTGTCCGTCTCCTTCAATGGTGCACGTCCTGTCTTGAAAGTGCCCTTCACAGGCGAAATGATTGGCATTGTAGCCTAACTGCACCACACCAATGGTTCCTCGGAGCGGGCTATATGTTAAAGAAAGACGCGATAAATTTTGATTTCGCGTGATGAGAAGACGCGTTCGTATAGAAGTATACATATTGTGTTGTCGTACCTCATGATGTTTCTAATGTTATAGAGGTGATTACCAGATCTTACAGTTAGGTCTTCCGGTTGAAGGTTGGCAGCTCTTTTCGAGTATATTACAGGTTATTGAGACGAAGCATGTAGTTTGCAAGTTCTCTTGGTCTTTTCGGACCTTGTCTTCGTGAAATGTGGAAAATCGTTTAATAAGAGAGATTTCGAGTTACTAGCTCTCTTCCGTAGTTTTCTCTGGCGCCGCTTCTGCGTCGCCTCCACATCGCGTTGCACTCTTCTTGGCCTTTTTTAGTCTAGCTTGTATCCAAACATGTCCTTGAAAGCACCGATTGCGTACTTCATTTTCAGTACCATGAGTCCATATGGATAGTTGGGGTTTGCAATGAACAACAGCAGCAAATTGCTACGCGGCAGTTGTGCTACACACGAATGCAGGTCTTCAAGCTCGTATGTGTAAATTCTGGTGGTTTCCCTTTCGAGATCGTACGTATAGCAGCATTCGGTAGTTTGCTCGCTCACATCTCGCTCATCTTCGCTCCACTTGTCCTTGATTAGTAAAGCCATCATCTTCAGATTGTTTATAGAGCTATTGTATCCCACAGACGAAGGTTCAGTGTTCGCATACGAGATTATCGCTCCATTATCGGATGATATCAGCAGCGAAGAGTGAAGGGCTTCCTGAATCGAATGTTGCGTCTGAACAGGGTTTAAAGTCTCTGTGAGAAGACTTTTGATATGACGACCGTGTAGCATGTGACGGGCACTAGTTGGAAGACTTTTTAAGGCCTATTTTAAAGCCTGTTCTACTTGAACTTGAAGACGGTCCGGTTCGTTTTCCACTACTTTTTTCACTATGTTGAAATTTAAACAATTAAGACAGTTGAGTCGAACACAGACCAAAAAACCAACATTTATGCAATTTGGGTCACCAGTGGGCCACTAGTGTGTCATATGACGTTGCTTCTTTCTTTGGTTGTCGGACTTTTATCATTAAAGCTATGTATGACAGTTTTCCTGGACCTTAGGCATAACCACAGGAAAACCGTAGCCGGAAGCACAAGTCCAGGGCCAAATCGGCACGCAGGGCAGCAAGCAAGCCAAAGTTTCTGCGCACTTCCCTGCACAGTCTCCGGAAGCGTGCACTCTGACAAATCTTTGTTTTTCCCTTGACTGCTTGCCTCTTTCTTTCCTTTCCCTTGCCCAAAATAGTAACCCAGCTTCATTCACTTATTCCCAAGTTTGACGTCTTCCTCTAGGTCGTCACTTTCGTCTTCGGCCTTGCATGGTTGTTTCCGATCCATGACGCTATCGTTATCCACGCTTACATCATCATCCTCGTCTATGTCGTTCTCGTCGTCCTCGAACTGGATGTCCTGATCGTCGTCCTCGTCTTCGTAACTGTAGATGTTGCCCGCGTCGTCCTCGTCGTCCTCATCGATATCACTGTCATACCAGAAATTGTCTCCGAGATCGCGTGACTCTTCTGGTTCTGCGTGTCGTTGCGACACGTATGCGGTTTGTGACGTGGGCATCACGAACCCCTCGGGGATGTCCTGCTTAGACCGTTCCACTTCCAACTTGACGCGCTGCTTGTACTGTTCCGGGTTTTTTCGGTAATCGACAGCCGCGTCCACGTTTGCAGGACTCGAAATATTCGGGTCTTCCAGCAATGAGACTATCGAAATCAAAACGCTCTCAACAGTCTGCACCGGTGACCATGTCTCCGAGTCGGGCTCGTCAGACGTCGGATCCCCGCTTGTATGCAATATCGAGATGCAAAGTCGTCCGTCACGGTACACATTTGGATGATAAATCGCCGGCGTGAAACGGAAAGTCGGCGGAGAAAACGGGAAATCTTCTGGAAATCGCATCTGCGCTTTAAAATATCCCCCGTGATACATAGAGTCCTCGTTCAGTACCATTACACCGATGTTCCACAGAAAAATGTTAGAATCATCGTCCAACTCGATGTGGAATGACGGAATCGCCTTTTTCGGGTCTGTAAGCTCCCGGTATTGTCTCAGTAATAAACTGGCCGCTGTGTTCTTTCGGTTACTCATTTAGTCTAAACGCCCAACCGCCCTTTTCTGGTGAGCCAGCCCTACCACCTATGGCTCTGTTATCGCGCTGTTTTGGCTCTTCGCTCTTTCTACTAGCTGGTGATACAAGGAGAAATTTTACCCTGGTGGCGAACTTTGTTACCGTTGGACAACGCGGTGTCGTTGTGTACGATGACCGATGAACCCATCTGGGGACAGAAAACCCAAGCTAACCAGAAAAAACTAAAACTGGCACAAGTGAAAGAAGTCGAAAGACTTCTTCAAATGGGCACTTGCTGTTTTATTTCAGTATTTAGGCTTTGGGCAATGCATGTGCCCTTTTTCCGGACGAATTACGACACTTAACGTATGAAAAACTTTAACTTAATATGAATACAGAAGTCCAACAATTAGCATACCAGCTATGGATAGAAAGAGATACTAACCAGAATTCAATGCATTCCGAGTTTACGATATTTCTCGACCATCGACCAGTACATGTGTTTTTGTCTGTTTCTCCACCAGGGTCCCGTGTAAACCATGAGTAAGAAGGTGAGATTGCAGGCAAAACATATAAATCCCACGCTGATAAAACATTTCTTGTAACCCAGATCTACCACCCAGTCCGTTATACCGTAACTTACCGCAAATGACATGCAGTTTCGGATCACAATGACGACGACCATCGCCTCGGTGTCGAGTTCCTTGTAAGAATCCACCACGTATGTAGTGGACGACGCAATTCCGAAGATTCCGCAACCTCCAAGAAGTCCCAAGCCAAAAATCAAACCGAACCAGTGGACTTCGTAGTACGCGCCTACACCCCACAAAATGCAGGCTGCAAGGCCGAGAACACAATAAATCGAGAGAATCCATAGTCTGTCCTCTGGCAAACTCAACCCATTTCCTCTACGTTTGGCGATACGCACTTTGAGCCAGTCAGAGCTAACACCAGTTACGAAAAACAGAATCCAGGTGAAAATGGTAGGAGAAAGATACGACACACCCACAATGCTCGCTGAAAAATTGTAAGGCTTGCCTCCCAAAATGAGAGCAGCAGTTGCGTTCAAAACGTTAAACCACACGAGCGACGAACCGTAAAGAAATCCGGCCCACAACACCACGGGAAACCGAGCCATGAAAAATGGAGCTATCGCGTAATGATGTAGCAAGAACTTATCCTTTTTGCCGTTCGTCAGGGAAAGCTTCTGCCAGAAAGTTTTTGGAGTTTTCTGGGCCCCGACATAGTTGTGAGATTCAACAATTTCCACTCTGCTGACTTGATTATGGACATTACTGTTTTCAGCAGACGTGATCGCCTTGATTGGATCTCTGGACTCTTCGACTTGGTAATTCTGTTTCTCCTGGGCGCCGTCGGAACCGGAGTCTTCACCGACTATATCATCAATGTTAGAGAAAACGGCCGCTAGAGTACCTTGACGAGAAGTGAGTGTTATTGGTTTGTTTGTTGTAGAATCGATCTTCAGTTTACGGTCGTAATTGGTTTCTTCCATGAAGAAGAACAGGAAGACGAAGCACACAGCACCAAAGATGGCGCACCACCACATCACCCATTCCCAGCCTTGTCCTTGCGAAATAAAGCCTGCGACGAACGGAGCAAGATACGATGCGGATAGAAGTGTCAAACCATACAAAGATAGGGCAAGCGATCTTTCGTGCTCGAAAAACAAGTCACTCATGGAAATTTCTGGCAGGGATTCGATCGTAGACCCGAAAAATCCTTGTAGAATCTTGGACGCGATCCATTCGCCATTGGATTTGGTGTAGGGAGGCCATACACAGATCATTGCCGTAGCCAACATCGAAAATAGGTACACTGGTCTTTTGCCAAATTGCAGTGCCAGGGGTTGGAATACAAGGCAGCCCAGTCCGAAAAACAGAAACATGTACCCCGTCCCGTTATTCAGGTCACCTAATGAGATATTTCTGTTTTCTTCGATGCTGGCCAAAACCGAATAGATTGCTGCAGAAGGCACTCCGACTCCCAACGTGTACACTAACACGCAAGCGACTGCGGTCCACTTGCGGAGTGGCGTCCAATTAAGTGGGTCGTTGACATCGTCTGACGGCGTTGGTATGAGCACAATTTCGTTTTTCACTTCCCCCGTTGCCGTTTTCTCGCCGATATCAACGAGGTGCGAATTTCCTGGAATCGCTTCGTAATTCAGCTCTGCTATCATAATATGGGAAGTCTAGGCTGCTGGTCTGGATTGAGACCTATAGCCTTGTAACACATCGTTTACGCTTTTCTTATACGTCTATCGCTGCAATTGTTTATCAGGTCGATCTCGAGCCAGAGCCTTTGGCCAGGCGCTTGGAATCTGATTTCTTGGCGATTAACGCAATGATAAGGGGTAATCGCAAGTGTTGATTGTAGATAATTGAATAATGCAGCCATTTAAAGTCTTAGTGAACCTCAGCCATTGTCACAGTCATCGTCACCATCATCGTCACAAGCACCTTAAATTGACCCGTTGGCGGTTTATCTATCTTTATCTCTATCACTGATAACGCATCGCGATAATTTTCTCCTGGGCGCGATTAATTTCTTATCGTCGCGATTAATTTCTATCCAGTGAGAAAAAAAGCAATTAGCGCGTTTAGGTCGGAATTTCGGGATAAGAGGAGGCTAGATGATAGCCGAGTTCAAAACCGAAATAGAAGTGCTTAGCAGATGCTAGCAGATGTTAGCAAGATTACTGGGTAATGGTCATGTGAAATCCGTGGTGAAAGTACCATAATGGTCTTATGCGCAATGACGTAAGGAGATTGTGAAGCATTGAGTACAGTTCCTGTCGTGAGGATCTCTCGCGGTATGCCGTGCACGGAGCCTATAACAGACCAACTTCATCTTCGAAAGTTGAGAAGTTCATTGGGCTCCCCACGCATAGCCGAGTTCGAAGGAGCATAATGGCAGTTGCAATGTAACCGGCCATTACGTGAAATACCTTTAAGCCAATGAGGACTAAGACTACTTCTTCCGTCGTACTCGTTTTTTTTGACCCTCGATTGCACTCACGGGTAGGCCTTGCTAAGGCTTCAGGAATCTTTTCCAAATTGTCGCTTAACAATATCCTTATCAGAATATGAAAAAGATAAATGCAGCCAGGCAGCGGCTGATATCGAGCTCGATATATAAGAAGGATAAGCGAGGGACATTGCAGAAACTTTATATATCTGTTCCTGTAGAATAAGAGACAATCTTTGACACCGGTTTTCCTCTCCGCGTTCATCTCACCACATTTTACTATGACCAAAGAGACTTTTGAGCCTCAAGACGCTACAAAATTCGCCAAGTATACACCTTTGATAGAGAAATACAACCAAGATGTCATTGATCAGATGAAAATGTTCGATGAGGCCTTTTACAAGAAGTGTCTGACTCAAATTCCGGACGAAGAAGAACTTGATTCTGAGCCCATTGATGCTAGAAAATATCTGTCGTTGTTATCCGAAGAAGAACAAAAAATTGTAAATGACTATTCGATTCCCGATTTGACCTCTAAGCAATTGAAAGGTGAGTTGACTGCCGTTCAAGTTATTGAAGCTTATATCAAGGCTTCAATTGTCGCCCAGCTTACCACCAACTGTGTCATGCAGTTTCTTATTCCAGAGGCCCTCGCCAGAGCTCGCGAACTAGACGCATATCTGAAAAATCATTCTAAACTTGTCGGACCGCTACACGGTGTTCCTGTATCTTTGAAAGAGCAGATGAATTACAAGGGTAAATCGACAAATGCTTCTTATGTGGCGTACCTTGAGAACATTGCTGAGAAAGACGCCGTCTCTATTGGTATTCTGAGAAGACTAGGTGCCGTTTTCCATGCCAGGACTGCTCAACCTCAGGGTATTATGCATCTCGATACCTGGAACAATATTAACGGCCGCACCAGAAACCCAGTATCGACCAGATTGTCGCCAGGAGGCTCTTCTGGGGGAGAATCCGCTATTGTTGCGATGCATGGTTCAGCGATCGGCCACGGAAGTGACATCGGTGGAAGCGTCCGCGCTCCTGCAGCATTTGCAAACCTCTACGGTATTCGTCCCACAACAAGACGCCTCTCGTTGCTGAACGGTCTTTCCAGTGGGAAAGGACAAGAGTCAATTGTTGCTGTTCAAGGTCCCTTGGCTAGATCAATCGAGGAATTGAACATGTACATGGATGTTTACATTAACGAAGGCAAACCTTGGGAATATGATCCGCTATGTGTCCCATTGAAATGGAGAGAGCCTTCCTTACCTGCAAAGATCAAAATTGGTGTGTTGTACTCCGACAACCTCGTGACGCCGCTGCCCGCTGTCACCCGTGGTATGAAGACTGTGGTCGAGAAGTTGAAGGCCGATCCATCTTTCGAAGTCGTGGACTTGAGTGAAAGATGGTACACTGAAGATGAAATGCTCGATACCTATAATGCGAACCTTTCGCTATACACCTGTGACGGAAATTACGTTCAAGAGTCTATGTTTGGGCCAAGCGGGGAGCCAATTCTACCATTGACCAAGCATTATTTAGAGTTTGGAGGCGGTAAGGAATTGTCTATCTATGAAAACAGAATGCTTAATGCCAAGAGAGACGTCATCAAAGTCGAGCTCTTGGAAAACCAATTCCAAGACATTGATTTTATTTTGTCTCCTACGTATCCTGGTCCCTCTGAATTGCCAGGTGAGTCTCTATACTGGGGGTACACCTCGTTTTGGAACTTGGTAGATTATCCAAATACTGTATTCCCTACCGGAGTTATCCACGATGTTAAAATCGACACTTCGGTGCCTGAACTGAAATCCAACACCTACGAGAGGATGGTTTGGTTTGACAAAGCAGGTAATTTGAAATATGACGCAGAAAATTACATTAATGGGCCCGTTGCTCTGCAATTGACTGGCAAACGTTATTGCGACGAGGACTTGGTTGCCGCAACCCAGAAAATTGCCAACTTGCTCAAAGTCCCCAGACGTTAAAGTAAACTGAAAGTAAAGTTACAATCCCCGAATCATATAGCATGCGTCAGGACACGCAAACATTGTCAACTAAGTAAATAATAAGTGAAATTTAGAAACTTAATTTAGATCGTCATTCCAGTCAAATCCAGTGTCATCTTTGAGGAAATCGGACAGCAGATTCTCTTGCTGCTGTTTGTGTCTACTTGTACCCAAAATCTTCTTCTGTTCTCCGATCTTGGCCTGTAAAAGGTCCTGCTTGTTTGATTTAGTGCGATTTTTGGGCGTCAGGGGTTTATCTCCCACACGATGCGGTTTTCGGTCAAAAATAGCGTTTCTGTCGTTTGTCGACGGCCGTGAAATTTCTTCAGAGTCACTTGACACACCGCTATCGACATCAACCATTCCAAGCCTTAATGCAAGGGGATTTGCCTTTTTCATATCATGTTCTTTCGTTTCCTTAACCTGCCGTGGCCGTGGTAACGATTTTCGCCCTTTTTCAGAAACCAATTTCTTACCGGTATCAGCGGCATGCGTCTCATACTCCCCATGGGCCCACATGCTTGTTTCCAGCCCATTTGATTGGTTCTTCCCGGCTTTTTTCGCGGGTGAGGGTGTCTTTGTCGGACTTGCCCAAATAGAGTCTTCTAATGACATCTTGTAAGCTATAAACCAGCTATAATTGGGCAGAAAATACTATAGAAGAGCTAGAGTTCACGGCCTTAACCACGGCGACTACCGACTCCAGATGACCAGAAACCTGGCACCCAGTTTGCAGGTTTGTTTAACCGTTTATCTTGCTGATTAACCAGATTAATTTTCACCTTCATGAGTGAAATATCGAGTCACCGGCAATGATGATATAAGGTTCCGTACGGGAATATAAGTATATCAAGGAAGCGGTTGAGATAAGGAAATGGGAAAGACATATGATCGAGATCTGATGACAAGATGGGCATTTCTTCGGAGTTTGAAATGGAGGGAAATGGAAATTGGGACTTGAGTAAAGACGAACGGGACGATACCGGTCTTGTCCGGATCTCAAATGAGTACCTGAAGCCCAATGTAGGTCTACTTTATCTTTTGGTTTCAAATTTCTTGAATAGCGTCATGATGGTGAGCACAAAGTTGCTAGAGACAGATCCTGAGTTTGAAGAGCCGATCAAGCCGCTACAGATCTTGGCGGTCAGAATGAGTGTCACTTTTGCTGGAACACTGATATACATACAGTTGAAAAAATCGGAAATTCCTCATGCACCTTTCGGGCCACCCGAGATGCGTAAATGGCTTTTGTTGCGTGGATGTACCGGGTTTTTCGGAGTTTTTGGCTTGTATTACAGTTTGATGTACTTATCCGTCGCGGATTCAACCTTGATCACATTTCTGGGCCCATCTTTCACTGGGGTGTTGGCCTGGATGTTTCTACGTGAACGGTATTCGTTTGTTGAAGCGATTGGAGCTCTCATTTCGTTTTGCGGAGTAGTGGTCATTGTTAGGCCGGCTTTTCTATTCGGAGACCGTTCGGAAGGTGGCAATCTCGACAAACAAGTCGAATCTAGCGACCCGCAGGAACGGTTAATCGCTAGTCTCGTGGCACTTTTTGGTATCTTTTGCGGCAGCGTAGTTTATATCATCATCAGGCATATCGGTCATAGGGCGCACGCAATCTTAAGCGTCACGTATTTCTCTTTTACCACAAGTGTGGTTTCTTTGATCGGAATTGTCGCAATACCGTCGATGGGCTTCCAAATACCACAGACTTCCAAGCAGTGGTTCTTATTTGCTTTGATTGGATTATCAGGATTTTTCATGCAACTTTTCCTGACCATGGGCATACAGAGAGAAAGAGCTGCTCGCGGTGCTTACATGTCGTATGCTCAAATGGTATGTGCCGTGTTTTGGGAAATTGTCATTTGGCATCATTTTCCCGAGTTTTGGACCTGGTGCGGGCTCGCACTAATTGTTGGCTCCGCCGTAATTGTTTTCAGGTACAAACCGGAATACGAAGCGATAACCGAAGTGAATAACGAGGTGTCGGGCCAAATACCTTTAGAAGACTTTGGGCCAGGTAAAAACTAGCCATTTTACTCATGGCAGAGCGACCTCCCAAACTTCACATAGAGACATGTGAATTATAACATTTTATACTTCCCCATAGTCGAGATTGAAGCTATAGACTGCGTGCGAATATAGACTGTAATTTCTATTCATGAGATTGTGATTATGACAGAAAAGGATTTCAAACTCGTGAATTGACTAAAAATGTCAGCACTTACCTAGATATTAGCACCCAACAGCCCCTAGGCCATCAGGTATTCTTCCTCCCCGATGTCTCGTTCTGTTGATATAGTACATATCGAATCAGTTTGCCGTCTTCTCGTCTCAAGAGGTCGATTTGCGACAGTTTGGTATCGACGTGATACTTGCCCTTGAATATAATGAGGTCATTTTTGCTCAATTTCATCTCACCTATAAACCAAACATGCATTGCGTGATTCTCTTCATGATGCCGAAGCGGAAACTCATACTTGAACTCTCCAAGAACTTTGTCTGGATTGATTACCTGAAACACATCGGATGTCTCGAGGCCCAAAAAGTTCAGAATTTTCTCAGCAGAGTCTAAAAGACTGACGGACCGATATGTGAATCTCCATTTCAGCAATTTGGGCAACGTATGCCAATGACGGTTGCCATTCTGATTATCTGCCGGTCTTATGCAAATTCCTCCGATACATGGATCTTGGTCCTCGCACCAAAGGCTAAACTCACTTGTCTTGGGGGCATCACCGTGGGCTGTACGTAGAGGTATCCCATATTGCTCCTTGATCATCGGATGCATCGATAATTTTTCCAACACTCGATACTCTGCTAATTCCTTGATGTCGCTGACATTAAGCTGTTGAAGGTCTCTTTTGCTCAAATTCCGAACTTTCGAAGCAGGATACACTGGAATAAAGATCTCTTCATGCAAATACAGAACTTTGTAACCAACCCCGTAACCAAATACTGTTCCTAAAAGAATCACTACTAGTGCACCAAAAATGTTCTTGTATTTCCTTCGTCGTGCGTGTCGTAAGCTTTGCTGGACAGTTTGCGTGATCAATTCGCTGTCGAGCACCTGATCAGGGCTCTGGTCATGATGCGGTGGTGTAAAGAAATGCTTTGAATCCAGTATCTTGTTCGTCTTGGGTTCTGTAAAGATATGCTTAGGGTCGACAGGGTTTTTATTCAAACGCCGCTGCAAATGCGAAAAACTGCGAATCAATGCCCATTGAGGTCTTGTCCAAGTCGTAAACCATCGATTACGCAACATCTTTGACCATACTCCTCTACTGCAAGGCTTTTACGAAACTAACCCAATACGAGGTTTTTCGAGTTACTTATAAACCCTTAATCCGTGATATTCGTTTAATGCTATATCCAAGAAGCTATTCACAAGATCGTGAACTTGATGATCACCAAGACCATGATTATCGTGATCATCGGGTCCATCACCGCTCAGTGATCTTTCTCTTTGTAATCGATGACATTTATTTTTGAAGAATACATAGAATGTTTGTAGTTCGATATGTCTTGGAAACCCACGCCTGTTGCGGAGCAAATTGTTGGCACATGGAATTCATGAGATACGCAAAGTATTTCAATTAGCTGAAAGAAGAAACGCGGTTAAAAATGCAGCGTTCGCAGTCCGTTGCGCTATGCTGGTAGGAATACGCATTGAGGGCACCACTTTCACAAGTGTTTACCTGAGATTTGACTCTTTCCACACATTTAAGCCTCTCCCGCGTGTCTTCAATGAGTCTCTCGTAATTGTCGCAATATCTCAGGCCCACAGGCCAAGTGCTTCGCTGATTATCATAATCCCAAAAAATACCACGGAATAAACAAAACAAACCCGGTACGATTTGTTTGCTCAATCCTTCTTGGGCTTAATACCTCTGACTGCATTTGGAAGGTAAAGCAGAGGTGCGACCATGGCAACTGCGAAAAGACCCCAGAATGGGTATAGGTACAATTTGGATTTTGGGTGTCTCATCCACAGAGGCTTAGAAGATGCCTGGAAAATTTTTTGCAGTTGAATAACAGTGTTGGCCATGACGGAAGGTGATTTGTTGCGATTTGTATGCACACAAGATGTTATTAAAGTTGAAGACGGTTTCGATCGATAAATCCTTGTCTTGTCTGCCCATCTAAAAATTTTGAAGAATCGGAAAAATCGCTATTGACCAATCAGAAACGGAGAATGAAAAATGTGAATTCGGTCACGTGAATATGGCGTGATTGTCACGGGATTAAACCTACTTAACCACTGTTAAGCCTTGTCAAGCTCCCTCAAGCTTCTTCAAGCGTCATCAAGTTCTGTCAAGTCTCGCCAAACTTCGAAATGAGCCATATCTTCGCCTGCCCACGCTTACGCACGTCATTGAGATTGAGGTGTCATTCACTGCTTTTTCTTTATTTCCGTGATTCAATCTTCGCTTTCGGAATCACTGTCAAGAACAACGGCACGACGTTTGCGTGACTTGCTGAAGCTGTCAGAGTCGGCGTCGGAGCTGGGAGGCTTTAGATTTGGTTCGTCGTCCAAGCTGTCGCCGCTTACGAAACCCTCGGGGTCGTTATGTTCGTCGAATTCGCTGTCGTAGCTATCGCGATCGCTGTCGCCGTAGCCTTGCAGCCCTCGCACGCGCACTCTCTCTATTTCGGAGTCGCTCAGAGGGTCCATCTTGTTTGCATTATCGTCGTCACTCGGATCGTCGACAATGAACGAGTCCATGTCCGAGTCTTCCGATCGGTCTCCTAATCCGTTTCTGCTCACCTCAGAAAAGCTGTCAATGCTGTTTCGACGTCTCTCTGCGGCAAAACGTCTTTCGATGACGGAGTCGCTGAAGGAATCCTCCGATTCTTCTGCCTCCGCATCGACGAGGAACTGACTGGGACCCGCTCCACTGCGCAGCACTCTTAGTTCGTCCTCAGAGTACTCGTCGCTGTTCAATTCCTCATCGGAACGGGTCTCTGCGTTATTTCGGATCTTGGCATCGCAATGCGGACACGTATCGCCCTCAACTTCCCAATGACACCTACTGCAGCGCGCTACACCATCGTCGTTATCGACCACAGCAATTGCAGAGCCTGCGAAGGCACCTTTGAACAAATTTCCACATACTTGGTCATCCCTGAAGAGCGCTAGTGCAGTTTCCTGATCTTCTACCAGCGAAGAAGCTGATTTGGCGTCCAATTCACTTACGAACAAGCGCACAAAGTACTGCAACGCTAGATTCAGTACAGGGGCCTCTTGAACAGGCTGGCGGCATTGTGGACACGAAAACTCAGAAGAGTTATTGCTGGTGAGCCAACTGGAAATGCAATCATAACAGTAATTATGGCCACAAGTCGTCATTACTGGAACCAACATGTATTCGTGGCATATGTTGCAAACAATTGACCCGGTAAATTTTGATATTATCTTTTTGAATGATTCAGAATCCTTCAATGATCTCTTGAGTTAGTAATGGCTTATTATTCAACATCTAGATGCACTCCGAGAGCCTCCAAAATACACATACCAGAAGCTCAACATCGTTTCGATAAAATTCTGTCATTGGAGTAAATATTCCTCACTGTATACCTTTTAATGACTCTGGTCACCGCAGGTCATCACCAGATCAATGAGCTCTGCGATGATGGTTTAAATTTAAGGTAATCGTAGACCTCCTTTCGTGCGAAACTACCTCTCTCGACTCATCGTCTATGCTATGCGCGGTTTCTGCAAACCCGATGACTGAGAAATTTATTGATATTGGCTCGTCGCCGATGGCTATACCTTCATCATTAATTTTGGGCTATATACAGGTATTTATTAGATTTAACTTAAAACCTTAATGCTTGAAACTTTGTTTGGGCGTAAAAACGATATTACGCATGCTAATAAATCAGAACTTTTAGATGAAATGACGAAGAGATGCTGCTCTATGGTGCTTGAGTATCCGGTGGGCAAACCTTTTTCTTAACGCCTTTGTATCCTTTGAGTTGTACGTCGGCGTCAGCCCATTCTTTCAAAAATCTTACCAAAAGTCGCATATCGTTTAGACCGTTGAATTTTAAACCGACGAATCGCGTTAAAAGTGTCTTCTGTTCGGCCAAGATCGCAGATAGCCTGTTCCGTGTCTCAGGAACCGTGGGATCCGAGTGGGCTTTGAGATATTTGAAGAAACCCTTGCAGGATCGAATATTGGCAGGGGTAACTAGCGAAGCATTGGTGTCGGAGTTCCAGTTCTGGAGAGAGCGGAGGTATCCATCAATATCTCTGGATCTTGCATAAGTTCTCAATGCAGTTGAATAAAACATATTGAGTTCGCGAGCATCAGATTTGTTGATTTTCTTCTTGCTGGAATTCAATAATTGCACGGCGCCAGAGTGGTCCTTGAGTCCCAGTAAAATGGATACCAGTTGCAAGTAGTTTTGGAAGTTGAGCGCGTCTTTGTGTTTCTCCTCGAACTCGCGAACTTTTGTCGTGGCTACAAGAAATGCATCAGAGTGGCTGGCCGACGCAACGTGTGTGCGAGAAAGCTCCCGGTACGTGTGGAATACATTTTGTCTGAGCCACAAGATATCTACCTTTAATGGAATGTTGAAATGCGAGCGGCGAAGCAGGTCATCGATCCACTCGCCGGTGGAAACAGAATATTTCAAAGCCAGCTTCAGGAGGGAGTAAAATACCACGAAATGCGGTTTGACCCCTAATATGACACGCTCTTGAATCGTTGCTCTGACCGAAAGGAAATCACCCTCTTTAAAATGCTGCTCAACTTTTCTTAGCAAGCGTGGTTCGTCGAAGCCATCATCAAGAGCCAATCTAGAATTTTTACCATATTCTTTGGTTGTTTTCGTCCGTAGATCACTTATCATTTTGGTCCATAAGACGTGCTCTAACCAATAGTACTGTTTTAGGTAAATGGGCTTGTTCAATAGTAACCGCAGGTCATTTGTAAACTCCTTTGACAACATAGGATAATTCTGAAGTGCGCAAGACCATAGTTGCTCGACGAACACTTTTGTAAGATGACCTCCCTTGAGCGGCCTCACGGCATGCAGAAAATAATCAATTAGCGCTCTTAGCTGGCCCCTTTTGACAAAAATGTGTGCGATATATTTATGATATTCTTCGTTCAGCGACACGGACGTGTCCCTTGAGACATGCGACATGATATGGTTTATCAACTGAAAATCGTCCGCTGCTACAGCGATTTGTAGCATGCGGTAGTAAAAATTGTTGCCTCCTGTGCCTTCAATTTGGTCAATGAAAGAGTCCATTTTTTGAACAATCATCTCTTTGTCAGTTAGTTGATGAGAATGTACCGCATGGCAAAAATTACAAAATTTGTATTCCAAGCTGTCAGCATATTGTAAACTTTTGAGCTCATTTCGTTTTATTAGAGCTTCAAATGCCTGCTTATCTCCATAACGCAAAGAAAGCTGGTGAAATAGCATCATCGTCCTCTTCTGTGGCAAAAGTTGTGATTGTCTCGCATTTTCGAGCCACAGGTTGAGTACAGCTTTCATGGCATTTAAGTCTGAAGTTTTAAATATTTCAAACGCGAATTTATGGAACCCACTCGAGGTAATGGGAAACGTTTCTTGATTTTTCAGTATTTGATTGTAAAATTCTTTTGCTAGTGGGAAATTCTTGGACTTGACAAACGCTAAAAGTCCCAATTCAACTATCGCTGACTCCAGGTATGGCTGCTTGATGTAATGCGAGAAGAGACGTTCAAATGTTTGGAAATTCCGGAGCCCAAATTCTGCCCTCAAAATTAGACCAAGGAACCTCGAATAAGCTTGCGCACTGCAAGATTTGGCTAATTCCGGCAAATTACCTTCATAGGCTCTGTAGATCATATCTATGTCCCGGAATCGCTCCAAACTTTGTAACTGTTCCAGCAAAACAAGTAAATCCTCAAGTATAAAGACGACGTTTTTCGATTGCCGCATTTCCACCACTTGATCGGCAACAGACAACGGTGCAGCCACAAAAACTTGTTTCCAAAAGTTCAGAAAATCAGCATCCCGAACGCAATTTATCTGTCCAATCTCCCTTAACTTTGCCTCGTTTTTCTTGCGAGCAATGCTTTTTTGATTTCCAGACGCTCCGTCACAGCTGGAAGTCTGGGTCCATGATTTCAACAATTCTAAGTTTCGACCCTCCTGATCTGACCCACTATAGGCTCGAATTCGGTATTTGTGACAGTAAATCACTCTTTTCAAACGTCCCGGTCGCAGAAAATATGAGCTCAAGATCCTCCGTTCTATGTGCATCGCTTCCAACAGACATTAATGACTCGTTATTCGTTATGCTTCGACTTATGCAGAAAGAATTGTGAAGTCAACTGACGAGGCCAGCTCAAGAAGACCGTATTATTCCAATTGCTGATATAATGCCACAGACCAGAAAACTCGATCTAAAGCGTGGCCCTTCGCTTAGGGATTTACCAGTCTTAGTCGAAAATTTTTCGAACTTTTTAGAGGAGTTGTTAAAGTGAAAATTAAAATCGATTAAGATTCCCGTGCTTGAGAACTTTAAGAATCATAACAATCAAGATCCATAGAATACAGTAGAACTGATATTTGAGTCGGCTAATTCGTTACTTTTTAATCGTAAATGCTTGTGTAGTGGCTATTTTCTTGGACGGAATAATATATTCCGGACAGAATACATCTTTTCAAATTGGGTAACAGCTTAACGATACTGTCCATGTAGGAATTGAAAAAATGCATAATGACTTTCGCCAAATGGGGCCAGACTGATTCATCGTATAGACACTCAAAATCGTCAAAATGTCTGACATTTTCGTAGCCGTGTAAATTCCATATATGGCCAACCGGTGGGGCCGTAAACGCTTTAATGTCCCAATCAATTTCCGTCAGGAAACGTCTTGCTAGAGCGTCACCAGAATAAGCGAAGAAAACGGTCGGGATAATGTCTTTAAAGCAACCTTCGTTGAAGTTGTAAAATTGGTGGTTCATTATGAAAGTATCCAGAAGCTGAAGCACTTTTTCACAGAAATCGCACTCGCAGCCGTTCCAAAGAAGATCGCAGACAAGAATCTCGTATGCAGAAATCGATTGTAAAAAGGTCGGTGCTATGAGACCCTGTAGGTTTGTAAGTTTGGGTAAAACGTTTTCGTATAAGGTTCTTCTTCTCACGTAATTTCCCTCGACGGAATCGATTGTCAAACCATTGAGAGGAGGATTGTGTCTCACAGACAGGATTTTCAGCTGTTGGTCCGGACGTGGGAGGTTCAAAATAAACCTATTTATTGCCAAGTCCCAATTTTCCTCGGTATAGTGATCCCCTTGAGTGACAAAAGTCTTTTCTATGAGGCCAATACTGTGAACTTCAGCTAAGCACGGCGCGAGTTCTTGCAAGAATTCATCAAGACAATTGCAGCTGTCTGCTTCGCAGGCCACTTCTAGCTCCAGAGACTTTAGTTCTGAAAGATTGAAAACGTTTTTCATGAAAGTATTCGTGAGCTCGCGCATTGTCTTGCTGTAATCGTGAATGCCATGAACATGGTTAAACTTCAAAGAACTTACTCTTGATAGCTTCACGTTTTCCATCTGGAAATATTGAAATAGACGTAAGCTGGAACACTCGACGTCGTTGACCACCAACTCTTGCAATCCGTCCGACAACCGTGCTATGGTTCGGCTCGAGAGGCTTCCAGAAATAAAGTTGGGAAACGTCAAGGTCAGCTCCAGGCTTTTGATTGACGACAAAGCTTGTAATTTGTTAATGTCGTCTAGATTTTTCACTTGTGCTTTGATCAAATTGGGCAGTTGCAAGACCTTGGAGTAGTTTCGGTCAAACAGGGAATTATCACGGATATCGAGCACCTGTACCTGGCCGATCTCAATAATCCTGTCGACCAAGCGCTGCAGAAGCTTGATACCTTCGTCATGATCATCAAATGTGTCCTGTTGTATCACTAATTTCCCGATGAGATGCAATGATGAACTTTCCAACAGACGCTCTATCCTGTCGAAAAGAAAAATGTCATTCTGATCAGCCGTTCGCTTGAGAGACCGAAACCCAGATACATAAGTAACTCCTGCATCCAGGAAGCACTTTTCAGATCGCAGAGGACAACTTTTAGATATAACGATGGTTTCGTACAAGGCAGGTCGACAAACTCTATTGTGCAGGGTTTTGTTGGTTCTCCCAAGGGACAAAAGGTCGCTTTGATTCAGAAACTTGGCAACATTGGTCCAAAACGCTTCGAAATCCTGACCGGGAGTCATTTAGCATTTACACTGTGCTTTGAGTACTATGATCGATGTTGAATGGTTTATTTTCTTATAAACGATGCTTTCCCTCTTGAATGACGCCGTTTTTTTCAGCTGCACCTTAACGAAAGCACGACCCCAGAAAACTCAACAAATGAGATGAGACATCTTTCGAGAGGAGGAAGTTTCCTTTAAAGCACATTTGTGAATCTTGTGCAGCAAGTTTTGTTGCTTCGGACTGGGTTGATTCAGGTAGCTCTTTAAGGCCAAATTTCGACATTGAAATACACTGCAGCAACGAGTGTCTTTTCAGCGAGTTAAAAACTTATGTCATCTATTTGAATATAGCGGCTCCTCTCTATCATTTATCTTTTTGGTTAATGAGTCAACTGAATGCTGTTTTCTCACAACAGCGATGTAATCTTGGAACTTACGACATCCATTGAGTTAAAAGCTCTAGGGACCACTATTTAAAAAATTGAAAGGACATTAATGTCAGATTCAAAGGCAGTTCTTCTCTTCGCTAAAAACTCTTGTAGTCCGGTTTTTCCCTCGCATTGTTTAAGTTTTTCATACCTACACAGACTTTTAGCACTATTGTAAACACAATTAAAAAGCGTCCAAGTCATCGCGATAACGACAGCAACTTTATGAGAAGATCGCAAACTCTAGGCGCACTACCATCTAAACCTGCTATATTGATAAAAGTAACTGTCTTCAGTCACAATAACCTAAATTGACAAAATGACACCTTCAGCAGATCAATTAAAAAAATCCGACCTCGGTGAGGATTGAACTCACGATCTTGCGATTAACAGTCGCACGCCTTAACCAGCTTGGCCACGAAGTCATTACGTGGTGAAAACTGATACTCAACATATACTATTCTTAAAGAGATAAGCCCTAAGCCCTCAGCGCTCAAACCCTTAAAAGCAGACCTCCTGTAACTTACTGTCTGTATTTATCTATAACGAAAACGTTACCACTTAAAACGTATGTGGTGATTCGATTCCGAATCACACTAAAGGAGCTGGAATTGTCGCGACTGTTGACACTTCACTTATCCCCCAATTGTTCCTCGTCGAGCTATCTACATTTATCTTGCATCACATACACCGCAACACCACAGATGAGAGAAGGCAAAAAGTGAACTATGCGTGTGTGTGCGAAAGCATTGTATATGAACATGTATCCTCTCTTTTAGCATATAACGGTTGTTTGGCCGAGCGGTCTAAGGCGCCTGATTCAAGAAGTTTGCTTCTTAACGCTGTTTAACAGTGGAACACTCAGGTATCGTAAGATGCAAGAGTTCGAATCTCTTAGCAACCATCTTTTTTGAAATACTAATATTTGGCGAAAATTGGCCGGCGTTGCATATCAATGCCGCTCAGCGTGAAACATGCGCTGAGATTTCCATTCCTAAACGGATGACGGTGTTCGGGAGCTCTCAAGGTGGATCGTTGGCGAACTTTAGTTCGATTTCTGAATAATTTAGGCTTAATGAACAGTCACGTGCTTCATGTCAACGTTCGTTCAGATTAGGGACAGAATCAGGTATTAGGCCAGTCGTATCTGATAGTGTAAGTGGGACACAACAAGCCCAGACAGGATCGTTGACACGGCTTTAATGCACTGAGACTCAAGATGCGTATTAACGGTGATGGTCCTTCGGTCGACCCGGTACCTTATTTCAGTGGGGTGAACGATACACTAGTACATGAGGGCTTTTTTTTGGCACCATTAGTCAATGTTCCGTACAGGGTTGTCAAGTCTCTGTGTTCTGCTGTCGAGTCGCAGTATCTCATGAGGAATGACTCTGACGCGGCACTCAGAAGCGAGGGTGTTGGTTTTACGCTAGTTGATGCTACGGGCTACTTTTTTAGTGATTATGCTCTGAGCTGCTTTGCAACGGCAATGGTTCTTAACAGGATCGTTGCAATGTCGTCGTTGCGGTCGCGTTCGACACGAGTACGTTTGACCCGCTGGTTCAAAATTTTTGGTCATTCTACCGTAATTGTTCTCCTCGCGTATTGCCTTTCCCTGACTCTCGCGCTCTCGCAGTATAGTTCTGCCAACGTTGCAAAAGAGGTCGTTGAAAGCTGTTTTTTGAAGATTTACACCGCGATCTGTCTTTCGCATGCCATCGAGACCTTTTTCACTACCACGACGAACTCAAAACCGCTGGAAGAGTTCGACTACCCGATTTTTGAGCTTTCTTTGGGATTTTATGATTTGAGCAGGAAAAATCCCCGAAAAGAAGAGTTCATCGCGGACTGCATTATGGCGCTCACGGGAAGGCTGATCATCCATTTTGTCGAGCTCACGAACAGGAGAAGGTATCGTCTCATACTGTCAACGATCGTCAACGTGCCTCATCTCTCGTACCTCATGTACAACTTCGTGGTCAATGGGATGGATTTTTTCCCTCTCACATGCCGCTACCGGCATTTCCCCAAGCTGCTCTTAACGTTTTGCATTTTGGTGTCTCTGGTGTGTTATGTGTTTGCATGTATTGCAAGAATTGACGTGACGGCGTTGTCGGAGTCTAGACAAGCAATATCAGAGTTGCAGTACCATTCTTTTTTAACCAACTGGTTCGCGAACTTGAATTGTACCGGCGAAGAAGAATTCACAAGCACTCTCATCAAATTTGCCATGATGCTGTGCAACCCAGATCAAGCCAAAAAATACGGCGTGCACAGAGAGTTGTCCGACTTACAGGCCCCCCGAGATATTCATCCTTCGCTACTCTTAGCGGGCTATTCAAATAAGTTCGACACCATACCTGGCGACTTTGAAGATGATAAGGGACCCGCTACGGAGCAATCAGTGCTTTCCAAACGTTTCAATCTTTACAAAGAAGCGTTCAGGGCTATGTTCATGAGAGCGAGAGACATCCTCAGAAAGCAACCTCAAAATAAGGTAGAAACCCATAGGAAGTCCAAGGCGAGGGGAAATTTCAACGATTATATCACGGAAAGGAATTATGCAAGGTTTTTAACAAAAGACCCTGAGACTGCTAAAGATAGCTCGAAGTATCTTTTGCCTGAGGACGACTATTCAGAAGATTACGCCCTGTCGGAAGCCGAAAGCCTTGATGGGAGCTACACTAGTGAAAACGATGAAAGTGACGATCCCGATGAGGAAGAAGACGTTGTCGGAGTAGAATTGAGCCGAAATTCTGGTGGTGCACTTGCGATACTGTCAGATCTCATGAGGCCCACGGATCACTCTCAGCTGCATGCACAACCAGCCGATGCCGACTGGTTCTACTCATTGTGGCATCTTCTTAGGGTACAACTTCTGGAGGACAGGCGCTTGACCCGGTCACAGTATTCCGACCTGAACGAGCCAGAAATTTTACGTGAAACAATGATCAAACGTGTACTAGACTCCAGCTCAATCTCCGACGAAGACAAGGACGGAATACCAGACGCAGCGCTAGTCTGTGTCGTTTGCAAGACAAATCCAAGAAGTATCGTTTTATGGCCCTGCAAGTGTTTCTCGTTGTGTGAAGAATGCCGAGTGTCGCTCGCTTTGCGCGGTTTTAAGAATTGTATATGTTGCAGATCCAAAGTTCACGGCTACAGTAAGATAAACGCCGTTTGATGGTATTGAAAGATTCATAATGGCTCATTTGATGGGTTCACATTTGGTCCTCCACTGCTTGGAGCCCTTCATTATGGATGAGGTTTTGGCTGGGTAACGGCATCGATTTTCCTCGAAAATCAAGTATATAAGTAGAGAAGGAAAATTCTTGTCAAGATCCTATCCGATTTTTAAAAAATATACGACCCGGGTTGCCAGAACTGGTGGAAGAGAAATCTATCAGCTCTCCTCATGGAGAACCGATCGGATTCTTGCTAATGCTGCTTAACTTCTACGAAATTCTGGTAACAGTTCAGCGCTCGTGAGGCAGAGTCTCAAGGAATCACCGCTTTCTGGAACTCACTTCTCCTCTGTTTCGGCAGGGTTTTGAGTCGTAAGTCCTGGAGTTCGAGTGGTTGGTTGTTGCTACTTTTAGTAGATGAGACAGAAGCGCCCCGCTGACGGGTACTGAGATTAAGTAAGGTGCATGGTCTTGAACTCTCCCACGTGTTTTCGGACATTTGGGATCGAGTTCGACTTTCTTCGTTGTCACTTTACCGCGGTATATTCCTGAACGCTGTGTAGGCTCTATGGGCCAGTTATCACTTGGGTAAAACCATACTGCTGACATTTTTTTCGTACGATCTTGAAAGACCTCTTAGAAACGTAGCGACACTTCAGACGGTGTTCAAACTATATTAGCTGCCTTCGCAAAGCATATTTATATTCGTCACTAGTATACAAATAGCAGCAGCTGCTATTACTTATTCATACCTTATCACCCATCAATGGTGGAACAGACGGATTGGGTTTTCAACGTAGACAAGCTTGAAGGAGTCTGCAGCTGCAAAGACGGCCTTGTCCATCACGGAACCGGAAGGAGCGGCAATGTATTTGACACCTGATCTCACCGCTCTGTAGACGTTATCTGGGAAGGGGAAGAAAGCGTCCGAGGACAAAGCCACATTGGTCAATTTGGACATCCATTGTTTCTTCTCTTCTGCAGTCAAAGGAGTTGGAATCTCTTCAAATTTAGACTCGTATTCGGACTTTTCAGGTTCTTCTGTTGGAATTTGGCCCGTGACGTACAAGTCGATAGCGTTGGATTTTTCAGGTCTCTTGACACCCCTAGCCCATTTGAATCCAAGTACTCTTGGGTGTTGTCTCAACCACCAGTTGTCGGCTTTGTCACCTGCCAATCTGGTGCAGTGAATTCTGGACTGTTGACCAGCACCTAGGCCAATGACCATGCCGTTTTTGGCGTAGCACACAGAGTTGGATTGCGTGTATTTTAACGCAATTGTAGCAACGGTCAAGTCGATTACAGCCTGCTCAGACAGATTCTTGTTTACGGAAACAATTTCCTTGAAAGAAGACTTGTTAATGATGGCATCATTTCTCTTTTGTTGCAGTTTAACCCCATAAACGTCTCTAGTTTCCGAAGCGTCAGGAGAATAGTTAGGGTCGATTTGCAAAATGCAATACTTTCCACCCTTCTTTTTAGAAAGAATCTCAAGCGCCTCTGGCTCAAACCCAGGAGCGATCACACCGTCAGAGACTTCTCTAGAAATGATCTTTGCGGTTGGCACATCAACGATGTTGGAAAGCGCGATAAAGTCACCGAAAGAGGACATTCTGTCGGCCCCACGGGCACGAGCATAGGCACAGGCCAGAGGTGACAAGTTCTCGATGTCGGAAACGAAGTATATTTTCTTCTCAACGTCGCTTAATGGAAGACCAACAGCAGCACCGGCAGGAGAAACATGCTTGAACGAGGCAGCAGCAGGCAAGTTCAAAGAAGCAGAAAGCTCTTTGACAAGTGGCCACGAGTTCAAAGCGTCCAACAGGTTGATGTAGCCGGGCGAGCCGCAAAGCACCTTGAACGGTAGCTCTTCCTGATGTGTGACAAAGGCCTGGGCAGGCTTTTGGTGTGGGTTTGCGCCGTAACGAAGTGGCAATTGAGCTTTACCCTCGGAGTACTGCTTTCTGAAAAAATCCGAAATAGCCGCGTCGTAGTCGGCCGTGTGCTCGAAGGCCTTCAAAGCGAGCCTGTTTCTCAATTCTTGGGAAATTTCGCCCTTGGAAAATTCTTGTAAGAATTGAGCATAATCGTTAGGGTCAGACAAAATGGCAACTCGAGAATGGTTTTTCGCAGCAGCTCTCAAAAGCGTCACACCGCCAATATCGATTTCTTCGACGGCTTCTGGAATCGAAACACCAACTTTCGCTACAGTCTCCTTGAAAGGATACAAATTGCACACAACAAAGTCCACTTTCTCGATATTTTGTTCTTTCAAGTCCTTTTCGTCGGAATCCAAGTTCCGTGCCAAAATACCACCGTGGATTGCAGGATGAAGCGTCTTCACTCTTCCACCCAACATTTCAGGCGCATGTGTTATAGAAGAAACGTCTTCCACGGGGAAACCAGCTTCACGCACCATGCGTGCAGTACCTCCCGACGCTAAAATCCGAACATTGTTTTCGGAAAGTCCCTTGGCCAAATCCAACAGTCCGGTTTTATCGTAAACGGAAAGGATAGCAGTTTTCTTGTGGCTCGACATCCTATATATATATCGAATTTGCTTCCACTATGAACCTTAATCTCGAGTAAAATGAAGCCCGAATTTCTCGAATTGATACCCTATTTCGGCTTAAATTCTCAATATTATATATTCTTCCCTTTTCAACGGGGAAAATTTTTTTATTTTCACAGTGGGAACGGGCTTATTGACAGGAGTCATTCTCACGAAATTAATCTCATTAAGGATGGTTAAGCTGGTAAATGAAAGCTTGACGAGGTAGAAACTAGAAAACCTTTAAGACCAAGAGTCAGAATCATTTAAAACTCTAGCGGCAAGATGTTTCTAGTGTTGTAATAAGTGGAAGTAATTTAGGCCATATATACTTGAATCGTCTTGAAAATAGAGGCTATAGTACGTAGAGCGTTAATCCCAGAAACCAACTTATTATTTGCGGTATCTCCACAAGGACAAAGTGTTCTGTCTCTTCCAGGTCTTTCTTCTACCAGCTTGGGTGTTGTGAAATCTGTGGCCCTTGTTGATACCTCTGGATTTCTTACCAGTAGCAGTCAAACCTCTAGATTCACGGTGCTTGTGGACAGGGTTGCAGATCCAGTTGTAACGAGCGTCTCTTCTGATGGCCTTGTGGGATGGGTCGACCAAGATGACCTCGAAGTACTTGTAAGTAGAGTCCTGGTTAACCCAGTAAGAGTTTAGAACTCTCAAGTTAGCAGCACGACGGCCGACTCTCTCCTCAGCGGTAGCTCTGATGGACTTTTGGTACTTCAATTGGTTGATACCTTGGTTGGTTGGCTTACCGTAAGTAGCACCCTTTGGACAAGGTCTCTTTCTGTTACCACGTCTGCATCTGACACGGTAGATAACGAAACCTTGCTTGGCCTTGTAACCGAGTCTTCTGGCCTTGTCAGGTCTGGAAGGTCTGGAAGCTCTGTGGATGACAGTCTTTTGTCTGTATTCCCAGACTCTGACTCTTTGCAAGAATCTCATCACATCAGATTGCTTCTTTCTCTGCAACTCTTCCAAATACTTGTAAGCACCCATTGTTGTTGTTGTTGTGGTTGTTGTTCGTGGAACTGGTAAGCGAGGTTTCGAAAAGAACTTAGCACGTATGTAACCAGGGCTCGCTGGCTTTTCTACTTATATAGGTACACGACTTGAAAAATTTTTTTTTAGCGCCGACGTCGACGACGATGTCAACGATGTCGCATGCCTTTTGGATATGAATTTTTCCAGCGCGTGGAGTTGACGTGCGTACCACCCGTTGCGCACCCCGGACCAGAATGTACCAAGAAAGCGCTCAACACAACGTACAATGTGACATACATCGGCACTAAAACAAGGAGCCACACCACAGCTAAGTCACGCGACTTCCCCGTAAGAGGGGGTGGTGGGGGGAGTGTGCCAAGGCATTATACACGGCTACATTCCCTTCCAAGAATGTTGCGCCCGTATCTGTCTGTGCATCTTGAGTCTTTTGAAAATGCCCAGTCTTCAGAAAGCGCGTCGTTTTGATCTGTGGAGATTTCCGCATTTTAATTTAGATGCCATCCAGGCAGAGGTCCAGACCTCTTTAACTAAAAATCGCAGCCGCGCCCACAGTAGCGCCAGCGGGCGCCCCCGCGGCCCAGGACTTCCCCACCTGTTTTGGCCTAAAGCGGTTGTCGGCGTACGAGACGCCAAAAAGCGCCGCCCGCCTGGTTTCGAGCTGTTGTGTTTTGGTGGCATTCCGCCGTTGTCGCAGGTTATTTGTATGCGGTCATGGCGATCGGTGTCTGGGCCCTATGACGTATAGGGTACACGTCGAGCAGAGGCCGCCTGGGTGCTTCTTAGCAGGTACGTACAGAACGATATTTACATCGTCACAAGATTGTTACAGCGCAGCGGTATGTGGTTTTTGACGAGATCGTCAAGTCGAGCGTTTAAAAGCGGCGGACATTTGCGCAAGTACATCTCGCGGAGGCGACCTGCGAGCAACAGGTGCGCCAGATCTCTCTCTCATTCCGCGCACCGCACCTGCATCTGCATCCACGAGGTCTCGAAGACTTAAATTACCAGCGTCTGCGAAAGCTGGCTTCCGTACACCACTGCATTGTCAGCTCTTTGCTCAGCTGCATAGTCCAAACGGTTTAATTCCTTTTTCCGTGCCCATATTCTGCCTGCACCGCTTTTTTGCCTGTTAAGCGACGATATCGTTACCCGGCCCCTATACACAACCACTCACAAATCCATGGACTCTCAGATACAGATCGACACCTCGTGCGGATCGTCTTGTACGGAGTCCAACGTCTCGTACACATTCTTAGGCGCCGGCCCTACTGGCGTTGCAACAGACAGCCAAAGCGGTAACACCGCGACAAATCACAACACGCCTCAAATTCTCACGATCGATAGCTCTGCGATTTTGCCCACGACCGCATACTCGAGCTCGTTTCGATTCACAAAGACGTGGTCACGTGACTCTGAATCCCCTTCTTCGTCTATCATGGACAAGGCGTCTCTGTCCACGATGACCACTGCATCTGCGTCCAGTATGTCGGACAAATCCACCTCTGCCGCCGGTGCGAGCTCTACGCCAAATGTGACGAACTCCAACGGCGCGGCTCCAGTCGGAAACTGGAAAGCCGGGACTTTGCTCTCGCTTCTGCTGCTAGGCGCAGCCATCTAGTCATGCTGTAATGTAAAAAACATAATACCCTAATAGCACGTAACACATCACGAATCATGAGCGGCTGAATTTTCTTGGCCTGAGCAAGTACCGGACACAAGCACCGGGCTTCTATTCGGGCGGTTCACGTGACCGATGTGATCTCGGCGCCGTGATTTCTACTGCCGGACAGTTGCTTGCCATCGTACCGTCCGTCCCGTCTGCGCCCCGTCCGCCGCGTTTAATTCGCCGCGAATTCGAAACTTCGAGCCAAGCCGCCTTATGCCGTGTTTCCAACACACCCTCTACTAAATTTAGCACGGTTTCCTTGGCAATATCACAGGGCTTGGCTTCTTAATTTTCGATCCATACCGAAGTAGCAAACTCAAATTTCCTAAAGTGGTTATTCATGATTTCGTAACATATGAACCACATAGTTCCGCCAGCAAGAGTAATTAAGCCATAACCAGCGCGGCGCAGAGAAAAAGGCAATATAAAAGGGCGCGAAAATAGTTTGCAAGACCAACTACCGATTGGGAACTATTTCAGATTTTATTTTTAGAACCATCAACCACCGTTGAATACATAAGAATCGATTCGCCCGAAAACCCACTTTGAGCTAATCGACTACTCATATTCTAAAACACACTACATCACACATCACACAAAATAATGGCTTCCTCTTCTTCCGCTGCCGCTTCCGCGTCTACCAGATCAAACCTAGTCTCCAACGGTAACGTCGCCGCGTCTTCTGTGACCAGCGTTATGTCGTCGCGTGCCTCTTCGATCACTGCGAGCTCCTCCTCTTCCGTGTCTTCGACTGTTCACTCGTCGTCGTCTGGCTCCAAGTCCGCGTCCAAGTCCGCGTCGTCGTCGGCTTCTTCCTCTTCGTCCTCGAGCTCTTCTGCTGCTTCTATCGGTGCTGTTGCCAAACCACTATCCTGGAAATTCGGTGCCGTTCTAGGTGCCACTATTTTGGGCTCTTTCGTTTTGGGCTCCGGCTTGTAAACGGCAGGACTCCTCCACGACTGATTTTTTAACCCGGGGCAACAGGACTGATGTCCACGCCACCAACCGGATTTGCATATATACGTTTGTCTAGCGACGTAGTCTCTACGAAAAGAATGTTTGGTTATTTGTTATGAAGAACGCAGGTTGTCCGCGAGAATACTCGGTAGATTTCTGATTTGTGCAGACGCGCTCGGAAGGGCCCTGTAAAGGGCGGAGTCTTCCATACACCATACCGGGCTCGTACGCGACAACACGCTGAAACTGTACTGAGGACGGATGAAGCGAATCCAGCCTCTTTGAACGAGCTTCAACCGTGACGAATTCTCACTTTTGACACTTTGTATCATGGAATTAGCCCCGCTAGGAGTTGGCTAATTCCCACCCAGAAATTACCTAGTAGAGAGGTTGAGCTACATGATTGCTTGATTTAGAATCTTACAGAATCTTCGTCTGTCTTGATACAGAATTCGTGATGAATTAATTCGTCTTTAGTGCCTTCTTACGAAGTGATTCGTCCTTCAGTGCTGTATAGTAGTCTAATAATAATGTGCCAAGTAATAACCATATACTGTCAACTCAGCTCCAAGATCCTCCAGACAGCATGGCAAACTTCCTTACCGAGCTCTGGGAGAGCATCTTCTCGCCGGGGGCTAGTCCTCAGCTCATCATCGCCACGCATGTTTCTTTTGCGTGCTTGACCGTGTGTTTGGGATGGCTCATCTACCTCACAAAGAACGTTCATTTCATGGCTTTGCTGGTTATCTCGACACTGCTGTGGATAACAGTTACGTGGTTCGTGAGTGAGCTGCAAAATGCCCGTCTCGCCAGCAATCAGGACTTAAACACTGCGGAAGCGACTGAAGCGGCGCCTGAAAAGGTCCCCGGAGTGGGACCTAAAGCAGTCGCTGAGAAAGAGACTGAAAATGCCAAGACCTCAGGAACTCAGCCAACTAGCAGTGGAAAAACCGCTGCCAGATCCAGAAAAGTTTGAAAAACATCTCGGCAGGAGCCTATCAGCTCACCAAGAGATTAATAGATTTTTAATTGTTGCATGTACAGGATATTAATAACCATGATTCGACCCAATTTACGATATTGAAAGACCTCCAGTGTGCTTGTCCTTCTACCAAGACGTTCGCTTAACGCCAGTCGCTGCCATATCACATCATACTATGTATATGTATGCTCATCGACCTTTTCGTACCTTCAGACCTTGTCTTTCAACCAATGTCTTACTAGAAAAAAGAGAATGTATGTACTACTTAGACACAACTCGTTTTATAAATAGAGACGACGAAGGGAAGGAATTGAGATCCGAATAGGTCATTTGAGATTGAGCACAGAGATTTTAAGCCGAGAACGTGTATCTTCATTTTTTTGGGAAACGAATTTGCGTTGCTAGTGACCGAGTATCCTTCCGAGTTCCCTTAGATTCAGTATCCGAGTAAGAGTCCCTGAGACGACTAGTTTCGTGCGTTTTAGCCCTCAGTTTGGTCAATCACAAGACATTTTATAGGCAGGTTTGATCAGGGCAAATGGACGCTGGGCTTTCGGCTATAAACACCAACAACAGGACTGCGCGCTCTCAGGTGCGGAATCAGCTACTTAGCAATGATTACGGCGACTTTAGCGCGGGTGACGAGCAGCCAGTAATGGCCAACAATCAAATGTATCAACAACAGCAGCCTTACTGGAATGGTCCTCGTGGAAATTACCCAGGAGGCTACGGCCCAGCAAGGCAGAATTTTCAGCCTCAACGGCGACCTCGCACGCCAGCTGGTCAACCGTCGGGCGGAAAATACTCGCTTCAAGCCGGTGGAATTACGAATTTGTGGAAGTTCAGGCAAGGTAAGTCTCGCGCTGGGGGTGGGGGTAGCGGCGGTAGAGACAGCGATGATGACGAGGAAATTTACGTCGCCGACGCAGACTCCTCACTCGTGACTTTTAATGATATTTCGTCACTTAGAAACAACGGAGGGCACAAGTACGGCCTGGGCGGCGCCATGGACGATACTTCGCCTATCATACCGACCGTTTTAACCACGAAGCATGACAACATGACCAGCACTGAGTACAGAAAACACCTCGCGAACCAAAAAAAAATGGCCTTCAGTGCGCTATCTAAACAAGCAACAGCACCAATGGGAGGTCCTGGGGTGAATGCCGGTCCTCGCACAATGTCTCTTCAGAGCTCTCATAATTCATATCAGCCTTTCGCGCGTCAACAAATGCCACCAGTCATGGATCCAAATTACGGGCGGGCGAACTCAATGATGTCTGGACGACCGCCCCAAATGCGACCAATGAATTACCAAGGGTATGGCCCTCCACCAGCTAATGGACCGCCACCGGGCAATGGCCCTAGGGCGATGTCTCTAACCAACGCGAGGAGGCCCGCTATGCAACCTACTGGACCTCCTCAAAATTATTCTAAATTCAATGCTCCACCCTACCCGAATAACAGAAACCCTGTGCCGCAAAACATGAGGAACGTGGCTAATGCACCAAATAAGGCATACAACATGCCCGGGGGAAGGATGCCAAACATTTACATAGGACAGGAAAGTGCACCTGCAACTTCTTCCTCATTGGACAGTACAAACAGTTTCAACTCGGCTCCTCATCTAGAGGAGACCCCAGGAAGTCAGTTTGCAGATGACGCTGTAGCAATCGAGCCGGAAAAGCCAATCGGCGGGGAAAAGTTTTTACAAAATTATGCGCCAGGTTCTGATTTACCGTCCGCACCGAGAGTTAATGTGCTTAAACTTTCTGATCAGCAACAAAGCCTTGCGAATGAGCATTTGAACGATACTTTCGACTCTAAAAAAAAATGGTCTCAACCATATGAACAAAGGCCCACGGTGCAGGGCCGCCAATACAGCGAAGACCATAGAGATTTCGATCGGCGTAGCTCGAGCTCATTAGGGAACGCAATGAAGAGAATATCTTTGAATGAGTCCCCTCAGCTCTTGTCGCAACAACAGAGGGCTTCTGCAAGAGAAAGAAGACAAGAAAAGACCCAGTCAACGTCCACATTCATGTCTTCTTTAAGTTCAGAGTCTCCTTTGAAGAAGAAAGGCACGTCATCAGGTCTTTACAAATTAGAAAATGGCACTGATGCGAACGCATATTTCACAGCGTCTGAATTTCCTAGTAACAACGAAAGTCATGATGATTATGATGCTAATGTGTCTGATGTCACCATCAAAGATGGACAACAAGGTGGCACAAGTAATCGATCCGAAGAAACCTTTAACAGTAGAAGGGATGCAAACAATGACCAAGACAAGCCTAAAAAGCTTGGCAAAGCACGCAATTTTTTGAAGCGCCTTTCCTCGAGACAGAGCCGGTCCGAAGACATTCCAGAGGACGAATTGTCTTTTGCCGAAGTTACGAGTAGTCGAAAGTCTAGCGCAGGAAGCATGATTCAGGCGAAGGTCAACTCATCAGGATCTAGTAAACCTTACGAGCCGAAGATAGAGACCGCACAAAAAAGAAGGTCTTTCCATTCACTATTCTCGAATTCGTCGCTCGGTAACTTACACGCAATTGAATCGACCGAAGTTCGAGGGCTTTCCAAAAACTCCAGCGAAAAGAGCTTTGGAATAAATCAGGAGCATTTTAACTCCGATGCAGCTGAACGGCCCATGGAGGTTCACCTTTCCCAGTCAGTTGACGATCAACAAAATGTTGAACATCGAGACCTAGAATCTCAGATACGTGAAAGCGCTGAGGACGACTTCAATTTCGACAATTCCGTCAATCAGCCTTATAAACCGCTGTATGCCTCCGCCAGCGAGCTGTCGCCCATACTTGAACAGAAAGTGCCAGGCGCGAAATTCAAGACAGTTTATATTTCGGGCTCCCAAATCGGCATCATTCAAGAAAATGTTCAATTAATTGGTGAGCTTGAACTACTTTCAAAGGAACTAGCAGAATCAATAGCGCGCGAAGCGAGCCTCGAAGAACGTATTGCTAACAGCACAGAGACTTTGTCGACACCTCAGGGTCTCACATTGGCAGACTTCGAGAAAGAGCTGAGGAAAAAATCTTCCAAGGTTGTTGAACTCATACAAGCGCTTAATGACGAGCGACTGAAGCGTTTCATTGCAGAAGAGCAGGTTTTACTTCAAGAGAACGGTGCCAAGCCAAACGCCTTGGATTTGGTTTATAAGATTGACCAGCTCAACAGGAACGCTAAAGACAAAGATCGTGAAATTGAGGCGCTGAAGTTAAAACTGGAATCTTTGAGCTGAAGCTGAAAGAGATGAAATCTCACATAATCCGTCGATTACCATCTGGACAACTTAACAATGATACTCATGGGTTGACGAAGGTAAGCCATCACCATTTTCACCGTCGCATGCTGAGATCTTTATATACGAAGACCCATCTAAGTTGAAAAACTTCATTATTTACATGAACGAAGTAGATGGAAAACAGGTGCAAACGCTCGGAGTATACAGCATTCAATTCAATATTTAAATCCGTGACTGACATGTCCGGAGGTAAAAGAAGACGTGGTATGTGCGAATAAGTGGCCAAGGTTTGCGAGGCATTCCGGAAGCTGCATAAGCTGCCGAGAAGTTCATGGGCCTGTTTCGACGTTTGGCGACAGAAGTACACTTGATGGTTTGTGCCATTTATGTGAGCCAATTAATTCGAAAATTTCTTTCTCCTACTTCTCGGGGTATTGAAATACTCCTTACTCAAGCATTATTTACTAACTGATGATTTTGGATCTAGATTTCGAGGAAGACGATGGATATCGTGACTTCAGGCCCCGGATGCCTAAGAGGCAACGGGTGCCTCCAGTGGTTCAATTATGCAAGGAAATGATGCCTGACATCAAAACAATAGGAGAGTCAGTCAAGGCGTTTGACGATGATATAAAGTTTCTGAGCGAAGCTATCATTAACGAGTTCGATAACGAGGAGTATTTTAGGGATGCGCTTTTAAACACATTTTATGCCGTCGTGACAGAACAGCCTCAGAAGCAAGCTGCCATTGCATTACTCACGATGACTGTCAATGCAGGCAATCCAATTGCAGGTAAAAGCATCCTAAATTTCTTCTTCTCGAAGCTACAGAACTGGTGCGATGCAACCATCGATGAGACTTTTGAAGCTGCGGCCAACGAAACTGGACCTTGGAATAAGATTAAGCTTATAACAAGGTTTCTTTCACTTCTTTCACCTATTGTACTCGAAGACGAGCTTCTATCTTTGTACCGGAAGATTTTCGACCTGTGCGTCCTGCTCAACGACCTAGGAGGAGAAAAAAGGGTTCCTTTATCCGAGGCCATTTATTTTAACATGTTGGTTAACATTCCTTATTTGTTTTTCTTCCAAAAGCAAAACGAATCTCTCACCGACGCCGTTTTTGACCTTCTTTCTTTTGTCGAGTCTAACTACAAAGTCAAGTCTACGGACTTGTCATTGACTAAGGAATATAACGGAAAAATGCCTTATATCTCACAACAGCTGGTGCAGATGGTCTTTCCTGCGGTCAAGCGTGTTCTAGGACATGACATGCAACAGCTAATCGAATTATTTCCCGATTACGACAGGTTGCTAGTAGAGCAACAAAACATGCATGCTTTCAACGATCCCTTAAACCTTCCAGCTGTGGAAAGACTCAGATTGTTCAGTGGTCTGGACCGCGGATTTGGCTCGGTAGATGGCATGTGGAAAACTCCAAGGACTTCTTTCAAGGTATATTTGCCAAGCACAGCAGGCGATTTTGAGACTGTCGTTCCCGTAAATACTTATGCGGGAATGCTGCTCAATGACATAATTATCGACATTGTCGAAGGTATGGAATTCAATCGTAGGGAGGTTGCGAGACAAGTCATAACCTTGGATCTCTTCTTCAAGCCAGGGATATTTGCTGAGCCAGGCTTGTCAATTGCTCAATTGGTTTCTCTTTACGAGGAAAATCCTATCATCACAACTTACAAGATTGAAGATTTGGCCATAGAAAACATTTTAAGCTTGATATTCAAGCTTCCGAATGTCTCTCAATCTTTCGCATACTTTTACACTCTGCTAGTTGAAATATGCCAAAACTCTCCGAAGGCTATTGCCCCTGTTTTTGGGAGAGCATTCAGATTTTTCTACGGGAATTTAGATAACTTGGATATGGAATTGAAGTTAAGGTATCTTGACTGGTTTTCCATTCAAATGAGTAATTTTGGTTTTTCCTGGAAATGGAATGAATGGGAAGCAGACGTGGTCAAATTTGGGCCTTCTTTCTACAATCCAAGGGTTGCCCTCATTAAAAACCTAATAAGAAAGGAGTTAAGGTTGACTTCCAATCGCCCTGATGTTGAAGATAGTTTAACTGATGAATTTAAACAATACTTGGATACATCTTACGTTCCCAGGACTGACCTACTTGCTTTCTATCAATCTTTCTTTACGGGGTTCTCCATTGAGGAAGATATGTTGAAGGATAATGATCTTCTGTTCAAGCAGGGGGTTATTCCCGGCTCAGCTTATGTGCTTCGTCTGCTGGATTATTTCCACAAGCAACCTTTGGATAGAAATGTTTCCGAAATTGAAGCCATATTCAAGGAAATGCAGGATGAGTTCAATTCCCAGATTCCCAATTTTAACAGATTTGCGGTGACTGTAATCGCTCAAGCCTTGGTTTACTCGGGAAATAGGTCTCTTTCGCATGCAAACAAATATATTGGGGATGCTAAAAATGAATTACAGGAGTTTTTGTCAAAGATCGACTCGCCTGATGAAATTAAAGAGCGCTGGATAGTGGAAGCAGTTTTGAGGTTCTGGAATAGCAACTCACAAAACGGTTACCTCATTGCCGACACGTTTAAGAACAACGACATCATCAGCTGCGAAAGCATCTTAAGTTTTTCTTTGTTGGATGATAATGGTAGAAATTGGGGCCTTGTGGATGCGACCGCAATTGAATCTACATTTAGAATCTTGAGCGAGTTAGCCCTCAGAAAACAGACAAGTGTGAAAACATATGCTTTTGTCTATGAGCGATGCTTGCAGCTTCTTGCCGAGACTGCCGCAGGGCTGGGTGTTTCGGAAGATGAGGAGATTAAATCGCCAATAATTGATGATGAGACTATGATGGATTTACCTTCCGAATTGCCGAAGTTAGATTTGATATGGAAGTACGAGGCAATTTTAGGGCTTCTTAAAAGCATTCTGCGGAAATATTCCGATGAATTTGTTCTCATGCAAGATAAACTCATTACAGAATGCCAAAATAACTTGTCGCACCATCCTACCCAAGCCCTTTTAACCAAATGGATCGAAGAGCTAGTAATGCTTTGAGGGTACCTATCGATTTCATAAATTACCATGTAAATTCATAACTCGAGAAATGTTATTTCATGCTCGCATCTGGTTCCCGGTTCATTCAAGTTAATTATGACTCAGGTTCCCTCGTAACGCGCCTTGCAACTGTGTTACTGGTATTCGTCCTCCTCACAACGTTGCCATCAAAAGGTACCGCTAGACCACCGTCCAGAGAATATTGAAGGGATTCGGAAAGAGAATAGGTTCCGTCACCAAAATTTGAATTTGAAGGCTCTGTTTTGGGATCGTATAATGAGTTAGCCAAGCCTGCTAAAGAATGCACTTTGTCATTGTAGTCAGCGTTGATGTTGTTCATCTTTAGCAATTCATCAGCAAAAAAAAGTGACAAGTCCATGAAACGGATAAATTGATCTTGCGTGATGCCCTTGTTATCGAATCTGAGGGTTTCATACAAATTGACATATTCTTTCGCGTCGTCCACGAATACGCCCTTCTCGATGAAAAGCATGCCAATCATCTCGGAAAACGTTTCACCGACATCCAGCTTCAAATCCACCAAATTCGAGAAGACGCCTTGGTACTTCAGCCTGCTTGTTATAATTTTTACAGTGTCCTCATAATTCAAGAACGGTGGTAAAAGCGTGTCCCCCTCACCATCTTCAGAAGGGTTATCGCTCTGCACATCCTCAATGGTAGGCGGCGAGAGTCCATCGTGAACAATCCTCTCTCGCGGTTTCAAAAACAGTTCACTCAATTCGCTTGACCAATTCAGTTTTTCGTGCAACAGCTTCCGACTTGGAGCATGCGGCATGTCTCCCGCAGTAATTGGCAGGTACCTTCTAGGAATATCTTGTAAACAGCTTCTCTGGACCAAGACTCTGCTTACGCATATAACAATACTAAAAACCCCAAAGGCCACAAAAGCTCCTACGACGATAAAAGTGTTCAAAGCTTTATTTTTCGATCTCGAAGCCTGAGCCATGGAATCAATCGGAACAACAATGGAAAAGCCCACGAACAAGAGAAGTAAAACGGAGAGCGACGCCCAGTAAAACCATGATGCTATCTTACCATTATCATTCATGCCTCACTGCTTTCTGCAAGAGGACGTGTGCTGAACTCGACTGAAAGGCGATCAGTCTACACTTATTCAAAGTAGAACACCTGGTACTGATTTGAACCCATGTCCTTGAAATCATGAGATTGGTATTTATTTGAACTGGAGCTCCAGCTCAATTACTGGATACTCTTGGAAGGCATGTCACATCAGACGATAAACTCAGATCAGTTACACTGGTAAATTGTTGAAGAGCACTTCAAATCGGAAATCCAGAATCTTGGGAGAAGTTGGCAATGGAGCCTTTCACAGTCGAATTGATTAATTTTTGGGAGTAACTTGAGTCATTTAGCAGACATAACTAATAACTGGGTTGAACCTTGCAACAAAAGTAGAATCACGTGATCGTATAGCTTCGATGTTGATTGAGATATCGCGTCAGGTAAAAGACCAAAGTGGCGATGAGATGATTTAGAATCTTAAACCTGGGCAAAAGAGAGCTTGACTGCCTTTTTCGTTATACTAGGACGATTGGGGCATTTGAAAATGAATCCACAAGAAAGCAGCCCGAAAAAGCGGTTTTTTTTTGAGGATCTGGAGGAGGATTTGTCAGGAAAAGCATTAAGGAACGAAGAATCATTACTGTTCGGTGGGCACCGGCCAGCACCCGAAAATCCAGTGTCAGAGAAGGACGAAGTTTCGGAAATTAGAGATGTCATACCAGATTTGAGTCATAGTCAAGCAGAAATGCTGTTACTCAAATGCGAATCCTGCGCTGATCGAAGTGAAAGGATATCTAATGCAGTAAGCATTTACTTTGAAAATCAGTCACAGAAAGAGCGATCAGTACCGGAGGCCAACATGCCACTGATAACTTCGCCAAAGGTTAATTCCAATTTTGGAGTCACGAAAAAGAAAGATTATGGTACAAGGCTAACCAAGAAGCCAAAGCCTTCCGTGCAGTGGCGACGTTTCATTGGCTCCATTCAAGTTAGTGCGCTTGCGACTCGACCCACTGTTCAACCTTTAAAATATGGCTGTGAGTTGCAAATTGTATGTGCACACTCGGAAGAAAGTGCCTCGCGTCTATTCAATGGCAACGGCAGAAAAAGAACATCTATGGCAAACTTTGTTAGACTCGTGGACGCTGAAAGAAACCGTGAAGTTGGCAGAGTACCAGAAAATGTTGCACGAATCGTGTTACCTTTAATTGACTTCGATGACGTTGAATTTGAGGCCACAATGATATTTTGCGATAACAAACGGCTGAGTGTTGGTGACTCTTTCGTTGTGCAGTTGGATATTTTTTTAACGTCAGTGTTATTTGAGAAGAAGCCAAAGTCCTATAATTATGATAGTCGAGAAAAGATTTCTTATTCACAGTCTAACGTCGAAAGCGAAGACGAGGCTAGGTCGCGAGCTCGAAGAATTGCTCTTTTAGGCTTGTTTGATGAGGTAAACATGGTAAGTATAGATGACAGTACTTCAGAAGACAACGAGGTCTTTGAAGATCAAACACAAGTAATAGATTTGGGAAATTATGATGATGACAATGATAATGAGACAAGCTCAATCACACCTGAGCCAAAACAGGAAGATCAATTAACGGAAAGTGATACTCTTAACCTTAATCAACTAAAGTCGATTTACCGCGCTACGTTGTCAACCGACTCGACGCGCTTTCTACCTGAAACGACCCCATCGGAAGATGATTTTGCATTGACGCTAAGAAAATATCAAAAACAGGGCTTAACCTGGATGCTGCGAAAGGAGCGGGAGTTTGACCTAGCTGCAGCCGGCGACTCTTCGAATCAATTTGATGAAGCTAAAATGAATCCTTTGTGGAAAAAGTTCAAATGGCCCAAAGATCTTGCTTGGGGTGCCCAAAGGCTTCTCAACAATTTGCAAGAACAACAAAATGCCTGTAATGGAGCATTTTTCTACGCAAATTTGCATACTGGCGAATTTTCGAAGGAAAAACCCATTCTAAAGAGTGTAAAAAGAGGAGGAATACTTGCAGACGAGATGGGCCTGGGCAAAACTATTTCAGTTCTTTCTTTAATTTTAACTGTACCCTCAGACAGAGAATTTATTAATCAAAGTCAGAACTTTGTCGCTGAAGCAAGAAATAGTGATTCTTCCATCATTACAAGCTCTTTACAATCATCTACAGAGATGTCGAAAGAAGATTATGCATTTGCCACCACTCTTATTGTGGTACCTATGTCTTTGTTATCACAATGGCAGCAAGAATTTGAAAAGGCCAATCGAAATTCTAACATCAAATGCGAAGTTTACTATGGCAATAGTATCACTAATTTGAAAACTCTACTCACTAAGACAACTCAGCCTCCCTCTATACTTCTGACCACTTATGGTACAGTCCAACATGAATGGAGTAAGGAATTAGGGAGGTCTCGTGGTACTCGGGAGCTTACCAGAACGAACGGGTTATTTTCCGTTGAGTTTTTTAGAATAGTGATAGATGAAGGCCATACCATCAGAAATAGATCAACTCGAACTTCAAAGGCAGTAATGGATTTAGCTGCCTGCAGAAGATGGATCTTAACCGGCACACCAATTATTAACAAACTGGATGATCTGTACAGTGCCGTCAAGTTCCTGCGCTTGGAGCCCTGGTCTCAAGCAGGTTACTGGAAATCGTTAGTTTCAGATCCATTTGAAGTGAAGCAGTACAAACAGGCCTTCGATATGGTCTCGACCATCCTTGATCCAGTCATTTTGAGACGGACAAAGCTGATGAGAGATGCGGACGGGAAAAAATTAGTGGAACTACCGAACAAAGAAGTGCTTATAGAAAAGGTCAAATTCAATCGGAATGAGGACGAAGTTTACAAGTTTTTTTTGAACAGAGCAGAGAGTTCAGTCATGGAAGGTCTGGCGCGCGGCGACCTTTTGAGAAAGTACTCCACCATTTTGGTTCACATTCTGAGACTCCGCCAAGTTTGCTGCCATTTAGACTTACTTGGATCTAAAGATGAAAACGACGCAGACCTCAATGGAAAGCAGTTGTGTCAACCTTTTGATTTGAAAAACGTCCTAAGCAGAAACTTCAAAGAGAGTACTCGGAACTTTGATGAACGGAGCTTCCAAAACGCCGTCGTTCACATACGGCATAAATATTCTGATGATTCAGAATTGAAGAGTTTAGAGTGTTCAGTCTGTACTGCAGATCCGATAGAGCCCATAAACCAGATTGTGTTTACGGAGTGCGGCCACGCATTTTGCCAAAATTGCATTATGGATTTCATTAATTTTCAAACAAGCCGGAAACAAGATCTCAAATGTCCCAATTGTCGAACTTTTATCAACCCCCACCACTTACTTTCCGTGGCCGAGTCTGGCTCAAAACTTGACTTGAAGCGCTTCGACGACAGTTCATATTCTTCTAAGGTTCAGGCTCTAATGAAAAATCTCAGCAGGTTGCAAGAAGCTTCCTCTGGTGAGCAAGTTGTTGTCTTTTCCCAGTTTTCCTCGTACCTTGACATTCTTGAAAGAGAACTAGGTTCGAATTTTGGAGATAAAGAAGCCAAGATATACAAATTGGATGGCCGTTTGTCTCTCAAAGAAAGAACAACCGTACTAAAGAATTTTGCCAACAAAGACCCGGCGAGGCTAAAGATTTTACTGCTGTCTCTCAAAGCGGGAGGTGTGGGACTCAATCTTACTTGTGCATCAAGGGCGTATATGATGGATCCCTGGTGGTCTCCCAGCTTGGAAGATCAAGCCATCGACAGAGTCCACAGGATAGGTCAACAAAACGATGTCAAAGTAATAAGGTTTATTATGGAAAATAGCATTGAAGAGAAGATGCTGAGAATTCAGGAAAGAAAGAGGACTTTGGGTGAGGCAGTCGATGCCGATGAAGACGAGAGAAAACGTCGGAGAGTAGATGAAATTCGCATGCTGTTTGAATAAATGCTAAAAAATTAGGCCCTAGAGGCTCAAGGGGATTACCATAGTTCTCATATTGAATGTATTTTTACTGTAAAGACAGCAATATTCATCAAGCGTTCTAGGACTCCGAATTGGAGTAGTCTATGTATCATTGGGTTATTCAGTTTCCGTCGAAATGTCTCTGGCAGCGCTCGAACTGTAGACCAGACTAATCATTGTCTCAATGATGTGGTCGTGCAGAGAGATGAATGAAAATTTTAAAGATCCACAGGCGCGTAAGCTCATCGCTTCTAAATCGCAGATAGATACACTGACTCTCAACGTTTCCAAACAGGTCCCAATCAAGCGATATGGGTACTTATCGTAAACGCTTCAACTCCAAAGCGAGGGCAGGTCAAATTGCTAAACAGAATGAGCTAAAACGAGTAAGAAATAAGCAATTCTTTCGGGACTTGGAAAATGAGCCGGAGGAATCGACAGGAAGGTGTGAACCGTTGGAGTCACCTAATGATCCAAACAGAGAAATACTAGCACCTCTAACTGGAGAAGAAAAGGAACTTAAGAAGCGCAAATTAGCGGAACTTTTCACGCCGACAGACACAAAAATTTCAAGACTGAAGAAGAAGAGACTGGACAAATTCATCGAGCATCAGTTAAAGAGGGAAGAGAAAAGGGTCTTAATTGACAAATTACAGGACTACAAAATAGACACATCTATTCTAACTAGTTCTAAAAGGTTAGGTCTTGGCAAGCAAACAAAGAAAGAGGAATTTGCGGAAGCTTTGAAGCTAGAGCGCGAAGGGAGGGGAGACGACCACACGAAGGAAATTCTTTACGAGGAACACGAAGTAATGCAGTGGGAATCTAAAGGAGATGAGTCAGCTGATGGAGAGTCCATGCAAAAAGGTGCGTTTGTGGACAACCGACCCGCGAAGTTTGGAGGATCTGGTATTGGGTTTGGCTTCGCCAATGTAAATGTAGTGAAGAAAAGCCGACAGGGGGCTAAGAAGCGATACAACTGGAAAGAGCGGGTTCAAATGGAAGAAGGTCGTAGATTGAAATTAGACGAAGAGGGCGACTTTGATTCCAGTACCAGTGAGTCGGACGAAGAAGCAAGCGAAAACGAAGAGGAAGTGGCTCGAGATTTGGATTTAGATGAAGGATCAGTTTCTGAGAATGTTGAGTCAGAGAGTTTAAATGGTTCAGAAAGCGACAGGGATCAACAGAGCACAGCAGCCGATGAATTCAAAAATTGGGCAAATAACCAAATTAAAGAACTCGAAGGCCGTACTGTGTCATTGGAAACACCAAAATTGAATTTTGAGTACAAGCCAGTAGTGAGGCCCGAGGACATGGAAGATGGCCTACATGAGGACATTGTCCCGTTGGACACAAATTCTAAGAGAAAAGCGCTGTATGTCAAAATTGAAAGAGCTCCTGAAATTCAGGAATCCAGGATGAGACTCCCTGTTTTTGGTGAAGAACAAAGAATAATGGAGGCGATTCATCACAACGATGTTGTCTTAGTGTGTGGTGAGACAGGCTCGGGAAAAACTACGCAAATACCACAATTCCTTTACGAATCCGGCTATGGAAATTTAGAGTCTTCGGAAAGCCCTGGCATGATTGGCGTAACTCAACCTCGTAGAGTTGCAGCCATGTCGATGGCACAAAGAGTAGCCGTTGAGTTAGGGGATAATGGATCAAAAGTTGGTTATCAGATTAGATTCGATACATCTCTGTCAGATGAAACTAGGTTAAAATTCATGACTGATGGTGTTCTATTAAGAGAAATGATGAAAGATTTCAAACTCTTGAAATATTCCGCCATTATCATCGATGAAGCTCATGAAAGAAACATCAATACAGATATTTTGATCGGTATGCTTAGTAGGTGTGTGAACCTGAGAGCCAAACTAAATGCTGAAAATCCTGACACATGCAAAAAACTAAAATTGATAATTATGTCCGCCACTTTAAGGGTTTCGGACTTCAGTGAAAATCCAAAACTATTCAAAGTACCCCCACCGATTTTAAAAGTCGATGCAAGACAGTTTCCTGTTTCGATTCATTTTAATAAGCGAACTCCTTTCAACTATATCGATGAGGCCTTTAAAAAGACGTGCAAAATACATCGCCGACTACCCCGAGGGGCGATTCTAGTCTTTTTAACGGGTAGACAAGAGATTACAGACATGGTTAAAAGGTTGCGAAAAGAATTTCCTTTACCAAAGGATCGGAGTACCAAAGAGAAAAATGGAGACTTGGATGTTATCTCAAGAGCCGATGCCAAACATGTTGATTTAGAGGCTGAAGATATTGAATTTAGCGTCGGCGTGTTTGACCAAAGCAAAGAGGAGGAGTCACTTGACGAGTCTGATGATGAAGGGTTTGAGGAAACCTTAGAGGATGGCCAGAAGGCCGATGATCCACTTTACGTCTTGCCCCTGTATTCTTTACTACCCACGAAGGAGCAAATGAAAGTCTTTCAGGAACCTCCAGCTGGATCTAGACTATGTGTCATTGCGACTAACGTAGCCGAAACGTCTTTGACCATACCAAATGTGAGATACGTGGTGGATTGTGGTCGTTCTAAGGAACGGAAATATAATAAAAAGAATGGTGTACAAAGCTTTGAAATTGATTGGGTAAGTAAGGCGTCAGCCGGACAAAGATCAGGTAGGGCTGGACGAACTGGACCAGGTCACTGTTACCGTCTATATTCCTCTGCTGTTTATGAGAACGACTTTCAACAATTCTCGCGCCCTGAAATTCTGAGAATGCCTGTTGAAAGCGTTGTGTTACAAATGAAAGCCATGGCAATCAACAACATAATGAACTTCCCATTCCCAACGCTGCCAGAAAAAGCATTGCTGTCAAACGCTATAAAATTGTTAGAATATCTAGGAGCGTTGGATGAGAAAGAAAAGATTACACCTGATGGACAAAAAATGAGCTTCTTTCCGTTGAGTCCCCGATTTTCGAAAATGCTGCTCGTTGGGAATGAACGTGGTTGCTTACCGTATGTTGTGTCCATTGTCAGCGCATTGTCAGTAGGCGATCCTTTTTTGAATGAGCAAGAATTAGGTTCTCTATCATCAGATATAGATGACGAAGTAGAGTCTGTCAAGAATGGAGCTGCAGGACGACGTGCTCAATATCACAAAACACAAATGAGATTTAGTAAGCTGGATAAAATAAGCGACGTTTTCAAAGTCATGAGTGCTGTCAACGCTTTAGATCACGTTAGTCCAGCGAAGACGGAGGCCTTCCTAAAAAATAACTTTCTCAGACCCAAAATGATGGACGAGATCAAAAATTTGAGGAGGCAACTCCTATACATTGTCAAAGCAAACACGTGCCCTGAGAGCATTGGTGTTACAGTGACAGACAGCGATCTGAAAAGTGGCGTTCCTGATGCAGATCAAATAAAGCTTTTAAAACAAATGATTTGTGCTGGGTTTATAGACCACGTCGCTGTAAGAGCGGATCAGATAGTTCCGGATGAAGTTAGGATTGGTAATAACTCTAAAATCACAAGCATACCATATCTGCCTGTTCTAGCACCAAAGTCCCACGAAATCCAGGAGAGTTTCGTGTTCATACACCCTGGGTCAATTATCAGCTCTGCAGGCGAGTTACCTCCCAAATACATCGTTTATTCTTCACTTCAATTGTCAGCAGATCCCGAGAGGGCAAAGACCAGAATGAAGCCTCTCTGTGACATTAAAAGCACACCCTTAGCCAATATTGCTCGCAAGAGCTCTCTACTTACTTACAGCAAACCATTGTCAGGCCAGGGTTTGAAAGCGATCGCAATAAATTCTAATGAGAGGCTCTGTTACGTTGTTCCTCGTTTTGGAGCAACTGTTGATAGTGATTTGAAAATTGGCTGGAATTTAAATCCTATTGCCGTGCATCAAAAAAAAGAGGCAAGCAAGTGGCTAGTCACTAAAATTATCACAGGCAAGGAGTACAAGGCTCTAGAGACTCAAAGACGATGAAAAATCAAGATCGTACCGTAAATCGCTTCCACGGGTTGACTTTTCTCATCGTCACCGTCTTACAACATAATTATATGGATTGAAAGCTCTACTAAAATTAGTTTAACCAAACCAAAGTGATCTGGACTCAAAGCTACTCGTTCACTCACAAAAGTCATCGTTTCCAGCGCGAAGGCGGCTACATGAAGGTTTTCCGTTTGTGTCACTTTTCACGCATACACCCATCATTTTCAAAAAATCTTAATTGGTCATGATAGTTATCTAAAAAGAAGATATTCATATAAGAATGGAAGAGTAAACAAACTTGAACGTCCGATGGATTTTAATCCCGCCTTCAGCAAGATACACACTATCTTGAAAGCGTATGTTACTATATTTCAAGGAGTTTTCAAAGAGATTGTGTACCATCATACTAACAACTATATAAAAGTGCATCGTCAAAATGCAGGGTATTAGATGAGAAGTTCCCAAGTAAATTCTTTGAACGCGACCCCAATAAGGTTTTCGACTCGTATCGCAAGTTTCTGCGTACGAGAGTAGACTCCGAAGGTAATTTGAAGAATGAGGATAAAGTTCCTGTTACCACAGTCGCACAGCGACTAGAAAACGGTGAATACGAAATAGGCAAGCAAAACGGGTTTTATCGCTTATATCACGATATCCGGCTCGTGTGTACTATTTTGGTGCATTTCTACTCGCAGGGGACGCGGAATTACCTGATCGTTGACAAATTTTACAAATTCGCTACCGAACTTCTACTAAGAGAGTGCTACAGACTTGGCGTCAGCTTTTTGAATGAACAGAGCGACAGCTCAGGAACTAAAACATCTTTTCAACACATGGTGTCCAACGATTTCATAAAGATATCTGTTGGGTACTCCATGCCTTATGCTGAAAACTACCACATAAACACGGCAGATATGGATCTGTTTTCTTCGATTATTTCGAAGTCTCAATTGGATTATAGAGTAACGGATTTGCCCAATAGCAGCTTTACAGTAAACAGGCTAATACCTCAAGATCCCGAAGAAGAAGCGCCAATGTTAGGCTTCCTCGCTGCAAATACCAGCAGCATTCCTGATCCGACCTTACCCCCAACCGAAATGATGACAAAGTTTCTGCATCCCAATTGGTATGCCCTTCCTACCACCGTTTGGCTTGAGTATGGTGACTTTCAATCCTGGGCTCCTTGTTTCAACGAGAGCGGTACCGTTCTCGATGCTAGCCGCAGAGGAACGATATGGCTTGAAAAAGTTGGGTATATGAAACTGCTTGATTCTAAGAAATCAAAAGAGAGCCAGGAACAGAAAATTAACGAAGAATCCAAAATCTCTGGTGGTGAAAAAAGTGAAGATGAGTCCAAAGACGCAGATGCGAACACTAAAACAGAAGGCGAGGCGTCCACTATTCCCTTTGAGAGCAAAGAAGAAGCGGATTCGCTGAGAGAACCTGTTGCACAGGATGAGCCAACACAGGATGGCCCCGAGTCAATTCCCAATGAGATCAAACTTGAGAATTTGTTTGAGTGGTCTCCGGGAAGAAGTGTAGGCGAAAATGAAATAGATGCTTTTCGGTCCGGCACTCAGCAGCAAGCTATTAACGAAACACTACTTGAGCTTAATGAGCTGAAGAAGGCGCGTTTAAAATGGCAAAGAATTAAGAAACCCTCTTCTCGTGAGTGTATGCTTTACCATAAGGTTCAAAGACTAATGAGAGAAGCTATTCTGGCCGGAAATATCAAAAAAATACCACAACTTCACTGCAAGTCTTTCCCAGTGCTACAGACAAACTATACAGGAAACATACCCGTTATCAGAAGTGTCCAAACGAGGAAAAAGAAGTACAGGCGATAATTCAAAGTTTGATAGTGCTTGCTGCTAATCTAGCATATGATTTAGTATTTTAGCGATATAGCATCGAATTGTATCTTTTGGGATTCTTTAAATGACTTGAGAAATTTAAAAGTGGATATCCTCTCCCATCAGAAAGGAAATGACTAGATAACAGTTCAAAAACCCTATTATGACCCATATCAAGATCGACGCTCCAGTTAAGAGCCTACCATTAGCATAGTTAATTCTTAAGTTGCGTTCATTTTTAAGTGGAGTTGTTTCATTGACGGTAACAGAGCCGCTAACATCTTCCTCCACAGTCGAAACGGTCATAATTTTGCTGTTGGCTGTGAAATAAATCAAAGGAGCGGACACAATAGGCAAAATGAGAGATAATACTACCTGACTCAAATTAAGCATATTAGAAATCCCTCTCTCACCTAGAAACAGTGTTACCAGGAAGCAGGGAACGATAGCTATCAGTCGTGTAATTAACCTTGTTAGCCAAGGCTCAAATGTAAACTGGAGAAAACCTTCAGAGACAATTTGACCGGCCATTGTGCAAATAACACCGGCAGACTGGCCTGAGAATAACATAGCCAATGCAAAGATCAGACCGGCTGCAGGAGAAATATAACGCGAGAGCAATTCATAAATAGATGTCAAATCAGCGTCCTCAGCCTCAGGTTGCCCGAACAGAGTTGCGCCGGCAACAATTAAAATGGCAGAGTTGACAAAAGTCGCGATAAGGAATAAGGAAATGATTAATTCTGCGTATGAGTAATTGAGAGTGTCCTTAATAGCGCCTAACGATGGACGTTCCAGCACCTTACCGTACTTCTTGAGATCGAATTCATTTAATCTGGGCTTGACAAGTGACGACCCCAAGTATAAGGAATGAGGCATGACAGTAGCACCCAAGATTCCAAGAGATATAAACATGGCTTGCTTATTCTCGATAATTTCTGGTGACGGCAAGAAACCCTCGAATAAAGGGGCTTTGTCGGGTATACTAATCTTGTAAAGCTCCAGAATGAAACAAACCACTGTGGCAGTGACCAGGGTAGTGACTAACATTTCAAACGCTCGGACTTGACGCATAGTTTGCTCTTCAGGCTTGTAGAAAATCAAAATGGCGAGCACATCGACTATCGTGACTAAAACGCCTAACAGCAGTGGAATTTTGAACAGAATCTTGAGTGCTACCGCTGTTCCCACAACTTCTGCGAGATCAGTGGCGATGATTGCCATTTGTGCAAAACCGTAAATTACGAAGTTTAATTTCCGTGGCAGATGTATACGGCAGTTTTCAGCTAGATCCTTACCGGTAACAGTACCCAACTTTGAGCACAAACACTGCAAAACCACAGCAAAAATATTTGAGATCAAAATGACACTTAGAAGCTTATATTTGAATTGCGCACCTCCCGATACACTTGTGGAATAGTTCCCCGGATCCATGTATGCTACACTCACCATAATACCGGGTCCAACGAATTTGCCCAACTTTGAGGCAACTCGAAACAGATTCGCCATTCTAATAAATATTGGCTCACTACTTGGCGCAAATTAAAGCTTTATCTGCTGTGGATATTTTCAATGAGGAAACTGACAAGAAATATTATCTCACAGATTTTGCGTTTCCAATGGATTTGCAAATCTATACGCTCACGTCAAACCTGCGATAACGATTCTGAAAAGCAGTGAAGTGGTCAATAGTAGACAGTTTTTCAACTCATCTTGAAATTGGGTGTAAAGAGCAGGGTTTGATCATCGTTCGTTAAGAGTTGCCCGCAGTCTTTAATGCATCTTGTACGAAACTTCTAATTCAAATTTTCTCGTGATGGTAAACTAAACAAAACTCGATTGCCTAAGATCTAATATTGGCCAGATGGGCATATTTGACCAATAGCTTTTGAGAGATCAGAAGTTGATGAAGTGGTGAAATGAATTTAAGACATCGCTTTCCCGACAATTATGGGGTGAAGGACCCTTCAGAAGTCAAAGGTAGCCGAAAAAAAGTGAATATCGGCGGTGATATCAATAGCGAGAACGACGTAAGGGCCGCGACTTTGATTTCGACAGACGTTCTTGATATGCCAAGTCAGCGCGGGCTAGCATTAACAATCTTCACTATCATTCAAAGCTACAAACTTTATGATTTGGTACTACTCAAATCGGGACTACCGGTATCGGGGCTTCTGCTTACCGGATCTCGTTTTAACTTCATTTTGAAATATTGCATTATTGACTCACTTTTTCTGTATTTTTTGCCCGCATTCAGGATACCCAAGCTAAGTTTTAGCTCTGCCATGGTTTTTTGCCAAATTTGCCTGCTAACGTCGATTACAGTTATTCTTTCCCATGAGAGAAGCTTTCCCATAGTTTCGACTCTAATTGCTATGTGGTCTAGGCTAAGCACACGAGAGCTAAGTCTCACAGGAGGCTCAGTAGATCAGCGCAAAGTTTTGGATGTTGCATCTCACTTCAAAGGCGCACATACCATCAAAATATTACCAGAAAACACTGCTATGTTAAATCCCTTCCATGATTCTTATTGTTTGCCCATGGACCATATAACAGCCGGATCACTTGAAATTCCTATACGGCTGAACTCCACTTCGGAAATAGGTTTCTTGCAGTTAGAATATCGCGACCTTCAAACCAACAAAGTCGAGCTTTGGAATTACACCAAGTCGGATCTCACCGAGCTACCCTTGACCCATGAACTCTTTGAAAGACTACCCAGTAAGCTGCAACATGCCAACGGAAAGCCCCAGCTGAGATACCTAAGCGTTCCTGTTAAAAACACCGGGATGTACCAAATTAATAAAATAAAAGACGTCAAAGGCATAAGTCTAAGACTATACAAGTCTCATGTCCTCGTACCTCACTGTCCATCAGCGGTCGTGTCTGGTCTCGGAAGTTCTGATAGGTGTGTGGGAGATTTCGATAGAGTGACGATTGACGTACAAGGAATCCCTCCCTTGGAGTTGCAATACACTAAGTTGATCGGTGATGAAGTATCCACGTTTACCGATTCAAGCTTGCAACCAGAATTTTTAGAATCTCCTTTGCTGTTTAGTAGAAAGCCCTATTCCGCAAAGGATCTGGCGGACTTGAAGTGGGCCATATCACAGTCAGTCTCCGTGGATCTCGAGAAAGTCTTAAGAAGTGAAGGCCATGTCACTTATAGGATAGACAAGGTTGTGGATGGTCTAGGAAATGAAGTGAATTTTGCAATTCTACCAGGTACCCTACTGAAGAAGTACGGATTGGAATATGGTTTTGATGTTCACGACTTACCGCGCGCGAGGCTTGATTTCAAATTCGATTCAAAGGCTGCTACCAAGAAATCTTTGGTTTTAGATTTTGACAACGTCATGGACTGGAAAAGCGCGTTACCTTACAGAGTCACCATTCTTTTTGAAGGCGAAAATGGGCAAACCAAAAGCTTCTCACATAATATTTCCGAGCCGCACACTGAACTCGCTGCTCAAGAACCAGGCACCTATACTCTAGTATCTGTCGAGTCAAGATTTTGTGCTGGTATCGTGGTAGACAAATCTAGTGTGATGATCCACAAACCGATAGCTCCTACTCTCCAAGTCATGTCATCCCCCATTTTGGATCAATGTGTTGGCCAAGTTGGACTTAACTTCGACTTGAAGTTTACTGGTGTTCCCCCTTTTTACTACAGAGCCAAGATCTACAAATTAGAGAAAGGAGATAGAAAGTTATACGATACCAAAAAGTTCACCTCACAAGGAACCCGGAATCAATTCAGCTACAATCCTACTTCAGAAGGTAATTACGAAATTGTTTTCGATGAAATATCTAATTCCATTTTCACCCACGCAATCCCGTTGAGGCCAGCCCAGGACTACACATTTAGAACCTCCATGCGAGTCAAACCTGATGCATCTATCAAATCTAACCCCAATTCGAAACTGTGTTTAGGGGATCGCAGTACAATTACAGTGAATTTCAAAGGTGAACCCCCTTTTGCGTTAGAATATGATATTTTGGAAACTTCAACCAACAAGCGGACTTCCTTCACTGAAGAGAACATAAAGGATTTGGAGTACAAGCTAGAGACTCCTAACTTCAACGTCGGCGGAGACTATATTTTGTCACTTGTTTCGGTTAAAGATTCTTCAGCTTGTGCAGTGAGTTTGAGCTCCTCTGACGCAAGAATTGAAGTGCGCAGAGAGATACCGAAAGCCGAGTTCAGCATCCCCGAAGGTTCTTCCGAGCTTTTGGTCAAAGAGGGGTCTTCTGCTGATGTTTCCATCCGTCTTTCTGGTGTCGCTCCTTTTGTCGTAGGCTATCAGCACTACAATTTCGCCGGAAAACTACAAGGAACTTTTGAAGCTAAATTTTTGTCTAGCCACAGGGCAAGCCTAAGTCTACAAAAACAGGGCATATACAAGCTCCTATCAGTTAGAGATCGAAGCTGCATTGGGGAAGTGGGTGAGACTAATGAGCAGGCTCTTTCGTTCTTGAAAAAGCCCAGCTTCAAAGTTGTCGAACACAACCGCATTTCAAATACGACCGAGTTCGCATTTTACAAGCAAGCTGTTTGCAAGTTCTTTGAAGAAACTGTAGACTTAACACTCATCGGAAATCCGCCATTCACTGTCCTCTACGAGTTAGCTTCTCCGACCGGCAAGGTGGTTACAAAGCAACTGCACGTTGCTACGAAATATGCATCAATCGTACTACCTAACGAAAAGGCGGGTCTTCATACTTTGACCGTCACTGGGGTTTCTGACTCTAATTATGGAGAGGAGGATCTAAAAAAGATTGGTCACAAGACAAAGAAGGTGGTGGTGAGACAACAAGTTAATGACTTGCCTCATGTCCAATTTTTCAAAAAAGGTCACACATACAGAACTTGCCCCAGCGACGCAGGTCAACCTTCAGGTCATGAACCAATAGGAATTGAAGTCAGTCATGGGAGAGGTCCTTTTACACTTAGTTTCAGTGTTTACCACGAAAGCACCAGCAAGACGGACTACTTCAAGCTTGAGGGAGTCACAGAACGCAACTTCAATTACGAAAGACTTTTTGAAGGGTTAAAGCTTGGTAGTCATGACTTTGCCATTGAAAAGGTAATTGACTCCAACGGTTGCGTCAATGAGTACGGCACACGTGATAATCATGTACTGATCTCCATAAATGACGTCCCTAAAATCAGTCTTCTAGAACCTTCAATGGAATATTGTGTGGGCGATTATGTTTCTTATCAACTGAGCGGAATAGCACCATTCCACATAAAGTACGACTTCAATGGAATTTCCTTGAAATCAAAGGAATACAGCTCTCAATTCATTCGACTAGCCTCAGAACCGGGAATAATATCCATCAACGCTTTGCAGGACTCTTCCTCAAAATGCATAGTCAATTTTACGAGGCCTGAAATGGAAAAAGAACGCAATGATTTGTCGTTACTTGTTCATCCAATTCCATCAGTAACTGTCTCTCGTGGTGATTACATTGTCGAAGACATACACGAAGGAGATCAAGCTGAAGTCATTTTTTCCTTTGAGGGCACTCCGCCCTTTTCCTTAGCGTTTGTCAGGACTGAATTGGTGGAAGACAAGCGTGGTCGAAGAAGGCCCCAGGTTGTTGAAACGCATAGGGTCGAGGAAATCTACGGCTATGAATATCGCGTCGTTACCAACCTTCAGGGTACCTACGAGGCTATCGAAATTTCGGATGCATTCTGTCAAGCGAAGAATGAGGCATATTTTAATGGAAGAATATGAGGTTCAGTCGAGAGTAACCAAAGATTAAAATGTAAAGGGTAACTATCGAGTTTAATCAATAGGTTTCCAATGTAGGTACTAGATAAAGAATTCATTAGAAAAATGACAAAACTAGGGCACTTTGGTTTTCCTCGAAAAGCTGATATCCATTTACCTTTATATGGCTAGTGTTCAAGTTTACAGGAGTCATGAAAGTTTTGTATTGTGAAAACCGTCATCATAGGTTTGAAACGATCCGAAAGTACGCGCACTAAACTGCGGTACAGTTTTCTTGATGCGCAAAATGTTTAGTGATTCTATTTTTTCCGATGGTGTTTAAAAGTCTCATTGCGACTCATTACAACGTTCCTCAGCAATGGCAACAGAACACCAGAGATCCAACGAATTCTGATTACCTATAAGTCACTTTCTGGCCTACCAAAACGCATTTCCGTCGAAATTAGCCCTAAAAGTTTTCTTGGAAACTCAAAAGTAGCTGTTTTCTGAACTTATATTAAGGCAGCCCTAAAAAAGTTATGAGAGCTGAGGGATTCGAACCCGCGCATCCGAAGATATCAGGGTTTCTGATATAAGTAAAATATCCTAAACCTGACGCCTTAACCACTCGGCCAAACTCCCCTATGATGGTGTAACATGTTGAAAGCAGACAACCATAGTGCTCATTTACGGGTCACAAAGACAAGATTAGTGATAGAATACAGGACTCTATAGGGATATATCCGCAAAGTCACTAACCCGGCAGCCGCAGACACTACCTCAAAAGTTTTCTTTACGAACGCATTACATTACATACCCAGCGTTAGTAGTAAGCCTCCGATCCGTTCTCTCCTCTTAGGATGAAGTGATAAAACCATGCTCGAGTAAAAGCCACCCTTCCATCACGCAGCCCAAATTCGGAAAGCATTGAAGCGTCTCATTCAATGCTCAAACAGTTAAAAATGCCTTTTGACTAGGTCAATTAAGCACATAGGATGCTACGTGCGACGAATTGCCATCTCTGCCACCGTGAAACAATTTTTCCGAACTATTTATGCTAGAAGGAGTGTACGGCAAATGAATCGTCAAGTTGAAAAATTGTTCATAAGGATAAAGTTACTCTTATGGGAAAACAAAATAAGAAGATTAAACGGACGATTTGCATTCTTTAGAAAGCCCTGAAAGTCCAAGCGATCCCAGTGATGGTCTTGGAATTATCAAACAATCGAAATGATGATTTCAATCAGTGACAGGGTGAATGGCGTACGTTGAGAGGTTAGCTTTCATCTTATCAGAAGTTGAGAAGGCGTGTTAAAATTGTATTACAAGAATTGTTCAAAAGGAGGCGATTTGACCAGTGGTAATGTGGTCATGTTCTCAAGTTATTCACCGAGAGATATAAGTCAACGCCCGATATACGTTACAATCAGGAAAATTGGAGGGAACTGAATAAAGAGTTCAAGAGAGGTAAGGACTATCGACGCCTGTCAGCCACAAATGATTAATACTAAAGTTGACCTGCTAGATTGTTTCAAAGTTTCCCTACTTGTTCATCCGTATAATAATTTTTGGTTTCTATGATGCCACTGAAACTATCTTTCCCTTCAATACAATTCTCGTCAATCCCCAGCCATCGACCACTTCTCACTTTTCGTAACATAAATGCTACGATTTCATCTGCAAAAACACACTGATATACTTTAGTTTGATTTTTTAATCCATGATTTCAGTTAAGATCACACGAGCTTCCATGACTCAGATAAGATTTATTCAAACTAGTTATTCGATCATTTCCCATTTTACTCTGTTAATGTAATTCCGTCACACCGCCAAAAAACGACGTAGCTTGAAGATATCAACCGCTACAAAATTTCTCATGTAAGGTTAATATCTGTTTGATTTGAGGCTAAAATGCCCAACTGGGTCATTACCTTGATACTGTTGATTTTATTCTGACATATATATAGAAGATTAGTCCTTGCCACATTGACCCAGGCTATACATGTCAGCTAAGTAGTATAGATATGAATCCACATTTCTAACGGCAAAAGTCGGTTGATTTTGGGCAAGTTCCAATATGCTATCTACATCCTCAGTGTACTCCCCAATGTAGTCATTCCCGTTCACAGTTGGAACATGAAAAATTCTGTGAACCATGTCAATACCCTTGTAATGGGAAGGATTCACTTTCTTGATATCATCTGCAAGACATAGATCTTTTAATGGTTTTTGACTTGGTAAAATACTCACATATGACAGTTTCTTGCTGCGCGCCTTTTACAAGTCTGTGGTGTCCAGCATAGTAGGTGGGATTAGCCGCACATAAACCATCAACATC